CAAAGGAGGCCTGTCAAATTTGACAGCCGAACAAGCGGCCGTTGCTAGCGTCTCGAGAGTGGCGCTGTTGAACGGGTTGAACAGAAGCCTCATATGCACTCAGAGCAATCTTAGCGCGAGCCGGCAACGGCAACAAACGTCTTAGCCCTTCACGTGCGATTATTCGGGGCCACTTGCAAAGGGAAGGGGGGGGGCTCTCTCCCCGAGGCCCTACGTCCCTTCGTCTCACTCTCACCCTCTATCTTTGCGGGGTAGCATACGTACTCGCAAAAAGTGTTGATGGAGATATCCCGGAGGACATGACTCGCCATAGGCGCCCTGGCTCTCGTCTCCAGTCTCTTTTCACCTCGTGCTCCCGGAGCCTCCGCTGGGCACTCCCAGTCGGCCGCCAACCCACCTCTTTGCCGAAGGCCCGAGGTTGTACAACACGACAAAAGACGGCAGCATGAAATAATCGGTATGTACTGTACGTGCATGCAAAGTACGATACGTGTATATGTGCGTGTATACCTCAGGTATAAACGCATGATAAAGGAATCAGAGGAACAATGACAGCCGATATGCGAGGCTGTTTCGAACGAACGACTATGGGTGCGCTGGGGCAACTCGCATGACGAAAGATGGGATAGTATCGCCGGACGAGGGAGGGCAGGCCGGGACGGAGCGAGGGCTTAATTCGGACTGGACTCGCAAGCCTGGGAGCCGGGGATGTGGTGTGGTGTGGGGTGTGGTTGAGACTTGAGAGAGAGGGGAGGCTGTTCCAAGTGAGCTTACATACGCACTGTACTGTGCTGTGCTGCAGCGGGGACAGCAGCTAGCAGCTAGCAGCCCAGCGTGTGATTGATTGATGAGAAGGAGAAACGGTCCGGGGTCGGGTCGGCCAAGCAAGGAGAAGGTGGGTGCGGCGCGCGGACGCACCTGTCAAACGCCCTGTCAAAAAACGCATGAAATTGACGAACCAAGATCCGCCCCCCTTGTCAATTGTCAACCCTTGGCCGGGCCTTGTCTTGGCCTGGTCTTTCGGGCGTTAACGTGCTGGGCCCTGCCTTCTTTTTTTCTTTTCCGGTGGCCGCCCGCCCTTCTTGTTCTCCACTATCTACCTCCCCTCCCCCCACACGGCCGAGGATGACAGACAGACTAACCGACCGACCGACAGACAGGGCGGGGTACATCTCGTTGCCTTCTTTCGAATCGAACAAGCGTTGGAACAGGAACAGCCCCTCTCGCTTGGACCCCTGAGTGACTGACGGGGGAAGGACGCCGGCCGGCGAGACTGGAAGGTGGGGGGGGGGATATCATTATCCACCCCCCTCAGCCAGGTGCAAATCGAATCGATTCTTTTTGCGTCGTTTTCGATATCGCACTGTCTTGGGCCAGCCCGTGCCGATCGGTTCGGAGCCGTCCAGTCCGGCCTCGTCGCCTGCCACTGATGGCTGTCGCTGTCACTGTCTCTAGCGTCTAGGGTCTGTCTACATTACTGAATGCACGCACGGCACATACATGCTCACACGCACGCCATTGAGTCTGTACAGTTGCTATTACGCCAGACTAATAGTCCACTTTTCCCGTCAGGTCAGTCAGTCGGTTCGGTCTGGGTCTGGGCTGGTTGGGCGGGCTGGTCGATGTCCGTCTTGCTGCATGCTTATCTCGATCGAGCTTGCGTGTGCGAATGCCGGCCTGTTGTTTCGTCTGGACAGGGCAATGATTTGCGACAGGTCACTGCGAATCTGCAAAACGAGGCAACCAAAAAAGGGCAAAAAAGAAAAGAAAGATCAGAAAAGCCCCACCGCGCAAAAGAAAAAAAAAGAAGAAAAAAAAGTGCGGGCAGTCTCCGTACACTTACAGAGTCGGAAGACTAGTGTTGGTTCTTCATGTGCATACATACTCCGCACATATCCCCTCATCCTTTTGGAACCGCTGAGGCCCCCAAGATGCATATGTGTGTGCATGCGCAGAGCGTTGCGTTACGTGCCAAGCTCGCCGGTTTCTTCTTTTCTGCTTCTGCTTTCTTGCCTGGCCCGGAATTGCTGGCGCGGACCTTCTCCCGGTGCGGCCCAGATAGATCGAAATGGAAAGAAGGAAAATAAATATACCGCGTCACATATACCCCCCCTTCCCCCCCCCCCCCGGGCACGCTCCAACCCCAACCCCTAAACATACGATACCCTGCCATGCTCTCTCCCTCCAAGGCGTGGTGTAACAGGTAAGGTATATTATCGATATAACCTTGGCTGATAATACTTGGCCCCTCCCCCCCCGTGTCCTGGTCGCCATGCATGACATGGCATGCAGCCAGGAAGGAGGACACGGCTTGCTCCCTTTCCCCGCTCCGGGCGGCGGTCTCTGTGAACATGGTGGCTAGAGAGCGCGTGTATAACGAATTGTGTGTGTGTGGTATTGTTTGAGTGAGTGAGTGAGTGAGTGAGTGGGTGTGGGTGTGGGTGTGGGTGTGGTGTGGTGCCCCGCGAACCGGTGTGGCAGCCAAACGTGGACAGAACCCGGTTTCGACCGTGGGCAGCCCCCTGTGTTCTTATTTGCCAATTGCTATTACATGTAAGTACTCTTATACCGGCCGAAGAACAAGCCTGGAAGCGGCAGAGGAAGAAAGGTACTGCGCATACATTACATGAAATAATAAAACAATAACAATAACATTCTCTTACGGACCTGCCCCAGCCGTGTTCTAGACCGGCTGCATTCCACACACAGCCCCTCTTCTGTCCTGCTTTATTACCTCGGGAGCCAAAGAGCTGTGTTACACAGACCGGACGCTGCTGCAAAGCCCTCTGGAACTGGAAATTGACTCTTTGTGCTTACCAATTAATTGCAAGTGCACACACATACATACTATGTGATGTGATGGGTTTCAGAGACGGAGTGAGATGATGGCAAAGCCACCACCCATTGACTGGCATTGACAGGAAACAGACCTTTCCGCATTCCTTCAACCGTGATATATCGAAGATAGCAGATAAGCCGGCTTGTTAGCTTCTGTCTGTGCGCCCAAAGAAACAAATCAGAAACCGCAAAGGACCCTGCCGTGGATCCGGGAGACAACTCATTCACTCTTACTCTCTCACACACACCACTTTGTAAGTCAGTCAACAGACTTGTCGACAGAAAACATAGCCACCTCCCTCTGTTTCGGCCCCTAAACCTTGGGTCCAACTGTTTATCATCCCGCCCAAACCACTGGAACAACAACAAGAAAGACGGAAAGAAAAACCATACACCCCCTATCACACAGGGCCATTGTTACCACATCTAAACACATCACCGTTTCCTGGGCTCTGTTTCTGTATCATCAAGAACCACCCACCACAGCCACCACCACCACCCCTCACAAACCATCCCGCTCCCGTCCAAGCCGAGGCAGCACGCACGCAGGCCGCGCCAAAACCCCCAATTCGTTATCCCCCCCTAGTCCTTCCAGCAAAACCATCCAATCGCATCTCTCGAAATAGCCGCAACTCAATACCACCTTCACCCCAGACAGACAGACTTAGGGAGAGAGAGAGAACTACCTTACCTCGACTAAATGAATACCTCCTTCACCTGGCGGATATTACATACTTTACGTAGTATGTAAATACACCAATTCCACGGTAAATAGTTTACCGCGACTACTTGATAAGGGGCCCAGCTCGGGACTTTTTCAGGCCCCCTCGTTTTAATCCTTGAAATATATATCAGAGCATTGTAAATACATTGTAAGCCTCGTCTCATGCCCTTGGAGTCGACCGCAAAAGAAGTCATAGATAGGGAATCTTATAGGGTTTTGTAAGTAGCGCAGGTAAACCATTTACCGTGGAATGGTGTACGCGACGAGGTAGCAGCAGCAGCAGCAGCAGTAGAGAGCAAGGGGCCCCGGGTCATATCAAGGTACATACAGTACATACAGTGCATACCTACCTGCCCAGATAGGGCAGGGCAACTGCCGCCAACGCAACCGCGGCCGGACCGCAAACCGCAAACCGCGCGAGTCGAAAGAGACACAGACAACCCTTTAACCAACCAGCCAAGGTCCTTAGGGAGGTAGGTACAGCACAGTACCTGCCCACGAACTGCCGCGCTATAGTCGGTCAGTGCTACCACGTCAGTGTAAGTATTAGGAGGGCGTTTTACGCTATTATACGTAAGGTCCCTACTACTACGACATTCCTGCGTGCGTGCGTGCGTGTGTGCATCGACAAGGCTGGGCAGGGTCAGGGTCAGGGTCAGGGTCAAGGTCAGAGACAGCGACAAGGCCGGGGCCGGGGCAGGGCCGAATGTCATAGCCGCGCGTGTTCTTGCCTGTATTGTTCACGGGATAAGGGAGCAAGGAGGTGAGGGAGTGAGTGAGTATATACGAAACACTGACGACGTAGAGAGAGAGAAAGACAGGAAAGAAATATAGAGGTAACAAGAAAAGGGGGGGGATAAGAGTGCAGCTATTACCAAGTTTGTCGTCGTCGTCGTCGTCGTCGTCGTCTTCATCGTCGTTGCCGGTGGGCGGCGGCGGGGAGGCAAAACGTGCGCACATGCCAAAACTAAACTAAACTAAACCAACCGACCTAGGCCGGACTACACACGCAGCACGACGCAAAAGATACCCTCTACCTCCCTTCTTTCCTGCTTCTTCCCCTGGCCCTTGCACCGCAAACTCTCTCCCCCACACTCCCGGTCGTTCGTCGGGGGGGATGCGTTTCCCCATGCTAGACGAAGCAAGTTCCATTATAGATTTTGTATAGTTGCCATCCTCAGCGGCGATCATAGCGAGTTTCAAAACACGGTGGCCCCTCACCAAATGGACCCCGGTTCCTGCCACACAGCCTCCATGAGCTTCGCAAGCATCTCCTCCGGGGTCTCGGCCCGGTTCGGTTCAGGGGGCGGTGTCAGCGTCAGCGTCAGTGTCAGTGCACAGGGCTGAGGAATCCGGGGGCAGACAAGAGAGGCGATGACTTGCATACAAGCCCAGCTTTGACGCAACCTGTACTAGACACAGTAAATACTATATTCCAGAATGGAAACACAAACATCCAAATCGATGAGCATCCAAACGATGGGGCATCTAAAAATGCACGTCTCTAGTCCTCGTGTTTTTCCTGCCACCAGAGGCAAAATGTAGCCGTGATATAGCAACTCCAAGTTCCGCCCATGACCAGAAATACGCTGACAATGCAAACAAAGTCAAACTTGCTCAACAAGTCTGTAATCAAATCCCAGCTGATGCTCCAACCCATTTCTCATAACATTCGTATGTACACTTTACTTCCCAGAGGTTCGGATTCGGCCCCAGAGCGGACGCTTGCGTCCTTTCTTAAGATCGTCGTCCGCGCCGGCTGCTTCTGGTTGAGCCTTCGTCGCGCCTGCCTTTTGAAAGACTGGGTCGTTCCCCAGGCCTTCACTCTTGGGGTCAATCTCATCGTAGTCGTCCGAGCTCGGGTCAAGCTTATCCAGGTAACTGTTGTCATTGCTGTGGCCTCGAGTATAGCGATCCTGCGAACCGGGGCTTCCGGCGCCCGATGACAGGCCTGCCTCTCGGATCTTGTCGAGGCCGCTGGCCAATGGCTCCACGAGGGCCGCTTTTCGGTCAAAGTTGTCGTCCTTGTTTTTCCAGTTTACATCCTTGAATGTCTTGCCCCCCTCCCATGCCTCCATGGGGGTACTCCTAAACGGAGGAGGAGGAGATCCGGGTGGTGGCGGCGACGGCGAGCGAGGCCGCATGGCTTGTGATTTCTTGTAGAGAGCGGCAAAAGGACCCTTGAACTGAATTTCGAGGTCCTTCTGATGCTGTTCGACTGCTCTTCTTCGCTCGAGTTTCTTGGCCGGGATCAGTCCCAACACGGGCACACCGTCCCGGCTCGAGAACGACTCGAGCCACTCGTTGTACCGTTGGTCTTTTCGGTTCAGTTCATCCTGTGAATGCGTTAGTCCCGCTGGTGGTTTATCTCTTCTCCTGTTTCTTTCCAGTTGCTACTTACTAGCGTTGGGGTCGCTTGCTGCCGGAGGCTGTCCAAGTATTCCTTGGCCTCCTTGCTCATTTTAGACCCACTGATGTACTTGTCAAACGAGGCCGAAAACTCTCGGTAGTGTCCTTTGAGAACAAAACACTGTCCCGTCCACCGCTTTCTCTTCAGCTTCTCGTACAAAGCTTCGGCAACAGGGCATTCCCAGTCAAACTCGACAACCCTGTCGTAGAAGACAACGCATTTTGATTGGGCCCACTTGCTGAAGCTGTGTCGGCTTTGAGCGTCCACTAGCGTGTCTTCAATCATCTCGAGCGTGGCATTCTGAATAAAGCTGACAGGCGCGCGTAGGTTGACAGCGTCGTGAATGTGCGATTTCTCAAAGTCTACCGAAGACCGTAAATCAACGATAAGGACGCTTTTTGATGGGTAAATTTCAAGGAGTGTGTTCAAATGGCCAGGAAGAATCATGCGAGGTCCGTCTTTGCGGACCTCAGGTTGGTGGTTGTCGAGCTTCAGATTCTTGAACTGGAACGTTGTCCTCTCCTGCTGTCGACGGTTATGGAACCAGATATGGATATCTGAGCTTTCAACGCCAAGATTCGAGGCAAGGAATTCAGTAACAGCCATGTTAGGCTCCCGCTCCTTCTGGAAGTATTCCTCCAGACGCTTGATGACATGATGTGCAAAATGTGGGCCCTCCGGGATGCTTTGATTGGAAGTGAAGGCCGACTTTTTGGAATTCCGGGACTGGTTGATTATCATGGTTCTCGTTATGGGTTCACCAGGAATTGAGGAATCATTGTCGACTGATCCTGGAAGTGTCGGAGGCGCACTTTGTTGTCGCTGAAGCATACCCAGCGACGTAGTAGACCCTACATTCCTTAGGCTGGCTGGGACGGAGGTCGCTTCATGAGCGACAGGCCGCGAACTAGGACCTGTCGTGGTTGCCGGGCCAGAGAACGGGTATTCTGACCGACTACCCGATGAGGCTTCTGAATGGAGAGGCAACCACGGGTCGGGTTGTTCTTGCTGTTGAACGGTAGCAATAGACAGGTCTCTATTGAGACCCGGCCAGGCTGAATCAAGTGCTTGTCTAAGTGTGTTGGAGTCTTCGGTCGGGTTAAACGTAGTACCGGAAAATGTCGATTCGTCGTCTCGCGAGAGGGACGATTGCCGGTTGAGGGCTTTGGCGGCGGCGGAAGCCTCCGCTACTGTTATCGGCGGACCCTTTTCTTTGGTATGAAGGAGGTTGTTGGAACGAATAAACCCCACGAAATTACACGCGGGGTCATCGGGAAGGAGATCCCAAACCATGACTGGCAGTGAGAGCAAGATCAAGTTCGAGTGGCTCTTGAATACGCCCTGGACTTTGGCATACTTGGCGATGGCTGGGAACTTGGCTAGCCACTCCTCCCAGTCATTGAGATCCAGTTCCTGGTCGTCCTCGAGAGCCAAGGAGAGCATGACATGGGGTACGTTTTCAGTAGGTCCGGACCCACTGGGGACCAGGGCATTGGAAAAAGAATCATACTGCCCTCTTCCCTCTATCATCATCGGGTCACCGGCGGAAGTGCCGTATTGTGCAGGTAGGAGTCCCCCGCCCATCAGTTGTGGCCTTAGAGTAGGGAGGCGTTGGGCTTGCGGAACGAGGCGACAGAGCTCGATGCTTGGCGTCTTGTGGTTCGAGGTCATCATGATGTGGACGGGTGTAGTCCGTGCCTCGAACTGCTTCCCGTTGATAAGGATAGGCCGGGGATGTTTTAGACGGGCAAGAACTTCTGCATGAAGCATAGCGGCAGAGAAGACCTTCATCCTCCACTCGTGCATCACCTCGATCAGTGCATTCGTAAAGGAATACCTGCCGGGGTCGGGAGCAATAGCATCCCAACTTGATGCCGAGATAGTCTCAGTCATGCTCTGTCCTGTCGGGAATGTGGCACTGGCAGCTCCGGCACAGCAGTCAAGCAGGATTAGCACATCGGATATGGACCTCTCTAGAAGAGTCTGGATGGCAGACCACCTGTGGGGATAGATGGTAAGCGACGAAAGCGACAAGGCTGGAAAGGGGGGAAACCGTACTGCAGCCACGGTGATCCAGGTCGACGGGTCGCACACCAAGTGCTTTGCCTCCCCTCGTCAATACGGGCGTGTCCGCCATAGTAGACGACGAGTAGAGTGTCCTCGGACTCGTGCTGCTTGACCATGTCGGCGATCTTGAGCATCAGCTCCAGGTGCGAGTTTTCGGACGGAATGGAGAAGATGTCTGTCTCGAAGCAATATTCGGTTCGCAAACATTTTTCGAGATCCTCAAGCTCGGGAAGCACGAATAGATCATCGATTTCCCAGTGGAGCATGAGCGCCTGCACCTTTGAGAAACGCTGGGTTGAGTGACCGCGTGTGGGAAACGCTCGACTTGCCGACTGCAGACATGGCCCTGTTAGATAAGCGGATACGCCAGGACACAGGGGCGCAGTCCCAGGGGGGAATATAGACTCTAGACGCACCACTTCGAGGGCTTGGGCAAAGCTGTCAATGTGCTTGACATGGTAGCTGACGCGGCTGATGTCGTGGGTTGCCGCTGGAATAACGGCTTGGGTGCTCGAGCCATACTACAGATTGTGAGCATTTGTCATGCGGTTCTTGATATTATTCTGCCTCGAAGATGCAGACAACGAGGGTGGTGAAACTCGAGCGATTGAACGTACATCGTCGTCATTCTCAACATTGGCCGGCCACCGTGCCGGGAGTGTCATAAACTCGTGCTCCATGGTCTAAGGTACACCAGGCTCTGGGCCTGGGGCAGCTCCAGCTCCACCACGCCGAGATGGCCGACGGGAGTCGAACGAGCGAGCCAGCCTTGTGCGGGCCAGGGACAGGCGGGGCGGGGACAGGCGCGGGGTGATGAGGGATGAATGCGTCGCTATAACGGCTTCGATGAAGCTACGAGGCAGACGTCGCCGATGGCAAATCGACACTGCATTCTCGGCTTTCCAGGACAATGAATGAAAATGGAACTTCAAGTTTTTTGATGAGATCAAATAGACTGAGATGAGGAGGAAAGAGCCTCCAGGCACTTCGGATATTAGGTATCTCGTTCCCTCCCTTCCTGCTGCTCGCATGTCGCGGCCGCGCCTTCCCGGCCTATCACGGTGGTGCCAGCCAGGCGGCTGAGTATGGCTCCCGGTCACCCAATCTGGTTTAGCGTGCTCAGGCGCGGTGAAGCATTAGGAGACTCCAGCTGTGATCCGAAGCCGCTGACCAATAGCAGTTGGCGCCTGACGACGGGGCGCCCTATGCAGTCAGCCAGGCCCCAGTGGCTGCTTCCACTGTGGGACAGGCTATTCCACGAGGTGGCATCCGGTATGCTGTCAGGCAGGAGCTGAGGAGCAGCCCGCCCTGCCCTGTTCCGCGCCCTGCCTATAGCCCAAGTGGTAGTTACCTTAACGCTTGGCCTGAGGATGCTCAGTGCACCTCAACCAGCAATTGCGCATTCAACCTAGACTTCGCCAACTAATTCGGCACGTTGACCACTTGTTGACTCTCTCACGTCGTTGCCGTGCCACATCTACAATACGCCATGCGTGAACGAATTACCTTTGTCCAGAAGCTGGGTGATTCCATCGATCCTTCGACGCTCAAGGTCACCGACGGCGTTCTCAGCGGCCCCGAGGTGCAGGCTGTCCTCGAAGACAGACTGACAATTGCACTGGACGAGCTACCCACCGAGCTACACACACTACTCAACAGTGTCCACGAGCTACATGTTCGATGGGTCAGCCCTGTCGCTTATGAGGCCGTGAGCCCACTGCTATCGCGCCTACCCCCGGGCTTCCACTTATTCTTCACTCCGGCAAGAGGTGATGTCGACGCGTCGTGAGTCGATGGGTGCTCTGAAGTGACTGTTGTGTTTGTTCGCCGCCCCGTGTCCTGACTGTGGTTCCAGAGATAATCTATGCCCAACTCTCGCCCACGTATTTGGGGACATCGCGTGCTCAACCCCAGCTGTCGGTCTTGTCCAACTTCCTTCCGTATAGGGAACCCCCCTCGTGACTGACTCCCGGCTACCAGGATTCCTTCACGCCGCTGCAAAATGACCGCTTCTCTCACTCCTCCGCCTTCCAGTACTTCCAGCCTCTGGAGAGTCTGTCCCACTTCATCGCATATGCCCAGGACCAACTATGTCCGCCATCAGACGCCTTGTGCGCCGCAAGGCTGAACAGCCTGGTCCTGGCAAGCTCACTGGACCTCTCATATGACACTATTTCACACACGCTCAAGATAACGGCACTCTGGCCGTACCAGAAACAAGCCGTGCACGCCATATCCTGGCCGGAGCTGAGGACCGAAGTGGGAGTGCTGTCAGGGGAAATCCCCCCAAACCTTGAGCCTCACGAGGTCGGTCTAGCCGGCCTTCTTACGGTCCTGGGCCAAGACACAAAGCCCTCGGCAACTATGTTCGCGGTTCCATCAAGGCACCGGGACGCAGAGTCCAAGTTCTCTGCGAGGTTCTTAGAGCCGACCGGCACCCACCCCACCCTCCAGATCCAGCTTGAATCGAACAAGCCGCCATCAGGCGGGTCATATTGCTCGGCCCATGCGTACTTTACTCTGCCCAAATCCATATTTGCTGATAAGTATCAGCTCGCAGACGACTTGTTCCTGGCCTCCAAGAACTTGACCGCACTTCGATACATCTCGCAGCCCGTGGACCTTGAAGCGCCCGAGTACGTCATGAAACAGTGGGGGTCGGCTGTGCTTCTCGAGCTCTCGCCCCCAAAGAGCGACAAACCCCAGCCGTGGACAACCGAGGTCCCCCTGCATCTACGCTACCTTGCTCCTTCTCCAGGTGGCTACGAGAACATACAAGTCCCGTATCCAGCTGTCTTCTGGGCTTGCACGGCTGAGGAGGGCACTAAGTTCCCGACCAACCCCTTTGAGAGGGTCAACCTGGGGTACGACGGCCTATTTGGGCCACGTACCGTGTTCTGGCACGTCGACCCCCGCCCCGTTAGCGGCAGCAACCGAATTACAAATACCATCAAGGTGCCCGTCTTGGATCTTGATAAAGCAGGCTGGGTCAATGGCGTTACAGCTATAACTGTTTTAGTTGGGTTTGCTTGGGTTGCGTGGAAGCTGGCGGCAGTCTATGTGAAATCGGGCTATGGTAGTGCGCCATCCTCAGGGACGTCTAGTCAGATCGGGGACAAGAAGCGGCAGTGAATGATTGGGTTTTTCGCTAGTCTGAGGTGTTATTGGGGGCCGGGTCCTATGGACCAATCTGCACCAGGCTGCACTGTTGGATATTGAGATAACAATGGTAATTATTCTGTGATAATGTGTTCCTAGGCGCCTTTGTATCTCGTTCTTAGTTTCGTGTTGATGATGACATTGCCCATGTTTATTTCGCACACCATACGAAGTTGCTTCTCAGACTTGACTTCGTTCCATTCTATCGTTGCTAGCGATTACGAGGAAACTAGTTATCTATTTTATCTGTCTTCTTGGGTAGGTCATAATTCACTCTATTATTCCTAAATATTATATGTACGTACATAAACTTTGTGAAAGATTGGATCTTAAAACCAAGGCCCAGAAAATAACCCACAATCGAACAAGAACCCTCAGTTTTGCAGCCATTCGCAGCCGTCGAAGGCAAATCATTTGTTCGTGTTTTTGCAGGTGCTTCAACCTTCACCGCGGTGAAGCGGGTAACTGTGGGCCCGCCAACCCTAGCAAGTCCAAGCGCCCCGCAGTGTGGGGGTTCGGCAGGATGATTAGCTCTAGTTTTTTTATCTCTTCTCGATATTTTCTATCGGCAGCCGTTGACGACTTCAGAACGACCATTGAAGAGCGACACGCAACTATTTTCCACGACGAGACGACCGACCACCTCCTCTCTCGCGCAACAGCAGAAACAAAACGCAGCGACGATGCGGCCCTTAGTCGAGAGCGAGACGAAAATCGTCTTTGACAAGCTGGCCAACTACCTGTCGGACCTCAAGAGTCTGATCGCGCCGCTCGACGACGGCGACCGCTACGTCTTCCGCCTCAACCACTCGCGCGTCTACTACGTGCGCCTGTCGATTGCGAACTTAGCCACGAGCATTAGCCGCGACAAGCTGCTCAGCGTCGGCACCTGCCTAGGCAAGCTGACCAAGTCGGGCAAATTCCGCCTGCACATCACAGCGCGCAAGTTTTTTCTAGCTACCCACCGCATTTCCATGTACCGTGTTACTAACCCTCTTTTTTGTACCCAATATAGTCCCGATCCTGGCCGAGCACGCGAGACACAAGATCTGGGTGAAAGAGAACGGCGCGCAGCCGTTTCTGTACGGGTCCAATGGTACATACCTACACTCCCACTCGTCTTTGCAATGAATGACTCAGCCGCACCCCCTTTTTATGCAAAGCCTAGACAACATACTAATGCCAAAAAAAACACAGTCGTCAAAGCGCACGTGGGCCGCTGGACCGAGGACTGCCCGGAGCACTCGGGGTGCGTGGTGTACAGCATGGCGGATGTGCCGCTGGGGTTCGGCGTGACGAGCCGGTCGACGGCCGACTGCCGGAGGCTGGATCCGACGGGCATCGTGTGCTTCCGCCAGGCCGACTGCGGCGAGTACCTGCGGGACGAGGACACGCTGTTTGCCGGCGGCGTGTAAGTTCTACGGGGGAACGGTGATACATGGAGAGGTGTCGGAGTGGGAAAAAAGGGAAAAAAAGAGAAACAAAATCAATCAACACCATTGGGAACAAGGCGTTTTTGGCGTTGCACATAGCAAAAAATTAAAGGGGGGGCCGGGACGGGAACGGTTTCTGATAGATTTTTTGGGCTAGGTATTGGGATTGTTTTAGTGATGATGGGACTAGGGATTAAAATAAAGAGTGGGAGACGGTTCTTTTTATTTTCTTGTTTTCCTCTATCTATCTCGGGATCCTAAAGCAATTTAGCACGGCTAGCGCAAGACTCATGAATATTAAGATACCAAGCTTCGCATCCTCTTTGTTTTATTTTTTAATTGTGAAATCTCAGAAACGAAAATCGCTGTTCGCCAACTCATTCTGTAAGGTGTGGGAAATGTGGGAAAAACTCCCCAGTCAAGAAATCTATGCAAGCCCAGCCAAAGGAAAACGAGAAAAAAAAAGGCGTTCAACCGCCGGAACTATGTCTCTATATCGCCGCCCCGCCGTCGCCTTCGCGCTCGTCCCCTCCGCTGCCCTGGGCATCTGCCGCCTCGGCAGCAGCGGCAGTAGACGGAGCAAGAACTTCTCGAGCGAGCGGCGGCAGCGGCGCCGTCACGGGAGTGCCAGAGCCAGAGCCAGGGGCCTCCTTCCTAAGGAGGCTAATGGACTCGCGCTGCGCGACGTACTCGCTATCGGCGTAGCCGAGCAGGCTCTCGACCTCTGCGCTCTGGTGACCCTTGATGCGCGCAATCTCGACCGACGAGTAGTTTGTCAGGGCGCGGCCGACCTCGACGGCGGGGCCGTCCCAGAGCTTGCCGTCCTCCCCGGCGGCCGCCGCGCGCTTCTTCACCACGCAGATGCGCACCGCCTCGTGCTGCGCGAACACGCCCTCCACGTCCACCACTCCGACAGGCAGCAGCCCGGCGCGCCCGACCAGCGCCTTGTGTGCGCCCGTGTCGATGAAGAGCGTACCGTGCGGCCGTAGCCCGTGCAGGATCCAGAAATAGCGGTCCCGCACGGGGTTTGGCGACGGGAGGAACCGCGTGTGCAGCGGGATCTTGCTCCTGTCGAGATCGCTGAGCGAGAGGGTCGACATGCTCAACAGATTTTCGGTGTGGTGGGGGTGGCTTTCGTCTGATATGGTGGAGGGGGTTCCGGCGGTAGGTGTCGCCAGGGAAGAGGACGACCGGCTGCCTTGGATGTACTTGACAATGTTGATGATGTTTCCGGGGGTTGAGGAGCGGGTTATGACGGTAGTCACCCCGGCCGACGTGGCTAGGCGGGCGGCGACAATCTTGGTAGACATGCCGCCCGTTCCTAGGGACGAGCCGGCGGTCGATACTGGTTCGGGGAGTTAGCTGCGCTAAATCACACGTGCAAGTTGGTAGAGCAAACGCACCGTCGGCGACAAGCGACCCAATGTCCTCGACTACCTCGATGGGCTGGGCATCGGGGTGTGTTCTTGGGTTCTTGTCGTACAGGCAGTCGACGTCGGTCATAAGGAAGAGCAGGTCGGCGTGCACCATAGCGGCCGTGATGGCCGACAGTGTGTCATTGTCTCCGAACTTGATCTCAGCCACGGCCAGCGTGTCGTTCTCGTTGACAATGGGTATGACGCCCATGTCAAGCAGCTCGTTGATGGTGTTGCGAGCATTGAGGTACCTGGATCGCTGGCATAGGCCCCGTGCATGTTAGCCAAGGGTCCAGCTTCTCGCCTGCTTTTGGTTGCTCTTTGGGGATGGGGGCTCGACTTACGTCGGCAATGTCACTCCGAGTGATCAGGATCTGTGCAACTGGTTGCCGTAAATGGCTGAACAGGCTGTCCCACAGGCTCAGCAGGCGGCATTGGCCAATGGCTGCGAGTGCCTATCTAGATGTGAGCATTGGTGTAAGCGATCGCAATGGGGTGAGGCTCAAACACGGACCTGCAGTTTGGAGAGATGCTTTGGCCGTTTCTCGACGTCCATCCTTCTAAGGCCGACGCCGATAGCACCAGAGGAGACAATGATGACCTTGTGGCCGTCTTTCCTGAGCTTGACGGCTGTCTCGACAATCAGAGAGAGAATAGAAAGAAGAGGCTCGTGGCTCTTCTCATCCACAATCGAGCTTGTTCCTAGATGTTGATCACTAGCGGTTAGCGCCGCTTGATGTATGCTGTATGTACGCTTCATATATGTATGTGTATGCTAGCTGCGAGATGAGTTACTTACCGAGCTTAATCACGACCCGCAACGGACGAGAGCCCTTCGTAGCTGACCTCATGGAGCGATTATCAGCGGCTGCGACCAGTCGAATTATACGGACTCGAGTATAAAGGAAAGGGCATGAGGAAGGATCATGAAGGAGGGATGTGGGCGGCTGGTCAAGAGTCAATCGGCTTACACAAATTACAACTTGCCTCCATTGCTACTATAGGAATATGTATTTTGCTTCTTGGCTCTTTGCCAGGGGCTGATGCAGCTGTGCAGGGCGCAGCTTGCATTCAACTGTCAGGAGTCATCCGTTATCCGTCATCAGTCTAGGGTCCAGTGCTCTTAGGTGTGTAAACCTTTGGTTCGTTCAATTGGCCGACATCGGGGATGCACAGCACAGAAAATATTTGCCCCCGCTAACGCCCTTCTTCTGAAGATTTGCTGGGTCTCACCGCCCCTGTCATGTCCCTTGTAGCTTGTAGGGCGTTGACGGCGCGCTACGGTACCTGAAAAAACAGAACGGTTCCCAGCCTGTCACCACTCGCCAATCGTATAGGTGGGGATAGGCTTTTAGCGGCCGGGAGAATGAGATTATCAGCGGCAGCTTGTATCTGATATGCAACGCTATTCAATGACACGGACGTAATTCCATACCAAATTCTCGCCGTCTGCCGCCTCGACTCGACGATAAGCTCTCGATTGAACTTGGGACGCAGCTAGCCACTCGCTATTCAACCTCCCGAGACAGTTCACTACAATCGTCCCAGTTCACTACAATCGCCCTGAGTCCCACCTGAAACGAAAACGAAGCTCTCCTACGACATTCTCGACAGAGAGAGACAGAGCTAGGGCTCTTACTACACAGCATGGCGTCGCCATCGCCATTACCGTCGCTGCCGAGCACCGCAGCAAGCACAGTAGCAACATTCACACTCACGCCCACACCCACATCCACATCTACATCCACATCCACATCACCGCCAGCACCCGATGGCGGCAGCGTCCCGAAACAGCAGAAGCTCCCGCGGTTCGTGTCCAACGACCCGGGGCGGACGGGGTACGACCCGTCGACGAACTGGTGGATGAACTACTTCCGGTCGGTGACGGGGACGATGACGGCGGAGGGGTCGTACCACTTCCGCGAGGACACGTACCGCAAGAACGAGGACAAGGACTGCCAGCGGTGCGAGAAGTACCGCGACTGGCTGTTTGCGCACTCGCCGACGGTGCGGTTCCTGCGCGACAAGATCACGGCGCTGGGCGGCACGCTGGACGAGACCAACGTGGTGTGCCAGCGGTGCCCGGGCCGCGTGCTCGAGGGCGGCGCCGGCGTCGCGCGCCAGTCGGGCGGCTTCAGCCCCGCCCACGGCATCCTGCTGTGCGCTAACGAGGTGCGCGACCGCGGCCACCTCGAGGACACGCTCGCCCACGAGATGGTCCACGCCTGGGACCACCTGCGGTGGCAGGTCGACTGGTTCGCCCAGAAGGACTTGAAGCATTCCGCCTGTACCGAGGTAGACTCTGCCCGCCCTCCTTTTTTCATCCACACACAAACAGGCTGACATGTTTTAGATCCGCGCATCCATGCTGAGCGGCGAGTGCCGGTGGATACGCGAGGCTCTTGTGCGCGGCAACTGGCGGCTGACGCAGCAATTCCAGAACTGCGTGCGCATGCGCGCCATCCAGTCCGTCATGGCGCGCCCGGCTTGCAAGGACGACGTGCACGCGACCAAAGTAGTCAACGAGGTCTGGGAGTCGTGCTTTTCCGACACGAGGCCCTTTGACGAAGTGTATCGTTGAGTAGGCAGGCAGGCCGGCAGTGCAATTGTGTACTATGTTGCCTGCTTCCAACCCACAGTTGTTTAGTGTGGATGTGTAAATCGCTCTGTTTTTGTTTGGGATGCTTTTTACGCCCACATTCTACTTGTATTACCAATGTAATGCCAAACAAACTCCTACCATATACGAGCATACGAGAATAAAAACAAATGATACATACCAAGCAAGCCATGGGCCCAAATCCGAGTCAACACATTTTGCATCATTGAGAAGTGCAAAGACAGAAATGTAAATGGCCGGCACTAGGTAAGGTGCACGCAGTAGGTTTCTCCCTCTGGTAATATGCATATATATGTACATGCGACAAACGCCCCATTAATTGATGATGTCCCCATTTGCAATTGGGAGTCCCGAAACTCCCAAAAAAAAACGCCCCAAGAAAGAAGGAGAAAGAAAATGACAAGACACGCGTCTGCATAATTCATTAATTACGTCGGTCCCGGCTGGCTACTTGCCCTGGGCCTTTTCGCGGTTCGACACGCGCTCTCCCTTGACGCAGTGCTTGATGATCCACGGGTGGTTCTGGACCTCCTCGAGGGGGAGGCGCTTATCGGGGTCGAGCACCAAGAGCTTTGGTATTATGTTAGCTGGGTGTGATGGACAGACAGAAAGAGAGGAAAACACACCTTCTTGATCAGGTCCTTGGCCTCCTTGCTCACCCACTCGGGGACGGTCATGTCGGCGCGGGCTATCCGCTTGTGGGTCATGACGGGGGTGTCCTCGAAGGGGGCCTCGCCGACCAGGAACTCGTACGTCAGCACGCCGAGGCTCCACAGGTCGACCTTCTCCGTGTACCAGTTGTCGTTGCTGCCCGACTTGATCATCTCGGGCGGCAGGTAGTCGAGGGTGCCGCACAGGGTGGCGCGGCGGTTGTTGGGCGCGTGCACGCTCCAGCCGAAGTCGGAGATCTTGATCTCGCCGTGAATGCCCATGAGGATGTTCTCGGGCTTGATGTCGCGGTGGATGACGTGCTTGCGGTGCAGGTACCGCAGCGCCGACGCCATCTGCGCAATGTACTGCGCCGCCTTCCACTCGGGGAACCGGTTCTCGCGCCGCAGGTGCTTGTACAGCTCCCCCTTGCCGGCGAACTCGAGGATCAAGAAGATGCGCTTGCTGTCGTGGAAGTGCCCGTACAGCTTGAGGATGTTGGGGTGCCGCAGGTTGCTCTGGATCTCAATCTCGCGCCGCACCTGCTTCTCCACCCCGGACCCGTGCTGCAGCTCCGCCTTGTACAGCACCTTGAGCGCGCAGATGAAGTTGCTGCCCCGCTCCCGCGCCAGGTACACGCGCCCGAACTTACCCTTGCCCAGCGGCCGCCCGATCTCGAACATGCCCAGGTGGAACTGCTTGGGCGTCAGCGGCTGGTCCACGTACGACGCCGACTTGCGCTCCGTCAGCGCCAGCTCGTCGGTGCTGCTGCGAGGGCCTGAAGACAGCGACGACGACGACGACGGCGCCGCCGTCTTGTCCTTCTTTCCGGGAGACGCCGGGTTGCCTGCCTGGTTGGACCCCTTCCATTGCGCGGCTTGTGATGGGAGCGTCACTGTTGTGGTAACTGTGGTTGAGTTTTGCGATTGCAGCGCCACCTTGTACAGGTTTGGTCTGCTGCTACTGTGGGCAAGCTGGCTTGTTGTTGACTTGGCGGTGGTCTGCGTTCAGGTTAGATGACTGCAGGTGCTGCCTCGAGGATGAGCCTGGAGCTTGAACGTACCTTTGGTTTCTGGTATACCTGGACCCCGCTGTCGGGGTCGTTCTCGTCGTTTACTGATAAGTGCTCGAAGCGAGCTTCAAGCGCTCGTGTGGCCATTGTTGACTTTGTTAACTTTGTTGACCTTGCTGACGATTGAATGCGGTTGGGGGGGAAAATGTAATGAAGGATGAGAAAAGGTCTCTGCAGTCAGAGGGAGAAAAATAAAAGACCAAGATGCCGCGGGCCGGATGTCGAGTTGTGAGGCTTTCTGCCTGGTCGGGTTGCCGCAACTGGAGGTGTTCGAAAGCAGGCGGTGATGGATGGGGGTTATTTACCCGCGCCAGGTTTGCTGCGTTGCCTAGCAACAGCGTTGGAGTGCACAATGCGGGGGCGGATATTAGCGCCGACTCCGAGGGCCTCCAGTTCCAGGAGCTGGTTTCCGGCACATGTTTCAAAGAGGCTTTCAAGCGGCTCTTGCCCTACATGTCTTTATTTTCTTCTTGTTAAAAAATTAACTCCTTTGTTTTCTAGAGACATCAAACTGCATACCCTGCAGTCGTCTCAATTGTAATTTCATTTAACCCCCACTATCATTGCTTAAAACTGGGTTTGTAGTTCTAGGATATCTCTATAAGCGAGCTTCCCGTGAGTAGTAATATGTGAGATAATTACATATCTACCTATTGGATATCTTGATGCTATTTCATTGCATAGGTAAGGTGTTTGGTTGTGGCTCTTTCAGCGTCTCTGCGTGAACCAGACCGTTGGAACGCCTCAAGGTGTTTGAAAGCCACAGCGTGCCGGATGTATGTCCCCGCAATTTGATAGCTCCCGCCCTTGGGCTGTGCCCCGCCAAAGATCTTGACCCCAAGCAGACAATGTCGAGACACAACCGTGAGAGCTGGCTTACTTGAGAACGGCGTGTGTTGAGTCCTAACTGTTCGAATGCTTGCCTATCATTGAGCTTGACCTGTTTTCGCTCTACCGCTAATTTTGGACTGGACCACTGTTCTCATGTCAAAAATTTAGGTAGACACAATATTTGGTCTGCCCCACCACCATCCGGGCCCAGAACAGAACCCCTTGGGTGCCTCAACCTCGAATTACCACATCAACGACAACAAAAACAAAGCCAAAATGAACCACGTCAGCTCGCCCAACGAGCCGTACCCGTCGGTGGATGACCTGGCGCAGGCGACGACGACGCACACGCAGGGTTCGTTCCGGATCGCGTCGCGCAAGCTGCCGATCCTCAAGAGCGGGCCCATCGACGCCATGAGCGCGCGGCTTGGCATCCCCGTGCCCGAGATGATTTTTGGAGACAACCTGCTGTCGGTCACCCACGTGCCGACGGGGTGGAGCATCGCCTTCACGGCCGAGGCGGCGCTGGACCGCGTCGACAAGACGGGCGAGCACATGCTGCGCGTCGCCTACGCCGGCGAGTGGAGCAGCAGCCGCGAGAAGACGAGCGCCGGCATCTCCGAGGTCGTGCGCCCCTACGACTGGAGCTACAGCACCACGTATCGCGGAACCGAGACGACTACTGAGGAAAACTCCCTCTCCGCATCCCCCACACTACCCCCCCTGCCGCTCGAGCTGCTGCGGCGGCGCGACCCGATCCTGTTCGCCGACGAGGTGGTGCTGTACGAGAGCGAGCTGGACGACAACGGCATCAGCGTGGTGACGGCCAAGGTGCGCGTGATGCCGGAGCGGCTACTACTACTATGCCGGCTGTTCATGCGGCTCGACAACGTGCTGGTGCGCGTGCGCGACACGCGCGTCTACGTCGACTTCGCCGCCGAGCTGGTCCTGCGGGAGTACACGGCCATGGAGGACCGTTTTGATAATGTCAAGCGCGCTCTCTACATGTCCGGGCTGGCCCCCGACGCCGTCACCGTCGCCATGCGCGACGCCAACCAGGTCGCACACCTGCTGCCCGTCGTCGACCACGTCCTCGAGGGTGTTTCCTTGGGTTCTGGGTCAGCATGATGAATATATATATATATCCTTGCGGCTTTTTTAATATTCTTTTTATTTTCATGCTATCATGTGCGTTTCGTAGAAATATCCTCGAGGCAAAGAGACCGGTAAGGACAACAAGCCGAGCTAAAAATCTGGGTGCGGCGTTTTCTTTTTTTTTGGGCGGGGGGGGAAGGGGCATTGGGAGTTGGTCGAATTACCTGCCTAGTTGAATACCTAGCCAATGATTAATTCTCTTCTTATTGATTCCCAGAGATATCACACAAGTAGCGAGGCGTATTGACGAGTCTTTCAATTGCAGGCTTACACGCACATTAGAATGGCTGTCATTTGAAATACACAATTACGACTCCTTTTCCTACTACCAACATCGTCTCACTCCTCCCTCCTGGATATAGAAAACAAACGCGCCGGCCTCCATAAACAAACCCGAAGCACACACACTACTAATGGAGGGAGCTGACGCTCCGACTGCCTACAACACAACTGGTTCTGCCACCCACAACGTGCCCACAAACCCATGACCCAGCCAGACGAAGAGGGACTGCTTGAAGTTCAGACACATCACCGGATATAGCTAAATGTGCCCGCGAGCTCAAGGCCCCGATGCGTCTACCTTCTCCACGAAGCTTTCAGCAGAGGGGACCTCACCGCATACAAGCAAAGCAACAGCTAACTTGCTCCCCTCGAAACCTTCGTAAAGCAATTCGAAGGGCAAAAAAAGAGACATGAGGAGAAAAAAAAAAGACAAAACAAATCACCTAGCGTTCTGCACCGGCGACGAGCTCTCCGTGACCTCCTCGTAAGAGAGCTCCCACTGGTCGACCTCCTTGAACTTCTTAGCGACCAACTGCAGCTCCTCGCCGAGGCGCTCGAGCATCATCTGGCTCGTCTCGGTGTCAAGCTCCTGCGCTTCCTCGTCCTCGGCGCCATCGCTTTCCCCGCCTTCTCCCCCGTCCCCGCCAACCTCGATCGACTCCTCGTTCTCGTTCTCCTTGTCCGAGTTGCGCGAGCCGTACGTCCTCAGGCCTGGCCTCTTCTTTTGCGCGGATACTGACGCCGCCTGCGCCTTTTTGCCCTTGCCACTAGCGCCGCGGTTCCCACTGAGCGATCGGCCCAGTGGCAGGGCAGCAGCGGAAGCGGCGGCCGCCCTCTTCTTCTTCCTGCGGGCCGCAGCGGCGGCTCTCGAGCCCGCCATGTAAGAAAGCTCGTCGTCGTCGTCCTCGTGGGCAGTTTCTTCCTCGTCGTCGTCATTCTCTTCGCCGTCATGACCCCCTTCCTCGCCAGAGTTGGTGAGGTCGTAGTGATCTCTATTTTTGCTTTTAGCGGCCTTGTGCCGGCGGCGCGGGAGGAGCGACGTCAGGTCTGCCGTGGTTGTGGCCTTGACGGGAGCCGAGGGCTTCCTTTTGGCTTTCGGTTTTGGCGCTGCATAGTTGGGCGAGTGTGTCAAGGAAGGCGGCGACGAGATGTCAGAGGCAGCATCCTCAACAGCAGCACCCGGTTCTGGAGTCTTGTGAGGCCTGGAAGGCACTGTTTTTCTGGTGTGATAGTAAGTCCGGTGGGCGAGCGAGTCCAGAGATGGCCAGACCACGGAACTGGAGACATCCGAAGAGCCGCTGCTCAGTGGGGGCGCCATGTCTAGGTCGGTTCCGATAAGCCGATGGTCGGGGGTTGACAACCGCTCTTGATCTAACTGCCTGGGCGGAGAAGGAGAAGGGAATGAAACAGAACTGGAGCTGCTGTCCACCTCTATTGACTGGTGAATATCATCTTCCAGTTCGAGAGCGGGTCTCTTCTCGCGGCCCCCCTGATCCTCTAGCGACTTGCGCTTCCGCGACGGCAGGATAGGGGATGCTTCTCTTGAGCTAGCATCAGTAGCGGCCGCGGGCTGCGAATGCCTCTCGGACCGTCTCTTCGCCAGTTTCAGCGGCGTTGACTCATCGTCGGGCCCAGAGTCATCTCCGGCCACGCTCCCGTATCTCGACGCCTGTGACTGGGGTCGCGGAGCGCGCTCCTTCTGGGCCGTCCCGAGGATACTTGGCTCGCGCGCCCGGCGCCTGAACATGCCGAGGTTGAGGGTCGAGCTAATGTTGGACGTGTTGGGGCCTCTGCTGCTCGGCCGGATGGGAGCGTCATCCTTCCCGACGATGCTGGATTGCCGGGGTCGGCGCTTGAACAGGCCGATATTGAACGAGGACGTATCAGTCGACCGGTGGCCGTTCTGCGTTGTCTCCTCAATCGCCTCGTGGCTGTCCTCCAGAGTGTCGTCCAGCTTGCCAAAGAGAGAGTCGTCGTCTAGATCTAGCCCAGAAGCATCTGTGAGCCTTGGCAGAGCACGGCTGATCACCGACTCGTCTCGACGGCTATACTCGATATGGGGACTTTCGACGGCGCGGCCGCATCCAGGACTAGACGTCGAGGTGATATTTGCCAGTCGGTCCATCGCTGCATCCCGTTTGCGCCTCGAGTCCTCCAGGGCCTGTGTCTGCTCCGCCGTCATCTCCAAGCCATGAGGCACGTATTCCGTCTCGTCTGCCGTGATTGCGGCGGCATTAGATGCGCGTTTTCTCTTCAGGCGCTCTTTCTCGCGGTCGCTGATGTCGTAAATATCACTGCTTGGGTCACTGGGTTTGGAGACGGCTGGTACCAGGGGCGATGTTGTGGATGATTCTGCTTGCTCCCGGACGGCAGGTCGCGCCGACGCGACTCGCGATCTCTTAGGTCGCGGCCGAGGCATGGCGTGCGTGCAGTACTACTGAGTATGGCGAGTTAATTAGAGCCCCTCGGCAAAAAAATACAAACTGATCCGATCTAGGGATTGAAATGCCTAGGGCACTGAGGTTTGGGTGGGCGCGCGTGGTGGTTTACCCAAAGTCGAGAAATTGTTGGAGACGGTGAATGGATGCCGGATCAATCCCGCCCGCCCGACGCGTCGACAACAAAACGCTTGGAGCAAAGCTCCCTCAAAGACGCGTCTGGGGTCTTGGTGGGGGCCCAAAGTTTGGCCCAGGGGAGGGGCTGGGCATGTGGTCCAAGCTTCATTCCTCGGCAGGCACGGCCCTTGCTGGTGAGCGAATCAGCTGTTACGTCACTTGGCGGAGCTTTGAGAGGAAGCCGCCCCCTCCCTGCGCCTGGCACTTATGAGAGCCGACATTGAACGAGCTTAATGTCAAAGAGTTAACAGAAAACCTACTATCAAGTTTCGGCACCCGGGCATCAATGACAATTGGAAAGCAAAGAACTCAATTTCAACAAATTCAGAAACTATGGCGTCGCCACTAGTTGCCTGCCGTGGCGCATTCCGGCGCAACACCGTCCCTTTCAGCCTGGCCCTCACAACCGGGCTAGTCATGGTAAATAGACAAAGGCCAATGCGGTGCGATTCGGCCATTCCTGTCTCGGTCCCGGGCAGCCGACACGGCTCGACGGGCCACCGAAAGAAGGAGAGACTCAACTCTGAAATCATCAAGCAGCTTTCCGGGGGCAGCTTGTCCGGTACGTCTGACCGACAAAGGAAGCATCTGCAGCGACGAATTAGACTCTCTTCAACTAACATTCTTCCCTTGTTCCCGTCAAGGCTTCTGCGCGGGCCTGCTCGTCAGCGTCTTTTCTCGGACATTGGTCCTACTGATGGGAGTTTCCATAGTGTTTATCCAAGTAAGTCAAATATTCATACATATTGGCAAACAGACGGCTGCAGCTTCTCAAGCTTGCCATGCAAAATCCAAACCTATTTCGCTCATACTCAAAATCATAGGTCGCATCCCGCTATGGAATAAACGTGGTAGAGCAGCTTAATCTGAAGAAGCGCGTCGAATCATCCAAGATTCTCACAATGCTGAGCAAAAACACCGCCTTCAAAGTTGCCTTTGGCGCATCTTTTGCGCTGTCCGCCTTCATGTCTTTCTGAAAAACCCCTGCTTCTTTTGTCAGGCCGAGCAAAAAAAACACTTGATGAGCGCATGGCGGTGCGCATTTTAAGAAGAAAAAACTGCAATGGGAAAAACCAAAAGGCAAAAGCCGCCGCACCAAAAACATAATAAAATCTGCAATATCACAACAAACAAACGCACATCGTTGATGGAAACTTAACTTGGCCTGATAGTTGCTACGCACGATTATCTACCGCACGGATATTTCAAAGGCAGATCTGACTGGGTCCATAGCCAGGTCCGTTCGTCACAACGCTGCTCTTTAAAACGGCTGAGTCTCTCGGACGAGCCAGCTATGGGTCAGGGGGTCTGTATCCTTGAAGAATGCCTCCGTTTTGGCGAGGATCTCCTTGTTGGAGTCGTTGAGCCACTCCTTCTCTTCTGGCGTAAGGAGCGACACGTCAATCAGGTTCCGACAGTAGGGAACCATTGTGACGTGCTCGAATCCGAAGTACGGCTTGTCGCCAAATGTGTGTTCCGTTTTCACCTCGCGCACCATGGCAATGTTTTCGATGCGGATACCGTATGTGCCATCCTCGTAGAAACCTGGCTCAATCGACACGACGTTGCCCGGCGCGAGAGGCACATCGATATAGTTACGCCTAGTTCCAATACCGATAGGCCCCTCGTGCACGTTCAAGAACGAGCCCACACCATGTCCTGTACCGTGTCTATAGTCCAGACCTGCTTTCTGTTGCGCATGTTAGCGTCTATCCACATCGCAGCCAAGATTATTCGCCCCTATTTTTCTGTTGGAAGGACACATGACATACCCATAGGAATTGGCGGGCCAGGCAGTCGATAGCGAAACCATTCGTCCCCTTGGGAAACACGGCCGTGTCCAGTGCAATGTTTCCTTTCAGCACGAGCGTGTAAGCTTTCTTCTCCGCCGGCGTCGGCGTTCCAAAATGCAAGGTCCTGGTGGTGTCAGTTGTGCCATCCTTGTACTGTGCTCCAGAATCGCAGAGGTAGATGGCGTTGGGGTCGACCACTGAGCAATTGCCCGGTTCCGGCTTGTAGTGGATCACGGCAGCACTGCAAATTCAGGAGTTAGCAAACACACAGACGACAACAGTAGCCCATCAGAGATGGGGGGTGGAGGGGGTTCCTCACTTGGGTCCCGTCGACGAAATAGTGTCGAAGGAAAGACCAACAAAGTCCTTCTGCTTCGAACGGAACTCCTCCAACTTATCGGCCACGGCGACCTCGTCCAAGACTGCCTTCTTGTTGACTAATTGGTCTTCAAGCCATGCAAAGAACTGCGAGAGAGCTGCACCGTCGCGGATGTGACAGTTCCGCATTCCGCTCAGCTCCGTCTCGTTTTTGACTGCCTTCGCGTCTCCAATGGGGCTTCTGGCTTCCTCAACGAACTTGCCACCCCCCAAAGCTAATTTCAGAGCCCACGATGCCTTACCCGAGATGAGATATTTCTTGGCCGGAGAGGTCTCCCCTTCTGCCTCGGCACTGCTCGCCAGGACCTTGGTGTCAACAAAGAACTCGTCATACGGCTTGAACGAAACCTTGATCGTGTCGAGATAGCTCTTGACTTTGGCGCTTAGCTTTGACGAGTTAATGTAAAGAGTGGCTGAGTCATCAGTCACGATTGCGTACGAGTAGAAGACTGGGTTGTATGGGATATCACTACCGCGAAGGTTGAACAACCAGGCGATGTCGTCGAGGAGGGAAACGACAAACCCAGCGGCCTTTTTCTTGGCAAGCTCCTTACGTAGGTCGGCAAGCTTTGTCCCGGTGTCCTTGCCCGAATACTCTGGAGAGAGGTACATGACCGGCTGGCTAGGTCGAGGTGGTCTGTCAGCTCCCCAGACCTGGTCAACCAGGTTCTCGGACAGGGCTACTAGACCAGCGCCACCGCTCTTCTTGATGCTCTCCTCGAGCTTCTCGGCAACGGGGCTCGCGATGAGGGTGGGATCGACAGCGACAGTCTTTCCGCCGGCCGACTGGGTGGCAGTCCACTCTTGCCAGGTGGGCACATCTTGAATTCCCGTCTTGAGAAGCTGCCAGTTCTGGTCGAGCTGCTTCTCGGCCTGGTTGAAGTAGCGGCCGTCGGTATTGAGAGCGGCCTTCTCGTGCGTCACGATGGCAGTACCTGCAGAGCCGCTGAATCCAGAGATGAATGCGCGGCGGCCGTCGCAGGCGGCTATGTACTCGGAGTGATGGTTGTCTTCCGATGGGACCACTGCAGGTAACACAATGTCAGTGTCTGGCGAAGCTTGGGAGCGCGGGAAGCCGGCAGTGATTGGAAGCACGAAGCATAGGTAAACCACGGCAAGCACACGCCGTCACACCTACCGTATATGTCGACCCCATGCTTCTTCATCGAGGCCCGCAGCGCGGCTAGGCGGGCGCTTGTGTCCACCGTCTCCATATCTTGGGCGCGGGCCTGCGATGCAGAGGCCGGTCTAGCAGCTCGGGTGTGGATAGGTCGTCCCGTGAGGGCTGGCGTCCAGAATGCACGTACAGCTCTGAGGCCGGATTCTGACCTTCTCAAGGTACTTCTCGGAATTGCACCCGGCAACCAGATGCTCGCGCCGAGTCGAACTTGCACGGTCCGTAGAGGGAAAGGAGCAAAGGCAGCAAGACAAGGGCGCGCCCTTATATACCGCATGGACAAAGGACCACCTCAGCTCCGGCAGACAGGTAGGCAGGTAGGTAAGGTAAATTGCAAAGAGCGAGCTACCTATCGGCCTGTGGGAGGGAAGCAAAGCGACATAGAAGCAGAGCCAGCCTGAAAGGGAAGGAACGGGTATTCGAGGTTGGAGATGGGAGTTCTATCCGACCCCACCTTCAGCCCACTAATACCCAGTGGTCAAATACCGCCCGGTTACCTTATTAGGGGTCCCTTACAGGCTCCCGCTTCGTTTGCCAAATCACGCGGCGTGGGCCATGGAAAGAACCCCAGTCAGAGACAGCATGCCCGCATACAAGTGCAACAGAGGTGAGGGACAGCGTGGGATGTTGGAATCACTCTCGTAACGGGTTCGATACTTTCGGATAAGGAAAGCGGAAGGATGAAAGCAAACGGTGCGGCGGTGGCGGCGGTGGCGCTGGGATTCCCGTCAGCTCGGGCAAGTGTGGGGTTCCATCAATGGATACCGGCGGGGCTACCGTGCAGACGGAGTGCCTTTAATACGTACCTAGTTACCTTACCTTTCAGGTTTCTTTATGGGGCCGTCTACTCGGGCTGTAGGAATTGTCTTCTAGACTGTAGGCACACCAAAAAGGTACAATTGGCCATCGCACCAAGCCACTAGCCCAGCCAAAATCGGATTTTTCACCTTAAAAAGCCTAGTTACCTTAACCAACTTTGACAACGCGATGAAGAATGCAGTGGCGCGTGTTTACCCTGATGCAGACCCTCAAATCTGTATTTTCCACATCAACAGTATCATACTCGGAGCCGTGCCAACGTGGGAAAAGCAGTCCCCGGCCCCCCTGCAGCCCTCCACCGGCCAGTTCAGTATGCAGTACGGCATGCCGTGCAGTCATGACCTTCTTGAACGATATATGCATGGCCAGCCCCGCATTGCACAGGGCATGGAAGGTAAATTGGTCCTCAAAAAGTTGCATTTTCACCCATACTAGTGGTTGGAGAGATCCATACGTGACGGAGGCCAGTATATGAGCTTCTACGAATTCGACCGTGTTACTCGCCTACGGGGCAGACCGCGAGGCTCGACCGCATTCGCCCCGGACCCCCGAGCTCCCCGGTCTACGGCTCCGTTGTCCACAGAGCCGACGACAACGGCACCGACACAGACCCCGACAGCCACATCGACTGGCCGGGCAAGCGGCTTGAATCCTTCCATTCGCCAGCAGCCCTCAGTATAGGAGGGTGTCAGCCTACAACAGGAAGACAACAAGGACAACAAGGACCAAGAAAACACCATGGAAATCCTCTTGCGCAGGCACAACGAACTGTGAATGGCCTCACAGTCCCGCCTGCTCGCGGCGGCCGCGGCGGTAAGGCACAGGGAACCCGGGCAACAAAGGGAGGTCCTGGCAGCCGGGGCGGCCGTGTTGCCTCGGCATCGCGGGCATCTACCTCACGGGCTTCATCTGGGACGCCTGCCTCAACGCCCACGGCGCGTATGAGGGGAGGGGGCATTACAAAGGCTTCTACACGCGATGCAACGGCCCGTCGTACTACTAGGGCTTTGGCTGCAGCGTTTGACGCCCAAAAAGCAGTGATCTTGACGAGGCGTAGGTAAGGCAGGTTTTTATTGCATTTTTGGGCATGTTATGTAAGCAATAATACACGTTGAGCCGCCGGCTTTTAATGCAGAAGTGAACGATTTGAGCGAGTTCTACGGCCCTGAAAGAGAATTACTGCATTTGGAAGCATGTTGACGTTGGCGACGGCGGCGAGGTGTAATTGCGGTGCGAGGATGTTGTGCGATTGCTCTGAACTTGGGTGCGCTAGCTTCATCCCAGGACTTAGCCTCTTTTTTGGTGCGAAAAGTGGGGTTTTAATGGCTTGGCGCCAGGGCGCCATGTACCTACAGTCTAGAAGACGTTGCCTACAGTCCAAGTAGACGGTCCCTTCTTTATTTATCAGTACATAGGTAAGGCAGACTACGTATAATGAAACGCGACCCGCTATGGAACAATTCTGGCTGACCAAAGCACGCAGTTGAGGTCATCATTACTGCACATCAATGCCTGATTCCTTAGAAGCATACGCCGTACGTTGGCCAAAGCTGGGGCCGCAGGAGTTCTTTTGATAAACTCCGCTGCCACCTGAGTCTGGAACCAACAACACCGCAGACCGGGGCTAAACGTAAGCTAAAAGGGATCATCAGGCAGAGCAACTGGCCAGACGTGAGTGGAAGCCTCGTCAAACGACTTTTCTCAAAGCTACGAGTGTTGGATTCCTCCGTTACTTTTCCATTCTTTCCATTCTTCGATCCGCTGTCTACAATACCTAGTTCGTGCAACTGGCTGTTTCGTCATAGGGATAATTCCTCTAGAATTTGGGCACCAATCGCAGCCCAGACAACTTACCTACCCTGAATTAGGCAGGCCACTGTATTAACTTGAGGGTTCAATGTTGAAGATTGCCTTTCACTGACGGGACCCACTTCCCGCGATTAGGACCTGACTGGGCTCACCCAACCCCGACGTCAAACCATCATTAAATCGACATTTATAAAACGTCGATGGTATTGCAGCAGCCCTCTCACCTACCGTAGTTACCGGAACCGGAATGCACCTCATAACCGTGCCGACCTCACCATGGAACAGCTGCCCTTGCCGTCGAGTCTCACCGAGGTGGAAGCGGTCAGTCCATAACGAACACAGGGCAGTGGAAGCTTTCTGTTCTGTTCCCACTAACTCTTGCTCACAGTTGATCCGAGCGCTGTATTCGCGAAACTCTCCCGAGACCATCTCCAAAATACAGGAGGTTTTGCAGCGGCTGCAGAAATCGCCCCAGGGGTGGCAGCTCGCCTCCAGCTTGATCGCGAGCCGCGATGAAAACGTCAGATTCTATGCTGCCTTGACGCTGATCGTCAAGCTCAACCGAGACAGGTACGTACAAGTACAATGTATTTTGTTTCCTGGAAATCATTCCCCAATTTGGCAGATGTAAAGCCCCATGGCTGGCTCACACTGCGTCTCTGTGTCTCTTGGTGGGAACCGAGCCGGCCATGGATGAGATGAAAGCCGCCTTACAAATTAAACCCCCTTTTTTGTATCTGAATTCCAAAATTCGACACTAACCTGCAATCAAAATACTAAAAACTCAGTGCTGAGCTGTCCGAGGACGATGCCAAGGGTCTCATCGAGAACATCGTGGGATGGGTCCTTCAGTCACTGGCCGATGGCACGAGTGCCTTCGTGACCAAGAAGCTCAGCTCAGCTCTAGTCACATACTTCATCCACTTCTCCCACCTGTGGCCCAACTGTGTCCGCCATTATGTCCACTGTCTAGATCTTGGCCGCGGTGTCTCAGTCGACGGGCTGGACGACGCTCTGCCTACAAGCGAGCTCGTTGCAAAGCTCAGTCCCCAGCAGCTCAAAGCCGCCATCTGGTTCGCAACCTCGCTCGTTGAAGAAGTCGGGAAAATAGACATGAACTCGCCTAAATTGTAAGAGAGGTTCCCCTTGAGCTTACAACTACAGATGTTGACGCAGATACTAACAACCCCTAGTGCAATTGTTCACGACCGGCTTGTCAAGAACGCATCTGATGTAGCATACCTTCTCGCCCGTAGTTTCTCTCAGCCGCTGAACACTCCTGGGCCGAAGATACAAGATGATGCGCTGAATTGCTTTCAGGTATGCCTGAACCGCCACCCCTAGCGACCATTTTCCGCCGAGTAAAAACAAACACCGGCAGCGAAGAATACTCTTGACGAGGAACACTGGCTGACCGGGAATAAAGGCTTGGATTTTGTATGCCCAGCGCGTTCCGTCTAACACGGACGTCCTGATAACGCCGCTCCGGGAACTTGTCGACCCGGCAATGAATTGCTTCGCAGATCAGGAGCTTTTCCAGCCCACTGCAGAACTATTCAGTGACGTTCTTTCTAACTACTCAAGCTTCTTGACTGAGTCCCACTACGGTGCCCTAGCCTCCCTGTTCGACAGCCCGTGGGCGGCAGAGCATTACAACCGAACCATTCACGGAAACCACGAAGAGGAGGGCATTTCTTTTGGTCTGTTAATGCTAGCATACGGAGACGCCAAGGTACAGGATCTGATGACGAGCCCTGATGACCGCTCCCAAAGGTTTCTTGAGAAGCTTAGTGGGCTTCTCGCCGCCGACGGCTACGTCGTGAGCGACGACGCCATATTCGTGCCCGCCCTCGAATTTTGGAGCACATTTGTCGAGACCATGATCGACAACACCTTCTCGGACGAGGAAGAAACAAAGTCTTGGAAACCCTACGCCGATCAGCACCTGAAGGCCATTGTCATGAACTGCTGGCGCAAGATCCAGTTCCCCCCAGCCGAGACATTTACAGAATGGGACTCGTCTGAGCGTGTCGGTTTTAGTGATGGCCGCAAGGATGTTGCCGACATGCTGCAGTCCATATTCACTCTGAATGCCTCTAGTCTTGTTTCCTTTTTCGCCGACTTGTTTCTGCAGTCCGTTGCTGCTCAGGCATGGGCCGAAGTCGAAGCCTCGGCTTTCTGCTTAGGATCGCTTTCCGACTGTCTTTCGGACAACCCCAAGTATGATTTTGAGCTGAGCAAGATATTTGATTTGTCCTTCTTTGAGCTACTTGGCGAAGCCCATGGCTCGGTGCCTCTCCGACTTCGCCAGACTGGACTGTCGTTGATAGAGAGGTATTGTGAGTACTTTGAACGGCATGCCGAGTACCTTCCCCATGCTCTCAACTTGCTCTTTGCCGCTGTGGGAGACCCTGTTCTCGGATCGCCCTCAGCCCGGTCCATTTCCACCCTGTGCTCTTCTTGCCGCTCAATCCTCACCGGGGAAGCTGGTGCATTTCTCAGACATTACCAGGTAATCCGCAATGGCCAGGTTCTTGACTCACTTGTGGAGGAAAGAATTATCCTGGCAATCGCGTCCATAATGCAGGCCATACCGGATGAGAACCAGAGACTGGAAACATTCAACGATCTCTACGTCCTGCTCAAGAACGATCTTGACCTCGCCGTGCGCTTGAAAGCACACCCGGGGTTACTAAACCTATCCGACCCTAATATTCTCAGGGGAGTAGATCCGCCAAACCCGCAAGTTACGCCCTCTGCCGATGAGGTTTCTCTTCAGATCGCTCTTAGATCTCTCCGCTGTCTCGCCAATGTTGGTAGAGGCATGCAGGACGTCAAAGAGCACCCGGTAGATCTAGACCATGATCCCCCCCCCAAGCGGATAGGGGCAAAGCTCGCGAGCATACAGGCAGACATTATGGGTGTGATCATCGAGGTCCAGCGGAACTTCAGCACCAGTGGAGAGATGATAGAAATAATTTGCAACATTCTTCGGGCAGGCTTCTCCGAGACTGAACCTGGGCCTTTCGTGTTGCCGCCCGACGTGGTGACGGACTACCTTGTTCAGCAAACATTCAAGACACCACGCGTGGGCACTCTTCTCAGCACGGTCTGCTCGTTTGTCGGGTCGCTTTACAGCGGGCCCAAGCTGTTTGTGCCGAACCACCTCGCCCGCCTGCTTCCATGGGTCATCTCCATACTGAAGGCGCTTCCAGGTACGTCTCAAGTGCTGCACTTCTCTCTTCCACCTGACAAAGTTTTAACTTCTCTGCACAGAGCCCGAAGACGACGCCGAGATTTGCCAGAACGGCATCGGCTTGGTCGAAAAGGTCATGGCGCGCTACCCCGAGGTTCTCTTCCAGCTGCAGCCCTCGCAGATGCTGGAGTTTTTCTTCATGTTCTCGCTCAAGGTTCTCAACGGAAAGGAGCCACTCCCTAAAAGCGCCGCGGCTGAGTTCTGGGTAAATTTTCCCTCCGTCTCCTTTTTGTCCCTACCAAGCAAACGAAATCACAGAATCTCTACGCATAATGATATCCTATCTAACTTCTGCATGGTATAGTCCAGCTTCATTGCTCTCAAAAGCGACGATAACCCGTCGCTGCAGGCCACCATTTCCGGGGCCACGAACCACCTCGGCCCGCTCATCGCGCTGACGCTCGTCCAAAACATTGGCGGCAACGCCGCCCGCAGCGAAATCGACCGCCTCACCGAGCCCCTAAAGAAGCTTATCAGCAATCACCCCCGCGCCCAAGCCTGGCTTCAGCAGGCGCTGTTCCACGAGTCTTTCCCAAGCATCCAGGTCACGGCCGAGGATAAGATGCTGTTTCTTAAGAAGATTGTTGGGTGAGTTATTATCCCCCCTTCTTCGTAGATAGGCCATGAGTCTTTGAATGGCCGGGTACCTAGCTAACCACGTCGGCGGGCACTCTTTAGGCTCCGAGGCGCGAGATCGACAAACCAGGTCGTGCGCGAGTTCTGGCTTTCGTGCCGGGGCTCCAACTTTGCTTATGTTTCTTGAGAGAAGAGTGGAGAGAGAGAGAGAGAGCGGCCGGGTTTTTTTCTTGGGGACATGATTCAAATCCATGGCTTTTTTTCTGTCTTTCATTTTTCTTTTGTTGATACTCGAGTACGTTACAGGTTTGGTTTGGATCAATCAAGGTTGTTTGTAATCAAAAAAGGGGGAAAGCAAAATTACATGCACACCGTATGTGTGTGTGTGGCGGCATTTGGTAACCAGAAGGCAGAGCATTAGGACACGCACACACACACACACACACACACATACATACATACATACCCACCAGCATGGAGGAGAATTTCATGGCATGGCATGGCACGGTATGGTTGATAAATGAATGGCATAGCGTGGCATGGCAAACTTCATTACAATAATCCCACCAGAGTTGGGGTTGGATCTTGTCTTTTTGTTTCTTTCTTCTGTTTATTATAGATGCTGGAAGGAAGGAAGAGTAGGGCGAGGCGAGGCGAAGCAGGCGGAATAGTGCTCATCTTCTGTAGGAAAAAAGGAAACCCACCCATTGAGCAACGGGATAGTAATATCACTGCAATATCACCTATTAGTACATATGGATGAGTTCGGTTATGAAACTGAGTTCGGGGCTTTGTTTTCGCATTTGCTCCGATTTGATCTCTCTGGCTCAAAATGGAATACATTTGCTCAACCTAGGAAATGGTTTCCATGATGTAAACGAAACGTAGGGGCATGCTTTGGAAGACCGCTTTCAGAAGAAACAATCTTTGCATTTTGTTTCAAAATACACGGTACGCCGAGTAGATGGGAAATAAAAACAAGACTGGTCATCTGCTTATATAGGTAAGTACCTATAGAGATTAACAAGCACGGGCTGAAGGGAAGGCTAATTGTTTGGTGGCACAATATAGGTTCTCATTTCTCATTTAGCAAAGGGGGCGCGGTTGTCACGGCGAAGAGCGCATCTGGTCGCGGACAGAACTTGTGACATGTGGGTTATTCAATCCCTATTGTGCCCAAGAGCCAGCTTACATCGCACGCATCTAGGTCTGAGTACATCTAAAACCTTTGTCTACTTATACTCAATCCAAGAAACCCTATATCGCTGTTTTGGTGGTGATGAGATTAAGATGTGCATTATTGACAGGTATTAGCGGGATAACGATAAAAGGATAGGGGACAACAGCCTAATGCCCCCTTATCCTTCCATTCCTAGGAGAGGTGTATCTCATTTGGGTTCTTACCCTCCCCCTTTCCGCCTCCTATACTACGCCGATGCGTTGCCTAATTTAAAAGGCAAAGACCTGGTCCTGCAACTTGCTCACAGGCCGGGCCTTCTGGTAGCCCAGGCTCTCAGTCGTCTTCTTCAACCCGCTGATCATGGGAGGCGGGCCGCAAAGCAGAATCTTGACATCGTCGGCAGGCTTGGGAAGCCATTTCTAAAACGAGAGACGAGACAAGTCAGCAGTTGCGCCAGATGTAGCTTACATATGATTCTGAAGTTGGGGGGAAAACTGACGGTAATCATGTCAGCAGTGACGTAACCGACGCCGCCAGTCCAGTCGGCAGGGGGCTTGTCGAGGACGTAGTGGACGCGGAAACCCTTGTCCTCGGCAGCGAGAGCGTCGAGGTCCTCCTTGAGCAGGATATCCTGGGGGGTGACGTTGGCGAAGATGAGGTCGACTTGGGTGGTATCGCCAGCCTTGCGACCGCGAATGATGGCGCGCACGACCTGCAGCATGGGCGTGATGCCGGTACCACCGGCGATCATTCCGAAGTGGCGCACCATGTTGGGCGTGTACACAAAGGCTCCCTTGGGTCCCTTCACGCGGATCGTCTGCCCCACCGCCAGTCCAGCCATGTGCCGGCTGATGTTGCCCGTCGGGTACGACTTGATCAGGAGGTCAAAGTGGCCCGGCTGGTGGTCGCCGCTGATGGGCGTGTACGACCGCACAATATCCTTGCTCGAACCGTCAGGCTGATCGATCGCCGCCCCGATCGAAATGTGCTGTCCGATGGGCAGGCCGAGAATCGCGGTGGGAGAGGGCAGGGCGAAGCGGTAGCTATGTTGACGGGTTAGTATTTAGTTAGGGGTTCTATGCGCCGAATGGCTCGGGAGGAGGTTAGGCGGTCTTGTGGTAATGACATACATGGCAACATTGTGCGAGATGACGGTCTTTTCCTTGAGCTCAAACTCCTTGAAGGTTTCAGGGTTGAGGACCTTCTTGGGTACTGTAAGGAGGCAGCTCGGTCAGCTTTCTGCTCTCTCTTGTTGTCTCTTCCTCTGTCAGGGAGGCGCTGTGGAAATGAAAACATACCGATTCTCCAGAATTTGATGGCGCTCAAGAGAATGGCGAGCAACGCGGCATAGCCTGTCCATTCCTTCCTAACGATGATGGTCCCAAAGACTAGTAGGCCGGCGGGGATGTAGACGGCGTCGAAATACTTTCGCGAAAGTAGTGGTTCAGACATTTTCTATTTTAGCTTGTCGCTTGACTGGCACGAAACTATCACCAGTGAGTTCTGTGCTCTCGCCGAAATTAAACTTGTCGAAGGTTCCTTCGGGCGGCGGGCGCATGCACGGTCGTCACTAGCTTCGGGGGGTAGAGAAAAGAAAAGAACCGGAGCTGGGAGGACCGGGATGGGCCGATTTTGCTGCGGGCTGGCACGATTTGGATTCTGCCGCGGACCGCGACGGAGCTCGGTTTAGCCAAATTTGGAGAGCTTCAGGTTTTACTCGGGGCAGGGGCGGATTCTAGTGCGGCTTGAGGCGGTGTAACTCTAGCTACAGGCCTCTGTGGGTGGGCTTGCCTGGGTGTGCGGGGGGGTTTGGAGGGGGCTCCTGCCGCCCGAAAAGGCGAAAAAGCTCCGAACAACGGCACGGCAGTTGCACTCGAACCCTCCTTCCTTCCGTCTTTGGGACCCGAGAATACCCTCATCAACGTGCTTGCTTACACAGCACCCGATACCTACACAAGGGATCCTAGATGTCAACCTACTTGCAGAACTCAATTTTGCATGAGTGTAACCACAGGTTGGAGACCCAGCATTTTGACTTTTGACGCCACAGCCTGCCTCAGCCCTGTCAGACCGCCGACTTGCAGCAGCCGACCCCTTAGCCAAAGTTTATACACCCCCCAAGTGTCCAGACCGACCTTGGTGTCCGGGATAACCTCCCTCGACTAGTCTCTCAGCGGGAACACAGGTCCTGAAGTTATGGGGGATAATTCGGCTGTGGTCGAGGATTCTCCTTTTCCTTTGACCGATGTCGACAAATGGGTGCTCTCGCAAACCGACGACGAGTATGCGTACCACACCTGGGAAGATTTGCGCTCCATCATTCGTATGATGCCACATGTCCAGATTGCTTTACTTGGTTTGCAGCGTTGCCGCTAACATGATGCTAGAAAAAAATAACCTCTCTGTGCTCAAGCGGAAGCCGTCCGATCTTCGGCGCTACATGAAATGGACTGCCGAAATTAAAGCCGAGTACGGCAACATGACCAACTACCTCCTAGCCCACCGCCTGCCAAAGGCCTGGGGGTCGCCGCCGTTCTCGCCCGTGTCTGAGACCCAGTTCGCGGACCCGTCCGACTACCGCGTTCTCCTCAATGACTGGCCCTACGGGTTCGTTCCAGGCATTGTCCACATCGTCGTTTGGACCCGGACCGCAATCCCGACCGCTTCCGGAGCCGGCGACATGACTCCCGAAAGCAGGAAGCTGGTGGCTGACTTTGTAAAACGCTTCTTTGTAGATAGACTCGGCCCTGGAGGCGAGGAGCGTGTCATGTGGTTTAAGAACTGGGTGGCGCTGCAGAGTGTGCGCGCTCTCGAGCATGTTCACGTCTTGGTGAAGGATGTCGACGCGGCCGTGATTGAGGAATGGACGAAGGAGAGGGAGTGGCATAGACTGCAGTAAAGACGGCGGCAATAGACTGGACCACGCAGGGCAAAGCCGGCCCAGAGACAGCTAAAATACCGCGGGTAGTACGGGTAGTAGTGTGCAGTTGGCGAACCTATGCAGTTCGTCGCTGTCGGCGGTTGCTGGCCGGGGCAGCACCCTCGGCGCCGGCGCCGGCGCCCATCTGGGCCATCTGCTTGGCGGCGCCCAGCATTCCGTAGCCTTTGTAGGCGCCATAGGTCGGCACCACGGCCCAGACCAGCCATGCCCAGTTGCCCAGGAAAGCCACAAGAATCGTGGTGGCCCAGGTGACCCAGACGACGTCGAACATGTACTCAGTCAGACCAGGGGCAGCCAGGTCCTCGCCCGACGATTTTAGCGTTTTGGTGGCCGCATCATAGCTGGGGCGTCCCGTTCTTTCCAGTGCAAGTTGGCACAATAAGCTCGGGAGCGAGAAGATGAACCAGGCGAGCAGCGAGCGAGACCTGAAGAAGGAGTGCCAGAGCAGGAATGAGACATTGACGGCCAGCGCTCCGATGTGGAGGTTGTTGAGCGCTGCCGCATTGGACCTGGCTTGGTCCTTACGCGCTTTCTGAGCCATGTGGGCGAGCAGAAGAAAGAGCCCTAGATGAAATCAAGAATACTGTGGTTCAACTTGTCTGTCGAGTGCTGTGCCTGTGGTCTCGCAAGGTTGTCCGATGTACCGATTGGTGATGCGACGGGTTAGATACGGCAAGTTCGTAATGTAATGTACCGATTAAGCTACGGAGTGCAGTCGGTCAGTGGACTGTGCTGATTTGTCGTTGCACACCGAACGGCGGTGGGTGGGGTGGGGCGTTAGGGAGGCTGAACAATTGGGTTGCTCGGCAGGCGCAAGCGCAAGGGCGACTGGCAACGCGTAGCCAATCAATTCGCCGCTGCAGCACCCACCACAACACATCGCGAAGACAAACAGCGGGCAAGCGCGAAAGAGAAGACAGACGCCGCGCACTGACGCCTTCGCAGTTTCCCGTCGAGCCTACGCAAAAGGAGGCAACCTTTGGCCAGAAATCCGGGGCTGGAATTGCGTTTGACATCGGCTGCCGCTATCATTTGTCGCTGCTTCTTTTTTAATTCATTTTTACTTCCGCCTGGAAGCATGTACAATACGGGAATTTGACTTTCCAGCCCCTTTGGTCTCCATCGCATGCCTCGGAGGCTTGGGTTGTTTTGCTTCCCCTCTGTTTTTCTTGTCCTTCTCACCAAGTGTAGCTGCCTTTGTCAGCGTCCGACCCACGGCGACTCGGTTAGGGGGGAAAATCCTCTTGAATTTGCTTCACGACATTCGATAGGTGCTAGGCGCGTGCCCCATTCGCCGATAATTTTTTATCTTAATTCAGCAGCTGCATCGACCATCTCTTTGCGACGCCGCCCTCCAACATCACCCCTCACTTCGCCTACGTCCGTCTAGCCTCTACTGCCGGCTGCGAACGCGCCCGAGAGGCTATTCCCGCCGCTAGGGTGGAACTCTCAAGGATTCGATTCTGAATAAGGACCGCAGTTGAACTCTGTCGTGACGTCCGACGATCCCATGGATCGGCCCAGCCGGTAGCACTCGCGATACCACTTCGACTGCCCGGTCTGGGGTCTTGGCGACTACGCTAGCTTCCAAGATGGCCCCGAACAGTGCAACCGTCTCTGGGCTGCTGAGGCAGGCCATCTACTACCACCTCGACAACTTGGCCTGCGAGAATGCCCTTTTCTTCGCTGAACGCCTTCACGCCCACGACCCCCGCACTCCCGAGTCTGCCTTTCTCCTCGCTCTCTGTCACTTCCAGCTCGGTGATTCTCGGTCCGCATATGAGGCAAGCAAGCCGTCTGCATACCGGGGGTTGCACCACGGCTGCGCTTATGTCTTCGCCCAGGCGTGCTTGGACTTGGAGCGGTACAAAGAAGGGATAGCAGCACTGGAAAAGACGAGGGGACTGTGGGCTGCCAGGTGTAGCATCGGAAAGCATACATCTTCGGCCAGGACGCCCTACCCGGATTCGTCTGCGGCTAGCTGCCTGCTGGGAAAGCTCTACCGAGCCTATGACGACAAGAAGAAGGCCGTGACATGCTTCGAGGACGCGCTTAAAGCCAACCCTTTCATGTGGGATGCCTTTACTAGTCTCTGCGACATGGGGGTGAGCGTTAGAGTTCCCATAATATTCAAGGCCAGCGAATCATTTGCGCGCAACTTCGACCATGAGCCAAGCGCGATAACGCTCGAGCCGAATGGGTCCCTTGCTCCTAATCATCCCGAACGCCTCACGAAGAAAATAGGGATAGGTCTTCAGCCTGTCAGCAACGAGTCGGACCCATTCGAGCACCTCCGGCCTACGGCGTTTCAGGATGTCTCTAGCAAAAACTTGGTTTTCGCTGAGCCTGGTGAGAATGACCTGATGTCGAAAATTGTGGCAGCGCAGTCGAGATACCCTACGCACCAGGGCCAGAGGCCTGGGCCAGATGGGATGGAAACTCCCACCGGCCCCGCTGCTGTAGCGCCCGATGCTCAGATACCTCGTCTTGCTTACGCCCACGAGCCGCCGCAGGCTCCGGCCCGAAAAACGCGGACGGCTCAGCCGGTCGACTCCGGATTCCCGGAAGCGCCGCCTAAGATGAGCTATCGCTTGAATTCCAGGAAGAGAGAAAAGGGCCAAGAGCAGGCTGGGGATCTTTCCGACTCGACGACAAGGGGGCCAGCCTTCTCTCTAGCCGCCACAGGGGGGAAACGGACAGCATCAGGACACCCTGTGCACGGTCGACCGGTAAATGGCGACGAGCCGAGGAGGAGTGCGAGGCTCAACGTCTTCCCAAGGTCAGCGGCCTCGAAGACAAACTTGGCACCCCCAACGATTGGCATGCCGGCGACCCGTGAGCTCAAGAAGGCTAGGCCCCCGATATCGCGGATCATGCGTCCAGGTTCTAGCGGAGCCAGCGTTGGAAGGGTAGTCAGCGGCAACCGGAAGCCAATGGAGGAGAGCAACATGGATATCGACCAAGTCGATGCTCCGCGTGCGAGAGAGCCGCCTCCCGTGCACGCTCTACCGCCCAAGCCGGTAGAGTCCGAATCAGTCAAGGTTGACGAAGCGCTAAGGTGGATCCTAGAACTCTTAAAGAAGCTGGCATCCGGGTATCTCCTCTCGTCGCAATTCCAGTGCCAAGAGGCCCTGAACAGCTACACCTCACTTACCCGCAATCATCAGGATACGCCATGGGTGCTCGCCCAGATGGGAAGGGCGCACTATGAGCAGGCAAACTATGCGGAAGCCGAGAAGTTCTTCAGGCGCCTTCGTATCCTGGCTCCAACCCGTCACGAGGACATGGAAGTCTACTCCACTATTCTGTGGCATCTGAGGAAGGAAACCGATCTCTCGTTTTTGGCTCATGAGCTAATCGATGATGTATGGGACTCACCACAGGCCTGGTGTGCGCTAGGAAACGCGTGGTCTTTGGCATCAGACCACGAGCAGGCCTTGCGCTGCTTCAAGCGGGCAATCCAGCTGCATCCCAAGTTTGCATATGCATACACCCTGCAGGGACATGAGCATGTGGTCAACGAGGAGTACGACAAGGCTCTCATGTCATATCGCCACGCAATCTCGGCGGACAAGCGACATTATAACGCTTATTACGGCATTGGAAAGGTCTATGAGAAACTTGGGAATTTCGACAAAGCACTAAGTCACTACCACGCCGCGTTGTTAATACACCCGATGCACGCGGTCCTGATATGCTGCATGGGGACAGTGCTGCAACTCCAGAAGCAGATTGTTCAGGCGATCCCCTACTTCACGAAAGCCGTCGAGCTAGCCCCCCGCGCCCCCGACTTCCGGATGAGGAAAGCCCGGGCACTCCTGCACACTGGGCAGTTACAAGCCGCGCAGAACGAACTAATGATTATGAAGGACCTTGCTCCAGATAGCCCTTGGGTTCACTTCCTCTTGGGGAAGCTGGCCAAGGCACTTCGCGACAAGAAGTCGGCAGTTCGCCACTTCACAATCGCGCTCAGTCTAGACCCCAAGGTATGTCTGCGGCTCTGTGTATCGCATATCAACCCACCCTCCTTGGCAACCCTAGCCGGTGGCTAACTTTCCAAGGCGAGCACACAAATCAAGCAGGAGATAGAGAGTTTGGAAGACGACGATGGCTTGGATGACTCCATGATGCATTGATACTCCATGATTTATTATTGACGACGATGCTTGGAATGCGACACGGGCCTCTATACAGGAAAGATCACTTTCACGGTGTGTTTGATGAGATATGCGGCGGTTCGTAGTCTCGGTGAGTGGTGTTATTGACTGGTGGGAGGAGTCCTGAATATTTATCCCGGTTTGCTCGCCGATAGCGCGTTGTATGGGGCTTCTTGGGACCTCATGCTCCCAAGGGATAGGCGATTTGAGGTTCACTGCAGTGTCGACACATCATATTGCATGGCAAAGGCGTTTTTTCTTCCTCCTTTGGGAGAGGAATGGGGTATCGGTGCGTTCTTGTGTATTTGTCTTAAAAGAGGAGCTGGTGGTTTTTTGTATGCCTACCTCAACATCGCATTGGACGAGACTACTGTGTATAGTATGGGACTCCATTGAAAGAAGTTCAGCGTCCTCTCGCCGCCAAGAGGGATGGGGACTCAATGACACGGCCAGGTTGGCACAAAATCTTGTTTGCAACTGAAGAGCACCTGGTCAGCGTCAAATAGCTCCGTTAAGACAATGAACTAGTTATACGGCGGACTCTGGGCCCGAAGTGGTTCATTAATGTCAGGCGCGTGTGTGATATTTTGACCTTGCAGCCGATACTCAGTACACTTCAAATTATGTGGACGTTGTGTCGGTGATCTGGAACACACGATCCGAGTGTGGCTCTGGGGCGTTTGGCTACATATAGTGCCCCAAGAACCTCGCTCCTCCCAGAACCTCCTCCGAAAGTTGCTCTTGCCAGGACGGTGCAGTCGCGTTTGTCCTGGCCTCCAAATTAAAACAGGTGGGAGAGATCAGCCTTACCGATTTCTGATTGGACAGAAATTCGAGGTCGGCAAAAGCTCGGTCGGGAAGCTCGGGCCCCCCCCCCCCCCCCCCCAAAAAAAATGTGCCCGGCCGGTCCGCAGTAGAAAAAAACAAACAGACACGGGGGAAAGCGCGCTTTTGGCAGCGCATTAAAGACAGCTTTTCGACCCCCTAAAATCCGTGCAATAGGCAACACATTTTAAGAAACACCGAATTACCACAAACGCACGCACCACCTAGACCCCTCCCCCCAAAACTAGACTAGTGCCTTCCTCTTCCTAAATCAGCAACGCACGCGCCTCTCTGATCCGGCTGCCTGCACGCCTGCCCTTTCCCACCTATTTAAAACCAACCTGCCCCCCGCGATCCGCTACCTTTCCTAAAACACCTCGCTTTTTACCAATTGCGTGCATCTTGTCGCCTATCACCAGCATCAATTTCCCACATCGATTTATCTACCACGACAAGTCTTCCATCAAGCCAAACATTTCTACATTAACTCACTACCTCCACCAACATGACTGGACGTAAGTTTGCATTCTTTTCTTGATGTCGCCGCCGCCGCTGTTGGTGCGCACCTCTCGTCGCTCTATTGCCGGTCGCTTGTTTTGGGTTTCGCGAGGTCAGCGATTCACGCCGCGTCCGCTAGTGATTGGACGCGTCGCGTCGCTTTGCACCTCGCGTCTCCCAGACTGGACAGGCACTTGGGGGGTCGTGCATCGCCATCAACATTTTGTGTCCATTCAAGTTCATGTTGCTGACGTGTCTTCTCTCAATAGGCGGAAAGGGTGGCAAGGGTCTCGGAAAGGGCGGCGCCAAGCGTCATCGCAAGATTCTGCGTGACAATATCCAGGGAATCACCAAGCCGGCCATCCGTCGTCTGGCCCGCCGTGGCGGTGTCAAGCGTATTTCAGCCAGTACGTTAATAACCAACCGAACTCCTTGACATTAAATCATCTTTCAATCCACTAACATGTCTTCCCTTTTAGTGATCTACGAGGAGACCCGTGGAGTGCTCAAGTCCTTCCTTGAGGGCGTCATCCGTGACGCTGTCACCTACACTGAGCACGCCAAGCGCAAGACTGTCACGTCGCTCGACGTCGTCTACGCCCTCAAGCGCCAGGGCCGCACCCTCTACGGCTTCGGCGGTTAAGCGTGTCCCGTTCTCTTACGAGTGCGCGCAGAAGGACAATTCGCCGATCTACTCTATTTCGTGCTCTAGGAGAACTAGGGACTTGGATCGGTCAACGAACACAGCTCTTCAACTCTGCACAGCCATTCATACATTCCTTTGGTACCTTGCCTTTGGTATCAAGGTAGTGGGCGGTTGCCTCATGGAAACTTGGGCTAGCAGTCGACAATAGTCCAGCATTGGGGAGGAAGCGTTGTCTTGTTGAGGAGCGGAGATGTTCGCGAAAGGCATGATGGATTGGGGAAGCAGTAACATCACGTTTTGATTTTCTGGTTTTTTTATTGATGGGCAGAATGGCGTTCTGGGGTTATAACCATAGGGCGTTTTTCCACACAGTACAGCAACATTGGGAAGGGTAGTGCACCCGACATGATAAACAATATATTGATCTGAAAGAAATCATAGTGTCTTTGTGAACCATTCTTATGACTTGTGATATATGCACATCTTGGTCAGCTGGGCACTCCCCCACTGGTGCCTTTTTCATAATGTTTCAAGAAGTATCTCGTGCGTTGTTATGTTTATTGTTAACTTCTAGATCTGTATTTGCACGACAGTGCATAGCCTTGGCCTGCCGTTCATCGGCCCTGTCTCCTCATCCCAAATAATAAATGTCGCTATAGATACTTACGCCCAGCCGCCACCACGCGAGCCCGGAAGACGGGGTTGCGTATCTCCATGTTGGCCCGGTAGAAGGGGCTCATGGTGGCCTTGACGTAGTTCTCATACGCCTCGGTGAAGAAGTTCTTCACGGCCTCCTCCGTCTGCGGGCTCGTCGGGTTGGCCGCGATGGACGTTGAGCTGCGCGTCGACGCCGCAGCCCCCAGCCCCGACGCGCCGCCCCCTGGCGACGACGGCGGCTGGTGCAGCAGCAGCAGCTTCACGTTGCTCCCTGTGATGAAGCACGATATGTAATTGTTGAAAAACTTGTCGATGGCTTTGAGGTAGCTGTGTGGGATGGGGAGTTAGTGATGGTCTGGGCTAGGGTCTTGGTGCTTTGCTTTGCTTCTCAAGTGACAAGATCCATCCCACTCGTGCATGCTGCTGTGAATAGGGAGGATATTGGCAGCCCGCCGCAGACTCCTCAGACCGTGTCGAGTGGGCGAGGGGTCAGGGGGCCAGAGAATAGGAACAGGGACAAGATCAACAACGTACAGCTGCCCGTTTGTCCACTGCACCTCCTCCACAATGTCCAAGCTGCTGTGCAGCACAAACTGGTTTAGATGGCGCGCTTGGTCGTTAAAGTGGGCCTGGCCGTCGCCGCCCTGCTTGCTGGTGCCAAACTCATACTCGAACAGCGGATTGTCCTGCGTGCCGATGATGGCGAAGTAATAGCTCATGGTGTGGAGGCTTTCGTGCGGCGTGATATTGGGGGGAGGGGGGCTGTTTTGTGTGTCGTGTTGGTTGGTGTTGGTTGATGGTGGTGAATGTCGTGCCCGTTTGTTTACCGGTCAATCATCTGTAGTCTGGTCCGTCTGCTCTTGTTACTGGAATATCGCCGCCGGCTTGCATCACGCATGGTGTTGGTTGTTGATCAGGCGAGGCGGCGAGCTTGCCATCGCAAAGGCAGGTAGATAGATATGGGATGGTTGTTCAACGGCGTTATGAGCATGAGCACTAATTAGTGCCCCATCCCAACTTCCACTAAAAACATGAATAACGTAACACGCGCTAGCGCTGCAACCCCAGGCTGCGGGCAGCATGGGCCCGTCGGCCCCACTAACGAAGGCCGGCCGCGCTTGTCATTGGCTTTGCGGCTCTACTAAAGTTAGCAGCCGCGATTTTTCTAGCGTCGGAAGAGCTGGCTACGGGCGTGTTCATCTTTCGACGACGAACGAAACCTCCACCGGCCGACCCAAGCCGTTCGACTCCCCCCATAACACCGACAGGAACTATGTTTGGGGCCTTCAGGATGACGAATCCCCTCAGCGGGGGTCTTCTATGGTAATTTGGCACCCGGCGCGCAAATCCCGAAGCTGGCTAGCTAGCCATGACCGCGACCGTGACGACATTGGAGCAAAGAAATGGCTGGCTGACCTTTGGTTCTCATTATTCCAGGAAGATCCCCTGGCGGCTGTCCAAGTTCCAGAAGGCGCGGCAACGCAAGCGGTTAAAGGCCGTCGACAGCGTCATCGCCACGCTCGACACCGCCCTGGCGAAGAAGGGCGAGACGCTCAAGGCCCTGGAGCTGTGGAAGGCCGAGATGCCCACCGAGGCCGAGATGCTGCCGAAAGACAAGTACACCATTTTCGACCGGAAAGCGAAGAGATACCGCAAGGGCATCCACAGTATGTCTTTTTTTTTGGATTTGGATTTGCTCTCTGTTGGATACTCTACTGGTAGTTTGTTTACTGACGCGACACCCCTTTCTTCTCTACAGAGGTCCCCAAGTGGACCAGAGTTTCGCAGAGACTCAACCCGCCCGGCTACTAAATTGGCAGTTGGCGGCGGCGGATGGCTTTTCAATGTATATTCTTCCTGTATCATAACGAATGGGATAAATGGCGTTTCTTGGTGATGATCATGGCCACATGTGTGCTGCTACGCAATAGTTATTTCAGCATTCTTGAACCACCAAGCAGACACATTATCGACATACATACTCATAGCAGCGACCAAGAGTTCTCATGTACATGCACATTCAACACATTTCACCATGGTCTTGCAACGGAGAGTGCATTGCTGAACGGATCCTTCCAATGAAGAGCTAATGAAGAAACCATGACCTGAACTCACGTTTCCACTGATAGTATTTTTCGATTTCCCATAGTAAAACCCTACCTCAGATCAATCCAGTTTGCGCTCCTCATCGTCTGAATAGTCACGATAGCCTTCGTGCGCCGACCGGTAAGAATCATACTTCGGTTTTCTATCCGCATCTAGCTCTTCCTCGGTCTGCTGTCTCTCGTAGTGTCGATGATCACGATAACCTTCGTGCGCCGACCGGTAAGAATCACCCTCTGGTCCCCTCTTGACATGCGGCCCTTCTTCAGATTGCTGTCCCTCGTACTTATACAACTCCGAGGTTTCCCCATACCCCCGGCTTTCGCTACGCCGCTGAGCCTGATTATCTCCCAGGCTCTCGCCAGGTTGTCGAACACGTTCCAAACACTTGCGTAAAGTGGATTTGGAATATTCCTCCTGCCGTTGTCGGGTCGACTCCTATCTCAACCGCCCATATTCGGCCTCGCGATCTCCGCCGCGTTCCGCATCCTTGAGCCGCTCGGCTTGCTGTATCGCTCTGCCGATGCCGCCGCGGCCCTCGTCGTAGTCTTCGCGGTACTCGTCCCGCACCTGGCCTCCCGACTTTCCGCGTCCGTACTGCCGGCCCTCTTCGAAACCCGGGTCCAAGTCGGTGCGGATGATGCGCTCGTCCAGCTTGGTGCCGCCAATGTACTTCATGCAGTCCAGGGCGTCCTGGTGCGTGTAGTACTCGACGAAGCAGAACCCGCACGGCGTCTTGTTGAAGCGGTCAAGGCCCATCACCAGGCGCTTGATCTCGCCGCACTTGGAGAAGAGCTCGTATACCTGCTCTTCCGTCGTGTAGAATGACCTGTCAAGCAGCAAGGGGCACGCAAAACCACACGTGAGTCTTTGGACAGTTTTGCCTGCCCCCTAGCCCATAAAAGGCTGTCGGAGGGTGGTGTGGCACGGATTCGCATGACTTACAGGTTCCCGACATAGAGCGTTGTCGCATCCTTGAGCGGGTCCTCTGCTAGCGGCTCCGGCTGTGTATTAGTATCTTCGTCTCCATCACGGTGGTCCCTCTCGGGTCGCCGGCGTTGTTTCTAAACGGCAGTACGGAAGTCAAAGGTTAGCATTGTTCTGTCCGTCTTTATGTAGCTTCCTCCAGATATCCCATGGGATGCGGCGGGCGGGCGGTTGTGGGGGCGAAATCGCCGTCTTTGAAACAGACGAGGCAATCTTACTCGGTTGCTAAAGTAGGCGCTAGGCTTGTCGAGCCGATCCACGGTGCTTCGGTCCCCTCTCATGGTGTAGAAATGTGAGTGCGTCCAATAAGAAAGATGGGCGACAAAGGAAGCTCTGCAAGTTAGACGGGTTCGAGGTTGTTGCAATGTTCAGAGAAGTAGTCAGGGTGGGTCCGTCGCGGGCGCGAATGCGAATGCACGAAAAGGGATTCCTTACAGGTGTGCACTCAGCACTGCAACGGCTGCCAATTTGGGTGTGACGTGAGCCGTGGTGTGGATTTGAAGTCGCGTTGTGTCCAGTCTTGAGGCTGGAGGCGCTCCAGCGCGGCGGCTGAAACGAAATTTATTTAGCGCGACCTGGTAGCTCGCCCGCCCTAAACCCAAGTACAACGCCGCCTGGGAACTGCCAACTGCCCGGCGAGTTTGGCGAGGCTGAGCGCGCTAAACCGGGCGGCGTGCCCAACCACTCCAGGCTTCTTTCTCCCAGGCAACGGGAGCCAAAAAGTGCCATAAGAGCTCACTCACCCAAAGCATCCCTGAAAGAAGCTTTGGGATCTAATGCGACATTCTTTGCAGCAGCGCACCTCACACCCCCCAAACCCTTTTACAATTAATTATTTGCTGTGGCATCTTTATTCTCCCCCTTGCAAACCACAATAACATTCCCCCGTCGCAAACACTGTCTGGTAATATCGCGCCCAGATCTAGATGCCGAGGATCAAAAGCTTTGCGCCGAGCTGGCTCAATGAGCCAGCTCCGGCTCATAAGCTGTTCGAGCCGTCGATCGACGACATCAAGCTCCCTGCCTCGCTCGCATACTCCAGAAAGGCCAAGCTAGGCCCACGGCGGACCATTGCGAAGCGTGGGACCGAGATCTTTGTGGCCGTGGGCAAGCAGATTCGTTGGGGCGACCTCGCCCATCTCAAAGAATCCTGGGAATCGCAGCATTCACGTAGCGGCACTGCTGCTGCGGGTGCTGCAGGTGGCGCTGCTGGAGTGCGCATTAAGAGAGAGGACTCGGACGGCTCGTTTGAGATTTACGACGAGGAAGCCACTAGTGGGAATGGCCATCCAGGCGGGCTTGCTGAAGGCTATCGAGTACGTGCGCTCCGTTCCTGCCTCCCTACCTACCTTACCCCAACGTGCTTGACTGAACACGCGACTCGCTGCAGACTCTGAAAACGCCCGTCGCCGACGACATCCGCGAGCTGATCATCAGCCCGCAGGAGGACCTGCTCGCCGTGCTTACGTCGCATACCGTACACATCTGCATGCTGCCCGACTCTTCTCACCTGCACACCAAAGATTCCGCACCCTTCAAGCCAAAGTTCTGGACGCTGGGGCCGACGACGCACGTAACCTCGCGCTCAGCGGTTGCGTCGGCATTATGGCACCCCCTAGGCGTGAACGGCTCGTCGCTGGTGACGGTCACGCAGGACGCCGTGGTGCGAGTCTGGGAGCTGTCGACAACTGACCGCTGGTCGTTTGATTCGCCGTCGCTTGCCATTGACCTGAAGAGACTGGCCGACGGAACCTATCTGGACCAGGACTTTAGTGCGTCTACGTCGACCACCAACAAGGCCTTCTCGCCCGATTCGTTCGACATGGAAGTTGCCGCCGCGTGCTTTCCTGGCCGCGGGTCAGGCGGCTGGTCCTCCATGACTCTATGGATCGCCATGGTCGGCGGCGACATATACGCGCTCTGCCCCCTGCTGCCCCAGAGCTGGGCCCCGCCTCCCACCCTGATCCCGTCTCTCTCCGTCTCCATAGTTGCCAAAGTGGCAGCTACCGAAGACGACCCCCAAGTTCCCCAAGACACCAAGGTTCTGGCTCAGCAGCAGCTCGAGTGGATGTCGGACCTCGACAACCAGGATCCGAAGCTGGTCGAGGGTGCTTTCGGGGAGCCCTTGGTCGAGGTCTATACGCGCCCCTCCCGGCCAGGTCTGGTCCCGAGGCTGCAGGGCCCCTTCCAGTTCGACCTCAACCCAGACGACGAGGGAGACGAGGAGGTCGAGCTGAAGGACATATTTGTGATTGGAGAGAAGATCAACACGATCGATTTAATGTTTGGTGAAGAGGATGAGCTGGACGTCGGCGGCTACGACCAAGACGGCCTGTCGCTCTCGGTCGTCTGCCTCCTCTCCACGAGCGGGCAGGTCAAGATCTGTCTCGATATTGACGGAGTCCAGGCCCAGTGGCTCCCGCCTCGAAACAAGACGAGGTCCCGATTGTTTACGCCGGCGCCCAAGCAGCAGTCGCTGCTCACATTCCAGACGTTTGACACAGTCAAGCCTGCCGAAGTAAACCCCGACGGCTGGCCCATGTTCAGCGAAGACATCACGTCGCGCTATGCTTTCTACGTCACGCACGCCGCTGGCATTACCTATGTTTCCCTCGCGCCCTGGGTATTCCGGCTTGAGAGCGAGCTCCAGAGCGAATCCGAGGCGGGGGCTGAGTTCCGCATCGATCTGCTGGTGAAAGGACAGGGGTCGGAGAGGGAGCGCATCTACACGCAGCAACGTGGCCAACACGTGCTTGCCGCAGCCACGGCCATGAGGGATCCTGATCTCGGCTACTTTGTGCTGTCGGCAACCTACCACGACCCTGTTGCCCTGTTCTTTGATGTCCCCGAGCTCGACGCTGGCTCGGGCCCTCAAGAGCCTGCCCAGCTACTCCTCGAGCAACGGGAGCCGTCACAGCCACTGACCGTATGGGAGCCCCGGCCGCTTTTCCACCCGTCAGAGGCTCTTGACCACGGCAGCGGCCTCCCTACTTGGTTGGATCACCTCAAGACTGGCAAGAGGCGCCCGCTGGTGCAGCAAGAAGTCCGTCTCTCGCTGGCGACGCTCGAGGTCTTCACGGAAGGGCACCGCCTCGTTAGTTCAGAGGTGTTTGAGCTCAACAAGGCGGTGGCCGAGCTGTTCCGCAAGTGCCAGGCGCTACAGTTCGATCTGAGGGAACAGATTGGCAAGGCAAACGAGGTGAGACAGCGCATCGAGACCATCGCGGGATACGACTCGGCAGACGATGACGAGCTGGTCTCGGACAACATGCTCATCAAGGTGCGGCTGCGGGAAGCGCAGCGCAGGCAGGAAGAGCTCAGCAAGAGAATGGAGAAGCTCCGGAGGAAACTGGGGAGGGCCACGAGCCGCGAGCTCAGCGACAAGGAGAAGGCATGGATGGAGGAGGTGCGGTCGCTCGAGAGCAGCATCTTGGGAGCCGATGCGGAGGCGGACCAGCCGTCGTCGCCCTCGAGGACGAAGCAGCCGTGGAAACGATTCGAGGAGATTGAGTCTCTCCGAGACGCCTTGTTTACCCAGGTGGAACAGCTGCAGAAGAAAGGCAGCGGGGACGGGACCGGGGACGACACGGCTGGGCCCCCTGCCCTCAGTCTAAAGATCCCGGCGGATATTCGCAAGGCCAAGGTTGCGCAGGTGATGGGCCTGCTCGAGCGCGAGACAGCACTGGTGGACGCAGTAAAATCCCGCCTTGAGAGACTGACGCTCGGATAGGCCCCCATCCCCTCCCCTTGTGTTCAAGTACAGTACGGCCACGTCGGGGCCTAGATAGTGAATGGAAATACAAAAAGTCTTGTCCTGAAGGCGGAAGGATGCACATGCACCAACAGCCCACCGTGTGTGCTTGCTGTTGCCCGTCCCCCGGCAGGCTGGAAAGAAGGTAGTGAGGAGCTCGAAGGGATTTGCCGTCGCACTACAGCCCTGTTGCGACGGTGTGGTCCGCGTTCATTCTCGCCAGGACAGGACATCAATCCAGTGACCTGTTGCAGGAAGAAGATCAGAGATGCCGGGTTGGACCCCGATAAGGGCAGACGAACAGGAAAACTGGATGGGCGCATACTGCTGCTGCTTCTGCGCTGTTGCTTCTGCGCTGCTGCTTCTGCTGCTGCTCCTGACGGTAGCCCGATGTGAGTTAATTTGCTTGTCAACCCGACCACAACAACAGTACTACGGCCGGGCTCCCCCCTTTTCTTTTCTTTTCCGTGCCCTCATTTTCTGGCAGACCGAGTTAAAGCACGTCTCAGTCGACTGCTGTTGTCGCCGTATACACGTGGTGCAAACCAAGTACCTACCTACCTAGGTCTGTAGGTAGGTGGCAAATACAGTCCGTGTTCGGTTTCCTAGTCAGGCCTCGGCGATTTCTCGAATGAGAATTACAATTTTTTTTTTTCACTTTTGGTCTTTTCCATTCCCCCTCAGCTACCTACCAAAGTCAACCATTTAGGCCCAACCAACCAGTGGTCGGAGCCCCATTTGCAGCGACGGCTATTGCCGTCACATCACGTCTGTTAGTGGTCTACTGCTGCACGCCGAACCCTTTCACCCGCGCGTTTCTTTTCTTTTTTTTCTTTTCTCAGGGCGCACAAATAGTGCCTTGTTGCCTCGCCCCATTGCCCCAGGCCAGGCCAGGCTAGCCAGCCCCTCCGGTCCCAATCTAGGCTTCCGGACCTACGGCCTAAACTACACTATTTATGTACCTATTTGATGGACGTATAGCGCCACTGCCGGTCAAGATGCGTCTCACCGTCGTGCAACATGCTACCACGGTTTCCGTGGAATCTCATATGCCCGTGGGTTGAGTTGGATGTGCAACTTGCAAGAAGACGGACGCTGAGGTGGCCAGGACATGCTGCCTGCCTACCTTACGCTACGCTGCCGCTCCTCTCAAAGCAAGTCGCCAGACCATATCGGCGTGCGACGTCCGGAGCCGGTGGCATGGCAAACTGCATATACCAGTATTATAGCTACCTCGCCGTGGCTAACAAGTTGCATGTTGCCATGATTCTGCGGAACAGGTCCTGCGCGCTCTGGCTCTGGGCTCTCTTCTCTTGATCTTTTACAGTAGACACACACCCCCTTCACCCTCACCCGCGTGCTCTCCCTCACACTATGGGCACGCACCATACCACCACCTCGCTGGTGATGTGATGTGGTGCACCCACCCGCGGCCGCTGTTGTTTGTCTTTCCCAGTGGGGGAACTCCGCATTCGACAAAACGGGCACTGTCATCAGCATCAAAGCATCATCAACACACACACGCACCCGTCCGCGCGCGTGCCGGAACGGGCATCGTCGTGTGTTTGGCCGTGTCCTTCACCGTTTGGACCCTTTCCCCCCCATCGCTCCGCCGTCAGCTCGCCAAACGTAGCCACCTCTGGCGACGTGGGCAGCTCACCTTGCATGTTGCGTCCGCCTCACTTTTTTCCTACTTGCTATTGACGCGTCGGCCCCGTTTTTTCTCTTTGACCCCCCCCCCCCCCCCCCCTATCCGTGCCCCCAAAAAAAGGAAAAAAAAAAAAAGAAAACGGTGATCACTCTCTATTTCTGTCTGAGTCCTGTTGCCTGAATCACCGTCCGAAAAGTCGCGCCGGCAGCGTATAAGTAGGCTTCTCTTCCCCTCCCCCTGACTCAAAACACTCGCCGAGAGGAAAAGGGGAAAGCCGAAGCCTGCTCTTCTCGTATACGAGGGTCGGATGTCCAACAGCAAATGATAGTTTCCGTCTTCCGTCTCGACCTGGCTCCAAATATCTTGCTACTAGCTACCCACCGGTCCAAAATGGCTCCAGTGACCTCGGGCTCCCCCCTGGACCTGCGTTCTCAGACGATTGGTGAGTGGCGCTCTGTGGCTGACGTGCGGCCAGCAAGCTGCATAGATATTGCCCTCTCCCACTGGCTGGCCCCCTCACCGGCTGCCGATCTCCCTCTCATGTGACCCGTCTCGTGGCTGATGGTCCCTTTTTGTCTACACAGAGAACTGCAGGTTCTTCAGCCGTCCGGATGCCGTCCTCTCCTTGGTCATTGCCAAGGAGCCCCTCGGCAACTACAAGGCCGTGGTGTTGAGGGCCGAAGATGGCCAGCGGGAGGCGCTCCTGTCCGAGACGGGCGCAAACGCCTCCGAGGCAGTGCAGGCGCTCCATGTCAAGTCGGCCGAAGCCGTCCAGAACTACATTGCCACCAACGGGTTCGAGTTTGTCCCCATCCTTAAGAAGCGGGCTGCCAAGGCGCCGGCGGGCCACAATGCCGTGGACGACGACGGCGGTGAGGATGGCGAAGACGCCGACCATCGTGAAGGCGGCAGCGACAACGAGTCCGTCTTCTCGGGGTCGGCCACGTCCACCGTGACCATGTCCGAGGAGGCCGGCTCGGCGTGCGAGTCGCTGTCCGACGACGAGACCGTCTCGGTTAGCTCGGCTGCTCGGCGGCCATCGAAACGCAGCTCCAGGAGTGCTGCAAAGAAGAAGAAGTCCAAGTCGGCCAAGAATGACTCGGCCAAGTCCAAGGCGGCGCGGCGGTCACGCTCAGAGTCCCCGTCGCGGTTTAGGTCGAGGTCGCCGTCTCAGTCACCGTCCCAGTCGTCGTCTCAGTGCCCCTCGTGCTTCAATGACTCGGAGGAAGAATTAGACGACGACGTGGGTGCTGCCGCCGCCCCCGGCACCGGCCCTCTGCCGAGCCCGCCGCGCTTCAGATTCCCCCGCGGCCGCGGTCCGCCTCCACCGCCTCCCCCAGGCTGGCAGAACGCGTCGCCACCTCCGATGGGCTGGCAGGGCGGGCCGTTCGCCCCGCAACCTGCCTCGCACATTCCGGGGTTCAAGTACATACAGCCGCTCGCTGGGCAGACGGCGCCGCCCCAGCCCAGGGGCCCTCCGTCAGATCACTCTCCTGCTCAGGGAGGGCCCGTTCTTGCCAAGCCGGAGCGGCCCAAGTATAACAACAACAACAACAACAACAGCAACAATATCAACAACATCATCAACAACCCCAATAGCCCTCCCTATCTCAATATGCCTATGCCTATGCCCATGCCGGCGGCCACGCCCACCGAGATGCTCCACCCCGTGCGCCTGGTTATCAAGTGGCGCGGGCACGGCGAGCAGCGCGCGCTGGAGCTAGCGCGGCTGTCGGTCAGCGGCATCCAGGAGGCAGCCGTCAGCTACATCCGCCGGCAGCCGGGCGTGTTCCAGAACGTGCAGCCGCACGAGCTGCTGCCCAGCCGGCTGTGGGCCCTGCGCGCCACCGTCCGCTCCGCCACCATTGACGGCGAGCAGTACGACATCAGCGGCTACCAGGGCGACGCGCTGCACCATCTGGTCGACTGCTCGGCGTCGTCGTCGGGCTCGTCTACGCCTACTGGTGCTGCTGCCGCTGCTGCTGCCGCTGCCTCCTCGCAGCAGCAGCAGCAGCAGCAGCAGCAGCAGCAAAAGACGCCGCGCTTCGACGTCTACGTCGAAACTATGACCATGCCTCCCCGCACCGCTTTCAGCCACCCGGGCGGCCTGACGTCGCCTAACGGCTTCCCGTCCATGCCGCATCCGCAGCAGCATCAACACCAACACCAGCACCAACAGATGCCCCTCTCTGCCCCGGTCCCGGCGCCCCCGACGGGAGGACCGGGTATTCCGGACCCCATGCCGCTCTATCCCAAGGCTTCGCGTCAGTGAAGAGCGAGTGATTTCGACCAGACGGCTGCAGGTGCTGGGATGTTTGTTGGCGGGGGGGTGGGGGTTGGTTGTTGGTCTGAATAGCCTGGATTTGGAGGGAGGCACAAGAGTGCGTGGGGCGGGGAAAGGAGAGTGTGTTTCCTTCATCTTAGACTTTCCGTTTTTCTTTTACGAAATCAACTTGACAGTAGTGTTCCCTTTCTGTGTCACGTCTACTATTTCTTTGACCTCAATTAACCCCCAATTTCTCACCCACCCACACCACACACACACACACACAATACGCATGCTCGCAGCGTAAGCGGACCCGGATTTCTTTTGTTTTTCTTTTTTTGTTAAGAGAAAAAAAATGGCATCTTCAGAAAAAGAAAAAAGGAAAGGTCAAAAACGGAGCAGGATAAACAAACACACAAGGACAACAACAACACATACATTGGACACAAAGAGTGAGCAAGTAAATCAATAGCAATACACGACGTTTTCCCCCACCCTCACACTCTTCCCCATCCTTACACAAGCACGAGCACGAACATGAGCACAAAGCACGCACAGCATGCCAGATCGAACCATGCCATAGTCACACATACACACACGTGCGCGCACACATCTCAGCCCCGGTCTTTCTACCCGAGGGCGTTGCCCGACATCATCTACCTGCGCGTCTGCATACTAGCCCAGTTGCCGGGGAGTCTCTGGCCGTGATGTCTGTCTGTCCGTTGACGGATGGATGGATTAATGGAAGTGTGAACGTGATTTGTTTGTGGCTACCCAGCCTTTCAACAGGCTGGTCCCGACATGAGCTATCATGACCATTTCCACAGTAGACAGAGACCTGTGTTGTGTGTGTTGTTATGTTTGAGCAAGAGAGATCTTATCATCATCATTAAACCTCGAGGAGACGAAGAAGAAAGAGAACAGGAGGAAGAGGGATCAGGATGTGACGGCATGAAACGTCACACATTACACGACACGACACGCAAGACCATATAGGTAGTAGTAATGAGAGCCGGTTTACTTTTCGTTCTTGCAAAATATGAAGACTCGTTCGCTGGCCATACACTTCCGTCCATATCATTATTTCGTTTCTACTGTTGACACCACTGCACCGCGAGAATAATGTACCGTACCTATCGACTTGTCCGCCATCTCCATGCGCATCAGAATCAGACCCAGATTCCGGGCTCGAGGGAATTAGTTGCACTACATTATCCAACCATGCCCGTGTTTCCCTCCACGGCGCTACCAGCAGCTTCGAGAAGGACCCTGCCATTCAAGCACGGGCTGTGCTTCAGCCGTGTGGAATAATAACGCGCAAGAGGGATTTTACCTTGTTCAGGCCCCAGCACGCTGCAATCCCGGGCGTTTGTTTTGGTAGGTAATAGGGGGCGGGGGGGTTGAGCTATTTTCTTGCTTTTCCTTTTTTTGACAAAGACACACACACACACAAGCAAAATCCCTCCCTCCCCACGGCGGGGATGTGGTCGGATTACCTACATTACGCTAAGAAAGAGAAATGGTTTAGACCCTTGATAGCTCCGTAAAATGCAGCCAGCCCTGCTGTTCCCGATCTCCTCGGAGATCAAGATGTGTTCTTTTCCAGGCACGGATCAGGCCAGGCGAGGTCAGGTGAGGTCAGCCTTGGGAATCTGGTTCTACAGCAGAAACGGAAACAAGCAGAAACCACGCCGGCCTCGCCGCCGTTCCTTCAACAGGAAGAGGGAAAAATACCAAAAAAGACGGCAAAAACAGGGTTGACGGTATTTTGCCTCACCGCGAGGCAAACACTTTTTGTCTGCCAATGCCTCTCACATCCACCGCCGCTGGCCACAGATAATTCGTTTCGGAGCGTGAAACCGCAGCCAGCCAGCCAGCCAGCCCTGAATGCTTTACAGACTGAGTGGGAATAGACTACACTGGTAATGAGCAGCCTTGTGTATAGGGAACCTAACACTGGCATTGAAGTTGGAAACGTGCTATTTTTTGCCGCTGCCGATCTCCGGGTAGGGCCGCCGATCTGCGCCGATCCAAGGCGAGGGACGGGGCGGGGGTAAGGGGGCTACCGAAACGACGATCGTGATCTGCAATCCGAGGCGGCCTAATCCGTATCTACCGAGTAAAGTGGTAAAGTGCAAGTGCAGCCTCACTCAGATAACTAACTCAACTCGACTCAACGACAGCCCACAACTCATCGACAACCCTTAACTCACCAAGCCCAAATACACCGTCTCATAAACTAGTGGTGGACACTTCCATACCCTCGCAGAACAAGCCAGGGGCACCCTATTAAGAAAACGGTGTCCCTCAGGGCTCAAGGGTCTCTGCCTTGACCACCAGTCTAGCCGAGACGGAGGAACCTACCATCTAATTAGATAGACAAACTAATGAGGTCGAACGAAGAACCATCAAAAAGAAAAGAAAAAGAATTCAGCGCTCGTGACTGTGACCGACTGCCTAGACATGGCATCTCACTCCCAAACGACCTCAACCCTAAAAACAAGTTAGGAAGGAAAACTCTCCCCGGTGGCCGGGTTATCAACAAGACAGAGATTTCAGCTACCAGCCATAACGAAGAATTCAAGCACTAGCCCAAAATAACAACAACAGCAACAACAACTACAACAGCAGCAACAACTACAACAGCTACAACATGTGGCCCCACGTCTATTTAACTTGCCCAACGCCGCCGATATGCCGCCCATATACATGCCGCCAAACAAAAAGCCCCATATCCCTGTCTTCTTTTGTGGTGATTTATCATGCCCAGCGGCATACGTCGCCGCCAGACGTCACCCTCCCCGCCTGCCCCACCATCGAAAAGGATGGGATGGGCATATGGACCGTATATATATCATCCCCTATACAAGGTAGGTTCTTTCGCACCTAGGTAACTAATATATCCCCTGCGTCCTGTACTGAAAGGTATCATAACTGGAAGATGTTAGTCTTTTCTGCCCCACTCGCGCAAAACAACGGACACAGGGCATAAGAACTCACAGTCGTGTATAGTAGCTGCCTAGTGACTTTGCGATGAGGTCTGTCTCCACAAATTGCTCGGCTTCGTCGGCGCTCAGATGCAGCTGGAAGCGTTGCCGCAGTGCTGCAGTGACTTGGGCTACGCCGGCGCCATAGCACGGCATTTTGGACTCGCGCCCCATCATGCTAACCAGGTCAACGATATTGTCCGCGGACCGCCGAAGAGCTAGAAAAAAAGCAGCATCAGCCTCGCCCCTGATCAATGGCAGCACGTAAACCGCTTACCCTGGAAAGCCTGCTTGCAGAGCTTCTTGAAACCGTCGTAGTCTGGCGATCCGACGCCGCCCAGAACTTCCACATACTCGTATGTCAACTTGAACGGCGCGGCCTCAAAGCTGACCGAGCCTGGCGAGTTGGACAACATGAAGCCAAAGTCGATGTGGATAATGTGCCCCTCGCTGTCGATTAGGACGTTGCCGTTGTGCCTGTCCTTAAGCTGCAGCACATACGAGATGACGCTGTAGGCAGCCAGCGACCTCTTGAACGCGTCCACGCCAGCCTTGTAGGGCTCTCCGTCCGAGGGCCCAAAGGCCTTGACGAAGTGGTCCTTGAGCGTCGCAATCCTGCGTCTCGGGTTCTGCCCAGACTCTGTCAGGGCCAGTGTCAGACTCCGCTTGATGGAGTGCAGCGACACGCCATTGGCAATAGTCTCGATGAGGCCCGACGACTCGCCCGTCACCAGGATTCGCATGAGCTTGACCCACACGGGCACGTTTGCGTCGACCCAGATCTTGTGGCACACGTTGATCAGCTGGCAGGCGAACGCCTCCTGCCTCAGGTCTGCGCCCGTCTTCACGATGACGCTCACCAGATCCCAGTTCTTCATCCAGCCGTACGGCGACGTCTTGCGGATCCGCTCCTTCTTCGTCTCCCAGGCCTCTCCGAACACGGCCGCACTGGGATCGTCCCGGTCGCCTTTTCTCTGGAGCCCGCCCGTCATGATGTCGTTTTCCATCCTCGCGATGCCAGCATTTGGATTGAGGCCAGCCTCTATGGCACCCTCCTCTTCCAGTTCTGGCCCGTTGGCCTCGTTAGTAGACGCCGTCTTTGCCATGATCATGTCAAACGTCGGCCCTTGTCCGTCGTCAAAGCTCTTCTCTTCCAAAGTCTGCATGCTGGCGATAATCTTGGCCCGGATAGCTGCCACCTCCTGGCGAGGGCGCTTACCGCTCGTCGCGTCCAACTGGGCGAGCATCTGCGAGGCCGTCCGCATGTGCGTTGCTAGAGCCGAGAAATCCGGCTGGTCGACAGAGCTATTGCGTGGATTTGTCAGGGTCACCTTTCGAAAGGGAGGGCTTGAGGAGCCCGTGGAAGCTCCAGAACTCCGGGGTGTCGCCAAGTCGGAAATAGTCGACACTGTCGTGGGGGCGCTCGAAAGGCGCACGGCTTGGCCCACCTGCGTCGATTTTGTGCCAGAAGTCTCGTCGAAGGGTTTTACCATGGGAGAGCTGCCCAGATCCCCAGACACGGGTTCAAAGACGCTATCAACGGGAGGTTCGGCGGTCCTGACAATAGTTGGTATCCTTGGAGCCTCGGACAGGTCAAATATTCGTTTCCGCGAGGTTCCCTGCTCGGCTAGCAGAGTGGTGAGGAGACTCTGGTTGTCTTGGGATTCTGGGTCGAAGGTAAAGTCGTCTCGCAGAATTTCGACCATGAGAAGATATGGTACCTTCTCGGCGCTGTTGAGGACCGTGGCTTCTGCGGGGTTGAGCCGCACTATACGGTGGTGGCGACTCCGAGATGGAGACCCATCGACTAGGGTTGGGGGGCAGATGATTGGGATGTCTACCTCTGCCGGCAGGTCCTGGCCGATGAGTGCTAGCTCGGCGCGGAGAGCGCTCAGACGAGCCGCCTTGGGCACTACAACCAGTCGGTTGGATATGTCCTCCAGTGCTTGCAAGAGCGCAGTCTGGCTGCGGAAATAGTTCTGTCTCAAGAGGCGCGTCTTTTGCTTATAGCCCAACTCGGCCTGGCTCAACAGTGTTTTGACATTGTGCGAATGCCTCCTTGACAGGTTCTCTGTCGGGCGAATACCCGCCGAGACAGGCGTCACCGGTCTCGTAACAAGGTTCGGAGATCTGGGGTCCGGCAATGGCAGCGACGCCGAACTAAGGCGTGCCTCCAAGGCTAGGTTATCACGGTCACGATGGGTGGGCCGCTTTGGATCGTTGGCCACCCGAGGGGTGGAAACCGTAGACGTGGCCGTAGACGTTGCTCCTGAACCTGGTGTTCGAGGGGGTTTGGCTGGTGATTTCGGCGGGGCAGCACCAGGCTGGGCCTTGAGATCCGAGGCTGAGGCGCTCGCGACCCGGGTGTCTTTTACACGCCTTGGGCGCGCACTCCCACTCCCAGCATTGAACGTCTGTGACCGGCTAGGCAAGTTCTTAACTTGGGTCGGAGCTGGGTCGGGGGTGGGATCGACGGCAGGGCTCGGCTTCCTGGCCTGGGCAACGGCAAGAGGCCCGGCCCACTGGGGAAGGAAGGGGCAAGCGATGCTAGCGAGGACGAAGCTTCCCAGGACACTGACGGGCAAGACATTTTCGGTAATTTTGTCGTGGCGGGGGCTGTCGGAGAGGCCGAAGACGACGTGCTGAACCTTGTTGTAGACTCGGCGGCACGTCTTGAAAGCGTGCGCCTGAGGATTCGAGGAGAGGTCGTGCAAGTACGTTTGGAACAACCAGAAGGTCTGCTAGAAGCGTCAGCAGATGTTCCTCTCGCTCGGGCGACAAGCGCCAGACACAAGAGTCGGTGAAGGTCGGGATGGAGGAGAGGCGGACCAGAAGGGCAGCCGTGACCGACTCTTCGCACAGGTCGAGGAGGAACTCCTCCAGAGCCATGGACTCATTGTCGACGCTGATGACGAGGTGGCATAGCTGGGGGAGGAAGAACTCGATATCCTGGTAGGGGAACTGGCGGAGCTTGTTGCACAGGACGAAGTGGATTCCTATGTGGTCGGCATAACGACTGGGCGGGGAGTTGGAGTTAGTCGCTGTGGCTGGCCACTTCTGAAAGCCGAGAAGGTGGACGAGGGAGGACGGGAGTACGAGAGGACTCACGAGAGGTACGACACGGAGAGGAAAGGGCTCTGGTTGAAGACATCGCTCTCGAGGAACCGCCTCAATAAGTCCCAAGACATTGGTTACGGCGCCGGCGCGGGGGTCGGGGTCGGGGCGGCAGGACGGCTTGGCTCGGGGCAGGAGGGCGAGATGGACCGGTGGGGAGACAGCATGCTCATCGAACAACCGTGGCGTCCGTCAAGATTGTCGAGATTGCAGATTCTGGAAGCAGGATAGTTGCCGAGCAGAGCTGCAGCATGACTGGACTAGACCCGACGTTTAGCATCCAGCGGCGTCAACCAGCACCAGTTCCAGCACCCAGCACCACCTCAGGAGCTCAGTACCCAGCCCTACAGCCTGGCAACCCGCAAGTGGGATGGAACTTGTGACCTGCAACCTTGCAATCCCTTCGGCTCCTTGCCTGCACTCGCCTGGCGCTGCACGGCACTGCACGGCACTGTACTGCACTCGGACTGTATGTTACTGTACGTAGTGTTGTTGGCGTCGATCGTCGTGTCGCGTCGTGTCGTGTAGTGTGTAGTGCCGTAATAATTAAGTCGTTGGCGTTTTTTTTCTTCTTCTTGCGCCTAGAGGCACCTCGGTTCTTAGGCTCACTTGTTTCCAGTTCCACGGTTTCCCACGTTCGGTCGGCGGTCGGCTGGTAGGTCCGGGTCGAAGCTCTCTTTTTGCCAGCAAGAGGACAGACAGCCGAGCCAAAATGGAGGATGGTTTCCAAGCCGTGGCGTGGCTTCTCTCCCAGTTCCATCCATCCCAGGGGCTCGCTGGCTGGCGGGGGCTCATTACCAGTGGCTGCCCACTAATACAGCGCCCCACCTGCCGATGCTCCGGCTCGGCATTCTCCCTCCGCGAGTTTCTTCGATGGTCCCCACCGCCAGGCCAGGCTCCAATCCCAATCCCTTTCTTGCCCTCTCCTCTTCCCAGGTCACAGCCTGCAAATGCGTCTCCGTGTCCAAACGCACAGGGCATTCATTGATCAACGACTCGAGACAGGTCATTCCTAGGGGCGGCTTCTACGCCAGTACTGCTTACCTGGCTTATACACATTTTGTAGGACAATTAGGATCAACTCTGGACACCTAATATAGCTTGCCTCTCGTTTTGGCTTCAAGATGCCTGGAAGCTTGTATGTACCTTGATACCTGGGAACTGAAATTATGTCTTGGTGACGTCGGGACTACGGAGACTGCTGCAAGCTACACCAGTCCCAGTTGCATTGTTGGCCGTCGATTCGTCAATTCAATCCAATTCAATCGAATCAAGTCCAATCATGTTTCGCTGATGGCCAGTCACAATTGGCAGCATCCCGACTCGTAATTCGAGCGCTGATTCACTTGCGCGGCGGCGGTGGGGATTTTCACCCTTTCACCTTAGTCATGCCTCTACGGAAAGGATTAATTACACAGTAGGTAGACTTTTCAACCCCTTGAACTAAGCTAATAGGGCAAGTTGTTGACACTGGACGTGATTGAGTATCTACAGTCAACCCCGAGTTACCTGGTGTCTTTGTATTCAAACTGTCGAGTACTCGGTAGAACAATGTACGATACACACAATACTCGTGCATGCGCAGTCGCTTTCCTGGTCCGGTATTTCCCACCCGGTGGACGCATTTGGACTCGGACCTCGCCCGGAAGGCACGGAAATCCTCTTGACGGTTCCCTGGTTCGAAACCCGGGAGCGATACAATGAAGGTAAGTAGGTAGGGTGGGAAGTCAGGCAGGTAGGTATTTGTCAGCACATACGACGCATTGCATTCAATACGACACCTCTTCTCGTTTACACGTACTCGCTCGATATCCTGGCTCGGCCTTGGATGCTTCCATAAGTGGTGACTACCTAGTTATGGCTCGGTTTGCTGTAATCGGTAGAGTTGATCAGTATCAAAAAGATAGGGTCCGAGAATGCCTGCTTATAACTCGTTCTGCACCTCTAGTGACTCGAAAAATACGTCGTCGTCGTCGTCGTCATCATCATCGTTAACTTCATAACCGTCAGAGAAGGCTGGTGAGCGAGGAACTCCGTCACCATCTCTAGCATCTCTGGCCCCGCGCACTTTTTCTCCTCCACCGCCGCAAGGAGCTCGCTTCTCTCCTGACTCTACAGCTTCGTACCAAAGCGATCAAGCAGGACTGCCGCCACGTCGACATGCCGCCCGGACAGCAGCATCTGGCTCAGCAGCAGTGCAAACAGCCCGCCCTCTGGCGATCTCGGCCGGGCGCCGTATTCCGCCAGACAAGCCACCTGGGTCGCATCGCCCGCAGCGGCTACGTGTTCGAGCGGCATCAGCTGGGGCCCGTGCTGCGAGTTCGCGTCGGCGTCGCCCCTGAGCAGGTGCTCCATCTACCGCATACCGCTCTCGATGCGCATGGTGTACACGAGCGCGCTGACTTGCCAGGCGTTCTGGTCGTCGGGCCGCGCGCCGGCGGCAAGAAGCGTCTCGATGTAGGCCGAGTTCGTCAGAACCTGGTGTATGGCTTCTCTTTGAGACGAAGACGGGCTGTTTGCAGACGCCTTCGAGGCAGGTAGCTATCTCGCTTCCGAATGCGCCAGTTCCAACGACAATGGTTTTCTTGTCCTTGAACACAGCGGCGTTCCTGTAAGTCAGCGAATGCAACACGCTGTCGGGGTGCTGTTGGGTCCAAGCGGCCAAGCCGTCAATTTCGGGCATCGATGGCACCTCAAAGTGGCCATTTGCAACCACGGCGGCGTCGTAGACTTGGGTTGTACTCTAGGACGATGCGGGCGATGAGCTCAAGTCCTTGGTCGTGAGCTGTCACTTCGAACTCTCCGTTGGCGATAGATCAACCTCTTGGGTTTTGAAGGTGATGGTCGGCCGCTCATTTGTGTTGTGTTTGTTATTGGTCGGTCGCTTATTTGTCGGTCGCTCATTTCGTATTTGTAGCTTGATGTAGTGCTTTTGTTTGGTTAGGCTAATCAAAGTTGGCAAGGACCTTGAACCTTATATGTATGCTGAAGGGAGGGAGACAAGTTCTGAGTCAATTATCCAACAGATTTTAGCAGGGTACCTTATTTCCCAGAACACCCAAGGAAATACAGCCAATATTAAAGGTAAGGTGCCTTCTACCTTAGGTTACCGAGCGCAACGATAGATACAGTTACAGCTTCAATTCAATCGTCCCAACATCACCACACAGATGGCCGTCGTTGCCGCTTTCTCCTCTTCTTCGGTCTCACGCGCTGCAAACACACCGCTGTTAGTCCACGAACCAGAGAAACAAACACGACAAAGCAGAGTCACTGGCGACATACCTTGTACTTGACGCGCTCGCTGCCGTCGGGCATTTGCACGATCTCGTGCTGGATGTGGAAGCCAAAGGCCGGGAGCACCTTGGCCCAGACCAGCCAGTAGCCTATGCCGATGACGAGCAGACTGGTGCCCAACGTAGGCACAACAAAGAACTTGACCGCGCCCGACAGATTGTTGGGGATGAAGGGCGCCGCCAGCACATACAGCAGCGAAACAATCCACAACAGCACCAAGATGGGCGAGATGTGGACCTTTGTTCGCTGCTCTGCCCACCGCTCAGACGGCGTAAAGTTGAGATAGACGAGTCCGACGCCCAGGAACACTACAGCGAGACAGAGTCAGCAATGCAACCAAAACAAGCAAGCACACCACCAGAGACACGCCCAGAGCGAGGCAACCAACCTTTGATCCAATTGCCACTGTAGACAAACACGTTGGTGACAAAGGTGTAGACGTCGGGCGTCTGCGATCCTAGGATAAGCGCCGTCGTGAAGATCCAGTGCAGTAAGATAGCGCCAGAAGGGGCATGCATCGGCCAGTCGCTGGCCCAGAACCGCGAGAATGGCAGGATGCCTTCCTTGGCGAGCTCCTGCTTCACCCGCGGCATGGCAAAGGACTGGGCAAACACGTTGCCTAGCGCCGACAGAGAGATGAACACGGGCAAGGCCCGTGTCGCAAACGCATTGTCTCCCCATACGTTCTGAAAGAACTGGGCAGCGACGACAGTCCCCGACCCGGCCAACTGGCTCTTGGACATGGCGGCAAAATAGGCAATGTTTGCCAACAGATAGAGGACCGTTACCGTCGCCACGGCAATAGGCGCGGCCCTTCTCAACGTCTTGGGCGCATTTCGCACCTCTGTCAGGACGTAGTTGGCGTTTTCCCACCCGCTGTATGTGTACAGCACTTGGAGGAGAGCGAGAGCGGACCCGGCGGCTGTTCCTGCCGTGTCCTCCGTTGTGGGGCCATTAATACTCGGCCCGCGGAAGCCATTTGAGAAGTTTCCAGGGCTTGGTGCTACCATCCGCCCTCCCAGGGCCGCAAAGCCGGTGAACACCACGAGGGAAAGAAGGACAAGCTTGAAGGCCCCGAGGCCATTGCTAAGCCATATCCCCAATCGCGGAGTGAAGGCGTGGATGGAGCAGACACCTAAACGCCGTTAGCGTGGGCTCCGCGTATAGTCCTTTGACGGGAAATTCCCAACTCACCGGTGATAGCCGCAACTGCAATTCCTCGATTCAGCCAGGAGCCGTCTCTGGAGTCTCGTTCGGGGGTGACAGCCCTCAACAGATAGCTGCTGAAGCTAATAGAGCCACCACTGGAGATGGCGAAGAGGACGAATTGCACTGATTGGGTGTAAGCAACCTGCCACCGTGGGATAATTTGACAAGGGAACTAACCAGCAAAAATGCATGTCGCCAGATACCGTGGCCTTCGGAACACTCGCTCTAACTAAACACGGGAGTAAGTCACCAAAGCAGATACGGGTAACATCAAGCCGAGTGATGATTGCAGCTTACGTAGACTTTCTCGCCTCCGGACCGGGGCAGCGCAGTTCCATATTCAAGATATACGAAAAGTCTTTATGGCATGTCAGCGCACAGCACGGGCTTGGGATTGGTGGACCTGGGGTTCGCATTCATACCCGCTACAGAAAGGAGTCAGCGGAGCCGTTCAAAAGGCCAAAGAGAGAAATACGACCAAGGCTCACCAAAACGTCATGAAGCCTCCGATAACCCAAAATATCAGAGTCAGGCCGACGCTGTCTGTGTAGTGGATAATTGAGGACGGCGTCGAGTAAATTCCCGCACCGACAACACGGTTGATGATTAGGAAAGCTGTTGACCATGTTCCAAGCTTCCTGTCTTTGGTTACAGAGTCAATGCCAGATATCAAACACTGATACCATCGGGTAAGGATGTGGGCGACACACGCTTCCCAGGTCACGCGACAGAAAGAGTTCACGTTCACACAGGGAATTGTCGGTGGTCGGACCAAGACGAAAAAAAGGACCGAGAGAAACAACTAACCTTCGGGATAGACAAAGTCGTGGTAGTCCTCCAGAGAGGACTCTTCGCCGTTACCATTTGTCTGGAACCCGCTGCTGTATCCAGTTTGGTACGTGTTGTTCTCATCGCCGGGGATAGCGGCCTCGGGATCCTTGGCGGCCACGGGCTGCTCGAAGATCTCGGGCTCTTGCATTGCGGGAAACTCAATCGACTGTTTCGCGCAAGGGAACAACCCCCCCTTCCTCTTGGAAGAGCTTCGGTCAACGAAAGTTTTGCGCCGACGATACGCTGGAGAGAAGCATGACAAGGGGGAGAAGTGAGTGGAGGAAGCAGAGGTCGTGGTTTGCGCGTTTCCTGGGGTCGGGTAGGGGTAGGTGGTGTGCGGTTAGTGTCACTCAAACCATGCCCCCAAAGAGTCTGGTCAGTCCAGCGCAAGACTTGCTGGGGAGCTGAGCCTCATTCAAGCTAAACAATTATTGAACCAGGGTGTGTGGTGCCAAAGGCCAGGATTAAATACAATACTCGGCACGGAGTACGTGCAGTATAAAAGAGGGGCGGCTGAGGGACGAGGGAATCGAGATGGATGGCACATTCATATGATCTAAAGGAAATGCAGCTATGGAAGTTCATTGATTTAGCCCTTTTCCAAAGAGAGTGGAAGGCAGCACGACCTCACCTGACCAGAACACAGGCAGACAGAGAGAGAGGCGACAGCCTCAAAATCTCGTCCAGCACTCCCATATACATGCCCCCGAAATGTCTCGAGATCGAGCAATTGGGGTTAGGCGGACAAGGCAAGGCAATGGTAAGGCAAGCCCAAGCCGAGAGAGGGTGAGGCCGGGCACCGATTTCCACTCCAAATCCGCCCCTTCTTTTCACTGTACGCCTCATAGCTCAATCGAAGCGCCAGTCAGCAGCCCAAGTGGTTGACAGCGCGCGCGTGTGTGGGTGTTCGTTCCGCCGGGCATCCGGGGGTTCCTGCAATTCCGGTGTGCCATTCTGCTGCCCTGCAGGCAGGCCAGTGGTGCAGCCTTCCAGCCCCATTTGCCTATCGATTGTTGTCTCGGTGCCGTTATGCATGGCCGCCGGGAGAGGCTGAAAAAGGAGGGGATGAAGGATCCATTGGGGCCTGAAAGTGAGTGGAGGCGGGCAGACTCCACGGAGACAGGGAACCTAAAAAGGACAGGGCCAGTGTCCAGAGATGGGGAGAAAGGCGAGGGGGGCCCAGAACGTCGCAGCAGCAGAACCAGGACTCTCAACCAGGCACATGGCTCTGCTTGGACCGCTGGGGTAGTAAATTGCGGGTGGTGGTATCCACGCTGCTCGTGCCTTTGCCGTCGCGATAAGCGAAGGGGCACGATTCGGGTCATCAACTCCTCCGCGTCCTCCCGCTGTTGCTTTTTGTCGTTTCTCTCTAGACTGCTCTGCAAATCATTCTCTTCAACAAGGACGATGCTGCTGCCTTTGCCTCTCTCTTGCGCTTGCAAGAGCTGCACAGGGCTTGGGGTTTAACGTACTTTTGCGTCAGGACCTTTGATGGCTGCCACACCTCCTATCTGCGGACAGGTCGATACGAAATTGGGGCTTGCATGTGGCCGCCGGACGCCATGGTGGCACCACCTCTTTCGCTCGTTGTGGTGAGAGCTAGAATTTGGCGTTGTCATTCCTACTACATATGACTTTGTAGAGATTGTCATCTGTGCCTTTTTTGGCCTTGCTAGAAATACATTTCAGCACAGATCAAACCAGGACCACTCGAACGGGTAGGCTTTCGTTTTTTTTGGGAGGTTGTTATCAGTCAGTCGCGCGCGCTCGCGCGCGCCAATGTTTGCAATTTACATTGATCAAATTGCTGGGGCCCTACTAGTTGCACACTGACGTCTCGTGCTTAATCACCAGGTCGCGTCGTAGTGTCGCATTGCGGAGTTCTCCTTACGTAGGTAGCTTTTCTTTTCCAACCGTCCATCGACCAGTTCATACCGTTACAGTTACAGGGCATACGCACAGCAGAGGCGATAAATAAACCGCCGACAGACCCAGCCTAGTGCTGCTCGCCTCTACGAGTGCGTGAATGGGAAATGTCACATGCTAGACTCGTCCGGGTCAAGCCTGACTTGACAGTCTCAGGCAAGCAGCAGCAGCCTCCCATGCAGGTGGCACGAAAGGTACAGTTATGTAAGGCAGTCAAGCGGCGGCTGGTAAGGCAGCCGTGGACTGGACAGGGACAGTTTTTTCCAAAAATGACCGCGGGTGACTGACCTTGAAACACCAGAAAAACACCACAGCCTCGTTCTCCGCTTTCCACGCCGCCCCCTTCTATGTATGTGCCGTGTCGTTAGAGAGAAACGGCGTTCAACCCGCGCATGCTTATCCCCAAAACGGAAAATCCGTTCAAAGGTTCTAGGTATTAGGGATAAAAAAGACACCGTATGAAGAAGAAAGAATATGGCCTGTGTACATAGTTGCCAGATCTGGGTCCTCCGTCCCGTTTTTTTTTATGGCTATCGGAGTTGCACAGCAGACGGTGACTATCATAGATTGTAGAACCGAGCCTCGTCTCACTAGCGAGCACCCCCCCCTTCACTGGGTTTATTACTCACATGCAAGGTCTGTACATGTATTGTACGCACGATGTATGTAGCCAAGCGAGCCAAGGCAGACAGACTGCCAAGTGGAAAACAGCTCTCTCTTACTGTGTACATACTTAGATACATGCAACAGCAAAACAACATGTTGATGACAAGGCAGATCCGGGCTGAGCGATTGGGTGCAGTACAACATAGGCACACACGCGTGATTCGGTGCCTGGCGCATTCTCGGAAGAAGAAAAAGAAGAAGAAAAGAAGTAGGAAAAGAAATAGAAAAAAAGACAAACAAGCCACCGCCATCATCGCATCAAGGCACACACACACACACACACAGACATACTAGTACGTAACCAGCATACATTGAAAGCTGGTGGGCGGCTGCACGCCACACCACGACCCGATCTTGCTTCGTAGCTGGAATGGAATTCCGAATAGGTATGTTCTAGATTTTCGCGACGATAGTACAAGTAGGTAAAATAGACAATTAGTCATGTTTGGATATTTGGGATTGCACGTGTCTGTTGTGTATGTGCGTCACCGCTTGCAGCGAAAGAAAGAAAGAAAAAAAGAAATAAAAATAAAAACAAGACAAGACAAAACCACACAAGGGGCTTCTAGCACTTCTCTCTCCCTCCCACTCTGGCTCAGAAATCACACATGGCATACAAGTAAGTCAACCTACTATGGACAATCTACAAGTATGACTGTGTAAATACCTAGCTCCAATAAATAGACGATCGCCTGCTTTCCCACATGTCCCCCATCGCCACCCAGAGCACCGCTAGATCCTTTACCTGCCTCGTATGTAACTACCTATCATATCCTACCCTATACACACATAAAGAGTAACCAAGCAAGAGAAAGGAATAAAAGAAATAGGTATCCTAAAGTGTCATCATGCCCCGATAATATTCCCCCCTTGTTTCCAACGTTTGCCCAGTCAGTGTAATACTCCCTTTTCCCCTTCTTTGCCCGCCTAAAGCGCCTTGTAGCAAGCATCATTAGAAAACGCCTTGTTCCTCCCTCCCGAACACACCCGCCTACGCGCCCACAAATCCACACAAACAGAAGACAAGAGAAGCAAAATAAATAGTTTGTTCACCAGATCTTGCCCGCCACGCGGCCCGAGAACACGGCCTGCTCCATGTCCTCCTGTATCTGGTGCAGCTTTATCCTCTGAGCGCGGCGCTCCTTCATGACCTCGTCCCATTTCCGGATGAAATTGTCTTGGCCTAATCCAACAAAAGTCTTTGGTCAGTATTACGATCCAGGCAAGAAAACGGGACGAAAGACTGGAGAACCGATGGAAAGATAATCCAGGAGAGAACGGGGAGGAGAGGAACATACTCGGAGAGTTCTCAAAATCAATCTCAAACGTTTTGTACAAATCATAGCTTGACTCAATATCCGTGTTCGTCGCTTGGCCGTGAATATCCAGACCCGCGGGTTCGGAGCCTTGCAGGGGCTCCATGTGAGCTGCAGTTTGGAGAAACAAAAAAAATCACAGTAATTAGCACAATATACGATTTCCCGGGTAATTATGTGGGTTGATACCAGCTGAATGGGCGGCAGGGATACAGAGCATGCAGACGGGGGTGACAAGCTTACCCTTAATACCCGGCCATCTAGACCCCTTCTTTGAAAGCGCCCCGGCCTTTCTTGGCTTCAACTTGACGCTAGTCTGGCCAATGGGTTTGACTTCGATGTCGTCGGTGACTGAAAGCACAGAAAGGTCAGCTAAGCACAGCCGCCGACGACTTGCATAGGCAAAAGGTGCATCCTTGGAATAATGGAGAGTGCACATACTAAAAAGAGTAATGTACTGGTTCAGCCGGCCGAGATAGATGACCAGTCTCGACGAGCTGGCGACGAGCCGCTCACGCAAGGGCCCCGAGAGGGCAGTGCCGGCAGTGACGAACGACGCTACATCTGACTGGGCAGACTTGCGACCCTCGGCTTCGTGCCATATCTGCAGGCGCACGCTGGAGTAAGTGTCCCTGGACCTGGTATTGGCGCGGCAGAGCGTCACTATCTTGACGCTGGCAATATCAAGCACAACCTTTTCCGCAGTGAGATGCGCTTGGAAGTCGCACAGCTCTGTCAGAGAAGCAAGAGGCGGTTAGCAAGCCGAACCAAGAAGAAAAGAAAAAGGAAAAAGGGAGAAAAGAACGTTTCTTTGATGGGTGGCAAGGAGTCAATTTACCTTTCAGACGGTTGAATTGATATATGCCACTGGGCCGTCCGTTCACGCCCCCCTGTGGGAGCTGCATATACCCGTTGTTGTCCTTCTTATTCTCGTTGTCTCGGATGTAAACGACATTCGAGAAGCGTGGGTCGTAGGCGTACACGGGGACGAGTTGCGCGTTTGCTGCTTTCACTGGAGCAGTACGCAGGTCAGCACTTACAAACGGTTCAATCAGACAGCTCTTTACTAAACTCGGAGGGATAAGAACATGGCTACACGTACTCCAAAATGTCTCGGACTCGTGCCCGACTTTACAGTGAAACCGGAGGTCGTTGGACAGAGTGTTGCGAAACACCTTGAGCTGTCCCTCTCGGAAGACAGGGGAAGTGAGCGTCAGAGCGCTCTTGACCGGACTGGAAGAGAGGCGAGTTAATATCATGGGCGATCGGGAGCCGACAAGAAACATTACGGCACTACACAGGGCTACATGCTCGTCGCAGGCGATGGAATTGCTACTTACCCATCATAAAGGACATCCTCTCCAGGCAATACGTTGTCTCTGCCAGTGCTCCCAGTGTCGCTGGAGACAGAGGCCGGATGGAGGTGAGGCGAGGGAACAAAAACCGGCGTCTGTGTGTCGATGCCGTTCCCGACCGAGTTGACATAGGGACTGGTTTGGAAGCCGGCCGCGGTAGGAGGAGACGGCACGCCCCCAGTCGGGGAGGGCGCCGGAAAGTTGTAGCCACGACCGCCCTGATGATTTACTTGAGCATCCATATATGGGTTGTCAGGAGAGACTGGCGAATACGGCGCGTAAGGCGAGTAAGGCGCATACGGCGTGTACTGCTGCGAGTACGCATGTGGCGGGTATGCCGGTGGAGACGTTGAGGAAGATAGCGACCTCTCCACGGGGTGCGCTGGACTCGAATATTCCATCAGGGACGGGAGGCCCGAGGGCGTCACGGCTAATTGGCGAGATTGCTGGACTTGGAAGTTCGCCTGGGCTGTGTAGTTGACGTAGTCAAAATTGGTGAACTGGCTGGACCAGCCAGGGACATGCGGTGCATTCATCTCAGCCTCGTAGTATGGTCTGGAAGGGGAGGCTTCGTGCTGCTGCTGGACGAGAGGCGGCCTAGGCGATACGGGACTGGCTAGGCCGGCGGTTGTGTAGGGTTCGACCAGAGCTTCGGCCGCCTGGACACCACCGTCTGACTCGCCAAACAGGGGTGTTGCACTGAAGCGGTTGACGCTTAGCTGCGTCATCATCGAGGTCATCTCCTGGGTAGGATTCGGGGGCTCAGAGCCTGGGCGCGAGAAGGCGGACGTAGCGCCGTTTATATATGCCGTCCGGCCACCGGGAGACGGAGGATATGTGTTAGCGTTGGTTATAGGTCGTCTCTTTATCGAGGCGCTATGGAGATCGCGAGGGTCGCGCGGAGGGCTAGCGGCCGGAGGAGAGTTTACGGCCGTGGCCCGTGGCGGCGGCGGAGGCCGAGATGCGGAGGTGGACCGCCTGGGAGCGGGAGCAAGAGCAACGGCTGGCGTCGGTGCCGGCGGTGGAGCTGGGGCAGTAGATGGAACTGGGGCGGGTGCGGGCGCGGGTGCGGGACGGGCAGGAGGGCCACTGGCTTGGCCGGGACCATCCGTGTCCGGGATGCTCTGAATGACATAGCGGCGGCCGTTGGAGGCGACAAAGACACTCCGGTCGGCGAGCTGGGCAGTGGCCTCGACGGTAGCAAGGTCAAAGCTGTCTGTGAAGTTTGTGAAGAGGGCCGAGAATGGTACGGTAGCCTCGTCGACGGAGGGGAGGCTGGGGCCTGACGGGCGACGGCTTTGGGCTGGCATTGTTTACGGATGCCGCGCAAGCCCATCAAGTCTCCGTTTTCCTCTCAACCAGCCATGGCGAGCTTGGACAAGCCACGAGACAGCATCGATCGCCGTGGTGCATGGGCGCTCTTGGGGTGAGGACGAGGGCAAGGTAACGTGTGTGACCTGTGGTCGCGCTATCACCAAGATAAGAACCAAAGAGCCCCGACCAGGGCCAGGGGAAGCGCGGGGTGGTGCAAAGGGCCGGGTGCGCGGTGCGAGCCAAGAGATAATTCCACTAATACCTATATAGGCTTCCTTCCAACAGGACCCCCAGCCTACACGTAGACAAATCGAGGGAACCACGCTACGGGACGTCGGGGCCATCCCTGCACCACCCCTTCCATCAGTTCCCGACCTTACTGAGGTATCCATCCGTATTGGATACCCGACCCTATTGCCTACCTGTAAGGTTTATTACCTTACACTTCCATGATAAGAGGCTCTGCTCTCGTTTTCCCATCTAACGTCTGGACGGTGGGCTAAGCTGCGGGTTTCCATCGTCCTCCACACCAAATGCGCTGCAGTTGCAAGCTTAGGTAGTGCTTTACGGCTACACTTGCCTTCGGTATGTGCTGTATCCGTACTACATACGGTATGTATGTACTGTACGGCTAGTTCCTCGAGGCCAACGCACCTACCTCACCGGCAATCCACCTCGAATTCCCGGTCCACCCCCAATGGAAGATCGTCGGACGGCTTTGAGGGACGCGCCGCACTTGGCTGGACCGAACTGGAGAAGCTAAAGTAAGGTATGCAAGCCAGTCCCTTTGGTACCTTCCAATTGGTAGTGGTGTGGCCAAGGTTGTGTCCGCCCGCCGATCTGGCGCTGGGCGCGGCAGCAGCAGTGCCCCCTTTTATTTCACGCGTGCCAATAACTCGTGCCGAATGTGTACATGCGATTTAAGGCTGAGCTGAGCTACCGTCCACGCTCTCCAATCTCCATCCACACGAGTGGCTACTGTACCTTCCAGTACCTACTCGGGAGGCACGCACACGGCGAGAAAATCTCTCCGCTAGAGACTTTCCTACCTCCACCGCACGAGTACTCTCCTTCATCCCCTCCCTGCCCTGCACATTGAACCGCCGGCTCGGAGGAGAGGGCGATTGTGCCACAGCTCTGCAACAGGAAGCCTTGTCAAATCCCCACAAGCTCAGCTAGGCCGGCAAGATACACAAGTACTGTATTTGAACATGCAACAAAACGGGTCGCTGAGCCTTATCCTTATCGGAGTTAGGAATTTCGCGGGGAAGTCTGAAAGTTCTTTGGCTCTTGTCATACCCCTTGATAGCTCGATGACATCACACCAACAATTTCCAAACATCCAGTGCCTGGAAATTCCCCGAGCCAGATATTCGAATATACACGTATCCTGGCCTCGTTCGCTCCGCAGAATGTATTTTGCGCGTTCAAAGGAATATTAAACCTGACTAGTTTAGGTTCCTGGATGAGGTTGGCATCGCCTTCGTTTTGAATCTCAACGCATGGTTGGTATAGATGCCTGGCGCAAAACCCCCCAAAAGATCACAGCATGTCGATAGAAAAAACGAAGTACAGGTCGCCTACTGCTCAAATGCGTCATATTGTTTGTGTATGGCCAGAGCCAAGTCTCTGGTCCAGGCCTTGGGGGTAATCGCCGATGATGGGAAACCCAACCAAACGCCGGTTCGTCGGCTTTTCAGATTCCCAGACCGAAACGCCCATTCCCTTCATACTCTCTCTTCCCGCCATTAGTTTCGTTGAGTCGTTTGCTCTGAAGTCTGGAGCATCTCGTTTTCTCGTTCCGGGCGGTTTCTCAACGCATCATGGCTTTCTGGTTGGTTCTAGTTCGTCCTTGCGTGACTCCTTCCGCCTATGCCTTCTTCTTGCGAGCGGCTCTTGTCTTCTTCTCCTTCTTTTCCGGCTTCTCCTTCTCGGGAATCGACTCTTCCTCGCTCTCGCTCTCAGCCTTGGTGCGACCACCACTCTTGGATGCCTTGTCCTCGTTTTCAACTTTGCCCACAATCTCGCGCAGAAAATCCCAGCGGTCGTCAGACTCGACTACTTGCTTGAGCATTTGGGCCGAGACGCGCTTTGAGTTCTTCTCGCGCGCCACGTCGGCGCTTTTGGTGACCAGTGCCACCATGAATAGCTCCAGCGCCTTGCCCACGGCGATGGGCGTCTGCTGTGCAACCTTGCCGACCTCCTCGTCTGCCTGCATAATACGCTTGATACGCGCCGTCGGGAACTTGGTCTTGACGGGAGACGGCTCAATCGCCGGCTGCACAGCTTGAGCTGCGGCTCTTCTGGGCGGCATTGTAGAAGTAGTACCTGAGGGCGACACGGGCTCCGACCGAGATGGAGGCGGCTGTCCTCGGTGTGTCTGTGGTATGGGGGGGTTGTACTGCTCTTGGGCCCAAGCGTACTGGGCCTGCAAGAGATCCGGGGCCTGGTTTTGCCCTTGATAGAACCGCTGGTTGTCAAAGTTGGAGTCCAAGTACGACTGCAGCTGTACTTGCTGCTGCTGCTGGAGTGGCGGAGCCTGTACCGGATAGCTAGGCGTAACCGGTGCTGGGTGCGACGGATAGTACGCGTGCGTTTGTGGAGAAAAGTGGACGCTCGAGTGTGGTAGTCCTAAGGACTGTGACTGTGGCGAGGTGGCGAGCTGGTGCGGTTGTTGTGCATGAGAATAAAGAGCGTTGACGGGCGGGCCTGGGAAAAAAACGGTTGATGGAGGTTGCAGATGCAGGTGTGGTGGAGAAAGCTGCAACTGGGATGATGGCTGTGATAGCAGTCCCTGGTGCGCCAGCGGCTGTGGTTGACGAGGTTCGCTTTGTGGTTGACAGGCGGGGTCGCGAGAGTAAATCGCTGAAAGGTCCGGGGATTTGGGAGCATAGGTGCCGTCACCCGACATGACTTTTCAACCCCTGAAGAGGTATCTTACAAACCAAAGCAGGGTGTTTTTCGTTTTAACGCCAATGGAAACAAGATAAGATAAAAACACTCTGAGTCCTGAGCTTAAGCCCCACTTCAGCAGAAAGGAAAACCCGGCAACGGATCCTGGTCCTTGATTGGGTAGTGGAAGTTGGTTCCTTTATTTCAAGGTTCCGTTCTGCCCTTTGCCGCGTTTCGTTGGTTCGTTTCGAGCTTTTTTGTGAACACCGCCTTTGTCTACTTGCGGGGCATAAAGTCGTTTCCAGTAACAGGAGCTTGGTCCAGTTTGCCGTAGGATGAAAGGGCCCGGGGAGCTTTGGCGTATTCTAGTGGGGGGGTTGGAACCTACAAGTAGTTAATCTCACCTGCCCCTGGTCAGAATTCAGTCAGAGTGTGGCTGGGGGAAGGTAATGGATGGAGGGGTTTGAGCTTGGTGGGGCTAATAATGCAGCATGACAGTAGGCGGGCACCAAATCCCTCGTGCTTCTGGTCTGGCCCTTCCGTCTCCGTCTCCACTCCACAGTGACAGGCGCCTGCCCGATATGTGAAATGGCGGTCAGAAGCCTTGTCTCTGGGGCTCAAAGTGGCCGTAAATGAGGTATACAGGAGTCGAAAATGGGGCTCCAGAAGTGCACCGAATAAAATTGCGGGTCTTATCTCTCATCTTGATCAAAACGGATTTCGTATCGAGTTTAGCTGATAGAATGCCGTTTTTAGAAACGCCCATTACTCCGTCTTGCATAGACACGTAAAATAGATCAGCAGCACCCTAGGCTGTACGAAGGCGGGCAGGTAGGCGGTGTAGACCGGCAGCATAATACTGCCACAAACGCGGGACATATCCTCTCCCTTCCAACTTCCACTCCTCAACTATTTCCACTTATTCAACTTACTCCATATGGACCAAGCAGCTCATACTACCGGTCCTAGCAGACTAACAATATACTCGACGTGGACCAAGCAGCTACCAGCGTTAGGAAACTAACTTGGGTGGGACCTCGGTTAGTGTTGAAGGCAATTCCTTCCCGACAAAGAGAAGACTCTACCTTACCCCCCACCTCGTCCAGTATCGCCTACAAAAAGGTCGGCATCCGCTATTTTTCTCCCAACAACATACTCCTCAATTGACTGGTTGCCTCCCCTGATCACAATAATACAACCTATCTCAAATCGATTCACAATCACGACGGTACATCAACCATAGTGCTGAACCTCAGGTCATGTAAGTACGTCGTTCCGTCGACGACGTCCTAGGCTAACCCTTCTTTTGACCGTCAGGTGGCAGAGCTAAGCAGGCTTACAATACCATTATCGTTGCAGCAACCCACCAGACGGTCTCCACCGGCTCCCAGTTTGACGATGGGTGGTTCCTCTCCGACTTTTACGCTTCCAACTACCTCCTGAAAGGTTCAGTTGCCGACCAAGTATGGCTTACCGCTGCCGAGCCTAGCAAACTGTTGAAAATGCATGGCCCCTATCACCACGGTACCCCTTCTGAGTATTCCAAGGTCGTCCTCAGCCCTGAGCTTCTCGAATCTGAGATCACTCCTGTGACGGTCGTTCCGCCCGCCCAGATGATTGATAGATTTCTCGACGAGGTCTCCAAAGCCGCTGCTCGCGCCAAGGGCGAGCACCCCATGCTTCTGGTGGTGTTCTGTCACGGATCAGACGATTATAGACTCCTCCTCGATAGTGGTAACTCCGGGAAGGGGTTTAGCATTGTGCGGCTCAAGGGCGCATCAGGAAATGCCCGAGCCACCTTGCTCGTGGCAGCATGCTACTCGGGTGGATGGGTGGTTGCGCCCGACTTCAACAGCACAGCACAGCATTAGCAGCCGCTACCTCTCTTGATGTGTCCTTATCGTTCCCAGTCTCAGCAAGCCTAGGATGAGTTTGCGGATCCCTCTTCGCTGGAGCGATCATCGACGCGCTCTCCAGCGCCTCTTCGCCGTTGCTCGCGCAGAAGGAGGCGAGGAAGGAGCTAGACGACAGCGAGGGCTCAGAAAACATCCAGCCCGAGGAGCCAACCGAAACACAAATAGAAAGGTATAACGAGTTCTGCCGCTCCGTTACAACCGTGCTAAAAGCGCCGGGTGTCTCTGATGCCTTGACTGAGAGGTTTTGCTTCAGCACCCACGACGACCAGTGGACTTTTTCGTGGTCTAGGAGAACCGCAATCCCTTTGGTCCGCTTCAAGGAGCGTTGGGATAACCTACCTACGTACCCCCGCCAAGTGTTCCCGGACGCTAGCTCTACGGAACCTGTCTCTCTGTCCGGCGGGGTTCAATTTAAAGACCAGGAGCATGCACGAGTCTACACCATGGTATAGTAGTTTCGCCAACTCTACTCGGGCGATTGGAATGGGGGCTATGAGGGCCGTGTGGCGGCCGCGGTTCAATTCTTCCTCAGGCTCAAGTCAACAACCTCGCCCGTCCAAACGGAGAGAGCTGCATACGGTGCCACCTACACGAATTTCGGTTTATTACGCGAGGTGAGAACCGGGAATGGCTCGGTCGACAGGAGCTGGTATGGACGATAACGAGGGACGGCGGCGCATCCATTGTCCCAGCAGCACACCAGGGACCACCTCGCTTCGCTCGCCCTTTCAGCTACGTATCATGTGCCATCGCCGAAACATACCACACACCAGAGACAGAGGAGGAAGCGCGCCGTACGGCACAAGCATACTGCGATTACGTTAAGGGCTAGAGGCAACACTTCCTCGACGAGGCCGTCCGCCCTTCGGACATTCGACGCAAGGGTCAGGACTGGCTGCGGTCGATTGGTAGAAAGATCCGTTCCTTCTCCCCCGTCATGGGCTCTCGGTCATCAACCGAATATGGCGAGGTATAGAGTCGGCCGCTTGGGATTGTGGAGGCTCCCTCTCTACCAACCCCCGGTCAGTAGGGACCGGTGGATGACAAGTTGCTGTAAGTCAGGTAGAGGGGAAGAGGGGAAGGGGGGAAGAGGGACTTATCGATAACCGCCGGCATATATACCCAGAAGAAACCTTATAGTAACTAATTAGAATTGACTTTGTTGAGCTACCTAGTCCCTGAAGATGCAGGTGGCTTGTGACTTTCACATGAGCCTGATGCAAGACGCAAGACGCAAGACACCCCCCCTTCTTAGAATCAACACAGCAGAATTCCGAGAAGTTGTCTCCATAGCAATACTAATGCAGTGAGGTGGGTGTTCAGGATTACGAGCAGCGCCTCGGGATTTCCTGCCCGGCCACCGTCCGCCTTCTAACCGTCCACGCAGAGCAGCTGGGCAGCACGAGAACCTCCGACCTAAGCCTCAAAAGACCTGTCAAGGGGAGAATACCAGGGCACAGTAGCTTATTCAAGCTGCCCCTCAACCACAAACAACCAGCAGTGTCAAGTTGGAGCTTTGCGGCTGAAGCTGACGTGAGATGCGGCACCGAAAGCTGTTGCCTTCATGCTGTCTCTCCTTGGCCCTCGGCACCAGCTGTTGGATGGATGTAATCCAAGCTCCCGAAGTCCAGAGCTTCGCCAACAAGAAGAAGATGCAAGATGGGAGACGGTTGGAGCAGGGTAGGGGCTGGTGGTGGAGGGAATAGTTATATTCGAATACGGATACATGCAAGCAATTGACTTTGGGTAAATGGGGCTGAAGGCGGGGCTCGGTCGGAAGAAGAGTCGAGCAGAGAGAGGTGGACGAATTGAGAACCTGGGAAGCTTGGGGAGCTTGGGGAGCTTGATGGGAAAGCGGTGGGTTCATACGGGCTCGGTAAAGGCAGGTACCTCGAGTCTTGATGGTTGCGAGGCGAACCTCGGATGGCGCTGGCAAGATTTTGGGTCGGGTCGCAGATGCGGATAGTGGAGGCGGATGGCGCGTGGGGACTGTCGATGTGGATGGGATGGAGCTGCTGTAGGCATCTTGATTACCTTATATGCACAGGGGGCTGCTCATGCACCGCCGCAGGCAGGCCCACACCACCTCGCCTGCCGAACTGTCCAAGCTACCTAATAATGGAAGGGGGTCGTTCTTAGCCTGGGCTGATTGGGTAAGGCGGGAACACAGGGAAAATTTACCTATCCACTGGAAGAAAAAGCGAAGACCAAACCTCAGGGTAATTCCTCTTGCATCATCAGAACTCACGCACAACATGATGTGACATGTTTTGTCCACCGAGCGTTATTGCTCAATGGATCTGGATGCCGCCTCCATGATTATGTTTCCCCCACGGAATACCCGGTAACTATGGAGCTGCAATGGCTGCTTTTTCAACTCCCGACGGCATTCCAGGCCCAACTCGGCTAAAGAGAAACCCCACATCACCCATTATCACAGGATCTACCTACCTTAGGTAGACACCTTAGGCAGTTAGGTAAGGTAACTAGTTACCTCACCAATCGACTTCCTTGACCAACAACTCGGAGAGTTGCGGCAGCAATGATACAGCACCCGTTAGTCGTTGCTACCGTTGCACAATCGGAGTCGCCAATGCCCCTGAAAGATTCCCAAGACGATTCTCATCAACTGCAGAATGGCATAAACCGAATGCCAGTCCGGGTAAGCCATGCTCGTGTTATCATTTTATATTTCCTTTGTGTATTCATGATGACCCTTCAAAGAGCACATTTGAAAAGCCAAAGACTGCAGAACTCTAGTGTTAAAGAAACCGAGTCTAGCCTTTTCTAACTATGGTTTCATCAACACCTGATATGTCGATGACGGCATAAAATTACTTGATCTAATCTGACACATGCACACCTATACCCTCATCACTACAGTTGCCCTGATTCTGTTGAGGGATACGCTCTCTAATCTCTTTGGTGATAGTAGTTAGCCCGTATAGTCGCTCCTTGCGGCTGCTCGAGAGAAACAAGGACGCAACAGGCCACGCGTGAATGCCGCCACTCGCACGTTTGGATCCGATAATGACACCTGATTCTCTCAGGAGTTGGATCAGCTCGTCTATCTCAGGCGCAAAGACTTCCTCCTCCCCGTAAGTGATGAAAACACCTCCTGACGGACTTGACCGCTTCCACCAGGTTTTATCCTTGCAGCTGCCTGGCGATGCAGCTGCCTCGTTTATCGAGACACTGCCGCCTGCGAACTGCCGGCCGTAGCGATGAAGCTGCTGCACGTCGAGAAAATCGCTCTTCGTGTTTCTATGCCGGGGCGAAACAAGCGTCACCCAGGGCGAAATGAGTAGAGCTAGCGCCGGCTTCATGAGGCGGCCATCGTGATGGGACTTGGTGCCATTCAGCTCCTCCTTTGAGCCTATTTGAAGCAAAAGACTCAGGATGAGCAACGCGCCAGCCGAGTCTCCGCCGATGCACACAATCGAGGGATCTTTTGCCTTGCTCAACACATGTCGATAGCCTCGGATAGTCTCGTGGAGTTGGGTGGGGAACGACGCCTCCGGAACAAGCGTGTACTCCAGCGCAAATATGGCCGGGTTCTTATACCCGGATAACGTCAGGACCGACAGCCACGTCAACAGAAACTCGAGGTAGAAGTAGGTTGAGCCCATCGAGAAGCCACCCCCTAGACTCCGGCAACCGTGTAAGCAGCAGCAAGCGAGCATCCAGGTACGTAGAACAGATAAAACATCTTACCATGAGCATAGTAGAGAACAAAGTCAGGACTCTCTTCGGGATTTCTAATGAGCCAGATGCCCCTGAATGAGTCCTGACGGAGAAGGGAAAGCATGTCAGTAACGACACTGGCGCCAAACTCTGGGCCCTCTGGAGGGCAGACTCACGCCTTCGTGCTCACTCCAAGAGATGGGGGGCCGCAGGTAGCCATGCCGGAGCATGCGGAAGCGGAGAAACGGGCGCGCTACCTGCTTGGAGAAGAAAACACGCCCGACCTTTGGTGGGATGTTGGTAAACGCGTACCGCACGCAGCGGATGACGAAGTCTTCAAAGGGGGATGCCCTCTGCACAAACGGCGACCGGTGTTTGCGCCGTACAAGATACCGGTCCCGGATGAACGCCGTGGGAAGTTCCACAACTTTTTGGTCCGCGGAACCCCCTCAAGTTAGCAAGCGGCACAGAAAGAGAGGTTGGAGGGGGCAGGCTGTCTGTTTCATCTCCTCGTGTTTTCCAACGCAGACGAGGTAGGTAAAAGCGAGCCATAGGCTGGCTGTGACTTACTAAGGAACGGCAGTGCCCGTAAGACGCATGCGAGCGTTTCGAACAGGCCCACGCGCCAAATGAGCTGCGGTGCGAGCAGGATGCAGAAGACAATGCAGTCCAGGTAGGACACAGGCCCAAGTATCATGACCATGTCGGGCTGCTGCAGCCTACCTCACATGGGTAGGTATCTAAGGCAAGTAAGGTAGTGATGACTGCCTTTGAATTGCTGCTGCTGCTCCCCCTGTTGCCAGATGGTAGTTTTTTTTTGCCAACAGCGAGGAGTACAAAACACGAGCCCCGTAATCCTGCCAGCGCCGCATCTGACGTGCCGCCCTCTTCAAGAACCCGATTTGATGTGCAGTCAGCACCCGGCCCAGACATTTGGTAAAGCCAAATCAGCTAGGCCATAGCACGCGCGGCGTCTCGGTGTCTTTGGCACGGTGCGGTTGGTGTTGCACGGCGTGGTGTGGCGTGGCGTGGCGTGGCGTGGCGTAGCGTAGCGTGGTGTGTGTGTAGTGCGTGTGTGTAGTGTGTGTGCGTGGGTGTGTGGTGTTGGTGACGTCCGCTGCTGTTGGGGAAACAGATCGGTCATGAACCCCCCATCTTCATCGCGAGAGTGGTCGCCGGAGTAAGCGGCCGAAGGACGAACCGTGACGAGGGTTGTTCTTGGCTCTGGAGCAGACAGACTAGCTAGATCTGTACATTACATACATATACGATGATCCATGTAAGGTACCACTGGAGGTACCACTGGATACAGAACGTGACTGCCGGGTTCTTACCTACCTCAGGATGCCGACCCTTCCCTTCCATCTTCAAAACAAACATAAACTCGTACCTCTCTGAGCCGCCGGTTAGAAACAGAATATGCTGTCTTCCCCGCATGCGCATGCCACACACATCCTTAGGTACACATGAAGCCTGAGCTTTTCGATGGCCACACTTGTACATACAGGGCGGTCGGGTGCGCTCCGGCTATCATAATCTTGGATGATGAACGAACCGCGGGTGAACTGAATAGCCACGGGGACAAGATTGCGACACACGAAAGGGCTTGGAGTCTTGGATTACACGGAAAAGGTACCAATACCACTTGAATGCCTGGTAGGCATCTTTGTTCGCACCTAGGTATTCCTCGCCTCCTTTAATATGCGCTCCTCCATGTCGCCAAACGCGCCCAGCACGTTCCCGTACTGCTCAAAGATGCCTGCCCTGTAGCCGTCGCCGACCTTTTGGATGGCGCCCTCCTCCTTCCAGCGCCTGCCAATGAGCTCGTCAAAGGTCTCACCGGGGGCCCGCTCGAACGCCCATACAGCCTTGTACGCTCCGCCCAAGGCGCACGCGTTGCCGCCAACGTCGAGCTTGTACACGCCGTCGACGCCGCCCAGCACGTCGCCCATGACGCGCGCAATCGCCGGGTTCAGCGAACCGCCGCCGACGAGGTAGATGCGCCGCGGCTGGGCGGGCAGGATGCTGCTGCTGCTGCTGCTGCTGCTTCTGTCTCCAGCGGGGGCTTCTACGAGTTTCTGGCTGCGCAGACGCATCGACAGCGCCTGCGACTCGATGATGACGCGCGCGTCCGTCTCGACTGGCCACGGCGCGTCTGCCTCGGCCAGTGCCGTACCGTCGGCCGGGTTACACGTGTACCGCCAGGTGCCTGCACGGATGTTGGGAACAATCTCGGGGAGGTAGAAGTACAAGCCTAGCTTCGCGCGGTCTGACGCCGACGCGACATCTAACGGCGGCATCTGCAGGGCGTACTTGTTGAAGTTCTCCCACGGGTCGGAGGATCCTGCGGGGGGTGGAGGGAGCACGTCGCGCACCTTCTCGCGCGCCAACCCGCCGTTCTTATAGCACAGCATGAACATGTACTGGCCTGGCGTGGTAGGATGATTGAAGAAGTGGTAGCTCGGGTCGGGCTTATAGACGGGCGTGATCATGAGGAAGGTGGTGCTGGTACCGAGGCTGACGATGACGTCGAGCGGCCGAAGGGGCAGCGCCAAGATTGTGGCAGGGTTGTCGCCCGTGAAGGGCGCGATGCCGCAGTCCGGCCTGAAGCCGTAGCGAGCCGTAAAGTAGCTGCTGATACAGCCCATGCTGCCGCCGCCATCTTGCCGAACCTCGCCGAGCTTGCTGCGCAGCTCTGCCATCCCGCCCTTGCCGGCCGTCAGCTCAAGAAGTGGCTCCGACCAGTTGTTCCCCGGTATGTCCCAGAGATTCATACCGCACACATCGCTAATATCCATAGGCGCGACGGTGCCGAGAAAGAGCGATGCGAGGAAAGAGGAGACGAGCGAGACCTGAGATGTTGCGGCGTACATGTCAGGGATCTTGCGGCCGAGCCGCATTATCTGAGTGCCGGTAAACCGCTGTTGAAGCAATCTGCTTGTCAGCCATTTTCCATCATCATGATCTGAGCAACGTTCTTCCATGGCAGACTGACATGGTGGGCGGAACTCCCAGTGACCTCGGCTAGCCGCTCTGGCGAGCCGAGCTTGTCGTCGAACTGGTCACACTCGGCCTGCGTGCTGTGGTCCTGCCAGTTTGGCGCAAAGGGGTGGGAGAAGGCACCCTTCAACTGGTCAACGAGGTCCTTGTCCGGCTGCAAGGTGCCGAGCAGGGTCTCGGCCTCACGGCTCCAGTAGACGCTCCCATGCTGCTGGCAGGAGCCGCTGATGCCGTGAATACGGCCCAGGGGCGTCTTCTTGGCTTCCAGACGTTGCAGCACTAGATCCAGAGCCTCGAGCCACATGGCTACGGGTGCAAAGACCTCCCCTTCGACCTCATTTAGCTGGACGCCCTTCTTGATGCCATATTTGGAGCCGAAGTCCTGGTCAAAGTCGACTTTGGCATCGGAGACAACTTGAAGATCGGACTGAATGACGATGGCTTTTGTGATTCGCAAAAGTCGTGTTAGCCAACTTGCTTGGTTACCCGCGGTAGCCCATATCCCCCTCTTGCCCCACAGACTGTGCGTTCACGAACCTTTGAGTTGCTGGGTTGAGAGATCAAACCCGAGGTAGAGGGGGCCGTCAGTCATTGTTGATGATTGTACGTACTGCGGGGCAGAACTAGGGAGGGGCTTATCGGATATCGAGCTGTGAAGATGGAACGACAGTAGCAGGGCAGCTCGGAGAAGGAGCTGGCAAGTGCAAGATCTCAGAGAGAAAAAGATGGCAGGATAGTTTCGCCATCGTTACGCGGGGCATTTTGATCATAAGGAAAGAGGAATTGGCGGCGGGGCAAGTTCCCGTCCCCATCGTCGACGATGACCTCGAATTAGTTTACTATGTAAGTCGAAGCAGGCGGCGCCTCGGCATCGGTAAAATTTCCTGGTAAAGGCCCCAGTTCTTTGTTAAAGCTGGCCAACTAATGATAACTTCGAACTTGCTCCTCCTTAATAACAATTCTTTTTCTCAAAACTATTGGTTAAAACGTCTTTGAGTTACAAGGTAGTTTTACCGATGCTGAGGCGCCGCCTGAGGGGATGCGCATTTAGCCTAATGTCTGGCCAATGCCGGCACTGCGTGTTTAGGGCCGATTTCTCCGATGTAGGAAGGCGGATTGCCCATTGTACCCTAACCCTGTAATGTTGTACGGTGTACTATACATTGCAGTACTGTATTTCGTCTTAACAGCTACACCCCTGCAAGGAACTGGTAAGCCAATTGTGGGTGCTGTCAAAGTCCTGGGCCAGATGCCTGTCGCGATCGAGTTTGACACTCGATATTCCCTAAGGTACTCACCAAGTCTACTACTCTCCACAGCCTCCCTACGGACTTCTCGTGCCCTGCGATCTATCGCACCTAATTGCACGACAGAAAAACACACAGAAAAGCGCCGTTTCCTAGTCGATCTACCGTTCTGGAAGGGCGTCATGGCTAGGTCACGATTCCGCCCAACTAACTGATAAGTTGAGAACACACGATGCGCAGTGTAACGGGTCCGAGATTGGGAGTTGGGGTTACGCTGGCTCTAGCTCTTCTGGGGCTTCAGACAGCTACCGTCCATGGTTTGAGGTCAGCACAGGATGCCGCTCTAAAGGCTGCCGCTGCCTCAGCAGATCCAGACGTCTGCAAGTCCAAGACAATCAACTACATCACCCACACGCTGCCGCAGCAATGTTTACGGACAGCGTGGACGAGTCCCACCCTCTCTGGGACAGAACTGATAAGCGCATCGGCCACTGTAGCCAGGACGACGGCGGCGGCGGCCACAACGACGACAACCCCCGAGACCGCGACCTCGGAAGGCGCCCAGCAAGACCAAGCTGGTCAGCAGAAGCAGCCAGGCACTCACGATGAGGCGGCACCTAAACAAGATCAGGGGCAAGACGACCCCGATGGCCAGGATATTACGGCGAGCTCCTTCATGTCGTTTGAGGAGTGGAAAGAGATGATGTTGCGCAAGTCGGGACAGGATCCCGCCGATATCAAGGGCCGTAAGCAGCGCGAGCCCCGTGGCGGCGAGAGAGAGCCCGGCATGGCTCATGGCGACCTGGACAGCCTCGGCGACGACGGAGAAATTGCTCTTGAATTCGACGCCCTGGCCGAGAAGGTCTCTGAGCTGACGGCGTCCTCTCCGGGCGGCGAGGCTACTCCGCAGACCGACACCAGGGAACTCAAAGAGGAGCATATCCTATATGACGACGGAAAAACCCAGTACTACAGAAGTAAGGACGCCGGCAAGACTTGCAAGGAGAGGTTCTCGTACTCGTCGATTGATGCCGGCGCCACTGTCCTCAAGACCAACCCCGGCGCCCAGAACTCCAAGGCAATCCTGGCCGAAAACAAGGACACGTACATGCTGCTCGAGTGCCGGGCCAAGAACAAGTTTGTTATTGTCGAGCTCAGCGACGATATCCTCGTCGACACTGTTGTCCTGGCGAATTTTGAGTTCTTCTCCAGCATGATCCGCAAGTTTAGGATCAGTGTTAGTGACCGCTACCCCGTGAAGATGGACAAATGGGTAGATCTGGGCACCTTCGAGGCCCGGAACTCGCGAGATATCCAGCCCTTTCTAGTCGAGCACCCTCAGATCTATACCAAGTACATCCGCATCGAGTTCTTGAGCCACTACGGGAACGAATTTTACTGTCCCGTGTCGTTGCTGCGTGTCCACGGCACCAGAATGCTTGACAGCTGGAAAGAACCAGACTCTAACCAAGACGACGACACGGAGCAAATTGACGCGCCGGTCCAGGAGCCGCTAGCTGATGACATTCCTACCCAAGAACCCCCTGCTGAGGACCCTGTCTCGACGAGCGCTACTGGGGACATTCCCAATAACCAGACCATTGTTGAGATGGGCCTCTCCCCCTGGCGGCCAATATTCTTCGAATTCATGTCAGCAGAAACTTGTGAACTGCGCTCACCTAAAACGGACGAACCAACCCCTGTATCGTCAAACTCGAACCAAGACCCGAATAGCTCTGCCGTCCATTCGAACCCCGTGGCCAAACAGTCCGCGACGCCTACTGCGGGGCAGGAGACAGCACAGCCCAGTGAATCAGTCTCGAGTTCTTCACCGTCTCCGTCTTCGTCTTCAGTTTCTGACATGCCTTCCTCCGTCGAATCGTCGTATACTGCCCATCCATCTTCAACACCAGTAAACCAAAATGCCAGCAAGAGTAGCAGCAGTACATCAAACAGCCCCAACCACAAACAATTCAGCAACACTCGTTCTGATGCCTCTAATACGACAGCGGCTAGCCGCTCCTCGTCATCCTCCTCTTCCGCTGCCGCCAGAACAGCTGCAACAAGTAGCGGTTCGGCCAATCCTAGTCCGACCACGCCTCGCAGCAAGACCAGTTCGACAGCTTCTAATGCCGCCTCGGCGTCGCCAACGGTTCAGGAGTCATTTTTCAAGACTGTCACCAAGCGCCTACAGCACCTCGAGTCCAACACCTCGTTGTCGTTGCAGTATATCGAGGAGCAATCACGCTTCCTACAGGACGTGCTGCTCAAGATGGAACGTAAGCAGCTCAACCGCGTCGATACCTTCCTTGACACGCTCAACAAGACTGTATTCGGCGAGCTCCGCAACGTCCGCACCCAGTACGACCAGATTTGGCAGAGCACTGTCATCGCCCTGGAGACGCAGCGCGAGCAGTCGCAGCGCGAGATGGTCGCCCTGTCGAGCCGCCTCAACGTGCTCGCCGATGAGGTCGTCTTCCAGAAGCGCATGGCCATCCTCCAAAGCATTCTCTTGCTTAGCTGTCTTGTGCTGGTCATTTTCAGCCGCAGCAGCGTTGCCAACGGCGGTGGCGTCGGCCCCGGCGCTTCCCCGTTTGACATCGCTTTCCAAGCCTCTCGCTACGCTCTATCGTCATCCTCGCCCTCACCCCACTACCTCTCCTCGCCTGGGGCAGAAACCGGTGGAAGCGCCTCCCGTGCCAACGGCGGCCAATGCACGCCATCACCGCGGCATCAGCACTACCAACAACGCCAGTCGCAGCAGCAGCAGCAACAACAACAACAAAATTACCAACCATCTAACGGTCCTCGCCATATGCACTCCCGAGGCGATAAGACGCTACCGCTGACGCCCACGTCCGAGTTCAGCAGGGAGGGCACGCCCTTGATCAAAGTCGACGGCATCGAAGTTCTGCTCTCCGACAAGGAGTACGACGATGCTAACGATGTTCTGGCTGCAACACCGCCGATGCAATCGCGTCATAACCGCAAGGGTTCGGTCGGTGAGTCCGAGGAGAGATCGCCGGATCAGCCAGATAGTTCAGGTGGGAGTTTAAGGGAGGACGACGACCCACCTTTTGACAGCATGAATCGGCCAGAGTCCGGGGCTGTCATGGCTGACCAAGAGCTGGCCAGGCCGCCGTCGAGAGGCCCTTCTGCGATGTCACAACTAGGTGGCGGCTCTAGAAAGCCACTCCCTGCTTTGCCAGAAGATCCGAGTTAAATCAGTTGTTTGCCATTGTGGGAAGTTAGCTGTTCTTGAATTTTTATGATAACATGTCAAACATTACAACAAACTCCTTGCCGTAGACTCAATTTTGCTGCTACCTAGCGCCGAACTTCCCTGTAGACTGAAAGACGTACAGGAAAAGACGTACATGGATCTTCTTGCTCACAACATGTAGACCTGTATTAAGAGCACTGGTTCCACATTGAGGCCGATGATTATAGAAGAGAAAGAGACCGCTCATTAAGGCGCAAAACCTATTCTGCTATGCCATCGTCTAGCTATACAGGAATCTCCCAATCGCTACTCGACCGTGCTAAGTCTCAACCCCTCCCAAAACCAGATATTGCGGTATGGCACGACCAGCTTTCCTAGACCACCATGGCATCAACGACCCCTTTGGCATAGTCCAATCTCGCTTCTCGCCGACAACCATCGCCTTTACCTTGCTTGTTTCCTTCTCCCTGGGTTGTTTATATTAGAAGAATACTGGGATGTGTATGAATGTTGTGATCTTCCCCCTTCGTTTTCGCCAACTACCTAAACGAACTTGGCAAACTTTCTAAAACCCGAATGTCGAATTACAGGGTGGGTATTGCGATAGAAATTGTGTACACCTGATTGAGTTGTCAGATATGGCAAGCAAGCTGCCCAAGCCAAAGCAAATGCATGATGCTAGATTCATGCTGCAAGAATCGGTTGATATTGTCCCAGTTGAACTACTGGGACGTGTAGAGACCCTGTTGCTGAATGTGGGCATCAAAGTCGTACTCCTCAAGGGCCGCAAGTCGGGTGCCACGATCGTACTGTGATCGGCGGCGGCGCTGCTCATCACGGAAATGCTGGCCAGCATTGGGAGTGAAGAGACCTAATAAAAGAATGCATTAATCCCATGAACCCCATATTCAACGTGAGTTGACAAGACTCACCAACATGCTCTGCATTTTCGCAGCTGCGCTTCATCTTGGACTGGTTGTCCGGGTCAGGAAAGGGCTCCTCCTTCCCAGCCAGGTCGGGTTCAGGGCCGTTCGACGTGAAATAGAGCTGCAAAAGGGTTAGTCAGAGAAAATTCTGCGAATCGGTTGTCTATACCTTCGGCTTATAGTGAGGCGGCTCGAGCATGACCGAGCTGTTACGGAACTTCTGCACGAGGCAGTCCTTTCCTTGGATGGCTTTTAGGTGTTAGTAAGAATCCCTCATTCTGAAGTCTGCTGGGTTGCTTGGAGCACTCACTCGCATAGGAAATCTCTGCAACCTTGTCGCTCTTGAAGCAGTTCCATCGCTGGTTGCCTCGTGCATTCACAAACTTTACATATGAGGTCAGATACTTCGAATCCAAGGGGAGAAGAATGACATACATCAATAATGTCCAGAGGCTACGAGATTGTCAGTAAGAAGCAATTCTGGGGCAGGAAAAGGGGAACTTACATCGACGAAGTTGATGAAGGCGTATCCCACACTAAGACTCTCGGTCAGTAAAAGAATGTCGGTGTTTTGGAGTAGCAGCTTTACTTACTTGCAATCATTGGCGAAGTCGATTCGCAAATACATGAAATCATACTTGCCCCAACTGGACTCATCGACAATGCGTTTAAGCATGGCTTGGTCAACCTTGTTGGGGATGTTGCGGAGCATAATCTGACCTGTCAGCATGTCGTCATTGTACCAAAAATTGGGGCAGCTTACGGTCGTTCGGACATCGATGCCATCCTGGATACGTTTGACATCAACGTGGTTATGATGACCCGCGGCGTTGTAGTACGGGGCTCTGTTGACCCTCATGGCATTTTGGCGACGGTCTTGACGTCCATATACCTGCATGTTTCTGGGGCTGGTATAGTCGCTGTGAAGTGTCATAGGGGTCGCCGGCGGGGTGTATATGGGACCCATGATGGGCACACTTCCAGACATGGGTGTCAGGGGCGTCATGGGAGTCATGCTCTGGCTGCGTGTTGGAGTGTGGTCAACCATATATCGAACTGGTCCTGGGAGTTGACTGTGATAGACCACTGGATACATAGCAATCTGTTGTTGTGGGACATGGAGTGCGAGAGGCGATTGACCATGGCGGCCGGCTGTGGCCAGAGCATTGACAGGCTGCGGCGTCTTGGAAACGCTCATGCCCTTGATCATATCTGCGATATCCTGTATTTGGTTCCGCGAGGAAGCGTAGGTCGCAAGGGGGTCTGGTGCAACAGTCGTAGTATCCGGGTGGTAGAGAGTCAAGAGCACTTGGATTCCCTATATTGCAACTTCTCGTTAGACTTGAGACACGAACGGGCGCATGCACTTACGTTGAGGGAGATCCCGTTGAACTTGGATGCGATGCTTATGGCAACATCGACATCTGAGAACTCGACCAATGCTCGGAATGCAACGTCAATCGCGTCTGCTTGAGGCTGGAACGCGAATATATCTCCCTCGCTCTGAAGGAAACCGTGGACAATCGACTCAATCTGACTGGCGCTCAAGTTGATGCCTCTATCTGGGAGAGCCATGACATATACTTGACCCTCGGAGACAGCTTCGTACTGAGCACCAGGGTTTACAACCTGGCGTTGGGTTAGTTGTGACCTGGTCGGACAGGAGGCAAGGGACGTGAAACAAACCTGGTAGAATTCAGCGGGGTGAATGTACTTGGCACGCCAGTCAGGGCCGCCAAGCTGAACATTCTCATAGATGGTGCGGGCGTCGCGTATGTTGGTGAGTCGAATGTAGACTCCAGTAGTTACTGGCACATGGCGACATTTGCCTTGGCATTGAGAACCGCATCGCTCGAGTTTCTGTCGACATTTGTCAGTCCCGCCTCAAAGGAGAGAGGTAATAGAAGTCATAGAACGTACCGAGATGTAGCCCTCAACACTGTCGAGTGAAACAGCTTTGGAGGGAGCGGAGATGAAGAGGTAACGCGATAAGCGTAACTCGGTGCTGAATCTGGCAGTCGAGTGCAGACCGAGATGCATGTCTGCAGAGGGGCCAATGTTCAATCCCGGCATGCTGTTCAGAGAGCCATGTGCGACCAAGGAGATGGAGACGGGCCGGAAAGCCGAAGCAGTTGGTGACAGCTTCTGCTCCGACTTGGGCGCCGAGGTAGTGCTAGAGACGAAGGGGTCCATCTCCGCCCCGACGGGACCACCCAGGTATCCCTCCGAAGAGAGATTGGCATGGAACCGAACATGGTGGGAATCCGAAGACGCATTGAGACTCAAAGTCTTGAGCAGCTTGTTGGATCTGGCCGAGCTGTCGTCAGGGGAGAAGGCAGTGAGTCTGGTATCTGGGGTACCCTCATGCTTGTACGAGTCGGCACCGCCACTCGAGGAGTGAGGCGAAGACGGGTTAAACGACGTCTCTCGTGCCTGCGCCATAATTCGGCTACGGAGTGAAAATTGGGAGTGGTAGTGGTAATGGGAGTGGGAATAATGGCTGCTCCTGTAGATTCAGGGAAGCGGATGACACGACCGTGGATGGGACCTGACGAGATTCCGAAAAGAGAGATTGATTTCGAAGGCTTCGCCGACGGCGAGGAAAGAGGGAGATAAAGGAAGAGAGAAGAGGAATCCAAAATAGGCTGCTGAGAGGGGACCTGCTGGCGCCTCTCCAAAAACCGTTCGCGCAAGATGTACCCAAGTCGCGGAAGGAGCGTAGGAGGTGAGCAGAATTTATTGAGGGAAGGCGGGAGGGTGGGTTGGAGGCAGACTCTAAACGGTCGGGTAAGATTTCTGGATGAAGAAAGAGCGTGGGTTCGCAGGGACTCTCTCAAGATTTTTGAAATGGAAGGTGCGCGAAATTGTCTTTGACGTTGTGATGCAACCTCTCTGGACGATAAGGTATTTGGTGAAGGTGCTGAAACGATGCTGGCATGGAGGCAGTTGTAGCCTGGCTGCCTTATTTGAAGGAATTGAGCGCCTCTTTTTTCTTGGTAGGCCGCTCTTGTTCCTGTAAGAGGATCCAAGTTGCGCCCGATGAATTATGATTTCTTGTCCTCGACCCTTGACTGTAAAGGTTCTCGGTCACCCATCAGTAGGAAGTAGTGCTAGATGGCAGGAAGGACCGGAAGAGGTCGATCTGCCAGAAGTAGAAGGAACGTGAACAGACTGATAGGGTTTGATGAGGAAATAGCTTTCCGGATGCCCGCGGACGAAGAAAACTTGTATGCATACTAATGGGTGACTCCCGTTCAAGGTAAGGTAGGAGGTGGGTGGGTGGTTCCTACGTTTTAAGACTGACAGAGCTGTTTGCCCACCTGTTTAACGTTAAATTCGTCTTCAAGTCTAATTCCGGCCCCCGAAGGTTAATCAAGACTGCGACATGATGCCCAAATCTCGAGGCCATTCTATTCATAGGTGGCCTCCACCTCGGGCAGTCACCGAGAAGGAGGTCGGACGATATGAAGAGGGTCCTGACTCTTCGGAAGGCGGATCACCTGAATGATATTGAGAATTGCAAACCTGCCCCAATTCCGAACGCCTCGAGTTTTTATCTCACTGTAGAGTGCGGATAATGTTGGAGGTCAGGTCAGGTTCTCTTTCATTGCCAGGATGTCATCCATATGTACAAGATCATGAATGGAATGGGAGCTCGGAGAAAGGGGTCGTCGATAACTTGGCTAGCAGCTGGTATCAGCTGTGACCAGCTGCCAAGCGACTTACACCCACATCTCGTTCACCACCCGATGCTTGGAAAAGCGCGATTGTACAGCACTACTACAGGCAAACATCAAAACCTGGCTGAGGCATAGAAATATTGATTAGTGTTTGCGGGACAATTTCTAGGTCATGATACTAATTTGGGTCCACGAAGCAAACGAGTGGACCTGGAGGTCTTGGGATTGAACTTGGGACGATAAATGCACAGACCATCTGTTCCCTGCATGCCACCGAAGCGCAGCGGGTTCGCGTGACAGACCTCAAGATCCGAAACGTCTGCCTAAGGTAGCTAGTGCCTTAAGAACGCGATCTTTTGCTCACGACTTTCGCTATCGAAGACCTCACAATCCCAGCAATCAATGGACCTTGATGCTTCATTGAAAAAATGCCGAGAAAAGCCCAAACATGGGATGACTATGACTCTGCCGTCGACCAGGTTCGCCCACCACTGTCCACCGCCACTGCCTCTCAAGGCCATGCTATTATAATTGATCGCTGACTTGGACAGATCATTCTGGCTCCGACGGACTCCGACTTTCTCGACCAGTTGATCCCAGTGCTCAAAGATGCCGCCGTCAGCGGCCGCACCGCGTCGCTCACCCAGAGCTTGTCCCAGTATGCCGAGGATCGAGAGGGCGACATCGAGCGCATCGGCTTGACGAAGCACGAAGAGTTCCTCGGATCCGTTAATCAGCTGCAGAAGGTGCGCGAAGGGACGGTGGCCCTGACATCTGAGATTCTGGATTTGAACCAGTCGATCCAGTCGAGCACAGAGAAGCTGGCCGCACAGAAGCAGGCTCTTGTGAACACACGCGGAGTGCGACAGAACATTACCGACGTCTCCGATGCGCTCAAGGAATCCCTCAAGATCATGCATGTGGTCAACAACGCGCACGAACTGATCCGGAAGAAGAAATACTATGGGGCTCTGAAGTCTTTGGAAGACCTCCAGAACGAGTACTTGGTGCCAATCATTCAGAACAAGTATGCCACGCAATACAGGCTAGCCGACCTCATCCAAAAATCTATTCCTGCCTCCCAAAAAACCATATCGGAAGCGGTTATGACGGACCTGAACACGTGGTTATACCGGATCCGAGAGACATCACAGTTCCTGGGGGAGGTGGCCTTCTTTCACACCGAGCAGCGGCGGGATAGGCAAAAGAAACGCGTTGAGCAGAACGACTACTTGAGTCATTTCAGGCTAAACTCTGCCATCGAGCTTGTCTATGACGAGAGCAGCGACTATGATGTTCTTGACAATGATGAAGTTCAGGTCGACTTTACGCCGTTACACGAAGCGTTACATATCCACGAAGCGCTCGGACAGATTGAGAAATTCCGCGCTGACTATGCAGCTACCCGGAGACAGCAAAAGGAGTTGCTGATGCCCAGCTCTGTAAACCTTCTCTCCGACGATGATGGATCCTCCTTGAGTGCTCTTCTGGAAGGCATTGCCGGCTTCGCCATCATAGAGAGCGCGACGATGCAGCGCGCACCGCAGCTCCGCTCCACAGTTGATGTAAGTGATGTCATGCCTGAGAAAGTGGAAGAGTTATCTCTAACACCTATAGGTTGACGAGCTGTGGGACTCCATGTGCCAAAATGCTATTAGACTCATTTCAAAATCGCTTAGTGAAGTCGCCAATGCAGAAGTCCTCCTCAAAATCAAACTGGTTATTGCCCTCTTCATCCAGACAATGGAGGTCAGTATGGCTTGCTGTTGGATCACTGCATTCAGATCAGCTTCTGACAATGTATACAGGGCTGGGGCTACTCGATCTCGATGCTCAACAACTTCCAACTCACGCTGTTCTACAAGTATGCCGAGCTGCTAAAGCGCCGTTTCAGCGAGGACTTTCAAGAAGTTAGTGATCAGGCTAGTTCGGGGCTATAGACTGTTGCTAACTTCCCGGCAGATTGTCTCGACGGACGATTATATGCCAATGGCCATCAATACGCTCGAAGAATACGAGAAAGTTCTCAACGTCAGTTGGTTCACTCAGGACACGCCCCCTGAGGAACTTACGTAAGAGTCTTCATCTGTTGTCTGACGAAGGTGTCAGGAGTCTAACATCATTATAGGTTTCCATGTGTTCTACCATTCTCGCAAATGTATCCCCTCTGCTGTATAGACATTCGAAACTTTCTCAACCAGTTCTACTTTTTCTCAGACGACCATTTCCAACAGCCGAATGTCATTGATGAGACACTTAGAAAGGTCAGCCCTCTTTTGGCGAGAACCGATTCTATGCAGCGATCTAACGAGCTGTCTAGTCGCTGGATGAGCTTTTGACCGAAAAGGTCTGCCAGTCTCTCGTCGAGAGGCTGAACTCTCAGTACCTGGGGCAGATTGTGCAAATCTTGATCAACCTAGAACATTTCGAGATTGCTTGCCAGGAACTGGAGCAGTTGTTGATCAGGGCCCGATCATCGACATCGGCAGGCGGACCGGTGACACTGCGAGCGACGGAGCAGTTCAGGAGCAACAAGAAGACCGCCGAGAAGCGCATCTTCGAGCTTGTGAATTCTAAAATCGATGATCTTGTCGACACCTCTGACTACGAATGGTATGAGCTACTGCCTTCGGCCCATCACTGGCCAATTTTGAACGATTTTGGAAGTCGCAATACTTACTTTTTTAAATAGGATGGCGACCTCACGGCCTACCGAGCCAAGCAACTATATGCAGACGCTGACCCGCTATCTCTCGAACATTATGAACTCGACTCTACTGGGACTTCCTAGAGAAATCAAGGAACTCATCTACTTTGATGCGCTGAGCCACGCCGCAAATAAGATACTCGTAAGCATTATCTTGGAGCTACATCGCATAAATATGATGCTGATGGCAACGTAATTTTCTTTATCAGGCACTCCCTCTGTCTTCAGATGTCCGGAAGATCAATCCCAACGGTGTCGCCGCTCTCGCCAAGGACGTCGAACATTTGTCAAAGTTTGTTGCCAGTCTGGATAATGCCTTCATGCTTGAGCAGAACTTGGATGAGCTGCAGCAGACGGTGGCGCTCATGCAGTCGGACAACCATGACGAGTTCTTTGATATCTCGACGCGGAATAAGAAGTATGGCCGCGTCGACGCTATGAATGGTCCCATCTTACTTGAGAAGTCGGTCATTTTCTCTTCCGCACCCGGAGCGATATCTGCTCTGAATCTTGCTTACGTTCTATTTTAAAATAGGATCACTCAAGCGGTTGACAACCCAGCTCGAGCCCCAGCGCCGCTCTCTAACTTCGGGTCGCGCTTTGGCTTGAGGTGATCAATCGCCTCAGGCGCGATTTGACAGTTGTCCATGGGATAAGATTATTTCTTTGACAAGTAACAGAAGCGGCAAAAATCCGAAAAAGGTCATAATTGGTCATAACTAGCCACCCTTTGGAACCTAACCAAGCTGGCTTTGAAACGCCCAATTACACACAAGGGGTCTGAAAGCCGGGGAACCGCTGAACTAAACACCTTTGCTTTACGCCAGTCCCTAGCCAGACAACGAAACCATAATCGATTCGCGCAACGCTCTTCCGATCTGGATCAAACAACATCGCTCGATACAAACTGCGCCAGGATTTTCAGTCTTGCAAAGAAATTGGGCCAGCCTTAAACTCGGCCAACATCGCAAACGCCTCCTATCGGTATAGGGATAGTTTGGCTCTTCTTTCTCCTATTCACCGTCTTCCCCTGCCGCTTCTCCTAAGTGCTCTATTTGCTCAGGTTAGAGACTACGCTTGTAGTAGTGGGGTGTTTCTAAAGAATGCGTACCTGCTGTGGGGGCATGGCCCCGTACCCGTACATCTCATCGACGTTGTACATGTTGGCCTGCGGCTGGCCGTACGGTGCCGGCGCTCCGGATTGTACTTGGCCGGGATATATGCTAGAAGACTGGCGATAGTCGGTCTCAGGGGCAATGTTATGGCCGCCCAAGGCATAATCGGTCGAGCCCATGGAGTGTTGCCCGCCGTGGTTGGAGGCGGGGATCTGAGATTGCGCGGGCGCGGACTGCGCAGAGGCCGTCTGTCCAGTAGCCCGCTTGTGGGAGGCAGCTTCTTCTCGCGGAACAATGTCAATAAGGAAATCGAACATGTCGGACTTTGCCAAGGCAGATGCGATGTCTGATCGCTGAAGGGTACGCCTCTTGTTCTCCTCGGCATGTATCCAAGCACGCATAGTCAGTTCGGTGATAAAAATGTCGCAGCCCTTCGCGAATAAGATGGGAGCCTCGGCCGAGATCATCTTAACATCTGGGTCGGCTTTCATGACCTTCTTTATCCGTGCCAGGGGTAATTGATGGAGCTTGTAATCATGCGTATCGCCCTCCAAGTGGCTTATCGTCTGTTGCCAATAGGCTGTGAGGATGTCCTTGTAGGTTCCGTTGAGACCCTGGTGGACGTTCGCCCAGGTGCCCGTGTACAACTCGGATGGGGCAAAGCCTTGAGCAGATATCTAATTAAAATGACGGGGATTGTCAGTCGGTCGTCCTTGCGCGCACTTGGTGCAACTGTGCCGAAGAGAGAGTAGACGAACCTGCGCGCTGGCACCTATAGAAGAAAGTATGGTAAGCAAATGTTCCCATCCCGGAGCTTGTATCTTCTACGGTTGTCTCTCTTACCATAGTGGCCTCCATGACTGGTGTCATAAACGGGCGGTGGCCGTTGCTGCTGCCCCTGTGGCGCCGACGACGAGTTCTGTTGGTCCATGATGGGATGCTGCGTTTGATGCGAGCGCGTTTGTTCGGCGACTGCTCAAAAGCGCAATGCCAGTTCAACAACTGTGTCGGTTTCGCGACTTGCCTTGGTTGCGCCGGAGAGTCAGTGGTCCTCAAGGTGCGTAATAAGTCGCGTGATGGTTGAGGATGGGTTTTTTTCTCGCTTTTTTCGCTGCTTTCATCAGCTAAGTTTAGCGATTGCACGCGCGATTTTGCATTTGCGCGACTGTCTCGTCTCTTGTTCTGGGTCAAGAGCTTCCAACGGGCATTTGTTTACTTTACGATCAACACCTGATGCGCACTTGTAAATGGTCGCAACCAGCTCTCTCTCTTGCGAACACCCCAGACTCTTTCTGGGTGGTGATTGGGCGGATTCGATTGGCGGGCGCCTGCCTGGTTTTGGGCAATAAAATGAGCGAATGAGTGGAGTTTCAGAAAACCGATGTCTTGTTCCTGTGCCGTTTGACGACTCGCGCGCACGCCCACAGGGCCAGAGAGGAGCCACTCAGCTCCCCAGGCGCGAGGGGGGTATGAAATGATTGGTGAGATTGGGCCCTTCCCTCTCTCTGGTTGGGAACGGGGAATGATGGGCGCAACGTTAACAGGACAAAGAGACATACTGCTTTTGGCTTATAGACCCGACGGCGGCGAGAGCGACGGGATCTCTTGGAAAAAAATTCACAGATTGCCCCGCGCAAGGTGCGGATTGTGATGATGATTTGTGCAAAGCGGTCAACCACGGAATGGAAGGTTGGGCATCAAGTCAAGAGGGCAGCAGGCAGACAACAGGCCGGTCGAAAGCCCAGCAGGAGCAAGAGGGAGGTAGCTGTGGCGCAGGGATTCTTCAGCCCAAAAGGCCGGCCAAGGTGGGGCTTTGCTGCCTCTTTAAACCAAATGCTGGCATTGGGCGCCTGGCGCCCAACCGTTGCCAACTGGCAGCTCGTCCAGCCTCACTTCTGGGCCTGTATTTTGGCCCTCTGACTGAATCGCCAATGAAAATCCTGGAAGCGGCCCTTAAGTTAGGTTGCCTGAACTCAGGTGCCCTGAAACCCGACCCAGCCAAGCATCAATGTTTATCCCAGCCGTTTGCACAGACCAGGTGGGGTGGGGTATTTGGTAGACGATGGTACGAAGTACTTAGGACAAGGTACCCTTACGTGAACGCCGGAAAGTCTCACCAGAGCTGGCAATGTTGCCCCACTTCGAAATTTCAGTCTCCTGCAAAACGACTGGATTTTATTTCTTCCTGCACTTCTGTTCCTCTCTCTACTTTTCGTACCTCGACTTGTCCACACCCACCCAAGGCAGCTCCTGTTGGGATCTATTGCTCTCCTGAAAGCTATGGAAGCACCGGTGCTTGGCTTGTCAGATGATGCTATTGACAGGTTGCTGGCCGAGGCGGAATCCCGGCTTGCAGGCCATGACGGCTCCAAAGCTGTAGCTGTTAAAGCAGCGCAGCCTGTTGCACTTGGCTCGAAGTCTGCGCTGGCCGTGGCGTCTCCCGTGGCACCATCGACTGGGGAGCGGACAGCTGTCTCTGAGACACAGCCTGAGAGGTTGGCAGTCCGGGTTCCCCAGCTTGCGCAGAAAAAGAAAAAGGTAAGGCGCTCTCGCACCACAACTCGTCTACCCACCCACGTGTTCCCTGATGAAGCAACATCCCATTATTACATGACGCCAGCAGAATCCCGTCATGGGCCTATGCTGGCACCAAAATGATCTTCTATAATCATAGTTACTCTGATTGAACACACTCTTGCCGGTTTCAGCTCTCATACAACAGTCTCTGTTCTTGGCTGACTCTGACAATAGACAAAAGACGATGCCGGTTCCGATTGGTACAATATGCCGCGGACGAATCTGACGCCACAACTACGACGGGACTTGCAAATTCTCCGCCTGCGCGACGTCGTGGCTATGGGAAAGCAGTTTTGTAAGCCAGGTCCGGCATGGCTTTTCCATTTGACAGCAAGACTGACGTGTTGTCGTTTTGTTTAGTCAAAAAGGACAACAAGAAGGACTTTGTTCCAGAGTTTTCTCAAGTTGGGACTATTGTGGCAGGGGCTACTGATGGCTCTAACCGGCGTCTGACACGGAAGGAGCGCAAGCAGACCATTGTTGAAGAGGTGCTTGCTGGCGCGGCGACTAGCAAGTTCAAGAGCAAGTACGCGGATATCCAGGAGAAGAATCAGAGCGGAAAGAAGGGGCATTACAAGAAGGTGGTCGGAGGACGTAAGCGGCGCACTGGTTGAGCACTCTGGGCGCCGTCGACAGCATCCTTAGACCTCCGGGGAAACAGAACTTCTCGTGCCGCCGCGGTACATGCGAGCTCGCCGCCTTAGCGCCGCGGCTTTGGAGCCCCTGTGCAATGACCTCTAAGTCGGGCTTGGAAAAATGCCGGCATGAATGGGTTGACTCGGCGTGGGCGAAGAAGGGTGGAAATGTCTGTTCTGAGACTGAAATATGTCTTTAGTCGCCACGACTGGCCCTGAGATGGCCGACGATGGCGACACCCCTTGTTGAGATCCATCTCATCAATTTTAGATACCCGGGATCAATCTCATGAGCTCTTACATAGAAGCTCCAATGAACAAATTAAAATAAACAATTACCTCATCATAATCTCTTCAACTTGTGTTGTCTATATGATTCCTTGAATTTCAAGTCGTGGCGTGAATATCATTGTGATTGTAGGACTGTGGTTGGCATCGGGTTTGTTAAGCTTATCGATAAAGCCACCCCAGATCGCGCTAAAAATTTAGGGGTGGATTGAGCCGCGAGAAGTCGTGGGCCTCTCGGGCGATTGAAGATTCAACCTCCATCTCCGCAAGAGCAAGCAGAGATGTATCTACCGCGGTTACTACGGCCATTGCGGCCCTCGCTGCAGAGACAGTTGGTACGGTTTATCAGGTTCTTGGTAATTAAGTGCCAGCTAGCTAACGTGGTAGAACGACAGCTTGGCGCATCGACTCCCAAGGCTGCTGCTTCGCGTCCAGCAGCAGCGATACAGCTTCGAAGCAATTCGTCGAAGTGAGTACAGAGACACGGGTGCAATTGCCTTCACACTCCTAGCCTAGGTCCTGACAATTGCCGACTTGTCAACAGCGTATCGGATCCCAGCAGCGATGGCCCCTCTACAGAGAGCAGGAGCTCCTCACCCGCGTCCTCCTCCACGACACCCGAAATGACTTCACGTCCTCGTCGACAGCCAAAGACGGACAGCCCTGACCGTGCCTACTATTCGAAACTGCTAGAAAACAGCGAAAAGGGGCAACCGTCGTCGGCCGGCCCCAACACGGTGGAGGTGGAGGCGGCCGACGGCACGACGTACAAGGGGCCTCGCATGCCTCGCAACCTCGAGGCGCTCTACCTGCAGCCGCTGCGGCGGCGGGCGCAATACGGGGTGCCGTCGTGCGATCTGCAGCTGCGGTCCTACTCGGCGCGCAACCTCGAGTTCTTCTGCGACTTCGCGCTGCGCGCGGCCTACTACCTGGGCCTGCCGGCGTACGGGCCGGTGCCGCTGCCACGCCTCACCGAGCGCTGGACGGTGCCCAAGGGCCATTTCATCGACAAGAAGTCGCAGGAGAACTTTGAGCGCATCACCATGCGCCGCCTCATCCAGATCAAGGACGGCCACCCCGAGGCCGTCCAGGCGTGGCTGGCGTTCCTGCAGAAGCACGCGTACTACGCCATTGGCATGAAGGCGAACGTGTGGGAGTTTAGCAGTCTTGGTGAGTACTTTCTCTGTTTCTTGTTGAGAGGTCAGGTTGACTAACGAGTCGCTCTTTTTTTCTTTTTAGATGTCGGAAAGACGATGGACGAGGGCGCATTGGAGGTCAAGGAGCTGCTGGAGGAGAAGTGGGAGCATGTGGTGCACGCCCCGAAACTAGACGGTGTCAAGGACATCGAAGAGTTCCTGGCCAAGGAGAGGGCGAGGGCTTCTGGAGGCCGGTAGTTCTGCTCCGAGCTCTCTCGTGCATAAGTGCATTGTATTGTGTTCTTGTACTGTACAAATATACAAAACGAAACCGAACTGGATGTGCGTGCAACAGAGATATGTGTGATAATATGAGAAGTCGTTCGAGGCGTAGTGGTTCAGCAAGGCAAGGCATCTTGATGGTATGAAACCGGATTCAACGGGGCAACAATGCTAAAATTGATTGCCTTTCATATAACACGGATTTTCCCCGTTCATGTAAAAAAAAAAAAAAAAAAAAAACAGACAATATTGCTTGTGTTTGCGTTCCATGAGTGAAATTCGAAGGATGTGTGAAATTACAGCGGGTGAGTGCTAAAGGCGAGCGAGATTAGCAGTCAGCCCACCTGTAATTGTTTTGTTTGTAGCGCCGTGAGCTGGTCTTGGGGGCCTGTCTGCAGAGCCTGCGGCGAACCGTTTTGGCGAGTGCCCTTCCAGGTTGACTGGTCAAATTTTAGATCTAATATCCATACCCATGTCGAATGTTCTCACACATGAACGACAAACCCGCCGTCTTATAGAATCGCCAAGGACCACGGTACGGGGCCGAGACGGCTAGCGATTTCTCGGATGCACCGACTACCTTAGACACTATCAGCAGAACGGTCCAGGAATGAAGCGCAGTGGCTGGAGCTGCGGCCAGGCACGGCAGCTGCAACGTCTCGTCTCATGCTCAACGCAGAGAAGAAGATGCTTTGCGTCGTCGCCGCCGTGGTCGCCGTCGTCGCGTGCTGATGGCGGCGGCCAGGTCATATTCTCTGGGATTCAGCCGACGGGGGTGCCGCACCTGGGCAACTACCTCGGGGCCATGCAGCAGTGGAAGCGTATGCAGGACGAGGCGGCGCCGGATACCAAGCTCATCTTCTCCGTCGTCGACCTGCACGCCATCACGGTGCCGCGGCCCCGCGGCCTGCTGTCGCAGTGGAAGCGCGAGATGTTCACCGCCCTGCTAGCCATCGGCCTCGACCCGGACCGCTGCGTCCTCTTTTACCAGTCCTCCGTGCCCGCCCACTCGGAGCTGCAGTGGATTCTGAGCTGCACCGCCTCGACCGGCTACCTGTCGCGCATGACCCAGTGGAAGGTATATTAGGACTACTACTTGACACGGAACTCCTTTTTCTCACACCGTTGTAGAGCAAAATGTCGCTAGCCGACGACGTGACGGCCTTTGACGACAAGGTCAAGCGCTCGCTCAAGCACGGCCTGTTCTCGTACCCCATCCTGCAGGCCGCCGACGTGCTCGTCCACCGCGCGACCCACGTCCCCGTCGGCGACGACCAGAAGCAGCACCTCGAGTTTGCCCGCGAGTGCGTTACAAACTTCAACAGCGCCTACGGCGGCCAGCACCTCGTCAAGCCCGAGACTATTTTCTGTAAGATTTCGTTCTGCTGTCTCTCGTTTCTTTTTGTCAACCCGGGTCGGTTGATACCGCCTCTTGCATACACATGTGTGTCTAGATATATCTTGTCACGTTGAAGACATATCAAGGACTAAAGGGGGAAAGAAAAGGGGGAAAGAAAAGGGGGAAAGAAAAGGGGGAAACCAGCAAGGAAACAGAACCAAAAAAACTAACCTCCTGCCGTTACAAAACCACAGCCCCAGCGAAGCGCGTCATGTCGCTCACGAAGCCGTCGGCCAAGATGTCCAAGTCCGACGCGGACGCGCGGTCGCGGATCCTGTTCACCGACTCCGCGTCCGCGATCCGCGCCAAGGTGATGGCAGCGGTGACCGACTCGACCAACGCGGTATCGTACGACGCCGCGGCGCGGCCCGGCGTCGCCAACCTGCTGGAGCTGCTATCGCACTTTGACCCGGCGGGTCGCGGCGCCGGCGAGCTGGCGGCGTCGGCCGACCTCGCTGGCGCGCCGCTCAAGGAGCTCAAGACGCGCGTCGCCGACGCCGTCAACGCCGCGCTCGCGCCCATCCGCGACCGCTTCGCCGAACTGCTCGCCCGCCCCGACTACCTCGCCGGCCTCGTCGAGCAGGGCGCAGTGCGCGCCAACCAGAGCGCCGAGGAGACCATGAAGATTGTGCGCGAGGCCGTCGAGCTGGGTGCTTGAAAGGGGACTGCGTCTGTCTGTGTATATGGGAGGAAGCAAGTTTGGTTGTCGTGTAAGATACTTGTACATGTGTTTTTTTATATAGAGTAGAGTGTAAATAGACTATAGTGCTGAATATATAAGCATCGTTTGCGTCGTTGTCGTCGTCGTCGCCGACGACAACAACAACAACACCGCGTTCCGGATAACCAACCCCACACGCAAAAAGTCACACATGGTGACATGATATATCGCTCCAGAAGCACGACGCCAAAACCTTGCCCGCGTCTAAGTAGAATACCCAATACCTTCCTACTAACCTACCAGGCGCATAATAGCGCAACTTCTAGTTTCCATTCATTGCTTGTTTTAGCTCCTTGCTTTGCAGCAGCCGCAGCCTAGGTACTCCACACCCGCCTTTTTGAAGAGAGCGTCGATGACTACCTATCCAAAACGAAAAAAAAAAAAAAAAAAGACGAAAGATGTCCGACTCCAAAATCACCCAGTGCCGCCTTCCCCACTGGCATTGTCCCAGGAACCAGTCCTAGTCTTGGCGGACGCGGGTCCAGACGCAGGCGTAGAACCGTCCAAGACGCCGCAGTCGAGCAGCGTCCAGGGGGTGCCGTCTGTGGGCGCCTCGAAGTCGTTCGGGTCGAGCAGCGCGTCCACAGCCTGGGAGTAGTACATGGGATCCGCAAGAATCGAGGTGCCCCAGTTGTTCACTGCCCCGAAGAGATATGACTCGTCCACACAAGCTAGATTGATGCCGTTGTTGTTGTTGATGTCGTTATTGTTGAGGTTGTTACTATTGTGGTTGTGGTTGTGGTTGTTGTTGTCGTCATTGTTATTGTTGATGCCATCGCCATCACCGCTTCCGAAAAGCCCCATATCATGGATATCCACTTGCTCCGCCGAAGTGGCCATGATCTGCTCCACTTGGCTTATCCGCGCAGATGCCATCGATGGCGATCCCGAGTGGTGTGCAAGCTTCACCTGCCTGGGCAAGGGGGTAATAATGCCCGTCGACCAAATGGCGTTGGTGGCAGGCGACCCAGTCACAGCAAACGGTCTGTGTGAGAATCTGGGTGTGAAATAAGTCGAGGCTTGGGCGTCGGGGTTCATGGCTACATCGGCAATGGTTTCCGGCGCCGGTGACGGCGATACGCGTTTGCGCTTGTTCGTCTGTGGGCCGTAGTCACCAAATCTAGCCTCGTCGCCGATGAGGAGTGTCACCTCTCGGTCCCAGCGTGTCTCCAGGTTGTAGGGCACCCTGCCTACCGGTTTCCCGAGTGGTAAAAGACCAGGGAGTGGCGGTTGCACTGGAGTCAGCGACACAGAAGACCGCACTAGGATCGGGATCCCTCTGGCACAAGAAGGGTCGTTTCCAGGTGGCATTACCATGCCATGGGGCACAGCGAGGCCGTTTAACTGGAGATCGAGGATAATCTGGTGGAGGTAGTTTTGCGCCATTGGAAAGCCAGCCTGGCGGCTTATCGCATCTATGGCCCTGACCAGGAACTCGAGATTGTCGTGCTCGTACCTGCTCGGGTCTTCCTTGCTATCGTATATGTACATAACGGCGGCACAGTACAATGACATGGCAACGAGATGGGTTTTCTATCGCAACAATCAAAGGTAAGTATTGAAAACCACCAGGCTCGGGACCTGGCGAGCCACTCACAGGGTTCGTCATATGGGCGGTCAGCTTCATGATGTTGACAATTTCTTGGGCAGCCATCAATGCCCTGGCCTTGCTGACCTGCTTCAACGTGGTTACTAGGTTAAATCGGTCAATCCGGTCGCAGGCCGCCATGTGAAGTATGATAACAGCAGCATGGAGATTTATGTTGGTCTGCACCGCCACGGGGTTTCGGATGGCTCTCGGCAACCTGAAGCGCTCAGGAACAAACATAAAGACGCTAGACAGAACGTTGTCTAGCTCCCTGTGTCTCTTCCAGAACTGATCGTGCTCCATGTCCTTTGGTTCGTCGAGGGGCCGTGGGCGGTGAATATGTTTCAACAACTGGACATTGATATGGCAGACCACGACGGCCGCGCCAAATTCCGAGTATTGGCCGCCGGCGGACAGATCGCCAAGCTTGGGCATCTTTTCCTCCTTCCCGTTTGCGAATGCCTCTTCGGTGGCGGGCATATTGGTCGTGATCTACTGCCAATCAGAAAATGCCAATCCTTTGGGAAGCAGCCTGGCGCAAGACTTCCAAAGCGAAGTGCACCTACCTGGCTTTCGTCAACCAAGCATGGCCAGCCGGCGCTGTTGCTTGCGTGGCAGTCCATACAGTACGTAGCCCAGAAGATACGTCGGCGTTCTTCTAGGTCGATCCAGTCCTTTGGAGGAACTAACATGGGCGTCATGGGACTCTCCTCGTAGCCGGAGTCGTCGAGACGGTGAAACCCCATCATCTCAACCAGCCTGACGCATCTGGCAGAGCTCATAGCAGCCCGGGTGTAATTCATCCGGCGGGACTCAAACGCGGCGACTATAGCCCAGGCTTGGGCATGGCCAACCGTAATGAAACACTCGCCATCTCCCTATTGGGTCGTCAGCACGCCCGACATGCGAGGGTGAAGTCCAGGAGGCCAACCTTGAGCTCATCAGTTTGCAAGTACTGGCGGGCGCGTTGATAGAATATGTCGCGGTACCGGTTATACTTGGCGTGCCGGTTCGCGCCTAATGCCCAGAGAGCATACTGAAGACACATGGGCGGACGCAGTTGCGGGACCCTGGAGTAGAAAGCGCGCAAGTAGTTGGCCTGGTGAATAATGGGGACCCAAGGGTAGGCCGTCTTGAAAAAGGAGTTGTGGCTACTCCTGTTGTCAACAAAGGCCACAAGGACAATGTGATGGGAGGGACAGGCAGGGCCATCACACTTACAGGTCCTCGATCATGTCATGGGGAGGGAGAGTCTCGGACTGCCCAAGCTCCAGGAGCTCCGTGCTCTGATGTGAGTTTGCATGGCGTGGGGGACGGGGAGCTGCAGCAGAAGGGGGTTGAGAATCACCTGCAAGCGTCTCATCAAAGTCGGCGTCTGAGGACTTTCTTTCGAACGAGTCGGGCGATTCGTCATCGGGGCTAACAAGATCACTTTCAGGCGTCTTGGTTTGTTTCTTCCCAACGGTTTTGAGCAAGCCCTCGACCTGAGCTGTACAGTCTCTGCGTCAGTAAAGGAGAAGGTTGTACAGTAAAAGAGAACCTAAGAGGTGAGGGAGGTGGGCCGGCGTTCTCACCCAATCGCTCCTCCAACTCCCGCACATTCCGCCGCTTGGAGGCCGGCTTCCTCCGTGACTCTGGATAGACACATTCAATGTCGGTCCTTGAACACCGGGCACAAACAGGCTTCTGGCGATCGCCTGGAGATGAGGTAAGCGGTATAGTCGGGTGCCGAGAGGGAAGTCCCAACTTTCAAGGAAGGGCGCGGGGGGTGCCTTTGTCTTACACTTAAGCTTCCGGGCCCGACAGGCGACGCATGCCAGCGGCTCACTACCAGCACCAGCACCAGCACCAGCACCAGCATCAATGGCTGCTACTGCTGTGGCATCTAGTCCCAGACCCGACGCACTTGCCAGGGCATCTTCGGGGGAAGTCGACATTGAGATGAGAAAGGGTTAAGTTGATCTAGGTCTAGGTCTAGGTCTTGGTCTAGTCGCGGGGGGTTGCTAGGCGCGCGGTGTTGCCAAGGATGGAAGGGGTTCCACGACGCCTTCCCTTCAGGTGTGCAGAGGACGCGATTGCAAACCTCAGGCGCGCCCAGCGCGCAGGTATTATGTCTGTCCCAGACCTGCAGGCCGCCTTATAACCCCATCTTGGTTAGGTATGTGCTAAATACCGGCTGCACGGCCGATCCCGTTCGGTTGGTTGCGGCGCGTGAATGCCAGCCCTGGGCTTTGTTAGGGGGGGCTCGGACTTTGCACCAAACAGCCGGGCTCCTTCGCCAAGCACTCGCTCGACACACCTCAGAGTTACACTATAACATCACATCAGCCCTTCCTTCTGCCATTGGACGTCCCGAGTTTGGCTGCCTAGAACCGTGGCTTACTAGAAAAGAATGAATCGAATATCGGAGGAATTAGAAGCCACCTAGGTACTGTTACGTCTGCGTCTCTACTAGTAGTGCATTGCTTCCCTGTGGTGGGCAACCTTGAACCGGGAAAGGAAGCTGCGACGTCTCGACATTCGGGGTGACTCATTCGTTCCTTACAAATGCGTCCTCAATCTAACCCCTTCTCTCGCCGACAGACTCACCTTGAAAGGCAGTGACGAATTGAGTGTTCAATTATAGAGAGCACTCCTTTTGACACTACACTCCAATCCCTAAATGTTTGTTAGCACGGTACTTGGGCAGATTAAATCTTATAGCCTAGCAAATAAACCGGCCAGGAAAAGCCTTCAATATGTGTTTTGGAGAAGAGATACGGAGTAGGCCTCTAGTATTCTATCTAAATTAAGGATTCCGATAGCTTTTACCACCCTCGGCGAAAAACCTTTAGGGCGAGCCGTAAGGTCCTTATTGAGTGAGGCCTTTCAAATCTTGGAAGTACCCCGCTAACAAACATTCAGGGATTGGAGTGAATTATTATGGTGCCAAACCACCCCGAAATGGCCGCCAGTCTGGTGCTCTGTGCCGAGAATGGAATATCTAAGGTAACTATAAGTAAAAGTCCCGGCTACCATCTACGTGCGTAGCATGCGATATACAGTAGTTCGTACATACACGTGAGTGAGCCCTTTGTGAATAAAGCTGCATAGCCGTTACGCTAGCAGTGCCGAGAACTGGCTTGGTCTTCCATGCCACTCAAACGTCAACTTAAAGTAGGTAGAGTGCCTCGGCTGTCACTCAATCTTTCCCCAGCTCCAAATGTTCAACCCTACCTTGACCCCCTTCACAACCGGCAGTCCAGCATGCCACGACTCGTCGTAGCCCCGTCCTGTCCCATCAGGCCGGAAGTTCTCCCAATAGACAGCATTGCCGGCCACGGGCTTGAAGACAACCCCCAGCTTCGCTCCGAGAGTCTGCTGCTGCTGCGTTCCCGCTGATTCGTCGTCAGCCGGGTCAGGGCCGGGACACTCGACAAAAGCACACCATCGAGGGTCCACGGGGGGTCTCAAGCGAGGAAACTCGGTCCCGCCGCCCTCCAAACTGCCGCCGCCGTCGCCGACCCAGGCCATGAAGCTGCTGACCCTGCCCCAGCCGCCGCGAGATGGATTCCAGTCGAAGTGGTGGTTGTAGTGGCCACCGGGCCGGTACCGCTGCACACGCAGCCTCTCGGTCCACACCTCGTCCGGCCAGCCCTGGAGAGCCCGCGAGCGGGCCTCGATGCATCTCACGGCATCGGTGCGCGGGATCAGCGCGACCTCCGAGTCCCGGACAGTCGGCGCACGTTCCGTCGTAGCCCCGTCATCGTGCGTGACGGTGGAGGGCTCAAAGATGGGCTCGCTGAAGGAAAAAAGGAGGAGAAAAATGTCAAACCCGAGAGTTCCATACTATCCCGCTGCGCGAACGGGATGTTTCTTTCGGAGAGGCATCAAACCTGATTTCTAGCAAATGGCTCCGCTCGTCGGCGGACAGGAAATTCTCAACGTAAATGACGAGAGGCGCCCTCGAATAGATATGGATCGAGTAGGCATTGGGGGGGCATTGCTGTCCTGTGCCGTTGATGGCGCCGGCCGTCTCCAGTGCCAAAAGGTCTTCGTTGAGCCGCGGCCGTGGTATCCGCCGGATTTGTGGAACGCCCGGTGTCAGGAATTCCGCAATAGGGTTGTAGAAGACTACCAGGAGTCCCAGGAAGGCCACTATATACGAGAACATGCTTCAATGTTAGACCAATCGCAGTGTCGGGCGCATTGATCTTGTTCTCGCGCACTTGGTCGAGGGAATCCAAGGGGGCGGGAGGCCGAAGAGACGCGATTCCAGTCCCAGGCCCACGGTCAGGGATTCCGTGGGATCCATCCATTGGCAGAGATCTCACTCATCGCGCGTCACCGTGCCACCCAAGATTCCGTAATCCTTAATCCACTGGCTCCTTTCCCCTACCTATTGGAACAGCAGAAGCGATCCTGGAAGAAAGCACTGAGGCCAGGCACTGGCCGCCGCTATTTTCCTTAATTGGGTAAATTTAAATAAATAAATAAAAATAAACCAGGCAGAGTTCCCCGAGTGTAAAAGAGATGGCAGCCAGATGCTGACAAAAATATGAGTTACCGACCCACGTGCGGCTCGAACGCACAATCTTCTGAGAACTTGGTCCGAAATCAGATGCCTTACCATTTGGCCAGCGGGCCTCAGTGTTCATCGGATGAAAGAAAAAGCCTGGGAGAAAGACCTATCACTGGAAACCCCGCAGTGCCATGGTCAACCCACAATTCCGAAAGGGGGCTGATGACTTCTTAGGTTGTGCATTTGCAACGAAGTCCGCAAAAGGACTTCCTCGACATGACAGCTTCACGTCTTGTTTCGTCGGCCAGCTGCTACCGGTAATTTGTTTCAATCAGCCTTACCCAGGTGCTAAGAACCGAGTCGGAACTTTTTTTGTCCTCGTCGGCTAGCTTCGTTCCTTTTTGTTAGTCACCGAACCCCAAGGTGTTGAAGAACTTGAAGAACATCCAGTCGGCTTCCTCCTACTTCCTTCCCTCCCCACTTCCCCTTTGGGCTCTCACTTCCTTCCCCCTCTAGTTTCAGCTTTCAGAGAAATCATTAGAGATGATTAGCACCCTATGTTGCTTCGTGCCTTATCCAGGGAGCGTCTACGAGATGACGAAGCTTGGGAAATGCAATCTTCTTTTACCCGGTCCTGTCCCGTCTCCCGCACTTGACGAACTTTAACCCTCTGGCAATTGAGTAGAAATGATAACCATGTGACACAATTCCAACGCGTCTGAAGAGGTCCATTTCCGGGCTTGGTTCGGCCATGTGCAGGCGGGAGGGCGCCATTCGGATGTCGGATGCCGCGTCGATTGAGGAAAGGTCTCGGCACGGCGGGAGGCTTGGCCCAGGAACCTGGACAAAGATCTTGGTCACTACCCAACCATGACCGGGACATGCATCTGTGGCAAGGGCTCGGCAGGCGGGCCGACGACATGCATCGCATTGCGCGGAGGATTGCCTGCCGCCGCCCGACGCGAACCGGGTTATTACCTACTCCAAACAATACTTGGTACATCCATTCCCATTACCCCGTCAGTCAGACGTTCTGGCCATGACAGCTTTGCAAACTCCATCTTCCTGACGACCTCAGCCGGCGAGGCCATCCCCCCTCGGAATACTCGACTCGATCTCATGTAGAATTGGCGCCCTCGGCGCCTCCAGCTCGCCATCCTACCATGGAGGCTCTCCAAAAGTGGAATATGCTTGCCTGAAGTGATTCCCCCGAATGGCTCACTCGGTTACATCCGGGCGACGACCGCCGACAGGGTTGCCGCCCCCCGCGATGTTTCCACCTACCAGATCGTTCTTCCCTGTGCTAGCCTCCGTCTTCCTTCCCTGAAGACGTCTGTAGCGAGAAACCCCAAGCCCCGTTCCTCGCCAAGTCTATGATGGCTCGTAGCAGTGGCCCTGGTACTTAACGCGGGGAGATACGTCCCCCCGGACGCTATATCCTGCCACCCCTCCCGGCCACTTGTCTTCCTTTCCTCTCCTTTACACGCCCGGCATAGTCAAGGTGGAAGTTCTGTCTGCGTGTCCGCCAAGATGAGGTCGTCGTCTTCTCGCATCCTTGGCGCCCTTGTGGTAGCGGCCTCGTGTAAGTCAAAGCCATACCTCTCTGGGTATCTAGGCTCCATGGCTAACATAGGGGCCATTAGTCGTGCCGTCTGTACTCTCGCAGGCCAACACGGCGGTGAAGTACACAGACTCGGCCACAGGCATCGTCTTCGACACCTGGCCCGTCCCCAATGGCGGCTCCCAGACCCAAGGCGGCTTCACCTTTGGCGTGGCTCTTCCCTCTAATGCCCTCACGACCGACGCTAGCGAGTTCATCGGCTACCTAGTAGGCTACATATGGCCTCGTCTTGCTATGAGATTTCGAGGGTGCTGACTGGCTTCCAGCAATGTGCGTCTAAGGACTCGGTCAACATGGGCTGGTGCGGCGTCTCTCTCGGAGGCCCTATGACCAACTCGCTCCTCTTGACGGCTTGGCCGAAGGGTGACACCATATACACGTCCTTTCGCTACGCGACCGGATATGCCATGCCAGACCTCTACACTGGAAACGCCAAGCTGACCCAGATCTCGTCGATCATCAACGCCACGCACTTCACTTTGGTTTTCCGCTGCCAGAACTGTCTGCAATGGAACCAGAACGGCCAGACAGGCGGCGCTTCCACCAGCGCCGGGTTCATGGTCCTCGGGTGGGTGCAGGCGTTCTCTTCGCCAGGCAACCCGACGTGCCCCGACCAGATCGCTCTGGATCAGCACGACAATGGTATGAGCATCTTCGGCGCGGTTCTAGACGGCAACGCCGCCAACCCGTCCTACTCGGCATGGGCTGCGAAGGCGACAAAGACGGTCACGGGAACCTGCCAAGGCCCGACCACGACTGCCATCGCCGCTGTTCCCGTCCCGACGGGTGTCACTTTTGACTACATCATCGTCGGTGGCGGCGCCGGAGGCATTCCCCTGGCCGATAAGCTGAGCGAGTCCGGAAAGAGCGTGTTGCTCATCGAGAAGGGCCCGGCGTCTTCCGGCCGCTGGGGCGGTACCCTAAAGCCCGACTGGCTTGTTGGCACCAACCTCTCCCGATTCGATGTCCCAGGCCTGTGCAACCAGATCTGGGTTGACTCGGCGGGAATTGCTTGCACGGATACTGACCAGATGGCTGGGTGTGTTCTCGGTGGCGGCACCGCCGTCAATGCTGGTCTCTGGTTCAAGGTGAGGAGGAGCAGCTTCCAGATAAGGAGAGGCGAGTCGCTGTGAGCATTAGTGATTAACCTCTGGCCAGCCGTACTCTCTTGACTGGGACTATCTATTCCCGGCCGGGTGGAAGTCACAAGACGTCCAGGCAGCGATAAGCAGAGTCTTCTCGCGAATTCCGGGCACAGACGCTCCGTCTACTGACGGCCAGCGCTATCTGCAGCAAGGCTTCAACGTCCTCAGCGGCGGTCTGAAGGCGGCGGGATGGAACCAAGTTGTCGCTAACAACGCCCCTAACCAAAAGAACCGCACCTTCGCCAACACTCCTTACATGTACTCCCATGGAGAACGCGGCGGCCCCATGGCAACGTACCTCGTCAGCGCCAAGAGCCGGAGCAACTTCAGGTTGTGGCTGAACACGACTGTCAAGCGCGTTGTTCGCGACGGTGGCCATGTCACTGGCCTCGAGGTTGAAGCTTTCAGGGACGGCGGATACCAGGGAGTCGTAAACGTCACCAACGTCTCAGGGCGCGTGATTTTGTCTGCTGGGACCTTTGGCAGTGCCAAAATCCTGCTCAGGAGCGGCATCGGTCCCAAGGACCAGCTAGACATTGTCAAGGGCTCTGCCGACGGCCCGACCATGATTGACAACCAGTCTTGGATCAATCTGCCTGTGGGCTACAACTTGGACGACCATGTCAACGTGCGTGTCTCTTGGGTCCTTGGGCCACTTGGATTTGACGCGCTAACTTGAGAGGTTTCAGACCGACACTGTCATCACGCACCCAGATGTTGCCTTTTATGACTTTTACGCCGCTTGGGCAACCCCGAACGCCACCGATGCGAGCAACTATCTTAGTACGCTGTATCTGTTTGCTCGTATATCTGCCGTTGTGACTAACCATTGGCTCTCTTTACAGATCGCCGCACTGGAGTTCTCACCCAAGCCGCACCCAACATCGGCCCGATGTGAGTTTTACCATTGCCCATTTATCAAGCTGTGGGAATATACCTAAATCGTGTTGTCAGGTTCTGGGAAGAGATCAAGGGAGCAGACGGGATCGTACGGCAGCTGCAGTGGACTGCCCGGGTGGAGGGGAGCTTTGACACGCCAAATGGACGTACGTTTTTCTCACCTCCCTCTTCATTAATGAAAGGCTTGGGCAGTAGGCTAAACAGCTAGCCCCCTACAGATGCCATGACGATGAGCCAGTACCTCGGCCGCGGCGCCACTTCGCGCGGGCGCATGACCATCACCCCGGGCCTCGGTACTGTCGTGTCGGACGTGCCATATCTCAAAGACGCCAACGACAAGGCCGTGGTCATTCAGGGCCTCGTCAATCTGCAGAACGCGCTGAAGAACGTCAAGGGCCTGGTCTGGCAATACCCCAACGCGACCACCAGCGCCGCTGACTATGTCAACAACGTGTGTTTTGGCCCCATTCCTTTACCCCTTTTTTTCGTCAACAACAGCAGCTGACCACATCCAAAAACAGATGGTGGTATCCTACTCCAACCGGCGGTCCAACCACTGGATGGGGACGGCCAAAATCGGCACCGACGACGGGCGCGTGCCCGGCGGCTCCGGGTCCGCCGTCGTCGACCTCAACGCGCGCGTCTACGGCACCGACAACCTCTTCGTGGTCGACGCCTCCATCTTCCCCGGCGTCCCCACCACCAACCCGTCCAGCTACATCGTCGTGGCCGCCGAGCACGCCTCACAGCGCATTCTGGCCCTGCCCCCTGCTGCTGCTGTCGCCCGCTGGGGCCAGTGCGGCGGCCTGCAGTGGACCGGCTCGTTCGTCTGCGCCGCGCCGTACAAGTGTGCGTACCAGAATGACTATTATTCGCAGTGTTTGTGAGGGAGGGGATTCATGGGGGTAGGGGTAAGGGGGGATGTTTTTTACTTCTTTCCCTGCCTTCCTTGCCTTACGTTACAGATCTTGGGCACTGCGCAGTCAACATCTGTAGATGGAATCTCTTGTATGGCTCATCTGTCTATATTCTTTTTTTGTCCGAGGCTCTGCCACGTACCGTACATATATGTCTACCTATCAATATGAGCTACCTGCCACTCAAATTATGTTCATCGTGGTGAATGTCTGTGGCATGTCGTCTGGGTGAGCAGTTCTCAAGGGAGCCCCGCAAACCAAACTTGAAGAGAAGAGCTTGTCCCATTCGTGCTGCAGCTTTGTCCTGAAGTCATTGACACCTGGGCAGCATACTTGCATCAATACCCATCGTGGGAAGCCACGCAGAGACAGCCATTTAACCCTTCGTACCTGCATTTCCCCTCCTTCCTGCTGTTGTTTCCTGCACTCGCTGTTTGGGAGGAGAATAGGTTGAGGAGATACTTATTGGATTGGCAATTACCAACTACTACGAAAAGCTGTTTTGAGAAGCCATGTATCTATCTACCTCACTTTTTTGTTAACAAATCCCTAACGCTCCCCATCGTGTTGCCGCAACACAAATAGACCACTAGGGCAAGCTTGCATTCCCGCCTTGACAAGACAAAAGCCGTATAAGATGACGCTTCATTTCTCATCCTTTCTCCATTCCATCGTATCGGTAGGATACCGTCAATCTTCAAAATGCAAGCCCACCAGATCCGTAGCGTGGGGGCAACAGGGAAGAAAAAGAAACCCCAGAAAAGAAACTGTGTCTAGACTCTACGGGTCGCAGATACCAACCGCGCCAGAAGCAGATGGTGTCGCCCAAGACCTTATCGTCAAGTTGCCATCATGTATTGTACATCGCCCAAACAAGTTTTATTGTTTCCCAGCCCCAAGACTGGCTAGGAACTCCTTTCCCCAAACACCTAAATGTAGAAGCGCCAGCAAGGGCCGATTTATGTAATCATGGCTCAGCCGAAAAGCCCTTAACAGCGCGGGGCCATCAGCCAACCCAAACCAGACTCCAACAACGCCAAGATGGAGATGCGCCGAAAAGAACCGCTTCGTGGAATTATAGCTCAGTCGACAAGACCCTGGCAACAGCGCGATGCCACCAACCAAACCAAACCAAACCAGCCTCCAAGAACTCCAGAATCCGAGGAAGAAAGAAGGATCCGAGAAAGAGGAAAAAGACATTCGTAGCTAGAAGCATGTCTTCTTGAATGTGAAACAAGATCATTACAATTGCCGTCAAGGACCTTGTCGCTGAGAGAAGCCTAAAATATGTATTCACTCCGTAGAAAGAGCACCAAAAGTCCGACTTCAGTAGATTACCCGGTCGAGAACGGTCGAGAAAAGAAAATATGGCAGTGCTGTAGTATCCGTAGTCGTCCCACAGCTCTCAATGGCCAGCAAAGGCTGGCGGTACAATCACAACACAACCTGAATCTCTTAGAAACCCTCCTCGAAGCGTGGGTCGAACTGGCAGGTATGCTCAAAGACGACCGAGTCAAGCCAGTAAACGGGTCCCGAGCGAGCCTTAGCCGTGCGGTGTGTCGCCTCGAATCGAACTTTCTCGGAGAAGTTAAGTTTCTCCTCAAGAAGCGACTTGACCCACTTCAGATCGTCGTCATACGACTTCTGCTCTTGCTCCAGACCCTGGTCTCGATGCTTGTGCTTGACAAAGTAATTCAGGTACACCTGGTAATACTTGCGGTCGTGGTTGCGAATCGGATGCTTGTAGATGGGATTGGCGGAAGGATCGACAAAGTCGTAACTAGACTCAGATGAGTATCGACCTGAGACACTCGAAATCAGCTTGTCAAGAAGCGAGAACCCAATCTTTTTCATTCTCGAAGCATGGTCAACGAAGACGTGAATCTTTGCAGTCGCTCGGCTGGCTCCTGTGCCACCGCCGGCCAAACCCGGCTCCCAGACCGAAAGATAGGAGAACCCAAGAACTTTGCTGTTTTTCTTAGGGCGGGCTCTATTGTTGGGAAGGATTTGGCGATAGGGTGAATAGGTGGCAGTCCTATCATTCAGGTGGAGGTCACCGACCGACCCGCTCACGGCAACAAGGAACGGCATGCCAAGCTCCTGGGTAGTTTTGAAGATCTTCTTAAAATCCTCGATAGCTAAAGGCTCGGAGTCGAGAGCCTGGAGGCCATTCTTTACCTCCCAGTTGTAGATTCTAGCTACTGCCTCCATGTCGGCCTTCTGGGCCGGGCGCAGGTAGCATTTAGCACGGGGTGTGATCGGATTCTTCACTGGAATCTCTACCTCTGGCTGCTTAACAACAAGTCCCAATCGGACCGCATCCTCTGGGTCTATGGACTCATATTCGATGGGCGCGATGTCCGCCCTACGGCCTCCGCGCCGGGTGCGACGCTCATGGTCTATCTCGTAATTTCTGACGATTAGAGCTGAAGTGAAGTTATGGCGGCGCCATCTCAGTTCAGGAATCTGCGTCGAAAGATCGACAATTGTATCGGGGTATGCAATTGGCGGCGCAAGGAATCCCGTGTCGGTATCAATATCGCATTTCCAATGCTCCGGTTCATTTCTGATTAAAAGTTTGGCTCTGACGTTGCCAAGAACGTTTTGGTGCCACGTGAGGACGAATTTATTAAGGTAAGTCTCGGAAGCAAAGAGGTCATTGTCGTCTTTTCCGTCAGGGTGGTCCCAGTTGTACTTTAACCACTTGCCGTCATTAATTGCGATGTTATGCTCCAGTCCAATCTGACCGCGGATATCACTCTGATTGTTGCGCTTGGGGACTTCAGCGCCGTGGCTACCGATAGTATCGTCGCTGATTTTCATCAATGGCACTGAGGGGAGGCTCGGAAAAGATCCCTTAAATTTGTGATTGCGACGGGGCACCCCGTGCGCTTCCAGCTCTGGAAGTGTGACATTGTCGCGCGCCCACTTAAAGTCTACCCACTTGATTTTGCTCTGCGCAATGCGCAGTGCATCTTCTGTCAAAGGCATCATAGCTGGAGCTGGAGTTTGTGAAAGGACCGGATGATGGCTCGCTTGAGGGTAAAAACTGCCATGGACCAATGGGTAGCCGGTATGACGACTGTCCCTGAATGGGATGAGAGGCTTCGGGTCATTTGGTGTCCGCGACCACTGCTTCATGTCCTCTTCTTTCAGTTCTGAAATGTCGAACTCGCTGGAATGGTCCCGCGACCACTGCTTCATGTCCTCTTCTTTCAGTTCTGAAATGTTGAACTCGCTGGAATGGTCCCGCGGCCACTGCTTCATATCCTCTTCTTTCAGTTCTGAAATGTCGAACTCGCTGGAATGGTCCCGCGTGTTCTCCTCTTTCAGGCCAGGACCGTGACCGTCAAACTCGGAATGATTTTGCGGGGGCAGGAACCTGATTCCTTGTTTGTTCACTCTGTTCTCCCTGTCCGGTTGGATGGGCCACTTTGTGAAGGCCGGCTCGGAGTTCTCCGATTTTTGCCGCTTTGGAGAATGGGGAACCGCCCTAGAGATCATCTCGGCGGGGTTTTTGCCGCTCTTTTCCTTCTCAACCAAGCCGGCAGCTTGAATGAAAAAGGCGGTCGACTCCGCTGAGTCGAGGTTCGCCATTTTGACAAAAGTCGAAACGTATTCCGGCTCTTCGTTGTCGGTCTAACCAACAGTGTCCGACTAGCTAATGCTGCTAGACGAATTTGATTGTTCTGGCTTTTTTTTCGTTAAAGTGTCAACTTCAACTGGATCTGGACTGCGGGGACTATTGTCTAAGGGCTGCGGCGACTATTGTCTAAGAAGCAACATACAACGCGAAGGGTAGACCTACTGTTGGCGAGTGCTGGTCCAATAGGCAGAGCTTTTTAGAAGCGCTAGGTAGAATGTGAGTAACTAGTCTTTACACCTAGAATTCGGAAGAGAGGTGTTGGTGTGAACGAGCGGGGGGCGATGGCCTAAAGACTGCCCTGAAGTGAAAGTGGAGGGGACCGAGGAAACGGTAGCGGGAAAGGGAATTGGCGAAGGAGGGAATACAAGAAATTAGGACGATGGGGCGATGGAATAAGAAAATGAAGGCCTAATGAGCCATGGAGTGACAGAGTGCAGATTGCAGGCTGCGGAAGCGAGAAGGTTGGGTAGAAAGATATAGAGAACGAAGTAAAATAGATGCCTAGAAGGCGCGAAAAGAAGAAAAGATTGCGAACTAACCTGCTGAGAGAATACAGTCTGGTCACAGTGTACCAAGCCCTGCTGTTACTTTCCTCAAGATAAAAGTGGCGCGAAGAAAATTGAGTCGAGAAGACGAACAATTCGCGGTTCCTCACGGTGCTGTGAGAAAAAGAGGCCCCGAGGAGTTTCTCGTCGGCTCGCCGCGCAGTTTTTGCGGGGTGCCCTATGATAATATTAGATGTCAAGCAAGACACCTGAAAGAAAATGAAGGAGCGTATACTGACCGAGCGCACAAGCAGGTTCCGTTGAGAATATCAGTAGGTAGAGAAAGGTATTGGGACTATCGACGTTCGTACGAGGTACGAGAGGTGCGCGGGTGGTGTGTCTCCAGGTCGACAGTTATGTGAGGAAGGTATGGTGTGGAAAGGGCGGAGAAGAAGACGGGTGACGGTTAGGAGGTCGAAATTAGAGGTCGAAAATTGTGGGGAGGCCTGAGGCAGCCCTAGCTCAGGATTTGGGGGGCGGCAGAGCTGAGCCGACGTCACTCCCGACTCCAAAAGAAGGCGGACGCTAGGGGAGATACGGGAAGAACGGTAGGAAAATGTATCGAAAGAGACGCGTGAAATGGAAGGTACGGAAAATAGGATGCGAGAGGAAGGTACGGCCGGGGAGTGCACGAAGGTGGAGAGGGCGCGCCAGGCGAGGCGAGGGGAGGCCAGGTGAGGCGAGGTTGACCCGTATGCGATATTTATCTATGGATGGCTTGTATGCCTGGACAAGGCACTTTTAGAAAGACGACTGGCCTTCAGCCCATTGAGTTCTAAAAAGAAATTATAGTAGACCAACGAGATCGAGGTGATTATATACTTGAACATGCAACAAGTGAAGTCCTTGAGCTCTTCTGACCGACATTAGGAACCGACAGGGCAGCGGGATACTCGGATATAATCCTCGAACTTATTAAGGACAGCATCATGGAGTGAAGCCAGCCCAAACACTAGCGATACTGTGACCTTATTGATAACATATTTACAGACGGATGGCTAGGTCCTTGGCCCACCCGGGGCAGTGTGTCCTATCTTGTTATTCTTTTGGTTAGACAGAAGGGAGCGGGGACATTTAATGCGCTGCTTAGATGCTTAGAATGAATCCGATATGGGAAGGAGATATTCTGCTGTAAAAAAGCCAGCGTATCTGGTTGGCCGGGCGTCTGTGTGTAAGTGAGACGGATGTCGTTGAAATCGCATCACGTGGAGTTGGGGGTCACAGGACGCGCGGGGTGTGTAGTACCCACTTTCCTGAACGAGCCGGTCGAGGCAACCTTCGCGTCTCTCGCCATGGCAGGCATCACACTTCCCTGCGTTTACTTACAGCGCATGTTCAGAGACATTCTTGAAAGTGCCAGGCCGAATCCCATCTTCGGCCAAGATGCTCTCAATCCTCCGGAAAGCGAGGCTCAAAGACAAGGAGCTGAGGATTCTAATGCTGTAAGCCGCCGTGTTTGCTGCTCGTGCATGCAGGTACTGTATTGTACTGTACTTTACAGTACAACACGTACTACTGCGCCTTGCTAACCACGCCTTTGTTCCAGCGGACTCGATAATGCTGGCAAGACGACGATTGTCAAGAGGGTCATGGGCGAAGATGTTAACACCGTCAGCCCTACGCTCGGCTTCATCATCAAGACGATTGACTACGAAGGGTGAGTGGCCCAGTGACCCCCTTGCCAGACTTGGTGCAAAGAAGAGGTCCTACGACTAGATGCTGACGTGGAAAGCGTGTCAACTCCAGCTACAAGCTCAATATTTGTAAAGTTGACTGGCTGCCTCTAGCTAAAACAGCGGCCCGGTGTTAATAAATGGACCTTTCAACGCGCAGGGGATGTGGGCGGCCAGAAGACGTTGCGGTCATACTGGAGAAACTACTTCGAAAAAACGGACGCCCTAATTTGGGTCGTTGATGCCACGGACCGGCTGCGAATCGACGACTGTCGAGATGAGCTGCATGGGCTACTTCAAGAAGAGGTAGTACAGAGTACCATTTCACCTCCATATCCGACTTCAACGGACGTTACCCGGGCAGTGATGACAGCTGACACTGAATCGTGATAAAGCGACTTTCAGGGGCGAGCTTGCTCGTCTTTGCCAACAAAACTGATGTTCAGGGATGCATGTCTGGCGATGAAATATCCAAGGTTAGTTGTTCATTTTCGGTGGATTTTCGTCTCCTGTCTCTGGGGAAACCGCAGAAGCTGAACTTAGTATCGGCTATGCACAGGCCCTTCGACTAGACGAGATCCGAACACATCGGTGGAACATCCTTCGGTGTAGTGCCATCACGGGAGAGAACCTAAGGGAAGGCTTGGCCTGGGTGGTTGAAGATGCAAAAGCCCGTCTTTTCTTGTACTGAGGCATGCATCTTGCCTTTAATCTTTTCTGTCTTTTTCTCGGGGTTTTGTGAGAATCAAGGAGCCAGTACCTTACGACGAAGAGGAGGAAAAGCATGGCTCGGCTGAACAGCGGACGATCTTTCTACGTACGAAGTACACGTGCAGACGATACATGAGGTGGTAGCGAAAAACGACACCATGTCGCTGGCTCTTGACAGCCGATTTGCTGGGTGCTGGCTGAGCTGCACTAGGATCTTGGCCTAAGGGTAGCAGCGACGGGGGAGAAATTAAAACAAAACAAAACCTAAAAAGAACCACCCAAGCCGGGATCAAAACGTAAATACTTCTAGGATAGGTAAAGATGAACGCTGCACACAGGCGGTACTTGCATTTAGGTAACACAAGATTTAGGTTTCTTACTGAGTAGCATCCAATGCTCATTCGGCCGAGCATTCGAAACATTGAAAGGCTTCCGACTTTCTGTCACGAAAGATAACTCCCGTCAGGTTCCATGACTTGGATGGGCTGGTCAAAGCGCCTGGCGAAACAGTGCAAGGTTCTGAGACAGGCGCATTCCGACTGGCCTAGCAGCGGATCCATCCAACTGGCGGCGGAGCTAACGAACCCCCCCAAGCTCGTCCCAAGTCGAGTCTCGCACGAGCCACCAGCCACACCCGCCAAATGGAATCGCAGCCAGAGCGGTTTAAGACCATCAAACTGCCCCTCCGCAGCACTCGCATGATTTAACGTTCAGGGTTGCATGTTGACTCGACCGCCCTGGGATGATCCCGTATCTTGCGTGTGTGTCTGGCCCCGATGTGCCCGATTCCGCCCCAATATCCAGCCTGCGCACCTAACTTGAACCATGTCGGACGAGGTATCTGATTTTCTTCGGTCGGTTGAGCTGTTGAAGGGACGACGCGAGGAGGAAGACGAGGCGCGTTCGCGCGAACTCGAGGAAAAGATTCTCCAAGAAAAACGAGAACGCCAGGCGCGACGTGCAGGTACGCCAAACCCCCCTCTCCAATCCGCTGCCACATCCCCCCTCCCTCTTTTTGCCTTTGCAGTTACGAAGTTACGCAAGGACAATTGCTGCTGTTGCGGAGCCAATCCCTCGTTGAAGGCGACCCGAGCCGGTGCAGGTTTTGGTGCTGGTTGCCGGTGCAGGTGCTGGTGCAAGTGCGTGCAGGTGCTGGCGCTGGGGCCGGTACGGTATGCCTGCTACCTACGCGACTCTAAATTGTTTGGTGCCGGTCGGTGCTTGGTCCGCGATCGCATCTGCCGACACTTCCTCTGCCTGTCCATGTCTCCATGGATTGTGTATTGACACATATCCTACTTCGATACCCCAAAACCCGAGCCCGGGCTCCGCAGCTGCGTGTGCGCATGAGATGACCGACCCACTGACTTGGCTTTCTTATCCGTCGCAGAGCGCGCAAGATCAATTTCTCCACAGAAATCATCACCGGTCAACACCCCGTCGCCTTCTGCACAGCGAACAAACCGTGCCCTGGCTACCGACGACACATTGCTGACCTCGCCGGGACTTGAAAGTTCTGGCAGCCCGCGGGCACGCGTCGCCCGCTCGTCGGAAGCCATGGACAGCACTACCGACTACTCCAACTCGAACTCCCCCACCAAAGAAAACGACTCGCCGTTCGACTTGGAATTCAAGCGATCGAGTCTTACCCTGACCTCGCCCTCGGTCGGCGGGCCGCCCTCTCGCTCGCCCCTTTCGTGGCAGCGCCGGCCCCCATCTCAAGCGTCGGACCGGCCCCGGCCGCTCTCTGTTGTCGCTGCAGAAAACGCGGCTGCTCGATCATCTCCTAACCCCCCCTCTGAGCCAACGCCGGCGCCAGAGCAGACCCTGACGCGTGACCAGATTGCGCAGTCGCTGGCAGGCAAGGACCCAACCTGGTTCCGCCAGACGGCCGACCGCGGACAGAACTCTCCGGCATACCGGCGCAACCAGGTCGAGGATACCGACGTCGTCGACATGTCGTCGTCGCGCGTCCAGCTGGCCGGAATGTCACGCAGTCCTGCAGCTGCTCAGCCGTTCAGAGATAGCCCGGTCCCTGCGCCCGATTTTTCTGCGCGGCACAGCAAGATTGGATCGCCACTTGTTCTCAGTGGTCCCCAGCGCCTCGACCCCCCAACTGGAGAGACCGGCGGTGGCGGAGAAACATCGTCGAGCGATCGTCAGCCGGCTCTACCCACCAGCGGGCGTACGTCGCCAAGCAGGCCAGTGTCTCCAACCAAGGGAATGGGCGGATTTGTGCAGAGCGCCATGATGAAGCGCTCGGATAGTGTAAAGCGTTGGAGTGTTACCTCGCCAGGAGGGCTGCAGCGTGCAGATTCCTCCGTATCTAGCAGAGGCGGCCTCGAAGGTGCGCCAAAAGGCAACCGTCCAGCCAGCGTGCTCAGGGACGGGTCGACGACGCCTTCGTCTCGGCCAACCTCGAGTCACGAAAAAGAGCCCGAGAATTCGACCGCCACGGCCTCTGCCACCGTCCCCGATGAGGCTGCCCCGACAGAACCCGAGGAAGAACCTGAACAGACGACTCCGCCAGTAAGCCCGTCCAAGACAATGGATCCGCGGAGATGGAGCCCGACCAAGTCTTCCAGCTGGCTTGAGGCGGCTCTCAACAAACCTGAATCACCAAAACCGAAGCCCACTCCGCCGCCTTCCAACCAGCCAGCTTGGATGGTCGAGCTGAACAAGGCAAAGGCCCAAAAAACCAATATCGGAAGTGGAGGTTCTATTCGGAGCCCGTCTCTTCCTAAGAAACCCGAGATCAAGACTGGCGGTCTTTTGAAGTCTACGCCGATGGGTGCGGGCGCGGGTCCAGTCTCCGCCGGCCTGGGCGGTTTTCCGCGTGTCTCGCCGAGCGACAAGGCTTCGCCTAGTCCCTTCCGGGGAAGCTTCGCGAAGCCTCTGTCAAGACGAGGGAGCGAGGACCCAGGGAGTAACATTCTAGATGGTTCGAGCGATTCTTCGGCACTGACAAAGACGAAGCTTGAAACACCACCGGTAAAGGACTTTCGAGCAAACCTCAAACCGCGCGTGCCGCCCCCCGAGACAGGGACAGGCAAGCCTGATGAGCTGAAAAATGTCTTTGGTAACTTGCGACGAACAAAGACACAGAACTATGTGGCCCCTGACGAGCTGAAAGGCAACATTCTACGAGGTAAGGCAGCACTGAACACCACAGGCGGCCCCCAGAAGAACGAGCGCAAGGATGAATTCAAAGATGCGATTCTGAAGAAGAAGGAGGAGTTTAAGAAGGCGCAACAGGAAGGCCGGGGAGTCACAAAAGGCCCTGGATCGTCCAGCTCGCTTGATGAGAAATCTATCCCCGAAGGGCTTGCGAAGAAACTAGAAATCGCCCGGACCGGCAACACTTCGAGGCAAGGCTCAACAACTTCAATAACTTCTGACTCGACTTTAGATACTCCACGTCCTCTCCAAGATTTGGCACGACCCAACCATCTCTCGGCTTCTGCAAAGAGAGACCTGGCATCAACCCCTAGATTTTCCCCCGAGATAGGGAAGGATCCGGTTTTCAAGCCGAAAACCCCCCCCATTCTCCAAAAAGAGACTGGTCTCTCCAGCCGACTTCAAAGCAAGGTCAGCGGTGGAGGATTGGCTGACCGTTTCAACCCAGCATTGGCCGGCTTGCTTGCAAGGGGCCCTCCTCCCGCTTCTGGTCCACAGAAGAGCCCTGACACTTCCTTGGGCACCCCAACATCAAATTCGGTAGGGGCGGAGGATGTTACTGGACCCGGCCCTCAGCTAACGCACATGACGAAAGGACGAGCTCGTGGCCCTAGGAGGAAGGCTCCAACTTCTGTTGCTGGTGCAAAGCAAGCCGAGGAGCCGAAGGGGCCCGAGCCCGAGCCCAAGGAGCTCCAAAAGCCTAGTGAGCCTGTAACTCCTAAAGAGCCTAGAGAGTCTGTCAAGCCGGAGGTGACGGCGACGTCTCCGGTGCAGAAGAAGCCTCCCGTTACCTCCCCGAAGCCTCAGAAGTTTGTCACGACTCCGACTCCGACTCCGAAGCCAGAAACCATCACCCTTGTAGATCCTAGAAGGTCGCTCGTGCAAGAAACGCCTACAACGGCGGGGGAGAGCGTAATCCCGTTAGTTGACTCGTCTAAGCGAGTATCGGAGGTAGAGCCGTCGTCAACTGGCCGGCCTATTCAGCTGGTTGACTCTTCAATCCGGACGCGTCCGCGATCGCCGACCAAGGTCCATGAACAGGTGGCGGCACTTGCAGCGAAGAATCAGCAGGCGTCGAAACCGACAGAGCCGGCAGATCAGCCAGTATCTCAACCCCCCTCTCCCAAGAAGCTTGTGTTGAAGAGGATTTCGAAGTTCTTGGACGACCAAGAAACACCAATCCCAAGGCCAGAGCCTGAAAAATCGCGGCCATCCTCGCCCATAAGAGGGCGATCATTCCCTGACCCCACAATCACAGTGCCGGGAAAACAGCCGTCGAAAGACAAGGCCGACTCGGGGCCTCCGGTTCCTGCCAAGAACAACACTGCTCTATTTAACGACTCGGGCCCTCAGGTCTCTGCGAAGAGCAACGCCACCCTGTTTAGTGGTGTTGGCTTGGGCCTGAGCAGGACAGCCGTCAAGCCCGGCCCAGGATCTGCTGGGGACGGAGCAGACGCGCAGACTGAACAAAGCCCTCGCCTGCCTCCCAAGGGTGCCAGACCGTTACCACCGCCTCCCAAATTGGCAAGGACGCCACCCAGGATAACGTCCCCAACACGGTCTCCGTCGCGATCTCCGAGCAAGTACAGCGTCGACGTATCAAATCTATTTTCCGACTTTTTCGGGCCGGAACGCCCGAAGCGGAGGTATACGGCAGATGCGGCCGACATCCTCATGCGCCGACCCGTGATGGGATCTACAGTCAAGACGCTGAGGACCCAGCTCTTCCAAGTGTTTGGCGACGGCAAGAAGCTCCCGGTGCCGGCGCATCACGAACGGGTGCTCTTTGAGCGCGAGATGTACCTCTGCCCCCACTCGTTCACCGACAGTGCCGGAAGAAAGGTGAATGAGGTTTACTTTTGGTCCGGTGATGAGGTGCCCGAGTCGGCCTTGCAGGATGCCGAAGTCTTTGCGCCGCGGGAAGCCAGGGCGTTTGGTGGGAAACTCGTGAGGCTATCGCAGGGCAAGGAGACGGCCGAGTTCGTGCAAGCGCTCGGGGGCATTGTGATTGTGCGTCGTGGGTCGAGCAACAAGTACGACTCGTTAGCACCGAACATGCTCTGCGGCCGCCGCTATTTGGGGCAAGTTGCTTTTGACGAAGTCGATTTCTCGCCCGCGAGCCTCTGCTCGGGCTTTCCATACCTTATCACCCAGCAGGGCAAGTGCTACCTTTGGAAGGGCAAGGGCAGCGATGTCGACGAGCTGGGTTGCGCCCGGCTTGTGGGCATGGACCTTGCGCTCATGGGCGAACTGTTAGAAATCGAAGAGGACAATGAGCCGGATAGCTTCTGGGACATTTTTGGCGGCGGCGCCAGAGCGCCTTCGGCGGACCACTGGCGCCTGAAGCCAAACTACGGCAGGTACTGCGGCCGGCTGTTTTGTTCCAACTCGGCCGACAGGCACCAGGTCAGTCTGCCCTTGTCGTTGCTCCAACTTGCCAGGCCAGCGCGGCTAACGCATGACCAGATCTCGGAGCTCTTCCCCTTTAAGCAGACTGACCTGCTGTCCAGCAACATCTACGTCCTCGATGCCTTCTTTGAGATGTACATCATCGTCGGCGCGCAGTCGCAGCACCAGTACGCTGCCTTCCGCAACGCCCTGGACTTTGCCCAGGAATATGCCATCTTGGCGGCCGGCATGGAGGACCGTCCCTTTGTGCCCATCTCTACAGTCGTCCTCGAGGGCATCCCGAGAGACCTGAAGAGCGTCTTCCGCAAGTGGCAGGACGTGGCTAGCCCCACGATTACGAACCCGCCCAGCTACCAACAGCAGCCACAGACGCCGGGCGGAGGGAGTGGCAGTGGCAGCGGGAATCTGAGGCGCGGCAGGAGCTTGAGGATCGTGCCACTCAACCAAGCGCTTCAGGCTGTGTCGTTGACCGAGTCATGAAGGAATACGGGGGATGCCTGCCGTGTGGGCAGTGTGCCCGAGTTGGCGGGACGGGGTTAGTCAATATACAACTATAATCTCTGTTATGCTCATCCAAGCCTGCCTGCTACCTATGTACGTGCCCGGCGAAGATGGGATGATGCTGGCGGATGGTTTGGCCGCCAGTTTCTATGTATGTGAAACGTTTATGTCCTTTAGCTGTCAGCTCGGATAGGAACTTGGTAAAGCTATCTCGCATGGAATGTCTACCGTGGCCATTGCCCGACTATTTAGTACTGGCCGGCATGCAGATGAGCTTCGTTTGCTTGATTCGTTCATGGGAACCTGTTCCAGCCGTTCCGGGACTGTTTTTATACAGTTGTTCACGCTGCTGCTTTTAAGATATGAGAGATGTATGTGTATTGATTGCGTGTCGGCTTGTGGAAAGATGGTTCGGTCTGAAATGCCGAGGAAATGAAAAATGAAAATAAAACCCAATGGTATCGAGTTGCGCCTGTCCTTTTTTGCCCTTTTTCCCTTTAAGCCGTTTGCCCCTTAACCCCGTGTCCACTCTGTTTTGTTCCCCCACATGAATCATACAAGACACAACACGCATCTTGTTCTTCGCCTCCGTGTCTTATTGCCCAGATGCTGTGCCCGCACCAGCACCTCCTCCTCTCCCTGAGGCTCCTGCTGCACCCGCACTCGGACCAGCATTATTATCACTGGGGCCACCCGCAGTCGCCATCAATAAAGCAGGCGGGGCAGGGCCGGGGCCGCCCGTGGCGGCGACGACGCGGCGCACGTCGTCGCGCAGCTCGGGCATGGCCGTGTCCATCTCGTGGGCCAGCACGTCGCGGAAGGCGGCGAAGGCGCGCATCTTGCCGCGCGTCACCTGGTTCATGCGCCGCACCAGCTCCACGAACTCGCGCGTGTAGATGTCCGGGTTGCGCCCGTTCTCCACGTACCGGAACAGCGGCTCGGGGATCGCCGGGCCCGTGGCCAGGGTTTCGGCCGCCGTGCGGTGCATCGCGAGGAGCGTCGTGTCGAGGGATTGTCTATTGGGTTGCGAGGGCAAGGGTTAGTGGGGATAAGAGAGGAAAGGAAGGGAGGGGGTAAACAAACAGGTCCTGCGCCAGCGCCTCACGCGAGGGCCGGCCGCCGCTGTCGTAGTTTTGCGTCTGCGCCATGACCTGGAACACGTCGGCCAGGATGTGGTTAATGTTGTCTGCGGTAGAGAGGGTTAGTCAATTAGTGAATGTGCAGGACAGGACAGGACAGGACAGGACAGGGCGTACCGAGCAGCAGCTGGTGGTCGGCGTTGGCGGGCGCCATGGTCGCTCTGACCGCAGGCGGTATGCTCTCGTGCCAGGGAAAAAAAGTCGAGTAGGTGTCTCTGTTCCTCTTATTTGGGGTCTTCTTTTTCGGTTGTGGGAAATGGATGCGCCGCGAGGTTGAAGCTGTTGAAGCTCTCAGCTGTCAACTATCGACAGACGTTAAAGACGTGGTGGGGCATTAATTGATTGACCTGCAGCGGCCACCACGTCTGCCACGGCCGCCTCTGGTCGGTCATACGTAACCCTAACCCTACATAACAAGCAATCAACCTGCCAATCCTTCCTCCCAATCGCCCCGCAACACCTGTTCCTTCCGCCAACAACAGCCTTACTCCTTGCAATCGCCCTGCAATACACTTATCTCGGTAAACTCAGACGTCTTTTTCCAGGCAGAGAGGGGTAAGATCCCGGACCCATATATTTGCGCAGAATGCCTGGAAAAGACGTCTGAGAGCAGTATCCGATTTTTGGCTCTTCGCGTCACGCACGCCCTCCCATACAAATCGGGGTTTTCCAAAAGCTTGAACTGCGAATAGCTTCAACAGCACAACCACTATTATAAAGCCGAAATATATCTGAGGATGCCTGGAATCAGGGCATCATTTTAAGCTTGGTTTGAACGCGATAAGGTGCAAATTGCGTATTTTGGTACGACTAGACCTTCAAAAGTTAACGCGTCACGCCTTTCGTCCGGCTTGGTGACCCCTATGCCAAAAAAACAACAACCAAAATAGTCGTGCCTGTAAAAATTTGATACCGAGGATCTTCTTCTTCCTAAAAACCTCAGTGTATAACTTTATTCCTTTCAATCAATCTGTTGCCCGCATACCAGCCTCAAACGCTCTAAAATGGCCTCACCAGGCGATCTAGAGCTCATCAAAGCGACAATATGCTCCATTACTGGCCACGAAAATGCCATTGGGAAGCCGTACTTGAAGCAGCTAAGACGGAAATAGGTATATTTCGGGCAGTGGATGGTAGTTTGGTCGATGGGGAACGGATCCTGGGTTCTTGGTACCGCCTCCGTATACGAGTGACCTACGAGATTATCCCATTTTCCGGAAATCATCAAGGCTTCCAAATTCGGCATACTTTACACCTACGACCAGGACTCATAGGAAAATTCGGGATCCCATCCGCTCTCCCATAGACAATTCAATGAGGGCCAGATCAGTGGTTAGGTCGGCGGCGGCCAGCAAATCCCTAGTGTTGTATATTTTTTTCACCTTTTTTATCAGGTTTTTAATGATCTTTCATATTGTCCTTTTCGAGTGGATGTGTTTTGTTTTGGTTCCACTCGGCCCACTCGGCTCACTTACACCAAGAAAGAGCCCCAGGGGTTGAGATATTGATTACAACATGAAATAATTCCCGTATTACTATCTCCTAACAGCTACTTCTTTGGACCCGAAACTTAAAAAACATGGGCCTAGCGACCAAACAACCTCTTCAGCTCGGCGTGGACACTCCGGCGCTTGACAACGCCAACGCCCACGCCCCCCCTTTCCCCCTTTTCCACCACCCTAGCAGGTTTCGCCCGCTTGAGCGGCTGGAATCGCTCCAGATACTCGGACGACAACAGCGCCGAGTTCGCCCCCCGGTGCAGCTGGGCCGTGCTCTGCAGCACGCGCTGGTCCAGAGCGCCGTGTCTCTGGCCGCCGCTGCCGCCGCCGTGCGAGTCCTCGTCTTGGCGCCGGACATGGCTTACACTGGAGTAGGACCCCGATGGCGCGCCGGGGCGTGTGCGGTGGCCTGCTTGCCCACTGTGGCTGGCGTCAGACGACAGCGAGTCGGGGGTCACTCTCCCGTGAGACGGCGGGGGAGACGGGTATTCTGGCGGTGTACGGTATGTGTCAAAGGTCGACGACGAGAGGTTGGCGTCGGCGTTGACGCGCGCCACCAGCAGCGACGACGGCAGCCGGAGAGGCTCGTTGCTGACGAACGAGGTGCCGCGGTGGTCGAACCCTCCGCCGCCGCCGCCGCCGCCGCCGCCGCTGCCGCCGCCGCCGTAGTGCGACATGGATGTTGACGACGACGACGAGACGGACTGCATAGGGCTGACGGCTGTAGGCGACATGCGGTGCTGCCGTCCGTCTGGGCAGATTGTTGCGCACGACGAGTGGTTACTGCGGCGCCGCGGCCATCTCGGCCGCCCAGCAGCAGCAGCGTCTGCCCTTTGACCCCTGTCGTCGTCTTCATCGCGGGGGCTGTTGCCATTGCTTGTCGGCGGCGGCGCCAGCTGCATCCACTCAGGGATCGGCTTTGTGGGGCTCGGTCTGAAAGCGAGGCTGCCGATGGGGTCGAGGATCGACACGTAGATGGTGGACGGCGAGGCCTCGTCGTCGTCGTCGTCTTCCATCATGGCCAGGTCTGCCGGCTCGGCGCTCGCCCCGTCGCTGTTGAGCGAGCGGCCGTCTCCGGATCTGTGCAGATGGATATTCCCCTGCGTGAGTCTCTTTTAGCACCAGGCTCCCACAAACGCACACCTCCCCCCCGTTAATCCCCAAGAATAACGGAGAAATAGTAACACTCACCTCGGCAAACCTCGCCGGCTCCCGCGCCACCGAGCCCTCCCAGCGCTGCCTCGCCAGCCCGCCGTCGACGCGATCGACCGTGCGCAGCGCCTTCTGCACGAGCGCGGGCTGGTCCGCGGGTGCGCCGTCGCCATCAACATCAACCTCGGCCAGACAGTTCGCGCACAGCGGGACCTCGTCGATCTCGCGAGCCCTTCCGCGACCGCATTCCCTCAACACGCCAACACCCACACCCACACCCTCCTCCTCCTCATCACCATCGTCCTCCTCATCACCATCATCCTCCTCATCACCAATAAAAACCTCCCCCACCCCTGGACCACGCACCACCATTCGGCAGCCGCACAGCAAACACCCATAGCAAGCGCGGTGCCAGAAGCACCAGCCCAGACTCACACACTCGTCGCCGCGCACGACCACCTCGCCGCAGACCCAGCACACGGCGAGCGCGAGGATAGCGGCGTGGCACGGCGCGCACGCGAGGCGCGCTGCGGCGGACCGCCCGAGCGCGCGCGGCGGGCCTGCCCGCAGGCGCCAGCAAAAGGTGCACGTGAAGACGTGGCGGTGGCGGTGGTGGTGGATCTGCTGGGTCTGACGACGCGGTGTTGATGACGATGGCTGGCGGTGCTGTTGGTGGTGTTGCTGTTGTTGCTGTTGGCGCAGGGACGAGCTGGAGCGCGAGTGCGAGTGCGGGTGCAGATGGACCCCTCTGGGAGGCTGACTAGGGCTCGTGGTGTTGAGACGGGGGCGAGCGCCAAGGGGAGACGCGGGCATGGCTGCGTGTTGTCTTGGCCGTCTCCGGGCTCAGGGGTGTGCTGTGTGTGGTAGGTTCGGGATTTGCATATAAGAATGCGTAGGCAAGTAGGTGGATGGCTTGCTCGTTTCTGGGCTACACCTGTTCAGGACGAATTGGACATGCCAGGCCTCGATGGAGGCATACCGTTGCGCAAGATCGACAAGATGCTAAGGAGTGGATGGCCCGGTTGACACCCTAGATAAAGAATGACGATCAAATGATTCACTGTGGAGAGAGGCCTCACTGGAGGTCCAAGTAAACAAGAGGCATGCGTTAGTTGTGGGTGACTCGGACGAGAACAGAATGCCAAATGCCAAACAGTCCCAACAAGCAGGCACCACTAGGAAGACCAGGTAACTATGGAAAGAGCAAATTGCCATGTCCGACCACTCCATAGTAATCTAGGCTACGGCCTAGAAATGACACTAATTGTTTTTTTTTTAGGACCTGCAACCCACAATGGCATGATACCGATACTTTCCAGGCCCAGAAAAAAATTCCGAAAGAAATACAGAAAACGCCGTCCATCCATCCAGCCCCCTGATAACGACCCAACCAACCAGACCAAGAGCCCACCCGTTCGCCGTTCCCAAGTAAGCAACGCAACCGAGCAAAACAAAGCAGCAAAACTTGTACGTGAAAGGTAGCACCCAAACAAAGCACTAAAGACCCAAGTCTTCATCCACAACGCCCCACACCGGCTCAAATCCTCTCGCCAGCCCCCAAGCGAGCTAGGTTTTCGGTAAAGCCAAACAAATAAGTGCTGAAACGCCGGCCATACGTCCCGAAGATGCAACGGGCCAAGCTATCATGTTCTCCAATCATGATTCTCGCCTCTTCCTCCCCGTGTATTGCCAGACCAGCGCTTAACCAACGCAGCTCGTCATCTCATATTCCAGTGCGACTCTCGGATCCGTCTTCACTTCCGGAGCTTTGGGCGCGAAAGCATGTTGAGCCGACTCAGGCTAAGAGCGCCCCTCTTCTTCGCGGGGCTGGGAGTGCCACCGGCATAGCCTGGCGACATGAGCTTCGGGGGGCTGCTCAGTAGCTTGTTGGCACTGCCTCCGGTCAAGCGAGGAGCCAGAAGAGCGTCGCCCTCGGGGACCGTCTCTTGCTTCCGCTTCTTTGCCGCGCGCTCAACGGCCTCCTGCTCGGCCTCTTCCTCATCGGTGCTGACGCGGTTGCGCTTCTTGTTTTTCATGCCGTGAGGGAGAGTTAGGAACACCGTCTCAGGTGCCACGTTCTCCTTGTTCGGGATTGACATTGTCGTCGGCGAGGGGAAACTTCCAGGCATGTTCTCCGTTGGCAGAATCGACGGACGAACGGGGCGCACGCTTGCCTGTCCGGGAGACGTGCCAAACGAGGGAGACGCGCTTCCGAACCGAATCGTGTGGTCGCTGCGAAACGAGAATGTGCCAGGGGCCGAGGGCTCGGCCGAGTTACTCTTCTTGGACACCTTCGCAGGAGGCCTTGTCAGCGACTGGCGCGCCGAAATGTCGGGATACGAGAGGCCACGGTCAAGATTCTCTTCGATCATGATGGCATCGAGGGCGGGATAGTACACCTCACCCAGGACCTGTCTGGACTTGGACTGGGGAATGCCCGACTTGACGGGAGACGGGGAGTTCTGTGCCAGCGCCGCTCGCTGCGTATCCGGGGTGAAGGCAACGCGCTTGGTGAGCTTGCGTGGCGTGCCCAGTGGGGCCTGTATCGCGCTCTTGTCGAGACGGGCGGAAGACAGAGCCTTGGAGACAAGACTCGACGGCAAGGGAAGAGCGCTGGCCGGTTTGGCGGCGCACGGCTTTGCTCCTCGCAGCAAGGACTTGACGCGTTCAAGACGGCTGATGGGGCTCTTGATCTTGCGAACGGGCTTCTCGGGTGTCTTCTTAGCATCCAAGAGAACGTACGAAAGATTGTTCGTTGTGGCAGACCGAGGCAGTCCACTAATGTTCACTTTGGATGGCGACCTGAGAAGCGAGCCTTGAAGCGGCGTTTTTGCGTTGGACGTCCGGGCGAGAGAAGATTTGGTCGGCGTCATGAGAGAAGCAAAGCCGGACTTGGAGCGGGGGATGGCGGAGCCCGTGCCAGAAGATTTAGGCCTCGGCAGCGATCCTCCATCGCGCGAGATGGGTCGGTTGCTAGAGGTATCGTCGCCCAAATTCTGCCGAATGCGCTTAATAGGCGAGAGAGGCTCGTTAGCTGTAGCCGGTCCCACTGCTCCGTTCTTTGCGGCAGTGGATGCCGGAGTGGGCTGCTTGGAGCGACCCGCGGCGTCCATGTCGTCGAGGTTTGCTTTGGACTGGCTTCGCTTGATTCCTTGCTTGAGGGGGGTAACACGTCCAGGCTGAGCCCGGAATGCGGAAGGGTGGTTCGCAATCGAGTCCATCTTCTTGAACTCTGCCATGTGCACAGCGCTATACCGTCCGGCCTTGCCCTTGGCCGGGGCGATCCTGCGGCTGTTTGCAGGTTCCTCTTGGGCCTTCTCGGCGTCGCGCTTAGCAGCGAGCTGAGCCTTAATCTTCTGGGCTTCCCCGCGGAGCTCTTCCATCATCTTCTGTGCCTCGGGACCAAGCTTCACGCTAGAGGCCGCCTGTCTGGCAAAGGTAAAGGTGAAATCCGTGGACGGAGGCGTCACCTTGGACGGCGTCGACTGAACAGCGGCAGGGAGGCCGCTGCGGCTGCTCGAAGGTTTAATGTCGGTGAAACCCAGGCGCAAGACAGACGAGGGGGGAGCCATGGTTCCGTGGACCTTGCTTGGGTGCATCTCCGACATGGACGGCTTCATGGGCGACGAGAAGCCCGGAGTCTTGGGAGCTGGTGTGGGGGACGACATGAGGGCATCGAGGCTTTGGGCGGCGCCATCCCCAGGACTGTCGGCGCGTTCGGCAACCGAAGCTAGGCTCGGTCCATCCGGGGAAGGCTTGCTGGGCGTCTAGATATGAGAGTAACTCTGGTCAGCAGCGGCAACAGCACAAACAGCGACGAAGACAGCAAAAGGCAGCGTGAGGGCTCGCTCTCGCGGGGCGGGTGGCACAGCTGAGACATGTTCGCTTCAAATTCTGCGATTGCAAATTTTGCGACCGGGCCATAGCATGGGAATTGACGACTCACCTTGGAGACGCTGGCGAGGCGCGCTGAGCGGCGTGCCATGGCGACTAGTTTTGGCGCACTTGGCGACAAGACGACAATGTGTTTTCCAATTCGGAGAGCGAGGCAGACAATGGTGGTGATATCGCAATTAGCAATCTCGCATCAGCTTGAGCAAGATGGCCTGTGGGTTTGGAGGTTGTAGCGGAGGCAGGGGACTGGCGGTAAGGTAGGGATGATGTCAGTAAAAACACGTCCGAAAAGAAGGAGCAGGCGGGGTGGCGTGTCTGATTGGCGGACCGGGGGCCGGAAGTAAACAAACCTTTGGGTCCCACCTGCACTGTGCTAGAGGCTACTAAGAGCGCAAGGAAACTACAGTGCGGCGCTACTTCTGGGCACTGCTACGGAACCACCCGCGCACAACCATGAGCTAGGGACGCTTGATAATACCCTGGTGATCCCGGGGATATCCCAATTGCAAGGTCTAGATCTGTTTTAGTTTGGACTGTGCAGACCTGCCCGCCTGTCACCTCGTCACCTGACATGTGGTGTTTAGTACCGAATATTTTCCGATTTCCGACGCTTCCCATTCTGCTAGCACTCCACGCAGCGCTCATCAGCAGGCCATTGACAGCCGTTTTCCTTTGACGGACGAATGTTCGCCCACGTGTTGCCACGCACCACTCCTTGCTGCTCTCCACTCCCGACCGCCGCAAAATTTAAAATTCTAACTGACCGCTCTCAGAGTTGTACAGTGTACAATGACATTCCGCATCAAATTGTTCGTTTCCTACCTAGTGTATCTCGGACCATTTCAGGTGATCTCTTGATCGGCTTCTACAATCTAGCCCTCGAGTGTCTGTTAGCGTGGACCTAGGTGCAAGAAACCGACTAGTAAAGTCTTTCATGGGTATTTCTAAGACCTCTAGAAGTCTACAATATAGATTTCAAGAGATGTTACCTCCCTCGGCGAGAACCCTTTAGGGCGAGCCGTAAGGCATTAAGACCTTTCAAATATTCCATAATGTACAGAGTCCCCCTTTCACAAACATTCAGAGACTGGATTGTAGTACCGGGGCCGCAACTACACCATTCTACAGTAAATAGTTTACCTGCACTACTTGACAAGGGGCCTAGCTTGCGACTTTTCAGGCCCACCCTCGTCTCGATCCTTGAAATATTCATCAGAGAATTGTAAATACCTTGTAAGCCTCGTCTCATACCCCTGGAGTCGATCGCAAACGAAGTCACAGGCAGGGAATCTTACAGAGTTCTGTAAGTATTGCACGTAAACTATTCACCGTGGAATGGTGTACAAGGTAGTGGCAGGCTTCCCCTTGCAGGTGCCTTGAGTTATTGTAAGGACCTCGAAAGTCGCACCACAAGGCCTCAAATGGTTATACTAGAATCGGACTTCCCGTGGAACGGTATACAGGCGGAACCAGAGTTCCCCTGAAAGTGAAGAACGATATGCTGCAGTTGGGAGAAGACTTGTCATAAGAACACAGTCTCCTGAAAGCAGGCCTCCAGTCCTGGACCGGGCCACCTGCAGCCAAGACATTGGGAAGGGCCAGAACTCGAAGCATCCATCTGTCTGCCTTCGCAATGACCCATATTCATACAGAAAGGCGCCCCGATATTGTAGGTTAGGAACACGAGAATTGTCAGTATCCCTTCCGCAAGACCTAGCCTCCATCTCCAAGGTCTCACACTACCCTCCAAGTACGTAGCAAGGACGATATTTCGACCATTTTCGTTTCGAGAAAGGCGGTACAATACGGCCCCAGATTGGTCAACGTGAGATTACTTCTAGGAATGCAGCCGCCTTCGATCCTCCTTCTCCTTTTGATCTAGAGACAAGGCCACACTAGCCAAGCAAGGCATGGAACATTCTATGCGAGGCATAGAAGCTCACTACAGCGGCAAGGAAGGCGCCGCCTCGGAAGTCAACCCCGAAAGACTTGGACTGTCCTTATCAATCACCATCCTGGACCTGCATAAGGCCTTATCTGGTTTGGACAAGTTGCAGATGGTGATGGTTCAAATCACCATCCGTAAGGCCCCTGAGGCGCTCCCTAGCGCGCGATGGCAAATTTGAGGAGCTCTCTCTGACATTGGGGCTGAAGTCTGGATAGGTCGTTTCGCTGATCAAAGACAGGATCATCAAACAGCCTCACACCAAGGCCCAAATTTCTTGATGGAAAATACCTCACCACCTTTTCGTAGCAGAGGCATCACTCGAGGCAATGCTGCAGTTTTGCAGTGTCCGCAACAGCTCGTCGTCGCCATATCCAGAAGACAGGGCTCCGATGATGAGGATGTGCTAGTGGCGCCATCGTGCATTAGCTCGGCGCTAGAAGAATTCTAGAAGGTGTTAAAACTCTGGAAGCCATCCTCGCCTAATGTGGTTGCAAAGTCCAGCCCAATGAGGGCTCGCCAACCCCCTTCTCAAGCCCGGCTGATTCCAGTGGGGTGGCCGCTTCAGCAAAAGTAATTATCGAAACAGAGACTACTTCTGCTTCTGCACTGGAGTGCACTGCACGCTGCGCTGCGCTGCACGTCGGCCTTTATTGGCAGTGCTTGTGCTTCATATCTAGCGTATGTAGGTAGGTGGGTGAAAGAAGCGAGCTCGGGCAGTGGGCAAAGAGAAGGCTCGTGGCGATTTGATTTGTGAGCCTCATGGAAGAGTTACAATACAACCTACAAAGCAAAGGCGCTCAGACAAATGCACACCACTCCTTGAGGTTGGTAGTGCGCAAGCTTCGAAAATCATCTCAACAGCTTGAGCTTCTTTGTCTCTGGTTACTGAACGCCGCCGTTCCGAGAGGAAATGTTGGTCCGCTTACGCGGCTTGTCCTAGGAGTCTAAGTAGGTAATAAATGCTCGGCGGCTGAAGAGCTACCTTTGGAGCATCGGCTTTTGTTCTTGGACGATCGCCCCTCCTCGGAGATGCAGGACTCGATTTCAGGGATTCCATTGGTATGGCGGGCGACCCTGCCCAGACGGAACGGTAAGTGGTTATTCTGCATCTGGCTAACTTAATTCAGCTGGATTAAACGAGCTTCCCCTCACTGACGCTACTTCACGCGTTCTTGGAAATGGAGATATCCGGCTTGGATCGTGGATGTGCATTGGAGCTCGTACTTGGCGATTCTCAAAATACGAAAGGGGCCAACTCTTCCTATAGTTTGGAACGTTCGACCGCACCTGATGGGTTGCAAGAGGGGAGCTCACTGTTTGGCATCGAGCCGTCTTCCCCGCTGCAATGATGAAGAAGCACCTCACCCAGGCCGTTCGTCCCCCAAGCCACAACCTTTGAACCTGCAGGCGCAGGCGCACAAACACGATGACCCAGCAGCTGGGGACCGCATTCTTATTGTCAGGGGTGTTAATTCGATAGCCCTCAAGGCTGCTTCTGCCCTCAAGGCTGCTTCTGCCCTCAAGGCTGCTTCTGCCCTCGCCGTGTCAAGGCCTTCCACGTCGAAAGCGAGCCTGGGGAGTCGGATCCACGTCGCGCAAAAAAGCACATCCCATACCGTAGGACTCTTCGGCAGAACAAGCGTCCCGCCCAAGTGCATCCACGCTTGGCAGGGTAATAGAAAGAAATATACCGTCCACGAAACACGAAGCTGAATGGAACTGGCTTTATCTTCTACCATTCGCTGGCAAATTCCGTCCTGGATGTGAAGAGCAGAAGCCCTTCAGTGAATAACTGCGGTCCAAAACCCGTGAGCCGTACTGTTATACCACAGGACATGCAGTACAGATAGCATCCGTAATGTCTGCGGGGTTGAGGGCCACCACAGTGGTTGTGGCCCACCTTGGTTACTGTGCTGCAAGCTCAGATGACCACCAAAATTTTGATAGCACTTGGCAAGGGGAGAGAGAACCTAACCCGAGCTTTTAGCCCCGCTCCCCGTTACAGTATTGGGTAATTGGAGGGACTTGCATCCAGAGCTCAAAAATTCTGAGCGTCTCCACCTCAGAGCCCCTCACCACCCGGAGACACCGATTTCGGTGGCGTCTTCTCTTCCAACCCTGAGCCAACCTCACCAGGGCGTCGATGGGCGGTCGCCATGGATAACACGGCACCCGGGCAAGGTCAGCTCTGAGGCCGGGGTTTAACCCTGTCTTCACACGTCACTAGGACCAGCCCCGTCCGCCGTATTGCTCTTTGTGCGACCACAAACGAAAAGTTCCTACCTCTTTCAAAACAAGGCGTCCACACTCCACACTCCGAGGCTGCATGAACTGCAAGCGAGGAACATTTGCTGTGATTTGCCTTTCTCGAACAGTCCCAGCCCACCCTCTGGGGCCCAAGACTTTAGTCAGGTAGCTTTCTTGGATGGCATGGCATCATGGCTTGGAGGGGCAAGCCGAACCTAACAGGGACTGCCGAGATATAGTAGTAGTTGATGGTCTTAGCCCAACTTTGTTGTCCCAAGGTAGGGAGCTAGGAATATATCACAGGGCGGGGGTTAGCAAGGCTGCATCTACTCCGTACTTGGTATAGTCTCAGGCAAGCTGCTATAGTCACAGCTCAGGACCAGACGAGAGAGACGAGAGCTGGCGGCAAGGGATAGGAGGGAAGCCGCGAAGAGAGAGAGTGGCAGAGTCTCTTATTAGCTCGAAGGGGGGCCGCCACTAACGAAACAAGAGCCAGAGTATCGGTCTACGTTTACTCTAATGAGAGAATAGCGGAAGGCTCCGGACTGCCGCCTTCACACTTGTTGTGACTGCCTGCTTCCTTACCTCAAATGTGCGTCCAGTGCCTACGGCGTACCTTGACGAACTCTCAAAGTGCGAGTGTCAATCCGGCTAGGGTGTTTAGTTGGCGAGTTATCGAGCACGAGCCACAACCAGCAGCGAGCAAGGACCGACCACGCCAGCAGGTAGCAGTTGGTCAATGCGCCCTGTAGGGGGTTCCTAAAATGAGAATGAGCGGACTGGATTCTGCGCGCCCGCCCAAATGCATCCCCGCAGAGCAAGAACGACCAGTGGTGACTTTCCCGCCGAAGTACCTGGTTTCCATTAGTCACTTATAACCAGGTGCCACCCAGTTGGAAAGAGCGAGGAAGATGGCCAGCTTCTCCTTCTCGCGGGCTTCCAGTGCTGGTGATCCTCTGGTGTCTGTCGTCGATGCCCATCCAACAAGTTATTTCCTCGCTTATACCAGCATACTGCGATTTACCATCAATTTAGACCGGCAAAGCCACCCACACATTCGTACACGCTTCTGCTAGTTACCGGCAACCCTGGCCATTCACCCCTCGAAAAGCTCCTTGTGCGTTTGCGGAGCCGGCCGTCTTTGTCTCCGCAGAGTTTGGGCAAAAGCGAATATCCACACGGCTGTTTGCTGCGTTTGACCAAGCGTTCCTGGGAGTGCCGATGGTCCTAGGCGAACTGAGCGTCTCGTTGGCCGTCTGACCAGTGCCCGAGCGGAAAACGAACTGCGTGGTCTCGTTCTTGAGCCAGCGAATAGGAAACGGCAAGTGACCTGAAAGACGGACAACGCAACATCCAACGCCGACGACACAAGGCCAAACAAGACCGCACAGAATTCGACTTCCTGCTTGTAGCTGCAGGCAGACCGTCTTTGCGCCTATAGCCTTTCGAGCTGGAAGAAGGGTGTCTTTTTGACGACAGTGCGTTTGCTGGCGAGTGGCCTAGTCGGTTTCCCCATCTCCAGCGGCTCCTCAAGGTGGGGAACGTCAGGCCAAGACCAGCAACTGAGGGGGGACGAGCGAGCGAGGAGAGACTGGGAAACAAGAGCCGGAAGCGGGAGGCGTCTGGCTCGAGGTTGAAGTATCCGACAAGCCATCAGCTTGCAGCCACGAGAGCCGGGTCAACTAATAAAAAGAAAAATAGCGTGAACCTCTCGGGTGGGACAGAGTCGAAGCGCGGCGGCAGACGTCCATCTTGTCGCGCGTGGAGCTGGTCCAACGAGACGGTGCAGGTGACCTGGTTGAACCCGGAACTGGCGTCTGGGCTGCGTGGACGCACCTGGCTATTTGTCTGTGGCCACCCCAGAACGCCCTAACGGCGGTCTGCGGACCCTCCCACACATCGTGGGCATTAACATTACATAAAACCCTCCCGTTCTTCTCTTTTCTTTACACATAGACAACCTGTCATCGCCTCTCTGCTTATCTCGGGCTCTCCCAACACCACGCTCGACAGGTTTTGTCCTGACACACAGAATCCAAAATCCGGGGAACCGCTTTGATCGCTTTTCATCCGTTCCTTATCGCTGGGTCTGGCACACAATTTCCCCGGTCCCAGGCTGTCGGATCCCACCCCCCAAACGGCTTTCCCCAGATGACGCACTGATTGGCGCCATCCCCGGGCCCTGAAATCGACCCCCCCGGACTGTGCCCTTATCGGACGTTTTCTTTTTTTTACTTTACCTGTTACGCCAGCCAGCGACAGCGAGCCCGGCTGGCAGCGCGCCTTGTTACCCGAAACCCTCCAAGTGCAGCACTACCTACCGAACATCCACTACAGCAGCCGCACCTGCTGGGTAGCAGTGCAGCACAGCTGCCGGGTGGTGCTTGTGTCCCTGCCGAGGGGCCGTCACCCACAACCTAACCCGGGTTATATCACCAAGGGGGAAAAAAAAGATTTCGGCCGAGCGTACAAGGTTCGGTCCCACCAGATTTGAGGCGTGTGTCGCCCCACGGCGTTTGTCTCAAGTATCTGCAGGGACAGGATATGGCAGAAAACATGTCGGTCGACACGCACGATCCGACTAAAGACGAGAGCGAGGACTCAATGGAGTCGAGTCCCGAAGGAGAAGTCCCCCCTACCACAACAACACAGGAAAATCAACAGCCAAAGCGAAAAGGGGGGCGCAAACCGGTACGTCTGAGCAACAGAGACATCGCATCCCTTGGGTTCCCCAATTTTATGTGCATGCGCAGTGCTGCAGTGCAGTGCCCAGGCCTTGGTCCTCAAAGTCATTAGAGTTTAGCCTTTCCAGGCTGACAGCCAACATCCATTAACACGAATGCCCACAGATATATGCAACATCAGAAGAGCGGAAGCAAAGGAACCGCCAGGCTCAGGCAGCTTTTCGAGAACGGCGAACCGAGTACATCAAGCATCTGGAGGAGGCCATACACACTCATGAACAGAATCTTGCGAACCTTCAAGCCGCCCATCGTCATGCAGCTGATGAGTGCTTGATGCTGCGGTACAAAAACTCGCTGTTGGAGCGCATCCTTCTTGAGAAGGGTAAGCTACCGCCCTGTCTCCTTGATCCTTCAACCCCTTCCTTGTCGTCGCATCATGTTTATGTTACTTACGCATATTCTTCTAGGCATCGATGTGCAAGCCGAGCTTCGTGCCAAGACTGGCAGTCCCAATCTTGGGCCTACTCATATGCCCAACATGGTGCACCCTCCGCCCATCCAACGGGCTCTACTAAACAGGCACCATGCCCGCCGATCAAACTCGAGCATTGCGCCAAAGCTCGAGCCCGGTATTATATCCCCGCTACCACCTCCGATACATCACCCGTCTATGGCATCACCCAAGAGTAGGCCCACCCCGTCCTCACATTCAGCCTCACCGACAGCGACGACCTCGTTCGGCTCTCAACACGGCGCCTCACCGGCTGGATCCGACCACATATCATCGATGCGGCAACCGCTACCTCCGACGTCGACGATGAAAGCCCCGCCTCCGCCGGCAGCAATGGTCGGCATGGCAACGGCGCGGCAGATGCACATGGCGGCACTCCAGCAACAGGCCGCCGGCCACGCGAGAGCAGGCGTTGCTAGAAGCCCGGCCCCCTTCTACCCAACGCCTTCGTTTCAAAATCACATTGAGCAACTCGGCAAGCTGACCCGTTTCTTTTTCCCCTCCCCTCCCCCCTTTATAGAACTCTGTCGTCCTAGGTTCATCCCGTGTTTCAGAACAGGAGTACGATGCGGCCGCCGACATGATGGACGACGGCGGCGATCCGCCCGACACCCCGAGTGGGCCCGGTCCCTACCCTGGTCCGGCATACTGCGGCGAACCGCAATCGATATCGCTGCCCTCGCCCGTCACGACCCTCCCTCCCGGCTCCCAACAACTCTCTGGGCACTCCCCGATTGATGCCATGAGCCCTGCTCAACAGCATCCCGGTTACCCGTCAATGACACAACTACTCGACTCCGGCTTCGATTTCGATCCATTTGGTCTAAGCGCCAGCATGGCTTTCCCGACACAGTTTTCTTTCGATACAAGCAACATGCGGTAGAGTTGATTTGATAGCCCCAGAATGAAGCGACGTATTGGTAGGACCACGCCGCAGTGTCTATTCATCTGCCTTTCGGAGAAGCTCTCCGCCAGCTCGACCAGCCCGACTCCTTAATGGTGTCCCCGGGGAGTAGACGTGGCAAGAGAATGGAGGCCGGAAAAACATGATGAATTTTCTTGGGGCTGGCCAGGTCGTTCCCTTTCCGACACCATCAAAATTACGGCGAAATTGTTATTTTCTGAGATACCCTGGGATTACCTCCAGTTGGCGACAGGACGGCCAGGGGAAACGGCCATTCAACTTGACCTCCTCAGAGCCACGAGCAATCATCATTCTGCTCTCTTCACAGCTTCATGTACGGCCGACCCTAATTTGTCGGCTGACAGTGTTGTTCATGCTTGTCGAACTATATACCCATAATGGCAGAGGCCTGCCTGATTCGCGACTTTATTTGGATTGGGTCATGTTTTAGGCGGGTACGGATCACAAAAGTTTTGCTCTTTCAAAATCAGCAGGAATTAGAACTTTTAAGAGGAGGCATATGTCGGCATGTAACGACAGCTACGACGACGATGACAATGACTACGACGACGACGATCACGACAAGATATGACGCCATTTGGAGTCATTCCTTAAATCATTTCCGGCGCTACCACCAACAGCCGCTAACATCAGGAGGGCTCTGGTTGCATTGCCTTGTTGGTCTGCCTTTCCCTGGCGACTTTCTCCGCCAGCCGGGGATATTGTTTTCCTTGTCCCATAAAATTCTTGGGTGTAACCCCGCAGAGGCTTAGTCTCTGTGGTTTTTCACGCCAGGATGGCTTTGGGAAGACGCCCTCGACAGGAAGATTTAAGGAGAAATGTGCTCGTGTTGTTGTCTCTTTAATTTATCTCTGCCCCACTCTAAATGTCTTTCCCATTTCTTTCCAGGATTGTCTGCTCTCTATATATATGTGGTGTGCTCCGTGAGATGGCCCTCTCCTGTTGCCTGCGCTCTCTAGGTCCGTCCTTGGATCGTTCAGGGGTAACTTTTACATGCCGTGTCCTGGTGATAAAGCTTTCCTGGTTGCATGTCAACCTTCACCAGATGTGAAGAGACAATGACGTGCTGTACGTAGGCACTTTTCTCTTTCCATTCCGTTTCTTCAATGTGGCATGATGTATGTATATAAGAGAAAGGGTAGAGTGGAGCAGAAGGTAGGTACTGGTTTCTGCATTCCCTCTTAGGTGGTGGAGCAAGAAGATTGGGAATAGAAAGGGGAAGCAATAAGGGGAAGCAATAAGGGGAAGGATGTGCTTACGTAACGTAGCTTCGGGACCAGGTGGGTTGGTGGCATGGGAGGTGATGAATTACATATACAAGATAGCAAATAACATGCTTTTAATAGTGTCTTCTTGCCTTCGGAGTTGGCCAAGTTTGTGTGTTATTAGTTATGTAAGGCGGGAGTGTCTTGTGGTTTATGTAGGTGAGTAGATGTATGTAGTTCAAGCTTGCCACTTGCGAGAGAGTTGATCTGAAAATTCCCCCAGCCTCGTACCGGATCTGGCCAGTTGTTTTCATAGGCTGCCTTGGATGCCCAAGATCTCACAGTAGTGTACAGTACCTTGACAAGTAACTGGTATCATTCGGACAAGATGTCGGTAAGCTAGAGTAGCAAGCCGAGAGCTGGCGGCCCGCGGATGTTTCCGGCGTACCGCGCTGCCGTCTTGTGGTATCCTTCCCACCTTATGTGAAACGGTAGACTAATTAGAGCCGGGGAGTCGGAACCCACGAATACAGTGCGGTGCCAATCAGTAAAACCTGCATGTGGCTACATTCGGGGGGGAAAAGCCCGTGTAACCGTTTGTTGACGTCTCGTGTCAAGGCAACTCCAATCAAATACCTGGCTCCGACACCACATTGTTAGTAGGCTACCCACTACTGTTTGATTCTTTTATCAATAGCCTTGGGCTATCTGCGAGGTACTATGCAAAAGAGGGCCAAAAGGTGCCATTATAGCCACTGCTAACGAGTCTTCTGCGTGGACCCCAGAGTCCGATCGTCCCAATCAACAAAGATGCGACTATCTATTTCGGCCATCCATGATCCATCCGTCTTGCAACATACCCTGGACTGGGATTCAAGCTTAACCCCGCGCATCCAGACTATCAGCCCGAGCGTCAGCACTAGTATTGCTCTAGATATAATATAGCAAGATCGATATGGCTTCCGTATTGGTGATGATAGCTCGCCTTGCCGCCACACGCTGCAGCACACGTCGGCATCTTCCTGATATTGGCTCGGACCGACGAATTACGACCGATCAAGGTCACCCATATAACCCGTCCCTTATTGCTGATATCCTCTTTCCGTACGCATGCAGATAGATGCATGAAGAATGACCGAGTGATAGGTTTGCGTAGAGAGCACACTGACACGAAAGTCAAGCCGAGTTCTTGCTTTAATCCCCCGATATGTGAGAAATGTAGGAGCGCCGGAACAAGCAGGCATGATGCCAGGCTGGTCCGTATTCCCATGGTTCCACGGCGGCGGCTGGGCAGTCGGCAACGTGTCGTACAACAATCCATGTATATATCCTCCAGTGGCCGTGGGAGGTGAGCTGGCTACCTAGCTTCCTCCTCCAAGCGTAGTGGTATCTGGAAATTGTTGATTCAAACCGTTACTTGAAATTCTTATACACCCCCAGCGCCATCCGCAACCCCTGTGCTATTGAACCAACAACAACATGGCTACTTTCAACACTCCTCTCGGCGTTTGACTCGTCATCTTTGCTGCTGTCTCGTATTTAAGTTACACGGTCGTTGGCCGCCGCTACTTTCACCCCCACACCCACGTCCCAGGGCCCTTTCTCTGGTCCGTCTTTGGCCTGCCTCTCCCTTACCAACAACCGCCTTGGAAGGGCAGCTTATGCATGTGCTCCCCAAGCTCTACGCCATCTACGGTATGTCATGCAATGATTAGCGCAGGAGAGAGTACCAGGGTCGACTTCACTCTTTGCGGGTCTGAGAATACCCCTTTTCTCATCCCCTCTGCTTAACAGGTCCCGTCGTCCGTATCAGCCCCGATGAGATCTACTTCAGCGACCCGAAAAACTATGACCGGATTCACAGCGTGGGGTCAAAGTTCTACAAAGATCCTGCATTCTACGGGTACATGGAGGGTCCGCTGAAGACACCCATAATCCTGATTGTGATCCCAAACGAAGACCACCGGGTGCGGCGTGCAGTGCTGAACCCTTTCTTCTTTCGCGGCGATCCACGCTAGAGTTCGAGCCCATCGTCCGCGGCAAGGCGCGCAAGCTGGTCGAGCTCATCGAGGCGACGCTTCTCAGCGGCAAAGAGGGCAGGCCAGGCCCCGGTGTTTTCGACGCCTACCACGCCGTCCGCGCCTTCTCGGTCGACGTCATTACCGAGTATGCCTAGGCGAACTGCTGGAACCAGATGGACATGGAAAACTGGAGTGCCGGGTACCAGGAAGTCATCCGCCCCGTGCAGTCCTTTTTCCCCTGGTTTTCGACCTTCCCGTTCCTGTCGTCCGTGTTCGGCCTGGTGCCCGACTCGGTCAATTTTGTCCTCTTCCCGTGGTTCAAGAAGTGGTACGATAGCTTGCAGGTCATCCGCACCGCTGCGACGAGGGTCCAGAAAGAGATATCAATGGGTGTCGTACCGCCGCGCCGCACCATCTTCCACAACTTGATGGACCCTCCTCCGTTCGAGGACGAGGGCGACAACAAGAAGCAGCGCCCTCGACTCTCGGACGAGATCGTGTTCGCCGACGCCGTCAACGTGACGGGTGCCGGTGCCGAGACCACGGGCTCGACAGTCGGACGCACCATCTTTGAGGTCATCAGTAACCCGGTCGTCTATGCCACGCTATCCCAGGAGCTCCGCGAGGCACTGCCAAGCTCAGACCCTGACACGTTCAGTCTGGTAGCTCTCGAGAAGCTGCCGTACCTGAGCGCTGTCATCAAGGAAGCCATGAGGTTGGTTGTCGTCTAATACACTGCGTGGCGCGAATTAAAGCAGCTGACCGTGTTGATCTACTGTATCCAGGTTGAACCCCGGTCTCCAGGCCACCTCCCGCGTGTCGTCCCGGCTGGGGCGCCGGTGTCACCTTCAACGGCTACACGGTGCTGCCAGGGACGGTGGTGAGCATGAGCGCGTGGACGCTCTACTACAATACCGAAGCGTTTCCGGACCCGGAGCGGTTTGACCCGACGCGGCGGTGAGTTACTCCATCCCTGGTCTGGGTGCTGTTCTTCGCTCTCACAAAAGACTACGCGCTAATCCCGTAATCTAGGACCAACGCGCCATCCGCGGACGCCCTCCGCGCGCGCGAGAAGAGCATGATACCGCTCGGCCGCGGCTCGCGCACCTGCCTGGGCCAGAACCTGGCTCTGTGCGAGCTGCATTACAACCTGGCCAGCATCTTCCGGCGCTTCGACTTTGACGGAGACAGCACGGGTCGGAGACTTGGGGTGCATCCCGACTTTGCGCGGTCCAATCTGCAGCTGGTTGAGATGCTGCTTGGCTACCATCCGCGTAAGGCCAGGGAACTGCGCCTCATCCTCGAGAGCGCGAAATAATATGTAGTCGGGGTGTGGCACTTGTAGAGGAGACAGAAAGGGGCCGGGTCTCTTGTTTGAGTTAAGCTTGAGGTGCGAACTGTTCAGATTCATGTACGTATCGGCTCCGTATACTCCGTACGTGACAGGCACTCTATACCAAAGTAAAGTATCTGTGAAAAACCGAACCAATCGAATGGTTCAACACCTCGGGTGATGTTGAAGGTGTAAGACATGGGCCATTTGACTACCATCCTACTGTATACTCTTAGGCACCAAAGGCCGTAGCGCGCCCAACCTGGGAAGCTCAGAATAACGCGGAAGAGGAAAGCGCCGTGCCTGTGTGTTTCACAATAGCCGTGGCGCCGTCATTATGTTGGGGCGCAAATCGTCATTCCACGTGCTGGCGCGGGCAAACATCAGGGCGAATGCCCCTAATATTGAAGAGTCTCGCTGCGGGCGGCGTAGACGACTGGCCGTAGCCCTAACTAGTTAATAATAAGCGGGCACACTGAATTTTCGAAAAAAGGGAAAACGTCGGGTCCCCAGGCCAAGACCACGCTGCGGGTCACAGGTCCGTGCATTACCTAGCGAACGAGTTAGGCCCGAGCAAGTGAAAACTCCTAAATCTTTCCGCCGTTGGCACGACCGGAACGAAAAAAAGAAGAGAACGAACCGCTGGGATTGTCTGGAGAAGGAGCGCATTGAGTCAGGGTATGTCAGTCTAGACTCGAAACTTGCTTCGCACTCCATTGCATCAGGAACTTTTGGTCGGCTTTACACGTCTCGCCTTGAAAGGCGATAAATCGGCGGCAAGATGTCGGTCGCCTCTAAGGTGCGTTTCCCCCAGGCAGGTCAAGCTTTTCCCGAAGCGCCTGCCAATCTCCTCCCACGCCGGGCCCGCCGAGTCGCGCGCATTGCCGTGGACAATTGGCCGGGCCTTGACGGTGCTTCCTAGCCATTAAGAATTGAGAACTGACTCGTGTTGTTTCGCTACAGAACCCGTTCGACCTTCTAGGTTCGTCACCTCATCCGCCCCGAGGCACACTTTGCCACGACCGGGAACCCAGGGCAAATATAGGACATGGTTTGCTGACAGGACACGCTTTTGCTTAGGTAACGACATTGAGGAAGATGGCGATATCAATCCGGCGCCCGTGAAGACGGTCGAGAAGACGTCGACCCATACTACCAAGCGCAACACCGACGGCGTGGCTCCCGCGACCAAGTCTCCTGTTGTTCAGGTTGGCAACCGTCGCGGTGGAGGTGTCGGCGGCAATGAGGCTGGTATGTAGCTGTCTCTGACCGACCTACGAGAATTTTTGGTTCTCTTCTACTGACAATCGTGTCCCTCAAACAGCTTTCCGCGACCGCAATGCCGGCGCGGACCGCAACCGCAGCAAGCCTATCGATGAGGCTGGTGGCCGTGGCGCCCCGCGCGGCGGCGTCAGCGCTCGTGGCCGAGGAGGTTAGTTGGCAGCCGGAAAATCCGATCGCGTCGCATCATTGCTGACCAAGTTCTCGCAGGCCGTGGCGGCAGATACGCTCGCACTCAGGATGACCGTCACACTAAGGGTTTCCACACGTAAGCTCTCCCCCAGCAGATCTTGTGTCTTGCCCGGAGAATCACTGACCCTTTGCTTTAGTGGATCCGAGAAGCAGGCTGCCCAGTCGTGGGGTTCCCCTGCCGATGGCGAGGGCGAGCGCAAAGACGAGGATGCCGGCGAGGCCATCGCCAAGACCGAGCTGACCGAGGACGCTGCCGAGGCCGCTGCCGCTCCTGCTGAGGCCACCGAGGCCACCGCCGAGGGAGCTGAGGGTGCCGAGGCTACCGAGGAGGAGAAGCTGATCAGCTACGAGGAGTACCAGGCTGAGCAGCAGGCCAAGAAGGCCGCCCTCGAGGCCGAACTCGCATTGAACCTCCGCAAGCCCAACGAGGGTGTCGAGGACCCTAAGTGGGAGAACGCCGTCGCCATCGAGAAGGACGACGAGGAGGTTTACTTTGAGGGAGACGAGTCCAAGCAGAAGAAGCAGAAGGCTGCCAAGCAGAAGCAGAAGAAGCAGTATGTGGAGCTCGAGAACCGGTTCATTGAGACCCGCTCCATGCAGCAGGATCGCCCTCGCGGCGGCCGCGGCGGGCCTCGTGGTGGTGCCCGCGGAGGAGACTTCGGAGGCCGTGGACGTGGTGGCGGCCGTGGCCGTGAGCCCCGTGGCGACTTCGCCGGGCGTGGCGACTTCACTGCCGGACGTGGCCGTGCCAGCGCGCCCAACACCCCCAACCCCAGCAATGAGGCCGAGTTCCCGAGCCTTGGAAGCTAGATGCCTGGTCTTGAGACTCGGCTATGACTGTAAAAAGTCGAACAATGTTGCCAGAGGCTCTTCACCCCTTAATTTCTGTCTAGAAGCAAAGGGTAGGTAATCGGAGAAGAGGGAACAAAAGGAGTTATTCAGAATACGATCAGTATTTCGGGGTTACAATTCACATGGCGGGTTCCCGATATCACTGCATCCTTGGTGGCCCCCCCAATTTCACAGAAAAGCAAACACAAGGTTCATTATTTTCTCCAAACAAATTTTCATTAAAAAGGTCTCGTTTTTAATGCCTGGGCATGTGTTCCGGAAAATGGTCGGCCGCTTAGGGAGCTGGTGTGGCCATCTTCTTCAACATCTCTGTACTGGTAGAGTCGGTTTCTTTTCCTCACAGGTAGTGCAAAACATCGTGTCTTGCTCGACTGTCCCCTGTGTGTAACGAGCCCCTCGTCGCGAAGCTGACAGTCCCGGTTTGTCCAAGACTGATCTTTAGTGCCTTTCCGAGCCTCACATGTTACGTGTATTCTTGGCAAGAGAGAAGGCTGTTCTCCGTGTGGGAATGCTGTGTGAGAATGATGCATGGTGACAAGGCAACCACTACCACAAGAGCCACAAGGTCCCTTTGTGTCGAGTGAAAGGAACGGACGGGCTTGTTGGTGCGTCTAGCTTCTATTCGCTCCTTTCTTCTCTGGTAACAACAAACCCATTCTCATCAAGGCTCAGCAAAGAGACCCGAGCCTGTGGGCTTTTGTTCTCTTGGATCGGTATTTAACACGCGCGTGAGGAACACATTTTCTTCTTGGAGTTTCCCTCTTGAAAGGTTACCGCGGAACGCAAGCTGGAAGGAGTACCGTGTCTATGGTGTTATTCATACTGGACTATAATTATTTCTCCTATTTCTAGCAGCAGTAGTTCTGACAACAACAAAAAAAAATAAACAGAAACGAAGTAAAAAAAAAAAAAAGGGGGCGGTCGGTCGGGAAGGGCTACCTACCTACCCGAGGCTATGGAAGCCACGACGGCGGCTGCTTCACCCGTCTCCAGAGAACGGCGGCGGGCATTCTCATTCTCCGACACACACAGCCTGCTCGCCTTTGTACTGTTCTTCCTCGTCGCGGTATTCGTCTTCACGGTAGCGCTGCAGGCCCTCGTGCCGCTGTGGTTCGTCTTCGTCATCCCGTCGCTGCTGGGCTACAGGCGGTTTCTCCTGCGGACTCTGCACCGGAGGCGGCAGCGGCGGCGACCGGAGGTGGGAAAGACGAGGGTAGACCTGGCGTATCCGCCGGGGCACCAGACGGCAGCCTACCGGCAGCTCGGCGACGAGGTGTGCCACATCGACATCGACATCAGATGCCCCGAGGCCTGCGGCTATTGTGAACGGTGTGCGCACTCATATATTGGCTACGTGTGGTTGAAGTTGCAGGAGGAGAGGGCAAAAAGCAAACTCTCCGGGAAAGAAAATTAGTTTTGTAACCCTATAATTATATTTGGTGCAGATAATAGATGAAACTCGTATGTGTAAAAGGCAAGAATCTAAAGAGGCATTACGTGAAGGAACAAAAAAGCAGACGTTCATTATATTTATCATTCCATACTCATCTACTACGCGTGATATGTATTCCGCCTGATCCGAGCAGTTTTACCAATGGAAATCGCTATGCTCGATAGCAATAACAGGCCGTTGAATATGGCCATCAAGTAGAAAGGCGCACCCGTCGACCAGGCGTCAAACAGGTAGCCGCCCAGTTTTGTGAGGAGTAGGATTGCCGCTCCGCCGCACCACGAGTAGACGCCCGCAACCGAGCCCTTGAGCCGGACCCTCGAGACGAGGTCTTCGTCGGGCAACGCCGACGCACTCCCCAGAAGCGGAACCGCATCGTCTGGCGACCCCAGCGCCTCGACCACCGTCTCCTGGTCGCCGCTCGGTGTAGTCAGCAGGTTGATGACATCTACCTTGAGCACTCCGCGGCCCAGCGAGCCCAAGCTGCAGACGATGGCACCGATCTGGCTGATGCCGATGAGCGCAGCGCACAGGAAGACGGCTGGGCTCCCGCCGCGGCCGTCTGTGTCTTTGAACTCGGGGCTAGATAGTTGCGCAAAGACCAAATAACCGACTATACCACACGTGGTCGCGACAACGATGGGGTAGTCGAGTTTGCCAGTCCGGTTGGACAGGTAACCGAAAACAGGGGCAAGGAGCAGGCCCACGAGCTGGGCAACGCCGGTCAATATCGAAGCCAAAACATAGGCCTTGTGGCATTCCTTCTTGAGCTCGGGGGACGTATCGTTGGGTGACCCTTTGCAGTAGCCATTTTGGATGAAGAAGGCATTAACAAAGAGGGGGATGAAGAGGGATATGGCCACGGTTGATGCGCGTGCGACGAAGCCGCCAAGATACCCGAGGGCAATATCCGAGTCAGTAAAGCCCAGGCGAACCGAGTCATTAAGGAGACGCCAGTACGGTATAACCTTTTGTCGGAAACAGTCAGCATTTTCTCGACAACAAAAAGGGAACAGCGCGCGTGCTCAGAGATGATCCTTACGTGCTTTGGGGCCGCCAGGTACCCCGGGGCTGTTCCCTCGGGCGTCGATCCCCGTAGGCCGAGCAACATGCGCCAACCCTTGCCATCTTCGCCACGGAGTCCGCGAAGCCCGAAGAAGACGAAGATGGCAACGGCAAAGGACACGGTGCCGACCACGTAGAAGCTATATTTGACGGCTTCGCCAATGGTAACGCCGCTAATGTTGCCAAAGCGCGTCGGCAGCGGGAGGAACAGCACCAGGGCCACCAAGGCGCCGCAGCCCGTGAACAGGCCGACATATCCGGCCAGCGCCCCCGGCTTCCCCTTCATTTCCGGCCTCCCATCCGAATGGCGCTCGTCGCCAGACTCGGGGGTGCCGTTGCTGGAGCTCCGGAAGCGCTCAGGAGTGATGGTGACCTCGGAATCGACCGAGAGCGCGACGCTCCGTCGGTTGTTCCGCGGCCTTTTCGGGGCGATGTCGGCCGACGGCTGGTCGTCGTCGGTTAGAGAAGGGAGAATTGCTGTAACCATGGTTGCTCTGGATAAGCGATTCGTCGCGATCAGCCGGTGGTCTATTATATATATATGGGGGAGCACGGCTATGAGCGGCATGACTTACGCGGCCGTGGCACCGACGGCGAAGAAGATTCTGGCGAGCAGCAGCTGGGGGTACACATTGCGGGCCTGGACGAAGAGGAATAGGGCCAGGCCGATGATGACATAGGCCACGACGGCGACATAGCGGACGCCGCTGCGGTCCGACACGAGGCCCCATACGGGACAGGCGACGAGGGCGACGATCTCGTCGACGAATCCCAGAGTGCCGACTATGTCGCCCACGCCCTCCTTGATGCCAATCAGATCTGTTATGACGAACGAGACGCTGCTGTTGAGGAACACCAGGAACGAGATGCTGAAGAGCGAGATGCCTAGCAGGTACGCTAGCGCTTGCAGTGCCGTCGTCGACTGCGAGAAGGGCAGGTAGCGCAGCAGACGCGCCGCTCGACGTGGTGGGGGCGCCATTGCGGGGGGCGTTCTCGTTTCCTGTGCTCTTGCGGGTCGTCTTCGTGTCGATGATATTTAAGAAATGTCGGTTGTTAACTGCTGAGTTCCCAAGGTACCTTCTGCTGCGTTTTACATGGTGGAGTTGTCGTTGCAGCAGAAATTGGGTTAAGCTTCCATCTGAAGCTCCGGATGATCTTAGAGTTCTAGTTCCAAGCTAAACCGCCATTTACGGATACAGCAATCAGTATCGAAGAGCCCACCCCGCATTTTCCTTGCTTGCAGCTTGTTCACTGGCGGATCAAGTACGCTATTGTAAGGTACCTTGCCTTAACTCCAGGTTGTTATTCAAAATACGGGTTATACCATGGATGAGTTTGGTTTCTTCATCTTAGATCACCCAGCAGATCAGATGTGAGAGGGTAGAGCTCTTTTCTAATCGAACACAGCATATAGAAGCTCGCTTGTCTGGTTGCGCGACTCGAGGTCTGCCTCAGTGTCCAAGGTTGCTTGCCTTTTTGCCGAGTCATTCCTCAAACAGAGAGCGGCCCCGCAGTGTCTCGCAGCGTGCATCGCAGCGCATCGCATCGCCGAGGCCGGAACCACAACCTGGGGTCGCTAATTTCTTTTGAGAAGCCCTGCCAGCTCTCCGTCGACCATCCCCTTCACCGCTTTATCTTAGGGAACACATTAAGCCAAAAAAATCTTGCCAAGGGGCGGCCGTTGGAGGAGCAGAAGGACTATTATCAAAAAAAGATCAAACTCGGCTTATTATTCCGTCTATCCATCCACGAATTGTCTCGATCGATAACGGCGTGTTGACAGCTGCGGCGGCCGTCTTTGAAAGTCTGCCCGTCTACGTCCGTTTCAACGAGACCTGGTGGCGGCGCGCTCTCTGGGGTTAAACTGAGGATCAAGCGCAATGTCTTCCTCTCTCACAGGCACTCGGGCGCTTCCCGAATCCCAGTATGACCTCAGCACGTACTGGGGTCGCGTGCGCCATACCATTGGCATCACAGACCCGAGGTGAGAACGTTCAACAGTAGAAGGACGAGTAGAGAGGACTGGGGCCATCATGCACTTAGTGTGTCCCCTTCTGATGCGCGCTCGCCGCTATTACGTCGCCAGTTACCAACCTAGGAGGACAAGAAGCCATTGGCCCCATGCCAAAAGAATGCGCTCATGTGTGCTGACTGGTGGTTGGCGGCTTGCTTTGTAGTACACTCCTTGTGAGCACCTCGGGGCTCGAGCAGGCCAAGAAGGCCCTCATAGCCTACAAGCAAGGCCAGACGAAGGAGATGACACCCGAGCTGTGGAAAGCCAAGAAAATTGTCGACTCGACATTGCACCCGGGTACGTGGTTAGCAGCAGAGGCTCGCGTCCCTGGGCCTCAAGATCTTTTGTTGTTGGACAAGGCCACTCACACGCACACGAACACACAGACACCGGCCACCCAGTATTCTTGCCCTTCCGCATGTCCTGCTTTGTGCTCTCCAACTTGATCGTCACCGCGGGCATGTTGACGCCTGGCCTTGGCGTACGTTGATGTCTTGCTTCGTCGAGGCATCATCCCCAAGCCTGGAAACCCGTCCGACCGACACTGACTCTCCAAACAGAACAGGGGGACCATCGCCTGGCAAATCGCGAATCAGTCCCTTAACGTCGCCATCAACTACTCCAACTCGAACAAGTCGTCGCCGCTTTCGTGGTCTAAAATCGGCCAGTCCTACGCCCTGGCCGTGGGTGCCTCGTGCTCCGTGGCCGTCGGGCTCAACAGCATCGTGCCGCGGCTGAAGAAGGTCACGCCGTCGACGAGGCTGATTCTAGGGCGGCTCGTGCCGTTCGCGGCCGTGGCCAGCGCGGGTGCGCTCAATGTGTTCCTCATGCGCGGCGAGGAGATACGCACGGGCATCGACGTGTTCCCGGTGCTCTCGGACGGCGACAAGGCGGCGCTGGCCGCGCAGGGCAAGCACGAGAGCGACGTGGCCAGCCTGGGCAAGAGCAGGAAGGCGGCCACACTGGCTGTGGCCGAGACGGCCCTTAGCCGCGTCCTCAACAGCTCCCCCATCATGGTCATCCCCGCCCTCGTGCTCGTGCGCCTCCAGGGCCGCAGCTGGCTGAAGCGCAACCCCCGCTACACCACCCCCGTCAACCTGGGCCTCATCCTGGTGACGAGCTACGCCGTGCTGCCGCTCGCCCTGGCGGCCTTCCCGCAGAGGCAGAAGGTCAAGGCCGAGAGCCTCGAGGGCGAGTTCCATGGCCGCGGAGGCGAGGACGGCTTGGTGGTCTTTAACCGGGGAATTTAAAGGGGGAGGGTCATCCTCTCAAGAGGTGGCTTTTTTGAACTGAATTGATTGATCTTCAGGGTGGGATTTGGCGAGAATAAACGAAAATCTCCGTTCCTAGAGATGAGTTTGCAATAGAAAAGGGGTGGAGGGATTTTTTTTTGGTTATTTTTATTTTTCTCTTTCCTCTGCCCCTCTGTTCACGACCTGAAAGTGTATTTCGTCCCCGTGCATAGCCTGGAGTATTTCACTGGATAGGTAGCAAGCAAGCCGGCCAGTCAGCTTTGAACAGAAGAGAGCCAATATCAAACAGTATTTACGTCACTTAAGGATTCTCTAAAAAAAAAGGGAAATCTAGCATGTTCCATGTTTCTTGGCAATCATAGCATTGGGGTTTTGGGTTTGCCGCAGTTAGAAGTCGAAAACAGTTTCTGTTAAAATTATGGGAAAGGAGCCCACCACGTGTCTCGTCTCGTTAGGGGACCAACCAATAATTACGCCACCGTTATCAATGCCGTGTGATGGCTTTTTTTTTGTTGCGAGTCCATTTGTGGACGGACAAGGCAAGAAGGGCAGGGTAGGTCAACGAATGAATCATTCAATAACATCGAGGTAGCAAAGCTGATTGACTGACTGGGCCCTCGCGCGTATACTTTGTAGTAATATCTTGGGCACATGAACGGATATGTGCGTGAGAGATGACGATGTTAAAATGGGGGTTAATTGGGTTGGGGACGGCCAGTGGATAGTGGCAGTGGCAGTGGCAGTGACGGCAGTGATCATGACAGGACAGGTCAACAGGCGGGGATAAGACATGGGACGGCCCCGCATTGGGAAATCCTCCTTTCAACTTTCATGACGGGGAAGCGGAAAGAGGGAGGGTGTGTGCGGGAAGAGAGAGGTGGGGCGACCGTCTGTCTCCAGTGAGCGTGCGTGTGTGTCGCGGGGGAAGGGGGAGGGGGCATTTTTCTTCAAAAAAGGGAGCCGTCTGGAATCTGGAAATGAAGAAAAAACCAGGAACCAAGGTTCGCGCCGCAAAACCCTCGTGATAATACGGAGTCCTGGCTAGCATTCTCTTCGTCTTTTTAATCTCCAACAATCCCTAAGCCGTTTCAAAAGATAAAAATAGAAGACAGGAGAGGCGTTGGCTGTTGGGTTGAAGAATGGCATGGCAGCTTGGTGAGATGGGATGGTCTGACAATATCCTCGCCGCACAGGTAGCTGGGCCTATTGTAACTCATATTTTTTGCTGGGTGCCTTGGGACTCTGCTCTGTGGGCTTCATCTCCCAGTCGGTTGTGCCTCACTCCTTTTCTTGCCTACATTCTTTCCCAGTCTTATCTGGACACAATGCATAACGTTAACTCGCTATTGCCTACCTACGCTTACGGAGGTATGAAGGAGGAAAGGCTTCGGTCTTAGCTCTTCTGGGCAACAAGCAACCCGAGCTTCATTACCCTGACGTAGCGGCCAAACCCGTTCTAGTTTTGGCCGTTGCCGGTTCACCTTGTCTGTCCATCAGACAGGATCTCCTCTGTTGTGCGACGGGCGATTACCAATTGGCAGGTAAACATCGCTTGTAGCCCTTTCCGCAGTGTTGTATGGATTTACAATCCACGGTACCTTGGTGTGCATCATAGCACAATACATGGTGTAACTTGAAGATCTCGTTAATACCCCAGGTAGCCTTCGATGTGGTCTTAGAAGAAAGTCCTAAAGGCCGTTGTAAAAACCTGGAAGACGTGATAAAGGTCAGACAAGTGTCTGGAATCTCAAGTCCTTATGACATCGTCCTGAACAAAGTCGCAGAGACGGACAAAAGAGTCGGCCATGATATCCGTCACGTTATGATGGATACCGACGTACGTAGCATGTTTGACTAAGCATAGCTACAACCCTAACAAACCCCTCGAATTCCAAGAGCTTAACTTTCTACCAAGTCAAGTCAGCGTTGAAAGGAAGACTTCCCGAATACCCCGCTACGGGAGCGGTGCATGTCGTCAACAAAACGACGATGCACCATTGCTCGCCACCCGACTGCCGGAAGAGGCCTTTTTCGCCCCTCCAAACAAAAACCCTGGGTCCAGGTTGATGGAAAAGATTAATGATATCATAAACTCCCCTCAACAGAACTCTCTTGTCGGCTCAAGAAGCACTTGTAAATATGAAAACAAAGAGAGAGAAAAACCACCCAACGAAACATTATCACGGCCATGTTTCAAGGTCGTCAGCTAACACCGAGTCTCTACTATGTGGTCTCGTCGTGGAGCGGGGGACACCAGCCCCCTGCCACTGCGGGGTTCGGGCGAGAAGTGCCATGAACAGACAACAACGCCCACTCGGGTCGGAGGGCACTTGAAGCAACCGGATGCTGTCGAAGGGAGGGGCAATGATAAACCCACAGGGCAGAGGAAGTAATCAAACACAGTGAGACTTTCCAGGAGTGTACCATGTTTCGAGAACAGGATGAAATCGAGACAAGCGACAGTGATTGATTTGCGTCGTCTCCCGAAACCCAGGTCTCCGTTTTGACACGCTTTCGTCAAGACCAGGGAATGGAAGAACAGACTTTGACCAGTCGCAGAGTGGGGCGCCCGCCGCCTTTCCCTCCGGAAATATCAGCTGGCAGTGGCCGCCGTTCCTGACAGCTGGTATGCATATTCGGGGGGTGATAACGCAGGAGAGAGACAGATCACGCCCAAAGGGTTCTTCTCGGATTTTATTGAGCGACGAGGCGAGGTCCCCGCGGTCCCTTGGTTACCGTGGAGTGGGACGAGGCCCGGAAGATGGATGGTCGGTCCCCTGGTTGCCCAGGGCGAAGCCCGCGAGTTGGTCGAGGGGCGGTTTCCCCGACCAAAGCACGCCTAGCCCACCAATACACACCAACGCATGCAGATACATTGCGCTAGGTTGGATTCTGCATATCAGATGAGTTGACAGAGTACAGAGCGCTGGTCCCATACAACCACGAGAGCCTCGGGATGCGTATCTCGTGCTGGCAAAGCGTAAGAGACCGAATTTTGTCGGTTTCTGGCGGAGAGCCCCAAGCGAAGATCACTGGTCTCCCTCCTGGGCCCGAAGCAATACTCGATTGCATGTAACATGAGGTAGTCGTGGCGATGGATGTTTACTGCGTGGTTGATTGCCCGAGCATACTCTGTACTGTATGTGCGTGTATGCACAGTCGAGATAACCGCGCCGTTGTGGTGGGAGATGTAGTCATGCTCCCAAGCGCGCTACAAACGCCAGACCCAGATCATGGTGCCGTCGCTGTGCGGTAAAACGCAACCCACCTTTCCAGCACCGATGCCGCGCCGCGAATGAATAGAAATGTGGTCACTAGCAGTGGTTTGACAACGTCATGAATGGCCTGTTAACCGCACGGGATTGCTTGGACATTGGGTCGGTACACGTTTTAGTATATGGTGGCGAGAAGTGTTGCCGTGATATCGAGGCATTGTCGGGTTTCCGGTCTGCCGAGTATTTCGAGTCTCGGAGAGAACGCAGTTCGAGGCACGCACACTGCACGCACGCTGCTGCACGCACTTTCCCATCCATCCTCTGGCCAACCACGCGAGAAGGCCTGCTGCAGCAGCGGGGAAAGGATTTTGGCCCGGCCCAGCTTCTGGCGAGATCCCTTGCTATTTAACGCCCTGTCTCATTGGCGGCGGAGTCGCCTAAAAAACGCGCTGGAGGGTCACAGTAGAGATGCTCCCAAGGCGAGAACGCGCGTGACGGCACGTTCTGTTGTCTCTGCTGCCAAAAAGGCTGGGTAATTGTAGGTCATCTGTTATCTCTCGCGAGAAAACGAGCCCGACTAGAGGCCAGCGCCTTGCCGACTCAGCACTGCGGGACTGCGTGTCGTGCCTGAAAGGCAGGCACGAACCGCAATTACAAATGAGGTGCACTTGCTGCCCATGGCAACCTTACAGGCAGTCAGACACCGAGCGACCGAGGAGCCCAGAGGTGGAAGTTGAACGACCGAGCCTCGACGCCATCAGCCACTGAGTTGGGTACTGTACATGCTGTATTTTTCTTACATTATTTATTACCTTACCTAAGGTCGGCGCAGCCTTGAATAAGGCTGCCTTTTCCCACTGGCAACGACACTGCGGAGTAAGCCGTAGTGGCCTTGCTTTGTCGGATGCCGTGTACGACAACTACGCACCACTTCCGCGATCCCCAATGATGTCAGGGAAGGGTGTAAGAAACATTCCTGTGGATCACAATGGAGATTTGGCCCCACCATCAGTCAGCCTGAAGGGGGGAACAACCCCCAGGGCTGGGCAAGGCCTGACGGGGGTGACTGCCCTCACTGCCTCTCGGGCCATTAAGTGCCAGAATGGTTGCTGCATTTTGTGGCCAATGTTCAGAAGAGGAGACGAGTGTGGTGCGGATGAGTAGAAGCCGAGTAACGGTCGAGAAATAAACAAGAAGGAAAGAGCAAGGGGAAGCGTTCGGCTCGAGTGTGTTGCTAAGGCAGGTAATTAATATCGATGCGGTTGCATGGAAGCATATTGAAGGGAGGACGTGAACCCGTTGCCATATGCAAGATCTGCCTACCTACTCGAGGCCTGATTGCCCGCTCCATCCCAGACACAGACTGCCCTATTTACGACCTAGCTATTATCCTAGTGACATTCCGCAGATGTTGTTAGCACAGCGTGACTGCGCACTAGCCTAGGTCGGGTAGGAGGGAAACTCGGTGTTGGGAAACTGAAAGGAGGAAGATTGTGAGGGGGTGGCTAGATGCGGTCACTGGATGGTTTGTGTGTGGGCAGCGACCACCTTATCCGTACCTTGAAATGCGAGCTGGCGAAAAGCATTCAGAGTTTCTCGTTAGATCTTTGAAGCTATTTTGCATAGAATATTTCAACGTTTCAGAAGGCCTATATGTAAAGATTAAAACCAGGAAAACGAGGCCCTGATCGAGGTTAGAAATACGTGGCTCTCACCAGAGGCAATCTCTGTCGCCGACTCGAGAAAGAAAGCCCTGCCGTAAGACGTCTTCCTGGATTGGGAAGGAAGGAGAGCGAGCAAGACACCACCCGAGGCGGTAGAGGGACGCACTGTGTAGGCAGGGTTATTCGGCAGTAATCCGAGAATGCTGGAAGATGTCTCCTGAGCCCTCAATGTCGCACAATCTTTGGTGCCTAGTGGCAGTGTTCTAGTGACTACACTACCTGTAAAAGCGACACTCTCTGCTAACCCCCACCCCCCGGAAGATATCGAACAACATCCTAAGCTGGCCCGAGCTGTAGGTAGCCCCGCACTGTGTCCGTTCGCTCCTAAAGAGGTTTCAACAATTTGGCGCTGCGCTCGCTGCCACTGGGCCGACCGACTGGAAGGCGAAGTCGAAACTTGGCTAGCCCGAAAAAAAACATCTGGTTTTGGACTCGTTCTGGCCCGCCAGTGCTCCCGAACGCCCAGAATGCCTCCAAAGCACCGAGTGCTGTTGCCCTCTTGAGCGAACAAACTTTGCCTCGTTCCATGCTCATGTTCCGTTCCGTTAATTAGGGCTTGTATGAGTGAAGGCGCTATTGGAGCCAGCAAGAGCTCACTTCCCATTTTGGAAGGCCCCAGCTTGGATCGTCGAGCGAAACGTCCAGGGCAGTCACTCACTCTGGTGCAGCCAAAAGTCCTCCTTTGGCAAGCCTCTGCCACGCTCACAGCGGGCCACAGCGGAGAGAGGGGGCTTCTCTCCTCCACTCATCGCCCACTCGCCTCCCTTCCACCCCCCCAACCTAGTGGCCCAGTTAGCCGACATTCGCATTCAACATTTGGGCCTCTTCCCTCACCCTCGACCGAGTTCCGCTTGACAATCGACACCACTCTCTGTAGGGGTTCGAAAATCGTGGACGGCCTCGTCGTCGGATCAATGCTACTGCTGCCGTGAGCACCGACAAAAAGAGGCTGCTGCACACGCACAGCCAGAGCGCGAGGCCTCGACAGACGTCAGGAATTCCGAATTTCCCCCAAGTCAGCCGCTCGCCAGTCATATTCGCTTGCTGGTGCCGAAGTCTAACAACCGACTGCCTCCACCTCCGCCTGTGTTGTTGGCCTGCCCCCAGCAGGTCTCGCGGAAACCACCATTTCCCCATTCAAACCTCCCTCACGGCCGTGTCGACATCTGCGAATGCAAGCCGAGTAGCAGGACAATGTCGACGCCGACCACTGCAACAGCAACGCTGCCACACTATAACCACTTTCCCTATTCGCACCACCACCCGCACCCAGCCTACCCGCAGCCAAATACCTCTCCATACCGCCCGGGCAACCCAATCCTCCCCGCCGCCTCAAGGCTCGGCTATCCATCACCTGCCAGCTATCCGGCTCCCTCGAGCCACGGCGCGTCAAATGGAATAAGCCTGCTGTCATCGGAAGCCGCCCGACCGCTACCGCAAGAACCCACGACTCTGGCTTCACGGTCGGAGACCAGCTACGCAGCCATGCCAACGGTCGCCCAGACCCAGGCCCTACCCGAACCCCAGCCTACCCGCAAGAGGAGACGGTCGAGAGAACCCGACTGGAGCAGTTTCTACCGAAATGGCCTACCCAAGGAAATTATCGTCATTGACGACACTCCGGATCCCGAGGGACCTGGCGCCACAAGTGTCTCATCCCAAACCCTGACAAATGGCCACTCGAATGGCATCCCAACTGTTTCGTCAACCCAAGGCTCGGCTCGCCATCTGGCCAAGAAACGGAAACGAGACGATGAGCTGGCCCACTACGACCCGGTTCATCACAATAATATTGCGGCATCACACACACACACCCTTCGCCAGCATCCATCACCAAGCAAGTCCACCGTGTCAACCGACCGGACAAGCTCGGCCATACACACGACGGCGGCCACGTCCTTGGGCTCGCTCTCATCCAACAGCCAGTACGACTATAGCACACAGCCTGGCCAGAAGAGAAAGCGAACAACCCGACAGCAGATTGCCAACGAGGCGAGACGGCGAGAGGCACAAGTAGTAAACATTGATCCCTTCGCCAGCTACCGGCCGCCCCCATACCCCCCAAAGAAAGCCAATGAAGTGCACGTCAAGGTCATAACCGACGTAAGTTTTTCCTGCCAATCGGTACATGGGCAAATCACTAATACGGCGGTCTCGGCTGCAGCACTCGCACAATAGGAACGTTCGCGTCGATGACGACGATGGGCATTACATTGTGGTGCCCGATAACGATCTAACCGAGAGATGTGAGTTCTCACACCCTGACTACCTGAAGCCTGAGCTGCGGCTAACTGTCTCTGTAGACCAAATGATCAAGCTTCTCGGCCAGGGCACGTTCGGCAAAGTCGTGCAAGCCAGAGATAAACGGCGCAACAAGCTGGTTGCCATCAAGATCATTCGATCGGTCCAGAAATACCGCGACGCGAGCAAGATCGAGCTTCGGGTTCTAGCAACTCTCAAAGCCAACGACGAGGAGAACCGAAACCGCTGCATCCATCTCCGAGACTGCTTCGACTTCCGAGGCCATATTTGCATTGTGATGGATCTCCTGGGGCAGAGCGTGTTTGATTTTCTTAAGAGCAATCAATTTGTTCCATTCCCCAACAGCCAGATCCAGAACTTTGCCCGCCAACTCTTCACCAGCGTGGCTTGTATGCAATCATTCTCCTTTCAACATACACCGTCTCTGTCACAATGGATGCGTGCTGACTTGTAGCGAATAGTTCTCCATGACCTGAACCTGATACATACGGACCTCAAGCCAGAGAACATTTTACTCTGCCACAACGACTACCAGACGTTTACGTACAACCGCAAGATTCCCTCATCGTCTTCTACCATCGCCCGTCTGGCCACACAGAGAAGAGTCCTTCTAGATACGGAGATCCGGCTCATCGATTTTGGCTCGGCGACCTTCCAGGACGAATATCACTCGTCCGTCGTATCGACGCGCCACTACCGTGCCCCCGAGATCATTCTCGGGCTTGGATGGTCCTATCCTTGTGACATTTGGAGCATCGGGTGCATCTTGGTTGAGTTCTTCACCGGTGATGCTTTGTTTCAGACGCACGATAACCTGGAGCATCTTGCGATGATGGAGGCTGTGGTCAACGCTAGAATCGACACTAGTCTGGTCCAGCAAGTAGGCCGGGTTACTAGGAATGGCGGAAACCCCGCGTCCAAGTATGTTTCTGCCACACCCCGCCCCTATCCTTGAAACGGCATCGAACTAACGCTGCGGCAGATACTTCAAGCGCACCAAGCTTGACTATCCTACGACGGAAACAACTCGAGCATCTCGGAGATTTGTTAAAGCCATGAAGAGATTAGACGTTCGTTTTGCTCACTCCCCACGGCCATGGCAGAGGTGCTAATATGGATATTATTTAGGAGATAATACCCGCGAGCAATCCGTTCCTTGAGTCGTTCTTGGATCTTCTCAAGAAGATATTCGTTTACGACCCCAATAGACGGATCACGGCGAAGGGGGCGCTACAACACCCTTGGTTTAGCGAAGCCGCTCAACAAGACGACGGAACCGAAGCGGCACGGATTCGCGCCGAGAAATCTGGCTCTGTTGTCAGCCATTTAAGCGCCTCGGATGGACGAGGACTACGACGATGAACAACCAATCTGCTTGCGATGGTTTCTGCATAGCTAGAGTGTTTTTGTTTTGTAGGGCAAACAGGCCAACAAAACATGCCCGACTGCGCGGCGACCCGGTATTATTGATATTATGGCTCATGGTATGCATCGCTTGAAAGGGACGGTGCTAGTGTTTTGGCGAACTGGGAACAAATAGGAGGAGTCGGTTTTTCTAGTGTCATTTCTTCGGGCTTTATTTTCGTTCCTGGTACCTGGGTGGCATCATAATGGAACATGGGACGCAAGTTACGATTTCATAGCGAACTATGTGTCCGGCGCCTACGGGTTATTCTGAAGTCGTGGAGGGAGGGCTTGAGAGATACCACTCCGACTTACATAGTAGGCTTTCAACTGTTTCGGTCCCTACCCGGTGCAACAATGAACGTGCCGGCTGCGTGGTTTTGCTCTGAAGCTCGTGTCCCGGACTTGACCAAATCAGTCATCATTTGGGGACTGTTTTTCATACTGGATTGGGTAACGGCGCTGTAAGTCCAACTTTCAGATGTGGTTTCTTTGTTAGCTGACTCAGTCCTCGTTAGGAACAATACGGCTTATAGAAAGAGAGCGAAAGGATTCCGACCAATCAAAGATTACACGTCGGTCTCGTTGCGTTTCTGACCTGTTCTTCACGACTAAGGAATATTCTCTTCTATTCTATATTTCCAGTCTTACAAGATTTACAACAGAAGCTTTTAGGTATCCATGCCATTTGCGTCGGCTGTTGGTCCCAACTAGGTGGTCTCGGTATTCGTCAGTAATGACTATTCTTTGTGGGAATAGTGACTGTTGCATGGACGTCGGATTTGTTTCTGGGATGGATATATCTTGGATATATAAAATCAGGCCATGGAGCACCCGGAAGAGGTCTAGGGACTGGGTGTCGACAAGAGGAGAAACAACAATATTCTCGACGAGCACAACCGACATAGCAACATCACCAGTCCTTGGATGCGTGGTACAGAAAATCACAATGGTGTCAACAGAATCAGGAAACGATTTACTGGAGGAGCTCGGGGAGACAAGGGTCAGGGAGCTGGCAATGCTGCTTCGATTGCCCACCAGTTGTTATAGTACCATGGAGACTATGCTGGCGTGGCTCGAGGGCCAGAAGAGGTTTATCGAAACAGAGTTGCACAAGGATCTCAAGGCAGGTAGATGGAGTCGGATCAAGAGAAATCTCGACAACCCCAGCCCCGGCGGCAAGCTGCAGCCGTGTTGCGTGGCACACAAGGGACTTGACTCGAGCCTCATCGACTGGTGCTCGACTTTGCTTCAGATCGAGTGCACCGTCCGCTGTGATTTTGCTCGCATCTGGATTGATAAAGTGGACGAGAACAAGTTAATCTGCGAGGACTATGTCTTGCTGGACCAAGTCCGGGATTTTACCCAGAAAGTCAGCGGAATCGGTTCGTTGTGGCAGACCCCGGCCGAGTTTGAGGAGCACTATGGCGACGTGAGTCCCCAGTACCGCTTCCAGAGAATAAAGTCAGGATGCGGCGCTTGCATGCTGTCGTTTGTTGGCGCTAGACGGGACCTGCTCGTCATTCTCAAGGCCAATATGGAGGCGCGGGCGAAGCGGGAAAACCCAAGGCTGCTCGCGCTGGTCGAGGCCTGGATGGACCTGATGGATCTAAGCGGAGCAACCGGCATGCGAAACGAGAGCGCTAGAATGGCACGGCAGCTCCGGGGCGTGAGATCGCAGGTTCGACAACGCCGCGCCCTCCATTCAACATCATCTAGGTCCGTCCACGGGAGTACCCACCGCGGCGGACTGCCGGAGGACCTTGAGAGGCTGCATGGCGTCCCGCTTCCAGCCAGAAAGATCAGGGACCGGGAACTCCAGGACCAGGTTGTGGCTTCCCCCCAGGGTCAAGCACCCGCCGTGGCTCAGACTCTAGCACTTGAACAAGCACCCGTTACGGCTCGGGATCAGGCACATGGTCAAGCACGCGACCGGAATCAACCCGAGTCGACACACATGGGCCTAGACGGCGCCAATGACGAGGCGCCCTTTCCCCAGCCGCCACCGGGCTTTGACCGCTGGGCTGCGGAATCGATTTCTACGTGCAACGATCTTTTCACAGCGTCCGAATCCGAGCGCGATATTGAGGACGAGCCGGGAACCAGCCAAACACAGAACGGCGACAGCCAGGGGACATACGTTGGCCCACGGCGGTATTGGAAGAATACCCGGCGTGGCGGCCCTGCAAACGATAGCGGTAGTGCTCCTCAGCCTGCCGCCGCGGGCCTCACCGCTCAAAATGTAGCCGCTCTACGGCTCTCGAGGCGCGGGAGAGTCAATTCGAATACTGGCACCGTCGCCGGCTCCCAGACGGCAGCCAGCAGCGTCTACGACAATAATTACTCACTATCGCGGACGGCGTCGATAGCCCCGTCGGGCGTCTACCGACCGCATCCTGATGAGTATTCTGACTTGATCCGCAGCAGTAAGATGTTTCTCGGCGACGACAGCGGCAGCCAGCAAGGTCCTCGCAAATGATAGCCGTAGAAAGCAAACGTAGCATAAGCCGTTGGATGGTGGACGATCTTGGGCTTTCGACGCCTAGAGATAAATGCAGTAAGTAATAACTACCTACTACTAAGCGTAGACTGAGAATAATAGAAATCTACCACGAAATACTTTCTCTCCCTCTTTCTTTGCATCATGATTAATCCCAACGAGATTTTTTAATTGTCTATCTATTGATGAAACACGACACCGCCTAGCTATATCGTCGCTTTGTGAAACCAAGACTGTAAGGGTAGCTCAGCTACCTGAGGCCAGGTAAACAACCCCCTTTGTTGAGCAGCCGTCGTTAGTGGTTTCTCGGCAACGTGAACACTTTCCAAGAACGCAACATAAAACATCATTCATAGCTTGAACAGGTGTCGCCGCAGGTAATGACAGGATTTTCAAGCAATGCATGGATGATGAAGAAAAAAAGAAGCAATAAGTTTAACGAGAGGGCAAAAAGGATAAAGAAGACAAAATATAAACAAACGACACCTGCAGGATTCGAACCTGCGCCTCCGAAGAGACTCCCTAGGCTGATTACATAGCAGGGGAGCGCGTTAGGCCACTTCGCTAAAGTGTCTTGATAAGGGACTTTCGTTATCAGTCGTTGCGAGTATTTCGTCATACGTATGAACTACATCCATTCCGCTATCTTTTGCTCTCAAGAAAACACAAACACTCTCTAGTCCAAAACACGGAGTGCGTGCGCTACGTTGGTGAGCGCTCTCACGGGTTTTAGATTGTTGAGTGGAACCTTTCAGGGTGCTCTTCTGTTCTTTGGGCAAAAAAGTGGCACGTAACGTTTGTCATCGCCAATATGCTCGTTGACACACGGTGTTTACCTATGTATCCGTATTCCGACTGCATTCGTTCTCTCCTTACGAAATGCTTCCTCGCGAGCTTGTATCGGTTGCCCTACAGCTCTCTCTATAAGCGGCCGCGGCGCATGCTTGATGGATAACAACTGAACGGAGTCTACAGAAGGTAATGATACACCTACTTAGATATTCATTCGTGCTGAGCTTTGGGGTAAGGGGACTACGAAAGTAGATGCCCGATAATACTCCGTAATTGAGCTACCTTGTAATACAAAATAATACAGGCCCAGCCGAAGCAGAGCTCACATAAACAGAAGGATTACTTTTTGAGTTACAAGGTACAGCCCAAGTTGTAGGTTGAGTTGAGCATGTTTTTTGCACACATCTCGCCGCCATCCAATTTCCAAAGACCGTTGCCTATTGCTCGGCCAGCAACTCGTCCAACTCTTCGCCTACATCCTCGGGCCCTTCCACCGTCTCGTTCAGCAGCTCTTGGATTGCCGGGACAAAGAGCTGGGCCTTTCTGAAATCGCCCAGCTTGACGCGCATGAGATCAAAGGCTGAGAGGATGGGGCCGTCGAACTGCAGGCTGCCGTCCTCGTTTCTGACCTCGCCTCCGTCTCCGCCGCCGCCAATAACTGGCAGCTTGGGGTAGCGCTGGGAGAAGTGCGTGAGGAGGAGCTTGCGGGCGCCCATATTTCGGGCGACGCCGAGCGCCTCGGGCATGGTTGAATGGCTTTTGGCGATAGCGTGGTCCACTTCATTGTCAAAGGTGCACTCGTGGATGAGGAGGTCGGCGCCGCGGCCTAGACTGGCGAAGTCGCTCGAGGGCCGGCAGTCGCCTGAGTAGGCGATTTTGAGGCCGCCGGCCGACTCGGGCCAGGTCAAGACAACCGCCGTTGCTTCGGGCGTGTGTCTCACCATGCAAACATCGACGTTCGGCAGCCCCGACTTCTGGTGAGCATGCATACCGGCAGTGGTTTCTGGCGCAACCCTCCGCGGGCATTCATATTCTCTGCTCTTGTGTTTGAGCCTCGTAGTAAAGACTTTGTGGATAGAACTAGAACGGAAGCCGAAATCCTGTACTTCGTTGAATTCGTCTAGGAAGCGAAGTAAATTCGTCGTGGCGATGACGGAGAGGGGGTATGGGGGCTTGGTGTTCCCGACCAACACGTGTCGCCGAGCAAGCACACTGACGATACCGAGATGATGGTCGGCATGCAAGTGGCTGATGTAGACGGCGCGCAAATCGCGGAGCACCTCATCTGCACCCTCGTAACCGTACGACCGCCGTAGCTGCCCGAGCGTGTTCTCGCCGCAGTCAAGGAGGTAACTGCCATGACCGGGGACACGGATCAAGGTGGCCGAAACGTTGCGGTACTTGGACGGTAGGGCCGAACCGGTGCCTAGGGTGACGATTTCGACGTCGCGGCCAGGCATGCCTCGTTCGGCCGAGTCCATCTGCAAGAGGAAAGCAGGGTCCGCAATCCTTTGCCGCGCAGACTCGACGAGGGACATGATGGCTGCATTGGTCATGACCTCCCTGGCCGGGAGGGTCGTGTCTATCAAGGGTTCTTCCGATCCCTTTACGACGCCCGGTTTGGGAGCAAGCAAGAAGGCCGCACTGGGCTCCCCGACTTCGGCCACTGACGACAGTTCCTCGGAAAGCTCGCTTGGTTTGTTCGAGAAGACTGTAAGTGGAAAGCGATCAGGGTCAATGGCGTTGAGCTTGATGAACTGCTCAGCCGTAGACGTGAAAGCCAGTGTGTTTGGTGAGACGTCTTGGCCAAGTAGGATGTGCTTGATGGACGAGTGTTTCTGCATAAAGGCGGCCAACCTCGAGTCGTCCTTGATCCGGGGGCCGAGACTCCAGTACATGACTTGAATGCCCTGCATGATCTCCTCGTTGGTCCACTCCGGGCGAGCGAGAAGACTGTCAATCAGGTTTAGGTTCCTGATATCAATGACTGCGAAGCCTTGGCCCTCGACTTGGGCCGACATGACCATGTCGGGGGTAACGATGACTCCGGGGGGGGTCTTCCCCGTCACGGTTTCCCCCGATGTGAGAAGACGGTATTGTAGCTTTTCGAGGCCGTAACTACGTGCCGCATCGGGATCGAACTTACCACGGCGCGGGTGGCTCTTGACAATGTAGCACATGGAATCGAAGCATGGCTGCGTACCCGGGAGTCTGGCTAGAGAACCCGCGAGAAATTGTCTCTGTACAAAAACGACAGCTTGGGGGTTATGAGGATCGGGAACTGGACCTTCGTACTTTATAAACTCGTTATTCTCGCGGACGAACATTTCGGCCGGCAGTCTGACGTCGGAGAGGGGCAGTGGCACTAGAATGTTCGGTGTCTTGTCTTTGCCATCCATGGAGAACATACTCTCGACGATGGACGACCGAATGAGCCGGTCAGCCTCGGACCTGTCAGCGTCGGAGACCTGGCCCGTTTCGAGCCGGGCGGCGTCGCCTGGATCCGGCTCCGAAGATGTGCTCAGTCTCCGCTTTTGAGGTACCAGAGACTCAGAGGATCCTGGGGTCCGGCAAATGGAAGGGCCAGCCGCCGTGAGCGGGACATTCCAAACGCGGAAGTATGCGTCCTCCCAGTCGGGTTTGCAGCTGGTGGTCCCGGCGGTCCCGCGCGTGTCGTGGCAAATCTCGTCAAGCTTGATGGGCATGTTCTTCCGGTAGATAAAGTTGCGGGTCGCGGCAAGCATGTGCGTCAGATTTGGTCCGCCGTGTATGTGGATGCCGTGGGAGCGGGGGTCTTTCTCTTTGCCAGCTTTGCCCTTCTCCCGGCGTTTCTCGTTATAGGCTCTAGCGGCGGCCCTCAAGTGCTCGGTAGCTTCGGCAGCACTAAGGAGCGTACCCGGCAGGCCGCCGACTGTGTGCCAATCGATATTGCCCGTCAGGAAGATGTGCCGCAACTTGACGAGGCCTGCTTTGCGCTGGACGATGAGGCGCTGGGTGGCCTCGGCGACATGGCCAAAGATGTAGCGCGTGTCGTTGCTTTTAAGCACGATGCAGACACCCGGTGTATCGGCCGTGGCCGTGCCGAGGATCGAGACCTGGATAAGCATCGGAACTATGAGCGTTCGAGGCCCGGGAACCGGCCGACGGGTCTTTTTGTCAGGTAAAAGGAGGTAGTAGTGTCCTTTATATCTTGAGCCGACAGCTTTTGGGCCGCGAGTGTAAGGGACAGGGCGGGTCCCAGGGAACTTGTGTATGATCTTGGAGGGGCTTTTCGGGGCGGGCTTGACGAGGTCGGCGGGCCCTGGCGATGTTGAGCAAGATCTGAATCCGACGCGCCAGGGAAGAAGCCTGGGCCTGGGCCTGGGTCGAGTCCAAGTCCAACAAGATGTAGTCGCAGTCGCAGTCGCACTTCTTGTAGCCGCAGTCCCCAGCCTGCCAGTGAGCACCATTTATGTCTGCGTGCTCCTGAGGTGGGTCATTGAAGTGCACGCTTTTAAGCCTGCGTGGTCATGCCGTTCGCTCGCTCGCTCGCTGCCACGTCTCGGGGCTCTCGTCGCCGGTGACTCGACTGTTGGGTCTTGACTAAGTTGACTTTGACTGACGTCCAGTCGTGTCGGCCAAAAAGTGGGTGGGTGGGTGCACCAATGCAGCAGCCCCAAGCCCCCGAAAACGCACAGCGTTTTCTCTTGGCGGGGCCATTGGGACTAGCTGCAGGTACCGTACTGTGCCGTTATACTACTAGTTGAGTTACTCGGGATGAAAGTACGTATGGAAGTCAGGTCGGGCTGATTGTGCAGTGTCTATGCCTCTTTGTATGTACCCATTTCTAACCAGACTACCTAATTCTCATGTTTAATCGACCGGTCGTCTTTCGTTTCCTTAATTTACCCTAGGTACCTTATTTTCCCCTTTTGAACCCCGCGCCACGCCCCTACTAACCTACTATGTAGATACACAATAAGGTAATAAGCGAAGAGGCTCTGCCGCAGCCCAAACCGACTTCAGCCAAATAGCCAGCGAAACAGCTCTTTCGGTGAAAAACTTGTTTCTTTGCCAACCCTCATCTACCAACTCAATATGCCTATTACACCTCGCATGCCCAACTATGCTCAAGTAAAAAAAAAAAAACAAAGAACTACGGAGTAAGTACCTTAGCCAATGTGTACAGACGGAGTAGTGATATGCCGCCAATAGCGTCGCGAAAAGCCTCTCAGGCAGTGTGAATGTCCCAGACACGCCGCTTCAACCGCACATGGATACACGCTCCCCCTCTATTTCTCTATAAAAGCGTATTCACATCTTCCTAGTCCTCTACCCGCCCCGCTCCATGTCTCTCAGGGCATCCTTGACAAGGCCCTCCGCCTCGGCAATGACATCCTCTCCGCGCCGCCACGTATACAGCGCCACGCCGAGGCCGTCGAGCGTCTCGTGGGCCCTAGCTAGCCGACGCCGCCACAGGTCCAATTTCTTGTTGATGTTTTGCCCATTTGCAGTAAAGTTACCCGCCGCCTCGGGCAGTGGGTCGCCTTCGGTCACGTCTAGGTTTGAGTTTGTCCGCCCCTGCTGCGACAATCGGCGTGGGCTGAGATTTCGTAAGGACGACGGAGTGCCCCGACGGCGTGGCGGCGGCGGCGGCGGAGGCAGTGCTGACCTCGGGGCGTTGGAGCCAGGGCTGCCTTGATTTGGAGACGCGTTTGTTGCTGCGTACGGGGACCTTGAAAAGCTTTCTGCCGAGCTGTTCCTCGCACCGGTCTGGTTGGGCGAGTTTTGTATGTGTGTCAATGGCGTGTGTGGGCTAGGGCTGGGGTTGGTATTTCTGCTGTTTACAGAGATTCCAAGCCCGACGTCTGACGGCGCACTGCGTAGTGCGACTGGTTTGGTAGGCCGGGGGGGTGGTGCCTTCCGAGACAGCATGTCTACCGCCGACTTACTTGTCCTGAGCCTGTCCGCGTTGCTATCCCCAGCCCTGGCAGGGTTCCGAGCATTCATGGGGCTAATCGGTTCTGGTTCATCCGAGAGGTCGATAAGTGTCCCCATGGCTGGCCATTGACGAGACTCGGTCGGTGCTGACAGTATACGAGGAGGCAAGTCAGGTCTATCGTCTTGGCCACCGTCCACGCCCTTGAACCGGTCCGTAGATCTCACCCGGATGCTGACGCTGGCGCTTCCCCGCCCATTGCGCTGATCTAGACCACCGCTGAACGAGGCGTCAAAGTAGCCGGTTTGGTCTGGCGTCGTGACATCGCGGATGAAGACGGCCAGGATACGTCCAGGATTGGCCACTGCTAGATCTGTGTATACCTCGAGATCCGCCTCGCCGCTGTCGCCGACAAGAAGGAATCTTCTCTCGGGAAAGTCTCGTAAGATTTTCTCTAGCGTCCCTTTCTTCCTTTCAGCCACCGGCTCGAAAATCCCCTGGAGCATACCGCTGTAGTGCTTCAAGTGGATAGACCCCGGGGGCAAGCCGGCCATGACGAAGAAGGTGGCGAGGACAGGAAACAGCTGCCATGGGCTGTTGGAGCAGTAATGCACCTGGACGCCCATGCCATGTAACTTGTGATACCACTCCTTGACACCCTCGACGGTCAAGTCTGCCAAGTCTCGAATAAACGTGTTTCTGAAAATCTCTCGCGCCCCAAGGTGAATGTTGGACCGCTTGATCGTGTCGTCGATGTCGCTGATCAAGCTGACACCCCTGGGCTCGATGATCTCGATGGGTTTGGTGGCCGAGATGTTCTCGTTTGCCAAGACGCGCAGATGCGTTGGGACGAAATCGAGAGCAGCGCGGATACTGAAATGCCCGGAATCGTCCGTTGTGACCGTCCGAGACTGTGAGTCCTCGTCGTTGTAGAAAAATATGGTGACGGGCTGCTGCACCAGTGGCGTTGTCATGAACGGCCCTATACGTGCCATGAGATTGGCATTGGCCACCGCAAGCTCGGCCTCCGTCAGCCCTGACGGCGTCGCATACGTGGTTCTGCTAGCCGACAAGGTCGGGGATGACGGCGGCGATGCCGGGGTCCGTGTACCGCTGCCGTAGCGCCGAGATTTGGCCGGCTCGGAATCAGAATCGTAATCTCGCGGCGTTTCACTGTAGTCACCTCTGGTGGCGGCCTCTTCTTCCCCCTGGCCCTTACGTTCGATCTCGCGGGCTTCCCTCGCGATCCTCTGCTCCTCCCTGACCCTTTCGTGCTCTTCGTGCGACGTCACTGGCGACAGCTCTGCTTGCGTCGTCGGGGCGGGGATACCGCTTAATCTCCGCGCAAGGCCGATCAGCATGCGATTGCGGCGCGTCATGGGCCCCTTGCTTGGGTTGTATATCCAGCCCCGAATGTCGACGTCGACGACAGCCTTTTCGTCCTCCAGCCGCGCCCATTCGTGCCGCCAATAGTCTTCGTCGCTCATGCCCATCTGGGCGGCCGGGAGCGACCTCGAGGGGTCCGACGGTCGATGCTGTCTCCCGTGCTCCTTGATGTGTCTCTTTGCGTATGACGGAAAGAGCACCATCTGCTCCTCGCCTTTTGTAACGATGGAGACGTGGGGGAAGGACCCCGGGATCGATATTTGTGTGTCCAGATTATCGACACCTCGTATCCTAGTGTTGTTGTACTGCTCCTTCAGCTCCGACGCGGCTGCCACGCCGGCGCGGTACACACTTCCCGCCATGGCAGCCAGCTTCTTGCGCCTGACACCGCGCTCGGACGAGGCTGGCGCATATCCATATCCTCCTGTCCCGCCATACCCGTACTGAGATGTCATGTTCTTAGACCTTTTTGTGGCGTCTGAGCCGGCGCTGGGAGGAGACGAGAGGGCCTGGGCATCCCTCGTCCGCGGCAACGGCGGCAGGGGGCGCAATGCCGTGGCTGTCACCCTCGACTGCGCCTTAGAGTCTTTGCCAAAGAGCACGCGGCGGCTGTAGCGGCGGACAGTGTCGACGAGGCGAGTCTTGTCGCGGCGTCGGCGCTGGAGCTCGACGAGCAGTCGGTAGATACGACTCTGCAGGCCGTGCTTGTAGCGTGGAAGGGTGTCGAGACGGAAGCCGAGAAGGCGCTCACGGTATTTCTCGCGGACCACGGGGGAGAAGAGGTGCCGGAGGAGGCTCGAGCGATGACGGGGGTGCGGGTGCAGGTGCAGGTGCAGGTGCAGGTGCGGAGGAAACCGCCTGAGGGGAGCCAGGTTGGCGGCCTTTCGACTTTTTAAACCTGCTTGGTAGACAGGAGGCTACCTCGAGAAGAAGAAGAGGTTCAGAGCGAAAGAGCACCTGAGGCAACAGGTAGCCTCGAGAGCTAGTGGTTGGTGCCGTCCCCTTTTCTCTGGAATCCGCACGCCTCGGGCACGAGATATTCCTGGGTAAGCACACACCAGGCAAGAAGCGCAGGGCTGTAGGTTCGAGGCAGGAACAGATGGCAACAAGCTCCGGTCAGCCGTCGGGCAGTGCAGGTGATTAAGTTTGGTGTCAGCTCATTTTTAGACCAAACATCATGCGGACACTAATTCTCGACAGCTATGCGTGTCTACCACACTGAGACAAAATTTCACGGAGCGATGAGCATTTAACATTAAGTGCTAAGTTCAAGACAAGGCTCTGGTGGCCGCCAAGATTTATTCTTTTCTGCCCGTCTTCCAGCGTAAAGCAGTCAGCGCCCTCCCCTCTAGCAGTTTGCGACGCTACGTCACCTGCAGTGGACCCCATGCTGAAGCGGGCCTGGTGCGTGGGGTCAGCAGCCACAAGCCGTAGCAGGCTCTGACCGCGTTACCTACTGTGTAGGTACAGAACTCCGTGGTGGGGGTCGGAGTCGGACCCAGGGGCAACGGCAACGTGGAAATCGGAGGCTGTTTATAGGTTGGTTATCAACGCCCTTCTCCTTACCAAAGTCGGTAATATAATATTTGTAAATAACTGCACGTGGTATTTTGTCCAGGAGATTAGCACTGCCCCTTCTGGAGGAGGTCTATGCCACCATTAAAATTCACTTCCTCTTCTTCACCTTGAATGACTTCTTCGCACCGCCTGCCTTTGGGCCTTCTGCCGACTTTGGCTTCTTGTCCTTCTTGAAGTTCAGCACGGCTCCCTTGCCGTCTCTCTCGGCGCGTCCCTTCTTCCAGACTTTGTCTTCTCCAGATTTTCTCTCCGCCTTGGAGTCGAGCTTCTTCTTGTCTTTGTTGCTGAGATGGCCGGCCCCCTTGGCCTTCATCTTGTCGCGCACGCCGTTGAGCTCGGCCCGCCCGGCTTCCTTAGCTGCTCGCTTGTCCTGTTCCGACTCGAACCACGTGCGCTTGGGTCGCGCACCAATCTCCTCCTCGTACTTGATCATGTTTTCGCCCTTCTTGACCTGCATCTCCACCTGTGCAAGCTGCTTCTCCTCCTTCTCCTCCCTCATAATCTCGTCAATCTCGTCCTCCATGTCGTCGATTTGATCCTGCCACTTGTCTGCATCCCCTGCCTCGATTATGCGGCTCGTGATCTTGGCGCCTTGCGCTTTTCCGGCTCTGACGGCAGCCTTGACCACTTTGCGGTCGGGCTCAGCCGCCAACGTAACTGCAACACCAGTGCGGCCAGCTCGCGCAGTACGGCCAACACGATGGACGTAGACGTCGAGGGTCTGTGGAGCTTCGTAGTTGATGACAGTATCCACACCCTTGATATCCAAGCCACGAGACGCAAGATCTGTGGCTAGAAGGAAGGAAACCTTGCCGTCGCGGAATGCCTCTACACTGGCGATGCGCTATATATATCATTAGTACTGCTCCGACAAGCAACACAACCAAATATAGTAACATACCTGCGCCTGATTCATGCTTCCGTGGAGCTCTGCACACTTCAGTCCTAGTAGACCAAAAACGATGCGAGTCCAGTGAGCAATTTTCTTCTGTCTGAAGAAGATGATGACTCGGTCTGTGTATAGGGTCTTGCAGATATGCACCAAGTACCCCAAACGCTTCTCCTCGCGGCCTGGTCGTAGCCGCACAAACTCTTGCACCAGCGTTCCGACGGTCTTCTTCTGCGAATCTACCATGATACGAACAGGCTTGTTGAGACCTGCGCGAATCAGACGGTCGACAGACGATGTCATTGTCGCCGAGAAGAGCATGGTCTGCCGGGACTTGTTAAGACTGTTCATAATCTCGTTCAGCTCGTCGGCAAACCCGTCTTCGAGCATCCTGTCAGCTTCGTCCAGCACCAGGATCTCGATTGTCTCGATGGCGAAGCTAGGCGAGTTTCTCATGTGGTCGATAAAGCGACCGGGCGTGGCAATAACCACGTCGGGCCGCAAGCGCAACTCCGCCTCCTGCACCTTAAGACTGAGACCGCCGACAGCCAGACAGAACTTAATGTCCGTGTAGCTCGCTAGCTTGACGGCCACTGAGTGACACTGTATTGCCAGCTCGCGTGTGGGCATCAAGATGACTACCCTGGACGTCGGAACCTTCTTGGGCCGGTAGAGAAGACGCTCCAAAATTGGCACGATGAAGGCGGCCGTCTTTCCGGATCCCGTCACCGCACCACCGACAACATCCTTGCCCATCAGCGCGATAGGTATCGCCTTGGCCTGGATAGGGGTGGGCTTTGTGAACCCGACGGATGCCAGGCCTCTGAGAATTGGGCGAGAAAGGGACATCCCCTGGAAAGAAGAAGGACCGCCCTTCTTGTCGCCGGGCTTCTGTTCCTCCTCTGGCGCAAAGAATTCCTTCCGCTTTGCCTCTTCTACGGCATCCTCACGCTCGTCGTCGTCGTCGTCCGAGTTTGACGCTTCGTCATCGGGGTGGTGCAGAGGCGTTGCCACGGAGTCGCCATCCGACGCCGCGTCGCCCTCGTCATCATCGTCACGCTCTTCATCTTCGCCGTCCTCCTCATCCCCTGCATCTGGCATGTTCTCGTCCCCGGACTCGTCGACGCCCGAGCCTACGCCCATACCGAACCCGTCTTCGGCGAGCACCTCGTCGTCATCGTCGTCCAGGTCAACTCCGGCCTCGGCTGCGGCTGCCTCGGCATCTGCCGCATCAAGGGCGGCAGCGACTGCTGCAGCATCAGCAGCACTATTACCGTTGGAGATACCATTGGGACCGCCATTGGCTTTTGCTGCCTTGGCCTCCTTCTTTTCTCGCCGTCGGCGGATGATGTCGTCGATATCGACTATCCTCTTCTCGGCGCCCGTCACGCCGCTCTTGGCACCGTCAAACCCCCAGCCTTCGAATTCGGCCGCTCCGTCAATGGCTTTGGCGTTATCTGCCACGACGAATTCAAAGTCGGAGTCCATTGCGCCGTCGTCCTCGTCGGCCTGGCCCCAGATTCCCAGGCCGTTATTGTCGTCCTCCTCCTCATCTTCTCTCCTCTCATCTGCATCGTCGCCTTTGTTTTTTTTGTTCTTGTTCTTCGTCTTTCTATCCTTGTTGGTGGTCGTCTTGGCCTTCTTCTTTGGCGGAGCGGCTTCGACTACCTCTTCGGGGATATTGGCCTCATTGTCGGAGATGGTGAGGATGAAGTCGTCGTCAATGTTCTTTCTCTTTTGCGAGGGTGCCATCTCGCTATTATTTGATGGCAGCTTTTTAATGTTGTGATTTCAGCGCTCGTCAGATCACAACGATCTTTTTTTCGCTGCTATTGTCGGCGGCTTCGAATGGTGGGGCTCCTCGAGAGAAAACCAAAAAAAATTGGCTGGCTCCGAAGCTTGGAACTTTTTCTGCCGGGCGGTGAACAAAAGCTTCTCACTTGTCCAGAACAGACGGCCCCACCGTATTCCGTATTACCACCCCCACAATCCCCCACAGGTTCAAGCTTCTGGTCAGCGCCCCTGCCGATCTGTTTACTCCCCGGCATTTGGAATTACTCCCAAAAAGACAGGAAATAACATTATTATCACTATCCACGATTTAGATGCGCCTATCTAGGTATGGGATCTGGGAGGCGCGAATTTTTAAAACTTCTTTCAAACCCTTGTCGGAATCTTTCTCTTTCCGTCTTATACGGAGTATGATGCCGGGATTTAAACTCAGTCAGGGGACCAGATAGCCCACACACACAGTAGAACTTCAGATGAACTTGCTCCCGGTCTGTAATCGACTACCACCTGATACGTAATTTCCTGTGGTCTGTCTTTTAACGAGCTACTGATCCCATCAAGATTTTGGAGAATTTGAAAGACATGGTTATGTGTAAACGCGCTTCAAAGGATTTGCTCATCTTCATGGATAAATATATATGATCTAGCGATTTCGTCCATCCAGTACGAACAATGTATCCAACTAGAGTAACTTACCTAGTTTCCCTGCCATCTTCACTTGCAAGAAGGATGTGAGGCCACGTTACAATGATGTCCCCGGTTCTGGAGATGGCAATTAAATTTCAAGAAAATATATGTTTTCCTCCCGAAAAAAAGATCGAGTGAGATATTCAAAATGAACTCCAGACGCCATGCCAATGGTATAAATGCTCCCATCTCTTTCCAAGTCCCAGGCTTCCCGCATATCTTACGCCGCGGCAATTTTGCCCAAAAATCATTTTGTGATTGTTTCATTTATTATCAATCGGTACACCCTTGATGAGAGTGTCGTTGAGAGCTCTAGTTGTGGAATGTTGTCACAACCGTAGGATCTGTCACCTGGGCATCCTCTCGCCTAGGTCGTAAGATTCTTGAGCCGCCGCCGCAGCGCGCACCTTCATCTTTTGGGCGCGCATCCTCGATATTTCAATATCTGATAGAAGAAACTTTTGCTCGTCGATCTCCCTTCTCCCACCACCGCCACCGCTATAGCCGCTACCATAGCTACCACCAGAGGGGCCTGCGGTTCTGTACGGACGGAATGGCAGTTGCGGCTCGTGCTGCGGAGCTGCACCCGGGAGTTCGTACTCGACGATTTCGGACCCGTCGTGGTAGAACCCGTCTTTGGTAGGCGGTAGCTCAGCTTCGGCTTGCGGTTCTGCAAGCTTCCGAATGGCACCCTTCTCCATGGCGTCAAAGTCCTTGCTCGACGCATATGGTGGTAATGGCACCATCGTTGCGTTCATCATGAGCTCGTCCGCCTCGGCCTCCCACGAAAACTGTCGTTCATGAGAGGTGATGGGATGAGGGCCCTGCTCGACGATCCTGCGGTTATATATGCCTTCGTCAGGCGGCACTGTTGGTGAAGTTACGGCGGGCGTGGGAGTTACGCGGTTCGGGCCGTAAGATATTATTACGGGAGCAGAATGCTTTCTGGGAGGCGACGGAGATGGCTCGGAAATGTGGAGAGGGACCGGGGAAGGAGCCGGGGGAGGAATACGATAGTTAGAGTAGTCGGCTGCGCTCGGGAGGGCGGCCAAGGGAGGAACTCGTTCCAGGCTGTCGATAGAAACCGACACTGCGCGCTTGTTCATCTCGGGCCGTAGGGTAACTCGAGGCGTCAGGGTTGGCGTGACGGGATTGGGTCCATACGAAGTGACCACGGAAATAATGGGTTGTGAGTTTAGTCGAGCAGCCGAGAGTTCTTCTCTCTCTGTGCTCCGATCATATCGGTACGAGTTGTCGGGCCGTTCCGAGGCCCAGAACCCGCCGTTATTTGATGACGCCGGCGAGTGCTGTCCGGTGGGAGAATGACTGTTTGCGTTGGAGTGCAGCGACCGCACATCGTCGTATCCCATCGATCCAGGAAAGCCGTCAAAGACAGGCTGGATGGGATAGAGTGCTTCGTCCGAGCGTCCGGAACCTAATGATGCACCGCCATTCCGTGTCCGTGTCACAGGCTTCTCAGGTCCTTTCCGGCGGCCATGGTCGATGATGGCTTCGGTCAGGGAAGTATCCTGTCCCCTCTTCCGACGCCTAAAGTACAAGAAAGCGGCCATGACACCCAAGGCGATAGAACCGAGCGCGATGCCGATCCCTATGGCGGCTTTTGCGCCGGGGCTGAGGTTGTCTCCCCCGCCCTTAGGATCTTGAGAAGCCACTGCGACAACCGTCGGGTTTCCTGAGGAGGCGGCTACGATGCTTTGGGGTAAAGGCGACGGGCTGGCCGTCGAAGCCGCTTTCGGGACGTCAGCTCTGGGGGTAAGCACTCCGATAATCGTCTGAGCGTCGCGCCGCTGGGTCGGCAATACGATGAAAGGTTTGCTAATATCCCCACAGGCGCCGGTATTTAGGGAGAGATGGAACCAGCAAGGGTCGGAAGACGAGAAATTCAGCAAAACGAGGGCGCTCCCGTTGTACGGGACAGCATTGTCGGTTCTGAATTCTGTTTAGGCGAGAGCAAAGAATCAATCAGTCAGCAACCTCTGCAGCGACGGCTTGCAGGGACGCAGAGGGGGGATTTGCAGTGGTTGCTGGCAGCAGAATGCAGCCACTATCTCGGTGCCAGAAGATGGAAGAGAGAAGATGGAGGGGCAGCAGTTGCAGTTGCAATGTGGGAGACGGGGGAGAAAGGAGGCTAGAGATTGGGCGTGAGGTCTGTTGGAACGGGATGGCACGCTAGCAGACTAACTCACTCTGGGTTGCCCGCCCCGGCGCACCACACAGACAGGACAGCGATGGGTTGGAGAAGCTTGATCGGTACGTGACGACGATGGAGTCTAGTTCGTAGAATTCGGTCTCTTTTGTCGGGAATAGAAAATCGGCTCCACAACGAGCACTTGCCATTCCCCCTGCTGTAAGCAGGCCGGGGATGACAAGGAGGGTGAGGATCACGGTATGGGCGACTCGGATATCTCGCCGTGGGTGGGGTCTAGGAGCTGTTGTAGTAATATTGGTCCCCTTCGCCGTCGCCATCAGAGTGAGATGGTCGCGCGAAAGAGGCACTTGTCGACTCACGATGCCATCAGCCTAAGGGCGTGGGCAGAATGGCAGCAACAGACACACAGACGCAGACGGAAGACGCAAACGGGACGCCAAACAAGCCAAAGAAGGGCGGGACTTCTCACGAACGGCGCAGGAGGACAGGCAAACCAGTGGGATGGATGATGTGTTCTTCGCACGCCGCAGCACATGGGCCCCGATGGGGGGGAGGGAGGGGGGGGGCACAACAGACAGACTGCAGGCATTCTGCGGACTCCCTGAGCCTCGCCCTCCGTCCACTGGCCTGTGGCCTTTTGACCAGGTCACCGACTTCATGGGCATTGGGAGGGCAGGACCTTGGGGAAAGGCGGGCTGTGGGCTGTGGGCTGCCGGTGCTAGGCAAGGACAGCCCACCAACCCACACACAGGAAGGAGCGGCCGGAGGATGGGCTGAAGCGGAGAAAGCTAGGATTGGACGGCAAGCGCAAGCCAACCCACCCCCAAGTTGCAGCATTCAAGGCCCCTTTCTGATTTCAGACATGAGGGGCCGTCAAGCTGTTCGACCATGCTCGACCATGCCCAATCGTTGGCTCTTCGTCCCTTTGGTCCATGCGCCGCAGAGCCACAAAGGTACTCCGCTCCGTAGTCGCGACTGTGTGCTATCGCCAGCCCAGCTCCCCGTAGAAGAGGTCCAGGCCCCTTTTGTAATGGCAACGTCCGTCCTCTACAAAAACCGACTTGTTGGTCTGGGGGCTACTTTCGGGAGATCGATCAAATGGCGATCATTTGGTCGAGGCCGTCCCTGTCACGGCGATGGCGAAGATTTCCGTAACCGGGTATATGCACCGCCTGTGTCACCTGCGGGCAACGAATTCGGAATCGGCATGGATGGCATGACAGGACGCAGATTGTGGGCCTCTCTTGATTAAGCCCCGCTTTACAGGCCTTGGCAGGCCTGCCCCGAGCCCGCCTCGAGCCTTCTGAGTGTCGACGCAACGCCCTTATCTTCGTTCAACAGACCACAGGTTGGCGATTTGAAAGGAAATACTCTGCTCTGGGACGATGCTGGCTCCCTTGGCCGGCGAATATCTAATGCAAACTCTTCGAATCATTATCATCGTCATATCGGTCTGGAAGATGGGCTTTCATGCGTTTTCCTTTCTCGTTGTCGGGCTTTAGTGAGGCGGGCGGGCACTTAGCTCTGCCCCCAAAGTGCTAGCGCGGGGCACAAGCGTCTAGCATAGATCACTGATTGGGCCGTTGGTTGAGGGCGCATGGGTTCGGATCCTTTCTTGCCGTTTTCTGCAAAGCTGAAAGACTGTGCCACCGTTTGAGCAAAGAGCGGAACCGGAAAGAAAAACCGTTGGAAGGATTATCGCGATGAGATCTAACCAAGAACCCCGATCTCACGTGAGGCTCCACAAGGCGTCCTTGAAAGTCGATGCGGCGCCGGTAAGACAATAGCGGCCAGCCGGTTCGCGAGAGCGGGAGGGACCGACCCGGCCTAGGTTCATTTGGGTTGTGGGTGAGAGAGGTCTGGGCCTCGCGACAAGGAGTCGAAGCCACGACGGCCGAGACCAGTGGCCGATAGCCCTCCACATGCGGCGGTTTAGAGACACACCCAGTGCAAGCGGCAACGCATATCCGTATCGGTGCCGGTACCAGGAAGACGGCCCAAAGAAAGCGGCAATGTCAGCTGAGTGGCTCCTCCCTTCTCCAGGTGAAGCTCGAGTGCCGACGTCGATTAGCTCCCAATTTGAGATCTGACACAGCCCTGCGACGAGGAGTCTGGACGAGACATTTAATCAGTCTTGCCCAAGCCAGCTGCAACCACAATACAAGCAACTCCACCAACGTTGATATCTGGCTAGGTATGTTCCCTTTCTCCGCCGCCCTCGGTCAACACATTCATCTTCCTCCAAGTGACGCAATTCCCACCGAAAGCCTGCGTCACCTTGGGTAAGGTAGACATCGTTTTTAAGTTTAGTCCCCTGCACGGAAGACAGTACCACGGTCCCAAGATCTCAGGATCTCGGGCTTACCTTCGCATTTCGTCCCATCTGTCTCGGCCTGCATATGCGGCGGAAGTTGACGGATGTAATTAGGGCCATACTAGCGTGCTGGTAGTCCGCACGCTCGCACTTGCCTTTCATTGGTATGCTCGGACATTACTCTTGGGCCTGAAGCTTGAAATATTGTCAAGCCCTCCAGAACGGCTGCTGGCAATGTAGTAAGATGCCCTCGTTCGAACATCCCACATGTCCCGGGTGTCAAGGACAAATAACTACCTACCCCCAACTTCTCAATGTTACAAACCAAGTGAACTCGCTTCCTCGAAAAATAATTACAAGACAGCTGCAACTCCCACTTGCGACTCTTCTCATTCATCTTGCCCTCGGGCTCTGCTAGCCAGTGCTAAGAATTGTAACTCCAAACCTCTACATTTCGGGCCTGATATAAAGTGTCTTTGAATTCATGAACAGGTCCACGGTGTTAGTAGCCATACGGTAGCCGGTGGGTATTTGTTCGTCGATTTCTCATTGTTCTGCCAGCGCGGGACAAACTGACCTTCATTGGGTCCGGGTGAGCCCGAAGAGCCCTCCATCTGGAGGTTGATGATACTTTGTTTACTGTCAGTTGCGGGCTGACTCCCTTTCATGGCAACTACGCTCCGGGACTCGGCACTCACAGATAAAGGGGCTGTCCCACGTAGCCCTTCCCATACTGCGTGTCGATGAGCTTGTCGTCCATGTAGAACTTGGCAGACACATCGCGGCCGTTCTCGTCGCGAATCTCGCACAGGATCTTGTGAAAGCTTGCAGCTTCCGAATAAGCCACGTCGCGCGCCCGCACCGAGGACGATGTATTGAACGTATTGAACGATATCTTCCCGCTCCCCTTCCACTCGGCCATGTCGACCTCGGGCGGCCAGCCGTTGACGGCGGTGAGCCAAAAGGCCGGCCACGTGCCGCGCGCCGTCGTGGCCCGGAACTCGCCCGCGAAGTCATATCCGCCGCCGCGCGACACGTTGAAGTGCTCCTTGGCGTGCACGGCGCCCGACAGGTACTTGATGGTGATCTGCTTGCCGCCGTGCGTCGCCGGCTTCTCGCCCGTCACCTTGCGCGCCGTCAGCGTCACCGTCCCCGCCCCGGCGCCCCCCGACAGCGCCACCTGCCCCTTGGCCATGCGCGCGGCGCCGTTGTGGTCGGTGCCCCACGGGTAGTTGTAGTTCCAGTCAGCGTCGAAGTTGGCCTGCGACTCAAAGCTCGTCGACGGGATCATGACGTGCTTCGTGCCGGCTACCCCGAGCCCTCCTGGCGAGCTGGACAGGGAGCTTGCCAGAAGCAGAGCCGAGAAGCATCTTGATACGGAATCTGATTTCGGCCACATTTCGCCCAGTGACTTTGGCAAGGTGGCAGCAAAAACAGAGGGGAATGTTGCAATATTGGTTGATTTGAAAATGGAAACCTGAAATATCTTTCCTCCCCTGAACATCAGGCCCAGATAGCGTAAGGTTCCTTCAGTCTACCACATATGAGAAGAACCGGGAAAATATCGGCGGCTGAACCGTAATGAATTTTATTGACCCGCGTGGTATATGAGTGGTTGATATTTTGTCGCTTCACCATGCTTCCGGCGCAAGTTTCCTATTTCTAGGTACAGCTATATAGCCGGAGGGACTGCTTCCGGCTAAGCAGCCATACTGAACCACAAATCGAGAAGATTTGACATCATCTCTACGTACGAAAGTATCGTGAATTTTGATTTGGCTTTGCCTAGTAGTAGGCTAGTAGCAGGCATTGTTGACCACAACAGCTGAAGTTGTTTCAAACTCATGACTGAGTTGTTTATATACATTTGCCCAATGCGTTAAACTAAGTGAACCTGCTAATGAAAATAAAACCAGTACGTCAAGCAAGCAACCCCGTGCAGAGGACCACGAAGTATTCGTTTCCTTGTAATCAAATAATTTTCGAATAAGCTGAAACATTTGAAGAACCGGATATGGAAGTATGATCGGTCCTCTACTTATATTTATTGTGTACGAACTTGCTCTTCTTGGATCTAAAGTTATCTTTACGATTATTTGAAGTCCGTTCGTTGTCTTCTTTGCATGTCGTCGACATAAAAATTACAATCCACCTATAGGGATAGATGAGAAAATTGAGGACAAATTTGTAAATCTAACCTTCAATACTCTGTAGACAAAGCATTTGGACTTGTCACCAGAGGGTTAGGGTTAAGAGACTCTTCTTGGGATTCTAAGCGCAAACAACACCCCACCATCTATGACGTCGTCTGCGACAAACTCTTGAACTAATGACAGGAAGAGGGGGCCATTTCTGACATGCAAGACCGGCCGAGTGCACATGTCCTAAGACATGCACAAACGGCTATGGGACCCACCACCCCAAGGGATATCTCGTGAGACGGGAGCTTAATTTGTGGGAAAGAGACCGGAATCTGGGGTTATGGGGTACCGATTCGGCAGTCAGGCCGCCGAGGGCAACAAGGCGATTACTATCCAATATCATTTCGTATACGGAATACCTATGCGCATCTTCATCTCAAACATCACTTTCCTGCACAAAGTGATTATCTGATTACCTGCTTCCAAACTCACCTCCGGCCAAATAGGAATAATTCGCGCAGTTTGTCCGCAATGCCAATGCCACCACTCAGTTCCAAGCATGCTCTTAGCGTGGCCCGGTGCTGCACCCCATCTTCATTCCGCATTTCATTATCCGACGGCAACCGTCGTCGAGGACCCCACCCCTTTTCCCTTCCTCTTCCCCTTCCCCTTCCCCTTCCACTCCTCCGTCCCCCCTTGATATTATCGGCACAGCACCAATCCAGATTACCATTAAATTCATTCAACCCCTACTGCGTACCGTCTTCTCGACCCATAACCTCTTCTTCAACGGCGTCACAGGCGAGTAGCTCGGGTAACTGGGTGAATAGCCAGCCGCAAAAGATGGCCGCCGCCGGGAATACGGCGAAGTGGGAGGAGCAGATCAAGCGGAACCCGCACCCGGACTTCAACAAGGTGCAGGCGTCGCGGCCGCCGTGGGACGCGACATCGACATTTCGGTACACGCAGACGGCGAAGCCCGACTGGAAATTTGGAGACGGCGCCAACGACAAGAGCTCGGGCTCGGGCTCGGGCTCGGGCTTGGTCTCGGACTCAGAGCTGGCGGCGAGCCCGGGCCACGTCTCCATCGACCCCTACGCCCCCGGCCGGCCTGCGGGGTTCAACTATAAGCTGCTCATTAGCGCCATCGTGCCGCGGCCAATCGCCTTCCTATCGACGCGGTCCGCCGATGGGCTGACGACGAACCTGGCGCCGTTTAGCTACTTCCAGCTGGTGGCCCACGATCCGCCCATGTTCGTCATCGGCTTCACGAGCGCCCTCGAGGCGGGCCGCGCCAAGGACAGCGTGCGCAACCTGCTGGAGCAGGGCGAGTGCGTCATCAACATCATCTCCGAGTCTTTCATCGAGGCCGCCAACAGCACCAGCATCAACGCCCCCTACGGCGTGTCCGAGTGGGACGTGAGCGGCCTGAACCCCGTCTACGACTGCGAAACGGTCACCTGCGCCCGCGTGCGCGAGGCAATCTTCAGCGTCGAGGGCAAGGTCGAGAGCCTGCGCGAGTTCGAGAGCAGGGCCACCCCCGGCCGCAAGAACGCCACCATGGCCACCATCGAGGGCACCCGATTCTGGGCTCGCGAGGACGCCATCAACGACGAGAGGAACATTGTTGACCCCAGAGTGAGTTGAAGGCCTTCCAGCCCTTATTTCCTCCCCACCATATCGCCCATAACGGGGCAACGAACAGAAAACAGAACTGACACGAGAAAAACAAACAGGTGCTGCGTCCCATCAGCAGACTGGGCGGCATCACCTACGGCCGCCTCACCGAGGCATTCGAACTTCAGCGGCCCGATTTTGAAAAAGACCTAGGCGGCCGCGAGGGCGCTGCCAAGTTGGAGAGCAAGCACCCGGCAGCCAACTAACTGTGGCCGTGTCTGTAAAGCGGAACAATTGCAATAGATCTAGATGTGTAGGATCCCACGCCCTTGTGACCTATGAGCTTCTTAGACAGCATTTAATGCAAGTAGAGTTCAATGATCAGCCACATGTGTACAGAGTACAGGGAGGGGTATTGTACTGTACATGCATATATCACTTGACTGGCCCCTACACATAGCATTTATGAGATTCATCAAGATGAAATGAGTCCTTGACACGTGTCGAGATTCTCGACAGGTGATATTTAATAACATCAGGCCAGACCCCGGACTGTAGACCTCACTACTTAGCAGAGCCAAGTAAACACATAGTAAACACACAAAACAACAGCCGAAGACAATAGGGCCATTGAGTTTGTTTATTTATAAGACAATAGAGGATATACATAAACAGCGCCCCCCTTGGAATGAGTTTCATACGAGGTGGAGACGAAGGGGGAAAACAAGAAGGAACAACGAAAATAGAGCTAAACATCTATCGCTAGCTACCTCATTTGCCTACCTACCTGCCTAGGGACCCGACAAAAAGAAGCTATTCCTTCCGGACTGGCCAACCAACTACAAAAAAAGACTCGCCAAGAAAACAAACCCCCTGGATATATAGAAGCAACAGCCAGAAAAGAACAAATCGCCCCGGCGCCTACCCCTTCAAAAAAAGAAGATGAAGAAAAAGGGAAACATCTAGCTAGCTTCCCAGTCCCATGCCAGGCGACTTGGAGGCGTATATATATATAAGAGTGTCTGTTCAGTGCGAGAGCAACAACACCTACATAGAGCCACAAAACTGGAGAAAAGAGGAAGAAAAGTAGAGAGACAAAAGTTCAACAACATAACACGCTCTCTCGCCCACCCAAATCCCGTTCCAGTTCCAACTCCCATATATACCCCATATATATGTACCCACCTCGCCGGCTCCCTAAAACTCCCTAAACCCGAGAAAGATAATCATCGTCAACATCATCATCACCAATTACAGATACAGATCCTGGCCGACATGCGAGATGATATACTCGCAGCCGAGCTGGGCCTCCCTCTCGTAGTCGAGTAGCTCGTCGAGAATGACGTCACCGACGTCGGGCCCGTCGTTCAGCTTGTCCTTGACATGGATGATGACGACCTTGAGGCCGTGCAGGGGCGGGGGCTGGGGGTGGGGCGGAAGCGGCAGCATGGGCGTGGCCGCGCCCGAGAGCTCGGCCTCCTGCAGCGAGAGCTCGGCCGTCGGCGTGGCGAGGTGTGGCGAGTCCGTCATGGCCGTGGGCGTGGTCATGACGGCGTCGAGGTCCGACGAGGACGAAAGGACCGACTGCGACGAGTCGATGCGGCGCGGCGGCCCGGGTTTGACCGTCCTGGGGGAGACGGGGTCTTCTGCCGAGGCGGCTGTGTTTGTCCTTTTGAGGGTGTTTCCAACGCTTGTCGCCGTTGACGATCGCGTCGGTGTGAGGCTGGAATGCTGTTGCGATGCTGCGGCAGCGCCAGCGGCCCGCCGGCGTCCACCGCTTAATATCCCCAATTCGTCGCCCTCACGCTTGCGCTTCTTGTGGTCTCCCCCGCTTGTGTAGCCCGACTGACTGCGCTCCATGGCTGCCGCCGAGAAGCTGTTCTCCAGATCCCTCTGCTGCTGTAGGCGCCGCGCGGCTTCAACCTCGGCCGCGAGCACGGTCATCTCCTCGACGATGAAGCGCGGGGCGAGGTGTCCAAACAGGCGGTCCACAGACTGTGAGTCATCGTAGCTGCACTCGATGAAGATGGCTGCTAGCTTGCCAGCGGCGATCTTGGGGGCCGCCTCCTGCCACACCTGCTGGTTGCGCGGCGACAAGCTAATGCTGTCGGGTTCGACGTCGCCAAAGATGAGGATCTCGCGCCCCGTTATCACATCTCGGATGAAGTATGCTGAGCTGTCGTAGACGCACACCGACTCGCCCACCGAACCGACCATCCCGCCGACACCTGAAGCTACAGAGCCCATGATGCTGCTGGCGCCGCCTAGTCCCCCTCCACCTTGACTGCCTCCGCCACCGCCACCGCCGGCTTGAATGCGTTCCTGTTCGCGCTGCTGCTGCAGGAGCAAAGGACCAAGTCCGGATTGGCTGTGACTCGCGTTGTGGTGTGCGATGGAGCGAGGGGAGAGCAGCGACGACATGCTGGATCCCATGCCGACGCCCATTGGTCCGGTGATGATAGACGACGCGTCGAAGCTGCCGTGGCGGACGCTGCTGCTATTGCTACCGCGGTGGCTGTGACGCTCGATGCAGTGGCCATGGCTGACACCCCAGATCTTGACGGCCAAGCCATCGCTGATTTCGAGGTAGCCCCTGCCCTCGCCCTCGCCGAGCGCTGGAGAGCCGCCTTCGACCAGGCGCATGTATGTGACCAGTCCAGCGCCATTATTCTCGTCGCTCAGATTGGGCCAAATGACGTTGTTGAAGATGTGCGTCTTGAAGGCAGCGATGGTGCTGGGTAACCCTGCTAACCTCTTGGGACGGTTGCCCGGTAGGCCGGCGGTGTTGATGACGAAGCCGGAGATGTGGTCTAGGTGAGGATGTGTGATGAGATAAGTGTCTATCAAACTCTTGTGAATATGGGCGGCGTTGGCCGAGGGGTTGGCATGCGGTAGCTCTAGGCCCCTGAACGGACCAGACCCCAGGGTATAGGGCAGAGAGAGCTCGTCTGTCTGGCCGAGATCAGGGGGCTGCGTATCCTCTAATATCTTCTTGATGGCTCCTAGGTGCACGCCGGCGTCGACGGCAATGACGGAGCCTCTCCGCCATCCTGACGCGAGCGAGCGCACTAAAAACGCTGTAACATTCGATTCTAGAGGGCCTCCTCCAGAGCCCTTCACAAAGGTTAGCACTGAGTCTAGTGTGTTTTGTTTACTTGGCTAAAAAAAACGTTGTAGAGCTCTGCAATTTCCACGCGGCGAGTTTGTGTGGCCTTGCCAATCACTTGATGCCGCCTCGATCGGCTAGCTACTTGAGTTATTGCTCCCACTCGGGCTCTCAAGTTCCTGCAACTTGGGCTCTAGCGGCCAGCCAAGTAACCATCTGCCAGCGATCAGAGGCATGAACCCCTGAGCTACTAGGCTAAGCTTCTTCGGCTAAGGTGACAGTGCTCGGCGGGCACTGCGCTGATGCGTTGTTCTGCAGGATATCGACAACTTCTTTGACGAGTTCTTGCATATGCATATGCCTATGCAGCTAGACTCATTCATGAGATTGATTTTCCGTATTGCTTCCTTTGTTGGTCTGTTTGTTTGGCATTGTTTGACCTCGAAAGTTCTCGTGAAACAAAGGGGTCATGGGGGGGGGGGGGCAGTCCGCAACCTCTTTGTGGAACTCCATGTGGCCCTGGAGCAAGACATCCAAGGGCGCAGCCAAGGCCACAGGGAAAGTTGCGGAAGCATTCTTTGAAACGCGGGGTATGAGGGGTAGAGTTCAGTGCAGTGGGCGGGGACTTTCTGAAAGTTTAAAGGAGCCACAGGGTGAAGGAAGGAGAGAGTGAGCAGGTATGGAGAAGAACAAAGGAGAGGTTGAAAACAAAAAGGAGGCGGATTGGCGCATATGATAGATTACTTTTTGATTAATAGGGGCGGCGGATAGATCGTCGGGTGGTCCCTTCACAACGGCGGACCGGAGAGACATTAAGGTTCATAGTTCCTGTATGTACCCATCCAACAGCCGGAGACTCGCGAAGCGAAAGAGAAACGGTATATTTTTGCGGTTTCTTTTCCCTTCTTTTCTTCCCAGTTACCGTTTTGGGAAAGGGGAGCAAGCAGAGGAAGAATGCAACTTGAAGCTTGACTGCACGAGGCAAGAACCTAGCTAGGGAAAGAGCGTGCAGGGCGAGCAGACACAAAGAAGTCGACAGAAGGGAAGGTACAATACGTACGAGAACAATCACCTGCAGCGCGGGAGCTGCTGCTGTACCCGATGCGCTTGATGCACCTGCTGCACCTGCTGCACCTGCTGCATCGTCGTTGGTACTGCTAGATCTGCCTCCTCCCATCGCTCACCCTGCTCCGGCGACCAGGCCCTTGTCTCTGGTGGAGGTAATGGATGGCGATGTCCTTTTTTTGGTGGGGAGAGTCTAGGAATAAATAGCTGCTGGAAGCTATGGATGGATGCACACGCGATCCAGCGACGGATATGGGCGGAGATATCGTTTTGCGACGGCGGGCGGAGAAAAAACGGCGGTGGTTGCCTTGCTAGGTGTTCTTCCTCAAGGCTGCCCAGAGCTCTTGTGCTGCAGGACAGTTGTGCGACTGATTCAGAAATAGCTTTCCTGCGAGTTCCAGCTACTTCGTAGATTACCGTTGGGCGAGTGCTGGAATTACTTATCGTCTAGATACACGCGCGCGCGCGCGCAGACACTCACCCACACACGCTCACACACGCTCTCTCTCAATGCGCCTGACTGCCGCAACGAGGCTCGCTTGTGGACGGAGCTGCAGGCAGCCGCGACTGTCTCGGCCAGATGGGTTGATTAGCGGGCAGATTGGCAGGATCGTGGTTGACGTGTCGTTGATAAGTTATAGATCCAAAGATCCAATTGTAAGCGGAGGCAAGGGGTGGTTGTAGGTAAGGTATATGTTCGCTGTAGTTTGGATGCAAGACCGGGGGGTTAAAGAAGATGCAACAGGGGCTGTCTCTGACGCCGTCGTCTTTGCCTCGAGCTGTCTTTATTGTTGGTAATGCGGCGAGGCAAGGCGAGGCGAGGCGAGGTAGGCAAGGTAGGGCGACTCGGCTTTCCTGTCCTTTTTTATGCAGGGCAGGTTATTTTTGTATAGAGTTCGCCGGCCGAGCGCCGTTTTGCCCTAGGTTGCCTCGAGGACGGGAACCAGAGCGCTGGGACCGCTGGGCTGGGGCCGTTTAAGTTGGCCAGGGCAGTCGGGCCAGCAACCAAGAAAGGGAGGGCGCTTGGCGTCACACACCTCTTTCAGCGGGCGATCTTGGGGGCTGCTTCCTTTTTCTTCTTCCCGTTGTCAAGGTTGGCCGTTCTGAGATTTCTTTACTGTTGCGGCGCTGGATTGACTCGGCGGTGCAGGTCGAGCGCGAATGTGAGGAGGAACGCACTGTGTTGTGCAGCGCTGTATGAACAGTACTGTGGGTATTTGAGGTAGGCAAAGCGAGACACCTGTCGAGTGGATTCTGTGCCGATACCAACTGACGCAAGACTTAAAAGGTTCAAAGAAAAAGACAGACACACGCGGTCGATCTGCAAGTTGGATATCGAGACTGTCCGTTTTGGTTCTGCGGGGGGCCAAGTCATGTTGCATTTTATATCTGTTCCATCTTGGAGGCTCAAAGCAGCATTACGAAGCAGTAATCTGCGAGTCCTCGCCAGTGGTCACCACCGGGAAGGCCGCTCCAGGCTGGCAGGTTTAGTCCATTCCACCTTCGCCTAGTCCTGTCGGGTCCAGTCTGCCTGCACTTTGGTAAGTAGGGTGCCTAGAAGACGTAAGGTATTTAGTGGGAGATTTCTGTCTGATGATAGAACCACAGCGGCCTCCGTTGGCGAGCCCTGGTTTGCGAACCTTCCAACCCAGCCATTTCCACCCCTTTTTCGGGATCTCCAGATGAACAAAAAAGGCGTCTACACTGTCCTCATGCGCTAACGCCTTCACTGGTCATTGCCCACTAGGATTAGGAGGTATGGGGCGGTACATAGTAGGCGTTGAGGCGGGGCGACAGTCACTGGACTGCCTTTCAGAGAGGGCGCGCCTCGGCTATGCCGTTGCTGTCAGGGGACTCGGCAGCTCTCTGTCCCGATCTGGTGTAACCAGCTAGAAATAGGCTAGGGCTGTCAGGTCCAGGCCGTTTCCCTTGGCCAATCCCGGCAGTGTCAACGACAAAGACGCCAGTCAACTGCGGAGTACGGACACTCCGTGGTCGCTTTGCGGGTCGCTTTGAACACGGCCTGTGGTCATTTTCATTGTTGCGCAGAGGAACAACAAATGAATGCGTTCTTACCCAGGCAAGTTTGGAGTGCCTCATGTACACACGTACAATACAGTCCAATACGGGCTCGAGGCTGCGCGCATTGTTGCGGGCTGCTGTTATTGGCTTCTCCAATACTTTTATCAGGGAAGCAAAACGACAGGCCGCTCTGAGAACTGGAAGAGCTTGCGATATGGAGTGGATTCGATTTTTGACTGTGACGAGGTGCCGGGTAGGGTGGCTCGGGTGGCTCTTTGAGCTGCGGCGCTGGTAGCTAGCCAGCCCCGCAGCTGACCTCCCGACACGGAATTGGGGGTGACTGACCGAAGGACTTCTATCAAAGTTAAACAGGGGTTCTTTCACAACCCCAGAAGAAGAAAGAGCATCAACCCACGAGTACTCGAGTACTTGAGACTTGACAACAAGGCAACCTCCCGGTCGGTGAAGGTAAAGCGCCTGTCTTTTTTGTTACATCATTGCCAATCGCCGAGCACGTCAATCCGCATTGTCTCGTTTCCATTGTCCGGGATGCTACGTCAATGTTCCAAAGGCATGTGTCCGCCCGTGCACGTAGTCGACGGGAGATCCTCTCCCCTCCACATGCAAACAAAAGAGAGTTCACTTTGACTTGTTATTCGAAACACTTATTTCTCTATCGATATTACCATTGCCATTAAAGATTAACTTGACCAAAACTCTAAACTCCGTGCATGCCGCCTAAATGATGACGCAGAAAGAAAATAAAAGAAATACCAAAAGCTAAAGGGAGAAACGGGGAAGACGGAGAAGGCCATAAATCAAGAGAGATATAATGGCTTACCTGAGTCCTTACCTTGTTCTTTTCTCTCTCAAACCAAAAAAAACCCCCCAATTGCCGCTTGCGCTTACCACTTATTTACTTACCCAAAACCGAGTTTATATCCGAGTTTATGTATCCTAGAAACTTACCTTGTCGAATCATGTCTATATGAAAACCTACCTATCTTTCGTTTTGTGTCGTTCGTTATCGTCTCTCATTAGTTTAGATGGAGTTGTTCTTCTTGGGATCCTGGTGCTTCTCAAGCTTGATGAGCGTGGCGTCGAGGTTGAGGCGTTCACGGGTCCTTAGTTTCCCGACCCTGGCATCGAAATAGTACTCGTGGACCTCTGGTAAGGTCTCCCCTTGGAGGACCCTCTTCTGAATCCTTTCCTTCAGGATGGCCGCGCTGGAGGCTGGCGCAGCCGAAATTATACTGTCGCGTATGTGCTGCGGCTCGTTTTGCATAGCGACGACGATCTCGTCGGCGCCGCCGCGCGTCATCGGCTTCTTGCTGAGGCGCTCATTGATTTCCTCGGCATTCTCCTTGCTCCGCTTCCGTGTCCGCGGCAGCGACGCCGGGACTGGTTCCAGGCGCGGCGTCGAAGGTCCCTGGGGAGGAGGGCGAAAGGGGGTCGCTGAGGAAGCAGCAAGGGCTGGGTCAATGTTATAAAAGCCATGCTGCTGAGGAATGGCTGGAGGAGCTGGATAGTGTAGACTCGGGCCTGCCGAGTTATCCGGCACGGGGTAATAAAAGGATAGACCTGCCTGGGGCCCGGGCTGGGTATTATTAATCCCTAGACCCACCAGGCCTCCCAGGCGATGGGGACTTTCAAGGGGACTTTCAACCCTTCTCTTCTTAGGGACGGGTACGGGTCTTACCACGCGCGGCTGCTCGACGCCTTCATCGTCGTCACTGCCGCCGCCGTCCTCCTCCTCGCCTTCATTATTTTTCCTCTTCTTGTTAGCTTTTTCGGCTTGCTTAACCTTCACCATCATCTCCAAATTGCCACGATGAAAGGCGATGTGGTTGCCCGTACCAGGTCGGGTCTTGCGGGTAGTATCCCGAGTCTTGCTCTCACGACGGAGGTGCTCTTCAGTGAGCCGGGACCAGAGACGATCTTTATCAGGTACATTGATTTGTACGAATCCGGTATAGCCTGGCGGGAAGCTCCTTTGGGACTGCTCATTCTGCCACTTTTCGAACACCGCCGACATCTCGGGGTGGTCCCTCTTCAAACTCGCCACATTGCGCTCCTCGCGGGGGAAGTGGCGGTTGTCGGAGAGGATCCGGAACCCGTAATACTGAGGGGCGTGGTGGATCAAGTATCCGAGATCAAAGGCCTTCTCGAAGCAGTAGAGGTGCATGTAACCCGCGTTGAGATAGGGGTCCGTATGGTTCTGGGTTGTATGGCCTGAATATTCGTCAAACGCCACCCGCCAGAACCCCTTCTGGATGGTATGGGTCGGGTCGGGGCAGTCTCTCCACCGGCACTTGCTGGAACTCGAGCTGTTCAGGTATCGGGTGTTGAGCTGCGCCGGAGTGTTCTGGATCCACAAGGTTAGGCGCCGGTATGGGCGAACTGGCTCCTGCTGATCGGGATGCTGCACAAAGAACTTGGCTAGCTCGGTCCGCCTGTAAAACTTGTTTTGGGCCAGCTCGGTTCCCCGTTGGTCATAAACGAACAGGCCCCTCCTCATTGTGCCATTCTTGTCTAGTATCGAGCCCCAGTTGTTTAGCTTAGCCGGCAGCGCATAGACTTTATCGGATCCTGTTCCAGCATTTGATTCGCTTGAACCTTCCGACTCAGCGTCTGGCTGCTTGGAAGCCTTTTTAGTCTTCCGCCTGGTTCTCTTGTGCCGAATCATGTCCGTTCCGTTCCAGACGGGACCATCCGGGACGTAGTAGAGGTCACGGGGCTGCGCAGGTGGGTTAGGAATTTGGGGGGTAACCGTGGGCGTCCACTCGGGCTGGGTGCCGGGCTGGGGCTGAGAGAGGTCGGGCGGAGGGGGGTAAACTGAATCATTTAGGGTTTGCATTGGCATAGTTAGCCCGGTGGCCCAGTCTTGCTGCTGCTGCTGTTGCTGTTGCTGATGCTGATACTGTTGCTGATACTGGGGCTGCTGATACTGTTGCTGATACTGAGGCTGCTGATACTGTTGCTGATACTGGGGCTGATACTGCTGCTGCGGCTGATCCCCTCGCTGATATGCGTCAAAAGCAGCAGTAGCAGCAGCAGCAACATCACCAAAGCCAACCGGTATTTGCGGCCCTCTGGATGTGCTACCAAGTTGCCCGGGGGTTGGTGCGAAAGGGACTGCGCTGTGAACATTGGAAAATATATCCGCACCATACCCGTCATTCCCGGCCCCTGCATATTGTTGAACTTCTTGTGTAGTTGCTTGTTGCTGTGGTTGACTAGCTGAAGTCGGTAGCATCTGAGCTATCTGGTATTGTGATGTCTGGGGTGCGACGTTTGGTTGCTCTGCTAGCGAGGCATCGGGTGAAGGATTTATGTAGTCATCGAAATTAATTTCTTCGAGATCATAAGCCTCCGCAGCCAGGAGATTAATGTCTTGGGGATCCATTTCAGCGCCACGGAAATCTATTGTAGGGGGCTCAAGGTTGTTGGAGACGGACGCTGAGTGAAGTCGTTTAAATGGCTTTGGGTGACCGTTGGATGTCGGTGTATTTTCAATAATAAATGTAGCAGCTCAGCTGTACTGCTGAAAGGTATTGTGGTGGTTTCTGTCTGGGTAGAATGATCTCAAATGGAAGGAACACAATAGGGGTTGTTCACGAGGGAGTGGAATATATACGTAAATGGCCATAACAAAGGCAACTGCCACTTGCTAGGTTCCATCATCATGAGCATTGTCCATGCGAAAGACTTTGTTGCCATCTTGGCATATTGGAACAAAGGAGGACTCAAGCCGAGACAATGAACCTTCGAAAGAGAGAGCAGCTTGTTTGTACAGGTCTATTTAAATATCGAATACAAAGAGACCATTCTAACACCGGGCAGTCACGCGGCCGAGGCAATGGTTTGCCATGCCCGGTACGTGGACCTGGGAAATGAAGTTAGCAAACTGACTTGGCCGTAAGTGTCGCCGCTGATTATGGTTGTGGGTAGATCAGTAGATTTTAAGCGTTTTCTCATCACGAAGGATCAGAACAGGTCTGTGAAAATGCGTAGAGTCTCATCATATTGTTGTGGTTGTGTGGTTTTGGGGTGCAACTGTGCGTGGTTGGGAGGAGTGGTGGGGGAAACTTACTGGCCATCGTCTGCCTGCAGCGTAGCTGCTCCTAAAACGCAAGATTCTGCATGATCCCTCCTAACCGAGCCGGCAACCAAAGACGACGAGAATGCGTCAGGTGAATGATTGTGGTTTGTTGAGGAATGGTGAAAGAGAGAAGAAAGAGGAAGGCGAGCCTTTTCTATCGACGAAGATTTTTTTTGGAAGACAAATCTTGGCACCGAAAACTCCCCACTCTGATCACTCACCCAATCAGACCGCTGCCACATGCGGAGTACGGAGTACGTAATCATGTACAGGATTTTAAGTACTCGTAGTATGGAACGGACCTAGAGTCCCGCAGTCCCGCTTGACATCAGTGCTGTGGACGTTGCAGATACTAGGTAGACGTGGCTCGAGAGTCGAGGCAGGACCGTGACTCTGCTGCTATCTGAAAGCAAAGATGATTTCATTTAGCCAACTCGCATTCCCTCAGCAATCAAGGTAGGTTGCATGGACGACGAGCAGGTATCGATTGTAAGTACGGACTATTCGTACTTGTACATACACAGGTACTTCGTATCGGTACGGATACATACAGCACGGAGTGTTATAAGCTACGGTTTCCAACTGTATGATTCTATTGGGTGCTGTATTTAAGCTGTAGTCTGTGTGCGCCTTAACACGTGCTCACAACCACATCCTTTTCCCGGAACCCCACCATAGATTCTTCCTTCTTTCTGTAGATTTAAATCTACATTCGTTACCGCCTTCAGCCTTTGACTTCCTACCTGCCGTCACACTGCCTGGTCGACGCTTTCCACTCAAGCCCCGGGCACTATAATCGCCCCGCAACGCGAATGGAGCCATCTCCGGCTGTCACACTACCTGGTCGACACTTTCCACTCAACCCCAGGCGCCGTAATTGCCCCGCAACGCGAATGAAGTCCTCTCCAGCCTTTCCAAAACGCGTCGCGTCGTTCGCCTTTTTCCACTCCCGTTTGACTTTTACAACCCGAACTTTTAAAGCCAAGTCAACTGCCAACTGGCCTCAATTAGACGATCCCCACTTCAACTTTGCATCTTACGGTACTCGTACAAGAAAGAACGACAAATCTCAAAGACGGGCGATAAAGACACTACTGAGGACATCCCGATCGTCCGAAAGCGCCGTGAAGGCGACGGTGACGATTCCCTGACCCTCTTCTAGGAGACTAGTCAATGGATCGACGATCTACTCAAGCAGAGAAAGGACGACGGGACTCCTGGCGGTAGACGGGTTATGAGCCCCGCTACCGAAGCATCACTCCGACTTCTTCTCCAGAAATACAACGAAGCCGCCAATACCGACGCAGAAACCCGGGAGCGGCTTACCCGAGACATCGCTGTCGATACGATACGCAAGAAGTAACCCGTCGACTTGAGGCAGACGAGAAGTACTTGGATGCAAGATTGAAGCTCGAGAAGCTGATGAGCGATTCCTGGTATTTGAGATACGGCGACTATTTCGCCTCCAACCTATCGGGGTTACGGGATGAAGCCCGCGATTCCTTGAAGAAAGTGAAGTCGGCGGCGACAGCGGTCAAAATGGAATCGGACAGAGAGGCAAAAATGAATGGGAAAACAACTCCTAGGGCGGCGGAGAGCAGTCTCTTGCTACACTACCCCGATTACCCATGAGCAAGGAGCACTCTATAGATTCGTCTCGACAAAGTGGGCAGAACTTGATGCTATCATGGACCTTGAGAAGCAGTCTGGGAAAGCAGGGAAACTCCCGATAGCCACCCCCCTGTCGGATTTGCTCCACAATTTGGTCCTCCTTATGAACGGGATCTCATAGAATGGCCCGTGACTGCATGAAGCTGTATACGCAATGCAACAAGGTAGCCCATACAAAAATCAATGAGTTGGCCCGGGCAGGACAGTGGCCAAAACTGGCAGATATGATAGTAGAGGACCTTGTAGCCTTGGACACCGAGACGCCGATCACCGAGGAAGAGAGGGAGGCAACGAAATCGGCAATACGGTACACCATCGGCTTGCACTTCGAGGTGTTCAAGATTGACGGGATTACAGGCCACGTATAAGGGATGATGGCCTGGCCCATTGATTCTAATGGGAAACCCATTCGGACATCCGCCAGACCCTGTCCAGTAGAGAAGACGGCAAATGAAGAGGTGGACCCGAGCACGGAAGGAGGCCCAGAGAGCGGAGACGAGAGCTTTAATAGCTCTGTTATTCACCATGATACGGCCTGAGGCCTACAGTCAAACCCCCTATAAATACAAATAATTCAGACCGCACTTTTACTCGTAATAGATGAGCCTGGGCGTGAGCAATTGCCGGGTCCGCTTCCCGTTGATATAGTATCTGATTGCCTTCGCGTCGTGTTTATTATCGTCGCGGTAGATCAGGTCGAGGGCTGACTTCGGCTTGAAACCATAAACCAGTTCTAGGGGCAAAGCTGGTATGATCTCGACCCAAGATACGAATACGTCGGGATTCGTTGCTATATGGTACCGAATAGCGATCTCGACGGTTTAGTTCTTGCGCTCTGATAAACCGTCTATTGCGGGTGGTACGCCGTTAACAATAGGAGTTTGGTTCCCAAAGCGTTGAAGTGAGCGGGGCCGCCCAGACAGGACCGCCCCCAGCCCCGCCATGCCCATGGCCGCCCGGCGGCCAGCACAGACGACGGGATGGCACTGCGCCCTGGCAAAAACAGGAGAAAACACTACGTCACAACCTAACGACGTCGGTACCCTAACGTTCGCTACTTTCCCTTACCTTCCAGTGACGGGGAGGCGGACCCCTTAAACATTTAACATTCTCGACCCGCAGCAGAGTTAAGACACCTACCTAGATCCCGTCGCGGACATACCTCCCGTCCTCCCCAGCGCCCCAGCGCCGCCAGCGCTCCGGATCGACAGAACCAGACCCAATCCCTGGGCCGACCTTGACGTGGCCGCGCGTGGTTGCATTGGCTACCCAGGGCAAGGTACTTCGTTCCTACTTTGCCTAGTACAGTACCTTAGGCTGCGGTATACGGAACGGTGCTCAACGGCGAAGCCCGCCCGCCTCGTGTCTGGTGTCTCTGGACGCGCCGGGCATTCCACTTCCGTCGCAGGTTCGGAGGACAACAACCAAAACGCCGCCCAAGGTACCTTTGTACTTACCCAGGTTGCCCGCAACTATTCGCAATTCGACGTGCCGACTTGGCTCGGCTACCTAGGTCCCGTCTGCCTAGGGATTGCCTTGCTGCTCCGCGCTCAAATGGCCGACGCCAATTCACCCCTGGAAGAGAGGCTGGGCGAGCTGGAGAAGGAGCTTCAGGTATGTCCAGTCCGCCCGCCCAAGTTGCGTCGCTAGGCTACTCTGCTTCCGTTGCGGGCGAGCCCCAAGACGGCGTCGCTCTTGAGTTACAGTTGCGCTGACATCCTCCACTGTTGTGGCTGCTTTCCAGGAGGGCGATATTACTGAGAAAGGGTGCGCTGCCTGCCTGCCTGCTTGCCTGCCTGCCTCCTCTCATTCCCTATCGTGTGCTGACTACGGCCTCTCGTCCCTCCCTCCAGGTACCAAAAGCGACGGACCCAGCTCCTCTCCCAATACGGCTTCGGCGGGTTTGGCGCCTCTCCAGAGCCCAGAGCAGGCGGCCTTAGAATCCACTCGCCCGACAGCTCGTCACACCCATCCAACGATGGCCATCGCGCAGCATCGCTGGCTGCCCTCAATGCCAACTCGCCGAGCCCCCGGTCGTTAGAATCGGCCGTCTCGCCCGCCGACTTGAGGTCCCAGTCCCCCCCCTACGGCCGTCCTGATGCGCACCCTGCTGCGTCGCTGCTCGCCCCTGGCGGCCCCCTCGCAGAGCACCGTCCGGCCCTGCACCAGCACGACTCTCTCTTCCTCGCTCCGGCCCCCGCCAACGAAGCCTCGACGCGCTCGGGAACTATGGTCTCGGGCGACTACGCCTTCAACCCCGACCAACACGCTCTCGGCTACGACGAAAGGGCGCAGAGCCCATACGGGAGCCGGGCCGGGACCATGCTCGACTCTCAGGCCTACTTCTCCGATTTCGCTGGTCAGCAGGCCTACGACCATACGGCCTCTAGCGACTATGGCGGGCTCCACCGGTACTCGTCGGGCGACGCCTTCTCGCCCACTGCTGCCATGGCGCCGCCAATGCTCACGGCCAGCGACCTACCGCCGCCCGCCGCACTCGAGTACCAGATGCCGCTCGAGCCGCGAGAAGTGCCCTTTGCTATACACGACCCCCACGACTCCGACACGCCCATGTCGAATTTCGATAACATCGCCGCAGTCCTGAGACACCGTGGCCGCACCACGGCCAAGCTCCCTGCCTACTGGGTTCTCGACAGCAAGGGGAAGGAGATTGCGTCCATTACGTGGGACAAGCTGGCATCGAGGGCCGAGAAGGTGGCGCAGGTGATCCGTGACAAGAGCTCCTTGTACCGGGGCGACCGCGTCGCCCTCATTTACCGCGACGCCGAGGTCATCGACTTTGCCATAGCCTTGCTAGGCTGCTTTATCGCCGGCGTCGTCGCAGTCCCCATCAATGACATGCAGGACTACCAGAAACTGAACCTGATCCTCACGTCGACGCAGGCCCACCTGGCATTGACCACTGACAACAATCTCAAGGCCTTCCAGCGCGACATCACCACCCAGAAGCTTAACTGGCCCAAGGGCGTCGAGTGGTGGAAGACGAACGAGTTTGGCAGCTATCATCCCAAGCGCAAGGATGATGTCCCGCCGCTCTCGGTGCCGGATCTTGCATACATCGAGTTCTCGCGAGCCCCCACGGGCGATCTGAGAGGCGTCGTTCTGAGCCATCGCACCATAATGCACCAAATGGCCTGTCTCAGCGCCGTGGTTTCCACCGTCCCCGGGAATGGGCCCGCGGATACCTTTAGCACCACATTGCGCGACAAGAACGGCCGGCTGATAGGAGGTAGCGCCAGTAGTGAAATTCTGCTCTCGTATCTGGACCCCCGGCAAGGCATTGGCATGATCCTCGGCGTCTTGCTGACAGTCTACGGAGGTCACACGACGGTCTGGCTCGAGAACAAGGCTGCCGAGGTCCCAGGCCTCTACGCACACCTCATCACCAAGTACAAGCCCACGCTGATGGTCGCCGACTATCCCGGCCTGAAGCGGGCTGCATATAACTATCAGGCGGACCCGATGACGACGAGAAACTTCAAAAAGGGCACCGAGCCAAACTTTCAAACGGTCAAACTGTGCCTGATTGACACGCTAACCGTCGACAGCGACTTCAACGAGCTGCTGGCAGACCGCTGGTTTCGCCCGCTCCGCAACACGCGGGCAAGAGAGATTGTCGCGCCTATGCTGTGCCTCCCCGAGCACGGAGGCATGCTCATCAGTATCCGCGACTGGCTGGGTGGCGAGGAACGCATGGGATGTCCTCTGAAGCTTGACATGGGATCGGACGCCGACTCTGATGATGAAAAGGACAAGGAGAGGGAGAGGGAGAAGGAAAAGGAGAAGGAGAAGGAGAAAGAAGAGAAGCCAACGCTGTCCAATGGCTTCGGGAGCCTCCTCGGAGGAGGGACGACTACCGCAACAGAGCAGCGCGCTAAGACCGAGCTGAGCGAAGTCCTCCTCGACAGAGAGGCTCTCAAGACCAACGAGGTGGTGGTGGTGGCCATTGGCGACGAGGCGAGGAAGAAGGCCTCGAACGAACCCGGGACCGTCCGCGTAGGAGCATTTGGTTATCCAATTCCCGATGCTACTCTTGCTGTCGTCGATCCCGAGACCGGGCTCTTGGCGTCACCGCACACCGTGGGCGAGATCTGGGTCGACTCTCCTTCGCTCTCTGGCGGCTTTTGGGCGCTCCCCAAGCACACAGAGCAGATATTCCACGCTCGGCCCTACAAGTTCGACCCCGGAGAGCCTACGCCGACGCCGATCGAGCCAGAGTTCCTGCGGACCGGGCTCCTAGGCACCATCATAGAGGGCAAGATCTTTGTCCTCGGGCTGTATGAAGACCGCATCAGGCAGAAGGTGGAGTGGGTAGAGCACGGCGCCGAGCTTGCCGAGCATCGGTACTTTTTCGTGCAGCATATTGTTGTCAGCATCATGAAAAACGTGCCCAAGATCTTTGACTGCTCGGCGTTTGACGTCTATGTTAATGAGGAGCACTTGCCGATCGTGGTGCTAGAATCACAGGCGGCGTCTACGGCCCCGGCTGCCAACGGCGGGCAACCTCGGCAACTGGACACAGCCTTGCTCGACTCGCTCGCCGAGAGGTGTATGGACGTGCTCATGCAGGAGCACAACCTCCGCGTCTACTGCACCATGATCACGGCTCCCAATGCGCTGCCGCGGGTGCTGAAGAACGGTCGCCGAGAGATTGGCAATATGCTGTGCAGGAGGGAGTTCGACTTGGGGAACCTGCCGTGCGTTCACGTCAAGTTCGCAGTTGAACATGCCGTCCTCAACCTGCCTGTTGGCATCGACCCGGTCGGCGGCATCTGGTCCCCGATGGCGTCCAACTCTCGCGAAGACATCCTCGCGCCGTCCGACAAGCAATACTCGGGCATTGATCGGAGAGAGGTGGTGATAGACGACAGGACATCAACGCCACTAAATAACTTTTCGAGCATCACGGACCTCATCCAGTGGCGGGTGGCCAGACAGCCAGAGGAACTTGCGTTGTGCACTATTGACGGCCGGGGCAAGGAGGGCAAGGGTGTTACGTGGAAAAAGTTCGACATGAAGGTTGCAGCTGTCGCGGTTTATCTGAAGAATAAGGTCAAGATCCGGCCCGGCGACCATATCGTGCTCATGTATACGCACTCGGAAGAATTTGTCTTCGCCGTGCATGCCTGCATAAACCTCGGCGCCGTTGTGATACCGGTTGCCCCCCTAGACCAGAACCGCTTGGCCGAGGATGTTCCTGCGTTTCTCCATCTGCTGGGCGACTACGGAGTGAGAGCCGTCTTGGTCAACCAGGACGTGGACCACTTGCTGAAGATGAAGCCCGTCGCGCAACACCTCAAGCAGACTGCCAACATCACCAAGCTGTCGGTCCCCAACGTCTACAACACTAGTAAGCCGCCAAAACAAAACAGTGGCTTGCGAGACTTGGGCATCACGATGGACCCGGCGTGGGTGCAGCCGGGCTATCCGGTCTTGATATGGACCTACTGGACGCCTGACCAGCGCCGCCTCGCCGTCCAGATTGGACACGACACGATACTGGGCATGTGCAAAGTCCAGAAAGAGACGTGCCAAATGACCAGCTCCCGGCCCGTCCTTGGTTGCGTAAGGAGCACCACCGGCTTGGGATTTCTCCACACGTGTCTCATGGGCATCTATATCGGCACGCCCACCTATCTCTTGTCGCCAGTCGAGTTTGCACAGAATCCCATCTCGCTGTTCTTGATCTTGTCGAGATACAAGATCAAGGACACGTACGCCACGCCGCAGATGCTCGATCACGCCATGGGGATGATGCCCGGAAAGGGCTTCGCCCTGCACGAACTGAAGAACATGATGATTTCAGCCGAAGTGCGTCCTCGCGTCGACGTCTTCCAAAAGGTTCGCCTGCACTTTGCAGCCACCGGCCTTGACCGGACCGCCATCAACACGGTGTACTCCCACGTCCTCAACCCCATGATCGCCTCGCGGTCGTACATGTGCATCGAGCCCATCGAGCTGTGGCTTGATACCAAGGCCCTACGGCGGGGGCTGGTGTACCCAACAGATCCGGAGCGCGATCCTAAGGCGCTGCTCGTCCAGGACTCGGGCATGGTTCCCGTCTCAACCCAAATCGCCATTGTCAACCCGGAAAGCCGGAGGCTGTGCAGCGATGGCGAATACGGAGAGATCTGGGTAGACTCGGAGGCCTGCGTCAAGGGCTTTTATGGCTCGAAGGATGCATTTGACGCAGAACGCTTTGATGGTCGGACGATTGAAGACCCCAGCATCCGCTACGTCCGCACCGGAGACCTAGGCTTCCTGCACAGCGTCCGGAGACCGATAGGCCCTGGCGGGGCGCTCGTCGACATGCAGGTCCTCTTCGTCCTCGGCAGTATTGGCGAGACGTTTGAGATTAATGGCTTGAGCCACTTCCCCATGGACATTGAATATTCGGTTGAGCGATGCCATCGCAACGTTGTACCAGGCGGTTGGTGAGTTTTGCGCCCCGGCTGTCCCTTGCCGAGATTTGATCAACACCTAACTAAGATACTCACCTTTCTCCTCAGCGCCGTCTTCCAAGCAGGCGGCCTCGTTGTCGTTCTTGTCGAGGTGGCGAGGAAATCCTACCTCGCGTCCATCGTGCCCGTCATTGTCAACGCCATCTTGAACGAGCACCAGATCATTGCCGATATCGTTGCTTTCGTCGCCAAGGGAGACTTCCCGCGCAGCCGCCTCGGCGAGAAGCAGCGCGGCAAGATTCTAGCGGGCTGGGTCAGCCGCAAGATGAAAACCATGGCCCAGTTCGCCATCAAGGACATGGACGCGTTGCTAGGACCGCCCGGAACCGTCGGGCCGAGCGAGCCGGCCAGCAGCATCCTGGGAGTGCCCGACGCGGCCGGCGACCACCGCATCAGCATGGGCAGCTTCCGCAGCTCGAGCGGCGGCCCGGCGCCCGGCGGCAGTAGCCTCCGCAATGTCGAGGCGGCCCCCCAGATCCTAGAACAGATCGAGCTCGAACAACAGGTCCTCGAAAGCCTAGCTGCGCTCCCTCCCAATGCGACCGCGCGCCCCGCTGGCCCTGTCGAGATGGCTGCCGACGAGCGCGGGTTTGTCGACAACGACCAGACGCCTACCAAGACGACGCGTGACGAGCAGTACCGCCGCAGCCAGGGCGGCGCCAGTGCTGCTCCCCTGCCGCACGGTTACGACCTGCCCGACTTTGGCCGTTTCGGTCTTTCGGACGACAATGATGCGGATGCCGACAGCGAGAACCCGCCGCTGCTGCCATCTGCAGTTGGCCCTGACGAGCCAAGGAGCGGCGGCGGCGGAGCAGGGGGAGTTTGGGGAGGGAGTGCTTCAGGATACAGCGCCGTCGCGGCGCCACCTCCGCCGCCGCCGCAGATAAGATTGCCCGGCGTCGACGGGCGCGAGGCGTTTGACGATTGGACGCCACGCCCCAGGCTGGGGGCAAGTGGCCCGGGAGGCGAGGATGATGACGATTGGACGAGAGACGCTCGGATGTCGATGAACTTGGCCGGGACCCTGGGCAAATAAATAGCAAGCAAAGCCAAAAGGCTTTGTTTTTCTTTTTCCCCTTTAGCTTGTTTTCCATCTTTTGTTTTCTTCCTCATCTTTTTTTTGGCAATACTAGCAGGAAAGGAAGAGAAAGGGATTTGGATGTCGGTCAGGGAATCGGTCGTGATGACGTCGAGTGATTATTAACGCTTTTTTGAGTATGATGGCAAATTTGTTCATGGGATTTGAGCAAAATAAAAAATAGCATTCAGTGTAATTAGCATTGTTTTTTTATTTTACTTGTCTTCTGTTGGTATCTGTTTTGTGTGTTTACGTGCTATTATTACAAGTGCCAAATATTGCTCTCGTTAGCTCTCTAGGAATTACTGATCAATCAGGCCAGCGCACGGGCCACACCCGCCCAACACGTGGTGCAGCACGTGACCGCGGAGCATCCTGACTGAGCGCCTTGTGTCCCCGTAGTTCGTGATCCTTTTGGTAGACGTAGAGGAATACGAGTAACACAACCACCCCACCCTTTCGCGGCGGTTACTATAGTGACTAGCACGAATGACCTTGTCATTCCAACACCCTCATCGACTATGATACCCCTCGCTACTTTTACATATACGATAGCTGTAAATTATTAGGGAAGTACCAGTAACTAAAATTAGGTTAGACCGGACAGGTAATAATCTAAGTACCTAGCTAGGGAATATATGCGATATATAGATTGAATTTGGTCACGAAAAAAAGCTAATACCGGCGGAAGCACGAAGCACAAGTCGTACATGAACGGAACTGGCGCATCACATGCCGGCTGCTCTGCTCTACACACCTGAAAAACGGCTGCTAAGGAATGTATAAATACTTACTAATCTATTTTGAGAGTCTATATATAGGGCCTATTTTATGTTTATCCTTACCTTTTTCTTCTTAACTTACGAGCTCCTCAGCGTATGGTGGCCTCAATCGCAAGCAAGTCCCGGTAGGCAATAAGAACCTAGCCTTCCCAAGCCCACGAACAAGAAAGGCTTCATTCATCCTGAGTGACACCTGCACTAACAATTTTACCAAGGCCTATTTGGGCGTGGAATCGAGGATTTTCATAGGGTGGCGGGCGGGGGCATTGACGCGATCGAGGATAAGTCGCTCTTGTGGGGCTAACGTCCGAATGTGCACTTCCCAACGTCAGAAATAACGCTCTCATCTTTTTTTGGTGGTTTCCGTTACCTGCAAACAACCTCACACCAGCGTGACATCGCCAACAACAGCTCTATGGTCACTCAAATAGACCCCTGCCTCGAACAAGTTCGGTAAGACGGCATATCCCTTGGGCTTCCATAGACTCTTGCTGTCGGACTCGGTAATCGGCCCCAGCCACACAAAGTCAATCCTGCCCTGCTCATCCTTATCCTGATCAGGTCCGAAGCCCGTGAAGGTGATAATGTCCCCATACCGATCCGCCGGGGCAACCTCCTCATGCAGATCTCGCATGTACCCGCTCTCCTTCATGGCCATGTACGCCTTCGGCCGGCGAGAATGACGATGCAGCTCCCCCTGTGCCCGAGCCCGAGCACGCACCAGAGCCCGCGGCCGTGAGTCGGGTCTGCAACCTTGTATTCGCCGTCAACCCTCACAGTGGGAGGGCGTTAAGCTACAGCAGGAAGACAACCAGCAGGGAGACAACAGGGGCTAGGAAAACACCACGGAGAATGCCCCTCGCAGGCACCACGAACTGTGAATGGCCTCAGTCGCGCGAGCTGAACTAGAGTGTGCAGCGATCCTTGGTCTAGACATTTGGTGCGCTTCATGTGCCCTGCTAGGGTGTTCCGCTTTTGGCATAGTTTGCTGCGAAAGACAAAACCTCCGCATGGGCATTTCGGACAAAGCGTGCAATTGCAATTTCTCCACTTCCGAGTCACCATTTGCAGCAGAAAGGGGGGTTAAACTGGTTGGTTTGCCCGGGCCGCGCCAAACCAACGTCCCTTTCGAGGCCGAGCCAGACCAATCTGTTTAACTACCCCTCCTCGCCGGATAAACTAATTGGTTTAAATGCCACCTTTTGCACTATCGGCGTATTACCATATTTGGAGTCACGATTAGCTGGCACATAGCAATGGAAGAAAAACCGTGGTGCATATCCAACTATTCTAGGTAGTCGTTAGACAAGTGCCTCCTGGGTTAAACAACTCACAAACGCCACCCTCATTATCTACAACGCATGTCCACCACGCAAATGCTCAGCGGCGCGTCGTTAGGCACCTGCTAAATCCGAGGACTTCTCGTCAGAATTATCATCAGATTCGTACTCCTCCAGATCCTCTTCGTCCGCCGAGGTTGGAACATCCTTCCGCTTGCGCTTGGGTGCAGGCTCTGCCAGCTTAGGTCGCTTACTAGGCTTGGGTTTATCGCGATCGCCGACGTCCTCCTCAGAAGCTAGATCTAGCCCACTTGCATCCGATTCGCTGTCGACACCACCCGCTTGGATTTTACCTTGCCGCGGTTGCGCTTCGACCTATAGGTGGAGATATATCTCCTACGTCCTTCTTCCGTCTCTCTACCCATTGCCGTTTGGCCTATATGCGCTCGAGCAACTTGGCCTCGTCGGAACCAATCTTGGGGTCGATAATATTATTGATCCTATTCCTTATTGCGCGACTTATACGAAGCTCGATCGCATTTGGGCTCTCCGATTGGATGCTGGCGGTGTGCAAACTGAAACTCGCTCATATTCTGATCGATGATGTCGTAAAGCTCGAACGCGTCCTCCCACTGCAGCGAGTTTCCGATGCCACAATTCCAGTCATCAAGCTCCATGACAACTGACCCGTCCGCGCGACGTATGGGCTCGGTGCTTCCCTCGTCAAATTTGGGATGGAGTTTATCCTTCACGAAGGCTGGACCCAAATAGGGTAGGTGGCATCATGGCCAGTCGTTGGCTCGCGGAGAGTTCCCCCTTTTTCGCTTTGAGGCCTGGGTCGAGTTGATCTTGGAGTGTCCATTTCGGCCCTCCGTTATTAGCATCCTTCTGGTACCTTTCTGTCATTAATAACTGGATCAATGCAGAGTAAAACTGGCCGATAAACTTGCGTCTATCCGACGAGTAGTTTTTGATCGACTGCGGCGGCTCGGACAGCCAGGTATACCGATTGAATGGTAGACTCAAGGTATGTCGCGCGATCTCGTGTGCGAATAGTAGCTAGATTTCGGGTTCGGCAGCTGGATTTCGGGGTTCGGCAACCCAGTTTTCCATACGGCTCACTATCTCCTGTGCCCACTGTTTGAAGTTAGCAGTATACACATGGTCGGTTAAACCCGTTTGTTTACCGCTTGGTAAACCAACGTGTTTAAGGGGGTAGAGACTTACTTTTCGGAGCATTCGCTCTTGCAGCCACTCGTTAATGGTACCCTTGATATATGATATGTACCACTTGACTTTCGATAGTTGCCCGATCCTGAACAGTCTCCCGACGAACTGAATCGTAGCGACGTTCCAGACGAAACTAGCCCCGATTCCATGGTGGCATTGTCGATGGGCGTTTAAGCCTGCACTTGAAACAGAGGATTTAAGGACCAGGATGTCGACTCTCGCCTGCTCGTCATTCCACTCATCCATTACAGCCGACCGCTCTGACATCTTCATGGCCGAGTGTACACTCCGAACCGCGAAGCTGGCCTTCCGCGGCATGGCAACAGCCTCCCTAGAAACAGTTAGCAATATGCAAGGTTTATCGCCTGGCAGTGAGGCGCAATCTTACTGTTGCATATGTGGGTCGTTCATGACCACAAGGATTCTAGCGTCGGCCTCCAATTCTCGGACCTCGAGGATCAGCTGGAGAACGGCCGTCTTCATAGGCGAAAGAGCGTTCGTAAGGAACACGCCGGACAATCAGTCGCTTGGAGCAATATGATCATCATGGGTATTAAGGACTGAATGTGTCCAACTTATCCCACCATCCAAGCTGTTTTGCATAACAGATTCGACGTGGGCAGTTCTAAGTTTTGACTGACCCGTAGAGAGTTGGGTCTTTGCGATCTTTCTGGAGCTGCTGGTGACCTCGGAATTCACACCTACGAACTTGCGGCGCGGGTTTGGCGGCCGCAGTAGTTTGAGATTTGCCTTTGGGTTTGGCTTGCCCACCCTGGCCAGTCTTGTTACGGCCTCAACTTAGCGAGATGCTCCTCCGTCAAAGAATCTAGCGCGGTGCTAATCCCCAGGAGTTGCCATGCGTGTCTGCATTGAGCCCCCATAGATACTGCTCGGACGAGACTGAGGTCTAAAGAATTATCCTCATCGTCTACCTTTCTCTTGATGTTCACCCCTTCTTCAACCATTTCGTCTTCTGGGCCAACCGAATGCTCAGATTCCGTAGTAAATAATCGGTCTCGTCCGCGACCTCGTCGAAGAGTGTTCCGTATCCAATGACGACCTGTATAATATCCGACATCCGACATCCGAAGTAGTTGGAGTTTAGGCATGTCAGCTAGTGGCTGTGGCGGCCCTTCGCTGCTATCCATTAATGACCGAGAACCTCGCCGAGCATGGTAGTAGAGGAGATGCGCCACTGCCCGGAACCAATCGTTCATAGTATACCCGCCAAGGGTATTCGGGGTCCCATCTAGATAGCGTATGAAGCGCCGGGCGCCCTTCTTGTCGAGCCCGTCTTTGGTGTTTCGTAGGTAGGCGTACAAGATGGGCATAGTGGTCGCAAGCAAATGATAGCTGTACTTTTGGGCATCAACGACGGCAGTCGGGTCGGACAGGTCTCCATATCGAATAAAGACGACCGGAATATCACTGTCCTGGTCCAAGGCAGCCAGGGCAGAGAGGATTGGCCCAACCTTGGCATCCTGTTACATCGAAGGGATAGCGGTGTAAAGACGGGCCCAGCTCCGTGCTTCCATAATAGAGTTGCCATGGTAATTGTGCTAGCTACGTGCTACAATGGAGAAGACCCCTTCTGACTCGTCTCTATGTTTGAGATAGCAGTAGAACCCGAATATGTCGGAAGCTATATATACGTTAGTGATCGTCCTCAATACGGAGAGGGCGGTCAAATCGACCGTTTAACCGCCCCTTCCCGCCCCTTGCGGAGCCACAAAAACGAATGCGAGTGTCACGTACCTTCAAGATCTGTATGTCTTGTCAACTCCTGAGTATAAGTTAACTAACCCAGATTTGGCCAGGCCCTACATTTGGCCCATGCGCAAGCCACCATGCACTTACACCAAGGGTGATTGACCGATTTTCTTCATCACACCGCAACTTCCTCAAAACAAGACCAAATTCTTCCATTTCTTGGTTAATCGAGAGCTCAATCAATCCTCTATTTACCATGCCTGAATACGACGAATTGGAGATGCTGACCGCGATGAAGTTTGTGCGAGACGGCGGCAGTGAGCGTCAGGCGGCAGCAAAATATTGTGTGCCGAGGAGTACACTTCGGCACCGGCTGGCCGGCACAAAAGCCCGTTGCATTGCGTTTGAACACATGCAGACTCTAGATAAGCCTGTGGAAGAGCGTTTGACCGAGTGGATCGTCATGCAGGGTGCCCTCGGCCTGCCTCCTACGCATGCGCAGGTTAGGGAATTCGCCCGCCGGCTGGCCCGGGAGCTCGGGAAGCCTGACGAGATCGGGGTGAAGTGGGTGCGGCATTTCATGGCCCGGAACCCGACCATTAGGACCCAGAGAGCACAGCGGATCGACTCGGTGCGCCTCAACGGAGCTACGAAGGCAGCCGTGATGGCCTGGTTCGAATACCTGGCCCTCCCGGTTATTCGGGGCATCAAGCCCGAGCACCGTTGGAATAAAGATGAGACAGGCATTCTTGAAGGCCAGGGTTCCAACGGCCAGGTCATAGGAAGCTCAGAAAACAAGGTGTTGATGAAGGAACAACCCGGATCTCGCAGCTGGACTACCTTCGTGGAATGTATCTCTGCAACTGGCCAGTCCCTACCTCCTGCGGTCATTATGAAAGGAAAGACCGTTCAACAACAACACTACCCAGAAAAGCTCAAATGCTTCGTTGGTTGGCACTTCACAAGCCAGGAAAAAGGCTGGATTGACGATGCAAGGGCATTGGAATGGCTTCAGAAGGTCTTCATTCCTAGGACCCGGCCAGCCAACGGAGAAAAACGACTACTTATTATTGACGGCCACGGCAGTCATACCACCGATGATTATATGTGGTCATGCTTCCAAAACAACATCTACCTTCTTTATTTACCTCCACACGCTTCTCATGTTCTTCAACCTCTCGATTTGACTGTCTTCTCAGTCCTGAAGAGGGCATACAGGAAGGAGCTCAATAGCAGGCCGACGTTATCGTACAGCACGGTTCTAGGGCGCCGGCTTATGTTGCTTTGTTATTTCAAAGCCCGGAAAACCGCATTTCAGCCCAGCAACTGCAAGGCAGGTTGGCATGCCGCCGGGTTGTGGCCTGTCAACAAGCAAAAGCCCCTGCGAAGCAAGTTGTTGCTAGAAAACAGGAACCAAGGCACCACAAATACAGCTTCACAGGCCCTAGAGGAAGCCAGGTCATTAGCTTACCTGCAGCAACAGGTATATGATAAATACGGCGTCTAGAAGACTCCTCAAAAGGTCACGGAGCTCACGGTCTCCCTGGCGAAATTGAACATACATTCGGCGGCTCGCCGCACTCGCCGTACGCTATTCAGGAAGATCGAAAAGGCATTCAACATCAAGTACTTCGAATTGGCTAAGCTACGACGTGAGAATGAAGCTCTCAAGGCCGAAATTGAGAACAAGAAAGGCAGCAAGAAGAAGGTCCAATTGAGCCCGAATTCCAAGTTTGCTACGATTGAGGACATTCGCAAGGCACAGAGGGCAGCTGGGCGCGATATTGACTGTTCAGACGAACCAGAGGGCTCGGAAGATGAAGAAGAAGACGAAAGTTGCATTGTAATTAGTTGATTTGACCTTTTTCTATAGCTTCAAATGTCATGCGTTGCGTTGTGTAAGTGCGGGCGGCGCCCGGGCCAAAAGTGGGGCCTGGCCAAATCTGGGTAAGCTAACTTACTCGTATCCCAGCAAGACAGCGAAATGTTGCACCTTTTGGCCTTCGCATTGACATCCAGACTGAACGCCAACGTCTGGCCGGGGAGTACGTTTTCCGTGATCTTCGGGTTTTTGACGATGTCCTCTTGTGACACAAACTCCGTCTCGTATTGGACAAACTCGTAGTCCTTGACTCCCTAGTGGCGAGCGTCTTTATCTAACGTCTTCTAGAAATTTGGGATATCGGTCAAGTCGTGCCATCCTGCATGTTTGGCAAGCTTGACTTGGCAATGACGCTCTTTCGCTTCGCGGCAAGGCCGGCCCGAAGGCTTACCCAGTGTGGATGCTTGTCTTGGGTAACTTTGTCAAGGATCCACCGCATAATAGGTGGTCTGACGGCGGGTTCGAGTCTTTGTGCGTCCTTTTTGAGGTGGAAGAACAGGAATTTCTTGCTCAGCTCCAGATCGAGGTTCAAACCGCCTTTCACCGCGGCGGCAACTTTCATCTTGGGATCTTCGGGCTTTGCGTCGGCGGCGCCGGCCGCTTCCTCAACCCCCACCTTCCTCTTGGCCGCTTCCACTTCTTTCCTGGCCGTGGCAAGCTCTTTTTTTTCTTTGCCGTAGCCTCGGAAATCTGGCCTCGAGGCATCTTGGGTCGCCGCCCGGGGGCGGTTAAACACGTTGGTGTGTCAGAGGGTGAGGGTGGCAAACCAACCTGCCAGGTTGGCGTAGGAACCCAAACCAACCTGGAATGTCTACTCTGTTGGTTTAGGATGCGAAGCTTGATGAAAGTTTGAAGAAGGAAGAGGGCAGGAACCGACCGGGAGGGGAAAAAAAATGAATATATATGCAGGCTTGGATAACCTTAACCATGGCCCTGGCCCTGAATCGGCCCTCCGATGACATTTAGAAGAATAAGGGTCTTCACGCAAAACTCCGGGTGTCGATTGAATGGAATACAAATGGAACGTGCGCACCCAGTCCGTGGAGAAAGTAGCTGTCAGTCCACATACTATTCTAGAATAGGTGTAGCCTGCCATGACAACCTATTCCTAACTGGGCAGTAGTCATCAAGAATGGTGTCATTCATAAACGCTTTAGAATGGAAAGCGATGTGATCTATCTTGGTCTCGACGTAGGTCATCGTCCTGCTGTCCTTCAGCTTGTGTAGGACTTATGGGGCGAGTCTGTGTCTGTCAAGGTTAGGATATGTCTTGAGATTTAGATGGACGGAGGGACTCGATGAGACTTGGATGAAGGCGAGGATCTATTGCCTGTTCTTGTCGACATTCACGCCGAAGAGTCTCTGTATGAATCTCTCTCTGAATATCCTCGTCCTCTTCCTCCATATCGTCAAGGAAAGAGTCACTAGTTCTTATCTGTGACGTTTTTGTCTGTTTTCGGACTGGCATATCTTTCACGGTCGGGATACGAAACTTACACGACTGGTAATGAGAAGAGAAGTGGTTCGGGCAGACTGGGACGACCTTCGTGATGGCATGGTGGCGGTACCTCTCCACGTCCTACGAATGACGGGATGCGATGTGGGACGTCGAGACAAGGCGAACGCTACCACTACCACCGCCACCAAGCAGATTAGTGGCTGCGAGGTGAGGGCTGCTGGGAAGATTGGGCGGAAACACAGGCGTCACTCGAGCGCCACTACCAGACGGCGTCTGTTCACGACCACCAGGATCACTCTGGTCTAGAGCGCCCGCGGTCGCCTTACGTCCACGGGCACGACCACGATCAGCTACAATCTATATCGGCAGGTTAATTAATGAGACAGGAGCTCACCGGTCGCTCGCTAAAATTGGATTTCTTTTGCGGTTTATGGTGCGGTTTGAGAAAGAGAGAGTGTGGAAGGTGGAAGGTTAGGATAGTGTGGTAGATGTTACTAATTTAGCTGCGAGAACAAGCGTGTTTAGCGTCGGGTCAATAGGAATTGATGTGAAATTGTACTGGATAAATGAAACCTGGTACGGGGGAAGACTTACTCTTGATGCTATATTTTTGTGCAGAAAACCGAAGCGATGTAGAAAAGTGTGTGTGAGGAAAGGAAGAGAAATTGAGGCTACTGGAGATGATGTGTAGTTTCATACCCCCGGGAGGTGACCCCACATGCGTATCAGAACCGGTCTGATCTTTGAGAGGTACATCAGAGCCTATCTTTCGCTACAAGGTTGTTAGGTATCTTTGGTGCGAAATCGGGCATTCTAGTGTACCTTTTCTGCGTAGTGATGGCAGAGTTGGGATAGAAAGGGGGTGTTGTGGTCAAATCCCACAGTAATCAGCTGCAAAAGTGAGTCTCCGGTGTGTTAGACTGTTCCTGTCAGGAAGCAGATGGTGGTCTCCCTCCTCCTCCTCAATGGCGTGCTCAATAATGGACTCAGCGATACTGCTGGCGTCGTGTCCAATCTCGTTGACGTCGTATCCAATCTCGTCAACGAAGCCGAGGAGTATATTCTTCTTCACGTATCTCCCGTGAGTGCCCCAGTACCCTATCGTCTCATAACGGGCGCTCGGCCGCGCCTCGTTCAGGAACTGCGCTGCAATAGGTTAATTTAACTGCGGGGGCCCAGCACCGTTCACGCTGCACAGCCGCCCACCACAAAGCAGCACCAACAAGTTGCAATCGCTTCCAGGGCTGCAGATCATCTCTCTACGCCGCCGCCGCCGCCCACAGAAATATTCCGCCGGCCGCACAGCCAGGCGCACGCATCATCCTGATCGCTCCAACACCAACACGGTATTGCGCCCCTGCGTCTGGACCTCTGGAGTGGCGCCGCCGTCTGGAGTCTGGAGTGGCCCGTCATGGCCCGCCCGCCAGGACCACCCCGCCGAACCCCTCGACGCCTCCGACTCGGAGGCGTCGAGACCAGGTACATCTTGTACCCACCAGGGTGAGTGTATTTTTGTGTGCGCATATGCACAGCATGCAATAGTGCAAGCACGTCCAACACAGTCAGCACAACCACCACACATTTCAACCCAACGATGCATGTGGGAGGGTGGAGTCCAATATCACACGCAGTCAGACAGACAGACGACTGGTTCAAAAGGAAACGGCTGGTCCTCCAGCATCGTCGGAAAGTTTTATAAGTTTTTTTTCGTTCCCCCCTCTTTCTCGGCTCGGGATGCTCAAAGCGTCACAGCAGTTGCTGTCCGATGTTCACTACACCTGCCCGCAATCCCTGAACGCAGACTTTTTGCTTCGGCCACCTTCTAGTCTTGGCAAATCAGGCGCATTTGGCACAGAACGCCAAGTTTCAGGTAACCAGGGCGCCTCAGGCACAGACAGTAAGTTGATCAAGTTCAATCGCACACGACTCGTAGGAAGAAGCTCGTGTTATGTATGTGCGTCCATGCCCATGGCCAGCGCTCCGCGGCAAAATTTACGCGGAAAGCCTGGGCAGTCGGGTTGGGCTAGTGCTCGTTATTGCAGCTTCGCTATGAATGAGCTATTGTACGGCCATGTAGTTCGGTTATTCAGCCTCATTCGTATGCGTGCAACAACCTTCTTCGCCTTAGTTGCTTGGTTGAAGCGCAACACTAACATAGGAAAAGTCGAATCGAACCCGAAATTTTATCTATACTTTTTCCAACACCCTAGGCGCGATCGACGGCACGCAGCTGAAAGGGCCCCCTCTCGACGAACGTGCTGGTCGCCTGCGACTTCGATGACCGTATTATATATATATATATATATATACTGCCCGGGTGGGAAGGTTCAGCCAACGACGGGTAGTGTTTTCGTGAGTGCCCTCACGCGCGGGCTCGTTATTCCGAATGGATGGCTTCAATTACCGGCCGACGTAGGTTACAATAGTAGTCAACGGGCTGCCTGTGCCCTTCCGGGGCGTCCGGTATCATCTCCAGGAAAGCGCGAAGGCAGGCCTGCGCCCTACGACCTGCAGGAGCTTTGGAACCTTGGTCACAGTCAGCTGAGGGTAATAATAGTAGAGAGGGTGTCATCGGCTGGCTGCAAAAGGATGGAGGTTGGGGTCGTAAAGACAATGCTACCTACCCCGCTTAACCCCCCATTTGCGCTTGTTCGCTCGCTCTCTGGAAGACTGCCGCTGCCGTCTCCAGGCCATGCCGTAGCTGTCGTAGGTCGTGGGTCGTTGCTGCCGCCGCGCGTGGGATTCTGGGTCCTGGGAATATCTCCAGAAGGTTCCCCTAGGGGTGGTGTGGTTCGTCTAACAAGCGCGCTCTCCACATGCAGTCCCAGGTCCGTATGCCCATACCCCTGCTCCTGCTCCTCCTGCTCCTTCCCCCCGGCCCCTTGTCCCCCTCCCCCTCTTCCTTCCGCTGGTTGTCGTTGCCTTCCCTGTCAGACATGACCTGAACTTGTGGCCTGCTCTTTCCAGTTTTGACATTGGCAAGGCAAGGCTCGACAAGGACCAGGCAGGAATTGACGGCTAACGTATCCGACTTTGTCTTCTCCAAGTTCATCATCAATGACGACGACGGCACCTCTTTCAACTCACCATAGTTGCTGAGCTTCGAGATCCCGACAAGCTGGTCATTTTTGACTCTTAGTTCCCTCACCCCTCACCGAGGCATGGGTTCTGGCCATCTGCGCCCCGCCTCCATGCACATCGCACAGCAGTGCAGTGTGTAGTGTGAAAGTGATGCTCTAGGTTTGATGGAACGACCAAGCCGGCGATGGACTTCCTCCCGCGCCCAAGCTTCGGGGTAGAGCCCCTCGACATTCCCTTCATCGCCGACACGCCTTATGTCCACGACACAGACTTCTGGGACTTCCCAAAGACTCACGGTTTTGGCGACCAGTGGACCGCTCTCCCGGCCCCTCGCCTGGCCGCCCTTGCCCAGTCATGGCTCTACTTTGCCGCCATGTCCGAGTTTCTAGGCATGTCCGTCGACCATGGGCACTTCAACTCCTCGGGAAGCGTCTCTGGAAAACCTCTGCTACCGCTGCTAAGCCGGTGGTTAGAGCTGAACGCCCCTTCTGCTTATACTTCCGCTCCTGCTCCTGCTCCTGCCCCCGCTCCCTCTTCGTCTGCCTCTGCCCCCCTCCGCAGCCGCAGCCGGAGTCCAAAATCCGAGGCCGCTGCACGCGACAAGGTCGACTTGAGGCAGCTGCTTGACCACCGAGCTAGATTCCTCGACGACGTCTTCCACCTCGCCGAGGATTTCGAGAAGCTTTCACAAGGCCGCACCCGTCCGATTCCTGCCATCATTCTGTCCGTCAAGATCCTCTGTGTAACTCTCCACGGCGTGCTTGGCGAGGTTGTGGAGGCGCAATCGCGGCTCGACAAGTCACCAGCTCGGCCAAGGCCATGGCCGCCCGTCGGAACTCGGAGGTTGAACGTCATCACGCCGCCGCCATCCCCCTCCGGCGCAGCACCCCAGGCCCTCCCGAGTGTCCAGCTTCTCCGAGACGTGTTACGGCTGCGCGGTTGGTGTCCATTCTACGCGCGCAAGATCATATCGTCGTACAACTACGTCATGGTCTACTACTTCAGCCGCCTCTTCAAGCGGTACTCTCCAGGCCTCAGCCACGAGCAGTGCTCAGACGACAAGTGTGTCGCTGGTAATGTTGAACTTGCCGGCTATAAGCCAAAACACACAGAGTCTACCTGCACGTGTCGGCCCCTCTCCGCTCGGACTGACAAGATCCGGGCCATCCTTCAGGCTGGCGGCATCCCAATCATTCAGATGGCATGGGTCAAGAGGAAGCTCGTTGTCAAGGTGGCCAGAATGACTGCCAAAACCCGCTTCGTGGCTATCTCCCACGCCTGGTCAGACGGCCTAGGCAATCCAAACGCCAATGCGCTCCCAAAGTGCCAACTACGGCGCCTTCAGCATTTCGTCGACAAACTGGAGCCTCTTGCAAGAAACACGCACGCAGAATCCCGCCTCAATATTTTGACCAGCTCACCCGAGGCTGGGTTTCAATCCTCGAGGTCCTTGAAACCAAGGTACTTCTGGATAGACACCCTGTGCATTCCGGTTGGTGGCGGTCCGACCGACGACATAAGAATCCGGGCTATCAATACAATTCCGGCTGTATACCAAGCTGCCGACCGAGTTTTGATCCTGGACTCTTCTTTCGACGATATCTCGGTGGAGGGTACCGACGAGTGTGAAAGGCTTGCCAGATTGTCAGCGTGTAACTGGACATCTAGAAGCTGGACATATCAGGAGGCTGCTTTAGGATCAGTTTGCGAAGTCCAATGTGCCGACAGCACCTTTGACCCCTTTTCACGACAGGTTGGCTTGCCCAAAGCCCCAGCTCAATCTCAGACGCAGCCTCGGCCAAAGACTCTCTCAAACTGGCTTTCTTTTCCCGCCGCCGGCGTCATAAAGGCGCTTTCTCGCAGATTTGTGGTTGCATATTCGGAATCCAGGAGCCACCATTCTGTCGCTCATGCAGATGCTAGCGAGGCCATACATGCAAGCATGATCCGACAACTAGCCAAGGACCTTGGGCAGACATATTCAAACATCAAGCCCCAGCCAGTTGTCAATGGCGACGGTGATGAAGTCCCGACTCCTGACTTGTGCACGGCTTTCGTGCGAGCCTGGAACGAGATCAGCAGGAGAAACACAACAGTCCAAGAAGACTCACACATTATTCTCGCCAACCTCCTTGGCTTCAACTCCCGTCCCATCTTGAAGCTTGCGAAGCCAGAAGATCGGATGTCAACTATTCTCTGGAGTATGGATGGAATACCGATGTCGCTATTGTTCAACAAAACTGGACCGAGGCAGAATCCAGCTGGGAACCACCGAAACCGATGGGTGCCTCTTTACCCATCCAGGCAGAGACTGCGCCCTGGCGCGACATATTCAAATCTCCGAGCCATCAGAGGCGATCTTTACTTGCCGAACAACAGCGCCAGTCGTCGGGAGATGTCCGTCTTGGTCTGTACCGAGTATCCCGAGCCCAACTCGACCGCGAAGTTTTCGGTATGGGATGCCTCCGTCGGAAAGCGCTACACCGTGGAAATGCATCGACAAGAGGGAACACTTGATCCTTTTGCTGCACCAGAAGTTGGCCCGTACTGCATAGTTATTCAGCACAAGACAGACTCCGGACATACCCCCACGACGATGCCTGGTGCTCTGTTCCGCATTCGTCGGATTGTGACCAACGTGAGGAAATGGTATAATCACAACCTGGAGCCGGAATACGTCAAATCGTTCGAACTAGTTGAAATCGAGGATGCGGGCGAAGGGCGGATCGGGGCCAAAGAAAAGCAAAAGTCGGCGTCGTCCGAGCTCAACGACTTGGGTTCAGCATTTGCCCGGCATCACTCGGGGATCCTACGGACAGTCTACGACTGTCCCTTGACAGTCTCACTCCAGACAGAGGAATCCACCAATGGCAGCAGTACCAAGTCTGTACACGAGAAGGAAGAAAAAGCTCTGGCGTTAACTCCGATACCGCTTCCTGAATCTTGGCAGGTGGCTATCGAGCGAGGTGGGTTTTGTCTTCCCGCTTCTTTTCCTACCGATCTAATGTTGTACACATGTCGGCTAACGTGAGCTTTTGCTTCTAGATTCTCCTACATTCCCAGTCCCGCTATCCTCTCGCCCCTCATTCTCGGAAGCGATGACGCCTGTAGCACCATACTTCCTCGTGACCGCCTTGGACGGACTAGTTGCCAGCGGTTGCGTCGCTTTGATTATCGCCATCTGCGTCACAACATTCTCGCTGCTGGCACCGCTCGCGAAGGGAGTCTTGATGGCGAAAATGGGTTTACATTCCCTCGTCTTGATTCAAATGTTCATGTTGTCGGGCTTGGAGCCCCGACTGATCTGGGACGTGCTTCACCTCGTCCTGGTTGCGCTTTACGCTTTTTCACGGGTTGCCAGCGGACAGCCGACTGCGTTGGACTTTGCATTCATCTGCTGGTCTCTTGTCGGTCACGGCATTGACTTTGCTGCGAGGTTGGCAATCCAATGGTTTGTGGTCCCCGGCTTGTTTGAAAAGTACCTCGCCAACTTCGACCCTGAAGATGGGTTCTGGGGCCAAGGCGACTTTCTGCTTACCACGACATGGTACGGCCGGATCTTGGCAAGACTAGGACGAAAATCCGGCCAAGATCGAGCCGGTCAGATACTTGGTGAGGTTCCAGAACATTGGCGCTCGGAACAGCATTTGCTCGGGAATATGGAAGGGTGATAGCTTCCAAAGGAGAGTTAAGTAATGATGACATGAAGTATGATTTGGATAGACAATTAACCGCACTTGGGGGTTATGGTACTTGTAGCGGATAGCAATATCTTTGTATTCATGTTAATAATGAAGATCAAATTAAGATGGCAGACTTGAAGAAACTTCAATGTATCTAGAAATTTCAACTAACAATTCGACTTGGAAGTTTATTAAAGACTCATTCTCACAACTCACGTCTTTTTGGGTAATTTACCAATTCATTGAAGACACTTGAAGATATGGTATGGATGTATCGATGTCAGGCTTAGGTGGCGAGGTCAGGCCATACTGACTCGCAACCTAGACCCTCATCACTCTGCCCTGGGTGCCCACAGAGGACCCAGTCTTACGGCCATGAAAGGGCTGTAAAAACCCGGCCGTCTTCAGGATGGAATACAGACAACAAGCCGCCAAAGTTGTGAATCATCACCTGGTTGCGATAGTGGCGATAGTGGAAAAGACAAGGCGGAGAAGAGAGCTGGCGTGGTGAGATGCTGCGAGTCGCTGTTGCTGAGACGCATAATAAGATGTCTAGCAACATTCCTCGCCAAACGTAATCACCAATCACAGCACCCAGGGGCAGGCGACGAACAGAAACAAGCACGCAGCAGCATTAAAAAGATTGTATTTCGTATGTGGAACAAGGAGTCAGTCAGTCAGCTGGAATGCAGGGACGCCGCCGCGCAGATCTTGTTGTTTATGTGGTTTGTGCAAGTGGTATTCATCCATCCGCCAAGCTATGCAAATGAGCAGACAAAAAAGGGCAAATAGTGTTGAAACAAAAAATGCAATCTAGGGCAGAATCCGTCATGTCCTTCATTCCAGTCAGTATTTCGTTTGTTTCGTTTTCCCATAAATCACACAACCCCCCTCTCCCAAACACACGCACACTTTTTGTGGTATCAACAAGGAGGAACAACAGCAATAAACAGCAGCAGTAGCAGCGACGACCGCCGCCGTAAAACACCGGTACACGGGTCTCGCAACCCCCGACCAAACTATCGCCAGCTCAGGCCGAGCCGGGTTCACAAGGACCAAGAAGCACTGTATGCTTTCTAGTGCCGTCGGGGGGAGAAACAATATGTACCGAATCGAAGGTCGAGGTAATGTACGATAAGAGCGGCGAGGAGATTGCGCCGACGCTGCCAATCGAGGGTACGTCGTTGCGCATCTCTGCATGGAAGAGAATGGGTTCGGAGAACGAGCAGGCTGTCAACCCCCCTTCAACTCCACCCAAGGGACTCCAGCAAGTTCTTGGCCTCTGTTGAACTGAAGCCGGCAACGCCGAGGGCCCTGACCTGGGTGCCACCACGTAGGGTCTGCAGGCCTTGGGAGATCTTCCAACTCTCCTCCTGGCCGATGACGAACAGGTACCGTTTTCCCTCTTGGTCGCGAATGGTGGCGCGGAGGAGGTGGAGGCCTTTGGCGGCCCACTCTCCAATCTTATCATCGATGTTAGAACTCCCCATTGACGCAGAAGCACGCGACGGCAGTCCGGGACGACAGATGCCCTGGCACACACGGCCGAGGTCTTCGAGATAGGCGACGGCCTCTTCACCCGTGACCGTCTTGGGGGCGCCTCTCTCGGCCGCGCGGCGCATGACGCCGGGCATCGTCTTGAAGAAGGGGTGGCTGGTGGGGATTGCACCGGGGAGATTCGAACTGGAAGAACTCAAAAGGTGTGTGGGACACCATACCTCGACTTGCTTGAGCGTCCAAGCCTTGACATCCCATTCTCGCTGCGCAACGCCGCGCACGTCGTCGTCGACAAAGAGGCCGGCGCTGGTGATTCGGAGGATCAGGCCGTCCGTCACAGTCCCGGTTCCCGAAATGAGCTGCGAGGCAGGCGTCTTGGAAAACTGGTTCAGGTAGCCATAGACTGCCTTGATGACAATCTTTTGAGGGTCATCTGTGGTGTAAGGGCCGCGCATCGACGGCGGGGGGCTAGTGCGCGCGGTAGAGGCGGAAGGCGCCCAAGAGGATTCAGAAAAGTCCGATACCGATTTTTTTCGGGCTCCTGGCTTCTTTGGTTTGTCGTATGGCCGATAAGAGTAGGTTTCTTCTGTCCCGGCGGTTGATTTGGCTGGCGCTGGAGCGGTCTTTGTTGAGGATGCCGTGGAGGTGGGCGCAGGCCGGGCGGTTGCAGCTGGCTGCGACGTTGCGGCAGGGGGCTTGCCGTTTGGCCACATGCTGGTCTTCTCTCCGAGCGATGAGAAAGCGTACGTGCTTCCCTTGCGGGCGTTCGTCTCTTCCTCCTCCTTGCGGGCGCGCTCCTTCGATTCTCTGGCTTCCCGCTCCCTTGCCGCTTGCCGTGCCTTTTCAGCGTTTAGCCTCTCTTCTTCACGCTTCAGTGCTTCTTCTTTTTCTTTCAACTCGCGTGTTTTGGCCTCACGGGCCTCTTGATCTGCCCGTTCCTTCATCTCCCTCTCGACCTTTTGCCGCACCTCTTGTAAAAGTCGCTCCTTCTCTCGAGCTTCTTGTTCCATTCGACTTTTCTCCTTGGCCTCTCTCGCGCGAGCCTCACTCTCTCGCCTCTCGCGTTCTTTGGCATCCTTTTCCCGAAGCTCCTGCAGCCGGCGCAAACTTTCTTCTTTCCGCTTCTGCTCTGCTTCCTTGGCTTTCCGTTCTTCTTCCCGCTTCCTGATCTCCTCTCTGGCTCTTTGCCATGACCCTTTGGGAGTCTCTGTCTTCGCCGTCGTAGGCCGGGGCGGGGGCGGTTGTGGTTCCGACCGTGGCTGCGACTGCGGTTGCGGTTGCGGTTGAGATTGTGGCGGGGGTTGCGGCGGCGGCTGCTGTTGCGGCGGCGGCGGTTTGGGCTGCTCCCGTTGCTCTTGGGACTGGGGCTGGGGCCGGGGTTGCGGCGGAGGCTGTTCGTGCCAAGACTGGTGTGGCCGTTCGCCCCTTGGTGCCTCGTTTTGTGGGGGCGGAGGGGGGGAGGCTGAGGCGGTGGTGCTTGACTCGGCGGCGGCCCCGTGTTGGGAGGGGGAGAATAATAAGCACCCGATCCACCGAAGCCACCTCCAGGTGAGTGACGCCCACCGCTGTGCCCGCCGTCTGGACTCGAACCAGAACTGGTGCTTGCCTCGTTCCTCAACGTACCGAGAACATAGGTACCCAAGCAGGAGGCTACGACGAGACCACCATAACCGACGCCACCGAGCCCCTGGAAGTTATCCCACCATGCCTTCAAAGCTGGTGCAAGACTATTGCCTATTATGATAAAAAACAGCGTGAAAGCGACGCCGGCGATGAAGCTATTCCAAGCTGGTTTCAATGATGGCAGATAGAGGAAGCCCGAGCCGGCGGAGTGCTGCGGTATGACGAAGATGTCGTATTTGCCCGGAGGCAGACCGGAGCCACCAGCTGTCGTCCTGGGGTTGTCACCGTGGGGCGGCGGCGGCGGAGGTGGTGGTGGCTGGCTCATCTTGTGTGAGGGTCGACAGTTCCGAGTGACAGACTCGTCTCGGCTGAGCGACCGCGGTCACGAGGTGTCGTCCGTCAATTACAGCAGCGTGCTGTTAGTCAGTCGGTCGGTCGGTCACGCAGTGGGCTTAAGCAGAGCAGTCGTGCGGCCATAAAGGGGCCGGCGAAGTCGTCAGGGAACTGCAGGCGGCGGGCATCAGCGCCGGAATCCCGGTTTTGGTCATGCTCTCGAACAGACCATGATCAAGATGGGGAGGGATGGGCGCTGCAGGGAGGAGGGAGTGAGACTGCAGTCGCAGCAGCACCTGCCATGCTTGCGCCAGCGCCAGCACCAGCGACCGCGAACTGCGACTGCAGCTGCGACAATAGAATTGTCCAGCCCTGCGCTACCGAAGATGGACCAAAAAGCGCAGAACGACTAACCGCGAGCAGGAAAAGACCAGACGCCCAACTCCAGGTGCAGTACAAAAGCAGAGCCGGCAAATTTTGGATCGATTCAATGTCAAAACAACGTGAAGCAGATTAGTAGTGCAGTTGCGATGTTTTGAGAAGATGGGAGGTGGCCGTTTGCTGGTTTCTTCCAGTCTCGCGACGGGGTCCCGCAATCGAGTCGTCCGAGATTTGTGCATGGAAACGTCGAAGCGGCGAGACCCCCAACGGGAGGATGCAGCGTGCTTTTGGCGATTTGGGTGGGTGGACAGAGAAGGTGCCTCCTGACAGGGGTGGGTGTTGTGTTTACTTTAGGCCCATTGGACACGAATTTTTTTACTTGGCGGAAGGTGCGCCTAGGTGGGTGGACATTCGACCGTGGCGCATGGTCCGCAGCTGCCAGAAGCTGTCCTTCCCGCAACCGCGACCGTTTGGCGCAGCCAACCAATTCGGGGGCCAGTGGAAGCTTTCCCGTCCCACCCCATCCAACTTAACCCGCCCAATTAATTGCCTCCCGCCCGTTCCAATCCTGGAAATCAACGTCCAGACGTTGCGGCTACCGAAACGAGCAGATCAAAGCAAGGGAAGGTGTCGTTTTCACGGCCTGAAGACACTGCAGCCGTTCTTCATCGCAGCGAGCTTAATTTATATCTTCGATTGCCGAAACATGTCGACTACTCCTCGGGCCGGCCACACAAACTTGCGACTCTTGGGCTCCAATTCGAACGTTGGCAACCATTCGCTGCACTGCCACTGCCAGTTCGTGACAGCAGAAAAAGCAAGCACTCATCACGACGCGTGTTCTTCCGAATTTCCGTGACAGTTCGCAGAGTACCCATGTTCTTTCCCCTCATAGCGTCAAGGACCCCGAAAAAGTCTCCCCCCCCCTCCCCCCAATCCAACGCTTCCACAAAAAGCAGCGTGTGCGTTGGGTGATGGGGACCGGGGTGGTGCAACGCATCCCTCTTCTTGTCGCGCAGCTGTCCAGTCTAGACCCAAGTCTCACCAAGACGCGGACTCTCATCAATGATTAACCACTCTGAGACGCGCTACCCCGAGCCAGAAATAGCGAATCGAAGTCCGAAGCAGCAAGACAACAAACGGGCGTCGACGCTTGCCAGTTTCCTTTCTTTTTCGTGCGTGAGGGGGGCATCGATGGACCCAAAATGGGCACCTGGCCAGCCAATACGACGAGATTGCCCAATCTCGGCATTGTGACAGGCTGCTAGAGGCCCACTTGCACAGCGAATCGCGGAGTGGCAGAAGAGCCCCGGAAGTGACCAGCGAATCCGCTGGACTGGGCTTTCGTTGATGCAGCTTCTGGTGTGGTGTGGGGGACAGCGGCCCCCCGGCACCCCGAAGCGACGCAGCCGACCGTGCACCTGTCTCTTCTAGCCCCTGTACGCGCAGACCAATCGCTCCCAGACTCCCAGCCCCCGGTCTCCCATGACATTTCTCTCCCAGGATCGGATGGCAGGTCGGGGTCACGACCAACAAAATACCCTTCTGCGGCTTGAATTTAAAGCGTTGCTGAAATGGAGATGAGTCTCCTTTTCGCATCGCTGGCGATAAACGTTCGAATTGTTACGGAATCTCTGCTGCCCAGCTTTTGAAGACAGTGGAAAATTGGAACTTGCACCAACGCGCTGACCTGGCAAAGCTCTTCTCCCGATGCATCGTTGCTAGGCAACGGATGGATCCAAGCGGCAGGGCTGTGGGGGTGACGTAGCCGCACGCTGCCGCACGCTGCCAGCTCACCGCCTAGCCAGCAATGCGGGGCACCTACAGCCAATGCTTCACTTCCCCTCATCCCGCCTATCGCGACAAACGCTCATGGACAGGTTAAAGTCTTGATTTGGCGCACCGCGCGTCCGATGGCACAAGAGCCCTTTTATGAAGACAAACCGCTGCAGGTGCTCCGATTCTGGCAGTGAGCAAACTAATCAGAATCCGCAATTGGATTCACAGCTGGTTGGTGCCCGCAATTGAACTGAACCACGACGGAAATTCTCTCCCTTGTCATGCCACGAACCCCTTTCCACCCCCTGAAGAACAAAAGGCTGTGTGATTCGTAACCTGACACATTGCGCGATCCACAACGAAGTACGAAGTACATATGTAGTATGGGGGAGAAAAAAAGCACTGCCAATTCGTTACACTACTGGCACCGATCAAGTATGGAGTACGATCAAGTACTTTCCGGTAGCACCATCTCCGTCGCGGGCCACAAGCCGCGTCTACTACTTACGGATCGCGTACTATGACTTAACGGGGCCGGACCGTCTATGGCGGGGCCATTGGCTGTATGAAACCATTATGGCACGACAGTACATCGACCAACTGGAGAAAGATGTGAAATTGCTATCCTGACGTATTGGGATCTTGAAACCAGTTATGTTTTTGCCAAGTATGGCAGCGACAAGGTTGCTCAAACGGACAAAACTGGGCTGGGGTATAAAAGTAGGTGTGTTCCGTTTAGACGCTTTTTCAAGGCTCTGCTCGGCTGTGGAGGGACCAAACAGACAGCCCCAACTTAATAAAGACAAACGAAACCCTAACCACCGGATCTATCCTTGAGCTCTTTTCATGTGTACCAAAGTCACAATTAAATCCTGTCTCGAGACACGCCCAGTATAGTAGTAGTGTACGGTAGAACAACAGCCCGACAAACCACCCCAGAGCCAGACTTGTCAGCTCCAAGGGGGAGAAAGCGAACCAGCCTCAATGCCGCCTCCAAACGCCTTCCTGCTTGCTATGCCACACACCACACAAATATATATATATATGCACCACACAACCCGCTCAGACTATGTAGTAAATACGCGAGTGAAACCAGAAAAGACAAGAAGACAATTTGCTCCTCTTCTCCTCTGGTCCCTTTAACCATGAGCTGATACCGTGGTACGCAGGCTCCGCAATGCAAAAAAAAGAAAACCAGAACCGAAAACCAGCCTTTAGTAGTAAGCAGTAAGCCCTCCCCCCCGTTTTTTTGTCTCTCGTACACCTGAGCCAGGGCAGGAAAGTAGAGGTATATGGGCAGCGAACGACACCCAAAAACAAGAAAGGAAGTAAAAAGGGGGGCCGCGTTTTTATATCCTCACGCCGACGGGCTGCTGCGAGACGGCCAGCAGCATGCCGAGCTCGACGGCCCAGACCAGCCCGTTCGACACCCTTCCCAGCAACCAGCGCAAGAGAACGACGCCTTGCACGCCGCCGAGAATGCATCGGACTAGCACTACCAGCACGGCGTTGAGGAGTAGCATGCCCCCAGTTATTGTTCTCGGCGCTGAGTCTCCCGCTCTCCCTTCCGCCGCCACCGCCGCCGCCACCACATCCACATCCACCGCTGCCGCCACGACTTCCTCGTCTGTTTTCTCGTCACCGTCGTCGCTCGCTTTTTCTTTGTCGTTCCCTTTTTCATCTCCTTCCACTACTTTCTCGTCCTGCTCCAATACAGAACCCCCCTCCTCACTCTGCGACGGCGACAACGTCAACGGCAACGGCAACGGCAACGGCAACGGCAACGGTGGCGGCGGCGGCGGCGAATCGTGGCGTCAGAGGCGCTTGACGCGATCCTTGGCGACGCCGAGCTTACGGCCGAGGACGTCAGCGTCCTCGTTGGTGCGGTCGAGCATGTCGATGTGGCGGTTGACCTCGTCGTAGATGGCGAGGCCCATCTCGCGCTGGCGGCGGACGAGCCCGGCCAGCACCTCGACGTCCTGGTCCTGCTCGCGCATCTGCTCGCGCTGCAGCTGCAGCACGCCCGCGTTGTCGAGCTCGCGCGTGCGCTCCGTCTCGGGCAGCGGCGCCCCTAGCACGCGCCCGCCCGCCCTCGCCACCGCCACCGCGTTGACGCCCGCGCCCCCTCCTCCCCATCCGCCGAATTGTTGTTGATGTCCGTCTCCAGATGATGGCGACAGCAGCGCCGCGCGCTCGCCCGCGCTCGCCATGCCCGCCCCCGCCGCGCTGCTCCCGGGCGACGGCGCCATGCTCGAGCTCAGGCGGTCCAGGCCGTCGCGCTCGACGCGCGCCGCCTCCAGCAGGTCGCGGCGGCGGCGCAGCTCGCCGTCGCCGAGGCGGCCGCCGTCCTTGAGCACGCGCAGGCCGTCCTGCAGCGTGCCCAGCAGGCTGCCGGCAGTAACCAGAGCGCGCTTGGCAGCGGCGCCAGCCTCGACGCGCGCGCTGTTCTCGGCGGCGTTGTCGCGGCGCCCCAGCGCCACCAGCGCCTCGTGCAGGCTGCCCTTGAGCTCGCGGTGCAGGTCCAGCCACGTGCCCGGGTCGCTGGCAGCGGCGGCGTTGGCGTCGCGCAGCCCGATGGCCGGCAGCCGCGCGCCGTCGACGCGGAACGCCCCGCTGTCCATGCTGATCCCCGACGCCGACGCGCTGGTGCCCGAGCTGCTGGGCAGGTTGAGGAAGGCGCGCCACGCCGGCGTGTCTCGCCACCGCCGGTCCGGCGGCTCGGCCACGGCCCGCAGGTACCGCTCCAGCCCCGCGCGCCGGTCCTCGGTCAGCTCGGGCGACGATACTGTCGACCGGAGCCACGACTTAGCCGGAAGCGGCTCCGGCGGCGGCGCCCCCACGAGCGACACCAGTGCCGCGTGCAGCCCCGCGAAGTCAGAGTACCGCTTCTGCACGACGAACGACCGCAGCGGCAGCCGCAGTGTGATGTTGTACAGTGTGTAGGCCTTGCTGCCGTCGGGCGGGCTGAATATCGACGTCGTCGGGATCGAGATCTCGGCCGGCGGCGCCATTGTGTCGGCTCACGTCGGGCGCTGGGCTATGTGGTTTGTTGTAGGTGCAGTGGTTGAAGCTGTTCGCTGTGCGTCACGAGAGAGAGAGAGGGAGGATAGTAGGTTCGAACTCGAGGCTTCTGGTGGGCGAGGGACTGTCTTCGCGGGAGGAATTTCGTGTGGATAGGAACTTGAAGCCACTCGGCGGAAGAGGAACCTGCCCAAATGCGTCTTGCGAGAACTCGTTGACTGGTTCGAGCAGACAGGCAGGCACAGACTTGGATAGGCAGCGAGTGAAGAGGTCGGGTAGGTAGCGCAGGCGCTCGTAAAGGGGTCTCGATCTCGTGACGTAGTGACGAAACCGCGGGGCTGCGAATGCAATTACCTGGAAGCTGGGGTTGTCGGGTGGCGGGTGTCACGGGCACCAGCATGCGTACCTGAGCTTGGGCTCTGGAAGCGCTGACGATGGCGGCTTGGCGAAAGGTGGAAATGGAGGAGAAATGGGATTGCTGCAGATGCTGCAGAGACAAAACAGAAACTAGGCTGTAAAAAGGGAAATGGGTATCTCAGAGCACGCAGCGAAGCTTCATGAAAAGGCCAATTGCCTAGAGTCGGGCAAAGCTTTTGATGGAGTGCAAGAATCCGGAACATGGATCATCAGCCACCAACCGAGAACCTGATGCGGGAGCGGAAGAGGTCCGGGGTCGGCTGTGGTGTCACTGTCTGGCGCCACTGGGGACCCTGCAGGCCGTGCTGGAGTGTCGCTGATGAGCGCTAAGCCTCACACCCCTTCCGTGGCCGCCGCGGCCAAGTGGTCGCCAGTCGCCGCCCTTTGGCCATTCTGGCTCTCCACACAGTGACAAATACAAACAATGAGTCGACTTCAGGTACGGAGTACGCACCTCAAATCTCGTTGAACTTCAGGTTCCTGCAGTTCCAATTCTGCTGTTAAAGGCCACGCGATAAGCTCCGCAATAATTAGATCTTTGGCCAAATTGGCGCTGGGCCCTCGGACATTCCCTCATTGTACTTCAGGCTTGTGGCGCCAATTCAGTGGTAAGTGAAACAAGCGCCGCCTTGCTTTACTCTCGGGCTTGCTTAGGCTCTCAGACTCTTGGACAGCCAGTATTTCAGCCCGGCTTTGGCGGCAACTAGCTCTCGGTTTCCGGGAGCTTGTTCTGTCTAGTCACGAGGGGTTTAGCTGCTTAGGCACAAAGTCGGAAAAAAAATGGCGTAAAGGGCTTTAGTCTATCAAAGTCTCGTAAGGTCCTGGGGGGAGGTAATGATGCGCGGGACTATGCTGAAAACGCCAACGAGAGTGTTGATGGCTACCACCGCAAATAAAACAAAAGTGCAAGGGTATAGAGGTCGACCTCATACCAAGATGAGCACCTTCAAAAGCCACATTACCAAAACGCGCCCCCTCTTTCCCCTTTGCCATATTTTTCATGTCCCTGAATCGCTGGTCCCTGATCCCTCCCGGGCACGCGTGATATGTGTAATGTGCCGTGATGTGCTGCGACGCAAAGATTACCTGAACAGCTTTCAGCCTCCTGCCAAGACCACCACCATCATTATAATTCATCGTCGTTCCTTGCACGCAAGGGAACAGAAAGTTGCCACTCTCTAAAACGTCTCCTGGTCGTCAACCTGCTCCCCGTCGGGGATCTCGAAGCCCTCTTCAGTCGAGTACAGAATGGTCTGGATCTGCTTGACCAGCCCGTCTTCCTGCTTCTCGAGCTCGGGGTCCTCGTCGACGGCCTGCTGGACTAGCAGCTCAATGTCACGCAACTTGCTGAAGTAGAAGTCGCGCTCGCGCTCCAAGCCGACGACCGTCTCCTTCAGCGTGTTGTTCTCCTGCTGGAGCGCGGCCGAGGCGGCGCCGCCGACTCCGGCCTTGACGCCCACGCGCGGGCCCGTCGTCGGCGTTGTGCCACCGGGCCGTCTCGCGCCAGCGCCGGCCGACACGGGCGCGCGGGCCGTCGCGTTCGAGGGCAGCGCGCCGCCTTTCCGTCTGCCGACGGCGTCGTACTCCTCGCCCGAGAAGTTCTGGTCCCAAAACCGCTTCGTCCATTGCAGGAACTCGAGGTTGTCCTGCATTTTGCACTTGACCAGCTGCTCGACGGGAATCGACTTCTCGATCCGGTGCTTCGTAAAAGTGTCTGTGGCCAGGCCGCACTTGTCAGTATGTTTACCGCATCTAGACCCAGGCAGCGATGGGAAAAGGGGGGAAAGGGAGGCGCGGGGAAGCTACGGGGCTCCCCAGGGCTTGGCGGGAAAAACGGGCGAGGGGACTGACTTTGCAGGACTTTGAAGTTTTGGATGTATGCGTATTCCGTATTGACGTTGAACTTGACACGCGACATGGGCACGTCGAGGTAAATGCTGTCATAGACCTGGCAGAGGGCAGCGCTGTCGTGGCAGACGGGAGTGTCAGCTAGGCGGCGCGCTGCAAGACTCTGAAATTCGCCAGCGGGCGCGGGGGAGGGGCAAAGTCCGGCTTACCCAGTTCCGCACTGCTCGACCTTGGTCATGTTCAGCTGGAGCAGGCTGTTGAGCCATTGCACAAGTTCCTGTCTGTCGGTAGAAATGTCCGTCAGCGGTGCCTTCTAACCTCGGGCCCGGGGCGGGCGGTCGGTCGGTCGCTCTCGACGCGGCGTGCGTTGTGTTTGGAGACGAGACGGGGGAGGGAGACGAACCGTGATTCACCCATTTTGGCGGCTGCCTTGCGTGCGGTACCGACACGGAAATGTCAAGACGCGGTGATCAAGTCGAAGACGGACAAGAGTGCGGGAATCGTGGTGGAAACGCGGGGCGGGAAACGCGAACACAGAGGCAGTCAGCGACGAGGGCACGGGCTGAAAGGAGAGGGAGAGTTTTCTAGTTCGGGAAGCGACCGTTGATGTTCTCCTCTGCCCGCGCAAATCGAAATCAAACCCAAAATTCAGGCGTCGGCCAATCAACTGTGGTGGGGGGTTCTTGGGGTGATGCAATAGCCTATTGGTCCGTGCGCATTTTCGCCCCAGTGTTGTGGTCGGCACGTGACTGGGAGCATGCATGTCCTGCCGCGGATTTCTCGGACAGGCCTTTCTCGATTCCCAGTTTCAAGTTTCAAGCTCGGCGAGAAACGGTCATTCGCCAAACACGGCTGATTCCTCCTCTCTTACGTTTGCACCATTTCTCATACCCAACGTAAATATACGGATCTAATTTAACGTGTTCGATCGCAGAAGACGGGGGTTGGACTTTAGGAGACTATTTACTCCGTCCTAATTACCTTGCCGGACCTTTAGTCTAGTCGCATCAGAGAAGAGAGGGAGACATGAATGTCACTGGTTCCCCCCGCTCCTTCACGTTTGGCAAGCGTACAATTTGTAAAAGGCTCGGCTGCAGCAGTTCAGTTTACTCGCTGTAATGTCCTGTCCTGGCCCTCATTCAGATGTGGTGCCACTGTCGGCTGTCGCAGGCGGCCGCTGGGGCCTGGGCTGGTTCCAAGGCAGACTTTGAGCGACAGCCAGTCAGCAATTGTGGCTTAGACACGTCTACTACGTATGTATGTGCCTTGCACTGGTCGCCATCCCACGAGCTGCCGACTCTATTGCGCAAGAATTTCTCCACTTGGTCAACCCTCATTTTCTCATGTACTTGAGTGAGAGCGTGCGGTTGAAATTGAATCGCTCACCATGTCGTTCGGATATGGAATCGGCGATTTCATCGCCGGTGCCAACCTCGCTCACCAGCTCATTCGCGTCATGACCGAGACAAGGGGAGCCTGCACCGAGTACCAAGAAGCCATGACAGAGCTGTGCGCAATTCAACAGGCTTTCATCCATGTGAGCCAGATCAGCCGGAGCAGTGTTCTCCCCCAGGCTACCCTCAACTCGGCTTCCTTCATTGTCATGTCGTCGATGGACATCATCGAGAAATTCCTCAATCGAACCAAGTTCTACCAGAAGAAGCTTGCCGGTTCCGAGCCTTCTGCTGCGGCCGGGAGCTGGTGCAAGGTCGGCTGGGCTCTGTTCAAAAAGGAAGAGCTGAAAACACTGCGCGACTCTCTGCACTGCCGTCTCGTGGCCATCAATACTCTCTTCGCTGCTGCTCATCAGTAATTACGATAAGCCTGCTTCGGTAATTGTCCCAAAGTGTGCTTTGCTAACATGACCTAGCACGCATACAATTCCCGACTCGATTGCCCGGTTCCAGGTTTCTGACGACGAGTACTATGAAGAGGCGTCTTACCCGGACTCAGCTGTCGGCCTATCCGAGGTGGGTACGCCGACTCGGGACTCGTCGTCTGTTCCCGAAGAGCGCGAATTTATCAATCCAGAGATATCGGAAGTTGCAGACTCCAGCCCCTCCCAAGTTTCCGAGCTTGGTCAGGGGCTGACTGCTATTACAACAAAGAATAATGAAGGAGAAAAGCAGATCCCAGATCCGAAAGAATACCAGACAGAATCCGCCACAATCCAAGCCACAGCCGTGAGGGCACACTCTTCCCCGGCTGCCACTGAGAGGAAACTTGAAGAGAGCCCAAGAAAACGCGGTTGGAAGGCAAATCCAAGTCATCAGCTAAATCATAGCCAGCCAGACGTCGAGGCTGTCGTGCAGAAACGCCTTGCCGCTGCCAAAAAAGATTGGGAAGCCGAAGCCGAAGCCGCCGCTCAGGAGTGGAGAAAGAAGGTTGAAGAGCTGGCCCAGCTGAACGCAGAAATCGGCGCACGATCGAAACTAGAATCTGAGAGGAAGGCTCTAGACGAAGCCAGGTTGGCCGAGGAGATCAAAATTAGGGAAGAGGAAGCCATGAAAAAGAGATATCTGGAAGAAGCCATGGTAATAGCCGAGAAAAAGCTGAAGAAAACGGAGAAGCCGCCCCTCAAGTTCAAGGACGCTGTGGGAAGGAAATTCAGTTTCCCTTTCCACATATGCCAGACTTGGCAGGCAAGTTCCACCTCGCCCAGTACTCAGGCACACGGGCGTGAGCTAACGATGCTGCACAGGGCATGGAAGAGCTCATCAAGCAGGCCTTCCTACACGTTGATGTCATCGGTCCCCATGTTCAGGAAGGCCACTACGACTTGATTGGCCCCAACGGCGAGATAATACTGCCCAGCATATGGGAGAAAGTTATCGAGCCGGACTGGGCCGTCACCATGCACATGTGGCCACTCGACAAGGTGCCACCGCCCGGCACGCTTTCACATCCTGGACAGCGCCCAAATATGCATGGGTCTCCCAGACCTCCCCACCTCCCTCTCGGAGTCCAAAACCAGCCTCGGCCCGGGGGGGCTCAACACGGCGGAATGCCCCAGTTTCCCGCCCAACGGCCACATGGTGGCATGCCTCAGTTTACCGGCCACCAATCACACGGCGTTAGATTCCCCGTGGGAATTGAGGCAAGGCCCGAGTCTATCTACAGTACCACGAAACCTCGCTTCGCTTCGCTGAGACGGTGGATCCCTAGCCGGCTGAAGAGGCTCGGGAGGAGGTCGGAATCAGACGCCTCGAGTATTAGTACAGTCTCGTCGTCGGGCTCGGACAGATGAACTTTGCCAGATTGTTGAATTTACGGTTAAGACCGAACTAGAAGAAGGAACAGGGTCCATGATTGCCGTTTACATGAAGCTTTGGATGCAACTGATGGCGGAATCCCCGGCCAACAACCTGTTGCGTTACGGACGGGAGGATTGGTGCTCCATTTTCCCAATATTTCTATAATACTACTGTATACATGAAATCTCTTCCTTGTTTTAATATACAGATGCCTAATTTTAGTTAGTTGCTTGCAGATTCAAAAGGGGGCTATTTAGTCCCCGGGCGGGGCATTTTTTCTTGACCTAGAGTCTGAGTATGATTGCCACAATGAACTCAACTGTGTCGAGATACAGAAATCTTACCCCAGCACTTTCAGATACTGGTCTTCTGTACCTAATTCGCTGTTAAGTAAAACAAAGCGAGCGTCTACTCGGACTATGGAATATATGCAGGGGCGTGGTTTTGGACGGTTGAATGGAGTTATAGGCAAACATATTGCGGTAATAACACAAAGGTAGTTCTAGAGAGTGTACCGGCAACGCTTGCCAACGCCGCATCATGATTTCCTGGGCAGCTGCCAAGATAGCAGCGTAGCACTCAAATCAGCAATAAGCACCGAGGTTTTACTGGGACATGATTACCTTAGTTACCAGAGCTCGTAGTTACCAGGCTGCATTTCAACTCGACGCTCGAAAGACGGGCTAGCTGGTTTTCACACTTGGAATAGAAGGTCAGTAGAGAAGTCTTTTTGTGCATGTCGCAGCCCGAAGCTAGTCAAGCATTTGTATTGAGCTCCGAGGAGATCAGCAAAGCGACCCAAAACATATCAAACATTATTCGTGGCCGCAAAACAAGAATCTGCCAGCCAGCACTCACGGCGGCTCTTGTCTTGTAGGATGATGTTTATGAACACATATAAAGAGTTCATCTACCAATCCATCGAGATGGTGCTGGCTACGGGATGTTCTCGTGGTCCCGGACTAAGACAGTTCGGGACTTTGACGATTGTGGTCCTATTCTGAACTTCATATGTATCAATCCTAGCTTATATCGGCGCAATTTCACCCTCCACCCATCGGTCCATTTGACGGTTGATGTCGCCAAGAAAAAATCCGGCTTCCCCGAGCGGCGATACTGTGGGAATAATAGAGGTTTCCAAAAAAAAACACGAAACTTTTCCTCGCCTAGTTGCCCACAACCATCCCCATCTATTAGACAGGTATCGTTACTAAGCTTCGCAACCTAGTGTCTGACATGTCCGACTGATGTCATGTATCATTGACAGAAAACAAAATTCCTCGTCCCCCACTGCTTGTATTGTTGTGAAACTTCATTTGACAAGAGCCGCGCGCCGGCAATGTGGAAGTACAAAGACGCCGAAATACTAAACAGTGAAGCAAAAAAGGAAAAAGAAAACATAGAACGACACCTGCAGGATTCGAACCTGCGCCTCCGAGGAGACTCCCTAGCTTAACTTAATAGCAGGGGAGCGCGTTAGGCCACTTCGCTAAAGTGTCTTGTTGAGGGTTGTTTCGTTGAGGATTGTTTCGTTGAGGGTTGTTTTGTTGAGTGGAGCGGCTACGTTTGGCAGTTACGAAGCCACTTCGGAGGAGCAGAATCCACGAGGCCCCGTTCACCGCCTGTGCGATGATGTCATGGCCTTCCGCTCTTTTTTTCTCGGCATTCTTCTGCGCGTCTTCCAACTCTGACGCCAAATTAGTTGTGGAGAACCCTCAGAATTTCAAAATTATTTGAACTGGAATTTTGCTAAAGTTGCAGTACTAATCAGCCGTTTCCCCTCACGTATTCCCGCCGCCGCATCCTGCGCCCGCTGATTATCCCAGCAAAATAAGAGTTTATATACCTAATTACAGAATCAAAAGACCACAAACCCCGCTAGACCACAGCATTCAGACGTCACGCGGGCAGCTCCGCCTTGTTATCCTGCGTGGGCAGCTCGCTGTAGGTCGGGGTGGTGACGAGCTCAACCGGGGACATCTTCTCTCGCGGGCGGCCCGACGGGATCAGCGCCCCCAGTCCCTGGAGGTCCTCTGGGCTGCGCAGGCCGGTGCTCCCGACGAGCGTCGCCGACGACGGCGAAGGGCCGCCGCTGGAGCTGCTCAGACCCGAGCTGAGCAGCGGCGCGTTGGAGCTCGACATGGCGCTCCCTGCCTGGCCTGGGCCTCCCGCACCGCCCGGCCCTCCCTCGGGCTCGCCGGCTCCTCCCGCCGAGCCGGAACCGTTTGCTCTCCGGTTGCGGATCACCATGTAGAATATCCCCAGGACCACGAGCCCGATCACGGCGAGCCCGCCCACAACGCCGCCGACAATGGCGCCGACGGGGGCGCCGCTGCTCCCACCTTCCGAATACGCGTTTGCGGCGGCGTCTGTTGGAGGAGCCGAGCTGGAGGAGCCGACGACCGTCTTCGTCGTCGTCGAGGGCGAGACCGAGTTTGCTGGTCGCACGGTTGTGGGGCCTGATGATGACGTTGAATTGAGCGGCTCGGCGAGGAGGACCTGGGGGGCGTTGGAGAACTTCCTGGCCTCGCAGTTGAACAGGGTGAAGGTTTTGCTGGTCGTTGCCGTCGTCGACCAGAGGTACGTGATGCAATAGTAGGGGCGTCCGTCTGTGGATGCGCTGTTGGGGAGGGGATCAGCCTGAAGTACTTGCTGCCGGCCAAGACAAAGCTCGTTCATTACCAGCATTCCGTGCCATCGGCCGGATTCGAGCACGTCGGGTCGTCGAAGTCGACACAGGCAGTGGCAAAGGTCGAAGTCGTGCAGTCGTCGCCGACGCAGCAGTCGCGGTAGTTGCCGATGTTGGTGCACGTGTACCCGCGCTTGCATATCATGGGGGAACCTGATCGAGGCTCGTTAGATGACGTTCGGTGGGGACTTTTGGGGGGAACAGCACAAGAGCGTGTGACGTGCCCTCGTCAGTGAAGAAGCCACAGGTGTTTGTGCCGACCTCGACGCCGCGTCTCAAGTCCTGCCATGACGCGAGGCGGGGCGCGTCTGTTGGCCGGTGCGAGACGCGAAGGTGAGTCAGGCCATCGGGGGCGTTGGTGCCGGTGGGCTCGGCGGGCCTCCAGTTGGCGGCGAGGGGAGCACCGCGTCTCGCGGCCGCGGTAGTGGTGATGACCGAGGCCAGTATCAGAAGCCAGCAGCGAATGTGCTCGGCAGCCATCGTGGAGGGACGGCGGCCGGTCAAGCCAAGCCCTCAATAAGAGTCGGTCGTAGAACGGGGCAGCGCCTAGAACTCGTCGTTCCTGGCAGAACTTCTAGTTGTGATCCGAGAAGGAGTTAAAGTTTAGATTCGGGCGAAAAGAAGAAGAGAGAGAACCGGATTTAGCCCCGGCCCCGGCCCCTCCCCCTCCCTCGCCCCTCCCGTCAGCCGGGGTGGGAAATTCCTGGATTCAGCAACGTGATGGATGCCGGTTGCCGTTGCTGAGCATTTGAGGCTTGCCAGGGGGGTCAAAGTGCCTCCATACATGCCAGGCAGTGTTGCATCTTGAATCCGTTTCGGGAAAGGCGGCGCTGACAGTTCTGCTGACAACATCGCTGCGTCTGTCTCGCAGCCTCCTGATTGGTGCTGCAACGCGTGACGGAGAGAGGCGTGAGGAGGATGGAGCCGGGCCGGTGGGAAGGCGGGATGGGCTTGCGGCGCAATTGCATGGCACGCCTGTCAGCACTAAGATAACATTTCGCTTGATGAAGAAAGGGATTGTGCGTCTGATTACTTACCAAGGCGGGGCAGGCTCCAAAGCCAGCATGTGCTCCGTCAGTTCTTTGGACAGCCTAGAGCGGCTGAAACATGACCTTGTTTTGATCTTCACGCGAGCTATTAAAACGGTGTGCCCAAGAGGGAAATAATGCAGATTTGAGCAAGCGCGGGAATTGGCCGAGCATCCGATGCACACCCACCTTTTTGAGTGTGGCTTGAACTTAAAACGTCTCAATTCCCGACTCGAGGCCAAGACGGGATCCCGCTTGCACCTGCCAGCTCGGCGCCTCAGGCCTTCATCACAGCTTCTGACGTATTGCATGTCCTGTACAGTACAGTAAATAATGCATACAAGGGCGGGCGGATTACGGATTACAGATCACCGCTACACTAGGCTCCGAGTTTGCTGCTAAGCCGAAGTTTCTCAGTCATTTTTATTCTGATCCTCGAGCAGACATTTGGAGCCCCCAATATGGCTCAGGCGCGTGCGCCAGGAAGCAAAGCTGAGTCCTTCGCCGCGTGGGACGCTCTGGCACCTGAACATGGGAACTCCCGAACCAGCGACAGGGCCGACAGAGCCGACAGGGCCGACATGCCTTTTCTAGCCTAGTGAAGACTTTTTTGGTCGCCTTGGCGAATGCTATAAATGAGATCGGCCCAGCTCCCCTGGGGGGTTGGATTTGCTAGGGTAGTTGATTTCGTAACCATCTGGGGGTGTATCCAGTATTCCCTGCATACACGAGAGAAACGGCGAACGTGCTGATACTACTAGTCCTACTTTCTTATGAGCTTTGATGTACGCACCCACCACTTTTTTCGTCGCACCTACCTGGGCATATTGGCAGCTGGCAACGCAGGGACCGCTTTTGTATGGTAAAATGCCGTATTGCATGGCAGCCACCCAACGCCCTACCAGGCACTAAGGAAGCCCGGTAAAGTAAAAATGACACTGCTTACGCCTTCACATGCCGGGCTTTTTTGCGCACAATTGGTGTTTTAAGGTCTGTAGCAGCCAGGTGGCCTTTGCAGGCCTTTGTATGCATATGTTAGAGGTAGCCGGGCCGAGCCTAGAAGAGCGGGACGAACAGGATGAACAGGATGAACAGGATGAAGAAGACATGGGGATTGACTCGGACTGCATCGTCGTCGGCGCAGGGCCAAAGAGAAAGGCAACAACACAACAGAGAAAGAAAGGGAAGAAAAGAAAGACCACGAAGAAGACGAGCAAGCCTGTGAGGGACAGGGCGAGCCGCCCGGGCCGGGCCTCCTCCCCGAAGATCACACTTGAGACCCCGGTTCCTACCTTCATCTCTACAACATAGAGGTAACGGAGTGGCGGGCCCGCAGGGCTCAACGCAGGAGCTCCTAGGAAGCTTCAAACACTGAAGAAGACGCCTTCTTCGATTCCGGGGATGAAGATGACCCTTTTCCCAGTAAGGCGGACTTTTTCGGTAACTAGGTTGCTAGATTGACGGGCTCAACACCAAGGAATTACAGCACCATATCAACAAACTAGGTTGTCATTAGACTAGATTGCTAGACTCAACACCAAGGAATTACATTACCATGTCAACAAATCAGGATTCAACGCATTGCTCGGGTAGCTGGGCGCATGCCATGACATTTGGCTAATTTACGTACAAATCCGGGCCTCAAAGTTGCCATTTGCAAGTTGCCTTTATTTCGAGGCTAACTCAACAACGAAGAAATCGTCAAAATGGAAAACACCACGGTCAACGCGTTTTCAGGGCTTTTGAAGGTTTTGACGGCTTCAACGCCGTTGACCCGGGCTGCCGGGCTGCATGGTAGGCATATGGGCGGCCGGATGGTATTTCGCGATTTTACCGGCCTAAAATGGGCTCTGAGTATCTCAACTGCCAACAGCTGCCAATATGCCCAGGTAGGTGCGACGAAAAAAACGGTGGGTGCGTACATCAAAGCTCTTTCTTATTACCTACCTTTCCTAATAAGCTGTGCTATACGGAGCAGTCACTCTATTCCACTGGAATTAAGCTTTTAGCCTGTAATGGCCATCTCACGCTAAAATTTTAGTTCGCCGAAGTGCCAAGTGTTCAATACACAGCACCACGCGAGCTTATTCTGACCAAACACCATCTTATCGCAAGAGAAGCGATTTGGAAAGATTCAAATTAGACTCGCCCTTTCCCACCACGTCCTGCAAAAATAGGATTTAGACACCTCAAGCTAGGCAATCAACGAAGAGTTTGATGCCCCAGATGTCTCCTGGCGCTCGGTAACAATATCACGGGCACTTCATCACCCCGGCGCCCACAACCCTCACGCCGTGGATAATCCCGTGAATGAAGCTCAGGTCCTTACAATCCTTGGCGGCCACGATTACCGGATTTGTGATGTGGTGGGTGTGGTGCATTGGCGTCCGTGTAGGTGCAGTGCTTGAATGGTCCGGCGGGTCCTAGGCGGGACCCAGGCGGGACCCGGGTAGATAACGAGACGGAGAGGAGCAGTTGGGTGGCGGAGAAGCGGTCGGACGGTGCTTCTGACCCAGAGCCAGGAGCGCGAGGACAAGGGCCAACATCCTGTTGCGGGCGGTTTTTTTTTTCCTTCTTTCTTTGATGAGTTTGTGGACGGCAAAATAAATGACTGCGAGACTGGGAGAGAGAGTAGGCCGAGTTGTGTTTTTGAAAATGCCTCAGATGCGTGGCTTCGACATGTAATGCAGCTGTAACTCTTTAGTCGGTTTCCGGGAAGCGCTTGGATTCACCATACATAGCCTTCCCAAGCCTGAAACATAATTATCATGCGGGTTGGAGGGAGTTGAAACCCAAAAGGACTTGATGCCAACCATATGAGTTTAAGCGGTTAATTAGACGATGAAATTGATTTTGCAAAACAGTACTTCCTCCCCAAAACGCCTTGATGCCCTGAATAGTGAACACCGATTGCCATTAATCCCACGTCAGTGACCCACGTCAGTGGCTAAACCGAAACCCCGGGGCTTGCTCCGTGGGAGAAATATTGACTGTTTCCGTCCTGCTTGGCGAGTCAAATGGAAGCGTCACTGTCGATCAATACAGCAAACAGGGGGTGGTCAGCCAGGCAGTTGAGCAGCGAGTAGAGTGAGCAGCAAGTAGAGTGAGCAGCGAGTAGAGTGAGCCGCGAGTAGAGTGAACAGCGAGTAGAGTGACAAAAAACATACCCTTGCGCGCAAACATGCCCTCGGAAATACTGCCCCCGAGATACGGGCGAAATTCGTCCACCCTGGCCCTGCGGCCGAGCGCCAGCACCGTCTCGACCGGCGGGGGGGCGTCGTGGGCGTCGAGCGTCAGCGTCTCGGCATCGTCTCGGTCCTCGCGCTGGTTCTGGTGCTTGAGCTCGCTCTCCCTGCGGGCGGCGGCGTCGGCCTTGACGTGCTGGCGGCGCGAGAAGTGCCACCACGAGGCGAGGACGACGCAGGTCAGCAGGGCGGTGACGAGGCAGTAGAGCCAGATCCACGGCGAGACCTTGTCGGCGGGCGCGCGCGGCTGGAAGTCGAAGAAGGAGGCCGAGAACAGCGTCGACGTGAAGGTGGCGGGCAGGAACACGAGCGTCACCGCCGAGATAACGCGCATGTCGGTGCTGTCCTTGCGCGACAGCTGCGCCAGCCGCCGCGTGGTCCGCGCCAGCGCCATGTGGTTCCGGCTGTCGCGCTGGCTGATCAGCGTGTAGATGGTCTGCACCTGGTCTTGGACCGACGCTTTCGTGTACGCCACCTTGGACTCGACGCCGTGCAGGAACTGCCCGAAGAAGCGCAGCTGCTGGCGCGCGTACCGGCTGGAGGACGACTTGGCCATGGCGGTGGCAGTCTCCAGGGCCGACACGACGTCGACGAAGCTGTGCTGCATCTTGCACACGGCCGCCATGCCCGAGCAGGCGTCGGACAGGCTCGTGAGCTTCTGCATCAGCACGTCGAGGTCGAGGTCGTCGCGGTCGTCGCGCATGGCCATGATGGTGGCGTGGTGGAAGCCCTGGCTGCCCGTCTCGATGCGGATCTGCGTGAGGCTGCAGCGGCGCTGCTCGGCGTCGCGCACCAGCTCGTCCAGCCCGCGGTCCATGAGGATGCACGGCAGCACCGCCGGGCACGCGGCCACGTGGCGCGCCGAGTGCCGCACCGACTGCAGCACCTCGTCGGCCTCGTTGCTGCGTAGGCCGAAGAGCAGCGCCGTCGTGGTGCGTGTGCTTGGCTCGCGGGCCAGCGCGAGCGCGTACTGCCACGTGTGGCTCAGGTTGGTGCGCAGCAGGATGCCGAAGCCGTCGGCTGGGGCTCCGGCTCCGGCTGCGGCCCCCATGTCGAGGCTCTCAAAGGCCGTAGCCAGCGGTACGTGCCGGCACACAGCCCGTGGGAAGAGGGCCGGGATGTCGAGGCTGTGCAGCATGGCGGCCAGCGTGCTGCTCGACACAGGCAGCGGCCAGATGTCGCGGTCGAGCACGCGCGGGCTGCACACCAGCAGCCGGAACAGCGACGACCCGTCGTCGCCGCCGCCGTCGCCGCCACTGAACCTCTCGCGGCGCTGCTGCCCCTCGCGGCACCACGCGCTCACCTGCTTCTCCGCCAGCACCGTCTCCTGCACCTGCGGCTCGCCCGCCGCATTGCCGGCCTGGTAGATTTCAATGGCGCGGTGGCCGCCAGTCGGCGCGAAGAGCGTCGCGTCTCCCAGCAGTCGATCCAAGAGCACCTGGTCCATGGGCCCGTGTTTTAGAGGCTGGTTGGTTGAAATAATATTATTTGCTAGTGATTACTGATCGTTTCATGTCGGGTTGACGATGCAAAGGCGCGTTTAATTATTATTTTCAGCTCACCCACCCCCCCTGTCCTCCTTGGGCTTAGCAGCAAACCTGCGGCGACCAGAGCCTCGTCGGCCTTGACCGGTCGCTGACGCCCCCATTTGGGCCACCTGACACCCCTAAAAGTGGCGCGCTGCAACAGTGACTGGCCAAACCATATCCTGTTTTTTTTTGAGGGTGTGGGAAAGAGAGGTGTGGGAAAGAGAGGTGTGGGAAAGAGAGGTGTGGGAAAGAGAGGGTGTGGTGTGCTCGACCACATGCAACCACCACATCACCGCTCCGCAGGCTCTCGTTCTTGGTTAGGAATTACTGGGCGCTAGTTATCCCATCGTCTCGTCGGGGAGCTACTAACTTAGGAAATAAGATAACTGCTAAGGTACTTCACTATTGACCTTGCGTTATTAATTGGCTGGACTGTCGACATGTTTTGGCGCAGATGAGGAATTGTTGAGAAAGCGATATCCTGGCTAATTAGGCGACTGCTCCCGCTTCGACACCGACTCGGCTGATGCATTCACTGGCCTGGAGGCTTGAGCTCGTAGATTCGTATTCGAAAGATGCAAGAGATCCCGAGGCACCTTGCAGGGAGACGTTGGCGCAGCGCCAAAAGGGCCTTCAGCGAAATTCGACCGCTTGTCTCCAGGCTCTTCAATAAGCACAAGTGGCGAACGCGCATCTATGTCGTCAATTAATAGATGAAATCAAAGAAATTGGTCTATAAAACAACATCCCAGCAATAAACTGGCTGCCAGCTACGGCATAATTACCTACGCAACTCCACACGAAAAGCTCACACGCGATCCAGGTCTTATCAAAACATAATACTCGCAAAGTCCAGCTGGCCCGGCTCCCACCAGTCGACGTCGAACTCGTCCGAGGTGCTCAGCTGGAAGAGCTCGTAGTCGCCCACGGCGGGCGGCACGTCAGCGTCCTGGGGCGGCGTCAAGATGGGCGGCAGGCCGAACCCCCCGGCCACGCCGCCATGTACCATCTGCTGCGGGAGTGGCGGCGGCGGCGGCGACTGCGGAGCAATCACAGCATTCGTCAGGACGCCCGCGAGGTGTTTGCCCTCGGCGGGCGTGATGGCGGGGACAACCGCACCGGAAACCGCACCGGGAGCGGCGGCGACGGCGGCGGGGAGAGAGGTACTATTGTTGTTAGGCGGCGAGTACAGCTTCATCTTGCCCAGCACGGCCTCGAACACGGGGATGGCGCGCTTGATGGCCGGGATCTCGCGCAGCTGGGTCAGGACCAGCATCGTCTGCCCGATGGCGATGCGTGACATGGACCGCACTACGTCCGTCTCGCTCGGGTCGAGCGCTGCTTCGATTTGTAGCGCGAGTAGGGCGGGCATGATGGTTATGCTGTGGGTTTGGAGAGTTAGGTACGCGTCCATTCAGTGGCTGGTGGTGGGTGTGGCGAGGGAAGATGTGTGTGTAAGTGAGTAGTGAGTGAGTAGTGAGTGAGTTGGTGGGTGGGTGAGTGGGTGAGCAAGTGGGTGAGCAAGTGGGTGAGCAAGTGGGTGAGCAAGTGCACAGTACGAACCATGTCGTGGGAAACATATGGAGCGTGCCGTTGGCGAGCATCCTGCCGGTGATGGAGTCGAGCTCAAAGATGGCCGACCGCAGCCGCTGCCGCGCCCACTCGGCCTGGCCCTCGTTCTTGGCATCCGCGTGCAGACACCGGCGGCGGATCTGGCGGCAGGCCGTAGCCTCGAACCGGTAGCTCAGCGCGCGCAGCTCAGCATAGTGGATGTCGGCCTCGGGCGACTCGCCGCGGAAGTCGAGCTTCTCCGCCAGCGACATGCGCCACGCATCGAGGAGCTTTGTCCCTTGCCGCGGGTCCGCCGCCGCCGTGAGGTCCGTGTTCGTGTCCAGCAGCTGACACCGGCTCACCAGCCGCCCGACTGACAACGGGGTTAGACTGGCGCAACTCAGCTGGAATAAAGGGGGAAGGCGCAACTCAGCCGGAATAAAGGGGGAATGCGCAACTCAGCCGGAATAAAGGGGGAAGGGGGAAGGGGGAAGGGGGGGGGGGGAGGGGGCGTACTGATTTTGGCAAGCTCGCAACGCGCGGTGAAGGAAAGCTTTTGCCGGACTGTCAGGGGCTGCACCATGGACTGGAACTCCTTTGGGGATTCCTCCGTCTCCCAGTCGGCCAGCGTGATGGGTTTGATGTTCGGGTCCCCGTTGGGGTGCCGCAGGTTGCTGCGCGGGTTGGCGATCATGTGGCAGTTCTCTCGGCACTTGTTCCAGAGCCATTAGTCAAAACGAAACCACCTCCGAGAGCTCCGCAGGCGGGGACTCACGTAGAGAATCCAGCAGATCCTCCTGTAGAGCCTGGACTGTGCAGGCGGCGTCCCGTCGAGGTCCCGCGTGGCGTTTGGGTAGATGTCCATCTTGGCAGCCAGCCGCGAGGCGTTCCAGAGCCAGTAGTGGAAGTCCTTGTCCGTGGGCCGCTCGACAATGACGGCGCCCAGGATCACGGAGCCCTGCAGCATTGGCAGGAGGTCGCTCTCGAACTGCAGGTCGTGGAGCAGCGTTGCCCGGGTGGCAAAAGCGGCCTGGGCGGCGGACCGGTCCTTGAAGCCGCACCCGGAAATGACGTGGAACGGGGCCGTCACGCTGGCCGTGGCCAGCATGGCGTACAGCAGGAACAGCGAGAAGGTGCCGGATGCGTACTTTGAAAGGAAATCGACGCGGTCGACTATGGGGCTGTACGGGTAGACACGTTCAAAGTACGTCTTGAGGAGCACGTCGAGGTGGTGGCGAGGCGGCAGGTCAAAGACGCCCTTCCTGGCGAGGAACTCTCTGTCGACGTCGTCGAGCTGGGGCGGCTTGAGCGAGGCGCGCATCTGCAGGACGCCGCCATAGATGCGGCTGTACGACTTGCAGCTGATGGCGTCCTTCAAGATGTCGAGGTAGTGTAGCTGCATCTGCGGCTGGCGGTCATCTTGACAATAGAGAAGGTCTGACATGGACCTGGGCTGCGCCTGGCAAGAGCCATGCCGCTGGTCGTCGGCGCCGTCGACGGCGGCGGGCTTAGCGTCCGAGGCTCGGGAAAGTCTGTCCGCGTCGGCGACGGGGGTCGACTGGGCGCCGCCGTCTCCGGAGAAGGCTGAAGAATCCCGCGGGAATGGGACCTAGCAAATGCGAGACGCTAGTCAAACCCTAGGGTCGAGACTCAAGAGGGAAGGGGCGGTGAGACTGAATCATCGGACCAGACCCAGACCGAGCCAACAGAGGGACATGCATATAGCAACAAACCTACAGTGACGTCTTCCCGCGGCCCGGTTCTTCCGGCCTGTTTCTCAGAGAGGGAGGTGGACGAAGGCGTGTCCCCGGCTCTGGAATAGGTGTCAAAACTCGGCCCTGATAATAGAAGAAAACAATGGGCTGACCTTTTTCGACGCTTACGTGCCGACACTAGGCAGCTTTCGGAGCATTGTCTGCTGATACAGCCACTGCAGGGCAGGCCGATCAAATACGCATCGCACTTGACCTTGCGCGTACGGCAGGGCAGACAAGCCTTGGTGGGCTTGGCGGGCGGATACGTAAACGCTCCAGGGCTTGGCGCCGGCGCCTCCTTTTCGCGGCGCCGTCGCGGCGAAACTGGCCTCTTTTCGCCGGCCATGGCCACGCCGGCCATTCTCGACATTTGGATGCAAAACTGCTTACCTAGACAGTAGATTTCACCGACGGTGAATTCGCGGCCGCAGAGTGGCGGGAGGAAGGAGGAGGTAGGCCAAACCTGGCCGACGGCATCCCGTGCGCCCCTTTGTCCTTATGAGCGGACGAATTGCCGACGAGTCCGGCATTTCGGCGTTTTCTTGCGCTTGGCTTTTGTCAGCAGGCTCTGAAGTGCCGAAGCCAAAGCTGCCTGTCCAATAGGAGTGCCCACGTCGTGCTTAGCCCTCCAAAGGATTGCTGACTGCTGCCATTGGACGCACTGCAGCATCAGTGCACCACGTGCAGCAACCATATCAGTCAGCCCCTTCCCCACCGGTTTCTAAAGAGCTGACTAAATCCGCAAATCCCGCTATTTGCGAAACGCCGACCACATTGATTAGGAAGGCGCGGAATGTTTGGGCTTATTACACTAGTTTCTTTTGGAATCCGTTCCGTCCTTTCAGAGTTCTGACACGGAACAGTCTATACTCAATACGCTCGCCCGATACGAGTGACTCAGGCACCGCGCATGTCCATCCGTGCAATCCAACAGCCAACAGGTGGAGCCGTGGACGAAATGCCGCGGCACAAATGTGGACGAGTGCCCACCTCGCATTCCCAACGAATAACACTCTCTCACGAGCCACGCGCGGCGATGCGATGCGAAGAGAAGAGACTAGGCCGCCAGAGTCTGGGACTGGCAACTGGCAACTGGGCCATGGCGGCGGCGCCCCAGCTCGGCCGAGCCCCGACATCAAAAATACAACCCTCGAAACGCCGACGTCTGTCGAAGTCGAAACCAACTAACTGCCTGGTATTAATTAGCTATCAACCCGTCGTCGCAATCATGGATCCTCTTTCAATCTCGTCTTGCCTGACCCCATCGGCCCTATCAGTCAGTGTCGTGTACGGTAAAGATGGCTCCCCCTCCGCACACCTCGGACTCGCCCTCGTTGTCGTCGGCCACCATAGCCGACCCGGGCCCTGGGCCTGAGGCCAAGCACCAGGGGGCCGCGTCCAGGCTGTTCAGCACGCTCGGCGCCTTTGCGCAGACGCGGCCGGACCTTGAGAAGAATCTGGCGTATAGCTACGCCGGGTCCGGCACCGACGCGGACCCGTTCCTGGTCGAGTTCCTGCCCGACGACCCGCACGATGCGCTCAACTTCTCAAAGTCCAAGAAGTGGACCATCACGGCCATCGAGGGCATGGCCACGCTGGCCGTCACATTTGCCAGCTCGGCCTACTCGGGCGCCGCGCGCGAGGTCGTGCGCCAGTTCGCCGTGTCCCAGATCGTCGTCACCCTCGGCGTCTCGCTCTTCGTGCTTGGTTTTGCCATTGGCCCCCTCTTCTGGGCCCCGCTGGGCGAGCTGTACGGCCGCCAGCGCATCTTCATCATCACCTTTGCCGCCATCACCGCCTTCAACGCCGGCGCGGCCGGCGCCCCCACCATGGCCGCGCTGCTGATTCTCCGCTTCTTCGCCGGCGCCTTCGGGTCGTCCATCCTGACCAACGCCGGCGGCGTTATCGCCGACATGTTCAACGCCTCCGAGCGCGGACTGGCCACCAGCGTGTTTGCCATGGCCCCGTTTCTGGGACCGGCCATCGGTAGGCATCTCAACTTGGAGTGAAGCTGTGTGTGGTGGTGAGAGCGTTTTGCTGACAGACCACGTGCGCGTCTCCAGGCCCCATCGCAGGCGGCTTTCTCAGCGAGACGGAGGGCTGGCGCTGGGTCGAGGGCCTGATGGCCATCTTCACGGGCGTGCTGTGGATCATCGGCATCATCTTCATTCCCGAGACCTATGCGCCCGTGCTCCTGCGCCGGCGCGCCAAGCTGCTGTCCAAGACCACCGGCAAGACGTACATCTCGACGCTCGACGCCGGCAAGCCGCCGACCACGCTGTTCCAGAAGTGCAAGACGGCGCTCACTCTCCCCTGGGTCCTGCTGGCCAAGGAGCCCATCGTCCTGATCACGTCCCTCTACATCGCCATCATCTACGGCACCCTGTACCTCAACTTCGCCGCCTACCCCATCGTCTTCCAGCAGCAGCGGGGCTGGAGCCCCGGCATCGGCGGCCTGGCCTTCATTGGCACCGCCGTCGGCGTGCTGATCGCCACCATCGGCAGCATAATCGACAATAAGCGCTACGTGCGGCTCGCCGCGGCGGCCAAGGGCGGCGTGCTCCCGCCAGAGTCGCGGCTGCCCCCGGCCATTCTCGGCTCCGTGCTGATCCCCGCCGGGCTCTTCTGGTTTGCGTGGACCTGCGGCCCAGATATCCACTGGTCTGTCTCCATCATCGCCTCGGCCTTCTTCGCCTGCGGCCTCATCCTGGTCTTCCTGTCGCTGATCAACTACCTGATTGACTCTTGTGAGTTCATTCCCTCTCTCTCGGGATGTACCATCCCCGTCCTCATGTCAAACGGGTGTACCATCCCCGTCGTCATGTCAAACTAACCAAACCAACCAGACGTCGTCTTCGCCGCGTCGATCCTGGCCGCCGGCTCCGTCGTCCGATCCCTATTCGGCTTCGCGTTCCCGCTGTTCACGAGCAAGATGTACGAGAACCTAGGGATCCACTGGGCCAGCTCGGTGCCGGCGTTCCTCGCGCTCGCGTGCGTGCCGTTCCCGTTCCTCTTCTGGCGCTACGGCGCGCCCATCCGCATGCGCTGCGAGTTCGCCTCCGAGGCCGCCAGGATCCTCGAGCAGATGCGCGCTTCCCGCCATGCCCCTGCGCCAGCCCTCACTGAGGAGGATGCTGTTGCTGAGGCCATCCAGGTCTGGCGGACTCGCTCACATGCTAGTGGTGCTGCGCCGGCCCATTGATTGATGAGATTTGGGGGGGGGGGGGGTTGGGCTGGTGTGAGCTACGGTATGGTGGTGATAGGCCATTCGCATGAAGAGGTGGCCGATAAATGTTTTCAAATAGTTATTTCAGGGGCAAGCGTTGTTGGTATAGATAAGCACGGGCGGTCAACTTGTCTGGACACCCCGGCATTACTCACAGAACTACTACTACTGTAACGTTATACTTAGATTTTAATTAGAATACTTACTTTCCCATTCTCTACTCTGCGTCTCATACATATCCTCAACTTGCAATCTACTAATCTCGTCAAAATCAGAGAGGTATCTACATCCGGCTCTCTCAGCGCAGGGTACATGGTCTGGTGGTATGATTTTCGCTTAGCATTCTACTTCGGCTGCTGGTCGATAAACAGCGGTCGTGGAGTTCTAGAGTCTTGTGAAAGGTCCCCCGGTTCAATCCCGGGTGTATCTATGCTTTGACTTTTGTCCGTCATGTCTCGTCCATGAGGCCGCTTGGATTTTGTTTGTGTTTTGGGGGAATCTGTGATTTGCTTAGCATTTTCTGCATACTGGTTGTTTTGCTTGAACTTTCTTTCTACTTTCCAAGCCTTTGCATGCATGGGTTTGTACATCTCTTTGTTTGCTTCTCCTAGCTAAGTACCCTGTTGACTTCCTAGCTAACTACTCAGTGTCCATTATCCAATCAACCGCGCCATCTAGCTTGGCGATGACGCCGCATCTCTGGCTCTCGCTTGATCGCGAGCTTCAAAGCGCTCCGGCTGTTCATTCCTCCGCCTATCCAAGAGCCCAGTCCTGTCCGGAGTCCTGAGCGCCTCTCCGTAGCGGTTTATCCGGACGCAGCTGGCGTCGTACGGCGCCGAGCAACCCGCGCACGCCTCGAGCGCGGGGCGGCCGGGGAGCATCGCGCCGCACCCAAGCTTTGAGCACGTAAAGGGGCGAGCGTAGGGGTGGTTCGCAAGGAAGTTGTTGCGCGATTTGTTGCAGCGGCCGCACCGCATCCACCACTCGTCGTCTCTGCCCGTCAGGAGGTTGCTGCCGTCTCCCATCTCGACGGGTTTCAGTTCGCTATTCAACAGCAGCACGCCCGAGGCTTGCGGCACGCACCTTCTGCGTCCGCTGTCCCGGAGACATACGTAGATGCGCGAGTTCAAGCTCTCGGCCGTGATGCGTTGAATCGGTAGACCCAGGTTGCAGGGGTGGCCCCAGAAGGTTATTTTTGCTTCTTCCTTGACGTCTGATGGCGCCTGGGCGTAGTCGTCGCTGATCTCATGAGAGCTGTAGTTGGGTTAGTTTGGATTGATCTCGAGATGGGGTGCGTAATAAAGGCCATACCAGGGCCTGGCGGGACTGTAAGCAGGAGGCGGGGGAGGTGGAGATGAACGTGAGCTGTAGGGAGGAGGCTGAGCAGGGCCGGGATACATGATGCGACGGCCGGATTATCAATTGTTTCCGGAGTCGAAGTGAGGTGCGCTTCGTATTCTGGAAATTGTAGTAGTGATAGATGGTGTTGAGGACGGCTGGCGGCGGGTTGTGAGACGAGTTCTTTGGTGATTTTTTAAGAGAATTACTGTTTGGAGGGCAAAGCAACGAAGTTGTCGTTGAGAGGAAGAAAGTGCAAGTAGAAAACGGAATCTCCCCGACAGCTACACGAGGCGCTTTAAATAGGTATCCAACCGTCGCCTGTTTCGATTCGGCTCAGGACGTCCGCGTATGGCCGTCAACTCGGTGTCAGACGGCAGAGTCACTTGTGTCTTCCTGCCTCCTTGCATGTTCCCGGGGCTTCAATCAACACTCTATCCAAAATTGGTATGTCTGAGTCTGACAAAAGAACATCGTTGGGCAAACAGCAGGATCTCTACGGAATGGCTGGGCCTGTGTGGCGTCTCATCTTGAGCAATTGACAAGATTGTTTCAAAGTTAGCATCTTCCACTCGTGACTGGGAACATGGACCAACTGACAACAACCAAGCGGGGGGTATTTGTCACGTTCGTTTCAAGTCTCGATCGACCACACACAGGCCCTGTTCTTGGACCAGTAAACACATGACCACAAGCACTGTCACTGATAGGCTGATTACGGATCGACTACGTATCGTGGCAATGTATTGCGGCGGCTGTGGGATCGTCGGAGACAAGATGGGTTCTATGTCGACGACAACGTGAGACTACGAGACGTTGTAGGCATTGACTTCACCGGCACCCAATTTCCACAACATATAGGTAACAACATAAAAAGTTTTCGATTTGGAGTTACTCAAAGTTAAAGCCAATAAACATTTCCAAGCAACCGCATCAAGGTTCGAGCCCTGAATCGGTCTAGGTGGAGAGACCTGGTAAAGTGGAACAAAGATATCTGTTTTCAACAACTAAGAACCTCGCCCGGCTGGCTCAATCGGTAGAGCGTGAGACTCTTAATCTCAAGGTTGTGTGTTCGACCCCCACGTTGGGCTCAATTCCCGATGGCGAGTGATCTTTTTGCCATCTTGTTTACTTACCTGTCTTGGATTATCGACGACGCGTTGTCTATTTTTGCCGCCCTGGACGGAAGGAAATCTCATTGCTACAGGCAGGGTGTCCAGGATGGGAACCAAAGAGCAATATTGAAACAATGTCTTTTATTGACAAACGAGTTTTGGCTCAAGAACAAACATGCTGCTGTTCTCGAACAAAAGGACAAAACGAAGGCAGACGCATATAAACCCATTGAACTTGTCATAAAGGCACTTCTCCAACCAAGATTATTATTGTTTCTGCATAACTGACTATTGATAAAGTCACGTTAGCTTATCCTTCCCTAACTTCGCGCCCCCCTAAGCCACGGACGAGGTTTCGACGGGAGTAATCAGAAACGGAGCAACGAGAATGTGCATCCAGGTGACCAAAATCTTCCTGTGCGCCTGTCCGCACCGCAACGACGCCGTGTGCCCGCACGCACAATACGTGCGCGAGTCGGCCGACGAGGTACGCGCCGCCCAGCACGTCGACGGCAGCTGGGCCACGCGCCTGCCGTCGGCGCTACAGGGCCACACCGACTGGACACCCGTGCCGGGCTCGAGCAAGTGGGAGCACTGCGGGAGCTACCGGCTGCACCACCGCTCCGAGACGACGGGGAAGCCCGTGCCGGGCAAGGAGGCGGCGTGTCCCGAGACGGTCCTGGGCGCGGGCCTCGGGGCGGTGCGGAGCGAGATCGACACGGGTTTGTGCGAGGCCTGTGTTGGCGGGCACGGCATCGAGGCGGAGGAAGCTGAGGACTTGGAGGGTGTAGCGGGGAAGAAGCCTGAGGCGCAGAAGGTGGTGAGGAAGGTTCTTGATAACAAGACGAAAATTAGCCTTACCCAGGCCCGTAGGCGGAAGACGGAAGAGGCTTCTGCAGCGTCAAGGACAATGAGGAAAAGCGGAACTGGCAAGTCAGGGACGACTTCTGATGAGGGACGCAAGAGTACGGCTACGGGCGGATACAAAAAGTCACCTTTGTCTAAGGTGTGGAGGTAATTAGCGGCCAAAGAGTGAGCCATAATTCGTGGTAGAGTCTTGTATAAAATAGCTTGGATAGATATAGACTTGGGTTTTGGTGATTATGTGTTTTACATCCAAAACTTGCATCAGGCCAGTACGTCGTTGGGCGTGGAGAAAGGCGCCGTGCGTATCATCGTAGAGCCTCAACGCTGGAGCAACCATCCCATTGCGCAAGACTGGGGGCCGGGGCCTAGGCAGTCCATGCTCCTACCCGAGCAGGTCTGGAGCCATACGGTTCCACGGCTTGCGAGAAGCTGGCGAGAGCCAGCGGTGACGTCAAGCTCGGTATGGCTCGGCGATACAAAAATGACGCCGGCCAGAAAAAGCTATGTGGAAGACGTCGTCGAGCGTAAACTCTTGAAGCGTCTTCTCGACCTACTGCTCTGTCACGGTGGCTGGGGACTTGATGGCTAGGAAAATAGTAACGCAGCCATCCGGGCTATCGTATAGCACCCTGGGCTCGCTAGCTATGAATCGGTTCCCGTTTATCTCGAGCGTCTCGATACCGTGGCGCATATGGACCTCGGTGGTCCGTTTATTGCTAGGCGGCTTGGGCGCTTCTTAGTATTAATAGCACCCGGTTAGAGAGGTTGAGATGTTAGAGGATCGATAGGCATATATTACAAACCACTCGACTGTTAGAGTCGTCTGTCTGTAAGGGAGCGGGGGCTCCACAGAGAGGGTTGCTGGGTTGGTAATAGTGAAGGCTGAACAAAGAGCAAGCTCCTGATCGCGCGGTATCCACAGTCAAATTGGAATGCCACGCAAAGTATATGAGTGTAGTGAATGTGTAATTGCTTGCTGATTGGTTCCAACCAACTTGAGTATGCCCCACTGCCGTGCATTTCCTCAGGGATTCGTAACATTATGGTTATTTAAGTATAATTATTTGAAGAGTTGAAATATACGTATATATATATATATAAACCAACAGAAAGCCAGCTCAACTTTATCAGGGTCAAGTCGCTTGGCGATGCATGAGAGCGCATGAAACCCCCCGCGAATTGTGGCGTGATGTTGTCTGTTTCACCCCTACCTAGTCATTGATAAAGAAGAACTAATCACGACTACCCGACGTTATGTTCAAAATAGCTAAAGAGTTCCTGGTTGGCCGCGTCTGTGAGCTTGCCGTCTCTATTGGCTGCTCGAAACTCGTTGATCTTAGTGCGTCGAGCCATCTCGGTAATGGGCGAGGAGACACCGGCTGTTTGGCAGCTTTGGGGGAAATGATGATTGAGTTTCTGGTGTGTTAGTGGACGTAATCAGGATGTGGGTCAGAAATTCTAAAATCCGAGAAAAAGGGCTAGCTCCCTTCCCCACGTTGAAAGTTTCAATAAACACCATCCTGCTATTAAATCAAAGAATCTTTGTATACATTTAATTGATAGATTGCAACTTGGTAAATCATAGTCAATATATAACTAGGTATATTAACTAGCAGACACAGCACCTACCTTAAGCAACAAGGCCCTCAAAAAGCACGAAGACCTCACCAAAGCAGAGAGCTCACTACTAGTCCAGGCCCGCGCAGGGGCCATAGATCTAAATGACTTCCTTTTTAGTGCTCGAGTACCGGAAATTAGCACCCCCTACTGCAAGTGCGGCCAAGGAAAAGAAACAGTCGAGCACGTAGTAGTCTGGTGCACACAACCTCCGAAACTAAGAGACCTTTGGGCTCAGAAAGTACTCTCCAGAAACGACCTCTACAAAGCCCTTACAGGGGATGAGCATACACGGGCCATCCTAGCCTGGCTTCTGAACCTGGGCAGGCTCACCGAGTACAGGATATCTGTAAAAATAGAAGAAGACCTGGAAAAGGAAAGCGAAGCCCAGGAAGGTAGCTAACCAGGCTAGATGAGCCCCTAACGTACAAGATGCAACCAATAAGACAGCCCTTTCAGATTTAGATGTAGGTTTTTCGCCCGGCTTGAGCCACCCTAGCCCAAAGCACGGTTTTTACGATATATTTGGCAATAGAAGTACCGGCACGCCCACGGGCATAGCGGTGTAGGAATAATAATAACTAGCTAAATTACTACGTTTTCTTCTCATGCTCCTCACTAGTAATCTCATCTGACTTACTTCCCCTGCTCCTTTTTCGCTGTTCCCCTGAGGACCTTGGGGTCCTCTTTGTATCTGTTTGCTCCTCTCTCCCTCTATTCCTACCATAGAGAGCGTCTACATAGCTACGGATACGTAATTATAGTAAATCGGCCATATCCAGCAGATGACGCCAAGATGTCCCTAACATTAAGTCTAGTATATAATATACTTGCCGAGGTGAAAGCCTGCTGTTAGGCGCACCGCCCTCGGCCTACTTCCTTCAGGACTATCGGTGGGTATATTTAAATTTCTTCATAACGAATAGAAGGTCTTTATGAGGAAGTTAAAGATTAGTGCGAGGAGTTCTTTACCTGAGGTCGCTGTGTATTCATCATAAAGTTCCTTTAGTGCCATCTTGCTTCCCAAGTCTCAATCTCTCTCACAAGTATTAAGTAATATAAGTTATCGCAGGGTACATATGTATTAACTGGAGAATGAAAAGAAAGTCTACATGTCAACTATAACTAACTACCACATCCCTCTGCTGGCATTAATCCTCTTTCATAAAGAGCATTCTAACCCTTCTCGACGCATTCACTGAAACAAAAGATTTTTTTTATTTATTTAAATCAATTCAGCAAAACTTTGAAAGAAAACGATCAAAGGAAATCCAAAGCCACTCGGATGCAAACCTTATTCCTAATTCATGCCAACAATCAGCTCGGGCACGCTCGTCGTTCCGCCAAGCTCCAACCAATCGACGGTAACAAGGTTGAACTTGCCACTCGCGCCACCGTACTGGCCGAGGAACCCGGCCAGCGCTGCGTTCGCCCCAGTCGCAATGTCCTGCAGGCACCACTGATTTACACCCGTCAGCAGCACCAGGATATTCTGGACGATGGTCGCCGTGTCGGCGCCCAGCGACCAACTCACTTGCCAGAGCGGCAGGGTGTTGGCCTGGAGGGCCTGACCTTCTTGCGAGGCCATCTCACTGACAGTGTAGCGCTCGTTCTTAGACTCTAGCGAAGCGTACCCGCCCGTGTTGGTGATGGTATCGGCAAAGGTGAACTGGGCGTAGTCGCCGTTGAGGAACATGACCTTTGGCGCGCCAGCCGTGATGGCGCGGACGGTGGTACCAGCGAGGGACTGGAAATCAAAAGAGGACCCCCCTGCGGGCGTGGGCTGGAAGTAGATGTTCCCCGGGGCGATGTACGAGTTGACGAGCTTGGCGAGGGCGGGGACCTGCTCTGGGTAGCCCTTAAGATTGGTGTGCGAGATGTATGCGAAAATCAGCTCGCCAGACGACGGATTGGCGGTGATAAAGGTCTGGATTTGGGAGAGGATGTCGGAGAAGGCGGGCCCACGCAAGGCGTGTTGCGTGTAGAAGGTGTTGTCGCGCGAGTCAAAGTAGACGCGGAAGTCGAAGTAGCGGATACCTGACTGTAGCTGCTGGAGGATGTTCATGTCCTGTGTGCGCGAGACCGAGTTGACGGCCGTGCCTATGACGAAGTCGTACAGTTCGGGGCCTAGGTAGATGGGGTCATCGGGCGAGGGCTTGGCGGGGATGGGCGGGTTGCCATTGGCAGGCGCCGACTGATTGCTAAGGGCCCAGAGCAGCGCAATATCGTCGTAAGAAATCTGACTCAGAACGTCTGTGAGCCCGTACGTGGCGCTATCGTGCGTGCCGGGAAGCTTCAGCTGTCCGAGTGGCAGGGCCTGGATCTGAGGTGCCGACATCCATTTGGCTAGGTCGATGTTCTTAGGCGATCGAGACAATGTGGCGGGACGAATAATGGACTTATCGAGGCCAAGGGAGTTGGCAGGTCCCTCGAGCAGCCCGTCGCTTGACTTGGTTGAATGGAACGCTGCGGAGATGGCAGAGTTGATGGCGGAGATGATGGTAGCATTGAAATCTGTGTTGATAGCCCCGCCGGCACGATACGGCGTCAATCCCAGTTTAATCAACTCGGCGAAGAGGGGGAACAATGCCTCCAGAACCGTGATGATGGTTCCGCTCAGGCTGAAATCGCCAAATGAGCACTGGAGGGCCGTCACCTTGGGGTCGGTTTGGAGGCTTGTGTCGACTTGGGCCTGGAGGTAGATGAAGCAGTCGCTCACGGAAAGGTTGATGTTTCCAGTCTCGTTGGTAATAGTCTCGGAGCCGACGATAGTCCCTTTAGCTATGTTGAAAATAGCATTTACATTCCAGATGCTCGAGTTTGGCACGGAAAGACCAGCAGCGTAGGTGCACACGACCGCTGATGGGTCGATCTGAAGCTGCGTGATTTTGAGGACATTCGTATCCGATATTTTGATGATGAGGCCGTGGGCATCAATGAAAGCAACGAGAGCCGGAAGGTTGGCCTGGATTGCGCTGTTGATCAAGGCCGGCAGGATGCCAGGCCCATCAAAGAACTGGAAGTTGAAGTCGACCCCAGTGCTAAATGGCGTGCCGGGAGCTAAGATGGCCCCGGCCTTTCCGTCCGGGAAACTCTCGGGCTTGGTGCCCGTATTGTAGAAACCAGTGCCAATGTCAACCGTCATCTTGTCACCCGCGGAGAAGGTGACGGCGAAGGACGACTGCCCAGGAAAGGATGAAGCCGACACGTACCCTGTGGCGATGGAGCCTGAAGCAATATTGGCAGGGCTTGGAAACGTGTCATCCATGTTGTCGTTGTTGCCAACTATCACACTAATGGCTTGGGGCCAGTCATTGGTGATGGACATGTCGGCGTCCGTTAGGTCTTTGGGGTGAGCCATTATGGAAGAGGGCAGTACAGAGTAAGAGTGGTGCTTGAGCGAGAGTCGTGCTGAGTTAGAATTATAAGGGTAATAGGGGGCGTAGACGTGCTTGGTTGATGAATGACTGTGAAACTAGGCTTTGAACAAGCTGTGTCTCATATGTTGTCTTGCTGCTGATATCTGCCTTGTGCTTCTCGTTGCCTGTTGTTCTTGTTTAGCGAATTGCCCAAAAGCTGACGGAACACTCGTTGATTTTATACACGGAACAGTGTCACACACTGGGAGTTGGCGACGTTCTGTGTGGACCTTCAGATAGCTGGCATGACGTTTCTCGTGTCGATCACAGGCGGAAGTCGGAAGCCAGAATACGAACTCTTGCATAGCGTACTTAGACACAGCCCTGTCGCCAGCGACTCTGGCCCGATTTTGCTGTTCTAATGCTACCCGAAGCCCACGAGATGGGTCGCATTTGTTGAGACAGAAGGCGACCCGGGAAAGTTGCGCCAGGTAGTCGGCTGAATAACCCGGACGGTGCTACGTAAGTTCTGTTGGCATATCTCCATGGGGATTACCAGCGTGAACCCCTGGCTTGCATGGGGATTACCAGTGTAAACCCTTGGCTTGCATGGTCTCCCCTTTCAGCTATGTAATCTAGTTACCTGCATGTTTTTGGGTCACATTGCAAACTGTTTTGAGAGCTGCATGTCTTTCTGACGTAATCTATACTACCACCCTAAGTCAACAAACCACACCACTTCAAAGAGCTAAATTCCCCATCAGGACGGGGCACGTGCGAAACTGTAACCATAGCTAACACGTATGACGGAAGACGTACACCACCAGACGTTATCTGCACGGCTACGTGGGAGACGGGTCTTCGCCACAACGAACGAGCGAAAGATAACGAGGACCCATGGGTAGCTGAGTGAACCCATGGGTAGCTGAGTGAACTGCCTTTGAATGGTGGGTTCTATCAACGGTCCGGTGTGGCATGTCCCCGACAAATCGGATGTATGCGCGCCATGGCTAGTTTGCTATTAAAGAGAAGACGCTGGAAATTGTAGCAAGGGACTTTTACGAGACAGTCCTTTGGGAATCGCCGGCACCTACCCGCGGTCGGCGTTGGAACCCCCCCGGAACGGTCTAAATGAGGGACAGACGATGAGAATCCGCTAGAGCAAGGCAACCCCCAGGTAGGAACGCGTGTTTTTCGAGCCGCAGCCCCCACGGCCGATGCGCCAATCCAAGCGCGGTGGCCAGCCTCTCGACCGCCCGATCCCCCCTATACCTAAAGAGGCGCCGAACGACCAGATTCCTCCCGAATACAAGAGATGCTGTGGTTATAACTTGGTCAAACACAACTAGCACTCCTCAGCCAACTACCCATTCCCTCGAGCGAAGCGAGGACAGCTCGCCGTAGGCGCCGCCGGAGGCAAAAAAACAAGAAGAAAAGAGGCTCCGTTCAGCTGACCCCTTCCTGACCAGTCAGGTAACCTATTTTACTTGAGTGGCGCCAACCAAAATGCAAGTGAAGGCAGGTACGCCTGATCAAGGTAGTCACAATGAAGGTAAAGAAGAGAGCGAGCAATGCAAGTTGGTCGGGTATGTTGTAAAAAGTGGTAAATTACTACGCGGCAGAATCTTGGATGTATCGGAGGGCGGGGTGGGCTATGTGTGGTGGACTACAGTGCACGGAGACGATTTAACAGTGCTCCAAGACTCTCTCTTAAACATGCAAACACCTCACCCTCCAGTTCTACCCCCCCTTCCTTCTTGAACTCACTCACATCAGATCACACCAAGTCCTTCCTACCAATGTCGCTCCTCAAAGCCGCGCGCATCGCCAACCACCTCGAGGCGCTCCCCTTGGAACTGCACGAGCCCCCATCCTCGCCAACTCACATTTCGGGACATCATCTCGCTGTCTCAATATGCTGACGCTAGCGGCTTGACGCGGTTGGCGTCTTCGCTCGCCACCAGCCCGACGTGAAAGAGCGTGTGGCCCATGTACGCCGCGCGCAAGCACGACTTCCAGACACTCGGGTCGCTGGTTACCCTAACCCTATGCATTGTGGGTTGTTTTTCCCTTGAAATGGTAGAAACCATAGCAGAGCGTGCAACCCGACATGTGGAAAGATGAGTGGATTAATGTATACCGGGAACCAGAAGAGATGTAATTAAAGATGGGAAGCTGAACAGCTGAAAAGAGTCGGGAAGAGGATTTGGCTGGCTGGATGGAGAGATAAAGAGTGTGATTGTTGTGATGGTGATGGAGAAAGTTGTGATAGGAATCGACGGGACTTTCGAGTAGTATTTATGCTCTCGATTTACATGCTTTACCAGCAGGTCTTCGGCGTCACCACAAACTCACTGTTGACTCGGATGACGCAAACGGCGAGTTTCCGCCGGTTGTTCCAACCGAGTGGAGTATCGTCTCGAACTTTCAGACTTTCTCTGCTGTGAAACTGTGAACCTCTGGCCAGAGTCATTCTCCTGCCGCCTCAGCTTATCTTACATGATGGCGGCGGAGGAGACGGCGAAGGAGGCGGCGTCGGCGCGGTGTTGACAACTCCCAGGGGTGCCGTCGGTCTGGAAACCAACACGGCAGGTTGGTGCCCAGGGCCCAAATATGGCCACGTCGAGTTGCTCAACTTGTCTCACCTTGAATCACCTAGGCCGCCAGGCGTTTCGTCTTATGATCGCACATAATGGCATCTCGAAGCTGGGCTCGGGAAGGACGACTAATCAGCGAAACTAATGAAATATCAAATCAACCCCTCGAGTCTCTGATTACCTATCTACGTTAATTATGTAACTTCTTAAACCAACTCGAAGGCCGCTTGGGAATCTTTGCTCCTCCAGGCTGGGGCCCCGGGCGCCGATGCGTTTAGTTCTGATTAGTGTCTTAATTACTACACTTAATGCATAATCGATATTTGGCATCGACGTGATTTGTGTGTTTGACAGGCGACTTGAAGCTCGCGCGAACGAGACTGGAGAGGAAAATGGCAAGCGAACAAGGCGCAGTGATTGGAGCTTTGCCGAGAACTTTCTGCACGTTTAAATGGCCAGGCCTACGCTATTTTGGCTATCCTACTCTTTCGAGACTTACAGGCAGTTCAAGAAGCCGCTCAGAAAGGGCGATGAAACAGGCAATGATGCACTGATACGGCGCCCTGGGGCCTGCCACGACAACACAATCCTTCCTCAGCCTTTCTTTCCGTGGTGGTCTGGGTGGTCTCGCTTGTTGGTTCCCACTGTGATATTTTCCAGAAAACTGAACTAGTCCATGCTGTCACCAGAAAGAAGGGCAGTGCGCAAATGAGTGGGAGACAAACGCTCTGGTTGCCTCTGCCGACGGGTTTGGAACGGAAGTAGAGAAACCTCAGCCCAAGACCAACACGGAAGGAGAGCAACGGCCAACCCGGTTTTTGGGACCACTCCTGCGGCCGGCGTGTTCCGTCGTCCCGAAAAGATCGACCCAGGATATTAACCGCGACCGAATCCACCAATTGCCCACCACCTGGCCGGGCTCCCGCCAAGCGATGCCGCGTGTTTGGCCCTTGGGTACCATTGCTGCGGGTTTGCAACTCCAACGTCGCACTCACGGGACCGCTGCGGAACCACGCCGAATACAGAAACCGGGCCCGCAAGAACCAAGCAGAGGGAACAGGGCATCCAAGCCGAAACCCGGGGAAATCCATCTATCCCTCACAGCTACCGACATGTGCACCATGTATAAACGCCCGCGCTCGCTTTGCCGGGGCTGCCAAGACAGGCCGTTATCCAGAGTCTCAGTCGGCAGACTTTCGAAAGAGATCCCCAACAACAGCAGTCTCCCATCCAAGTGCATTTCACACCAGACCACGCCATGAAGTCGTTCGCCGCTGTGGCCTTGACGGCCCTGTGCACGGTGCAAAACGTCGCGGCCCACGCCACTTTCCAGGCCCTCTGGGTCGACGGCGCTGACTTTGGCGGACAGTGCGCCAGGCAGCCCGCGTCCAACAGCCCCGTCACTAACGTGGCCTCGAACGACCTCCGCTGCAATGCTGGGTCGTCTCGCCCGGCCGCCAAGTGCGCCGTCAAGGCCGGCTCCACCGTCACGGTTGAGATGCACCAGGTGCGCGACCCCTTGACCGTCCCACAAACCCCTACCAAGCGAAGTGCTAACATCAACCCCCCGCAGCAACCCAACGACCGCTCATGCGCCAGCGAAGCCATCGGCGGCGCGCACTACGGGCCCGTTATGGTGTACATGTCCAAAGTGGCCGACGCGACGACGGCGGACGGGTCGGGCGGGTGGTTCAAGATCTTCCAGGACACGTGGGGCAAGAACGCGACGGGGGCGTCGGGCGACGACGACTTCTGGGGCGTCAAGGACCTGAACAAGTGCTGCGGCAAGATGAGCCTGGCTATACCCGCCGACCTCGCGCCCGGCGACTACCTGCTGCGCGCCGAGGTCATCGCGCTGCACACGGCTGGCTCGGCCGGCGGCGCCCAGCTGTACATGACGTGCTACCAGATCTCCGTCACCGGGTCCGGCTCCGCGACCCCGCCCACCGTCGTCTTCCCCGGCGCCTACAAGGCCGCCGACCCCGGCATTCTTGTCAATATCCATGCTGCCCTGGCGACCTATGTCGCTCCCGGCCCGACCGTCTACGCTGGCGGCTCGACTAAGAAGGCTGGGTCGGCCTGCTCCGGCTGCGAGGCGACTTGTGCTGCAGGGGCCGGCCCGTCCGCAACGGCCAGCACCGTGAGCGTGCCACTGCCTACTGGAGGTGGCGGCGGAGGTACGGGCGGGTGCACTGTGGCCAAGTATGCTCAGTGTGGAGGGAATGGGTACACTGGCTGCACCACCTGCGGTGTAAGTGCACCTCCTTTATTCTCGCATGAAGAACTGTTGCTGACTTTTTACACTTAGTCGGGCGCCGTATGCAGCGCCGTGTCGCCTCCGTACTACTCCCAGTGCGTTTAAGTTGTCTGGCATTCGCTGTCAACCCCGGACCCGAGGTTTGTCGTTAAGAATGATGCCAGCGGCGAATGAAGGACTTGGAATCCGAGGGAGGAAATTTCACTACACTGTAAATAGTTATTGCCACTAGTTGGTAAATAAGAGACGAAATGAGCATTTTCGATTATGGACGTTACTTGCTTCCTTTTACTCTTTGTCTTGTGATTTGAACGTGTTACGAAGTATTAAACGTTAAAAATTGACCTATTAGAAGATATAGTTAGGGGCTATATCGTGAAATGTCTTATATTTTACGATCTTGGAAAGTGGACATATTCATTAAATAGAATTTCAAAGCATAGCAGCTAATATACTTCAATGCCTTCTATACAATAAGCACGACAGGGTGTGTATTGATATTGAGTTGGGGGCGGGAAGCTTGGGAGTGCAGCCCCGCTGGTTACATAAAATCAATTATTGGGAGCTTAAACCAATCACCCCGGCTCAATGGTCTAGTGGTATGATTCGCGCTTCGGGTCGTCCCCACACTTAAAACAAGTGCTTGTGCGAGGTCTCGGGTTCGATCCCCGATTGAGCCCATTCGTTTTTTGGTCCCGCAACTGTTTGCCCTTTATTTAACAGCAACACTTGATTTCATATAACCCAAAAACAACTTTGCTCTTATTGACCGCTCATGGCTCCTTGATTGAAAATAGAGAAAACGTCGTCGGAATTGAAAAATCATTAATTATTACAACGGGTTAAGTGCCTGCTACATTTTTTTTCGCGTACAAGTGCCAATGGAGTCTAATGCGCCGAAGTTCAAAACCCTAATATAGAAAAGACGTCGAGAAACAAACTCATAAACATAGCTTCACCTCGCCACCCAATACCCGCCCGTTCCGTGGATCAGATCCCGCTGCTCGGCATCAGCAGTGCGGATACCCATGCGGTGCACGGGGAGGCTCGCGACGCGGTTCTGCACGTTATCGCGGACCGCGCTGAACTTGTCCGACAGGCTGCGCGCGCTCTTGGCTGTTTGTAACTGGTGAACAGCCGCGTCGGGCGCCCAGTTGTCGCGGCCGAGGCTGGCCATGGCCGCGCAGACGTCGAGCGAGACGGCTTCGAGCCGCTGCTCGAGCGGCGCGCTGCGGGGCAGCGCCGGCCGCAGGAACCCCATCACGACCACCTTCATCCGCGCGCCGAAGAACGTGGTCGCCCGCCCAAAGTCGTGCACGAGGTGCACTGTCACGGCGGTCGTCGTCGACACCACCGACGGCCGCCCGTACGGCGACGGCCCCGCTGCCAACACCGCCTCATGCCACTCGTCCGAGATGCCCTCGAACCCCCGTTCCGGCATGATGCACGCCCAGCAAAAGTACACGCCCCGCAGCTTGTTCAGCACCTCGTCGGGCGCGCCCGCGAGGTTGGCCGTGGGGATCCCTAGCTCCGCCATCGACCGCCCAGTGCCGGCGGTTATTCTGCTCTGGAACTTCAGCGGAAACGGCTGCTGCGGGCCTTCGTCCGGCCCGATGACCCCCCCCGTCTCGAAAATGCTGCAGTCGTAGCCGGCCGGGCCCGCGGCGGCGCCGGGCAGCGGCGTCGGGAAATACGATGGCTCGTCGTCGCGGGGGCCGCCTGCTGCGGGCGAGAGGGCGCCGTACGCGACCTTGCCGGCCTTGAGCGCGACCACGCCCGTCTTGGACTTGGCCAGGCGCCCCTGCACGACGCCGGCGACGGGGCCCGTGTACCTGGTGATGGCGACCTGGGTGGCAACGGACGCGACCTTGACGCCAATCTCCAGTGGCATGGTGCTGAGCGACGCGCCGCGGAACATGCTCGAGTCCGACGACGTGCTGGCCACGCGGAACACGGGGCTGTGGCACAGGTCCTTGCGCCGCGACGACTTGCCGTCGTCGTTGCCGCTGCTACTGCCGCCAGAGCAGAGGACGAGGCGGAAGTAGCCGTCGTTGCAGGCGGCGGGGATCCGCACGACGTGGGTCTCCCGGGCGACGTGGGCCTTCTTGTGGCCCTTGTCCTTGAGCGACTTCTTGGCGACCTTGGCAATGTCGCGCTGCCACGACCGCTCGCTGTCGGGTGACAGCTCGCGGGCCTGCACCAGCTCCGACGGCGTCACGTCCAGCCAGTTGGAGGTGGCGCCGACCAGCGCCTTGATCTTCATGCCGCTGTCGCCCGAGAAGCCGCGCTGCTGCAGCCAGAGGGTGCGGTTGGCGGGCAGCGGGTGGTGCGACGCGCTGAAGACGGTGATGGCCACCGACGTGGTCGGGCCGCGGTAGAAGATGAGTGGCGGCGAGTGCCGCAGGATGGTGTAGTGCTTGGTCGACTCGGCGGGATGCGGCATGAGGCCTTCGGCGAAGTGGCGCGTCTCTGAGATGGCACTTTGCCAGAAGCCCGACTTCTCGCCGGCGGCGGAGGATGGCGGGAAGTTGGGTTCCAGGCCCGGAGGTCCCGGAGCGCTGATGGGTGTGTTGGGCGTGGTGTTGAAGGGGCTTGAGGGAGAGCTCTGGGCAAAGCGAGACAGCTCGGGCAAGCTGGTCTTCAGTCTGAGGCGGTCTGGCGGCCGCAGCCGCGATTTGTCGTCGGTCGCGCTCCGCGAAACCGGGCGTGCCCTCTCATCAGTCCATGGCGCATTTGACCTGCTGCTTAGCGCGCGGTGTTCAAACGACGGCGGACCAGAGGTCCAGTCTAGCGGCGGTTGGCGGTGTTGCTGATGCTGTTGGTATGGAGGGCCAGATGTCCGGTCTAGCGTTGGTTCACGTTCTTGCTGATGCAGTTGATGTTGTTGGTAGGGAGGACCAGATGTCCAGTCCAACGTCGGTTGACGCTCTTGCTGGTGCTCTTGGTAGGGAGGTGGTGGTGGCGAAAAGGACGCGACGGGCTTCCGCCTCATCTGCAGCGCAAACCCCTGATTCATTGTGTGCTTGTCTGTCGCCCGCGGTCAAATTCAGCACCGATAGATTGATTGCCAAATTGTCGCTACGTCGGCTTCTTAATTGCAGTTCTCGTCGGCTTGTTAATTGCAGTTCTCAAATGCCGCGAAGAGAGAGGTGGCCCTTTCCGACGTGGAACAGCCCCGGTTTTGGGTTCTGCCGCGAGTCCAGCGAAACGCCCGAGACGCTAAAATCCAACCGCAGTGGGGGAGGCCGCTGGGCGTTATGTCGCTAGCCCCGCCAATCACAACTGCCGCTAGCTTAGGGGCAAACTTGACACTTCCAGCTGGGGCTGCTGGGCTACCTCCCCCGCGTCTTCTGGGCGTTTTGTGAGTCTAGACTCGGCCCACCTGGACTGCAGTGGTGTGGCAAAAGTCGATACATATCCTAGCACATTTTTGCCCCGCCGCATCGTAATGTTTACTATTAACAATGAGCGGGAGCCGGAAATTTCCCGACACTGAAAAAGAGCTTGATAATCGGATTGACGGTATTCTCGGAAATCTCATTGACAAAGCAATGCCATCATGTCAGCAGTTACTAGTGTGATGATTGGCGCCCTCTCGCCTTACGAACCTCTGATGGACTTGGGCGGATTGGAATTTTTAACCATCCATTACATGTCACAAAAAGAAAACAAGACACGTAGACTAGTCAGCCAGCTTTTGAACAGTCAGCTTACACAATTAAAAGTCAATGTCGGTGTAAATGATATACTTTTGATCATTACTCGGCGTGTCTTTGCGCCGCCTTGCATATTAGTTACGTCTCGTTTACTTAGTTTGGTTGCCTCTTTGATTCCAGCAGATGCATAGACTAGAAGACCCGGGCTATTCAAGGCGAGGAATTTTCGATTTCACACGGTCTTGCAATTCTGCTCCCAATAAAGCGCTTTAGAAATTCCAACAGGGCGAGCAATGCGAGCAACACGTTCATGAGCCCGAGAAGCCCCTGACAGCTAAATGTTACCGTACCCTGCACACTTCGAATATTGAATAGCAAGACAGCAGCAGAAAGCGCGATTGGTTGGCTGCCGTGTCACAGCGGGGATGAAAGTGGTGTGACGGCTGGCCCTTGGGTCAGCTCGCCGGATGATTCCCGTACTGGCGAATCCGGAAATGGAGCCGAGGACCCCAGCTTCTGTTGCATTTCCCTGCCCCTTCCCACGTGGTGACTGATCGGGATATGCTGTACAGTGAATGGCCAGCTTAGAGCCCTGCATACTGACCTTGCAGTCAATCGCCGAGAAGAGCGTTAACATGTATCTCATGCTGCTGGCCTTCGCATGTTGTTCACGAACCAATTTACCAATAAGCGCAATTGACTCTGCCAAGACAACGCGCTGCTCCTTAATTCCCGGTCAGAAAATGTCTTATATCCAGTTCTGGCACGGACTACTTTCCGGAAATGATTGTGGTAATGGACAATAGGTAAGCAAACTCGGTTTTGCTCCAATTGGCGGTTGCGAGTTACGAGTATGCAATAACACTCTCCTGGTTGCAATGCGACTTCAAAAGTTCCCTCAAGAAACGCCCGCTCAACCAACACTCAGCCCCCTTCCGATAGTTTGCAGTTAAGAGAATGGAGGAACTAGGTAGGGAATATCAGACGAGGAAAGTCACCCAAGACTTCAATTATAAAAGCTGCTTCCCAGTACTTGCTGTCCTCGAAGTTAACTCCAGCACATCACTCTCAAAACTCCCTGCCTGCCTAGAGAGATCGACTTTCCAAAACTCCACAAACCTCACCATCTCTCAGTTTCCAACCTTTTCAAAGAACTTGACACCATGAAGGCAAGGCCACCGCAAGTTTCCAGAAATATTGACTCCGTCCTGACTTCAGATTTCTTCTAGGGCATCGCCAACTTCCTCGCCGTCGCCATGTGGGCCGGAGCATGCACCAACGCAGCGGCCGTCCCCGCGCTGACAAGCCCCAACGAATCCTCGCTGGAGCTGCGCGGCGCCGCGATGACGCCCAGCAGTCCAGGCTCGCCGGTGCAGGGACGCAGCATCGGCGTGTACCGGCCGATCAAGTCGGCGGCCAACACGGCCCTGTGCCTGGAGCCGGTCGGGGGCCGGCTGGTGTTGAACCCGTGCGCCAACACGGCAAACCAGTTCTGGGGGCCCTTCCACAACGGCGGCACCATCTACCGCTTCCAGAACCGCGGCAACGTCGACTGCATGTGGGTCGACGACGGCACCACCACCAATTCGCCCGTCACCACCAACGAGTGCACTCTCTCCGACGGCACCGGAAACTCTGTGAGCAACGCCGAGTGGGACCTCGGCGTCAATGTGCCTCCCAGCACGTTCACCACCATGCGCACCCACGTCGGCGGCCACACAAACAACCTCTGCATCACCGCCTCGGGCACCAGCGTCTTTATGCGCACCTGCGCATCCACCCCTGGTAATGACCAGCGCTGGGCAATTGGCTCGGACTAATTAGAACCGAGGACAAGTCTAAAAGCTCCTGTCGTTGCTGTTGTGAAAGCCGGGGTCATGAAGGGCAGCAGTAATTATGTGTGAACTGGAGACAATTGCAGTGCTGCGAGCGAGGCCGAGCTTTTCCTTTTTTCTTTTCCGAACTTTTAGTTAGTTAATCGACCCTCACAACACTGGTGTCGGCTCAACTCCGATAGCCTGGTGGTGATGAGTCGGAAATGACGATCGATCTGTCTTTTAACATCTTTTTGGGGCTCTTTTCTTGCACTGGAATTGCACCATGAGTCGTTGTGAAATTACCCTCAAACCTATGAAGTGAATGCGTAAGGAAAACAGATAATTCCCGTAGTCGGAAGATAATTGACAAGGTCCGGGAGTTTACACGTTCTTCGAATTGTTTGAGCGAAATTCCACTAATCTGCTGCAATCATCTTTTGTTTTAACATACAACCCTAACCCTTGCCAACCTCGGTAACATTCAGGGGGATTGTCTAATTACAAACTCGAGGGAATTGAGCACTCTCGGCAAAGTTCCGATTGGACCGAACAGTTCGCGGCCCGTATCGGTGGCAAGTTCAATCGCAACTGACTCACCTGCCACGGCGTTTCGGGCTGGAATGAGGGGGTTGATGAGGGGCTGCATGCATGGATGGCTCTCTGCGGAGACGAAATAATGTACATGTTGGAATCACCAGGTACCGGTACTGGAAGCAACAGGGCGTAGCTGTACGCCGAAAACTGGTGGTTCAAGTGTTGGTTGTTCATGTCTCTCTAGATCTAAGGAGGGTGGAAGTGGCCGTAGGCTACTTATTTACGTTCGGTGGCCCTGTGCCCCTGCGCCTCCACAGCCCATGTGGCTGCTCGCGCCTCCACCGCCACATCTGTGGCTGACTAGCGCGTTATTCCAACAGCACATTTTCTCTACTATGGGGTGGATTTGGGCGGTTGGGATGCTCAGGTTTCAAGATACACGCAGTCCACAAATGTGCTGTCACTTGAATGTGTATTTCCATCATTACTTTATCTATCCTAAGGACTGTGCATCGTGCACCTGATTACAACCAAGAGGCTAATTACATATCTAGATAACACCCCCGAACACCCATGGTAAGCACTGTCGGCGCTACTTGCTCTGGGTGGGTTGAAACTGCGGGTCGATGGGGGCAAGAATGCTCTTCATCCGAGCCTGGTAGAACTCGATTCGCCCCTCTTTGTTGACTGGGCCCTGTGGGATTCTCATGAAGACGTTGTCATGCTGGTACTCCTCGCTCCGTGCTGCCGACTGTCTATGGTATGTTGAGAGGGTAACAGTGTCTTGAAGGACGCTGACGATCAAGCAATATTAGAGGAACCCACAGAAAAGGGTAGGAGAGGTGACCAGATATCATAGTGTGATGCGAGAGGGGAAGTACCTGGTGTCATGGGATTCTCTGTTGGGGGCCGACTGTTCACTCATGGTCACTGGTGGACAGAAATCGTAGTAACTGAGGTGTGAGGTGGACGAGGAGCTGGACGTCAGTGCCTTTCGAGAAGGGGGGAAAAGAGATGGAATAAAGAAGGACAGAGGGAGAAAAACAGAAACGAAGAGCGGGGAGACGATCACAGTAATATGTACTGAACTTGTCGCGACTTGGCCCAACGACAGGCAGCCTTGATGACAGGCGCACTACGATTCGAGAACCCAACGCGCCGGGACGGTGCAGCAGCTTCTTCCTCTCAGACTGGCGAGATTCCGGATGTAGCCAATAAGGCTGGCCGTTCGCTCATGCACGATTCTCGACGTAGCGAATCGGCCGGCCGCTATCCAGCCTAAGATTAAGCCACTAGGAACTTTTTTTTGTGCGACCGACATGGGTGCCCAGGATTCGTTGTCAACAAGGTAGGCGGCAGTCTCGGCGAGAGTACCCCGAGTGACGGAAGAGGCACTTTTACAGGTGCGTCAAAAAGTTGCCTCTTCGACAGCAGTGCGTGCAAATGATAGGCGTGGGAGTTGTCCAATGGCATTTTCCCCATCAGAACCTGAGAAATGGGGGAGGGTTGGCTATTACGGTTGCGTGCAAAAAGAAAACCCCCCTGTCAAGCACCTCTCTCTGCACAGCCTTTTTCCTGGCCAACCCCGCCCCACACCACCAGCGCGTGGTATCTTCAGAAAAACAACACGACAGCTCTCAGAAGCGATGGCACGACCATAAGGCTCTACAGGCACGAAGCAGCTCACTACCGAAGAGCGCCAGCGACTACGTACACTTTATTTCGATGGCCACCTTAGCCAAGCTCTGATCAAAGAGCGTACCGGATATACAGCCGCCCAGATCCGAGGAGCCATACGTGCCGACAATTCCACTGCTGGCCGTAGTACTGGCCGGCCACGCGTTATGACTCCTGAGCAAGAAGAAGAGCTTGTTAGCTATGTCTGCACTAGCAAGAAAACCCGTCGAATGGGGTTCCTTGAGCTCTCAATGGTCCTTTTTAATGGGGTGTTTGGCTTATGGCTGATCAAGCATGCCCTTTACCGGCTTGGTTTCTGCCGTCGAGTCGCACGAAGAAAGCCGCCGCTCAGTGAGAAGAACAAAAAACTTCGCGAGGAATGGGCAGAGGAGCACAAGGACTGGACCTTTGAGCGATGGGCTGCAATCTTATGGACTGATGAAACCTGGGTTACTGGTGGTCCTCACAGAAAGCAATATGTAACCAGGCGTCCAGGCGAGGAATGGGATCCAACCTGCATCACCGAACGGCATCAACGCAAAGGAGGATGGATGTTTTGGGGAGCTTTTGCAGGTACCCGCAAAAGCCCTGGTATCTCCTGGGAAAAGGATTGGGGTAAAATCAACGAAGAAACCTATCGTTAGCATATTGTACCTGTGATCGACGGCTGGATCCAGCTGTGCAGAGCAGAGTATGGCGAAAATTTGGTCCATATGCAAGACGGTGCACCAGGACATGCGGCTGTAAATAGGCTTATTTACTGTACCGTCGTTGTGGCCTGTGCGCCCCTGTCTCGTTTGGTACAATGCAGGAAGGTTTTGATTACCCATCATGCGTAGTAGAGCCTGGCCGCCACAATGTCAATTTGACCAATGGTAATCCGTAGAAGCGTCGAAAACGCCCTCCTGTGACACGTACTGAGTGTCCGGACTTTCCCCGAATCGGTGTCTTGAAAAGATTTGGGCACCAGCCAATCAGTGGCCCGGTCGACCGAGCCTAGACCTTTTTGTGGCTGCCAGTGGTTGCTCCTGCTTGTTCGGTCGTGCGCTCTCGTCCGTTCTTTCTGCTTCAAAGCTGTGGCACCACTACCCCCCAACCGCCTGCCTACCCTGATCGCCCTTGCTAAAGACAATCGCCTCGAGCACCCCATTGCTTTGCCCGCCGTCTTCCGTCACTTTGTGGTCGCTCAGTTTTTAGACTAGACCAAAACTGCCATCATCTGCCATCATGTCCGGCCCCGTGACCAGCGACACTTGGGATGCTGTGCGAGAGGTCCTGCGCGAGCTCTACTTGACCGAAGACCGCCCCCTGGTAGGCCCGGATGGTGTTATCGAGGTCATGAGAGAGCGCCATAGCTTCCTTGCCTCGTGAGTGAATTGTTCAATTAATTAATCACCAATCGACACCGCAGCGACGCTCGTGTGCTAAATTAGAACCCTCGTTTCCCAGAAAAGCCCAGTACGAGACCCGCTTTCGGAAATGGGGATTCCGCAAGTATTCCAAGTCGAAGAAGCGTGAAGACTGGCTGGCCATTAGTCGCAAATTCGAGGCGGCCAAGGCAAAAGTGGCCAAGACAGGAAGCTCAAAGGAGCCCCGTCTGTATCATTGCGGCAAGCTTGTCACGACAAAGGTGCTCAAGACCAGGAGCTTCATGACCTTCCTCGAGAAGCGCGCCTTTGACCAAGGTGGGTCCATCCTCGTTTTGCTTTCTCAAGACAAAATCAAGATCCTGTGTTCAGTGTTGATCTTGCAGTTGCAGCGCCGTCTCCAAAAACACCCCCCGACTTCAACATTCGCTTCCCGACCCCACCGCCAATCGTCGTCTCGAGCCTGCCATTTCTTGACTTTAAGGTGATTATTGACCATCTTGGTAGTGAGTTTGCCTTTTCACTAGACTCTGCCGGGCTTAGTCTGCCGCCTACCCCAGACTGGCTGACACAGCACAGCGCGTCTCAAACTCGATGATCGTCCCGTGACGGAGCTTGTCAGACTTTTCCCCAACCCCAAGACGGCCACGCACAGCCCTCTAGCTGGATTCCGTCCCTTCCTTCCAAGCTCGCCTGAAGTCCTCGGGCCCTTCTCGTCTGAAGACAGCCATCTAGACTTGCAACAGATTAGGGGAATCCAAGTCCTCAGCCTGGCATCGTACTTGCTATCAAATAACCTCCCCGGTAACTTTGATGGAACCCAACTCTATTCCTGGCTCAAAGAAATCGGCGCATTCGACATGCTCGATCACGCTGTGGATCTGGCCGGCCCGAGTGCCGAGGCGCTCCTCGAAACAAGTTTTCGATTGGCTGTCGAGACGGAGGACTTGCCCGCAGTCGAATACCTTCTTCAACTTGGTATCGATCCCAACGGCCGATCGTGCAGATTTCGTCACATCCCAACGCCCCTGACTCCCCTGGAGTTTGCATGTGTGACCGGAAACCCCCAGCTAGCCCAATCTCTCATCAAGCACGGATCGAGAATCGAGGATTCTGGTGTCGGATGGACAAGGAGCCTCCTGGTTCTGCTGATTCTGGGGTGGAACTCACGTAACACCCGCCAAGATCAGATTGCCCTGGAAGCAAAGAAATCAGCCAAGATTTGGAGCCTTGAAGCCGATGATGAATCGGACACGGAGAAGCCCTCTCATCATAGCACCGGCCCCCTTATCTCCTTGATCCGCAAGCTGACCAATCATGGATGCGCCGTCGACATTCCACCCGAATCAACGAGCGACAACACTTCCGTGGTTGCGCTCACCAATCAACAGCAGCCCGATCAATTGCTGACTTGGCTCTCTGAGGGACACTCTCCTCTCACGGCAGCTTCAAAGTGCGCCAACGTTGTGATTGTGTTTTACCTCCTTGACCGAGGAGCAAATGTCCACTTTCGAACGGCAAATGGATTCTCTGCTCTGCACGAATGCCTGGCCGGTTGGTGGGAGAGTGTGAATTTCGCAAATAATACCCGGCGGCAATGCTACTTTGAAGGGGATATACTCACTACCGCCTCCGGCTTGTTAGACGCCAAGGCCAATGCGAACGACCCAGCCCCGCCTCGACGGCTAGGACGGACGCTGGTTGATGAGTGCTTGCCCGTTACTCTAGCGGCAGAGTATTCCATGAAACTGGTCGACCTCCTCCTGGAATTCGGGGCACGGCCAACATCGGCCACCCTCACCGCCACGTTGAACTCCTCTGTAGATGACATGGCCTCACTCGATCGGTTCCGGCGCCTGGCGCATTTTGGAACGCCAGTCTCAGACACAGCCTGGCCACACATCGTGCATCGCTTTGCCCAAGGGGCTTGGCGCTGGCTACAGCCAATTTTCGAAGCGGACATGGACGAGGAGACCACTGTTTCGCTTTATACAAAAGCAATGACGGCCTGCAGCCTCGGCTCCCACTTGAACCTGAGGATGAAAGATCATATAACCTTCTTGTCCAGATGCTCTTCAGATGAGCTGGTTCCTATTTTTGAAGCAGTCTGCCCCATCGCAACTGTGGGGTTCCTGCAAGAGTTTGGATCGAATCTCGCTGGTCGAGTTCTCTCGCAACTCAGCGGCAGAGTAATATGCGACGCAATTTCGAAAGAGAATTTTGAGATGGCTCGTCATCTGATTAAGGCTGGCGTGGATGTCAATGTGGTCACCAATGACAACAACAGCCCCTTGACGGCAGCTATCCGGGCACGATGCGGGACCCTGGTGACGCAGCTGATTGAATCTGGTGCCGTGCCAATGCTCCGAGGGCACGCATGCGAATGTGGGCGTTCGACATTTGCCAACGCTCTGGTGGCAGCCGCTGAAATCGGAAATGTCTCTTTGCTCGCGAATCTCGTAGAGCCTGTGGGTGTCCTCAACATCGACACGCTTGGGGCCGTCTCTCCCAAGTGCTCCTTGGCAAGCGACGACAGAGCCAATAACTCGAATTGCAGATGTGTAACACCCCTTACGGCTGCAATTCTCGCAGGTCGGGACCAAGTCGTGACACTTTTGCTTCCGATGGGCGCAAGCCCCAAGAAACTAATGTGGCATCCCACTAGCTGTGTTTCGCCCTTAGCTGCGGCGATACACAAGAGAGAGCTAGATGTAGCAACCGCCTTACTTCAAAAAGGAGCAAGTCCAGTGGACAGAGATGCGATTCACGCTGCGCAGCATCAATTCCGGTTCCTTGAACTTCTTGTGGGCTTTTTCCCACAACAGCTCGATGAAGCCGAGCAGCTTGGGAGTCTATTGCTGGATTGCGTCCTCCAGAGCTTCCCGAAACTCCCTTCGGCCTCCTACTTTGAGCTCATTCAGAACATTTTCTATTCCAAGATCGCCCTAATCGATGGGCATGAAATGTTCCGTGGCAATCCCCCGTCACCTCTATACAGGGCTCTATCCTTGAACCTTTGGGGAGTGGCAAGAGTTATTTTGGAAGAGGATGCCGATGTTACTGCCGGCCTGTGGGACCATAATGGGGAGCGAAAATGTGCCTTGTCTTGGGCAGTGCATCAGGGTTCCCCTCCAGATATGGTCAAGGCTCTCCTCGAAGCCGGCGCCCAGGCCAACTTGGATAGCCAGAGCGGTTGCGAGTTCCGCTCGACTGCTCTGCAGATCGCCGCGAGACGGCAGGACCATGATGCCCTGAAACTGCTCCTCGACCACCATGCCAACCCCAATGAAGTAGGCAAGGAAGACAGGCGCACAACTTTGCAGATTGCTGTGCAGAAAGGTGACCTGTTCATGATCGAACTGCTCCTCGAGCGCGGAGCGAACATTAATGCGCCACCTGACCCAGACAAGGGCGCCACGGCGCTGCAGCACGCGGCGATGGGCGGGTTCGTCGGAATCGCCGAGATGCTAATAGAGAGGGGGGCCGATGTCAACGCGCCTGCGGCCGAGAACGACGGGAGAACAGCGCTCGAGGGCGCAGCCGAGTACGGCAGGATTGACATGATCCAGCTTCTGCTCAACGCCGGCGCTCAGACGTGCGGACATGGCAGCGATTCCTTTGACAGGGCGCTCGACAGGGCCACACGGAGCGGACACCATGCGTCCTGGAGGCTTCTCAAGCGCCGCCTGGCGGAATCTTCATGACATGTTAATGGTGTTACTTGTCGTTCTCTCTCTTTCTCTCTCTTTCTCTCTCTTTCTCTCTCTTTCTCTCTCTTTCTCTCTCTTTCTCTCTTTTAACTTCCTCTCCTTCTATTGAAATCTTTTTCGTAGTAGTAGGCGCTGGCTTGGTGTTATATTTTATAAGACGCGGGCCTTTCTCGTATCTGCCCGCCCCTTATCCGAAATTGGAAATCCATCGCTAGATCCAATCTTCGTCTTCTATACCGTTCCGATAATTTTTCCGAGGGCTCATGGGCAGTATTGCTAGATCTCTTCTTCACACCACCCTTTCTGGTCTTGAGCTCCGTCTGACGAGCTCTAATCGCGATCCTTTTGGGCGCTTATAGTCTTTCAAGGTGAAACTCTCCCGCCGTGCGTCGTAACCTGTGATAGGAAGCGTAGTATCACTTCTGCCGCCTCTGGCTCTTCCTTCTGGTGGTCATTTTATGCCCGACCGGTGGTATTGTCGCCGATTTTTCTCTCATCGTGAGGCCTTCAAGTGCGAGCATGAAGCCGCACAAATCCTGAAGCGTCGGGGCAAATTGAAGTTGCTCCTCCTCGTTCTTCGCTTTGTGCCATCTTACGAGGTTGTCAGTCCATGGTCTAAATAGAAGTTCTCACAAGTCCGAATAGTCCCTCTCTCGTTTAGTTATTTGCCTTCATCTACCTTTCACATAGCCTGTGGCTTGGACCTCGACGGGAAGCTTTGAAGCGACTTATGGCGCATAGGGACCGAGGTCCTAGCTCCAGCGAGGCTCCATCTGCTGGCGCTCCAGCTGCTCTTGTTCACAGCGTTGCGGCTTCGCCAGCTCTCGGCGCTACTATCACGCCTGATCCTGGCGTTTCGATCCCACTGGTTGGTACTCCAGCACCACGCTTGTATTCTGTTCGCGAATGAGTCTTGGTCGTATGAGTTTATAGCCGAGGTTACTCGATTCAAGGATTTCTTAACTTCTAATGGGCAGGTAATGATTATATAATTAAGGCTGCCCGCTATCTTGAATTCCCATCTTATAAGATGGTATTTTACCTTTCAAGGTTCACTATGTCGGGGCATATCAGCTGGCTGAAAATGACTCGAACCTTGGAGGGTTGAACCTTGTATGGATCGGCCCACTTCGAATCTTATGGACGACCATGGAACTCAACCTAGCACTTGATGAGAACCTTTATGAATACCCCTTTTCAACAAATCAAGAACCTCGCCCGGCTGGCTCAATCGAGGTGGGACTCTTAATCTCAAGGTTGTGGGTTCGACCCCCACGTCGGGCTCAATTCCCGGCGGCGAGTTCGTCTTTTTGACCTTTTGCCAGTTACTTTTGTTCTATGCATCTAAAGCACTTCATTTCTTAGCGCGTATATGGAATTCTAGTTAATGAGAATAAGAGTGGAAAAGACCTAGTTAAATTACATCTATATATTTTCTTACATTTCGGCCATTACATTTCGGCCATTAATTATGCGCTTTCATTGCTTCCCCCCTTTTCCAAATCTTCATTCAGCCTTCCATTATCACACAGCCTTCGTTGTCCTGTTTGCTTCTTCCTTGACTTCGGCCATGCCAAACTCTGTCTCGAGCTCGGTCCGCAGAGGGATCTCTTTCTCGAGAAACGTGATGAGCAGATTCGTGCCCGCAAACGCAATGGCGACCTGCCAGATCAGTTTCAGCGCTTCAGAATACACGCCAATGATCTTGTCGCGGTCCTCGGGCGGCTGGATTGCCCAGATAAAGTCGGCGTGGCCGTTCTCGTAGCCGTGGTTGTTGCCGTCAAAGAGCTGGCGCACGGCTGGGTCGATGTCGGCCTCGGCCAGCAAGTGGACGAAGCGGTTGTTGAAGATGGCCGCAGGGATGGCGACGCCCCAGATGCTGCCAAAGGACCGCGTGAACGACCACGCCGACGTCGTCGCCGCCTGGTGCCGCTCCTCCACCTGTGCCTGCACCGCCGGCAGCAGTGTGTTGAGCACGAGGCCGCTGCCCGTCGCCCCAATGGCTTGGAATATCACCCACTCTGCCATGGACGTGTCGGCATCGAACAGGGTGAACAGGCCGAGTCCAAGCGTATTCACGGCGAAGGCGACACTGTGGATGGGCTTGTATCGGCCGTAGCGCGACAGCAGCAGGACGGCGACGATGGCGCCGGGGATGGCGAAGAGGACCGACGGCAGGATCTGCACGCCCGCGCGCGCGGCCGAGCTCCCGAGGACGGCCTGGAAGTACACGGGGAGGAAGAAGATGCCCCAGTACAGCAGGGCCGAGTTCAGGAAAGTGGCGACGAAGATGACGCCCGACGTGCGGTTGCGGAACAGCTCGGGCGGCACCACGGGCTCACCCGCGTACGTCGACTCGTACCACGCGAACAGCACGAAGCCGGCGAGCCCCACGACGAGCGGCGCGATGACCTGGCCCGACGACCACGGCAGCCGCACGCCGCCGTACGTCAGCGCGTACAGCACCGACACGGTCGACGCGACGAGGACCGCGTTGCCGATGTAGTCGATGCGCAGCAGCTTCTGGCCCACCGACTGCGTGCGGTCGTGCTTGACGTGCAGGAACAGGAAGATCATGACCAAGGCGACACCGCCGACCTAGTCGGACAGAAACCTTGTTAGCCTCCGAGTCTGTCACTACCAGCCCACCCGTGGCCGAGTGCACAAATGTGTTCTTACCGGGAGGTTGATGTAAAACACCCAGCGCCAGGTAGTGCTGTCGATAATCGCGCCGCCGACCCACGGGCCCAGACTTATGCCAATCGTGTAGACGAGCAGCACGACGGCGATGTAGTTGCCGCGCTCGCGCAGCGGCACGAGGTCCGACACGATGATGTCGACGAGGATGTTGATGCCGCCCGCGCCGACGCCCTGGATGCTGCGGCCCGCGATCAGCATGGCCTCGTTGGTCGCGCCGCCGGCGATGCCGCTGCCCAGCGTGAAGCACGCCACGATCACCATGGTCACCCAGCGCCGCCCGAACAGGTTTGCCAGCTGCCCGATTAGCGGCTGCACTGCGGCTCTGTGGTCACAGGCAACGAACGATTGGCGTGTCAGCTAATTAACCAGTTCGCCTATTTTGACGATGCATGCGCGTGCATCAATCTAACTGCGCGCGGGAGAGAGGGGGAGGCACCCACGCTGTCAGGAAAAACGAATTCGTCACCCAGATGTAGTCTTCGCCGAGGCTGAGCTCGGTGACTATGCGCGGCAGCGCCGTCGTCACGACCGAGTTCTCGAGCGAGCTCAGCAGCCCGATGGTACAGAGCGTTGCAATAATCGCCCAGAACCGAGCCGTGGGCTGGAATTTGGCCGGTGTCGTGGGCTCGGGGCCTGCGGGATCGTGTGCGTCGAGGTCTGCGGGATCGTGTGCGTCGAGGTCGGCGGGATCGTGTGCGTCGAGGTCTGCGGAATCTTGGGCGTCGAGGTTCTTCGCGTCGTCTGTCACTGTGTTCATGTTGGCGTCTTTGTTGGTGGTGGTGGTATCGGAGCTGTCTTCCGCGCTCTCGGGGGCCTGGGCGCGACGGTCTTCGTCGGGCGGTGCGTCGTCGGCCATGACGGCTGGCGTTTGGTGGCTTGGTGGCTGTTGTCTAAGTTGTGAGGTTGTCGTGGGAGGTGTTGGTGTGGTGTAGTGAGATGGGCGCCGGTTTTAAGGGTTCGAGATGGGGCGTATCATGGCTCAACCCGGCCTAGACCCGCCCTCGGACTCCAGGGTTCACATCCCAAAATGCGACGTCCTTCGGGACGACCCTGTTGGCTGCAGAATCGGGTCAATACAGGCGGCCTGCTTGCGTGGTAGCGGTTAGCTAAGCAGCCAGCAGGGACTGGGGAGGCGACGGGCTGTGAAATCCCGTTCCCGCTCGGAGCGGACCGTTGGCCTAATGTCGCGCCGATGGACCGCCCGGCCCAACCACAGCCGGTAAAACAGTAAATGGTTGAACAAAGCCAGCGCTTGCCAGCGCCGGTGGGACAATGCGGATAGATAGAAAAGCCATTTTCTGTTCCGTCTCCGTCGCGAAAACTTTATGAATCGGATAAAACTCTGCCCCCTCGGTTTGAAGGTGACAGGTCGCGTCCCGCGTTACGCGTATACTCTCTAGTTCCCTGATGTACGTGTTGTGTTTCATCTCCAGAAAATGGCACAACTAATTGCACCGACGATAAAGAAAAATAGGACGTGTTTTGCGATTGAATTTTTCAAAGCCGTGGTAGATGTGGAAGGAAGCATTGGGTCATGGGGCGCGATTTGCGGCGCTCCGTGAGAAGCCAAGAGAAACCGGATAAACAACATGCATTGCCAGGAAGAAGAGTATAGCGAGATTCTATCGTACCGGTTCATGGAATCGCAGTGTATGTGCCTAACCAACTAAACGTACGTGATTATTTATGAATCCACCGTTGCCTATGATTGGACCGTGACGACGAAGAAGAGGAAGAAAGATAGGTACCTTCCAGTTAGACACCCCATTCAGCTGTAGCTAAATAAATAATTAGTAGTCAAGATGGCCATCAGCAGTGGTTACCTATTAATCATGGCTTTTAGGAAACAGGGAACCTGACCAACAGTGTCAAGCGCCGCGGGCCAGACAGTTGTCAGCAGCGTGCTGGGGATGACCCGACAGGCCGGAGGGGTTCGAACACTCACCACTCAAGTCCGGGGCAAGAATTAGGTAATGGCATTGGATTACGTTGGATCACCTGGAAATTTAAGGTGAGATCGATGCGGCCAGTTAGTTACGCCAACCGTATCAAGACGGCGTGGGCAGAACGCTCAGTTCTAATTAGTACCCGCATTGGCAATGAAGGTTCTGACAGTAAGACGGACACAATACTTCAAGATAGCGTGCAAATGTGCCCAGCGCTGCTCCCATTTCTGTATGTCTATGATTAGGTAGATAGAGACAGTGAGGTAAAACTCAACCCAACCACCCACGTTATGTCACCGGATGCCATCCACCATCTCCCCCTCAGACCAGCTGGGCGGGCATTCGAGCGCGCCGGCCAGCGGCGAACCCCCCTTTTGACTTCTCTCCCCTAGCTACATGTACAGGACTCAGTAGTGCGTGCAAAGAAGTTGCGTCGATAGCATCGCGCTTAGCACTGTGTGCATTGAGTCATGCACTTGGTGCACACGCCCCGGCGTCTCTTGGTTCCATTGCACCAGCTGCAGGCTGTTCCAGTCGTGCATGGGCATGCCGACGTGACATAGCCGCTGGCGTTGCAGTAGCGGCAGCTCGCTGTGGCTGTGGTGGCATGCCACTTGGTGTCGTGGCAGGTAGCGCAGTTGTAGTGGAGGCCTGTTGTAGACAGATTAGTAAGGTAAGGTAATGAGAGGCTCTTAGTCGTGGTTGATAGTTACTTACCAGGCATTTTGGATGGGGGTTTGTGGGTTTTGAAGGGAGAGAGTTGTCGAGAGTTGCTTTGAAGGCGAGAAAGCGGAGTGGATGGTGTGTTTGGTTTGGAAGCTGAGATGGGAAGATGAGGCTGATGGTTGATGTGATGATGGAGATGTTCTGGAAAAGCGACAAGACAGGAGTTTACGACCATATTTATGTTTCTCTGAACTGCGCTTTCTCTGCTGCCACATTGTTGTCCTCGGCAATCAAGCAGGCCATCGCCAACAACGAGTGTCTCTTGCCACTTGTCCCAACCGGGCGGGGCAACGGCGTGGAATGTCCAACTCGCAGTGTCAAACGATCGTGAAACTGTCCATGGCTTACACTGGCCTCTGGATACAGTACAAATCGACTAAGCCGGTGCCGTTATCATGTCATCCAGGCTAGGCAATCTCAGGCAGCCCTGTGCCTTGATTCTCACGTTGGCCCTAGGAAACGAGGCCGGGGCTTTGGAGCGAGGAATGAATCCGTGCGGTCCAAGGCACTCAAAGTCGCCGTCTTGTGCCAGGAACAAGGTTGCGCCACCTTCGCCCTGACCGATTCTCACCCGGTTTCTGGATGGGGGCGGCGGCGGTGGGCTCGAGTCGGAGAACTCATATTAGTCGCCCACAAATTAAACTCGCCAGGCAGGCAAGCCATGAAATAGGAGAGTTGCTGCTATTCTTGGTTGGTACGACAAGATCTGAGTGAGCCGGCGGCCTCGTTGCGGGCACGACCAAGGCGTCGTTGAATTGGGTTGCTGCCTGGCCCTGGTGCGGTTGCACTGCTCGGCGTGCATAGTTACCTCCCTCGTACATACCAACTCGTCAAAGAAGTGTGACACACCGCGGCCTGGCAGCGCCACGAATAGGTGCGGGGATTCGGGGCCGCGATAACCGACTTCCAATCATCAGCTGTGCCTTTGACCGACACGAATCGCCCGTGGTCAACGCTAAAGGAGGAGTCTCGCACCTTTTCCTCTTGGGGTGTTTTGCGGGACCAGGTCTGCCTGCCTCTGCGCTGCCTGTTCGCTTCGCAGCTTGGCCCAAAACAACTCTATTGCCTCATTTGTGTTAATTGCAAGTCAGCACCGCACCTCCCTGCTATTGGAATGGCACCAACAACCAGGTAAGCACTCTACTTTGTCCCCGTATCCTTATCAAGAATCCAATCAGCACCGTCGATGAAAGCATCATGACTTGGTGTCTTCCTCATAAGGCGCCCTTAAAATCCGACCAGGCCGATGGCTCGCTCAAATAGGAACCGTGCCGTCAAGAGTGCCTGCCGTCAAGAGTGCCTGCCGTCAAGAGTGCCTGCCGTCAAGAGTGCCTGCCGTCAAGAGTGCCAAGACCCGTCTGGGCAGCCAACCAGCTGCAAGTTAGCTCACCCAATAGCCCTGGAGAGGGTGTGTACACTTAATGGCAAGCAGCCTTGGTGCTGATATAGTCCCCCCTCACGGCGGCCGTCAAAGCAAAAGCGCAATTGTACCAAGCAGCTGCACCGCCCAAAGGCCAAGTTAACGCCGACCCTGGGTCTCCGAAATTGCGCGCGGGGCTGTCCCCCTTTGATCCGCGGCTGGGCCGGAAATTTTCGGACTCTTACATGTTACACGACATCATGCACTGCACCGAGAACGAAAGACATGGAGTGCAATTTGCTCATGTAGGGTAAGGTATATAACGTCATCTAAACTTTGTTCAGTGTGTTACTATATGGAAGCCTTGGACCTTTCTGCAGAGCTTTCAGAGCTTTCAGCCGTCAGCCAAGGCTCCAAGTCTCGACCAAGCACCAACATGATCCAAATGGGAACGCCCCAGAGTGTACGACACCCCGCAATAGCGGGTAATATGCCAAAACGGTGGATGTCAGCAGCGGATACGAGGAGCAGAAGAGTCTAGCCAGCGTCTTACAGACCCCCCCTCCCCCTTCCCTCCAAGGGCACCACAGACAAGTAAGCAGAGTGTAACAAGAGAGGGGATCATGATTGGTTCTTGGCGCGGCGACCTTGTACTTTGTCTCTAACACGCCAATGGAGCACGAGAATTAAAAAGAAATGAAGTGGCTCTAATTAAGGTTATTAGTGAAAAACTTGGCACCAGGAGTACTCTCATCAACAGAGTGTGCAGTCAGTCACGCCCTTATCAGCTTTAAAGGATGCTTAACAATTAAAAACTAGACCAGGGTGGACGTGATCAAATGCCGCGGGATTTCATACTCGACAAAGCTGACAAATTTGGAGTTGGTGAATGTCCGTCGCGATCATCCCAACACCCGGTTCTCCCCTGGGACTGGTTGCCTTATGTCAGCCTGCCCCATCCAGAGAAGTCAGAGCCACGGGTCGGGCGGGTTGGCTTGGGAGATGAACCACGCCTCCACGCGCCGCCAAGGCCATAGCTACCCTCACCGCTCAACCAGTTTCAGCCAAAGAAAGTGCCTCCCGGTCGTCCGATCAGACGCAGATCGGCTAGACATGCAGAAATGAGCATCAAGTTTCAGTCCATTTCTGGGCATCGGGCGCGCCCCGAATAGCGCCGCGCTGACAGGCCAGAATCTGGCACTTTCCTTCAATGCAGGCAACCGAATTCAGCAAGATCTCTATATATTGCCGTGCAAGGCACCCCATAACTATTAGGCACCCCCTTCACCAGGGGCATCCCCCACGGAAACACGACACAGGAAAACATCAGCGTCACCACCGAACCAAGCCGTTCCCCCACCCAAGCACAGCTCCGCAAAATATCAGAAACTGCAAAATATCAGACGCTGCAAAATATCAGACACTGCAAAATATCAGGCACTGCAAAATGCCACCCCCTCTCACGCTACCCCGTCCAGATCCTCCACACCAGCTCAACAGACCCCAGACAAGCACCTAACAACCTAGGCCGCCCGCCAACCGTCCTGATTACAGTAGCGGCAGCAGCCAAGGGAGCACCTCGATGAGTATAAACGTCGCCAGCAGGAGTACCTGGCGCGCGTCGCCCTCGGTGAACTCTCTGGGCTCCAACAGCGCATCTCCTCGTCCCTCGACAACGCGGTCTACCCCGAACGCTACCGCGCCCTGAACACCACGGACCTGCGTCCGATCGAACCACTCGCGCCAGAGCCGCACGACGCCCGCGTACGCCCCGGTGAACCCCGTGACGATGTCCGCGTCGACGGCCGCGCCCGCTACGTTGACGGGGCCGAGCGGCAGCGTGCCGTCGCGCCACGCCCGCAGCAGTGCCATGGCGCGCTCCCTGTCCACCGGACGCTTGAATTTGGGGGGATCGGCTCTAGCGGTGACAAAGACGTGGTGGTCTAGGGAAAAGGGGAAAGCGGCGCGCTTGATCCCGCCGGTCCACACGTCGGCCGGGCAGTCGAGCAGGCAGCACATGAGCCAGATGACGTAGTCGAGCAGGTCGTCGCCGTCGAACGGCTGTGGCGGCACCAGCAGGCGCGGGACGGCTTCGCTGACGTCGGTCAGGTTGTGCATGCGCTCGAAGTCGGCCGCTACGGCGCGCGCGACGGGTTCAGAGTTGAGGGTCGAGACGAGCGGGCGGACCATGCGCTCAGCGAACAGCACGATCGTGTATACGTGGTATGCTCCTGGTCCCGTGGCGGGGAGGGACCCGGTGGGGATGGAGTGGGTGGTCGATGTGGGGATGGCGGACGTGGTGCTGTTGCTGGTGACGGGCGACGCGCTGAGAGGGCGGGTGGGTTCATTATGGGAGACTCGGGAGATTTTTGACTGTGTCTGGGTGCTTACCTGATAGTCCCGGCCACGCAGAGCACAGTCATGACGGACGCTGGGAGTGGGAGGTGCATGGCGAGATCCGGGTATGGATTGGCTTTGGAGATTCTGGTGGCGAGACTGGTGAGCGGTAACTTGATGGATGACTTGAGCTGTGATCGAGACTGTGTTCTATCCTGGCATTTATACCGGTCTCCGGAGCCACAGCGAGGCTCTTGTCGACTGTCGAGCGTCTGTCTGCCTGCCTGCCTGCCTGCCTGCCTGCCGTCCCAAGGACTTCAGCTCGCCACACATCGCCAAGCGGCCCTCGCCATCCATCGCCGAGACTCGGCGACAGCACATGGCCGTCAACATGGTACGGCCAAGAAGATCTGTGGTGCATGAGCCTCCACCAGCTTGCCTGCCAAGTGTCTGGCGGCCCTATCAGACCCGAAGCTCTTGATTCCGGGAATTATGACGGCTCATCTCCGCAACCCGTGATTCAAGCACCGTGTCTCCCAAGCCGCCATTGCGAATCCCCTATCTAGAAAGCGACCGTACCTCTGATACTCCTTAGGGCTGAGGCTCAGGCTAGTGCAGGGCTGCAGTGCTTCTGGGCGCCAATCGATTGGGCTACACACGGTGCGGCTGATGGCGCTTTCTCGTCCCCGCGCCCAGTCTGGCCAGTGCAGCCCCTGATTGCTGCAGAAACCAAAGCGTGCTCTGCGATGCGTGCAAGCAGCAAAATGTGGGTCTCGCTGGGCTGAGCGAACAGACATGCGGACCGAGCTGCTGATTGGAGGTCGACCAGCTGTCAGCAACGGCCGCCCCTGATGCCACCAAGAAAGTATGTTCACAAATAATTAATGCCTTTGGCACAACGTGTTCGACCTTGCGCACAACGGCACAAGTTTGTTCCGTCTGTTCTCTTTCGCTTGCTTACATCAACACTGAAACAGTTGAGTCTTCGATCCCCAAACTTTTAGGGCTGAAATTATACTCGACCCCGTCCATCAGCTGATTGCTTATTTGTGACTTTCAAATTTGAGAGGGCCCATTCAACAAAAGTCTAACCTGCGAGTTCGGACCTGGCGTCCGACCTCGTCCGATTTCTTCGTCACCACGAAGCAACCGAGCTGCATAACTCGCCCGGAATTAATCTTGTCCGGTGTGGGTCTGACTTTATAAATGCTGCCATGTTCTTCCACTGGTTGATACGGCAATCGGGTTCAACACATACAAATAAATCTCTGATCCAAGTCGGTCCACACCTGTCATCTCGTTCATCTTTCAAATAACCAACTTCATGTTCCAACACACTTAACCCCACAATGAAGGCCGTCCTTGCCACCACCTCTCTCATCGCCGCCTTTCTCACCAGCATTTCTCCAGTCAATGCAGCAGAAGACTACTCAATCCCTGGCTACGGCACGGTTCCCATCTCGTGAGCCGTCGAGACGACTCCAGGCGGCCGTAGGGTGACGCTCAACGGGACAGTGCAGGAGGTGCACGCGCAGCTCGCCGGCCTCAACCATAACTACGATGTCGAATTCGCGCCCATCCTGGCCGCCAAGCGCGACGCCGGCGGCGGGGCCCCTCCTCGCCTGCCGCCATGCTCCAGGGCAGAGGCCTCGGAAAGCGCGACTACACCCAGTGAGGCTACCCTAGCGCCTCGTATCTCCCCATCAGAGACGGCATCACCTACCTCCGCTACCGCGTCAGCGGCCACCCCGGCAGCGGCCCGGGGACGAACAACCGCGGCCGCGTGAGCTGCTCGTACCGCTCGGTAATTTGGTGGTGCAACGAGGTTGATCCAATTCCCTTTTTGATATAGTTTTACTCGTAAGCTCGCTGACAGGCAGCCCCGGTGGCCGACAAACACCACAGAGCCCGGTCACCACAGAGCTCGGTCACCACAGAGCTCGGTCACCACAGAGCCAGGTCACCACAGAGCCCGGTCACCACAGAGCCCGGCCACCACACAGCTGGACGGCTGGGGCCCTGTTGCCGACGCGGCGCAGACTATTATCGACGACTGTGCGTCGCAAATCGCCTGCGTGTCTAGCTAGCGCAATGATGATGCTGGAACGTCGTCATTCGCGCTGCCCCCTGCTAGGGCTCGGAGAGTTCTGTGTTGTCCTTTGTCGTGGCGCGTCGGAGTCAGGGGGTTACTTTACTGCTGTGTGCCTGCCTTTGATGTCTGGATCCGTTGGTTCAATTTCCCCTGGTTCAATTTCCCCTGGCTCAATTTCCCTTGATTCACCCACTGCAGAGTTTAGTACGTTTATGAAGGTTCAAAGAAGGGTGCTCGTGGTCGAATCGTGTCAAATAGGACGCAAACCGGAACTAAACTATGACGCTGGCTTGTGGAGCGAGGCTCGGCTGAGCAGGCCATTTCCCATACGCATTGCTAAATCCCTTACCATACACCGACCTACACCACTCCTTGTCGCGTCGCGTGCACCAGTGCAGTCCATCCCGAGTCAAGACGTGTCGGAATGGCTTGGGAGGAGGAATACAAAGCCAGTATCACCCACGGATATTGCGATGCATGGAACCGCAGAGCCTTTCGTTTGCACCTAGGGCCCGACGCAAGCTTTGGTGTCCGAGATCCGCCGACATGGTTCTCCATCACTCCACCGCCAGTCCTGTCTTCCATCGGAGCCACCCGCACACGCCTTGTCCATCAATACCTCATTCGCCAACATCACCGAACCCGCTTATATGCCCGGCCGGCTCTGTGGACCGCACAACACCTGCAGCTCCTGGACTGCCACTTCATAATAGTAGCGCAAGAGCGCCGGCCCAAGAAGGAGACCGAGAAGCGCGATGCATCCACCGCCCCTCCCCCCCCCCCAAGACGCCGTTCGCTCCATGCCGCCAACTTGACAAGCCGGCTGCAATCTGCGTCTGATGCAGCGGCGCAGACACTCGCCATCGTTAATCTCCTCGACGCGTGCGACATCTATATGTTCTTTCTGGTGACGGCTGCGGCATGAGGGTCCCGTACATGCAGGGTGGGCGAAAATTTTTCAATATCCCTGTCAATCCATATCGGTTATCGGCCTTATCGGTCGATATCGGTCAATATTGATTCAATATGGCTCGCACGGACCCGATATTTACATCAATCCGCCTCCTCGATATTTTCAAGATATCCGACCTCCGCTATAAGACCTGACCTAATCCAGTGCTTTAAGCACTCAAGCATCTCAATAGTAGCCTCCCCTAGTTGCATCCTTTCCCACGATATCGTCCGACGGGCCCCAGAAAAGACTCGTTCTGGCTCAGCGCTCATTGCTGGTATCGAGAGGATATTGATCGCTAGTTGAGATAGCTTTGGCCAGCGGATCCGTTGTTGTGGATGGAGCCACCATGATAGAGCTGACCCTGTAATTTGAAGAGGTGGCTCTGATATATACTCCTCATATTCATCTTGACTTGGTGGCCTGGGAAAGTTTTGTAGGTTCCGAAGGAGAATATCGTAATCATCTTCTTGATCTTGAGCCCTTTGATCTGGCGTTGGGCTCAAAACTCCCGGTATAAGGACCTCTTGGTGTTGTTTGAAGTTGACCCAAAGATTCTTGACTGCCTGGAGTGTTGGTTTGATCCATTTCTTCTCCCAATTATATTTGAGGTACTCGCTCTTTCTTGACGGATGAAGGAGTATTGCAGCTATATAATAAGGGGAATCCTCGGTTTTGAGATAGTATTTATCGAAGGTCTTCCAGCTTTGTTGGATCCTTACTGAGAGGAAAGGGTTAGACTTGAAGGCCTTATAGCTTTTCTTATAATGTTGAACAAGAATGTCTAACGTGCGTGATAAGCGAGCGGTGAGGATAAGCGAGCGGTGACTTTTCTACTACCTAACCATAATAATCCTGAATTACACAACCACAACACTAGGAAATAACAATAACTGAATCAGAAACAGATGAATCAGACGATTCTGCAGCCTCCTTGCAAGTGCGCGCATTATGGCAAGGCTTGCCACACACACCACAACACCGAATCTTCGTACGAGACCCCCCTGTACCACCACCACTTTGTCGTATTTCCTGGGCCACCTGCTCACCCACAGCCTTCTGATCCAGTAGATCCTGTGCCTCTTGTACAGTAAGTGAGCTTCCAAGCCGTACACGTGTTTTTTGAGCCCTCCGTCGCTTACTGAGCCCCTCATTGGCCTTTCGTAATGCCGAGACCTCAGTACGTAGAAGAGCCACCTCGTGCATCACAGCCATTGTACCTTTGGCTAGTCGATCCACAGCAGTAAGCATTGAGGTTGGAGAGCTGCCCTGATGGTTGGAAATTCGCGTTTTAATAAGTGTTGACTGTGAGGTGGCCATATGCCTTCTTTAATGGCGAAAAACAGCCAACATCTAATGGCTGAAGTAGGTGTGAAGAGCGTGGAGCCATACAGAGCGTAATAATGTTGTGTTCCTGGCAGTAAGCCTCGAATTCTTCGGAGTGGTGGCTATCGTGGCCGTCAAGGATTAGAAGCCGATATTTGCCCTTTGTACGAGACGCTGTGTGCAGATCGAAATGCCGAATCCAATCCATGCCTTTCTCATTCGTAGTCCAGCCATTGTCAGTTGTTGCAATACGCCAGGTGGCCGGAAGGTTGCATTCTTGATACCAGTTGGCAAGGTGATATTGCCCAGCCAAGATGATAAATGGTGGGATGGCCCAGCCAAGAGAATTCACCCCCTGGATGACTGTAGCCCACTCTCGATTGCCAGGCTGGGCCTGTTTAGCCCTGCCACGGCTATCTGAGGTAGTAACTACCATAGTGGGGGTGATAATGCCAATCATAAAGCCAGTCTCATCGAAATTATACGTATCTTCGTCAAGGATGCCGTACTTGGCCTTAGTGTTATACACAAGGGCAAACCACTCGCGAATAATCTTTGGATCTTCGCATTTAGCCCTCTGGTAGTCGTATTTACGCGAAAAACGCGTCTGGAGCTCTGGCTGGCGTTTGACGAAGTTGTGAGCCCAGCGTTTGCCGACAGGGGACGCGCCACGTTCGCGTAACAGTCGGTTGGCCATATCTTCCACGTAACAAAGCCGAGGGTGGAATGCGCGTGCACATAGCTCAGTAATGTACTGAATAATCGTATTCTCTTCTAAATCCGTAAGCTTGCGTGAGTTGGCTGGAATATCGCGTCGTGCAGGCCGGCCGTCGCGTCGGGCGGTAAGGGTTGTTGGTAGTATGTTGTAGATTTTAGCTACGCGTTGAAGTTTGAGCTTTGGGTTGTCTTTGATAGCTTTGAGGGCTAGAATAATTCTAGATTCGGCCGGAAGCGAATCCATGGCGAATTGGTGGTAGAATTGGTGAAAGAGGGTGGAAGGTCGCGTCACGCTAGAAAAGTCACCGCTCGCTTATCCTCACCGCTCGCTTATCACGCACGTTATTGTAAGAAGAATCCGGTCGATTATTGCGCTATCTCCTTCGGTATCTTTTATTGCTCGAAAAATGGTTTAAGACTAAATTGACCGAAGGATCTCCCAATCTTGTGGTGAAAGGAAGTCGATTTTAAGGTCTTCAAACCATATTTTCGAATAAGTATCGATAGCTGGATATTTCTCAAGAGCAACATTTACCATCTCGTACCAACTATTCCATCTTGTGCTATTATCAAGAGGAATTATTCGGCTAGCGAGCTCCTTAAATTGAGCGGTACGAGATGGGGATCTACGAATATGAACGACAATATTGTGAAGTTTTCCAAGGGGGCCGATATTACGAAAAGATATCGATTCTGGCTCTTTTTTCTCCTCCTCTTCCTTCTCCTTTTGAAAGAGAAAAGTTTAGACTGCAAGGTTGATGATATGCCCATTACATCGAATTCGGTTATCGGATACGTTCACCTAATATCTTCTTCCACAAATTTTTCTCCCAAGGAGCCGGCAAAGTTTATCGTTTGAAGAAGCGTTATCCCCAATAATAGCCCCGAGCTTAAATTGAATCCCAAAGTCTTCGAGGATCTTGAAAAGAGCGTCGTACTGAACCTCGGCATGGTATGAACGAATAGAAGGTAGAGCGATTAGAGCCTTAACTAACTGCTCTGTACTATACTCTACAAACTGAGCGCAAACCCCTAAGAATAGCTTCTGATTTGGCGAAGTCTATACGTCAAGGCTGAGATGGATTGTCGATATTGCTGATTGGAGCTTCTTCCGGACCGTATCTTTGTGAATAACAAATACTTTTGCAACTTGTGACCGGAGTGCTGAATGTGACGAAATGAGGTTCTTTGCCTCTGGGTTGAGGGTTATACAAAAGGCATGGAACTCCCTACTTTCAACGAGCCGGAAAGGGAGATTGTGGAGGATGATAAGAGATAGAAGAGCTGAATTAATGGTATCTTTGACTAGGACCTTCTTCAAGACCTGTGAATCTAGCTCGGTCGTTTGGCTCAGTGTGATCTTAGCGATACGAACTGCCTTTCCCAAGACAATATCGTGTTTGCGAAGAAGATGCTGCCGTACGTTTGTTGTACTTCGGCCAGACCATGAGCAATATGAACAATAGAAGAGTCGATTCTTGCCCTTGTGGGTAGGCTCGGATTGATGTGGCTTGCGAATATGATCTTCGAGGGTAAACGAAGCAGTAGTAGTAATAGTATCTCGAGATATAACCGACCCTTCTTCAGGGTCATTTATAGAAGCCATCATAGAGGCCATAATAGTAGGATATGATGGGTTTGAGGGCGTTGACAGCGTCAAGAGGGGCTAACGAACACGGAGCGGGGTTGTATGGAGATGATGACTAATCAGTCAATATTGACCGATATCGGCAATATCGGCTTATCGATAAATATCGATATATTGATCGTTTTTTTATTGACAGCCCAGCCTGCGTACATGTGCGTGCCCGTCTTTTTGATCGATTCCTTCGTTACCGGGTTGCTGACGTGCTTGGGAGCTAATTAGGCGCGCTGAGTTATCTATCTCTTTCAATGGCCGCATTGCAGACACTCTCCTCACCGACGGCATGTTCACGTGCAATGGCGACATCCCGGTCCTAGCCTACGTCAACCTCGACCCGGCGAGTTTCTTGGATAGGTTTGACCACCCAGCACAGTCCTTCCCAAGCTGTCCCATCCAGATTTCGTATCTGAGTATTCCCCTCACATCTCCAAAGAGGCTTGTATACACATTGTGAAAGATAGTGCAAAAGGGGAATAATTGAGGTTGGAACCAGCCAACCAGGCCTGCTGTAATTCTGTGACTACTACATCGTTTGTAAAGATTCCGGCATGATTCCTGTAATCTTCTGAGCTTTGGTACATTGGCCTGAAATTTCTGATATGACTCAAGGCGGAACACGTGTGTTGGGTGGGATAACACAAGGTAGATACCACCTAGAACTAGTAGTTACCACTTGCTTGGGTCTTGTCTCAAGCAGATTACTTATTTCAACCTGTTCTATTGTCGATGGATCACGATATGACTCTATACCGGGCACTCTGACTTTTTATCTGTCCCCCTAAAAATATCAAGGACCTTCAGCGGCTAGCAATAGCTTCACGATCTCGTCTTTTCCATCCTTGCGAGCAGTTTCCAGGGGTGTCAATCCCTCTTCATCTCGTGCTTTGACATTAGCACCATTTTCAACCAAAATCTGCACCGTCTTCGATGCGTTACGCTAGCTTCGCATAGCATAGTGTAGTGGTGTCTTGCTGTCTTTGTTTCTTGATTCGATACCGGCACCCTTCTGGAGCAAAATTTGCACCGTTTCGTCCATTCCGTGATCGGCGGCATTATGCAACGGCGCATCTCCCCTCTCATCTATCGACCCAATTTTGGCGCCATTCTGCAGCAAAAATTCCACTACCTCCTTGCTTCCCGATCTTGCTGCATAGTGTAGCGGAGTCGAATAGCTTCTATCCATCGCTTGGATATCGGCACCATTTTCAACCAAAATCTGCACCGTCTTTAGTACGTTAACCCCCCACCATCGATTAGCATAGTGTAGTGGTGTCTTGCCGCCTTCATTTCTTGATTCGATATCGGCACCATTCTGGAGCAAAATTTGCACCGTTTCGTCCTTTCCGTAATCGGCGGCATTATGCAACGGCGTATCTCCCCTCTCATCTATCGACCCAATTTTGGCGCCATTCTGCAGCAAAAATTCCACTACCTCCTTGCTTCCCGATGCTGCTGCATGGTGTAGCAGAGTGCAGTAGTATTCATCCATCCCTCGGGCATTAGCACCTCTTTCGACTAAAAGCTGTACGGCCGCCATTTGGCCATTACCAGCGGCGTAAAACAACGAAGTTCGTCTGTGACGGCCTTTAGTTTCTATCCCAGCCCCCGCATCGAGAAGAAGCTACACCACTACCGTGTCCCCAGAGCGTGCAGCTAAAGTTAATGCAGTGTATAAACGGTAGTCCTTTGCCTCAATGTCCGCACCACCCTTCACCAGAGCAACTGTGACAGCTGTATGCCCGCCCTCAACTGAAAAGTGGAGTGCCGCCTTAGCCGTGGCAGCTCTTGATGAGACATCAGCTCCTTTGTCGAGTAACAGCTTGATGGCGCCGACGTGGCCCTGTTTTGCAGCAAACGTCAACGGTGTCATGCCATTCTCTTCTTTCCGATCGATATTGACCACGTGGCTAATCAGCAGTGCCATGGATCTTGTATGACCATGTTCAGCAGCTAACGACAGCGGAGTTCTTTTACCAGCTTGCGTCTCTGTGGATTCCCCGCTAGAGAGCAGCATATTGATGATTGCCTCACTTCCTTGCTCAACGGCAGAGCATAGTGGCGTGTAATCGTGAAAGGCCTCTTCCCAAGGTTCCGCGCGAGCTCCGTTGTCCAGGAGCACCCTGACAATCGTTTCGCGGCCATTCTTGACGGCCCATAGTAGCGGTGTCTAGTTCCCCTTATCCTTGGTGTCTATGCAAGCTTCGCTCTGAAGAAGCAGCCTTACCACAGGCTCGTGGCCATTCATGGCGGCCCGGAAAAGTGGAGTTAATTGGAAGCGTCTGTTGACTCGACATTGGCGCCTTTTTCGAGCAAAATCTCGACAACACTTGCATGTCCGTTCGTAGCGGCCCGGAGAAGTGGCGTTAAGTTGGAAGCGTCTGTTGACTCGACACTGGCGCCTTTTTCGAGCAAAATCCCGACAACACTTGCATGTCCGTTCGCAGCGGCCCGGAGAAGTGGCGTTGAGTCGGAAGCGTCCGTTGACTCAATATCGACGTTCTTATTGAGCAACACCCGAACAACGCTGCCATGGCCGTTTGCGCTAGCGACCTGCAACGGTGTCTCGTTGCGCGTATTTCTCATCTCTAGCGGAGTTTCATTATCCAGCAGGAATTGGACAGCGGCCTCGTCGCCTCTTGCGGCGGCGACCACGAGCTGGTTAATATGTAGTCTCTCCACATGCCTTGCAAGGTTGTCAGAACGGCTTGTGCCCCATTCACAAAATGGACACTGCGAGATCTCCCGATTGCGAGAGTGTGTCTGTCGATGTCGCTCAAGATCTCTCTTGGTGCCGAATGCGACCGGGATATCCTTTCTAGAACACCCGACCTCAGTACAGAAATGCTTCTTGACATGACATCGCTTGTGCTGGCTATTAATTTCACGCAGTCAGCATATAAACTTCGGTGTTATTCTTGTGAACTAAGAGACGATGAAGGCAGTAATAAGCACCTGAGATGCTGTGCAGACTTACAAACACGGTTGCACTCGCTGCACACCGCCATGTTCAGCGGCTTCAACTGTGAAAATGAGGTAGATACTAGGCAGCACGAAAACAGTCAGTTAGGGCTGTGACAAATGCTGCGGAACACACCAAGGGAAATGATTGGAATCCAAAATCCGATACAGCAGGTCCTGGTTGGACGAAGCCGTCATGTTGCCGCCCACTTGCAGCGTGGTGGCGTTTTTTGGCTGCAACCTTTCCACCCTATTCACTCTATTCTTCACACTGTGCCCCGAGACAGCACAGCGTCACAGGGTGGTGGTGTGGCTTGGCTGCAGAACTTCCACCCTATCCATGCCCCCAAAATCGAACAGGCAACAAGGCATTTTCTCTACTCGGGCTCTGGCCATAAGCAGCATTGCCAAAGTACTTTCCCTGGCTCCGTCCCTCTTTCCTCTCCACCACTTTCTCGACCCCCTTCTCTTTTGCTCAGCGTCTCTTCAAGGAATTCACGCGTCCTCTGCAAATTACGAGTTTGATAGTTAGTTGTTTACCTTCTCGTCTCTCTCGAAAAAAGAGAGTCAACCGCCCACTGCGATGGCCACCTTCGATTTTGCGTTCGAGGCCAACAATATCACCACAGGCTTCGGACTGGATCCCAGTTCCCTTTCTTGGCCATCGATGAGCAACCTTGATCCGGCCGCTCCTCATTTAATACTTGAGGCTCGGTGAGTCGAGCTTCTTTTTTTTTTTACTGACCCACTTTTGGAGGCCACAACATTTGGTTAATGAACTTCACCATGGCCATGCCTGTTCGCCATTCACACACCAATGCGTCGACGCCACGTGCTTCGCAGATTTCCCGACCTGGAAAAGCCTCCACGAACATGCCAACCAGACCGGGCACCTTCCCTTTGGCTGCTGGTGCGGCAAGCTGTTCAAGAGAGCTGACGCTCTCAGCCGCCACGTCACCCCTCCATCAATCGAGTGCGAGTTTTGCACCAACCACGACGGTACAAAGCCTTTCGCCGGCTCGACCACCTCCGCTAGCATCTGCTCGTGTTTCACAAATTCTACAAGAAGGCTCTCGACTCGTACTTCAAATCTCGCGCAGAGAAGGCACGGGCCTGAGACCATCCCACCAGACCCCCCACTACTGGCATAGTGTTGAGGGGTGTGGGCATTCCCTACTTCCTTATGCACCTCCCCCACCATCTTGTGCACGTCTTGTGCAAGCCTTATGCCAGTTGGATTTTGTCACGCGCATTCACAGGGCAACGGAAATGAAGCATTTGATGCAGGGAGGTAAGGCTTGAATTGTCTGAAAAGGTCTAATCTCTTGTTTCCTTTGGCAGGGCCAAAAGTCTCTTTTTTATAGTTATGAATAGTGGCAAAAGCTGGTGGCGAAGAATCACATAGCAGTTTCTAGATCTTTCTTGCTCACTAATCCCAATATTGTGACAGATTTCCTAGGCCGTCGTCTTCACTTGCCCTCCAACCCCGCCCCCCACCCAAGCACGCCTGTTAGACACATTTCTTCGTCACTCGTTCTACAATCAGATTGTTGCCCAGCTTTCACAACCTCCCCATCCTTTCCCTCTTTTGTATCAGATAGGTGCCCAGTGAGCGTTATTAGCACCCCCAAAAAATACAGTCATTTTCTTGCCGCTTCTTGCCGCGCAACCACCAATGGGCCACAAGCTGCATGCGCACTCTAGTGATGTGTCGTGAATTGCGATACTGTCACACTTTCCTGCCACACCTTCAATTCATTTCAGTGACAGTTCCCTCCTTCGATGCTGCTCATCACCATAACAAACAGTGTAAACCCGGCTCTGCACATATGACCCTTCCAAGTTCTGACATGCCGACCGTGGAGCTCACTGCCGACATCGGTCATCGACGCCCCAATACCTCACAGACACTGACAGCTCACCTCCACAGCGGCGGCCCTGGGAACGGATACTCCGTCAGCCCTCCATACACATTAACATGAATCCCTGGATCCTCGGCATTGTAAAACTCGACGGGCGACACCCCGCCGGCGATCTCGGTGGCGCCGCCGGCCGTGATGTTGAGGTTGACGCACTGCGGGTACGCCTGCGCGCCGTTGACGTCCTAGGCGCTATGCAGCGCGAGGATCTCGTGGCGTAGCACGTACAGCCCAGCCGCGAGGTTCGCGGGCACGTGGACGCGCCACCGGTAGCCGTCCTGGCGGAAGTCGTCGACGACCCACGCCTTGAGCCAGTCGGTGGCGGCCGTGGCGCCGGGCTTGAGGGCCCGCTGCGCGAGCTTGACGAACTTTAGCTGCGTCTTGTCGGCACCGGCGCAGCCGCCTGCCGAGGGACACGGCGCGAGGTAGTCGATGATGGGCCCGACGTGGCTCTCGGGCCACGTGAGCCACTGCAGCGTGACGTTGGCGCCGGCGCGCACGGCGACGTACTCTTGGCCCGGCCGCGCCGACTTGTGGCAGATGATGTCCGGGTCCGCGAAGCTCTGCGGCCCCACGAACCCAATGTCCGGGTTGTCGGCGTACCACCCGGCCACGCGCGGCGCGGGGTCCTGGTACCGGAACCCCGGGTCGTAGCCCCGGTACTGCACGCCCTCGGCTTCGATGTACTGCACGAAGCCGTGCGCGGCGACGTGGCCTGCGGCGAGGACTGTGAGGACTGCGAGGTTTGAGAGTGTCATCTTTTCTGCATGGGATATGAATGTGGATGAGATTATGAAGAGAGCTCCCAGCTTCCAAGGGAAGGGGGTGTTGGAACCTGTAGATATATCCCGGGGGCCATCATTGGCGCTCCCTCATATCAACTAGTCCCACTGCCGTGGCTGTATCCCGGTCTGCGGTCCCTATTAACTTGTCGAGCCTTTTCCACCAATGTGAGTGTCTGCTTTCTGGATAAATAGACGTGCGAGTTGCAACCTAGCATTCGCGTAACTGTTCACCGTTTATTTAGCGAAGAAAGTTCAGCCAAGGCGTGCACTCTAATTATCCGTGTCCTCCGTACCGGGGTTTCTTTTGGCTAATCAATACCCAGTCCGGGGAAAGGTAAAAACTGGGCCTAAGCAACTCGTTCCAAGAGCTCGATTGCGGTAAAGGGTCAGTCGCAAGTCAGTATTCTATTTCTTCCTTTTTTAGTCAATCCCACAACATCTCACACGAGAGAAATCGTCAATCGGGCAGCCTCAGATTTCACAGACGAGTGGCTTTATCATTAATTTAGCAAACTCTAGTTTTATTGACCCACGCGAGCCATCTCCTGTTTGATGGGCCCCCATTCACCTCTTCCACCCCTTTGGCCCAGCCCAAGTACCCTTGACCATATAGTTCTGGTACACCCACGGGAAAAAGTCCTTCTTGAGGCGGTAGAAGGCACGGCGGGGCTCGACCTGGTCGATGCCGAACCAGCGGTTGAACGTCTCCTGGGGCACGCCGCCGTACTTGAACTCGGCCAGCAGCACCTTGCCGTACTCGGTCACGAGCGGGCACGACGTGTAGCCGTCGTAGATGGACTCGGGCTCGAGCGCCTGCCCGTCCATGGTGCGCAGCAGGTTGCGCACCAGCACGGGCGCCTGCGCCGTGATGGCCGCCGCCGTCTTGGACGTCGGCAGGCTCGACGCGTCGCCCGCCGACCACACGTTGGCGTAGTTGCGCGACTGCGTCGTGCCGTCGTCGACGTCGACGAACCCCGCCTCGTTGGCCAGCGGGCTGTCCTTGACGAACGCGTGCGGGCCCATCTTGGGCACCGCGTGGAGCAGGTCGAACTCGCGCGTCACTTGCTGCTTGTCGGCGCCGCGGGTGAAGACGGCCTTGTTGCCGTCTACAACGGCGACCAGGTCGTGCTCAAACAGGCCCTCGACGCCGCGCTCCTGCCGCAGCTCCTCGAGCTTGGCGCTGTACTTGGGCACGCCGAACATGGTCGGGAGCCCTGTGGCGAAGGCAATCTTGATGGGCGAGCTCGGGTCAGAAGGCATGTATCGGCCAGCGCGCTTCCAGTGGTCGAGGGCGAGCCACATGGCCTTTTGGGGAGCGCCAGCGCACTTGACGACGCCGGCGGGCTGGGTGAAGATGGCGGCACCCTTTTGCAACTTCTGCACCGTGTTAAATACCTTGTCGCAGGTCTCGTAGCCGTAGATGGACGACACCAGAGAGTCTGGATCGGCCAGGGCCTCGGGCAGGCCCTTAATGCTGGCATAGTTGATGCTGATGCCGGGCGCGACGACGAGCTGCTCGTAGCCGAGTTTGTCGCCGTTGCTGAGCGTGACAAGGTTGTCCTCGGGCGAGAAGGCGCGCACGCCATCGTTGTAAAATTTTAGTTTGGCGTCGATCAGACTTTTCAAGGGCTGCCGCAGGTCCTCCTTCTTCTTCAGCCCGCCCCCGACCAAAGTCCATCCGGGCTGGTAGTGGTGCCACTCGGCCGGGTCAACGACGGCCAGGTCATCCTGAGAAAATCTACCCGTCCGGAGCAGTTGATAGACGATGGCCAGACCGGCACTGCCGCCGCCGACGACAACGACCCTGTGGCTGTGGGCCGGAGACGCTACGGGCGGCGCGGTGGCTGTCGCAAGACGGCGGATGGTCTGCGGGGTAATGAATGCACGCGCCCCAGGATAGGCCGCCGAGGCGATGCGAGTGCGCACCATGGTCGTGGTTGGCGTCAGAAATGCGGCGAGGATGCAACGGGCGGAATGAGGTGCCAAGGGAGAGAAAAAATGATGAAAGAGGTAATTAACGAGTGGGAGGTGAAGTGGGAAACAAAGGCCATGAAGCTGATAATGCCGCACTGGAGCGTTGAACGAGTGGCCGCTTTGTGTTCTGGCGCCGTAAAACAGTAGAAATGCGAAATACTAATCGCCAAGTCTGGGTGTTTCAATTAGGTTTTCACCTGATCCACAGTTGCATTGAACCCGCTCAGCCGCCGTGACCGTTCGATGGTGCAATGGTGGAGCCCGAATGGTGACTAGCGACGGCATCCGCATGTGGGGTCGGGATGATCCCCGGAAACGGGGGTGCGTCTGACGTCTGCGCATAGGGGTGTCATTCATGACGATCTCGGCACTATCGCCCTAATTAATTCTCGCGGCTTATTTACCCATCTTTCTTTAATTGTCAAATGCAGCATGATACAAAATTCAAGCCATGATCAAACCGCGCCAACTCCATGCTGGCGTTGCAAAATGGGAGAAGCGGACTTGCCAGCTGCTGGGTCAACCGTCCGCCCCAGTTCTATGCGGCCCCCGTAAATACCCCTATCAAGTGGCACAAAATGCCACCAGAACATACCATGTCTCGAGAAGCATTCGGGAGCCAGTCTACAAACCCCAGCAGTTAACAACAAAAGGCCTTGCGCAATTCACCACAAACTCCCATGCCAATGTCCATGCCGCCCCCTCCGAGCCTGTAATCCACCCCGTCTTCGAGGCCAACACAGGCACCTGGCAGTACGTCGTCGCGGACCCATCGACCAACGAAGCCGTGATCATCGACCCGGTGCTCGACTACGACGCCAGCACGTGCACCGCGTCAACCCACACCGCCGACAACCTCCTCGCCCTCATCCATTCGCACAGCTACACCGTCGACCGGATCCTCGAGACGCACGCGCACGCAGACCACCTGACGGCTGCGGCGTACCTACAACTAAAACTAGGCGCCGCACAAGCCCACAGAAACCACCGGCCGCCGCTGATCTGCATCGGGCGGCGCATCGGCATCGTCCAGACTCTCTTCGGCCAGCGGTACGGTGTGCCGGCCGACGAGCGCGCCGAGAGCGCCTTCGACACGCTGCTCGACGACGACGAGCAGTTCGTCGTCGGGCGCGCGCTGCGCGTCACCGCGCTGCACCTGCCGGGCCACACGCCCGACCACCTCGGCTACATGTTCGGCGGCGCGCACGTCTTCTGCGGCGACTCGCTGTTCCACCCCGACATTGGCTCCGCGCGGTGCGATTTCCCCGGCGGCAGCGTGCGCGACCTCTACGCATCGGCCCGCCGGCTGCTCGCGCTGCCCGCCGCCGTGCGCATCTGGCCGGGGCACGACTACCCGCCGCCACCTCCAGTAAAGGACGACGACGGGACAAAGGAAGAAGGCCACCACCACCACCACCAGCAGCACTCACGCGAGCCGGTCAGCTGGGCGACGGTGGTGGACCACCGCAGGGAGAACAGACACCTCCGCGACGGGATTTCTGAGGAAGAGTTTGTGACGATGCGCGGCGAGCGCGATGCGAGGCTAGGTGCGCCGCGGCTGCTGCACCAGGCGCTGCAGATGAATATTCGCGCGGGGAGGCTGCCGCGGCCGACGCCGGGGTTTGGGGACCGGTTGCTACATGTGCCGATGCGGTTGGGGCCGGGTGTTGGAGAGTGGTGACGGCTTTTGGTGGGGTTCGTGTTTGTTGTGTTTGACGTTGGGGTGGTGAGTTATCTAGGAAAGTAGGTAATTGAACGGTCTGTTATATTTAGGGGTCGACGATGAAAGAATTATACGTTTACGGAATAGTGAACATATCAATTCTCTAGTACTTCTTCTCTAAATAATCAGACAAACAACAGCAAGAACAGATGCAAGACGGGAGACGGGACAGTACAATCATGCTCATGGTTCACCCTCAGTCCAGATAGCCGCCCTTGAAGTTGTTGGCGACCATACTCTCCAGCGACACCCAGTCGTCCTGGCCGAACCACTTCTTGAGCAGGTCCCGGTACAGGGTCTCGTCCGTCGTGATGGAGAGCTGCTTGGAGTCGGCCATGTCGGCCATGAACTTGCGCTGCGGGCGCAGCTTGCGGACGACAGCCAGCATGTCGTTCCAGTTGCCCTTGACGCCCCACGTGTGCATGCGCTTTGCGTTGACATCGGGATCGAGGGCGGCGGCCACGTGCAGGCGCGCCGTGTCGCCGACGTCGATGGCGTAGACTGTTTTGGGAAACAATACCGTGGTTAGTCTTTCAATTCTTTCTTTTTTACTTTAGGAAACCTGTCGCACAGGACGCGGGGGACTCACAAGCAGGCATGCCATTAAGATTGTCCGTCCTTTCGTCTGTGACCCAGCGCACGTAGACGGCAGAGTTATCAATGTGCTTCTGGCTCAGGGGCTCGCCGACAACGGCCGAGGGCAGGACGGCGTTGACGCGGAACTTTGGCTTGTGCTCGTCCACAAATTTCCACAGGGCCTTGTCGGACTCGACCTTGCCGGCGGCGTACACCAAGAGGGCCTGCGAAGGGTCGTGTGGGGGCGGTGCCCAGGCGAGCTGGACGGCGAGGTCGTTGAACGAGTCGGGGCCCACGTCGTGGTCGAGGCCGGGCATGAGCATGGTGGACGCCAGGATGGAGCTGGTGTGCACCAAGGCGCGCACCGTCGGCTGGGTCATGGCTGATTCGAGGACGGAGGTGATGCCCTGGATGTCGGCGGGGATGACATTGTTCGGGTCCAGGTCGAAGCTAGTGATGGCGGCAACGTTGATGATGGCCGACACGCCACGGACAGCATCGTCAAAGGCACGAGGCACGCCAAGGTCGGGCACCTCGACCAGTTCGAGGTCGCCCTTGTCGGCGTAGGGCTTGATGCGCGGCAGCGCGGGCAGCCATGAGGCCTGCTCGAGGTTCCGGACGGTGCCGCGGACTTTGTATCCCTTTTCTAGCAACTGGATAACGGTGTGCGAGCCAATGAAGCCCGTGGCGCCCGTGACGAGGACGATGGAGCCCTTGGGGATGTCGGAGGTGGGGGAAGTTGAAGACATGGTAGACGGCGGTGGGAGCTTGGGACGAAGGCAGGATTGATCTATGTTGTTGAGACTATATCGCATTTCAGCTCTTGGGCTGGTCGGCTGTGGTCTCGGTTCTTATACATGTTGGCCGTTGGACGGAATGACGCTGCTAATAATTGGCGAGACATGGACTGGGCACATTGAGACGCTCGGTGAATTTCTAAAAATAATTAATTAACTCCGAAGTTCTCAATTGCGGACTCGCCGTGTCTGCTTTCTGCTCAGACTGATTACCAAGATCGAAGAGCGTTCGTGTCATATCGTTGGTGCTTGGATAATCCAAAAACGGCCGTGCCTTTGAGGCATTGGTCTTGGTGTTGTTGTTGTTGGGCTTGACGTTTGAGTTTCTGCCTGCCCCGGGCCCCAAGTCCCAAAGCGGAAGCAGCAAGTCTTGGCACCAAATTTTGGCCGTTCCATTGCAGAAGCCGCAAACCTTGGCATCCCAAAGCAGCAAGAGCAAGTCTTGGCAATTTGGAACGCGGAAATAATTTTCGGAGCAGAACAACTGTAAGTCCGGGCCTGCTTAAGTAATCATAATTCGCGAGAAGTAGCTGGACTGCTGACGAATTACTACGGTATCTCCGATCCGGAGCCACCCGGTCCTCTTTGTTAATGGTGCGTATTCGCACTTGTTCCCAAAAGGGTTGGAGCAAGTCTTGGCAGGCCATCCCCCCCCGTATTGAAGCCTGTGCATACATGTATTGGATTACTTGCCCATACGAGAATTACACCACATACATGCAGCGTTACGTGTCAACGTTACGGGTACGACAGACCGACAGGAGACAAACCAACAGGAGACAGACCAACAGGAGACAGACGCGGGACAAGCGGACACGGCTCCCGCTTGTCGTTGACGACGACATTGACGCATCTCTGGAGCAGGGCGTTGAGAAAGCCGCCGATAACGCCGCCGTTGACCTCGACCATCTTCACCGCTCCCAACAGGTGTCGCCGTGTGGCAACCAGGTCCCCGATCAAGATCTGCCCGACCACATTGTTAGCGATTAATTAGTTAATTGGTCCGACAATAAATAATAGCCTTGGCTGGCCCTGGGCCTTGGTCGGCAAGGAGTCGACGTTGCACTCACCTCGTCAAACACCAGCAGCATCGTCTTGGTTAGGGTCGCATCGCTGATTCTCTTGTCCTTCCCCTCGGCCGTGATGGCTTCGTTCAGCGCCTGGATGCATGCGACCTTGTACGTCGTTGCCAGCCTCAGGAATCTGTCGTGCGCCTGGCTCTCGTGGTTGTCCGGCAGTGCCGACGCCAGCGCCAGGTGGCGGCACGCGGCCAGGAAGAGGCCGCTCATGGACCCCGTGTCGGTTAGAGCGAGCCTGACCCATTCACGCGTCAAACACGACTGATAATCGCCCAGATTACTGAGAACGGGGCAGTGCAGATTGAGCTCTGGCATGACTGTTCTAACGTCTGGCCAACCACACCATGTCAGTGACTTGCTTCTATTCCATGGTGTGTGTTGCGAATTGCTCACAGTGGTCGAGGAGAAAGTGCTCCTCGGGTCTAAAGGGGCCCATTGCCAAGCGGGCCCAGGGTCCTACCAAACCCGGCCATGCAGATACGTCGGCCGGGCTTGGAAATAAATCTGGCATGGTGGTCCTGATGATCTCTTCAATCGTTTCCGTCTTCTCGCTAGCATTGGCCACGGAGACAAGCGCCAGTGTGTTGTCGGCCTGCGCGGCTGCCGTGGCCGTGCTCATGCGCGCTTGGTATTCTGCTGTCCGTTGGCGCCGGGCCCGGCCGTGGGCTTCGCGGGCCGCATGCATGCGGATTCGCCGTGGCGAGACCCGGTCCGCCGGGTGGGACACGTTGATGAACTGCACCTTCATGTCGCTTGTGTCTAAAGTTGATCGGCGCTAGGTGGAGTTAGTTACTTCAGATCTCAGTGACTAGACTTGGAAGCGCCTGACAGGCTAATAAACTGTCTTGGTTAAGGTGCGGATAAGCGTTTTCCGGCTCGTTGGTGCTCTTTACCAAATACAGAGGGATTTGTCAGCTGATATGTACCGCGCCATCCTCAGCCCAACTACCCCACACTTTCACACCTCTTTCCAAAACAATCGAGAAGGAATTCCGTGCTGTCTGATTACGGTTGGCAGCTGTCATTTCTCCACTCGTGACACCGATATCATGGCTGACGCCGTGTCATTGTCGCCTAATTCATTACTTGGGCTGCGAATTCCATGTGTGTAATCGAGTCCTCTTGAGTTCACACTCATCATTGGGGTAATTATGAGACAGTGCTGGTGGATGGAAACAGGCAAACATGTACTTCACTCGCTCATCCTTTACCAATCATGTTTACCGTCCTTGAAAGTATTGCAAAGACACATCAGGAAGCATGAGTTTCACGTATACCTCTTTCCGTCCAGGTGACTGCTTTCTTTTACATGTTTATGCATTATTATCGTTGATGTGGAAACCCATTACCGCAGCACGGTGAGTTGCTTCCGGCACTACCGTGAACTAACCTTGGACAAGAGTTTGGCTGCCCCTCATTTGGTCTCGTAAAACGATTTGGTAGTGCCAAGGTACATATAACTGACACTTACTCAGATATGCAATCTCTCACGCGACACAAACGAATCTTCACATCAGCCAGATCCGACACCTGTCCTCACGTCATCCGATAAAGACCTGACAGCACTAGTCTAGGCGCCGGAAATCGGCACTGGGAACGAAAACTTGGTGTTGTCCTGACAGGGCGGTAAAACACAAACCCCGCCGTGCAACCCAATTGAGACATGAGAAAACATTCGGAGCCAGTGCGGTCGTATGAAGCCAACTTCCGCGCAAGCATTCGTTGGCGTGTTTCGAGACTTCCTTAGCTCTCTCAGCCAATAAGGGGCGGAGGCCGGGGTAGAAGTTATCGTCTTCTTTTCGAGTTCAGACACTAACACTGCACGTATCTCTGTTCCGCTTCATCTACCACATCGCTGCATTGTCTCGGACCAGAGTTCCCCCACAGCGACGCAGGAGTCCACGCGCTGCGACATGCCGACAGGCGTTGCGACATTTGCGCCTGGGCGTTGCCAATTTTCAGTGGCCAGTCTGTCCTGTCTAGCGCTGAGCGCGGTCGTCGTTTTTCGATTTGGGGGCCGAGCAAAGCCAAGATCCGGGGCCGGCTCGGCAACTCGGGTATCAGACGAAACGCGGCCACGGACTCTGTCCTTGGCGTGGCGCATGAGAGCTGACAACAGCGTTGCTTGGGCTTGCTGCGCCGCTCTCAGCTTTCTCTGGTTCGCAGTGTAAAACCCGCTACCCAGGCCTCCGGGAAAGGGGCAACCCCACGCCGCCACGACGCCTCGCCGTAGGGCTTGAATTGCCTTGGGTGGGACGGCATGCCTGATCGTCGGATCGCCGGCAAAAGTCTCACGCTGACTGAGTAGGCGACAGGGATAAGAATGATACGTCAAACCGCTCTTTGTTTTTTCGGAGCTCGGCCGTGAATGGGTAGGATTCGAGGGCGGCGCCTCATTCGACTGCGCCGCAACCAAAGAGTGAGGCAGGAGACGGAAACATGGGTACTTTTGCGTGTCCGCCTGAACCAGAGCCCCTGAAACTAGGGGCAGTTCGTCGTCTATTGGCTGGGAGCGCTTTCCACCCACGGCAAAGGCGCATGGAAGCATGGCAGACGGCCGGGGTCCCGCGCGGCGGAGGAATAATTACTTGATATTGTGTCTTGTTCCTTTGGCCATGCCGTCGGCACCGTGCACGTGCAGGGCCAGGGAGGGACCGTTGAAGAAATGGAGCAAGATGCCCAAGAGCGTGATCCGGATGCCTCGCCCAGTTCTCAACCTCAGTCCTCAGCATTAGCTGGCACGACCGCTCGTCTTTCACTCATTCTGTGCACCCCCCCTTCCTGGCGAAGGGTAGTGGTCATCATCGACTTGCAGGTCCCGCCCAAGCGAAAACAAGCATGCCAATCTGAAAATGGCCCGCCAACTTGCAGACGTGTTCCGCTGGAAGAAGCGGTTGGGGAGTGCGCCGCCGCGGGACGCGGGCGCCGTGACACCCGCCAACGCCCCCGAGGAAAAAGCCTTTGACCCCGACAAGAAACAGCCACTCAACTTTGACGAGCTCGACCATGTGCCAGCATCTCCGTTCACCCCTGGGGGCAAAAAGGTGAAGCTCAAGAGAGTGGCCAGCCACCGCAAGCTGAACGCCGTCTTTTTCATCGTCAAGTTCCACATCCTAGCCCTCACCGTGACCTTTGTGCTCGTCGGTCTCTATGCCACGGGCTTTGTCTGGGGACCTCCCGGGCCGAGCCAGGACATGCTCTCGGCGCTCCAGTTCGCCGCCAAGGTCCACGAGGGGCTGATCATCCTGTCCGTGTCCAACATCCTCCTGCACCGGGTCCGATACCTGCTCATATCCCAAGGGGGGGTGCCGTTGGGCCTGATCACGTCGCCGTGGCAGATAAGTTCGCCGCTGTATTTAGTCTCGTCCGAGTTCTGGGGCTCGGCAATGCGGGATCTCACGGGCCTGACTCACCTGAGCACTCTGGTTCTTATTCTTGTCTGTCTGTTCATCTCGTTGGCGATCGGACCTTTCTCCGCCATCGTCATCTTGCCCCAACCAGGCATTTATCTCATGCAGTCCTCGTTCCCCGGCATGAAGGACTACTTTACCGCCCGATCACAGCATTACCAGACAAAAGGGGTCGATGGCGTCCCGGGAAGCTTCCGGCCGTACAACTTTGCCGTCAACTCGTCCACCGGGCTGTATCCCACGTCGGTCGGCCCCGATTTGGGCATGGTATGGGGTTTCACGGATTTTGACGGGTACGCGAGCTGGTTCAACACGAGTTTTGACGACATCATACTCCAGAGCCTGACCAAGGCATCCACGGGGAGTTTTGGCATAAGCTTGTACGATTCGAACATCAGCACAGATCGGCCTTGCAGTCCGATGAACATTACCACCTCGACGGTTTGGTCGTGCCAGACGGGCAACAAGGACCCAATCACAGTGGTGCATAAGGTAGCTGCTGTCAGCAACTCGACTGGCAGCACTAACTCGACTGATACGGCCGCTTCGGCCGACAGTGATGACTCGGGAGACGACAGCAATGGCTCGGCAGACTACAGCATAGACATGCCGTACGGCAGCTCCGCCGCGAAGGATCCCGACGAAGACGAAAACGAGTACGAGCATCGTAAGGCAGCGAGCGCAGCAGCCACAGACAGCTCAGAAACCGCAGACGACTCAGAAACTACCGATGACTCGGGAGACGGCTCTTCAGACGACGACGACATCTCAATGGACTCCTCAGACTTCACCGACACGACCGTCAGCATCTCCACGAGCGGGACGGTGTTGCCGTTTCAGGTCATTGCGCGCGACCTCAGCGACCGGTTCCAGTGGCACGTCGACACGGACCGCTTCATCGACTTCATCTACACCACCGCGACCTTCTCGGACCCCTCTGGCCGGCCCGTCGCCGTCAAGCAGCCGCTGGCGGCAGTGCAGTGCCGCGAGGGCCACTACGCGCGCAGCTCGTTCGGCCCCGGCAGCATTGTCAATTTCGTCAGCGGCATCTACCCGCCCTTCAACATCACCGTCGACGAGGCCATGGCCGCGATGGTGTGGGGGACGAACGCCTCTGCTCCGGCAGCCAACGCGACGTTCCTCAAGTACTTCGACATGCAGCCGTACGTGTCCAAGCACGCGGTATCCACGGGCATCGTGACGGTCGCGCCCTACTACGACGACGATTCGGGAGCCGTGATGGCCGGCTGGCGGGCGGTGCAGCTGTGCTACTCGGCGGCGCGGTGGGTGGAGAGCGAGATATGGGTGACGCCCGACTCTGACGCGAGCAGCTACATGCAGCTGAAGAGCCCGATCGAAACGCTCATCAACGAGACGGAGCGGGTGAGCGCGAGCGAGATAATCCGGTTCGACAGCGCGTGGATGCAGAACTTCAGCAACCCGCAATTCGACGGCTCTCGGATGCAGAACGTTCTGGATAGCAACCTGTCCAACTATGACTTCCTCGCGGGCGCCTGCTCCACAGACAGCGGCTGTCTTTCAATCGCCATTTCGGCCATGATGATGGAGGTGCTCACGCTTGTGCAGTGCGCGTTCACGCCGTGCTGGTCTTATAGCGATGATATTGTACCATTTGCTCCGTTCAACTACACGCGTCAACGCCCTTTCGCGGAAGCCGAGGCAACAGGCGGTTATGTTAACATAACTATCGACCATTACATCGCGGCTTCCGGGTACAGCTTGCAGAACGGGACTCTTGTCATACTTGGTCTCGCACTGCTGCTCTTCCACGCTCTCATTGCCATCGGGCACATTCTGTTCATCGCCTTCGGCGGCTTCTGGTCGAGCGATGCCTGGGGCCAGCTTGGCGAGCTGCTGGTGTTGGCCCTGAATTCCTCTGCCCCACGGTTGTTAAGAACCAACAGCGCTGGAGTCCGCCATCACGCGACCTGGCAGTTAACTGCCTCGGTCAGAGAGAAGGTCGAGGGTGGCGTTGAACTGACAATCAACTCAAGGCGGAATCGAAAAGTGGACGAAGACTCGGATATGGAAGAGGGAGCAAGTTCAAGGGACTCGTTTCGGCCCAAGGCAGATAAGAAGTACGGCTAACAAATGGGCCGTCAATCGTTGTTCGTGTCTTGTAAATCATGTAAACCACCGTAGTAAAAACGCAATAATATCCATCACACCTGCAACATGGGGCCAACTGCCTTGTATCGTACAGTTCTTTGACACTTGAACGCCAACCAGCTGACATCTGGTAGTAAGAAAAGGGGGGGAAGCAGTGAACTTGGCTAGGTGCAGGAAAAAGAAAGAAAAGGTCCACAGGGTACTCGTCACGTCGTCATGAGCCGTGTGCAGGTACACTCCTCCAAACAGTCTCGAACATTGTGTCCAGGCTCATGGGCAATAGCAAACATTCAATCCCTCCTTGGCATCACGCCTCCAACACTCAATGCCGATCCAAAATCTCATCGAAGGTTGTTGCTCTCCTAGGCCTATTAGTTCCTGGTCTCGGGTGCACTGGCGTTTCGCGAACTGTCGAGGCGCGAGCCAATTGCTGCTTGCTCATGCTTCCTGCACGGGTATCTTGTGAGTCGCGGACAAAATATCGGTAGAGGCGGGAAACCGTCCCCGATCTTTGCGGGGTCCGGGGTTGTTGACGTCGTTCTTCGAGTCGTTTATAGCGGCGTCCCGCGCCCACAGATGAGACGCTCTCTGTCTCTGTATTCTTCTTGTCAGCGCCGTGGCGGGGCTTTTCATCGTCCGACGCGGTGCCGTAGCTGCCTGTGTTGCTGGGTATTCTCGGCAATGGCTTGCTCGCAGTTTGATCAAGATGCGACTCCCGCAGTCTCGCTCTCTGGGGCTGTGATAAGGTTGTCGACACGAGGTCCTCATCATTGCTGTCGTCGTCGGGATCGTGCAGGACATATGGCTTTTCTTCACCTTCGACGTCGTCGGGGATGTGGACGCTTGGCAAAGGCGGGGCTTCCGCAACTTTTGAGCGATGCAAAGTTCCGTATTGTGAGCCCGGTACGCCCTCCCAGATGCTGCCGTCGGTGTCGCGGTATGTGTAGATTTGAGTATCGGCATCGTAGCCCACCCTTGTCATGCCCGGGGGCAGACGCTCCTCGTCCGTATCGAGATGTGACCAGCGCCCCATTGCAGAAGTTGAGCGGTTAGACGAGCTGTGAAAGTTGACGTAAGGAATGAGTGATGTCAGAAGTGGAGAGGGGATGGCGGGTAATCCAGCGGGGGCTTTTGCTTTTAGGGACAAAGGACTCGAGTGCCAGCAGAGGCAGCAACGTGGCTCTGTGCAATTTTCAGCCAATACGGCAGCGACGAAGTGAGCGACTAGCACACACCGAGGGACGTGTTTTGGGGCAGCAGCGCGACGAGGTAGCTCAAAAGAAGGCCTGACTGAGGAATGACAGAGAGAGTACGAAATTCGCTAGTGATGTTTCTGTAGGTGACGTGTTATTATCTGCGGCTGTGTTAATTGTTGAAGCATTTGCTGGCGAACATCCTTTTGTCCTTGTGCACCTGCCAGGATTAATTGCTTACCTTGGGTCTCTAAGCTTCGGGAAGCTCAAGGTTCCCGGGAAACTTTAAGCGTGTCATGGCGACCTGGAGCTGGAGTCTGGAGAATCTCCAGTGTGCTCTTTCCATTCCACCTCGGCTAATAGAATCGCACGTCGTGGCTCGTATGTACGACGGCAATGTTGGAGTGTTGACTGTGGGCCCGATTGAGAAGCACAAACTATGACGTGTGGGAGAAACACGCCACACAACTATGGCAGGTAAACGAAGCACTACGCTGACTGCTTTTACGGCATTACGGGAGGGCGTTTGCCGCTCCATAGGCGGACGATAAGATTGTCATCTCATCGGAATGGAATCTTTCAAGTAAGGTAGGCGCATCCATACAACTACGTATCGGTTCTCCTTGCTGTTTGCATTGGGAATGTGGGGCGGGATCTCCAGGGGAAGCGGCGAGGACATTCGGTACCTGAACCCCGCAACCCAGTTTTGAATTGCACCGTAAGGCACATACATTCCTAGGTGCAGGGCCGAGTAAGCTTTAAACAAACTGCCCTAGGTCAGACGCCAGACGGTATTTCGTATGGTGGACCTGTGGCTGTCTTACCTTCAGAGAGCACAAGATATACGGATCGCGGCTGGCGCGAACAAGGAGGGAACGAGACAGATGAGCAAGTCTATTCAAGAATTTTCTATACGTTAGGTAGCCAAAAAGCCGTCCATCTGCACACCAGCACGGAGACGGGGTTCCGCCGCCGTGAGCAAGCCCTGTCCCGAAAAACGCCAGCCCAATGATATCCCTTAAAACGGTAAAGTCGGCAGTGAAAGCCGCCTCGCATTGATGATGATGCGAAAGTAGCATCGAGCGAAAGACAAGGTTCCGCGGAAGAGCGGAGGAGAACGAGCTCGGTACGAATAACACAACAAGGTAATACATTTAATTCCGTCAATTCTTTGACGACGCAGTCTGATCAATCCGATCAGTCGTCCCACTCCTCGTCAAGCTGGTCAATCAGTCGGTTCTCGTCCTCTCGATTGCGCTGCCTTCCGTTGGGCGAAATAGATAACGAGCGATAGCCCCGTCGGCTGGGCAAAAACCGTGCGCAAGATGATGTCAAGATGATGAATATGTCCTAAAGGCGTGTGAGAAAAGGGCATTCGTTATCATGGTGGAGCTTCTTACCCTGACAAAATTCCACATGCCAGCCCACATGCTGTAGTTGGGCAGTTGTCTCCAGCCCCGAGCATGTGCGACTGTTCGCTGGTAGAAGATACCACCGACCACGTATACCAACACCGCAATGAAGAATATGATGGCGAACACACTCCCCGGACCCACGCTGCCGGGCGTGTGTGGCTCCGCTGTGGCACAGGCGTGTTGTGATCGCACCTCGAAGAAGTAGACACATTCATCTTGGTCTGTCGCGACGAAGGAAGCCGCTGTCGGTGTATCCGGGTCGGGGCCGCAGAGGAACGATATGATGGCTGATTTGTGTCGCAGGCTCTTCTCCTTCTCTTTTTCTTTGTCTTTTTCTTTCTGCTTCTCTTCGTTGTCCTTGTCTTTTTTCTCGTCTTTCGTTCCCTCTTTCGCGTCCTCCTTTTTGGCTGCAGGGGTCACTTCGTAGGTGTCGTCTTCGTCGTCACCATAGTACTTGTATGCCGCCCCGTCGTGAACGCTGCCGCTGCGCTTGTCCTTCTTCTTGTCCTCAGGGGAGCCACACGGCGACCCGCCCGTGTATTCGAGGACCAGCTTTCGGCCGCGAGGAACGAGCTTACCCGATTCAAACCTGTGCAGGAACGCGTTAGCATGTTCTCCCTGCTTGCGTCGAACAAACAGAGACCAGGACTCAAAGGGGGAATCTTACCCTAAAGAGTAGACCTTGCCCTTGCTCTCGTAGTAGGCGCTGACATTCCTCCACATCGCCTTCTCCACCCCAACCACATCATCAACCTTCTTGACAACAGCGCTGCATATGTTCAACGTGAAGTTTGCGCCATAGTCCCATCCTTTGGCGAGATAGTCCTCGACCGGGATTCCCCTGGGCGCCTTTTCCCCCTCTGCGACGGCGACGGCGGTGTCGGGGCGCAAGTCGAAGAAAGATCCGCTGGTCGAGGTAGCGACACACGGCGTTATGACAGACGACGTGGTAGATACCGTCTTATCGGGTTGCTCCTTGTCCTCGGCGCATACGACGCCCGCGAGTGTCGCGAGCGCTAGGAGAAGATTGGACGAAATGCGTGCGTGCATTTTCGCGACTGGGAATTCACGACGTGGTCGGTTTTGGAGGATGGCGAAGCGCCCCGGCGCACTGAGCGGAGATGAAGGTCGCGCTCATGCAAGTAATCGTACTCTCGTGAGAAATATGCGGGGCCCGTCGGCTGCCGGGATAGACAGCTTGCTGCTGCGATGTGGACGTGGTTGGTAGGATAATGTAGACAGGAGTGCACTCTGTGTTGGACTCGGCTTCATCGATCGCCAATTGTCCACGGTTTCAACAAACCTAACTCCCCTTGGCTCAATAGCGCGAGTGTGGGGTCTCCTTGGCGGCCTTGACAGGGGCGCAAAACGCCCCACCAGACCTGCCGTAACCCTGAAAAGATACGTCGGTTACGTATGCCTGTGCGTACGCAAATCAGGTACCGTCCTAATTTGGTTTAGGCCCGCGAGGCCGACCAACCAGCCGACAGAAACCAGGCCAACAAGCTCACTGAAAGTCGAAAACACAGCCCGAATGGCCTAGGGATTTATTTGTGTTGTCGTCCATCCGCCATGGCCTAGGGCTCCGCGGGCTCCGCGGGCAATGTTTTGGGTATCGCGGAGCCGTTTTGTCCAGCGTATTCGTATTTCCAGCGCTGCGTTATGTGCACGGACCACGATGATGGGACCGATCATAAAGGTGCCCGCTGGCGCTATGGCAGCTCCGGGTCAAGCGAGATTTTGTACGGCTTCTTCACCAAGGACCCCCCGTGACCTTGTCGAGCAAAAAGGCTGAGCCAAACGAGAGCGCTGCCAAATATCGCGACTCCAGTCGGCAATCCGTCCAAGGACCGGTTTCTTGCCTCCGTTCGCTTTGGCGTTTGGTTCGAGCACCAGACGCTTCAGGTGCAGCCATGGCACCTAAATTGAAGTCGAAAACTCCGCAGCTCGAGCGCGCCTACGAGTTCGGAGGGCCGTAAGTAGTACTCTTCACCATTTTTCGCCCGTCAAGTTGCATAGCTGCGTCCACAGCTAATGCCACGTCCTCCTAGGCTCGGTGCCACTGCCATCGTCTTTGGCTTGCCAGTCCTTCTCCATACCTTCAATTTCGCCTGCAACGACAAGTCAGGCTGCCCGGCCCCGTCCCTCCTCTACCCCAAGTCTCTCGACCTTGCAACATTGAAGGAAGAAGTCGGCTGGCCTGCTGACGGGATATGGGGTCTTGGGAGCTGGCGCGCATTTGGCTGGACTCTGGCGTACTATGCCTTCAGCGCGATCCTGTACCGCGTTCTTCCGGCGACCTTGACAGAGGGAACCAAGCTGGCGAACGGCGGCCGACTTAAATATCGGTTCAATGGTAAGCACAATGATTTCGTCAGAAGCCCAGATTTAGGATCGGCCTGTCGCTTTTAGGCTAACTTCCGCTCTAGCCTTCAACTCGACCATGTTCACCTTGGCCATCTGCACGGCGGGCACTGTTGCTCAAGGGGCTGAGTTTCCCGTATGGGCGTTTATCTCAGACAATTACATGCAACTCCTGACCTCCAACATTGCCATTGCCTACGCTCTTTCAGTATTCGTCTACGTCCGCAGCTTCAGCGTTAAGCCTGGCAATCCCGAATATCGAGACCTGGCGGCCGGGGGACATTCGGGAAACATCATGTACGACTTTTACATTGGCCGCGAGCTCAACCCTCGCATCACGCTTCCACTCATTGGCGAGATCGATATCAAGGAGTGGATGGAGCTACGGCCTGGGATGCTCGGCTGGATCCTGCTGAACTGCTCATTTATTGCGAAGCAATACCGTCTCTATGGCTACGTCACGGACAGCATTCTCTTCATCACAGCTATCCAGGCGTTCTATGTGCTTGATGGCCAGTTCATGGAACCTGCGATCCTGACCACTATTGACATTACGAACGACGGCTTTGGCTTCATGCTTGCGTTTGGAGATCTCGTGTGGGTGCCATTCATGTACTCTCAGCAGACTCGCTATCTCTCCATGCATCCAAAGACGCTCGGCGTGCTGGGCATTGCCGTAGTTGGTGCCGTCCTGGCCACTGGGTTTAGCATCTTCCGGCTGTCCAATAGCCAGAAAGATACCTTCCGGACCAACCCCAACGACCCGCGCGTCGCCCACCTCAAGTACATCGAGACCAAGGCCGGCACTCGGTTGTTGGTTTCCGGCTGGTGGGGCGTTGCCCGTCACATCAACTACCTGGGCGATTGGATCCAGGCTTGGCCATACAGCCTTCCAACTGGCCTCGCCGGATACACCATCCTGTCTGCCGGCAGCAATGCGCCCGGTGCCCTCAAGCTAGTCGACGGCCGCGAGGTAGTTCCAGGTGCCGCCGAGGGATGGGGAATGTTATTCACGTACTTCTACGTTGTCTACTTTGCGGTCCTGCTCATCCATCGCCACGGCCGAGACGACGAGAAGTGCGAGAGAAAGTACGGTGAGGATTGGGAGAAGTACAAGAAGATTGTGCCATGGAGGATCGTACCGTACATCTACTAAGTGCGATACAGCACTTGGGGATGCATCGGTCGAATGGGTGGTTGTAGATAATGAGGTAGTTGCAGATAATGAGGTAGTTTGTAGAGTAGTGGCAGGCAAACTTGGAGTCGTGGTAAACCCTTGTTTTGTGAAAGTTTGCAGAGTGGAACTTGCAAGGTAGCACACAGTTGCTTAATGGGATAATCCCCATATTAATGGAAACGTTGCACCTTATCTAGTATACTTATTTTAATGCAAATAGTAAGGGCAATTTAATGCCTGCTAGATTGCGGACTTGCAGCGTTCGACGCATCGCGGTTTTGATGAAGCGAAGTGTGGACTCTGTCGCCAACTCCCAGTGTGCTCGGACTCTGAAACTTGAGGCTCTTTGCCCACGCTTTTCCGCTTTGTGCCGCGAAAGGACTGATGCTGATGTTAGGGGCCTTGTAATTTGAGCCTGTTTCGGAAGGCGGCGAGGGGCAAAGTGCAGAGAAGGCCTGTGGCACGTGACAAGACGAACGAAATTGTGGAGCCAAAAAGAAATAACAACACCCCAAAAAAAACCGACTCCAGCGTGGAACACGCCGCCGCCTCTCATCTCCATTTCGCGCTGGAACCTCCAAATCTCACCACCAACCACCTTCGATCAACCAGCACATAGCGAATAATGGCCGACTCGAACATTCAGTGAGCATTTTATATGCATGCGCAAGCTATTTCTAATCACTTGGCTAACCATTTGCGACAGGACTCTTCTGCAGAAGCCTCGCAATGAGTGCACGTACGTCCCTCTCTGCCCCGTCGTCCTGCTACTCGCTTATCGAACCGATGCTCATGTCAGGTCTCGGAGGAGCGGTTGCTAACGTGTTATCCCAACTGCAGGGAGTATGAGATCGCCCAGCTGGTAGGCAGCCCCGCCGACTCGGCTGCCCTGTCTCGTGAGAGACGTTGACCGCTTACCTGATCTGATCCTTGGCGAACAGGAAAACTGGGAGATGAGCCATGGCCCTCTTTCAATCCTCCAGACTGCCGTTCGCAGCCACACGCAGGTTTTGATCAGCATTCGCTCAAACCGCAAGCTGTGAGCCCGTCCTGGTCCCTGGTGCTCGGCAGACTGGACTAGACCTTGGCTGCTAATGGTGGTTGATATCGCTTCTAGGCTCGCGCGCGTCAAGGCTTTCGATCGACACTGCAATATGTACGTGTGGGATTCTTTGTGGGAAATGAGAAGTGTCGCGTTGCTATCTCTCTATATCCAGGTTTCGCTAACTTTGCTCGTGATCTAGGGTCCTCGAGAACGTGGTACGTCCACGGCAGGAGCCCCAGCCCTTCTAACAGACGATCAGCTGACTCTTTGCTGCAATAGAAAGAGATGTGGACCGAGACACCAAACTACCAAGGCAAGAAGGGAAGACCTGTAAACAAAGATCGGTTCATCAGCAAGATGTGAGTACATGAAACCATCGATGCCTATATCAATCAACCTGTCATTTTCTAACTGCCTGCTCAGGTTTCTTCGTGGCGACAGTGTTATCATTGTTCTTCTCAGCTAAATCAGCCTTTGTTTCTGGAGTAAGCGTAGCTTAAGTGGAAGCTAGCTTAAATTCTAGAGCTTGCTTAGTTCTTACAGCTAAGCTTAATATATGTTGTTAGTGATCAATTTCATATAACTTGACGCTGTTGCACTCAAATGAGAAGTCGAGATTAGAATCGCTTGAGGAACACAGCGATTCATAATGTTAGTAACATCACTTCTACGAGCGACATCTTACAGCTAAGCGCGAGACTCTCGATTGCGGAAGAAAAGCATGTTTTTTAAAGCTACTTGGAAGACTACTTAGGCACCACCCAGACAAAGAAATACCACAGCAGATCCCTAGACGCGTCCTTGACATGAATGGACAGTGCGGACAGCAAGGCCATGAGGCCGAGGTGGATAAACGGACTCGTAACGGCTCGGCGCTCGCGCAGCAGGCCAAGCTGCCCGTTGTCTGGGCGCAATAAGCGAAGCACTTCATCAACACACGAGATCACATCAATACACAGGGCCAGGCCCTTGAAAATGTCTAAATCGTACTTGACAGCGACCCGAGGACCATCAGCATGACGACCCTCGTGACAAAGGTAATTGCCAGAAGACTCATTAACCAGATGCTGTAAAGCCTCACCCGTAGCGGAGATACCGTCGAACTCATGATCTGGCGTTCTGATTTATGAGTCTTTTTGGTGGTATGGAGCTGAGGCTGGGTCGGACCCCGAGACGCGCGTGAACTACGCCGCATTCTCGGCTTTGCGCGCCCTCTACCCCGATTGATACCTCCATCACGTGCGTTCCCTACCTACGCATGACACTGTCAAGACAGCTCCCCTCACCGACTTGCATTTTCTGTGCTGCAGCGCGGCCCAGCTGCCATCTGTCCCATCCCTCCCTCCTAAATCATGCCGGCCGGTCTGTGCAGCCGCTGCCTGCAGTCCAACCTCCTCCTCTGTCTGGAAGACGGCTACCAGGCGGAGGTGGAGGTTGTCGCACGTGGCGCCGAAGCAGGATGTCGTTTCTGTGGCCTGTTGATGCGCCACCTGGTCGAGCCGCTGGAAACTGCCACGCTCCGAAACGTGGCCGACCAGAAGCTCTGGATCCATCTCTTTGCGCCGGGACTATCGCAGCGTGGCTGCAGAACCAGGCAATTGCACCCTCCGTACTGGTGTTGTAAATAGAGCGATGCTAATGTGTGTCAAGCCAGTGCTGCCGCCGCTAATCGCGATGTCCTAGGACGCAGTTTTGGTTCTGATCTGGCTGCCGAGGACTACTACTCTGCGATCCGAAGCTGGCTTGATGAATGCAGCGCCCACAGTGCCTTTAAGGAAGCGATCTCGGGTGATTCTGGCAACGTCGAGCACGCGGCGCCCCTTCCGACTCGTTGTATGGAGGTCTTGAATGGAGGGCTGGACGCTGTGCTGCGGGAGACAGGCCAGTTACGAGGCACCTACGTGATCTTGAGCCACCGATGATGGAACGGCGATACAGAGAGCTCCAGGATGACCACGGCCAATGTCGACGAGCGCATGCGGCCAGAGGGCCTAAGGCTCGGCCGGCTGCCCCGTGTCTTCCGTGACGCCTTCCGGATCGCCGCCAAGCTTAGCATCCGCTACGTCTGGATCGACTCGCTGTGCATCGTCCAGGCCGGCGACCAGGGCCGGGACTGGAAGTCGTAGGCTAGGTAGGAAAGCTTTGGCTCAAGAGGATACGACCACCAACCGGCTCACCCTCCTTGAAAATGGTCGGCAGCAAGTTGAACGCCAGAATGTCATTACCGTCGGCCGAGTCCCTGAATTTGAGCATTGTTGGCTTGATACTGATAGCAAAGTGCGTGAAATTGTAGATTTTTGCTCCTAGATGACGTTGACAGGCGAGCCTAACGAGACAAAGACTCGGTTTGAAGCCGTCGAGGGCGAGATTACCGGCCTCGAGGTAAACGATACGGCCCGAGGCAACCGCATTAGAGCCGCTAAGGGCGAGCTCCTTAGTCTCAGGGAAGCTAACACAGGGGTGAAGGCTCGTGTTGACGCGATCCAGGGCGACCTTCTTCATATCAAATTCAATCAGGCCCTGGAGACCCAATAATTCGAACCTCGAGCAAACCAACCCCGGGCTGGAGGCGCTGGAAAACTTGATGCGTGACGTGGTGAAACGCGTCGAGAAAATCGAGAAGGGAAGTGGCGGTGTTGGTGGCGATGACGACATGCCAAAGGGGGATATGCGAACTCCAATAACGCACGATGAGATGGCGCTACACTCCGCTGCAGCTTCATCGTCTCCTACGTTCCAGCCGGCTACTTCGAAGCGCGTCATCTCCGAGAGCTCGGCGGCGTCCGCTTCGGGATCCGGTAGTAACAAGCGCATCCAGCTGGACGAGAGTATAAACGATTCGCTTGTTACATATCATACGTATAAAGGTGTTGGTTGGCTCTTGACTATCCGCGCTCTGGCTAATATGATGGCTGTCCCTTCGGTGGCGGACTTACTATCGCTTCTAGACGGCATAGACTGCCGTACTGAAGCGGATCTTGGTCGTCTCACGCAGTTTACACGGGGCTGCGTTTCCATCGATGTGAGCCTCTGGGCGCACACCCACAACTCGACCGAGGCATCATTCTTTGTCAAAGTTGGCGGCGCTTTTCAAAATACCCTTCACATTAGAGCCAGGAAGCATCTTGACATACAGGCTACGAAAGCAGCCGCCCCCGGATGAGCGGTATGTGAAGCGCCATAACATTCTTGAGTGCGTCATCACAGGCAAGGAAACGCTCACACAAAACCCGAACAGTCCATGGGCAATTGGGAAGAGGAGAAGGTGCCACCGCAATACGCCGTTGCGCTGGGCGAAGTCTATATGGTTCAAAAGTCACTGGACAAGCGTAGCGTCCCGGATAAGGTGACGTCCACCAGCTACTTACTCCTCATGAATATCGGGTCCTCGCGCATGTCTGTCTGGATGATATACCGATACGAGCAAGCCGAACCCCGCAGCAAGGTTGCCTGCGACGAACTATCCTTTTAGAAGGAGAAAAGCCGCAATGTCTCCATGGGGGGCGAGTTTAACACGGTTCTCTTGCTGCTCGAGGCAAAGGACTGGAAGGGTTCCATCTCAAAAAACTATGAAACGACCTGCCAGGTGAGAAAAAGGCCCATGCTCAAACTCCTGTTCACGCGCCCCATCCGCGAAGGGCTTGAAGAGGCTATGGCATCTGGCTGGGAGGAGCCGTAGGGTGCGGATATTAAGTCGGCACTTGCATGCACCCACGGGGCTGAGGGTGTGTCTATCCCGGTCGATGAGCTGGAATAAGGGGTCTATAATGTACATGTACCCAATAATTAATTCCGACAATCTTGGATTGTTGGCTGGGTTACCAACACGTGGTGCTGAAATTCACAACCTGTCGAGATTGCTGATTTGGAAACACCCGAGCCAAGCCCGGGGAATCGGAACTGGCAAGGGTTTCACGTAGCACGACGAGACTTTTGTTCCCGGAGACTCGGGATCCAGGCCAGGGCCATTGGCAACTTGCAAAGGAAGCTCGCAAACAAGGAAGACTAACTCGTCACAACGTTACGTGCGCGCCCGAGTCGGCCTCAAGTCGCACGAACAGCTCCACGACGAACCCACAGGACTGTGGATGTAACTCTTGGGCCAGTCTAAAAAAGAGTGGAAAATGTAACAATGACCCATTGGCACGCCAATTGAACAGTGCTAAGCCGAATTCCCCGCCATGCGAATTCTCTGCCATGCGGAGAAAAAGAAGGCGGCATCATGGGATCGACAGAAAACGAGGAAGAAGGGCCGACATTTTTAGGCCTTACGTCTAGTCTCCGGACTAAGGACCTCCAAAGCCAAGCCCTGAATGAGGGAGACGACCCGCAGTGGGAAGCCAGCTTTGGGGCGGGGAAAGCTTGGTTCGGGGTGGCACAAAGCGGGCGGGGGTTGTGTGGTGCGGGGAAGGCGTCAACAGGGAAGCGGAAGAGGCGCTTGGTCTTTGCTGGCATGGGAGCTCCAAGCTCTCCATTTTTTTACTTCCGTCCCATTCCTCAACTTCAGTTCCAAAGCAAACCGTCTGATGATTGTACGCTCTCTCTTTAACGGGAAGCGCTTTCTGTCATTTTCAGTGGTGCTTCATCAGCAGAAAGGCCCAGGACGGAAGGTCGAGGGAGGGCGAGGGCCGTTTTTATATTACGAGTCGTCAACTCTCGACGCGCCAAGACTGCGGGTAACTCGGGGTAGGATCCTCCCAAATGCCGAGCTACAGGCTAGGGAGATTTCTCATGATTCCGATCGGCAGGATTTCTGTCTCGTTCTGGAAGCAGCAGCGATGGGGAGATTCCTCGTGCTTTTCTCTCTGCATGCGGACGTTCCAAATTCCACCCATTCGGTGCAATCGGACAAGCGTTGCAAAAAGCCGTCTAGGGCTTTTTTTTTTTTTTTCCTTCTATATGTGTGTTTGGGTTGGGGATGGGCCGTTCTGCGAAACGGGTGAGTCGAGTTCATCCAAACAAAAGTTGGAGATGCCCTTTCCGCTCCACAGCTTGATCACACCTTCCGATTTTCGTCTGTGTTCCTGGGTCACGCACATGACGGTGGGAAGGAACGAATGCACCCCGCAGGCAACGGCCCATTAAATAAAAGTTTGCTGATTGTGACGGACGATCTTGCTGCAGAGTTTGAAGGCAGCAAAGCTTACGGTGCAGGACAATGAAAGCTTGCTCCTTTCCTCGGCACCTGCACTTTCAGGTATTTTGTTCATACAGCCTCAACGGCATCGTTCAACGGCAACTCCAGCCCCCTGCCCCCGATCGCCTTTCGGCATGGCGGCCGGGACTGCCCTTTTCGCCCAATGACGGGCTTTTCAGGCATATTCGAGCTTCTCCGCAGTCCGCTCGAGCGAGGGTAGGTTCTGGGTCATCTGCGAGATGACCTCAGCGAGGAATCCCTGCCTGTATCCTCTTGACGCCTTCCCACCCGACCGCTGTCGTATTTGGCAAACCTTGGGCCAGCGATCGGCCCTTTTCTGACGGCATGGACCATTCACCAGCATGTGTACCACGAACTATGGCAGGTCCCTCAAGGATAGCGCTGGATTCGCTGTTTTCGAGCCCACTATTCTATTGCCCGCCTACTGTGGCCCGTTGACGCTGCAACTCTGTGGTGAACTTATTGCAACATGGCCATTCGCCTCATTGCCTAGATGCCCTCCTCATCCGGTCTCAAGTTGGAACTTCCACCGCCTGATTGTGCACGTGCATGTATGTATGTACAGTGGGTGGCAAAAAGTTTGAATCCAGCACTAAGTACCATGTAAGCCGCTAGCCGTATACGCGGTACAAAATTTGGATTCAAACTTTTTGCCGCCCACTGTACATTGTTCACCAGCCATGGGCAGCAGTGTAGGGTCCCGATGCAATGTACCTCGTGCGAGCTGCCAGTCCCGGTTGCTCCCCAAGATCCAATTCACCGAGAGGTGAACCCGATCCTCCCAGAACCCACAAAATGAGGTAAACATACCAAATATTATCCCAACTTATATATTGCCCCCCGCACAACTTTATTTGACTCGTCCCGACCCTGCCTTCCTGGACTGCCTCGCTTCCCACGCCACTCCATATTTCTCGCTACTGCATCTCCCCGTGCAGATTTGACGAGACGAAAAGAAGAACACGGGAAAACGGCACCTCGTTTCGGGCAGCCATGAAGACTAGCACCGCGCTTGCTCTCCTCGCGGCCAGCGGTCCTGTCACGGCATCTGTCGTCCGACCAGCAGCTGAGCAGGTAATTATTCTAAGCAATCTCACGGCTATTTCCCATGACTGCACGTCTCAAAGTTCTGCCGAGTCCATATCATCGTTCCTCTGCCTTCGTTCTGAACTTCTTGGGTCCTGCAGCCTGCTGGCACGATGACATCAGAGCTTTACCCGCTGCACAGTTTCCTTTTTATCCGTACTGTTGAACCTTTTTTCCCCTTTGACATTGCATTCCCGGTGGATCAAAATGCAGCTCAGATATGCATTCCTCAGCCTCCCGACAGTGCTTGCAGCAAGAGCCTCACTCGCTAACGCCGGAAACAGCTCGCAAAGAGGGCCCTTGCCACGTCAGATCCATATTATCCCTCGCCATGGATGGACCCCGCAGCCGATGGCTGGGAAGATGCTTATGCCAAAGCCAAAGCATTCGTCTCCCAGCTTACCTTACTGGAGAAGGTTAATCTGACAACCGGCGTTGGGTAAGCAGCCCCGGTGGAGAATTTGCAACTCTACATGTCTCTACGGTAGCAACTTCATCGCTACAGTGGCTAATACCCTGTATAGTTGGGCGGCAGAGCAATGTGTAGGCCAAACTGGCGCCATTCCTAGGCTCGGCCTGCGGAGCATGTGTATGCGTATGTACTTTCTGTCATCTATTCCTGACCATAGAGCCGTTCAAGCCTTCCAAGCCCTGCCTTTGGGCAACTACAGATACTGCCCTAAATAAAAGCTAATTCTCGTGCAGAGGACTCTCCTCTTGGTATCCGCGGCACCGACTACAATTCAGTCTTTCCCTCTGGCCAGACTGCTGCTGCTACATTTGACAGAACTCTGCTGTTTAAGCGTGGCAATGCCATGGGACAGGAGGCAAAAGGGAAAGGCGTTACCGTCCTCCTCGGTCCCGTGGCCGGGCCTCTGGGTCGCATGCCCGAGGCCGGCCGAAACTGGGAAGGGTTTTCTCCGGACCCGGTTCTCACTGGCATTGGAATTTCCGAAACGATCAAAGGTGTTCAACAAGCCGGTGTGGTGGCTTGTGCGAAGCACTTTATCGGCAACGAGCAAGGTGGGTGACAGAATGGCTACATTGGACCAGAGTGAGCCCAAGTGCTAACACTACCCCAGAACACTTCCGACAGACTGGAGAGGCCCAGGGATATGGGTATGACATCAAGGAAACGCTATCCTCCAACATCGACGACAAGACGATGCATGAGCTCTACCTCTGGCCCTTTCAAGACGCCGTGCGCGCCGGAGTAGGATCCTTCATGTGCTCCTACCAGCAGGTCAACAACTCGTACAGCTGTCAGAACTCGAAGCTTCTCAACGACCTCCTGAAGAACGAGCTTGGATTCCAAGGTTTCGTCATGAGCGACTGGCAGGCACAGCATACCGGAGCTGCCAGCGCCGTCGCTGGCCTTGATATGACAATGCCCGGAGACACCGAGTTCAACACGGGCATCAGCTTTTGGGGCACAAACCTCACGCTGGGTGTCCTAAACGGAACCGTTCCCGCGTGGCGCATCGATGACATGGCTATGCGCATCATGGCTGCTTTCTTTAAGGTCGGCCAGACGGTAAATCAAGACCCCATCAACTTCTCCTTCTGGACCAGCGACACGTACGGACCCATTCACTGGGCTGCGAACAAGGATGTTCAGCAGATCAATTTCCACGTCGACGTCCAGGGTGGCCACGGTAGCCTGATCCGGGAAATTGCCGCCAAAGGAACTGTTCTCCTCAAGAACTCAGGCTCACTCCCCCTCAAGAAGCCCAAGTTCATTGCCGTGATTGGCGACGACGCCGGTCCAAACCCTCTTGGACCTAATGCCTGCAGTGATCGCGGATGTGATAATGGCACAGCCGGCATTGGCTGGGGCTCAGGAACAGCCAACTATCCGTATCTCGTCACACCGGATGCTGCAATTCAGGCCCAAGCAGTCAAGGATGGGTCTCGATACGAGAGTATCTTGACTAACTACGCCAACTCCCAGACCAGAGCTCTGGTGTCCCAAGATAACGTGACGGCCATCGTCTTTGTTAACGCCGATTCTGGAGAAGGCTATATTAACGTGGATGGAAATGAGGGCGACCGAAAGAACCTGACACTCTGGAAGAACGGGGATGATCTCATAAAAAACGTCTCGAGTTTTTGTGCAAACACAATTGTTGTCATCCATTCCCCTGGCCCTGTCCTCTTAACTGAATGGTACGACAGCCCCAACGTCACGGCTATCCTCTGGGCAGGGTTCCCGGGGCAGGAGTCGGGCAACTCCATTACCGACGTTCTTTACGGAAAGGTCAACCCTAGTGGCCGCTCTCCTTTCTCCTGGGGTGCAACTCGCGACAGTTTTGGCACGGATGTTTTGTACGAACCAAATAACGGCAATGACGCGCCACAGCAAGATTTTTCAGAGGGCGTTTTCATTGACTATCGCCACTTTGACAAGGCGAATTCCGCTCTGACATACGAGTTTGGCTACGGGCTCAGCTACACCACTTTCCAGTACAGCAACCTCAAGGTCCGAAAGTCGAATGCCGGCGCTTACCAGCCTACAACTGGCACGACAGCTCCGGCGCCGACCTTTGGCAACTTCTCGACGAATCTGAACGACTACGTCTTCCCTAGCAACGAGTTTCCCTACGTCTACGAGTACATCTACCCGTACCTCAACACATCAGATGCCAAGGCGGCCTCGGCAGATCCGAACTATGGTCAAAGCGCTGATCAATTCCTCCCGCCGCATGCCACTGACGGCTCGGCGCAGCCGCTCCTCCGGTCAGCTGGCAAGAGCGAGCCAGGCGGTAACCGCCAGCTGTTCAACGTCTTGTATACTGTCACGGCGGATATCAAGAACACGGGTTCGGTCGTCGGCGACGAGGTACCGCAGCTGTACGTGGCCCTCGGTGGGCCCGATGATCCGAAAGTCGTGCTTCGAGACTTTGATCGCCTTCGAATTGACCCCGGAAAGACGGCCCAGTTCCGTGCGACACTCACGCGCCGCGACCTGAGCAATTGGGACACGACGGTGCAGGACTGGGTTATTAGCAGTTATCCCAAGACGGTGTATGTGGGGCGCAGTAGCAGGAAGCTGGACCTGACTGCGACGCTGTCGTGAGGGTTTTTGATGAACGAACGAATGGCGCAAAAGATAGCAGCTCTCAACTGGGCAGTGATAGATGATTCATTCACAAATATATTTAATGTTGGTACTTGGTAATGATATTTTCTAATTCGAGTCTTTTGGTTATTTCGCTTTGGAAGGTGTATGTTGTTCGCGTGCCCTAATTTTGAGTTGCCGTCGTGCAGTCGACATGCTATTGGAATACATGTGCCGTGGTCGAGACTGCCGAATTGTGATTTCTCCGTGTTCCCTGCGAGAGCCACCGGGGCTAGCCGATCAGATTCCTCGCTCGGACCACGATCTTGGACCTCGACCAACAAGCCTGGGACCCACCACTTCACTAATGAAGTCACTAGGTCTTGATAAATACACCGCATCCTCCCCTGCTTGCTTACTTTTCAACTTCCTCCTCCTTCCTCCCTTCTTCTCTATCCTAGTTCCGAGCTGTACTTCAGCCAATAGGACGCTCTGCAACTGCACGTAGCCGGCGTGACTACGTGTCGCCGCCCTTAGCTTGTTTCTAAAGGTCTCTCCCCTCATCGCGATGTCCGCCCGACCTTCCCTCGTAACGGTGTCACGGCCCCACTGGGGCACAACCACTCCCACTCCTACTACTGGAGGAACTGCTCTAGTGTAACAGGAGACGCAAACCGCAAACGGTTCGCCTAAAGAGCCTTAAGGAACGAAGCTGGACAATACGGGAAATTTTCAACCTAAAGGAAACGTTTTTATTTACTTAAGTGGCGTAGTCTAGTGCTGTTTTTAGGAACACACAGCTAGGCAACATGGCGCAGGGAGCCCTATCTCTGTGGCTGAGATTGTTGATAGCACTACTATTCCAAGCTATCCTTTTACTTATAAGGATGGCATAGCCACTTTTATCCACCTACCAGAACCAATTCTTTAAGGCGACCCGTCGAATACAGATATTCTTTAGGAGTTTGCTTGGGTACAGGATCAGATACGTACTTAGTATCTGTCGAAATAAATTTGAAGCTTATATATAACGTTCATGATATGCGAGTTAGCCATGATAAGCGAGTTGGCCACCTCAACGAGATTTGGTGGGGCACAAGCAAAAAGATGTTGGTAAATTGTTAGTGATCTTATCAATTTCTTATCGCATTTGGCTGCGCACGCTACCCGGTCTCGTTAAGGTGGCTAACTTGCTTATCATGGCTAACTCGCTTATCAAATACGTTATAAAGATTCAATTTCATACTACCTTTGAAGGTAGAACGACTATAACAATTTTAAAAACGAAGCTGAAATTCTTAAGTATCTTTCAAGCTAAGCTTAAGTTTATACTAAATGTCACGGCACGGCCGAACTATGGTCCGTGCCAACCACAAAACCACGGCCTGTAGGAACCGCAGGCTTCTTCCTTTCCTTTTCCTTTCTTTAGTTTGGTTATTTACGAATTCAGTCATTTCTTACTTGCAGCCTTGACTCTCGTTTATGCCTGCCTTCACACTAAACCGAGACAGCAATAATACGTCGTTAAACTCTGCTTGGCACATGGCTTATAAGTATATACAAGTGAAAGTATGTGGAGCAGCTGCTAAGGATACTTGTCACCAACTCCCCTGGCACTGGGCGCAGCGCGCCCTAGTGGGGCACCGGGATCGGGAGCGGGGTAGTGGGGCCTAAGGCCTCTACACGCTAGCGGGCCCGAGGGCATACGGGGAGCAGTTCGGGCCTGGCCCGAACTGAGGAAACATCACCTTCGGGCCTGCCCTCATTGGCCAGCCATAGATAGATATATACGACGACCGTGGCACCGGTCTTAGATAGTTCTTGCTTGGTTCTCTAAGTAAGCAATACACATTCACTGCACTCATATGCTTTGAGTGGCATTCCGATTTGACTGTATTAACCGTGCAATAGGAGCTTGCCCTTTGTTCTATCTTCATAATTACCAACCCCAGCATCCTGTGGAGCCCGTGCTCCCTTACAGACAGACGACCCTAACAGTCGAGTGGTTTGTAATACATTCCTAGTCTTGGTATTCGCATCGGCGCCGGCCTCGAGAAGCTGTTGTACGACCGTATCGTGGCCGTTCTTAGAAGCCTGGTGAAGGGGCGTCCAGATACCACCGTCCGTGATATTCGCATCGGCGCCGGCCTCGAGAAGCCGTTGTACGACCGTATCGTGGCCGTTCTCAGAAGCCTGGTGAAGCGGCGTCCAGCTACCACCGTCCGTGATATTCGTGTCACGGTCGCCACAGGGCTCATGTGACAGGATTGATTCTATTGGCTGCATTGTGCTTAGGGTGTGGCCTGTGCGCACTGAGCACTACCTATTTCTCCGCGCCCTGCGCGGACCCGGCGATAGATTCCTTTCTCTTCCTTAGCTTTAAATCCACATTCGTTGCTGCCTTCAACCATTGACATCCCTACTGCGTAAGGCGGGCCGTCACAATTCGCATCGGCGCCGGCCTCGAGAAGCCGCTGTATGACCGTATCGTGGCCGTTCTTAGAAGCCTGGTAAAGCGGCGTTAAGTTATCCTTATCCTTGGCATTCGCATCTACGCCGGCCTCTAGAAGATGTAGTACGATCGAATCGCGGCCGTATATAGAAGCTATATGAAGCGGCGTCCAGCCATCGTTAGCCTTAGTATTCTTATCGGCGTCGGCCTCGAGAAGCTGCTGTAAGACTGTATAATAGCGGTTTTTAGAAGCCGAGTGGAGCGGCGTCCAGCCTTGCTTATCCTTAGTATTCGTATCGGCGCCGGCCTTAAGAAGCTGCTGCACGATATTACAAACCACTCGACTGTTAGGGTCGTCTGTCTGTAAGGGAGCACGGGCTCCACAGAATGCTGGGGTGGTAATTATGAAGATAGAACAAAGGGCAAGCTCCTATCGCACGGGTAATTCAGTCAAATCGGAATGCCACTCAAAGTGTATGAGTGCAGTGAATGTGTATTGCTTGCTTGAAGAACCAAGCAAGAACTATCTAAGACCGTGGCTACGGTCGTCATATATATCTATTTAAGGCGGACCAATCAGAGTCCTTCTCCAAAAGTTAGAGCGATCACTGCGATCAGTCCACACTGATCGCACTGATCACACTGACCGCTTCCTGACTGGTTGACCGTCCTGCCAGTGGTGGTCAGTCGGGCCTTGGCGGCCCGTCGTGACTGACCACCTCCTGGTTGGCTGCACCAGCCCCTAGGTGGGTCTACCCCACCTGGCTGCCCCAGCCAATCTGCAGGGGGGCTCAAGGCGCCTCCTGCACACCTGTGCCAGGATCGTAACACACGACCTTATTGTGGCTTTTTTCAGAAGCCCAGTGAAGCTGAGTCCAGCCATCCCTATATTACAAACCGCTCAACTGTTAGGGTCGTCTGTCTGTAAGGGAGCACGGGCTCCACAGGATGCTGGGGTTGGTAATTATGAAGATAGAACAAAGGGCAAGCTCTTATCGCACGGGTAATACAGTCAAATCGGAATGCCACTCAAAGTATATGAGTGCAGTGAATGTGTATTGCTTGCTTGGAGAGCCAAGCAAGAACTATCCAAGACCGTGAACACGGTCATCGTATATACCTAACTGTATAACCAATCAGAGTTCTTCCCTTACAGTGCTCAGTGCCTCCGGGGCGCTCAGTCTTCCAAGACGACTGAGCTCACAATGGTAGCTGAGCACTTCCCCAATTGGCTGCCCTTCCTGCTCAGTGGGTCTTCTTAATCTTGGCGGCCGAATGCACTGAGCGCCGCCTGATTGGCCGCACCGAGCTCCTGCGGGGCCCGGCCCGCCCGTTTGTGCTGCCCAATCAGCAATCGGCTTCCAGCGCCCCCTGCAGACTTGAGCCAGGATCGTAACACCCTATCCTTAGCATCCGCATCGGCGCCGGCCTTAAGAAGCCGCTGTACGACCGTATCGTAGCCGTTCCTAGAAGCCTGGTAAAGCGGCGTCCAGCCATCCTTAGTCTTAGTATCCGCATGGGCGCCGGCCTTGAGAAGCTGCTGTACGACCGTATCGTAGCCGTTTTTAGAAGCCCGGTGAAGTAGCGTCCAGCCGTAGTCGTCCTTAGTATTCATATCGGCGCCGGCCTCGAGAAGCTGCTGTACGATCGTATCGTGGCCATTTTCAAAAGCTAGATAAAGCGGCGGGAAGCCATCATTATCCTTAGTATTCGTATCGGCGCCGGCCTCGAGAAGCTGCTGTATAACCGTATTATGGCACTCCCTAGAAGCTTCGTGAAGCGGCGTCCAGCCATCCTTATCCTTAGCATTCGCATCGGCGCCGGCCTCAAGAAGCTGCTGTACGACCGTATCGTGGCCCTTCTCAGAAGCCCAGTGAAGCGGCGTCAAGCTATTCTCGTTCTTGGTATTCACATCGGCGCCAGCCTTGAGAAGCCGCTGTACGACCGTATCGTGGCCGTATATAGAAGCCCAGTGAAGCGGCGTCGAGCCATCCTCTTCCTCAGCATTCGCATCGGCGCTGGTCTCGAGAAGCTGCTGCACGACCGTGTCTTGTCCAAAATAGGACGCAACTATTACTGGTGTAAAATTCCGTGGTCTTGCTCCTGTTGTAAGCATTTGATAGATTTCAAACCATGCTAAAGAAGCTGGTCGTTGTGGATTGAGATGGGATAGCACCTTCTTGGTTGCCTTCTCGATCGTCCAATCTCCGCCATTCCAATCACCTTTGCGGAAGTGTTCAGCCCAGTACTGGGATGAATAACCCAGAAGCGTGCGCTTTGCGATGTACTGGTGTCGTTCTTGTTGACTTGCTTGAAGAGTCTTGAGGTTAATGTCCGACCATGACAGCCGCCACATGCAGATTTCGGCAAGGATACGATTGGATTCTCCCGGATGAAGCGAGAACTTCCATTGTAGCTTCGGGCCACTTAAAGGAGATCCTAGCAGCTCTAGTGATAGCGACGGCACTAGAAATTCGCGGGCCGTTTGATGGAGCAAGTAGATTTTCGAATCGACCACCACTACGAAAAGTCCACAATGCTGCCTGATGTTTTCGCGGAATCGTGTCTCTGGGACCAGCTCCAGATCGCCGAATGACCGATGTTTAGGACCTATCGCCAAAGCTAGGTCCATCTCCTGCAGAGTTAGCGGTCTCGCTGCTGCGACGATGATATGGAGGATCTTTCTAGCGCGCCCAATATCTGGACTCTTTGACAAGATGTTGTCGTATGCTGCATCAACCGTTTCCGGAATCGTATTGGCTATCGACCGAATATCTTCTGCTCTGTCGATAATGCTCCTGTTTATGATGTCGAAGATGAGATACACCCAGAGGTAGGTGTGGTTTGGAACCCGCGTAAGTTCCTCTCTCAGAACGTTCTGCTGCTCTTCGGTAAGCTCTAGCTTTCTACCATCGTCCGCTATTCTGTTTCTAACCACCAAGTCAATCTCGCGAGAAATCTTGCTTGCTTCTTCCGCGCTTTCCCCACTTAAGTGAATCATTGGTAGTTTGCGTTCTAGATGCTGGGAGAATTCTCTTCTAATACCCCAGTAGGGCCGGCTGGTCAAGAGGAACTTCAAGACTGGAGTGCGAGCCGTCGTGTGAGAGTGGAAATTTGAGATAGGATCGATAAGCTGATTGCGCCTCGAGTCCTCGCATTCGTCGAGCGCATCGATGATGCAGACAATCTCGCCCGTCTCGTGGCCAATCGCGGCAGCCATAAACAAATCCCGGAGGTCACGGAAGGACGTTGAAGGCTTTTTTTCGCCCTTTTCTACCCATTTGTCCTCCTCGAGCTTTCTCAGGATTTGGTCTGAGAAACAGCCGGGACGCTGTTTGAAGATTTGACGCAAGATATAGCACAGAGCAGTAGTCGAAGATTTCTGGTCATCGAAGCCGTCCTTGAAGAAGTAGCAGGTCGTTCTTGTATCCGTGCTCCGCAGAAAGTCATCCGCCAAGTACCTGGCCAATACCGACTTTCCGCAGCCAGGGTCCGCAGATACCCATAGCAAGCTAGCTGCGTTGCTTTGCTGCCAATTTCGGAACAGCGGATGGCTATAAACCATTCTCATGTCCCTTCGACTCGTGGCGGATTTACGTCCTTGCGACCCCTATAGCGACAGGAATAGAGCCTTTCGAGCCACTCTACCTTCTTCTCTTCTTGGACAAGTCCAGGCGAGGTAGCATCGGGGATTTTTTGCGAACTGGAGCGTATCTCGTCAAGAACGGCACTGCTAATGGTTAGGAACCTTCGTGTTCGGAATTGAGGGGTAGAACATACGTTATCTTGCCAATCCACCGTTTAAGATCGTCAACGGAGTTGTATTCCTCCGGTGGAAACTCAAGCCCCCCCGGAAGACCTTGCGGGGAGACAGGGGCGTCGAAGGACGCCCCTTTCGTCAGACTCTCCCGAAATCTGGTGCCATCTCTTGTAATTTCTTCGGCTGCCGCTTCCGCTTCATCTCTACCCCAAACCCCGCTTGCGCGCTTCTTCAGTCTGTCCTCCATGTACGCCAAGCTGAGCGCATAACAAATAGCGTTACCATGCGCCGTGTCCACCACAATCTCATCCTGGCGTGTAAGAAATTGACCCTTGTACAAGAGCGGGTGTGCAAGCTTGTTGTACAGGTCCTCCGCGATGGTCGTGACCTGTATCTCGAACATCACACCATAAAACCGAGAAAGGGCCGCGCATTTCCCGTTTTGTAAGCTGACGCGATAATTGCGAGTCTGGTAGGCACCAAACTGTGCTTTCTAGAATCGGCCGACCTCACGGCTAGGGAGGAAAATAACTAGCTCCTCTTTCTTCTAAAAACTTTCCTCGACGAAACAGATGACTCTCTCCATGTCGTCAGCGAATTCCAGTATGACCCTGAGTCCGACGAGGTCATGAATTTTGCGGAATATGTCGGAGAGGCTCTCGAACCGCTGTTGCTTTGCTTCCAGAGTGCCTCCTCGCGCCGATCGAGTGACTTTTTGATTGAAGCAACCTCCTTAGTTCTGCTTTTGACTTGGCAATAGATAGCGTTGCGCTTGAGAGCGTCTTTGCAAAACTCTTCCAATCTCTCCTTCATGGTGTCGTATTCGTCCTGTAGTTTGGGCCAGATGTCGTTGACGAAGGTGCTTTTGGGATCTGGGCTAACAGCCTCCTGAGTCATCTGATTGATTTTCGCCCGCAGTGATTGATCAGGAGCATCAATTTCGCCTGCTTGGGCCGGAGCTGGCGAGTATGAATCCATGGTAATCGGCTAAACAAAGTGCCGATTGTGGGGTAATGAAGCTCGCATAACCACCTGTACCGGCGGTGCAAATTGAGAGGAAGCAGAGAATGCGGTAGGAGAGGGTGCGAATAGCAGTGTTGAAGTTACGATGGGGCCTTATGTCAAAAGATGACGGGCTCGTAGGTGATCGTAACAGTATAGTAGATGGTTGGAAAGGTGCTGAGAAGCAAGAGGCTCCTGGAGCGACGGCGTGGGAATTTTTGACCAGGCAGCTCTCCCACCGTTGCATTGGGCGTCAAGCCGGTGCTGCGATTTCTGCAGTCATCTGTATCTATTGGCTGGCACGAGCCAATCACGATGCAGTACGATGAAATTCGGGGCTGTGCTGGGTTTTAGTCACTGCTGTGCTACACAACACCTAATGGTTGGCCAGTAAAGAGGGATTTTGCGAGGCGGCCGAGGGCGGAGAACTGCACAGCAGCCTCAACTGGTATGGTGTGAGAGTGGTTAACCGTGCAATTGGCCACGTCTGCACCACATACGGCATTTTGATAAGGCGTATTAGCATCAATATTTAGGCACTGAAAAGTTTAAGCCAGAGCTATAAGTTAAAGCTTTGAGTTCTCACACTTGAATCACCTCTCTGCACAGATTGCAAATCTTGAACAATCTTTTACGCACTCATCCCCTCCTTTCAAGTCAACATCCCCAAACCGGTCCAAAAGACGTAGTATGAATTATGAAAAGCCGTCGTACAGACATTTCGTCCAGTCTCGATGCCAAACCAACCCTTGCATCATTGGATTAGCGGAACATATAGGATGTGGACCTGGGACAGCCAGTACAATCGTTACTCTCGACTACCCTCAGAGCGGACCCCCGGCTCCAATTCCTCTTACGATAGCCGAGGCTAATTTGGCCGAGCTCATCTATGCCACCTCTACAATTCATGGGCGGATTCTGATCGTAGAGAACATTCGACCCCATCTGATCAGTCTTCTAGGTAAGATCTTGGATATTGATCCGGTCTTTTTTGCCGGCCACATCACCACCGACTTCAAGGACATTGAGAAAGCCCCGCCACCTCAGTCTCTCGCGTTGTTTCCGTCTCAGATTGCTGAGAGGGGCTACCTTCATCTCCATTATCAGCAGGTATTGGATTTGGGAAGCGTAGATCCGTTCCGATCTTCTTCGTACAGCCTAAAATCGGACTCTAACGTCCCGCGAAACATCAGACGCCTACCCCATCTATCGGAACGACAGGTTGCTCTTGCCCGAGCGTGCTGTTCTGTTCTCGTGAAAAAGATCAAGGGCTCATGGATTTGTAAGCCCTCTTCGATCGTTACTATACGTATTGACCTCGTCATTAACATCAATAGGCCTAATCCTGGTTGACCCTGCCGTCAAGACGGTTATTGAGACACTACGTTCAGGCGACCGGAAAGCATACCCAAGTATGCCCTTGCATGGGGGTTTCGAAGACTTTGTACAATCGGCGTCTTTCGCATCCTTTACATCTGTCACCACCGATCCCTCATAGGATAAGGAGTCGATACTCAGCAGCTTAATCCACTACTTCCGCAACCAGGCCCCTGGGTTCGCAGCATCTGAACCTGGCATCTTAAGCCTTGGTTACTACCCAATACGCATCGTCTTAGCTGAGTGGATCCTCTACACGCACCTAATGAGCCGCTACTTCAAATACTACGAATACACTCTGCACGGCACCGAGAACCGATTGCATGACAGCGACATCGTTGACCTCTAGCGTTGGCGGCGTCGGAGTATTCAGAGCCAACACAAACTGATTCTTCTTTCCGAGTTCGTCGACTACTGGTTGCCGCAGGAAGCCGACAAGCAGCCGTAGAATCTGATACGGAAGGATATCAAGCACGTGTTGTCACAGATAGAGCATTATCACCGCTCGCTCGAGCACATGATCCCAGTGGCAACATCGATGGTGCAGCTGCTCGACTCAGCCTAGACCGAGGTAGGTAAGGTATGCAAAAAAGGGGGGGATGACGTCCTTCGCGCCAGTCCTCCTAGAACCACATAGTTAGAATACCTCTAGGCGTAGAGCTTTCGCAGCGCGATTTTATTACTGTTGCAGGATCCAACACCCAGCCCCAGCCTTCTCTTTTCCCCCGTTCCCTGGCAGCGCATCCTGAAGTTCCCGTCAGCGTGAGACATGGTCTCCTCTGCCAAGCGAGGAAAACGCGCGCATGTCGTGTCGTACATGCATATGCCGCTAGTAATTCTGCACCTTGGGCGCTTCAAATTCCATTTTCCTCCTTTGGCCAAGGCTCATGCGGGCTTTCGGGTGTGGATTCCCGGCTGAAAGTGGCATAGGTGGTTTGACCATGTAGTTTGTGATGCACGTACCAGGAAGAACGAAACACGGCCAGCCCCGGCCACGGAGAGTGAGAGAGGAAAAAATACCGAAGCAAGGCGTTCTGTCTCATTGAACACGATGTACGGAGTATTAACGCTGAAACTACAAAACGTGACTAGTAGTCCAGCCTGTGCTGGAAGTAAATAACCCCAGAACGAAGAATCTTGACAGGCTCGAGGTCGTCTCCGCCGTTCCCGACCCGTCGCAAGACGGGCCAAAGAAGCCGTCCACCACCGTCTTCCACAGCAGATGTCGCAAGATCAAGTACGAGCTGCGCATCTGCGAAAACTGCCCTCCCGCCTCACCAAGGTGCTGCACTGGAAGCTGATCTCCACTTGTCGTGATCTTCATGTTGCTGGCGAGGCATATGAGCACAATGGTTGTGTTGATACCGTCGAACCTGCGAATGGCGTCGTCATCCGCCATTGGGGCCAAGTATCGTGCATTGTCACGCACTTTAGTTCCAGCCCGTCCATCTTCTTCTGCTGGCCGTCAGCTGGCCGTCAACCTTCTTGTTCAGGTCGTCGATCTCACGGTCCAGAATCTTATTCCTGGTCCGTTCGTGGGCCGACTGCTGCTGCACCTCGTCAAGGCTCTTCTCCTTGGCCGTGAGTATATTACTGACAGCATTCTCATTCTCACGCTTCTGTAGCTGCACGTCGTTTTTCAGCCCCCGGTGTTGTTCCTCTGCTACTTTCCGCTGCTGCTTGAGGCTCCACCGTCCCTCTAACATCATGTCGAGTCCCGTCGCAGAGTCACAAGCCACAGCAAGGACCTTCTGCCCACGGCCAGCATATACAGCAGAAGGTGCCGTCAAAGATCTCGTATGCGCTGACCACCAATGGTAGCATGCAATTCGGCTATGACATCGAGGCTGGGTCCGAGACCGTCATGAACACCAAGATGAAGCTCCTTGAGAACGAAGAGAGCAAGAGCAAAACCGTTCGCGCAGTACGAGTTGCCTTTCCGACTAGTCGGTCTCTAATGTTCTGGAATGGAATATATCCTTTGCGTCTGAGCTCGAAGCTTGCGTAATCTACACCTTGAAGCTCGCACAGGCTCAAGGGGTGGATCGCTTAATGACAGGGGGGGGGGGGGGGGCAATTGTCCCGGCCACGCCTCCATTTCCCTAGTTTCATCTCCAACTTGACACTTCAGCAGCCTCCAGGTGTGAAAAGAAAGATATGGCCGAGAATGTCAACTCGAGTATCTATGCGAGGCACGGCGATGTATGAAAGGTGATGAATTGCTTGGGGAAGCTAAAATCTATCGGTCCGCAGGCGGGAAATCTATGCATGGATAGGGTGGATCCGCAGGGGCCATTTAGTGGACCCGGCTGGGCCAGGTTTTGGCCTGTGCCCAGCACAGCATCTTGTTCAGGTACCTTGGGTTGTTGAAAGTTGCTCCGGGGGTCTGGGAAGTAACAGGAAGAGTCTCGGTAGCACAAGCCTGCCCGGCCTTACAGTCCACAAAAACACCGACAACAGACACATACGACCATAGGCACTAGAGAACTCGGGATCCCGTCCGCTCTCCCATAGATAAACTAGCGACCGCCAGATTAGTAGTTGGGTCGGTGACGACCAGCGAATCCCTGGTGTTGTATGTTTCTTTTTTTTTTTGCCGTTTTTCTGTTCAAGCGTTTGTTTCCTTCGGCTTCGTTGAGTCGCTGCCCTTCTAGAACCCCGAGATCGACCACCTACTTACCAGTCGTGCCTAGAGAGACAAGACACAGCCAACTTTAGAGAACCACAGGAAAATGCTCAATACGGCCTGCACCATGTTACACCTATAATACCCCATGCCGATCAAGTTCGAGTACGCGTGGCCAGCGGCACACGACGGAGCCGTAGACGCGCTGGCAGTCGGGGCACGTGCCGGGAGCGAAAAAGTCCCACGACTTGCGTATGGGCGAGCAGAGGAATAGGTTGACAAAGATGGCGGTGATGTAGATCAGCGTGCTGGCCGCCATGAGCCGCGTGTACTAGAAGAACCAGTTGCGCGTCCCCATCGGCACGAACACGTTCCCCCACTTTATCAGGATATCGTTCTTGGCCAGCAGTGTGGTCGCGAAGTAGATGGGCGGATAGGCGTAGACGACCTAGATGAGTTGTCGGTATGGCCCATAAGTGCGCGAGTAAATGACGGGGTGAAACCAACCTTGGCTGCAAAGAGAGAGGTCCGCACTTGGATATTGAATTAATCGACGAAGAAGCCGACTCTCAGCATGAGCGACATGATCCCCCACATCAGGCTAAAGTAAAACGTGAATGCTGCCACACCTAGGTCTAATGAATGACGTGCTAATATCAGTAAAAAGCGCAATTCAAGTGAATCAGAAATGAAAAACGCATAGTCCTCAACCTCCTACCCAGCCTAGCTCGCCTTGTCAGCTTTTACAAGTGGCGGCGCAGACACGAAAAAGAGGTCATGTCAGCGTCGTGGATGGCCGATTGGCGCCGCTGCAAAGTCTTCGACTCTCGTCTTGGCAGACGCTGACTACCTCCCCTTATCGTGCTCTTATTTAGCCTAGTATCTAAATAGGCGCATTCGCATTTGGAAGGTTGAGCGTTAGATGGGCTGATGAACATTACAGTTCACTGTAGACCTGCAAAGCGTAGGGAGGAGAGAGTGAACCCAAATAGGTATTGAGATGACTCTGGTGCTATCTTCTCTCTGGTAAAGGAGAACAGGAAATAAATAAAAGAAAAGACTCCCATCAGCATGATATCTCGGTATGATAGGACTTTATCACTTCATCTGGTCCTAGGGAGGGCAATAGTTCAGAGAAGTTTCCCCCAGAGCAAACCATTGATCCCACGAACCCAGCCAGCTCCTCGTCTCAAGGCCCCGTAGTGCGCGGTATCAGCAGCCGTGGTCGTCAAAACAAAGACCTACCAAGGTAATTAAACATCGTGAAAAGCTATCAGGTACAACGGAATCACGGACTCACCTCAGTATCGTGCACCAGTATTCGCGGCCTATCTCTGAGGATACTTGCAGCGAGGTTTGTTACAACGGTATATAAGCGTTGGCTTCATGGTGCCTCCGGATCCGGGTAACGTGCGCCACACGCAAATACATGGGCTATCCCCGGGTCCCTCGCTGCTGCTTCGTTTCTTATTGCTCACTTGCCCTCCAACTGTCGAGGTCGCGGCCTCAGCCGTGTTGTAGGAAAGGTTATCCATGATTGGTGCAGTCGTGACTACCGAGCAGTCAACAAAGTTAGAGAATGTGAGCGTGTGAGCTAGTTGGAAGAACTCACTTTGATGTCGATGCTCCCAAAGTTGTCAACTTGCAGTATAAAACTTAAAGCTAATGATGAGCTCTCGAAGAGGCTTGTTGATAGACACGCGCTGCTTGATTCCTCTTATCCAGTTGCAAATCTAAGGATTAATAGTGAGGAAACTGTTCGGTTTATAACTCCGACGATTGATCCATGATATCAGCTTCAAAATTTTCTTCAACAGGGCATACAGAACCCCAAGCGCTGTTACGAGGTTTTCTGAACCTGAGGCAGACAACAGCCTGCGCAGAACAAAGGGCGAGTAGCCTAAGACCATCCACGTCCGACAGCCAGCGAAGAGATAGCGCGAACTGAAACAGGAGAGTAGGCGGAATCTCTCCTTTTCTTTTCTTTGCAAGTCCAGCTGACCCTTTTCAGGGCTCTGTGCGCATCGGAAGACGCCAATCGATTGTGATGACTTCCAACATAATGACTGGTCACTTTTCTTTCCTACGTCATCATTGAAACCAAACAAAGGGAATACGCAAGAAACAGAGAGTTGGTAGAAACGCCGTTTTCAATTGCCACACCTTGGCCCAGGTCGCCATCTCCGATTTACGATTGCGACACCACTTTTGTGCCAAAGCTACATACACCAGTCTTAATAGTTGGAGACTAGAATCGAGCCCCATATTAGTTTCTCGAAAGCAAGGCCATGGTGAATGTGGCAATCATACAAAACAAAGAAAGGCCGAAACCAGTTATCGGCACAGATAACGCTCAGCTGTTACAGGGAAGCCAATCAACATCCCAGCAACATAGCCACCTGAGCCCTTAGGCTGGAGCCCGGATATCACCGCAGCCAGAGGTAAGGATGGCTGCGGCCATACCTTCAGCCGCTTGGTATGCCAAAGAGCAATCACTTGGATGGAAGACAAAGTCTCGATTCTTCATTGTTGGGGGACTTTCAGCTGATGGGTTTCCCTAATAACCTAATACCCACCTAGTACGTAATGATATCCCGCCTCTCTCTGTCCCACTAGTCCATTGAATAGACTCTGGGATTCCGCCAAGGTCTCAGGGAAGGAGGCCAGCGTCAGCCGTTGGTCTGTGGTGCCGAAGCCAACCGGCCACCTCAGCCGCCGTTTTTGTGGGGAGTTGGGAAGGCACACTGGGTTCAAGCTGCCGATACTACGCTTGTCTCTCCGCACGGCTTTGCGAAAGACGCAGAAAAACAACAACAATACAATCTGGAACATGGAAGTACAGTGTGAGGAGGTCTGTCGAGAAAGAAATACGACACGTGCGGGTTTTTGGCAAGGAGATACGAGATGAGCCGTGCATCAGTCTTCTTTCGATGTCTGTGTTTGAGAGGCTGGGTGTCGATGGGCTGGGACGGGCTGGGACGGGCTGGGACGGGATGGGCTAGGACTGGCAACTCCGCGGCTGGCACTTCGGAATTGGATCCCCTGAAATCGTGAGTCGTACGCCGTGACTCCGTGTACGACCTGGCGAATGGTGGGATAGTGAGAAAATGGCGAATCGGGAATGTATTTTGGGACGATGAGTGCTTAATTTTTAAAGGCGTCTCGCCCTATTTTGTGTATCTATTGTCTCGGCTTTCCAACCTTTTGGAACTGGCAGCGACATTGTGACTTAATAGGATCCAAATTAAATCATTACAGTCGAGGTGGCTCTAGTCAGGAGTCAGCAATGCGGGTGCTGGGCCCGGTTTTGGCGTCGAAGCGCGGGATGCAGTGCGTCTCATCAATGCATCTCTTGACTCCTTTGACTACCACTTTTGACCCCTTTTCGGTCTCGCCCCCTGCCACAATGTAATGCTGCACGCGTCTCGATGCTCGAATGCTGCGTTGGCTTGTTCCTGGCCTGGCACTTCGAGGTTGGTCTGGTAGTGGGTTGTTAAGCTAAGCTCCGCTGGGGTGGACAAGTGCTAATGAGCAGCTACGGTCTACCTTAGTTCACCTACTCAGTCGGCCGCTCGCAGCCTGCACCGCAGCTCCATGCATCGTCAATTTGCCATAAGTAGGATGACCAGGCGGACACTTGCCAGCACCGAAAAGGGGAGGGGTTGGCAGGATGTGACCACGTCTACTCTGTGCCGTGAATATACTCAGTGCCTTATTGGCTGAAGTCCGGCTTGATTAGAGTTGGGGAGAAAGAAGCATGACGAATGAGGGAAGTTGGAAATAAGCAAGCCAGGGAGGTGCGGTGTATCTATCAAGACCTGGGGACTTATCGGTCAAGTGGCTGGTACCCAAGTCTGGGCTTGCCGGTCAAGGTACAAGGCTGTATTCCAGCATGAGATTAGTTCCGGCAATCATCTTATATAGGGTTAATCTCTCTGATCTGATAATGGGAGCCAGAATCACTTCAGGGTTAACCTTCTCTTCGAACCCGTATCCCACTCCCGCAACGCACCCTCCCCTCCTTGCCCGCCGTAATACTGTACTTTCAGAAGGCCTTTCCGGTAGGATACCCCCTCCACGGTATCGGTGCAGACTATGAGGCAGATGATGGCGTCAGGCTCGAGGCGCTCAAACATGTCTATCCGGCGCTTCTTGGCTCTGGTGCTCTTCCTGTCCGCGGCCTGTATGGCTCTGAAGATGTCCCGGCGCGGCTCCCCGTACGTGCCCAACACCACGCACTCGTACTCCCTGTTCGTCAGCTTCTGGTACAGCATCTCCATCGACGTGGGCCCCGCTGAGAGGTGCACATCCAACATGGCACGACCGTATGACAGCAGCTGCTCGGGGTTGAGGACGTACGCGTCGAACTGCAGCGACTCGGCCTCTAGGAGCTCTCGTACGAGGTATTGCTTGTACCGAGAGAAACCCTGCAGCGACTCGTAGTTCCTGGAGTGGCCGTCTGGAAATCCTATGCTTACGGAGCCGCCGAGGAGACTGGTCCAGCAGTAAGGGAGGTCGTTCCGGCTCTGCATCTGCCCGAACCATCCGGCCCACGACCAGGACGGAAACCCACGTCGACGCTGTGGCTTCGGATTGTCGTGCGGAGTCCATCGTAGCTGCGTCCCCGGCTTGCCCGACCGAGAGGCCGGCTTGAACTGTCGTGGGAAGTCGCCGTTGAAGTTGTCTACGCGGTGCGACCAGGCCAGGGCATAGCTGAGATGGTCGAGCCCTTCCTGCTTGCTGTGTGGCAGGTTTGCGATGGGGAATGGGACGGCGATTCCAGCCACGCTCGCTATTTTGGCCGTCGTCTTGGCGTAGAATCGGGCGATGGCCGCAAAGGCGTTGAGGACGTCGTCTTTGTTAGTCAGCTCTCGTTTGGTGTATTGGAGGATTTGGTGCTGACATCGGCGGATGGTGTCAACCTTTCGGTGGTTTGCCTTGTTCTGCCTCACGTCGAGATGCGAGTATTGATTTGAGTTGCCGCACACGAATTGACCTGCGCGGTGGTAAGCCCTAAAGCGCTGGCCAGTATTGATGTGGATGACGTCGAGGTTGCTCTTGAAGGACTCTGCACAGTTCATGGCGTTGCACTCGAAATAGATTTGATGGTTGGTGAAGAAGAGACGGCGAGTCGAGAATAGTCCTTCCTGATACGTCCATGCTCTGGTCGACCATTTGGACCGCTTGATGGACTCGTGCGGGTCGGGCATGGTCGATATGAACCGGTAACGTCCGCTGCGACACTCTCGTTGACCGAGGCGAGGCGTTGAGCTCACTCCGGGCAGCCCGGCGTTCGAGTCGTCTCCCAATGCGAATATTGCTATCTGCGATCCGGCGTAGATGTCTCCCATGCGGCTGAACTGCTCCCGCTGCTCTTGTTCGTTGTTCTGATCAATACAATACTTGTCGACCCAGAGGTAGCGGTATCGCAGGGCTTTGGTCACCTTGACGGCATCTCGAATGGTCAGAGGGATGTGTCTCGGGAGGTGTAAGACCGGCCTCGTGCTCCCTGGCCTCGGCGCGGCGGCGGCTTGAGCTTCGCTTTGACCCGGGATCCCCGGTGGCCCCCAGACGTAGCTTAGGGCAACGTACTTGTCGCCGGGTTGGTATTCTTGAATGTCCAGATTTTCAGATTTGCAGTCGATCACCCTCATTCCCCTAACCTCTGGCGGTTTTGGGTTGCAGCGGTTGCGGTGGCGCTTACAGGTCCGCAACCAGGAGAGAACGGGTTTTTCGTCGAATTTTCTAGGGACTTGCTGAGGCTGGAGGACCTTGGATTCCGGACGCCCATCGGGCAAAACCACAACCATACCCCTTGCGGCTATGTGCTCCAAAAGCCCTTCTCTCCATCTCGGCGCGATGGGGACGACGGCAATGTGATATGGGGCTTCGTGGTTCCGGAGCACGTTTCTCGAAGTCTGGTAATCGCTGACGTGATGGACATAGCGGAGATTGGGGAAGACGTGTATTCGGTCGCCAAGATCGTCTCGCACCTTCCCCTCAATCCAACGCCGGCTCTCTATGAAGCCTGCTATCCAAGGGGCGTACAGCTGGCGGCAGAGTGTGCAGGTGTTGTTGGGAGAGAGTTTTCGATAGCGTCTGCCCACGTCGACGAAGGGCCGACCTTTCCAGGTGAAGCGCAGCTTTTCGTTTACCACTTTTTCGATTCCGTCCCAGGATATCGCTGAGCACTCGGCACAGAGCTGGTTGGTCGACAATAGGAGAGATGTCTGACAATGACGTTTGGTCGCGGGACCGTGAATGTTCTCGCAGTTGTCGTCCAATTCAAGTGTCCTCTTCCCTAACACTGAATGCGAACTCGAGCCGGCTCTCCTGTTTGGGACGTTGCTGGCCTGGTGGCTTACAGCCGCCTGAGCCGCTAGGACGTTGGCTGCGTTGTTCGGCATTGTGTCGTGTGTGCATGGTTTGTTCTGGGTAATTAGTCGCTTCCGATGTGCGAGAACAAAGGTCATCGATTCACATTTTAATTGTGGAAATGCATCTCTGAAGCAATGGATTCTGGCCATGACTCACAGGGCACGACTTCACTAAGCAAAGGCGGGACGGCCCGAGTGTGTCTAAACCAAAGTAGGACAGCCAAGGCAACTGCGCCACAGCCTGACGTCGATGAACCTGGGGGAACTCGGTATGAACCAATCACATGGAGCTCAAGGCACACTCAACCCAATTTTGGGGCGTTCTCTCCTATCATGTTCACTCAGTTTATGTAGGCTGAAAATTCCCTGCTGCGACCCCCACCACAGAAGCACTTTATGGCCTGCTCTTGGATCCAAGGACTAGTAAAGCATTGATGCCTTTATTATGCTAAGCGTGAGAGCTTGGTGCTGTCCGTATTGCAAACACCCCCTGCCTTGAACTCCGACTTAATGAGTGATGATGGTTTCGGACCTTCTGTGAGCCGGTCTCGTCGCTGTGCGCGTGACACGTATCGGCCGAAGGCGGCGAATACCAAGCTTTGGAGAGACAAGCGATTAGATTATCTGGTCATCGGCTTGCTGATGCAAGAGGGAAGCTTACGATCGGCTCGTCTGCGCCATCTGGGGGTGTCCGTTAAAATCTGGCTGAGTGCTTTAGGGTCGGAGATGACGAGGGGGATAAAAACGGCAACAAAGTCCTCTTTCAGTAAAATTCTTGCCGTCTCTCGTACATCGCCAATGCTCGCTCAAAAGTTGTATCGACTCCTTTTCCGCAATAGATATTTGATGAGCTCTGACGCAGACGCCGGGGTCCCTTGTTCTCGTACTTGCCGTCAACAAGAAGCGCGACTGTGCTGAAGTACCCTCAAAGAGAGACACGTGCTTTGACGCCTCGGGCTGGATAGTGCCGAGGTTGGCCTGAATGCCTGGACACAGCACAATATTTCATGCCTCTTCTATGTATTTAAAATTCTCTGAACGCGACCGTAGATTATTCCAGGTTCTTGGTTTTAGCTCCGTTCAACAACCACAGACCCAAAGATCCAAGCAGTCAAAGATATCTCTAAGCTCAGCAGAAGTAAGGGAAGACGACATGGCCGCAGAGGATGTTCGTTTAGTGAAATCGCTAATCCTTACCCTGGTTTGTCTACTTGCAGTTTCCCTCGCCGACGCACGCTCGTCCCCGTACACACAACAATCTGCTTGGAAAACCTCGCACCTGTTCCCGCGGGGCCGATCTACGAGCACTCGATGGTTGCTCTCGCACCAACCCAGCTTGCCATCATTGGACGTATTCTTCAAGCGGGTGTTATCGATAGTGTCCACATCTACGACATTCCCGAAGACTCATGGAAGAAAGTTGCGTCCCTCCCAAAAACTATTGACCATGGCAACGCTGCAGCAGTAGATGGCAAGATCTACGTGCTCGGCAGCGTGACTGGCGCCAACTGGGCTGGAACTCTGAGATCGTGGTTTATGTCTGAGAGGGTGGGCGGCGATATATTCGATACCCCTGTACAAATATTCGGCGAATATGATGCACTAAAACTTAGCGAGATGAGGACTGGTGTTGCGGGCACCATAGGGGGCGAAGCTGGCAGCAAAACGTGAAGGGAAAATACCCGCTGTAGCTTAGCACCAGCCCGCTAAGTTACAGTATTCGTCCCACTAATTTTTAACTTTACCCCACTAGAGCTTCTGTCGATTTCAGCGTATCATATTCGTGAAATATTCGTACAGGGGTGTCGAATATATCGCCGCCCACCCTGGACTTTATGACCCAGCGACGAAGAAGTGGACATCCGTACCCTCCATGCCTAAATCAGAAGCCCGCGGAAGCGCGGTGATGAGGGTGTACAACAAGGTTACCTGGCTTGCCTCGGAAGTGACAGGCCACGGAAGAGACAGGCAGCGGCGGGACGTCGGTCACTAATTTCTCGGCTTTTGGTACTGTCACCGGAAGTGGCTAACCTCCATTCCGGAAAAGGCGAAGCGCATCCCTGGAGGTCGAGATCACGGAGGGGGCGGTGTTATTAGGAGCAAGTTTTACCACATTGCAGGGAGTTTGGGTCTCATATCAAACAGGACAGACACAGTGTTTGTGCTTGATCCCGAGGGCTTGGCAAAGGGTTGGATCATTGGCAAAGGGTTGGATCATCGCCAAGGGCAGAGTGCCTACGCTTAGGAGGGGATTTGCAACAGGTGCGATTGAGAACAAGTTTTACACGTTTGGGAACGAGGGAAACCCAAACCTGGAGTTGGGGGGGTGTTCAGGGAGGAGGAAGTTTACGATACGGAGACAGATACTTGGACCTCGCTGCCCCCGGGGAGCATTCCCAGACATGGTAGTTATGCTGTGGCAGTGAATTGGAGCATCTCCATCCCGGGTGGAGGTACCGCGTCGGGCACACCGGCAATGGCTACGTTTAATGTGTTTACACCGTACGAGCAAGATACCATCTTCAAACCACCGTGATTAGCTCTTCCTTAACTATGGATTGGAATATGAGTCCACACGCAACAGTATCGCGGACCAAGAGGCAAAATCCAGGTCATCATGTCACTCGGGGAATTGTACCAGCCATGTTGTTAAATTGATAGTGTTAAAGAGGGCTGACCAGTGATAACGCTCTCAATGTAACACAAACCGGACAAATATCCACTACCCGTTGATCACGACGTACTGTACGGAGAATGGTTCCAAGTCTACGGGAATGTTACGAAATAATTGGGGGGACAGAAGAGATAGTATGGACGCAGCAGACGAATTATCACACCTTGAGCCCCGAGCCCCGCCACTCTCATCGGTTATGAACAAGCACATTGCACCGCATTGACGATAATGGTAATAAAAGCTCTGACTCTCTGAGAGATTGTGTCAGGTGGTTCAAGTGTACGACTTGAATGCCAAAGGTTAGAGGAATGAGTTTGCGCATGTCATGAATCTGCTCTGGAGGTGCCCCCTTTTAATCAGCTTGAGTGATTACCACCATTCAAATCAACTATATAACGAATTTCTGTAATGGTAGCTATATGTAGAGTTAAGCCCTCGCTGCACGAGTTCGAGTTTGACTGATGATTACACGGCGTACAAAGTTGAGGTCGCTTCGAGCGCTGGCGAAGCTGCCCTTCTTATCAAATAGAGCTAGCGCGACGAGGATCAATCTCCCCGAAAACCAGATCAGAAAAGCATGGCTTGGTTATCCGTGCAGGTTCGCAGGCTACTAAAGAGAAGTAAAAATTCGGGCAGTGCATGCACACACGTGGTCTGGCCAGCATCACAAAAGCTCTGCTTTAGTAGATGAATAAAAGGTGGGCGGGCATTTGCTAAACATGCCTATGCAAGAATTCGGTAAATTTGATGGGCCGAAGGTCAATGTTGGTGGGTCGTTTTGAGTCGAATCTGATTGCCGAGTACAGTATGCAGGAGGACGGTTATCAAGTGTGCAATAGTAATTGAATGACTGACTGAAGAAGCTCGCCCTAGTTGACGGGTCTATCTTTGTAACTGAACTTTATTCAAAATTAACACCACTAATGGCAAGATGGCTACTGTGCAGTTTAAGTGACCTGTGTTGTTCTTAAAATGACTCGTGTTTGCCGTGAGAATAAGTTGAAAGCCTTATGAACAACCCAAACTGTCTCCATGTGCATATTTAAAACCCATTAAGTCAAACCCCTGAATAAGGATGGTATTTTTTGATGGTAATTTTGGCCCAACATATTCCGTACACGGTTTAGCCTCCCGAGCGATTGACACGGGGAGCTGAATCTGAGAAATCCCCGACTTGCCCAACTGCTAGAGCGAAGAGCGTTGGGAAATGGGGCCATCCAACAACGCTGCGGCCGTAGGTTGATGCAGCACACCAATTGGCCACCACCACGACAGGAGGCGCCTGCGAGGTAAAGTAGATCGCAATTCCAAATGGAAAAGGGCCGCACATCTTGGACTCAGCTGCGTCGGGCGGGCCCCCATTGAGAAAAAGCAATTCGAAAGGCACGCCATTTCTCAACAAAGTCACAGCTCCACTTGTCCAGCGCCTACTTATATCGCCTGAGACAGCACACCCCTTATCACATCTTACTCTGGCCAACCGCACAGCCCCCTTTTGCCCCATCCCCCCATCCCCCCACCCTCTCCCTCCCCTACCCAAATGGTAGGCAAGACCATCCTCGTACTCGGCGCCGGGCCCGGCATCGGCCGCGCTGTCGCCACCCTCTTTGCGTCCAAACGATACAACAACATCGTCCTGATCGCGCGAAACGCCGAGCGGCTCGCGGCCGTGCAAAAGGCCGTCAAAGGCACCAACAGCGGCGTCACCGTCAAGACGTACGCCGTCGACACCACTAACACGGTCGCTCTTTTCGAGGCGCTGGACAACTCGGATGCCACGTTTGGCAAGCCCGAGGTCGTCTTTTATAATGCTGCGCGGGTGCTGCCGTCGTCGTTTCTGGACCACCCGGTCGAGGATATCGAGTACGACTTGAAGGTATTAATTCCGTCTAGCCGAACCGTCAGCACCGTTTTGCCGCATCAGGAAAATTGACTTGTCCGGGGTGAAAAAAAAAAAACTAGATTAACGTCAGCGCATTGTATGTTGTCGCGCAGCGATACATGCCGCACCTGGTCTCGCTCGCCAAGACGGCAGACCCGGCGTCGTCTCAGCCGGCGCTCATCGTCACGAGCTCCGCCCTGCCACATCACCCCATCCCGCAGCTGTTTGCGCTGTCGCTGGTCAAGGCGGCGCAGCTGAACCTGGTCCAGAGCTTGAGCCTGACGTATACCCCCGAGGGCGTGCACGTCGGGGTCATCAATGTCGCGGGCCAGGTCTCTCCGGAGGATGAGCTGAGGAATCCGACCAATATCGCGCAGAAGACGTGGGAGTGGTTTGAAGCGGCGTGGGAGAAGCCGAGTTTTGAGGTCAAGATCTGAAACAGCTCGGTGGCAATGTCGAATTTTGGGTGTGCGATGGCTTGGTTAGGTACTCATGGTTCATGCTGGACATGGTTTAGAGATGTAGAATTGAAGTGAAAATTGTTCAGCTTTTTCTTTTGCAAAAAAAATGCCGGTGGTGTGTCATGGGGTCAGTTGCGCACTTAACCGAATCCCAACCTGTAGGAGACTCAGCCACAGCTCGGTTGGCGGCGGTATGGGAACCTGATATTATGGATGTGGTGCCTTGGCGGCTAGGGTTCCGTCTTGCCAACCATCAGGTGGCGAGTGTGGTGGCCAGCCCTCAGGTGGCGAGTGTGGTGGGAGAAGGTCAGGTGAAAGGTGAAGCGACCTGGAGGCGGTGTGCGTGAGCGTGTTGGAATTATATCAGGTCTTGCCTGTGATAGCCAGGCGTGCACAGTCTATGATCAGTCTATGATCAGTCTATGATCAGTCTATGATCAGTCTATGATCAGTCTATGAGTATTATAAGTATTATACAGCAAACAAGTTGTTAGAATCGACAAGACCTCCCCGCAAAGAACGCTGGCCACCGCTCTCCATGTAAAACCTCCCCCCCTCCCCCCCCGCCCCTTTCCATCAAGGCGGAGCATCAAGCGCTGCTACTCCACGAAAAGTCTTTCCTTACCATTATCTCATTACTCTCAAACTCGATTTGTTCTTGCGAACTTGCCTTCCCCTTGGAAGAGACCCGCGAGCTGCCCTGCGTCTGTGTCTGCCCCGAGATATCCACCGTCAACTCGACCTCGTCATCCCCGTACAGCATCGCTCCGCCTAGCTTATGCTTCCGGCTCATGCTCCAATCTGCCCGCTTCGCACTCCATGTCTGGCCCGGGACGTAACTACTGGGTCCATCAGAGCCATATGTGGTGTCGCGGCGCCACAAGCGGCGAAAGAGGGGCGCGTAGGTGGGCAGGCAGGCACACACGATGCCCACAAAGGGCTCGCAGCACGACCAGATGAAAACTTTGGACATGGCCCAGGTGAAGTCGGCCGACTTGACGAGCTGGTCCATCATGACGATGCGGACTGCCGATGCAACACAAACACTGCAAACAAGCAAAAAAGGTCAGAGAGAGTTGGAGAGGGACACAAAAAGGGGGGAGGGCTGAGGGAGCGAGGGAGAAGGCTACGCACAAGCCGCCGAGCAGCAGGATTCCACCGACCAGCACCTTCTTGGACGTGGGCAAGTTCAGCTTCCAGACTGTGCGACTTGGTTAGCAGGGCATACTGTGACGACAAGTCTAGGGAGGGTATCCCGTCCTGCGACCTCGTCAAAGTTTGGCTCGCGTCTGTCATGAGACTCACTGGTGGGGATGGGCACTAGCAGGATGGCCACATCAATCACCAAGCCAATGATTCCATTGCAGAAGTAGAACAACGGGGCGTCGATACACCTCCCCGTCGCCGTCGGGTCGGTGTACTGTCGCCAATAGTACTCTCTTGGCTGGCAGCCCGCGAGCCATGTGATGGTCACCTCGGCCCAATGGGCAACTGTCAAGCCGAGGACGACATACCATGCCACATTGGTGCTGAAGATGCGGCGGTAAAACAGGAGGATGGAGATCTTGGTCGCCGAGATGCAGGTGATGTAGACGATGACAAAGGCGTAGGTGGTCTGGTAGAGCTTTGTGAACTCCTCGTGCGTCACAACCCAGAGGTGTTTGCCTCCGCCCCAGGGGACACTGGCCAGGCAGCATGCCGCCGTCCCGACCCCCATCACCTTGCTGGCGTGTCAGCACTGCTGTTCTGTTGGTCTGGCACGGACTAGTTCCCCCCTCACCGCTGCGAACAAGATTACATAGTCGTCGAGAGCCAACCCCGGCCCCCTCTCCATCAGCCGTGTAAACAGACGTAGAATGACCGAGACAAGTCCGATGACCATGATGGCGACAACTGAGCCGATGATATCCGCATCCTGGGTCTCGGAGAGGTCGACGCCAGGCGGTGCGACGCCCCAGGCCCCGGAACTTGTCATTTCAGTGGTGGTGTAACACGGCTAATAGCCGCTGGTCGGTGGGCGGGTGCTAGAGAATTTGCGTCAAGTGACCCCAAAAAAAGAAGATGAAAGTAGGAACCGCAAAGCAATAAGCTCGGCGACAACGAGAAGGAGCTTGGTGTAGTGACTGAGATTGCACACGGTACTGGACAATCAGAGTGGTCGCGTGACAGCAGCTTCTCGCTTCCACGGCGGCATCTTGGAAGGAAGGGTTCCAAGTATTTTTTAATGAAGCCGAGAAAAAAAAAAAAAAAGTAAACACAATGGTGGCTTTCCTGATCACCGGCATGCGCAAATGAGTGGCTCTGGAGTGAGCTTGTTCTGCATTCTTCTGCCATTTCCAGAACCAGACGCTGTGAATAGTGGTGGGTGTCGGAGTTATGCCGCGTGCTAGGAGGCCTGCCAAGGCGACTATTACGGTGACCGCCCGTGTCGGCAGTTAGCGGGCCGGTGGCGGAGATTTTTACTGGATGGCCACATGGTGACGGCCCCCTGAATCTCGCCGCTACCTCACTCTCTTCTCTCACTGGCTCTCCTGCGAGACACAATGTGACTAGCTCACCGCGCTAGTTGATCTCTCTTTCCTTCTTTTTGCCCGCGATTGTGGCCCCATTTGAGCTGATCCCCAGGTGGAATCGACCCCCACAGCGGGACGGGTTTTACGTCCATCAAAGCATGCAAGTCAAATGCATGTTAAAGTGCCAAACATGTTTATTAAATGGTCTCTAATGATGAACTACTTCTTAAGGGATAGTAGATTAAGGGGCAGTAGATTAAGGGACAGTAGATTAGGGGACAGTAGATTGAGGGGCAGTAGATTAAGGGACAGTAGATTGGGGACAGTAGATTAAGGGACAGTAGGAGATTATCCCCATTTTCACATCTTCGATTGCAGGCGGGAAGCGCAAGCACGCAGTAAAACAATACCGTGAGCAGGTCGATGCACCTAGCGGTCAAGATGTCGGCTGAAAATTTCCCTTGGCAGCACAAAACGTGTTTCATTGGGGTCCCTGGGCGGCAGGTGCATTGTTCAGCTTTGCTAGACTTTCCCCGAATGACCGTCCCCGAATGATCGTCCCCTCATGCAAGCCCTCTTCACAATATTGGCACCATGTGCGCAGTCAAGATTGCCGGGTTGACAGGGGAGGGTGGGGATCCCCCGATCTTCGCGTCCATCTGTCCATGTGTGTTCCCAGATGTCTGGATGCAATTTGGGCATCACCTGTATGGTGCAGCCTCTGCAGATCTCCCATCTGGATGCGTCTTATCCGCCAAGACAGCGGCTGTTACCGCACCGACCCGAAGACTCTCGGTTGCGCCCGGTGACAGAAGAGGCTAGGCTGTTGTCGACAACTCGGACCCTGCCTCGCTTGCCAAAGTTTGTTCAGCCACTTGTTTTCATCTGAGGCTTGACAGGTCTAGACTCAGCCCTTCAATAAACACAACATCTTGACGTTTCGGGTTCTAAACCAGAGCAGCTGTCACGATATTTCGCCTTTTCCAATACCACGAGTTTCTCTCCTTCCGGCAGCGCCATTGGGCCTCGATAAGCGGCCGATGTTGGATCACACACGTCGATTGGTCTGGAATGTGAACACGGCATCCAATCGTGTTAGAAAGACGCCCCCCCTGTATGACTGGACCTCTGCTAGAATATTAGCGCACACGTGTACGGTGGTAGATGCAAGGGATATGACCTGGCAGGCCCCAACAGCCAAAAATTCCGCAGCTGCCGCCACGGAAGAGAAAACGTGAGACAGACAGAAAAGCTCAACGTCGAGCCCAACTAGCCCTAAGCGGGAACCCGGAAGGAAGGCAATGGAAGCGACCATCAGGCACCGAAATTGCCACCCCGCACAAAAACTGCAACTATACGAGAGAGTCTCTGAACAACTGGTTGAAATCCATGCTTGGGTCGCAGGATCTGATCCAATGCCCAAAGAATGGGAATCGCCAACGGCAGCTCCTCTTGTGCTGCGAGACACCCCCTGATACCATTGGCTCGGTATGGCTCGAACCCGAGTCTCACGGGAGAATGGATACCATGAGTGAAATGTCTACGGTACTTGCCAAGTCAGTGATTCAGAGACGGACAACACGGTTGGGTATCATCGCCTCCAGGTCAAAGGCACCAAAACCTGGGGAAGGTGGGTCGTAGCGCGGATGAGAAGCACGGTACGCTAAGCAGCCTTGTCGGGGTGTTTAACCCGCACTGTCCGTGTCACTGGTGCTTCCGAGGCCAGTGAATTCAACCAGCGAATTCAACCAGCGAATTCAACCAGCGAATTCAACGAAGGAGTCGAGGAGCTGTGAGGTGGCAGTCCAGCGAATTAGGTAGGTAATGAGGAGCTTGTTTCCTCAGCCCTAGACACGCCCGAGCCGCCAAAGGTTGCCTCTTCCCATGACTCAACTCCAATTGACTCTCCAAAGGTGATTGTAAGCTGGCACTGCATCTGATTAAGCCATGGGCCTGTGTTGTCCTTGTATATAACCAAAGACACCCTCGGTCCGGACTGCCGAGAAAGGACTCAACTCAGTTACACTTGAATGTCAAGGCGTTGCAGCCTCTCTTTGCGCTAACGGTCTCAGAGTCTTTATCTTTAACTTGCCCCAACACGTCTACCAAATAGCAACACGTCTATCAAATCGCAACACGTCTACCAAATAGACAACATGTCTCTCATCACAGAATACGTCATCCTATCCGTCTTGGGAACAGTTATCATTGCCGTCATGAGGCTGTCATGGTGGCGGGCCTGGCCCCTGAATGTTCTCATGACCCCGGAGTTCATTTCTCTCAAGCTCCAGCCATCTGACACCACCAACGGCAAGTCAACCCAGGACGACATCAGAAGAATCTTGAAACTCGCCGACTATCACGAGACCGCTGCTCGCCTCGCCGACCTCATCCACAAGGACGGGGCCGACTCATGGCCACCACGGGCAAACCATGTCCATTCCGCCTGGCCCGTAGCGCTTAGGCCGTACAAGGAGATCTACCGGGAGATGGCCCCACTGTTGCCAGCAGCCAACGTGTCTCTCGATGACGAGCTCAACAGGCAGCGCATCGACTCGTTCCGCTCTCGCTTCGAGACGCTGCTCCACGACCGTGTCAACCTCAAGCAAGTCACACAACTTCTCGACGCGGCTGATGCAGGGCGCTGGGACGTGTTTCCCCGAGACATATACAACGCCTTTTACTGCTGCATCGCCTGGTGCCGCCACGCATACCGGTAAGCAAAAGACCCCCGCACCCCCCCCCCCCCCCCCCAAAGTATTTTTTACCCTCACGCCCCCCTGCCGGCAGAGTTTGTAAGGTACCCGAGACACTGACACGCACAAACGCATAAAGATGGGGCACAATCCCGGTCGTCTCTCCCGCGCAGCTCGAAAAGTCGATCGCCCTCCCGCCCGCGCTCACCGCGCCCTGGGCATCCCTGCAGGCGCACTTTGGGCTGGCCTCGGATGCCGGGAACATGATGTCCAACATTGTGCTCAACTTCTCGCCCGAGGGGGAATACACGCACAAGATCAACACGGGGTTGTCGGCCACGGTGCTCGGCTCCGAGGAAGAGTTCGCGCGCATCTGCAACGAGATGGAGGCGCTCGCCGTGCCCGTCTACCACGCCGTCATCCGCGCCGTCATCGCCTTCTCGCGCGGCGACAAGGACGACTGCCTGGCGCGCATGCAGCAGATCACGGCGCGGCTCCGCCCCCTGCTGAGCACGTACTACGACCGGGTCCACGACGGCAAGATCGCGCGGGCCGAGTGGCTAAGCCGCGTGCAGGGGTTCTACGCGTGGGGCGCCGGCCGCGAGGACGCGTCCACGGGCGAGTGGACCACTTTTGACGGGCTGAGCGGGAACCAGGTGCTGCTGTTTCAGGTCCTGGACGCGTTCCTGGGGCTGGACGTGTACCTGTCCAAGGAGGTGCAGGAGCGGAACGTGCCGGTCTTGCAGCGCGAGTTTTGCGCGGCCGTGGCGAGGCATACGTTTCGGCACGCGCTCGGGGAGGAGGGCGTCGATGGGCTGATCCGGGGCGAGTTCGCCGAGATTGTCAAGAGGTTGAGAGTAAGCGACCAATCACTTTACCTGTCCAACTCTCTGACAACAATGTTCGTCTGGACGGGAACAGTACTAACGAGATGAACTAGCTGTTCCGCTCGGCTCACCGGACGCGCGCCAAGTTCTACCTGACCGCGCCTGCCCCCGAGAGGCTTCCCATGACGGCGGGCAAGTCGCTGCTCAAGGGAGATATGGATGAGAGCTTGCAGTTCCTGGACGCGTTCATGGTGGGCAGGCTGCAGCAGACCGTGTAAATTTCAAGGGTTCAAGGGGTGCTTTTTACTTCGTTCTTCTATTATTTCCTTTGTTTAATTTAGTTTAGTTTATAATAACGATAACGGTGACGACGATGAGGACGAAAGAGGAATAATTAGGAGGTATTGTTTAATGGATTGGCCATGTAGCTTGGATGCGGAAATTTTGAGCCAAATATTTAGTTGGAGTGCCAGCGAGAATTATGACAGAACGTGTGAATTGTGTCGACGAAGCGGAGCGGGCGCCAGGCGCGTGCATTTGGCTACCTTATTTAGTGGATAGCTCACACAAAGTCATGTTCAGAAAGTCATGTTCAGAGATTACGTGCGGCAGCTTGGGGAGGAACTTACCATGGGCTGTGTGGTTGGTTATTGGACGCAGTGGCCTGTGCTTCCTTCTCGTCGTGTTGGGCTTGTGTAGGTCTCACGGTAGTTCGATTCTTCCGGCAATTTATGTTTCTGAGAGTGTACCCAGCTTCTCGTCGATCCCAGCCCGTAATTATTTAGTGGATTTTTGCGGATGTACTTTGCCTAAAGATTTTCGACCCTGTCAGCCGTGACCGAAATAGTCGAATAGCTATTTCTAATATTTGTTCTGCAATAAAAGACGGCGCACATCTCTTACAAAAATACCAGAATTCCCAAGATCGGAAAGACCTAGACAAGCTCCGAGATTCAGAACTTACCTGGCAAGCTGTGGCCAAAAGTATGCGACTCTAAGATTGTAGGCAAGAAGGGAATGACTAGATTGCTTGTCGGAAGTCTAGCTATCCATCTCAGATGACATTCCTCTCCTTGGACCTCGAGTCCTAGTTCTCCAGCAACTCAGTAAGCGACAGCGACCACTCACGTTGAAGCGTTCTGGGGAGTCACTAGAGATAAGCCAAAATGGTACGCGTTTTGGCTTGTGCTCACCGTCGGACTTGTTGCCTCAATTCTGTCTCTTGCTCAACTTGGCGTGTCTGCGGCACAGTTGGCGTTCACCACTCCTCCTTCCTCCAGTCACTAGCCGTGTAGCACATGGTCTGCCGAACGGATAACAGCCGCGGTAAGTGTTTGAGGCAACTTCCCACCGTCTGCGAAGGTACCAGGGGCGATAGGAATGGAGTTCAAAGGGGAAATCTTCATTGGATGGTTCAGTCGATGCGGTTGAAATTCACTCTCAAGCGCCTTTTTTAGGAAAATTCTATACCAACATGAATCTTGGTGGCTGGGATCTGAAGAGAACGGTACGGGTACAGAATGGGTTGTTCGGTCTAAAACTACAGGCCGAAGGCCGCCAAAGCAGCCTCCTAAACTCGCACCTAAATCGGCGCGGGGTAAACCCTAACCCTGAGGATAATCCTGTGGCGGGGTTCTCAGATCGCAGGGATCAGGCCGGAACCCTGCCTGGTGCCCGAGGTAGGTGGATCTGGGATCCACCAGTCCAGGCCATCACTTCCACATATGTATTCCACTGTGGCCCACTTCCGACAAGCAATCCAGTCATTTCCTTCCTGCCTACAGGTTATGAGTTCCCGTCGCTCCAACAATTGAAGCTATTCCCGCTTTTGTATACACATACATCTTGCTTCCCTTCTCGACCCTGCAGCACATCCCAGGACCGGAATTACCGATTCCCCCCTTGTTGTGGGGTCTTTCTTGATCTTCTGCACGTATGTGCTGGGCTTCCTGGGTCTTTCCTGATTTCGTACGCACTTTCTGCTGGCGTGTCCCGGAAGGTCCACACGCACCCTCCACATCCCTTGAAGCCATCACCAACCCTCGCAATGGCCAAATTCACGGTCCCTGAATTGAAGGGCGACGAAAACTTCGTTGCCTGGAAAGCAGCCATTCGCAACAGCCTCGGCGCCGCAGGCCTGATCGTACACATCGAACCGATTACACCGAAAGGCGCCACCCCGGTACCAACGGCAGGCATGCTCCCTCAGCCTACAACACCCTCAACAACCTCTGCAGAGTCCTCCACAGCAGGCTCTCTCGCCACCCCGGCATTCGCCCTCGACTCACCAGAATACCTGGCCTGGTATACAGGCCGCTGCAAAGCTGTAGGAATCATCATGGCCACCCTCACCGATCCTACAGTGGTTCAGACCCTTCGTCGGTATGGTTGGTCACAAGCTGAAGAAGACCCAAAGACTACATACGAACTAGTCTGTCGCACAATACCAGCATAGGCAAGCTCTCACGCCGTGAACTTCTACGCGAGATATCTTCCCCACGACGTGAGAACTTTGATAGCATGTTCAGCCTAATCAACAAGCTACAGCTCCTCAAAGACCAAATTCAAGCCACAGGCATCGACATCAGCGACGACCATGCCCTCCAGAATGCCCTCAGTTCCGTTGAAGATGCATACCCTAACGAACTGCTGCTGTGGCCCAGATAGCTAGACTTCCGACAAGCAATCCAGTCATTCCCTTCCTGCACACAATCTTAGAGTTATTGCTTCACCAATTGACGAGTTCGAGCTGGGAGTGGATTTTAATCTATTGGAATACTGCTGCAACGTGTTCCTTGCCGATTGCGTACCTTATGACCAGTCCACTGACAAAGCACGCCAACAAAAAAGAAGAAAGACAGGGTTCTGGAAGACCTCTCCAAGGCAAAAAACAGAAGAGTTTTGGAGAACCAAACATATGACCAGACCCGGGCTTGAACCGGAGACCTTCAGTGTGTTAGACTGACGTGATAACCAACTACACCATCCGACCGATTAGGCTTTCTCATTGATGGGTTTAGTTTGCTCTAGGCCCGTCTATGAATCATGCTCCTGCAGCAGGTGACAGGGGTGGGCTGATGATGCGCGCACCCTGGGTTGTGGTGGAGTGGAACTGTGGAGTCGTGAAACGATTGATGGGGGCAGGATGATAAACAAGCGGGTCGGCTCGGTTGACTCGGCTCGCCCGGTATGTCTCTGGTGTGGGCGCATTGATGGATGGATGGATGGAGTAAGTTTCTCAGTCTCTTAGGGACGCGATTGCTTGGGATACTAGGCCTTGTCCTTTTGGAGAATGATGAAGAGAAATGACTGAGGGCGAACGCATTGTTGTTGGTAGCTGTGGAAGCTCTGATGGCTTGGAGGTAGATGCACAAGTGCCTATGCGGCCACATGTTGAACTTGTTTGGTGTCTGTCATTGTGTTGCGGGGGTGTGACTGGGACCATGGGACGTTGACGGCACGAGATGAAAACATGAAGTCGTGGCTTTGGTGGTGGTGTTTACGATGGAAAAGGTACAAGGGGTGACTGCTTCGGCTGGGAGTAGTCGCTTTATGTCGGTATGATGCCAGAATATGTTTCATCAAGGCCTAAAGAATTATTTTCTCCCTACTCAGGCCACGTCAGTATTGATTGGCCGCTGCGTCGGGTGTTGTTTCGTAGGCGTGTTTGCTGTCCCTGGGGTTGAAACAACAAGTGCAGCATCGATCAACCCCCACGACAGTCATCTGAGTTAGCCATGATCAGTCACCTAACATCAGCCGCGCCCGAATCTTGTCGGTCAACCTTGTTTTTCCAGCTTGCACGATTTCTCGCCATTCTTCCTTACTTTGTAGCCATGGGCACCACCGGATCGTCAAATCTCGTAAAACCAGTATTTAAATTCTCTGCCTGTTAATATACAGGCATTTCATTTTACCGATTCCACGGTACGGCTAGCAGTGCTGAAATTCTTCAACTACCTTCTTTGCTTCACGGCCGAGTCTATACTCCGCGGCAATAACCCGTCGCCCATCGATAACCACACTCGAGAGAGATCCGGAGCCCGATGAAGCGCCCTAGCACCACGGCCTGGGCGGCCATGATTCGTTCCATCGCACTCGCTTATATCCAGTCCAATGGTAAAGACGCCCTATTGGTCAAATTCCTCAACCGCGTTAGACCAACTCACACTTTCTAAGGATTAGGATTAGCATCAGCAATGGGCTTGACAGGGTGCAAGATCCACTCGGGCGGCAAATGCTACCCGAATTGGGCGGCACACTCGGTCGACAACTTGCACAGCGTCGAGAATACTGCAACCAGCCGCGGAACGACGGCGTTAATGAAGCCCCGACCGACAAGCCTTGTAGCCAGGCAGGACTTGCCGTCGTCAGTTGGCGGAGTCTACGTATCACTTCCTCCGGTATTGCCTTCAGTGAGTGACGTCTTCTCAGGTTCAACTACAGGCGATATCACGAGCACCACCACACCGAGTATAGCCAAGGGCGCGACAACAAGCCCGATTGCTACCTTGACCGAGAGCATATCTTCGGGAAGCTCGACAAGCAATATGGCGGGTGATGAGACAGCTGCAACCAACAAACCCACAGCTAGCACTTCACCAGCAAGCACGTCAGCCAGTCCGACGACGGCGCCATCACCAAGCACTGTTTTAACTACACCTATCAGTGTCACGATACCTTCTTCCTCGACGTCTGTTTCATCCACCGCCTCGGCCAAGCCTGAGCCAACTTCGGCCACCACCCTTGTCTTTTCCGAGCATTCTACAGAAACACCGACGTCTTCCGACCTACTGCCATCAACATCCCTAACATCTTCGATGCTCTCTACAATCATTACATTCTCAACATCCTTGCGAACGTTGACGGTTTTCACGTCAACTATCACCACACTATCTACGCCTTCGACATTAGTTTCTTCAACAACCCTAGAGCAGACCCTAACAATGTCAAACCCCTCAACGATTTTAATTCCATCGCCTTCAACATCTTCATCGGTGCCCACATCTGTGTCACCGTCAACAACCCAGCCACCCCCAGAGACCTTGCCATCGTCAGTGGCTACGACAGCCGACAACACCACGCATAACTCTAACACATCACTGTCTACCACTCTTTTGGTGTCAACTTCGACGGTCACAATCCAGATTACGTCCGAGGTGTCGATAGGCGTCTCGACGACGCTAAGCACCATGCTGGCCGGTACGTCGACGCTATCAGCGCCGCCGACGACATCCTTCCAAGCCTCGAGGCCTGCGCCGCCGCGTGTCTGCTGTCGGCGAGCTGTGCTGCGTTCTCCTGAGTGCCTGGCGCCGGCCGTGCTGCGGCCCGCCCGGAGAACTGCTACATGAAGAACGGCGCGCCAAGCAGGGTGGCGAATGAGAGTGTTTGGAGCGGCGTGGTGGTGTCTTGAGGGGGTTTCTTTTTGTTAGCTCTTGCGCGGGGTTGTCTTGTTTGTTATCTGTTTGTTTCTCTTGGGGGTTTGTTTTTCTGCTTTGCCACACACACTAAACGGGTATCCCCCCTTGGTCTCGGCCTTTTCAAAGCCTTGACGAGTATCGGGGCGCATCACATGTCGCGCAATTCGGATGGTCGTAGAAGTGTGCTCTCTTGTACAAGACGGTTCGCATCTTATTAATCAGGTACTTAATTAGGTAGCTGGTTGCCAAACCCCTGACTAGACACCAAAACTGTGTGGTACTAAACAGACTCTTAATACAGCAAATCCTTATAAAAATTCAATGCAACGAGCTACTGCTGAACCGGCAAACAAGCTAGACAGTTACCCACGTTTTGTCTGGCACTTTGGGCAACTGTGGGTTGTTTAATTAGCGTATTACCTAGACCTATCTGACAGCCGCAACCCTACTACAATCCACATTGAAACTACAAATAAAATGCCAAAAAACTCTATCCAGGAAATGCCGGAAAAGAGCCACAGTTTGGGTTTGGAAGCCGGCGGGTCCCGCGTCCAGAGCCGGGCGACGATGAGGGCGACGGCTGGGAAGGCGGGGGCAGGCGACACATATATGACGTAGTCCAAGACGTCGAGAAGCAAACCGCCCGCAGTCGAGAGTACTATTGGTTTTTTGGAGGCCGAAATAGGCCCCGAGGACACGTCCAGCAAATAGGACAAGATGCGATCCTGCTGGAGCTCCTCCTTGGTGCCTGTAAACAATCGCAGCGCGCCGACTTGGGTGGACAGTTTCCGCATCTGCAGTTTGAAGCTGAGGTCAGCGCGATGCTATCGTACAATCCACAAGTGTGTCAGGATTACCTTTTTGGGGTACGGCCCTTGGGCTATGAGTCTGTTCAATCCGAAAAGTTTGGTAAATGGGAGATGGGAAGCCTTTTTGAGGTCTTGGATGTTTATAGTAATGACAGGTGGTGGGCGGCTCCTGAGGTCATCTACCGCCTTTTCCCACCATAATTAGGTTGGTTAGTTGTCACGCGTGGGATGAGCATAGAAATGAATGCCATTGCTGGACCAGGCGTAAAAGTCCTTGGCCTGGGCTGGAACATGTCACCTTTCCTGATGTGAAATATGCGTCCATGCGGCCACACCGGCGCCACCATTCATAACCACCGTCTGTTTCGATCATGGTGATACCGAACCCAACGCCTTTCAGGTCTAGGACGTCATACGGCACCAGCTCCCAATTGGCGACGTTTTGTGGCTTGCAGTACCAAAGAGAAACCTCAAAGACATCAGTTCTGCGCACAACAACTGCGGTATATCGCCGAAATCCAACGCGATGTGGACGTTCCGTGGCTTTTGCAGGGACAAGGATCCTAGACATGCAAGTCAGGTCAGTTCCGTACTTGACCACTCAATGGGAAGCGGGTGGCGGTACTCGACCAGGTCTCGCATTTCCCTTCCCCTCCCCATGACCAGCACCTTGACTTGCTTGCGGCTTTTGCCGCAGGCCTGCGACAGCACTATGTCGAACTCCCAGCCCACATTGAGAACCACGGGCTTTAATGGGCCCTGGAAGCTTTTTAGCTACCCTGTGATGGGTGGGCTGCAAGGCCTCTGCTCTATGGGCCAGTCTGCCATTTCCAGAAGTCTAGAACAGTGCCTGCAGAAGTCTAGAACAGTGGCTCAGAGCCCAAGGGGCGCTTCGGGTATACGAATGCAGCCTCATGATGCGCATTCCACGTACATTCATAAAGCCTGACCTTCTGCCTTTTGAACTGTCTACCAGACTAGAGCTCGGGTACCTAGGCAATTAGCACACAAAAAGGCAGCAAGGCGGCATCTACCAGAAATGCAACACTCTGCCACTCTTACAGTAGGCTGGCCGGCTAGAAGGGCGAGAAGAATTCCCAACGAACAGGTGCCCAGGATTCCCGAGCTGCTACTATATTAGGAGGAGTTTGGTTGGATAGAGAAGTTAGGTACCTCGTCCGTGGCCGACACGAAGGCGAAGACGCGGTCGAAGTCACCAAAGGAGAGCGTGCGGCCGCCGCACAACACCAACGTGTTAACCCGCCCTAGCGGCCCCTCCTGCACCACCCACGCCTACGAGCAGTACCGCTGCGCCGCCAGGCCGTGCAGGGCGCGCCAGCTACCGTGGTAAAACGCATTTAGGTTCCTCTTGAGGATGCGGTTCAGCTTAATAGCCTGGTCGGGCACGTATAGTCCCGGCGAAAGTTGCGGTTCTTTGTCGCCTGATCTTAGTTGCAGATACACGTAAAGAGCAAGCCACTGCCAAATGAGGCATGTTAATGGCGCGATAGTAGTACAAAAGATGCTTCGTTCTCATTCTAGATTAAGCACCAGAGGTACATAGATAGGGTAGCTAATTAAATACCAAAATGCGCCGTCGGTTGTAGTTTACATCTGCCTCCTGCATGATTATGACCACCAATTAAGTCTACAGGTAATATGAACAAGGAAAAAGTCCTCTCTGACAAAGAAACAACCTCCAGTCCATTTCCAAATTACCGCTAGGCGTCGAGCCCAGCTCTCCGCCGCACATCGTTGTCTGCAACCCTAGGAAAGGTAATCCCGCACCATAGTACCAAATGTCTTCATCACCGGGCCGGGGTCCATGAGACTGAAGTGGTTGACGTCGTCCAACACTTTGATGGTCAACCTGTCGCGTCCCAGCAGGCTCGACCAGCCATCCGCTGTAAAGTCGGTTCGATTGTTCAGCAGCCAGAGCATCTCACGCGGATCGTTTGGGTGCATCTCGGGCTTCGGCCCGTTGGGGTCTTTGCACACGCCGTCTCGAGCATAGATAATCAGTGTGGGTGGGGCATCAGGAAGCGGCGTCGCTTCGTAGTTATCGAGGATGTGTATGAAAGCGCTGAAGTGTGCACGGAGCCAGTCGGGCATCTTATTGCGGCCTCCGCCGAAGATGCCGATTGAGTCGAAAAAGTCGTACATTCTCTGCGGGGGGTTCTGAAGTCCGATTGGGTTCGGCGAGTCGAACAGGACGAGTTTGTCCACGTTTTGGCCTTCGCGGCGCAATTGACGGGCTGCCTCGACGGCGATGATGCCGCCTGCCGACCAGCCTCCAAGAGCAAAAGGCATCGACCGGGAGCCAAACTTCTCCTTGTGCAGGACAAGAACTCGTTTAATCTCAACAATGTAATTGGCAGCGAGGCCGCTAATATCCACTCCGAGACGCGTCATTTCCTCTCCTGTCTTGAGCCAAGGACAGTTCAAGCCGTAGACCGCAATATCTCGGCCAATGCTGAAGCCCAATGCGGCGTACGATGAGGCAGATCCTGAACCGTCTGGGAGGAGGAACAAGAACGCCGTTGCAGCCTGTGGAGAGCCCGACAAAAGCACAGATGAAGCATGAGGCGGTAATGAAATAATATCTCTGGTCAGCTGGTCGCCGTGGTTGTTGCTCAGAGATTCGAGAGTCTTATGCTCCAGCATCGGAGACTGGGGGGGAAGGGCGCTGCTTTGCTCCAGTCCCATGGAACCAAGAAGCGCGTCCTCAACCTCTTGCAGAGTCCCGTATTCGACGAAAAGGTTGCGAGGAACGGTATCACCAAGGCTCTCGTCAAGCCTGGCCATCATTGTGAGCGACAGAAGTGAATCTACGCCAATGTCGCTGAGACAGGTCGATGGGGTCAAGTCAGCAACTGCCACCCCCGTTTCCTCGGCTATCGTCTGTCTGAGTGTCATAATGGTCGACTTGGCGCTCCCGGACTCGTCTCGCGGAGTTGGTATGGTGATTTGCGTGGCTTCGCTGCTGCTTGTGCTTCGCGATCGGGAGCGTGATGCTGGCGTCGTTGCTTCGTCGCCAGAGTCAGAGGACTCGCAGCCAACCAAGACCTGGAAACTCGCAAGTGTCGGATGATCGACAAAGACTGCGGGGTGGAAATCCATCTGCAGCTCCTCGCGAATTCTAGCCAAGATCGTGAGCGAAAGAAGCGAGTCGAGACCAAAGTCGGCGAATTCGCTTTCAGGCTTCAACTCCGTCACAGAAATCCCGACCTCTTGGCAGATTATCGCCAATACGAGGTCGAATGGCTTGGCGGAAGGTTTGCGCTTCTCTACCGACTTTAGTGGCTTTTCCGAGCGAGTCTTCCGTGTTTCTACCTGTGGAACTGGAGCCGGTTTTGCTAGCGCCGGAGACGGACGAGCAGAAACTGGTGGGCTGGCAGCTCCGACAGGAGGAAGCACGCGATCAAGAACGTGACGGGGGACTCCTTGGAACTGCATTGGTTCGAGTCAGCATGACCCAACAGATGAAAGGCGTGTAGTCTTACCTTGACTCCCTCGAAAATTGCCACGATGGTCCCCTCGTGCAACACGTAGGTATCACCGGCATAGAGCGTCTTCTCGACCAGCTGCATTCGATTGTATGCCGTGTAAGTCTTGGCTGCATCCAGCTTCTCGGCAATTCTCAGTCTCTCCCAACCGTGGTTGATAAAGACCTGCTTCTTGCTCTCGACAGCATCGTTGCCGTTCATAATGAAACCGGCAATGCCACCCAGGCTGTCAATCCAGCGAGGGTTGACATCAAACCCGTCCTCGCCAATCTGGAAGTGGACGGTAGATACCGCCTCCAGCTTTTCGCTGTCGAGAACCACTTCGCTCATGCCCTGGTACTCTTTGCTGTAGTCAACCAGGGCACCGAAGAGCTTGTAGACCATGCCGCGTTTCAGCTTGTGGCTGTTGCCACTGTTGATGCCCTGGTTCAAAGCCTCGATCCTCGAAGATATCAAATGAGTGTTGCGTTTCCATTCCTTGACCCACTGTTGCTCTGGGAACACACGCACTTCGAGAACGACGTGCGACGTTGTCCGCTTCCCGGCCGCATTGACACTGAAGAGTGACATGGTTATGGACTTTCTACGCCAGTCTGCCTTTGCGGACACTCGGAAGAGATGTGTGGTCTCCGTCGGCTGAGCTATGAGGGGCGAGTCGACTTTGACGTCTGTCACGTCGAGACCTGTGGTGGATAATGACAATCCAGGTCCTTGCAACATGTAACTTGCGATGGTCAAAGCCACGTCAGCATATAACGACGAAGGGCAGAGCTGAGCTCCGTTAACGACGTGCCCTTGTAGAACTGGCAAGAGCTTCTCGTGGAAAATGTCGGACTCGACGAGCAGCGTTGATGCGTCCGCCCCATGAGATTCCTCGAGCACCCTCTGCACAGACGGCGACAGAAACTTGTACTGTGGTATGGCTGGCGCCTCAAGGGGCAGCGGAAGATTTGGAACCGCCGAGGCTGGCACCAAACCTTCGCCTTTTGCAAGACAAAAGTCGTTCCGGTATTGGATCCAGTAATTTTTCAGGTCCCAAGCATAGCGTGGAAGATCCACCACTTGATGTGCTGATGGGAAGTCACGATGATACTCGTTCCAGTCGAGATCAAAGCCAGCTGAATAGAGAGATGCGATCGAAGCAGTTAATGTCTGGTAAGGCTCTGTGTTCTTTCGCAGAGATGTCAGAGTGGTCGAGTCCGATCCAAGTGTCCCCTTAATCATGCCACCGCAAATGGGGTGGGCTCCAAGCTCGAGCCAAACGGTGCGGTCGTTGACCAAGCTATCCTTGCGAGCAGCCTCAAGGGCGCCAGCAAAGTTGACCTCCTGGCGACAAGCTCTGACGAGATACGAAGCATCAACGGATCCAGTCTCTCCCGCCGGGACCACCCTCGAAAGCAAAGGGGAAAGGATTGGAACCGCGGGAACGCCGTACACGACATTTTGTGCGGCCAGAACCTCAAATTCGGCGAGAATGGGTTCGACCTGTGCGGAGTGGAATGCATAGGGGAGATCCAGCTTGATCGTCTCAAGTCCCTGCTGGGTGGCTCTCCTCTCTGCTTCGGCAATGTCCTCAGCTCGACCGCTGACGACTTGACCTGTGGGTTGATTGGCACACGCCAGCTCGCACTTGGACCCGCCCTCAACAAGAAGCCTTTTAACGACATCGGCCGGAGCCTTGACCGCAAGCATGGCATGGGTTCTTGGCAAGCAGTGCTTCTCGAGCAACGCCGCCCGAGTCCCAACGAGATAGATTGCATCAGCAGAAGTGATGACCCCAGCGGCATAGAGCGCTGCATACTCGCCGAGGCTATGGCCGATAACTCCAGAAGGCGTCACACCCCAGCTCCGGAACAGGTCAGCCAAAGCCATCTGTAAGGAGGTGAGCGCGAGCTGGGAAACGACGGCGCCGGCGTCATTTGCGCCGTTCAATGGATGGCTGCCGTCAATCAGACCAAGAAACGAGGAAAAGCCCTGGCCCTGGGCAATGCGCTGGAACCGCTCGATGTTTGCGCGGAAAGAGGGGCTGGTGGCGTAGAGAGATTTTCCGATACCCGCGTAAAGAGTGCCTTGCCCGGTGAAAACGAATACCAGGTTAGGAATCTTAGCCGCTGACGGCACAGGCTTAATTGATGCCTGATTCTGAGACAGACGTGCTTCAATACTTGACACAATGGATGGTATGTCCGCGCCCGAAAGCAGAGCGCGGTAGTTGTGATGCATCCTGCGGGCCGTTGTGGTGTACGAGAGAGCCGACAGGGAAATGTGCTGATTTTGCTTGAGCCACGACAGTAGCGTCTTCAAATTACCGCTAAGGGAGTTTGGTGTCTTTGCCGTAATTGAGACTATGTGCATAGGCCGGAGGTCTGGTGTGAGACCAACAGCCTCAGAGGGCAACGGCGCGTCCTCCAACAGCACAGCCGTATTTCCACCGGCGGCGCTGAAGTTGTTCAAGAAGACAGAACGCTTGCCACGAACCGACCCATCTCGAGACCATCGGGTGGGCTCGAAGGCAATATTTACGCCGCGCTCGGCCAAGTCCAGTGGGTAGTTATGGTTGATGCGTGTCTTGATGCCGCAGTGCGGAGGGATCTCGCTGTGCTTCATCATCATGAGCACCTTTATGAGAGACGTCACGCCGGACGACGATTCAGCGTGCCCGATGTTGGCCTTTGCTGAGCCGATAAATAAGGGACGAGGAGAGGCGGCAGCTGTGCGTTTCTTCTCGGGGACGAAGACGGACAGGACCGAGTTCATCTCGGTGGCATCGCCGGCCTGTGTGCCCGTGCCATGCATCTCGACGTAGCTGATGTCGAGCGGGTCGACGTTTGCGTACCGCATGATGCGTTTGAATACGCTAGACTGGTCGCCCTCGTGCGGCCGCGTGATGCTGTCCGTCTGGCCGCAGTGGTTGGTGTTGGTGCCGGCGATGACGCCAAAGATGGGATCATTGTCGGCCTGGGCATCTTCAAGGCGCTTGAGAATGACGGACCCAACAGCATCGGCACGGCAGTAGCCACTAGCGCCATCGTCAAAGGCGTTGCAATTTCCTGCAGATACCTTGTTAGCTCATATCATGGGCGACGGTGTCGGGGAAGGGGGTTGGTAGATATGCATACCAGTTGTCGACAGGAAGTGGCCACGATCCAGGCCGGCAAAGTTGTCGGGGTTGGTGAGGACGTTGGTGCCGCCAGCGACAGCAGTGTCGCACTCTCCCCTCCAGAGGTAGCTGCAGGCCATTTGGATGGCAGCGAAGCTCGACGAGCAGGCCGTGTCGATACTCAGGCTGGGCCCAGAGAATCGGAAGAAGTAGCTGACGGCACGCCTAGGGTTAGCCGCTTGCTGCTGCAGTGCGATTGCGAACTCGGACTTGTAACGACATCGAGCTTGGCTACACTCCCTTCGATTGAAGGCCAAGGCACTGGACGGGGCAAAGGGTTATGGCAACTTGGAATGGAAGGCGCCTTCTCCTTCCAGTATCTGCGACATTGGATGGATCGTGCATGCCATGAAGGGCAAGGCAGTGGTCTCAATCAGGAAGGGGCGATGATTAGCATCAACGTCTTCAGGCAGCTGACGGCATGCAACCGCCGCCTGGAGATATTTGCGCCTTCCCCAATTCCTACGGTGCAATGGACAAATGACCCGATTTTGCGGCAGCGGCAACAGCCGTGGAAGCCACGCACCACTCTGCGGAGGCTCTGATTTGTAGATTTCTCTGGTTTTTTTTGGGGCAGGCCACACATTTCGTTCCTTCCCCCACCTCTCCTGCTCCCAGTCTTGAGCAGCCTTCTGCACTTGCGACCGCAATAAGGGCATTCGAATCAAGTACCAAAACCAAAATGACACTCACCTAATGCGACCTGGCACAAAGGCGCGATTGCCGCCCGGGATGAAATAAGTGTCGACATTCTGCCCACTGTTGACCTCCCGCCAGTCGTCGCTCGTGGTACCGAAAAAGACGCCGATCCTGTCCTGTTGGGTGCTGGGCGTGCGGTTACGAACCAGTCCTGCCATCTCAAGAGCCTCGTATGTGGTGGTGATGGCTAGTCTCTGCGCCGGGTCCGTGTTCTCGGCCTCTCGCGGCGACATGTTGAAGAAACGCGCATCAAACACGCCCGGCTCCTCAATGAAGCACCCGTACTTAACGCGGCTGGTGTTCTTGCGCTTGCCCGTCGGATCATAGTGCGTCTTCCAGTCGAAGCGATCCGCAGGAATCTCGCGGTGCACGTCGCGGCCCGCCCGAAGCAGTTCCCAGAATGCTTCGTTGGACGCTGCATCTGGAAAGCGACCTGAGTATCCGATGATGGCAATCTTTGAGTGCTCAAACTTTCCCGTGTTGCCTGCTGGCTTAGGCTCAAGCGACGTCACGGGCTCGATGTTGACTTCGATGCTGGTGTTGGCTGTGAGGGCGGTGCTGAGCATAGAGGCGGCATAGCTGGAAAATGGGAGGATGGAGCACTTCTCGGCCTTGCCCTCAACCAAGAGCGAGCGACACGTGGATGCTACTTCTTCCCATCGAACGGGTTCTCTAAGCGTCTCACGCACAACAGCTCGGAGGGTCTCTCTAAAGCTCGACGTGGCAACGATCTCGCCTCTCGACGAGGAAATAAGTGGGATCACGGCGCCTGACAATTCGGCAATATCGCTGGATATCTGACCAACAATGTCTTCCACATCCGAGTCATCAAATGTATGGGATGCATGGAAAGGGGACTGGATATCCAGGAACCTTGAGCGCAGTCTATCGGACGTCTTCGTCACGAAGCTGTGCAAGACCGACGGCGGACCACTGAGGGTTGTCAAATGGCTGGGTGTCGTGGCGCTGATATACAGTCGTGAGTCTTCTCGGGTTGTCTGTTCCATGTTGTCAGTGTTGTGGTGCGCGGCGTGATTGTATGAGACGTGTACGCACCTCAGATGCCCTCGTCTCATTTAAGAGCTTTTCTACCAGCCCTGGATCATCACTCCCCTTTGGACTCACGGTCGCTGACCATGATTGAGTAAGAAGCAATTTGTGAGACGGCGATATCTCAGAGGCAACTGTCCATGAACGTAGCGCTGTTCTGAAGGCAGCCAAAACAGCCCCGACAGCAATTGGAATCAATTCCGGGAGCGTCCTCGCGCTGCTGATAGCTGCAGCCGCAAATCCACCAGTGCAAGGCCCAATGACATAAGTATCTTCAGGTGAGGGATATTGCCTTCCATCGCATCCATAATATCTGGTGCTGTGTTACTAACATGCTCGAGATAGATACGAGCAAACATGACCAGGATTGGGCGACTTACGCGATAAATTGCGCGACCTCATGAACGCTCAGTGCGAAAAATCTCAAGATTGACGTTCCGCTAGTCTCGCCGAGTCGAGACACGAGATCAACCAGGGTCGTGAAGCGGGGAAAGAGATCCTGCTGCTGAGACGGCAGGCTGCCGATAAGTGTCCGGAGAGCAGAGCCGACTTTTTGGAAGAACGAATCGAGCAAAGGGTTTTCCTTGAAATGCAACAGCCGTCGCAGCTCGTCCTCGAATCCGGTAGAGGACAAGTCGCCGAACAGAAGCACCCGGGCAACTTGATGTTCGGGGCTTTGAGGCGTCGGCGATGGAGCCACCGTTGAGGGTGAGTTCGAAGCCATTCTGGGCCTCGATGCTATGCAGAGTCGGCAGAGTTACAACGAAACAGTTTCTGCACAGCTATAAACACGAACTCGAATACTTTATTTGCTTGTTCAGGGGGGATAAACAGAGGCAGCCGACCCCCAGCCTCGCTTTCCAGCTCGCTATCTCCGTTTCGGTTTGAGACCCGCCGTCGGGCCTCGGCCTCGGGCGCCGCAACCCGAGCCACAATTAGCCATCCGACATGCCTGCTATCCCCCGAAATCCACGCAGAGACACTCGGGGGTGTTACGGACATGCAATGCTGGCGACCGAGATCTTCAGGCCAGTTTCGGGCCAGGATCGCCGCTGCAAGTCTATTGTCGGTCGGTCGGTGACAAAGAAAGGCAAACAAATCTCGTCCGGCGCCGGGGCCAGTGCTCGGCAGGCATAAAAACTGGCTTGGTCGCAAGGAGAAACAAACCGAGAGGTTTCTATTTAGGTCCACAAAACCTTAACCAAGTTGGCAAAACATTATCCCAGTTTAGGTCTTGATTCCCATCGCTCCTTGGTTCCCATCGCTCCATCCTGTTCCGCAACGCTTATGCATCATGGCTAGTAATGGCCAGTCGCGGAGACTCTTCTCCATCACAATCTTCGGCTACAAGAAGGACGACATGGATGAAACGGAGTACCATGACTACATCAGCAACGTCCATGCAGGCCATCTGAAAGCGTTGCTTGCCAAGAACGACATTGTCTCCTACACCATGGTATGTAACGACGAGCCAGAACGAGAGGTTCATAAAAACCCGCGCCTGCTGCAAGCGGCCTGATATCTAGGCCTCCCTTACCGCGAATTAAATGGGCCCGTTGACTGACATGGGTGAAATGGTCAAAGCAACACAACACCACTGCCGAGCGCGAGCTGCTGAGAAAGATCCGCTCGGACATCCCCGCCGAGAAGGAATCTGACGCAGATGCCATTGTGCAGATTGTCTTCAAGGACATTGAAGACTATCTCAGGGCGCGGAAAGATCCGCATTTTGTCCAGGTCGTCGACCCGGATCATGTCAACTTTGCGCATCCCAAGAAGACAAAGTTTGTGACGGGGTGGTACGAGGTCCATATAACGGATAGCCAGGTAGTCTCGTAAAAAACAGACACATGGTTCATTGGGAATGGTGGCAGGCCCAGTGCGCAAGATTCTGGGCCCCGACTTCATACAGGTCACGTCTTCCCCTGAATTGGTTGCAAAAATAAACACAAAGCAGCACTGCGTCTCGCTTGTTTGATCTTACTCTTGCGCGAAAAAAGGAGGTCGGGGTTAGGGTTCATAAATGCCGTATTATTGCCTCCTGACCAAGTCGAGTCGCCCATTGGCAACGACGACAACTCTGTGTAACTTCCCCCGCAGGCGGGACTAAGGTATCACACAACTGAGTGGCTCGCCACCCATGCATGACAGGAACTGGGTGGGCGGTGCTGGGTGGAATTCCGCCTGGGATCCCCCTCCCCGATACTGGCCCCCGTGCTTATTGGTTGGCCGACGGCCAATCTGGTCAGGCTGTCAAGTCCGACGTCGTGCCTCGAGGCAATCACGACGTGTCCTCGCCGGAAGCCATTTGGACCTGCCACAGTCCGCGGCAGCTGTGCGAGGAATACGCCTCGGTATACTCGACGCGGAAGGCCGGGCTCGCGGCGCGCAAGACGGCCGCCCACTCGCCCGCCGTGCGCTGTTTGGCGTTGTGCATGGTCATGACGGTCACGTCCCGCCGCCGGAACGCCCTCTCCACGTGCGGCTCAAACGTGCCCCACGCCGGCGACACTAGGTCGTTGATCAGCAGCGTCGGGCGCTGCGCGTGCTGAAGCAAAGGGATGAAGCTGCGTAGCAGCCCGATGCAGGTCTCATCATCGAGACACCAGAGCGCGCTCCGCAGGAGCAACACACGCGGTACCGCCGATGACTCGTCCAAGGTGCGTGGCCCGAGCAGGCTCCGCTCGCGGAAAGTGATCCGGCCTGACAGCTCTGCCGGCAGGCTCGCCTCTCCTCGCTTCAGCAGCGCGGCGGCCTCGTCCTGCACCTCGAATGCGACTTTGGGGAAGATGCCCGCGAGGTCCACTGCGAACGAGCCCGTCTTGCCTGCCACGTCGACAACCAGCGCCGTCTCATCTTGATGCATGTCGGAACGGGACGTGAACCAGTCGATTATCATGCCGTTCCCGGGATCGAGCCCTACACGTTTGTCTTGTCAGCGGGACCGTCGCGAAGAATAGATATGTTCCAAAAGGAAAGGGGTAAAGGGGGCGGATGGTGGACTCACCCTTGGACACGCTCTCCATAGCCTGCGCAAAGCGCTTCCCCTTTCCTGGGTGCTTGCGATGCCACTCGTACATGGGAATCCCCCATCTATCACCAACAGTCAGTCCTCTGCAATGCAACTGGTGTCAAGGGCACCACACTAATTAGTGCCGATGTCACGTCACTGTACGTACGCGTATTCGAAGGCGGCCTGTCCCTTCCAAAACGGGTTCGGGCGTCGAAGCGAATCTGCCAAATGTGCGCTGGCCACTCGTGTCTCATATAGCCTGGGGTGCGGCCCCGTCAGCGACAAATTCTCCTCTTCCACAAGCATCGGAACGTTTAGCCGGAACTTCAGCACTCACTGGAACCCAACCCACGCGCGGAAGCCCGCGTCGCTGACCAGCTCCTCGGATACCGCAGTGTGCGCAAAAACACCAGCCTCGGTCTCCTTGAGAATGCCGGCACAGGCGACGAGCCGGCAGATGCGCAGTAGTTTCTCGGCGGGCAGGGACGTCTTCTCGGCGAGCTCGTCGGCCGACGCCGTGCCGGCGCGGGGGATCTTTTCGAGCACGTCGAACTCGAGCAGCGTGTTGAGCGCGCCGTACTCCCAGTTGCCCGATACGTACTCGTGCAGGAAGCCGTGCGGGCCGTGGACCAGCTTCTCGAGGTGCTGCATCAGCCCCGTGAGCGCCGTCCGGCTGGCCTCGACGGGCCCGGTGTGCGTGGTCCATAGCTTGGTGCGCGCTCCGGCCTCGAGCCGCGGCGCCGCTATCGAGTGCTCGGTGAGGTAGGCGGCCAGCTCTTGCGTGTGCTTGAGGATGCCCTCGGCCACGGCGACGAGGTCGTCTTTGTTGCTCTCGCCGTCATCATTGATCTTACTGTTGCCGTTGTCGTTATCGTTGCCGTTGTTATTGCCGTTGTCGTTGCCGTTGTCGTTGATGTTGCCGTTAGTGACGTGTGGCAGAGGCATGGTGGTCAAGGACGGCCGGTGCGGCTGGGCACAGGCAACAACACCACTGAACGGGTGGAGGTTACAGCGGGGGAGGATGGCGCAAAACAACAACGACAGACTATCACACAGAAGCTCTGCAATTGCGATAAGGTCGCCGCTGCAATGGTATCGCTATACAGGATATAGAGTACGGGTTTATAGGACGATGATACCAAGGGATCCCAACACCACGGATTCCCAAACGAAAATCCATCTCAACGGTAGCCCATGTTCGGCAGGTTTCACGGCCTTGTCTCGACTGTCGGACGACCAGCAGCGCAGCACCCTCGCCATGCCTCCCTCCGCAGTCGTTTGTTTGTCTAGGGCTCCAGCCTGTCCGGCCCGCTAACGCTTCTGCCTCTCTCCTCTCTCCCCTCGCCAAAGGAGAAAGACAGCTTGGACCGCGACAGCCCCGCCGCGGGGTTCGCAGCCCAAGGAACCGACCAACTCCGCTGCTGTTTCGTTTGTCCCCCTGTCCGTGGAAGGTGGTTTGCTCGTGTCCCGAAGCATCCGAACGGTGCGCAAGGAACCGAAGAAAGCGAGAGCCGTGACAACAAGCGCCGAGCAAAGCGAGCGGCTGGTCTAACAGCAACGCGATTCGACAAATTTCCCTCCTCGGGCCTAGGAACGAGCGGTCAGCGAAGTAGGCTGGGGCATGGCTGGGCCGCTGAACATGGCCGAACGCTGATCGTGCTATTAGCGTCGGGCCGCCACAGTAGGCCCCCTGACAGATAACGCTCGGCGCTCCGGAGCCCGGGACTCCGGCCAACAGCCACGCACGTCGCAAGGGATTCCAAACCCCGGGCCCGGCCGGGTTCCTCCTGCCATTGCCACGTCGCTGAGAGGAAGCAGATCTTTGCCCATCTCATGCCAAGGTCGCCGGGGTGGGAGGTAGGCTCAGCCCGACAGGGGTCGGGGCTTCCCTGGCTGTTTCCACTTGCGTCGCGTCGTCGCGTCACCTTGCCCTATTTAATTTTACGGGGAGTGCGACGGCGCTACCCACTACCACTTCCGGAAGCCGTAGCGTCCTACTACTAGCACTACCAAGGAAGGGAGAAAAAGCAGAATGGGACGATCAAATATCCGGAGCGCGGCCTGTTTCGGCGGCCCGGCTCACGATCCCTGTCCAGCAGCCCCTGGGACGCCCAGGCCTTTCCATCTTCGGCCACCACCAGGCTAGTTTCTGTGAAGCTTCCTCAATCCACGCTCAGTTAGTAGCTAGCTAGCTAGCTAGCTGCCTGGCCTAATTACAAGCTACAGCACCTGCTAACGATACGCTTGCGGGCGGCAATTGGCAAGAGTGGGGTGCAAATGCAAACGCAAAACCTTCACTTATCAACCAACCATCGACTGCATCATGCAAATGCAGAGAGATAAGGTGCCTCTTGGTTGACATTCAAGCAGGGCAGCGTTGAGGGCGGGAAAAAAAAGCACATTTTCATCCTTCCATCTTGCGCGAAAAAGGGGGTTCATTAGCCTGGGCCCTCCGGTCGAGCATTAGGTCGAGCATTAGGTCGGGCATTCAGTTCTTGGGGCAAATCCGTCCGGGCCAGTTGTCGTCGACAGGGTTGTTGGGGCTGAAGGAGACTATCGAACTGCCGGACGACGGGTTAGGTGCATTCCCTCACAAGCCTTCCCCGGACCGGTTAGCACTTCAAAGGTAAAAATTGCTTTTGGACAGCTGGACACTAGCAGCGCGTCTGCTTCAGGTCGTCCTGTTCTGGTCGGGCTGCAATATATCGGATTTCACGCGCGCGAATTAGTGCAATGTTTAGGCCTAATTGCCTCTAGTTGGTCCGCTCTCATGCCGGAGCTTTTCAAGCGGACGGGTTTTTTTCCCTGTTTCTGTTTGTTTTTCAATGTTCACGGTCAATGCGGCCATGCCATGAGGGCCACTCCATCTCTCTGCACGGGATTAATAGATAGACGTAGGTAGAGATTAGTGAATTGCGTCGAGAAGATCGCTTTGTACCGGTACATCGGGGCACTAGCAAAGAAACATTATGCAAGTCGGCGTGACAAATGTGAGGTCTCTGCAGCGAGGCGTATTTCTCTCTTTGCGCTAAGAATCGGAGAGATCAGCAAGCCTCAGACTCAGTCTGTGAGAGACGCGATTGCTTGATAATCGATTCCACGCTTTTTCGTGAGGCATGCAGTTCGGTACGATCAATTGTGATTGTCGTTGGCGGTTGCAACTTGCGCGGCCTCTTGGCCGTGTGCTTAGTGGTTATGCACAGCTCTGATATTATCACCGGCGCGGCCATGGGCAACGCTAGTACAACAGCGCTTATTGAACATGGTTGTCGTGGGATTCTGTATCTTGTGTTTGTCTCTAAGAATGGGGAAGCGATGTATGGAAAGGTCTAACTCTATGAACTCAAAGCTGTTCAACGACCCCAGGATTAATAACGGCTTAATTGCTATAGTCACAAATAATATCTTTGCACCGACCGACCATTGAACATCATAGTTCTAGTATAGAGGTTTGTTCGGCAATATGCTATTGATTGTGTTTTATGCATCGCGGGTGTTTGTGGACGCTTGGTTAAGACCGTGGCCAGACTTCCAACATTACCTAGGTAACCACGCGGAAGGTTCACGTACTTGGGAACTTAAAGACGGAGTAATTAATCAAGGGCCAAATATAAAGTCAACTCCAAATGAGCATGCTGTCTACAAGTACATGTTGTCCCCTCTCTGTGACCATGCCTGCATCAAGCCGAGGCAGTGGCTGTCTCGGCGGCAGCAGCAAGCTCAGCATCTCGGCGCAGCTGAACCTGGGCATGCTCGCTCAAGGGGTTCTCCTCCACGACACCGTTGGGAGCGGCATTAGGCTTGACCGGACCTGCGGCGGCTGCGGCGCCGCCGTGGCCGTCCATGGGCTTGAACCCCCGGTTGAACACGGGGCTCTGCTGGATCTTCTTCCAGTCGTGCAGCATGTATCCGTTCTCGACCGAGCAGCGGACCTCTTCGGCGCCGCGCGGGACCATCTCGGCCTCGTAGCGAGTCACCACCTCGGCAAGGGTGAGCTTCTGCGCATCAGCAGTCGCCGCTGCTGGCTCACCGGAAGCCCCGGAAAGCATCTCGGTCAGCCCCTTTGATAGATGCCACACGTCGTTGATGCAGTGATTCAGCCCCTGGCCACGGTCTGGTTTGACGGTTAGTTGGGACAGACTGAGCATCGGCAAACCCCAAGCTAGCGCGGAAAATACTCACAAGGAGGCATCGGGTGCGCTGCGTCACCCACCAGCGTCATGCGGCCCCGGCGGTTGTCCCATGGCTGCGAGATCCAGTAACTGATGTCGGCCTTGTGCACCTCGGTGTCGTCGGGGAGCCACATGAAGGCCGAGTGAGCTGGCTCGCCCAGACCAGCCGCCCTTTCCTTGATCAACGCGAGCCGCGCTTTGTAGTCAAGTGAGTTGTCCACCTCGCCGAGCCACGCCATAGCCATGTGAAATTTCCACGTCTCTGGATGGTCAGGCCCGTCGGGCATGCTAGAAACTGTGAATTTGTTAACTCTTTAGCTCGGATGTTATAACCTTGTTAGCAGAAAGTAAAGAGGAGAGAAAGGACGTACTTGACTGGAAAGCATGGAACGACTGCTCGCTAAGAGCTAGGTAGCTGGTGGGATACTGCTTCCGGACAAATAGGGCCTTCTCGGCGTCCCCGTAGCACACGGTCATGTTGGTGTGGAAGATTGAGAAGCGCGTGACAGCGGCCTCCTCGGCGCTGCCCATGGCAAACTCGCGCACTCTCGACTTGGGCCCGTCGGCGCCGATGATCATGGTGGCGGGCACAAGTGTGCCGTCGGAGAAGGTGGCCACGACCCCGTCGCCGCTCTCGTTAAAGGCGAGGTCAGTTAGCAGCTTGCCGTACTGCACCTCGATGCCCGTCGCAGCAACGGCGCGCATCTTGCTGCGGGGCACACGCAGGCCATTCTCGTATGGCACACCCATGATCAGCTCGCCCGTCTCGCCCTTGATGATGGGATATAGACCCGAGTGGATCCCGAGAACGGGGTTACAGGCAATGGCATCCATCTTGGCGAAGACGTCGGCGGGCACAATCTCCTTCAGCAGCGGCAGCGACCAGTGGATCGCCATGGTCCACTCATTGCTGCGCACGTTGAGGCTCTGCTCTTTCTCGAAGATGCTGTACTTGATTCCGGCCTAGTACTCGTGAATCGTCAGCATATGCTTCAGGATGGGCTGGGATTTCTTGATTCTCTGCACCTTTTTGAGCGCCTGGCAAGTCAGGAGGCCCGTTATCCCTGGTCGGTTGTTACTCGCAGTTAGCAAACGCATTTACATGGTGAAGTCACTGGCAACGACAACTACATTGTCCACACACCTGCACCAATGACAATGACGTGGATATCCTTGGAATCCATGCTGTAGTCGGCGACCGGAATTTGTACACACTGGTCGAAGATGCAGCAAATGGGTGAGGCAGTCAACCGGTCGAAACACAGCTGGTGATGTGGAATACTTATTGGGAATGGGGTGAATGGATCATGGGGGTCAGGCTGTTCAGTCTCCTGACGGTGCCGCTCCGTGTCCAGCTGGCCGCGATTTAAACAAAACCACGGCTCGAATCTGCCCGTCGCGTGTCGGCGCTTTCGGTCTTTCCGGCGGTCTCAAGGTCTGCCTGCCATGCAGCATCGGTCCGATTGATCGCCGGGGCCAGCCACTTCTAAATCCGGGGATACGGCACCCGACACCCGACCATCCGAACCTGAGGGGTCCGCTGAACGGCGGTGGCCCGGGTTTGCTCAACCAAGCTGGCAAAAGTCGGTATCGACACTGTTTATCCTGCCAGTCTGTGCATGGACGAGTTCTTTTCTGTGTTTCTTGAGGGCATTTGAATTTGCCATCTCTGTCCCACTTCACCCAAGCATTTTGTCCTCCCGCGAACGAGGACGGTACTCGATTGGTATTTGTGTCAACATAGAGCTTCTTGAGATGGCCTGGCACACGTCGAGTGGCATTAATACTGCCTTTGCAGTGGGTGCAGTTATTGTGAGCGACTCAATCCACTTCCTGGTTTTCGTAGGACCTTCGTGTAGTTAACAAAAAGCCATCAGGTATGCGGGTACCTCGTCAGGAACATCTACTTCCATGCTCTCAGCAACCACCCCGGTCCCAAACTGTGGGCGGCGACCCGGCTGCCATGGTGCTGGAACCAGTACCGTGGAAATCTGAGCAGGCGTCTCAAAGAGCTGCACGACCAGTACGGGCCGGCAGTGCGGGTTGCACCGGACGAGATTTCGTACATCTCGGCGAGCGCTTGGAAGACCATTTACGGCCAACGGCCCGTTGAAATGCCAAAGGATCCAAACTTCTCGCTCCTCACCCCTTCGGGCGTACAAAGTGAGTCTAGGGTGGCGGTGTCTTGTGAGCCGCAGCGGACATGTCTGATGTGACAACTGCATAGATATCCTCACGGCGGATAGGGAGACGCACACGCGCCAGCGGCGTCTTCTCTCGCATGCCTTCTCTGAGAAGGCTCTCCGCGAGCAGGAGTCGATCTTGCAGACGTACTGCACCAAGTTGTGTTCCCAGCTCGAGGATCGCTGCCGAAGCGGGCCAGTTGATTTGTTTGACTGGTTCACATTTTCAAGTGAGCCTCTTGGTAGTCGCAGTGGTGTCAAACGGTTGCTGTCAGCTGCACCTGTTGTTCCTGTTAGCTAATAGTAATTAATTAGCCTTCGATCTCATCGGGGATCTCGCCTTCGGCCAGAGCTTCGGCTGCCTCGACGCCGGCGCGGCCCCTCCCTTTGTGCAGTCCATCAAAACGGGCTCGCGGGAGTTGATGTTGAACCAGATGCTGCGGTACTACGGCTTGCTCTTCATGCGACCAATCATGGGGCTACTGGGACCTCGCAACGTGGCGGGTTCTCGCGCTGCCAATATGGGGCGCGCTGTCGCAACCGTGCAAGAGCGTGTAGCGCGTGGCCCGACGGCGGACCGCAAAGACTTTTGGCACTACGTGCTGGGCCACATCGCCGACAACGAGGGCGGCGTCCGGGATGCCAAGACAACCATGACCGAGCCCGAGATGTACACCAACGCCTTCTCCATCAGCATCGCCGGGTCCGAGAGCACGGCCACGACGCTGACCGGCACCACCTTCCTGTTGCTTCGACACCCGCACGCATACCGGCGGGTCGTGGAAGAGGTGCGCAGTGCTTTTGCTTCTGAGTCTGACATTACGTCGAACAGCTTGAGCGCAGCCGGGAAGCTGCCGTTCTTGGAGGCAGTGCTCAACGAGTCGATGCGCCTGTACCCGCCTGTGGCAATCACGCTTCCGCGCAGAGTGCCTGCGGGCGGCGAGACCATCGATGGACGCTTCGTTCCGGGTGGCTACACGGTGGGCGTAAACCACCTGGCGTGCTACCGGTCCGAGGTCAACTTTGCAGAAGCAAGCGCGTTCCGGCCAGAGAGGTGGTTAGACCTAGACAACCCTCGTCGGGATGACAATGACAAAGGCGACAGGACGGAATGCTTCAAGCCATTTTCGCACGGCCCACGCAGCTGCCTAGGCAAGAATCTTGCATGGGCCGAGCTTCGTCTCATTCTCGCGCGCTTTCTGTGGCGGTTTGACACGCAGCTCGTCGAGTCGGAAGCCAATCTGCAGTGGCTCGACAAGCAGAAGCTCTGGGGCTTCTGGGACAAGCCGCCGCTTCTCTGCAGGCTTGTGCCCGTTCGCCGGTAATTCGTTGTTTTTACCTAATGGGCCACTGAGACCATAGGCTATGCGAGAGATGCTATGGAAATTGAATGGAGTATTGCAATTTGGCATGCATCTGACGCGTATTTAGTCCGGTAGATGCGATTTGTGAAGCGCTTCTTCAAATTTGAGAGGAGTGAATAATTCCCTTTAAATTGAAATCAAGCACGCATCCAGCAAATAGGTGACTGGTGGCAAGTTTGAAGCCGGCGTTGTGGGAAGAATGCGAGAGAAGAGGGAGCATGGAAAGAGAGAAGAGAAAACTTGGAAGAAAATTAAGTACACTATACCAAACCAGGCACGGAATTACTTGAACTCGAGACGTGAGAAAGTTTGTTCCCGTGGAAGGAACGATGAGTGGAATCTTGCAAGCCAAGCTTCGGAAAGCGGAGGTTCGGTTGAGCGTTCTAGGGCACGATAGCCGGCCAAATTTCATCGAATCAAGAATCTCGCCCGGCTAGCTCAATCGGTAGAGCGTGAGACTCTTAATCTCAAGGTTGTGGGTTCGACCCCCACGTCGGGCTCAATTCCCGGCGGCGAGTTCCTTCAATTTTTTTTGGATATGAACTCGTTGCACTTGTCACATTCCACCACCGCTCGTACTAGTCCTATGATTTGTTTTGACCCTTCTGGTTTGGCTGTTGTTTGGGGTACGGGTGCTATGCACAGAGCACAAGTCTAGCACCATCACTAACCCTAACCCCAAACCTGCTTTTCTTCATCGGTTCTAGCAAGGGGTATAACGGCCGTGGATTAAGTTCCTTATCCTTGAATAGCCAAAGTATTCCCACCAATCGCGTTGGCCTGGCCCCTTCGGCTCCCGAAATCCGGGACAGACAGTGATTGGAACCGGTAGCTAGAGAGTGCGGCTGCAAGTGTGACTGCAGGGATGAAGCCAACGGCCCTCTTCGTATACAACCCTAACTTTCCTATTAGTCATGGCATGCACCCAAACCCAACATCCACGCAGCCATTTGCTTGATCTAAGCCTAAATTTCATGTCCTAGACACGATGCTCCTTGATGTTGCGTGCTGGGACATATCAAAGCATCCTGGCATGGAGCCATCGTCTTAGTTGCCCGATATGGCTCTCAGCCAACCCAAAGGCGAGCACAATCAAAGAACAGAGAAGAAGCCCGACGATGAGGTGATAGGCGGCATGGCTCTCTCGGAACCACCTTATCAATGATGCTATGCTACCAAGTACCTACCAAGCAAGGCAATGTCCTTTCTTCCATCTAGTCACGCACCGCTTTCTCATGCTTGCGCATCATGCAACGTAGCATGACATGGTCCGGCCTCGGTTCCAGTAGATAGCTTCAGCATTCCAGGTATAGGTACGTTTTCATGGCTGTCTTGGTCCTGGCCCTTGAGAGTACTTTACAAAGACTGGTGGTATTCAGTGGCCACCCTTGGGATGTAGCGCCGAAGTAGCAATCTTATCTTGTCTTCGTACCTACGCATATATACTGGGGGAGTCGGAGTCCTCGCCCAGTGCCTCTAATTACCGCCCAAGAAACCATCACTCTGGGTATGAGGATGTGATATTGGGCATGAGACTTATCACTGTCCCTTCCCCGTGTATTTGCGGTCCTCTGTAAGATTACGTGGCATTGCTTTGCTGGAACGGCCAACTTCATTCACAAGAATAAGTGCTTGAATTCATCCAACCAGTCCATCCCTACCGTGTTATCAAAGCCTGGCTGTGTCTGGCATTGGCAAGGAAGTAAGAAAAAAACGCCACGAAGCCAGCCAGCCAGCCTTTAGAGAACCAGTGGCAGAACGAATGAAGAATTACCGTGAAGAAAAACAGGGAACGGAAAAAGGAAGAGACAGGGGGTGGGCAGTAGGCGCCACACGCCCACACACCACTCCTCCACATGCATAAACCGACGCCCACCCACCCACTCACACACGCCGGCCGCATCGGGCAGCGCCGGTGGCACTACCCACAAACCGTTTCACTCCGTTGGTCCACGGACATAAGAGAACAAGTAGGTATCCACCTCTGTGCGTCAAGTTCGCCGAAGGCAATGGGTGGGCGACGAAAGGTGCCGAAAACCTTCCGGCATGACGCCCCAAAATCCACGGCACGGTCAAGACATATCTACGTGGCGGGCAGCCATTTGGCTAAGATAACTAGCTGAATATTCCGAAGAAAATGGGTAGGACGCCGCAGGAAGGGTGCGCGGATAACTCGGGGCCAGAGGCCCAACGTCGTTTTTTCCCTTCCTCTTTTCTTCCGTCGTGGATCATCCCCCTTCGCCTGATACGTGCGTACCACCAAAGAAACATTATCTTGGGCCCACTGATCCGCCTTCTCCAACATTGGCAGTCCAAGACCCCACGCGCAGTTTGCCGGCCAGATGATGACCCCATGTGCCGCTGTCACAGGGGTACTTACATGGACATTGCGGAGTAGTACCGTTAAATGCCGCGGGTAGTCTGCAGTAACCGAAGCAGCACGACACAAGCCAACCAGGGCTAGCAGATGGGAAGAAAGAGACATATATGGGAGGTCCCAGATATGTCTGTCTGTCTGTCTCCCTTGCTTCCCTGATTTTCTTTTCCTCCCCCTCGGAGTTATAAGCTCCGGCCGCCGGCATATAATTAGGTTACCTTCGGTGTACAAAGACTCCCGTTGCAGCAAAAATTCACCGGGAGCCTCCCTTTCAAGGCCAAGAAGCGGGAAGACATGTCAATCATTACAGCTAGCTGGTAACCTCAGGGGCGGGATAATACTGCTAAAACAGATAAGTTTGCTTACACTGAACCCGCCAGCCCCCTACCCACGGCCACAAGCAGCCTGAAAAAGGCAAAGAAGTTTTATGGGTGGGTGACCGAAACCAGGTTCGTGGATGTCGAGCCGGCAAACAAAAAGAAAAAAAAAGGCAAAAAAATGGGCTTGAGGGTGCAACAATGCACACACCCACACCGCCTCCCTAGCTAACAAAAAGAAGATAAATTACCCACTGACTCACTGACGCGCTCACTCCGACAAACTACCAGAGCCAGTCATTTAGTTTAGTTCCCGCCATCCATCACCAGTCCAGACCAAAGCACAGAACGGGTTTTTTCTTTTTTAAAAAATCTTCGAACCGCCCGCCGCCCTACGCCCTCCGCCCTCCATTCAAAATCCCATCCTTCCCAAACCACGGGGCACAGGGATACTACCCCCCCCCCCACACTCTCCCTTCCCCGATGCCAACACACCCCCTTTCACCTGTTTTGATCCCACATCCTCGTCAACACATCCTCTTCAACACATCCTCGTCAACACATTCCCTTCTTTTTCTTCCCCCCATTCGATTCAACTCGTGTTATACAGATTGCATGTAGTCGCCCCCGTCATCGTCGTCTAGGGTGAAGCTGGTCCTCGCGCGCTTGGCAGCCTTTCTCCTCGTCGACGTTGCCGCCCCCGACCCCGTCGTTCCACCTCCTCCCGCTCCTCCAGCCGCCACCGTCGCTGTCGACGCCGGCGTCGTTTCCAATGCGCTTTGGTTCTGATTCTGATTCTGGTTCTGGTTTTGGTTCTGGTCCTGCTGGGTCGGCGTGACGGGCAGCGGGCCTTGGTCCTCCCACATGGCGCCGAGCGCGCCGGCGCCCATCTGGTCGATGAACTGCGAGATGTCAAACGCCATCTCGGGCGTCGCGACGAGCGGCATCGACGCCGACGAGCTCCCCGTCGACAGCGACTCGGTCGACGAGCTGTTACGCGCGTTCCCCCACGCGTCCCCCGCCGGCGACGTTGTGCCGCCACTGCCGCCTCCCGTGTTGCCCAGGTGGTGGTGCGACGACAGGCCCGCCGCCACCACCGTCGCGGCGTCGAGCTGCGAAACTGAATAAATGCTGGCCCCCCTGCCGGCGACGGGGGCGCTGGAGGTGCCGGACGGAGCGACCGACACGCTGGAGTCCATCAGGGGCGATATTATGGCAGACGAGAGAAGTGGGTCGACGACACTCATATTGTGGCCGTGCAGGCCGTTGTTGCCGTCGGCCCCGAAGCGCACGGGGTCGACGACGGCGCCGACGATGTCGGCCAGGACCTGGATCACGCGCCCGACCTTGGCGGCGTGATTGTCTGGGTCGCTGTTGGCCACGACGGCGGCGTCGCGGAACTGGGCCTGTAGCGCCTGCAGCAGTGCGATGTCGTCAGCTGCCTCTGTCGGCGGATCGTGCGCGTCGTCGCCCATGGCCTGGAAGAACGACTGTCTGCGTGAGGAGGAGGTTGAGGACGAGGAAGAGGAAGACGACCCTCCAACGCTCATGCCGAGAATGTTTCTCGCAAGGGTAAAGGGGGCGGCCGAAGGAAAGGCGATGGCGAGCCGCTGGATGCCGAGCGGCGGAGAGGGACCTGGCGATTTGGAGCCGTGTTGTTGTTGCGACCTCGGCCCATCGGCGGTTGGTGTCGAGGGGGACGAGGATGCAGGGGTGTGGGGCTTCCCAACCGACGCCAGCGCCTGCGACATGCTGCTCGGTTTGCTGAGCAGCCGCTCCAGCCGCTCAACCCACGCGACATCGCGGCGCCCATCGCACGAGACTAGCAGCAGCAGGCAACAGACGCGAGCGTCAGCTAGCGCCTGGGCAGTGTCGGACCTGTCTGCCCGGCCCGGCTTGTAGCCCTCTATTGCCTTGATTCGCGTGCCCAGGAAGGCGAGATGCAGCGATACGTCGTCTATTGTCGTCGGCACCGTTGATGACGGCACGCTGTGCTTTTGGGACCACATCTCGAGATTCTGGCGCAGCCTTCCGATCGAGAGACGCCGCTGCTGCGCCGACATCTGGGGCGTCTCGACGAAAACAAAGCGGTGCAATTCGCTCTGCAACGTGGCCAGCTCGCACCACGCCACCCGCGTTGTTTCGGTTCGGCCGCTCCCCAGCGGCTCGGGAGTGGGCAAGGAGGTGCTCTGCGACTCGTGGGGTGTTGGCGGGGACCCGAGCGTGTGGCCAGGAAGCCAGGTGGGAGTCCCCCTTGTCACGGCAGCGCACCGGTCTCTGATGTAGAGGGACCTGAAAACCTTTTGACGCTCCTCCACCTCCTCTGTCGAGAATGGCGACAGGCGGAGACCCTGCCCTGCCTGGTAGAGGCCCATCGCCTTCGCTAACGTGCAGGCCTGGGCGAACAAGCCGTCGCCAAGAGTTTCGCTGTGTGATTGTTGGGCAAGCAAGCTCTGAGCAATACGCCACATCGTTAGCCTCGTTCTGCAATTGCTGGCCCCTGATAAGGGTCAAAAAGGGGGCGGATGCTCACGAGGAGAGCCAGCGCCTGCACGTTCACGAGCCGGAGAGAGAGGAAAATGGTAGGTTTTTGGGTTGCCGCATGTGCTGCCTGCAGAAGTGGTTGGATAAAAGGGTCGGGTTGCTTGCCGATGCCTTGCTCGGCGCCAATAACAAGTAAGATGATCAGGTTGAAGCAGACCGCCCACGCTTCCGAAGCCGGATCCGACGGCTCGCTGTACGCACGCTCCATGGCCTTCTGGAACGTCGACCGGACGAAGATGTCGGTGCTGGGATCCTCCTGGCTAAAGAAGCTGTCGAGGACGACTGAGAGGAACTGCCGTGACGGGAGCGAGATGGCATCCCGGCCTGACGAGTCCGCCTTGGACAGCCCCCGCCGGATGTCGTTCCCTGCATCTAGCCACATCTGTCCCACTAACTTGCCCGGCACGCTGTCGTGGCCGAAATGAGACGTCAAGTCTAGGCCGAAGTCGCGGCAGAGGGCGAGCAACGTCCACGGGCCGTGGTACTTTTCGAGAGAGGTGCCGTCGTCGCGCACGAGATGTCCGTCGGTTGATGGGTCTAGGTCGCCGTCTCGCCCTCCAACATCCGGAGACCCATCCGCCATGGGAGCCATGTTGATGGGATATCCGTCGGCAATCCTGCTGTTCTTGAACATGGCCGTCAATGTCGCCAGCTCGTCCTGCACCAGCCTCAGGCGGCTTTGGATGTCGTCGAAGCCCTGGCATCTGGGCCATGCCCCCCGTCAGCACAAGCCCGTGCAGTTAGGCACACTCCAGATGGTAGGTAGCCACCATGTTGAGGCTGGGTTCGTGCACTCACAATACTTTTACGTGGTTCACCCTCTTGGCCGGAGACGAGTAGACGCAATCGACGCGGTCGCGGGAGCAGCTGCCGCAACGGGGCCTCTCACGGCCACATCGTATCTTGCGGTTCCTGCAGTTCGTGCACGCAACGTCCTGCATAGTCCAACTCTGAGACAGCAGATGGAGCAATACGTAGTCAGCGGCCCGTTCCATGCCAATTCGACGTAGTTGAAGCAGTGTACTGAGGTAAAGGGGTTCCTGCAGCCGTGTACACGCGGACGGCGGCGGCGGCGCCGTGGACATGCCTCACGGCACTGCCCCGCCCCCCCCGTGTTCTTGGATAGAGGACGTCGTGGGCAATCGCCCTCCCCCTTCCGCCCAAGTCCAACCGACGGTCTTGCCTAGCTCAAAGACTCACCTCTTGCTTGCTTGTGCTCGCCATAAATTCCGGCTGTGTCGTCTGATTCCGTGCTGATACCGAGGGCCCTGAACGTCATGGTCTCGTCACGGTTCCAGTGGGATGGTTGAAGGCCATGGGGTTCGCGGTTGGTCAAGGCTTTAAGAGAGCTGCCGAATTTAAATGGCTTGACAGGGGGGGTGAGAGGGTAAGGGTGGAGGCGGTTGGCTGGGCTTAGCTAGGGTGAGAGGAAAAGGGTGTGCGTCAGGGAAGGGGTAGCTGTACGTACATACACCCACGATGCCGCATAGCGAGCTGCAGTGTAGATCAACCCCAACCACCACCACCACCACCACTCCCTCCCACTACCATGCAACCTAGTTGATCCTGCCGGCTAGTTTCCGTGGGCATGACCACTCGTGGCCAGCACTCAGTAGCTGCCAAAACACGTCCGTATCTCTTCAGCTTCAATCCGGGATATTCGCCTTCCCATTTGGGCCTTCTCTGGAACGAGGCCCACCCCGTCCACTCTTCTTTCCCTGGCCAACCATTGCTCTGCTGTAGACTTTGAATCTGCCGAGTGGGACAGCACGAACTAGATCCCCTAGAGATTGAGCAGACCAGTGGCCTTTCACGGCCCATTCCGCGACTGCTCAGCTCGCCATTGACATAGCGTAGGGAACTTAGCAGTGCGAGGATCGCGGGGCCATCTCTGTCCCACACGTGTACAATAAATGCATCTAAATCCTTTCATGCGGCCGCCCGTCCTCGCTCGAGCGCGGCTGGGCGAGACCAAACCTGCGCCTCTGGTTGGTCTGTCCACCCCGAATTGTCCAACCACTGGCATCGGATGATGCTGGCCTGTGACCGAGACCTGCGCTATGGCATCTAATCTCTAGCGAAGCCTGTTGCCGTGTGTACATATCCGTACTGCTGTTATAAAAAGACAGCTAGACTGCTTATATTAATAATGGGCGGTTGAAGTGCAATGGATTTCTTAGCACTCTTAGGCTCTGCGAGATCAGGGGCGAGTCTAGAACCACACCGGTCTTAGCCCGTCACGTCTCGGAGCGCCAGTGGCGCCTGTCACTAACTCCCGGATCTTCGGGGGCCGTGCAACGGAAAGGAAAATCACTTGCGGGCGGGAGGGAATCCGGTACTCGGGCGCGAGGCCCCCCCATGTCCATAGCAGGGGTACAAGGGTCAACGAAAGTACCATGTAGATGTACACTGGTGTGCGTACGTGCTCCGTACACACGTACATAAAAAGGTCTCGGGACAAGACAAAATTGCGCTCTTGGTCCGTTGTCCTGCCATGTAAAAAGGACCAAGAACGGAGAGCACCGTGTCAGCGATTGGCCAGGCGAAAGCAAGGCCGACGAGACGTTTTGAGCTGTCCCCACTTCGGGGGTTTGGCCAAAGTCGAGACCCCTGGGCACCATCCCGCCTTTCAGCCAGCCCCATCCCGCCAGTCTTGCCCAACTTGGGCGACAGCAAAACATGCAACGCCCAGTGCAGTTTATCGACTGCACCGACTCGTCGCCACTGTCGGGCCTGTGGAGCCCACAGAGCCACCTGAAGCACCTATTTTACGGGCCTGGTTGCGTGCAACGGCATCTTCTCAATGTGCTGCCGTCTCCCAAGTCCCGCGTCTTCATCGTGACCGGACAGACGCTGGCGACGCAGACGCCACTGATTCGCCAGCTCGAGGCCCTCCTTGGCAGCGACATCCATGCTGGCACTTTTGCGAGCATCAAGCAGCATGGGCAGGCAGCCGGAGTGGACGAGGCGCTAGCCCAGGTGTCTGCAGATCCTTCCATCGATACCGTTCTTTCCGTGGGCGGCGGATCACCGATCGACTCGGCAAAGGTCATCTCGTTTCGCACCAACGAGCAGCGGGGCCATTTCCTCACTCACATCGCAATCCCAACCACCCTAAGCGCGGCAGAATGTACCCCCGGCGGTGGCTTCACACGCAAGGACGGGGTCAAGGTGGGCTTCATGGCAGACGGCATGGGGGTGAGCGCCGTCTTTTACGACGCCCTCTTTACACGCTGCACGCCTCGCACCCTCCTCCTGGCCAGTGGCGTCCGGGCCATTGACCACGCGGTCGAGACAGTGTACCACCCGCAGGCGTCACTGATGCCCTGGAAGGCAACCGCGTGCTGGGCTCTGGGGGTCTTGTTTAAATTCCTACCGCTGGTAGCGGCCAAGCTGGATAGTGATATGGCACAGCCAAGCAGCGAAGCAGCCACGCGTCTTGGAGACGAGAACGAGAACGAGAACGGGAACGACCGCGGCAGAGCCGGAAACGCCAAGCCGGAAAGTGCCATGAGAGCAATCAATCTTGCAGCACCAGACGCCGACAGCAGCAGCAGCAGCAGTAGCAGTCTCGACGACATGCTCACTGTGCTGATGCTGGCAGCCTATGCCAGCTCTGGCCTCCGAGGCGCCAACTTTGGCGGTGGCATGGGACTATCTCATGCGCTGGGACATGCCCTTGGCAGTCCGTACGGGATTTCGCGTGAGTGACATTTTTGTTTTATCTCTCATTCTTCATGCAGGGTGTCCTGCAGGAAGGCGATCATGGCTGCAACCCCCGAGCAGCCGCGGCGAGCATGCATGGATGGCGGCAGTGGAGTGGGATTGCATGTGCTGAGCTGATAACACGCCTACCTATGAACCTGGCGACAGACGGCGAGACGAGCTGCTTGACCTTGGCTGCTGTAATCCGCCTCAAAGCCAAACACAGCGCAGAAGCCGCATCGCAAATTAGCTGCTTTCTGCTCCCGGCCATCAGACAGACGCCGACTGGCGACGCAGTCCGGGATGCTCTGGAGTTTGCCAGGCTGCTCGATCAACTCGTCGAGCAGCTGGGGCTGAAGCAGCGACCGCTTTCCGAGCGGGGCATAGGCATGGACCAGGTTCCGGTTATAGTTGGGCGCGCTGTGAAGGGACCCGATGAGAAAGAGCTGCGGCACGCTGTAACCGAATTGGTCGAAGCTCTGTTCTGATTGCCTGTCTTGTCTGTGATTGAGGGGCTGGCTAGCCTGGCTCTGCCAATCTTCCAAGACTGGAATTGGGTGAGTGGGCTGTCGAGTGGGGGAGAGCGATGCGTTGGGCGAGGGCTAGGGTAGAGACTCGCGAAAGAGAACATGGAGAAAGGTGAAATCTGCCATTCTTGGGATCAACCGTGCATCAGTGCATCAGTGCGGACAGAATGCTATGGGTGGAAGGTGGGGCGCCACTGCCCGAAAGAGCCCGGCCGTCAGCCCTCGACACGAAATGGCAAGAATACGGCGGTGATGGCTCTTGCATTTGCTGCATGTCTCAGCGCCTCAGGACATTCATTGCTCCTCACGGAAGCCAGCTCGAGGCAACGACATCATTGCGCATGGAACACAGGGGATGCCAGAGGACTAGAGAGAATTGCGATTGCCATCCGACGGAATTGATGGTCAATTGGGAGGCCATCTTACTATCTCACCCTTGCCGTGTGATGTGAAGCTGCACTGCGTTGGAAATTCGAAATCGGAGAAATGCATCCGCGAAAGGCCAACCTGGATAGGCTGCCGAGCTGAAAACTCAAGCTTTTCGGCTAGCTCCCGGGAGGCGCCGAAAACGAACCCATCAATTAAGTAGCGTCGTAACATCACTTTTGGATTAGCATCAGCCCAATAGCTGGGTGTCAAGGGCCGGCCCTGCTCACGGAATGTATCTATATCCGTGCTGTAGTTAGTGTATGTACTGTACCCTGTCTAGTCCGTGGTAGCAGTACAGTACTGTGCCGAGGACCAAGCAGCCTCACCGCCTGTCGCACAGCTCTAGCGGTCGATCATCCAAGACCCCAGGACTCGGAGCGTCTGTCTGTCTGTCTGTCTGTCTGTCTGTCTGGTTAGTCAGTCTCTTGGTCGGTCTGGCTCCTGGTCGGCCTGTCATTTGGGTGTTGGAACTTGAATGGTGGAGCCTGGAGGTGGTGTGGGCAAGTGGGGCGGCCAAATGCGAGAAGAGAATCGCGCTTGCCGCGTCCCACCCAATCCCGATTCCCCATCCATCCCCTCTCGTCGTTTCCCAACTGTGATTCGGACGTCTAGTCGCAACTTTAACTTCTCCAGTTTGCCTGTCCACCCCGCTCGATCTGCGAAGTAATTGCTCGGTATGCTAGCTGCCGGTTGTGGATTGGTGATGGGACGAAACACCTGGGGAGGTTGGTGCCTTTGTTGCATCAGCTCCCTCGTCCCTTGCCCCCGTGTGCCATAGCTAGCGCCATGGCTGAGAATACCTTTAAAAGTGGGATGGGCCGTGGTGTAAGGTGGGGGTTCCCGTTACATGGCCTCTTGAGTTGCAAGAGGCAGGTATATTTGCACCGGACTACAAACCAGCTAAACCCTTTACCCATATCATCGTTTCTCAATCGGTGTTCCGCTATGTCGTGCTAGGCCAGGTACTCTGATGTGCTGGGCCAGGTACTCTGACGATAGAGTGCTGCGAAAATGGCATGCATCAAACACGTTGTGATCGCTGCTTCCCTCTGGATGCCCGGAATGTGCTCTAGGGTCATGGAATCGGAAGCTGCCTGGTTCTCGCCTTTCTCTGGGCATGCTTTGACCCCGCTAAAAGCTTCTTGATGGTGCGTGCATGGCCACCATAGGTCCACAAACGGCAGTGCGGCTAGTTCAAACGCAGGACACGAGACCGTTCGGTCGCAAACATGGAGTGGAAAGAGGACGGAGAGGACGGACGATTTTGCAATGGGATGAGGTCCCTAAACTCTGAAAAGTGGGGCAAGTAGGACGGCGGGCGTGCGGGGTAAAGACGGTTTTGTTCCGGCCGGTCTGGCCAAAGTGGCAAGCAAACCTCTCGACTTTATTCACAAGACCGGGCGAGCGATGTTGAGGGGAGGGGAGGGGTGGCACGGCAGGAGCCGTTCGCATCGTCTAGAAAGAATCCGCCTATCTTTCTGGCCACTGGCTGGCGGGGTCGGAAGTCTGTTGTTTCACAAGGCCATGGATTACATCATCTCAACTTTTGAGGTTTCCCGCTAGCTTGACTTCGTATTGAGAGAGGGAAGTGGACTCCAATTCTCCAATACCTGAATTAATTAAGGTAGGCATCGTCGCTCTTAACCCGTATCGCGAGCCTTCGCCTTGAGACCTAAACGCCGTCGCTTCTTTAATCGTAAACGCGACACCCGACTTCACGTCAGGTTTATTAACTCTACACCCATCTCCTTGCTTCCACCACCAGCATTTTTGCCATTGCCATAACTCACTACGGCTTTCGATCAACTCGCACCACCACCGCCGCCATCCGTTACTAAGACTCAATAGACTACCCGAATTACCTGGTAATCACCTGGTAATCACCTCGGCAGTCAAGACCAAGAGAAGAGGAACAGCAGCAACCCAATTATACCAGCAACAGAAGAGACATATAATCCCAACATGGCTATCCTTCTCACCGGCGGCGCCAACGCCCAAACCGCCCGGCGTATCGCCAGCCTCTGCGACGAGGCCAAGATCCCGTACCTGTTCGCGTCGCGCAGCGCTCCAGCGTCTGGCAGCTCGAACCCGCCGCAGGTCAAGTTCGACTGGACCGATGCTAGCACCTATGAGAACCCCTTCCAATATTCCTTCCCGGGCGGGGAGTCCATCCGCGCCGTCTACATGATCATGCCCCGCGTGCCGCAGCCCGAGAAGCACATCAACGCCTTCATCGACGTCGCCGTCGCCCGCGGTGCCAAGCGGTTCGTCTTCATGGCCGGCACCACGGTTGCGAAGCCGACAAGCGAAGGCCCGGCCAACGTGTGGCAGCATATGCTGGACAAGGGAGTTGAGTGGGCTGTGTGCCGTCCCACGTGGTTCATGGGTGAGTCCAGTCTCCGTTTCAATTTCAGATCTCTGTCCTGTCGCTCTCCGCTGTCTCGGGTGCAGGCACTGATCGAGACCTGACTTCACACAGACAACCTGGCCGACGGCTTGCACCAAAAGACGCTGAAAGAGGATGGCAAGCTCTACAGCTGCATTGGAGACGCCAAGGTCCCCTTCATCAGCGCCGTCGACATCGGCAGCGTGGCCTTTGCCGCCCTGACGGCGTCGAAGCCCCCCAACATCGACTACCGCATCGTCGGTCCCGACCTCCTGACGTATGACCAGGTAACTATGTCATTTCCTCGACCATACCGTCCTAGACACAAATCGGAAACGACCAATTTGCTAACCAAGGGGGCCCCCGTCCCACACGATAAAACCAGGTCGCCGCTCAGCTGGCCGAAGTCCTCGGTCGGCCCGTCGAGCACGTCCGGCTGACGCCCGAGGAGCGGACCGAGCAGCTCAAGAAGCTCGGCCTCGACGCCCACTCGGCGCAGTACACGACGTGGCTGGAGTCGCAGGCTTCGGGCGAGGAGCACATGAACGACACTGTGGAGAAAGTCACGGGCAAGCCGCCCGTCAGCTTCCACACCTTCATCGAGCAGAACAAGAAGCTTTGGCAGTCGTGATTCGGAACGTCCAGCGACACAGAAAGCCACCCAGATTTCCCTCTCTACATTCATTCGTGTTGCTATTATTACCTGTTGTTCTTATTACCGTCACGCGTGGGACATCTGGGAGAGGCACTCTGACAAGCCGAAATCATATTGTTTGGGCGGCTGGAGGAGCAATTGCGATCAGATTGCATCAAGACGTGGAAAGAAGTTACCTTACAGGCTTTCATAAACAAGGTCGCGCTAGCTGAGACAGGAGATGATGGTAATTACTCTATCACTTCAACCGCAGCAGCGACCTCATGAACAACACTGTGCTTGGCCCTCTTGGGCGACGAGCCGTTGACGCCGTTCAGCAGTCCCACCGGTGCGTCCGCCTCCACCTCCAGGGTTGATGATAATTGCTTCTTGTCCTTGATACCGTTGCTGTCCGAAGCCCAGCCGTTTGTCTCGAGCCGCGCCGTGTCCTCGGGCGACAGGGGGATGGTGGCAAAGCGCCGGAGGCTCTGGGCGTTGATCTCGGGCGTCAGCACCGCGCCGTCCCCAATCATGTTCTCGAGGTGCTCGAAGTAGCGGATGAAGAAGCCGGGCGTGGCCGTGTTGATGAAGACGGCCTCCTCGTCGAAGGGGTTGCTGAACTTGTGCGGCAGCCGCACCGGCACCGTCACCATCTCCCCTGCCAAGACGTCGACGCTCGGTCTGCCAGGGACGTGGAAACGGACCTTGCCTTTCTAGATCACGGGAGAGCGAGAGAAGGGTCAGCAATTGAATGCGGGGTGGATGGCGTGGACAGAGAGGGACAGAGACAGACCGAGAGAGGGACAGAGACAGACCGAGAGAGAGAGAGGGACAGAGACAGAGACTGAGGGACAGAGATAGAGACAGACAGAGACAGAGACCGAGAGACCGAGAGAGAGAGACAGAGACAGAGACCGAGAGAGAGAGAGAGAGAGAGAGAGAGAGAAAGAGAGAAAAGGACCCGCTTACCGTCACATAGAATCCCTCGTCGTGCATCTCGTGGAAGTGGAAGACCGGCCCATCGCTCTGCGGAGGAAGGAGACTCTCGATGACGCTGAGTCGATACTGGGTGTTGGAGCCGTCTTCGATGGGCCGCCACAGGTCTGAACCACGTCCGCAGATGCCCCTTCAGTCATGTACTCTAGAGCGTCGGGAGGGAGGGGAAACCATGACATGAACATCAACCCGGAGAGTAACGTACACTGGCCGAGCCGCCGCCAGGGAACGTTTTCTGGCTTGAAGTGGTTGATTTTGAGGGTCGAGGCATAGGCTTCGTGCTGGGCGTCCATGTTGAAATGCGGGCTGCGCCAGAGACCGAACGAGAGCAGACGTGGAGGGGCGCTCAGGGGTTCAGGGGCTTGGAGGCTCGGGGTAGCAGCTTGTTGAGAGCTGGGACTGCGAGCTCGCTCAATCCAGGCGTGAAAGAACAAGTCGAAGGCGTTCCCGCGTACTCATTAGCATCATTTGGCCAGGACGCTCTAAATACCACACCGGGGAAGTTCCAGAGACAGTCAGCTCGTCGGGTGGCTCCGAACGTCACGCCAGCGGTCGAGGGCAGCCCACCATGGTCTTCACTGGCATTGGCTTCCCCTCTCGGCCGACCTTAAAGCGTGGGCCCATTTCTGTGCGCCGTGTCTTGTTTGCACTAGACGACAAACGAACGTCAGGCGAGGGCACCGGTTGCCAGCAATGGATTCTGGGCTCCAGGGGCTGCCAAGGCCCGGCCACGGCGGTCCCCTGCGGCGGCCCGGAACCCGGACCCCGAGCCATCGGAGTCCGCTCCCGGCTCGCCAGCAAATGCTACTAAAACCGATGTCTCCCTTTTGGCCGCCGCTAGCTTCTCCTCCAGACAGACACGTGAACACAATGTTCGGGGCCCGTCTACCCAGTCACATGCAGGTCGGCCAGTGTCTCGGTGGGGGCATTTACACATGCAAGGGTGGGAATGGCCGGTGCGAAGACGCCACAAACCTTGATGTCGAGTCGTGATTGAATGCCGCCCGGAGACTGCTGCGTAATCGATTGGGCCCCGTGTAGTTGTACCCCTGGAATTGCCAATTCTGGACATTGGCCGAACACTCGCCTTTTGTCTTGTCTCTGGGCGAATATTTCGTAGTTATTACTTATCAGATCGCCCGGTCGTCGGATCGTCGTTGCGACAATGGCTCCCGGAAGCTCGAGCGTCAAGATGATGAAGCAGTACGTGGCGAGCAAGAAGGGGGGGCCGTTCCAGCTTGCGACTGCACCGTACCCAACCCCAGGACTGGACGAGGTGTGCATCCGAAGCCGGGCCGTGGGCCTGAATCCTCTCGACTGGAAGAATCTCTACTATGGCGAGATGGTCAAGACGTGGCCCGAGGTGTTTGGCATCGATGCCGCCGGCGTCGTCGAGGTCGTCGGAGCAAACGTGACGGCGCTGAAGGCCGGCGATGCCGTCGTGAGCCTGGCCGGCCACGGTGGGCGCGCGGGAGCATTCCAGGACGTGACTACCGTGCCGGCGCATTTTGCTTCCAAGAAGCCCACCGCATGGACGTTCGAACAGGCGGCCTCGGTTCCGTGAGTTGGACAAATTCGCAGCTAAGCGAGAGCTCCTCTATGCTGATTGCTGACTGCTGCCCTCAGGATCTGTTACCTCACGGCCGCTGCCGCCGTGACCAAAGGCTTGGGTGTCCCTTTGCCTTATCTCGTCGAGGCGCAGAAGGCGGCGCAAAAGGCAGCACCAAAGGCGAGCGGCAACCTCGACGAAGAGATGAGAGATCCCGTGTCGCCCAATATTGGCACGGACAACTCGTCGTCAATCCGCAGCGTTCTTATTGTGGGTGGCAGCTCAGGGGTCGGGTCGTCCGCGGTGCAGCTCCTGCGCCTTGCGCTGCCGTCTGCCACGATCCTGACGACCAACTCGCCCAAGCACAACGCCCACGTCGCTGGTCTTGGCGCAACGACGTGCATCGACCGTAGCAACCCGAAGCTGGTCGAGGCCGTCAAGGCTGCTTCCCCCGACGGCAAGGGCGTCGACGCCATCATCGACGCCGTGGCCGGCGCTGCAGGGGAGCCGGACCTGTTCGACGTGTTGCGCAAGGACGGGCCCCGGCTGTACAGCCAAGTATTCACGGGCGACAAGATCGCGGTGCCCGAGGGCGTCGTGGGCACGCCCGTGTTTGGTCGCATGACGTTCCAGACGCCGGGCGGGATGAATGCCATGAGCAAGCTGGTCGATCTGGTCGACGAGGGCACGTTTAAGCTTCCCCTCCAGGTGCAGGTGGTGGGAAAGGGGCTGGACGGGATCGGTCCTGGGCTTGAGAAGCTCAAGGCGGGTGTGAGCGGAACCAAATATGTCGTGTCTCTGTAAGATGTAATCATGCGCGCAGTTTGTATGAGGCCTCCCCAATGGTCGTGGCACGCAAGCAGCTCCGATGCGTGGTCCGGATGGCCTACAGCATGTCTGCGTTGGTAAAAGATACCTACGTTGGTAAAAGAGTCTTACGCGTTCAGCGATTACTTAGAATGTGCGCAAGCGACATGCTTCCAATCGTTTCAATTATAATGGCCGGCGACTGGTGCAGTGACTCAGCCTCTTGCCTTGCTCAAACGTGGCGACGACACCAGTCCTCGCCTTCCACATTCGTCACGGCCCGGCCCGGCTATGTGCCGCTGTTTCCAGTGCCCACCGCGTGAAAAATCCCACTACCAACATTTGCCCCATTTTCAAATCGTACAAACAACCTCCCCCAACCTCCAACCCCTAACCCCCAATCCCCCCCTTCGGATCATTGATCTCCCCCAAGTCTGTAGTCTGCAGCGTGTAGAAGAGGAGCCGATTGTTTCGCTACATCTCGTGAAGCCCTTCGCCTCGGTCTCATGAAGTAGCCTTTTCCTCCTCGGCAGCCTTTTCCTCCTTGGCAGCATTCTCTAGCTTGATCTGGAGATGCTCCAGATGGACCAAGTGATCCTTCTCAGCAGACGCCCACTCGTGGTTCATAACCTCGAGCACTTTGGCACTGCGCGGGACAAAAGACGCCTTGAAGGGCTCGGGCGACGAGTTGAAGGTGCTGGTGTACGCATTGGGGTCGACAGGACACTGCACCTTGACGCCGTCCTTGACCTCGTACGCGTGCCCAATGTTGAACGCCCACAGCAACCGCGCCGTGGTGATCAGCAGCGAGTTCATGGCAATGTGCCGTCCTGGAGCACCGCGCCGGTCAGTCAATTGGCCACGCCAGATGGAAAACATGGGGAATTACCAGTACAGACCCTCCTCCCAAACCCAAACGAGAACACGGGCACGTCCGGATTCTCAATCCACCGCTCCGGGATGAACTGCTCGGGGTCCTCGAACGTGTCGGGATCCATGGCCAGAGCCCAGTAATTTGGCAGGATGACGGTCCCTTTCGGGATGCGGTAGCCCATGTACTCGTCGTCCTCGATGACGGCGTGCGGGACGCCGCCGGGCGTCACGGGGCGCCATCGGAGGAGCTCCTTGACGATGGCGTGGATGAAGGGCAGATTGTCCAGGTCGTCAAACGTCGGCATGCGGTCGGGCCCCACCACCCGGTCCAGCTCTTCCTGGGCCTTGCTCGCCATTTTGGGGTAGAGTATGGCGGCCATGACCAGGACGGCCATGCTCACAGCCGACGAGTCGCTTCCGGCCTCGTACAGGTTGCCGATGATGTAGCCCACCTCGGTGCGCGACATGCGCTTACCGTCCTTGGACGCCAGCACGCTCTTGGTCCAGTTCCAGCCCGGCTTGCCCTCGCCCTCGGCGATGACCTTAGACAGGAACGCCTTCTCGAAATCGTGCATCTTGTCGGCGATGCGCTTCCACGGCGCGAGCACTTTGGGCAGCACGTTGAGCCACGGCATCATGTCGACGAGCCAATTGTGCAGGAACACCCAGTTCAGCTCGTGCATGATGTGCTCGACGGCTTGGGCCTCAGGCTCTGTCCCCTTGGGCAGCCGGATGCCGTAGGCGAGACTGAAGATGAGGCTGGCCGAGTAACGGAAGAAGTAGAAGGGGAACCGCTCTCCGGCATCGGGCTTGGTGAGCTCGAGCAGCATCTGGCGGCTCTCGATGTCGTGGATCGGACGGTACGTCTGCGACATGCGCATGTTGAGCACCGAGGCGTGGAGCCTGTGGTAGGACCGCCACTTGTCGCCGTAGGGCAGAAACAGGGTGCGGTAGCCCTTGGACACGCACTCGGACACCATGGGGGCGCGCGGTCGCGAGCTGTAGATGGCGTTGCGCTTGTCGAGCAGATCCCGCGCCATGTCGAGCTTCCCGACCATGACAAAGGTCTGCGGGCCCAGCTTCATGGTGACGAGGGGCCCATACGTCTTGAACATCTCTGCGAGGCCCCGCCAGGGATGCGACTGCGGCACCTGGTGCACATTTCCGATCAGGGGCAGCGGCTTCGGGCCCGGCGGCATGCGACGCCGCGAAAGGCGCTGGCTGATGACGGAGCTGAGCACGAGCGCCACGATAGCAACAGCTGCCGCCCCAACAAGAGCCGGCTGTGTGAGATTCATGGTCGGTAATATTAGCCCGCGCCGAGGTCAGGTCCAAACGAGTTACGGCCTCTGGCGGCAGCCGGCAGCACCGAAGGAAGAATTGGGCGCCAAGAATAAATGATGCGAGATGTTTGCAAATATATTCTTTGGACGCCTTCTGGTCGATGCTGTCTCTTTCAAGCACATGTGGTTGCTGGCTGGCCGCTGCGTCTTGTCGTTGTTGCTGGCTGGCTGCTGCGTCTTGTCTCTGTTGCTGGCTGGCCGCCGCGTCTTGTCTTTGTTGCTGGCTGGCCGCTGCGTCTTGTCTTTGTTGTGCTGTCCTTTGTGGTTGTTTTGCCATTACGGCGGCACCATGCGACACTTGACCACCGAAGCTGCGGGATCCGGCACCCGGCGGATCAGGCGAGCCAGCCAATCCGGAGGCGCTGGGACCGAAATCGCCAGCCCGCAGCCCGCCGCCCGCTAAAACGTTGAGGGGCGGGGCTTCTGCATCGGGGACTTTTATTCTGTTGGCGTTTTTGCTAGCTCATTCCGGGCTGTGGTAATGCAACTTGCTCCCCCGGTTTCTGTTCACCATTTTGCAACATAACCCCGGCCTTCCGGCTCGGTCCCCCTGGTGCAGCACCTCCGATTGACTCGCCACACTGCAAAAGCCTCGTTGCACATCGATCATCACTCTTCGGCTCGCCTTGAACTCTTCTTTCTGTCTCGGTATCTGACCTGTGTTCCTGACAGCGTGAGGATCTTTGTGTCTCTCTTTTCTGTCTCTTTTTTGTCTCTTTTCTGACTGTCTTCTGACTCTTTTCTGACTCTTTTCTGACTCTTTTCTGACTCTTTTGCCTCTTTTTTGTCCATTTCCTATTGGGGCAACGACATCAGTCCGGCCTAGACGGCGTCACCGCGGTCATGGCGCTCTTTCCTCGCTTCCAACTGTTCGAAATCGAGGATATGCCGTGGTGTCCATCGTGGCTACGCGAATATGCGCACCGCGCACTGCACCAGATGTGGAACACGGTCGGGCCCGGCAAGACCAGCTCGACTGCGGCCCAGGCGTGCGACATTCTCGTATCCAAGCTCCCTGCCGAGCCGAGCGCCTACACGTTTGTCGACGCGTGTGCCGGCGCAGGCGGGCCGACGCCCATGCTGGAGCGCAGCCTCAACTCGCGCCTGAAGGCCCTGGGCGGCAAGAAGCAGCCCGTCCGCTTCCTCCTGGCCGACCTGTACCCGGACTGGGAGGCCTGGAAGAAGATCACGGCCGCCTCGGAAAACATCACGCACGTCAAGCACCCCGTCGATGCCGCCACGGTTGAGCGCTACGTCACTGACGGCACCCTAGAGTGCCGCCTGTTCAACCTGTGCTTCCACCACTTTGACGACGCGCAAGCAGTCAAGATTCTGCGGTCTTCTGTCAACCACTCCGACTCGTTCGTGTGAGTCAAGTCGGAGGCACTTCGCCACTCAAATGACACGTGAGAAACTAACCCGCTCAAAGCATCTTCGAGATGACGCAGCGCAACCTGCCCGCGCTGCTCAACACGTCCATCGTAATCCTGTCCCCGCTCATCTCGACGCTGCTGTGGTTCTGGTGGTCGCCGCTGCACGTGGTCTTCACGTACCTGATCCCCATCGTGCCGCTCTTCTTCGCCTGGGACGGCTACGTGTCGTGCATCCGCACGCGCACAGGCGCTGAGATCCGCGACATCATCGCCCAGGAGGAAGCGCGCGGCGGGCTCGACACGCGCGACTGGACGTTCCACTACGGCCAGACAAAGGTCCTCCCGCCGTTTGGAAACCTGTATTGGTTCATTGGGGTCAGGAATCGCAAGGACGTGTAGCCAGGGCCGAGCAAGAGGGCTTGGGTTGGGAGTTGGACAGGTGACTGTATTGGGCGTAGGTCAGAAATCTGTTGTATCTTGGTTGGGCTCCAAACGGCGCTGAAGTCCTCCGGTACAAAACCAAACTCGAGCCCTGTCTCGCAGGGTCTTCGGCATTGTTGATCAGATGTGAAATATCATTCCTCTTGTACATTGGCACACTCGTCGGAGCGATGGCAGATGGCAGAATGCGTCCCCGTAGTTTACACTAGCATCACGAATAATGCGGTCGCTGGCCAGAGTCGGGTTCGGTGTGCACCACGTCGGGACTCGTTGATTAATTATCGCAAACACCTATGGCATGACTGCTCCCTTTCCCAGAAATATCTATCATCGGAACTGGACTCAACTCCGCGGCTCGTCAGGCAGTGCCACAGTAACTGGCGAAGCCGGAGAAGAGCAGTTGCGCGTAAGATTAGAGAGCTTAGGACACCTGTGGACCACTGCTGCAAGATGCCCCTTTTCTGAATCCCCCTTTTCTGAATCCCCCATTATCAGCTCCCCGCCAATCCATGGGTTGTATGCCGCTGACGTAGGAGGCCCTAGATGACTCGCTCATCCGGTACGAGAAGATACTGACAATGAGCAAACCTCATCGACGGAAACTCGCCGACATGTACAACTGGATGAAAAGGTCGACGCTCGGAAACATATCCATCACCAGCTACGACCGGGACATCTTCAAGAACCAGGATGAAGACCCTCTTGTCTCGCTGGACCCTTCCGAGTCTGACACCTTCACCTCGTGGGTTCAAGACCATCTGATGCAGATCTACCACCGGTTCGGGGGCCGATATCTTGCCATCCGTCTTACCGCCCTCCCACCTCGCCGCCCAGTCCCCAGCACAATAGCGAATTCCAGGTTTATTTATCTGCTGACATTAATGGACCAACAGACCCCAAACACATCTCCGCACCTCCGCGGCACTGTCACTTACTCGGAGCCAGTCATCAAACAGGTCACCAGGCTTGTCACCGTCACGGTCGCATGCGCAGTGCCCATAGGGGCGATTTTCGCTCTGCACTTCGTCGTCGACACGACTGCCAGACTGGGCATCGTGTTCGCCATGTCGGTCGTCTTTGCCCTGTGCATGGCCCTGATGACGTCGGCCACGACCCACGGCATCTTTAGTGCCACACCAACGTAGGACCCATGGTATCTCGTGACCTTAACAATATGTGTGAAGACGGGCCTCTCTGTTTACCACCAATAGTTTCGCCGCCGTGTTGGTTGTGCTTGTCAGCACTGATGGTTCAAGTGGTGGCTCAAGGTAGTCTAACTAGGCACTTGGGTCAATGGTTCGACGAGAGAGAGTGCCGTCCTTGAAGAGGTCACGGAGGTGCGGGTAAGCCTAGAAAGGAAGTGGAGCCATGGCCTGACCTTCTAAGGCACATGCTCGTTGGAATCTTGATCGCCCTTCTAGCCGGCGAGACCAACGTGAGAGCGACAGAAAATTGCATTTATGAATAATGCCGCCTTCTTTCCTTTTCGTGGAGCAGGCGGCTCGAAGGGAGAACGTTAGTCAGGCTCGGCAAAGTGAGAGACTACACACGTGTATCCGAAGCGTCCCTCAGGCTCTGAGCCATTCTTCCAGATCTTGATATGGTAGACTTGGGCTATAGAGTCTTACGACAAACTAGGTACTTTGCTATAGAGTCTTGCGACAAACTAGGCACTTTCGCTTTGTCCCAGGACACAAGTGGTGACAATAGAGGTGTCAGAGGAAAGACTACAAAGCGTGAAGAATGGACTGCTGGGCACTCCCTGCTCTGCATTACCTCCACCGTATGCTGAGCCGAGCCCGGTCCCAGTGTACCACATTGGCATATACTCAACTTTTACAATTGCTTCATCTTCAGAAGCGCGGGTGGTAGAGCGTTTTGGGGCTACGATGACGAGTTTTACATTGGCCCACACCGCAAATACGTCGCACATTATTGAGCTATGGCCCTTACATCGCACGACACTTATCGAGTCTCCCCACTCTCGGGCGGACGCTTTTCTCTCCGCCCGTTTCGCTTGGACTGTAATCTTCAGAACTGAACTCTTCCGAGTCTGGTGATGACCTTGGGGACAATGACAAACCATCGAGCGTCAAAGTGTGTATCCTTTCTGGGAGGAACAAGGTTTGCTGGATTGTCAATGTTAGGATAGCCTGCTCCGTACTGGTGCATCAAATTCCGCGTGTCCAAGCATCGTCTTCTTTCGCGACAAGATGGGCGTTTACTAGATTACATTGGGTAAGGGTGTAAGAGGGTGTAAACAACCCCGCTGTTACCCGGCTAATGAACCCCTGATCATTGTTTGCTACCGCTTCTCCGAAATCGGGATTGCACGAATAACCTCGATAGGAGGAGAAAGGAATATGAAGAAAAGAAAAAGAATATGAAGAAAAGAAAAAGAATATGAAGAAAAGAAAAAGGAAAAGGAAGTTTAGAGCCCTAGCTGTGGCTCCTCTGGGACGTCCTCCCGTCCGCTCATCCACCGATTTGTCCCTTGACTGTCGATGATCCCGTTGCTATCTTTCGCCAGAGGAATAGCCGCTGTCGTTCTCGTGAACAGCTTAATGCCGGCTTCGTTCCGGCTGTCTCTGCCCTGTATTGCTCTCACCGATGTTGTTGTTGCCGGTGTTTGGAGGGCCGAGGCTGCCACCGGCATCGCTGTCCTCTGCGGCGGTTGCAGCACTGCCGCTAGCCGTGTGCACGTGTGGCTCGGGCAGCTGACTTGGGGCAGCAGCTGCCGTCCCCAATGCCAGGGCCACAGTCCTCAGCGCTGTTCCATCGGTAGCGGCGGCGTCTGAGGTAATAAGCGCGGGCCGCGTGCCACCAGCCTGCGCGTCGCGCCGCCGCCGCCGCCGCCACGGACTCGCAACCATCCACTCGAGATCCTCTTGGTCTTGCCGGCGGAGCCACGGCTGCGTGAAGGCCCCTCTAGCCTCATACCCGGCCGTCAGCCGGCACAGCAGCCTGTTCTCGCAGTGGTGCCGGGCGACGCGGATCCGGAACGTCCGCATGCTGCCGTCTTGCAGCGTCATGGTGCGCGACTCCAGCGCGAACGTGCACCTAGGGGGAGGACAGTTGGTTAGCGATCTGGGGAAAACGGCTGTCGTGGAGGGTGCGGACGTCATGTTTGCCAGGTTGGAAGTGTGCCAAGTCCTCGTGCCTGGGCTTCAAGCCGACAGGTTGTGCGGTTAAGCGGTTGTTCGTCCCTGTGGGCGGAGCCGAACGTGGAACAAAAAGTGAATACGTGTATCTGGTTTGGTCTTTGTTGTTTGTCTTTGTAGTGAGTGACAGTGATTGCGTTCCAGTTTGGAAGTTTCTAGGCTTTTGGTGGGAGACATGGCCGGCTTTTATAACTGCCAGACAATACCGTTGGAGGTCACTGCCCTGCTTCGCTTATGTCAAGATAACTTGTGTCAAGATGGTGAGTGAGCCATCGTGTCGTGGTTGAGGCGACTCCAGTGTATGTATCAGCGTTGGCCTGTTTCGGCAACCCGAGGCTGAACTGTTCCGGTGGTAGGTCAAGAGTGTGCAGGATGTTGACTCGAACTGGCAGGTTCCCATGCAAACTCGGAAGGAGGCAGAGCTTGTTTGACCAAGGTGCATATTGTACCCCTCGGGCGGTCAAGTGGTGGCGGTTGTTCGATGCCGGCCCCTTAGCCGCCGGGCAGCCCCCAAGTTTCGGCGCCGGGGTGGCTGTGTACCGTTGGGCCGCAACGCCGGCGGCCACATCCCAGAAGAAAAGACTCTTTAGACCTTTTCGGTACCTTGGGCTTCATTGGGGCAGATCTTGTATCATTGGCATTTTATGCACCTATGATTCCCTGCAATGGGTCAAACGACTCCTGATGCGTACTTCATTATTAGGGGGCGTCTCCGGCTACTGTAAAATCGTCCCCTTCCACTGTAGGTACATAGGTCCCCAAGTATAACAACTCACCGCCCAGGAAATCACCGCCCAGGAAAATACCACATTTTACAGCCAAAATTACTACATTCGCTGGCTGCCCCGCCCTAAGCGCTGGCATCACGATTGTACCGCTATTGCACCTCACCGCCGTCGCTAACGTCAATATACTTCCAAATACGGTAATTAAACCTCCCGACCGTAGATTCGCTCAAATCGTTCAAATCTGTAATAACAAGCGAAGGTGACTTGGCTGAGTTCGCTTACATGACAAGGCCAAAAATGCAATAAAAAACCGCGGCCTGCACCGACCGAAGGAAGGCCCCGCCTTCCTGGGTGCATTTACCCAATCCGAGGGAGGCTTTTCAGCGCCTCCTGCACTCTTAGACCGGGATCGTAACAAGAGGAAGTCAACATACGTACCCTACCGTCTAGGATTCCTTATACCAAGGCAGGAATGTACCTACTTTGGGAGAATATAATGTACTCGCGTGGCCTTAATGGCTTCAAGAAGGCATAGAAGATGATGAAGTCTACTTTTCTCAGCCAAATACCTGAACCTATATACCGCTCGCTAAAGAGTGGGCAACTTGCTACATCAATAACGTCCTCAACTTCGGTCAGCGTACAATATCACTAGTTGAGTCAGTTAATAAGCTTCTCAAGTCTTTTATTATCACCAGTAATAGCAATACATTCCAGACCGTATAACAGTCACTTGATATGGTGGAGGGTATGAAGGAAGCCTGCGATAATATGACTACGAAGCAAAAGGAGCGCATTCGCTTCGATTACTTAGGGAAGTAGTGGCTTGGTGAGGCTTCCTACGACGTGTGTTATGACGCCCTCGATCGTGTTATAAAGCAACACCAAAAGATGGAAGTTACTCTCGGGGACCACCCCCGGCTTCTCAAGCCCTACACCGGTCGGTTCTGGGCATAGTATGGCATTCCTTGCTCTCATGAGCTCCTTCGGCGTTACCAAGCCGGTAATTTGAATCTTCGAAAGACCGATTTCTATCCATATTAGTACTAGCTTCACAACACCAAGGCACACAACGCGGTGGCCGGGGCGGCACAACATCACGAACTTCACGTGGCCCTGCAGCCTCTGTAGTGGCTGAAGGTCGTGTTGCAAAGCCTACACATAGTGGAAGGGTCCCGCGACCTACTGCCCGGGCATTGGAAGGTATGGATTAGAATAGTCGTTGTGGGCAGTTGTGACAGAAGCGCTCAGTGCGCTCAGTCTGCCAAGACCGAGCTGGGCACACTGAGCAGAGCGCTCAGTGTGGTTTTGAGTGCTCAGTGGGACTGAGCACCAAGTGGAACACTGAGCATCTAAGGGAAGGACTCTGATTGGTTATTCATAGTCCTATATAGGAAGCTGGAGGAACACTCTCTGGGAGTTGGTTCCTCAGCTATCAGTGCATATGGTTTGCCATTCATTGCTTGACTGACTGAGAGTGAGACTCTCGCAATCTGTGCACTATTGTTTGCTCCTTATACGTCGTATTACCTGTGTGGTTCGCCGCACTACAGCTCACCCACGCCCACCCCTACACTTTTACCTAGTTGGTTCTTGAGGACTACTTGGAAGAGAGCCAGGCCTTTGTTATTCGTGCTGTACTATTATCGTATAGCTGGACCCAGGGGTAACGCTTCCACTGCTCCTCACACTAGTGAGAAGACTAAAAAGGGCCCCTCGGCTTGTCTGGTTCATCAACCGACCAAAGGACTTTATAACGGATGTTTTTATCGTTAAGCATCTTCGTGGCCTGGAATGGCGAATATCCCTTGAGTGTAAGCCTGCGAAGACAAGAGCGGCATTTTCGTAGGTAACAATACTCAAAATCCAGGCCCAGAAAAGCCTTTCGTAAGTCTTTAGCAATCTGGGATAGCTAGTCGGTTGATGTAGGAAGCAATGAATGCCTTGTACTCAGGGCCAAAGACTACCCTGAGCTTTAACTTGTTGAAGTCTCTCTCGATAGGCGGATGATTTTCATGGCTGGTGTCACGGTTAATAGGTTTTGAAGGACTGTTGCCAACAATATACCGTATTGATTTAGTGTAAAACTAAGCTAAGGAAGAAAAAAGGAAAAAGAAGAAGAATCGCGAATTGTGCGATCAGTGGAAAAGGTTGTGGGCGGGGTAGCTCGCAACCACGTGACCAATGCGCTAGACCTAACTGGGCTTATCGGGAAGTGACGTCACACGGCAATGCGATAAGGAACCCGAAATGCGCTGTGCCGTGACAGCTGGTATGCTTAGGACGAAGCTCAAAGGTCCATTTCCTATTATTAGAAATAAGCACTTTGGCTACGTCCCGCCAGGGGTAGTCCTTGTGATCGGTGGTGGCGATGTTCTCCGTTGCCTTGGACTTTACGATTTTCCCTCGGTAAGAGCCAAAATCCACCCTTGCTGCGCTGAAGTCTTTGGCATAGTTGGCGCCTCGCAGCTTGCATAACGAACCGTGCAGAAGCAGCCCATTCGTCCAAATCGACAATTACATGGTTGAGGGTGTCGTATTTGAAGGTGAAAGCCTACGGTTAGCGGGCGGATTGGAAAGTGGTGATGGTGGCGGCGCGGGCGGCCCGGCGATGATTTTGGTGGTGGTTTGGTTGAAAAGGAAGGTTTGGTTGAAAAGGAAGGTTGCAATGGAAAAGGAAGGTTGCAATGGAAAAGGAAGGTTATAGTGGAATACGAAGGTTGTAGCGTAATTAGATTAGGTTGTGGTAAAAGTGGTAAATTACGTGGCGGCAGAATTTTGGATGCACCGATTCTATAGGGTTAGGTTATATATAGAGGAATACAGTGGATGGGGACGATTTTACAGTAGCCGGAGACGCCCTAATTATTTATTGCAGCAAACAGTGAGATATACTGTATAACAACAATTAATAGTACTAGTTCTAGTGTAGAAATCATTCGAGAGTGCAAGGGGATTTCATTTAGCCGTGGGTCCAACTCTCTTGAATGAGACGGACTTCATTTTGGCAGTGTCGCCTCAACAACTTGCCCAAGACCCGTGACGATGTAGATCTTCCGCCCGTCCCTGCTCAGCGCCACCGATGTCGGCCCTGGATATGGCATCAGGTTGCTGCCGTCGCCACCGACGAAGAGGGTCTGCTCCCCGTCGGCCGCGATCCTCTGGATCGAGTTCGGATGGAGAGCCACGTAGGCATCCGGCGTCAGCCCCGAGCCAAAAACAAAATCGTCAAAGGCGTGCGTGAACCCCGGGTTCTCGATGCTGGTAATGCGTTCAACCTGGCCAGCTCTCTCGCCACTGGCCGTGATCTTGATGCGACCAAAGAAGCCCAGGCCCGAGTTGGTAAAGTACAGATAGCCGTTGCTGACCTTGATGCCGTTTACCCCGAGGGGCACGATGGCGGGATCTGAGCTGGGACCGAGCTGCGTGTCGGCAATAGCGACGTCGATCCTGCCAGTGGCCGTGTTGATGCGCAAGATCTGCCCGGCTACTGATTCGGCGGCCAGCACGACGCCAGGGTGCCCCGGCAGCGGCGTTATCCCGTTAAGCCCCGTGGCGGCTGGGAGACTGGCCGCCACCTTGACCTTCTTCTTCTTGACGTCGACCGTGTAGACTTTCATGCTGCCGTTGACGAAGCCAAAGCCTTCTGGAAGGAGGTCGCCCCCGCCGACAGCAAAGACATCGGGAGCGATCTCGGCAATTCCCACGAGGGCACCGACGCCGGGAAGTTTGGCCACCAGCTCGGCCTCTGGGGTGCGCGTGTCTGGGTTCAGACTGAAGAGGGAGCCGTTGCTGAAGGTGCCGAGCAAAATGTGGCCGTTGGGGCGCACGGCTACGTTTTCGATGAAAGTTGCATTGTCGGGGAATGCGTAGATTTGGCGAGCCTGGGGCTTGAAGGGGGTTGCGAATGTGTCTGACACAAACAAGACGAGAAGTGACAGGAGCATGCTAGGCTTATACATGGTCAAATGCACGGGGATCTATATCGACAGAAACAGAGAGAATGACAAAAGGATAGAATAGAAATGCCTTTTTCTCGGGCACCAAAGCCGATAGAAAAAGAGCAAACTAATGCATCCAAGTAAATGAATGCGGGGCTAATAAAGAGCAGCATGAGATGTTACACGCGGGGGTGCGCTGTGGCCTCGGCTCTTCCGGAGATTGTCAACATTGCACAGAATCCTGCCTGAGCCAATTCGCGGCCCGGTAATGAGCCATGACTGGGGTTGGATGACCAGAACCATGACGAGGAGCTTGTCAGCTTTCAACGTTGGCTTTGCTTAAGAGAACGTTTTTATACACTGTTAAATCGTTGCCGTGCACTGTAGGTGCATCGGCGCCAAGGCCTTACAGCTCACCGCCCAAGAAATTACCACTTTCGCTGGCTGCACCGCTCCAAGCACTGGTAGCGCAATTGTAGCCCAATTGCACCTCGCCGCCGTCGCCAGCGTCAACACACTTCCGAATGCGGTAATTCCAGCCCGGGGCCGTAGAATCGCTCAAATCGTTTAAATCTACAATGAAAATCGAAGCTGGCTTCGTTTAATTCGCTTACGTAACATGGCCAAAAATGGAATAAAAAACTGGGCCTGTCACAACTGCTCACAACTGCATGCAACTGACAGCCTTACTGATCCATGCCTTCCGCCCGGGCACTCGGTCGCGGGACCCTTCCACTTCGTGTAGGCCTTACAACACGACCTTCAGCTACTGCAGAGGATGCAGGGCTACGTGAAGCTCGTGATGTTGCGCCGCCCTAGCTAACACGCACGTGCCTTGGGGCTGAAGAGCTTATGCCGGCTGGGGGTTCGAGAGTGGTGATGGTGGCGGCGCATTGTCATCAGGCGCATCGCTACGATGGCCAAAGTCGCTCAGATCGCTTAGATCTTCAAGGTGGACTTTTTTATCACTAGTTAGTACTGCGCGACGAAGAAATGAAGCCATACCGATGCGTCGATTGAATGCGGTGCCGACGATGTTTTTTAGTGGTTGTGGAAGGTCGGTTGTAGTGGAAAGGTAAGGTTCGGTTGCGTTATGGTAAAAAGTGGTAAATTACTACGCGGCAGAATCTTGATGTACTGGAGGGCGGGGTAGGTCGCCACGGTTAGGGTTATGTGTGGTGGACTACAGTGCATGACAACGATTTTACAGTGTGTAAAAACGTCCTCTTGCTTAATTACCAACTCTGTCTGGGCCCTGGGGATTCGGGGGCTAACCCGAGTCCGAAGTTCCGTGACTCGGGGCCAAGAAGAACCCCTGAATCCACGGAGCTCATGCATCAACCGTCCGACGTTGAAGCTACATATAGAATCTTGAGCCGGCACGGATGAACTGGTAATCAACAAGCGATCAATCCGGTGCCAATCAACTATCTAACTACCTACCCAGGTATCTAAGCAACTGCATCCAAGAAATCCCCAAGTCCAAATCAGGAAAACCTTTAGTGTCGTCTGCCTCCCGGAAAGTACGGGCCGCCGCCCTCTTGATACCACCGCCCGCCGGTCCAGTAGAAGTCCCGCCCCGACGGCGACCTCCACCAGCCCCTGCCAGCGCCCGGGCTCCGCCGTCTTTCGCCCGGGCTTTCACTCTCGCTCCCGCTGCTGTCGCTCCAGATCTCAAAAACCCCATCCTGGCCGTCGGAGCTCGAATCTCCGTCGCTTTGGCTCCGCAGGGATGTATGCTCGCCCCTCTCGCTCTCCAGCTCGCTGTCGGAGCCAGAGTATTCGCTTCCGCTGTCAGAATCCTCTGATTCCTCGCTTCTCATGTGCGCAGCGGGGGGAGGGTTTGCATTCTTGACGTGCGGTGGTCCGCTTCCGGGGTGAGGGTTGCCGCATTGAGATGCAGAACTGACACTGTCAGACTGTGAGGTTTTAGAGTTGGTGCACTCGCTCTCGCTGCCGCTAGCGTGGAGCATCTCGCCGTCTGAGCCTGCTGTCCTGCCATTCTCAAGTCCGGCGTTGTCTTCGGCTACGTTCCGCGCGTTGGCGGCCATTGGGTTGGGGTGGGTGCCATTGACGCAGTCGCTGTTGTCCTCTTCCTCCCGGGGGTCTTTGCTTCCCTCAGCCGCTGGGAAGTAATTGTTTTCACTCTCGCTCTCGCTCTCGCTCTCGCTCTCGCTCTCGCTCTCAACTTCATCCTGACTCTCGCTCTCGCTCTCATCTTCATCCTGACTCTCGCTCTCGCTCTCGCTCTCATCCTCATCCTGACTCTCACTCTGCCCCTCATTCTCATCCTGACTCTCACTCTGCCTCTCATCCTCATCCTGACTCTCACTATCACTCTTACTCTCACTCCCACTCTCATTCTCATCTCCGCTCTCACTCTCACTCTCACTCTCACAGTCACTTCCGTCGACATCCGTCACCTCGCTGTGGTCGTCATCGTAAAATACCGACGCGGGGCACGTCGGCCGGCAGCAGTCGGTCCAGAAGCGCACGCGCTGGCGTCCCGGGGGCGGCGTGTCCGACAGCATTGCCTGCCAAGACGGCGTGGGCCCGCGGTAGCCAGCTTCGAACTGGCACCTGTGATTTTTGAACTGGTCAGTATACTTGTTTTTCTGAGATATAATAGTGGAGTTTGACTTTGATGTCCCCGTGGGGGGGGCATGGCTTACATTGCCCCTGTCGGTGCTTGTCGTTGAGTGGACTTGATGAAGTGTTGGTTGGCGAAAGGGCACAGGAAACGTTGGACTATGCCTACTACGGCCTTCCTTGTGGTTTTCTAACCACGCTGAAGGGAAGGTAAAGCCTTTGCAATACAAACTAGTCCTCTGTTCTGTTTGTGATGGTTGCGGTCTAGGTGTATGGTTCAGTTTGCGGTTTGGTCCTTGGGGGCAGCCGTGGTGTTGCTATGCGTAACTATTCAGCGGCATGATGGGCAGATTTATACATTTTCTGGCCCAGCTTCATCATCTCTTCACGCCGGTATTTTTCTGGAGGCCGGCGAGGCAGTCGAGGCTCCTTGCGAGGCGCTCTCTCAGCCGTGGCCATTTGGCTCTGCGCGCTAAAGCAAACTGTATATTAAGGCCAAAGAGCGGGCGACTTGTTTTACGACTTTCTCCTCCTCGAAGCATTGGTTCAACGCGACAACGCGCGGCCACGCGCGCGAGGCCGGGGCTGTCGGTGGCTGGCGTTGGATGCCGGTCGCTGTCGCGCCGGCCCCATATGGCTGATGGAGAGGCAGACGCCGCGTTGGGACCAGACTGTCGGGCCAGACCCAACTCGTAGGCTGGAACTTGAAAGCCGAGCAATGCTTAGACACTGGTTGGGTGTCACGAGGTAGCTTGACCGAAACCGACAAACAGCAGGGTTGACACCGGAAATCATTGGAAAATCGATTGAGTGACGTATCTGTCCAACTCTGTCCCCAGCCTCTTTTGATTTTCCACCATAAAAGAACATGCAAACAAAGCAAAAAGTCTTTGGTCACGGGATGTGTCTGTCATACTATCCAACAACGAATCTACCAACACAACACCCACCGGGCCACCACAACACTACCACACCACCACAACACTACCACACACCACAACACCCGCTTATCAACACCCAACCACTCACCCGGCCTATCAAGCGCGCGCAAGTCCCGTTCGACGCCCTCGCCATTACCGCCCTGCACACCACCACCGACTAATTGCAACACACGTTCCAAACTCCACCAGCACCGGCTGGAAGTCCTCCGTAACAGCGACCGCATCAGGCCCAATACCGCCATGCACAATCCCAAGACCATGCAGATGCCGCACCGCACCCGCCCGGGCATCCATAAACAACCCCTTATCAATCGCCGGCGCAATCTCGCGGATGTCGTCGGCGAGAAATTCCGCGACGGCGGGGACCAGCGCCGTGTCACGTTGCGTGGCGCACGCGTAATCCGTCAGGTCCGGTCGGCGGATGGATGTAGCAGAACTCGTCGTCGTCGTCTGAGGCGTGGTCGCACGAGGGCGGGACCATGGTCAGGTGGCGGTCTGCTGGCATTCACGCCTCGCCCCTGGCCTCACTCCTCGCCCCTGGCCTCGCGGAGGTATTCGTCTTCCTCCTCGTCCGAGTCGTAGCCGTCTGAGTCGTCGGTGTCGTCGTCGTAGATGGTCGCCTCTGCCTCCTCCTCGAGCCTGCGCAGCTGCTCGTCGACGTCGCGCTCGCGCTCGCGCTCCTGGCGAAGCTCCTCCTCGGCGTCCTGGCGGAGCTCCTCCTCCTTTCTGTACCTCTCCTCCTCCTCGCGCTCCCGCTCCCACTGGGCCGCTTGCTCTGTGGCGCGTTGCGCCTCTGCCTCGTGCCTCTCCAGCTCGGCTATCTGGGCTTGCTCGGCCTGCTGCTGCTTCCTCTTCATCTCGTCCTCGTGCATCAGCACTTCCAGCTCCTGTGCCAGCACGTCCTGCTTCCGAACCAGCTCCGACACTCTGCGCATGCCGTCGTTTCGCGCAGTCTGCTCGTCTCGCGCAGTTTGCTCGTCTCGCGCACTTGTCTCGTCTCGCGCACTTGTCTCGTCTCGCGCACTTGTCTCGTCTCGCGCACTTGTCTCGTCTCGCGCACTTGTCTCGTCTCGCCCACCTTTCTTGTACAGCTCCTGCAGCTGCAACCACCTGGGTTTCCGGGCCCGCTTCTCGTCGCCCTGCAAATAGCGCCGCTTCTGATCGGGGGGCCGCGTCTTGGCCTCCTCTGGGAACGTCGACGGCCCGCCGACCCGCGCCGGACTCATGATGCCGCCCGTCTTGGTCTTTTGCACGCTGGCGCGCGGGTCGCCGTGCTCAGTCCAGTCCGACCCGATGCTTCGCTGGTCGAGCCCGAGAACCTCGTCGTCCATGCCGTACTCTTGCTCGCGCATGGCGTCCTCTGCGTCGCGCATGGCGTCCTCTTCGTCTTGGCGCCTCTTGTCCTCTTCCTCCTGGCGCATGGCCTCCTCGTCAGCGAACAGGTCGGCCGGCTCGTCGTCGTGCAGCATAGCGTCTTCTTCTGCAACGTGGTCCCGGTACGCGGCTTCGTCGTAGGCTTCGGCGGCGAGCTGATCGGGGTCTGCCTCCTCCTCCTGCTGCTGCTGCTGCTGCTGCCTGGATGGTCTCTTAAAGAGTTGCCTTAGCCTCTGCAACTTCTGCATGTTGGCCTCCTGCGCCTGGATCAGCCGTTGCACTGTATCCTTGTCTTCTTTGCTCGTCCCCAGGCTGCTAGCGCGCTGAAGCTCGTCTTGCAGCCGCTTGTTCTCCCCCATGAGATGTTGATTGGCCTCCCTCGCTTTCGCGAGATGGTTCAGCACTTCTTTGTTGTAATAATATTGTGTTTTCTGAGACTCGGTCGGGTCCGCAGTGGTGTCCCCGACAGCTGATCTCTTGCCGGCCCGCGTGCACTCGTCGACGTGTCTCGCTAGCTCGTCTTTGGTTGCGAAGCTGGCGTCGCAGCCGAGGCAGACTTGGGGCTTCTTTGACTCCGGCTTGCCGGGGCTCGGGAGGTTTTTTGTGTCTGCGGCACTTGGAGGGTTTGCTCCTGCTTCCAAGTCTGGATATGGGAAATTCGGCGGTTCCGGGGATTCGGGCCGTATTCGACCACGATATTTAACCAATTCAAAAGGCAAATATGAGGATTGTTTCCGTCTGTGTGGAAGCAGCGAGGTCAGCAGGGAGACTATTGCAGGAGGTATTGGCAAAACAAACTCACTCAGTCGCATGCTGGTGGATGTCGTGCAAGAACGGCGCACACTCGTCGCAAAAATACGGTGTCCCACGCATCAACTTTTCGACAATGCCGATCAACCCGACGCAGTAGCCATGCTGCCATACAAAGCATCTGCTGCACTCGATGTTCCGCTCGCTGTGCCCTAACTCGACAGTCCTGTAAAGACCAGGAGGGGGCTTTTCAAGGCCACACACACATCGGACTTTCTTTTCCATGGCCTTGGGGTCCGACGAACGTCTTGTATACTTGAGTTCAAGCTCCCGCGGCTTGCATTCGACGCAAAAGTGACTAAACCCCGGCTCCTCAACCGCTGTCCAGTTTCCGAATTTGTAGTAGCAGCCGACATGCTGCCAGGTGTTGCAGGTCCCGCAGGCGACAGACGAGAAATATTCCTCCGGAAACGGAGGAGTCCCTTCGCAAACGCATTTGTGGTTACGGTTGCGGTTGCTATGATCGGTTACTATTTCCTCGTCGGCGGATTCTGAGATGGTCTTTGACGAGACCGAGACCTCGTCGTCGTCGGGGCTCGGCGGCAGAGCCGAGAGCGAGATCTCCTCGAGGTGGCGAGCAAGATGGCTGGTGACGGCGAGCCTGCCGGGCTCGGTGCGCTCGAGGCACAGGGGGCAGGTGATGGCGACCCAGTCGGGCTCGTACTGGTGGTCGAGGGCGAGGTGGGAGATCCAGTCGGCGCGGTGGGCGAAGCTGAAGCCCGGGCAGCCGTCCTCGAGGCACAGGTAGGGCCGCAGGTCGACGTACAGGTGCTGCTTCCACTTGCGGTTGTTGGAGATGTGCACCGTCTTGCCGCACGCCACGCACGCGAACGGCTTGCCGCGCCGCGCCTCGTCGGGCAGCGGCGGGATGCGGATCTTCTGGCCCTCGCCCGGCCCGCTGTACGTCATGACCGTCTCGGCGTACACGGATGCCGTCGGGAGTGACGTGCCCAGCCCCGAGTCGTGGTACTTGGAGCTGACAATGGTGCCGTGCAGCTCCACGTTGGCGCCGACGGCGGTAGGTGCGCGGTTTTGAATCACCTCTTCTTCGTCCCCTTCTCCCTCTCCCCTAGCCCCGTTGCGTTGCTCTTGGCACCGGAGATAGCGGGACCAGTTGGCCCTGCCCAGCATTTCGACGAGCGAGCCATCGGCCTGGGGGAAGCGCTGTTGGATTTTGTCGACGTAGGCCTTTTCGGGCGCCCACTCGAGGATCTGCAGGGCCTCGTCTTCTCTCCGAGAGGACACGTCGAGAACCGGGTTCCGGAACAGGGGGTCGAGGTCCATCAGACACTGCGCGTCTGTCTTGAGATCCTCGGCGACCTCGGCGATGCTGTCCTCGAGCTCCAAGTCCGACAGGGCATCGCTGGAGACATCCGAGTCGGAGCCGTCTGCGCCGTGGATGACGTACGACGCCTCGTCAGTGGTTGCCTCGACCTGCAGAACCAAGGCGTCGAGTTTCTCGGACGAGAGGCGGGCAAGCGGTATGAGCCTCTTCACGAGGGCGTCGGTGATGCTGGAGATAATCTTCAAGGTCGCCTGCCGTATCTTGCGCGACTTGGCGAGCACGTCATCGAGATGGCCGTCCTTGACGCCGTATCCGTCCGACCACAGTGCGACGATGCCGTAGGCGCGCTCGAGGCTCTTGCAGACCCGCCTCGGGATTTGAGCGGACGGCTGTTGCAGGGCGACTTGGCGGATGACTTCTTGAAAGAGGCCGAGGGTGCCGTCGCAGAGCCTGGCCGTGACGCTGCGGTCATGGTGGATGGCCTGGGCGTGCAACTGCCACTGCTGGATGGCGGCGGCGACATCGAGACGACCCTCACGGCCCAGCGCCTGCATTTTGGCGAGCTTGAGTTTTGTCGACTCTGGCTCTGAGGCTTCTCATCGCGTTGTTGCTGGCACGATTCAGGGCTGGTTTTGGATGACCCCGCGCCGTATAACGGGTCCTTGTTGCATGGCCATGCATGAGAACAGGCAGCATCGTGGATTGGGTGGGTGGCTGAGCAGGCAAGCAGGGCATTCGGATTTAGTCTAGCCCTTGTCAGGACAAGACGCTGCGTTGCGGCACAGCCCCCGAGGCACAACCCAATGCCGGCAGCCAAGCCAAAGCCCGGCCACAGCCCCCCTCTCGTCTCCTGACGGCAGCAGTCGCAAATATTCCGCGCTCTCATGGCTCCCCTGATACGGCCGCGCTCTCACGGTTCCCCTGATACGACCAGTCAATCTCACAACCCACAACTCAGATGCACATCCGATGGACCCCGTGTCCATCTCTCTCGGCCTGCTGCCCATCCTGGGCGGGGGTCTGAAGCTGTACAAAGCCACGCAGTCCAAGCTGCGGGCCTTTCGGCACTATTCCCGCGAGATTGACCGCGTGCGCAAGAAGTTCGAGCGCCAGAGGCAGTTCTTCCTCAACGAAGTCCACCTCATCCTCCGCCTGGTCGTCGACGATGAGCTTCTGGTGCAGGCCATGGTGGACAGTGGGAGCCACGCCCAATGGCGCAGCCCTGACCTCGAGAGGGACATGCTGGAGCACCTCGACCCTAACAACTGCCGCGTGCTAAACGAGATCGTCGACGAGATCAGCAAGGCCATCGCCGACGTGCAGGAGGGGCTCGAGTGCTTTGACTGCCTGGAGGAAGAACGCCGTGAGGTACAGCCCCTTTGTTCAGCGACTACCATCAAGTCCAACGTTTGACAATATCCACCACGTCGAACAGGGCGAGCGGGTAAAAGACGCCGTGAAACGGCTCAAGGACGGCGTCAAAATTGCCTTTGACAAGCACAAATTCGGGCAGTGGATCGGCGACCTGCGCAGCTCCAACAACGACCTGAAGATCCTGCGCGAGCAGGCAAGCGAACTAGGCAAAGCCAGAAAACCGCCCGCCGCCGCCGCCACCGCCGCCGCCGCCGCCAGCAACAACACATGGACAGCCATCCGCTGCTCATCATCGCGCAAGCGCATCCCATCCGACTTCAGCTCGTACGGCGCGACGCGGAGGGCATCGCAGGCGCTGCACGACGCGCTGTGGACGGCGTGGTCGACGCGGGACGCTTCCAGCTTCCGGCACGCCGTCAAGCTGTTCCTCGAGACCAAGACGGACGAGGGCGTGCAGCTGAACCTGGTCATCTCGTGCCTCAGCAGCCAGCAAGACCCCCTCGACCTGCTGCAGCCGAGCATGGTCAAGGTCCACGTGCGCTCGCAGATGCTCGACTGGATCGACGTCCCGGCCCAGCCGCCGTCGCCGCGCCCGGCCCCGAAGCGCCGGCGCGCCGTCCGGTTCGCCGACGACAGCGACAACACGGACTTGGAGCAGGCGCAAAGCCATTCCCATGCTCTGTCACCGCCGCCCGCAGAAACCGCGTTACCCGCCACGCCCGACCTGCGATGCAGCCAGCATCTGTGCTCAGAGCTTCTCCCCAAACCCACGCGTCGGGAACCACCCACCCCGTCCCCATCACCCCTCCCGCCAACAGAGGCGTGCGTGGGTTACCTCGACACGCACACGCACACGCACACGCACACGCACACGCACGCCGTGTCGCGCGAGCGGTTCCGGCACTCGTTCTTCCCGTGCTGTGCGGGCGCGTGCGGCAGCGCGGCGCTGTGCCGTACGACCGACCCCACGCCGCCCGTCGAGCGCGGCCTCGACACGGTGCTGGCATCGCCAGCCCGCGGCGACGAGCTGTCGGTGCCGCAGCAGCTGCAGCTCGCGCTGCGCATCGCGGCGGCCGTGCTCAAGTTCAACTCGACGTCGTGGCTGGGCGAGTGCTGGGGCCTGCAGGATCTGTATTTTTTCGAGCAGCACACGCGTGCAGACGCGGGGAAGGAGGACGAGGAGGACGAGGAGGACGAGGAGGGTGACCTGCTGACGGCCCTCCGCACGCTGCACCTCGGCGTCGAGTGGGCGGCCACCAGCCGGCCGCCCACGCTCCGGGCGGCGGCGGGCGGCGTGCTGATGGACGTCGACTCGGCGGCTCCTGCACCAGGGCCCGGTCCCGGCAACGACGGCGTGGCGGCCGCGCTGGACGAGGCCAAGCTGGTGCACGGGATTGCCAACGTGACCATGTACAACCTCGGAGTGGCGCTGCTGGCCATCGGGCGGTGGGCGGCCGTCGACGCGGGCGACGTGCTTAGCGTGCGGCGCATGGCGCGCCTGCCGTCGCCGCTGGGCCCGCGCTACCACGACTTGACGCAGCGCGCGCTGGACTGTGATTTTGGCTTCGGCAAGGACCTCGCCCGCCCCAAGCTGCAGGAGGCCGTCTACGATGGTGTGTTGCTCGAGCTGCAGAGCATGATCTCGGCGCTAAGCTTTGATGATTGATTCAAGGGGCTGGCGCTGGTTTGTTTTCAGTTGGAAAAGAAGTCTAGGGATAGGTTCAGCTGGGTCTTACCCGTATAGATATGTATGTCGTTCCTTAAAATGCATTAGTTCAGGGATATGGCATTCCAAGTATTGAGGGAGAGATAATCAAGCCCGACTTGCCATTGTCTTGGTTACGGCTAATATCCGTGCTTTCCGTGCTTTCACCAGCTCAAAATCTCCTTTCTCGATGGCACTACACGCTTTCAAAGTAAACTTCTCCCATGCAATCTATTAGGTACCTTGTATTATTCCTCACCATTTGAGATGTGTTCCGAGGTAATGAATTCAACTTGGAGTCTCATCAATGAGTGTCGCTTAACCCCTTTGACATATTAAAGCGGTGAAAAGACGCCACAGCACCAAAAACAACAACAGCAGCAGGATCAATGGAAGCGATCGAGCTGTAGGCTCGGTCGTAGACGGCGCGGCTGCCTGAACCTAGGCCACTTCTCAAAATCTTCAAAGTTTTTGAGCCCTGGAATTCGCGCCCCGCCCGAAGTTTCTTTGAGGGAAATTTGGGGGAAGTTTTCGGATCCAAGGAAGGGGCGGCCTGGACGAGCTCAAGCTTGGAGTCTTGGTGCGAACCTTGGACGGAAAGTCCATCCTGCTCCCTGGGGGGCAGGTGCGCGAGAATTTCTCTCTGTATTTTGCCCTAAGGTTCTTCACCGGTCGCGACATCCCAGAGACGAATGTAGTCCTGAAAGAAAAATTCTTTTTTTTTCAAGTCCAGACCTAGACGTTCTGGCGTGCAGCAGAGAGCTCTCACAACGCTTCAGCGCGGGAAGCTGGGCGACAAAAAAAAGAGCGCCCTTTTCTTAAGCCCCCCGCCCCCGTCCCAGCACCACCGACAAACCCTTTCTAGATAGACATTCGGACGCTGCACCTACGCCTCGACAATCTGGTACAACTTGGAACCCAACTCCAGGCGCCTCCGATATTAACGGATATACCTCCCAGCATCAACCCAGTCCACGCTCGGCATTCTGCAGGTCGATAGATCGCTGGTTCTAAAGTGCTTCCCAGACCTCAATCCCAGCTGGGGCTTCTAGACCAACCGTCGCCCATTCGCACCATCGGCCATCAATTGATCCCAAAACTGGCGCAACTCATCAACATCAGGACGGCGCCTCGATGCCAATAAAGCTTGTTCGCACTCGCGCAGACTCGTCAGAACTAGGTTCGTCTACGGAAGGACCTAAGATTCTTGACTTAGCAGTAGACACTATGATAGGCATTCCACTAGGGCTAGAGAGTTTTAGCCGTCTTAGCATCAGAGTCAACTCCGAACCCATCCCCCCAAGGTCACCCCGGAGGATCGGCTCTCGTCCGGAAAACGAAATTCCGAACGGGGCTGAAAAAGGACGCCAAAGTTTGGTTCCAAGAGTTGAGTAAGGCTACCAAGGATAATTGGGACGGTTGCGTGGCAGCATTCCTAGCTCGTTTCCCTAATGAAGAGATTGAGCAAGACGATTCGGCACTCCTCTATGATGTTCTCAACATCGCGAGAAAGAATGGGGAAGCCATTGATACCTATCTGAAGCGCGCTGAAAAGCTCCATTCGAAACTCGGCAAGGACGACTACAAGAAACTGCCCACTAGAAACGCCCTAGCCAAGATGATAGATGGAAAGAGCGGATTCAGCATCAAGCAACGTGCCACAGACAACCTCCGCCATACTAAGAAGATCGTCGTGGCGAAAAATGAAGCCCAAGATGTTGCCAAGGATTGCACACTCCGGGTGTCGTCACGGCATCATCGGGGTTCACGGACGAAGACCTTCTGCGGCGGGCTCAGAGTCTACCGCCAGGTCCCATTCCATTAGATCGTAAAGTTAAATTATATGGGTCGGAAGGGGAAGAAGAGCTTTGAGGAGGACCTTTTCTTTCGGGGTGTCCAGATTGACATATGATCAAGAGACGGGAGACGGGACATTTGGCAGGATTTTGCTATGGTGGAATTGCAGATATGTACTTATTTTGCTCTCCAGTTTGGAGGCTTCTGGGTGGTTGGGACCATGGTGGATCAGAAGGGCTTCGGGTCGAAGCTTCACTGGTCGCCCGGGTTCTGAAGGCCCCACCAGGGGAGTCACTGCAGGGTTAGGGTTAGCCCCCACATCTCGGGGGAGGATCTAGTGTTCGTAGCTTCGGACCTTCGGCCCTCAGACTAAGAGAAAACAACCCGTTCCCTCGACAGTTTTTCAGTACGTAGAATTGAAAGCTCTATATCACTTAGAATGTCTGTGATCTCATCCCTGCTTCTGATATCCAGCAAACGGGCCAGCATTATACAAAAGACCCAGAAATACATCCCCGCTTTCCTGGAACCCGCTCCTTGTTGCGCACGATTGGCAATGGCAAACATTCTGAAGCATCCCCCCCTACGTGACAAAATCGTGGCCCAGCCACCCCGACCTCACACTCTCTCCCCCGTCCAACATCTAATTCCTTAACAAGCAGCCCACGGGCGTACGCGTCGGCGCTGCGACAGAACCAGCCCTGCACGCTCTCGCGCGAGTTCTCGGTCGGTAGCCTCAACCTGGTGCGCCAAGATCGTGTTCCGCGACGGCGTGCAGTGGGTTGCGTGGCTGCGCATGCCGCCCGTCGAGGACGACTACTGCTTCCCCTCGCCGCAGGCTGCTGCGGCGGCGGCCGCGGCCGTGGGCGACAGCTCCGAATCCTAGCAGAAGCCGGTCTTGGGCATGGCGTCTGAGCTGGCCACGATGGAGCTTGTGCGGTAAGCAACCAACCTCACGAGACAGTAGTGTCCCATCTTCTCACTCCGCCACGATGATTTTGTGATTGACCAGCCCTCAAACATCTCCACGCATAGCCAGCACACCAGCATCCCAATCCCACAGGTCTACGGCTTCGAGCTTGGCCTGGGCCCCGAGAACCCCGTCGGGTGCCCCTTCTTCCTGCTCGGGTACATCCACGGCAGCACAGCCGAGCACGTGTCGCGCGCGCATGTTGACGTGGCCGGTATATTTGACCAGACGTATTACCTACTCCGTCTGCCGAGCCTCGGGCACCGGCGTGTCGGGGCACAGACCCAGCGCCTGCTCGGCCGGAAACCGCCCGCCAGAGACAGACCCCTTTTCGACCAGGTCGCGGATGTGCTGGACAAAGGTCACGGATGTCGCGGATGTACTGGACATGGGCCGTGTCGGGAACCTAGACTTGTACAGATTGCGGCTGACGTGGAGTCATATTGCGTCTTGGTTGCTGCACAGTTGCTCAGGGTCGTCCACGACATCAGACCCTGAGCCGAACTCGGCGCTGAGAGACTCCGCCATAGCAGGTGCGAAACCCCCACGGCCGACAATCCAACTCAGCCCACAGCCGTCTGCTAGGCCTGCTGCAGCGAGCAAGACATGAACTCCCTGGTGGCGTCGACGCCCATGTAGCTGCACAGAACATGCGTCAGTCTCTACAGTCCACACTCAAGCCCAGGATGGATTGGGGAAGTGGCACTGACGCGCACAGAAGGATCTCGGCGAACTCGTCGATGTCGTCGCCGCGGCCGTGCTCGAGGAAGCGGTCGAACGAGTAGTTGGCCATGACAAAGTGCGGCGTCTCGCGCCACAGGCGCTCAAACTCGAACGGCCCGCTGGCGTCCCACAGCCCGCGCGCCAGCGTCCAGCGGTGCACGAACGCCCACGGCCCGGGCCCCTGCTCGGCTGTGGGGGTTTCGGGCTGTCAGCCCGTGGCTTGGTTGTGAGGGGGAGAAAGGGGCCGCTCACCCGCGCCCGCCGGGTCCTTCATCAGCTCGAACATGGACATGACCGAGTACGCCATGAGGATGGTCCTGCGCACGGACTCGGCAAAGATCCAGTTCTAGCAGTAGGTAATAAGCAGGTGCCAAGTGAGAAGTGAGCGATGCCTCAACAAAAGGGGTACGTTTACGGACCTCCCAGTTCTTTGGCGGCAGAGCACGCACATGTCCGTGGCCGAGCTGGGCGGCGTCGGACAGGTTGTCGCGCAGCCTGCACAGGTCGGCGAGCCAGGCCATGAGCAGCGGCATGTCCTTCTCGCCCTGGGCGCGCAGCGACACGTCGCCGTCGAGCAGGCGGATGATCTGGTAGTGGAACAGGGCCTGGGCGCGCGCGAGCTTCTCGAGCGGCGTCGCGGCGTTGCCGTTGGCGCGGCCCGTCTCGGCGTTGACGAGCTCGAGCGCGCTGCCGTGCAGCGCGCGCATCACCATGGGCGTCGTGGCTGGTGTGCGGTTCGCGTACAGCACCGTCGTCGCGAAGCACGACATGATGCTGGGCGGCGTGTGCGACCGGTACAGGCACTGGTGCAGGAACGGTGTCGCGTTGCGTGTTGCCATGTCGGTCGTGAACGTCCTGGCCCGGCCGAAGACGTAGGATAGTGGTGTCTGCGCGTCGTAGAGGTGCCACGGCTGCATGTTGTCCTAGACACGGTGTCAGACTTGGCTGTAGAGGGAAAAGGGGGCAGACCACAGCTTACACAGAGCCCTCCCATCTTTCGAAAGGCGATGGTCATCTCTTCCACGTCGGCCGGCGAGCTGGGGCGCTCAGTCAGCAGCGCATCGTCGGCAGAGACGAGCCACTGCGCCGGGTTGGCTAGGGACGTGTTGCTGTCGCTGCTGTCTACCAAATCCATCACGGAGGTGGAAGCGCTAGGCGGAACACCGCCGATGTAGTTTTGGTCGAGGCCGAGGCCGAGGCCGAGGTCGAGGTCGGGGTCGAGGTCGAGGCCGAAGCTGGGGTCGAGCGCCATGGCTGCCGGGGCGAACAGGAAGGCGGAAGCGGGCGAGTAGTCGGGGGCGCCGCTGAGGGGGTGTGGCTCGCCCGCATGCTCGACCCCGACCAGTGCAGCACCAGCCCCAGAGGCAGGAGCTGTCGTCTTGGTCTTTGTGTAGGTGCAGGGGCTTTTCTTCAACTGGCAGCGCGAGCAGACGGGCATGCGCCGGTCGCAGCGCCTCTTGCCCTGCACGCAGGTGCTGCAGTTCTTCTGTCTGGGCGCCGGCACCGACACGGACAGGGACTCGTGGGCTGCAGCGGACGGTTCCATGGCCCTTACTATAGGTTTAGCACCAGGTCTAGCACCAGGTCTAGCACCAGGTCTAGCACCAGGTCTAGTTGATCACCTCTGGACTTATCCACTCGGCCCTATCGCAGACTTACAGTCGCCATCGGCAGAGCGGGACTGTCGCTGGACGGAGACTGAGAATCAACGTCGACGCAAAACACGGTCCGAGGTCGGAACTCCGCCGACTGCGGAGTTTTGAGAGGAGCAGTCAGCCTCTCAGGCGTCCCCGCTGACCGCCAAATCCGCAAACTCCGCAACCCATCGCTAGCAGCACCTGGCCTTGGCGCTTCTGCTGCCGACGGGAAGCAAGCCACCGTGACGCCCCGGCAATATAACCCAGGCGTGATTATTTTGATTAAACGAAAAGCGGCTCTCTAGACCTATTCGTGGTTTTTTTCCTTGGACAGCTTAGTTGTGTAAACGCAACTACGAGTTGCTTTACAATTAAACAATCGATCTTCTGGGTTAATATTGTTTGTTGTCAATTCCCTCTCTGAACTTGTTAACTTTTACTGACTTTGCCTCTATCTGATTCTACAAAAACGGCCAAAGGACATCCAGTACAGGTGGCAGACGGGGAAAGAGAAGGCTCGACATAAACACCTCAGATGAGCGTGCTGCGAGGACGTGTGGCAGAGGACCAAGCAACGAGACAAGACGGATCCCCCGATATGAACTTGGGCTAAATCTGAAGGACAGAAGTTTGGGCGAGGTATTAGTTTCCTCCACATCATCTACATGGGTACTTGACAACGCAATGCCTTCCATTTGGCCATTGACGTTTGCGATGGCGTGATGGAAATAAATGAGGCCCTTAATTACATGGCCACCCGGAACTCGCTCGGCGCATGGCCATACAAGACATTCCAATCCTCAACCCACTGGAAGAGACACGACCCGCAGGGGCTGCCGGCGCCGAAGGCGTTGAGCTCGACCAGCTCGCACGCCTCGGCCGCATCGTCATATAGCACGTCGAACGAGAAGCCCTGCGCCAGCAGCAGCTTGTCTATGGCGTCGTGCTCGTCCAGGTTCTCAAGGATCCGGCAGCGCAGGGCCTGGGCGCCGTGTGTGATCCGCTCAATCACCCGCGCCTGCGCCTGCGCCTCGCTTACCAAACCCGCCAGTGTCCACGGCCGGTGCCACTGGTACTAGCTAATGGCCGTGACGGCGCCGTCGCCGGGCCGGCAGAAGACGCGGTACTCGTCCGCAGAACACATGCGCGCGTCAAAGGGCTGGAAGTACAGCTCGATGCCAGCTGCATTGATATTATTATCGGTGCCATCACTATCATCCTCCGCAGGCAGGGCAGCGAGCAGCGCGTTGCGCGCGCGCGCCGACGTCACCAGCCGCAGCAGCACCTCGTTGGGGGTGTGCAGGGACGCGCGGCCGGGGGGCACGAGGCGGGCGCCGTCCTTGGGCGAGCAGGCGTCGAGACGCACGAAGAGCCCTTCGGGCGGGAAGACGAGGCTGGCGAGGGAAGGGGCGACGATCTCGTCGTGCAGGTCCTCGGCGTACATGAGGTTGGTGCGGCCCGTGTGGATGGAGCCGTTGGCGGCGCGGACCAGCAGGCGCCCTTGCGCGGGGGTGAGGGATATGGTTTGGAGTGTGGTGGTGGCGGGGACATGTGCGCGCGTGCTGAGAATCAGTGGTAGCCAGCGCTTGAAGGAGTAGGGCGCTTCGGTCTAGAAGGCGCAGGCTTGGCTGCTGGGGAATTGTTCCTGTGGGTGGAATGACGTGTTGAAGTGGAGCGGTTGGCCGTTGCTGTTGCTGTCGATGTCAAGCTTGACCGCGAGGGGTCGATGTTGATGCGACGCATCTTGTCGCCCTGTCTCAGTGTCGCGGCTAGACGGGATAACGGGATGGCGGTCTTCGGAGTTCTGGCTGCCAGCGTGCAAGTGGAAAGACAACGTGGGGCGGACAAACTAGCGGGCTGCAAACTTTCCGTCAAGAAGTTGCTTTCCTTGTCTGCGGCAGAGTTTGAGAGCTCCGGGTGACAAACACTCCACGCAGCATCCGAGTAGGACAACGGGATGGACACTAAGACGCACTTACCTAGGCAGTCTGCGGTGAAGGGGATGCCGAGCTCGCGGAGCGCCGAGTGCGGGATGAAGGCGCAGCTGCCGTTAGCGCAGCAGAGGGTGAGTTGGGAAAGGACGCCATCGTGGTGGATGCTGTGGTTTTGGTCGACGCTGTCGTTTTGGACTTTAGTGGAGGGGGTGGAGAGAAGCAGTGGCTGTCTGGTTCGTAGCGGTTCACCGGAAAGGCGAGGGCCGGCGCGCGCATCTTGTAGTAAAGACTTGTCGGGTCCGGGACGGACGACGCCATGTTTTCTTAGTCGATAGCCGAGAGTTTTAGGTTTGGGTGACAAATTCGCTTTTCTCTCCCAGAACGGCTAAAGGGGGTGTTGGGGAAGTTTGAGATGACAAACCCCCCCTGTTCTTGTTCATCGTATTGATGGCCGGGGTCGGCATTTCCTGGTCAGTACTAGCGCAGTAATATCGTTTCCTTGCAAATTGTCTGCCCATTTTAGCCGCCTCAAAGGTGTTGGTGTTCGTGGCGCTCTAGCCACGATTGTGCCTAGGCGTTGTGTCGCGGTGCAACCTTTTAGGGGAGGTGATGAATAGTACGTTGATTCATGTTCAGTGCTACATACGGTTCTAGCTGAGGGGGCATAATTAAGTGAGTGCGGGCCGATGTCCGTGCAGCACGTTCCTCCGTCACGTGCCTACGCACCCGACCCTCTTCACCCTTTGTCGTACGGTCCAAAGTGTTGCTATTCCAACAGTTGGGGAGACGAATGTGTGTTGTGCATTAGCTAGCTAACTCATCGATCTGTAAACTACCATGCCCACCAACGGATCACCCTAGCACTGGATCACCCTTTTACACCAAAACACTACATCTTTGAACAACAACAGCGCACTCAATTGTGAAGCTATTTACAAGCCAAATATAGCAAAATGTAGCTAATTGACTGCTTAACCCATATAATGTGCTGACATACGAAATTCAGGGCTAGATTTTGTCAGTCTTGCAAGCAACGCTTCTTCTTCAGCGTCTTCTTCAGCCTCTTCTTCAGCGTCTTCTTCAGCGTCTTCTTCAGCGTCTTCTTCAGCGTCTTCTTCAACCTCTTCTTCAGCGTCTTCTTCAGCCTCTTCTTCATCATCCACCTCTTCAGTTTGAGGCTCTGCTTGAGGCTCTGCGGGAACCTCGCCGCCCAGTAGTATAGTCCCTAGGTCCATGAACCGCTTGTTAAAATTGGGAATTTTCCTTTGTTTTTGGAGCCTAATGTGACGGCGGGGCTCAGCACCTACTACCGCTGCACCACACCTTCCAAAAAGATGCCAGAATTGCAAGCTACCAAGCTGCAATCCGTAGTAGGTTATAGTATGGTCACGCACCCGTAGGCCTGCCCACAGCGCCTACGGTACCGTGCCGTGACACCTAATACGCTCCAGTTGAGCCTCCAGGGCTTCAATGCGGTGTTGCTTGAGTACCAATTCGGTCTGAAGCTTCTCAACGGCTGCCGCGGCTTCTGGAACTTCCATCTAGTCTGGAGACTGCTTCCTTTGCTAAAATCCCTAATTTGACGCCCTGTAGTCGGTGTACTAGGGACTCCAGAGAGGACAGGGGGTTCAGGGATCTTTGCCCTGTCTTGCTGAATCTCTGGGTGGTTTAGGGCCTTTTACGTATTAACAGGCCACCGGTCGTCCGGAATGATGATTTGATGGTTCTTTCTATCAATACTTCCTCCCTGGCTACCTTGTAGCAGCGAATGAAGTTGATCTTGTCAACAGGTGCTGCGTCGGTTAGACTAGCCAGCTTGGCTAGCTCACGTCTATAGAGAGCTTTGATAGAGATGAAAGGCCCGTTATCAAGTGGCTGTAAGCTGTGAGAGGTGTGGGCCGGCAGGAAGCAAAGATATATATTACTCAGGCCGCATATTGTCAATAATTCGTCTTATATATATATTGTGAGATTACTGGATGAAAGACCGTACGGGACTTATCTCTTACAGTAATGTATTACAAACCACTCGACTGTTAGGGTCGTCTGTCTGTAAGGGAGCACGGGCTCCACAGAATGCTGGGGTTGGTAATTATGAAGATAGAACAAAGGGCAAGCTCCTATCGCACGGGTAATGTGAGGGCCTGGTCCTCCAGGCCTCCCAGACGCTCTGACTAATCAGACGCCAGTTGGGTGGATCCACCCGACCAGCCAGAGCCCCACCTTGAGACGCCCTGGAAGAATCTCGCGAGGGGAGGCTTTTGAGCTTCTTTTCCCTTTTCCCTTTAGTTTAGAATCTTCGTCTATAGCGCCCAATAGAGGAGTTCCGCCCTCATTCCAAGCCGGCCGTGACAGGTAATACAGTCAAATCGGAATGCCACTCAAAGTGTATGAGTGCAGCGAATGTGTATTGCTTGCTTGAAGAACCAAGCAAGAACTATCTAAGACCGTGGACACGGTCATCGTATTTATTTAATTATGGCGGGCTAGTAAGAGCTGCGCTCTTACTTGCCCGGCAGGAAGGAGCTGCCTGGCGCCGGGCACTGCTAGCGTGCCGGGCCATTTGCCTGGTGCCAAGACCCTTCTTGGCACCGGGCCACCTCTGATTGGCCGTCCTTCCGTTTGCCTGGTGCCAAGAGCCCTCTTGGCACCGGGCACCGTCTGATTGGCTCTCGACAAGCGGGGCCCCCAGTCTTGCCTGAGGCGCCTGCCTTCTGCAGCTAGTCCAGTACGAACCAGGTTCGTCACATAATGTAGCTACCGTGGCTATCAAGAATAAGCAGCCGAGCCTCATTTTCGTAGTCTAAGAGCCTGTCGGTTTGTGGAATGAAAATATCCTCAAGCCAGCTGATCGCTATTTGGTTGTTAGTCCAGCCCTTTTCTGTAGTAACGAAGCGCCAGTTGCAGATTTTCTACGTTTCCTCTTCAAACTACGATTTTTAAGGTCTTTTCATTTAGAAATGATGCTCGGGTCGAGTACGAGGCCCCCGGCACTAATATATTCGATAATAGTGGACCAGCCTCAACCTTGGTCGATTTTTAGGTAGACTTTCTTCGTCTCTGATGTCCCTAGTACCAATGAATCAAGCCTTATACAGTATACGTAACAGATAATATAACTAGGCATTATTTACTTACCAAAGCCCGTCATAATGCCGGCCTTATCGACGTTAAAGGTAAGCTCAGGCCTAATCCAGCCGTATTCTTTCTCCCTTATATTGAAGCACCAATTAACGGCTTTGGGAGTAAACCCGTTAAAACGAGCGGTTTTCATTATGTTGCCTACTTTGGCTCGAATGTAGGGGTTTCTAGCTTTGAAGCTAGAAATCTAGTTTTTCCCTACAGGTCTTTTTGCCCTGCTTCTTTACAGAGTCTTGTAGCAATGCTAGATACTGCTGAGTAACTTGGAGCAAAGCCGAGTCTTTCCTGCTTGACGATGCACTCAATGAGCCACTTTTCTTCAGGCTCTGTGAGCCTGTGTTGTGTTTGGAGGATATCGTCTTTGGGGGGGACTCCATTGAGTCGTCGGTTTAACGTATTTTATAAGCGAGCGGCGAATTCTAACCAACCTACCACAACTATCCTCAATTAAACCACTACAACACTAGGTGTTCGTGGTATTCTAACCACGCAGAGGTGCCTGCAAGTCAAAGGTGTGGTAGTACTATCGGTAGGAAAAATGGATCCCCACCACGGTAGTTTCCTGCATAGTAAAGTAATCTAGTCATACTGCCTCGTCTGAATGTGTTATTTGCTGGAATCGTGCGGTAGGTCCCTACACTGCTGATTCTAATGGCGTGCTCGCTTGATCGTAGCCACTCCGTACCTGTCGTGCCGGTCCGTCCGATAAATTGGTTGCCTGCTAGTGCCGACCCGGGCCTTCGTACTACCGGGAGTTCGTATTTGTGGAGCGTACGGAAGGAGCAGGAGTCCCGGAAGGTACGTCCCTTCAGGCCATTCACCTGGGTGTAAGTAAGTACCTTTCCCTTGCTTTCCTCTTCTTCTTCGTACCGTGCCGCTCTCTCTCTCTCTGCGCGCGCGGTTCCCTACCCTCTTCCAGCCTCTCTCTCTCTCTCTGTGCGCGCGCGGTTCTCTGCCCTCTTCTCAGTAGAATGGCTCTCGTCCCTGTTGGCGTCTCTGGCGGTGCCGTGCCCATTCTCAATGAAGGTACGGTGTCGACTATCCTCTTCGGCTCCGTCCCGTATCGCACCGAGGCGGATAGGTCTATCTGGATCCTCATTCCCACTCCCTATAATAGTAATCGTCGTCTCCTTGCCGCTTTCTCTATTAACGTAAGTTCTACCCTCCAGAGCCTCTCTTTTTATTATACGAGTAGTTAATAGTAGCTAGGATAATAAGCGTCGCCTAATTTCGATATCCGCGGTTAATACCGAGGTACGCTGTAAGAGAAGGTAGGTACGCCTGATCAAGGTGGTCACAATGCAGGCAAGAAGGTAGGGGAGCAATGACTTGTATTGGTGTAAGACTTCAACCTGGCCCTCGCAAAGGAAGATGGGCGAGGGCCATTGTTTATATACCTGCTCAGGGGTTCGGCCCGGGCATCAGTCTGCGGTCGTGGCGCCACGGCGTAGCGTATGCCAGCTGTCAGTGATCTAGCCAGTTGGTGACAAGTGGTGGGCGCGCACCCTGTGCGCGCAGTTGGTGTTTGGGGTGTCCTTTTCCTTACAACGCGTATCCGAGGCCGACATCGCCAACTTGGATATCTTCTTTACCAAGATTATCCGGTGGGAGTCGTACTTCCGGGCCCTCCTTATCCAGTCGTGCAGATAGCGCGCTCGCCGTTACCCGCAGAAATGCGGCAACCTAGAGGCGTTCCCTAAGTTCCGGTATTACGTACGCATCCCTAGTTACCAGGACGGCGCCTATACTGAGTACGTCTAGTAATCGCGCGGGTCTTAATGCTCGTACTACTACGCGGGCTCAGTATCCGGTACCGATTCGCCCTCGAGCGGCGGCGATAGCTCGTACGACAGCTCTCCTCGCTCTAGTCCTAAATAGTGGGCTATTACTAGATAACGGGCACTTCCTTACTCTAGTTCAGGTTCGCGCTTGAACCCTCTTATACTTGAGGAATAAATCTATCTCCCTCCCTAGTCTAATTTCGCGCCTAGTCTTTTCGTACGATCGCGGGAGTTTTCTTTCTATTTCTTATGCGAGGCACGGCGATGTATAGAAGGTGATGAATTGCTTGGGGAAGCTAAAATCTATTGACCCGCAGGCGGGAAATCTATATGGCATAGATCGGGTGGATGCGCAGGGGCCATTTGGTGGACCCGGCTGGGCCAGGTTTGGCCTGTGCCCAGTACATTTCTTAGGTTAGGTTAGTTTCCTAGGGTAGTATAGGGGGTAATTTGTATGCTCCTCTAGATCTGTGAGTTTCCGCGAATTAGCTACAATATCGCGTCGTGAAGGCCGACCGGCGCGTTAGTAGTGAAGTGTTGTTTCTGGAACTTTGTACAGATTGGCTGTGGAAAGAATATTGGGGTTCTTACTATTTTGGATTGATTTGAGAGCTAAGATTACCCTAGCTTCTTTTGAAGGGGTAGCCATAGCTTGTTGTGGTAGAATTGGGGATCAAAGATGAAGGGTCGCATCGCGGGGAAAATTCGCCGCTATCACCGCACAGTCAACTGCATGAGACAAGGCTGCAATATGGTCGCTGTATTCGTAGAATCTAAAGCTAAGGAAAGAAAGAAGAAAGGAAGTTTCTAAAGCTTGGGCAGGGCGCAGGGAAATAGGACGTGGGGTGCACGGGCCATCTAGTCTAGTGGGGTCCGGGTCGGGCCCACTATTCCAGAGTTGTCTGCACTTGCCGTGACAGCCGCTCGCTTATATTCGCCGCTCGCTTATAAAATACGTTACCGTTGTATAAGAAACTCCATGCTTTTGAGCCGATTGACGAATAGAAAGCTCATTGTCTGTGACGTCTAGGCACGCATTGACAATATTATCGTCACGTTGTTCAGACATTATGGTAGTACACGACGCAATTCACACTCAGAGGTAGGGGGAGAAGAATGTAAGGAAGCTAATTTGGAGTTAATTTGGAGTTACTTTGCGACGATGTAGCCAAAAAAGTAGGGCTTTTGCGCTAACAAATCTATACTAAGAATAAATTACATGCAATTACATAACTAGCTCAATTGTTTACTTGCGAATAGCTTTACAATTGGCTACGTTATTGTTGTTCAAAAAGGGAGTGTTAGGGTGATCCACTGCTAGGGTGATCCGTTGGGGGGTGGGGTATGGTATCTCTTCACCAGTGCACCTCCCATTTCACACCGTGTCATCGGACATAATCAATGCACCAAGATTGTCCATGTCACAAATATAATCTGAACAAAAGTAGGGGGGGTTAAAAATCTGAAGCTCGTAGGTAGGTACTAAGGAAAAAGTCAATCTGATTGTAATAAAACAACTGGCACAGAGCAGAAGTTTCGTCGCAGTCCTCGTCGGCAGAGAACTATTTGTTCTTATTGAGACCACGAGAAGTAAAGCCAGCAGACGATAAATAACCCCCAGAAATGAAAAGGACACCGCTTCGCACTAGTTTCCCGGCCTCGTCAAAGGTAACAAGTAGGGTAGGTATTCTAGAGTTCCTCGTGCAGCCCAGCGGGAGGGAATGTCACAGGAGTCGACAGCTGCGGCAGCTTCCCGACGACGTTCCAAGAAATGCCGTACCACAAAAAGGTTATGCCGGCCGGCCAGGGCCAGGTCCAGCTGCGGATGGCAACGTCGTACACGGCGCCCTTGGCCCCCTCGAACTCGACAATCTCGTAGCTGTTGTCGCTGGACGACGACGCAGCGACCTGGACTCCGTTCTTGTCGTACACAATCAGGTCCAGGTCGTTGGTGAGTGTCGATGCCGTGGCCGTGCCGGCGGCATTCAGGGTCACCTTGCTGTCCCACGCCAGGGCCACCTTGACCGTGTAGCGGAGCAGGACGACCGGGCTCGACGGCACTTGGACCTTGTAGCGGAAGGTGGACAGCCTTGTGGTGGCATTAAAGTCGGCCGGGACCAGCGAGCCGACGTCCCACCCGCGGACTAGGGCTGGGGAGTTGTTCCTGGCGCTCTTCGACTGGGCGATTAGGACGGCGTTCTGGGCGTTGAGGGCGCCAGCGCCGTCGGACGCGTCCTTTCTGACGACAAGGTCCTGGCCCCAGGTGCCGCCCGAGACGTTGCGGTCGGCGCTGGCAAGCAGGATGGCCCGGCATCCCTCGGGCCACGACTTGAGGGTGGCGTTCACCGACTGGATCAGCGCCGCCGTGCCCGCCACGGCCGGCGCCGCGAAGCTGGTTCCCGAGCCCATCACACCCACTGCCGTTACGGTGGTGCCGTTGGCGGCTAGCTCGGGGAGCTCGCGGTCGCCGTGGCTCGAGGCCGGGTTGCGGAAAACCGAGTTGCCGGCCATAGCCGTCGCCGTGTCGTCGTGGTTGCCGATGCTGAGCGTGTTGTAGCCCTTGTGGTTGACGTACTCGGTGGCCGTCCCGTTGCCGGCGGCGTGCACGATGGTCGGGTAAGGGTACGTCGTGGCTAGGTGGTCCTTCAGTATGTCGTCCGACGACAGGAAGTCTTGCCGCTGCTCCTCGTCGCGATGGAAGCTCTGGCTGACGACAGTGCAGTACTGCGGGCTGGCGACCGCCCAGAGCAGCGCATCGTTGCCGAATGTGTTGGCCGAGTAGAGGTCGCAGTCGGGGGCGTAGCCGTGCGGCTTGTTAGGCTCCGCGTTCTTGATGATGGCGCTGGTCAAGCGGGAGTGCTGGTCGCCTACCACGGGGTTGGGCTGGTACCGTCCGGCAAACGATAGGTTGGCCAGGTCTGCCGGTCCCGCCTCGAACACGGCCACGTGGACACCCCGTCCCGTGAATCCCAATGCCTGTGCACCGGGGGCATAGGCGATGGCCTCCGAGTTGGCGAGGTCCGGGACACTGGAGGAGTCGTCGAGGAAAATCTTGCCAACGGTCGTGTCCTTGGCCAACTCCTTGACCTGGGCTGCAGTCAGCGTCACGAAGACGGCCAGGGCTTGCTCTGGCGTGTGTTTGACATCCACGCCCAGCTTCTGGATCTTGTCGACGATGGCCCCCCGGACCTTGATGGCTTCGTCCAGCAGAGACTTGGCTTCGGCAGGCGGCGTCGTGGTCTCGCCCGTGCTGGACTTCTCGTACCCGGTGAGATCATGCTTGATGAGCGGCCACACGGCAACATCGAACTCGTCGGCATCTTTAGCTCCATCGATCTTGTCGTTGAGCGTGGCGTGGAGTGGTCCAAACTCGTCGAATCGCCGAAGATGGAACTCCTTGAGCACCTCGGGGCCGTCCACCTCAGCACCATGCTGGTCGAAAGCAAGATCCTTTGGCTGGCCGGTTGTGCGATGCACGGCCTTGACAAACTCGACGTATCTGTGGCCGGACGGAGCTTCCTCGCCCGAGTCGAGGCGAGCCAGGGAGGTCTTGCCAACGGCGATGCGGCTGGCGTGCTGGACGAAGTAGTCGGCCAGGACCTTTCCGCGGAGCACGTCAATGCCGACAGGAATCTCCACCGATTGGGCAATTTCGTTGCCATCCAAGTCCAGGAGCTCGCGGATGCGGACATAGTATCGTCCGGTCGAGAGGCCCTCGGTGGACAGCGTCACGGTGCCATCATCCTCGCTGACGCTCAAAGAACTGGGGAGAGTGGTACCTCCCCTCTGAAGGGTAATGGCCGCTTGTGCCGCATTTTTGTGGAACGGCCGCGCGATGCGGATGACGAGATTGGTGCCGGGAGTCACAATCTCCTCAGCAGCAAAGGAGAAGCTGATATCATTCGCCATGGTTGAAGGAGAAACGATTCAGATGTTTTTTTGTATGAGAGTTGAGATGGATTATTGGGAAGATGGCTGAAGAAGGAGAAACGACTCAGATGCTTATTTGTATGAGTTGAGATGAATTACTGGGAATATGGATGGTTGAAGAAGGAGAAACGATTCAGATGTTTGTTTGATGAGAGTTGAGATGGATTATTGGGAAGATGGCTGAAGGAGAAACGACTCAGATGTTTGTTTGTATGAGTTGAGATGGATTATTGGGAGAAGATGGTTGAAGGAGAAACGATTCAGGTGTTTGTTTGTGTGAGAGCTGAGATGGATAATTGGGAGAAGATAGTTGAAGAAGGAGAAGATTGAAGAAGGAGAAACGATTCAGATGTTTGTTTGATGAGAGTTGAGATGAAATGATTGGGAAGATGGTTTCCGTTGCTTTGTCAAGACATGAAAGTTCAAAGTCCGCGACAACTCGCAAGGCTTTATACCAAGCCGTGATTAGCACCGAGGCACACGAGCATCAATGATAATTATGTCCTATTTGGCTTCATGGTGCGGCTGGATCGGAAAGGGCGCTCTGCACACGTAATTACGGGCACGTTTTGACGGCGACTTTCAGCCTTACGCAGCCACTCGGTTACCCGAGCTCCGGCAACCAGTCGTTTGAAATCGCATGATCCTCAAGTTGTGATGGCTGTGTGTGGCGGTCAGGTTACGAGTCACCGGACACCTAGGCATGTTGAAATTTCGTTCTGTTCCACCAGCTCCGCCTTCTAGATTGCCTGCCTGCCTACGTTCATCAATCTCAATCATAGGCAACCGTTCCGACTCCAACCGCCCATCTCCCACTCCACTACTCAAACTCCAGCCCAACCAGCCCACCTAGTCACACTGTTGGCCCCATCCAAACCGCAGCGTTTCCTGTTGGCATGTCAGCATGGGCCGCAGAGTAAGAGACCGCCAGCAAATGGATGAATTAGTGATACTGAGGGACGGAATCTTCCAGCAACAAGAAGCCACTAAATAGCGCGGTCCAGAGCATTCACCGAATAGTGGCGCAGACTCAGCCCAGTGGATGCCAAGGACAATCTGAGACTAGGTAGGCCGCTTCCACACGAAAGCCAGAGTTGCCACGATAGCTAGCAGTGGGTGGAATCAACTACGGCTTCCAGACGCTATTGAACCGCCAGTTCCTAGCTCGCCTCTTCTCGTAAACGAGAGAGCCAAGTTGACGATACCGATTTTGGCCACGCCCGCTTTAGGCCCATGCGCAAACCACTATGCACTTACACCAAATGTGATGAACGGTCTGTTCTTCAACAAACTGCAAGTTCCTCAAAACAAGCCCGAATAACTAAATACAAGGAATTGGATGTGCCACAGGCCATGCAAAAGGTCCGCGAAGGCGTACCGTCCTGGTACGGCGTGCGGCGCTTGAATATAGCGTTCCAAGGAGCTCTCTTCGCAACCGTATAGCCGGTACCCAATCTCGCCATATTACATTTAAACACACTCAGGGCCTTACGCACGCTACGGAAGCCCGGCTAGCCGAGTGGGCCGCCCTCCAAGGTGCTCTCAGCATGCCTGTAGCAGAGTTCTACAGACCTATGGCAGTTAGCCTGCTGCCCTCAGTACCCTGCACAGAGCACTGTTGTACTGGACCGTAGGGCACAGTTCCCTACAGTCTACTCTGCAGAACCGGTTAACCTACCCTTGGCATGACCTTGGGCGCTGTAAGTTGACATGTGCTTCACTATATGCCAATACTCTTGCTAGCGATAGCATAGCTTCAATACTGCCCGTCCAGCCCGTCTAGCCCGTCCAAGACTCGCAGGTCGTCCTGTCCAAGCTCAAAGTCAAAGACGTCGGCATTCTGCCGGATCCTCTCGGGGTTCTCGCTCTTGGGCAGAACAACCCAGCCCCTCTGCAGCCCGTAGCGGATCAGCACCTGGGCGGGGGACTTGGATAGGCTCCGTGCCATCTCTCCTACAACCGGGTCGTTCAGTTTGGTGCCCGTCGCCAACGGCGAATAAGCCTGGACCACAATTCCCTGCTCCTCGCAGTAGGCAACCAGTTCTCTTTGCTGCCACCACGGATGAAGCTGCGCAGGTAACAATTAGCAGTGCTCATGTTTCACACGGTCCCGAGCAAACACCAAACGCGCACCTCAATCTGATTCACGTGCGGAGGCCAGACGCTGGCGTAGGTCTTCATCTCCTCGATGTGCTGCACGCCGTAGTTGCTGACGCCAATGGCCCTGGCGCGCCCCTCGCGAAAGAGCCTCTCCAGCGCCAGCCACACCTCCTTGCGCCCGTCGGCCCCGCCGCGGACGTCGGGGATGTGGACGAGAAAGAGGTCGACGTAGGCACCCGGCGCGGTCCCGGCGGCCTTCTCGACGCTCTCCAGCGCCAGCTGGTACGTCAGCTCGGGCGTGTCGCCCCTGACGCCCTGCTTAGTCGTGACGAAGACGTCGGCCCGGCTGAGCCCGGACTCGCGCACGGCCGTGCCCACCTGCTCCTCGTTCCGGTACAGCCGCGCCGTGTCGATGTGCCGGTAGCCTGCATTCAGTGCGTGTGCGCATGCTGCAGCGCAGTTGGCAGCTGCGATCTGCCACACGCCAAAGCCGAGACGCGGGATCTGGACATTGGTGCCCGTGATCGTTGCAGTGGAGGAGAGGGTGAGCGACATGGAAGGCGAGAGATAGGGTTGGTAGCAATGGTTGGCGGCTGCCAAGAGTGAGTGGGAATGGGGGGTTCTATTTAAGCAGGCAGCCCCCAGGACCGCATGAACAAAGACGGCTGGCGATGGAATACATGTGCCGTGGTCGGGACTGCCGCCTTCTAATTGCTCTGTTTCGCCAGCGCGACCCACCCAAGCTGTTGCCAAAAATCGGGTCTGTTTCCTTGGCAGTACCTACTCAAAATAAGCTACCTGACCAGTCAGGAAGGGGTCAGGTGAACGGATGCCTCCGGCGGCGCCTGCCGCGGGCTGTCCTCGCTTCGCTCGAGGGAATGGGTGGCTGGGCCATTTAACTAAGAAATTAGTAAGGACGACCCCGCTTTGTGCCATGACTCGTAGCCAAAGGCTGACTCAACTGTGTCAACCGTGTCAGCTGTGTCAACTGTGTCAACTGTGTCAACTGTGTCAACTGTGTCAACTGTGTCAACTGTGTCAACTGTGTCAGCTGTGTCAACTGTGTCAACTGTGTCAACTGTGTTAAGAGTAAAAAACACAGGAGAGTCATCACAACGTAAACAGCATGGTGTTGAGGCAGAAAAAGTCGATTCTGCTAGTCAACACGGCGCTGGTAATCCGCCGCACGCAAGGCACTTGTGACGTCGTTCTTGACCTGGATTTGGTCCAGGGCAAAAGGAACGTCAAACATTTAGCCCTGTAGACTAGTGACAGCCATATAAGTAAGCCCTAAAGAGAAATCCCGCTCCGAGATATCAAGCATTGCCCTGTCAAGCGGAGCTCCCTGTGACTTGTGAACCGTGATGGCGTACGTAATAGTAACGGAGAACTGACGGCGAGAGCAGGCCGCATTACCGCTCTGGAAGTCCCGCAAGGGCTGGAAGATCGGCACCACATTTCTCGGAATAGCCTCATCGTTAGGGAAGCAAGCCGGGCCGTCATACTTGTCCATCTTGACAAGCAGAACAAAGGGAGCCTCGCGGCGATAGCCCCTCAATACCAAAACAAATTCTCGTGATAATTTAATTTTTCGATGTTCATGGTCTAATTGTTGGATTTCTAGGGGGTAAGCCCCCTAGGACCCCTAGTGCCTCGACGCTCTTGGCCTGCGGCACTTTCCTTCACACAGCTTACATCTACTAATTGGGAAATTGCTCCTTCCTGACACAACCACGACACAGCAAAGCGGCATCTCACGGCTTAACCTGTCCGAGGTTCATCCGATCGACCAGTCCCTCGAGTCCATCTCGACACGGACGAAAACTGGCCAATCGCTGTGCGAGAAACTTTCGGCACCCTTACGGTAATATAGAATACAGCCTCTCTACGCTACCTCCGGCTCGCAAGCTCGCCTACGGTGGCTCCGTTCAGCTGAATAAGGCCAATCTTCTAAATAAGCAGAGGTATTTACCAATTACTACCACTCTACCACCCCGTCATCTGACCCTCGGATGCTAACACATCTTGCATCCGCACTACCACAGAATCAACATGCTAATCAATTGTAGGCTGCTCAATCCGCTCCCAACCCTCACATACCAAGGCCCTTGAATCCGACCAAACCGTCTGGTTTCTTCGTATGAATTGCTCCGCGTTGCGCCAGCAAGTCTCAATTGGAGAGAGTTCTAGTGAGCCAGGTGTATTGAAGTAGTGCTTCAAATGATGCTCTTCTGTTGGAACAACGCGCATTCTAGCTACATACAGGTGGCTGTAGCGACGCATTCATCAGCCACACAGGCGGCGGTCGAGGCGCAGGGGTCCCAGATTCTATATAAGTGGCCTACGGCCACCTCTTTCTTCTAGACAGACATAGACAACAATAACCATTACTTGAACCACCAGCTTTCGGCGTGCAGCACGCTCTGTTGTTTCCAGTACCGGTACCTGGTGATTCCAACATCTTCCTTCAAAATTTTCACGATACTATTTGAACGTCCAGTTCCATACCCAGAGTCACTATCCTCCTCCAGGACGAAATTCTGGCCTGATTCAGCCAGGACGAAATTCTGGCCTGATTCAAGCCAAGGATAAACAACCTTTCCAGGACCTCGTCGCGATAGACTTACAGGCTCATCTTGCCGTGTGTCACCTGGATTGACGAGAGTTGAAAATGGCTTCATTCACGTTGGTGGCCGTTGCAGGAACATTATCAATCATATTTTACCGAGGGTCAAGACTTTGGCCGAGGTTCAACCGGTAGGACCCCTCTCCTGCCTCTTCCGAATAGCTTCATAATTCAACAACGTTGACCCTGCCATACGGTGGGCTAGTTGCTTGGCTAGTTGCTTGGCTCGTTGCCTTGAAAGTGGGTTTTTTACGCGCGAAGAGGTGGATCTACGATGACAAGCGCCAGGCCCACGATTTTGGGGATGGTGGGGCACCGAGCAAAACGGGTGGGCGCGCGCAGCAATGCTCTAAATCTATTAATAATCTTCACGATAAGTCAGGTTAGTGTATCGTGGAGGTCCCTACATTAGCGCGCCGGATCGGCGCCAACGATCCAGCTTTTGAATTCGGAGAGGTCTTGGAAACCCTCCGCCTGCTCGCCCTGGCAGCCTCACGCGAAGCTAGTCCCTACTCGTTTGGGGTGGGTGGATGCCAAAGACTGAAGGATTCTACTAGCAGGCCCTAGAGTCCGAGACTCGGCTTACCTCAGCTCGAACAGGCAGGGCTTTTGGTCCGAATCCTTAGCTTACACGAACTAGATGCCAATCTTCGTCTTGGCAACCGCTTCTCCAACGACTGAAGGATTCTACTAGCAGGCCCTGGAGTCCGAGAACTCGGGTTACCTTAGCTCGAACGGGTAAGGCTTTTGGTCTGAATGCTCCGCTTACACGAACTAGAACGCCGATTTTCGTCTTGGCAGCCGCTTCTCGACATCCTGATTTGCTTGCCCAGGTATGTGCCCTTCTCCCACGTCACTTGCGCTTAAGTCGCGCTTGTCCAACCCACTTTGAAAATTCCGTGTCTCCGTACATTGACCCAGGCTGCCCCCTTCTCTTCCACGGGAGCTTGCATTTGCATTTTTTTGATCTTAATGCATCTTATATGTTAACCGAGGACTGCTACTTAATCTATTTTTCTTGAATCCTGCAGCGGCAAGTTGCTTCGATGGCATCAGAGCGAGTTTCTAGATGGGTGTTGATATTGCTGGCGACATCTGCCTGCCCCGACTTGAGCGCTGCTCTCGCCGCGCGAGGCAGTGTAGACCGATACTCAAACTTCAACGTCGCTGCGCCCACAGGCACAGGCACCAGCTCGGACAAATGGCATAACCTTCGGACTTCGCATCGGCCCACCGACGCACCAAAGCAAGAGCTGGGCGCATGGCAAGACTTGCGCCGTGAGGTCGGTGCCGCCACGTGCGGCTTCTTCCCGGAGTCCGGTACGTCCACGTCCTTCAAAGACCTTTGAGTTAAAAGCCAACGCGTGCCTAGGGGATCCCTACGACTGCGGTCCTTCGCGTATATGCACCAACAGCGGCAATTATCGACGGTGCTGTTCCGGCCGCGAATGCTCACAAGCCCTTCCCACGGCATGCGTCGGATTACGCGGCGGCGACTGCCCCGAGGGCGGAACGATATGTTGGTACGATACGGTGCTTCAACGACCAGTTCTTGCCTCTTGGTCAAAGCTAACCGATAGCCAATCGACAGCCAATCGCCCTTGTATTGCGCCACCTTTTTATGGCAGACCAGCGCGAGTCCAAACAAGATCTTCACCATCCTCGACTGTGACCAGATCAACTACCCCGAGCCTATCTCTATCCTCGCCGAGCCCCGGAACGCCGCACCACCAGCCGCAGCTCCGACGACTCCGCCTGCTGCAGTTCCGAACACAACTCCGGCCCCCGCGGCCCCTTCCACCCGTCCGACAACCCTTCAGGTGGCAGATCCGCCCAAACAGCAGACCGAGCCTCAAGTGGCAGCGGCACCAAGCACCTCGCTCCAGAACCAGGCTGACTCCGTCGATACGACCACCCCTAACTCGCCCACTAACCCCAAGACTGGCACCCAACCGGACGAGTCCAAATCTACAGCGCCCAGTTCCCCGAGCAGTACGTTCTCCACATTTCCTCATATTACTCTCCCCCACTACATCTGAATCTCGTCAAGCGAGTTCAACCCCTTCCGAACCCCCTCAAGCTCCTACGTCTAGTACCCCGACTTCCTTGTCTGAAACTACTCCAGTTAACTCGGCTTCTTCCTCTTCTTCTTCCACCATAGTCCCCGCAAGACAGAGCTCTAGTAGTAGCAGTGGCGGCAACTACGACAACAGCAACAACACAACCGGCAGTGGTAATAACAACAGCGGTAACAGCAACACCAACGGTGGCACATCCCCCGCCACAGACCAAAACCAAAGCACGCCCAACAGCAGCAATACCAACAGCAGCAGCAGCACGACCTCGACCAGCGCAATAGCCGGCGGCGTGGTAGGCGGCCTGGCAGTGATCGGGTTTATCGTAGTAGCCCTCTACTGGTTACGCATGCGCAGAGTACGAGCAGCAGCAGCAGCCGGTAGAGGTGGACTTCGGTCGTACGAGCTCGCCGGGGACTACTCATCATCAGGATCCCCCGCAGGGCGGTGGGCGAGCCCGAGCTCGAGTCCGTCGCAGCTCTCTTCGGGATCGCCCGAGATGGTCAAGGCTGGATATGCTGTTGAGATGCCGATTGTGCCGTTACGGGCGGAGCTGGGGTTGGATAATAATAAGGCCGAGTTGCCGGGGTCGGATGGGTACAGGGAGTAGTGATAGACAAGAAAAGAGGCGACAACTACGCCTGGCGGGGTTATACGTTGGAAGAAGTAGAAATATCAGCTCTATATAGAATGGGCCTTGTAGCAATACCTATAAAAGATTAGGACGGCACGTGGCAGTCAGTGGCCGAGAAAAACGCCTTCCGTGTCTTCTACAAGACGCAGACGCGAGGGAGCTCTGACCATGCTGATTACAGCCTGGTTGTATGGGACGAACCTGGGCACACGAGATTTCTATTTTCGTTCCTGGTCCTGGGCTGGGGTGGGTTGTGGCTGGTTTAACCTGGGCTTTCCGACTCTTCCCTGAGCTAGGGGACCCATACACGGTCGCCGGACAGCCTCGGAGGCCCGTTTTCAGCCCCCCCTCCGGGCTAAATATTCCTTTCAATGGAAACATTCAATGGAAAGTTAGATGACGCGTAATCTACAGAAATGGCTCTCAGGTAAAAATTGCAATTGAACTCTCCTCGGCTCAGGCGGTGCTCAGGCGTGCCTCACCCCTGCTCAGGTTCTGCGATTGCGACGGACTGGGCTAGAAACAATTCAAGTCGAGTGAGACTCTACAAATACTCGTCATAAACAATTAATACTAGAAACTCACTCAACATCCAATGGCGTGGATGCACTTTGGCCAACTCCTCGCGACATCCTCTACGCTCCCGAGCGTCCCATAAGTCAGAGGTTCCCACCCTTTCATGGCGTAGTTCCATCTTAGTATCATGAGAAGAGCTGCTCCGCCCTGGGCCCTTGCTGCAGTGGCGGGAAGTTGAAAGTGCTCTATCAGGCCGACCACCAGTGCCTGGTAGTCTCCTTGCAGAAGGGAGCGCGAGAGATGGATGGGACCCACGGCCCTACCCCTCTCGGCGCCCTCGTCCAACACCATCGCCGCCTCGAACCCGAAGCCCTCCCAGTACGAGGTGGAGCTCGACCGTGAAGCCCCAAGCTTGATGCGCAGAGTTTTGGCTGTTAGATGCAAACGGCCGCTGCCCCTTGTTTCCATGGTTGCTTTGGCAGCCTCCTTGACGAACCAGGTAAGACCCGTGCCTATGACATCCCAGGCCTTCTTTTTCTGTCCGTCCACAGAGTAGTAGACGTCGCGGCCATCCACGACCGGGAACGACGGCATGGAGCACATATTGGGCATGTTGCCGCACCCCGGGGCGGCGCCCAACCAGGAAGGCCTGCGCCTGTTCTTCAGAATCTCAAACGCCAAGTCCGCCGCTGCCTTCTCCCTATCGTCCTTCTCGTAGCTGCCGACATCCAACGTGACTCCGAAGATGCCCATGATGCTCAAGATTGTGTCCCGGGGCTGGGAACATGTCCGGAGAAGGGCGCTCCTCCAAACGGCCATGTCCCTCATCTCCGTCGACCTTGCTTCCTTGACGCCCATGAGAGCTAGGATGGGGTCTCGGTTCGGACCGAATATCTTGAGGCGAATCGATTGCCGGTCGTCACCCCACGGGAGCCCACCCACGAAAGCCGCCTGCAGCATCTTCCCGAGCTCCATCATCGCGGTTTCGCCCTCCTCTATCTCGTCGATGCGGCCTGCAGTCAGTCCGCGAGCCTCTCCGCTGCCCAGCCGCCAGCGAAAGATGGTATAGGTTGCCTTTGGCATAGCCTCCTGCAGCGTCCACGATCGCTCAATCCAGTTTGTGCTCTCATCGGGAGCAGCGAGCCTCTGCAGCCCGCCGGGAAGAACCAGAGACGCCTTGCACCGCTCGTACAAGGCAAACATCCGCGCAATCTGCCACTCCTTGTCATATGCATCAGTCTGGACGATGCAGATCTGGTCGATCCACAGGAGATCGGCGCCGAGTTGTCGCGCCGCTCGGCAGGCCGTCTGCAACACCGCGATGCTGATTCGGTCGCTGAGCTGTCCTCCCTCCAAGGGCAGCTGAAAGAACTGCGACGGCTGGGAGCACCCACAGGCCTTCAGTCCGTTCCAGGGGTACGAGACCGCCGCGTACGGAGCGCTGTCCTTGTTGGGAAGGGTTTTGTATTCCACCACGCGCAGACGTCGCTTGGAGATGAAGTCGGAGCAGACGATGAATCGGAAGCGGCCGGGGGTGAGGAAATCGGGGTTGGGTCTGAAATCCGTCCCGGCGATGGCGTCAATTGGCACGGAGTACCCCATAGTGCATAGTGATATTTGTGGGAGCCTTGGAGGTTTGGATGCTGAGCTAGGGTAGTGGTGAAGGGTGCCGAGGAGCCGATCGGTCGGTCGAGCTTGATTTCTGCTTCAGATGGTCGGGGATATATACACATGACTCATGGCACCCCCGTGGAGGTGTAGGTGCGACAAGGCAGAAACGATAATTCGAGGCGTTTGAGGAAAATATGACCCATCGCGTTGGGAACTGTTGGGAATCGTTGGGAAATGTTGGGCAAGTCCTGCACCGCCCAAGGCGGCGGCCTTCCGACCAATGATGGACGATCACTCCAAACGGTACCCAATATTCCAAAAGCTGAGGGAGGCATGGACGGTTTGTCGGAAGAAGCCGCATTTAGGCGCAAGTAGCGCATATGCTAAGCCACCTGCAGCTTAGACCTAGGCTGCGATAAGCTAAATACCACACATCCTTTTTTTTCTCCAGCTTCGCACTTCGAGGCTTGCAGTCCTTGAGTTGTGTCATCTGCCGGAGACCCTGATGGTGCCAGAGACCCTGATGGTGCCGGAGACCCTGATGGTGGGGGAAGGAATGCTTTATAGGAAACGACCAGGTGAGCCACATTGTTTGGGTAGTCATACGATTCACAAGCACCTAGTTCTAGAAGGAGCAATCACCATTGTGACAAGCCCTTAACATCGCCAAAACGACTGTAATTTTTGACGAATCTCGATATTCATCGACGACCAAGGCCTCCACGGGCATAAAAAGGCAGTAAACACGATGCTTAGATTGAAGGGGTCGTGTGCGAACATACAAGATAGGGCATCAACCTAACGCTCAAGTTCTTTGCCTCCACAACTACCCTACCCTCCCTTGTCAGGAAGTCACGGTAGGTTGATGCGCATCTTTGACAGACTCGAAACGTTGACTTCGTACGTCCCATTCGAACATGGGCCCCCGCCCCATGAGCGTCACCGTTGTGGATTCTGGTCCAACCTCCGGATCAGGGACAGCAGATGGAACACCGATTATACAGGACAATTTGCAAAGCTGCGATGCCCAGGACTAGTGTTACGGTTATTAATATGAAAGGGGCCAGTCCAAGGGTTGTGGGTTAGCCGAGCAGGAAAGTTTGACTGTTGGCGAGTATAAAATCTGCTATATTTAGCTCCTCGATATAGGAGCTGACAGGCTGTACATCACTGTAGAAAACCACTGTTTCTTGCCAAGAGTGGAACAGCATTGATGACACACTGAAAAGCCCATCGATATGCTCGCTCCCCTTGGCTCTATCCAAGTCTGACCTACGCCGCTGCTACATGGTGGAGATCTCGCTGCATCAAACCATCTCCCAAAATAGCCCCTAGAAAATCATGCTGACAGATATGCACAATCCGCGAACCACCGGAAATCCGAACTCCTGAAGAGCCGCTGCGGCCAGGGATTATAAATCGACCTGTGCCTCTGCCTCTCGACACTAAGTGGCAAATGTGGTACGGGACGAGGTGGATGAGGACGAAAAGGATGAGGGCGACGAACTTCCACCTTGATTAGGGGCCGGGTTGGCAAGCGTCAGTACGCCGGGCCGCCAGGGTATGAGGTTGTAGCTAGTACCCGAGGAGCCCTTGGCTTTCCCCTGGTAAAAGAGCTGCAGGTTGCAGGCATCAATGGTCTTGAACTCGTCGGCACTGCTGCGGATCAGGTCACCGTGGCTGATGTCGCTGGTCCACGAAGCTCCACTGTTGGCGGCACCGGCGAAGGGATTGCTTTCGGTTGCAGCATCCGGAGTCCACGAGCCGCTCAGCGAGGTGGCGGTGAAGGAACGGAAGTATCGACCCCGAGATCCAATGCACTCGACGATCATGAGGTATTGTTGAAAGCCGGCAACCTTGTACACCTCGACGGCCTCGAAGAGATCGTTGGTGCTTGCGCTCATGATGGTTGTGTACAAGGTCCCAAAGCTGGCCGGGAAGTTTCCCACGGGCATGCTGGAGCGGTAGATCTTGCCGTTGTCTCCTGCAAAGAAAAGGTACATATCTGTCCCGTCGCTGATGAGTGTATGGTCGATGGGCCCCGTGCTGCTACCGCTAATGCTTCCGGAAAAGAGCGGCTTCGGCGAGGACCACGAGTTCGCATCGGTGGGATCGCTTGACGTCATGTAGTTGAAGGCAGCAGCGCCCCATTCATAAGCCAGGACCCACGTGTCCTTGTGGGTGAAGTGGAAGAGGAAGGGCGCCACGGCCGCTTGTTTCATGCCCGTCTGGGTCGCCGAGGCAAGTTCAGACCAGTTAGATACCGGAGCGAAGGCCATAGACCCGTAGCTGCCTGCCGTGTTGACGTCTGAACCGTACACGATGTACTGGCCGTTGTAAGGGACGACAGTGAAGTCCTTGAGCGACACCCAGCCGGACTTTGGGTTCGCTAGTGCATTGCTCGACGACCACTTGTATGACGAGGGAAGGGGGCATGCCGCCCGGGCCGCCGTGGCCAGCGTCAGCACGGCGAGGAGGATATTTTTTGCAAAAGCCATCTTGGCGCTGGGGCTTGCTCCTGGCAGCCAAAGTAAGCGCAGAGTAAAAGGTTAGAGGCGACAAATCATCGAAAGGTGTCAAGAGCATCGTTGGGAACATCCTTATTATAACCACCCGAATTTCTTGAGCGAGCGCGAGAAATAGCACAAGGCGTCTCGCCGCAGAATCGTGGATGAGGGTCTCATGGAAGGCGGAAAATTATCCTATTGGAGCGCATATAGCTCACCTCGCGCGCCCGGCTGCCCTCCGTCATGGTTAACTTGGGCCACGGTTGGGGGGCTGACGGACCTAACCATTCCGTGGTAATTACTAGCTGGAAGCTTGACATCGCGCATGGATTTAGCCCGACCTACCGGACGCGAGTGTTAACCGTCTTACAAAGGTGCTTCCGCATTCGACAGACTTTCATGTGCTGTGGCTAATTAAGGTCGGCATCTTTGGCCAGGAAGGGTCAATTGTGGAGAGTTAAAAGTAGTAGTCTACAGTACAGTGAAGAGTACAGGTAACCTACGGATGCGACACGGCCTAAACTGGAATGCGCTACCTCCGGGTTGTCGCTTAAAACTTAAATTGTTCCGTCTGGGGAAGGGGCTGCCAAGACTCCAGGCCCCTTATTAGCCAGGCAATTAGGAAAGCTGGCGGTCCGTGCAACGATGTGCATGGAAACTCAAACCCTGAAGATATGTAATTACTAGGCCACTTCGCTCCTCATGAAAACCGTGAAGAATGGAGACTTTGTCCAGCCGGTCCATTGGGCCGACTAAGCACAACCAAGGTACCTTCCTGGCGGGAGAGAAAATATGGACATGAGAACAAAGTTTCGCCTCATCGAGCTTGCATAGAACTGACAACGAAGCTTGGAGAAGAGATTGCTGCTTGCGAAATAGCTGGATCGCAATGTGTGGCTGTGCATGCAAACACCCGCATGCACCCGCATGCATCCCCCCCCTCTTCACAGCAGGATAGCCAAAGCGGGCAAGTCTTTCCCACTGCACTCACTGCCCGATGTTAAATCTACTGTAGCTTTGCCAACGCCTTCAGGACCTCTGCCTTTGCTGACCAACCGTAGAGCCGGGCGTTGACATCTCCCAACATTCGCTTTGCTGTGACACAACATCAGCACACGGTATTACCTCGAGTCGAACTGAGTCGAGTCAAACTTGGTGGACCCCTTACCAATAGACGGGAAATGCAGCACAACCCAGAGAAGACAGTACATGGCGTATTCCGCCACCACGCCCACATCTCCCTTGCCCTTGTCCATCTTCTTTCCCCGTTCGACAATGGCCGCAACTCGCGGCTGGCGGATCTCGTAGAAGAGTTTGAGAGCCAGGGCAACTGCGCCTGTTTCCGTTTCCTCACTGCTTGTGTCGTATGCCCTCCCCAAAGTCTCAGCCAGGAGCAACGACAGCGTCTGGGCATCCTCCAACGCCTGGGACGCGCCCTGGCCGGTCGTGGGGCTCATGGCATGGGCGGCATCACCCACCAACACGATCCTGTTCTCGCCGTAATGAGGTAGATTCGGAAGCACCCACGTCGGGTAGATGGTCTCGACCTCGGCCTTGGAGATGATGTCCTGCACCACGGGGTCTGCCCAGGTGCGGTGACGTTCCCTCAGAGAGGCTTTGATCTCCTCGGCGTCGAGATTCGTCTTGGACGGGAGCGAGTCCGTCTCGAACGTCGACCACCACATGAGGTTGTCAGCTTCGGCGGGCGACGCGCTGGCATAGCCGAAAAAGCCGTTACGGCCAAAGATGAAGACCATGGCTTTGTTGTCGGCTACGCGAGGAGGAAGAGGGCCGTTGATGAAGCCGCCAATTCCCGAGGCCCCGCTAGGCCGTACATTAGTCGTTCTGTCCAGCATGGCAAGCGACAAGATGAAACACTCACGTGTACTGGGGACTATACTCCCCTTCCTCATCCTCCCCAAACAAGGCCGTCCTTACCTCGCTCTTGACTCCATCCGCCCCAATCACCAAATCACACTCCTCCTCTCCTCCATCCTCAAACACCACCACCTTCTTCCCTTCCCCAGCCGCCCTTACCGAAACCACCCTCCGATACCTCACGGCCCCCTCCTCCACCCTGGCCATCAAACACCCCCACAGCCCGTGCCTCGAGGAACTCACACACACCTCCGCCCTACCCTCCGGCCCCTCAAACCCACCCCGGTCACTCGTCCGCTGCATCCCCAACGTCCAGCCATTCCGGCCCATGAAGATGAAGTGGTCGCACGGAAACCCCTGCGCCGCGACAGCGGCATGCAGATCCGGGTCCAGGTCGTACAACACGCGCATGCCGTTGGGGGAGACGCCGAGGCCGCCGCCTACAATGGCCGTAGACGACGACAGTGCATCGAAATCATTGGCGGCGGGCATGCCGGAGCGCGGGCGGTGGGATTCGTAGATGTGGATTGTGTGCGCCGAGCCGTCGTGGCCCCGCGGACTGGGGAGGTGCTTGCGGAGGTGCAGGTAGGTGGCCAGGCCGGAGATTCCGGCGCCGATGACGATGATTTTCATGGCGGATTTTTGGATTTTGTGACCGTGTTGAGAGTTTTGCTGTGGGTGTGGTAGATGGGATGTGGTAGATGGGATGTGGTGGTTTTGGATGGATGTGATAAATGCCAAGGAAGCGCTTTTGCGTAACGGACGCGCAATTGCATTCCAAACTCGGCTAGCGAGGTCAGGCTGGCGGAAATGAGGCGTAAGACGGCTGAAACCGAGGCCGAATTCGTCTTCTGGCACAACCTCGAGACGAAAATTCAGCTCGGAACCCTATCAATCTCGAGAGAATACCGTCTAGTTAAAGCCACAAATAGTGTTTTTTTTTCTTATTTTTTTATAAAAAAAATAAGAAAAAACAAGAAAAAAAATAAGAAAATAAAAACGTAAAAATACCCTTCATTAAAATCCTACTGCTCCAAGCAACCTTCGCAACGCTCGTGCATGCATAAGTTGCATACTAAATCGTGCCTAACCTGGAGCGGCCCATATAGGCAAGAGCACTATCGAACGGGTCAGCAAAATGCACCCTTTGAGCACATGGCCAGTTCAAGGGTCTTGATCAACGGCAGAATGGAAACTTACACAGGCCCATACTCTACCAATCCTGGCTGTCGTGGATGGCGTGGGCGCATCCGCTCTTGTAGTAGTTGCTGTCGTTCTAGAAGTACGCGAGGAAGTAGAGGCAAGGTCCCACCAAGACGTCGTCGCAGGATTCGGCGTCGTCAAAGGCTCCGGCCCCCAGACAGTGGTCGATGTCGCCGGTTGCTTTGTAGTGGCTGTGGGTGATGCTGTTTTCTGGTCGCTGTGTTGGTCTGTGGTGTGTTGGAAATGCCGAAAATGGGATGCTAATGGTAGGGATGGCGCTGGCTCAGGAGAGGTGTGATCATTGTATCGATTGCGCAGCTGGGAAACAACTTTGTCTTTGGTCGAAGGATGCACTGCATTGTCGCTTCGGGCTTCGGCTTGCGGTGCCGGGGCTGAGACGACTCTACTACCTTTCGATGTTTTGATTGTCCTAGATGGTCGATCTTCGGGGTCATTCCTGGATTATTGTTAGAGCTTACTTGCGAAGTTGGATGGAGGATGGTAAAAACATGCTTGAACAAGGTGGTTGTCTCTGGAATATTGGCAGGTTGACCTCCTAGCGGGCGAGATTTCGTTAGCTCCGAAAGTTTACTTGTGGCAGATCCAAGACCGTGATCTGATTCCTGTATTATTGAGGTCGTGGTCCCGGTAGTGATTTCCTGCGAGCTGACTCTTGGCGCTCCATCCAGAGTGTTTGTTGGTGTGGCGTTACCCAGGGTGACTGGACCTCCCGAGGAGCTTTCTGAAGATGCAACCTCCTCAAAATTGGCCTCGGTAACATCTGGACCATTGTTCGACGCGGAAAATTTGTCCTTGTGACTTTCAGATTCTGAGACTTCGGATCCCATGGGCGGTCCTCGGTCAAAAGTTGGCGGCCCTCGGTTAAAAGTTGGCGGTCCTCGGTCAGAAGTTGGCGGTCCTCGGTCAGAAGTTGGCGTTGAGGGCTTGTCCGCCGACATGAAAACGAAGAGCAAAGTAAGAAGTATGGCAGAGAGCATAGCAGCCGTCTCATTCCAGAGGGCATAATGAATGGACGTCAGGATTAGCGAAAGGGTTGTCTGAGGTTGGATGACTTGGCCAGTGCTGTCGGCGGCTCCTGGTCGAGTGGGGAAAGGTGCTTGGAGGATTTCCTCACAGCCAAGCTGCGACCAGGACAGTTTTGACTTCTTGAATCAGATCTTGGTATAAAATGAACACGGTGACATTGCACCCGGGGGACTCGCGGACCTTCAGCTCGAGGCAAAACTCTTTGGCTTTGATATCGCTTTGGTAGCGCTCCTCGGCGTAAAGAGCTTTCAAATATGGATCTTGATAAGGGGGCTTGAACCATTCGAAGAGGAAGAAAATAAGGGCGGTAACGACGGCAAGGCTGGCGTAGACAGCGCTGGCCCGCTCGTAGTCTCCGAAGCAGAGCGAAAGGAGCCACCTTCGTCTCCGGTTTCGAGACCGAGGCGCCCCTGGGAGGGAGGAGGGAAGGCCTCCCCCATGAGCTGGGCCTCCCCCATGAGCTGGCAGTTGCCGAGTGTGGGTTGACGGAGGGATTGCCACTCGTTGGGGTTGAACTGTTCGTCGCGCCGCGGGTTGTGGCCAGAGCGTCTCCATTGTTGAAGGTGTCTTGTCTGAACTGATCTTTCTGTCGGAGGTGTCCGAGTTTCAGTTAAGAAAATTTCCATCCCAATGGATGCTGCGCCTTGAGCTCAGCCGCCAATCGTGGTCTTCGCATGGTGATTACCCCGCCTTGAGCTCCGCGACTCCTCGCGCCGGCAGCCTTGCTTACATTATGGGACACGGTGCGGGGTTATCAGTACCTTAGGTAGGTACCTTGGGTACCTAGTTGTGATTCAACTGGTGACCACTAGCCTGAGCTTGTGCGTGCAGTACCTACAGGTGAGTTGCTCGAGTTGACGACTCATACAGCCAAACAAATGTATTCTGCAAAGAGGCCGAAAACTATCTATACTACCTTACCTAGGTGGTAGTCAGGGTACCTCGCTCTGGGGCGTTGTACCTATGTTAGGGCTTGCCGAGGACAGGTGGTGCCAGGGGGTCGAGGTGCTAATATTGGGGCGCGCTGTATTTTCAGCGGGTAGCCTCTAATCTACAGCAATTCTTATCGTCCGTCCTCTCAGCATCTCGATGCATTTTGCATTTCTACCATCTGCTTCCCTTGACGCAACACACCTGCAACTGAAACCGACGGGAAATCCACCGTGGCAGCCTCGTCGCCCGATCCGTCTGATCCGTCCGATCCGTCCAATACGACGCCACTAGTGGATTCGAACCCGCTGCTCCAAACATACTACCACTCCCTCGAGTCCCGCATTGGGTATCGCTTGCTGCTCGGCGACACCCGCCATTTCGGGTACCGGAACCATGACACCTACTGGCCGTTTCCCGTCACTAAACCACTCAGGGCAATAAAGGACAAAGCAAGCTTAAGTACCGGCCACTTAACTAATAAAGTCACAACGTCTTGGTAGATACACCGCGCCTCCCAGCCTGCTTATTTCAACTTCCTCCTTCTTTCTCCTTCTTCCTCCCCTCTTCTCCTTCTTCCTCCCCTCTTCTCCTTCTTCCTACCCTCTTCTCCTTCTTCCTCCCCTTTCTTCCTCCCCTCTTCTCCTTTCTTCTTCCTCTTAGTTTTACGCTGAATTTTCTGCTAAAGGCAGAATGGTGGCACACCCACGCTTTTCACAGAGGTGCACTGCTGCTGTAAGCGGTCAAACTCGACCGTCCTTCATAGTACCTACCACATCCGACCACTCGTCTTCCTCTTGAGTCGCACTTCGTTCCTGCCTTATTCTTGATACAACATGCTCATGGTAGGTCCTGGCCAGCCGCACAAATACCGCGGAGGTTAATAGTGCCAATGCAGAAACGTCAGAGGCCTCCACGCTTGCATAACCACTTATATGGCATATCCCGGATATTTACGTGGTCATGGCCGGACCCATTACAACTCTAGAACGAGCCGTACGAGATCTAGGTTACGGAGCTGATTCGATATTACTCAGTAGGCGGTGTGTAATGGGCGACGATAGCGAAGGTAAGCCAAGAATGATGGTGGTAAGATATCATCCTGCTCTTGACGGTGTTTGTGACGGCGTGGCGGAAGGATGAGCTTATGCAAATAGCGTAGGAGTACAGGAGGTGAAGACCGCCTACCTATATTACGTCGCTAAAGCCGTCCTAGGTAATAATCGAAGACGCCGTGGGCTATGTACGGTCAGCCCAGAACATAATCCGTAGCAACCATGGTCTCCACCAGGGGCCGCCTTCTCTGGCCGTCTTGTTCCTGTCCCGGCAGTTATATGGTTAGCAGAAATACAGAGACTAAGATGCGACAACCCCCTTGTTCCGGCTGCGATACGAGGCGCGTTCTATGACCAAGCAAGTTCTATAACGTATTTTATAAGCGAGCGGCGAATATAAGCGAGCGGCGAATTCTGCACCGCGCCTTTGGATCAGGGCAGGATGAGGAAGTCAGTCGCGGACAGTTGGGCGGTGAGACGCACTGAGAGAGGCGGATTGTGCAATCAAGCACCGCATCGTCCCCTCCTTCGGCTCAGGGGCGCGTACGGTAATGAACTCTCTTCCTCCTCGTTCTCTTCGGTCTATGGCGTGGTACTCGTCATCGTCTTTTTAGCTCTAATTACTCCATTAATCTGCCACTTATCACCGTCTTAGAAATCGCGCCTGCATTTCCCTGCACCCTTCCTGTCGCATTCTGTCGCATTCTGTCGTTGGACCTCCCCCCCGTGTTTATGAAAGGCATCTTCTATATTGGAAAGCAAACTTGGCTGTTCTGTAGGCCGTTTTGCGTGCGCATCTTTCCGACCTATAAAGACGTGCGTGATGTGTTTTGTCAGTACTTGGCGTTGGCGCCTGATGAACCCAAGACCACGACCCCTCCGATGTGCGTGCCAAAGCCGGATCGAGTTGAGGGTGGTGGTCGCCCTTTTCCTTCTCCCCAGCAACCACCAGTCGCGTCACGTTCTCTAACAGCAGATAGCAGTAATTGTCTCCTTCTGCCACCGAAATACGATGCCAAGTCGCGAGAGAGCGATAACCCGACCGCATTGGTCGAGACCCAACACCACCTTCCATCAATACGCCTCCCTTATTGACCGCTCCCCGGAGTTGACGATCCAGATGGGGAAATGTCGAACAGAAGGCTCGGAGTTGGCGATCCAGATGGGGAAATATCGAACAGAAGGGGTCGATGGCGTGCCCCGCTTTGACGCCTCATTCCTAGGCATGTACGCCACGGTAGTATTTAGATATCCGGTTAGGGAAACGCACTGGACCAGAAGGGACTTTCAGCTGCAATAGTTCTCCAAGGCTGCTTGCTGCTGGATACGGGAGCTCCGTCTGTCACCTGATAACGGCGTGGATGGAGGGTAGCATGCGCTAGTGCGGATATTGAAATCCCAATTTGGAGAGAACAAGTGCGAGGCCAATTGCCGTTGGATGGATGGGAGCTGAACCTCGTTACCTCGAGCAAAATGGTGAGCCTTCTAGCCTCATGTGTCTTTGAGGGTGCTTTCAACCTTCAGCGTCGTTTAAAATTTCCTGTTTAGACATCAACGCAAAAACCGCCATCCTGAGGATGCGGCACCAAAGAACAGAGGCTTATATGTAGTTACATATATAATGGGATACCAGTCAACTTCAACTGCTCTCATGCTTTGAGCAGATCAAACTCCCTCTTTGGAGGCACTCAATCTTCAGGGACAAATCCTTATGCTTCTGACATTCACCCTTTAGACCATATCTGCCAGCCACAACTCCTGTTTTGTGCCACAACTCCTGTTTTGTGCCACAACTCCTGTTTCGTGCCACAAATCCTGTTTCGTCTGCCCTAGAGATGGGCAAACTTTGCTCCAAACCGGGAAGCCCACCCGAGGGCGGCCCCCCGGGGTACCTGTTCGTGGTCTCGACGAGCCACATGGACTGGGACTGGCGTGGGACGTTTGAGCAATACTACAGCGTAGGAATCCCCAATGGCATTCAAGGGCCGAACTGCCCGGTGCACCGGATCCTGTACGATGCCATCGGCCTGATGCAGACGAGCGACTACCAGTACCACCTGGCCGAGATGGCGTGGCTGAGGCGGTACCTGAGCGACCACCCAGACCAGCTCTCGATTCTAGCGTCCCTCAAGGACAAGTTCTTCCTGCTGGGCGGGGGCTTCGTGTCGCCCGACAGCCTGGTGAGCAACGGAGAGGCCTTCATCCGGAACTACCTATACGGGCGCAAGTACGTGCGGTCCATCGGCCTGGGCGAGCAGCTGGTGGATGTGTGCTGGATCCCGGACGACTTTGGGCACGACCCGCAGCTGCCCGTGGTAGTCGACGCCATGGGCCTACGGGCGGCGTGCTTCTGGCGCGTGCCGGGCAACGAGCCGACCCAGCCGTCAGCTTACAACCCCGTCAGCCCACCGCCGCTACCACGCGACAACATGAAGACACAGCTGGCCAATGCCGGCGTCACATTCGCGTGGCAGGCCGCCGATGGGTCCACCATCGTCGGCCATCAGATGTACTGCGGCTACGGCGTCGTCGGGAACCAGTCTTCGGCCGACAACACGTTTCCGGCCACCGTCGCCGCAACCTTGAGCAAATTTGTCTTGCTGGGAGAAAACGGCACCTTCAAGCCGGCTACGGTCGATAATCAGCTGCAGATCATGGTGCCGTGCGGGGGCGACTTCTCGTGGCCGTCGAGCGCCTTCTGGAAGGGCGTCGCCCAGTACGGCGCCAAACCGCAGGACGGCATCGAGCTGTTCAGGGGGCTGGGCGGATTCATCGACACGGTGGTGCAGAACAGATCCGCGCTCGGCGTGCCGCAGCAGATCGACCCATCCATGTTCTGGACGGGCTACTTCTCGTCGCGCGTGCAGCTCAAGATCGACCAGCAGCGCACCGTCAACCGGCTGACCGACGCCGAGGGCCTCCTCACCCTCCTGTGCGCGCTGAGCAACGTGTCGCCCGCCGTGCTGACGGCCGTTGGCCAGCAGCTGGACGCGTGCTGGCAGAGCGTGGCCATCTCGACCCATCACGACTTCGTCACGGGCACGTCGCCTGACCAGACGTACTACCTCGAGCAGCTGCCGCTCAGCAGCCTGGCGGTGCGCCAAAGCGCCGACATCCTCTCCCATGCCGTGTCCCTACTCGGCAACGTGGTCAAGCCCCGTACCAAAGTCGACGCCGAGTTGCCGTTCGTCGCCTTCAACCCCTGCGGGTTCCGGCGCGAGGCGGGCGGCATGGTGGTCGTCTCCCGCCAGTACGTCGACCAGCAGAAGAATTACACCTACCGCTGGTCGGGCGGCGGCACGGGCGACGCGCAGTGGCTCGCCGACGGGGACCTCGAAGTGGCCTCGCCCACCGTGGGCAGCCTGGGCTACGCCACAGTGTACCTGGAGCCAACCGCCCAGCGAAAGCCCTCCCGGCCAACAATCACGAGTGCACCCGAGAGCGACGACACATCGGCTCCCCCCACCGTGTTGGTTTTCGAGAACAGCACCGTGTCCGTGACGATCAGCAGCGCTGCGGCATGGAGCGTCACGTCCATCATCGACAAGGTCACCAGCAGGGAACTAGTAGCACCCAAGGGCTACGGTAACCAGCTGCAGGTGTACAGAGAAGACCAGGGGGGCTTCGGTTCGGGCAACCTGTACCAGATGGGCAGCGAATTCTACCCTCAGTCGACTACGCAACAGGGCTTTTCTCTCTCCGGCAACGACGCGTTCGCAGCCGTCGGCGGATACGAGGTCGCCAACGATTCGGGCACGCACCTGCAGCGCTTCCGCGGGACGATCCAGAGCGCGCGCACGAAGCTGACGCTGACGGTTGAGTACTCCCTATACAAAGAGGAGCGCGCGCTGCGCGTCCGCGTGACGGGGTCCGCGGCCGGGACACCCTCCTCGGCCCAAGAATGTCTCTCAGTGGTGACCACGTGGGCGCTCGTCTCGCCCGAGGGCACGCCGCCGGCGAGCATGAGCTACGGCACGGCCAATCACTGGACGTCGTTCAACCCGTCGCGCGACATTACCTACTGGTCGGGGCCGACGTTTCGCGCAACGCACAACTACGTCAACCTCATGACCAGCGGCGCGCAGGCGGCCGACTGCGGCTCCATCTACCACGAGGCGGCGCGGGCGTGGGCGCTCTCTCCCGGCAGCGGAGGCGCCGGCGCCGTCGCCGTCCAGGGGATCCTCTTCCGAAACGCGCCGGCAGGGGGCCGCGGCGCGTCCGGCAGCGATATCGACTCGCACACCCAAGACTTTGCGTTCCGGTTACCCGACGCCGACGACGCCAAGAGCGGCGTCAACGCCCACAGCAAATCCCTTCGGGAATCCATGGCGCTACAGAAGCCGTTCTGTGTCGCGCCCGTCGCCGCGACCGGCACGCTGAACTACCTCGCGACGCTGGGCGACATGTACGACTCGCTGGCGTCCGTATCGCCCGACACGGCCATGATCCGCGTGGCACGGCTTCAGGGCAGTTCGGGGATCATTGACGACGAGATTCAGGCGGGGCCGACGACGGGCCCGTGTCCGTTCAGTTTCGTGCTGCGGCTGTACCAGCCGACCAACGACGTGGGCAAGACGTATACCGTGCAGATCCCGTTCCTACCCATCAACGGCGACCCCAACAACCCCCTCCTGTCGACCAACAACCAGAAGCCTGACGAGCTGCCGTATAACAAGGCTGTTCTGGTCCCCGGCGTGAAGTTGGTGACTGCCCTTGAAGAGCCACTGCCAGCCTCGAGCACCCAGCCGCAGCCGACGTATGACGGCAACGGGAACGTGACAGTAACCCAGATGCCCACGCTGGCCACGTTGGTAGTGCAGAGCGTCGGGACCACGGTGTTACCGACTCAGTGACGATGTTCCCCTCACAGCATGTGTGGGAGTTGGGGGAGCCGCTGAGTTGGCGGTAGAAAGGGGATTTATGGCTGGGAGGAGGGCGAGTTCATAGCATCTCCTCTTCTTTCAAAACCCCTCAGCGTCCCGGAGGAGCCAATAGTGTCGACAAGCCCTCAGACACGGGAAATGGTGGACGAGAACTATTTTAGTATCATTAAGATAGACTCAAGTTGAAAATGTCACAGTAGCACGGATTAGTTGGAAAAGAATGATTCAAAACTACTACAACTTGATGTTTAATCTTTGCCACGTGCTCCACCAGATCTTGCCGCTACCGGTATTCATAACTATAAGAATGGCTCCTTGGCTCTGCAAAAGAGCACAAAAATCAGACCTTTCCAGACAATACAATACAAGGCTGCTCTTTTCGTTGTCGGGTTGCAGGGACCCGAGACAGCGATTGATGAGCTCGAGATCGAACTTGCTCCTTGCTATCCCCACTCAACAGCCACGGGCGCGGGATGGGGTGGTGCATGCGATGGCTCGTTTGCAGCACAAAGTCGGCGGGCGGTAATTTTTGCTCAAAGTGGAAGCTGGTGTCTGTTATGTGCTTGCATCGGTCGAATATCCGCCCAAGTTCTTGTGCTGGTACGGAGTAGAGAAGCGACAGGTACTGGAAGAAGACTAAACAAACCCCGTAACAGTTCTTTAACCCCTATTTCCATTTAAGGCGTCGTATTAGCAAAGAAGTTTGCTGATGCATGAGGGAAACAAAGCCGGGGGTTACAGACCTCCTCTGTCAACATCATCACGCATTGGAAAAGACCTGGGCTCCACGCACACAAGCATCCGCCACCAGCCACCAGCGCATCCGCCCACCTCTTTGTTTGAGATGTGACAATATGCTCCCCGGGCCTTCATGGCCAATCAGATTGCTGATGTACCTGCTGGGCTTCGATTCGAAAAGGGCCTATTCCTGTCAGGGGGAAGATTAGGTCGAGCTGCCAAAGGCGCCAGTTGTCCAGTTCGCGCTTCTTTGAGTGCTCCAAGTCGACGATATGGAGCTCGCGGTCTAGAGAAGAGGCGGAGAAGAGCGGCGAAATAACAAGCTGGGCAAGGCGGTCCAGGGCCCCATTGGCAGGTGTGGTGCAGGTTGCCCAACAGTCAAGCCTGGTTCACTTTGAGTGTCGCGGGCCTGAGTCGCGTATTTTTCATATCTTGGAGCTGCTTGCATGTTGCTTTAAGTTCTTGCGCTGGAAATAAGCAATAGGTGTCAGAGGTCGGTCGGCCTGACTGCTGTGCGGCGGTTTCGGGAACAGGCGCGAGAGTTAACGTTTCAGAGTAGCAGAGCCCGCATTTGACCTGGGACTGAAGCCATGGCGCAAATGCGTGGGCCGCCAGTCAGGCTTGGGAGACTTCTACAATTCTTTAGATATCTTCGCCTCCTCCTTGTCTCACCTTTCTTCTTCTACCGACTCCGCCTGTCTTTCGCTTCAACATAGACTCCAACTTGCTTTTGACCTCGACCCAAACCAGTGTCTTATACTCTGATACTCAATATCCCCAGGCGGGTGACGCTAATACGTAGCGTAATTCACCCTTTACTCATCATCCCTCTCTCCAGTGCTAAGGTCACTGACGAGACTGCTGAGCAATAGTAGAACTGAGCAGCGGGCATGTTGGTAGATGAGACGAAAGGGGTAAATGTGGGTCCCGCTGCGAGGAATAACAGAAATAGCAGTGCTCATGAACAATACGGCCACCAATAGTGAACTAATGATCAAGACCCACTCTTACGCGCCGTCAGGGAGTGTCAAAATACAGAACTTGTCACGGCAGGTGCCAAGGCAGGAGCTGGGAAGCACGTGCCGACTGGTTGCAGCAACTTGGGACGTGGTCTGTGCGTAGCCCTGGGACGTGATCCACAACCACCTTATTTCCTCGCGCCCCGCACAAGCATTGGAGCTTTCTTTCCTTTTTCTTTCCTTAGCTTTAGATTCTACGAATTCAGCGACCATAATTGCAGCCCTGCCTCAATTAGTCGACTGTGCGATGACAGAACTTGTTAATTATCCAAATATATCAGGCTGCATGATAACTACCGGAAGGACTGTACCCTACTGAGCAGCAAAGTCGAGATGTTTTCTAATCCAAGTCCCTACCTGTTGGAATAGCGATGTTGGTGACCGTACTCTGCGCTGGAAGGGAGGCGGTGCGATGCACGTGCGCCGCACGGCCCTCGCACGGCCACGTACAAAGCCAAGAACCCCCACCATAGATTTCTAGAACAGAACATGAATCAGAACAACTTTACACCCCCCCCGGTAGTACTACCACTTTTGACCCGTTGGAACACCTACGTGGTTGGAATACCACGAACACTGATCAGTGAGTGGTAACACTCACAGATAAGCTACGTGAAGAGACGAGATCGTACTATCGGCGCGATCGCACTGAACTTTCGAGGGAAGTGCGACCCGCGTGCGAGAATCTCTCGTGCTATCGCCTAGACGACTGTTTCCTACGAACTTTCGAGGGAGTAAGGAGGCTTCATCTAGAAGAATTAAGGAACCAATCGTACTAAACGCGAATGTTTACGACCGCTGGAAATCGGGAAGGCGATCGTAAGCATCACGGCTTGGTACAAGAGGAACCCGAATTGCGCGCCACAGTGCATTAACCCCGCTATAACCCCACTCAATGCCAAAAACCCCGGTCGTACGGCAGCGACCAATCACCAACACACTTATCGACAGTCATCGATAACTTGAAGACGATGGCGTTAGATAGTGAGGAGGAATCCTACGAGGAGATCTGGGAGAATAGCGGCATCCCCGCGACGGTTTGGAAGAGCAATGTTGACTTCAACCTGTGGGATTCTGAAACGCCACCAAACCTCACGAACCCATTTCGGGAGAAGGAGGCAACAACGTACTTCGCACAGAGTATGATGGAGTTTATCTGGTTCAATACGAGCCCAGATGGAATCCGCGCGGCTTTCCGCGAAGATTTCAAAGGCTGGACAGTCGCACAATTCAACGAAGTCAATCGTACGTTCAAGAAGCGAATGCTTACCATCTTGGAGCAGAAGAACGTACAAGTCCCGGAAGGAACGGCCTCAGAGAAGTTCGCCAATCTCGTGACGACCGCACAGCCAATAGAGATGTCGCACAACACCCATCAACCATCTCCGACACCCACCCTACAGCTCAAGACAGGAGGAATACCACTCCTAACGAACCCACCGGGTACGACGACTTCTCCATCTCCAAATTCGTACCAGAACCCGAACCCGCTGTACGGAACCCCCTACATCCAGTACCAGAATATCCCACCGACGCGGATCATATATAACGGCCCAGTCGATAGCAGGAAAGTATCGGCGTTTGTGAAGGCATGGAAGCCCGCACGGAACTACACAGGGCGTCCGTACGACATCTTGTACGATAAGGTCAAGCACTTCGTTAGTATTTGCCGGAGGCACGAGATCCCGGAGGATATGTATCACGCAGTATTCCCCGAGATCCTGTCTGACCGTGCGGAGACGTACTATATGAACCATATTGGGCCTGATAAGAGGTGGGACGAGATCTATCAACTGCTGGACTCGTACTTCAATACTACGGTGAACCACGCCGAGTATTACTCGGACTGGACTACCCTCAGCTTCGCACGATTGCGTAGGGAGAGCCCAGAGGCACCAGCGAAGGAGATGCTCGAGAAGATGCTCGATAAGCTCCAGCTCGTGCAGCGTGCCCTAGGCGAGGGATACCAGGGCGAGATCGCACTGCATACCGCAGTCACGCGAGCCTGCACAGGAGTCGCAGAGTTTGAACCAGCACTACTGGGCCAGAGGACATCGTGCGAGTCACTATTTGACAAGCTGAGAACAGCCCTGAAGATTGCAGAGGACCGCAAGGTTTCGCGACAATTCCATACCGAGACGTACGACCAGAACTTTGTCGACCGGCGATATCGTTCCAATCGCAAACGACAAGCCACAATTTCCCAAGCGTCAATTTCAACGACGCGATCCTTCATATCGCCCTCGTGCGAGATTCGGGAATACAAGAGACAAGAAGTGCTTCATCTGCAAGAAAGAAGGCTGTTGGTCAACCAACCACTCAAGGGAGGAACGAGAGAAGTCTCGAAGGCAATACCTCCAGGCGTGCGAAACATTGGAGAGCCAAAAGGACTTTGAACAATTCCTGGCAGGTTTTGAAGGTACGCCACCAGAGGAGGAGGAGAGTGACGATGAGGAGTCCGGATATGAGGGCGAGGAGGAAGACCAAGGACAAGCCGCACAATTCCTCCAAGAGAAAGCATATATTCATCGCACATTCGGCGAGAATATCTACCAAGAATGCGAGGAGAAACCGGCGGAACAGTTCGTACTAGAGAATCAGTATACGACAATGTACCAGGGCGAGCTCTGGGATACTGGAGCCGCACAAGTATCTACCGTCGGAAAGTGCCAAGTCGAGGCATATCTGAGAGAGAACCCTTGTGCGAAGATCTCTTGGACACCAGGAACCGCCGAAATCCGATTCGGAGGCGGAAAAGTCAACACCTCTATAGGTACGATGCTTATGGAGAACGCTATCGGGAAGGTCACGTACCACATCTTGAATACGGCGACGCCATTTTTGCTTAGTCTGCGCGACGCGGATAGACTTAAAGCATACTTCAACAACGTTGAGGACGTCATCGTACGAGAGGATGGAACCACTATCCCCGTTATCCGAAAATGGGGACATCCTTTCTTCAATACGAGTCGTGCGGAAGCAGGAGTCTACCTGACTGAGCCAGAACTGAGGAGACTCCACCGGCGTTTTGGACATCCTCGTACCGAGAGACTTCACAAGCTCTTGAAGAAAGCCGGGCACGAGGATGTAAAAGAGGAGATCCTCCAAGAAATCCAGAAAGTCTGCCATCACTGCCAGACGCACGACCCAGCTCCACAGCGATTCAAGTTCACGATCAAGGACGAGTGCGAATTCAACTATGAGGTCGTCATCGATATCGTACAGCTCAATGGAAGGAAGGCGCTACACGTTATCGATGTGGCGACATCATTTCAGGCAGTAACGTTCCTACGATCAATGTCAGCGAACGATGCATGGGACGCACTATGTCGCTGTTGGATCTTTGTATACCAAGGGCCCCCAGATGTGATATCGCACGACCCAGGAACGAACTTCGCATCTGAGGAGTTCAGGAACAACGCCAAGATTATGGGAGTCTCGTGCAAAGAGATGCCGATTGAGGCACACTGGGCTATCGGTAAGGTAGAGAGAGCACACCGCCCATTAGAACGGGCGTACGATATCCTCCACCAGGAGTTGAGTCATCGCACAGACGACGAGACGATCCTCCAGATGGCAGTTAAGGCTCTTAACGATACGGCTGGCCCAGACGGGCTCGTACCAACACTCTTGGTATTTGGAGCGTACCCCAGGATCAATCACGACTCGCCACCGTCACCCGAGATTAGAGAGAGAGCGCGAGCAGTGCAGAAAGCAATGAAGATGTTGCGCGAGATCCGCGCACAAGTTAGCGTTAATCGTGCGCTCAATACTCGGAACGGACCAACGACAAATGGAGTCCTCGCACTACCCTTGAGGAGCGAGGTGCTTGTCTGGCGAGAAGGGAAGGACAAGAGGTGGGAAGGACCATACCCCATTATCGCCAAGGACTACGCCAATGTTACCGTCGAAATGCAGAGCGGCCCAAAGACGTTCAGAATAACCCAGGTCAAGCCGTACTATCAAGATAAAGATAGGGAAGAGCAGGGACAAGGAGAAATCATCTCGCACGAGAAAGACCAGGTATTGAAAGAACCTGTTCCCATCGTGCAAAAGAGGGGACGGGGACGACCAAGAAAGAACCCAATCCCAGCTCAAGGCACGACTCTTGTTACTCAGAAGGAAGTCGACGCACTTGCACTGGCTATCCAACTCCGCGAAGAAGGAAAGATCACTATACCCGGGCTACCATTTGAGGAATCGGACGCCCAGGAGATTGATGGACTGCTGGTCTCGCACGTTATTGAGGTCATCCGCTTTAATGAAAAGAAGCATGGCAAGCTAAGACTCTGGAAGACCCGACTCGTGCGAGAGATAAAGGGAAAGGATTCTATCCCCTATGAGAAGTCCAGGTTGATCGTGCAAGGCCATAGCGACGAGGATAAAAAGGAGATCTTGACCCAGGCTCCGACGATCCAGAGAATGAGCCAGAGACTGATCCTCGCACTAGGCCCATCGCTAGAAGAGCGAATTGGTGCAAAGACTGAACTGAGAGATATTACGCAAGCCTATACCCAATCGACAGATCCTCTTCATCGCACAATCATCGCACAGCTCCCGAAGGAACTCAAGGACAAGTATCCGAAAGGTACGGTCCTATGGATCAAGAAGCCCCTATATGGACTCGCAGAGGCCGGAGTCCATTGGTTCAAGACGTACAACAAGCACCATATCGAGGCATTGGAGATGCAAACTTCAACGTACGACCCTTGTCTGTTAGTTACCAAAAACGGACAAGAGACCTTCGGAATCACAGGCATGCAGACAGACGATACCCTCACACTAGCCACCCCCCAGTTTTCGGAAAAAGAGGAGGTCAAGCTCAAAGAAGCAGGACTGATGGCGAAGCCAAAGAAGTTCCTGACGCACGACTCTCCTATCGAGTTCAACGGATGTCGCCTCCAACTCCAGGGAAAAGACATCTTAATCGCACAGAAAGGGCAGGCCAAGCAACTCAACCTAATCGACCAGGAAAAAGAAGATGCACCCCAACAATATGTATCTCAACGTGCGAGAGGTGCATATATCGCAAGCATTTGCCAGCCAGAGGCAGCGTACGACCTATCTATCGCAGCTCAGGTGAAGGAACCAGAGAAGAGAGACCACGATAGCCTGAACAAGAGGATCCAGTGGCAGATCGATAACCCGGAGCGAGGACTTCGCTATCAACCACTGGATCTTGATCGTGCGAAGCTATTCATCTTTACTGATGGATCTTTCGCGAATAACAAGGACATGTCATCACAGCTCGGATTTCTAATCGTACTAGGAACGGAGGACGACCGTACGGATAAGTCATTCCAGCTCTGCGGCAATATCGTACACTGGTCCTCAACCAAGTGCAAGAGGATTACTAGGAGCGTGCTGGCAAGCGAGCTCTACGGCATGGTGAACGGATTCGATAGCGGAATTGCTATTAGTACGACACTCACCAAGATTACAAACGTCCTCGGGATCGCACGAATCCCAGTGGTAATCTGTACAGACTCGAGGTCACTGTACGATTGCCTAGTGAAGCTGGGAACTACGAGTGAGAAGAGACTAATGATAGACATTATGTCCCTCCGCGAAGCGTATGAACGCCGGGAGATCTCAGAAATCCGTTGGATTGATGGACAAGACAACCCAGCCGATGCACTCACTAAGAAGAACCCCAACCAAGCATTGACAAAGCTGGTAGACGACGGAAAGGTCATCGTACGAATCGAGGCGTTCGTCGATAGACTGGACAAGACGAACTGAGGAGGAGCGGAAAGGCTCATATGTATTATCACCGCACGATCACTCCATTCATATCCCTAGGAAACCCATTTCATTAGAAACTCAACGCACTATCCCCCCCCCCCCCAGAAAAAAAAAACACCCCAACCCCAAGAAGCTACTCCTCAAGCAGAAAAGGGTTCAGACGCGAGCCCGAACTAGACGGAGGAAGAACACGCTGGCTAGGACCAGCGCGAGGAGAACCACCGGCTGAACTACCGCCCGAATCCCAGGCGGACATTGAGCCCTCGTTGGAATGAGAGCAGCGAGATCCGTGCGACTGCCAGACGCACTCGGCATAGGCGCCGCCCTGGAATGAGGGGACGCGTACGCAATGCCGGAACTTGGGAGACGCGTTTGGATTGCCGCACTTCTCCGGGCACGGGCGCACGCGTGTACCGCGCGATTGAACAAGGAGCGCACGAAAGTACGACTCCCGGCGGATGATGCGGGCGAAGAGAAAATGGACCGACGCACGATCGGCAGCCAGGACGCGGACCTCAACGTCAACCGAGGGCATGGCGACGACGCGGCGCTCATCGTCCTAAGGTTAATCAGCCACTCGTACGACAAAAAGAAAGACTCTCGAGGGTATTCACATTGACACAGAGGCTCGCAAGAAAACGGCGGTTATCCTCAGAACCGGTCGGAATAAGCAGGAAGAGATCGAGTACTATTCGTACGAGAGCTGATGGTACCAAGAGGTGTAGGCGGCAGGCCGCCGCCGCCAGGCACGAGAGACATTGTGCCTGTATGTGCATGTGTGTGAAGAGCGTACGAAGAAGGAGAAGAAGGGAAGAAGGAGAAGAAGGGAAGAAGGAGAAGAAGGGAAGAAGGAGAAGAAGGGAAGAAGGAGAAGAAGGGAAGAAGGAGGGCGAGAAGGCCAGCTTCACACCTAGACTGGGTGCCTCGAAAGCGCACTCTTCGGACCCTCCGCTCCTTCCGCACGATCCCCGATCCCGGGCATATCGTCGTACGAGACCCCGGATCGGCACTAGCAGGCAAACAAGTTATCAGACAAAACGTGCGAGGAGGTCGGGACTCATTGCACGATACTAGCAAACAGCATATTCAGACGAGATAGTACGATCTGTTCATCCAACCACGTGGGAAGTCACAGCGAAGGCAGGATAGGGAGAGGGATCGTACGGTCACAAAAGAAGAGTTGCCAGTGTTGGAATAGCGATGTTGGTGACCGTACTCTGCGCTGGAAGGGAGGCGGTGCGATGCACGTGCTAGCGCACGTGCTTGCAAGCACGTGCGCCGCACGGCCCTCGCACGGCCACGTACAAAGCCAAGAACCCCCACCATAGATTTCTAGAACAGAACATGAATCAGAACAACTTTACACCCCCCCCCGGTAGTACTACCACTTTTGACCCGTTGGAACACCTACGTGGTTGGAATACCACGAACACTACCCGAAAGTTCCCGCTCATTCTAATCAATGGAATACAGAAGAAAGAAAAGAAGGAGGAATAAAAAGCTAGTACAAACGCAGAAACGTCAACCACGTAAAGTTGTTGCAGCATCCTTATTAGTCTCGATAGACGGAACCTACCCCGTTGAGTCTGGGCCCGAGGTCAAGAGACTAGCCTTGGTTCTAGCTTCTAACTTTGTCGGTACCTTAAGCCTCTGCATCCGACGGCTGGCTTTGTTGGCCTTCTCTATCAGGTCGTCGTCGATAGCCATCTCGGGCCCGCTCGGTGCCTTGTCGAGGTTAGACGACATCGTTGCCGTGCGGCGTTTCGAGTTTTCCAACATGTCGACACGGACTCGGTAGTCATCCTCCGTCTTCTTGAGACGACCGATCCTCTGTTCGAGCCTAGAGATCTCCATCTTGAGCCAAGAGATCTCCATCTTGAGCCTAGAGACTTCAGTGTCGAGCTTGGCGGCCGCTTCCTTCGAGTGAAAAGTCTCGCTTCCGGGGCTCTCGGTTAAGTGCTTGTCGGGCGTTTCGTTGTACCTAAACCGCGAGTTAGCTTGTTTATTTAGTTGTGATTCAATAGTTTTGACTAACCCTTTAACTTCTGTTACCATGCCACCAGTAGCTATTACTGCCGAGATTCCAAGCAGAAAAGGGGCCGCTAAAGTGTTCAGCGGATATGCTGGCTATTGTCTCTGGTTAGCCGACGGTCGTGAAAATGGTTCAATAAACGGAATTGAACCACTTACACTGACCGCAATGGAGCCTTCGACTTTGAGGTTACCCTTTCTGTTCTCTCAATCAAGGTTACCCTTTCTGTTCTCTCAATCAGAGGTTGCTTCTTCTGTTCCAGCTGCGACTTCTTAAATATCTGTCTAATCGCCTCACGCGTCTTTCCTCGGAGCACAGCCTCTAGCTTCTTACGGCGCTCCCGTGTATTCTTGAGCTTCTCTGTCAATATTTCGAGCGAATCGCCCGAATAGCCAAAATCGCGGTTACCATCTTCAAGCGAGGGAACAGACACGACAGCGGCAGATTTCCCTTCCGTCTCGTCTGTCGATGTTGTCGTCTCTCAGGATAACAGCGCCTCCAGAGCCTGGGAAAAGACCTTGGCCGCAGGCATCAGCAGTACGAGGCCCGTGGTCGTGCTGCCAGCAATGAAATGCCCGAACAGTTTCTTGGTAACAGCATTCCGGACCCAGCTGCCACAATCGCCAGGGACTAGAGGCCGGTCCAGCTTGGCCGTGTAGACTTGGCTGAACATCTTGGAGCCAGGTAGCCGGACAAAGGACGGCGTGCCTGAGAGCATACCGTCAATGGCGCCGTTGGGTGTCAACGCCGTGATGTTGGTGTCGCTCGGGGCGGTTTCGACATGCTCCAGGTATGACTCGAGGGGAGTTGCGGTGGAGCGGAGTTCCGAGACGTCGACACCAGCTAATTCGACGGCAGCAATATCAATTTCAGTCAATGATGAATCGAGTAATGCCGATGTTAGAGGAACTTGGCCAATCCCAAACAACAGCTTGCTTCCAGGAGTTAGGGGTGGCTGTCGACCAGAGACTTCTAGGGTTTCGAGTCGAGATAGTAGTGCCGAGAGATCAGAGTCCTGGTTTAGGTAATGCCAAGGTAAAAATATGGGGGTGCTCGATCTCTCGGATCCGGCAGAGCTCGAGAGGGATGCGAACTCGACTAGATCGCTATCGCCACCGTTGTCTTCGTCGTCGTCTTCGCCGTCGGAGTCACTCAGACCCGTCACTTCGCATTCGTCGTCACTGGCATCTGGAGATGGCGATGATTGCCAGACCCCATAATCCGGACTTGGTTGCGCCCGTCTCAAGACGTGGCTGACGGAGTGCAACATGAAAGTGCCGTTGAAACTGACAATGCCTCCTCCAACGGCCGTGCTGGGACCGGGCATGGGTTCATGTCCAACCCTCACCCCCAACGGCGATCTGTTCAGCAGCCAGACGCTGCTTGTGAACATTTCAGCCAGTTCCAGAGGTGTGACAAAAGATGTTGATGCCGTCTCGACGATTTGAGAACTTGCTGGCGACGGTGGGGAGGATCCGAGTGGGCGGAGGTTCTCGAACTCGGCCTTCAACTCCATCTCGCCAAGTCCGAATCCAGGGTAGCCGTTCAAGATGGTGCTTTTCTTGATCATTCGACAGGCCTCGGTACGCGCTTTCTTATCCTCAGACACAAACATGATGACGGGCTTCATGCGCTCCAGCGACGTTCCCATCATGAAGAGTGACAGACGGACAATGCTGGCAGAGTCGTGCAGGCTGCCGCTATTATCGTTGAGGTAGGCGATTATCTCTCGGCTAGCCCTGACGAAGTCTTCCCGAGCCGGACGGTGGCCTCGCAGACCTCGACCCGGCCAATCCTAGAGATATTCAGAGTGCCTCTCGCCCGCCCCGTCGAGTTGGCGGCGTAGGGCCAAGTCTTGGGTTTGCGATGGATAAAGTCCATGCCGGCCACACTGTTTGCCTTGAGCTGAGGCACTGCTTGCCTTGAGCTGAGGCACTGCTTGCCTTGAGCTAAGGCTCCGGGCGAAGTGTGTAGCAGAGGAAACCAAGTCAAGTGAGTCAAGTACCTACCTACTTAAAGGGCGCACCAGCACGAGCGCTGTGCCGCAGCACTTTGCGGCTGCGTGTGTCCCTCACTCTGCCACCGTCGATCACGCAGAGGGCGGCTAATAGGAGGGCACCCTTGCCAGGGTAAATATAAGATAGATAATTAAAACACTAGGCACCCCGGAAGCTAACGAGAGAGCACGAGCGGCTTGGCATCTTCCCACATAAGCTCCTGCAAACCCAAGCAGGCATGGACACGCTGCAAAAGTACCCAATCCCCGCCGAAGTGCGATGCTGGCTGCTTCAAGAGCTATGGCGAGACTGCCTGCCCGGCGCAGCCCCGACCGCCGACTCCATGGCTCCGTACCTCGACTACTACGCGGCGCAGTGCCAGCGCTTCTCGCGCGACGGCGGCATCTACCTGTGCGTTAAGTCGCACGCGGCTATCTGCGACATCGCTAAGCATATCATCGGCGACGCGACGCGGGACGAGATCTGCGGCCGCCTTCTTCGTTCTTCGCCTAACGCTACGGACAGCGACATCCTGCGCGCCAACACGACCGTCGACCTGTGCGCGAGCCTGGGAGCGTGGGCGTTCGACGTGTCGGAGCCGAACCCGCTGGGCTGGCCGGGGCGGCACAGCACGCTGCGACAGGCGGTGGAGCAGCGATGGGCGGCTGGGCAAGTGGCCGAGCACGGGCTGGACGGGCAGCTGGGGCGGTGCGGCAACCTGCGGGCGCAGGACCGGCGCTTCGAGCGGTTCGCCGTGTGGCACGACCGGCTGGTGATACTCAAGTAGGCGTTTGACGAGGCGAGCCCGCGCGGGCTAGCGCAGTGGTGGGCGGACCGCCGCAACTCGGTGCAGTGGTACACCTTCTGGGTCGCCATCCTCGTCTTCGCGACCAACCTCTTCTTTGGTTTTGTGCAGAGCATCGAAGGGGCTGTGCAGGTCTACCTCACTTGGAAAGCTCTGAACCCGGTCGAGGGCCCGCTATAGTCCAACATCATGTTCTGTGGACGTCTCGTAAACAAATACCACCAGGTTCACCTCGGTGGCCTATCTGGGCGTTGCTGTATCAATAAGTTATACCCCGTATGTATGTTGCAGTTTTCATCAAAGTTTGTACTATCAAATATAGTCAGCACTATATCCAGAAAACACGTACTTGATTAGGTATGAAAGCAATACAAATTCCTTCGGTAATTAATAATTAGTCCTTTCACAAAAAGAGGCCATCTCCGACCAAAGGGATACAATCCCGGGTATCTTAAAACATGTTACTCCAAACTCCAGCCCCACTCTTCACTCCTCCCTAGCCTCGACAATGCCGCGGCACATCTTCAAAAACCTCGCACGGTACTCGTCCGGCGTGGTAGTGATGCTCATGGGACCTTTCTTGCTGATGAGCACGTTGTACAGAGTGATGAGCAGCGTCATGAACCTTGGCTGGATCTTGTGCTTGGCCCAGAAGAAGTCGAGGATGGCAGCGCGGAAGATATGCTTCCCATCTGGCGACGCGACGCCGGTCCTCCACGACGGCGGCGACGGCGGCACCGAAGGGCCCTCGGTAGGCACAATCTCCGAAGCAGCTTGCGAAGAGCCAGAGTCGGCGGCGACTTCGGGTTGCGGCACCTTTATCCTGACGAGGAAAAGTGAATAGTCGACGGCGTTGTGCTCGGCGAGCAGCTTGGTGTCCGCCTCCAGGTTCGAGAAGAAGTCGTCGGCCTGCGCGCGGCTCAGGATGATCTTGCCGTGGAACTCGTCGGCCAGCTGGTTCTTAGTCGCCTCGCTGGTCAACGCGCCACCGGCAATGTCTCGCTCCGGGTAGAAGTACGACGTCGGCTTCAGATCCCAGTCCTCCCAGTCGGCGTCGCCCCGCTTCTTCGCCTCGCCCCGCCCGTACATGATGTTCTCCATGACGATGTGATGCGATGGCGCGGTGCCCAACAGGCGCCCGAGCGAGGCGCCCCTCGCGCCAAGGAAGTCGCAGATGCGTACCAGCAGCGTTCGCGGATGTGTGGCCATGTACTCGACATAGGGCGTCAGGAGGTCTTCGCGGAAGAAGGAGTGCTCCGAGTATCGAGGAACCGACTTGACCAAGTATTTCTGGTCCGCGGTTGAGTAGAACGTCTACGAGAAGTGCGGGTCAGCATGTGTCTGTCGTGGACATTTCACCCGTGCAGTACATGGCGAGCCTACCGAGCCCGAGAACCCCATGTCCCCTATCGACTTTAGAGTGTCGCGCCCCTCTGCGCACTCGCCTGGCTGGAACGAGTCGGTGTAGGCATCGTCCGTCACCTCCCAGTGCTTACGGCGGAGGTTGGCGAAATCGGCTGGGCGGATCTTTTGCAGATGGAGATCGTACAGCGAGAGGAGAGCGGAGAAGAGGGCCAAGAGAAATGCGACCGGGCTGCGCGACCGTCTCGCGCCTCCGTTTGTCCTCGTGCTGATGGTCTGCACAACCGACCGGGCAATGTGCTGTTGTCGGCCCATTTCCGCTTGATGGATCGGTGCTGTGCGCATAGCCGCGTGTACGGTGTACGCTTTGCTGAAGCAGGGATCGACGGTGCAGTAGCCGTATTGGAGATGGTCCAAGGTTTAAAATATGGATGGCTGTTTCGGAAGGAGAGGTGCGAGTCGAGATGGACCTCAGACCTGGCCGGGAAGGGACGTTGGGTGAAGGCAGGACCGATGACGTCAATGATGCAGGTTCCCGCCAGGTGCCTAGCGCTCACCCGCCACGCCCCTGCCCCACTTGGGCTTCGAGCTCAGCAGTAACAGCTGCTGCTGCTGCTTCTGGGGCTGGACGCGAATTGCCCGACTGCATGATAAAATCGGTTCCGATGTAGGTCGATTCGCGCTGGATCTCCGGCAGCGGCTCAAGAAAACTGTTGTATCGCGAGGACCGGGGGGTCAATGTTGGCGTCGACGTCGGAGGTGCAAGCGACAGCTGCGACGGCATGGGCGTGCGCATTTCGCGCGATCTTTCCGAAATCTCTCTGTCTCGAATCACAGTCTCGCCTGCGAGTCGCTGCAGCTGTCCGGCCTGCAGCATCAGCATCTGCCTGTCGAGCGACTCCCGTTTCTCGAGATTCGCGGGATCCTTCCGGCTGGCAAAGTTGAGAGCCAAGTGAGTGCATTCGAGGTGGTCGACAAGCTCCGTCTTTTTCTTGGTTGTCTTTCTTGGCCCGCAGAGGTTCCACGAGCTGAGGCGGTCTTGCCCCGGCTCTGGAAGATGCTTGTCGACGCGAAATGTCGGCTCACCTCGAGCAGTCAGGCGCAGTAGCGCCTCTTCCCATCCATTTGTGAATTCACTCTGGACGAGGTTCGTGACTGCTGTGTTGTCAGGATACGCTTACGGTGTCTTGTTCACATCAAACCCGGCCCACAATCATGAGCCGGGTTGGAGCAACCTATACAAACGGCTTACTGTTGGCTTTCAGCATGGCATATCCTCCATCTTTGCCCCTGTCCTTCAAAAAGGCGACAAGCAGAGGCGGCCGGTCATTGTGATTGACGTACACGGGCGTCCCCCTTGCCCCGTGCGTCTGGACGGTCCCCGTTGTCCCGGTGCGCACGAGCGACGACATGCTCTGCACTGACGCGATGCTCATCGGACGGGCGCTCGTAGGCGACAGGCCGCCTGCCATCAGGACCGAGCTTCGCTGCTGGGTCGAGAAACTCGACCGAGAAGACGTGGGTGTCAGCAGCCCGCTGGTTGTCGACGTTTTCGCCTGCCTCCAAAGCTGGATTTCCCCGACGCCAGCGTACTGCGGATGGGCGATGCGCCAGCCCTTGTACGTGACCACGCATGCCACATCCTCGAAGTGTGCGACCGTTTCATATCCCGTCAGAAATTGCTGGAACCGCAGGGCATCAGACCTCGTCCGGAATGGATACTGGACAGGAACGGTGCCCCGACCGAAGCCGAGCTCCACCTTCCACTCGGCCCGGTCTGCTTCGGGCTGCACATAGAGAGGAATGAAGGAGTCGTCGCGGAGATTTAGGAATCGCTCGCTGTCGTATAGCGTTGCGCCTCCTTGGACTGAAAATGTCCTCTCTACGATGCCCACCTCCCTACTGTTTCCGGCGGATGCATGTCGTCTCACAAAGATCTCACGGTGCTGTGGGGTCGAGGTGAATGGCGACGGCGACGATGCGAGTGAGAGCCGGACAGGCACGTCCCCGGCATCGAGTTCGGCGGCCGCAAATACCGACGGCTCCATTGATGATGCCAAGAGATATGTGATATTGTTCGGTGATGAACCCTCGCATCCCAGGGGAACGTGATTGCCGCGATGACAGACTCAAATGAGCAGCGAGACGGCACTCGACATGTGAGGATCGGAATGGCCAGGCACGCATTCGAGCGCTCGTAAGGCTGCAGAGTCATAGGCTTCTCACGCCCCTGAGCTGCGGACGTTTCTCCCCGATTGCGTATAATTACTGGTTATGCGGGATTTTTAGGCGCTTGACACCAGGCTTGACACCATCTTGGGCCATCGCCAAGTCAAGTTGCTGTCTGCCGCCCAGCATTTGCGAGAGGGGTAAGGACACCACCTCGCCCTCATGGCCCGCCGGCAGGCCCGGAACAGAAATGCGGTCAACGAATGAACAGCCAATGTGCTCGGGGAGTCAGCCTCATGTCCCGCCTAGTATTGATACAAGGCAGTCTCGACGTCGGCTGTGACGCCCGATGGTGCTCTGAACAGGCTCTCTGCGCTGTAGCTGAAAATACACTGCATCGAGCTTACCGAATGCAGACACACCACCTGCCTACGAGCACACCATCTAGGCGCGCTCAGCCTAATTTCGGTTACAGTTACGTATTTATTCATGAACACGAGAGCCCTGCTGGAAAAGCTCATGCAGGTTAAATTTTAATATCCCGGGGCGTTGTTTCTCGCCAGCGAGCCCTGTTGCTCTCTTTTTGTATCTGGCCAAATCCAACCGAGGTCACAGTTGGGGTCGCCCGTTGCGACCGATCTTCACCCCAGCACGAACGAAGATGGAGGGACAACAACAGCGACAACCGCCAGCGGAGATGGGGATAGACGTAGCCGATGCGGATGAGCACCAGCTTCAGACCCTCACCCGGGAGGAGCTGCAGGAAAGAATCCAGCAGTACAACGAGCAGAGAGAGGTGAGCCCCGGGCTCCGGACTTCAGAGCGGCCCCTATTGTCAGTTTCTGATTCAATACTGACTTGATTTCGCTCGCCAGCGATTCGACGTTGCGCCGACAAGGAACCAGCTCCTGGGCCCCTTTACCGTCTTCTGCTTGATCATGAACCGCACCATCGCGAGCGGCATCTTCACCCAGCCTGTCAACGTCCTAAGGGGCGCGGGGAGTTCTGGAGTCGCCCTGCTGCTGTGGGTTGTCGCCGGGCTCATTATCCTCTGTATCGTGACAGGGTGGATAGAGCTGGCCTTGACGATCCCGCTCCACTACATCTTCCGGAATGGCAACTGGATGAGGATTTCGGCCCCCAGGAGCGGCGGGGATAAGAACTACGTACGGACTCACTGCCCATCTTTGCTCCAAGCTCTCATAATCACGCTCTAACACGTATGCGGAGTAAGCTAACTCTTGTCTGCTCTGAAGCTCGAGTACATCTTCAAGCGGCCGCGGTACCTGATGAAGTGCGTCTTCGGCATCGCCTTCATCATATTCGGCAACTTGGCCGGCAACGCCCTGCAATTCGGCATTTTCATGTCCGTAGCTATCGATCCGCTGTGCCAGGAAAAGGATGGCTGCCTCAAGCAAGGCCGCGTCGTGGGCTGGGGCGTGTCTGTTCTGACGTTCTGCGCACTCATCAATATTACCACTCGAAAGTACGCGATCGGGCTCAACAACTTCTTCGCCGTCGTAAAAGTGGCCTTCGTTGTTGTCCTCGCGTTTATGGGCATCATCTACGGCTCCACTCATGGCGATACCTGCAGGCAGATCAGCTGGCAGAACCACGGCGACTCGGGAAAGCTGGGCGACGTCACAATGGCCCTGTTCTTCGCAATGTACCCATACACAGGGTACGAGCAACCGTTCTACGTGCTCGCCGAAGTGTCCCAGCCCCAGAAGTCGTTTGCAAAGTCGACGTTGATCGCCATGATCACGGCCCTGGTGCTGTTCCCACTCGTCAACGTCAGCTATCTCTGCATGACGCCGTACGTGGGGAACGACGCGCTGCCCGAGAACATTGTCATTTCTTTCTTCGAGCGCATTTCCGGCGGCACTGGCACAGAGAGCACCGGCTCCATCCGGGGCGTGGCCTTGCTGCTGGCTTTTTTCATTTTCGGTAATCTCATGGCGCAGACGTATACGGCCGCGCGCGTCAAGCAGGAGATCGCCAAGGAGGGCATTCTCCCGTGGTCGCTTGCCTTTGCCACCGGCAATGACACGCTGCTCTCTCGGTTGGGCCCGTGGTCTGGGCCTGCCGGCGACAAACTCCAGCCACAGCAGTACCAGCACGCCGTCTCCAACCTAGACGCGCACCGCGAGCAGTCGCCCATCGCTGCAACTGCCCTGCACTGGATCTTCGAGATTCTCTTGGTCCTGGCAGTTGGGCTGTCGGTCGAGCCGTCCAAGGCGTACCGGCTCCTCACGTACCTCTACACGTTCGTGATCGTCGGCGTGCTCGGCCTCTTCACCGTCGGCGGCCTACTGTACCTCAAGATCGACTCGATCGTTGCAGGACGCCGGTCGAGGAACTGGAGAGCAAAGACGGAATGGCGGCCCTGGCTCGACCCGCTGCCGGCCTTCATCGCCACGGTAGCTCTTGCGTTCATGCTCACAACCGCGTTTGTGCCGCCCAGCGATCGCGATCAGGACGCAGTTCCGAACTGGATCGGCCCGACGGTGGGATGGGCCAGCATCGGCCTCGGCGTGCTCTGGTATTTGGGTCTGCTGTTTGTCCAGTGGGCGGGCAGGTGGAAGCTGGATACAAAGCGCCTGCCGGTGGTGGAGATTGACGAAGATGGCCAGGCAATCCAGCGTGCTGAGCTGGTGGAGCACAATCATATCCCGACTGAGGGCGGTCTGCGGAGGAGACGGTGATCAATGGACTAAATGAAGCGGGAATAGATGAAATAACCCATAATCAAACAACATCAGATGCTGCAGCGTGCTCGCTTATGCTGCACTACGGCTGCTTGCCGTGTGACTCAGGCCGCGTCAATGCAGAATTGCAGATCCGATGCTCTGACCCCGCGATCTATTTGCATGCCATGTGAGCCGTCCCTGATTTGTGCTGGCCATATTTGGGGAAGTTCAGACATGAGACGGACAACCATATAAAGTCTGCAGCAAACAACGACATTACATATTCTGATGTCCATCACCTCACATTCTGATGTCCAACACCTCACATTCTGATGTCCATCACCTCACATTCTGATGTCCAACACCTCACATCCCTAGATTTCTCAGATTTCCTCTTACATCTCCATCTCTGACTAAAGAGCATCACCAACAATGGCAGCAGCCTTCAACATCATTCCCGCCCGACAAGAGGACGTCCCGCTCCTCGCCGCCATCAGCGCCGAGGCGTTCGAGTCCGACTCGCAGACCGAAATGAAGAGCCACGGCAAGGTGCCGTTCAACATGAGAGAGCACGCGCTGCGGAGCCTCCCCAAGGAGCTCCAAAACCCGGTCATCCGCATCATAAAAGCCGTCGACGACGAAAGCGGCGCCATCATGGGCTACTGCACCTGGGGGTTCCGCGGGATCCAGCCCCCGGCCTTTCCAGCGGACAAGGTCACCCCGCCGCCAGACAGCGCCGACACAGCCGACGGGCCGCGCGGCGCCCGTGTCAACCCGCCCCCTGCCCCCCTCGACGCCGAGTCCGACGGCGTCGCGCGCCTCGAGAAGCTCACGGGCGACGACCTGCAGAACTGGATGGACCTGGTCATGCCCTCGCCCAAAGATGATGCCGGCAACAGCAGCAGCGAAACGAAGTGCATGTTCGTCATCGGGCTGTCCGTGTCGCCAGCGTTCCAGCGGCGCGGCGTCGGCGCCGCGCTACTGAAGTGGGGCACCGACCTCGTCGACGCTTCGGATGCGTTCGCGTGGGTGCACTCGTCGGCGGGCGCGTGGCCGGCGTACGAAAGGGCCGGGTTCAAGACGGTGCGCACGCTTGACGTCGACCTCGACGAGTATGCTCCCGTGCCGGCGCCCGCGGACCGTTTTGAGGGCGGCAAGTGGGGGCGTTATGTTTTCCGGTATATGATCTATGGCACGCCGCCTGAGATGGCGTACTTGTGAGGTAGCGAGCTGTGGGGGTGGGATAATTAGGGAGTAGAGATGGGATAGGGGGGAGAGAGAGAGTTTAGCGATGGGATTGGCCTGTCCACGGACAGGTCCTAGTCCGGTTAAGGTACGAGGAATAAGCAAATGATACTGAGATTGCAAGGTGATCACGCCGTATAGTTGAGTTTGGAGATGGACGTTGAGCAATTTCATCTTCAAATGAAGCGGGATATAGGAAGCTCGGGGACGGTGACATGGGGGACGGTGACATGAATTAGGAAATAACCAAGTTGAAATGATACTATGATGTCAACGTCGAAGATACATAGAAGTTTTTTCAATTTCAAGTCCTTCTTTGGCCTTGGAGAGGATAGACATGTAGAATTACACGATCAAAAGGAAGTGCTCACTGAGAGGCAAGAGAAAAAATAGGACGAGAAACGAACGAGAAAATAGAAAAACGGAAGTAAGTACCTTTTGCAGGAGGCTAATTAAACATTCGATAAGTTATAACTATCCATAGTTATTTGTATTTACATCTCGTCCTAGGTTGTCCGTTATTAGTAATTATCCAGCTGTCAAGTCCTTACAACACAATGTTATCTTCATTTTATCATTTCCAGTCCAGCCAACGAACAGAACGATTTGGTCCGAAACAAGACCTCGCCTGTTGTTGCCCTCTTTCAACACACGTGCACCTGACCACCTCCGATCGATCGGATACCGCGAGTACCTATCCCGCCCGGCGACCCCGAGCCACCAAGAGCGAGCCGCAAAATTGGTCTCGGACCCCCCTAATCATGTCTCAGCACGGCAGATGAAGATTCCGTGATCTGTATCACTGGATCCGTTTTAGGTACCTGCCTATTTTTAGAGACTGGATTTTCGTCAAGCATTCCTGAGGAACGGGCTCAAGGTTCACTGCCAGAGACAGGACTGCGAGAGAGATTGCTGGGTAGAACATATACAGTACAGCACCAATTAAACACGCCTAGGATGGGCCGGCGTGATGGGGCGCTGCGGGTTTAGAGGGAAAATATGGCATTAGGAGACCCGTCCAGAAGCGAAGAAAGCGAACCCGAGATGCCCGAGTCTCGACCTCTTACGTACTTACGGTACGTCTCCATGCACCGGCCCTGGTTGGGATGCACCTTGATCCCAACGTACTATTCCTTCGTTCCAAGGGCGGCAGAGGGAGAGGGACCACCCGACCAATGAAAACGATCCAAGCAAGCCCGATATTGATGCCACGGAAGCCGACGGAAGTATGGCGGTCGGTTGGTTCCCACAGGCGGGGCGAGGGGCCGTCTCGGAACAGGATGGGACGGTGTCATTGTCCGAGCGATTAACAAACCACATCTGAGGCTTGCTTGCAGCACAATGGTACCGCTGCGGTCGCGACTGTGCGTCTCGAGCATAAAACAAGTCGGCGGTCGCACGTCGCTTTCCATTTCGTGTCTTAGTCGATTCCACAGACATTACCTCCTGTAGAAGGCAAGTCTCGGCCTCTAGCAAGAGTCTCCCGTCTTTTCCACACCCACGAAGACGTCTACAGACAATGACGCTCTTCGCCCTCGGCACCCTCCGCACAGTGCTCGCAGCCGGGCTCCTGTGCGGCAGCAGCAGCAGCAGCAGCAGCATCACCACCATCATCCCAGGTGCTGCCGCTGCCGCTGCCGTTGTCGCTGTCGCTGCCCACCCTTGCTCGCCCCACGGCGGCACCTGGACGGAACTCGCCCCCATCGCAAACTATCCCCGGCAAGAGCAGTCGACGGTCACGCTGTCGCCCACGACCATCGCCATCATCGGCGGCATCATCCCGTTCAGCGCCGGTTACAACACGACGGCCATCCTGCAGTTGTACGACATCCCCACCAACTGCTGGCGGTCGGGCGCGCCGCTGCCGCGTACTGTGAACCACCCCAACGCCGCCGTGGTCGACGGCAAGATCTACGTGCTCGGCGCCCTCGCCAACTCGCCCGACGGAGCCTGGCGCGCCATCCCCGACGCGTGGGTCTACAACCCACGCTCAAACACCTGGTAGGGATTCACCTCGAGAGCGAAGCCTAGAAGACAGACACTGACTCGTGCAACCAGGCGGGAGCTGCCCCCGATGCCCACCGCCGAGGCGCGCGGCAGCTGTGCCGTGGGCGTCTATGGCAAGACCATCTGGCTGGCGGGCGGCATGACGGTGCTGGCTCCGTGGAAGGGCGGCGAGCAAGGGACGGTGGACACGGTGACGGCGTTCGACACGGCGGCGGAGCGGTGGGTGACGACGGTGCCGGCGGTGGCGCAGCACCTGCCGGGGCCGCGGGACCACGTGGGCGGGGCCGTGGTCGGCGACGGCTTCTACGTGCTAGGCGGGCGTGACCACGGGCAGTTCAACTGGCACGACACCGTGTTCAAGCTGGACCTGAGGCGCGTCGCGCGCGGCTGGGAGACCAAGGCGGGCAAGATGCCAACGCCGCGCGGCGGGCTGGCGGCCGTGGCCATCGGCACCAAGGTGTACACGTTTGGCGGCGAGGGCAACCCGGCGCCGGGCTCCAACGGCGTCTTCAACCAGACCGAGGCCTACGACACGGTGCGCGACTCGTGGGAGAAGCTGGCGCCCATGGCGCTGCCCAGGCACGGCACCTTCGCGGCGGCCGCCGGAGGTCGCGTCTACATCCCCGGCGGAGGGTTAGCAATTGGGGGCGCGCCGACAAACTATTCTGATGTTTTCCGTCCATGATGGGTAGCGGTGCCGGCGGCCAGGTAAGATATGGGTTGCGATATCGTACACAACGTGGACCCAGGTTCGGTCTCGTTCGCGCTCGTTGGAGAAACGTCTGAGACGTATTGCCGTTGGCAGCGTTGGCATCCATCCGTACTTACCTGCCTTGGATTAGTTATGGAATTCCAGTAATATCGTGCTAGTGTGAACAAAATCAAGCCATTTATTGGATGCCGACTGCTGCGAACACATGCATCATGGTCTGCACGCATCCGTCATCCTTACAACCTCAATGCTGGTTGGTATTGATGTTTTTTGAGTTGTGTTTTCGATGGTTGCGAGCTCGAAGTGCGGGCTCGAAGAATTTGACCCCCACCCCCTGAACGTCCACTTTCGCCCTTTTGTTAGGTAGTGACCCTGCTAGCCCACGTCCCACGTGCTGCGCCTGCGCCTGAACTCGACCCACCCTGACAGCCGCAAATCCGAACCAACTGCATGCAGGCCCTGTTCTTGGCGGCGCATAGCATCGGCTTTTGTGGCCCTCCCCCACTATCCGTCTGACATTTCGCATCATCCCATTCGCGAAAGTTTGCCTTCTGCCATACAAACCTCGTTTCCAACCATTCACTGCACGCCACAAACCACCACCAGGTACTGCCAATTGCTTCTCATATCTATCTCGCTGTGGGTTCCTTACGCAATCTCTGCCATTCGCAACCAATTCCCCAGTTTTCAAGGAAATTAACGTTTTTTTCCTCCTCTGCCAGACCAATTTGACCTGCCCACCCCACGATGGCTCCTTCCAACGGCGATGCGATCAACGGCGCGGCGCGGCCGCCTGTGCCAATCCTCCAGGCGCCGAAGCTGAGCGTCAAGATTTCGGCCACGGAGCTGATCGGCAACACCCCGCTCGTGCGGCTGAACAAGATCCCCCAATCGCTCGGCATCGAGGCCGAGGTCTACGCAAAGGTCGAGCTGTTCAACGCCGGCGGAAGCGTCAAGGACAGGATAGCGCTGCGCATGATTGAGGAGGCCGAGAAGAGCGGGCGCATCAAGCCCGGCGACACTCTGATCGAGCCTACAAGCGGCAACACGTACGTGGATATGGCTTCCCGTGTCCCAGCCCGAGAGGGGCTAACTCTGGCCGTTGTCTCATTGTCTTGCTAACACTTGCTTTCCTCCAGCGGCATCGGCCTTGCCCTCGTCGGCGCCATCAAGGGCTACAAAACCATCATCACGCTTCCTGAGAAGATGTCGGCCGAGAAGGTCTCTGTTCTGCGAGCCCTGGGCGCCACCATCATCCGAACCCCCACCCAGGCCGCCTGGGACAGCCCGGAGAGCCACATTGGCGTGGCGAGGCGCCTGCTGAAGGAGATCCCAGACTCGCACATCCTTGACCAGTATACCAACCTGGACAACCCGCTCGCGCACGAGTACGGGACTGCCGAGGAGATCTGGGCGCAGACGGGCGGCAAGGTTACGGCGGTCGTCGCCGGCGCGGGGACGGGCGGCACCATCACGGGGCTGGCCCGCGGGCTGCGGAAACACGACAAGAACATCAAGGTGGTGGCGGCCGACCCGTTCGGCAGCATCCTGGCGCTACCCGAGAGCCTCAACGAGGAAAAGGCCAACATCCCGTACAAGGTGGAGGGCATCGGCTACGACTTCATCCCCGACGTGCTTGAGCGCGAGCTCGTCGACAAGTGGTACAAAACGGACGACCGCGAGTCGTTCCAGCTGGCCCGGCGGCTGATCGCCGAGGAGGGCCTGCTGGTCGGCGGCAGCTCCGGCAGCGCCATGGCCGCCATGGTCCGTGCGGTCAAGGAGCTCGGGCTCGGCAAGGGCGACGTCGTGGTGGTCATCCTGCCCGACAGCATCCGGTCCTATCTGTCCAAGTTCGCCGACGACGACTGGCTGGCCGCTAACGGCCTCCTGTCGGCCGACGCGGCCGACGCCGGGAACGTCAGCGGCAGCGGCGAGGGCGGCGCGGCACAGGCACTGGCCTCGCCGCAGACCCCGAGCGACCCGTACGCGGGCGCCACGGTGCGGTCGCTCCGGCTCAAGCCGGTCACGTCGGTGCTGACCGACAGCCCGTGTGCCGAGGCGATCGAGACGATGCGCGAGAAGGGCTTCGACCAGCTGCCGGTGCTGACGCCGACGGGCGGCAAGCTGGCGGGCCTGGTGACGCTGGGCAACATGCTCAGCTTCATCTCGCGCGGGCGCGCGGCGCCAAAGAGCCCCGTCGGCGATGTCATGTTCAACTTTGGACGCATCGACGAGGTGGTCACGGACCCGCGCCGCTTCGGCTCCGACCTAAAGGACAAGAAGCGCAAGTTCGTCGAGATCACCATGGACACGCCGCTGTCGGCGCTCAGCCGCTTCCTCGAATGGAACAGCGCCGCCGTCGTGACGGAGAAGAGGGCCGACGGCGACGGGTCCAAGCCCGTGGCCGTCGTCACCAAGGTGGATCTGCTGACCTGGATGATCAAGCAGAAGCCGTAGTCTTTTCGTTGGGGGGAAGGCAATATATTCGAGGTTTTTTTGGAGGCGGGGTTGTTAATTCTTGGCTGAAATGGCAGCGGTAGGTATTCTTACGGTAGATCTTCGACTCAACGTCTTCGGCTTCTGGATACGGCGGGCGTGTTGGGGGGACTGGCAAGAGCCAGAGGCTCGCATCATCACATAGCATAGGTTGGCATCGATAGGGGGTTCAACCCGTGCAAATGGGATATTTTGGTTTCAACAAACGCTTGGCTGTTGAGTGACTGGTTGAGTTGCGAGCTGCATTACGCGCAAAGCACAGCACGGAATATGTACATGAAAGTATTAGGTATTGCATGGCTGCCACTGTGATAACCAAGCTCTATGTCTCAGATCCTCTCGGCGATCCACCGCCACCACCTGTCCGCACCAGGGCCCTCCCCAATGACATTGCCCCCAACCACATCCACCTCAATATCGAACTCGAGCATCTGCTTGAAGGAGAACTTGTCGCTGCCGTACTCGCCCAACCAATTATCACTCTCATCACCAGCAGCACCGGCCGCCGCAACATCTTCGTCGGCGCCGACGCCCGAGTCGAGCAGGCCGCGGCTGCGCGTGCGGCGGATGCGCCCTAGCTCCGCCTCTAGGTTGCTCCGCACCAGCGCTGCCGGCAGCGCCGTGAACAAGTCCAGCTTGTTGGCCGCCACCAGCACCGGCACCGACGCCGGCGCGCGGCTGCCCTTGCCCGCGCCCATGCGCTTCTGCAGGCTCAGAAGCACCTCGTACAGGTACCCCGCCGTCTCGGGCAGCGCGTCGCCGTCCGCTAGCGCCGCCGCGTCGACCACGAACACCACCGCCTTGACCTTGCTCTTGCTGCTGCTGTCTGACGACGACGACGATGTCGTTGTGGTGACGGCTGCTGCTGTGGTTGCCGTTGTGCCTTGGATCCGCGCCAGCGCGTGCCGCCGCAGCTTCGCGTGGCCCGGCGTGTCGACCAGCAGGAACTTCTTGTGCGCGGACCCGGCAGCGTCCAGGTCGTCGCGGAACGACGACGCGCCGTCGTCCGACACGGACAGCTCGACCGTCGCTGGCGCCTGCGATGTGTGCGTGAGCGCGACTGCGGTATTGTTCAGTTGCCGCTGCTTTTCGTCCTTGTGTTGTTGCTGTTGAGTGTGGGTGGCAAGCGGCCCGCGCTCAAAGAGCGTCAGCAGCGCCGTCTTGCCCGCTCCTGAGGGTCCGACTAGGAGCACGGATGGTAGTGTCGAGTACGGTGTTGCTGCGACGAGGATGAAGTGCAGTAGGATGGGGACGAGGACCACGATGGCGAGCCCCGCGAAGATGACTGTCGGGGAGGGCTGGAGCGAGGCTTCGAGGAGCGCTTTCGCGGTGTCGAGGAACGTCATCCTGGGCGAATGCTATTCGGTCTCGCACGCCGCGTTTGTGGGATCGGCGTGGTGCGGGGTGGTTTCGGTGGGAAACGTCGGTCTTGGATTCCCTTGGCCCGTTGTGGTTCCAACAATCGCGGTTTTTATTCTTTGGGAGGTGAAGGTGGAGAAGCTTTAATTCAGCGGTTGATATGTGCGATCAAGGCCGCCTCCTTATATCTGCGTGTCCTTGAATTTTGTTGCAGTCTTAGTTCTAGTGCTTATGGAAAGCTTTGTTTCCGAGCAGCTGCATCAGGCCATTATCGTCCGGCGTGGCAACCTGGAAGTGCAATTTTGGCCTTTCCACAGTGCAAGGATGGAGATGTGGCTTCCGCTGCTCGGCTGCTAGCATGGGTCGTGGAAGCCCACTTTAGGTTGTACTATGTACATAGTAGGTGCGGACCCCATTTTTTTTTAAGAACGACCACCAATTATTCTCATCATTTACAATTCCTTTTCGGCTAGCCACTATTGGCCAAAATTATTTCAAGCTCAAGATGATCTCCCTTTTCGATGTGGTGCATTTTTCCGGTAGCTAAAGGGATGGATGTCCCAGATGCTCCATCTCCCGTGGCGGAGTGTTGCTGCCCTTACGGAGTCGGGCCCACTTAGGTATTCAGCACGCCGCTGGGAGCCCTCGAGCCCTACAGTGGCCCATTCACCGCGAGCAACAGGCCAGCACCCAGCACCCGGCGCCCGGGCCAGGGACGCACTGACAGGTTTGCGCCGCAAGGAGAAGCAAGCCCGACCAATGAGCTGTGCCCAACCAAATCCCTACCCCTCTTGGCACAGCCTCGCTCAACGGCTGAGACGATGTCCAATGTAGGTGCGGGCCTCGAAGACGAGTAATCAGCTCCCTCACGTCTCGCCGCTGGCGCCGCCTGTCAACGTTCGAATTTGTGCCTCCGCCAACAGAAACAATCCTCCCGCCCGTTCTAACGCCCATCCCTGCTTGTCGCGGGCCCTTTTCGAAATACGCCTTAGGCTTGCCGATTTTTTCTCGAGAGTTCCCCATCGTGATGATTGGGTTCTCGTTTTGACGCTACTACACCTAGTACTGACCATTCACCCATGCTGTCTTACGTGATCCGCAATTAACTCGACCTTGGATTCCCGTCGAGAGTCTGCCGACTGTGTTCAAAGCCACGCGGAAGCATCCGGACTCGCAACTGCAATTGAACCTGCCTTTTGTGTCTCGACCAGGCGATTGACTGCACGGCGCAACACGGCCCACGCACGAGCGGACCAGAGACGATGGCGCACACGCGCGCGAACAGCCCGCCGGCTTCGAATGGCGCTGCAGCCGTCCAGCCGGCTGCCAAATCCGAATCTGCAATGCCCAAGCTGAACAACGAGGTCGAGCTCGGGGACCTCCCCAGCGATGCCGCCCAGAACGACATCATGCAGATGGCGAGGATAGGAGACATTCCGGGCATGCAGAAGCTGTTCGACGCCGGCGAGTTTGATGCGACGTACACGGACGACGAGGGCATCACGCCGCTACATGTGAGTGCCGCCGAGAGCATGGCCGCCTGCCGTCTCTCCCTCCGTTTCCATGCTCTGTTCCAGTCGCTGTGAGACTGACAATCTTTGCTTTGCGGACAGTGGGCAGCCATCAACAACCAGTTCGCTATGTGCAAGTTCCTCATCGACAGCGGCGCCGAGATCAACAAGAAGGGAGGCGAGAGCATTGCGACGCCTCTGCAATGGGCCGCCCAGCGGTGCCACTACTACACGGTCCACCTTCTCCTCCAGCACGGCGCGGACCCGTTGATCACCGACGCCCAGGGTTACAACACGTTGCACATCAGCACCTTCAACGGCAACGTCCTCCTCATAGTGCTGCTGCTCCACCAGGGCATCCCGGTGGACGTGGAGGATGCCTTTGGCCACACGGGCCTGATGTGGTCCGCCTACAAGGGGTTTCCGGCCTGCGTCGATGTCTTTCTGCGGTGGGGCGCGAGCGTGCACGCAAAGGACGAGCAGGGGTTCACGGCGCTGCACTGGGCTCTCGTCAAGGGCAGCCCGGGGTGCGTCCAGAAGGTCATCGAGTACGGCGCGGACAGGTTCGCCAAGACCACGACTGGCAAGACGCCGTCCATTACGGCGCAGGAGCTAAACACAACTGGGGCGTGGCACAAGGCACTTAACGAGTGTGGCTACGACGACGACGGCAACGCCATCGTGCCGAGCTGGCCAGGCGCATCCTATCTCCTGAAGGACAGGCGGGGATTCATGACCAAGTTCTTCTACCTGTGGCCGTTCCTCATGGTCTGGTCGTTCCTGTTCATCGTCTCGGGCATGCCCGTCTATGCCGGCGTCCCAATCGGCTTCGTTGTCGCCTATTCCGTTCATTGGGTGGGCCAGCAGGTGCTTGCCTACGCGCCTCCGAATATGAGACAGTTCGAGAAGACGGTACGTTCCCTTTCCTCCCACCTCGGCAGTTTTCTGGCAGTGGCTGACTTTGCGGCAAACAGCCTTGGATGTCTGGCATCTTCGCCGCGTCCCTTTTCCTAGTTGGTACCAATTGGCTCTTTACCGTTTTCCCCAAGACGGCGTTTGGGTCTGGTGAGTTCCGCCAATAATAGTCTCCATTCAGGCCTATGTCTGTGCTAACAGCGTCGCAAGATCCAACATGGGTGCTCAATCTTGCCTTTGCCGTTTTCTTTTCCTTCACGGCCTGGTTCTACGTCAGATGCATGGTCGACGACCCGGGTTTTGTACCCAAGCTCAACGGCATAGCTGAGCAAAAGGCCGTCATCGATGAGCTGATTCAGACTTGGAGGTTCGACGAGTCCAACTTTTGTGTTACGTGCATGATCAGGACGCCGTTGAGGAGCAAGCACTGCCGGAGGTGCCAGCGCTGCGTTGCCAAGCACGATCAGTTAGTGCCTTCCTTGTCCAGTCTATATCAACGAATTTCGTGGCTAACTGTCTCCTTCACCAGCCATTGCCCGTGGGTCTATAACTGCATCGGGGTCAATAACCACAGGCATTTCTTCCTTTACTTGATCAGCATGGCCTTTGGTGTCATTACGTTCGACATTTTGACCTACAATTGTGAGCATTGCAGCCCGTATTTCTCTACCAACCCTCAAGGTGTCGAGACTAACTCGGAGCTCACAGATCTTTCTGTCGCTTCCGCCGGTGCCTCGGAGGAATGCAACATCCTCTCTCCATCGCTCTGCCGCGTCGTCAATGCCGATGCCCACAGCTTGCTCCTCGCGATGTGGGCATCGCTGCAGCTGACGTGGGTATCCATGCTCCTATTTGTGCAGTTCATACAGGTCACGCGCGCCATGACCACGTACGAAAACATGTTTGGCGTGGGCAATAACGCTTCGGCGTCGCTCAACAGTGCCTTCACATCGACGGGCGCACCTCTCGACCCCTCCCAGCTTCCGCCTTCGGGATCCGCTGCGCAACCTGATGCCGGAGGCCACGGTCATGGTCACGGCCACGGCGGCCACGGCCACAAGCATGGCGGCATGCTCAAGCAGTGGGGCAGGCTGCTGGGCGTCGACGCCTTTGTCGAGACCGCCACTGGCCGGGGCGCTGCCACCAACAAGAACAACAAGCGCCGCAGATCCAACCCCTACAGCCGCGGTTGCCTGACAAATTGCAAAGACTTTTGGTGCGACCCAGCTCCCCTACTAGGCAAGCGCGAGACGGGCGCCGCTATCCTCGACGGCCAACCTGTCAACTACACCGAGTTGTACGAGAGCCCGACCATGATGGATAGCGCTCCTAGAGCCCGGAGATCGGGCGGCTATGAGGCAGTGGCCGAGGAAGAGGTATGAGGGATCCGCACCAGCAGATAACAAGACATGTTAGCGTGGCAGCGCGTGTGTGCAGCGGCTTTATCGTTGATAGACACGGACGAGTACGTATAAGAATAGACGAAGGAGACGACGACTTGTGATGATTCTACCGTCTCAGTTTTGAGTATTCTGGAGAGGCGGGGGACGGATGGAGACGTTTTTGCAACATTCCTTTTTTGGTTGTGTACCATTTGCAGGTACTCTGATGCAAAAGGCAGGCGGCTAGGCAGTCGGACAGCAGGACAGGCGGGAGTTGTATAATTTTCCCCTCTTTGTTATTACCCTTATCACCATCATTACTGCGGGAGTCGTCGATTAATTGTAGGGCGTTGTGTTGGCTTTTCTGTTTCGTCTACCAAGTATCTCCCTTTTGGCGAGAAATTACAATACATACACCACCCTCATCCCTCCCCATGCGCCATCACAGGAAGTTGTCAAACCACCGCACAGCCTGCAAGTACGCCGACTCCTTGGCGAACTTCTCAATGGGGTTTGACACGTTGGCCCTGACGCCAAAGCCGTGCGACGTGCCCGAGTACAGGGCAACCTGATAGGGTTGCGTGCTGTTCAGCAGCAGTGCCTCAATGGCCGCCCGCCGCGCCGGCGGCATCATGGAGTCGTTCTCGGCCGCCGCCACCGACGCCGGGCCCTTGACGCCCAGGATCTCCCCGTCCTCCAACAAACTCGGGTGCGCCGCGAACGCAGCCACCGCGCCCCGCCCCGCCGCCGCCGTCCGGAACGCGTACCGCCCTCCAAAACAGTACCCCGTGGCACCGATGCGCACCGGCGCTTTGGCCGTGCCGTCCGCCGTCGCCTGCACGTACGCTACTGCGGCTGCGATGATCGGGTCCGTCGCCGCCGGCCCGTGCAGGCCCAGGAACGCCCCCGTGTCGAACCCCGGCGTGTTCAGGTCGTTGGGTGCGGGCGCGCCGTTGAAGAGGTCTGGCGCCACGACCAGGTACCCCGCGCGCGCGAAGCTGTCGGCGAGTCTGGAGGGGGTGTGTTAATGGGGTGTGTGTTAATGTGTTGTTTTAAAGCACAGAAGGGACGAGACTAACAGCCTGTTCTCCAGCAGCTGGATGCCAAAGACGTCGGTCAGGTACAGCACGGCGGCGCCAGTCCGCGCCTTTCTGATCGACTCGTCGGGCTTGGAGACGTAGAGGGTGACTTTGAGACGCGAGGTCAGCTTGGCCACGGTTTTTGCTTTGTGCTCTCTCTATCTACTCACTATTGTTGTACACGACCTCGGTCCCCACCGACTTGCCGCTGTTGGCGACGGCCGACCCGTCGACGGCCGCGCAGCCGTGCGCGGGGATCTGCCTGTGCGCCGCGGCGCCGCCGACGAGGAGCAGCAGGGAGCTGGACAGCAGACGCATTTTTCTTGGCTGGTGTCTTTGGGGCTTGAAGAATGGGGGTCGGGGAGATGTGCACGCACGCGGCAGGAGAGACGATGCCGGGAGATGGGTGTCGGTCGGGACATGTATATTGAGGGGCAGCGGCGGTGCCTGGATTTATACTGCCCGGATATTGCGCGTATATTGCGCTGCTTGTATACCCCTTCCCAGTCCCCACGATGGGTATATTGTTGTTTATTAAACACGCCCGCGCGGAGGGCGTTGCAGTCAGTGCCTTTCCCTTCCCGCCCGTCCCCGCAGAATTTACAATATCGACATGAGCCGCGGTCGGTGTTTTGTCAGCCTCGGTATTCGCACTGCAAACTCCGTAATAATTACCAACCACTTGGCTGTGAACCACTTGGCTGTGAACCACTTGGCTGTGTCTGGAAAGCTTCAACGTGTTGCGATTGGTCGATCCTTACCAGTTTTGTCAAGTCATCGGCGGAGAAAGTTCCACGAAGGAAGACACAACAGCACCTGCGGTGGGAATGCGACGTCCGCTCGCCGGCTAGACAAGGGATACTAGTCAGCTGCGGAGCCGAGAATCTAGTCCTTACTCATAGGCAAGGCAACCATTACAACCGGTACGTAACGCGCGGCCCAGGATGAGCAAATACCGCTTCTCCATGCCGATGCCAGTGCTACCTGGGCCCATGCTGCAGCTGCACCTGGCCCCTCTGCCGTGCTGTGTGTGCCCGCCGGCTAAAACAATTCGACCGCGGCGCCGCGGGGCCCGGTGCCGTGGCGTGGCGAGTGCGACGCTGGAGCCAGCGGCCCGCTTACGACTGGGGTGCCTGAGGCAAGGGGGCTAAATCGGGGACATATACAGCCTCATCGTCGGCGACGATACGGCGCAGCCGCGCTGGATCCCTACGAGCGCGAACGTTTCACGCACCCTCCAGGCGTCGCTGACCATCTTCTACGTCGTGCTGTGCCAGCCGACTCCTCGCAGCTACCGCGCCTTCCCGACCCTCCTGACAGATATCCGCGCGTTCGTGTGCACCATCTTTGACGGCTACGCCCACGAGAAGACGCACTACAGCCTCCACGCCGCAATTACAGGAGTACCGCTCTAGCCTACTGCGCGACACCAAGCAGTAGAACAAGAGCCTTGTTGAGCTTGAGGGCATGCTTGCTGAGTTTGAGGGCATGCTGGCATGAGCCTCGACGATGAGGAGAACGAGGGAAAAGGTAAAGGTCTTGGCGTGGACCGCGATGACGACATCGACATGGACGACTTAGACCAGACCGAGACAGTGAGACGGAGAGATGCGAAGCGGTGTATAACTAGAGACCAGACAATTCTGGGACAGTGGGACTGAGTAATCTCACGTTGTATAACACCTCAGGACTAGACGAGAATCAGACTGCATTATCCCACACAAGATAGATTTGGTATTGCCAACTCGACCGAATAATTTGACTTAACTGGTTGTGACATGTTGACTATACACAGAATGCGAACCAGCTAATGCACATACAAATTCAACACGAGCACAAAAAGCGCAAAAAACCAATGCAATACCACTGGGTCACCGAGGGTTGGCGGTGTTTGCTAAACAACTAATACGGTGAACAAATAGAGTGATTTATTTATTTTCTCTTTCGTATTGGAAAGGATGCATGTTTGTACCCCCCACCCAAGGGCCTTAACAATGTTCATTCTAGTGTGTGCGTGGTGATGGTGTGTGTAAGCTATGTCATTTTGGCGATAGATCTAACTGTGAAGTCACTCCTTGACTACCGTATCTGGTACCACGCAAGACGACAGACAAGACGACAGACACTCAATATCAACATGTACCCCGGGATAGAGTTAAGTCGCGTCAAGCAGTCCCTTTCGGTTTAATTCATTCATCCATTACAACTAACTGTAACGGCTTTACTCACTGCATGTTCCTTCAACAAATCACGCTCGCGACGCAGACCCACCCTCCTCCGCCAGGCTCAAGCCCAACTTCTTCGCCTCGCCCCTGCCCGCCAGTATCTCGTCCACCAGCCGCTTCCCCATCTCGAGCTCCTTCTCGAGGTCCCTGATCTCGGCCCACAGCATGCCCGTCGTGGCAATGAGGGCAATGGCGAGCAGCACCACGAGGATGACCCACATGACGAGCAGCTCGACGGGCTCGCCGTCAGCTGTGGCGTCGCTGTCGTCGCTGTTGCGTTTTTTGTTGTACCTGGCCCTCGACGAAGAGCTGTGGCCCGGGTAGTATGTGGAGAGTGGCGACGCGCCTGCCTCGCCCAGCGGCAGCGGCAGCGGCAGCGCGAGCGCCGCGGTCGCGATGGCGAGCAGCCCGGTGGTTGTCAGCCAGATCAGCGCCACTAGGCACCGCAGGCGGCTGCGTTGGTGGTTGGGGGATGAAGCCATTGCTTTGGAAGGTCCGCCCAGTGCGGTCAAAATTATCCGCTCGGGGACTTGATTTGCGGGTGCTGGTGCTGGTGCTGGTGCTGGTGCTGGTGCTGGTGCTGGTGCAGAAGGAGAGAAAGTCCAAGGTCTTACCTTGATGGTTGCAATGTGCATGTTCGGTTTTTTAAATATCTGGGAATCATGGCGCGTTGTTCTGGGAGAGCAAGGGCTGACGCAAAGAAAGGTGTTTGGCGAGAGGCGGCTGGGAGGCCGGCACAAAGAAACTGCCAGCATTGTCTGTCGTGCCCAAGTGGCACTAGGCATTGTCTGCCGTGCCCAAGTGGCACTAGGCAACAGTTGCGTTCAAAGGAGTTTGCTATTGTTTATTGTGCCTTGTCTCTTGCCCTTTTGGCTTTTTGACTTTTTTCCCCCGTACTATCAGCATTCAATTTCCGCTCAGGGTAGAAATTGTACTATGCACAAGCGGAAACCTTCTCGTGTTGAAGCACCACCGTGAAAGATGATCCTAAATTCATCTATAATTACTTGTTAAGCAACTCAGGCTCCAATTTAATTAATCATCACCCTTTGAAATTGTAATTATATCTACCCTGGGGCATGCAGCAAAGAGTCTGGTCCCGGCCGCAGTCTCATCGACCGCAGAACGAAACGCCATCACGTCGTCTTCTTCTCGTCGGCCTGGGCCGCCGCATCCTCGGCCGAGTCGGACTGCAGCGGCTCCATGCCCTCGATTTCGCCGTTCAGCATGCCCTGGACGTCGAGGCGCGGCTCCTTGTAGTTCTTGCGGCCGTCGACGAGCCACGTCGTGCCCGAGATGAGCAGGATCACGCCAAAGGCCACGATGCAGTAGTTCATGTTGTCGGGCGTCACGGGCAGCTCCGGCGGGAACACGAACAGCACCGTCGTCAGGACCGTCCACGCGATGCCCACCTGTTGGGAGCACATGGTTTGTCAGCTAGGTCGAGTTTCGTCTTTCCTTGGCATACATACCAGGTTGCATGTCCAGCCGAGCCACTCGGGCAGCTTGAACGCCCTCGTGGGCGGCAGCATCCTGCGGCCGCGCAGGGCGTTGATGGAGGGTGGGATGGCGTAGGTGACGCCGAGGGCGACGACCGAGGCCGACGTGATGGCGTTGAAGGTGCTGGTCGAGCCGAGGAAGATGCAGCCAAACACGACGACCCAGCCCGTGGTCCACAGCAGCGCGTTGAGCGGCACGTTGAGCGTCGGGTGCACGCGGGCAAAGACGGAGCTGAAAGGCATGCCGCCGTCGCGCGCAAAGGCGTAGCTCATGCGGCTGCTCGTGCACACGAGCGTGACCGTGGTGAAGAGCATGCACACGAGCGGGAACATGAGCAGCGCCGTGCTCCCGGCCTTGCTGCCCGTGGCGTCCATGAAGATCTGCAGCAGCGGCCCCGACGGCGAGCTGATGACGCGCTCCACGTCGTCGACGACGAACAGCAGGCAGCTGAGGAAGACGAAGCCCGTCAGCATGCCGATGCCGATGCAGTACAGCATGATGCGCGGCCCTTGCACCTGCGGCCGGGGGATCTCCTCGATCATGTGTGCCGTTGCGTCGAATCCTGGCTCGCGTCAGTACCGGACTGGACCTGATGATATCGTAAACACGGAGAAAAAATACCTGTCAAGGCAAACGCCCCCTGCAGCAGCCCCAGAAGCCAGGCCAGCCCGTCGGGCCAGCCGACTTCGTTGTTGAACTGCCCGTAGACAAACTCGCCGCTCTGGTAGTCGGGCGACGAACAGGCCAAGATGGTGATGCAAATGATCACAAAGCCGGCCATGGACCAGAAGAAGGCGGCCTTGGTGAAGTAGGGGAGCAGGCGGGTAAGGAAGGTGTTGATGACGAGGGCGAAGAGGGCAAAGGCAATGTAGATGAGGAACTGATGCCACGGGGCAGCATCGTAATCCGGGTTGAAGAGCACCATGATGTTGACGATGAAGGTGCTGCCGAGCAGGCCGCCGGTGGCGCTGAGGGCCACCCACCCGGCAACGTTGATCCAGCCCGTGCAGTAGCTGATGCCGCGGCTCCAGCCCTTCCACGACACGATGGCGGCCCAGTGGTACTGGCCGCCCGCCGTGGGATAGGCCGAGAGGAACTCGGCCAGCGACGCGGCGAGGCACAGGTTGCAGATGCCGGCCACCATGAGCCCCCAGATGACGGAGCTGGCGCCGCCAGACGGCAGGGCCAGCGAGATGGACGCCGCCAGGGCCGTCCACGTGTTGAGGATGGCAAAGGCGAGGCCCAGCATCGACACCATGGAGAAGTTGCGCTTCAGCTCCTGCTTGTGTCCGAGCCGCTCCAGCTCCGCGTCGTCCTCCCCGACGGCGTTGGCCTGCCGCCCGCCCTGCTCGGCTTCTTCCATTCTGTCACCTGCAGGTGCTGGAGCCCTTTGTTGCCGTACTGGTGCGAGTTCAAGGTGCGGCTCCGGCTGCAGTGTCCTATGTAGGCAAGCTGTGATTGAGTGATGGGGATATTGTTGCAAGTAAAGTCTTGGAAAGTCTTGGAAAGTCTTGGTACGCACATCTTGGGCCGGTGAGATTGGGTAGGTAGGTAGGCGGCGGTCTAGACGAGGAAGATCCCCCTCCCACACAGTCCCAGTCCCGCGTGTGCAACTTCGGGTGGCATTTACTGCGTCATAGCCTGGCATCCCCGGACAACTCCCGACGTTAGCTCACCCTACCTATCATAGGAGAGCACGGCAGCTCCGACACCTTCCGGATTCGGTACGCCATCCCGCATCGCGGCTAGCTCCCGGCCCCTGAAGCGCCTCGATCCTTGACTGCGACGCTGGTGAGGGACTACACCTCCACCGGGGAAATAAAAGTTAGCTTGGTACGTTGCCTACTATTAGTATCTTCCAGGCAAATCTCGCCAATCGCTAACTTTGCCACCTCCCCACGCTGGCATGTATTACCCTGCTGGCACCAGACTTGCCTCCAATTGTTCCCCGGAGGAGGTGTAAGCCCCCGCACATATGCCATGGAACCCTGGCAAACGGCTGATAGGATGAGTAGATAAAAAGGGGAATTCATCGGGGCACCCACCCTAACACTGCGGACACCCACCAATCCACCTTGCCAGCTGCATCCGAGGACTCGCCTTTTTAGCGGTAAAATCGGTTCTTCTGGATACTGGCCCCCACATGTAGATTTTGGCCTCAGTCAGCAGCCCTATTGACCTGTTCAATTTGCGCGCATTGCGGCCAGCCGGGAAAAAGTCGATAAATTTGGTGCAAATCAGGGCGTTGAGCTGGCTGTTGGCCAATTCGTTGACATGGACTAATTTGCATACAGTCAAGTACATGCATGCATGTGAGGCTGATCGAACAGAGTGGTGATGTTATGTGTGGTGTTGAGCCTGTCAGGGGGGCGTGTCAATATGCGCGTATTGTGACTGCCCAGGAAAACTGGCCAAATTTGGTGCAAATCAGGGTGTTGAGCTGGCTGTTAGCCAGCACGCTGATATAGCCCAAGTTGCATGTAGTCAAGTGCACGCAGTCAAGTGCATGCAGTCAAGCGCATGCAGTCAAGTGCATGCAGTCAAGTGCATATATGTGTCTGAAGCCGATTGAATAGAGTGGTGATGTCTTTTGTAGTGTTGAAGGTGAACTGGCTCGCTCTGTTGACGTGCCGTGGCAGGGAAAAAAAATCTACACATGGGGGGGCTACATCAAAAAGTACCGATTTTGCCGCTAAAAAAAGCCGTCAGTTGCTGCCAGCCGCCATGGCGGGTTTTTTGTGGGTGGGTACCTAGGTGTACGTACTAACGATAGGGTGGGTGCCCCGATGAATTCCCATAAAAAGCGTCCGACCAGTCATGGGCCGGCGATAGAGAAGAAAAGGGTTACGTATTAACGTTATCCGTAAGTTAATTATCGCAAAGAACACACAACACGATATCGGTTACAAGCTTTCAAACACTAGAGAAATCTTTGACAGAAACTGGTTAGCATAGTTACCAATATCTCTAAAGAACCTAATTCATTAACAAAGCCAGAGCATAGAAATTACCCTGCGCAAAATGAAAAGCTGAACGTCAATACAGTGAGTATATTGTTTTACCTCCCCCAGACTTGAACATGTGCTCAAGTGTCTCCATCCCAGCTCTTCACCTCCTCCTACCCCTTTTCATCCCTTGCTAAACTTGAACAACAGCTTCTCCCTCGTCCCCATCTGACCCAACAGTTCACGGTTATGCTCCAAGTGGAACAAACGCAACAGGGCATACAGGACAGCCAGTTGGGCCGTGAGCGACGGGACGACGTCTATGTCGCGCAGCCACAGAACGTGGTAGTCCTCTCCATCTTCACCAATACCACCACCATCATCACCATCATCACCATCACCACCGTCCGGATAAATTGCTAACAACAACCTCAAGATAAACCGTGCCTAGTAATCCTCGCTCGACTAACCCTCACGCATCTCATCACTATCATCACTATCATCACCATCATCACCATCATCACCATCATCATCATCAGCAGTGGCAGTCCAGCACGTAGCAGCAGCGCGATCAACGCGACACGTGCGGCCAGCCGTGACGCCGCCGCCGCCATCATCAAGAAACCGCGGCACGGTGATTGTCAGCATGGGCTCGAGCACGCGCGGCGCGGGCTCCGGCGCTTCCGGGTCGCCGCGCACGAAGTCGCGGACGAACAGGGCAAATTCGCGGCGTGCGCGCGGCCAGCCGTGCAGCAGCGCCGTGATGTGTGACGCGTTGAGGAGGGAGTTGGCGACAGGATAGTGGTGCTGCAGCGCCGTGATGTGTGACGCGTTGAGGAGGGAGTTAGCGACAGGATAGTGGTGCTGCTCGTCCCGCGGTTGGTGCGCCGGCGGCGTCGTGGTAGCGGAGTTCTGTCGCATGTAGAAATCGGCGATGACAGCGGGGCTGGGCCAGACCTGGAAGTGGCCTTCGTGGGCGGGCTGCGAGTGGTCGACGAGGCGCGTGAGGATGCCCGTGAACCTGGCGGCGTGCTCGGCCGGCGACAGCTTCACCTTTTGGTGGGGCGTGGTCAGCCTGGCCAGGTCAGCGATCTCGGCCTCGGCGGCGTCGAGCACGTCCGGGTGCGGGAACAGCGCGGACACGGTCGGGTATACGGGTACTTGCACGCTACCTCTGTGCTCGAACTCTTCCTGTTCTGGGCTGAGAGGCTGCCGTGGCGGGTCTCTCTGCGGCGTGGGGCTTGAGACTGCAGGGCGGCAGGGGCTGGTGACATTATCGCTTTGTCCGGGGAGCACAGGACGCCCGTTGCTTCTTTCCATGGCAGCCGTGGTTGGATTCGACCGGTAGATGTGTTGGCTGTTGAAGTGCTGTTTGTGATCCTTCGTTATCGACTTTTGAACGTGAGGATAGAAAGGATGATGGGAAGACGGCGGCTGGAAAATCTCAAGGCGAGTAGCGAAGTATAGCGGGAGCTTGCGTCCCTTTTTATCAAATCTGGCAAGACGACGGCCGCAGGTACAGCTGAAATAGGAGGGAGAACTTTCGTTTATTACCTATCATCTGTGCACCAACAGCTCCGAGGTTAAAGCCAACAAAGCAATAAGCATCGCGAGCTCTCGGTGAAGGAATGCCCAGCGCAAAGAGACTGTTCAATACACTACCCGGTTTGCACTCACTGTAGAGGGAATACCCTCATATTAACATAGACTAGAGCTCGTCGACAATTACGCTATTTTGGTCAATATTGACTTTGCAACAAAAAGGGGCAGAGGGGAACAAGGGCGAGTAATAACAACGTCTTTGTCTGCAACTGCAGAGTTTTCCGCGCTAGACCGAGAAGAGTGCAAGGAGAACTACTCAGCCTGAACAGCCACAATTAGAGATTCCCAGTTTCGATATCCCGAAGGGCAAAGCCAGCCAGGCCACAGAAATGGCACAAGCCAACTAACAACTCCCGCTCATCCCTAATAAGACGGTCCAGAAGCTATCCTCCCTCAGTTCTCTGCGAACATAGCCACTCGTCTCTAATATAACGAAAAGCCGGTACATTAAAGGCTTTCTCGGTTTAGTTAATGGTTACATATTTATGTCCGTATATGGGGAAGCCATCGCAGACTCTAGCGTAAAGAGATCAATAGAAGGCTCCGACACGGCCACTGCGTTGTCGTGCTTGAGCCGGTAGCAGCCGAATCAGACGTACAAGAACAATCGAATGGTGCATCATCTAGGTTCATCTCTAACATGCCAACCATACGCTAGATTAACGTCCCTCACATTCCCAACAATAATAATTTCTTGGTTGCTTCCAAAGACGTGTTTGCTAAACCACCTCTCGAGTTCCATCCTCGTAAACTCTAAGGGTGGGTGTCTAGCCGTCCCAGCGCTGATTAGCACTCAATGCCAGAGGGGTATATCACTGTGTAACTTACAATGTCCATGCCGTGCATCTCGGCAAAGCGGCAAGTGTCCCCAAAGTAGCAAGCCCCCGGCGAGACGCAGTGATGGCCCTGGGTGCACGAAAAGTCTCTGCACTGGTGCGAGGAGCCGCAAACCAGGTTCCTGGTCTTGTGTTTCAGTGCAAGTTGCTCGGCCTGGCTCAGCCGGTCCCCGTGTTGGAAGGCACAGCTAACAGCTTTGCAATAGCCTGTGAGGTGATATCGGTTGCAGAAATTGGCCCCGTTTTTCTGCCTCTTCTCGTCAAGCGCCCGCACGACCGAAGGGTCCGGCCGGGGCAGAGGCACATCGACACGCTCGTCGGCCCGGTTAAGCTGGTAACAGGCGCGAGTATTGGCCGCCTTCTTTTGGATCGAAATGTCAATCACGCCCGGAGTGCTTCCGGCACGTCCGATCGCGGCATAGCTGTTTGGTGCGCTTTCGGGCTCCCGTTTAGGTTGCACAGCAGAAGCAAGACTGGTTGGCGTATTCGGCTTGGGAGACGCAGAACTGCCGACCGGGCTCGGCGCAAAAGCAGACCCGGCACTGATAGGTGATACGATGGGCATCGAAGTCGGGAGTGAGAGGCCGGGTGGAAGGGTCAGACGCGAATATAATGTCTCGGAGCGGAAGACGGTGGGAAAGTTGATACGGCTGAAAGAAAGCTTCCTGAAGTCGGCGGCTGCTGGAGTGGTCTCGAGCAGGCAAATCTTGGAATTGTTACGGAAAGACTCGAGAAAGGTGGCGTAACCGTTGTCGTGTAGACCACCCAAAATGAGGCATCTGCATTGTATATTATTGGCCATGAGTTCAAATATTTTGCGCACCTTGTGGTCTGCCTGCTCCTTGCCATAGCCGACATCGACGAAAGAGAACAGGGGCTGAGCTCGACAGAAACCGCGGCCGAACCGAGCGAGAAGACCGACGTCAGGTCCCTGAAGGGTTCCGGAAGTGAGAAGAGCTCTGTTTAACCCCTCAACGCTCAGAACAACCTGGACTGAAATGCTGTCGATATTAGAGTAGATGGGGGCGTTTTGGAGGTAGTTTTTAAGCTCCTTATGCAGCTCGTGGGCTGCCTCCCCGCCTCCCTCTTCTCCCCTAGCGATAAGATCTTCCCGGAAGACAGCCCCGTCGCCGTCAATAATAGCAAATGCAAAAGTAGAAGATTCCTAAATTATTTGCATTTTAGCATGCATCCAAGGTTTGCCATGCAACGGGATTAGGAAGGGTACGCGAGGTGGCAAGTCCACGTGTCCTTAGGGGTAGTTGGTGCACCGATGGGTGAAAGAGGGAGCCGGTAATTAAGTTGCAAGTCTTGTTTCAACCAAAGAACAGTTTAATAGTAGGTACCCACCGCAGCCGCCCTAAGGCCATTCAGTTCCCTCTCTGACATGCGCTGCTCCTTCTCCCAGAGGACGGCATTGCGCTTTTCCCGGTCGCATTCTTTGCACTTCTCCTTATACTTGGCTAGGAGATCCACGTAGCTGTTTCCAAAGGCCGACTCAACCTCATGGCGTTGATAAATGTATCTTTCGAAAGCCCGAAGCGGGCCTTGGTACGGCCTGGTTGGGTCATCCTCGTGATCGTCGGGATATCCGCTCATTTGATCGGAGTTAAAAGATCGAGGCGATCACGGAAGAGATAAGATGCGATATACTCTCAAGGCAAGGCTGAGGTCGGTGCGCCAGGGGGAGGCGTGCAAAGGTGGGGGAAATTGAGAGCTATTAAAAGTTTAGATGGTGGAGAGTGCGAGCGGTGATGATTGTGGACAGTGGGCCAGGATCAAAGCGCCAAAACGCGAAAGTTGGGAGGAGCTGCAAACGCGGCGCGGGCCAGGATTGCGATAAAGTGCCTGTGCTTTAGCGTAGAAAAAAAGGGCATCAGCAATGCGAAGCTTCACCAATAGGTCCACACCGTAAACTGCTTGAAGACGAAGGTGCAAGCAAGGCGCGGAAAAGGTCCTGATTGCGAAAAGGCGGTGGTGCCCTGAATTAGATTGGATGCCTGAGGATTAAAAGATCCGCTCGCCTTCAAGCCTGCGGGTGTGGACCCCGCTATGTTAGGGGCCCTGCACGTGATAGGCTGTGCTGGAGGCGCTGCAGCCTAACAGTAGTGCCCAGCATATGCTAGTGCTCTAGTGCAGAATACAGTGCGTTCAGTTTTGCACGCCTTTGCCCCGGGCCAACTGGCGTCCAGCCCGGTTTCTGTCTACATGGGCTAGGGCGGTAAATAGTCGCTTTGTTTCGACATATGTCCGGAAAGAAAGAGGCCCGCTACAGTTTCCAACCGCGGAGGGGGAAGTCGCAAGATGCGCTAGCTCTGAAACAGTATCGGTGCAGAATGCAGCGAGCCGCCTCTCGCTGATGATTTGATTGGAACGCCATTCCCAACCATGCTGTCAGGCGTTTTCCGGAAACTGCCCAACTCGTCCCAACACATTCAGCAGCTAATTGAGACCACCTTCTGCGATATTCCGTCGCTAATTTCACCCAAAGTTCTATTACGTGGGTATTACCGTCACGAGTCGGAGTCTGGTCCCCGGTGCCTACACAACTACGAACAGCTTCAAGCTCCCTAACTATGCCAATTGGCACGATTATTTTATTAAATCACTTAACGGATCCAACCAGCCGCAAGCCTATAATATTGGCCTACCCGGCCCGGCCTTCGATCACGTTGTGTGACGACAATAGGGATTAGTGAGCAAAAGAAGGACCTAGAAGCTGCCACTTGATTCTTCGCCACCAGATTTTACCACTATTTCGAACGGGCCATATCAATAGGCCTGCCCTCGTCAAACATGACCTTAGGCAAACATCTCGTATTTCAGGCATGACCGAATATCGGCATAACGGCCTATTCTACAGACCTCGCTATGGCTTCTTTTTTAGGCCGCTTAACCCCATTCCAAGGCCGGATTCACAAGCCTTGCCTTCCTGCATCAAATGCCCCATTTTCCACTGCCCCGTGAATGCGCGTGACACGTTAGCATCAATATGTTGAAGAGGACTAGAAGGTCCCTTAAACACGTCGGTATATCATATTGGTAGTGTAGCAAGTGTGTACCAATTAGTTTTAGATGCCAATTGATATATGCGGGACAGATTGAACCGCCAAAAGAAGTGTCATAGATTCCACGGGAATTCAGTTGAACGAAGTGTCCAAATCTATCTGGTAACAAAGCTCACGATACACTATACATGTAGCGATCCAAGATCACCTTCTGCGAGATTCCGTCACGTTCGTTGGGTATTGCCGCTCCATGAGATGAGAAGCAGAATTGCCTGGGTACCAGCCCTGCATCGCATAGCTTAGGCTCATATTATGCCACTTGGCACTCTTTATTATTAGTGCCACCGAAACGAGTGGCGCTCCTTGTTAACAGGGCCGGTTGGCGCAATTTGCATGCTTATATATGCACATTGGTGTATCGCAAGGAGGATCGCCAATAGGTTCGTTAAACACGTTGGTATGTGGCGGAGCAGGTAGTCGGCGAGAGAGATGTCTGTGACATCGTCACGCCTCCAAATGATACCGCTAATATTTGGGGAACGATGGTCCGCGATAAGCTAACGGCGAGAAAAATAGAAATATTAGAGTAACAACAGGGGTAAAAACGAGGGACAATAAAAGGTCTAGTAAGTATCATTAATCTTGAAGTGTCTAAGCTTCGGTACGCCTACAGAACCGCCGATATGACGGAAAAGAAACACCGAAGCTCAAAAAGAAACCCATCGGCTTTACTCCACGACTTCCAGGTGCGGTAGTCACCGCACACTCCGAGTTCCCAGCCGTCCCAATTGCCCCGACCTTCAAACCCTTTCAAATGCATATATCCACCTCGGGTCGCGAGATTCCCTCATATGTTCTAGGCCTAAACCAGCTTGGTTCTTCTTGTTTTCGTCACTCGTCTAGTCTAACATCTGAGCTGTCGGTGCGGTTCAAATTACGCATTTCGCATTTCGCATGAAATCGACTGCGGTTTTAAGTTGGGCGGTTGAACTAACCCCCAGTGCTTTACATTTCACGAGAATTCGGATGGTTTCAAATCAGTTGGTTTGAACCCACCCCAGCCGTAATACATTTCAACTGAGTTCAGTTGAACATTAAAGCGCCCAAGTCTTCACACGAATCCGGGTGAAGGGGCCCTCACTTCGGTCGATTCACCTGGTCAACAGGCTCGGGTGGCGGAACTGCAACGAGCGGCTGCTCTGCCGGCAACACTGGGGGCGCTGCCGCGGCTGGTGCTGGTGCTGGACCCTGAGGGAACCCGAAGATTGAGCCCTTGGCGGGGTGTTTGGAATCTTCAGCAGCTTTCTTCATGGCATCCTCGCCGGCTTTGTTCATCGCCTGCACAAAACTCTCCAGCTTGATCGCCTCTTCTTGTTTCTTCTTGGCCTCTTCGAGCAGGATAGCCTGCTGAGCCTTGTGCTCCATGATCTTCCTCTGCTGTTCCTCCGGCGAGAGAGTTTTGAAAGTCTCTACGTCGGTGTCCCATTTTTTGACGCAAGCCACATCCCAATTGCAGCGCTCCACTTCACCGTATGCCGGATGACTAAAGCGTGGGTGCTTGCTAGGCCAGTTAGAGGCGTGGTAGTGGTGCTTGACGAGAGCGCCGCGCGAGTTGTGATTCCCCGAGTCGGAATGGCCTTGCCCCGCTGCAAATGCTTCAACATCCAGAACTAAGACCCGGCTGACCAGCCTGGACTCGTCCATTCCGTGGAAGTCGTCCCAAGTAATCTTCTTGCCGTCGCGTATCGGATTGTTCATCTCCTTCAGGACAGCGGCGGTGAATGCTGATGGCCCTGTGCCGCTGATGACCTCGTCGAAATCGAGCACGACCTCTGAGATGTGGACGTTCTGCTGCGCGGCAGTCCCGGACAGCCAGCCCATAATGTTCTCAATAAGCTGCAGCATCACGGGGAGGCGAGGCTTGCACATGAAGGTCCATTGACAGAAGCTGGCCGACTTCTTGCCGAGGATTGGGTGGTCCCGGAATTCTGGTTGGTCGATTTCCACACCGATAACCATATCGATGTCGCCAACATTGTACCGCGCAGGGACATAGCGGTCAACCGTTCTCAGCGCCTCCACGTCAATGTCGGCATACACTCCGCCCTCAGCATACATGATCATGTAGCGAAGAAGGTCGGCCTTGATGATTGTGGTATTGATCTCGCGGTACATGTTGACAATGTCCGGACGGTTGAGGCCGCCAGGACCGAAATGCTGTTCGACAAACATCATATCGTTGTTATCCGTCAGAACTTCATATCGATAACCGAGGTTCTTTGTTGTCCATGACTGAGCTGTCTTCAGATCTCGCTTGGCGAAGTGGTAAGGGTCTGTTTTCCATGTCTGCCATATCTTTTTGGGGAAGTCAGCTCTCGCCGACGGAGCTATTGACCCGCCTAGAACCGTCTGGGAAGACTGGCGCTTGAAGACGACGGGTTTCGCCGGTGACACGGTAAAGATATCTGCCTTGAAGACGAGAAAAAGCAGGGTGAGGCACAGGAGGTACAGCGGGACAGATCGCCTTAGCTGGGTCGGAATGCGGTTCCTCAGCTTAGCCTGAAGCCCACTTATCGTCGGAGAGAGGGGCGACAGAGGTGATTTTGGTGAGCTCGCGGTGGCTGGCCTCCAGTTCTTCTCTGACCCAGACGTTCGATACATTGTGGGTAAAGCTTTTAGAAGGGACTTGGGGCGCAGCCTGCGAAGGGGAAACCCGAAATCTGGGCGAGGGGGGCACGCTTATCCCAGTTTCCCAAGCTCTTGGGTCCAGAACTGTCGTGAAGACGGCCGAGAGGGGTTACCACAAGCTTCGCCGAAGTGGCCTAAAAGCACCGGGGTCGTGGGCCCCAGCCATGTCCATTCGCCAGAGAATTTCAAGGCGGGGTGGGCTACGAGACTAACAGGTAATGACATCGGGGTGGCCGGGGTGTCTTTCGGGATGGAGGGACGGAAGAAGCTGCGAACCTAGTATACCTGCCTAGTGTAACCAACCTAGACATCGCCTTCCCGAGAAACCAACGGCCGAACATGGCAGCATGGTGGTTAGCGCCTTCCAAGTGAATACTATTGAAGACGTTGACCCGCAAATTCCCCTGCCTCATGATGGAAATCAAGGATAACGGGAGCGGGGAAAACACCGGCGCGAATATGTCTTGTCAATTGGTGTTAGGGGAGATCGGGTTTCGACCTCGGGGCGGGAATATTGAGGGCGATCTTTCCTCGGAAAGGGCAGATGGGTGGGACAGGAGGGGTGTGGCCCGTGCTCTACACGACCCTCAGCCTACCCAGACTTTCGATGTGCGGGGATTCGGCTGCATGTGACGATAGCTCCTGTCGTGCCTTTCTTCTTATTAAGATCAGCCCGATTCCATTACGAAAACAACAGATCTGCGGAAACAATAGATCTGTGGAAACAACGAGATGTGGATGCCACAACTGAAAGACCTGAATGCAATTGATAGATGCAAGCCACATCGATATCTGAGGTCTCGGATCTGGTCCTCGACAGGAGAAGTTCGCCAAATCCGAGTTCCAGCTTGGAGGTTACCTTCGATCTAATTTGCGCCGCAAATGTCCCGGACAAACCTGCACTAGACTCTGGAGTCTTCTTGGCCGTTTGTCAGCAATGACTTCCCCAACACCTAAGAAGATAGGCTACCACGGGATCTCCCGCACCTGGGCGGAAAGAGCAAAGGGCGGGAGAGCATTAATCGCGACCGCCATTTATACGTATCGCTCCGGATTGCGGGGGCGAAGGCGCCCAACACGTGATTTAGCGTCTTGTTGCCGTTCAGCAATTTCGTGCTCCTCCAGTCGCAACACTGAACACGGAATTTTGAGTTGGGGTCTCAAAACCATTCCAGCCTTGTTCTCAAGTTGTTGCTTGTGCTGTTGTCCTTGTTTGTCTTTTACGATCTACGTTTTCCCTTGGCAAGCAGAGCGAGAGCGCAAATATCAATTTTCCTCTTTTCAGGTCTCCACCCACTAGTGCAATCCATCCGTTAGCTTTTAGCCTGGAAACCCCCAAAGTCAGTGATGGCACCCACCCGCAGTGCACCAAAACAGCACTGACCAGCGCTGTAGAGCCGACAGGCCCACTCAGCCCGCTTTCAATACGGTCTTGTTGACGGATCCGAATCATCTGTTTCGAATTGCGCAAGTTTGTCAACTCCCCTCCGAGGCCCTCCGAGAACCCCCGCGCAGGGACCTGGGGTCCGGTCATGCCGAGCGACGTGGTTGAGATTTTGGAGTCAGAGGATTGGGCAGGCGGCGAGCACATCTCACAGTGCCGCTCGGCGTGGAAATCGGCCCTGAAATGGTGCCTACCATCGCTGCTGGCGCAGAATGCCGTACCGCCCAGGCAGACTGCATATTTGGACGGCATGCGAGGGTTTGCGGCCTTGCTTGTATATTGGCATCACCACCAGCACTCAGCGCATCCAGGGCCATTGGCCGCCATCATGGAGTCGGGATTCGGACTGAACAACGAGTATCGTTTCGCCGCCTTCCCGGGCATTCGCACATTCTTCAACGGCGGACACTATGCCGTGTCGGTCTTGTTCGTCATCTCGGGATACGTCTTGTCCATTAAGCCACTGACTCTCGTCCACGCCAGAGAGCAGGCAAAGCTCGCTGACCACCTCTCATCTGCCTTGTTCAGGCGATGGGCGCGGCTGTACACGCCTCTCATCTGCACCACCTTCCTCTTCATGACCTCGTGGCATCTCCTTGGCCTCTGGACGCGCGGCGCAAAACCGCAGTCCAGCTACCGCGGCGAGCTCTGGGCATGGTATGCCGAGCTGAAGAACTTTAGCTTCGTCTTCAACTGTGGTGGCGTGCCATGGCTGAGCTATAACTTCCACTTGTGGTCAATACCCATGGAGTTCAAAGGCTCAGTGGTCATATTCACGAGTGTCCTGGCCTTCTCGAGGTGCAGAAGAAATGCACGCCTGCTTCTCGAGGCAGGACTCGTCTTCTACTTTCTGTACATCGTCGATGGATGGTATTGTGCCTTTTTCTCAGCAGGAATGCTGCTCTGCGATCTCGAGTTGCTTGCTGCCGGGGATGCGCTGCCATCCATATTTACACAGCTGCAACCGGCCAAGAAGCTGATATTCCACCAGCTGCTGGTCGTCAGTTTATACATGGGCGGCGTTCCTAGCCACTCCACAGATGTGGCCGACCTGAGAAAGAATCCCGGGTGGTACTACCTCTCCTTTCTCAAGCCGCAGGCCGCCTTGAACTATGCCTGGTTCTACCTGTTTTGGGCAGCCGTCTTATTTGTAGCGTCAGTCCCGCACATCTGGTGGCTGAAACGATTCTTCGAGATGGGCTTTTGCCAGTACCTTGGACGCGTGTCCTTTGCACTGTATTTGGTGCATGGGCCTATTCTGTTGACCCTTGGCGACCGCCTTTACACGGCTTTTGGCTGGCACGCAGAAGCCCAAGTCCGGAATCTTTCTGGATGGGTTGACATTGTTGAGCTGCCGAAATGGGGACCACTCGGCTTGGAGCTGTCCTTCTTGGTACCTCACTTGATCTTGCTGCCAGTAACATTATATTGCGCTGATATTGTCACTCGGGCTTTTGACAAGCCCAGCATGAAGATCCCGCAGAGGCTGTACGCAATAACCTTGGGGCATCCGACAAGACCGAGCCAACCTGGCGATGCAGTGGGGCTGTCTAACTTATTTACGACAAATGTGCATCAATCAACAACTTAGGGGCTAGATTAACGACTTACACCTGTGTATATTTTTGGGTCGAAGACGAATTGTTGGAGGGATGGCTAGGCAACCGGCGTTACCAGCTGACTGTTGGTTGTCTGTGACAGCACAATAGCGTAACAGCACCTGCGGAACTACCAACCCTGAGAAGTTCGGATGCAAGAAGCTGCTTCAGTTTAAGAAAGAATCTAACCAACGTACAAAAAACCAGTCAAAAAATTGGTGTTGTTGGCCACAAATAATCATCGACATGTGGCACTGCGCACCTTTACCGTCGTTGCAAGTAGTTCGGACTCGAATGCTGATTGGAAGGCGTCGGAACGGGCCATGTCTCAAAAAGGGGTGACGTCGGGCAGGGTTCAGCACGCTACTTTTCACTTTGGCGTCGCATTCTTAGCTGCTTACCAGGTGCCTCGTGTCGAATACGCCGAATTCTATCCTGCTAGTCCGGAGGGAACGCCGCCCCCATGGGCAAAAATGTAACTACCTTAGAAGGTTTTAATGGGGCCTCGGGGAGCCCCCTAAAGGGGACTGTCTCGTGGCCACCTGGGTGGATGCTGGGAAAGCAGGACGGGAGTACCCCCGGGGAAAGGAAGTCCCGCGGAGTACTGGTCCGCCGCTCGGGATGGCTACGGAGCACGCCCTAGAAGGGTCACTTCCGCGCGTGAGCGCTCCCTTTCCTTACCTAGATAGATACCCTGTACACTCCGGGACCGCCGTCGCCCCGGCGTCTAAGTGCCAGCTCCTGGCAGTCCGTTAGGTAGACGTTAATTCATTCATTCATTCATTCATTCTATCCTGCTAGTGTTATGGAACTATTGAGTGCATTGAGACGAGGAGCTAAGGAGCTTGGCATTCATCCCTTTTAGTTTTGGTACTGACGAATTGGGGGGACCATTGTCAGTTCTTGGGGTTAGCCTCAACATGGAAGCTTATCAGACACCCGAGTCCCGAACGGACAGGCATTCAGATACGGAGCACGGTACAGAGTACGTACTACGCCGATCATTAACAAATTGCAACACGACTCATTTGTCCGCGATCTTCTGCAGATTACTTCTCAAACGAGAGCATCGGACTGCCGAGGCTTGCAACCTTCTCCGAATTTTAACAACGCTCGCCGGGTCGACTTGTGACAAAAACTTGAAGTCGGGAACTACACCAGACACGGCCCACGGCATAGACCTTGTTGGTTCCGTATCCACCGAATGCACGGTCGTGTAGTGTTAGCGCAGAAGGCCTTCTTTGGCTAGCGCCGCGCCAAAACATGCGATTTTTTGGTGCAAAGGGTGGATTCTTTGTAGGGTTGGGATGCAAGGCTCGGGCCTCTCTGCCTTCCCTGGGAGAGAACTCTCAGTGCTCTGTCATTCGTCATTGTTGTGTGGCCAACCGGGCGTTGAGAAGGCCGTGGCGGCTGGAGGTGGCTTACCCGAAACTGCAAGTCGCAATTTGGAAAGGGTGCCGAGACTTGGTTCACGAAATGAGTCTGCCGTGAGGCGCCGCAAGGCAGCGCCGATAAGCTCGCATTTGCGCCGGCTTACCCCCCCTTTTTTTTCAGCCCATTACCCATACTGGAGTTTTGACTCTAGCGTGTTCACCCCCACACGTCAGAATTGTGTGCTCGGAATCTCGCGTCCCCTTCCCGTTTGCTCAACCTTCTTACCAAGCCATCCAAGATGTTGGTGAGAGACGTGAAGCGCGTTGCGCTCACAGTTGGGCTGATATTTGGCCTGCTGTTGATCAATGTAAGTCTGTGGGGCACTGACGCGCACTCGTCTATTCGCGCTCAGGTCGGCGCTTTTTTTGGAAAGCCCTTCGCGCCCAACTCGAGCGCGAACCAAGAAACCCGGCCAAACGGCAAGAGCCCGACTGCGAAGCCTTCTTCGGCCGATAAGGAATCGAACGTCGGAAACACGGCTGTCGAAGGCACCGACGTCAATGCCACGCATCACGAGATCTTCTCGCTGTCGACTGCCGACAAGAAGTACTTCGCCGTCAAGTTTGACGACTTTGTCACCTTCAATCCGAGCATCATCCCGCATCCGATAAGGAATGACACATGGATCATAGTGGCCCAGAAGCACCGCCCCGTTGAGGTTGGGAACTTCCACGTCGAGCTTGGGTGCAATGCAGGCTTTGTCGACGGCGCACTCAAGTGTCTGGAGCCGGCGAGCATCCTGCCCATCGCGGCCACCAAGGGGGGGAAATGTGTAGGCAAATTCGGCGCCGTCAACTACAACATTGGCCCGCACGACGCGCGCGTCTTCTACGGGCCAAAGAAGCCCTACATCATTTTCGGATCCAATAGCCAGCGCGCTTGCTTTGGCATGTGGATCCAGGACTTCCGCATGCTGGTGGAGTGGGGTTTCGAGTTCTTCACCGACGAGGACTTCCGCGCCGTTGCGGAGCTGCAGCGGCCGCCGCCGTACGGGGTTATGGAGAAGAACTTTTTCGTCTTCTGGGACGGGAACAATGAGCGCTATGTCCACCACGACACGGCCCCGAAGCGCGTATTCGCCAAGCTAGCGGCGGACGGGTCCGTCGGGCCCGACTTGGCGCCGGCGGCGGCAACCACGGATGACAAATGCATTACCCGGTACTTGCCCAAGCCGGCGTCGGAGTTGGAGTCGATCCACCAGGCGACAAACTCGCTTAAGATCACCATGTGCAAGCGTGCCGACCGCTCGTGCAAGCCAAACGACGACAACACGTTCATCATGGCCGTCGTGCAGCACAAGACGTACTACGACTACCACAGCGAGTACGACCCGTACGTGGTCGTCTTCCGGCAGCGCGCCCCCTTTGAGGTCTACGGCATCTCGCGCAAGCCCCTCTGGATCCACGGCCGCAGCCGCGTCAACGATAAGCACACCGAGATGCTGTACGTCGCGTCCATGAACTGGAAGGCACATGATATCAAGTACCACGGCTACTTGGACGACGAGCTGATCCTCGGCTTTGGCATTGAGGACAAGCAGTCTGGAGCTATCGACGTCCAGGCGAGCGACTTGCTGGGCGACCTGGGGCTTTGCTCCGACCCGGAGTGAGATGTCGAGTAAGCAACCTTATCGTCATTGTTGCCGTCGTCGTCATCGTTGCCGTCGTCGTCATCGTTGTCGTAGTCGGCCTCGCTCGACGTAGTTCCACATGGTCGGTTCGTGTCGCGGCCTTCGGATCACTATTGCGACGGCCAGTTGGTCGTCGCAATATGTCCCACATACGCCCAGGCATGTGCAATGACACGTCGTCCTCGGCCCCCCTGAGCAGAGAGCCTGTATCATTTTGTCTCGGAACAAAATGTCGCCTTTATCAACAATCCCAGCAGCCCTCTCCTTTCTTTCTCCCCTTCCCGGGGCACCACCACGCCAATCAAAGCCACTCTGGCTCGCGGGCTGACATTCCCGCATGAATCCAAGATGCCACTTCGGCGTCCACTCCCGCGCTGGAGCCTGACCCATGCCCCATGGGATCGTGGAGGCCGAGTCCTATCGGAGATCGGAGGAAAGCGAATCGATTTCCTAGGAACGTAGCCGATCGAACTATATTTCGAAAATGCAATGTGTAATCTATAGCAGTATTAGATGGGGGGCAATGTACGATATCTAATTGGCGATCCATGCCTGCTGGATAGCAACGGGCACTGTCAGTATATGACGAGACATATTGAACGCCCTTTTTCCTGCTCCTGCTCCTGCTCACCTTTAAGTTCCTAGGCATTCTGTAGGCTTTGCGACCGTGGTTGAACCCTCGAATAAGGGTAATGTGGGGTGATGGTGCTGACCAGTGCTGTTTCGTGGTTCAGATGTCTCGAGACAGGACTCTACCATCGTGAGAGTGCGCTACAGCGCGTCCTGGACATGTTGTCGCTTCCGCTCGTCGCGTTCCTCCGTCGTGCAGCCAAGGCCGTCGAAAGGAACAGGGAGTGTGCGGTTGCTCAATAACGAGGTGTCACCTGCGTGCTGAACTGACTGGCTAACTCGCTGCCCGACAACACGCAGTTGCTTTGGGGAAGTTGCCTGGCAATCGCATTTGCGGCGGTGGCAATCGCATTTGCGGCCGAAGGTTTGGTGAAGAGGCGGAGGTTTGGTGCATGGCTTTTGTTGTCCTGTCTTGTCTTGTTTCCTCGCCCCCGAATCCTTCCCGTCGCCCAACGTTGTCTTAAGGATCTTGATCTGCGGAGAGAATGAACTAGGGAACTACCTTAGCGGCAAGTACGCGTGTGCACAAATACTACCACGGAGATCGTCCCTGTTGGGCCATTCGACGGTATACTAGTCAGCAATTGGACTGTCCCCGGAGTTTGACTGATCTCGTCAAGCGGCCCCTAGATGTGGGACGCGTTAGGACCGATTCGTCACCTCGACCGTCGTCCCCGACAAGGCCTAGCTCGACCTGGGCCTGGCGCGCCGGGCCGACTTGCAAGCAGCAACCGTGCTGCCAGAGGAGTAAGGGCTATGCAACGCACTGCGAGAAGTCGAGGCATGTTTGGTGAGAATGGGAAAGTTCATTTTTATTTTGGTTCATTTTATCTGCCCCGGTCTACGACATGTGAAGTTGGCCGGAATGCATCTTCCGCCTGGTACGCGAACTTCAAAGAGCCAATTAGATGCTTGATATTGGATTCAAGACACTGGGGTTTGGGGGCCCTCCTGCCCTGCGCCGTGCCGTGTTCCATTGCCGGGACGACTAAGATTTCTCTCTGGAATACCTGTGCACCGGGAACGGACACCTAACCCACATGGACACTGGGACATTCTGCCTTGACCCGGCTATTAGAGAGGAGGGTTCTGGAACACAAGCTCGTATTGATCAATAATCCACACCACCACCACCACCACTAACACCACTAACCACTACCACCACTACCACCACCACCACACGAGCCGATAACACCAAGTCGGACCACAGCTGACTGTCTGACTGACTGACCGGCGATGACTGACTGCGGTCTTGACCGCCGTCTTAGAGGCGATCTCGAGAGCAGAAGAATTATCAGCAGGCCCCGCAGCGCAAGCTGAAATGTCGAAAGTAGAAAATGGGTTCCACACATGCAAGCCGCAGCAGCCACGTGGCCTTGCAGCTTGCGGCAGCGAGCCTCGAGCAACAGAGCGCCACACCACAGCCGTCAGCATCACCCCATCGCGTGGACGGGAGAGAGGGGTGACAGTATGCACAGTTCCTACTTGCATCACCCGCTTTGCGCATCGGACCTGCGTCGAGGGTCTTTTAAGGGGGGTGGGATGCCCAGCAGCATCATGTTGCGTTACCACATGCGATGCTTTAACTTCAATACAGTCAGCGTCTCATCTTTCGCCCCCCGATCGCATTTGGGTTTGTCGTCTGGCCTGGCCTTTTTGCCTCTTCTTTATTTTATTTTTTGTTATTCAGAAACAGCCAAGTACTGTGCCAAACACTAGAGGTTGCTGTTTACAGGTAAACCTATTTTAGGGACATCTTATCAAGCAAGCCTTGCTGCCAGCCTCTTTTGTTACGTTGGTCTCTGGTCCGCAGCCTTGTTTGTCACCAGTCTCACTCTCACTCTTACTGTATTTGCATTGCACTGCAGCCCCACCACACATCGGCAGCCCACTGTATTTTACAAAGATGACGTTGCCCCACGACGCTTCGATACGGACATAGCCACAGCAGCTGCCATGGTGGTGGTGGTGTCATTTATTACGAGAAACGCGGAATATCCACCCAGAGCTGGGAGGATGCAGAGGATGCAGCTGAGGTGCTCACTCAGTGGGAAGCTCTGTCATGAGCCTCGCTCGAATACAGGTGCTGCTCCCTGACGAAGCCCCCCACCTACCTCTTGGAATAACGGTTTTGGGGGGCTTGGGTTCGTGGTTTGGTCAGCCAGCGGTGCATGCATCGCCCAGCTCGAATCCCTTGCCCGATTTGTAATGAACAAAAAAAATCGGAACGAGAGGGGGGAAGAAATGCAGTGAGAGAAATGCCCATGACAATCAGGCACCCAAGGTACTGTACCTGACAATAGAAGCTGCGGCAAGCAAAGGAAAGCGTGCACGGAAAGAAAGGGCAAACCGGCGAAAATGGACAATTATCCACTTCCAGCCAGGCCTTCCCTGCACAGCACCCCTCTATCGATACGCCCCGCACCTCAACTCAACGCACACAGAATAGCAGCTCCGCCGGCGGCGGCGGCGGGACGACCCAGGCAAAGTGTGGGGTTAGGTAAGGTAAGGTAACCCAAGCAGGCTCAGTTGGGCTTTCTTTTCCCGCGCGTTGGTGAGAAGCTGCAAGATGAGACAAACGACAGCGGCACATGGGGGGTCAGGTCAGCATTCAGTTCACCTCAGGTTGGGGGCCCCGGCCAGGCACGTAGCCGTCTCATTGAGCTGACAGGCTGGGCCGGGGGGAGGGGGGCAAGCATGGATCATGGCCTTTCGTTGTGTCTCATGTCGAGAGGCACGCGAGGCGAGAGAGGGAAGGGGGTTCGCATCGTTCTTCTCCACAGTGCATTGTGTAGTGCAGTCTGTTATTTCCGTGTGTTTGTTCTTTGCTCAGATGTGCGTGCATCATGTCGTGTTTTTTTTCAGTTACCGTGGGGTGGAGGGGCTTACCCGCTGCAGGAGAGATGCATGCTGCATCATGCATCGAATGTCAACACCACCTGCGAAAACCGCGGAGGGAAGGCGGGAGGAAAAAGAACGATTTGAGATGCACCGAAGGAAGACATGCTCTCATTCAAGTCATTGCAGAACAAAACGAAAAATAAAGTAAAATAATAAATAAAAAGGAGTGCGTGCAACTCTTGAAGGTGGGGAAGTGCTGATCGAAACCAACGCCGTTTCTGACATGCATCTATCTGTCTGGCGATCGCCGCTAACCAACCAACCAGCCAACCAACCCGCTGCAGTTCTAGAAGGCCCAACGACTCCAAACAACAAGAAATACTCAAAATGAGATCTAAACCCGTGCCCCTCTATGCGGGGCTACGCTGCCTCTGTGGTATAACGCCTGGTAGTGTATGTGCTACCAAGCCAATAAGGTCCTCCTCAAATGCTAAATATCGCCAAGGTCGATGGCGCATGGGCTCATGCTTCGTCTACGTTCGTGCCGTGGGAAAATAAAGGTGTAAATGCAAAGCGAAAGAGAAAACAAAAAACGCCGGTCGCTAAAAATGCATCAAAGGCCGTTCAGTAGTAGTACCGGTCTCCGCCGAACCGGTCACTCCCGTATGTCCTGCTTCGCCTGCGGCGGTTGCTGTCGGGATCCTCTTCCGAGTAGCGAGCGCGCGGCGGGCGATCCCAATCGTCTGCCCGGTCGCGGTCGCGGTCGCGGGCAGTGCGATCGCGACTGCGGGGGATGTCCATACGCTCCACCGCGCGGCGAAGCTTGTAGATGTCGTCGTCCTCGTAGCCTTTGCCTTTGGCGTCGGTCGGCGTCTTGAGGATGCCCTTGACCCGGCCTTCTTGGTGTATCTCGGGCGGGCTGGGCCGGTTGGCAATCTCAGCGTTCTGCCGCTCGCGCTTGACCCTCACCTCGTCGTCCCAGCGCAGATGCTTGGGCCTCGGTGGGGAGCCGGCAGAGTTGTTCGAGATAGACCCGTCGCTGCGGTGCACCACAGTTGCTGCCCGCCTTGGCAAGAACCTGTGAGGGTCGGTCCCGTATGTGGCATCGGCGCCGGCCGATGTTGACGCCTCGTTGTATGCTGACGTCGACATCCGGCGGCGCTCCCGACGTTCTCGGCGGCGCTCTTGGTCGTCGTCGATGATCACGTAGTCGCGAGGATCGGCAGAGTGTCGCCGGCCGTAGTACCTGTCGCGCGGGCTTGTCTCGCGGTCGCGGTCGCGCTCGCGCTCGCGGTCTCGAGACGAGCGCCGACGGCCGTACTCGTCAGCGAGAGGAACAGGGCCAAGGGGTATGTGGCTGCTCGGCCGGGGCGGCGTCTTTTGGTCAATCACAACGTATCCAGGCATGGTCTGGGTCCGCCTGAGTCTGGATGGAGGCTCGCGATCTGGGCGATCGGGCCGGTCTGGGCGATCAAGACGCGAAAGGCGGTCTAGGCGTGTGGGGCGATCAAGGGTATCGGGAACTTCAAGGCGATCCCGAGGATCGTGCTTGTACGGGCGACGGTGCCGGTCTTCATGATCACGCGGGTCGTGGCGCCTGCTAGGTCTGGAGTAGTCTTCTATCCGAGCGCCATTGATGTACACGCCGTCTCGGTCTCGCCTATAGGAAGGCGACGGCGACTTGGACCGGCGCGGCCGATAAGGTTCCGCGTCCAAATGGGACGAAAAGTACGGAGTGGGCTTGCGCTCTGACAGGCTCTTGAGGGACTCGGGCTCAACGCCCCCCAGCTTCTTGAAGGGGAATGTCCGTTTGTAATGCTTGAAATCTGGGTCGCGACACATCCTGCCGTCTTTGCAAGCATACGTCTTCTCCGTCAAGTCCTGCGCCCCATCGGCGTAGGTGTTGTAGTAGTACTTGGTGAGACACATTGTGGCGTCGGTATCAGGAATTTGATACAGGTGTTGCAGGGACGATTCGTCCCGAGGGGGTAGTCGGCGAGACTCTCTCCGGAGTTGTCGGCGATGAGGTAGGGTCGGCGACAAATCCGCTCGAGTCTTGCGCCGCGAGGTGTTGACGATGTTCACAATGGAAACCCCAGTCACGGTCGGGTCGAGTACCGTGTCAGTCGGCCGTGTCCGAGACAAAACAGCCTTGGGAGTGTCGCCCAGATCTAGTCAAAGACATGAGGACATAGGCCGAGGACCGATTGTGGGGGGGATTGAGAGAGTGGTGGGTGCGAGAAATATAACGGCTGTTGTTGCGATCAACGGATCACGTTGTGGCTCGAGAAGGGCCGCCTTCTAGGACTCGTCAGATGATGTAAAACGGTTTCTGATGTGGACTGGAAGTGGTAATAGCGGGCTGGAGAAACGGTTAGGGACGAGGTGGCCCAGGGACCCGAGGGCGGGCGACGGTTTGTGTTAAATAAGGAATGCGAGTTGAGTCTCGAGCGGGAGGGCCACCCCCCCGGTCAAGTCATCCTGCACCTATGCACAATTGGCGGTTTGCATGGCTCTGTTCACGCCCTCCCCACCTCTAGCGGGTTTCTTTCCAGAGCGCCAAAATGGGTGTGTCAGGCGTGTCTTTTGGCCGGGAAAGGGCGTGGACCCAGCAGGCCAGCTGCACGATGGAATTGGGGGGGTGGATCAAGTCCAAGGGCGACCAAACTGAGGACGCCATGCACATCACGAGCCAATGAGCTACCACACAGCCCGAGAAGGCTGAGCACAGTTAAGGGCCAAGTGACCGCCACAGGCCTAAAAGACGGGGCTTTCTCAGGACCGGGCGGGCAAAAGAGGGCGCCGGACCAGGAACTGGTTTTGGGGGATCCAGTCCTGTGATTGTTTCCCGTCGGATCTTGTTTACCCACCAGGCGGGCCGTGTCATCTGGAGGTCGCTGCTTGTTGGTAGCCGATGAAACGGATATTTCTAGGGAGAGGTATCCGTAGGCAACCCACTGGCTGCGGCGCAACCCAGTAACTTCCAACAGTCTGGAACCACGAAAAAGAAGAAAAAGCACATGGGCGTCAAGACAGGCCTTGAGGCAAAAATAGCCATCAAGTCTTTCGTGCAGAATAAATTTCTTTTGTTGAAATATGCGGGCTTGGGCGCGGAAACGAGCCTAATTCCTAGGTCCGAACACCCGCGCGCGATAAGATGCGCGACACGGTTGTTTTCTGTTTAACACACGGTGCCATCTACACGCAGTCTGAAGGTGTGCAGCCTATCATCCGATGAAGCGCAGGTGAGGCCAGCTTTCCATTTCGTGCATCATGCATGCTGTCCGTCCTCGGCCCCTTTCCACCCATCGGGGGAGGTTGCCAGTCCCTGTCGCCCCAAGGCGTTGCCAAAAAAAGCGGAAGCTACCCGCATGTGCCCGCAATCGTGGGGCCGACCAACCATGTTCCAGGCCCGTGTCAAAAGGAGGTGCGGCCAGTTCCCTCCAGAGTTGGCAATATGCAAACTTCGTGTATTCGTAAGACTTGTCATAGGAGATGGTTGCTTGGAGGCTGCGCATGAGTTCAACGTCACCGTATATGACACTCGTCCCAACCAGCCCGCAAACCAGAAGGAAGCCTGGGGAGGGGATGGGAGGGGAGCGAAATAGATGGTGGCGGCTCCGAAGCTCCCCGCGCCTCCACCCCGAGGTCACCCGGTCCATACCGGCACCAACAGAGGGCATTTTAGGGCAAACGAATTTTCCAGTGGCCAGTGGCCAGTGCAACAAGGTTCTGTTCGCCAGACCTTGGATAAGGGGCTACGCCAGATGCATCAAATGAGAGCGGGCGAATACTCGCTGTGGGAAACATGCCGCATACTGGCCATGAAACATCGGCCGTATACCAGAGGTATCGAGGAAATGCTGCGCGTTCGTAGGAAGGCCTTGGGTGGGCTGTGGGCTCCACTCGATATCCAAATCCACGAGTTTGGGAGGCCCTCAAATCCTTCCACAGAAAACGTCAGCCACGAATCCGTTCGCCGGTATTTCTTTTTTGGCCGCTGAAGTTGCCACCAAATCGCACACACAACCACCTGGTGATTCCTGAGCCTTCCCCGGCTCCAGCACACCGAAATTCCATGGTGAGCTTGCGTGTCTTGGGGACGCGGCGGCAGCTCTGCGTCACACAGCGCGGCCGCTCACCGAGGTGTGTGGGTGTCGACAAGCGGGGGCACCAAGTTTAACACACGCCACGTTCCTGAACTTTCCACGCATTTCGGACACGATTCTCAGTGAACGCCGGTGCTTGGCTGACTAGGCATTTCTGCTGTCTCATGTTGCAAAGTCCCCGTCACCGTCGCCCCGGCGGTGACAAATTGCCATCCGGAGGCGGGCGCTTCTTTGAAGATTCCGCAAACAACGAGTGTCCGGTTCTACTGTCGTTGGGCTGAGCCGCGCATAGGCTCAGTGAGGATCCTGAGGCGGCTATCTTGTCCACTCAAGACTGGAATTGACGCCGATGGGAAATTACGTAGTTGCAGGTGGTGCAGGCGGCGAAGGCCAGATCTTTGAGCTCTGAGAGGCGGACTTCGCACCGTTCCGTCCACTCACGATTCGTGGTCCGAAGATGGTGGGGTGGCCCTTACTGGGTGGCCGCTGGATACAGTGTGTGTCGTTGGTCGACATCAGACGCCCCAGAGAACATGTCGGCCAGTCAACGTGTTAACTGACACACATTCGAAGCGCTGACGTATCGGTCAGAAGTCTGCCTTCAAGCCCTCGTATTGCCGACGAAGGAATGTTTCGAAGGCCTAAACTTTGCGCGTCCTAGATTCTGCTGCATCGGCTTTAGCAAATGCTTGTCTCCTGAGGACATCAGCACGCTGTTCCTGAAGTGGGTCGCCAGGTTAGGCGTTGGGGGTGGGCCAACCGCGAAACACCCATGGAAGCGAGCGGCGAAGCTTGGGGGAACGAAACTTGAAGTGGGTGCAAGCTCTTAAGCGGCAACTTGACCAGGGTATCAACCTTTGTATTTCGTAAATCGGGCGCGTCGTCCCCTTTGCTACCCTGGCCAAGGCCATGCAAGTTCGAAGCGAGCGCTTGATTCCCAACACTGAAGCCTTCAATCCGATCCGAACTATCAGCGATACTTTGAGCAACAACGGCCACCACCTCAGGTAGGATCGCGAGTTATCCGTAGACCGCTTCGAAACAGTTCACCTAACCTAGGCCCCGGTCCCGAAACCGCGCGACGTGCCGCCCTTCGACGCTGGAATTGCAGGGGCTGAAGGGAAGGAGCCGGGGGGTTAACTCACCTGTTCCGCGTGCAATCCACCGCAGCGCCGACAGCACACACATCCACCCACGGATACGGATCCGTACCTACCGTACGGATAAACATACCAACGAGCCCGGAATAATTATCCCGTCGTCTGATGAAATGGATGCTCGGTTGTTGCAACAAGACCGTCTCTACAAACGTGCCAGTATTTGCTGTTTTTGTTGAGCACAAAGACATTGCTGCTCAATAGAGACAGTTCTGGTTCATGAAATTATGACGGGAGAGCAGCAGGATCGCAGTTGCACCCTCCCCAGCGATCATTCCTGCCTGTTACGTCCAAATCTGGCAATGCTCCAGCGAACAAAAGCTTAAATCCGGGGCAGGAGCTGCGGGAGTTGCGTGGGGAAGGTCCCGCAAAACCTTTGCCAGGTTCCAAGCCAGATGCGGGGATTGCCTTGGGAGAGGGAAGCCGGGACGGGATTTAGGTTGCGGAAGACGAATCTCTTCCTTCAGCAACAAAAGTATTGGGTTTACTTGTCGATTAATTGTTCTAGATGATGCCATGTTTAGCGATTTGAAACTGCATCGCAACTCTAACTTACGCGTCCGGACGCCAAATTGAAGACCTTGGCGCCTTTTTTATTCTTCGTCGCTTCCAGTGATTTGAGCCACTGACCCCCGGCCAGCCCAGACCCCAACAGCTTCAGTCAAGCACCCCTGCCCTTTTGCACTCTTGTCTCGCCGTGTACACTACAAGACGCACCGGACTACGGGGGTGATTGTCGGTTGTCCGCCGCGGAATATGCAGTCACCAGTCAGCTGATACCGATTTTAATGGTAGATAGTGTCGGAAATGTCGTGCTTCCACGGTCTTCATCAGGTGTCTATGCGACTAGCTGCAAAGTGGAAGCTACCTCGGAATCTTAGAAGTTGGGACATTGCCCAAGACGGAATATCATAGCCTGCCTAATTGGACAAAAGGAATCCGACAATTGAAGAGGAAAGAAGAAAGAAACCCATCCAAACGTGGAACCAACATCACATCCGGCGTCCAGAGTTCGTCACCCTCTCGGGTTGCCAAACGCACCGACTTCAACGGCTGTCCCGCGGCGTGTGCCCTCCAAAATTCGCCCAGCCCCATCTATGTTACCCAAGGCCCCTTTCCAATCCCACGAACCCTGAAACCAAGCCCTTGAAGTTCTATGGGGTTGACAACATTGCGGCCGTCGAAAACCCATCGCGGTTCTTTCATCATGGCTGCAACCTCAACCCAGTCCACTGCATCAGCATCGTGTATGGTTCCAGCATCTGACCTACAAGACGTGCAATCTTTGGGGCATTCAGACATCGGTTTGAGTCTTCCTAGCGGGTCTTCGGGCAAGGTCGACACCTCCCTCCCCCTGAGTGTCGCCTCCAGGCCCCTGATTTGCATCTCAGTGATTGCTGTGGTGTTGCTCTGAAGGACTCGAACAAGAGACTCATTGATTGCGTTCGAGTCGGCAGCAAATGGCTCTTGGGGGCCGCCAATTCGACAGCCGCGGAAGTGTTTCCACTGCGTCAGGACACACACAACGCTAGCCCCTTGAACAGATTCTCTCCAGTTGGAGCAGATCTTGATGCTCTCGGCCTGACTCGGGCCTAGCCCAGCGTTACGAACCTCGTCCATAATCTCAGCCGAACTGCACCCCGGGTCAAATATAGCGACCTCTTGGGGCATCTCCTCGGCAAAGTCTTTGATGATGTGTATAGCAATGCTATTTCGGGTGTCATTGGTCCCATCCTTGAAGGCGAACCCCAGCACAGCGATCTTCTTTCCGCGAAGTGAACCGTTAAGCTCGTGCACAACTTTACGAGCAAAACGCTGTCGCTGGTACTCGTTTATCCTCAACACTCCTAGCCAGTAGTCAGCCACGACGTCGAGGTGGAGCTCTCGCGCAAGGTAGGCCAGGTTGAGGATGTCCTTCTCAAAGCAGGAGCCTCCGAAGCCAATGCCTGCCTGTAAGAACTTTGGGCCCAGCCTCGCGTCTTTCCCGATAGCGAGACTGACATCGTCCACGTCGGCGCCGTGCCCAATTTCTTCGCAAATAGCGCTCACGGCATTGATGCTGCTTATCCGCTGTGCCAGCATGGTGTTAGCAACCAGCTTAGCAAGCTCGCTGCTGAACGTGTTCACCGTCACGATGCGCTCGGGCGGCACCCATGCTGCGTACAGATCCCCGAGAACGGCAGCGGCACGAAATCCAGACAGTGTCTGAGCACTGCCGATTAGAATACGGTCTGGATTCATGAGGTTCTCCACAGCCGTGCCCTCGGATAAAAACTCGGGGTTGGAAAGAACCTCGAAAGTTTCGTCCGGCCGATGATAGCAAAGCTGAAGAGCTGTCAGTTCATGTCCTTCGATGCCGCAAGCTTAGCAAACACGAGTCTCACAGTGTCTTGAATCATGCGGGCCGTGCCGCACGGAACAGTGCTCTTCTCCACGATGATCGTCCCTTTTCTGGCATTCTGTGCGACGGTCCGTGAGGCGCTTTCGATGGCACTGACGTCGGCCATCGATCCAGCACCCAGACCGTGCAGCTTGGTTGGCGTGTTGACGCAAATGAAGACAATATCGGCTTCCCTGATTGCTCGAACGACGTCCGTTGAGAAGACCAAATTTGGCTGACGAGCTGCGAGTTCAACAGGATGCTCAAGCTCGGGCGAGGAGATCGACACACTGAGCGTGCCATCCCTGGCTAGACGTACAACTCCGAGGAGGCCGTCTTCGTGAATGGGGAGATGGGCGGAATTCCAGGCCGCAACACGTTGTTCGTTCAAGTCAACCACGTTGACCCGTATCTCCGGGTTGTGGTAGGCTATCACTGCCGCCGTTGGCCCACCTAATTGGGAAGGTCAGAACACCCATCACGGCTCGTACAGATGTGCCGAGGTAATTACCAACAAAGCCGGCACCAACGAAGCAAATATTCTTGACTCGTTCGTCAACTTCAGGGGCTCCCAGCGATTCCAACACTGGGGAGACGCCGCAATCCTCGGGCGGTGGTTTGGGCTTGAGCTCGGGCGAGCCCGCCCCGGAACTCGGTGGAGAGGTATCGGGTGTGCCTCGAAGCCAGTTGCTGGCTTTCCATGAGCTCGGCGTCGAAGTTCCTGGACCGAATGCTGATGCTATGGATTGCGTGCTCGAGAGAGACCTGGCAAACTGGCCGTGCAGGAGGGGCAACGCCGGCCGCGAGATGTCTGGGACACAGCCAGGGTTGTCCATGGTTACCCGCTTTTGCCAGGATTTCGTGTTACTCAGCTGGGCACAGAGGGCGCAGGTCGTATTTCGAGCCAGAGGGGCAGAATAAACGATACAGTAGGAGATCCCGGAGAAGAGCCCGGTTGAACCAGCGGACTGTGGATATATACGACCTCTGTCACCGAAGAATGTGAAAATCCGCCTCGCCTCGGGATGCAAGTGGTAGGCGTGTTTTTTACCAACCACCTTTCTGGCCTTTTCCGACTAATGCTGTGTTTGCCCACAGCCAATCTCGCCATGGCTGATCCCATCGTAATTAGTTTTCTTTCTGTGGTCGATCCGGCTATTCTAAAACAATTGTCCGCTGCCTGCTGTTGGGATGATCCCAACTGGCATTCGACATTGAGTCCGAATGCAGTTCGAGCCACGCAGCCGCGGCCCTGGATTCAACCAGGCGGTTGTTAATCTGGGAGATAGTTCCTCTCAGCAAGCGGGATAAATGAGCTGGATATGATCTGGCGAGATCATCCTCACCCAGATTGGGCGACCAGCGTCCAGCCCAAACCGCACGTCCACAGGCGCGCACGAGCGAATGCAGAAACCCGACTCTTGAAGGAGCGGGGTATCTCCTCCCATCACTGTGTTGTTGCACAAGAGGCTTGAATCTACTGCGCCATGTCTCGGTGGCGCTTCAAAGAGCCAGCGACACCCGCGAAAGAGAAGATGGCGTCCTTGGCATGGCGGCCACGTTGCCTTGAAAGGATCCTGTCTGGCAATGTTTGCCCGAGCCTGACGCCGATGCAACCCCAGCGTCGTTTGTGGGTTGAGGCTCAAACGCCAACTGCGTTGACGATCGGGTCTGGATTCGTACGATGCATGCCCATAGATAAGAAGGGTCCACGGTCCCCGCTGTGACTCGAGACCGCAACCTGCAAACAACAATGGCCATTCTCGTCTTCGTCATCCTCCACCAACCTGGCCGAGGCTCGTGCAGGCCGGCTTCCCAATTCCCTCATTGCCCAGCTCGGGTGCTCTTGCGCCTCTTGGCCTTTGCGGCACACTGACCCTGCGACTGGCTGTTTTCGCGGTGCGAAAGTCGTGAAACCCCCAAGCCCGCTAACTACGGCTCGTTGATCGGACGACAGCTGGAAGTCGCCGTGGCAGTGCATTGGACGTCCGTGGGGCTTTAACAACATTTGCTTCCTGTCTCAGCGAGGCCGTTGTTTTCCACGCTTTTCGACATCGCAAAATCGCCAATATGCCGCTCGCCGTCCGGATTCTACCAGTCGCGTTGTGGGCCATACATGTCGCTGGCGCATACGATGCAACGGTCTGTGACCAGAAGAGCTATACGAGCCCCTTGGACAACTTGACCTGTACGCCAGCCCAGCACCGCATGCCCTGTTATTGTTCGGAGAGACCACTGACGGTTATACACCCCAGTTAACCCAAATGCGTGGAACCCCGATGGCACGGGCTTCCAGTGCATCTCCGTTCAAGACTCACCGCCGGCGTTCTGGGCGACATGGGCGTGGTCGTCGAATCCGCAATCTGTCCATTCTTACCCCCACGTCAAATTAACCTCACCTACCCTCCCAACACCCTTATCCAACATCTCGGCACTCAGTCTCACCGCACGGTGGTCATTGGGCCCTGGGTCAATGGCGCTGCCTGGCCTCCGAATCGATGCCAGTGGCTTGGCTGATATGGACGTGTCCGCCAATGTCGCCTTTGACATATTTGCTGATCGCAATTATGCCAGCTCCAAGAACGAGACGACGGCAGAAACAGAGATCATGATCTGGCTTGCCAAGTTTGGCTCCGCCCAGCCCCTAGGATTCAGCCCCAAGAGGACATGCTTCACTCAAGAGCTCGGCGGCATCCCTTTGTATGTCGGCAGAGGAAGATGTCAAACCCAGGCCCGGATGTTACTGACGTTTCTCAGCGTTCTCTACGAGGGCCGGAACGGGAGGGGAACCGACGTGTTTACATGGGTGGCGGCAACGAACGAGACAGGGTTTACTGCCGACATCTCGCCCCTCCTCCAATATCTATGGCGCAACGGTCTAGTCTCTGCAGACTCTAATGTAGGACTCGTCTCGTTTGGATCCGAAGCCTACCACTCGCGCGGCAATGTCACTTTTTCGGCATCTCGGTTTGACATGCACCTAGTGACGGGCTTAGCTCCGCCGCTCGTAGTTGAGCAGCTTCCGATGGCTTGTTCTCGTGCAGTTTCTACCCACATCCAAGGATCATGGCTGTTTTTCATGTCGATCATCGGGATTGCTGCCTCTGCACTTTATCCTTTCTAATCAGAAAGCCATTTGTGTATTGCCGGAGGGCCCACTGGGGTACCTGCATCATCCCCTGTTACTAGTTGCCGTGTGGTGATCGTCTCGGCGCCTACGCGCAGACGGGTCTGCGCCCCAAACACCATGCTCCTGCCACTCGAGCACAGCATCTTCGTGCATTAGCCCCTACAGTTGAGACTCGTACAACCGCTCTGATCAGCCGATCGTTCTGCGTTCTCATTTTCCAAAATAACAGCCCCTAGTCTGCGTCCGAGCCCCGGCTGCTCTAACTTTCCCTAGGCTGATTTCTGACGGCCGGCCATTGTTGGTTGGACCAGAGCCAGCCTAGTGTTCTGCGTTGTTTGCCCCTGATAGATTTCGTGTCCAGTCGACGTCCAGGTCTCGGTAGCCATATATGGATTCGCTTCTTTTGTTCGTTCTGGCAGAGTCGGTTGCCTTTCCCTTTGGCGGTCACGAAAAGGAAGCTCGAAATGCACAGCCTGCCACAGAAGTAGACTGCCGCTTGACCGGCCATCATGACATCTCCCCGCCTGGAAGCCCGGCCCGTCACCTCGGGGTCTCAACGCAGCGGCGCCTCCCTACGCGACCCTTTCCAAGACCCCTCTGATGCCTCATCACAGGAAGGTGCATCATCAAGGAGTGTACTAGACGTATGTACGGCGGTGCCACCGTTGGTTATCACAGTCCTAACAGTATTTGAAGGATGCCCAGCCAACGGCAGTGACACTGCCCCAGAGAGCGGTTCTTCCACCTAACATCGATGACGAGGACAGAATTGTGAGGGCTTGAATGTTTTGTTGCGGCGAGATTATACTTACGAGAGTCAGACGCCAGCACCGGCACATGAGGAGGTGCTCAATGAAAGGGTTGTTGTTCCTTGCGATGAACAACTCGATGTCGAAAGGGGGCTCCCACTCGCTGTTAGCATTGACACCGAGAAGCACGGAGAGCTAGACGCGAAGACCACAAATCCCATCAAACAGCTCACGAAGGCATTCATAAGAACTTACTGCCCAAAAGAGGAGCCGGGCCTCGTGCTTCCCACTGGCCCAACGGACGAGGAGAAGACCACATATATCCACACTAACCGCATTCCGCTGTATATCTTTGGAATCTTTTCTTTTCTTACACTGTCGGCGGGCATGTGGCTGTTTGTCGCGTGCGCCTCAATCTTTGCATGGTATGGCGTTTTTGTTGGGTTTCTCAACCTCTATCTGATCATCTCGTATTTTGTTGGCGTTGTCGGCAAGGACTGGGACTACGGCCTGCACAAGGAAATGGTAGAGCAGTTTCCCATCACGGACGAGTCGGCCCCAACCGTCGACGTGTACCTGCCCTGCTGCTCCGAGCCTCTAGAGATTATCGAAAACACGTACAAGCACATCGTCAAGCTCGAGTGGCCCGCGCACAAGTTACAGGTCTACGTCTTGGACGATGGCAACCAAGCTGCGGTTCGCGCGCTCGCCGAGAGCTACGGTTTCAGCTACATCGTCCGCGACGACCGGCCGCGACTGCGCAAGGCAGGCAATCTCCGGTGGGCGTTTTCTCGGACCGGCGGCAACTTCTTCACCATCTTCGACGCTGACTTCTGCCCACGCCCCGACTTTCTCACTGAGCTCGTCGTCGAGCACCTCGCCGACGAGAAGACGGCCATCGTCCAATCGCCCCAGTTCTTCCGCGTCACAGACGACCAGACGTGGGTGGAGCAGGGTGCCGGTGCCACGCAGGAGCTCTTCTACCGCGTTGTGCAGGTCAACCGCAACAAGTGGGGTGCCTCGATATGCGTCGGTAGCAATGCCGTCTACAGACGCGCTGCGCTGGTCGACGTTGGCGGCACCGCCGAGATTGGCTTTTCGGAAGACGTCCATACAGGGTGAGAGCCACTCGTCTCCCCGTTCCCCACCCACAATGTCGGTCAAAGCAAAAGAATCCCTTGCTGAGAAAGACGAGGTTTGGTGCCGTCGACCGTGGCTGGAAAGTCAAATACGTGCCGCTGTGCTTGGCGACGGGAATCTGCCCCAACACTCCGCGCTCTTTCTTTTCCCAGCAGATGCGGTGGGCGCGCGGAAGCACGACGCTTCTGACCACTAAGCACTTCTGGGTCTCCAATTTGACGCTGATGCAGAAAGTGTGCTATCTTTGCGGTAAGTTTGAGGTATCGTGGTCAATGTGGCTCTTCTAATCCGGCTGACGTTTCCTCTCCTTCATCGGGGAAAGGCCTGCTCTACTACTCGGCCGTATCGGTCGGCATCTTCATCTCACCCATCCCCGGAACTCTGCTGCTGATTCTGCGGCCGCAGTGGTTCAAGTACTACAACTTGTCGTTTGCCATCCCGTCCATCTTGTACGGTGCGCTCGTGTTCCGGCTCTGGGCCAAGACCAAATACGGCTTCAACGTGCAGCACGTCATGGTGGTGCAGTCGTATGCGTATCTGACGGCCATCAAGGACCGCCTGTTCGGCATCGAGCTGCTGTGGGCCGCATCGGGCGACAAGAAGGCGCACAAGAGCAGCAACAAGTTCCGCAACATGCGCATCCTATGCGCCATCTGGACCCTGACGACGTTCGGAGGCGCCATCGCTGCCGTTACCTATCGCATCGTCCACCACTTCACCTGGTATCACACCCTGCCGCTGCTCATCCTCAACACCTACAACTTTTACATCACCCACTACTTCATTTTTTGTTCGTGGCGCTGGTGAGGTGCCTGCCTACATCGTGGATGGCGAATCTCGTATCCTCGTGGGCTGATTTCTATCTGTTGAAAGGGAGTCCGTCAGCCCGACAGTTCCGAGATTCAAAGTACTTCTTGGCGGCATCCAATGTACATGGCTATGCCCTTTGGATTATGTCGCTTGTCCAGGTTCGTAATAGAGAGCGGTTGTTTGAATTTGTCATCGGAATTTAGCGCCGTGAAATGGAGGTCGAGGTCTGTCAACTTGCATGCTCCAGAAATCCGTCTCCATTGGCTGTCTCGGAATCGATTCGGACTGAGCAGGAAGGTCAGATTGTTGGGCGTACGACCAAATGAAGGAGAGCGGCAGAAGTCAGCGGGAGCGTATTCGTCACGCAGGTCAGCCAGATCATCACTTCTCCCCCATGTTTTCAGGTGCGTGTTACGCGCTTGACCGGCACAGGAACACGACACGGAACAATGCCGTTGGCCCCGCGATCTAAGGCAGATTTCGGATATTAAATGAAACCCGGTCAGACCCGGTCGCATCCTGTGTTTTTTGAGTCAGGAGAAGCAACATTACAGAGTCCGAGAATGCTACAGTCCGAGATTGCTATGTTGCCCGGGTTCAGTGTGGTGTTGGGCAATTCCCGGAATTCCAGGAGTAATATTATGGATTCGGCGCAGCAGCATTATTATACGCGATCGAGTCCCGCTGCCGATCGAGTCCCGCTGCTATGGTTACCATGAACCTGGTAATGGCATTATAAATTTAAAAAGTAAACCCGGAGGATTTCGGGGTTATCCACTTAATACGAGGTCGTATTGGGACTGGGGGAACTGTGCCGCAGCGAACCGTCATCGTTCCACGGCCACACCTCAACTGCCCAAATCGGCCGGCCAGACTTCCTGTCAGCCATCAGCCTAAAGATGATTAGCAGGCCACAAGTCAAAGACAGCACGAAGGGGGAAGCGTGCAACCCAACGTGGCCCTACATATAGCACGCCCCCTCCCTCCACAACAACTTCATCTACACTCCTCCGGCCGACATCTTTCAACCGCAAGAGTTTGCGTGAGTCTAGCGTTGGCCCGGCTGTAACGGAAGTGACGTCACATTGCACACGTGGATCCAAGACTGCAGGTCCCGGAATCAAGATGGGCTTCTTTCGCCTGCTTCGCACGGCGGCGGCTCTGGCCGCGTCGATGCTGTCGCTGCACGCCCCTGCCGCCAGCGCGCAGTCATGGTCCAGCGATAGCACCAGCTACCACTACGAATCGACGTGCTCGACGGGCTACGGCAGTCCGGGCGCGACGCCGCTGCCGACCGACTATGAGCGGTTCCCCGAGACGACCACGTCGATCGCGCCGCTCGTGACGGCCGACGTGACCGACTACGTCACGGCCGACACGACCACTCCCTTCGTGACGACGACGTGGCTCGACATCTACGTCACGACCACTGTCACGGTGGTCGCGACCAGCACCACCACCACCGGGACTAAATTCGCCACCCTCACCACCACCACGACCGTGTGCGCCGGCGCCGGCTCCGGCTCCGCCGCTGCCCCCGCGACCACCGCGACCGTCTACACTGGCACGTACGACCCGGCACCGGGCCAGAACACCACGCTGCCGGCGACGTTCCCGACCGCCGTGTTGTGCGTCATCCACGACACGCAGCTCGTCTTCGTGTGGCCGACAGCCGTAGGCACCAACACGGTCACATCAACCTACACACCCTCCACAGCGGCCGAGACCAGCACCATCACCAACACGTACACGCGGACGCTGTACGCGTACGACCCCAGCACGGTAGTCAGAACGGCGACCTCGTACGCCGTCGCCAACGCCGCCAAGACCGCGACCGTCACGGCTGACTGCGGCCCCGCTGCCATCCCTACGGTCACGTACGCGGCGCGCTGCGCGCCGCAGAACCTGCTCGCCGAGGCCAACGGCCACGGGCTCGACGTGACCAACTTCAACGCAGCGTTCGTGTTCGGCGGGACGTCGGAGCTCGCGCCTGGCGACCCTAGCCGCTGCTGCCAGCTGTGCGTCGACAACGCGGCCGCCGGCTGTGTGGCTTCTGTCTACTGGGCGCAGAGCAGCTCGTGCCTGCTCGGCTATGTCGGCGGCCCCGAGACGTGTCCTGTCGCGTTCGACTACTCTGCCCCTGATTATATTTTGCCGAGGTTGGGGAATATCGTGCAGACGAGCGGCGGGTGTGGGAGTATTAAGTTTGTGTCGGCGCCTTGATTAAAACTGTGGGATGGGTGGGGGCAGACTTGGGAGTTTGGGGGTGGCCGGTTGAAGGCTTGGAGACGAGCTTCTGTTGTTGGATTCGGGACACGCCTAAAACTACATTTAAAACTGCATGAGTATCAGGTAGAATCTAGTCAGCTGGGGGCTTCATTTGATGGGGCTTTGTAATAAATGATTATCTCATGAGTTGTAGAGTGACCAGTTGCTCCTCACCCTAAAACCAAAGAATTAAAAGAAAATACCTAATGCGTCTAGATCCCGTTTCATGTTTCAAGCCTTGCATTCGAAGAGAGACCCATTCTAGCCCATTGACGGGGACAGGAATCGACGATAAGGGACTTAGAAAGCAGGAAGAAGAGAACCAACGTGAGAAGTTTGCTTTTTCTTTCTTTTTTAACGACTATTCGCCTCTAATGACCCGACGTCTATACACCCATTTCCTCTGCGCCCACACCCCTCCATTACCTTCAGCCCTTCCACCCCGTCAAACTCGCCAGCCTAGCCATGACCCCAACCGACTCAAAGCTCAGCGGCGCAGTATAATCCACAATAAACAGCGACACCGCGACCTTGCCGGCCGCAACCACATTCGTCTCGCCCGGCAGCCCGCACTCGCCAGTCACACACTCATTGACCCCCGCCGCGAGCGGGCGCAGGTTTGACCACGTGAACGTCCCCGGAACAGCCGGCACAGGGACGACGGCGTCGACCTCGGCGCCGCCGGTAAAGCGCGTCTGCACGACGGGGATGCGCGAGTAGTTCCCCGCGAACAGCGGCGGGATGTTGACGTTGAGCCCGTGGCCCAGCGGCAGGATCGGCTTGCCTTTCTTGCCACCCTTGGGTGCGGAGGCGATCACGGCCTGCACGACGCGGAACGAGACGGCTGCAACGCGGTACGCGTCGCTGTCTGTCCCGTGCACGTCGTAGTACGCGATCGCTTTGTTGCTTGCCGATAGCGCGATCGCGGGGATGCTGCGCGCCGTGGCTGTGTAGCTTTTTGAGAGAAAAAAAGGGGGGGATTGGTTAGCTTCTCTTTGGTATAATGGCAGTTGACTTGCGCTGGCCGAGTGGACTTACGCGGCGCCGGCGGTCCCGGAGAGCGTCCAGACGAACGGGCCGAGGTTGGTGCCGTAGTTCGGTCCAGTGACGACGAGGTCCGGGACGGCAAAGTCGGCAAACTTGGGCAGCACGTAGTCGAGGCCGACGAGGGTGCAGGCGGCGGGCGTGCCGTTGTAGTACCAGATGTGGCTGTCGAGCGGGTCGGGGCCGACCGAAGGCGCGCCGGCAGGGACCAGGTTGTACTGCGACGGGCCCGTCAGGGCCGGCTCTGTGGTGAAGTCGGTGCGGCCGCCCTGGCCGCTCTGCTGCAGCGCCGGGGCGACGATGTATACTGTGATGCGGGTGTTGATTAGTTCTCGTCCAGGTTATCTCGGCCATGGTTTGTGACCATACCGTTGTGCCCGGCGCCCTTGAGCAGCTTGTACAGCTCACGTAGGTTCCCCGACCCAAACCCATCATCGTTGGACAGGAGGATGTTGATGCCATTGCAGAAGCCGGCCAGGACCAATGCGGCCCCCGCGAGGGCAGAAGAATACCGCATGGCGAGGATGATGCAACCGACGACGAGAGGGACTGGTGACAGTGGAGAGGAGCAGAGACACCGAGGAGCAGAGACACCGAGAAGCAGAGACACCGAGGAGCGGCTGTTCCCCTCATGCCTTTTTATCGTTGGTCATAATCTTTCGGGACTTTGCGAACGATTCTCTCCTTCCCGAACCGACCAAGGGGTCCGCATTTGACTGGGGGTGCCGAGCCTGTGGGGATCCGATAGGCGGTCTAGGGTGGTATTCCGTCTCACGGTGGCAAAGTAACGGTCCTGATAAGCAGATCCTGTCTCAATTCGGCAGCTTGTCGCGTGCTGTGCATACCCACCAGCAGTCCAGCTCTAGCCCCAGATTCCAGCATCCAATTTCCCCAGGACTCTTATCGCTCCTTGTGCCTACCGGCCGCTTCCGCCCTGGACTCTATTGTGTGACAATGGTGATTGTTGGGATAATGAGCACGAGTACACTCGACAAGAACAACACCAGTTGCCGATGGGAGAATATTCGCCGAAAAAGAAACCGTCAATTAACTTCAAAATAAACCTGTACTACTTTCTTCGGCCATCTGGGTATCAAGATTATTCTCCGCATGAAATAGGCCCAACGCTACTTTCGTCAGTTCCAAATGTCATATCCGTCATGTTGCCTCGCCACTGTCCTAATCTTCCGACCGGTCATCATCCCGCTGTCAATCACTGTCAGGAGGCTTGCTGGTCTGGCTCTCCTGAGCGCTGGCGGGAAAGTCGCCGGCCAAGCCCGTATTCCATCGCAAAAGCTCACTGTTAAGCTTGTCCGGGATAGATCTGGAGTAGGCTGGCGGGGGTTTGACGACTGGCTCGGGCTCTGGTATCTTCGACAAAGACCGGCCGAGGCCTTCGGCAATGGTTGTGCCAATGTATCTTCGCAGCTCAAAATTCTCCCTGGCGTCCCCATTTTCAAGCTGAAATCGCTCCGGTTTGGACAAATCTTTTCGACGGAGGGCTTTGATTTCGTCCAGGAAGTAAAGCAGAGCATCCTCCGGGCAGCGGTCTCGCTTCTCTGCAAATCGCTCTGAGCGCACATATCGTCTGGTAACGTCGGCGGCACCTTCACGGGAGAAGGCGATGCAGTAGCTCATCTTTTTGCCCCAACCTGTGCAGGATCTGTTAGCATCATCACCACATACGTGGCCAAGGTGTCAGTGGCTTGGGATACGGGGAGTTACTCACGTTCAGAATAAAGAAGAGGGTCATCCCACGCCTCCTCACACGCGTCGATGTGGATCCATCTCTTCTGGTACTCCGAGTAGACTTCGGTCCAGACATGGTCCTCGGCGTTCCACACCCAACGGGTCCTTGACCCGACCGCTCGGCACAGCATACTGAAGCAGTTGGCCCACTCGCCAACGCGCCCTCTCCTCGTCACCAATAGCTTCCACGCGCTAGCGTAGCGAGGAAAGCGTTCAAAAGATCCACAAGTCAGGCACCTGTAGAGTTCAACCTGCCTGGCTTGGCACGCCTGCTCTTCCGGTGTTGGTGTCGCAAACCCCTCCGATCTCGTGGGCGAAAAGCAGACTGGGCATGGCGGGTTGTTCACCCATGTAAAGAAGCTGCGCTTGAACCACCGCAGCAGGGCGCGGATGACGCAGTCTTGGTAACCCCATTCTGGCTTTCGGCCGTCCCCGCACGACTCGGCCTGCACCTGGAGCACTTGTCGTTCTTCTTCAGCCTCCCCATAGATCCTGTCAAGCGGCACCACGGCAAGCGCCTCGTCCAGAAGGCCCGGGTTCTCCCACTCTATGGGGAACCCGCTTAGAGACAGTAGTAGAGCCCGGAACTTTTGCGAACGCTCACTTGGTTTAGGTGGCGCTGGGATCGGTTCGTATTTGCTCTTGGAACTGTCTGCTTGTGGCGTGTACTCAGATGGCGTCGGGATCGGCTGGTATTCGCGCTTGGCACTGTCTGCTTGTGAAGTGTTCCCAGCGACAGAATCACCCCGGCTCTGAGGTTTTTCTGCAGTCCGTTTTTCCTTCGCCGGCAGCGAAGCCAGCCTCTTGGTTCTTAGAAGCTGCTCAAATTGGACCCTCAAGTCCTTGGCCCACTCGTCGCCAAACAGTTCCTGGTTCTTTGTTGGACTTGGCGGCTCGGGTGTTGTCCATGTTTCCTGAGATTTGGCAAAGCTCATCGTGTCAACCAGAGGGTCTGCGTGCTTGCCGTCTGTTAAGGGGAGGTTTGGGGTCAAGCCACTGCGCCATTCGATTTCTTGGAAGACAGGGTGGAAAGGTACCACGACGGCGTTGCCCGAGTCTGGGGACCCAGCAACGACGTGGCCATACAAACTGCCGCTCTCGGCGTCCACGACCCATGAGCCGCAGTCTCCGACCTCGAGTGGATAGTCGAAGGCAACACTGAAGACTTGCTGGAATCGAGCGCTGTTCGGAGCCCGACTGTACACCGGAGTGCCTGACATGGTACCCGTCAACACGCCGCGTGAAGTCGCGCTCAGGACTCTTGCGTCCTTGGGCTCTTCCGAGACGTATGCGACTTTGACTGGGTTGCATGGCTGGTGGCTAGGTCCCGCGATCTCGTTCGGACGGGCGTGCAAGGCGTCGGTGACCTCGATCAGGGCAAAGTCGAGGTCAGACGCCGGGGCGTCCAACGACGACAGGAAGACGGGGCCCAAGTTCTGACTAGGGCTTGGTTCGGAAGAAGCTGCATTCTTGCGACTGCTCTCTCTGAAATTCTGCCTGGGCGGTGCTCGCAGCCGCTCACGGTTCCCAAAGACTCTGAATTCGTCGACATCAGCGTTGTCCCCCCTGTCGTTCTCTGTTTCGTCGATGTCGCTAAAACCGTCGATGTCGATCTCGTCATCACTCTCTGAAAGGGGGTTTAATGGCAGTATTCCTTTGGGCTGAAAGACGTGTGCAGCTGTGGTGTAGTAGAACTTGTCCTCCAGCTGGATGACACCTCCCAGCGTGGCCTGCGTAGCCGACTCGCCGACAGCGAACCTGGCGCCACAGGGGCTTGCTTTGGGCAGAGAGGCGAATCTTAAGATTTCGGCCTTGATGGCTGATTCGTGTGCGTTTGCGAGCTGGATGAGTTGCTCAAAGTCGGGGGCCTTGGGCATGTGGCCCGTCTTCAGGCCGCGATAGCCGTCCAAGAGGCCGCTCTCCTTGATGACCTTGCGGACTTCCTTGCGGTGGGCAGCGACCACGCAGCAGAATATTATTGTGGGGCTGGCGTTCCTCGGGACCTTTCCTAGCATGTAGATGGACCACGTCACCCAGCTGGAAATGGGCTCGATGAAGCGGTCGAGGTGGTTTTTTATTTTGGGCGCGACCTCGTTGAATGCATGCCGTGCAGGACCCTTCGCTTCCCAACACGAAATCCTGCCGACCTTGCCGATGTAGCGGCCGACCGACTGCTCGGGATTGGGCCATGTGGTGCTTTCCTTCTCTGTCCATTGCGAGAGAAACGAAAGACCGGTCGCGTGTGGCCGCAGGTCGGGCTGGGAGAATGGCGTTGCCGTCTCCATTTTTCAGTTGACGGGCGTGTTGAAGACGGAAAAAGAGGGGAAAGAGAGGGGAAAGAGAACCAACCACGGGCGAAACGAGTGAGGCAGGATCAAGCGACACGATGGTAGCTCCAATTCGGCGATAAGCCCAAAATATAGAAGGAGCGACCTCAGCTGAGGTGCGCTAACCTCGACTCGACAGCGACGTAGTCGCGCCGAGCAAGCGCGGCCCGGGCAGTGCTGACGCTGCTGACGCCTGTCTCAGGGGACACGCGGCCTCCAAAGCCCCGTCGTTCCACCGACGCGAGAAGCCCAAAAGCCGTTTTGACAAATCGACTTGCCAATTTCTTGTCTTGGCAGGCGACTCCGCCTCCGCCACAATGCGATAATATCGTGCATGCCAACTTTCGTGACGTTGCACCGCATATGCAATGAGGAATCGTAACTTGGGAGGGAAGGGGAGTCGGAGCCTTGCGAGAACATCAACCTTCCAACACTGTCAAAATCTCCACGCCACTACCAATCTATTGGTCTTTCTTTCTTCGGCACCGGATAAGCCTGATTAGGTAGTTCGACAATGGGAATGGATACAGTGGACGGCGACAGCAACAACAGCAGCAACGCGAACGGACTCGCGTCGAGCGTGTTGGATTTCCCGTTCGCCCAAAACACCAAGGACGCCATTTGCGCCGAATTTTGGGATTCGCTGGCTACGGCTGGCCAGCGACTCCAGAGCCCGTCGACTGACCTTGACGCTTACTGGGCCTACTACTACAAGGAGTGCAGCGGTGCTCTGCACGATGGCGGCCGACATGTGGCCACCCGAAGCCACAGCGACGTCGTCGACTGCGTCCGCAAACTGCGCCGAGGGATGCTGCGCGACGACATCAAAGTCGCGTTGAGCGCCAAACTGAGCGCCCCCCATGCCAACGTGGACGAGATGCTGGACAACTCGATTGACCTGGCGGCTAGCCTTCTGCTGATGTCCAGTTTCGGCTCCTTCTCGTACGGCTTCTCGGGCCGCAGCTGCATATGCTGGAGCCAGGCATCGCTGGGCGACTTCCTCGGCGTCTACTTTGAGCCCGACGGCAAGTCGGCCGCGCGCGCCCACGACAGCATCAAGCTGGAGAAGATCTTCAAGGCGAGCAATCTCAACCGCATTGCCGGGCTCGAGGTGGTGTGGACAGACAATCTCGTCGACCACCTGCGCATGACCGACGACGACACGCGCGTCCACATCTTCCACCACGCCTCTTTTCTCGAGCTGCAGCGGCAGAACCCGGGCACTCTACTCCCAGGGGGCCTCGCCGAAGAGACGCTGCAGACGCTTGCAGTGCTCTTCCCGTCGTCCGACAGGGAGACAAAGCAGTGGTTCGCCAAGCTGCCTCCTGGAGATGGCCGGCTCGACGCGCGGATCCTGCACTGCGGCAGGCTGAAGACGGACGACCGCCAGATCGACCGGTTCAAGTTCTGGAGAGACCGCCTGGTGATGCTCAAGGAGGTGTTTGACGAAGCGCAGCCTAGAACCATGTCGCAGTGGTGGTACGACAGACGGAATGGGGTGCAATGGTGCGTCACCTGCTTTCTATTATATCCAATCCATCTGAACTAATGCTTTCCAGGTACACATTCTGGGTTGCCGTGCTTGTGCTGGTCTTGACGGTGGTGTTTGGGCTGGTCCAGAGCATCGAAGGGGGCATGCAAGTGTATTACTCAGCCAAGGCACTGACTGTCGACGGAGGAGGTGCTGCGAACGGGGGGCTAGGGCAGAATATGCATGAAACGGAGTAATGACCGGGGGCCTCGTTTTGGGAGGCCAAAATACGAAGCCCGAGTGCGATAGCAGACGCTGCTGTCGACCTGTGTAACGGCTCGGCGCTCATGCGGAAATACGGGTCGAGTTTCGGGAGTCGGGGCCGATGGAGTCCGTCGCCGGCAGGGCCAGCGGCCGGGAAATCGGGGGGTCCGGAGCTGCTTAAGTCCGGAATCGCCAGCACTTGACTGGCTCCGCTGATTAGGATTTAAATCCGAAAGCCAACAACTACAAAGAGGCCCTGAGTAATCACGTTCCCAGGTCGCCAACATCTCAAACGGCCAAGAAAACGACAAAGACAGCGTCATCAGTGCTGCGAGTTTGCCTGCCCGGGCCGTCCTCAACACGTCAACGTCTCTTCCATTTTTCTCTGATTACTAGACCATCCCCATCTTCAGCCACCAAGACTGATCTGAGGTCTACGCACGTACTCACGCACCCAGCATCGGCAAGGAAAATGTCGACGCAAAACACGCAAAACAAGCAATATGCCGCCCTAGGCCAAGGCCAGCCGCTGACGACACAAACGAGCGCCAAACCAGCCCTCGAAGCCGCGGACGAGGTGCTGATCCGGGTGCGGGCCGTGGCCATCAACCCGGCCGACTACAAGATGGTTGGTCAAGGACAGCGCGGGACCGTGTGGCCGCTGGTGCCGGGGCTCGACGGCGCGGGGGTGGTCGAGGCCGTGGGCGCCGACGTGCGCCGCTTCGCCGTCGGCGACAGGGTGCTGGCCATGTTCAGCCCCGCTGCCAACCGAACCGCTTCATACCAGACGCATGCCGTGCTGCGCGAGCAAAAGGTCGCCCGCATCCCCGACGCCTGGTCCTTTGAGGAGGCTGCTGGGTTGGCGTGCGTGCTTATTCTGCCCCTTTCTTCTGGTCTCTTTACTCTTCCATACCATGGCACTAAATACTTGTCTATACATGCAGGACATGCTACATGACGGCCGTGGTCGGGCTCGGGCTAGGGCTGGCGATGCCGCTCCCGTTCCTCACAGACAGCAGCCCCAACACCTTCCAGCCGTCGTCGGTGCTCGTGGTAGGCGGCAGCTCAGCTCTCGGCGCCGCAACACTACAGCTCCTGCGCCTCGCTCTCCCACCAAGCACCATCATCCTCGCGACGAGCTCGCCGAAACACCACAGCCACCTCGTCAGCGCTCTCGGTGCCACTGCAGCCCTCGACCGCAACTCGCCCGAGCTGGCCGCACAGGCTCGCGCGGCATGCCCCGGCGGGCGCGGTGTCGACGCCATCGTCGACGCTGTGGGTGGCGCCGACGCCGCCGTCTTCGACGCCCTCGACCCGGCCGGCCCCAGGCGCTACGCCCAGGTGTGGACGGGCGGCGCCGAGATCGACGCCCCCGCCGGTGTCGACTCGGTCCTCTTCCGCGGCCGCGACCTGCCGCGCGTCCACGGCGCCGCGGACCTCGTGACCGCGCTGCAGCGACTGCTCGAGCAGGGCGCGTATAAGCTGCCGCTGCCGGTCAGTCTCGTCGGCCACGGGGTAGACGGGCTGCAGAGAGGCCTGGAACTGATGCGGCGCAGTGTCAGCGGGGAGAAGCTGGTTGTTACGTAGTCGCTATGAATACGTAGTTGAGGTACATTCTGCTGTGTTCTTCAGCACCTAGATTGCACAATATGCTCGCACATGCCCGCAGTTGATATCGTGGTTTGTGATAATGATTAAAATACACCGAGAAATGGGGCTTCAGCCGCAAACCCGCCCAAAAAGCGTCTACTGCTAAAGCAATCTATGGAGTGTGGAAAAAGGGTTAGTTATGTGGTAGATAAGCAGGGAAAATGCCCAAGTTGACAAGGCCAAGGAAAGCGCTGTAGAAAATTTTAAAATAGGCAAAGAGAAATTCTATCAAGTCCGCGACCAAGGGCCGAGACACCGCTTTGAGAACGCTTTGTTGGTGTGGTGGTAAAAAGGGGCCAAAGTCTAAAGATGGAGTACGTGAAAAAAGGGACGTGCTGACGTGCTAGTAAAAAAGGGGCAACGATAGAGCAAGTGAAAGAAGGGACGTATGTTCCCATCGCCGATCTAAAGGAAAGAAGAAAGACGAAAGAAAAAAGACGAAAAGAGAAAAGTGGGTGCCTTAGGTAAGGTGGGTAATTGTGGTCGTGAAGGTGGAAATGTCGATGGGTCCAGACTGATCCTCCCAAGACATAATTATATCAGCGTTTCGTGTGAAAAAACCCCTCAACGTATTACCGCTTAGTCCTCTCAGGTTTCGTCGGCGGCGGCTTGGGTTTCTTAGCTTTCGATGGCCTATCCTTTCTCGAGCTGCCTGCGGCCTGCTGAGACGACTGAGTGCCGCCGCCGCCGCCGCCTCCACCGCCATGGCCGGGAGAAGATGGCGGCCCACTGGCACTGGGTACCCTGTTGCTGTCGGTTGAGCTGGAGCTGGTAGAAAATCCTCCTGACGAGCTCTCCTGGAGCTTGTGCTTCTTTCTAGTGGTCCCTGTGGTCTCTGTTGGTTTGGGTTGACTCTTGCTGCTCTCCTCGCTTATGCTCAAATACCCTGTTAAATCGGCAAGCCCCGTATCGCTCCTGGCCAGCGCTGATACCCGCGTTTTTTGCTGTTGCCGGTCAAGGCTGGCAGAGCTGTGGCTGTTGCCTGAGTCTGATCGAGTATGTTCCATATGTCCCACGAATGCGTTGCCTTTCAGTGCCGACTGAGTGGTTGTTGAAGGGGCTTGAACAAAGACAGGTCCGCCTGAATGTCCAACTTCTGTGTTTGCGATACCAGCCAGAGTGCCGGGCCCCGACCGTGGTGATTCTGGGACATATCCGCTACTCCCAGCAGATATTGAGCTTCCTCGGCTGTGGCCCTGTTGCGGAGTGGCTGTATGCGAGTTTCCGGCACCCCCATGGCTTGTTCGCGGACGGGTGGCAACTGGCAGAGGGGTGTCAACTAGCAGAGGGATGTCAACTGGCAGAGGGGTGTCAGCTAGCAGAGGGGTGGCAACTGGCAGAAGGGTGGGAACTCGCGGAGGGCTGGGAACAGCTACTGGAGCACGAGCATGATACCCGGGAATAGGAGTACTTTGCTGCTGGGGGGGATGTTGAGGAGGGTAGCCGGTATACGGAGTGGCTGGAGGCTGTGTCCATTGAGACCCCTCCTGAATTTGGGGGGCCTGGCGTGCCGAGGCCTGTCGAGGTGTTGGCTGGGGCCGTTGTGGATTGCCCGTAGAAGCCACATTTGGAAGAGACTGGCCCGAAGCGGCATAATGCACATTGCTGGGAGTTGGTGGAGGATGGTAGCTAGCGCCTGGCCGAACTAGTGCCCGTGACTGTTGATTCGACTCGTCGTCGTGGGAGGTGTGCCCTGTAGAAGGCGCATTTGGAAGAAACTGGTTTGGGGCGGTAGAATACTCGTAGCTGGGAGTTGTTTGAGGATAGTAGCCACGGCCTGACGGGGCTAGTTGATACGACTCCTCGCTGGTGTTGAGGGTGCGCCATGTATTCGGAAAAGGCTGGGGTCGTTGCGCAGTGTGATTGAATAACCCTTGGGCCACTCTCCGTTGATGCTCCTCCCGTGAGGGAGGGTCCTCTGGGCGAGTGGGTGCTCCAGGGACTGTTTCTCTAGGAAGAGCCGGAGGTAAACGAGTCCGGGCTTCTGACTGGGCCGGTTTCTTGCTCTTCTTCTTCGCCTGGGGAGATACAGATATCTTGGATATCTCGTCTAGGTCGTTTAGGTCGTCTGGAAGCCCACCTATGATGGACGCGAGGTTGAGTAGGATCGTGTAAAAGTCTGGAATCGAATTAGCAAGTCGCGGAAGATTAGATTATAATTGGTAGGTACTGACGTAGACTTCGATGACCTCTAGCATCAGCAGGATCACCTTTGACGCCCCAGAGCGAGACCCGCGCGCTCAGAAGCCACTGCAAAGTTGCCGGGGTGGTGAAAAACTCGATAACCTTGTCCTTCTCCTCCTGTGTCGGCTCCCAGCCCGCAGGATGAACCTCCAAATCAAGAGGAAGTAGTAGATCTTACCGTTTTCGATGGTGTGGTACATGCAATGGTCCAGGCAAATGACATGGTGCTTCGTTGTGAGGTTTAACCTGAAATCGTCGCCTACTTCACCGCGTCGTGCCTTCTTGTAGTTGGTTCTGTGCCGTATTCTCTCCCATAGTTCCGTGGGCGTGTCTTTTGAGGCCAGCTTTAGGGCGTCGTTCGCGGTTTGGCAGTACCAAAAGTCAAACAGATGTCCGAAAATAGCCCAAATCACAGACTGGTTTGCACAGTTCGGGTTTTTGCAGAGTTCGTTCTTCTCAGCCCAAAAGTGAGACGCCCTACATCGACAGCATGTGAAGCGTGGTATGTCGAATCCGAATGGGCAGCTCGGCGAATTGTTGTTGCTCGTGTCGCCCAGGCACATGTCGCCTTTGTGTCCCTCTATCGTACCGGCGAGCTGTATCATTTCGCTAGGGCATTTATGTTTATCACCTTTTTCCTTTGCCTCGTCGCAGCGAACAATTTCCTCATGTGGACGGTGATATTTCGGGACATCTGTTGTGACGTAATGACGGCAGACGGGATGTAATACGTAGTATAGTTGACACATCGCCGCAACATCGGCCAGCGGGCTCGTGTGGTTGACGGTGACTTTGGGCTCTGTGCTGGCCGCGGGGCCTTAATGTCGAGAGAGGGAAAATCAATACGGCCGTGCGGGCTTGAGGATGGGTGATGATTGTTCTTGCTTGGAAATGGAGAGAGAGGGGTGTCCTCTTTATACCAGGGCTTCCAACCTCTCGTAAGCTCTTGCGCCGAGTTCTGGGGTCAGAGTCTGGGATAGCACCCTGTCCATGAGGCTAGAGTTTCATACTCGTCAGGAGATCGTGCTGCTTTAGGGGCATGATTACAGCTGAGGGTTCAGCTGGTTAAGAATGAGTGGGACAGCCGGTGCTCGATACCACCCGTTGGTCTAAAGTATGCGTGGGCCATGTTGGAGATTTGGAGATGACAGACTTGGAGATGACAGACTTGGAGATGACAGACTTGGAGATCACGGACTGGGCCCCCTTGACCTTTTGGACTTCGGAGCCGTGCTCGTGGCGGCTGTGCTGCGAACAAGCAGCCTGCCATCCCAAGGCTGGGGGAACTACCTCGGTCTCTGTGCACCGGGTCTGGAGTGTTTTAGGTTTGGCACCGGCGCCAGTCCGCTGCCCGAGCATCGGGTTTCAGCGGCGACCATATGCTCGCATCCTACGTCCTGCTCAGTGCCGCACCCGATCATACGTCACTAAACCCAGGCAAGAGACAATACCGTCAAGTATCGAGCCATTGACCCCTGTTGTTAAGCCACCTAACATGTAGTCGGCGCCGTGTTATTGTCACCTCAGAGCCGTCGACATCGCCCAAATGAATAAGCAAGCATAAGTGCGCTAGGTCTATCGTACCTATTCGATTTTCTGTTTCTCACGAGGGCCATCAACAACGAACGTCCATCTTGCGACGTCCCAGCAAGCACACGTCGGCCCTTTTTTACTCACAATGTCACCAGCTGCACGCCCTGCTGTCGGACGAGCCGCGCCGCGCGGGCGCACAAAAAGCATCAGCACCAACATTGACATGAAGTAGCGGCATCTCCTCGGCACCAGCAAATGGGCGGCAGCATATACGGCAGAAGAGAAGTGTCGTCGAAGGCCGTCGGAGGGTCGGGGTTCTGATCTCATCCACGGATGAGTTCCATATACGGGGAATGGCTGTAGTGCTCTCGTGCGAAGAAGCTAAGGTGAGGTACATAATTAGTGAAAAAATAAACCCGCTTTGATTTGGAGGGTTGATCTAGTTCTAACCTAATTACGCAACAGAACCTTGCGGTCTTGTTCTATCAAGTTGACCATGCCTATTTTGGCCAGGCCCACTTTTGGCCCATGCGCAAGCCTCCATGCACTTACAACACATGTGATGAATCCTTTTTCTTCAACACACCGCAACTTCCTCAAAACAACACCAAATTCCTTCAATTCTACTACAATCGATAGCTCTTTCACCGTTATCTCAAAGATGCCTCAATATAACGAGTTGGAAATGCTGCAGGGCATGCAATAAGTCCGCGAAGGCATTCCGGTGCGGCGCGCGGCCCTAGAATGTGGCGTTCCAAGGACCTCTCTTCGCAACCGTATAGCTGGCCACAAATCCCGCCATATTGCATTCGAACACATGCAGGTTCTTCCTCATGCGACGGAAGCCTGGCTCGCCGAATGGATCATCCTCCAAGGCGCTCTCGGCCTGCCTCCGACGCATGCAACGGTCCGGGAATTTGCCCGCCGGCTGGCCGTGGACGGAGGGAAGCCGGAATGGGTAGGACCGAAGTGGTTGCGCGGCTTCATGGCCCGGAACCCGTCAATCCGGACCCAGCGGGCCCAAAGCATGGATACGGCCCGCCTCAACGGCGCCACGGTCCCGGTAATCACGGCTTGGTTCAACTACCTGGCCCTCCCGGCAGTCAAGCTGATCAACCGGAGAACCGTTGGAATAAAGACGAGACTGGCCTTCTTGAAGGCTAGGGTGATAACGGCATGGTTCTCGGATTTGAGGAAAGAGCCAACAACAAGAAGCTAAAGAAAAAGAAGTCAGGGTCACGGAATTGGACCACGTTCGTGGAATGCATCTCTGTAACGGGCAGGTCAATACCTCCTTTGGTGATCATGAAGGGGAAACCCTTACAACAACAACACTACCCAAATAAAATGGGTCCCTTCAAAGGTTGGAAGTTCCACACGCAAGAAAAAGGCTGGATTGACGACGAGGGTGCGTTTAAATGGCTTCAGGAAGTCCTCCTTCCTCATACCCGCACGGCCAATAACGAACGCCGGCTCCTCATTGTTGACGGCCACGGCAGTCATACAACTGATGATTATACGTGGACCTGCTTCCAAAACAACATTCAGCTTCTTTACTTACCGGCACACTCATCACACGTGCTTCAGCCGCTTGATTTGACGGTTTTCTCGGTCCTGAAGCGGGCATACCGGAAGAGGTTTAACTCCCTACCCCGGTGCTCCGATTCAACGGTCTCCGGTCGGCGCACTATGTTGATCTGTTACCGGGCTGCCCGGGAAGAAGCATTCAAGGAAGAAAACTGCAAGGCAGGGTGGTATGCTACCGGCTTCTAGCCGGTAAATAAGCTCAAGCCACTCACGAGCCCTCAAGTGCTAGAAAATAGCAACAAAGCCGGTAAAAGTACGGCTATAGCTACTCTCGAGGAAGAGAGAGATACGGCTCATCAGCAACAACAGTTGCTTAACGATTACGGCACTTGGAAGACTCCTAATAAGGTTACGGACCTTACGATTGCTTTGGCCAAAATAAACATCAGCTCCCCGGCCCGCAGGGCACGTCATCAGCTATTCAGGAAGGTCAGGAAGGCATTCACCCTCAGGGACTTTGAGCTGACTAAGCTCAGGCACGAAAATGAGGCTCTGAAAGCTGAGCTTGAGAACAAAAAGGGAACCAAGAGGAAGAAGGTGGAATTGAGCCCAAATTAGAAGTTTGCCTCGATAAAAGACATTCGGCGCGCGCAGAGGGCAGTAGGGCGCGAAAGTGACAGCTCTGACGAATCAGAGGGCTCGGAAGAAGAAGAAGAAGTCGAAAGTTGTATAGTAATTAGTTGATTTGGCAATATTTTACATGCTTCAATGTAGGGTGTTATTCATGAGTCGGCGGCTCAGCACGGACCAAAAGTGGGCTGGGCCAAAATAGGCATGGTCAACTTAGCGCAAGAGCAACGTTGACAACGGCACTCGTCACTTTAGACGAGAACTTGTTGATATATGGATCTGAACACTTTAGCTCTCTCGCCCAGTACAGGCACTCTCGAGGATCGAGTATGGCAGGCCCCAGTCAGCCATCCTGACATCCAAGTACGCTTTGACGAAGGGCCACCCCGTCACAACGAACCAGCAAAGAACCCACAAGTAGCCAAATATCCGACATGAAGCCCGCAGCAGAGCGTGTAGAGCCTTGCGCTTTCTCTCACTGTTGGTATCATGCTGGCCTTGCACATCTTTCGGGACTGCGCTGCCATCAGATTTACTCACCGCCGGCACGGACGCCGCCTTGCCACCGTCTGACTTGCCGGACAAGTCATGGAGTGTCTGTTTCTGCTCGCCCGACGACGGCAGCAGCTGGGGCTGCACATGCCGAGCATACAAGCGCATGACGATGCTCTCAGCGGCCGTGGCGAGTGGCTGCACGAGAAAGAAGCGCGACATGTGGGCTACGAGGCTGCTAAGCGGCAGGAAGCCTGGGCTGACGGAGCCGACGCTCAGGACGTGGAAGAAGTCGCTTATGACGAAGGCCGTGGCCAGGTGCGTGAAGTAGGCGAGCTGGGAATGCGGCTGGACGTGCAGAGTGCGGATTAGATATTGGCTGACGCCGAGGGAGGGCTGGGTGTGCAAGTCAGTCTGACGATTCCGGGGAGAACTTTCGAGGGAATGCTGTCGTCGCGCTTACCTGCCGGATATACTGGTGCCAGAAGCGGCCCCAGACGTTTGCGAGGGTGTAGCAGTCGGCGAGGCTTCCAAACAGCGGCGGCCAGTCCTAATCACGCAGCAGTCAGCAAACCACTCTTCCCATAACACTCCCTTCCCGTTTTTCATCAAGATACGGGGCAGACTCACCTCTGGCTCGCTCAACCCCAACCCGACCCCGACCGCGGCCGCCACGTCGAACTGCATCACCATGCCGCAGTACACCACTAGCGCCATCAACACCTCGAGATACGCCACACGCGCGAGCGTCAGCGCATCCCACGCCCGGCCCGCGGCCGGCACCACGGCGCGCTGCACCGCCAGCATGACGCCGTCCCAGACCAGATAGCATGTCGCAGCGCCTGCGAGCTTGCCCGCCACGAACCGCAGCCGCCTGCTGATGCCGATAAGGAGACTGCCGGGCCCTGCCCGCCGCGCCGAGACCCTCGCGTCGCGCCGCGCGCTGTTAACCCGCCGCGACCCGAAACTCCAGCCCACGGCGCGCGGCGTCGCGACGAGCCGCGCCGCCCACCACAGCTTGGCCCAGCTGCCCTCGGGCGGAGCCTTCCCCTTCCCCTTCCCCTTCCCCTTCCCCTTCCCCTCCTCGTCATTCTCATCTTCACCACCATCATCGTGCCAGAACTCGGCCTCAGGCGCGTGCAGAAGTAGCCGCTCGATGGTGGGCAGCACGAACAGCCACGCGCTCGACAGGCCGTAGCGCAGCCCGCGCGACTCGCCGGCGTTGGGCGGCCACGGGGACACGGTGCAGCGCCATTGGACCAGTGCGATGAGGCCTGCGAATAGTGCCCCGCGCCCGCGAAACGGTGGGGCGAAGAAGCTGGTGATTAGGAGGGTTGGGAGGAGGATGTGTGGGAGCATGTCTGTTATTGCTGTGGTGCTGGCGGTGGTGGTGGTGGTGGTGGACATGTTGGGTGGTGTATTTGGTGATAGTGTAGGGGGGTAGTTGGTTGTGATGTTGTCGATTAGCGCGAGGATAGGGGTCAATGTCATCGTGGACGGGGCGTGATGACTTGGAGAATTGTTGTAGAAGTTGGTAGTAGGAGTATTTGACATGTTGCTGTTGAAAGCTCTTGGGGTAGCAATTGAGGAGAAACTGCATGTTGCGAGTTATGAAGGGAAGCATTGCTGGTGTTATACTTGAACCAAGTCATTAGCCCGTCACCTGTTGATATCATCTCGTGATGCTGAAATCGAGTGTAGTAGCAAGCTTGCCCTAAAAGAGCTGACCGGGTGGGAAACAGCTGTTTCATACCCCAAAAACTGACAACCCCCTTCCCAAACCGGCCAGGCTCACCACGTGACCCCTCGCGCTTTTGCTCGGCCCAGGTCAGCCTCGGCTCAGCTTCGGCTAAAAGCTGGACTAACCAGCCCACCTGTGCGCGCCCACCATCAGCTAGCCAAGCCACCGGAGCCACACTGTGGCACCACGCTTCCACAGCACGTGGTCACACCTCCACAGCACACACGGGACTGAGTCTCCCAACCATGTATAGAAGCAGCGGCCCTCGCGCACCTTCCTTTGCGAGGGCCAGGTTGAGTTCTTACCATTGCCAGTCATTGCTCTCCCTTCTTGTTGCCTTCATTGACCACCTTGATCAGGCGTGCCTGCCTTCTCTTACATTGCCTAGTTAAACATTATTTTACTAATAATACATCTAGCCACTGGAAACCAAAGAAGCCAAGAGCCACTGAGCGGAACGTGAGCTGTTGTTCGAATTGAGCGGCCAGGATGTCCGGGTGGCGGTTTCCCACAAGGGCACTCCCGTGGTGGCCCTGGCCTGGAATTGTTACAGCTCCATACCTACGAAAGCGGTCTAGGTGTCCAGGGATGGCTCGCCACTCACAAATAGGGTGTCCTCCTTTTGGTGGCCCGGAGCCTGGTGGCCCGGAGCCTGGCCGACGAGGTCATCTTCGAGATCCTTAAAAGCTGTCTTCCGTAATGGACTAGCTTGGGGAGTGGCTTTCAATTTTCCGCGGTTGCTACCTGCTATGGTGACTGGCTCCATCGTTACTGTGTGGGAAGGGGTGCTCTTCCTTACATGCATCTAAGCGAGTCGTGCACTTTACTGTCAGCTAGACCTCTTTCAAGGTCATCGCCTATTGGTCGGAAGGGATTAACCAGTATTAATTCGGAGTTACCTGAGACACTTCTTATCCACGGCCCTCACTGCTGACGGTATTTTGATCCATGTGTGACTCTTTTCTCCCCTTCCAAATCTACTTGGCAAGAAAATGAGATACAGCATCCATCTGGCTCCGTCCTGCCGAAATAGCACGCATGCCTCAAATACGTGCCACTAAAGTGCAGTAATGATGAAATGATGTGTGCAGAGCCAGACGGGCCTCTGGGACGGAGTCGAGCCCATCTCCTTCACGAGCCAGCTCCAAGTTGTCGCCTAGCGGTCGTTTACGAGTCGGAGAAGCGCGGGTAGCGCGGCGAGAGCTGAGAGCAGCAGATCAGACTAGCCAACATCTTTGGCTTCGCGACATCGAGATACTTCTGCCTCGTGAATAACCCAGACCTCCAGGCCCTCCGCTCCACCGTCGACCAGCGCCTGTACAACATCCGAAACTGCCTGGACATCGACGGCCGGCCCATGCCGCTGGCGCTGTGGGAGCCGTCCATGGACCCGGGGCAGCTGGTGGCGGCCGCAGCATCGGGCCTCAGCCTGTCCAGTGCGCTCAGCGATCTGAACGCCAGCCTGCCCAACTACCGGTTCGCCTGGCTGCTGGGTCGCGCGCTCGAGGCTACGGCCAAGCTCAAGGGGCTCGAGTCGACGTTCCTGTCCGTCAAGGAGAAGAGGGACGGTGAGGCTCTCCAGCTCCTCCGGGTGGGGCACGAGATCACGATGAACAACATGGTTATGGAGCTGAAGAAGAGCTTGCTTGAGGAGGCCGAGAGGTCACTGGCGGCCTTGCATGCCAGCCAGGAGGTGGGTTCTCCCTCTATTGTCTCCCTCTATTGTCTCCCTCTATTGTCTCCCCCTATTGTCCCCCGTCGTGTGAAAGCAAGCTGACTAGCCGAAATCTCCCGCAGTCATCGAAACACCGCTTCGACTTCTACTCGCGCCTGGCAGGCATGGAAGCCAATGCTCTGAGCAGCGGCACGAACCCCTTCAGAGTGAAGGCGATTGAAGTCGACAGCCCCAACAGCGGGAGCGATGTTCACATCAACTCGCTTGAGACCCAGTCTGAGGTGTTGGCAGCCGTGGCGCAGTCGTATACCGAAAGCGCGGCCAGCATTGAGATCATGGCGAGCATCCTGGCCATGCTGCCCCAGATCACACCCCATACCGAACCCATGGGGTGCGGAGTCGAACTGGTTTGGGGTAACTCTCATCCTCCGTTGTTGTCTATCGCGGTCAGGGGTCGGTAGGGAAAGCTGACGTGCACACATGCGTGACAGGGCCTTCGAATTTGCTCAACGCCCAGCAGGCCTTCGCGCGGCTGGACCAAATGAACGCCGGCTTGGCCAACTTCAAGTCTTCCCAGGCGTCAAGAAAGGCCAGCTATGTGAAGCAGTATCAGGTAAGAACGGCGAGGCAAGCGCCGGTCTGGTCGTCGATCGAAGCTCCAGCTCACCATGTGACACAGGAACGCCTCCACCAAATGAACCTCGCCGGGCTCGAATTCGAGCACATCAACACGCAGATCGCAGCCCAGGAAACACACGTCCAGACGGCCAACCAGGACATGGCCAACCAGCAGAAGCTCATCGATAACGCCGACGAGGTCGGCGAGTTCCTGGAGAGCAAGTACACCAACGACGAGCTGTACGCCTGGCTAGAGGGCAGCATGCGCACGTCAATGTACCAAACGTATCTCCTCGCCTACGACCTCGCCAAGAAGGCCGAGCAGGCCTTCCGCTTCGAGCGGCGGCCCACCGCGGCCCAGCGGGCGCTCGACTTCATCTCCTTCGGCTACTTCAACCCGGCCCGCGACGGCCTGCAGGCCAGCGGCCAGCTGTACCTGGCGCTGAAGCAGATGGACGTCGCGTACGAGGACAGCCGGGGCCACGACTATGAGATGGCGAAGTCCGTCTCCCTGAGGCAGCTCAACCCCTACGCGCTCGTCGCCCTGCGGGAGACAGGAACCTGCACCTTCGACATGCCCGAGTTGGCCTTCGACATGGATTTCCCGGGGCACTTCTTCCGCCGGATCAAGACCGTCTCCGTGACGGTCCCCTGCGTGGTGGGGCCCTACGTCGGCGTCAACGCGTCCCTCCGCCTCCTCAGGCACCGGTATCGGGCCGAAAGCCTTGCCACCTCGGGCCGGGACTACGCAGAGGACATCCGGCGGGGCCATGGACCCGCGCTTCCGCACCGCGCTCGTCCTTGTCAACGCGGTGGCCGTCGGGTCCGGCCAGAACGACTCGGGCGCGTTCGAGCTCAACATCCGCGACGAGCGCTACTTGCCCTTCGAAGGCGCCGGCGCCGTGTCGACCCGGCAGATGACCCTCCCGCCCGTCGATTTCCGTCCGTTCGACTACTCGTCCATCGCCGACGTGGTGCTGCAGCTGGGTACACGGCCTGCGAGGGCGGAGAGCGCCTGCGCAGGGCGGCTACGCAGAACGTGGTCGAGTAGGTGTCCACCGTCGAGGACAAGAGCAAAGAGTCAGGCCTACTAGCGCTGTGGGATGTGAGGGTCGAGTTTGCGGCCGAGTGGACCAGGCTCGCGTCTCCGTCGGCGGGGGGTGGTGAAACCCGCACCCTCGTGCTCCGCGGGCTGCTGTCCCGGCTTCCCGCCTTTGTGGCCGGACGGGACCCCGCCAAAGTGAGGGTCGCGGACGTGACGCTCGTGACGAACCTGAATGTCTCCGGGCTGGGGGATCTGGCTGTTGACTTCAAGTATGCTGCTGGTACAGAGGGAGACTTTACCGTGTTTGGCAGCGGGCCTGTGAAGACCGGATCGTTGAGCTTGTTTAGGATTAGCGAGGCGGACGAGCAGTTTAGGGATTGGGCGCTCAGGGTTAGAATGAAGGGCGTGGCGGTCGATGCGAGGTCGAGGATGTGGTTGATTGTGAGGTATCGGTTGTTGAAGCCTACGGCGTGAGGGGATTGGCGGGCTCTCGTGTGGCTGGTTTTTCTCTCCATATGGGAGGACTTTGTTCTTTTTCTCTTTCTCCTGGTACCATGTTGTGCCTAATGAATACTGATGGAGCACCAAGGCTTATGACCAACAATATGCCTACCGGAGCGTGCGATGAGACGATGGCATGAGCCATCAGATCTTGGTGTGACCGTCTTCGTGTTGAGTATCTTACTCGTAAGCACCTCGTATCGTGCTTTTGTAGTGGCTCGCCCCTTCACTCTAAGTAATCCACCCTGGCAGTTGAGATACGCAGAGCCTATTTTAGGCCGGTAAAATCGTGAAATACTATCTTCTTGCCCATGCGCTTCCTATGTGCTAGCTCAGCTGCCTAGCTGCCCGGCCGCCCGGGTCAACGACGTTGAAGCCATCAAAACCTTCAAAAGCCCTGAAAATGCGTTTACCGTGGTCTTTCCCATTTTGACGATTTCTTCGTTGGTGAGTCGGCCTCGGAATAAAGGTAACTTGCAAATGGCAACTCTGAGGCCCGGATTTGTACGTAAATTTGCCAAATTTCATGGTAGGCGCCCGTTGCCTAAATGATCTATCTGTTCAATCCTGACTTGTTGACACAGTGATGCAATTCCTTGGTGTTGACTCTATCAATCTAGTAACCTAGTCTATGTCAACCTGGTCACCCTCGCCGCCCTTCCTACGAGGATAAGGGTCATCTTCACGGGACAGCGACAGCCAGCGAGGGAGCCGGGGACGGTGAGGGCGAGGGAGCTAGGGAGCTCGAATCGTCAGAGGAAATCTCGATAAAAGGCATTACGAAGACTGTGAGCGGAAAGGTAGGTTGATGATGTGTTCAAGGGTTGTTTGGCAAAGGAAAAGCCTGCAAAGGCCACCTGGCCGCTGCATACCTTAAAACACCAACTGCGCACACAAATGCCGGCATGTGGAATTTTAAATAGTGTCATTTCGACTTTGCCGGGCTTCCTTAGTGCCCGGTATGCTTCCTTAATGCCCGGTAGGCCTTTGGGTGGCTACCATGCAATACGACATTTTACCATATAAAACGGCATTTTACCATACAAAAAGCGGTCCCTGGGTTGTTGCCAGCTGCCAATGACCCCCAGGTAGGTGCGAGGGAAAAGGTGGTGGGTGCGTGCATCAAAGCTCTATTAGTTATAGTAGGCAACTATGATTGCGTTATCCTTGCCTTGCAGGGCACCCTAGCTTAAGCCAGGATATCACCTACACCCAAATTTGCAGTAACCTGTATCACCGGGCCGGCTTCCAGGCTCAATGAAGGTCGCCGTGATGATGAAAAAAAGGCAGGCCAAATCGTTCAAAAATGCAGCCTTCGCAAATTGAACACGAATGTTAGTTAAAGTGGGGCGAGCTAGGGCTTGAATACAGGCTCCATTGCGGGCTCCCACAAAAGTATAGTGAGGCGGGAAATCCTGCAACAATCTTGCCAGTCACCAGGCATACGAATGAGGCACAGGAAATGTAGTTGAAGCCGTAGAATGCAAGGTTTCCGTAGTGGTGATATTTTCTATGGTGGTGCGCATGTTGCAGAGCCACATCGTCCCTGCAGAGCCTCAATATGGTGCCTTAGTCAACAATGAAAGGATTCCCCGGCGAACCGACCTAGCGATCGAGCGTTGAAAATAACTTCATGTGCGTTGGCAGCCGTTGCACGAAAACTGTCATATTTTACAGAGGCTCAACACATTAGCCGAGGCTCAACCGGCAGGGAGACCCCCCCACCCCCCCTCTCTGTCTCTTCGGAATAGCTTCATAATTGACACAGGGTTAACCCTACCATACGGCGGGGTAGTTGCATGGCTAGTTGCGTTGAAAGTGGGCATTTTTACGTACAAAAAGGTGATCTTTCTTGCCGGCTGCCAGGCCTACGATTTTACGGGATGGTGGGTGTCCCGAGCAGAAGGGGTGGGTGCGCCGAAAAATCCTCTAAAAGTACCTGTCAGAAAGAAGGCCATTTCGGTGACCATCGACGGGCGCCTCGGTGACCATCTACGGCCACCTTGGCGACCATTACGGCCACCTCGGTGACACTAAACAAGTATAAGAATAAGGTGTCTGGCATGCCACAAAAGATAGAACATCAATCAATCTACATCGTTTTCTCCCCATATCACATGCAGTGCAGTACTTCTGACAGTATCCCCTCTCGAAAGCCAAGTAGTAATAACCTAGAATCTTATCGCGATATACTTGCAAGCTCATCTTGCTATTGATGTTCGTCGGGACCTCGGAAAAATAAAGTTCAGATTTGAAATCCCATCCAATTGCTGCCCAAGCATGAAAGCGCCGGATCTCGCTTGCTGGTGTTTCTTCGCGGTGATGAATGCAATCGGGACAATATCGCTCGCCAGGTTTTCTGACAGTTCGAATCTTTCCTTGGGAGCAAATTGAAAAATGGACTTCATCTGACCATCGGATATCATGCTAATCCTCCGGGCGAGGCGATATTGAAGGGCGAGTCGTGCATCTCGAACGCGCCGTTTTGCGCTGCTTGGTGAAACGAATCTTTTCTCGCACGCGATACATTTTTCTGGCCCGTGATCAAAGTTGACAGTGGCTTGAAGGGTCTTGAATTGTCTGTCTGAATCCCATCTAATAATACAGGAATGAAGGCCTTTTATGCTTCCAAGAAAAGGACAAAGGAAACCTGGTTCAACAGTCTGTTCAGTCGTACTACGCAAGGGACTCAGCCGTAGCAAGGGAGAGAAAAAGAGGACATTCGGAAGTCCGGGAGCCCGGAAAAAGGGATCAGGGCTGAAAGTAACGAATGAAGGGATATGCAGGGATATGCAGGGATATGCAGGGATATGCAGGGATATGCAGGGATATGCAGGGATATGCAGGTATGTGACTTGACAATGTGGCTCAAAAGTGGCTCAAAAGTGGGCGACAATTTACGATAATTGAGCGTACCCATTGCTCGTTCGATTGTACGCGACGAAATCCCTGATATTCCTGCTTCCAAGGCAAGGCCTTGCCAGCTTAATGCGCGTGCTTGAAAGTCGTATTGCCAAATGATGCTTTCCATCGCGAGCATCGCGAGCAAGTCCGCTGGTGTAAGCAGCTTCTTCCGCCCACGGTTTCGATTTCCAGATGCTGGCGTTCGCGCCCGTCGTGCAAGATTTGCCAGCCCCTGCGAGAACTGATACCGAAATGTCGGAAAATATCTGCCTTATAGAATGGAATCTTGTAGTCGTGTAAAAAGCCAACTGTGCCAATTATTTGGGCCTTCCTAGGAGTAGGATGGTGCAGATCGCCAACAGCCTTGTGGTGAGTGGGGTGTGGTTTAGTGGTGTTGTCACGGCAAGTGCCAAGACAGCTGGCTGACAAGTGCCAAGACAACTGGCTGGTAAGGAATCCCCGGGGTCGGGTACGAAACCGAGTGGCCTGTGCGGCGCCCCAACCCGTGACCTACAGACCAACCCTACTTCTCCAAGCCCCGCACAGAATTTGGATCTTCTTTTCCTTTTTCTTTTCCTTAGCTTTAGATTCTACAGATACAGTGACCTTAATGCAGCCTTGTCTCATCTAGTTGACTGTGCGGTGACAGGTGTCATGGAAGGTGGTGGGATTGTTAAAGCTCCTGTTAGTGACCTACATGGGCTAGTTTTGGTGTGCCTTTTATTTTGGCAACCGCTTGCCTGGCTAGAGAACGTGCTCATTACTGCCGTCATTTACTAATTCGAAACCTTTTGAGTTCTCTTCGAGTTTACATCATGTTTGATACGATACTGGTTGTTTTCGACGGCGGTGGTTGACTTTTCGCTGGCCTACCAATCCCGCGGCCTTTGAAGCGGCGCGGAGAACAAAACTCCGAACAGCTCCACAGCGACAGTGGTTTTTCAATATTCACGCAGCACTTGCGGGGACTGCACGCGTTGTCTCTACGCGGATCACATCCCAACGCACCACCCCCCCTTCGTCCCAGCTTCGCGCGCAGCCATGATCCAACTCCCGCCATCCAACTCCCGCCATCCAACTGCTGACCTTGCCACTCATTTCTTGGCCTTGACCCAAGCAACCAGCCACCATGGGCGCGCCCAGCAATTTCTTCGTCCAGCACCAGGCCCGACTCGTCGCCGGCGGCATCGTGTCGTTGACTGCGATCAGCGCAGCACTGTACCTCGTCAAGAGGGAGCTCGACCGCGCCTGTCCGCGCGTGAGCGTCGCGCAGCTGCCCCGGGCGAGTGCAACCCGCAACTTCATCGAGGGAGCAAGCGAAACAGCGCCGCCAGCGCGCCGCGCGTGGGGCATGGACGCGCAGCCGCCGCTACTGTCCCCATGGCGGCCGGGAGAGCCGGGCAGAGAGGCGACGGCGACGCACTGGGTCCCGTCATTCGCGGCGCTGCAGGTCGACGTGCCCGCGTGGCTGCTTGTTTCTCCCAAAGCCGGCCTCGGCGATAACGACAATGATAACAACAACAACAACAACAACAACAACAACAACAACAACAGCAACAACAACAATAACAACAATAACAACAACAACAACAACAACAACAACAACAACAATACAACGCGACTGATGCAGACGCTCGTGGCCGCGTTCCTCGCCGCCCGCGCCACCGGCCCCGACTCGTGGCTGCTGGACCGCGACGTGCCGCCGCTGGCGTTCGCGCCCGCCCACCGCCTGTTTGGCCGCCCGGCCGGGCTCGGCGCCTTCGTGCTCGGCACCTGGAGCCCCCAGCGCCAGCTGCAGCCCGACCGCGACCTGCCGCCGACCGCGCCGCAGCTGCCCGTGTGCGCATTTCCTTCCAACGCCGCTGCCGTGCGCAGCAGTGGCGATCCCGATTCCGCGGGCGCCGTCGTCTACTGGCGCGTCCCGGCCGGGTTCGGCGCGGCCGTCGACGGGGCTGCAAGAAAGTGCCGGCTGCCCTGGCGGCTGCCAGTGGGTGGGTTCCAGGAGTTCGTCGTCGAGCGCGTGTCGCCCGCCACGGCGCGCGTGACGTACGTGTCGGTCGAGGCGGCGCGGCTGCGGCCTGACGGCGCCGCCGGGCCGGCGGACTACGGGAAGCTGCCGTGGTTCTTGTACGAACTGCATGTCGTGTACGCGCAGTGCCTGCTGTACATGACGCTGCGGAGGCTGCGGAGCTGGCAGAAGTAGGGACGTAACTAGGTGCGGGCCTGCTCAGGTAGCGGGAAAAGGCTGGGGGCAAGCCATAGGGGGTGGAGACAGGGGTTTATTAAAGACGACAACTCTGCGGACAACGCTCATGTAGTTTTCATTGACGGCCCCAGTTGCTCGCCTCCAGCTCTCAAACTAGCAACGCGGCGGCACATGAAGCCCATCTCTACGGGGAAGGAACACACAAACATGTGCAGTCACAAACGTCGGCAACTATTTTGACATGCGCCCCGTCAACATCATTGAATCCGGTACCTTTGAGCCAAACTCGACGTCGCCATCACAACAAACATGACCGGGTCAACACTACCGGCGCATTCAGAGGGGCGCGGAACTTCTGGACTCGTCTTCATTACAAACCATGCAACTATCAACAAGAGACGGAACTTTTGTACATGTTACACAGGCCCAGCCATCAAACCAACCACTAAGAGCAGGTCCCGAGCCCACCAGGTGCGGGCTTTGTCGTCGGCTTCGCGGCCGGGGTCTTCGAAGACGTCGCCGCGGTCGTCGGTTTCACCGCCTGCGTCCTGGTAGACGTGACCAGCGTCGTCGGGGCAGGCGGCGGCCCCTTCTGGCCCAGCGCGGCAGGGGCATCAAAGACAGCAACCGAGAAGGTCTTGTGGCGGGGGTCGCCGTCCTTCCACGCGAGCAAGCGCGACGGGGCGCCGATGGCGGGCGTGGCCGCCGGCACGGGACACGCCGTGGGCTTGGTGGGCGGCAGGCCGGGGCCGTCATACAGGGGATTGCACCCAGGCAAGGCGGCGACGGGCCGCTGCACGCCGACCTCCTCGCGGACGATGGGCGCGGCCATGTCGGCGTTGCACGCGTCCATGGCTGCCTCGTCGGCCACGGCCGCCATGATGTCGCACCGCACGCTGGCCGGGTACCCCGGCAGGATGCCGGCCGAGTTCATGCACTGCGGGTCGTCGAGCGCGCGCGCCATGGCGGCGACGCCCGCCGCGGTCCACCCGAAGAAGTAGTCGCCGTGCACGCCCGCGCCGCTCTTGCTGCCCGAGCTGAGCGCCACGTCTTGGTAGCGGTAGCCCTCGGCGTAGAACTCGTACTCGAGCACGATCTGCGGGACCTGCACCGGGTGTGTGGTGGGGCACGTCGAGTCCGGCCCCGTCGCGTACGACATGTGGCTCCGGTGGTCGGCCGAGTCGACGTTTTGGCCGTCCCAGCAGTCTGTTGATTGTCGTGTCAGGGTCCAGATGCTCACAATAATAGAAATAGGGGGGGCGGGGTTAAGGAGATCACCCACTGGGAAATTCAATGGCCATCTTGATAAGCGTGCAGTCCATGGTGGGAAGGAACTTGAGACCAGAGGTAAAGTTCCACGTGCCCGTGACGTCGCCCTTGGGGATGTAGTTGTTGCACTGGAAGCTGGTCCAGTCGCTGTTCTGGTTCGCGAGGGTGGCCGACGCGCCGCCCATGACCATGCGGAAGTTGTCGGGGAAGATGGTGATGGGCTTGTCGGGCTGGGACTGTTTGCGGCGGATTAGACCACGACCTCTGAAGAAGGATTCCCCACGCTGCGACCGACCCTGAGATAGTAGATGGCGAGGTTGGTATTGGGCAGCGCCGACCACGTGCCGTTGGCGTTGCGGCCGTAGGGGGGCGCCACCCAGTACGCGCTCTTGTCCTGCTGCGTCTCGAGCGTCGAGCACTTGGACTGCCTCAGCTTGGCCGTCGTGAGGGTCGAGTCGAGGCCGGTGCCTCCGACAAACATGTGGGCGTGTCCGCTGACGAGGCCGGGGCTGACGATGGGATCCAGGCGAGTGAGGGCGGCCATGTGCCCGTGGATTTGGAACCCCGAGGCCACGCCGGCCAGCTGGGCAGCTGCCAGAACGGCTGAAGCAGTGATTGTTCCGAACATGTTGGCTAGGCAATTAATTAGATGTTCTGAGAAGAAAGAATGTGCGGTAAAGAGTGGGTAAAGAGTGGACAAAGCACAACGGAGTCAAAACGAGCGACAGTTGATTTAAAAATAGTGAAACAAGGAAAGCTGGGGGGACTGCCTAAACGACAAGAGATCGAGGGTGGTCTCGGGTTTTTAATACTAATGTCTCTTCGATTCTTTATCAGCACACGGCGCTCAACCCCCTTTCCCAGGCTCCGGTTGCTACCGCTGACAGAATCTCACCACGCCATTCAAAGTTCCACCTGGCGGCGGCGTGAACGCAGCTGCCAAGAGTTTTGCTGACGCTGGGCAACAAGCCGCACTCACGACTGCCCGAGTGCAAAACCAGTAGCTCGTAACCTGAATGCGCCGAGCCGGCTCGGGCCCTGCCTCTCCAATTCCGGCAAACAATACAGCTGACTTTACGGCGTGGACGGGGGCAAGCGGCCTTCGAAACGCGCCGAAGCCTGTGCCATGCCGCACAAACTGTCTGTCAATTTCCGCACGATGCACCGTCGAGCTTACGGCGAGTGCACTTAGTAACGTCGCGCCAGACCAGGGTTTTTCAAAAAGGGTAGGCCAAGGCTTACGGCTTTATTCGGACGTTGATGTCAAATTGGCCCGTCCATTCGCTTTTAGCAAGTGCTTAAACCGAGTATCAACTGTCTACCTCACCAAGGTAAGTTGCTAATCCAAGGTAAGTTGCTAATCCAAGTAAGTCGCTAATCCAAGCTAAGTTGCTAATTCCTCTAAAGTAACTTCAGCTTCCTCACCAATCGCAAGTTATGTCTGCCCTGTTCACTAATCACGCAGCTTTAACTTGTCCAGCCTCAGTTTACGGAACCGCAAGCCCGGAAAGTCCGCTTCATCCGCCCGAGTCAGTCTCTGGTACTCCTTCGGCATCGCGCCTTGTCTTCTGCCGACGCAGCACAAGGTATAGGGTCGCGTACAGAACGGAGCCGGTCCCCAGCGTCGCAGACACGACTCCGAACCCCAGCAGATACTTGGGCGCGCCCGCCTGCGGGAACAAATATGCCCCATAGATGTTGCCAAGATTGGTCGCCGAGCCAGGGAAGGCGATAGCAACGGCCCGCACCTCAGGTGCAAGGTCTGCAAACGTCGTGGTTGCAAAGGCTATGGACATGGCGATCCCCGACCACACGCCGCCTGCCATGATCACCAGCAGTGCGTACCGCGCCTGGAAATCGTAGTCGACGCACATCAGAATCGCCATCATGGCCGAGATTCCCATCCACGCAGCAATCACGAGGGCGCGTTGCCGGGGTACCCGGTCGCCCCCGAACCCGCTTAGGAGCGCGCAGCCAAACGCAGCCGCCCAAATCGGTGCCTGCACCCCCCTGAGTCAATACGAGTCCCTGTAAACAGAAGGTGGCATGTGGCATGATGCTTACAGTCATGTACTGGGACTCGACGGTCGACGTGTAGCCCATCTGCTTCACGAAGGTCGGGTAGAAGTACGACAAGACCATTGCGCAGCCCAGCATCTGATTTCCCCCCTTGTCAGCAAATTTCGCTCCTCATTCACACCACTCCAGAGAGCAAGACAGGCGCTCCTCGTTTACACCACTCCAGAGAGCAAGACAGGCGCTTCTCATTCACACCACTCCAGAGAGCAAGACAGGGCACTCACCGCTGACGCCAAGGTGAGGCCCCAGACCCTCCAGTCCGACAATGCCAGAACCAGCGACCGCATCTTGCCCAGTCTCGGCCGCCCAGAATCTGTGCCGCGTACGCGGACACTCGCCCGCACTAGCCGCGCCACGGCCATGGCCCTCTCGTCGGCGTCGAGCCACTGGCAGTTATCGGGAAAGTCGGGCAGCAGAAACAGCGAGGCCAGGGCCCAGGCGATGGTGACGACGCCCTCGACGATGAACAGCCAGCGCCAGCCCCTGATGCCGTGCGCGCCCTCGAGCCCGCCAGTCACCGCGCCAGCCACGAGCCCGCCGAACGCGCCGCCCAACAGCGCTGCCGACACGTACGCGGCCGCGCGCTTGGCCTGCTCCGCGGGCACGTACCAGCTCGAGATGAGCAGCACGACGCCCGGCGTCAGCCCGGCTTCGAAGAAGCCGACCAGCGTGCGCACCGCGAGCAGCTGCGGGTACGTTGCCACCGCGGCCATGGAGCACGTCCCCACCCCCCACAGCAGCATGATGCTCGGCAGGAACACGGACGGCCGCGACCGCACCAGCAGCATGTTGGATATGGGCACCCACACGGCGTAGCCGACTCCATGGCGCTCAGCCACGTCAACAGCGGCACGGTATAGGGGGAGGGGGGTTGGTCTGTCACTTACCGTAGAAGACGACGATGGACAAGCTGTACTCGGGCGACGACATGGCCAGGTCGCTGGTCATGCCGGCGATCTTGGCGTTGCCGATGCTGTTTTTCTTTTGTCAGTCGCAAGCAAGTGCAGACTGGTGTTCGCGACTGACTTGGACCTGTCGGTCCACGACACCAGACACATGAGCCAGACGGCCGGGAGGAGGTGCCAGTCGACCTTGCGAATAAGCCTGCGCTCGGCCTCTGGAGACCACGTCTTTTCGGCTGGCGTCTCAACATGGTGCGCGCGTCTGTCGGCTCCTGCCTCCGAGTCGGCTTTGCTGGGTGGGGCAGGGGGCAAAGTCGCGGGATCTGCTGCCGTCGCTGAAGAGGCCATCGCAAGGGACAATGGCGGCCGATAGAAGGACGCACACAAGCGCCGTTGAAGGCGCCGCAATACCTTTGTAGACACTATAGCAGCACACAACTGCGCACAGAACACAAACTAGCCTGTTCTCAGCTAGCGGCGATCTGTGGGCGATCTGTGGGCGATCTGCAGATCTGGGCCAGATGCAGGCAGTGCGTCCCGAGTCCCGAGTACAGACGGAGAAAAACACAGCTCGACAGAATGTGCAGAGCACGCCGTGACACGGCGGCCGCGGTGCAGAGAGAGAGAGATTCTGAGACATTATAGCACTGTACTACCAACAGCTGTTCCACTGCAGAGTGCAGACCATCCACCCGCTGAGGTACGCCCGCCACTGCGAGCTCCGTGGCCCTCTGTCGCTGTTCGTCGAACATGGCTGACGATATGCGACGTGACAGCGCAGAAAACGCCGTGTCCCGCTCAACGACGCCGCCCTCTCAACTGTCTCAGCCCGACATCAAAGCACGAACATGACTGCGCAGCCTGGACTAGAACACAGACACCGGCACAAACGCCCTCGGCGAAGCCCGTGCCGTGCCACGCAACCCAAATCACCGCCACCGCTCTGCCGTGCGCCCCACCCCCATCCCATCCCACCCCCCCTTCACAAACAAAAACAGAATCTTCACCGCAGCAGCGCACACGGCCGCCACACGGGATCAAAGTGCAGGCCGAGGGCCTTCTTGAGGTCGGTCTTGTCGCCGCCGACGGCGCCGCTCGAGAGCGTGCCGTCGGAGGCGCGCGGCGTGCCGACCAGGCTGACGGTGGTCTTGATGGAGATGTGCGGGACCGCACCCGACGTGTCGACGCAGGCCGACCAGATGTCGGCCGGCTGCGTGTGCAGGTCGGCCTGGAAGGCGTTGGCTTTCAAATCGGACGGGGCGATGGCGGTGGATTGGTTCTGTGTTGTTGCCACGGGGACAGGTCAGCTCGGAAATGGCAATGGTGTCGGTCACCAGTGTGAAGCGAAGTGAAGCGAAGTGAAACAAAGTGAAGCAAAGTGAAGCGAAAAAAAGGGGGTAGGCTAGACGTAAGCAAACCGCCGCGCAGAAGAAATAAAAACACATAAAATAAAAATTAGGGATAACCCACCCCAGCAGCAACGCCACCCAACGCCGTCTCAACCCTCACATGCACACTCGACCCAGCCTCCAACACCGCCCAGCCCGACACCGACACCGTGGCGATGCGCAGCTGCATGCCTACCGGCCCATCAGCAAGAGTAATCTCCTCGGTGCAGAACTTGGACACCTCGGCAACCTGCTTGCCCGTGGCATCATCGACGGCCGGCAGCGCGAGCGCCCACTCGGCGAACACGAACACGGGCGTGCCGTCGCGCATCTGCTGCACGAGCCCGCCGGCGCCGATCGGGCACCCCGGCCCGAACATGGTCATGTTGCGCACGCTCGGCGCGGGCGGTGCGGTTTGTGGTTGTGGGAGGCTGGTTGCCAGCGGGGCGGTGGCTAGAGCTAGGAGTAGTGATCCTAGTGTGGAGGTTCGGGGACGGCGCCATGCCAGGGATATTCGTGGGAATGGCGGTGACATGATGTAACTACGTAGTGGGTCGGGGTCTACTGGTCTGGAGCCGCGGGACGGTGCAGACTGTCGCTCGCGGATGCAAGGGCGGCGGACAGGCAGGTGTTTTATTTCACTTTGCTCTCCGACTTTTCCGCCACTTCTTATACCGATCTAGAAAAATTCTCCGCAACGATTGACACGGCCCAGCTATGGTCCCTTGAGCGCAGATTAAACACTGGACTGGTTGGACAAAGACGATGCCAACCCCGGAGATCCCCAGGACCCGCGAGATTTTGCGAGACGGCGGGGCATCGCCATAGTCCGGGGCGATAATTCCAGTATGGGTTGATGCTTATTATAGAAGAGCATGTCTGCCGTACCGTGAAGTGCACGGGTAGATCACGGAGGCAGTCTATAAGCCGGGTTAATTTGGACTTTAAAGCAGGAACCAAGTTGGCGGTATTGACTCCACCAACCGGGTGATTGGCATCTTGATTGACCCTGGGGAGTTCTTGATTGACCCTGGGGAATTCTTGATTGACCCTGGGGAATTCTTGATTGACCCTGGGGAATGCCTGCACGTCATCTTTCTGCTTCTACCGGAGCTGTTTCATGGCTTCATTCCTCAGCTCTTTCGATCAAAGCTTTTCTGTCGGGATATCTTTTCTTTACCAAACTTCTTGAGAAATACCCATATGATTTGTTATTATTTTTCTTGTTTTCTCTTTTCTCTTGTTTTCTCTTGTCTTGTTTTTTCTTTCTCTTGTTTTTTCTTTTCTCTTGTTTTCTCTTTTCTCTTGTTTTCTCTTCTCTTGTTTTCTCTTTTCTCTTGTTTTCCCCTTCTCTTGTTTTCCTTTTACTTTGGTTTTCCTTTTTACTTTATTTTCCTTTCTCTTTCCTTTTCTATTCTTCTTCCTTTTTTCCCTCAATTTCCCCACTATCTTATCATAAGGCATGTTAACTGCTAATACTGGCCTTAGTAGTACTCTACAAGTCTTTTTGTTCCCGCCCCTTTTTTATGGATGTGCGAGAACCGCCCTCATTACCTAATTAGGTGCCTAATTACGCAGCTAATCACCCGATGACACCAAGCCTCGTTTACGGTTAATCTCGAATTCGCGAGACTCGAAGCTGTCAGTATCTGGGCCTCTCCTAGACCCCCAAACAAGCCAAACGAACGATTCTCAGGCAGAGATGTCCATACACACACACTTGATGTTACCTACTATCTGAGCTGACAAGGTCTGTGCAGATGAGCTTTCAGCTTTCATGCGAGCCGCACGCTGCCGTTGCCTCCAATACATCGATAGTGTGCTAGGCATAGGCCAAGCCTGGCCTAGCCTGGACCACTTAATGGTCCATGCACCACCAGCCTATCCCCAATCATAGATCTTTCGCCTGCGGGCAGATAGCTTAGATTCTTCAAGCAATCCACCACGTTTTCCAGTAAACTGTGCACCTCGCATAGATAGTTAGCCAGCCCTGGCGGTCTGTCTAGCGACCCAAGGATGCGCCAGCTCCCCGACTGTGGACCCAGGCGACCGGCTCTCCCCGTGGACCATTTCCAACTTCAACAGGCCAAGCGGCGACCACTTCCTCGAGTTTGGCCCCACTCTCATACAGCCCTCAGCGCTTCGTTTCACAGAACGTCGCCAGAATGGAACCTCCCGCGCCTTTCGAGACCCGAAGGTGGTTATGTGTGAGTTCACCCCTCCCGAGTCCCAGGTTAGAAACGAGGGCAAAGGGAACAAAAAGCAGTTTCATCGTACTGAGCATGGCGATATGTGTGCAGGACTCAAAACGCGAAATACGGGGCGATGGAGATGGAGAATCCTACTGCGGAATGGACAGAGTTAGTGAATCTCCCATCCACTTGAGTCTGCCTCGTCCATGGTTAATGACTCATGCAACCCGATGACAGCAAACGCATGATCAAGCCCAAGGGAGAAACAACGGTCCCGGCCAGGCCCACCATATTGTGTTCCAGTGATCATGGCTTCTGTAATTCGTTTGCATTAGAGCGAACGGAGGATGGTGGACGCGCCGCCGTGCATGTATAGAATAGTTGCGCCGGTACAATTACTGACAACGGGATGGATATGTCACAAGCTCATTACGGGCTCATTGTTTGACAGCATGATTTCAACGAAAATAATCTACCCGACAATTCAACAATAGCCACAGGAACTGCTTAACCGCCACAATTGATAATCGCTCAGGAGATCCGACCGAACGCAGCCCAACACACTCAACATACCGATTCAGCCGCGCAAACGGCGCCAGGAGCAGTTCGGCCGCGAGCCCGGACCTGCACTGCACGATGTGAGAAAGGTGCCAAGACAGTATACGCGGGAAAGCGAAGCGTCTGCTGGCGTCGCGGGGGCGTACGCGCAAAAGGCGGTGCACTTGCTCGCGGCACTGACCAACGACCTCGGCGACCTGGACGCAACGTCCCGGCCGCAGCAGATCGAGGCGTGGGCGGCGGGTGGGATAGTGCGCGGGCTGCGCGTGACGCACGCGAAAGGCGATGCGCGGACGCACGGGACTTGTAACGGGGAAGCGAGCGCGGCGTGGGATCTTGCGGCCGCCCGGCCGGAGCTAATGGTCGAGGTGCGGGTGCGCGAGGGCGTCGACGCGGCGACGGGGATGGCAGTGGTGGCGTCGCTGGCGCTGGCGACGTCGGTGACAGCCGAGGACTCATCAGAGGGCTCCGACATGACGGCGCAGCCCTTCAACGCGCTTGACACTGGATCGACGTGGGCTGGAGCATGCATAGCATCGGGTTTGCGTCGGCGGGCAGCATGTTGACAGGGGCTGCGGGTGCTGTACGCCAACGGCATCATCTCGAGATTGGATGTTGTGTGGGGGAGGAGGGTAGGTGGCATGTTTGTGCTGCACGGATAGCTAGCGATTTATCGAGTAGAAATGGAAAGTGAAAAACTGCGGGATTGCACTTTGATCGGAACAAAAGGGAACGTAAAAATTGGATGAGAAAAGACCGATGACAATGGAATCAAAAAGATGTTCGGATACCGGGAATCGAACCCGGGGCTAGTGAGTGAGAGTCACTGATGTTACCGTTACACCATACCCGATTAGTCATTCAACCATTGATGAAGTTAAGTGAAAGAAATGTTGCATTTATAGTCAATCCCAGTCCCGGTCCACTTGGCGAGTCAGTCCGCCAACGCGCTGCTGCCTGACAACAACACATCAACAATGAACACCGCCTTGTCTTTCAGGATGATACCCGTCCGATGGAGCACGAGAATCGAAGGAGGGGCGTAGAAAGGTAAAATGAGACGAATGGGCAGCGACTCGTCTGATCAGTCTGGGGGCCTGTCGTTGCCGTTGCCATCTCTGCCCTGTGATTATTATCGCAGCGTTGGCAATGGCTCAAACAACTCATTCTTGAGGCTATATTTGGTTGAATTTAGCCCCCAAAAATGGATATTGGGCTGGTTTGAGGCTGGAATTGATTGATATAGTAATAATTCATGATATTGGACGGCATCTTCAGCTCCACAGGAAAAATGTAGAAAGTTATCAACGAGGTCTAAAATAGTAAAAAATGCCTTGAAGCCCGAAAAGCTCGTTAACGTACCCAGCCCTTCAAATACATGATGTTATTGAAGGTATCGTTGCCCAATCTATCTATGCGCCGAAGACCAGCTTACCGTTACTGAATGCCCTCTCCGGGTCCGCTGACACAAGTCAACTAGGCCAAAAGCGGAACACCCTGGCTGCGGAATTTGCCGTGTAAGACACAAACCCATCACATCCTTCGCGCAGGTCACACCGCCGAATACGCACAACTGCTTCATTGAACGGTAGTAATTTGTAACTGCTTCATTGAACGGCAGTAATTTGTAACTGCCTCATTGAACGGTAGGAATTTGTGTTGAGTGCTCTAGCTTACACGGGCGAAAAAGCGCCACCGGCATGTTCCGCAGCTAGGGTGTTCTGCTTTTAGCCCAGTTGACTTGGACCTCAGCGCCGTCTTCCTCGACGTGAAACTTTCGGCATGCTCCTTTTGCAAATGGCCTGCCGCCTAGCTTGTGCTTACAGCCGTGAAGACCTTCTCGTAATAGTGATATGCCTAGAATCGCTGTAGGAATGGAAGGATTCGGTAGAAAGGTGGGATTCGGGAGAAAGATCGGATTCGGCTGTTTATTTACGTCGTGATGGTTGCATTGCAGCTTCAACGGTGCATTGCAGCGACCTGTGGCCTGCCTGGCAGTCAGAGATTTTCCCGGGCCCAGGAAAATACAGGGCTGGTCTTGGTCAAGGAGCGCCCTGGACTCAGGAAAATCCGAAAAATCCGCCCTAAAAATGGCCTGGCCAATGGGAAATAATTGACAATTCGCCAATTATTTTGACCCTACGAGTTGGTTGAATTTGACCTCAAAATCGTGTAATTAATTGCTCTAAATGGCTATATTTGATCGATTGAACTGGATAAATTTGAGTTGGTGCCGGCGCTGGATTGTCCCCACGTCTTACATTGGGCGGGCGAGATCGATCTTGAACTTGTCTGTAGAAAGCGATCCACATAGGTACCTAGCTAGTCCTTGCCTAAGACTTGGTTTAAAAGTATCGTAAAGAGCGGTACTGTGTGGTTGAGCAGGATCAATTGATGAATGGGATGTGGCACAAAATGGACATAATAGTTGTCGGGCTCTCCCTAATAGCGGAGATTGTTGGTCCGTGGCCAGTAGCAAAGTAATGCTTTCCCTCCCAAGGCGGGGGAATTGGCAATAGTGTGTTGTCAATTTAGGCGGCATTCTCTCTGCAATTTGTGCGTTGTTCCTTGTGTGGAGAGATGCGGGCTGGTCTCGAATCTCGGATCCATTTTCCCGGAATTTCTGCAAAAGTAATGTGTGTAATTATGGCACCGCCTCCGATACACGATACAGACAGGAGGAGCACATATTTCGCGCCTTACCTAAAGAAATACACAAAATAACTGTCTGTAGCGCTTTCTGTTGTCTACATCATCTCCAGATCGCAACCGAGAAGCATTTCACCATGCTCCATACAGAAATAATCGGCATCATTGCGGCCCTGGTGTTGCCCCTGCTCGTGCAAGGGGCAAAACTCCGCTACATGCCGTTCGGCGACTCCATCACCGACTACGAGTGCTGGCGAGCGTGGATCGGGTAGCGCCTCCTGCACGACGGCTACGACGTCGATTTCGTCGGCAGCCTGCACTCCAAGACCAACTGCAGCAGCCTCGACTGGGACCGCGACCACGAGGGACACCCCGGCTACCAGGCCGCCGACATTGTGGCCCAGAACCAGCTCGTCGACTGGCTCAAGCAGAACCCGGCCGACATCGTCACCATGCACCTCGGCACCAACGACATCTGCCAGGTCAGCCGCAAGACGCCGGCCATCGTCGCCGCGCTGGGCACCCTCATCGACCAGATGCGCGCCAGCAACCCGGCCATGAGAATCATTGTGTGTTTTCCTCCCGATAACTGCACGCGCTGAAGAGGCTGACTTGAATAGATGGCGCAGATCATCCCGCTCCCGGCCGTCGCCAAGGCCGTGCAGGAGCTCAACGCGGCCATCCCCGCACTGGCGGCTTCCAAGAACTCGACGGCGTCGCCCATCTGGCTCGTCGACCAATGGACCAACTTCACCGCCGCAGACCTCAAGGACGGCATCCACCCGAGCGCGTCGGGCGACGTCAAGATGGCCGACGGCTTCTACCCGGCTCTAGTGCAGGCGATCAAGAGTCTGAAGGCTGCAGCCTGATGTCGGTAGAGCCTGAATCAGGAGTCTTAGCCCAGTGAGTGTAACGAATTGAACTGATTGCGGCGAGGATGAGGGGTCCGTGAATTTCTCGCATTGGATGCTACATTCCCTGTTCCAAATTTAATCGTCCTCAAGATATGTATCTGACGATGAAAATAGCAAGCGTAGACTTTCCTGTTCCGAACCCAACAGTTTGTCATGCAAAGTCAATCCGAAATAGGCGTTTTCTCGCAAGGTCTCCAATATACGTAAACAAGTTCGAAATGTTTCTTTAAAAAAACAAACAGGAGATTGCCGTCTTTGTCGTACTACACTAATCATCGCCGGCCTTCTTGAACGAGACATGATGCTGCAACGCAAGCAAAGTTAGCATACGTATCTCAACCAGAAAACGGGCCGAGAGAAAAACAAGGAAAAAGACAAACAACTCACCGCCTCAAAAACATCCGAAAACCTCTGCACCTCCGCAAACTTATCCGCGACGCCAACATGCGCAGCGACATTCTTCTCTAGACTCTCCCAGCCGCTCGCCGTAACAAACACCTTGGCACCGGCCGGAAACTTCGGGATGCCATGCACGGCCTCGAGCGCCCAGCCATGGACGCCGGCGACGAACCCGTCGGGCGGGCCGTTTTCACGCAGGCTGGCAATGACAAACGCCCACGCAGCCTCGAAGGCCGGCGCGTCGACGTCGAGCGGCAGAAACACGGCCGACATCTGCACGAGCGGCGCGGCAGCCACGGCCGCGAACGGCGCGTCGAACACCACGGCGTTGTGGTACGGCTGCGGCGCGGCCGGGTCCGATGAGGCGTCGACCAGCTCGACCATTAGCTTTGCGGCGGCCGCGTGCAGGGGTGATGACTTGGAGGCGGTGTAGGCGTCCGAGGAGGCCCAGACTGAGGTGTGTTAGCTGGCGGTGGGGGAAAGGGGGGGAATTGAGAGCGACCACTTCCACCAAGAATAGCACGTGGACATATCGCAAATGCGTGGGTAGAAGAGAAGACGGACCGTTGACTATCTCGGACGACTGGGGCCTTTCCAGGGGCGCGCCGTGCCACGACGCCTCGAGCCCCGGCTGCGCGCGCAGGTCCGGGCCCAGCTTCTTGAGCGTCGCCCAGGCGTCGCTATCCCGGGCGCCCTCCTTGAGGGGGAACCACGCGAGTTCGGTGATTTGCGGCATCGTGTGGTCGTAATTTTGGCGTTGTTTCTGGTGAAGTGACCTACGATGTCGTCTACTGGGTTGGGGGCGGCTGTTTTATAGCGGCTGGTTGATGTGGACACATGTGTGCTCCGACGCATGAATCTCGAAGGTGTGCTCTTCGAGAATAGCGCGCCAGAAAACCAATAAGTTGTTCCATATGTAGAAGGATTTCGCTATCCTCGGTGTCCCCGACGGACTTGGTTGGCGGGTTGAGAATCACCCGCTGCATTATGCCGGACGTCGACCTCGTCCGCGATTCGCCGCCGTTTTAGTCTGGAACGCGTGGCCGCGCCAGCCATTTACCGAGCCCAATTCCCGTCTCTGAAACGACAATGGGCATGTGGGCATGGAATGGTTGAGAGATTGTAAGAAAAGAGGTCGGGTTGGTAATGTTTAGGGGCAAAACACTCTCAGATGCTATTTACAACTGCCAACCATGATAATCAGGAGAGCAAACCGGCATAGATGGACATTCTGGAATAGATATAGTCGCTGGCGAATCCTGTAAACTGCAGTCCCTGTTAGTTAGTTTGATGTCGATCGCCCTGGACGGCAGAATGCACCTGGAGAACATACGTTGTTGCATAGACTTCATCAGTGAAAGTGTCGACATGTCTGCGTTCGTTGTGACTAACGGCAAAGAAACTGTCCTGGGAGCCTACCTGCCTATCTAGGTAGATACCTAGTGTAGTGAGTCAACAGTCGCTTGGGGCGGATGGACTGAAATGCAGTGCGGTGACTGAAATGCAGTGCGGTGGGATGTGTGCCCCGGATTGTTGGGCAGCGACAGTTGGGCCGGTTCCAGGGGCGTGCTAGCGTGAGGTGTGCCGTTAATGGCAGGCCACGCAGCTACGATTGCTCTTTTTAGGGTAACTTGCCTCACTGACTCCTTCATTCCATGCCAAACCAAGCGCCACGAAGCTCCTCTCCTAACTTTTGCGCGCCTTCAACACCCGGAGGTCGGAATGGCTCGACACGCCAGCTTCACAACGGAGGGAGAGGGAGGATCAAGCGCGGCGTCATCACATGTGACGCCCGAACACGAGCACAATACAGCCTTATACTGGCTGCATAAACTAGCAGATCCGCGATCCGACGACCGAGCGACGCGTGCTGCTACTGCTACGATATATCTCCGCGGGATGACGATTTTGCCATCCAGTTACGCCTTCATTTTTCATCTAACAAGGAGCATAATTCGGATTTTGACCATCTCCAATCATTTTAGAACGGAGAAGGGGCTACAGGCGGTACTCGCTTGATAGTTGTTGAGGATATCTCTTACCCGCTGATCGAGTTGCTGAGACGTTCCCTGGACCTCGACCCGCTCTTTTTCATCCAGCATCTCAAAAGATCCGGCGTTAACGACGTTTCGCTAGATCACCTTGCGGCAAGAGACTGCATCGAAACTTTCCTAGGCGATCGTTTCATCTCTGCAAAATAGTATCGTCCCGTTTACAGACTGCCTAGAGACGCACTGAACACAAGAATACGCCCCCAAGACACTCCCCTAGGCGCCGACTAGAGCATGGAGCCTCCCGGAATGCGCCTACGGCGCTTGGAGAAACCACTAGAGAGGTATCATAGAAACTTGATGGGAGCGAACATCCACCGGGACGCATGGCAAGTTGGAGGATCCCTTCATTCGGCCGAGAAGGGCCGCCCCAGGATTCCAGCAGCATTAGAGGAGAAAGCTACCATCTACCGGGAAACCAGGAGAGGAACCGAGTTTGGTAGGTTTTGTGAACACACGCCGCTACATTCTTAGCCCCGGGCATCGAATGTTGACTATCTTCTTTGGGGGGGGGAGGTAATTAGTGGTTATCCTGATAGATCCCCTTCCCGAGCTGGAGGGTCGCCTGATTTCTCGTCGCGTCGCCAACCAACAACCGGAACCTCCACGCTCATATCTGCCGTACGAGTACTTCACTACGAGATGGACATACCAACCAGAGAGAGAGGCACGACAGTCCGACACGCGACACCGCCCAGACAGGCCTCGAAATGCGCATGTGGATATGTTGAGCTGGATGACAAACCAATGCTTGTGTGACCCGCGTGCTCCTCTGATTGAGCCGGCTTCCTTGACGCTATCCAACCCCATAGAAGCACTGTTTCGACTAGTATTCTTCGATACCATGGCGCTGTGTGACGTCTTCGACAACGTCCTCCACGAGATTTGGCTGGCGTCCCTTGATGATTCTGAGCTTTAGTCGTCCATTGGAATATGGCGCCAAATGCTCAAACAGGCGCAGCTCCGTCTCCCCACTCTCCTCGACACCATTGACAGCATGGCTGGGACTAGATCCCACCAAACTACAACATCCAACCTATCGGCTGACTCTTTTGTCCTTGTTGACCGAGTGCGCCAAAGAATCTCAACCGTCACGAAGCGAGTCGAGGAGATCAATGCAACCTTTCAGGCCGAGCTATCCGTTTTGGTGTCCCGCAAGCAGCTTTTGGAATCGTCAAGCGTCACTAGACTTACCGAGCTAGCATTCGTCTTCGTTCCACTATCCTTTGCAGCTAGCACCTTCAGCATGCAGATTTAGGAGCTCTAGTCGCCACCCTCACTGACAATCTTCATCCTGGTAGTAGCATCGACGATCTGCGTGGCCTACCTAGTCCGCATTCTCGTTAGCGATAGGGTCTTTGGCAGAATAAGCCGCCGCATGGAGCGCGCTGCAAGACGATACGGTGAAGTGCCGGACGGGCGGTCAGTGCCAAAGGTGATATACGTCTACGTCACATTTAGGACCTGCTTGCCCCATATCGCCTCGATCTCCGAGATCATCCTGCGGGCGTGGGCCCCATCGCGTGATTCTGGGCGAGCAGTAGGCTCGCGGATGGCGGCCTGAAAGCTGTGCTTACGGCGGTGGTTGTTCTCTTCTTGTCCCTGTCTGCCGGTTTGCCTGTCACCGAGGAGGACACAAGGTCGTAGTTGGAGTCGTTTGAGATGAGATTAGCTGAACAGCCAGCGGCAGCAACGGCGGTGGCGCCGGTGAGGCTTGATGGTAATAACCTGGTGGGCTCACTGTACTGTCACGAGGCATGCGAGAGGTAAAATCAAGGTACAACACAGATTGAATCTGTCTCACGCGCTTCCTCAATGGTTGGTTACCGAGCTAGGAAGCCTGTAGAGATATCCCATCGCTATTATCACCCTCATTTGGATGCAGAGCATCCAAAGCCATTCCCAACATATCGGTAGTTACCGGAATCTTCTTATCGCGGTAGACAGCCAGTTCAACGAAAGCTTGAAGGAGATCACAAGTTAGTCTCGTGGAGTCTTGGTAGCTCTGTGCTTAGTCGAGCATCGCGCCGTGTCACTTCCACCATCATGTCGAACGGGGGAGGGAGATACCTACGTGTAATTTAGCCAGCCACCGTAGTTCCTTCTCGCGAGCCTTGATCTGCTTGTTGACGTCTTTCATATCTTCCGTCAAATTCTTTTGCTCCCGCTCACCATATTCACTCGCTTGAGCGGCCTGAAGTGTCTTGAGCTGGCCTCTAAGTCGATTAACATCCTCGTAGACGAATTGGATCACCCGCATGCCAACAGATGTCCTGGAAACCTTTCCTCCCGAGTCGGCCATCTCCTTCTGGATCTTGAGCTCGACGCCTTCATTCTCTGCTTTGGACTTTTCAATGCTTTTCCCGATGATATAATGGGCCGACGCTCGGTTGTTGTAATGGCGAAGGATGGTAGCACCCTTGGCGTGCATTTCGCGCCACACTTCTCCTCGGTGGAACCGAGCCTCCAAGCCACGGGTGAACATGTCGTCGCCATCGAGGTCGTCCCATATAGTCGTAGCGATGATAACTCTCTTATAGGCATCTACCCCGAGGATAGCCTCAAGCAGACGCGCTCGCTTCCGCTCGTTGTCGCCAATTTGATTCGATGTGATGGGATGCAGAAGAATCAGGCCGTCAAGTCGCTTGGGACGAACCATGGCCGACTTGTGGTCTGATATCCACTTCGCAATAACCATAAGAATGTCCACATCGGATCTTTTGGAGTCGTCAAAGCCTGGAGTGTCGATCAATAGGACATTGCAATTGTCGAGTGAAAACGTGACAGTCTGGGGTTCCTGGGTGCCTAAGCGTGTACAGTTGATGTTAGCTACATGGCCACAGTGACTGACATACTATGATTGCTCTGGCAGGCCACTTAGGGCTTTGGGGCAGTCCTACACGACTCTAGCGTGTCCCCAATCTGCAGATTCGTCTGGCCGGATGCAACCGAGGCGAAGGTCGTTTTGCCTGCTCCCGTCATACCAATCAGTCCAATCACCACGTCTCGTTTTTGTTCGCTCCCCATTTTCCTCTCATCAACAGTGACACAGTGTGGAACAATGACACAGTTTGGAGAATCAGGAGGGGTTTGTTTGATGGGATTGACAGATGGGATGTCTACGTCGTGGGAGTTTCGCTGTTCATATTGTTGAAAGTCTGAATCCCGTGTGTTTCTTGTCTTGGGGTCCGCTGGGCTCTATCGGGTTTGGAATGACAGTAACCCAACTCCACGTTGCTGCCGCATCGCCGCTGGGGGCCGGGGCGTTGGACGCCCTGGTTAGGCATGGTTGGGCTGCAGCTACCAGCATGGCGGCGTCCACGAGTCGAGGATTCCGATCCATTGGCCGCACCCAGCCTGCTGACCCCCAACAATGTCACACGTATCGCCTGGTGAGTGGCACTCTGAAGTCAAATTCCAAACTCTTTCCCTGTCATTTGATTTCTGGATCATCCGCACAGTTTGAGAACTTCTCATTCTCCCGACGACATCTACAATTCTGCGCCCCTGAGAGACAACCGGTCGGTACAGCATTTAAACCCTGCCGTCTAGACGCCTGATGCCAGTTGGGGCGCCCCAATATGACGTCCACACAGGTAGTCCTTCTCCTCATTGGTCCTACTGGTACCGGGAAGACGAGATTCGTGAGGAGATTGCCGGGTCTCAAGGAACAAGTGACCGAGCCAGACAACGGTGGTGTCTATGGCCCGCGTAAGCAACTGTTCAGTACCCCTATCGTGATGGGTTCCTCATTATTGACTCGCATATTTTGAAGGCACATTAAAATGCCAAGTCTACACCTGCGAGACCGGCGGAACCACGTTCAAGGTCATTGACACCCCAGGCCTACGAGATGATGCGTCTGCGAATCTTCCAGTCTTGAGGGAAATCGCAGCCACACTGGAGCGGAACTCGCCGAATAAATCCGATCCATGGGTTACTGCCGCATTATACTTCCATCGCATCACCGACAGGCGTATTACCGGCGCAGGCAAACTCGGCCTTGATATTTTCAAAGCCATGGCTGGCGAATGGTTTTATTCCCGCATAGCATGCGTGACCACGATGTGGGACATCATCAGGTCCGAAAGAATAGCGCCATTCATGAAGCTGAGCAACGAGCTAAGCAACGAGCTAGCGAATTTTGCTGGGGGAGATGGGCTTGTCTTTGACCTCAGAGGGAAGGAAGGCGAAATTGAATCGATCCTTAACTATTTTGCAGCCAGATCTCACCGCAACCGCCGCTGGCTGCAATTTGAGAGGGAAATTGGCGATCTCGGGCCTGGAGGCTACAGGAAGACCCTAGCAGGCAGGGAGGCGGTGAAGAGGGCAAAATCGGGCTTTGCGTCATTCTCTGAAGGAACAACCAGGGGGGAGAGCGAGCATGCATTGGAATTAGAGGTGAACGGCAAGGCCGCTCTCGCCCCCAAGAATCGACAAAAAAATCCATACCAAACAAAAAGTTGGCTTCAATTTCATCTCCAGTTTTTTGCATACGCTTTTGTCTTCTATCCACCACTTTCCTTTTCAGATTCTCACCCCTTCGCCTCCTAGGTTCCCACCAACCCGCTCAGATCCTCAGCGCAACCGGCTTCGAACTGGCCAAATCCCTTTTCCCAAAAGTAGTACCGTTCAAACCACAACCCTTGGACACACAGGCCGAGGCCGTGTGCAGGTACTTGATCTTGCCTCCCTCGACGCGGAAGAAGTGGCTGTCGGGCATGGGATTATTTCCCTGCGTGCGATCAAGCCCAGGAAACCCCACAAAGATATCGACCACACCCAGCTCCTCATCGACCACATAGCGCCGGTACGGCACGTAGATAGTACTAGGCCAGACCATGACGCAGTCGTCGCCGTGCAGGTCGCCGCGGGCGGGCAGGCCGCCCTCGAGGCGGTAGCAGGGGGCGCCCCAAGGGACTGTCACGCTGACGTTGCCAAAGCGGTTGAAGTAGGCGTCGCCGGCGGCCTTGACCACGGCGCGCGAGTTCTGCCGGGCGGCCGGGATGGCGTCCCACGCCTCGCCCGCGTTGAGCTGCAGCGTGCCCGTGGCGTTGAACAGCCAGTCGCCGTCGTCGGTGACGACGGACTCGATGAGCGTCGCCTTCTGGTCGTCGGCCCCGAATACCATGCGCGTGTGGATCACGTACGGGTGCGGGTCCGTCGCGGCGATCAGCTCCGTGAAGGTCGCGCACTCGACCGTGTCGTGCGCGCTGCGTTCGAAGTCGACCTTGAGTGGCTTGGACAGCACGCCCGTGCTCAGCTCCGCCACCTGGTTGTTCTCGAGGTAGATGAAGTTGGGGTTTGTGGCGAACGCGCTGATGCTAGCGCTCTGGCCCGCCCTTTGCGCCGCCACGTACTTGGCCGTCACACTCTTGAGGAAGTCGCGCGTGCAGTCCGCCGACGCCGTGGCGGCGAGGCTGAGGCCGGCGAAGACGAGGGAGCGCAGCATTGTGTTTACGTTGTCGGCTGAGTCACAACCGCGAGACAAGTTCGCCTTCAGGTGGTGTTACTTCCTACACAGCTTCGTGGCCGTGAACATGTCGTTCGCGAGGCGCTTTATATCCGAACCCCCTCCCCTTCAACGCGTGGAAACAGAACTAGGGGCCGAAACACGCAACACCGCCATGCGCCTCCACTCAGCCAAGCCGGGCTGCCGAGATTGGGCTGCAGGTACAGCCCGTCGGAGGGCCGCTGATATAGCTCTCGTATAGCGAATCGTGAGGGGAAGCCGGGAGCGAACCGTGAGGGGAAGCCGGGAGAGAGTCGCAGGTCGGCTCAATATACTACATTTAAGGGCCTGCTAGGGGATGCTCTGGGTCCGTCACAATATGAAAGACACGAACCCCAGTTTGTCTGCTCCCCTCACGAGATCGTTGGAGGCGCCCCGAAAACCACATAACTGCCGGTTTGCGGGTCACGGGCACATCCAACAATAGGCACGGAACAATATGGAAGCAGCCGGATAATCCGCCGTCCAGACACCTGCTGCGGAGACTGGCTGGCGGACAAAGAGGCACACAAAATCCGCCGCATCCGTCAAAATTTTTGGGCCTCAGGCTGCTTGATAAAAACCAATGAGATTTATTGTGTGGCGGTCTGTCGCCAGATGTGGGATATCGTGCCTAAAGGCCTGCATGTATATGTATGCGTCTATTCAACGTCGACCCGCGTTGTTTCTAGTCGCCCCATTTACCAATGGCAGCCTGCTGGTGGACTGCCTGCCGGTGGACTGCGAAACAACCGGCAGAGAAAAAGAAGAAAGAGAAGATATAAAAAAAGAAAAGAATATTAAAGAAAAAGAGAGCCCTGTTGTGTATACCCATTTGTTGCACGCCGCCGGCGCAACCAACGCCCCCTATTATGTAATGAACAGAAGAATGATGGACGCGAAAAAGAGAAGACACCAAGCTAGGCTAGCAGCAATCGGGCACAAGGAAACACCTACTCGATGGCCGACGAGCCCTCAGCATTGCCGTGCAGGACTGGGTTCATGGAGTCAGACCACTCGAAGCGGAAGTCGTGGCCGAGCTGCTTGCGGCAAGCCGTCTTGACGGCATCCAGCACGTTGGCAAAGACGCCAAAGTTGGCCGGGTTCTCCTCGTCGTTCTCGCCACCCTGGAACACGCCGGTGCGCACGAGGCACGTGTTCCAGCCGTACATGTTGCCGCCGACAATGTCCGAGGCAGGGTTGTCGCCAATCATGTAGATGTTCTCGGGGACGCGCTCCTCGCCGTGCAGCACGTCCATCCAGGAGGCCAGGACCTCGTCGGCGTACTTGTACGTGGCCAGCTCGGGCTTGCCGTAGACGACGCGCTCGAGGTCGACGCCCGTCTGGGCCTTGTACATGGCCTCGAGGCCGATGCGGAAGGCGCCCTGCGACATGCGCGGGATGGGGTGCTCGGTGGGGCACAGGAAGTCGCCCTGCGAGAAGTAGATGGGAATGCGCTGCGACTCGGGGTCGGCCGCCACCGTGCGCAACCGCCCGTTCTGCGACCGCAGCAGGTCCATGATGATCTGCAGGTCCGTCGCGTAGTCGCGCGAGTCGGAGAAGACGAGGATGGCCTCGATGTTGATCTTGCTAAAGTCGCGCGGCCGCGACGATGCGCGCTCCTCCTCGGTGAACACGCGGTACGGCGCAATGGTCGGGTCCCAGGCGATGATGTCGTTGGGCACGACGATGTCCTTGAAGCCGTACTCCTCGGCAACATCGCGGCAGCGATAGCCCTCGCCACCCACCACCAGCACCGTGCTGTAGTACTCCGCAAGGGCGCGCATTGGAGTGTGGCTCTGGATGAACTGCTCCGTGGATACTGGGTTGTGCAGGATGCCGGACAGCTGTGTGGTGCGGGCTAGCTCGGGCTTGCCGGAACCGTTGGTAAGGAAGATGTGGGGGATCTTGATGCCCAGCTGGTTGTCGCCGTTGAGGATCTCGAGCACGCGCTGGCCCTCGGGGATCAGGCGGTCGCCGTGCACCAGCACGCCGTCAATGTCGAAGACGAAGGCCATGTTCTTGGCCCGCCGCGCCATCTCGCTGTGCACGTCCTGCACCTGCGAGCTGAGGATCTCGCGCGTCGGCTGCACCGGCGGCATGCCGGGCCGCACCGCGCCGAGGGCTGCCTGCACGTCGGGGAAGGCGACGTTGCTGAGGCGCGACTGGCGCTTGGAGCGCGGGATGGGCAGCGAGGCGCTGAACGAGTTGCGCGACAGACGGCGCTCTTTGAGGGAGGGCGACAGAGACAGGCTGTGGAAGTACTCGGCGGCGTGCGCGTCGGGAGACCGCACAGCCGGCACCTCGACTGTGTTGTGGGAGCCCGGAGACAGAGGGATGGCCACCGTGTTGACGTCGATGCTGAGCGTGTGGGCAAACTGGGAGCTGGTGCTGGACCCGCGGCTGTGGACAAACTGGTAGCTGTTCCAGCTGCCCGTCTTCTTCGGCCGCGGCCTTACCGGCGCCGGCGCCGGCTGTGCCTTTGTTGGCGGCGAGTCTGGCGGCGTGCCCATGTTCTGCGGCGAGGGGACACCAAAGTCTGGGTCGAGGAAAGCACTGGTAGCCATGGTTGCGGCTGCGGTTACGGTTGCGGTAGGGGCGGAAGAAACAAATAGGTACAATACGACAAGATATGGGATTGCACTGGACAGGCCTGGGTCGTTGCCTGGATTTAGGTGAGAGAACGACAAGACTCGAATGGTTCTAGAAGTAATAGCGGTAGAAACGGAGGCGAACAAGACCGTCTTATACTTGACTCGAAGTCTCCTTCCGTATTCGAGCCCTCAACTTCTCTAGTCTCTGTCTGTCCGGCAGCTCGAAGTTTGCGCCCATCTGCCGTTCAGGGGCGCTTCGCTCAACGGCGAACGCGAGCCCGAGCTTGGCCAAGACGGCTTTGGATGGATGCGATCCAGCGTCAGTTTTGCCAGCTCTCCACCGCGGGTTCGTACGGCTCCCCACTATGCTCCAGTATGACGGCGAGCGTGGCGAAAAGCTAATCTCTCGATCCACCGAGTCCTCAACGGCGTGCAAATTCGCCCACCGGGGCGACAACCGCGCTGCGCATCCCTGGCAGCGAAACAAGTGGGAATCTTTTCACATGACAGGCAGTCCGGGGAGCTACGGCATTATGACAATGCCGCACGCACTGGCTAGCCTGGCTCGTCTTGGTTATTGCGTGTGGCGCATTGTCGACTCAACCCAACTTCCGGACTGATTGATCAAGGCGACAACCAGGTTGGCCGCTGTCAGAGCTGGTGCGGTACGTGCCAGAGCGACGTCGAGCGAGGATTCCCAAGAGGCAGGGCGAGCATCCAACGACGAGTGGTGCTTTCGGGGTCTTTGGGGGTTTCGGGATTTAGGATTGGCCCAACGATTCTTCCGATTGTCTTAGGGGTTCAGGGTTCGGTGCCATGGTTCAGTCGGTGCTAGGGTTCAGTCGGTGTAATTGGAGCCTTGGGCGGGATGAAACCACAAGGCGGAGCTCAGGACGGTTTTGACTAGATTGAGCAAGTGCAATCGGCCTTGGATCAGCCTAGACCCCTGATCGATCTAGTCGTCGCTTCCTTTGGCTGCCTCAAGCTTGAACTAACTGGCTGGCGCGGCCGCCACTGCCGGTGTTAGGGGTCGGGTGTGCCTGGCTGCTCCTGCCCTGTCTGGAGGGAGGTCATGACTCGGCCCACTTGGCGATCGGGCCTTGGTTTGTCTCAGGCCGTGGAGCCTCCGAGTCTAGAAAATTGGATCTTGCGCGCTGCTGCCGTTTTCTTTTGGTCCTTTATGCACCTCTACGGAGCGTGCCCTGGGGCCCCTTGGGAGGTGCAGCCGTCCCGCTCCAGGGAAACAGGGCAGCCCGCCCAAGTGGACCCCTATGCGTCATTTATTAGCGGAGCCCTTTTTGGGAATTGGTGGGAATCGGATCAAACCTGCAACTCGGCTGCCAACTTGCCATTCCGACCCGTGGGTGTTACCATGGACCAGAGAAAATTCCAGCGAAGAGATTTTTTCACGTGGCGACTGGCATCGCTAGAGCGCCCGTTGATGATCGGGCGCGCAGCGGCGCGCTGGGCCTTAATCCGCGGGTCGCCCATTGCTGCCTCTAGTGGTGCAGTCCTCGGTGTGTCCAATTCAATTCCACCTGACGAGTGTCGAGTCAAGACCAGCTCAGCCAATTGCCTAAACCAACCCATCACCAATCGCCCATCGCATAGCCTTCTCGTCTGTTCTGCTTGTGGAATCTGATCAGCCTGTCAGCGAACTCGTGTCAAAAAACACTCGAGAGGCCATACCAGTTTTCAGGCGATTTAATCTCGTTGCCGCTCAGCCCAGCCGTTTCGTCCGAAGACAGATCTGTGTCACCCACCTTCCCCCACGCCCCACGCTCGCTTCCCAGATCCGACGTTCGCTTCCACGTTCCAAAGCTGCGGCAATTTTTTTTTAAAAAAGGCCGCCGTTAACGAAGCCCAGTAACCACTAGCATGGCTGCCGACGCCGCATCCGGGTCGCCGCCGTCGCCGCCGGCCGCCAAGACATTCGCGCTCAACAATGGCGTCACCATGCCCGCCATCGGCTTCGGCACCTTTGCCAACGAGGGCGCCAAGGGCGAGACGTACCGAGCCGTGACCAAGGCGCTCGAGGTCGGCTACCGCCATCTCGACTGCGCCTGGTTCTACCACAACGAGGGCGAGGTCGGCGACGCCCTGCGCGACTTCCTCGCCGCAAACCCCCACGTCTCCCGCGCCGACGTCTTCATCTGCACAAAGGTCTGGAACCACCTGCACGCCCCCGAAGACGTTGCCTGGAGCATCCGCGACTCGTGCGCCAATCTCAAGGTCGACCATGTCGACCTGTTCCTCGTGCACTGGCCCGTGGCCGCCGAGAAGAACCCCGACCGCACGCTCAAGATGGGCCCCGACGGCAAGTACGTCATCAACCGCGCGCTGACGGCCAACCCGGAGCCGACGTGGCGCGCCATGGAGGCGCTGGTCGACGCCGGGCTGGCGCGCAGCATCGGCGTGTCCAACTGGACGATCCCCGGCCTACAGCAGCTGCTAGCGTTTGCGCGCATCCCGCCGGCCGTCAACCAGATCGAGATCCACCCGTTCCTGCCCAACGCGGCGCTAGTCAACTTCTGCGTCGCGCACGGCATCGTGCCGGCGGCCTACTCGCCGCTGGGCTCGCAGAACCAGGTCCCGTCGACGGGCGAGACGGTCCGTCAGAACGCCGCCCTCAACGCCGTCGCCCAGCGCTCCGGCCACAACCTGGCCCAGGTCCTCCTCGCTTGGGGCCTGCGCCGCGGCTACGTCGTGCTGCCCAAGAGCTCGACCCCGGCCCGCATCGAGTCCAACCTCCAGGTGCCCGTCCTGTCTGACGAAGACTTTGCCGCCATTGAGGACGTTGCGAGGGGCCGCCACGTGCGCTTCGTCAACATGAAGGACACGTTTGGCTACGATGTCTGGCCCGAGGAGTCATAGCTAACACAGCAGTGACTTAGACATGTCCGTTCGCGCGTGTGTGTATGTGGGTGTGGGCTTGCAGGTGGGTGTGGGTTTGCAGGTGGGTTTGGGTTTGCAGGTGGGTTAAGCGTTGTGTTTTTATCTGGGTAGAATGGGGTGAACGAGATTGGGGCTTGGATTGGATAGAGCGCCTCTGGCTAGGTCTAGACGATAGAAGCAGCAAGCGTAGAATTGAGTTTCTTGTTTTCTTCCCCGCCCGTTCGTATTTGTTTTCATTTGCAACTGCTAGACCCACGCTCGGTGTGTCTTGTGGGCGTACGGGGTCAAGGGCCATTCTTGCTGGGGTCGTGTTTTGATGGTTTGCATTTTACAGTGTTCTCTCCTCGAAGAACACAATCACGCCGCATCCGGCGCAACTGCTTTCCGAAACTGGCACCAGATCAACACAGCACGCCAACCACGGGCGAACCATTTCACCACCTATACGCACCGACACTCGCGCTTTGGTGGGGAGAGGGGGCGTAAAACGTATCCGCATTGGAGTTGTGCTCAAGTTCTCAGGATCACGCCGCACGTATCGCTGCCGCCGGTTGTGCGTATCCGGGCTCGGTCCAACACTAGTGTCCAGCTATCGCCGTATCTCTCTGTGCCACTGACAGGCCTCCCGTTTTCGGCTCGCGTGGCCCCCACTCGGCAGAAATGATAGGCCGCGCGAAAGATCGACTGGCCGACACGCTGCCCGCTTCAGGCCGAGTTTGGTGCCAACAAAGGAAATCGCGGCCAAAAAAACTAATGGCAGATTCTATCCGGATTCTCAACCTGTATGGCAATAGACCGACTAACTATAACAGTGTCAAGCTGTCAATTTGCAAGTGAGAAGTTGAATTGATCTTGTCATTTTTTTGGTTGTGGTTTAGATCGTGGCAGACCCCTAATTAGGCCGACCAGGAGGTCTTGGGGTTTTGCCGCATCCGCGGGCGGCCCGTTGGCCGCTGAACGCCGGCGGGCGCCACGGCGCTGGACCCCTCCCCGGAGATACATGGATTTATAGCGGGATTCTGCCTGTGCAGCGTCTCTAGCCTATCAACCCCATGCATCTCAGCAATGATTACCAACGACCATGATTACAAACGCCCAACAGCTGGTCACCCACTCGCCCTGCCCCTTTTGGTCGTATAAGAGACAGAGACAGAGGTGCCGTTCGGTGCGTGTATATAGACCATGACGCGCCAGCTCAACAAATGGCACATGATCCAGCACAATATCCCACTCTCTGCCAACCTCCCAGCCTTGCAATTCCACGGTACCAATCCAACCTCTTCCTCGTCTAGGCATTGTCACTTCTCGCCAAAATGGTGAAAATTGCCGTCGCCGGAGGGTCTGGGCGTGAGTAGCGCCATCCCCTTTGACATCTAGTGGCTAGCCAATAACAGTGCCGCAGCCGTGGCCAGGGAGATCATCGACGTGCTGGTGTCGAGGGGCGAGGGCAAGCACGAGGTCGTCGTGCTGTCGCGCAAGGCCCCAGCTGACGGGGAGGCGCTCGAGGGAACGACGTGGGTGACGGTCGACTACGAGGACAAGAGCTCGCTTGTCAAGGCCCTGCAGGGCGTCGACACTGTCCTATCGTTCATCGCCGTCCACCTCGACCCCGATTCCTCCATAGCCAAGAGAATCATCGACGCCGCTGTCGACGCCGGCGTGAAGCGCTTCGCGCCGAGCGAGTGGTCCGCGTACGTTGACAGCACCACTTCGTTGTGACATCGGCGTTGTGACATCCGAACCGTGCTGACCGACTACGAATAGATCCAAGATCGATCTTCTGCCATGGTACGCCGGGAAGGGCGTAATTCGCCAGTATCTAGCAGACCTCAACAAGGACAAAAAGGCGAATTTCCCTCCTTCGCCCTTCGTCGTGCCCCGAGAATGAGGATTAACGATGGCTGCTCTAGGTGATCGAATACACCCTGTTCCAGGTCGGCGCGTTTGCCGACTACCTGGCCACGCCGTACCAGACGGCCAAGTACGTCGAGCCCAACATGACGTGGTGGGACATGGAGAAGGGCCGGATCCTCGCCATCGACCCGCCCAAGGAGACGGTGACGTTGACGACGGTCAAGGACATTGCCAACGTCGTGGCGCTGGCCATCGAGTACAAGGGCGAGTGGCCCGTCATCGGTGGGATCCATGGCACCACTGTCACGAGCGCCGAGGTCATTGCGCTCGGGGAGAAGCTCAGAGGTTTGTCGCTCGCGAAATCCGGCCGCCTGTCCGATGAATGACTGACACGCGCGACAGGCAAGAAGTTCGCCGTCGAGACGCTCAGCGCCGACGACCTCCGCGCGGGCGTGTGGAAGGGCTCGTGGCTGCCCATCCTGAACATGCCCAGCATCACCGAGGCGGAGCGCCTGCAATTCTCCCAATTCGTCACGGGCGCCTGCCTGCTGTCGAACCTGGAAGCGTCGTGGACGGCGTCGGACGAGTGGAACAAGCTGCTGCCGGACTACAAGTTTGCGAACCTCGAGGAGTTTCTCGCCGAGGTGTGGACTGGCAAGCCGTAGTGGCAGGACACGCATGGCGTGGCGGTGAAAGCAACTGTTGCTGTTTTCCGTAGCCAGAAATTTGGCTCTTCTCGTGTCCCGATACTGATACTTCAAGACGATTATCATGACACGACACCTAGCGTTGAGACAACCCTTTTCCCCAATTTATTTCCTCGTGAACAATAAGCTGCAGACCATCTCTCGATACCCATTTTCCCCAATTTATTTCCCCAATTTATTTCCTCGTGAACAATAAACTGCAGACCATCTCTCGATACCCATTTTCCCCAATTTATTTCCCCAATTTATTTCCCCAATTCAGTTCCTCGTGAACAAAAAGCTGCAGACCATCTCTCGATCCCCCTTTTCCCCAACCAAGCAACCAACCACCAAGTTCCACTGACCTAATACGCCCCCATGACAACACGCTCGAGCACAGCGCCCGCGACGCCGCAGCCAACGACGATCCACGACCACTTGTTGAACACCTCGGCCCGATCGGGCCAGAAGGCGTTGTGCTCGCGGCGGTACTTGTCAAAGTCGATCTTCTTGGTCACGTCCTCGGCGCTGTAGCGGCGGGCCTGGCTGTGCTCGTTCTCGCGGTCGCCCCTGACAAAGCGCAGGAACACGTAGTTGGCCAGCGGGCCCAGCAGCTCGACGGGCGCGAGCATGTCGCTCGCGTACAGCATCAGCGGGAACGACAGGTGCACGAGCGCGTCGCCGAGGTAGCTTTTTGTTTGTGGCGTGGAAGGTCAGCAAGTCGTGCCGTGCTGTTCACTACGGCGGCGGCGGGATGGACGGGTGCCCAGGGGAGACTTGTGCCGTGCTGTTCACTACGGCGACGGCGGGATGGACGGGTGCCCAGGGGAGACTCACTTTGGGTGGCGCACAATGCCCCACACGCCCTCTCTACACATAGCCCGCTTTGCACCATCACCATGATCCTCGCGGCCCTTGAAGCGGTCAAGCTGCCAGTCGGCAATGGCCTCGAGAGCAAAGCCGGCGGCAAACAGGCCGGCAGCAAGAGCCTGGAAGGCCGGCGAGTGGGTACCCAGCAGGGCCGAGGCCGGCAGCACGCCGCGGCGGCCGCGGAACGACGCCGTAAACGGCAGGCTGACGATGGCCTGGAACAGCGCCTCGGGGAGGTACAGCGTGAACAAGGCGCTGTTCCAGAAGCCTGCGGCGCCGCCGTGGTGCGCCTTCTTGGCGGCCTCGTACCGCGGGTCGTCGTGGTGTGCCGGGCCGTTGGCCGTGACGCTGACGGTGGCTGTCGTGGCGGGGGCGGTGGCGCTGCCGCCGGTGGCCGTGGTAGTGGCCGTGGTGGTGGCCGTGGTGGTGGCGCTGCCGCCCGAGACGGTGGTGGTTGCAGAGCCGCTGGTGCCGAGTTTCTTGGTGCTGGTCTTGGTGCTGGCGCGGCGGGAGCGGGCCAGCGAGCGCCGCACGACGCGCGTGAACAGGCGGCCGCCCCAGAGGGTCACGCCAGCGAGGATGAGGCGCTCTGGGCGGCTCAGGGCGCGCAGGGCGGTGCCGAGGGGGACTTCGTCGCGCAACACCTGGGTGCCGACGGCCGACCACCAGGCGTTGATGATCTGGGCGCCGGGCCACAGCCAGTCCTTGGTCTCGACGCGGTCCGTCAGCCGCCCGGCCACGTAGGCGGCCGTGGCGAGCCCGGAGTGCAGCGCCACTGAGGGTAGTAGCGTGTCTCGCAGGATGCCGACGTCGAAGAGAGACGACGCGGACGGCGTCGACGAAAAGGCCGGCCTGACGGGCGCCGACGTCTCGTTCAGACCGCTGCCGTGGTACGGCCGCTCGACCGACACGTAGTCGTGTCCGCCCCAGGGGTTGTTGAGCTGCACTTTTTCAATGGCCATGGTGGGTGTCGATGGCAGCGAATCGGGCTGACGAGTGCAGTCGTTCGTAAGTTTGAAGAACTAAGCGAAGACGGGAATTTGCAAAACAGAAAGAACTACTATAGTGTGACCGCATATTCCTAGAGACTGACGTCTGCAAGCTGTTATGTCATGGCTGACCGGTCTATGACGCTAGATGACGGCTGTCGACGGGTGCGCATATTGTGTGGGACTGACTTTCTACCTTTCTGCAAGCCCCGTGCATTCCCTCTCGCAGTTCAATGCGTTACATCCCTTTTTACGGCGGACGATTGACGCTGGAATGGAACGTTGCCCTATGAAGGCCGAAAACAAGGAGTCAAGGCTGCTCTCCACTCGCACTTGCTAGAGTACTTACTACCCGGCCATCCGAGAGGATAGGAAAAAGAGGCCCAAGATTTGAGGGTCGGTGTCAGCATTGATGGGCAAACTGGGTGGGAAGCAATGAAAGTCAGGGCCTATTAAGGGGTTAAGTGCGGCTTGCCAAAGAAAAGAGAGTAATCGTTGAACAGCTGTCATGTGAAGAATACTGACCCGAATTTGCAAATAGTCAATTGAAATCCATGATAACCACTAAAATGCTCAATATTTGCTTCCTGGTAGAATGATTCCACGCAATGCTGTGTCCCCTTTCCCGTGTCCCCTTTCCCGTGTCCCCTTTCCCGTGTCCCCTTTCCCGTGATGCAAAGTTACCTATAAAAACGGATCCCTCGCCATGCAAGCCCAACCCAACCCAGATGCTCCGAAACCAAGATGCAGTACCCGCAATCCCCATGCTAGCTAAGCCGAAACCAATATCTAGCGATGCACTGATAAAAGAAGAGAGATGAAGAAAAAGAAACGCGTCACTCAAAACGCCGGGTCACAGGTAATGTTATCGACAAACGCGTCGCTCAAAACGCCGGATCACAGATAATGTTATCGACCTCGCTCTGCGTCTGGAGAGTCCACTCGCCCTTATCGGCATCGCCAAAAGTCGTCGCGACAGCCTGGCCACGGACAACCGTGATGGGTTTGCCGGCGGGGTCGGTGATCTGGCAGCGCAGCGCCGGATCGACGAGGGGGCCGAGGCGGAGCTCGACGGTCTGGAACGGGCCGTCCGAGCCAACAGGCGGCTTCTGCTGGCGGGCGCCAGAGTCGGCGAACACGGTCTGCGACCCGAGCTCGGCGGCCTGGTTGGCCAGCACGACGCGGATCTCGGTGGCGGCGGCGCCGAGCGACTTGAAGCCGTCGTCGCACACGATGGCGCTGACGAGGCTCGGCGTGCGGAACGTCCAGGCGCCCTTGCCGGCGTCGCCGAATGTGACGTCCACGGCCGCGCCGCGCACGCCTATGATTGGCTGGCTCTTGTCGTCGAGGACCTGGCAGCGCAGCGCCTGGTTGGTGATGCCAGAGCCGACGGCGATCTCGACTGTTTTGAAGGGCCCGCTTTGTGTCGGCCGGCCGGACACGTGCGGTGCCTCGTTGAAGACGGTTTGCGAGCCCGTCTCGGCCAGGTCGCTGAGGATTACGCGCACTTGCTTGTCGGCGGCGGAGCGGCCCTGCGGCGCGGCTATAGCGCCCGAGGCGGCGAGGGCGCTGAGGAAGAGGGTGGAGTACTGCATTGTAGTGGCGGGATGTGGTTGCTGGATGTGGTTGCTGGATGTGGTTGCTGGTGGAGACGAGTTGGTGGTGTTGGTAAAAAAAGGGGTTGTGAGTGGCTTGGAGTTGTGTTGGTGGTGTTGGTAGAAAAGGGGCTGTGAGTGGCTTGGAGTTGTGTTGGTGGTGTTGGTGGAAAAAGAGGTTGTGAGCGGCTTGAAGTTGTCCGGAAGGAAATAATTAGACGTGTGTAAAATATACGAATGTCGATGATGGCGTGTGAATTGAGAACGATGCTGATGATGGCGACTGATGGTGATGATGATGAGAGAAAACGAAACATTTAACTTGAGAGAATGCATCGTATTTATGTGTCGTCAATGACAGCTGGCTCCCTCGTAAACACAGCACCCCTGTGATGACCGGCTGGACGGTAAACAGTGGCGTCGGCTCTCTCCGGAGCCGGGGGCAGCGAAGAGCTCTGGAAGCGCACCTGCCCGCAGGCTGCGCGTGGCTTTTCTGGGGAAAACAGCAGGCGGCAGTCCTAGAATAGCTATGCTGCTTCTCATTGGCCCGTTTGGCGCACTAAACTGCTGCGCACCGTTGGCGTCAGCGCGGAGCTGACGGCACCCGGGAAGCGAGTGGCTGAGTCGCCAGCAGTCTAACCACCGCCCCCGCGGATGTAACCCGAGGGTCCCAACCGCTTTTCCGTAGTCGGGCAGAATATATTGCTGAATGGCATTTGGCCCTGGCACATGATAGCTCAACATATGGTTGATGGGCTTGCAAGATCAGCTTACGGAAGATGATTAATTAAAAATCACACGTCTCGTTCGGTGTGCTTCTTTTCCGTCTACTCTGACGACGGACGGGTCGGAATTATGGCAGAACCGTGTATGCCCGCCTTGGCGAGGCGCGGCGCGTCGACAAACAAACATTTCCGGCTTCTCCTGTCTCGAAAAACGTCTTTTTGAGGAAATGTCTCTTCACGGTGAATTCGAGACGCAATGAAATATTAGGTGTTAAGAACTCGGAAGAAAGCTTCGAGCGGCCCGGCTCCGGATGATCGTGGCAGAGTCGCGTCAGCCAGCCGACGTGGTTCCGGGACGAAATCAAGGGCTGCTAAATATCCAACACTCTGACAGCTCCAACAATGACTCACAATTTCGTCCCAAAATCGTACCTTGCCCAATGGACCCGGTACCCGGTGTTAAGAGGAGGGGATGGAAAAGCCCAGCTAAATTGAAGGCTTGATGTTGAGCCGTGCATTGCTGGTTGACGTTGTGATAATGCGACGACGGCAATTCGGCTAGAGCGACAGCCGAGTCTGTACTAGACCAAGATTCATTCAATTAATTGGCGGATAATTAATTCAGGAAGCTGAATTGTCGCCTCATTGTCGCCTCATTGTCGCCTCTGTTTCTTATTGCAGCGATTTAAGCCAATCCTCTAAATTTAAGAAATAATTTAAAGAATAAAGTCGCTGATGATCTTCATTCGCCCAGTTCTTCCCGTCAGACATGCTCCCACTAATCACAGCCATGGACAATTTTTCATCGCCATGATCAGCTTCTCGTTGGTGGGCGTCATCTGCGGACTTGGCACAGAACCCGAGCATGGTTGATGATCCTGATTCTAACCGAATCTGGCCATCCCCTGTGTAACGATGACAAATGCTCAGGCGGTGAGCCGGTTCAAAATACAAGGTGCAAAGCTTTCCAAGGCAATGGCTCCCTCGGCATCTTACCCCCTGCGACTATAGCTACCTCGAAATACCCGCGTCGTTCGATACGACATTCTTCGATCCTTATATCCAGACTGTCCCTACCGGCACGGTTTTGCCCATGCGCACATGGCCGACTTGACTTCTGGGCCCCGTGACGCGGGCAAAATTGGCCTCGGCAGGGAAGGGAACAAAGCTCAGAGGGACAAGGGAAACACAGCCAGAAAGGCCCTCAAGCGTCTGTCGTGCGAGTAAGTACAACACTACGAGTAGCTACCAGACATAAAGTCCGAGCCGGTAGGGGTTCTGATTATGCGGCAATGTAGAACGTGCAGGACTCGAAAGATTCGGTGTGACCGCCAGCATCCGATATGTGGACGATGTGCCAGGCTAGGCGACGAGTGTCGCTACTTGGATCGTGCCAAGGCACCCCTGTCCAAAACGGAAATGCTGTTGTGTCTGGACGCCATGAACAGACGGCTCCGTGAGTACTAGACCCACGACAAGACCCAAGACCCAAGACCCAAGGCGAAGTCGTGCATCGCTTTGCCCCGACTGCCGACTGAGATGCTGTCGTGTACAGAACAGGCAGAGGCCAAGATCGCTTTGCATGTTAACGATGACCCGGAACGCACTCCGCCCGCAACAAATTCCACACATTCCATGTCGCCACCGCAGGCGAACATAGAAGGACTCGCGCCAATACCAGACCTTTTTGGTGGCTGGTACGAGATTCAGCCCCCAGGTCTAACTTCTCGCCTAGTTACTGACACTCCCTAGGTCTGACATGGAAATGGAAGAAGACTATGGCTTCAACTTTGATGCCCTGTCCTACACCACACCGCTCGAATACGTAACCGAGACGTTCCAAGCTGTGTCAGGCGCCAGCCAGTTCAACGCTGCATTTCCTGACATCGCTCCTCTCTCACTCTGCTACGAAGAGCCTCGAGTGTTCCCTTCTATCCTGCAGACACTGTAAGCCAGCCACGCCTGAGCCTGACCGAGCCTGCACTGTAGCTCACACCCCACATCTAGGCATGCCAGGTACTTTGAGCTCTTCCACCCGTTCATGCCGCTGGTCAACAAACCCCGGCTCGAAGCCGAGCTGGCCCAGACGCCCCCCTCAAAGGGCGCCCGGGCGCTATCCACCGCCATAGCAACGCTCGCAGCCTTCTCCGACCCCGGCCTCGGGTGCCACGTCGACAGGCACTACGACGAATGCCGCACGCTGCTGGACCTGTGCGAGCGGCAAGCCACCGACGAGTCGCTGGCCAGCATCAACACGCTGCAGGCGCTCACGGTGCTGGCGCTGTTCGAGTTCAAGCAGCCGTGCTTCGCACGGGCGTGGATGACGCTCGGGCGCGCCATCCGGCTAGCCAAGATGATGGGCCTCGACCGCGCCCCGGCTGCTGCTCCCGGGCGCCACAACGCGAGCGCCGTCGGCGAGCGGTGGAGCGCCGCAAAGATGCAGGCGTGTCCGCCGCCGCTCGACGCCGCCGCTGCCGAGGAGCGCCGCCGCACGTTCTGGGTGCTGTATATCCTCGAAGCGTTCTCGACGACGCAGACGGACGAGGCCCTGACGCTGGAGATGCCGGTGGGTTTTGCATACACCCAGCCCCGATTTTCAAGCCCGCGATGACAGCTGACGACATCCAGGTGCACATCCCGCTGCCGTCGCCGAGCGAGTACCCCGACGGCTCGTCTCTAGCCAGCATGCCATCCATCCACGAGGTCCTCGACGCTCGCACCACCGACAACACCATACAGCTCTCCCCGCTCGCCGGCAACGCCGTCATGGTGTGCCTGTACCGGCGGTGCGCCGAGCACATCACCGCGTCCACATCCGCATCCACATCCGCATCCGCATCCGCATCCGCATCCGCATCCGCATCCACATCCGAATCCACATACGCATCCCACCAGCACACGCAAGACACCACGGCAGCAGGCTGCTTCTGGGAAACGCACTACGCCATCGCCGACACCCTCGCGCACTGCCGCCACCACGTCCTCGCCGCACACGACACCGACACCCGATCGAGCGCCCACGATGGCATCGACGGCGCGTGCACGCTGCCGCTGCGCATGAACCTGGCCGCCGTCGAGATCAGCCTGCACGAGGCGGCGCTGTCACGAGTCACGCGCGCGCGCGGGACGCTGCCGGCGGCGCTGGCGAGCGAGGCGGCGGGGCGGTGTGCGGTGGCGGCCGACGCGGTGGTGGACGCGGTGCAGCGCGGGCGGTTTGGTCTCGACCTGGCGCCGGGGAACGGGGGTGGGAATGGGAATGGGATTGCGGCTGAAATTTTCCGGCAGCACGACCGCTTCCTGGTGTGGCCGCTTGCGGCGGCCGCGAGGGTCTATGCCAGGATCATATCAGCGCAGAAGGGGGAGGGTGTTGTCGATGGCGATGCTGGGGTGGCAGAGGCAAGGAGCCAATTGCGCGTGCTGGCGGAGGCTATCCGTGACTTGGTCCGGCCCGAGCATGTCCCGCCGGGGTTGCTGGGTGAGGTGGATGCGCTGGTGGCGTGATTTGTGTGTGTTGGTGTTGTAGGATAAGAGCGCTGTAGGTTGTTATGAAACTCTCAACTTTCATCAAAACTTGGATCTTATTTAGGTTAGTAATTCCTAGAGTTAATTAGGAGAAAATTGTCTCTTTGTCTAATTTGGTGGGTGCCAATTTGGTGGGTGCCGAATTTGGTGGTGCTCAATTTGGTGTGTGCCCAATTTGGTAGGTGCGAGTAATCATGGGGATGAATGTTAAGGGTCAAGTCGTGCATCCATTACGGTATAGTACGTGTTCTCATTTTGACTCTATTCGGTGGCGTATGGAAATTTCGCCTATCAAACGGCTGGTTCAGGGATTCCAAGGATCTTCGGAGGTACCTAAAACACCAGGCACGCATTATTAGCTTTTAGAACAATCCTGGGCCGCTGAGCCGTGAGACACCATCGTGCTTCTCGCACCTCTTGCAAATGACGGGCATTTAGGGAGTTGCTGGCTTGGAAAACGATTTTGAGCTGTTACTGCTCGTGGTACTCAAACTACGTAGGGATCCTACAGGTCGAAGGGTTGGTAGATCTACCGGGGGTAATGTTGTGTCTATCCTCCCTCTCTCTCTCTGCGGAACTAAGGTAGGTTCTGCGTGCGACCGGGGTTTTTGTGTGTGTGTGAGAGGTCCGCGCGCCGCACGTGCCTACTTGCACGTGCGTACTCGCGCGATCTCTGCTTCCTCCCTGCTAGTGTGCGGTCACCAGTATCGCTATTTCAACAGTTACCACTATTCTACTGGAGCATGTTCTTATTCGACTCGAGGGATCGTGGTCAGGGACAGTTGACAGTTGTGAGAGGATTTATGCACACACGCTGGTTGGCTAACTCTCGAAAAAGCGGGGTTGTCCGAGAAAAGCCCCGCACTCTTGTTCGTAGGTGGCGTTTGGGGCTTGCTTAGCTTGGTAGCGTCATTTCCAGGGCGCCAGCGTCATTGCGAATTTCTTCGCATCCATGTTAGCATTGCGGGATTTCCATTTTCCAACCACCCTCGACAACCTCGCCGTCCCGTCTCCCAGTGTTTGAAATTACCGCGTTCCGTTTAATGTTTGGTTTTGTGAGTTAAATTATCAATAACGACCTGCGTTTTCATTTTCAGCGTTTTGCGCGCGATTATTTGTTAAATCTTGGAGGTTGACACTTTGGCCGCGGGTGCAATTGGCAGTGACAATCTGCAATTGGCAGTGACAATCTGCAATTGGCAGTGATAATCTGCAATTGGCAGTGATAATCCGCGACGGTCCGACACTGCCTATTTTGAAGCTTCAAAGGACAGGACAATGACGCAGATGAGCGGGCTCTTCGAGTCGTTCCTGGCCGCGATCCAGGCCAGCCTCTCGGTGCTGTTCGTCATCTTCTACGGCGGTATCGCGGCATGGCTCGGGCTGCTGGACCACAGCAGCACCAAGGCCATCTCTAAGATCTGCGTGCGCATGTTTCTGCCCGCCCTGCTCATCACCAAGATCGGGTCCGAGCTGCACGCCGGCTCCGCCACCCGCTACCTCATCATCTTCGCCTGGGCCATCGTCTGCCATCTCATCTCCTTCCTGCTCGGCATCTTCGCCCACTTCGGCCTCGGCATGCCCGACTGGGTCACCGTGGCGCTGATGTTCAACAACACCACCAGCTACCCCCTGCTGCTCATCACGGCCCTCGACGATACGGGCATCCTCAAGTCGCTGATCGTGACTGACGAGACCTCGAGGGAGGCAATCGAGCGCGCAAAGTCATACTTCCTCGTCTTTGCCACCGTGTCGAGCTGTCTGACCTTTGCCGTCGGCCCGCGCCTGATCGACTCTGAACACGCCCCCGAGCCCGAAGCCGACAAGGAGGACGATCCTGTCGACAACGGTCGAGATCAAACTGAAGCCGGCGAAGAGACGGGGCTGCTCAATCCCCGCTCGTCGGCCGTGCAGTTCTTGGACCCGTTCGGATCAACCTCCTTTTTCCCCTCGAACCGCCGCCCCTCGGTGGCCCCGAGATCAAAGCCGCCGGCCGACCGAAGAGCGTCGATTGTGCCCCGGAGCAGATGGAGCAGGCTCAGCCCCCGGACCAAGTGGTGGCTGCTGTTTATCTCCGACTTCTTCAACGCCCCCCTGCTCGGGGCAGTCATTGGCGCCGTCATCGGGCTGGTTCCTCCCCTCCACCACGCCTTCTTCAGCGCTTCCGAAGACGGCGGCATCTTTACCGCGTGGCTGACAGCCTCTTTGAAGAACATTGGCGGCCTCTTTGTGCCGCTTCCCGTAGTGGTCGCCGGCGTGTCGCTTTACACGTCCATGAAGAGCCTTGAGCAGGACGGCGGGAGCAGCGCCGCAAAACTGCCGTGGCTGACCGTCACCTTCATTCTTGTCGTGCGATTCGTTCTCTGGCCCATTGCCTCCATCGGCTTCATCTACCTTATCGCTTCGCGCACCGAGCTTCTCTCGACGGATCCCATGCTGTGGTTCACCATGATGCTCATGCCCACGGGGCCTCCAGCCATGAAGCTGATCACTTTGATCCAAGTCAGCGACGGCGAGCCGGATGATGAAGTGAACATTTCAAAGCTACTTACAGTACGTTCTTCATACCTGTCGGACCTTCCAGCACCTGTACTAACTGGCGTCTAGATTTCGTACATCATGTCGCCGATTCTTTCCTTTACAGTTGTGGGCAGTCTCTTGGCTAGCGAAGCGGGCATCAGATGATTCAACGCCGAAAAAGTGGGACATGCTCTGGGAGCTCTCTCATTACCCCAGGCGGCGTCAGAAAACCGAACCTATATTTGGATCTATTCATGTATACGAAGTGCCTATAATTCATCTAGGTTGCACAAACTCAGGTAACTATCTTCAAGCTGCACAGCTTGAGCCCCAACCAATCCTTCACATGGCTTGGCCGTTTCCATGCACCCCACAAGGACGCGCAAGAAAAATCTCGGAACCACGGCAACGGCAAGGCTGCAAGGTTATCAGCATCCAGATATCCATTTGCGCTGAGCGGTGCGGCCACTCTGATTACCCCCTGGCACGGCGCAGGCAAGACGTGGAACCGGATTGAGGCTATTTTCCCTTGTCCGCGACAATACATATATCCGACGGGAACCCGGTCACACCTCTCTCAGGAACCCCCATCCCGGGCCCTGCCCTCCAAACATGCGCCCACCTCAATTTACCCAATGCCGGCGAGCCCACATTTCGTCTCTGCTATCTCTCGGGACCTTCTTTCCTGTGCGTGTCCGCGGCCTGGCTTGCGTCAGCCCATCGGCACAGTACTATGGGATATCTTATCTCATGCGAGCGTGTGCGTCGGCGTGTGCGTGATTTGTGCCTAGCACCCGCGCGTTTCTTGCCCAACAGTGTCACACCAAGTACGCCAAGTATTAAAAGCTGCATCCAAGACTTGCCAACCCTGGCGTTCTCGTCATAGCATATCTCGCCCGCCCGCGTTCGCCAAGCCGAACTCCGAGCCTCCCTCGCCAGGGGTCTGGGATCCATTCGCGGCCAGTGCCGCGATTGCTCTGTCAGTGAGGGTGCCTGGGACTGCCGCGCCTATGTGGCCCCCTTGCCGTCCTCCCGCGCCCCGTGGAGCTATATTAGATCCCAGGTTTCTGGCCCGCGGCGAGGGGGTATATACGTAGAGCCTGGCGCCTGCCCGCGGGACTTGTGTAGCACCCCAATCTGCTTGGGAAAACGCCTGACCCGGGTTTCGCTGCAGATCGTCTTGGCCTTGCGGGCTGAACAGACCACACCGCACACCATGCGCCGATCCCTCTTGCTCCTCCCGCTGGCGTCGGCGGCCGTGGCCGACGTGTCGGCGGCGTCTGCAAACTTTGCGTGGGAGCGAGCCCAGCTCGGCGCGAACGAGACGGCCGGGTACCCGGACATTGCGTTTGGCGACGCGACGGGGAGCAACGCGTCGTACGCAGGGCCCAAGTGCCGCGTCGGGCCGGGCGACGCGGCGTGGCCGGCGGCCGCCGAGTGGCGGCGGTTCAACAGCACGCTCGGCGGCGCGCTGCTGAAGCCGCTGCCGCCCGGCGCCGCCTGCTACCCCGGCAGCCCCAGCTACAGCGCCGCGCAGTGCCAGTTTCTCCTGACCACGGCGCCTCTGACGCGCTTCTACCCCAACGACCCGCTGACTGTGCTGACTGCCTGGGCCGAGGGCAACACCTGCCAGGCCACGTGGTTCCCAACGGGCAACTGCACCCAGGGCGGGTATCCCGTGTATGTGGTGAACGTGTCTACTGTGCGCCACATCCAGCTCGCGGTCAACTTTGCGCGGAACCGGAACCTCCGGCTCGTGATCAAGTGAGTGACCCATGCCTGTTTGCGAAGCAGGCCCGTGTGTTTAACGGCAGGCGTCCAGGAACTCGGGCCACGACTTCGGCGGGCGGTCGACGGGCGCGGGGGCGCTGAGCATCTGGACGCACTTCCTCAAGGATTTCGAGTTCCTGCCGCACCACACCATCGACGGGTACGTGGGCCGCGCGGCACGGGTCAGCGCGGGCATCGAGGCGTGGGAGCTGTGGAACTACATGGACGAGTACAACATGACTATGGTAGTGCCGGGCGGCGACACGGTCGGCGCGTTCGGCGGGTGGACGGCCGGCGGCGGCCACAACTCGCTCAGCTCGTCGTACGGCCTTGGCTCGGACCAGGTCCTCGCCTTCCAGGTCGTCACGGCGGATGGCAGGTACCGCACCGTCACGCCGCACCAGAATGCGGATCTCTTCTTTGCCATGCTTGGCGGGGGCGGCAGTAAGTTCTGCCGGGTGACATGTTTCGAGACGCCGCGAGCTGTTAGGGAGGAGTTTACTGACATCAATGCCCGGCCTTAGGCACGTACGGGGTCTTCACGTCGGCCATCGTCAAGGCCTATCCGCCGACACCCGTGACCAACCTGCCGCTGAGCTTCCAGGTCGGCGCGGGAATGTCGTTTGGCTTTGGAAACTTCTCCTTCCCGCCGGGAAATTTCTCCGGGCCCGGAAACTTCTCGTTCCCGCCGTTCCCGCCGTTCCCAGGCGCGAACGGCACGTTTCCGCCACTAGGCAACGGATCGTTCCCCGGGTTCCCCTTCCCAGCCCTCAACGGGACGCTGCCCGGCAACTTCAGCTTCCCGTTCCCCGGCGGCGGCAACGGCTCGTTCCCGGGATTCGAGCCGCCCGTCGTCGTCAACTCGACCGACATCTTCTGGGAGGGGTTCTGGCTGTACCAAAAGTTCGCGCCCGTAGTGTGCGACGCCGGCGGCACGCTGTACAGCTACCTCACCAAAGTCAGCAACACGAGCTACACCTTCTCGACCACGTTCGAGATGCCCAACATGACGCCGCGGGAAGTCCAGGATCTCGTCGACCCGCTGTTCAAGGGGCTCAACAGGCTGGGCATCCCCGTGGCCAACAAAGTCCCCGAGACAACGGCGGCCTTCGCGCCGGCCGCTCGAACCGGGGCTGGGAGCTCGCCGGGCAACATTTATTTCGGCTCGCGGCTGTTCCCGCGCGCCAACTGGGACAACGACACCATCTACAACACGACCGTCGCAGCAATTCGCACCGTCGTCGAGGCCGGCTACACGTTCCACGGGATCAACCACCAGCCGGCGTACAAGATCGCCGGGTTCCCGGGCAACACGACGGCCATCAGCCCCAACTGGCGCGCGGCTATCATGCACGCCGACATCTTCGACTACTCGTTGTTCGGCGGTGGCGGCGGCGGCGGCGGTTTCGGCGGGGCATCGTCTGCACCGGCGTCCCCGGAAGCCGTCAAAGCGAGCCACGCCAAGTTCAACAGCTACATGGACGTGATCCGCGCGGCGACGCCGGCCGGCGGGAGCTACTTCAACGAGGCCGACGTGCAGGAGCCCAACTGGCAGCGCAGCTTTTTTGGTGCTAACTACGCGCGCCTCGCCCGCGTCAAGCGCGCGCGCGACCCTTGGGGCCTCTTCTGGGCGCCCACGATGCCAGGCAGCGAGGCGTGGGCTGTCGGCACGGCCGACGGCCTGCCGACGCAGAACGGCCCGCTGTGCCAGACGGGGTTTGTCGAGGGCGACGGTGAGGGGCTGGGAGGGGGCGAGGGGCAGCCGGAGCGGAACGTGAGGGCGGTTAGGAGGAGGGATTGAGCTGTGTCGCTGTGGCCGTGTGCCGTGGCTTGAGAAAGCAGGATCGCTTTTGGTAGGCTGTGTACAAGACGATATCTGAGCTGGACCCTGGACTTTGCTGGGTGTCGATCTTGTACGGCCTATCGAGAAGCATCGAGGCCACGCTGCTTCGCGATCTCTATTATCGGCAACATCGAATTTCGGTCGGTAGCCCTCCTCAGAAAATGCAATTCAGGTCCGCCTGGAGATCGGATTTATAGAGCCTTGGCGTTGAGTTCTCGCGAGGCAATTTATCTCCAAAATGGCCATTTTGGGCCACATCCCTAGCCCAGCTCTTGTTCGTAGCCATCTGCTCTCTCAGCAACATCTTAGTTTCCAGATACAGTTGAGCCTGTCTGTTGGGCCCAGTCGACTCAACTGATAACCTGCGAGAGAACCGGATCAGGTTCCGCGCTGTTCACTTCCCGTTCGCGCTTGCTTCAAACTTTGTTGTTATGAAGTAGATTGCAAGACTAGCGTCACGATGTCATACGAAATTCGTTGGCAGGGGGTTTCAAGTTTTCAACCGTCAGGCGAGGCTCGAATGTGCTAGTGCAAGTCTCTAGTAGTTCGGAGTCGTAAGTTTGCTAAACAATACTCAAACATCTCCTATCGTCTACGAGTTGAATCGACGAGTTGATTGGTTTGCGCAACGAACCATTTGAGCAACTTCTTTGTCTTCTTGTACTGCTTCTCGTGGTCTCGCTTTTCACCGGCTTCCAAGGCGCCGGCCCGCCGCCGTCGGGCCCCTTGGTCTCCTGGGTATTAGCCGTTTTCTTTTCCCTCTAACAAGTGGTCGTCGCTGCTCGACGAAGAGGCCCTGCGCTCCTTCAAATCGCATTCTCAAGATCGCGCAACCCAAGCTAGCTGGCAAATAGGATTCTGTTTGGAATGGATCCTATTGGAGCACAAAGTGAATTGGTCGACTAGGCACCGATAATAGCCGGTAGGTTGCGCTCGTGTTAGCTCTACTGAGAACAGAGTTTTCGTCTCGGTAAAACTCTGGTGGGTAACAGAGAGCTTAACTAAACGAGACAAACAACTTAGTAAGACTTTAGCATGCACCGGAGAGGGAGCGGGGCCTTGTGTTAGCGAACTATTGGTTCGTCAGGCGTAGAATTGTGAAAGTGTATGGGATCTTCTCTCAATAGAGAGACGTAAAACACTAATAAAATAGGTTACCTGACTAGTCAGGAAGGGGTCAGCTGAACGGAGCCTCTTTTTTTCTTGTTTTTTGCCTCCGGCGGCGCCTGCGGCGGGCTGCCCTCGCTTCGCTCGAAGGAATGGGTGGCTGAGGCATTTTAAGAGCCCTCATAAAGTCTGGTTATCAGGAGGAATCCGGTCGTTCGGGGTCTCTTTAGGTAGGATCGGGCCGTCGGGAAGCTGGCCACGCCGCCACGGCCGCCTGGATTTAGCGCATCGGGCCGTGGGGGCTGCGGTTGAGAGACCCCACCGTAGCCATCGCGGCGGCTCGAAAAACACGCGTTCCTGGTAATACATTGTAGAGATTAATAGGGTAATAATCGTAAAGTATTCGGCGTGCCTGTTCATAGCTAGAAAGCGGTAAATCGTACGTGCGATTGACTGAAGTTGGTTGTATTACGAGGTTGAAGAGGAAAGTGGTTTATTTTAGGGGGGAGCTGGCTAGAAAGTTGAAGGTGCCGTACGGACCACCTACAACGGATTGACAGCCATTCTACCACCAAAACAAATTCTCGTGATAATTCTATATTTCGATGTTCATGGTCTAATTGTTGGATCTATAGGGGGCAAGCCCTCTCAGCGCTCGCAACAATGCAAATACGGTAATGCAAGCAAAGCAAATACAAATATAGGCAAATACAAATAGGCCGAAAAAGACCAAATTAAATACAAATATGAAGGCGTAGATCCGTAAGTATACTTGACACATGTGGGCCCATTTTATATGGCCCATTTTCCTGGGTTCGGGGTGCCAACAGTGGGTTACCGGCCCAGGAAAAAGTGGATTTTCCAGGCGAAATCCTGCATTTGCTTGGCAGCCTCTGCACAACTTTCTGAACACCACTATACTTACGAAAACCCGCATTTATACCGCAACTGAAGCCATTCCGACCTGCCAACACGACGAAGAGCCCTCCCGGAAGTCCCTTTTCCATTTCCGACAGTCCTCCGAACTCCCCCGGCTCGCCGTTAATATTCGCCTACTACACCCCGAGCCTGCCGCCGCGCCCGAGCTTCCCTTGGCCGGCGAAAGTAAGGCCTTCCTGGCTCAAAGCCTTGATCGCTCAATTGCGAAGCTCAAGAAATACATCAAAAGGTTGGAAATCACACCGGTTTACTGGGTCTCGATGATTCTGCACCCTGGGCATGAGGACAAGTGGATTGTGAAGTACCAAGCCTGTTGATGACATTCTAGCTTGGTGGACCGACAATAAAGACGGCTTTCCACGGTTATCACGAATGGCCTTTGACCTTCTTTCGATCCCGGCCATGTCTTCAGACTGCGAGAGGCTATTCAGTATGGCCAAATTGGTCGTTGGAGTGCAGAGACACGGGCTCAGTAGCGATACCATCAACAAGCTATTGTGCCTGTTAAATTGGCGGCGAAATGGCCTGTTTTGAAGCTTCGGCATAGCTTTGGCTGGCTTTCGGCGTCTCGGCTGGCAGGTTTTTTCTATGCCGGGGATTACCCGGGCCGGAATATTGTTTTTCAGCGCCGGTCAAATATTTGTAAATAAAAAAATTAACTAACTCAAATACACGTTAGAAAAGCTCAAATATAGCCTCACTTTGCAAATTAAATACAAATACGGGTGCCGGGCATATTTATTTGCATTGTTGCGAGCGCTGTAGCCCTCTAGGACTAGTGCCTGCGGCGCTCCTTCCTGACACGACCACGGCACAGCAAAGCGGCATTTCACGGCTTAACCTGTCCGAGGTTCATCCGATCGACCAATTCCCACCTCCCATTTTGACACGGACGTAAACTGACCAACCCCCATTCGAGAAACATTCGGCACCCTCACGGCAACATAGAATACAGGTGAACGGAGCCACCGTAGGCGAGCTTGCGAGCCGGAGGTGGCGTAGAGAGGCTGAAAACCCCTTGAGAACAGCTGAAGTGCAATAGGTTTCCTGCTCTGTGGATTGGTCTAGCACACGTACAGTGTCTAATGTCGGTGACTTGTAATCCTGTATAGTGCGTAAAGTATTCGTATCTTATTCCAAACTCATTAGCCAACTTCCCCTACAAGTTCCCAAAATATTGGATCGCGTTTCGCAAACATTCCTCCATCTTCTCCCGAGGTAACATCTTTCTCAGAATGCGGGATTTCCTCTTCAAGGCACCTCGGAGACTGCGTAGTGTTTAATGTGCAACCCCGACACTAGTCCGTACCGACTATACATGAAGCATGGGCAGTGGTCGAGATGCGTAGCCGTCAAAGCCTTCTGTGCCTTGAGCTACCATGCGGGGCGGGAAAGTAGGGGGATTTGACGCCTGATTTGCCCACCCCACCCCCACAACGAAGCTAGACTAGAACAATTGGAGGGTATCGGAACAGTTTACCATGCAGCAACAATCGATGCCAGAAACACATTGGATCCGTGCCAGCACTTCTGGGCTTCGGCAGAGACGGATATATGCCCTCCCAAACGGCCGGTCCGTATTTATAATCCCATCAAGGCAGGTCCGAGCAGAATGGCGCAGATGATAAGCAGGGAGAATAGCCTGAGCAGAGAAACTGAGGTTAGCGTCTATTCCTGTAAACAACCGGAGCAACCAAAAAAATATAAGCCAAATGCCTACATGGCATCAGGACCAGGCCAGCGCAGTATTTTCTCTTGCTATAGTAGACAGCACCTCAGGCCTCATTTCACCAGTGGTGTGACACGTCCCAGACGATGGTGCGGCGGCCGGCATTGTCGGGATCGACGTCGACGACGTGCTTCGTCATCTTGATGCCGCCCTGCAGCAGGATGACCTCAAGGCCGCCAAAGAACTTCTCGGTGGCCGTGGTCAGGACGTGCTGCGAGTAGAGCATGCGGATGGCGCGGCGCTGGGGACGGGGCAGGCGCTTCTCCTTGACGACGTAGCGGTCCATGACGTGGGGGCTCTCGAAGGACCAGGCGTTCATGCTATAGGGCAGCAGGGCCGTCTCGTGGTACAGCTGGCGGCACACGGGCGAGAGCAGGGTCATGCCGTGGAGCTCGGTGCCGGTGCCGGTGCCGGGGGTGGTCCAGGGGTTCTGGGTGGTATCGAGAAGGCGGCACCAGAAGCCGCCCTCGACGGGCCGCCGCGGCTTATGCTCCCATCGCTTGTAGCACACGTTGATCTGGCCGACTGAGAGGACGAGTTCGTATATGCGGTTGCGCAGCTCGGGCGGGAGGCGGAAGAAGGGCGAGACCTGCTGGTTGCGCTCCCATCTGCGACGGGGAGAGGCAGGTAAGCAAATATTGGGGCATTTATTTGGGCATTTATTTGGGCATCTGATTGCGGGTGGGACGGGACGAAAAACGACTCACAGCTCCAGCTCGAGCGAGCCCGGCTTGGGAAACGACTTGTGCAGTTCGTGGCGGACCTTGCGCTGGCGCTCCTTGTTCTGCTGCATGTTCGCTTCGCCGCGCGACGCTCGGCGACGCCGAGTGTGGAGGTCCGCGGCCAGGCGACGCGCGGTCAAGCATCCGTCGACGCCAGAAATCTCCGCACTGGCCCCACTGATGCGCGTTCCCCCGCTTGGTCCAGTGGTTTGGCTCACTCTGAGAGTCCGTCGGCTAGTCCACATACGGCTAGCGTGATTGACTGATTCAATACCCAGAGACGACCAAACTCGTCGAGGTCTAACAGCAAAGCTGGGAAATAGAAAACTACGGATAAATATCAAGAGGCTCTCATAATTCTGATTTTGTCATTTCCTCTCAATATATCAATATATATCATTGAATTTGAGAAGATTATGCGTTCCATTTCTCGTGTAGTGATAGAGGAAAAACAGGCGCTTGGTCGACTGCTTCGTTGTGAGAGCCGTAGCCAACTGGCAATGTCTACTAGTGCCTTAAGCGCCAAATTTCAATATTTCTAGTATGGCTGTAGCGTGACCGACTAGACTTGTTGGGTGGCCAACTGAGCTGTCCCTCCACGCACCCCGCAGCACGGGACTAGTGTCTGTATTCACTTTCATGCTGGATACTCCTTTCGTCTCGAACATGGCTGCTGTTCTGGTGGGGCATACCGCGTCGAAAATCAAATCACCCCAGAGACTAGTGCGCCGACAAAATCAGAACCGCAACGCCAAGGAAGAGGCAGCGACCAAAAGTTTAGTTACCAACCATCAACACAAACACATCCGCCGCTTACCTCCATAACTCCACTTTATCTTCTTCCCCTTATCTGAGGTATATCTCCAATCGAAATACCGGCAGCATGAGGGCTCTTCCATTCCACGAGTTCTCCACTGCCAGGCCGACCTGGCAGCCCAGCACAAGACGCGGTGGGCCAGAGCCGAGACCCGCGAGGAGACCCCCTGCGACAAGGGCCCCTCGACCCCTCCTAACACCTCCTAACTAACCCCTCCTAACTAACCCCTCCTAACTAACCCCTCCCAACTATGGTTCGCCTGTATTCGGGCGACTTCATCTACTTCGGGCGCCTGCCTGCCGAAATGCGTCTCATGGTCTGGAATGGGCTCCTCGACACCATCGACGACGAGCTCTACATCGACCGAGACCGGGGCGGCCTCATTCGAGCCCGCGAGAAGCCGGCAGTTACCGACATCGCCCTCAGCTGCTGCGAGGCCCACACCGTGGCGCGCCACATGTTCCCTGCTCTCAACAAGCGCGAGAGCTTCAGCCGCCGCATCACCCTCTCCACCCTGCTCGGCTTCGCAACTGAGCCCCCCTTATATCCGAAGCCGCGGATGTCCTTCTTCACGGCGGCCGAGAAGGCGAGGATCCGCTACATGCACCTTGACATGTCCGGCTTCTGCGACGAGCATGAGAAGTGGTACTCGAAGTTGCGCAACCAGCTCGACGTGTTTCATCTTGTATTCTGCAAGAAATTCGCCAACCTCGAGGGGCGGACGTGAAAGCCCAGGACTATTGGGCCCAGTACGACTTCACAACCTAACCCCCGCGCCATGCCGTGAGAGTCCGACATCCTATCTCGGGATATAACCACCGCCACATTGTCCATCACGATCACCGCCCTCTTTCTGGTAGCATCGGAAGTAAGGACCGAGGAAGTCTCGTTATCCCAATAGAGATGATGTACAAACCTCCGTGTCCCTCCGGCGGCGGTGTACCACCGCCATCGCGGCTATCCATATCGGTTCGAGAGTTCAGGTCTCTACGTGATATCACAGCTGTCCTTTAAGGCACGTCTCTCTGCTTCCTGGCGGGCGACTCCGTCACAGAGGAGGCATGGGTCCAGGTTGCGATTGAGGTCGCGGTAGTCTACGACAAGCTGCCCGAGACCCAGGCCACTAGCTTTGGATTGAGGTTTTCATTAGCACAGAGGCCGACTATTAGTACGTTTATTTGGGGGTTGGGGTATATCTTACTATACATGACTATCATCTCGTCATGTTCGTTGTTCTTCTTTTCCTGGCGTTGCTGGTCGCGCCGTCCACTAGGCCTGTGCCAGTCTTCAGAGCCGCATGGTTGCGGAATCAGCCTAAGCCCAAACCATTAGCTACTACCTCTCTTTTAGTCATGCTAGTTGGTTTAAAAGGGTCAATCTAAACGACGGGCCTCTCCATCTTGGCTTTCTCGGCTTGGAGCGTTCAAGCCTGCTCAGTCTCGATCTCGTGCGGAGAGCAGACGAGGAGGCAAGGTCTCGGCGAGGCAAGCTAAGCCGCGAGGACAAAGAGACGGCCTGTCGCCGCCCACGCAAATCTCGGCTGGAACATGTTAGACCGCGGGGCTGTTTCCTCAAAGCGGCAAACAATGGCATGGTACCACTTGGCTAGGTTGATGACAGTGGCAGTAGACGCGACGAGGATGAAGCGGTCTAGAAAGATCACGGTTCTCCGATCGCTCCTGCACACCCCACCGTTTTCAAAAATGAATGTCAAGAGGAAGGTGGAACGGCGAACATGAGGGGCGAGGAATGGTCGGAAACGAACTGCGATGTAGAGTGGTCAGAGGGGGACAAGATAGGCAGGGCTGGAAAGAGTAACCAGCACAGGCGGTTGAGTGAAGAACGAGGAGGGCAACGACTTGCGAGAGGAGGTTGGGTCGTCGTGGAAACCATGATGTTGGGAGCGCGGCGATCAAATACCATAAAAAGAAAATGCAGAGTAGGGTGCCGAATATGCTCACCTCTATCGTCTAGACCGACATCACATATAGCCCTCGGGCGGCTCACCGCTACCGGCTGACGAGAGGGTCTGATGAAGGAGGAAGAATGGAAGAATCAAAGCTGTGCCCGGCGGTGGGCTGTACCGGGGTGGTGTGGGAGCCCACCCACACGCCCATTGTCTCCCGAACACCCCCCTCTCCCCTCGCAACCTTCCCTACACCCCCCTCCCCTCGCAGCCCTCCTACACGCCCCCTACACGCCCCCCAGCCTGCCCGTAGCTTCCACCGGGCCCTTCAAGAGGCCCCCAAGAATTGCAGCGGTGCACGGACCCATCTGGTTGTGCATTTAAACGCCGCTTTGGTCTGACACTCGCTCTTCTTTCCTCTTTCTTTCCTCTTTCTTTCCTCTTTCTTTCCTCTTTTCTTTCCTCTTTTCTTTCCTCATAACTCCAAGTCGTCCACCGGGTGCTCAAGATGACCTGTGTGGGACGCGGGAATCGCCTGCATTGCACTCCGCGGTTGCGATCCCGTGGCTGGTTCTCTACGGGGGCCAGAGGCTTTAATTTTTGATAACCCCCCATCTCAATCTTTTTTTCATTGTGTGCTTCGCTTCAGCGAGGCTACGAAGAAGAAACTTTCTTTTGGGCTTGGTGTTGTAGTCATCTACCTGTTCGCTCTGTTGTTGCTGTTGTTGTTGTTGTTGTTGTTGTTGTTGTTGTTGTTGTTGCTGCTGCTCTCCTCGACGTGACTTGTCTGCTGCCGTCCCACGTGGTGTTGCTAGGAGCGATGGATGGATCTGATGTATGTACGGTGCTGCGCTGCTGTTTTCTCTGGTGTCTTTCTCCCGATGTTGGTAGAATCGCGGCGGTGTTGGCAGTGCAGTTCTGTAGCATCGCGAAGCTTGTTGTCTTCGTCGCGCTTTTTCTCTTATGGCAGGCCAGATCCCTGGCAATAGAAAATGCATTGACATCGGCAAGGGACTGGAACCAATAATTACCGCGTTGCCGTGACGAGCGACTGCACCTGCTGGCACTATGGTGGCATTTTTATCCAGTGCTTCAGTGCTTCAGTTCCGTCCAAGGCAAACATCCCACCAGCCGAAGTAGCGGGCGTCTAGCCTTGTTTACAACGCGTCGCGATGCTGCCATCTCGAACTCAAAAATGAACACTAGCGGCCGCTTGTAGGAGAGCCGTCTCCTGAAGACATCCGCAAACTGCTGCCTCTTTACCGCTACCAGATCACGTCAAGGACCTCGTACCCTTTGCCAGGCGCCGAACGTCATTTCTTAACGGACACCTTTGCGAGCTAAACCTATTTTAACCCGCCCCATTCTCTAAGGCGCTCCAGGTAGGCTGCCAACGCGAGGTGTGCGAACGCAAACCTTCTCTTGCTTGCCTGAAGCTAGCTAACACGTCAGTTCTCCATGTGTAGTTACCAAACCTTTCGTGCCTCTGAAAACGAGCCTGTTCCCGTCGCTCGAGTGAGCTTCCTCCCGTCGCTCGAGTGACCCTCTTCTCCGGAACGTCGAATCGTTGCAAATCAAGATTGCCATGTCCAGGCACGTGCAGCAGACAGGAAACACATACAGGACGGCCAAACGAATACAAGGGCTAAAATCGTGGCTCGGCGCGTGAAAACAGAATACAATCGTGGCTACGCGTGAAATCAGAATATAATCGTGGCTGAGGCACGGAATGCTTGGGTCTTTCGAGGCCAGCCAGCACCTGGTCACGGTGGAGGGAGCGCTAGGAGGGCGAAGTGGAGGGCGAAGTGATCAGGGCTTTCTAAATAGACATTCACAAATAAGACTTCTTCGGTCTTACTACGACGGCTTCAATGCCAGAGCGAAACACGGCTGTGGGGATGACAATCACCGAGTCTGAGGCGTGTCAACAGTATCTATAAACAACATCTCGGAACTGCTGCCATAGCTGCTCGCAGGACACAACGCCTGGGACAGGCAGGGGCGGCAGGGTGCGGCACCGTAGTCAAGGCACGCCCGACATGGAAGGCACGGCAGGGCGTAGAAGGGAAAAAGGAAGGATGACGTCTTCGCCCTGGCCGCCTGGCCGCCCTCCTCCTCTCGCGGGTGACCCACCCCTTGCTCCTGGTGTGGAACCCTCAATTTTTGCAGCCGTACACGGACCAGCCTGGTTCTTTATAAAAGGAGCTGCCACCCCTCCGCTCAACTCTCCTTCCTTTTCTTTTTTTCTTCAGCCTTCGGGCATTTGGTCACAATGAAACAATACAGAGAAGATTAGCATGGCCCCTGCACTAAGGATGACACGCTATCAAAGAGAGCATTTGAAATTTTTTTTCACTGTAATCATGGCTTCCGAGTCGTGGTGTAGAGAAGAAAACTGGTTTGCTGTTGGATTTGCCTTGGCTGCGCTCGCGTTCGTGTTCATGTGTATGCTGGAAGCTGTGAGTACCAGCGCCTTCTGTCTCGGTTTTGGGCACTGCGAGTTGTCCGGTTGACGCGCGCGCCTGCCCAAGGGCGAGGCAGGAGGCGTGTCTAGAGTTCAGGCACGCTCCAGCACTGCAAAGCGGCATTCTCTATTCGTACTACTTTCGAAAGGATCTAGCTAGACATACAGGACGTAGCAGCTCCAGGCCTGGCGAGTCTCGCGTCGGATCACCTGGCAGCTCTTATCGCTGGCAGCTCTTTTGTCGCTGGCCTTGGTGACTTGACACCCTGCTGGATGCGCATTTGTAGACAGCGGCAGTGCCTGAGTCGGCGGCCACGCGGCAGTGCCTGGGTCGGCCGCGATACGAGCTCAAACTCGTCTTCTTTCCATGACTACCTCGTCCTTCTACCATCTCCGTACATTTATTTTCCCCCAGCTTGGCTACGTCGTCTTCTACATTGGAACATTGGGTGGTTTCCATCATTCGTACGGTATATGGGGCGCTACATTCTGCCTCTAGTGAAACCTTCAATTTTAATGAAAATTTACGAGCACCATAGATCAACCCGCCCTATCTTTGGAAGTAGTGCTAGTTTAGGACGATATCTCGAATATATAACCTCATCCAGATTGTTATTTCCAGGCCAGAACTCCACCAAACGGACCAGGCGAGAAAGCGCCATAGAGGCGAGGCGCTGTGGCTCGAGCTTGGGTTGGACGCTAAATTAATTTCAATCTCCTGCGCACCTTTCAGACGCGCCCAAACGCGGATCGGGTGCCATTGTGGAGGCCATTTTGAACCTTGAACCAACATTTCCATTGTAATAGTGACCACGGCAGAACCTCATCCAGATTGTCATAGCGACTAAGAAACGCAGCCCGCGATCACCGAACGAGGAAACGCAACCCGCGAATCACCGAACGAGAAGTCGAGACGATTTTACCCCAACAGCCCAAAGCGGCCCCATTCCACAATTTCCACGAGGCAAGCCATCCTGTCACTGCCCGTCACACCACTTCCAGTCTCGGCCATGGCACAGAAGCTAACTTGAGCTTACTACAGAAAGCACCGATCGCCAGGACAAGACTTGGACGGCCGACGCCATCTCCTCAGTCTTTCGCTCCTCAGTCTTTCGCTCCCCAATCATAACCTCCGACCAAAGAACACACGATATGGTGGGGCAGAATCGGAACTCCAAGTTCACCCCCATACCAGCAGATACCAATCAAAAACACTTCCCCATGGTCATGAAGCGAGGGTAATACTGTCGAGCAGCGAGCGTGGTCCGCTGGGCATGGATCAAGAGTACAAACGGTGCCGATGCAGCGGGGGAAGGCCTAGAAATGAAAGCGAGACGAGCGAGCACGAGGAGCCCGAGGGAATTGTTGCTGCTCCCGGCGAGAGCTTGGACGCTCCCGGCGAGAGCTTGGACAGACTCCCTAGCCAGGCCCAAAATCGAAGAGAATATTTTCTGGCATTACAAGCCTCACAACCGCAAGCCCTTGCTATTTCACGATATACCACATCACCAGAGATCGCCGTTACTTTGGGACTCGTTTCTCTCCATACTTCGAACTCGAGAAACATATATAAGCAGGTGATGGACACCTCACCCGAGACACCTCCGCCTTTGCTAATTACTACACAAAATTTGCTCCAGAGTACATTGAGCTGATGATTTACATACATCTTTTCACAAAGGTCTGGTAAAAAGCCGTGGCGCAATAACGATCATAACTGCCAAGCTCGAGATGCGAGAGGTCTCGGCCGAGGAGAATAGCACACCCGGGAAGTCAGACTTGATGTCTGCATTGAGCACAACAAATAACAGCCCTAAAGAGCAGGCGGGAAACTCTGACTCTGTAATAAGAAAAGGACGAAAGATTGGGCCTTGGAGGCGGCGACTCGGGGGAGGGGCTTTGGTGAATAAATCTCTGTTTCTACGTTCAGAATAGGAAGAGGCCTGCTAGCAGGTTGTGCTACAGTCCGTGCCACCAAGCCAAGCTCAAGCATTCTTTTGCCAGGAATCGCGACGCTTTTGTGGCTTGGGTCTCTGATGAGAGGGTTTAGTGCCATTGTTTTGAAGGGCTCGACCAACTGGTCTCGCGTGTTCGATGCCGAGGGCTCGCCGATCCCTCGCCGATCGCTCGCCGATCGCTCTCCTTCTTCAGCTTCCCTATGTTTCACGTCCAATTTCGATCGGCTGACCCCTTGGGCAAGACGTTGCGGCTGGCGGAACAGATGGCATTGCCAAAGACGAGCCAAACATGGGCGTGCGCCGTAGCCCACATCTATTACAACCAGGCGGAAATGACGACAAAGCGGCGCTGCTTGCAGTCAGTCACGCACTGCTTGGCAGCCTGCAGTCACGCACTGCTTGGCAGCTTGCCTTTGAACGAGTCTGCCGTCTGATAACTAGCACCACGCCCGCCTGGACACAGCATTGGGACCATAGCCTGCAGCAGTCTGAAGTTCCAAACAGGGACAAAGTAGGCCCGAGCACCTTTGGCTCACACACTAGGTAATTACATGAGACAACCCCTTTCATTCTCAACTGGCCTCCTAACCGCCTAACCACAGCACCTTCCGTCACAGAACCCAAAACACCGCCACGACCGCCGCGAGCGCAGCCAGAATCCACGCCCAGCGCACTAGTCCCTGCAGCGCCATCTCCTTAGACAACCGCTCAATGGCCTCGCCATCATTAATCCTCGGAAACGGCACGCCGCGCGGCACGTCCTTGCCGAGCGCGCGACACAGCGGGCCCCAGCCGTCCTCGCCATCGACAAACACGAGCCTGTCCGACGGCACCGTGTCCTTGAGCCACGCAATATTTCTCATGATGACTTTCTTGCCCTCAACTTACAAACGCGGTAAAACAAACACCCAAGCACTAACCAAGGCCGAGTACTCCATTCAAGACGACGAAATGTCAGAGGTGAAAGAATTTTATAGGCGAACGACTCAGGCTGCTATAACTGGTTACATGGTTTTTCGAGATAACGGCTGCTGCTACTTCTGCTATTATTTATTTGATATGTTGTAGTTCGTACAGCCCATTCATCTCTGAGTTTTTAGGTAGCCCCAGGTGGTGCTGCGTGGCTCGTTTGCGGTGCTGTTCAGCGGAGTGGTCGAAACAGTTTGTTGTCTCGGCCTGGCTCGCCACTCCAAAGACGCTAATAAATAGCACACAGCCATTCTATTCCGCAACAAGCCAAACCTTCTGAATGGACAGGTGTCCTTCAAAACCTTCTGAATGAACCAGTGTCCTTCGCCCTGCTATTTATCAATCTTTTTCTTCCCCGAGTAACTAGCTTGCCAGGAGAAGCAAGCTGTCGACTACGGATCGACTATACCCCAGCCATATCCTACACAACCAAGCGCAAGAACGCATCAACGATAGACAAACTCACCAGCTGTAGTCTGCCCAGCATGACGGAGCCCGTCTTGAAAGCGATGCCCCTGACCGCACTCGACCACACAGCTCCCCAGGGCTACATTACCTTGATCCTCGGCTTCCCCTTTTCTGGCACAGGACACGAGACGAATGCTATGAACCATGTGTACGAGCGACTGAGACAGACTTTCCGCCGCTGGCCCTTTCTTGCCGGCTACCTAGTCGGCAACAACAAGTTCAGCACAACCGGGCTCGCTTACTCGGTAGACGGTGGGGATGTTTATGTCGCATGGGGACTGGCACTCGAGAGGCAAAATCTCCGTTCGTCGCCTGACCAGTTTCAGTGGAGCTTCCAGGACCTCCTGGAGCACGGCTGCCCTCCATCGGCATTCGAACAAGAGCTGCTGTGTTTGATACCGAAGGAGAACTTGAGACCCGTCACTCTGAAGATCTCGTTTATCAACGGCGGCCTGCTCCTCGGCTTCGCGTTCCACCACGGATTCGTGGACGGCACCGCAGCCGCCCAGTTCCTCGAGTACTTCGCCAGCACCAAACCCCAAGCCCGCGTCGACGGCTCCTCCCTGAGCAGCATGCGCTCCCACAGAGCCGCCTTCACGCAGACCGTCAACAGCCTGGCCCAGATCACCGACATCAGTGCCGCGCCATGCCCGAATACGACTTCGACCTCCGCCGGCCCGTCAACAAGCCCTCCCCGACCGCGCCGCCCGCCGAGGGCCGCATCCTCACGCTCGCGGCACCCACCGTCCGCGCCCTGCACGCCCAGGCCGTCGCGCACCTGCGCAGCTATCTCTACAACCCCGGCCTCTTCGTCACCATCCCGGACCTGCTCTGCGGCATGGGCGTGGGTGCACGTCACGCGCGCGGCTGCACCGGCTCGACACGACAACAACGACCCGCTTCGCCACCGCCGTCAACATCCGCCGCAAGGTGCCCGGCGACATTCCCGACGACTACATGGGCAACATGTGGGTGCGGGTGCTCGCGAGCGCTTCTGTCAGAGACCTCGTCGACATCGCCCTGCCACCGCCAGCAGCAGCAGCACCGCCAGCAGCGGCAGCGGCAGCGGCAGCGGCAGCACTAGCACCAGCAGCAGCAGCACCAGCAGCAGCAGCACCAACTACCAGCGAACCTCGACCACGAACCGCGTTCGCCAAGGCCGCGACGCACGCGCACTACGCTAACGCGGCGTGGCGCATCCGGCAGGCCATCTCCGCGCTCGACGGCGACAACAACACGGCCCTGGCGCGCTACCTCGCCGTGGCGGCGCTGTCGACGGACGCGGCAGCCGCCAACTCCGAGAGCGCCACGTCGTGCTACGGCGCCGCGCCATCGACCGCGCGCACACGGGGCTCGACGCGTCCATGTGGCTGGGCTTCGGCGCTGGCTTGGCGTACGGCATTCCTGGGACGGGACCCGAGGGGACGCCGGCGTTCGTGCGCAAGCCGTATTCTGCGAATAACGGCGCCATGAACCTCATGCCGCGCGCCGGCGGGTCGCAGGGCGGTGCGGATTGGGAGGTCTTGTTCGCGCTGCGGGCGGATGATATGGCGGCGCTGTGTGCGCTGGATGGGATGGGCGCGTGGCTGTGCAGGCCGCCAACGCAGGGGCTTTGAAGATTTGATGGGGGTGGAGGTTGACCTTGTGCGGAAAGGGTCTCGTAATTATCAGGTTTGGGGGTGGAGGTTGACCTTGTGCGGAAAAGGAGTCTCGTAGTTATGAGGCTTGAGCAGAATGGGGTTTTGGAACCGAGAGCGGTTGATGAACTTGAATTTCAGATTTTGGCGTGTGCGTCGAGGATATATTGGTAGACGAGAAATAGAGCCCGACAAGCCCGAGTTCGTGGCAGGGTTCGACATAATGCATGACATTGAGGAACTATTTGTTCGTTTGCGGATCTACAAAAAACATGATTGCGATCTTGGAGGCCGCATGAGTTTCCTTCGTAGTGGAAGACCACTGGATTTTTAATTTGTGAAGCCGTTCTGATCAATCCACATATCAACGAGCTAAAGCTCAGGATGATGTCGAATCGAGTACGAATCGAGTGACTGTTAAGACAGGATGGTCGTTGAAAGATATCCGTCCTCCATCAGATATGAATTGATTTGACAATTAATTCGTTATTAAGATAACAATACAAAAATCCCACCTTCTCCCCCATGTCCTACAACAACTCGCACCCTCCACTCCTGCGAAACCAGAAGGGCCCGGCGGGCTGCCACTCGTCCAATTATCCCCGTGTTATATCCCCTCCGCCTCTACCAGAGACTTGCTAAACCGAATGGGGCTTGCAGCTAGGGCATGGTCGCGGTACCACGGACCATGGTTCGGCCGTGCCGTGACACTATGCCCAAACACACCCATCCCACGGCACCTACTCGTGAACACCGGTCGCAGCTGGGACAGGCGACGGGCTATTGAGAGGTTTTGGCTGAGGAATCAGCTCAGCTGACGCAGCAGCAACTTCTACCTGTGTGCCGTTGGTTAGCTAGGCTCCTCCTGTAAACCTGGACAACTAACAAAACATACCTTGACGGTGGGTATGTTTCAACCCACGCGCTGTGGTCTCCAGTCCAGTATCTGGCCCGACCGGTGACGGAAGGCAGCCGAGAGGAGAGGAAAGAAGCCGTCTGCCGCCGGGTTGCTGGTGCTCCCAAAAGATTGCCACCCTGAGCGAGAGGAGGGAGAGTTGGTGAAAGTACAACCGGCGAGCTGGCCGATGACCCAAGTCTAGATCTGTGGTATGCTTGCTGATCTCAAAGCTTGTAAAATAGCGAGTGGCGGAAAAGACTCACTCGGTGCTGTCTTTTGGTCGTAGCGAGAAGATCTTTGTGCCGTATGTTCCAACCAATTCCAAAGGGAGAAATTCTATAGGTGGTCGCTATCGATGAGGGAACATTTGTCGAAGCCACTTATTTTTCTGTTAGTATATCTAGCTTGAATAGTCATTGGTGTTCTCATCGACGTACCTGGATGAGAGATGATGACAAGCCAGCCGTCAGCACGTACGCTTCGCCCTGCCTCGCTGGGCTTGAACGATGGCGAGTGCGTTCTTAAGAATTCCCTCCTTGTACCAAACAGGGATTTGAGATAGAAAAGTCCCCTTTGCTTGAAAATAATGGCCACACCATGTGAAATCTGAGGAGTTGCAAATGCCAAGGATGTCATGCTGCCCATGATGTATCTGCAGATATGTAATTAGTCAATCATTCTTGTGTCTGGTAGAACTTCCATAATGGCCTAGAATCTTACCTCAATCCGTTGCTTGGCGAACCCACAGTCCAGTGGTGATTTCATCGAGCTGAGTGTTGTCCTCAAGAATTAAATCCTCTCTCTGTCTTCTACGCCTCCGCTTCTTTCTCGGAATCTCCCCGTTTGGGCCGCAGCCGCGATGGACCGCGAGTGTACACTTGGCAGGCGGTGGAACGTCTCGTGAAGAAAGAGGCAGGGTTCGAGAAGCAAATTGGCCACGGAGCAAATTGTGAAATCGATCGTCGTTAAAGAACTGACGAATGTGTGAGACGATGCGACAGTGGAGGTGAGGAGAGCTAGAGCCTACTGTTCTCTTTGTCGACCCAGCGGAGCGCGAGGCAACTACCGCGTGCAGCTCACAGTAGAATAGACAGGTGAGAGTGTGAACGTGCAGGTCCTAAGGGTGCCAAAGCTGGAAGGGAAGAATAGGACGACGTTTGAAATCAGAGGGCGGAGAGTGAGGAATTGTGGTGGTGCTAAAAGGATAAAGTTTTGGCAGAAAGGGTCTCGCGAAATAATTTAGGTAAGTACTCGCAGGTGTGCACCGAGTGATGTTGGTCCCTGTTGTGGGGCCGTATCTCTTATCGCGCAAGCACGGGGAAAAGGAGAGTCCAAGCCGTCGTGCTGGAGTCTAGGAAAGTCTAGGAAGTACCTTGGCTGCCCTAGCTCCGCGGTATCGATACATGATTTTACCGGCGACAGGCTCCCTCCTGTGGCCTGCTTCGGTACAGGTGCAGGATACCAAGACGGAAATTGATTTTCCCAGGAGCCTCCAAAACGTAAACAGTGCAGCTGCACGGGTTTCCTGGGTGTTCACCCTGCTCCTTCGTCCGAAACAACAGCCTCGCTTGGCAACCGCGGATACACTGGTGCTATCCATGAACAGCGAAACACATCAACAACGACGGTGCTGTTCACAGAACAAATCAAATGTCCCAGCCACGCAGGTGGTTTAGTACTTTGCAATTCTACCGTAGCTGAACACCTGCAATGAAATCTTACCTTTACACGTACCTATTTATTTACGGCACTCTTCCTCGTTCTTCCTCCGTCGATTTCCGCAGCGACGCTCTCAGCAACCTCTTTTTCTTCCTCACAGCAAGCTTCAATTGCGACCGGGGCCGTCGATTTTGCACACTCCTTTCAACATCGCTATCCATTATCACCACAAGCAAGCACATAGTGGCTTATCGTAGCTCTCTTGTTACGCGACGCGATTGCACATTCACTCTCCACGCCACCGTTTGTCGACAATCAACCACACTTGTCATCCTCGACCACCAAAGTCGTTCGTCATCACATCGGACCTTTGTAACCAATCAATCCTTTCATCGTTCTTCTCTCAACTATTCGAGATGGCCTCCGGTAGCACCTGCTTCAACTCGAAGGACAACACCGTCTCCGCCCCACAAACCACCTCCTGGGCGGACTGGGTGAAGGATAATTTCCCCCTCGACGACGAGGATGACGAAAGCGATAGAGAAGACCTTGGTCTATATCTCTGCCCGAAGAAATCGCCAAGCACCGAGCAGGCGCGGAACCGGAGTCTCGACACGCCCCACCCCGACCATTGCGCCGATGCAGACGAGGCGACAGCAAGCCCTCCGAATTCGCCAAGCACAGAGCAAGGCGAAGAGGAAGAAAACGGGGAGGAGACGGGCAAGTACTCGATATTTGGGGGTTTGACGCCTAGAGACCCGCAGTCGATGGACGACAGCGAGCTCGCCTCCCCCATGGGGGAAGCGAACATCGAAGACTCGAGCGAGTTCGTCAATGACGACGACGATGACGAGTCCACCCCAAAGGCGTCGTCCACTGCACGCCTCACACAGCACCTGCCCAACGGGGCAAAGCCGGTTCCTCATATCGCCGCGTCGAGCCTGGACGTGGCCAGCTATCTGTCGGTTAGCAAGGGCGACTGCCCAACCGACCCGTGCCGCTTCGCCTTCTCGAGGCTGGACCGCAGCACATACTTTAAGATGCCAAAAGTCGTCTTCTACCGTTGCAACGACGGCGACGACAAGGATGAAAACAGCGAGACAGACTCGGCAGAGAATTTATCCGGCGTTCACTATTACTCTAGCTCCGTCGACCCTGCCACCGCCGAGAAGCTGGCACGAAAATCAGCCCAACACACACTGGAAGGTGTGCGTCGCGGCGGCCAGCGCGGGCGCTTGCCGTACCTGTTATGCCAGTATAGCAACTCAGTCGAAGCCGAGGAGTTGGAACAGGAGCTAAAGAATCATCTCCTAGCAGTGGAGGGTGACTACCGCGAGGATTGGGTGTGAGCATGGGTGCCGGTTACCCTTTGCAGGGGGGGTGGAAGCTGACTCCCTCCTGCAGTTCTCAGACTCGATGGGGTTGTGTAATAATAGATGGGTTTTGATTTAATGGAGTTTCGGTGCGGTTGGTTGCCCAGAAGGACGACGTCTCTGAGTCGTGGGACAGTGGAGTGGCCATCGAGTGATCGGGATAGTTAGAACTTGATGAGAAGCCCAGGCCTACCCGGGATTTGATGTCTTTGGATTGTAGATACTCGAACTATAGATATGTACCGAAAAGGACGGAAGGATCCTTCTTCAGGTCATAACGTTCCGGTATCATGACTGTCAACCAAATCCGTGTTTTGCGTCTCTGCGCTGGCTCTGGCCATGCTGACATGACCAGGTTCCCAGGCGGCACCGCGTGGAGGTGCAGGGTCCGACTTCGCCGCCCTCCCCCCTCTTGCGGAGGGACCGGCAAGGGAGTCATGTCCGTAGACAATCATCCCAAGCCTTCCACAGCCATCTTCCCCTTCCCAGCCTTCCACAGCCATCTTCCCCTTCCACAGCCATCTTCTCCTTCCACAGAAATCTTCCCCTTCCACAGCCGTCTTCCCCTTTTACAGCCATCTTCCCCTTTTCAAAAGAAATTATCGGCCGCTTAACAGACCAGCATCATGCCGCCGCCGCCGCCGCCGTCCCGGCGGCGGTCATAGTCGAACGGCCGGGCTAAACATGAGATGAGGCATTAACAACGTATCGAAAAGCATATTAAATGTACCCCAGGTATGTGACAGCGATAACACGGTGTCGTGAGGGAGAATAACAGAGAAGAGGGAATTAACATACCCTCGGCGCGGCACGTGGCGCGGCCAGCACGGCGTGCAAAAAACTGGCCCAAGGCCAAGACAACGCATAGGAGCTCATCAGGCGGCAAATCCGTTAGCTGGTCCACGGCCGCCTGCACCCAGAGCAAGTGCTCCATGAACTCGAACAGTTCTGCGGCGACCCCAACACGCCCCTCCTCACCCGCGGCTCCCTCCGGGGCAGCCAGCCCCCCCTCCTCCAGATCGAGGAGCAGCGCCTGCTCCAGCACGCCGTATCCGAGCTCGCGCCGCATGTGCTCGAGGTCGGCCGCGAGGGCGACCAGCACAGCACGCAACGCCTGGCCCCCGTCGCTCGCGACGAGGGGCGACTGCTGCCGGCCGCCGGCGCCGTCCATGGTAAATCTTCTTTTTTTATACAAGAAAATCGAAAAAGAAAAAAAATCAATTGAAGGTCGAAAAAAGGAGGTGTGGTCGTCTGGTCTGTACGTGATGATATAAGTTAGCAAGCGGAATATTATTTGTCTTATGCATGTGCCGAGAGAGCTCTTCTGCTGTATAATCTTAGAATAGGAGAGATTAGTGTAGATTACATGCGTGTCTCAACCCTCCTCCGCTGTGAACCACATATGTCGCCGGAAGTTCTGCTCCACGGCTGCCTTTGATCACAGAGGCTAGTGTGGGAGCGGGACGCGCTCTACTCGCCAGTCCGGTATCTGGCGCGACCGGCGGCAGGAAGGCAGTCAAGTCAAATGGAAGAAGCTCAAACGGCAGCACGGCTCTACTGCCGGGATGCTGGTATTGGTGCTCTCCAGCGACTGGGTCTGGCAGGGCAGGTTCCCTCGGGAAGGTGGGAATGAAAAGGAAAGAAGCTGGGAGGGGCAAGGTAAGCTGTGTGTGCGTCGGAAAGGAACGAAGTGGTGCTGTCACCGCCTTCAACTCTGTTCATAGATGGCTTTCGGAGGGAAAACGATCGCGATGATTGATGGAAAAGGGAAATTCCAAGCCATGTCTGCGAGGATTTGTAGCAGGGAGCAGGAAATACGTTGAGTGGAAGACGGCGATGATGAAGATGATGAAGATCAGCCGTCGCAGGAAATATCCTTGCGGTTGGGGATTCGAGAGTGAGGGCATCAAGATGTTACCTACCGTTCTGTTTGTACGAGGTCGCCGAGGGAAGAAGAGAAGAAGAGAGAAAGAGTCGAATTCTTTTCCTGTGTGTGGTTTTATCTATCGGCTTAACGGGTGGGTCCGGCTGGCAGCACCAAGTTCGGACGACAACGACGATTGGAAAAAACTTTCTTTTTGCAAAAGGGAAGGTAGGGACATGAAGAGTTGGCTATGGCCATTGGCTTCAAAACTCGAGCCCAGTTTTTCTATGCTAGTACGAGAGAGGCTCTGTGGGTGAGGATGCTGGCGCGGCCCAGATACCCGCTTCTGTTCAACGATACGACAGACCAAGTCCTACAGGAAAAACCACAAACAAAGACCACCCAGGTGAGTCTCGGTGCTCAGGCCCGCACTTTGATAGGTAGTCGGTCGGCTCGATCGCCAGCCGGGTAAACGTCTCAGCGTCTGACACGGTCCTAAACCAGACGTTCTTCTCCTTACCAAGGCAATAACACAATAACACACTCGGAGCTCACGGACATACTTTCACCTGTCACACCATAGGCGCCAATCGAGAGCGCAGCCACTCCCTCCACGAGTTGGCTCCCCTCCTTGCTATACATCCCTTTCTGACCTCCCTACGTCATCGTGCCCGAAACCACGTAATCTAGGCGGACAGCTGCAAGGCACTGTCTGAGGACGTCGTAGCGAAGCTGGACGAGATTGACAACGAGGTGGCCCTCAATCAGCGAATGAATAAACTGGAAGAAGACCAGGGTATTGTGACTACCAGGTAGGAATTTACTTATCCCTCATTTCATATCCGATCACCATGCTCTCACCGTTGACCCAATATATAGCTGTTGAGGGGTCAGTGTCACTGGCACTGTCCGGATGTGGGATTTTTTAATACAGTAAGTAGGGATTTTGTGTAATTACCTTGGGTACTTACCTTGAACATATGATGGCATGCGATTCTTTGTTTCTCTGCTCTAGGGCAGGCTCATCGCCGTTCCGTGAGTTTCGAAGACGAATTGCCATGCCCGGAGAGTAGCTTACTCCGCCACGCCCCAGACACCTATTCCGAAGTGTGGCTGGGATTGTTTGGGGTTTACCCTCATTCGCACTGCTTGCCCTCATTCGCACTGCTTGCCCTCACTCGCACTTCTTGCCCTCGCTCGCACTACTTGCCCTTGGGACGGCTGCGCTGCGTGCCTTGTCTGGTCGCGGGAGAGGGAATGCCAAACGGCACCGATCAGTGGGTGAGGGTGCGCACAATTTTCCCCTCTCGTCATCCGGGCCTACCTGGGTGCGAAGTCTCGAAGGTGCTTGGCGAGCTGCTTCCGAGCCCAGAAGAAGCAGTTTAATTTTAGGGGGTGAATTTTTCTACCTCGCGCGGTTCGTAGTTGGTAATTACTTGGTCGAGGACGGCAGATCCTGACTCTAGTGACTAATGTGGGTTTGTGATTCGCCTCTGATTTCGGTCTGGGATGGGGCTGCGAATCGGGGACCGGCAACCACTTGGTGTCCCAATTCTCAAACAACCTCTCCTATGGTGCAAATCAGCGCTCGCAATGGTGTTTCCCCAAGCTGAGGGACCGTATGCCTTCCGTAAATTGTCCAAGAGATCGTCATATATATTGTTTTAGCACAGAATAAGTCCGCAATCTTGTGGCAGTAATTAAAGCGTCAGATTGGCGGACAATTCTGCACGCTGCTACGCGGGAGTGCTTCCCGTTACTCGTAAGGGTTAATATTTGATAAGTGATTGTCTGGTAGGTAGCTAGGTACTTTCCCTTGGTTGCATGGCGGTCCCGGAAGGTCTGGACTCTTCCTGCCAACCGACCGCCAATCGGCTACGGTATCTCATGTTCGCCACTGCAGCATCGACGCCACATTGGCCCTCATTCGCAGCCAGAGGAAGTGCAGCCAGGTGACATGTGTTCAGGTTCAGTTAGAGCGGGTCGGCTTCTGAGCCGGGAGCCTCATCACCACAGGAACTATCGACACATGCAACCACAGGAAATATCGACACATACAACCGAAGGACCGACATCAACCCTACTCATCGCGCTCATCGAGCTGATCGTTTGGCACCAGTGTTCATGGATCCTGTTACCACTATCGGATTGCTCAGCACCTGCGCTGGCTTGGCTGGGCGAGCAGTCTCGGCGGCGTCCAGCTTGGATGGCTTCATCAAGAACTACCGCCGCAACGCCGACCGTTCCGGCCCAAAGTCTACTCGAGAAAGGCGCCTGGGTGAACGGATATGATACTATCAAGCAATCAAGCTATCCTTCTAGGCCTCCACCCCTCGAGATAGCGCTGAAGCGCGGCACAACCCGGCATCTCCCTAAAACCCTCGATCTGGTTCAACTTCTCGTCCACAGTGACGCCCAAATCAACACACCCAACGGGAATTCGCTACTACACCTCGCCTGCTGGAACATGGCGCGTTCTGGCGAGATTCTGGAGTGTCTCTTGTCCTGAAATGCCAACGTGGCAGTGATAAGCCTCGCATCGAGAATCTCCGAGGACCGCTCGAGAGACCGTACGTTGGCCCTGGTCCCCCCTTGCACATCGCGAGGGGATTCGATGCAAAGATCCTTCTCCAGCACGGCGCAGACGTCCGCGCACTAGATGATATCGGTAGAACGGCGCTCTTCTGGACCTTCCGTAGCGGATTCCCAGATCTCGAGGCCATGGCGGCCAATGTCGCCCACGACAGTCCGGTCAACATTCAAGATAAGCACGGAGATACCCCCCTCCACTCCTAGACCGAGTGCCTCGCGCTAGCTGCCCCATCTCTTCAAACTAGATTCTCCGAAGCCCCGCAGGACACGATGAAGAATCTAAAGAAAAGATTGGAAGGACTGGATATTTTTCACGATGCCGCTAAGCAATTGCCTAAATCAGGCGCGCATACCAGTATCAAAAACAACAAAGGCAAGACGGTTATTGACTTGGTCTCAAGAAGTGTTGGAAAGGTGGATTGGAGTGAGGCTGAAGCTGTCTCTGTCCGGAAAAGAACTGACAAGATCGGTCGATTACTGGGGATTGACGACGAATTGACTCGCTGGGCGTTTCTTGAATGTAAGTCCATGTAATCGTGGGATAATTCGGGGTTTCATGGCTTTCTTTAACATTCATTGTATTATTCCTCTCTCGCTGTGGCCCTTCCTGGCATGACTCCAGGAACAGATTGACCAGCATAACATTTAATAACGTAGTCTTTTCCTTGGTGTCGCGGCTCGCCTTTGTGGGGGTGAACAAAAAGACCATACACGACTCCTGTCGGAAGGAGCCGCATCTAAGCCACATATGGGCGCAGGTGGCGCACATGCTAGACCGTTTACAGCCTAGACTGTGTCAGCCGAATGCCGCATAACTATGGTATTCAGTTATGCCCACCTTTCTGAACCTCCGAATAGAAGCACTTTTTTGCCCTCAATTGATGCAGCGTTGTATGTGACAACTCCCATCACGGTTCACCACGGAGCGACCCGTGAATCCCTCGATACTAGGCGACTCAATATCAACCATCTCGTTCCGATCACATCAGGAGAGCAAAGTAAAACACAAGCAAGGAAGATATGAGATTTATTCGCAGATAGACAGATGCATTAGCATGTAAATAATTGGGTATGTCATGTAGGACGTGGAAACCAAAACTCCTTCCCCAATCCCATGTGAACACCCCAACGCCATTATCGCTATGCGTCCTAGTCCTTGTAAGCTTTAAAGGAGCCTGCACACAACGCTTAAGACAGCCTGAAAAAAACCCCATGCCTACCTCGTAAAGAAGCAATGGGGCCATTGTTCACACTTGCCTGTGCTCACGCACACAGCACCCTCCAACGGCCAACCCAGCACCATCCGAAACAATGCAACAACCCTCGGCCAGAGCAAAAGACCTCGGCCAGAGCAAAAGACCTCGGCCAGAGCACCCGCCAACTACAACCCAGCACGCAATAAGCCTAGATCATGCCGCAGTCGTCCTCGCCATACAGAACGGTAACCTCTGGCATGTCCTTGTACTTCTGGCGCAGAATCATGACCGCGGCCTGCGCCTGGCCGCTGAACTTGGCGAAAGCCCACACGACCGTTCCGCGATCGCCCGCATAGTACTCGCCGACCTGATCAGTCTGGTAGACGATGTTGCCCTCGATGAGCGCCCGAATGTTGGACATGTTGGCGACGTCCCTCGGCCCGTCCATGTACAGCACCCGCGTGTGGAAGTTGCCGCGGCAGCCCTCGGGTTGCTCCAGCGCGCCGATGCGATCCCACAGCACCTTCTTCACGCGCCTGCCGTTGACGTGGAATCCTGCTGGGCCGTTGCCGAGCGTGTGCAGCGCGAGAGCGGGCGCGTGCTTGAAGAAGACGATGCGCACGCCAGGGTTGAGGCGTTCGGTGGTGCCGGGCATGACGCTGACGTTGGCGACGCGGCCCACGGGGTAATCCTTCCGCAGTGCGTTGAAGATATCCTTGGTCGTGGTGCCGAACGGGAGGTTGGAGATCCAGACGGCGCAGTTGACGTCGGCAGGGACGGGCGCCTTCCGCTCCTTGACCGAGCCGCGGTAGTTTTTCGGGACGCCGCGCTCCTCGCGCAGCGCTACCTCCTTGGCCGTGAGCGGGCGCCGGCCGTCCGTGGCCTGTTTCATCGGCCGGTAGGCGCTGGCATCGTTTCGTCCACCGCAACCACCGCCACCGTGGCCGCCGCCACGAGCATTGCCGGCACCAATGCCGGCACCACGACCATCACCCACGCGCGCATCGCCCGCGCCACGACCGTTGCCGTTGCTATTGGCGGCCTTGTCCATTTTCTTCTATTTGTATGTATGCGATATATAGACTGAAGTGGGTCGCGAAAAAATGCCAATACCCGGCGGAAGCACGAAGCACAAGTCCAGCAGGAAAGGTTCTCGGATCCGGCTATGTCTTGCGCGACAGGGGCGGCTGTGTGTGCCGCTGCGGTTTTGTTTGTTAGCATGCTCATTGGAGAGGAACTTTGGGCGGTAGTAGACTAGTTACGCGTACCTCTTTTCCCGAGCCGGAGAGATGTGCCACGGAGGCAGCCGCAGAAACGCGCGCGAGAGAAGGGCGAGGTTGACTGGCCTGCCCAAGCGAGAGTTAGCTATCAATACCCGCTTGAGAACTCATTGGTTTGAACGAGCCGGGTGCTAACGGACGAGCCTTGATTAATTGGGGAGCTTGGGGAGCTGGGAGCTTGCTGAAGAGGGAAGGGGGTTTATATATGCCGCTGCTGCGGCCACGAGGAAGTGGCGGTCTGGAGGTTGGCAGAGGCTCAGGTGGCTTGATACTGCGTGGCATCATGAGGCCTAACGAGATTATCTCGTGAAGGCTGTCACGAAGCATGTCGATGACCTCATAGTGGACAGTGGAAGGCAGGAGGGGCTGCGGGGAAGGGCAGCCCTGGCCTTGGTGTGCGAGTGCGAGTGCGAGTATGAGGTAAAGCGGGGATCCAGTGAACCAGCCCTACGATAGCTCGACGAGGACAAAGGGTTCGAGTGTGTATGTTCTCGAACAGCGCTGGCTGCAGGCTACATGTACAAAGACAGCCCTACAAGCCACTGAAACCACAGAAACAAGGGCCCTGGAACTTTCTCCAGTCAAGGTGGCCATGGCCCTAGGAAGGCCCCAGGAACCCAGCCTAAGGTGGCAAATTAAACTGCCAAAGCGCAAGTACCAGAAGCCTGGTTTCCCTCCGTAACACAAGGTGCTGATAAGATGAAGTACCCGATCATTGGACCACCAAGTTGGCGTGCCAGTGTGTGGAATGTCTGCTAGTAGCCTACCCGCCCTAAAATCCACGTGCAAAAGCGGCGCCTAGGTACGAAGGAAATTCTACCTTGCTCCCGCAGCCTTGTTTTCTCACATGTCCAAATACTCCGCCAGCTCTGATATTTCCCTCTTTTCCAATGGGAAGTTCTGCTTCAAAGCTAGAATGCATTTGTTTTGAGTCGCTTTCACTCTAGACGTGGCGACCCAACAAAGAAATCGCCCCACAACGAAATTGGCCCACGCCATGCCCACACCCACTCCACGGGCGCAAATTATCCATTTCTACACAAAATAACTAGCAAAAAAATACTCAATCCTCTTCTTCGGCCTGTCTATATTGTTCGAGCCCACGGGCGATTATTTCCCGGGCATCTTCGACTGCATGTGGCTGGCTTTCTGCCCGGGCCGTTTTTTTCCGCTTTGGGAGTATTTGACTAGCTTTTTGTGCCTTGGCGATGTCCTCTATACGTGCAAATCGCTCATTTCCATCTTCATATACCCTCTTACGCGTGCGAGGCTTTGAAGCCTCTAATTCGGTTGTGAGATGCGTAATTTGTGCCTTCAAAGACGCGATCTCTGTATTCTTCAGATCCAGGGACCTCCCGACCTTAGTAAACAATGCCCGCACACGCCGCTGAGCCGGACTGAGGGCATTCCGAATACTGTCCTGGTACTTCTTGATGTCCTGACTGCCGTGCGGTGTTTTGAAGAGCCTGTCATCGTCGTTCGGGGCCGTCGTCGGCGGTGTTGAAGGCCGGGCCGGGAGTGCCTCATTGTCCTTGACCGCCTCAGGGTCATCAAGTAAATAAGCCGGGTTGAAGGGCCAAATCCCGGTTTTACTGAAGCCCGACATGATGTTACGGGCACTCATGCCTTTACCCGAGGCATCTCTGTAGCAGTAAAGGAACCGAACCTTGTTGACAGGAGCTGACGATGTGAAGCTCGCGAGGGCCTTGGTATTTTCCCTAAAATAGGTCTTTAAAGGTGAAAAGACCGAGCGATCGAGAGGCTGAGACTTGTGCGATGTATGAGAAGGTAAATAGACGAACTGGACCTTATTTTGGAAGGCCGCTAACATGAATTTTTCGTTCATATGGCTCGAATGTTCGTCAAGGATCAGTATACGCCATTCGCCCGGCCTTTGAGGCTTTGTTTGGATCAGGTAGACCTCTTTGAGCCATTTCAGCGCAATACTGGCGTTGCTCCAGCCTGTAATTGAGTAATCGTACTTCCATTCCCGGAATTCCTTCGTCAGGTTGAAGTTATCAGGAAAGTGTTGTCCTTGAAGACTGGCCCCGGTAAATATGATCACGGGCTTCAAACGAACGCCCTCAGCAGTGCCGCATTCGATAACTGAAACCCAGGTTGTTGCATCAGAGCTTTTCACGTAGGTTCGGTTCGTCAGGGAGCTTCCTATGACCTTTCCGGCCCGGTTCTCGAGCTCCTGCATGCCGTGCTCATCCATATTAGCGATGTTGGCCGGGATGACCTTTTTATCCTTGATTTGGAAGGCCAGGCGCTTGGAGAAAGCTTCATAAGCTTCACGAGTAGATCCGCAGACTCGAGAGGATTCCAACAAGGTTGAATTCTTCATCTTTACCGCCGGGTTGCGGCGTAGGAAGCGGTCCACATATCGCTCCCCAATGGTCTTTTTCGTGCCGGCCTCATTGAGTATAGCTTGAGCGAATCTCTGCACCTGACGACGGCTAGGAGCCCTGCCTGCAGCCTCCTCATTGAGGCACCAGTCGGCTAGGAAGCTTTCCTGCGCATTGGAGAGGTTTCTTTCGGCTTGTTTACTTTGTGCTCGATTTTCTGCCCCGTGGATGCGTTTGCAGAGGGTAGAAGGAGGGATCCCGAAGTCATGCGCGGCCTGCTTCTGCGATGCGCCCTGTTCAACTGCAAGTATTGCAGATTGAATTAACTGCTCTCGACGGTTCGACATGATGTATTTTGAAGCTATTCGAGCCTGAATTGATGAAGTTGTGTTGTGTTGAAGTTGAAGGGCGGGAAATTAGATGACAGGGGCAGAGATTTCGTTGTGGGGCGATTTCTTTGTTGGGTCGCCACGTCTAGACTTCTCGAGATCTTGGATTGGTTCAACACTACGTCTCCGAACGAAGACTCGCCTTGTTAATCCGACCCCCTTGCCCAGCAGATCTTCAGAGACCTCGAACACGAGCCAGATGAGGCTCAAGTCAGTCCGCTTCAATGCCTGCTTATGCGGCACATTGACTTTCTTTCAAGTTTCTTCTATTCGTTAACTAACTAAAAAATTAGTCCACAGGCTACGAGCGACCCTCGGAGCCTCCAGGGCGGAAACGGCCACTAGCGCGGAAACAGGGCCGTTCACGAGGACACAGCGATGCGACAAGACGTTCTCGCAGCCACCGTCACCTGCAGTCCCAAGGCAGAGCCGAATCTTGGTGGAAAACCAGTGGCGAGCTTTCAGAGACAACTCGACAACGGCTACAAAACGGACACAACATCTGCGCAACGACGAGCTTTACAAAACTACCCTACGGCGCGACGGGCGTCAATAGCACCGGTTCCTTGGGAAGGCCCATCTTTCAAGCCGGGACTGGGTTCTTGTTGCCGATCAGGACGACTGGATCCAGCGACATGGTCAAAAGGGGTTCGAAGGTGTTCTCTGAGTCGCATTTCTCAAACTCGGGCTCCTCGCAGTTTTCTGGAGGCTCTTCGTCTAAGGGCTGTTGGCTAGATTGTCAATGTCAGTCTGGATGTTTTGGATGCCTTCACTGCAAGAGGGTTGTTCAACTAGAACACAAAGACCGTCGCCAGAGCACGAATGCGTTCAAGAAGCCTGCCGATGACCAACATGCCGACGAGCCACTTTTTGAGAACTCCGTAAAATCCATCGAGACAATGGCCCAAAACTTTAGCGGTTTTCAGCGTCGACTTTTAGCCACGTCTTTGCACTCAACCGAGCGCGATTGGAATCCACCATCGAGTCCCGATGACCACCCGTCCCGAACCCTAGAGTGCTAAAAGCAGCTCCTTGGGAATTTTGCCAGCGGCTGCCCGCGAGGATCGTGTGGGCTTGCCCGGGCGCGCACATACCAGGACGAGGCCATTCAAGGCCAATGGTGAGGATACCCTGCCGCACCGCACATATTGAAGAATTACTTGCAAATGAAGGGGTCCTGGCGGCACACATCAAGACGAGCTCGCTCAACGGCAACGAGGCCAAGCTGGCGGATAATGATGATTGCCGCCTGGTAGCCTAACAGCGACATGGCGATAGGAGGCTAGGGGAAGGAGTATTATAAAAGGACTATGGGTCGCTCAAGGCCTACCAGGAAGCGGTGCGGCTGCGAATTGTCAACCTGGCCGCCGGCCACTGCTGTATAATACTAGCTTAACTTCTAGGGCAACCTATTCTGTATGAAGATGGTGGCCTGTCCCTTGAATTTACGGGAGCTTGTTTGTCTTCGTTCCCTTTTTCCTAGCTTCGTGGAAACAAATCTTATGCGTTCGTGCTATGATTTGAGGCAACCACGGCCAGCGCGAGCATTTTACTTGTTCTGTTAGTTCTAATGGCCATTATTCTTCGCTTCTCAAAATGCGCCTAATTCTCGCCCTCGGTATTAGTGGTTTAGTGGAAGGCGGCGTTTCCACTCCTTCTTCGGCCGATTTCTTCCTTTCTCACGAACTGATCCAGCTCAGAAGCCATACAGGGCGTTCTACTTTCCCAAGCACCTGGTAGATGTCGCGAATGTTCTCAGGCTAGGACTTTCTCCCTGTGAGATGAGAAATGAATATTGGTAGCCCGACATTTGAGAGGAGGCGCGCCACTTTCATAGTGGTAGAAGAGTATTTCTAGTCGCCCAAGTATTAGATATATCTGTTGCACACAAGCAGTCAAAATAGGTGCACTCAATTGATGAATTGTGGAAGGAAGGAAGCAGTGCGAAAGGCCCTGCTTCCTGTAGGAAAATGCCCCTTTCCAACATGCAAGCACTAGGCCTGTGTAGGCGTAGATCCTTGTTTAGAAAACATGCGGCCTAATTCGGCCTAGTCACGTAACAATAGCTGTTCCTGTGGAAGTTGAGGGTCACTATATTTGGCTGGAGCGGCTCACATTTCCTTTTACTTGCGTGTGCCACGAGCGCTACACGTTGGCACTTCTTCAGTGATCCGGCTGCCTGTTCTGGCCTTTCATGTTCGTTGTTGAGAAGCTTGGCCGCCGCCATCAGCCTCGACGTCTTTCATACCACTGTCCTCGTGAAACCTAACAGAAAGAGAGAGGGATTTGCAAAACAAGTGCTCATGTACTAGAGTTTGCTGTCGACTGTAGGATCTAGAGGTTGCAGGATCGCAAGCCGAGAACGACCGTAGTTTTCTTCTCGTACTAGGTGTTGGTTGTTTTCAGGAATAAAAAAAAGGGAGTGGGAAGGAGATCGGCAGTGGATTTCGGCTCGGTCTTTATTCCATGTTACGTCTGAAGAAATCGAAAAGAGTGACATGACGGCTTCATGTAGTACCCGTGGGCGTGGTCCGAGCACGAACTTTGCGGGCTTTCTGTGCTGGAGCAAACTGTACCCTCGTCGGGAAAGTGACTTGTTCGATTTAGTACTGGCTCGTAAGATGATCAGCTTTCTCGGCTGGGCTAGGGAGGTGGCTTGCTCGGTCTCGTAGCTCTCGGACCTGGACGTGGGTGCTCGACCGCAGTCCATGAGGTACTGAAAACATGTTGTCAACTGCGTCTGTATGGAGGAGCATCGGTCTCGATCTCACAAGAGCGTTGCGTCGCGTGCTGCTACCGTGTGAGGCCCTTGCAGACCCCGAGGTGGCGAATGCCGTCGATAACAGGGGGTACACGCGCTGGAAGGTAAATATGTCCAGCGATAAGACCGGCCGTGAGGGCTGGTTGGTCGGTTGAGTGGCACAGACTGGGTTGCGGCTTCATTCGAGATTGGGCATTCGTCAAATTGAAAAAATGGAACGCTATGACCGGTGGTTTTGAAAATGGCACAGCGTTGTAGGTGCTAAAGCAGCCAGCTGCGGCAGAAAGTAGGGGACTAAAATTTTACGCGCTGCAATTCGGGACACGGGGTGACAGTCTTGAACATTTTTGCACACTGGCTCCAAAATTGCAACATAGGGACACATCTGGCCCTAGGCTTGCGAATTCTGCATACCTGACACGATTTGATTCTCTGTAACAGATTTGCAAAGTGATATCTGGCAGCACAGAACTATGTGACTGAAAGATGCAGTGACTGTTGAAGTTACGAAATGGGTGGGACCCCTCTTAAAAGACTGCCCGCAACAACATGAGGCCCGAAAACAAACAATACCAAACTCGGACTCTTCAACTCAGACTCTCCAACTCGGACTCTCCAACTCAGACTCTCCGACTCAGACCTCCAACTCAGACCTCCAACTCAGACCTCCAACTCAGACACATCTATGGTCAAAAGACTAGCCAATCTGCATCTTGGAGCCCGTGCCAGAGCTGGTGGTGGTGGTGGTGGTTGTGGTAGGGCTCTTGAGCCCCGTGCCAACGCTAGTCGAGGTGGAGGTAGGGCCCGGCTTAGACCCGATGCTAGACGAGACGGTGCCGCCGACCGGCAACGTTGACGTGGTGGTGGTCGAGCTGGACGAGCTCGAGCTGGGGATGGGCTTGGCCCCAGTTCCACTGCTGCTGGTGCTTCCACCGCTGCCGCCGCCGCCGCCACTGCCTCCGCCTCCGCCTCCGCCTCCTCCACCACCACCGCTTCCACCGTCACCACCGCCTCCGCCTCCCATGGCAACATCCCCGCCGTCGCCCATGTAGTTGACATGCAGGTACGAGATGACAAAGACATCGCCCGAGGGACTCGTGGCCTCGACGTGGGTGTACGGGCCGAACAGGGTCTGCAGGCGGCCGCCGGGGTTGAGGTAGTTGCCGGCGGTGACGCCGACGTAGTGGGCCTGGAGGTAGGCGAGGACCTGGGGGCGGCGGGCGATGCCGATGGACAGCTTCTCGAGGGTGGCGCGCTGGGGGGTGAGCGTGGCGTTCTCGAGCTTCAGCATGTCGAGCCACAGCCGGAAGCGGTACGCCGTCAGCTGCTCGCTGAAGTGGTTGTGCACCTTGAACTCGACGCACGCCCCTGGCGCGCCCAGCACGGTGAGGTCGTTGCGCAGCCCGTCGACGTACGGTCCGTCCTCGCAGATGGTCTGCGTGTTGTTCTGGTTCAGCCACGAGCTGAAGTCGACCTGCGCCCACCGCTCCCACCCGCCCGTCTGGAGCGACGCGCGGTGGATCAGCGGCTGCTGCGCCGTCCAGGCCCGGAACTGCGTGATGGTCCACGCGGCGTCGCGGACGACCGCCATGGTGTGTTTTGGTGGGGGAAAGCGGTCGGTGTTGATGTTTCGGGTGGAACGCTGGTTCCGAGAGGGATGTTTGCTTGTGTGAGGGCGAGTGAGGGATGTCTGCTTGTGTGAGGGCGAGTGAGGGATGTCTGCTTGTGTGAGGGCGAGCGAGGGATGTCTGCTTGTGTGAGGGCGAGCGAGGGATGTCTGCTTGTGTGAGGGCGAGCGAGGGATGTCTGCTTGTGTGAGGGCGACTGAGGGATGTTGAGGGGGCTCCATCGTGCTGTTTATATAAACGTCAGACGGATCAAGAGCCAAGTCTAGAACCACACCCCGCGTTGGGTTCTGGGACAATACCAACACTTTCTCGCCAAGGTGTGAGTGCGAAGCGCTGAAGGGCTGAAGCTTGAGGGCCGAAAGAGGCAAGGCGTGGGGGTGTTGGCTGGCTGGCTCTCGCGGGACCTAGTGCTGTTCAGAGAAGACCAAGACCCGCTGCAGTAAGTTCTAGGGCTGAAGCTCTAGCCAAAAGCCGCCACTCGTGTCTCGTCCACTCATGTCGGTCTCGCGCTGGGAAGCTAGAGCGTCGGGTGGTCCGGGTGCATGCGTCTAGAGAGCTTCGGGCTTCATTTTTCTCATCCAGCCAGCCACAGCAACCGAAGTAGCCAACACGCAACGAAAACGAGACAACTTGTCGTTCTTTTCTGAGCTCTTCTGGGAGAGCCGCGGAGCTTACCGTCTCACGACGACAAGACGTGCGGGTGGTATGTCAATATGTAGGCACCCAGGTTAGCCCCAGGTTACCGTGTCTAGGGCGTTGCGGGGTCCGGGGTGGCCCGCAGCAGTGGATTGCAGTGACAGTGTAACGTTAGGTATGTACAGTGACAGTGTAACGTAGGGAGGTTTAGCACTGGCCACATGCCACAGCCCGGCCGCCGGCTCTTGCCTGGGCCCCGGATCAACATTCTTGGCACCTCATGATGTCATCGATGGGACAACGGCAACAAGCGACCAACCTGGAAGATTTGTCGTGCCGCCATTTGCGTCGATAAACCATCAAAAGACACACAACTGCGACATCCAGAATTGCAGGTTCAGCCATTTTGCGAGATAAAAAAGCACACCACGACCACTCCGTCAAACCAACAAGCATTGAAGTCTCCAGATCCACAACAAGCACCATGCATCGCTTCTCGCGCCCCGTAGCGTCGGCCATGCCCGCCCTGACCTCGTCTTCCCAGACATGGGCCACACCTCGAAGCATCATCCAGACCCAGCTCGGCGCTGCCATCGTCTTCCCCCGCAGCTACGGTACACACTCATCCCCCAAGAAAGCCGAGGAAGCCAGCGCCCAGAGCGGCGAGCCGCGCGGCAGGGACGCCGCCGAGCAGGAGCCGACCCCGACGGCCGGCGTGGTGCCCGACGAGCTGGCCGGCGGCGATGCCCTGGGCCGCACCGGGGGCGGCGAGCCGCTCGAGAGCTCCAAGTCGCCGCCCGCGCAGCCCAAGATCTCCAACGCCAGCGTCCCAGGGCACAAGGCCAAGCTCACCAAGGAGCAGCAGGCCGAGGTCGACGAGCACAACCGCGACTTTGAGAGCAAGCACGGCAAGGCCCACGCGGCCGGCGACGACAAGGTCGACGAGAAGTTTTGGAGCGGCGAAGGCTCCCGCGCCAAGGGGAACGAGTAGAGCGCGCTGTGTGAAGCGCATGTATCACTAGAGTTGGCTGCGGCACGGGGAAATGTCCGCATTCAAGCAGATTTATCGGATAATAGTTGGCTGCGGCACGAGGAGGAGATGTCTGCATTCAAGCAGATTCATCGGATAATAGTTGGCAGTTGACTCCTCCGCGTTACTGCTGTTGATAAATCCTCAGGTGAAGCCCCTTGAACCAAGCCATACCCATGCCCTATCCGTTCCATCGGCACACCAATCAATCCTTCGGGAACAGTTGGGGCATCGCATATTCTCGTTCGTTGCCGTATTGAACTTGTCGGCGTAGGGATCAAAAGCCACCAAATTTGACGACAGGGTCATGAGATTGAAAAGTAGGCAAATGTGATTCTTAATAAGCAAATAAACGGCGAGAGACTCCCTGCTCTTTCAAACCCTAAACGAATGAGTAGAAGCGGTATTAGCACACAGAATACAAAACGTTCATATTATGTCATACAATCCCATGCTCGGTTGCCACTTCCATGTGAACAAGGAGAGCCAACTTGACGGGGCAGGCGCAAGTGACTGCTTTCGGATGGCAGCCTGTTACTTTCCTTAGGCCTCCTAGCCCAGGCGCCTAGCCCAGGCGCCTAGCCCAGGCTTGGAATTACTGCTAAATTTGGATTCATCCGATTATTGTTCATGACCAGTGGTCGTCCATCCAAGCGGCACAGCAGACAAGACGAGACCCAGACCCAGAGCCCTCGGCTCCCACCGTTGCAGTTGCAGTGGTTGTAGCGCTCGGGCGCATGCACGGCCCCGCCGCAGGGATCGGGCCAGTCGCAAAACCCGAGACAAAAACAAAATCGTCAGAAAACATAAACCTCCGTCCCGTCCCGCCATTGCAGCGAGCGGCATTTTTCACACAGAAATTAGAACTGTCTCTCAAACGCCCCCTCTCCGACAACAACCATACCACGGCCACACGAAGTCCCAGCCCGGAACGTGAGAACCCAGCAACCATGGCATCCGACGACGGGCCCACGAGTGCAGACCACGATGAGATCGACACCGGCACTGAAATCGACACCGACACCGAAATCGACATCAACGCAACCATGCCTCGTCTGCCACTCCTCGACCGCGTCAAGTTCGCGGTTCTGGCCGTAGTGATGCAGCTCGGCGTGCGAGTGCTACAACGCCTCATGCGCGCCGTGCTAGACTTCGTCTCGCCAGCAGCGCGCGCGACGCGGCCGACGCTGGTCAAGCGCTACGCCGTGCGCAATGCGCTGCCCGTGCGGTGAGAGTTCCTCCTCCTCCTCCTCCTCCTCCTCCTCTTCCCCCCCTCTACCTTTTCTAGATCCAACTACCTGACTAACGCGGCAAAGCATCTTCATCCCCGAATCCCTCACCCAGTCCAGCACCAGCAATCTCCCCGTCCTCCTCACGATCCACGGCGGCGGGTTCGTGATGGGCGCGCCGGCCGATGACGACGCGTGGAACCGCGCGTTCGCGGACGAGCACGGCGTCGTCGTCGTGGCGCTCAACTACTCCAAAGCGCCGTGGTCCGCGTTCCCCGCGCCCGTGCACGACATCGCCGCGCTCGTCGGCTGCGTGCTGTCGGACAGCAGCCTGCCGATCGACAGCGCGCGCGCCGCGCTGGCCGGGTTCTCCGCCGGCGGCAACCTGGCGCTGTCGGCGGCCGCACTGCCGGGCGTGCGCGCGCGCGTGAAGGCCGTGGTGCCCGTGTATCCGTGCGCGGACTGGGTGCCGCGGGCCGCGGTGAAGGCGACGACGCGGCGGTACAAGGCCGCGTTGGGCGGGTTCCGCGGGCGGGCCGACGACTACCTGCTGCCGGCGGTCGGCGTGTTCCAGTGGGCGTATCTGCGGGCGGGCCAGCCGCTGGCGGACGGGGTGCTGAGCCCGGCGCGCGGGCCGCGCGGCGCGCTGCCGGGGAGCGTGTTTGTCGTCGCGTGCGAGCTGGACATGCTCGCCGGCGAGGCGTGGCGGCTGGCGTGCGGGCTGGCGGGGCGCGCGGTGCCGGCGGTCAGGGCCGAGGTTGGGCAGGAGGCGGTGACGGCGGGGCATGGGGAGCTGATTCTGGATGACGAGCGGTTTGCGTTTGAGGACGTGGTTGAGCAAGAGGGTGGTGTCGGCAGGTACCGCTGGCTCCTGGTGCCGGACGTCGTGCACGGGTTCGACCACGAGGACACGAAATTCTTGGTCAGGGACGAGGTCGCCATGGACGACGCGCGCATCAAGACGGCCAAGGTCAGAACCATGATCGGCAGGTGGCTGCTGGACGGGCCGCTTGGCGGGAATGCCTAGGTCCAGACACTACATTACAGTGCCTAGGGTCCAGACGCTACATTACAGTGCCTAGGGTCCAGACGCTACATTACAGAACATGGATAGAAGTCCGACTCTATAAAAGTCCGACTCTATAGACGTCCGACTGTCACGGCAGGGCCAAAACCCGCTGGTTGGGCGCATCGGTTTTAGGCTTTGTGGCTCGTGCACTCTTGCAGGAGCTCCACTCCCTAGCGCCCACAACTATTTCCCCACGGCCGCCCAGCCGCTCTCGATTCCTTCCTTCTTTCTTTCCTTAGCTTTAGATTCTACGAATACAGCCCGGTAAATGCGGCCTTGTCTCATTCGATCGACTGTGCGCTGATACCGACTCTATAAATGGGATCTCTCTTTCGGGCACGCTAGAGCTCGTTTCAAGAGCGGATAGACGGTTCACGGCCCAGCTTCTACTGGGCACCCCCCGGGTTTCATACTAGGTCCAGACATTCGAAGCACATTTATATACATGGTGACGGGAAGCCCCGAATTTCAAGACCAAGACAAAGTCTAAACATGCGTCTCACGCTATTGAGCTAGCACAAGACCTGGTCGCGCTACTTGCTACCTACTCAGCCGGCGAACTGGTGTTGATTTCACTTTCCCCAACCGGAACAAATGTCACTCCACGATTTATAGTAAGTCGTGGTTCAAGGTAGCACAGCCACGAGCAGGTAAAGTAAATTGAATCCACTTGACTCCTCGCCAGAGGCTCGTATTCGTACAGAAAAGCAAAATGCAGCACGTCATGTGTCCATAAATCCTCCATGCGTTTACAAGTCCATGTTCGTGATAGCCCAGACGGACAGCCAGACGGACAGCCAGACGGACAGCCAGAGGAAAACGCCCGCAACAATAGTACCAGACACTTTGGCAGAGATTCAAACCACGACAAACTCGTCGCCCGAGCTCTCCACCTCCTCCACCTCGGCTGCCTTCGGGATGTCCGTCGCCCACAGCTCGTGTCCGGCCGCGGTGCCCGAGGCGCGCTCGTCGGCCGCCCAGATCTCGACGAGGGCGTTGATGAGGGTGCGCTCGACGCCCCAATCGAACAGGCGCTGGACGCGGTGCTCGACGGCGTCCCCGTCCTCGGTGATGAGGCGCCAGACCGCCTCCTTGGTGTCGTAGTACGTCTCGGCGCGGTAGAGCACGTCATGGACGCGGGCAGGGATGTCGACGACGTCGAGCTGCAGGTCGTCGCCGAGCGAGATCTCGAACGCCGTGCCCTTAGCCGCGAAGCGGTGCACGGGCCCCAGCTCGATCAGCGTCGACTTGCCGCCGTCCACCACCGTCACGCGGTGGCTGCCGACCTGGGCGTCGATGCGCGCCGCCGTGCTCGTGTGGCCCACCAGCTTGAGGTTCCACGTGCGCCAGTTCCTATCGTTGGCCACACCGTTCCACTCGGGCCCGATGATGATGATGCCCTCCTTCTGCTTCCACGTGATGGGCGTGCGCCTGTACGAGCTCTGCGCGGGCGTCACCTGCATGCTCGCCTCCTCGTCCAGCGGCTCCTCCACCAGCTCAAAGTAGCCGTCGGCGCCGACGACGAGCAGGATGGTGATTTCGGTCGGCGGCAACGAGCCGTTGGCGAGCTTGGGCGTCGAGTCGATCGGGATGACGGTGCCCTCTCTGGCCAGGACGGGGATCTCGGACATGTTGCGATGCACGTACACGTCACGGTTGCCGCGGTAGACCAGGCTCGGGTGGAACAGGTCGACATAGCGGCCGGCGGGAAGCCAGGCGCGCACGCCGCCCAACAGGGTCGTGGTGCTGAGGGGCGAGGTGATGGGCGCGACGATCAAATCCGGGCCGAAGTAATACTGGTTGGGCACCGTGTATGCCTCGTCGTCTTTGTGGTTCCAGTACATGGGCTGGATCAAGGGCTCACCCTCGTAGGCCGCCCTGATGCTCATGGTGTACAGGAAGGGAATCAGGCGGTGGCGGAGGATGAGGTACTTCTTCATCACCTGGAACGTCTCCCACTCGTACTTCCAGGGCTCCTTGGAGTTCCACTGGTTCTTGGTCGAGTGCAGACGCATGATGGGCGAGAAGCAGCCGAACTGCACCCAGCGGGCCGTGAGGTCGTTGGACCGGATACCGGAGAAGTGGCCGCCGATGTCGTGGCTCCACCAGCCGTAGCCAATGTTGGACGCCGTGGCCGTGAACTCGGGCTGGAACTCGAGCGACGCCCAGCTGATGACGGTGTCGCCCGAGAAGCCGATGGGGTAGCGGTGGGATCCGGGCCCGGCGTATCGCGAGAAGGTGATGGGCTTCTCGAGGTTGCCGAGGCCGCGCTTGCTGGTTAGGTAGTGGTAGTGGTTGAGCACCCACAGCGGGTCCACTCCGGGCAGCTTCGATTCCGTGCCCTGCTGCCAGTCGATCCACCAGAAGTCGACGCCTTGCTTCTCGAGTGCGACCTTGAGGACGTCAAAGTAGGCGTCGAGGAACTTCTTGTCGCAGCAGTCGAACCTGACGGGCGCGCCCTTGGAGGTGTCGTGCTTCAGGTACTTGGCGACGGCCCTGTACTCGTCCTCGAACTCTCTAATGCCGTCGGCGGGGTGGTCGTTAAGCGCTATCTTGAGGCCTCGCCTGTGCAGGTCCTTGAGCATGGCCTCGGGATCCGGGAACAGGTCGCGGTTCCAGGTGTAGCCGGTCCAGCCGTTGCCGTACTTGGACGGGATGTCGACCAGATGCCAGTCCATGTCAATGACGCCGACATTCAGTGGGATGTCCTCCCGCTTGAAATGGTCGACCAGCTCGATGTACTCGTCGGCCGTGTATTCGTGGTAGCGAGACCACCAGTTGCCCAGGACCCAGCGCGGCAGGACGGGCTGGTTCCCCGAGAGGCGGTAAAAGTCCTTGACGGCGGCCTTGTGGTCGCCGTGGTAGGCAAACAGGTAGCCGTCCTTGTGGCCCTTGCGGCGGATGGCGATCCAGCCGTCGTCGAAGAGCATCGACTCGCTGTCGTCGAGCACGGCGTAAGCCTTGCTGCGAGACAGCACGCCGGCGGCAAGGCCGATGCGGCCATTGACGCCATCGAGGGTCCTGGCGGTGCCGCCTAGGTCGCCGTAGCTCTTTCCGTCGTAGGACCAGACGTCCTTGCCGACCTTAACACGGAGGCCCTCGGGGGAAAAGGGCTTCTTGTCGTAGATGAGATGAAAGTGAGATGTCTTGATCTCGAGGCTGTCCTTGAGATCCCGGACGTAGTACTCGGGTTTCTCGAACCAGCGAAACACGGCGACGGTGGAGACGCGGTCCTCGAACTTGCCTTCGTCGGACCACTCGTAGCGCAGCAGGCGCTCGGTGAGGACGCTGAAGCGGTAGTGGCTCCCCTTGCGGCCCGTCACGATCGAGTCGGGGTTGGTGGCCGGATTGGACGGAAAGGAATAGCGGTCGGCCATCTTGGGAGCCAGGCGAGGGTCGGGGAAGGCGGACGGAGACGGGGCCGACGAGGGCGCGGATGAAAATGACGAGGCCGAGGGCTGGAGACTCGGAGACGAGCAAAGCGGGGCCTCGAAGACGGTTCCCTTCACCCACTTGTCTCGCGCACGCGACATGATGGCAGAGCGAGAGGAGCGATGCAATGCCGGCAGGCAGATATAGGAATATGAAATGCGGGTTGGACGGGTGCCTGTGTCTTGAGAGGCGCGGCGCGGCCGTCTGTTGAGCTGAGCTTGTTGGTTGTGGGAGAGTTGGAGTTGGACGGTTCGGATTGGGATTCGTGCTGCCTGGGACCGAAAGCGACTGGGCTTCTCCGCAGCACGCCAGCACGTTTCATCCCCCGGTGCGGGGTCCAGAGGAATCAGCTGCCGTCACAACGCGCCACATACGCCCCCCGCATGCTTCCCGCGCACACTGGAAATAGTGCTCTCCGAGCTGAGTGAGCACCGTCGGGCTGTCAGCAGGCCCCTCGAGTGTGCGGGGCAGCCCCACTTCCCCAACCGAGACACATCGTCTGGCCAGTCAGCGAGCGAGAAGCGTGCCCCTCGTGACAAGCTGCGACACCAACACCAGCTTCCCCAGATCACCGCTGCTACCCGTCATTGGGACACGCCCAATCCTTGGCAGGCCTAGCCGTTCTTGTCGACAGCTCCAAAGACACCAGCACCCACCAGGTATTGTCTGACATTTCACGCTGATGTCTTTTCCTTGGCTCTCCTCTTTCCTTCTGTTCTAATCAGCACTACTTTGTGCACATTCTGACACTCGAAGTAGATCCTTTGTCCTTGGAAGGTCACTCCCGGAGGGCACTTTCAGTGCCTACTGAAGTGTGTTTCTATCGCCCGAGCGGTACTTTTTTGTCACAATATTAGGATGAGTGAGCAAGAAAGATCTAGAAGCTGCTATGTGATTCTTCGCCACCAGCTTTTGCCACTATTAATAACTATAAAAAAGAGACTTTTGGCCCTGCCAAAGGAAACAAGAGATTAGACCTTTTCAGACAATTCAAGCCTTACCTCCCTGTATCAAATGCTTCATTTCCGTTGCCCTGTGAATGCGCGTGACATTTTTCTTTCCTTTTTCTTTCCTTTTTCAATTAGATTCCAGGGCGTCTGTAATCATCTCTTGGGTATGATCCAATCCGTGGGAGAGGAGTATGCAGTTGAGGCACCTGAATTGCTAGTTTCCAACTCTTCACCTTTACCCCTTGCACCATGTTAAATATCGTCAATCTTGATTCAGACAAGTCCATTGCCGCCGTGGAATGATCATTAACCACTATGACCGCTTGTCTTCGACTACAGTGTCTTCCAACAGGACCCTCCCGTCCCTCCGCTGCAGCAGTCGCACGAGAGCTCCCGCCGGCCCAGCGATAGCACTCCATCGAACAACATCCCATCCGAGGATGGCCCAGTCGGCCAAGCTCACACCCGCCTCCTGCGAGCTCACATCCAGACAGACAGCCCAGGTGATGGCCGCTGCCGAGCCGACATACTGATCCCACTTGTAGAAATCGTGCATCGCCGCCACCATCGACGACAGGGGCTTGCTCGAGTGAAAGGGCCCGGGCGCAAACACGGCGCCAAAGGCGAAAGCCTCGGCAGCCCAGCTGGGAAACAAGCCGGGCGTCGCCTTCGCCGCGAGGATGACGGCGTATGTGCACAGCTGGACGGCAGCGGCCGTGTAGAACGCCCAGCTGTAAGCGCGAGAGAGGATCGCTCCGTGTCCCTGCTGCGCCGGAGCAACCAAGCGGGCGAACAGCTGTTGAGATGCGACGACGTACAGCGGGAAGCCCTGCCACAGGCCGTTGAGCCACTGGTGCAGGGCCGGCGACGACACGGGCCAGCCCATGAGCAGCGACGGCAAGAAATAGCCCAGCGCAAACGCGGGGACGAGGACCCGGAGACGGAAGCGCGACGGGTGGCGAAGGGCTGTGGCTCTGGCGCGAGGTCTGCCCAGGCTGGCGAGGGCCACGGGCGAGCCGAAGAGATGCAGCGCGGCGTAGACGGGCATCACGGCAGCGTAGCCAAAGATCTGCATCAGGTAGCCCCAGAAGACCGGCCTGTTCGACTCAACTCCGGTCAGCGGGCGCCCGCAAACAAACAAGCCCCCTCGAGGCGAAGAAACCAACTGACCAAGACAAGACACCGCCCGCATTGCCCGCGCGCGACGCCTCGACCATGACAGCCGCAAAGACAGGCACCAGCTGCCCGCCGAACTGGACCGCGTACAGCGACAGCGCCGGCGCGGACCCGTCGGCGATGTTGGCCCACGGCACCGTGCTGAGCGCTAGCAGGTGGTCGAGCCCCGGCACGCCCGTGTAGCGCCGCAGCAGCGGCGCCCGCGACACGGGCAGCACGGCGTCGTGCGCTGAATAAATGGCGCGCGCCGCGGCCACGTACCCGGTGCGCCAGATCTCGCCGAACATGCTGTTGACGCCGAACAGCCAGACGGCGGCTAGCACGACGGCGGCGGTGACGGTCTGAGCTCGGGGCTTGGCCATGGTGGTGGTTCCGCTGTGTGTTGTCTCGGTGCCTGCTTCTGATTGATGGTCAGGGTGTCGATTTGCCTGCTTCTGATTGATGGTCAGGGTGTCGATTCTTGCCTTGCCCTGGCTTGTGATCAGTGTGAGAGAAAGAATTGAGTGTCGAAAATGGAACAACTAGCGAGTTGGCGGTCTGTCGTTGTCGCTGTCGTTGTCGTTGGTTCCATCTTTGAGTGTTTGTTGGTCAGCATCTTCGGCTGCGCGCGACGCGCTGAGGAGGCGCAAAAGTCCGAGGTGTTTATAGAGGGGTTAACGCTAAGTTCAACTCCCTTTTGGGCTACCCCAACTCCCCAGCAGAGCGTCTTGGTCAACTAGCCCCTGGGCAGGGCCGCGCTGAAACGGGCATTTTGAGGTCGTGAAATGTTTAGAAGGTATTCGAGTTGATGATTGCCTGACGGTAGTTCGTATACGCTTATACGCTGTGGGAGACACCCAGGGAGGCAGAGATCAGCGATGACGTTGCAACGAACGGCTTCTTGGCAGTACAGGCAGCCATCGAGGTGAATCTCGCTAGACAGGTTGCCCCCAATACGGAAACCACAAAGACGCCAGCAATTGTTTTTGTAAGTTTTTGCTATTTGACACCCAGCTTCAGATTCACCACATGGGGCAAACAAACACTCCAAAAACCGGCCGAACGAGCTTTTCCATCTCGTCACTCGGCCACGGCCTCGCCAACAAGATCCGCAAAGCCATCGCCGGGGACACGGCCAATCAGTTTCAGGAAATGTCACATGAATACGTCGCAGTACCACCAACACATTACGTTTGCTAGACTACTCACACAGCAGGATCAAATGTCTCTCGAGCGCGTTCAAGCGCGTGAGTGAGACCACGGCCACGCACACGCTCAGCGAGCAGCAGGCGGAATTTGTGCAAGACCTAAGAGAGAGCAGTCGGGACGTGTTTAGAGAGATGCGGAAGGCCGCCAACAAGTACCGCCTCGTGGAGGCGAGCGGCCACGACGAGTAGAAGACCAGGCCGGGGCGGCTGCGCATCACGTACCACCCGAGCGACTTTCGAGAGCTGCGCAGCCAGATGATTCAGCTGAACGGAGCCACCGTAGGAGAGCTTGCGAGCCGGAGGTGGCGTAGAGAGGCTGTATTCTACATTACCGTGAAATGCCGCTTTGCTGTGTCGTGGTTGTGTCAGGAAGGAGCAATTTCCCAATTAGTAGATTTAACGCGTAAGCTGTATGAAGGAAAGTGCCGCAGGCTCCAAGCGCCGCAGGCTCCAAGCGCCGCAGGCAATAGGGGTCCTAGGGGGCTTACCCCCTAGAAATCCAACAATTAGACCATGAACATCGAAACATGGAATTATTATCATGAGAATTTGTTCTGGTATTGAGGGCTAGAATAGCTGTAAATCTGTTGTCCCGAAGTTCAGCCGGGCAGAGTCCTTGCGGGACTTCCAGAGCGGTAATGCGGCCTGCTCTCGCCGTCAGTTCCCCGTTACTATTGCGTACGCCATCATGGTTCACAAGTCATAGGGAGCTACGCTTGACAGGGCTGTGCTTGATATCTGAGCGGGATTTCTCTTTAGGGCTTACTTACATGGCTGTCTCACGCGTTACTACTCTACAGGGCTTGATGTTTGACGTTCCTTTTGCCCTGGACCAAATCCAGGTCAAGAATGACGATACAAGTGCCTTGCGTGCGGCGGATTACCAGCGCCGTTTTGACGCCGGCGAGGTGTTGGTCCGGGTGTAGCCTAGATAGCAGAACCGACTTTTTCTGCCTCAACACCAGCTGTTTACGTTGTGATGACTCTCCTGTGTTTTTTACTTTAACACAGTTGACACAGTTGACACAGTTGACACAGTTGACACAGTGGAGTCAACCTCTGGCTACGAGTTTGGCACAAAGCGGGGTTGTCCTTACTAATTTCTTAGTTAAATGGCCCGCCACCCATTCCCTCGAGCGAAGCGAGGACAGCCCGCGGCAGGCGCCGCCGGAGGCATCCGTTCAGCTGACCCCTTCCTAACCAGTCAGGTAGCTTATTTTACTCAACACGGCTCTACTCAATGCGTTCCTCTGTGGCTTGTTAGGGTACAGCGGCCCCGCTCCTATCTGGTATGCCGAATCTCATTCGGGGTTCGTTACTGACATTGGCGGGCAGGCAAAATAGCTCGGTCGACTCTGACGCCGGCACGCGCGAGGACCAACAAGACTACGACCCGGACGACAAGGAATAATTTAAGATTCTTGAAGACCTGCTGCCGCCTTACATCGAGTAACAACGGTAGTTCATCAGCCCTTGGGAACTTGACGATGGCCCGTGGTTTGCTCCGAGTATTATGCCTGGCCCGACACCGGTGGGCAGATGGCATGTTTACGCAGGAACTCTCGACCCAAGTAGAATCGAGCCACACCTCCAGAACTGGGATAAATGACAGTAAGATCAGGTTGGTTGGATTTTTGGATTTTATTTACCAACTAAGCACGGCTTGTATCGGGGCAAGTCTCTAGATTGTCCATCACAGGCAGGAGACTGGCCGCATCAGAAGATAGCAAACGGCCGCCACTTGAACCGTGAACAGCTGCGAGCTGACACTCTTCTACGTATTTAAATATTGTTCCTGTCCTTAATGTGAAATTCTAAAACACGGCTATGATTTGGAATTAGTATCTCTAGTGTGAGGGCCTGGTCCTCCAGGCCTCCCAGACGCTCTGACTAATCAGACGCCAGTTGGGTGGATCCACCCGACCAGCCAGAGCCCCACCTTGAGACGCCCTGGAAGAATCTCGCGAGGGGAGACTTTTGAGCTTCTTTTCCCTTTTCCCTTTAGTTTAGAATCTTCGTCTATAGCGCCCAATAGAGGAGTTCCGCCCTCATTCCAAGCCGGCCGTGACATCTAGCATAGAAATGAATAGGTGACTTGGGCTGCCGAGGATAGCGTCGACCTACATGACATGATATCAGTAACCCAGTGATGAGCATTGGAAATGCAAAACCCGGCCTTTCGCACGACTGCAATTGATGACTCAGCAAGAACTGGGCCAACGCCCAGCCGAAGTTTTGCCGGCCGAGAACGCGTTCGCGTTCCTGGAGTGGGGCCGGCCTCCGTAACGGATGCAAACGGCGTCGGCGACGGAGGCCGGAAGGCGTCGCCCTCTCTACTTGGTTCACCCCCATTGAGTCCCCTCAGTACGCGCCCCCGCGCATTCGCGATGGCGGTACATTTTCCAGCTCTAGGATCCCGTCCCAGGTTCAGGGACGCGAACCAACTGCGCCCGACCCCCCCTCGAAGGCTCGGTGTGCTGGCCTGGCTGGCCTTGCTGGCTTGGCTTTGCTGGCCTGGCTCGCTCATACCGTCGTGTCCTCTCTCCTTTTCTCTCGGCCACCAGAAGTTCCCTTTCTCTCTACCTTCTCGTCATTTTCCATACTCCTAACGCACTCCTTGGCCCACCATGACGGTACAACAACAACAGTCGCGCTTCTCCGACGCGGACCAGGAAAGCGTTTATGTGCTCCTCCATGGCTACACGGCCGACGCCGTTGAGGAGGAGGGTAATGAGAGGCCCTTCGTTGCTCCGGACACGGAGGAGGAGCGCAATAGAGTATGGACAGCCTGGACCGAGTATGTCTTCTCCCCCTCCTTCCCGCGCTGCCCCAAGCCAAACCAAGATGTCGACACGTCGCCTGGGACAATGCGCTGATGTGTCACTTATTTGTCTCTCACTTCTTACAGGTTTTGTGGACTTACTGGACAGAAAGAGGGTGCAGTTGACAGGTATAGTGCTCCCCGGATGTATGCGGCCCGCCGCCGAGCCCCGAAACTGGTGCTAACTGAGTGAAGCTGTGGTGTCGGCCCCTGCCGCTTCTGGGTGACCTTCGCTCAAGATCCAACGGCCGCAAAGGTTCAGGCACCAGTCCGGGCGTTTCTGCACCAATATGTGCAGAGCTCCTGCAAGGAACGCGTCGTGCTGGGGCCTGAGGAGCGCGCCATGATCCGCACGGTCAACTCCGCTTATAGTGTCATTGAGATTTGGCGGAGGCTCGTCGCGGCGGCCGAAGACAAAGTCCTCCCTCTTGAGCGGAGGGCGCTGCGAGGAAAGGGCAAATACCTGGAGGCCGAGCGGCTTTTCCTGAAGTGGCCGCAAGAAGGCGAGAAACGTGAGGGGCCCGCCTATTCAATTGTCAAGGTATGTGAAACTGAATCGAATGGTTACAATACTACTCTCCCTTTCTAAATGCTCGGATTTCCTTGTATGTTATTGAGGTTGCTTCCTCCATACCTCGCCTCTTCTTTCTCTTCCCATTCTACGCGTCTACTATCTCGCATGCTTTACTGACTAGTGCCTGTCTAGTGGATCCTCCGATCGCTTACGCCGACACTCGGGCTTGAGATGAAGCCGGCGTACGCGAAGGTTGAGGCGACAGCAGCAGACATCATTCTCGTTCTTACAGCGCTGTACACGCGTGCCGGGGATATCCCCGCCTCGCCAGTCACGAGGGCGTCGTTCCATAACGCCGTCATTCAGATGGGTACCGGCGCTTTCCGTCCGGGGGTCCTTGAGGATACCCTATGTAAGCAGTATTAGGCGGTCTCCCTACCTAATAAGGGGGGCGCGTTTACGTATATTTAGCTTATACTATCTAATAACCCGGTATAGCTCTATATCTATCCCGGCTTTATTAAGGGTATCGTGTTACAATCTGAGACAACGTCCCACGGAGCTAGACCCAGTCTAGGATTGCGAAGGGGGGTGGGGTGTACAATGTGAGGACCCTGTGAGGACCCGTCCACCAAACTGGCCCTCAAGCAGCCAGAGCCGCCCAGAACCCCGGGCCTATCAGAAGCCGCCTCGAGGCCACACCTACCCCACTAATAGATGAAAACTTATTCGCGAGCACGCGACGCGTTGTTGGACTTTTCCTTCTTTCCTTCCTCAGTTTAGAATCTTCGTCGATAGCACCCAATGGACTGAGTTCACCTCAATGCCTTGCCCTGGTCGTGACAGCCTCTCATTGATACAGGAAGCCGTTACTCGTCTGTATGCTGCCATTATGAAGTTTCTAATCTACTCGGTGCGCTGGTACCAACAAAAAGGTGCCCAAGACGCTTTCTGATATCTACCACAAGTCCTTGAAACTGGAGTATGAGTATGAGTTGGACAAAATAGCGACAGGCAAGGCACGTCGACTAGCTGGCGCAAAGTGGTCTGAGGCAGAGTTACGAGAGGTACAAGTAGCGACTCGGCAGATCCAGTCCGAGCTTCAATATTCGACAGGAGAAATCAGAATACTGGCAAACCCTGTGGAGGACAAACTCCTGACCATAATGAAGTTCAGATCAATCCCTAGATAACCAAATTTTCCCCTCTCCAACCTGTCTGACACTTATCGCAAGCCGAGTCAAATTTACAGCTCCGCATTCCTCGACAAGTTGCCACATCGAAGCAGGTGATTCCTCAGGCCATCCTGTCCAATAAAAAGCCTCCCATTCATGAAGTCGCTGCCTTCTTGGACGCAATGCTTGGCGTATTGCCAGCCCTTGGGTCTTTGACGACTTTAATCATCACAAATGTCGTCTGACATGAGACTGAGCGACGCCGAGCCGCCCAAGCTAAACCAAAAGCAATGGCCTGACAATCTTTGTCACTGTTGACTTTATGCTCAAACAAAGGTCTTGCTGTTCGGTCCCGGATCTCCACGATTCGCCTATCACTTCATTGGACATCATCCGCATCCTTCTCTCTCCAGCTCTGGAGATCAGTAGCGCGGCTTAAAGCTCGACGTATCCACTTGCCATACTTCAATCGCGAGAGGCTTCAAGTGTCGTTAGTGTCGAATATAGTATCAGCCTGAGATCGGCAAGCGGAAGTGTGTCCCGTGATGTATGTGCATGACTTTGCCAGATTAACCATCTCCTCGTGGTGTAAAACTGACTGGTCTCCCGAGTCTTCTAGCCAGTATTGCCATACAGACGCGCTACGGGTGCGAGAGGGCGTGAGGTGAGCAAAAGGGCGACCCAATCACCCTAGATACCAGCAGAAACAAACACAGCCTAAGAAAGCAAAGCAGCGTCCAAGCAGGGCAAGTGAGCTTCCCCCATCACACCATTTTCGAAGAATCACAGCCACGGCGCTCGTGTCCTGGATCGGTTGGCGTTAGGACATGCTGTACTTGTACTCATCGATTGCGCGCATCTTAGTAGCGTCATATTTGATGAGAGTTTTAGGCTACAATGGAATTCGCCCCGGGTATGGCTCAAAGCGAGAGAAGAAAGAGGAAAAGAAAAAAGGGCAACCAAGTTACCGAAGAAGCCAAGAGTCGCGCAGTCACGGTAGCAGTTGGCGGATTCTAGACATGAATCACAAACTAGCATCTCTTGTTGTCACTATAATCATTCAAGTGCTAACTTGCACTCCTATCAAAAAAAAAAAAAAAAAAAAGGTCATAATCGTGTCATGATCAAGGAGGTATCATCAGAAATGCTTGCCCTACGTGGCACCCGACTGTGCGTGCCCGGGCATGATATCCTTCCCCAAGGAGTCGCTCGTGAGTATCTACGAGGACGGCCATATCCTGTGCTTCAGTATCGGGCGGCTCGAAGACGGCGGGCTGGGCGTAGCCCTGTTATCGATCCCGCTCGACGGCGACCCGGCCCACCGCTACGTGGCTCTGTCGTACGTATAGTCCGAGGGGTTGGGTAATGTAGCCGCTAACGCGCTGCCGTTCTACCAGGTCGCCGACGTGTAGTACTGGGCGATGCTAGCCGCGTAATCCGTTGACGGCGCCGCTTCTCGGCCGTACGACCCAGCGCAGGCACCAACTCAATTTTACTCAATTCAATCGATCAAATATAGCCACTTAGACCGACCAAATATTCAATTTTTGAGCCCCAATTTTGATCAATTCGTAAGTGTAAATAATTGGCGGGCTGTCAATTATTTCCCATTGGCCAGGCCATTTTTAGGGCGGTGTAGGAATCACCAGGGTACCGGTACTGGAAACAGCATGGCGCGCTGCGCCGTAAGGTGGTGGTTCAAGTGATAGATTCGTTTGTGTCTGTCTTTCTGTCTTTTTATCTATCTGAACAGGTGGGCGTAGGCCAATATATATGCATCTGTCAGGCCCGCTCCTCCACAGACGTTGCTGTGGCCAGGAATGCAGAGCCGCATTCCTTGGATCAGCGCGTCATTCCAGTATGTTATTCCAACAGGCGGATTTTTCGTATTTTCCTGGGCTCCGGGCGCTCCTTGACTAAGGCCAACCCTGCATTTTCCTGGCCCGGGAAAATCTCTGCATGCCGTTGAAGCTGCAATGCAACCATCACGACGTAAACATACAGTCGGCTCCTGGTACTTCGCGTTTAGAGCGGGGTTCTATTTTAATATAACTTACTTAGTAGCGAACTTAGCTACCTTTTGAGCTGCCTTATCAGATGACTTTTTACCTATAGCCTTCTCCTTCTCTGTTTTATTTAGATATATGAATATATCTGTTGACTTAAGGAGTTGGCTTAGGTTAGAACAAAAAACGTACCTATCTAGGAAGGGGCCTGTTCTATAGCGATTCGTAACCGCTTGGCGGTCAACCTAAACTAGCGCGAATAAGTGACGACGGCAGCTAAAGGACGGAGTAACACTCTAAGGGAGGCGTTAGAGATTGGTGGTAGCGGATAATACATTTAGTCTGAAAACTAGGTGTGAGAAGCAGAGGTTGGGGGGAGGCATTCGATTATCGTCAGGAAACTGTGACTCATCGCGCTGCTGAGTCGACAGCAAAATATTCTTCCAGCCAAAGAGGGAACTCCAAAGGTTCCAGTCCACGTGATATTGGCCTCTACTACGGCGAGAATGCGACGGACTTGGCGCAGTGCGTTGTCTACACTAGAAGAACTCGTGCTTGAGCTGAATCGGCAAATTCGGAGGGAAATCCTGTGATCAGCCATGAGCTACATAACAGTATCCCTAAAGGTCTCTCGTCTGGGGACTGGTCAAAAGCAATTTAACTAAGGCTTTGTTCTAAAAAGAAAAAAAAAACACAGCACATTCGCGTTCCGCTTACACCTTCCTAAAAGGCCTTTTAGGTCCAGGACGCGTTATGTTCCCCGCCACCGCCACCCACAGAGCCGCCGCCGACACCTTCACGGTCGGCTGGCGCTCGGTCTACAATAACTCAAAGCTGGACCCAGTTTACAACCACATCTGTAGAGACCGGTCAGCAATGTGACACCCATTGCCTCGGGGACGTGTCCCCCCTCCCCGTACCAACAAGATATGGAATAGGAAGAAGGGCAGAACGAGACGAGAGAGAGAGAGAGAGAGAAGAAGAAGGAGGAGGAAAAAGAAAAGGGGAACGTACTCTGCGGCACTGGCGGCCCATACGCGACAGGTCCCGCCTGGATCGAGCCGCCCTGGTAGGTCGGCACGTCAACAGCTCCGCCCGTGAGATTGAGCCCGCCCGCCGGATTGATCACGGCATGGCAGACATCAATGGGCCTCACGACACCGGCGTGGTCGGTAAACGTCGTGTAGCAGTGGGCGCGAAACGCCGTGCGCTGCGGATCCATTTGCGGGACCTGGGGTGCCGCGTGGACGCCGGGACCGCCCCGGTTGATCCAAAAGGGGTTGTTGCACTGGTGCGCCAGCGAGCCGGACCACCCAAAGAGCGGGCCCGAGGGGATGTAGCCCCATGGCTCGTCGGCTACGATGCGCACGTTGGAGATGACCTGTTGATTTTTAAAAGTCAACAAAGTTAACACCAAATACCACGGTGGAGGGATAGAGGCAGAGAAAGATAAGAAGAGAAGAGAAAAGAGGATAGAAGAGAAGGGGAGAGAAGGGCAGAGAAGAGGAGAGGAGAGGAGAGGAGAGGAGAGGAGAGGAGAGGAGAGGAGAGGAGAGGAGAGGAGAGGAGAGGAGAGGCGCGAAGAGGAGAGGAGAGGAGAGGCGCGAAGAGGAGAGGAGAGGAGAGGCGCGAAGAGGAGAGGAGAGGAGGGGCGCGAAGAGGAGAGAGACATACCGGAATCTCGGCACCATTGTTCGCGGGGTCCGGTTTCTTGCCAAGCGAGCCGAGAGCTAGCTTGACGAGGCTGGCCAGGTCGTAGCAGTTGCACGTACGCACCCCGACTGTCGATACCATGGTTTCGAGGTTGAAGTTTGTGCCGAGTAGGTGCTGCGCCGCCCCGCCCGTTGCGAATGTCGAGTCATAGAAAAGCCCGGGTCTCCCAAGAAGCCTGTGGGTTGTGTCGGTTGGAACATGTTCTTATCCCAGAGGGTAAAAGAAACGGAAGGGAAGGTGAGAAGTAGAAGAAAGATTCGTAGTTACCAGAGCCGTTGGGTGATTTCCCAGATCAGCGGGCCCTCAATATTGGCCCACGGCTGGCCAGCAATGGTGCCGTAGGTGGGAAACGAGAGCCGTATGAGCTCGAGAATCTGCGTGGCGGCAAACGGAAAAGGCACATCGTGGTCGCCCAGCATGAAGTAGACCTCGAGCCGAGTGCCGGCGCTGGTGGCAATGCCGCCGCCGCCAGCTGCAGGCAGGATCGTCCAGGTCCAATCGCCGGCGACCTTGAACGGAGACGCAGGCTGAGGACCGGCATGAGAGAAGACGGTAGCAGTGAAGGGAACAGCAGCACCGCCGGCAACACCGGTGGCGTTGAAGTTTTGCGACGTGATCTGGAAGCCGCCCGGCCCGTCACCCCTCAGACGGTACGCGGCCAGGCCCACGGGGAAGCCGTACGTGCCGTTGACGGTGAGGGGGATGTTGGCGGCGGCAAACAGAAAGGCTGCTGGACGCGCTGCCTCGGTTGGAGGAGCAGGGACCGCGTCAGCGGTGTTGAAGATGGCATCATCATTGCGGACTGTGAAAGTCTCTGCCGCTCCGAATCCTTGCCGAATGTCATAATTGTTGGCGTCACCGTTGACCCGGGTTATTCCGGTGATTTGGACTGCCGCCATGACTTTGAGGCGAGGAGAGAAGGGGGAGCACAGTGGAATGAATATTAATCGTTGGACTAGGAGAAAGAGGATTGATTTTCTTTGTTTTGGGGGGGGGGAGGGCTTTAGGCAGCTGTCCAAGTCGATGGATGTCACGAGGAGGGTTGGAGCAAGACAATTCCATGACGACTAGTTGGATGCCATACCTACTTACATATACCCAGTTGAAGGCCGTCCTAACTTGTCAATCAATAGAAGGTTGTTCACTCGGTGGGGGTAATGAAATGTTCGAACTTGACGGATGGCCCGATTGTGGCAACTCAGCTGCTGACGGTGACCGTCTCAAAAAGCCACAAACCAAGTTCGGCGACTCCATTGTGTATTGAGAATAGACCACAGCTGGCTTCGTCTTGACAATCAATACAGTAACTGGCGGAGATGGGCACGCATCCAGCGATGAAGGTCATTGTGGCTGGCTGGCTCAAGAGAAAATGGCATGAGCAGTTGTCAGCCGTAGCCGGAAACTCTCCGTTTATGGTAAGCTTCTGCTGTTGGTGCTTCTGCTGCATGCATGCGGTCAGCTGCAACGGCGCTTCGTGTTTGAGCTGCTGCCCCCTTTGCTGCACGGCACCTCCGCGCCCGTATTCATTATCGGCTACGTAATACCATGTTGGGCAGCCAACTCTCGCCGTACCACACCATTTGATCATAGGTATAATATCGTCCGGCCCTCGGCTTCACCATCGACAGCAAAGCGACAGCCAAGCCAAACCCTTCAATCCCCAACCCAATTTGCACAGCTGAAAAACAATTGCCTTTGTCTTTTACCCCCCTCTGTCGAACTTGTCTTTCTGCTTCCAATTTCATCCAACCGTGTTTGAGCAACATGGCATCGGCGTCTCTCGTGAACCGCAAATCACCCAGCGATGTGTTTGCCAGTGCCGTGACTGGCAACCTCGCGAGCTCGACCAAGAGCAATGCTCCGCTCGACCCCCCAACCATGGCCAGGCTGGCCACGGGCATCATTGGCCCTAGCCCTACGGTCAAGACTCTGAGCGCCTCGGCTCGGGCGATTGACTTTCGTGTTCTGTACTCGATTGAGGGTGCCTCGTCAGGCCCGGTTCTCCTCGATTTTGTCCATTGCACCGAGGCAGCAGCAGCCCAGGACCTCTTGAAGCAATACCTTGGCACCTTTGACGGCGATGTGAGCGCTGTCACTCAGAAGACAACCAAACCCCTCGGCCAAGTCTCTCTGCAGACTGGAACCAGTGTCTTTTGGGTCCGGGATGCCATCTGGGTTCGAGTCCAAAGCCTGTCGTCCGAGGTCCCCAAGGGTAAGTTCTACACCGTCCTCAACATGTTCGAGTCTTTTGTGTTTGACTTTGGTATCTCTCTTCTTTGCAACGCAGCCTCTCCGACTCCCCCCAGCATGAAGCTCTCCCCCCAGACGGCTGGCACCTTGCCGGCGGCTAGGGGTGGCCCTACCACGTCTGCCCCAGCAGCGGCGGCTCCTTCCTCTACCGGTCCCGCAGCGTCCACCGCCAACCCCGTTCTGGCTGCCATACTCCTCCCCTTTGCCGAGTCTCTCGACGCACATCTGCTCAAGTTCGCCGTGCCGCCCAACCAGCAGTTCAAGCCCAACACAGCCGTCAAGACGTCGTCGTACAAGGGTCCGCGCGGCACCGAGTTCAGCTTCCAGCTGGCGGAAGCGACGGGCACACACGCCATCAAGCCGGCACAGCCCGCGGCCGGGGATGCCGCTGCCGGCCGGATTGTGTCGCCCACCCGCAACGGCTCAGCCACGGGCGAGTACCGCTTCCTGGGCCAACGCATTGGCAAGGGCAAGGTGCAGTTGATTGTGGCCAGGGCCGACAACCTGGCAGTGGGAGCGGCCGAGGTGACAGTGGAGATCACGGCCAAGTAGTGTTTAAGGTATCTAATTAGTTTGCAAGTTTGAAGCGGCAGAAGGTGGCTGTCTACCTGTATGTGGTTTGGCTAAGGTACCTACCTACCTAATCAGATCCCCCGTCTCCTTTTCCGTCCTCCAAAACTCTGTGCCTGCACTATCCTCAATACCGTCGACCTCGAGTCCACCGTAAAACGCGTGATCTTGCTCTGCTTCTCCACACTCCCCCTATATCTTTTGCACCCGACCTCGACGATTTCGTAAAGCTGCACCATCTCCACCCGACACTTGACCACCTCTCCCGTCGCCCTCTCCCCCTCGTCGCCCTCTCCCCCTCGTCCCACCCTAGTACCATCATTGCCAAAATCCCACTAGCCTTCTCCTCCTCCTCCTCCTCCTCCTCCTCCTTCTCCTTTCCTCTCTCACTACCGCCCTCCCCTAAGAGACGACGGACGAAAACCCCCAAAAGATTGCCGTCCTCACAAACACCCAACACTCTCAACCGCCCTTAAACCCCGGCACAGATAAATCAGAACGTTCACCCAGACCCACCCGGCTGGTGAATCAAGCCCGGCTGGTTGATGGCCATCCAGTTCTGGTAGACGTGCCCGGCGATGTTGGCCAGGGCATACGTCTTTGGGTGGAAGGCCTTGGCCCACTTGTCCGTGATGGCGCCCGAGGCCGTGAGCCGGTCGCTGTTGACGATGGTAATGCTGCCCGCCCCGTCCTCGGCGGGATGTGTTGGATTTGACACACAGATGGATTATATTGATGAGAATTGATTGAATTGATTGTCCCCCTGCTCTCTGGCTTCGCCAGAGAGCCATTATTATAGATGGACATAGTGGCGAAGTAGGTGGCAAATAATAATGCCCTTTTCGATCAAACTTGCCACTCATTAGGCCACCAACGATGATCGGCCCGTATGTAGGCCTTGATGCCTACACATCCTTTTAGGCTCCATTCAGCTGGTACGATGTAGCCAATCCAACAGGATGCACGACGTTGAGCAGGTTGACGGCGTTGTCGCTGTTGGCGTGCCACACACAGCTTGGCCATGGTGCACCGGATCATGAGCGCCTCGTCCTCGGCCTTGTCGGCTTCGTCGTTGCACGTGGCCGGGTCGATGCCGCCAATATCGATGGCGTCAGCCGTCTGCACGACGGTGCCGTCGGGCTTGTAGTCGGGCGAGTTGATGCTGAAGAAGGAGGTGTCGTCGCGCCACTTGTCGCGCTTGATGCCGTCGCACCACCGGTTGTGCTGGTACGTCCGGTCCATGTCGATGTAGTGGATCCGCTTCTGCGACCCCTCGCGCACGTATCGCGTATCGCATGTTGACCTAGCCGACCACCTTGGCGATGACCGTGTTAAGGTTTTGCGTCATGTCGTTTGCCTTGCGCCGCAGCTCGCGCGTTAGGTCGGCCCTTACCAGCCGATTATCCGGTAGGGGAGGATGCTCTGGTCGTTTCTCCAGTCGGTGCTGTCGTTGAAGAAGCGCCCGTAGCCCGTGACGAAGAGCTGGAAGTTCTCCACCGTCGCCGTGTCCATGATTTGCATATACGCCTTGGTCAGGTTGGCCACGAGGTCGTCCGATGAGATGCGGTCCTGGGTGCTCTTGAGCTCGCTGTCGCAGTCCTTGGTCGCCCAGAGGATGCAGTTCTTGACGATGCGGCTGAAGCCCACGTTGTTGCCGCCAATCGAGAGCGTCGAGAAACCAAACCCCCTGAAGTCGCCAAAGTCCTTCATCTGCTGGACCTGGCTGGTCTTGCTGGGATCTGGTGGGTTGACGATGCTGACCCACACATTCCTGCGCGTAGGCGTTGAACCACGAATAAAGCCCGGCACCGTTAATGACTATGCTCGACGAGTTGAGCATGACCCGCTGCCCAGCTCGCGTTGCACCCAATAGTGCCCCTGGCGCAGCCGTCCGGCGGATAGATTAGATCGCCCGGATACTAGCCGAGGGCACCCCGGTAAGGGCTAGGGCTGCGCATGCCGTCCTTGCCCTAGAAGTAGGCCCTCTCGGTCTGGATCATGCCCGCCTGCACGTTGCGCGCGTTGTTGAACGAGTACTGGTACAGCACCGAGTGCTCCGAGGCCGTGCCGTACATGCACACGGGGCTCGGTCGACTCGATCAGCCAGCCGCGCGAAAAGTGGATGTTGATGCGCTCGGTGAAGTCCTGGTCGTCAATGTCGTGGTCGGCCACCCAGACCCAGACGTTGACAAAGAACCCGGACCCCCTGGGCGTGATGTGCATCAAGAGCAAGCCCGCCTGGCACTCGGTCCCCACCCCCTGGGGACAGTCGGCGAGCTGGAGGTCCGTGCCGACGGCGCCGCCGACGCGGAAGTGCACGTCGTACATGCCGGGCTGCGTCTCGGCGACGCCGCGCATGTTCCATTCGACGCCGACAAAGTGCGTCGACTTGCCCTTGCTGGTGATCAGCAGGTCCGGCGGCTCGACCAAGCCCTACGGCCCCGTGCCCGGCACGCCCACGCTCAGCAGCGGCTTGCCCTGCTTCTGGTTCGAAAAGGTCGACCCTTTGGCCATGAGCTGGCTCCAGCACTCGCCCACGACCCGCACGCCGACCGCGACCTCGAGCGTCTCCGAGATCGGGTACACGCCGTGCGGGATGAAGATGACGCCGCCCCTGCGAAATACAAAGTCGAACACGGTCTTGAACCCCTGCGTGTCGTCCGTCACGTCATCACCCTTGACACCGTAGTCTTTGACGTTGATAAACGAGTTGACGTCCATGTCCTCGTACTGCGGCTTCCTCCCCGCCCTGTACCGCCTCCCGCTCCACGTGCTGCCCGACGTTGACCAGCGCAGCCAGGCGGTTCTTGTCAGGCATCACGGCACCCTCACTCCAGACCGTGTCGCCGCCCGTATTGCCGCTCGACGCGCCCTGAATGTAGACGATTCTTGGAGTTCTTTCTGGCCTTTTACTATGGAGTGAATACTCATGTAGCCTACTTCGTATTATTCATCATTTGCTTGGTCACTGGGGAGAACGGCATCTTACTAGATGCGGTCAGGCTTTAAAGCCCAAGCCCTCGTTTTCGGATGATTCATCTAGGCACTCGTGGCTTTACATGCGCGTCACTAAACGAATCAATTAGTAGCTATACTAATATCAAGAGAAGATCTCTATATTACTTACCTCCTTATACAAATTAATATAGCATCTGGATTTATTATATTAAGTAATAATAACGTTAGAAACCTAATTACAATAGTCTAATAGCTAACGTGATTGCATAGCTAACGTGATTGCATAGCGAGCGCGCACCTTTCCCACCCCAATTGAACTATCGCAAAACATCGTAAATTTCTCCACGATAAAACATGCCCGCCGTACGAAATAAAACACAAATACAGCTTGCCCTTCAAGCTATGCAACGCGACAAGAATCTTCGCCTTGCAACTGCTGCAGCCCGATATTCCGTACCCCGAAGAACACTTGAGCGGCGTTCGAACGGAATCCTCCCTCGAGCAGAAATTATTGCCAATTCGCGGAATCTTGACCCCCTTGAAGAGCAGGTTATTATACGAAGGGCTCTCGACCTATACGAGCAAGGGTTTTCGCCAGGTTACGGTATAATAGAAGATATGGCCAATTTACTACGCGCGACGCGCAACGCGTCACGCGTCGGACCACGCTGGGCTGCAAATTTCGTACGACGATAACCAAAGCTTAAGATACGTTGGACGCGCCCTGTGACGGCGTTTAGCAACACCCACTACCGCTGCACCACACCTTCCAAAAGGATGCCAGAATTACAAGCCGTCAGGCTGCAATTCTATAGTGGGTTATAGTATGGTCACGCATCCGTAGGGCCTCAGCGCCTACCGCCGTGCCGTGACACGCCCGTACGACTACCAAAGAGCTAAATACGAAGATCCAAAGATAATTGGCGCGTGGTTTGACCGTATTCGTCATACAATTGCGAAATATGGGATTCTCGAGTCGGATATCTAGAACTTTGACGAGACTGGGTTTACGATAGGCTAGATCTCGTCAATACTTATTATTACCTCGTCCGACGGCCGTACGAAGGTGAAGAAGATCCAACCTAGTAATCGGGAATGGGCTACTATGATTTAGGCCGTACGGTCGGGTGGTGATTATCACCGCACAGTCAACTGCATGAGACAAAGCTGCACTATGGTCGCTGTATTCGTAGAATCTAAAGCTAAGGAAAGAAAGAAGAAAGGAAGTTTCTGAAGCTCGGGCAGGGCGCAGGGAAATAGGACGTGGGGTGCACGGGCCACCTAGTCTAGTGGGGTCCGGGTCGGGCCCACTATTCCAGAGTTGTCTGCACTTGCCGTGACATCTTACTTATTTTAGCTATATTACTGTTTAATCGCTTTAACGTAATAAACAGCATACCCTTTATGCCAGCTAGCTACGTATTTATTCTGCCGGCAGAAAAATTACACTTAGAGGTTCCCTAGGGTTGCGCACTTTTTCTGCCTAAGCCCAAATTTAGGTTCTATTGCCGTGCAATACGTACCTTTTCTACCGGCAGAAAATTCTCCAGGAACTAATTCTCATTCCTCCGTAGTCTACAACTTTGTTTCTGCTAGCAGAATATGAGACCTGGTTCTCGGCCACAAACCCATATTTTGTCCCCACCACCATAGGCTAGGCACCTATTCTGCTCGTTATTCCCGCCGTGCAGTCTGCGCACTGTGCAATAACCCATCCTCCTTGTCCTGCCCCGACTGCCACGAACAGCTGTACTGCTCCAGCGCCTGCCAGACCAGCGACGCGCCCGTGCACAAGCTGTTGTGCGACGCCTTCTCCGCCAGCGTCGCCCCCGGCTCTGGGGGCAGCCAGCAGTCCCACAACGTCCGTGCAATCCTCTTCCCAGCGGACGCGGACGCTGCGCCTCCATCGCTGGTGGGCGTGCGCATCGCCGGGTTCCGCGACCCAGAGTCGGGCATCGCGTTTCCCGAGGCCGAGGTGCACCCGTTTTTCGAGTCGCTAGCAACAAAAAGATCGCCTGAGGCGCTGACGACGGACCGCAACCGCGTGCGCAACCGCGACACGCGCAGCATGCTCGAGGTGTGGCATGTTCCAGCTGCGACGGGCGACGGCGAGAGCGGCGCGGGCGGCGGCGGCGGCGGCGGCGGCGGTGGTGGTGTTCTGAACGGGTGCATCATATCGCTGGCGAAGAATATGGCCTCAGGAGAGGCAGGACCGTTTTACCCCTGGTCGGGACCCGTGCTGGTGCTTGCCATGACCAGACCGACGGGGTTCATGGTGGATCCAGGCGCGTATCGCGACTGCACGCTGCATGACTGTCGCGATGCTGTGGATTTTGTAGTGGATTATGGGAATGCGGAGCATGAGAAGAGGATTCAGGAGGCGCTGGCGACGCTGGGGGCAGGTTCGACGGCTGAGGAGGTGAGTAAGGGCGATCAGGAGGGTGTTGCGGTTGATGAGAATCGGGGCGAGGGTGATGTTGTTGCTGGTGACGCCGAGGACCGCAGAAAGCGGCAAGACCAGCCCGCTGAGGAAGTGAAAAAGGAATTTGCGGTAGAGATGGAGGGGTGAACTTGATGCATGAAGTGGGCAATACACCAAGGTAGTGTTGAGAGAATAATCAGACTTCCAAAACTACATAAACTCGACTGTCGAGCCAACCAAAGTGACAGTGTACCCTCATTTCATAAGGGTATGGAACGGTCTAACCGTTTCTAGCAACGCCGCTTCACAGTGCTCATGGACATTAAGATTTAAAGGCTCGTCGAGGTATTTATAGGTGTTGCAGAACGAACTTAGGAGACGTCTTCAGTGACATAATGTACGCCTCTGGCCGTATTACTATATCTCCAGGCGATAACTGGCATTCTGCCACCTAATTATAGCATCAAGTGTGATATCGAACGTCTCGTTAAGAATGGCCCAAGTCCCGTTACAGAATGTATTGCACGGCGAGGGTGCCCGTGGTGGGGTTGGCGCCGTAGATGAGCAGCGGGTAGTCGGCCTTTCAGACCTATCATTTCCTCTAACCAAGAACACGGCCTGGTCAACAGCCGGCGCCCTAGACGTAGCGACCCAACAAGGAAATCGCCCCACAACGAAATCTCTGCCCCTGTCATCTAATTTCCCGCCCTTCAACTTCAAAACACCACAACTTCATCAATTCAAGCCCGAATTGCTTTAAAATAAGCCATGTCGAACCGCCGTGAGCAGCTCACTCAAGCTGCAATACTTGCTGTTGAGCAGGGCGCCTCGCAGAAAGACGCCGCCAAGTTGCATGGCATCCCTGCCTCCGCCCTCTGCAAACGCATCCATGGGGCAGAAAATCGTGCCAAAAGTAAACAAGCCGAAAGAAACCTCTCCGATGCGCAGGAAAGCTTCCTAGCCGACTGGTGCCTCAATGAGGAAGCTTCAGGGCGCGCTCCTAGCCGTCGTCAGGTGCAGAGATTCGCTCAAGCTATACTCAATGAGGCCGGCATGAAAAAGACCGTTGGCGAGTGATATGTGGATCGCTTCCTACGCCGCAACCCTGCGGTAAAGATGAAGAATTCGGCCTTGTTGGAATCGTCTCGCGTAAAGGGTTCTACTCGTGAGGCTTACAAAGATTTCTACAAGCGCCTGGCCTTCCAGATCAAGGATAAAAAGGCCATTCCTGCCAACATCGCCAACATGGATGAGCACGGCATGCAGGAGCTTGAAACACGGGCCGGAAAGGTCATCGGAAGCTCCCTGACGAATCGGACCTACGTAACAAGCTCTGATGCCACTACCTGGGTCTCAATTATTGAATGCGGCACTGCAGAGGGCGTTCGTTTGAAGCCCGTGATCATATTTACCGGGGCCAGTCTTCAAGGACAACACTTTCCAGATAACTTCAAGCTAGAGGACGAATTCCCGGAATGGAAGTATGATTACTCGACTACAGGCTGGAGCACCGCCCAAATCGCCTTGCGGTGGCTCAGAGAGGTCTACCTGATCCAAACCGAGCCCAAAACGCCGAGAGAATGGCGTATATTGATCCTTGACGAACATTCGAGCCACATGAACGAAGAATTCATGTTGACGGCATGGAAAAACAAGGTTCAGCTTGTCTTTTTACCCTCACATACATCGCACAAGACGCAGCCTCTCGATCGCTCTGTCTTTTCACCTTTGAAGACCTACTTCAGGCAAAACACCAAGGCTCTAGCGAGCTTCACATCGTCGGCACCCATCAACAAGAAACGTTTCCTTTTTTGTTACAGAGATGCCTCGGCCCAGGGTATGAGTGCCCGCAATATACTCTCCGGCTTCCGGAATACGGGCATTTGGCCGTACAACCCGGCCCGCGTACTAGATGACCCGGAGGCAGTCATCCAGGAAGATGCCCTCCCTGCCCGGCCTTCCACACCACCACAGGAGGACCTGCATGACGAAGACAGGACATTCAAAACACCAAAAGGAAGCCAGGATATTCGGAAATATCAGGACAGTATTCGGAATGCCCTCAGTCCGGCTCACAGGCGTGTGAGGGTATTGTTTACTAAGGTCGGGAGGTCCCTGGATCTGAAGAATACCGAGATCGCTTCTTTGAAGGCACAAATTACGCATCTAACGGCCGAATTAGAGGCTTCAAAGCCTCTCACGCGTAAGAGAGTATACGAAAATGGAAATGACAAATTTGCACGCATTGAGGAAATTGACAAGGCCCAAAAAGCTAGTCAAATGCCCCCCAAGCGAAGAAGACCGGCCCGGGCACCTGCGCAGCCACATGCAGCCGAAGAGGCCCGGGAAATAATCGCCCGTGGCCTTGAGCAATATATAGAGGCTGAAGAAGAGGATTGAATATGTTTTTGCTAGTTATTTTGTGTGGAAGTGGATAATTTGCGCTCGTAGGGTGGGTGTGGGCATGGTGTGGGTCAATTTCGTTGATGGGCGATTTCGTTGTTGGGTCGGCTCTTCTAGTTCAGACTCTGCGCCAAAATCTCAAATCACATGCGACGCAACAGCCTCGCCGCCGCAATCATACTGGCACCCCGTCTCCTCCGACGTCGTGCGCGCAAAGCCCGCATCCGCATCACTCTCCATATGAAATCATCCATCCCCACCTCCTCCATGACCCGCCCACGCGCCCCCCTCCCATCCAGCAGCACAACATCCACCCTCCTCGCGCGCCTCCACCTCAACCGCCGTCTCAGCGCCAGCAAACAGGCCCGCGACACCGCTGTCCCGACCCCCTCTCGACAAGACCGCCAGCGCACTTGATCCCCACAGCGGTCGACCTATGAAGGTGCCCTTGGAGTAGCGCTGTGCTCGCGCAATTCTGGACTGGCCCAGCTTGTCCTCGTGGAATGCTAGAGAGCTGCGGCATTAGACAAGTTGCTGTGCAAAGGGGTCGTTGGCAATAGCCAGAACTGTCAAGAGAGCTTGCCAAAGCGGACGCCAAGACTGTTGGTCCTCAGTCAGTTTTGCAAATATTGGCACGTAGGAAGGGATAGTTTTGCCCATGCACGCACGCGCTTGACTTTCATACTGCCCAACAGACTCACGCTTCCCAGCGGTCCTCGACTTGCCGACTCGATCCGATCAAAACCAAGCAGACGTCGCGGACGGCTGCTGGAGAAGTTGATCCATTTCCGCCGGCCGTTCGAGTGGCTGACAGCGTAGATGACGGTCGCCTTGTTCGCCGCCGAGAGGATGGCGACCAGCGTGTTGAGAGTAACGACTCGGTAGCCGAAGATGGCCTTGCCGTCGAATGCTGAGAGTAGTCCCACGAGAGCGGCAAAGAAAGCGAACGAGGCTGCCATGGACGTGATTGGTATGGCAAAGTCAAGGAGGCGCATGGCCTCGCCAATCTTGCTCCCGGGTTTCTCGGCACTCAGCTTGCGCCCGACCCTGTTCGCCATCTCTATGACGAAGCTAGCCCCCACCCATCTTGGGCGAACAAGGTCAACTTGACGTTGGAGGATGTTGAAGTAGTAGACTTGTGTTCCCGAGACTAAAAACCGGGATGACCCGGACGGGGCGGGCGGGCCTGTTAAATATGAGGCATGATCGCCAAGCGTGAGCAGGGTTATATACTACTGCTATGCATTTCTTGTATGGCCGCACTGCTATCGTTCCAGGCCATAGTTTCCCGGCTGAAAATGTGAAGGCTTTCCAACCCAGGGGTGTTATTTTGATTCTACACTATTTTCTGACTGCAGGCTACGTCGAGGCACCCGTTTCAAGCCAGACTTTTACTGGCCCCATCCGGTTGCACAGGAAGGTTGGCGCAGATAAAGTGCAGGACTAACAGCTTCCGCTCGCATGCTGGTAGGCTGCATTAACATTCGGTCATTTTACCGCCCAAAAAGCGACCCCTACAATGACAGCTGCCATGACCCACAGGTGGGTAGATGTAACAAAATGGTGGGTGGCTGTACCGATGTTCTTCAAAATGGGGTACGATTGATTTAAGGTACCGGAAATGCCGTTCGCCGGTGCAGTCAACAGTGGCTCCCCTTGGAGCCAGGACGTCAGTTCGGGCGATGTGATCCGCATTGTCAACGACAGTAGCAAGCCCTATAACCTCCAACCGTGGCAGCCTGGCCTGTTGACTCTGACCAACCCAGAGCCTGATCAAGTGTTAGATAGCTCTTTGTGGTCTCCGTCTCACGCATTGACCCATTCCCAACATACGTCTGCCACGCATCTCAGTACATTGTCTTGACTCCCCGATTATTCATACGGGGCTTAATCCGTCAGGTGATACCGATCAAAATGGTAACCGATCTACTTAAACCTATTTTTTCCGTAGCTCTCATGGTTTACCTCTGTGTGCTAAATTCTCGCCGTTTTATAGCCTAGGGAGCTCTACGACATCATGAGTCCTACTCCGATTCTTCTCATGGCCCTTGCCGGTCTTGTGTCTACGACTCGGGCTACGGCCGGGGCATATGCTCAGTGCAAGTCCGCATGGGTAGTTGGTACTCAAGAAGAGAGGTGTCACTGACAATCAATTTAGGTGGAGGCATTGGGTGGGTGGGAGATACGGCATGCGTCTCTGGCTACTCTTGTACTCCCAGACCTCATACTACTCGCAATGTGTGTCTGGAAGCGGCAGCGGAGGAGGCCCCGCCGCCATTACTCTCGCCACTTCTACTGGGCCTCTGAAGCTGTGCAGCGGCCGCGTATAGGATCACCTTCGCTCAAGACAAATCAGCCACAACTCATCTCAGCTCACCTCAGCTCAAGACCACGAACGAAAGAGGAATTGGCGTGCCCGGATTCGCCTCAGGGTACCAGGCTGTAACAAGCAGTAGGTTGACAGGCAGGGTACGCCCACATTCTCGCCGTCTGGCCGAAGAAACCATGCTCCAACATGTGGTGGGTCGGTGGGTACAAGACGCAGCCGGTTACGAAAGATCAATAGCCACGATCTTGGCCGGCTCCACCTGCTCACCCTTCACAGGCGCGGCGAGCGCGCCAGCGCACGAAACATAAAGCGTCCTCTTGTCGTTGGAACCCCGCCCAAAAGCACACGCCGTACTGCCCGCGAGTTCCAGGGACTCCAGGTTCCCCGCAATAACCTCTCCCTCGCTCGACCCAGCAGCCACTTTCACCACGGTATTCATCGGATGCGTCGTCACGTATGCGGTCCCGTCCTCGTCAAGACAAAAATCATCCTGCATGAACCCGCTTGCCACGGGCTCGATAGGCCCCGTCGGTCGGAACGACGCGGACTCGGACTCGACAGGCACACGATAGAGCGTGTTGCGCATCGAGTTGGAAAAGTAGATGTAGCCGCCGCGCACCTTGACGCCGTTAATGCCCAGCGACAGCATCGCGCCCTCCGGGGCGCGCATCAGCTCGTCGGCCATGAGGCGGTCGTACGACTTGGCGGCCACGTCGACCCTGTACAAGACGCCGTACTCGGAGTCGGCTGCCAACACGACCGTGCCTGCGCCGTCGGCCTTCGTGATGCCGTTGATGAGCCCACCCTCGGGTATGGCGGTCACCAATCGCGGCGTGTACGGCCCGCTCGGAGAACCGAAGTCGACGGTGTGGATCTCGTACGTGCCCGGGATCGTTGCCTTGGCGAGGCCATCGTACTGCCCGACGGCGACGGCGAAGATGTCCGGGGTCAGCTCGGTGATGCCCGTGACGCTAGTGATGGGGGCGGGCCACGTCACGACGGCCGCGCCGTCGCCGCTGGCTGGGTCGATTTCCCAGAGCTGGGGCAAGTCGATACGGGTGGCGAGGAGCCTACCGTTTGCGCGGACGGCAATGTTCTCGAACCACGACCCGATGTTGTCGAGCTGGAATACCGTTCGCGTCTTTTCCAGTGCAGCCATGTTCTCGTCGGGTCCACTGTGACTCGATAATTAACCCCGAAGGACTTGCCTGATAAATAATAACTGTAGGTAAAACTAGGCGAGTGCTTGAACTGATTGTGATAATTTCTCGAGGAATAGATCTCGAGGGATAGATAAAAATATGAGAAATCACATCGCAAAACAGGTGCAAAGTCTTTGCTGATCCAATGCTGCTCTTATTGAACTGCCGCTCCTCCCGGTTGACAAAGCGGGGTCTGCAGATGAGTGCGTGATTTTCCGTCCTTCTCCTTATCCGTTGAAATCTCCTCAAGTCCACTGAGGCTGAGTGCCGATACGGCCGCAATCAGGGCTCATTCATCGTTACCGGGTTCAGTGTACTGTGTAGTCAACGAGCCGGGCAGCTTTCTGCACCACGTGGACATCGTCCATTAGTTCAATTCGCGGGGCGTTATGTGTCGCCCTGTTATGCAATGGTTAGTGTCCCTCTCTTGCATGGTAACCCTGGCACCGAGGGCCCGGTACGCCCAGACTTTAGTCTACTATGTATGGCGATCCCGGCAACCCAGCAACCCGGCAAAGTGAAAGGCATCTTAATCTGACGTGTAATGTGCGGAGGATCTAGGGAGTCTGCCGCTGCTATCTCGCAGAGGCACCACGACCAGACACAGACGGAAGTTTCCAACTTCATGGAGCGTACAAGCGTCACACTAGTGTACCTGCTTAGCCGACCCAAATTAGCCTGTCTTGCCCCTTGCTTGTTGCTCGCCTTGACCGACAGTCAATACTGTTTATTATTGGGGCTGGCGTTCTGGTGTGTCACACCCAGCTTCAGCCAAGTTGTGATCAGGAACCAAACGGACGAGAACACATCAAATGCCTCCTCCCTCCTCTGTGTTGTTAATGCAGGACGGGCAAACAAATTCCAGACGGGTTCCTCGCGTGCATCTGCTGAGCGGCAGTCGACCTCCATGGGTCCCTGTCACGGGTGCACCGAAATTCCCAGCCATCAATTGATTTGCACAAGAAGAATACGAAGCGCCGCTTCAAATACGCATGCTGCAAATAGGTCCGTTTGCGGCTTAGTGGTGCTGAGGGCTTTGTCCCAATTGGCCTGGGCCTGACGAGTGCTCGGGCTAGAAGCCGCCGCCTGCAAGCCTCGCGAGCCGACCAGCTGAGAATGGTAACGGGCTACAACGCTTCAGTTCAGGCTCCGAGGGAGCGGGCAGTCAATCACAGCTTGGACCCTGCATGCCTGACCTGAATTCACCCTGTTACCTTGTCTCTGTTCCCATATTTTACCTGCTTGAACCTCGTTCTCTCTCATGCCTCGCTCACCATTTCCTTCGAGATCGACCATCGCAACTCAACTTGAGACCACTGAAGCCACACAAGTCTGGTCAGGCCAAGTTCAGCGCCATGAGACTCGCCAAGACGACGGCATTTTTGGCCGGATGCGGCATCGCAACCGCCTCGCACCCAGACATGGGCACAACACTGCTCGGCAAACGATGGGAGTACGATGTGTGTCTCAACGACTGCACGCTCGCCGGCATCCCGATGCCGGACCATAACACTTTTGGACTGCCGCTCGAGAACCACTGGTCTGAGCAGTGTCCTCCGACCATTGTTGGCCAATACAACGCCCCTCTGTCCCAGTCGAGGGTCTGCCTCGACTTTGTCGGCACCAACCTGGTCTTCAACTTTGAGACGTTCCCAGGTTACACCATCAAATCTGCCGTCGTGACATGGAAAGTGGCGGGCATTGACGGCGAGCCACCTGTCAACAACCCGCCTCCTACGACCAACATTCTCTGTAATCCCCAGGGTGATGGCAGCTACCTCTGCACCCTCCCCTTCAACGCTATCCTCGGCGTGCCCTCGACCAGCAGTGTCACAACTCTGATGGCAGGCATGTGCCCCAGGGGCGACCGCGAGGGTCTGGACTTCTACTTCCAGTTCTTTGGCCTGGTCGAGCCCGTCGGCGGCGGCCCGGCGATTCCCTTTGTCCAGCAGTACCCCTGCTCGGCTCGCGCCGCGGACCGCAGCTGCACTGCGTGGAACACGGTCTACCCCTACGTTGAGGTCGCATACCGTTGCACCAACTGCAATGTCCAGCCTTGCCCGTCCTCACCACCCTCATCGTCCGTGGCATCATCTACAACGTCGACATCGTCCTCGACATCGAGCTCGTCCTCGACCACGAGCTCCTCTTCGACGACAGACTCTTCTTCCACCAGCTCGTCATCAACCACCAGCTCTTCCTCTTCATCGACCACCTCTCCGCCGTCGTCCTCATCCTCTTCGACATCCAGCACCACCACAAGCTCCTCCTCCAGCACTGCGCCACCTCCCAGCTTGAAAACCTGCTCCTTTGGCACAGCATTTGGCTACCAGAACCCCGTTGCCGGTAATCCGCGATCGTTCACCCTCAACACCCAATCCGGCCAGGGCTGCAACCGCTGGGGCTGGTACGAGACGCCCACGGTGGCGAGCCTGCAGGGCGGCATCAGCGGGCCGCTGTACGTGGGCGCCGGCGGCAACGACATCACCAAGGCCATAGACGTGGGCATCTAGGTGGCGACGGCCAATTCTCAGGGCCGCGTCACCGTCACCTACCTGCTCAACCCGCCCTACGCCCTGGCCGAGGTGCACGTCAATCTCGTCTGCCTGCCGCTCACCAAGTGCGCACCGGGCCAGTACACATACAATGCCGGGGCCATCCCCAACCTGCCCACGTGGTCCAACCCGACCCCGCTCGTCTACCCGACGTGCACGGGTGGGTCCCAGGCCGCGCTGATTGTGCATGCTTCCATCAACATTCTGACTGTCACGTCGGTTTGCCCGTCGCCCAAAGCCACCTGAGAGTTTTGCTGTGATTGTGGGTTTTGAGATGACCGGGGAAAGTGGGGCGACGCAACAGCAGGGGTGCGCGGGGGCCGGTCGAGACGGAAGGGCGCGTATGTTATGGACTTCAACGTGGTGTCTAGTCTTGATGAGATTTCTTTTCGCCCGGGGGCAGTATTGGCGGCGAAAGCAGTATTCGGAATAGCCTAATCTAATAATAATGATAAGATTGCCTAGATTACTAAGGGATCGGTTAGACAAAGGTATATAAGAGCACTCCTTTAAATAATAATCTTAGCTTTTGGAGAGACCTGAACTACGTGTACACAAACCTTGCTAGACATGGAACCAACCGCACACGGTGGCACCTCGTCAGCCATCGCAGCAGGTGGGTCGTTGAGAGTCGCTCATGCCTGTAATGCCAGGCGGCAGCACGACAGGGTTCTCCTCTAGATTAGATGGGCTGCCGCGGGCTTCACAGCAGTGGCACAAGCGCTTTGCTACAAAAGGGGCCATATTGTTTCATCTGGCGCTCCAACCTACGACACAGTTACCCACGGGGCGTCGGGCATGATCATCCATTTAGCCATTGAGATCATGACCAAAGTTCTTGTCGGGACATTATGACACTTTGCATCCCAGAGTCTGAAGAAGGTACCGCTGTCTGAGATTTCCAAGTTCAACGTTGTCAGTCTCGAACGAGCGCCATGCAAAGGGTTAAACCCGATTCAAAACAGCCATTGTTCGATAAAGGGGTGCCCGAAGGATACACACAGTCCCATGCGTTTCTGCCAAGCGAAAGACACATTCTGTGGCTGAGCTCGACAACGCTATTTCTGTCTCGTTCTGCCTTTCTTGGAATTCGAGAGGGTTCCAACACATCATAAGCGGGAGCACGCCCCTATCACTTCCTCCCTGCAGTCCGCAATTGCACTACAATATGAGCACACGCGGTATACGGAACAGAGCCCCGGGGGCTGAACTATCTCTGGATGCATTTGCGGCTGGCTTGCGTATTTACATGTCTACCCAATGAAGGGTCTGGGTTATCTTGTCTCCTCTGCATGACGGGCCATATGTAGCATTCAAGGTTGGGGAAATGTTGAGTCCAATGGCCGAATTCGAAATTTCTTAACAGACAATAACATTGAAAGGCAGACGGCTCTAGAGAATGAGCCGTATTATTGTGCCAAGGTCTCTATTAAGAATCGATCACCCGACTTTTGTCCGCGGCTTCGTTGAGCGTCGCTTGGCTATCAGTGCTGGCGATCTTTCCACAGGTTACTTTGGTGCTGGCCAGTGGCCGGCTGTCACGTAAGACTGCTTTCATGAACAAGATATTACGCCCCTATGGCCGGGAGAGCCTATTCATACTGGTCTGACTGCCTGGATGCGTACCAGGCGCTTGGTATATTAGTCCAGCAGTTAGATTGTAACTATATAACACTTTCGGCGACCAAGTCGATAATATTTAATAGCGACAGTCCGGTTTGCATTGTATAATAATAAATTGTCCCGAGAAACTCTTGAATTGCCAGTACCGGTATACTTCCTCACCGTCTCTTGGAGGGTGGTGAAGTTCACCACACGGCTCGGAGACGCCAACAGATCCCTTGAACCGGGAGGCGCGAGACTGAGACCTGGGTTTATCGCCCCCGAGCCACGGTCCGTGGTCTCGAGATGGCAGTGCCCGTACGAATCATCGCGGAAAACAAACTTGCCTCGGTTGACAGAGAAGGAGTACTGCGATGCGGCGTACGTCACGCCGCCGTCGTTGCTGTGGGTGATGATGTTGTTTGAGCTCGGGCTAGACCCAAAGGGCAGCACTTTTCCGGAGCGCTTTTCTTGTGAGAATGGTCCTTCGCGGCGGAGGGTGACGTGATGAGATTTCTGATTGGTTTCCTTGTCGACGACGACGACGACAATGTCTTTGTTGGCGAGATCTTCAAATATCGTCTTCGCCGCCACATTGATGGGCACGAGTTTAATAACGTTTGGATTATTAACCAAGGCAGCCTTGGGCAAGTTAGGGGAAGGGATAGGCTCCTCATGAACAGTCATTGAAGGTATGCTTGCGTGTTCAATCTGGAAAGCGGTCCTGGGTAACTGGTAGGTGGGCTTACTATCTAGCAGTAGCAAGGGGGGAAATATTGAGGAGCTGGGCAATTGTCGATAGCACATGTTCAAGTTGAGATAAGATGGGAATCGAAGTCGCCAAATCACGTCAATCCATGGCAGATTTTATATGGCAAAACAGACCCGCACGAGTGCGTAGCCATTCGACCTGTTCCAACGGTCTCGGATGCCGTATAGAAAACGTATAGAGGGACAGACCCAAGTTGGTTCGAGACGCCGTGACGACGCAGACAATCTGACAATGCAGCTGATTCAGGGCCGTGGTGTTGGTTGCGCTTTTGATCTGGCATCCCAAACGAAAGGCCCCGCCATGGATGGTGGTCACTAATTAATTAGGGCTCAAGGGGTCTCAATCAGTAGTAGTCAGACCACGCCGTTGCGGTCAGCCAGGCTCAGTCAGCCACGCATGGCTCAGTCATGCCACGTCCCTCGCCTGGCGGAACCCTTCCTCTGGGCCAAAGAGAGATCGCGGCTGACATGGGGCTAAGCCATGAAGAGTTCTAGTGCGCCTCCGCATTGCCGCACGCCACCAACGGGCTTCAACCGCGTTTTATTCTCTTTTTGGCACGGTTTTTCTAAGCGGCTTCACCTTCGGGGTGCTCCGCGAAGGTCCTAAAACAAGCTTTTGTTGTCGAGCCAACCAATCGATTTGTTGCTGTTCTTGGCCGTGACCCTTTTCCCCACAAAAGGAGAACCGGCATACATCTCAAACCGGCAGACATCACAAAAAAGGGGCAAAATATAGAACAAGAATTATATTCCTCCTTATAAAGGAAACTCTATCTGTTTAACTGAGGCCGAAAATTGTACCAGCACTCGCATCTATTCTAAGTAGATTACCGGTCGGTCACCATCGCCACCTTTTACGGATCTGATCTCGTCTGGAGCGTGATAATGGAACATTAATCTAGAATCTCAGGAACCGCTGTAATCAAAAATGATATGACATGGGTGCAAAATAGACCAGCTATGTTTGTGCTAACCCCAACCAAGTCCGTCGTAACCTCAGTGCTTCCCAGTCACAGAGCGCGGTTAATCTACCCAAGAAAACGCCACACGCCCCAAGAAGCAACGAGTGCAAACTACAGCCGCCCCAACTAACAAAATATGGCGTTTTCTAGCTATTACATGTCGATGCCCCCTTCTTTTTTTCTTTTCTTTCTCTCGTCAACCCGAGTGCCCGCTCTCTATGTGGATACGAAAAGCGCACATCTTCATCCGAAGACCGTGTTTAATTGGCTTGAGTTCTTCTCCGGCTTGTCTAGGTAATTGGTGCAGCCACATCTCTTCTTCCTAATAGATCAGTCCCACTCCACGAGGAAAATGGCTGCCGGGACTCCGAACTTGATATAAAGTTGTGGAATTTGCCCTTTGGTAGTATATGTGTTTTCTGTGTGTGTTATATAATCGCTTTGGAGGTCGAGTCTCCCGATTCCGTCAACTGACAACTCGGAAGATTTGGCAGTCGAATCATCACAGAGGACGAAGCTAGGTCCGTCGATGTGAATGGAGCACTGGTTCGGTGCGAATTTCACCTGCAAGGGTTTTTTCGGGAGATTGAAGAAATCGGCCGTGACCTCAGCAGGCTTGTTAGTTGTCGGAGGAGGAGGGCCAGCGGGGCGCGATGCACTGGCATTTGCATTCCGGGCTCGGGCCTCGGCTTGCTTCTTCTTCTCCGATTCATATTTTTCATATTCCTGGGTAGCGTTGGCGACCTCTGCGACACTGAGAAGGATGATATCGTTTGAGGGATCGGACCCAAAGGACAGCAGCTTTCCCGGCTTCTTGGATTTCAAGGACGGGGTGACAGGGATATTCCTTCCAGCCACGGGAGAAACCCTTACGTGTTTATCATTACGTTTATCGTTGCATATTTCTCTCGCCGCAGTACTTAGTGGAAGGAGCCTGAAGGAACCTGACAGCTTTTGGGAGGCCGAGGTCGACCCTGTCTGATGAATTTGAATGTTGTCGTGGGAAGCCATGTGAGTAGCAAAGCGAATGCGCTGAAGGAAAACGTGTCTTTGACTCTCGGGCGGTACGGGAAATGTTGACTAGGTAGTTAAATAATTACCAGGCGTAAATGAGCAGGGCAGTTAAACGAAGAATAAAGTGATTGCCAAGAGAGCTGGGCAAGGTATGGATCCTGGGATTGATGTGGTGCAGCTTGCCGGGCGGGTCAAGGTTTATATAGGTACCTACCTGCAGCAGGAGGTTGACACAAGGACAATACGGTACCTAGTCACCTCCACCTAATCTATCTATCTATTTTGGAACTTCGTATCAGCGTTTGGATCATGTCGGACATCTCGCCAGGCCCAGATAGCCCATGGGCCAGCAGCCGTGAAAGAAACCAGCAGCCCAGGGCGGCACAGGCAGTTTCAAACCGGGCCAGGCGCGGATGTGACGGTGTATGCACGCACACAGTTAACAGCCGAATACGTGTAGCGGACAGGTTTTGATTGGAAGAAAAATGCTACAGAACTGTGGGACATCTCTTTCGCTTCGAATGGAACCTTGGGGGCGTGAAATCCCTGCTGACGGGAAACGGCGGGACACTGCCACCGCGTACCGTGCCGTTAGGTACGTGCCACCCGTTTGATGCAACCCGTTGGTTGGCCACCCTTTCCGCGGTTTCTTTTGACTCAAAACACGAGGGAATCCGCGCTTGGCGTGCCAAAACGTACCCGCGGAAATTCGGCACTGAGAGCGGCAAAGATGGGTTGAATTTTGGCCAAAATAATAATACCACCCTGACAGCCTCAGACATGCACAATTAAAAGAACGAGGCACATGCCACGTAATAGGAGTTATCTTGTCAGTTGTTTGAAGGTAGAAAGTAATTTCGGTCAAACGCACCAATCAATTAGAGACCTGAGGGTTTTGCCGTGAAACATCAAAACTGTTGGAATAGCGATGTTGGTGACCGTACTCTGCGCTGGAAGGGAGGCGGTGCGATGCACGTGCTTGCAAGCACGTGCGCCGCACGGCCCTCGCACGGCCACGTACAAAGCCAAGAACCCCCACCATAGATTTCTAGAACAGAACATGAATCAGAACAACTTTACACCCCCCCCCCCCCCCCCGGTAGTACTACCACTTTTTGACCCGTTGGAACACCTACGTGGTTGGAATACCACGAACACTGATCAGTGAGTGGTAACACTCACAGATAAGCTACGTGAAGAGACGAAATCGTACTATCGGCGCGATCGCACTGAACTTTCGAGGGAAGTGCGACCCGCGTGCGAGAATCTCTCGTGCTATCGCCTAGACGACTGTTTCCTACGAACTTTCGAGGGAGTAAGGAAGCTTCATCTAGAAGAATTAAGGAACCAATCGTACTAAACGCGAATGTTGACGACCGCTGGAAATCGGGAAGGCGATCGTAAGCATCACGGCTTGGTACAAGAGGAACCCGAATTGCGCGCCACAGTGCATTAACACCGCTATAACCCCACTCAATACCAAAAACCCCGGTCGTACGGCAGCGACCAATCACCACACTTATCGACAGTCATCGATAACTTGAAGACGATGGCGTTAGATAGTGAGGAGGAATCCTACGAGGAGATCTGGGAGAATAGCGGCATCCCCGCGACGGTTTGGAAGAGCAATGTTGACTTCAACCTGTGGGATTCTGAAACGCCACCAAACCTCACGAACCCATTTCGGGAGAAGGAGGCAACAACGTACTTCGCACAGAGTATGATGGAGTTTATCTGGTTCAATACGAGCCCAGATGGAATCCGCGCGGCTTTCCGCGAAGATTTCAAAGGCTGGACAGTCGCACAATTCAACGAAGTCAATCGTACGTTCAAGAAGCGAATGCTTACCATCTTGGAGCAGAAGAACGTACAAGTCCCGGAAGGAACGGCCTCAGAGAAGTTCGCCAATCTCGTGACGACCGCACAGCCAATAGAGATGTCGCACAACACCCATCAACCATCTCCGACACCCACCCTACAGCTCAAGACAGGAGGAATACCACTCCTAACGAACCCACCGGGTACGACGACTTCTCCATCTCCAAATTCGTACCAGAACCCGAACCCGCTGTACGGAACCCCCTACATCCAGTACCAGAATATCCCACCGACGCGGATCATATATAACGGCCCAGTCGATAGCAGGAAAGTATCGGCGTTTGTGAAGGCATGGAAGCCCGCACGGAACTACACAGGACGTCCGTACGACATCTTGTACGATAAGGTCAAGCACTTCGTTAGTATTTGCCGGAGGCACGAGATCCCGGAGGATATGTATCACGCAGTATTCCCCGAGATCTTGTCTGACCGTGCGGAGACGTACTATATGAACCATATTGGGCCTGATAAGAGGTGGGACGAGATCTATCAACTGCTGGACTCGTACTTCAATACTACGGTGAACCACGCCGAGTATTACTCGGACTGGACTACCCTCAGCTTCGCACGATTGCGTAAGGAGAGCCCAGAGGCACCAGCGAAGGAGATGCTCGAGAAGATGCTCGATAAGCTCCAGCTCGTGCAGCGTGCCCTAGGCGAGGGATACCAGGGCGAGATCGCACTGCATACCGCAGTCACACGAGCCTGCACAGGAGTCGCAGAGTTTGAACCAGCACTACTGGGCCAGAGGACATCGTGCGAGTCACTATTTGACAAGCTGAGAACAGCCCTGAAGATTGCAGAGGACCGCAAGGTTTCGCGACAATTCCATACCGAGACGTACGACCAGAACTTTGTCGACCGGCGATATCATTCCAATCGCACAAACGACAAGCCACAATTTCCCAAGCGTCAATTTCAACGACGCGATCCTTCATATCGCCCTCGTGCGAGATTCGGGAATACAAGAGACAAGAAGTGCTTCATCTGCAAGAAAGAAGGCTGTTGGTCAACCAACCACTCAAGGGAGGAACGAGAGAAGTCTCGAAGGCAATACCTCCAGGCGTGCGAAACATTGGAGAGCCAAAAGGACTTTGAACAATTCCTGGCAGGTTTTGAAGGTACGCCACCAGAGGAGGAGGAGAGTGACGATGAGGAGTCCGGATATGAGGGCGAGGAGGAAGACCAAGGACAAGCCGCACAATTCCTCCAAGAGAAAGCATATATTCATCGCACATTCGGCGAGAATATCTACCAAGAATGCGAGGAGAAACCGGCGGAACAGTTCGTACTAGAGAATCAGTATACGACAATGTACCAGGGCGAGCTCTGGGATACTGGAGCTGCACAAGTATCTACCGTCGGAAAGTGCCAAGTCGAGGCATATCTGAGAGAGAACCCTTGTGCGAAGATCTCTTGGACACCAGGAACCGCCGAAATCCGATTCGGAGGCGGAAAAGTCAACACCTCTATAGGCACGATGCTTATGGAGAACGCTATCGGGAAGGTCACGTACCACATCTTGAATACGGCGACGCCATTTTTGCTTAGTCTGCGCGACGCGGATAGACTTAAAGCATACTTCAACAACGTTGAGGACGTCATCGTACGAGAGGATGGAACCACTATCCCCGTTATCCGAAAATGGGGACATCCTTTCTTCAATACGAGTCGTGCGGAAGCAGGAGTCTACCTGACTGAGCCAGAACTGAGGAGACTCCACCGGCGTTTTGGACATCCTTGTACCGAGAGACTTCACAAGCTCTTGAAGAAAGCCGGGCACGAGGATGTAAAAGAGGAGATCCTCCAAGAAATCCAGAAAGTCTGCCATCACTGCCAGACGCACGACCCAGCTCCACAGCGATTCAAGTTCACGATCAAGGACGAGTGCGAATTCAACTATGAGGTCGTCATCGATATCGTACAGCTCAATGGAAGGAAGGCGCTACACGTTATCGATGTGGCGACATCATTTCAGGCAGCAACGTTCCTACGATCAATGTCAGCGAACGATGCATGGGACGCACTATGTCGCTGTTGGATCTTTGTATACCAAGGGCCCCCAGATGTGATATCGCACGACCCAGGAACGAACTTCGCATCTGAGGAGTTCAGGAACAACGCCAAGATTATGGGAGTCTCGTGCAAAGAGATGCCGATTGAGGCACACTGGGCTATCGGTAAGGTAGAGAGAGCACACCGCCCATTAGAACGGGCGTACGATATCCTCCACCAGGAGTTGAGTCATCGCACAGACGACGAGACGATCCTCCAGATGGCAGTTAAGGCTCTTAACGATACGGCTGGCCCAGACGGGCTCGTACCAACACTCTTGGTATTTGGAGCGTACCCCAGGATCAATCACGACTCGCCACCGTCACCCGAGATTAGAGAGAGAGCGCGAGCAGTGCAGAAAGCAATGAAGATGTTGCGCGAGATCCGCGCACAAGTTAGCGTTAATCGTGCGCTCAATACTCGGAACGGACCAACGACAAATGGAGTCCTCGCACTACCCTTGAGGAGCGAGGTGCTTGTCTGGCGAGAAGGGAAGGACAAGAGGTGGGAAGGACCATACCCCATTATCGCCAAGGACTACGCCAATGTTACCGTCGAAATGCAGAGCGGCCCAAAGACGTTCAGAATAACCCAGGTCAAGCCGTACTATCAAGATAAAGATAGGGAAGAGCAGGGACAAGGAGAAATCATCTCGCACGAGAAAGACCAGGTATTGAAAGAACCTGTTCCCATCGTGCAAAAGAGGGGACGGGGACGACCAAGAAAGAACCCAATCCCAGCTCAAGGCACGACTCTTGTTACTCAGAAGGAAGTCGACGCACTTGCACTGGCTATCCAACTCCGCGAAGAAGGAAAGATCACTATACCCGGGCTACCATTTGAGGAATCGGACGCCCAGGAGATTGATGGACTGCTGGTCTCGCACGTTATTGAGGTCATCCGCTTTAATGAGAAGAAGCATGGCAAGCTAAGACTCTGGAAGACCCGACTCGTGCGAGAGATAAAGGGAAAGGATTCTATCCCCTATGAGAAGTCCAGGTTGATCGTGCAAGGCCATAGCGACGAGGATAAAAAGGAGATCTTGACCCAGGCTCCGACGATCCAGAGAATGAGCCAGAGACTGATCCTCGCACTAGGCCCATCGCTAGAAGAGCGAATTGGTGCAAAGACTGAACTGAGAGATATTACGCAAGCCTATACCCAATCGACAGATCCTCTTCATCGCACAATCATCGCACAGCTCCCGAAGGAACTCAAGGACAAGTATCCGAAAGGTACGGTCCTATGGATCAAGAAGCCCCTATATGGACTCGCAGAGGCCGGAGTCCATTGGTTCAAGACGTACAACAAGCACCATATCGAGGCATTGGAGATGCAAACTTCAACGTACGACCCTTGTCTGTTAGTTACCAAAAACGGACAAGAGACCTTCGGAATCACAGGCATGCAGACAGACGATACGCTCATACTAGCCACCCCCCAATTTTCGGAAAAAGAGGAGGTCAAGCTCAAAGAAGCAGGACTGATGGCGAAGCCAAAGAAGTTCCTGACGCACGACTCTCCTATCGAGTTCAACGGATGTCGCCTCCAACTCCAGGGAAAAGACATCTTAATCGCACAGAAAGGGCAGGCCAAGCAACTCAACCTAATCGACCAGGAAAAAGAAGATGCACCCCAACAATATGTATCTCAACGTGCGAGAGGTGCATATATCGCAAGCATTTGCCAGCCAGAGGCAGCGTACGACCTATCTATCGCAGCTCAGGTGAAGGAACCAGAGAAGGGAGACCACGATAGCCTGAATAAGAGGATCCAGTGGCAGATCGATAACCCGGAGCGAGGACTTCGCTATCAACCACTGGATCTTGATCGTGCGAAGCTATTCATCTTTACTGATGGATCTTTCGCGAATAACAAGGACATGTCATCACAGCTCGGATTCCTAATCGTACTAGGAACGGAGGACGACCGTACGGATAAGTCATTCCAGCTCTGCGGCAATATCGTACACTGGTCCTCAACCAAGTGCAAGAGGATTACTATGAGCGTGCTGGCAAGCGAGCTCTACGGCATGGTGAACGGATTCGATAGCGGAATTGCTATTAGTACGACACTCACCAAGATTACAAACGTCCTCGGGATCGCACGAATCCCAGTGGTAATCTGTACAGACTCGAGGTCACTGTACGATTGCCTAGTGAAGCTGGGAACTACGAGTGAGAAGAGACTAATGATAGACATTATGTCCCTCCGCGAAGCGTATGAACGCCGGGAGATCTCAGAAATCCGTTGGATTGATGGACAAGACAACCCACCCGATGCACTCACTAAGAAGAACCCCAACCAAGCATTGACAAAGCTGGTAGACGACGGAAAGGTCATCGTACGAATCGAGGCGTTCGTCGATAGACTGGACAAGACGAACTGAGGAGGAGCGGAAAGGCTCATATCTACTCCTCAAGCAGAAAAGGGTTCAGACGCGAGCCCGAACTAGAGGGAGGAAGAACACGCTGGCTAGGACCAGCGCGAGGAGAACCACCGGCTGAACTACCGCCCGAATCCCAGGCGGACATTGAGCCCTCGTTGGAATGAGAGCAGCGAGATCCGTGCGACTGCCAGACGCACTCGGCATAGGCGCCGCCTTGGAATGAGGGGATGCGTACGCAATGCCGGAACTTGGGAGACGCGTTTGGATTGCCGCACTTCTCCGGGCACGGGCGCACGGAGCGCACGAAAGTACGACTCCCGGCGGATGATGCGGGCGAAGAGAAAATGGACCGACGCACGATCGGCAGCCAGGACGCGGACCTCAACGTCAACCGAGGGCATGGCGACGACGCGGCGCTCATCGTCCTAAGGTTAATCAGCCACTCGTACGACAAAAAGAAAGACTCTCGAGGGTATTCACATTGACACAGAGGCTCGCAAGAAAACGGCGGTTATCCTCAGAACCGGTCGGAATAAGCAGGAAGAGATCGCCAGTACTATTCGTACGAGAGCTGATGGTACCAAGAGGTGTAGGCGGCAGGCCGCCGCCGCCAGGCACGAGAGACATTGTGCCTGTATGTGCATGTGTGTGAAGAGCGTACGAAGAAGGAGAAGAAGGGAAGAAGGAGGGCGAGAAGGCCAGCTTCACACCTAGACTGGGTGCCTCGAAAGCGCACTCTTGGACCCTCCGCTCCTTCCGCACGATCCCCGATCCCGGGCATATCGTCGTACGAGACCCCGGATCGGCACTAGCAGGCAAACAAGTTATCAGACAAAACGTGCGAGGAGGTCGGGACTCATTGCACGATACTAGCAAACAGCATATTCAGACGAGATAGTACGATCTGTTCATCCAACCACGTGGGAAGTCACAGCGAAGGCAGGATAGGGAGAGGGATCGTACGGTCACAAAAGAAGAGTTGCCAGTGTTGGAATAGCGATGTTGGTGACCGTACTCTGCGCTGGAAGGGAGGCGGTGCGATGCACGTGCGCCGCACGGCCCTCGCACGGCCACGTACAAAGCCAAGAACCCTCACCATAGATTTCTAGAACAGAACATGAATCAGAACAACTTTACACCCCCCCCCCCCCCCGGTAGTACTACCACTTTTTGACCCGTTGGAACACCTACGTGGTTGGAATACCACGAACAAAAAACCTTATATACCTTCCCAAGTAAGTGCCCAAGTAAGTAAGTGCAGCTTCAATTTGACTAATCAAAGATTCCATTCACTAATAATAACTTTCCATTGTAGGTACCTATCCTCTTCAACTGTGCAAGCTATCTCTAGTCTAATTAGCCCCGCCCAGAGCCCAACTCTGTTGATGCACCGTTAACCATTATCCAAAGCAACGAAAGAACACCCTTTTTTCCCCGACACTGTTTACTACGTGCACCGAGGAATGGCCCTTGGACAGATCGCGCAAGACGAAGCCGTCGCCCCTGAGGCCAATGGTGCACTAGTGCTCGGCGTACTTCACCCTGACTGTATCTGGATAGACTGTGGTTACCGTGCCGGGGGGGAAACTCTCCATGGCAGCTGCAGAGGGAATTCCCACCCCGGCCGTGGGCGGGGCTCCGGCTGACAGCGTTGTCGACCGAGGAGGGGGAGGCAGATTGCAGCCCGGCGGAGCAGCACTTCTGTACTGGGCCGAAGAGTTCGGATTCGGTTGATGGCCCGCGTGGGCCTCGGCGGCCTCCTCGGCGGCCTCGCCGGGACCGGCAAGGTGGATGTCGTTTGAGACGCCGAATCCAAAGGACAGCGGCTTCCCATTGTTCTGGGGGTCGACACGAATCTACCTGGTGCTCTTGCCATCGAGGGCTACGTGGCTGGATATGTGGAATCTATTGCGCATGCCGTCGAAGACTTTTTGTGCCGTTTCAGACCTTTTACAATAGAGTCTAATGGAATGCGGCGCCGGCGGGGCAGCTCTCCCCGAGGTCGGCGCTACCACCGGAGGCACGCTAACCTTGGCGTTGGAAGCCATGTGGGAAATCAGTACCGATTACGAATGAGGAAATCTTTTGAGCGGTGCGGGAAGTGTGAACTGAAGACCTAGAATAGACTTGAGCGGGGAAATCAGAGAGGAACAAAGAGCCTGTCGAGAGTGCTGGGTAATGGCATGGATACTGGAATTGATATATAGAAGACTACAAGGAGGGTTTTATATAAGTAGCAGAAAGCTCGCTCAGAGTGGTGGTAATGCGTCACCACCTGCGGCGCGCGGCGTGGTTCGGAATTCGTTGGGGGCTATGTTCGGTTGGCCATGCCGAAGAAAGGATAGTCTGAGGCTCTGAGTGGCACAAGTCACAAGTGATCTCGTCCAATCTCGGCCGGGTGTCAAACAACTCGTCGGTCCACCATCCTGGGAGATGGCAGCCGGGACTGCACAGGTAGTTTCAAACCGGGGTGTGCGTTGGAGGCTGGCTATACATTACCCGCTCACGGCATTTCACATTCCACAGCCACAGAGCAGTGGGGTGTTCTTTTTCGTCTTGAGCCAATACCTTGATCTTATGAGGAGGGTCTCTGCTGAGTGGACACGGCTGGTTTCAAGTCGACTTTGGAGTCGTAACGGCGACACCACTCCACCAGACACCGCCAGCTGGTGTAGCTCGTTGGTAGGCCGCTTTTCCTTTTTTTTTGTCCCAAAAAAAGAGAGAAGCCACTCTTATAGCGTGCCAAGAAGGGCCCACGTGGTGTTGAGATTCGGCACTAAGAGAGGCAAAGTAGGCATAGCCTCATCGAGAACACGAGGTGGGGCATTATCTTAGCACTGGATAACCTCTCTTTTGGAAACCGAATTCTTCTTGAGAAATGCTACCAATCATGCCTGCCTATTGGTCTAAACTCACATCCTGGCGTCTCCCCTTTCTGGGGCTGTACCGAGCTGGCCGCTGCCCGAGTGAGATCAATTGCAAAGCCACGCTTCTAGGTCATTGCCCGTTGATGTTTTATAGATAACTGGCCGGACCGGTAGGTAGCCGGGCAGCTAATGACTTCCTTCGGTGCACTCTTGTTCGAGTAATAACATAATGAGAAGCAATTGTCAACCAACTACCACAGTTGGGTCTATTCTACCAGGGCTTTACAGGATCCCAAACTTGAGTCATTCACAAAGCTTACCAAGTTAAAGTCTTTCGTATCTTGAATTGCAAACATCACCAGCAACAAAAGATAGGACAAAAAGAGCAAAAAAACATACAACACCAGGGATTCGCTGGTGGTCACCCACCCAACTACTAGTCTGGCGGTTAGAATCCTTATCTCTGGGGCTCAAAGCGGCCGAAAATGAGGGTATATAGGAGTCGAAAATGGGCTCTGAGAGTGCACCGAATAAAAATGCGGCATCTTATCTCTTATCTTAATTAAACGAATTCCGTATCAAGCTTAGCTTATAGAATGCCGTTTTTAGAAACGCTTGCTACTCCGTCTCGCACAGACGCGTAAACGGAATGCACCCAATTAAATAGCCGTACGGAGGCTTTTGTAACCGATATTTACCTGAATCTGCTACTACCAGAAAACCCGAGAGGAATCTCCACCTCTTTGGCGGCACTAAGTGCTTGTCGTATGCGTCATTGCGCGAAACTGGGAGAATTGGAGCAGACGTCTTTGTGCCATGTTCCCTTCTTCGGTGCTGAGAATGGGCGTCGATCCCGAAGAAGAGTCGCACGGATAGAGTCGAAAATCGATGTTTATTCCAAGAGAGAATCAATAATCTAGTGATTACCTCACACTCGATTACACCCGCCCCCATTTCTGCAAGTAGATAACAAAGTCTTGCACGTGATCCTGATTTAGAGCGCATTGAATTGTCTGTCTAGATCCTTCTAAAATATAGGTAAAAGGGCATCCTTTTATAGCCTTGAATACCGCTGTAATCCTCCACGGAGCTCCGTATACAGGGCGACATTTAGTCAAGAGAGGTAGATACCTCAGTTGTTTTATTATCCTTCTGAAGCTCGTTAATCACCTCTATCTTACTCCTCAATCTAGTTAGCCTTTCTGGGCTTTCGTGCTTGCTGGCAATCTTCAGAAAAACATCCGTGTGTTCTAATTTCCAAGTGTTTAATTGAGACCCGTTCTTATACGTATGGATCTCGACTTCGGTTATGAAACGGGTGTGTGTGTTTCCATTTACCGTCCTGGGGGTGAGGGGAGCCTGAGCTCCCGCCCTACCCGTAAGCTCTTGACTTGTGGGGACGCGCTATGAGAGGGCCTATATACATAATACTGCCTATATAGCGAACCTTGCAATACCTTAGCTATTTGGCGGAGTGAGACCGCGCTTCAAACCGCTACCCCCACCTGTCGGGCCGTGGAGGCTTGCAGCAGTGTCCTTGGGCGAGTGCCCCTGGTCGTTTCTGGCTGGTATAATGCCTGATATCGTACCGGCTGCCCCGGTCTTTTGTGGTTGGTTGATATCCAGAGGTAGGCCCCATATCGCCCTGCCCTACGGACTGAGCAGGTCCAGGCTACTGTATGGTTGTACTACGCGTCATTCTCTTCTGGCGGGGCAATGTCATGGAAGAAGCCGGTCACGTGTAGGAAGTCCTGAAACGCGCTGGGGTTTTCCATAAGTTCCGCTAGATACCTTTTCTTTTCCCGGGCCGTATACGGCCTCCTCCGGGGCCTCCCTTCGTTAGGCCAGGGCCATTTCGTAAACTGGCTTAGCGATTTGGGGCAAAACACAATGTGTTCCGGGGTCTTTTCGCCATTACACCAGCGACACGCCATTTCGCAGTCTTCTTCGGCATGCTTGAATTTCCGGTGATACCAGGTAAAGTCGCCATGACCCGTACGGACCGCCAAGAAGCGGTGCAGGGTTCTTCGGGGGAGTATCTCGAGTTCGGGGGGGCACCTGAGTCGGTACCCGAGTTTGAACGACCTGTATCGCTGTGAGCACCGGTCTTTGACCTTTGCCCATTCTTCGGCGACCCCCGCTAGCGTAGGTTGGGTGTCTTCGTCGACCAGGGCAGTCGTTCCCCGCTTGGCCTGAGTATCGGCGATTTCGTTTCCAGGGATGTCCATATGTCCCGGGACCCATTTGACCGTAACCCCTCCGGGGTGGGCCGGTGGAATGCCAAGAAGTGCTTCTGTGAGGTCTTCGAGGCATTTCCCCGTAGACACCTAATGGCCGCTGTATTGTCGCACGTTGTACTTAGGAGTCATGGAAGGATACTTTCATCCGAAGACGGATTTACTGTTTTGCTGTATCTGACAGCGCAAGCGCACGAATTTCGGCGACCATGGAGATGGGCCGCCCTTTAACTGTACTATAACTACTAATAATTTTGCTCTCTACAGTACAAGCGTGTTCTTATTCAGAGCATAATTAACAGTAAGCTACTGTAGCCCGCGCGGTGCGTCGCATTCGATCGAACCTTCCCCGCTTCGAACGACCATAGCAATCCAAAACCGGCAATAATCACCTGCTAACCCACCTGATTACCAGCACAACGTCACGCCATCGCCACCAAGTAAATTCGCCTCCGTCACGTTAGCATTGGGAAGAGAATTAAAGCTGATAATCTTACCTTCTCAAAACGAAGTACTGTACGTACGTCATCCCAACATCGTTAGAAATGCTAGAATTTGTGAGGGCCTGGTCCTCCAGACCTCCCACTAATCAGACGCCAGCCGGGTGGATCCACCCGACTGACCAAAGGAAGCTCGGCCAGAGCCCCACCTTGAGACGCCCTGGAAGAATCTCGCGAGGGGAGGCTTTTGCTTCTTTTCCCTTTTCTCTTTAGTTTAGAATCTTCGTCGATAGCGCCCGAATAGAGGAGTTCCGCCCTCATTCCAAGCCGGCCGTGACACGCAATATCTTATATAACGCAATCAGTGGGACTCTTATGGTTATCGATTTTAAGCGGACAGAGTTACGCGGTCGCCAACCTCTTAGTTGATCAGCCCAAACGGCCTCACCACATGCTCACTTCACTTCTCATCCTTTCTGAGTGTTGGTCCTATCGTTTGCATCTACTCGTCTCGTGGTACGGCTGGATCCACGCCGGTTTTCTAGTACGCTTTGAGTCTACTCCTTGTACAACTAATCATAATGCCAAATATGCGGCGTTCGGCGATGGATACCCCAAAGGCACAAGCCACACGGCTAAGACGAGATTTTGACGACCTCATCTCCAAGCTGATTGATGATGAGAATACCGCGCGGTCTGACTATGAACGGGAAGTACCCCAACTAGAGCAACAAATCTGCGGAAAGGAGGAGACTATCGAGCGAATATAACGAGAAATTGAAGTCGGCCGAAACCGGATTATCCAGTTGCGGGATACCTTACGGGCCGCCACCGAGGATAGACGCGAAGTGGGGGCTATTTTTGGTCGTCGGAGTAAGAGCAAGGTAGGTCTGCACAAGAAATTCATTTGTCTAAGGAAGTAGTACTCTTATTCCTCCGTTTCCTACGAGCTGAAAAGATGCTTACCTGTGAGTGCGACGCCAGAGCCCTCCAAGCACGGCACCAACAAACATTCTCACCAGCAACGCGGAAGTCGGGACCGCTACGGCGCAACCCCAGGAGCAGACTGCTGAAGATATTCACTCAAGCAGCTCGACGGAGCGACCAACCACACAGCCGCCGGCCGCCGGACGGACAACCACGCGATCGAGTCGCCCTCTGCGCGAGTCGGCCAGGACGCGTCAAGTTCGCGAACCGCCGGCAGTCCAACCAGCACGTAGAAGAGGTAAAGTAAGCCATCCTGTCCAAATCAACTTATCTTGTGCTAAAATAAAATCAGAGAAAGCGGGAGGCCGAAGGCCTGTCTGAAGCAGAGCGAGGCGGATTAAGACGTAGAAGAGGTACTCCTATCAGCCAGAATAGGGACTAGAGGAAAAGACGGCATCAGCCCGGCACCATCCAGTTTAGCGAGATCTTTCAGGGGGGAGGCGCTAAGTACAAGCATCTGATCGTCGAGCATCCAGGGGAACCCGGGACCTAGTTCATCCTATTGTGCGACGACCATAGCGCCCACTTTGGTCAGAAGCCTATTCTCGGGGCCATAAACCATCTCAGAAGCAAAGATCACGGTTGGCTTATCTTGGACGCGTCGGACGCAATTGAAAAGTTAGGCATCCGCGTACTCAACTGCAATGTAGCGAGGGCTGAGCGGAACAATAATGCCTTTGTGACTGCGCTGAAGAGTGGATACAAGGTCCTCGAAGGGAGGTCTCCCGATGATCCGGGAGACGTCCTACATTCCGCCACGACAACGGAATACCGGGATGATAACAACCGCGAGGAGAGCGAGCCCACTGCGCGGTGTGTTCAGCCGAGGGTAACACAAATTGACGGAATCTCTGACCCTGTGGTTAGCGAGCTGCATCTTGCATACTGGCGGGGCGCATCGCCCGGCTGGTACGCCGCCGTTGTACTAACTCTCGGCAGCTTCGAAGCTCTAGGGATTTCGGGGACCATTTCCAATACCAGTTTCACCAAAAGCCACATCCCAGTTTGTTTCAAGTCAGATCAAAAGACTCGCACTATCTCTGGGTGGGCAGAGGGCTATGAAGATGGCGTGGCTAAGGTTACTATGCGAAAATTCCCTGTTATGTACTTTGGTGACGACCAGGTGATACCGATGGAAGGTCTCCTAGTTCCTCCTCGGGGATTCTCAGACGCAGAAGTCCTCAGGTGCGTCATTCTACGGCTGTAACATGCTCGATTTTGTGCTGATACTAACGACTCAGCAATCACTAGCTGTTCGTGGTACTTTAAGCCTTACCACGTAGGCTTCATCGGGTTCGATCCAGTACGGCTACACCTTGTGGGTTAAAATGCACGTGTTGTATTGGATCTATCTGCTACAAAGAAAATGAGGGTAACCGAAGTTACGGTTACCCGAGCTCGCGTGCCCGAATGGGCACGTGACTCGGCACCTGATCCCGGACCCCTGTCTCTTGGGTGCGGTTGTCACCAACACCGTGGTTCCAACACTAGCCAATAACACCAACCACATAGAGGGCACATTATCGAACGGGACTCCCCCGGCCGAGTGCGAATCACAGTCGACTGCTTCCGTTCAATCCAGCATCGGATGGGATACAGTCAACAGGAATGCAGCCGATGTATCTGAGGATTCGGGCGACATCTCCAGAGGCCAGAGCAACGACCCATTATAGGACGCCGAGTCCGAACATAATCACGACGGCGGTGTGGGAGATTCAACTACCGAGACAGATCGAGATGATACAACTACGGTTGCTCCAGAGAGTCGCCACCCTGCCGACGAGGAGAATAACCCGCACATTGCGCGCATGGAAGCCAACTTGGATTTCACCTCAGAGTTCCCAATAGCGACAAGCACGGCGGCTTCTTGGCGTTCGACGCCGGCGGAAATCTCTGAGCGGGCGGAAAAGCCGGCCAGCACCTCTCTCGAGGAGCACAATACAATTTCGTTAAAGGCACGGGAGGTATCCCTGACTTTAGCATGTCGTGCAGTGGCTGCTATAAGCCATCGTCAACCAGCCCCTAATACGGAAGCCTCGAGAGCAGACAGTCCTCCTATTCACAGAATTACGACACCAAATGAAAAGCCGTCCTCCGTCGGGCCAACAGCGCGGACAATGGTTTTCGATCCAGTACGGTCATCATCAACGCAATCACAGTCACTACATATACCGCGGGATAACATCCTGAAAAATCACTTCCGACAACCAACCGTACCGGAAGCGGAGGATAATGAAGTACGTACCGCTCAAAGTCTTATCACTATCTCGGACGGCAGCCCGGTCCGCGCCTCTGCAACTCAGCAATTACCTCCGGTATCGTTTGGGTCGAGTTTCCTGGCGACTCAGACTTTCGGTGTCGCAACGCATCCTGCGGGACGGCCAACACTCGCACGACACCAATTCATCGTACTAGCTCCAGCACAAAGGCAGTCATTGGAAAGGGAACCCCCCGCCCCCGGTGGTCGCCCGTTTTCACAAATACCCCCGAGACATAGCCATCCATCTTCCGGTTTTGTGTCTCACTAGACGAGTCCTGGCCTGGGGAGTGCACACGGTAGCCGGCTGCCTCCGGTGTCTCAGGGTTTTGGGTTGCCACGTATGGTATCAGATGGCGACCATATTGGTGAAGACCTAGCTAGCAGCAAGTTTCCTTATCCGGACTGCCATCGACCTTTCAACCGCGAAGTTATCAGGGATAAGCATATCGACACATACCATACATAGCGAGGAGAGAAAGACGGGACGGGAGCAGAAGGTAGCTAGAAATCGGAGAAAACAGAGGCTATTGGTTTACAAGACGGTATTAAGTTAGCGATTCCGTTATCTCGAAACGGGAAGAATCTAATAACGTACTACGTAAACAAAATATTCTCGTAGGTGGGATTTGCTTAGTTAGTAGTTTCCGGCAATTTATAGCAACTATAGATACACATCATAATAAATATTGCTATAGCGTAACGAACCGTCCAAAGCCCTGCTTCCAAGAGGGACTCCTAAGCGTACTAATAACGAGTCGGGGTGATGATTCGATGAACCCGAAAGGTTCACAACAAATGCACGAGGAAGTGTCCACACAGTAGTACGGAGGTTGACGCCAAAACAAATTAACCTCCCCCGGGCTGCAAAGCTTTGGGCGACACATCGTGGTCCACTTAAGCCAGGGTTGGAGTTCTAACGCCATATCGCTAGCCAACCACATCGCCAACCGCATCATCTAGCAGCACCCACACCGCCACACAGACTGACATAACGAGACATAGAGACGTAATAGCGCCGCATAGGCTAGGCTCTATATAGGCCGATTCATAAGTATATAGCTTTATCGTTTAAGGATACGCCTTCTACTTACTCCTATCCGCCAAACCCAAGGCAACTCAGCATGCAAATACCCGGACGGAAAACGATGCTAACACCGTGTTTAACGACTTCCAACATCTTCCTTTGGCGGTTTCGGTGCTCGGTTGGTTCAGCCATAATGCTGATGATTCGGCACTAGGTCCAGGCGGGTGGAAAGCGTAAGTCGGAGTTATAGGGCGAAGTACTGCACTTCCAAATCATCTGCAATTGTCACGGCTGTGGAGCTTGACAATGTTCTATTGGTTGCATTAGTTTGTGCGCGCGCCTGCCACGTGCTCAGCTTTCACCCTCACGTGCGTAGCACCACTACCTATTACCCCGCGCCCTGCGCGCGGCGTCCACAGATAGATTCCTTTTCCTTCTTTAGTTTTGAATCCACATTCGTTACTGCCTTCAACCTTTGACTTCCTCCCTCTGTAAGGCCGCGGCTCGATGTTGGCTAGCTCGCTCGGGTTAACGAGCGTCGGGGCTGGGGCTGGTACTTGCAGCGCGAACACGCCAGGTCGCTGGATCTACATCGGTACATTCTCGCTGAAAGATGACTCCTAGGCCGATGAGACCAGCCCGCGGTGTAGCCGTCGGATTTGGCCTGGGCGAGGACGGTGGCCCGGGGGTCGGCATCCTTCGACCCACATGAACACGAAAGCGGCCATTAGCCAAGACGTGTAGAGGAGGGTCACAAACACGTTTGGTTCGCTAAGAGCGGGTCCGCAACGCGTTGGTGAAACTGAGGTCACAACAAGGCGACATTAGATTCACACCACAGCAAAAGTTGGAAAACGGACTTAAAAAACGGAGTGATGAAAACTGAGCGCGAACGCGTTCCCTACCGTTTCAATCATCAGAAAACGTTACTGCACGTGACCTGAACTTTGCTGAGTCAGCATCTCGACCGAAAATGAAAGTGAAAAACTAGTTCCAGATTCGCGTTCACGGCCTCCCCACAATAGCGACATCTTCTTGTCTTTGTTGTTGTTCAAAGGGGGCTGTTTTTTGTCCCCGGAGCGACCAGTTCTAGACCCTTTTGAGCGGACAGGGAAGATTTAGATGCAAAACGTACGTGTTCAGACACCTAAACGCCAGTCAAGTAGACTCTCCCAACCAGGCACTTTACTAGAAATACCACGACAGATCGGCGGGTGCCTGTTCCGACTCACTTAAAAGGAAGCAAAAAGCCGCACATACCTATCCGACCTATCAGTACGGAACAATCGCTGGCGGAGTCAGACTCCAGAGCCAAACATAGCGACTACGAGCCCCGACGAGCAAGGCACTCGCCGAGAAAAACAAATCCCCGAGATCCCTTGAGCGTAGGTCCTATAGAGATGAGCCAGACTAGTCACTGGAGCGGAAAATACATCGGCACGGCGAGGACGTTGGTTGCGAACGGAGATTGAGAGCCTCGCCTCGAAAACTAGAAATCGGAACCGAACCGTTGGATCTTGATCCGGCACACATCCCGTGGCAGGCGCCATGAAATTTCCAGACAAAACTGCTCTCCCTGGGTATGTACTATAAAAAAAAGAAAGAAAAAAAGAGACCGCTTAAACATCCATCGTCCAACCCGTCCCTCGAAATCCAAACAAACAACCCAGCTCGTGCGTCGATAGAACTGTTGCCCGCCGTCCGGAGTTAATTAACAGCGAACCAAACACCGGCACCGCGGAACAGCAATTGGTTCCACCCGCCCAAACAGGCAGGGGGATGTGCCCACATCATCCCATCATCCCACCATCAACCTACAGCACGCCACAGCACACTGATTGCAGCACGCCACAGCACACTGATTGCAGCACGCCATAGCACACTGATTGCAGCACGATAAAGGCCACAGGACCACTCGGCGCTCTGAAGAGCAAACGGCCCAGGAGCCCTATCTTACCTACCTCCAAAATCGGGCGAGTAAGTAACCTGTTAACATTGAAAGCCATAACAATGGAGGGTGCCTAGGTTAACCAGCATCCCATTTCCAGTTTTGGCGGAAGCCGTTGATTACAAACAAAACGAAACAAGGTAGCGAAAACAGCGACAACGGCGACAACAGCGACAACGGTGACAACGGCGACAACGGCTACAACCGCCACAACCGCCACAACCGCCACAACCGCCACGGCTGGATGATGGCCGATGGCTGGGGCGATTGCGCTGCCGCATCGGCACCGAGACTTGCAGGTACGTTAGCGGCGACACAGAACGTGTTTTATTCCCGGCGTTAGTTTGTCCTGCCGAGTGCGTTACGGCAGCGGAGAGTTTGCTGGCGCCATTTTTGTTTCTCTGCAGGAGAGATAAAGGATGCTTGATTTTCTTCTTGCTTTTCTTCTTGCTTTTCTTCTTGCTTTTCTTCTTGCTTTTCTTCTTGCTTTTCTTCTTGTTTTTCTTCTTCCTTTTCTTCCTTTTCTTCCTTTTCTTCTTGCTTTTCTTCTTGCCTTTCTGCTTGTCTTTCTTCTTGCAAACTCGCTTTTCATTTTCCTCTCAAAACAAATGCCAAGAGCGGGTGGACCGAGAGCGGAGAACCACGCGATCAGTACATCGTCAAGGTCTTTGACTTTTAAAAACCAGTCCCATCAGTTCACATTGCACTACCTACTTGGATGAGCACATTCTGTGGACCTCCCGACCTGACCTGACTAGCGGAACCAATGACGACAGAGACCAAGCCGCCCGACGATGGCGCCACCAAAGTCACACAAACAAGCCAAGACCTCCCGCAACAGCCACAACCCCCCAGCACAGAGGGCTCCGGCTCGGACCCGGACGAGACCCCAGCCCCCGGGACGGGCGCGCTAGTCACGGGCGAGCCGCCGACCGAGGCGCCGGGTGGCGACGACAGCGGGGGCGCGCCCGCGCCCGTCTACTCCATCTACACGACGTGGGAGAAGCGGTGGATCGTGGTTGGCGGGTCGCTCGCGGCCACTTTCTCGCCGCTGACGGCGCAGATCTACCTGCCGGCGCTGACGGTGCTGGCGCGGGACTTTTCCGTCACCGACACGCAGATCAACCTGACCGTCACGACGTACATGATCTTCCAGGCCATCGCGCCCATGTTCATCGGGGGCTTCGCCGACACGGCGGGGCGGCGGCCGGCGTATGCGCTGTGCTTCGTCATCTACATCGCCGCCAACATCGGACTAGCGCGGTGCCAGACGTATGCGCAGCTGTTAGTCGTACGTAGCATCCAGTCGGCCGGGTCGAGCTCGACCGTAGCGCTGTGCCAGGCCATCGTGGCCGACATCACGACGAGCGCCGAGCGCGGCCAGTACATTGGCATCACGGTGCTGCCCATCGTCGTCGGGCCGAGCCTGGGCCCCGTCCTGGGGGGCGTCATCGCCCAGTACCTCGGCTGGCGATGGATATTTTACATGCTGGCCATCGCCGCCGGCGTCACCCTCACCGCCATGGCCTTCTTCTTCCCCGAGACGTGCCGCCACATCGTCGGCGACGGCTCCGTCCGCGCTCACCCCGTGTACCACACCTTCTGGCAGATCATCAAGAACAACTCCCTGCACCGGCGTGGGCGGCGCGCGCAGGCCGCCAGAGACAAGGTCGCGACCGACACCAACCCTCCGGCAACGGCAGATGGCCCGCAGCGCGCAGCGTCCCCGGCGCCGAGCCGCCCGGCACCCGTAAAGTTCAAGTTCACGCCGCCGAACCTGATGGGGTCCATCGTGATGCTGTTCCAGAAGGAGCTCGGCATCCTGCTGGCGTACAACTCCATCGTGTTCGCGGGCTTCTACGCCATTGCGACCGCGCTGCCGAGCCAGCTGTCGGCGCCGCCCTACAACCTGTCCGGCTCGCAGGTCGGGCTCATATACCTACCGGTCGCCGGCGGCAGCATCGGGGCGGCGGCGGTGTGCGGGCCGGCGCTGGGGCGTAACTACGCACGGCACGCGGCACGGCTGGACCCGTCGCTGGCGACGACAAGCGACGGCGGTGGCGGCAAGAAGATCAAGGTCGACCGCAAGCACCAGGCTGACCTGTCACGGTTCCCCATCGAGCGCGCCCGCCTCGAGGTCGGCCTGCCGCTGCTGCTGCTCAGCGCGGCGGTGACGGCCGCCGTGGGCTGGGCGCTGCGGGCGAGCGCGCATCTCGCAGTGCTCTGTGTGCTGCTGTTCCTGCTGGGCGTGGGACTGGTCGGCTTCAACAACACAGTCAACACACTGATCGTGGACGTGTCGCCAGGGCGCGCGGCCGCCGCGGTCGCCGCCAACAACCTGACGCGCTGTCTGGTGGGCGCAGCCGCGAGCGCCGCCATCCTACCCATGATCGACGCCATCGGCGCCGGCTGGGCCTTCACTGTTTTCGGCGCCACGTATGTCGTGTTCGCGCCGGCCATGTGGGTGGTCATGGCCCGCGGGATCCGTTGGCGTACCGAGGTCAAGGAGAAGGAAGAGCGCAAGGCCGAGAAGAAGAAGGCGCTAGACGACGAGAAGAATGGGATTGGTGGGGCCGGAGGAGGGCGGATCGGCGAGGAGAGATGAGGAGGGAGAGCGAGAGACCGATTCGAGAGCGAGAAACCGATTTGAGAGCGAGGAACCGATTTGAGAGCGAGGAACCGATTTGAGAGCGAGAGAGAAACCGATTCGAGAGAGAGCGAGAAGCCAATTCGAGATGTAGCCAAGTTGATAGCAACTACGCGTGTTGACCCCCCTTCTTCAAAGGCCATCGAGGTCAAGTCTTTGTTTCCTCCTTCGGGGGCGTGATTGGTTCCCAAGCCGACGCGACCTCGGCGCGGTCGGCGGGTTTGGCCTTGCCGGCCTTGGGCTTCTCCGGGTTGAGGCGCTTGATGTCGTCGTCGTCGTCCCAGTATTCGTACATGACGCCCGGCAGTATGTCGTGGCACGTCTTGTGCAGGCGAGGCAGGCGCAGCTTGGCGGCGTGCAGATGCCCTACGTCAGTGTCCCAGGGCCCGTCCGAGGTGAGTCCCCCCTCCTGCTCCTCGAGGCGGTACATGAAGCTAAAGATGGCTTGCTGGCTGTCGTTGGTCTTTGAGCGGGCGACGAGGGATTCCTGGGCTTCGCGCAGCATGCGCTGCCACGCCTCGTTCTCGGCCGTGTCGCGGCTGACGGGCATGGTGACCAGGCCGGTGAGGATGTCGATGTAGAGCGTCGTCGACGTGCCGTAGTCGCGCACGATGCCGTTGAACACGCGCACCAGGTACTCGTGGGCCTCGTCCTTGCGCCCCAGCAACATGCACAGGAAGCCCCTGTTGAACAGGCTGTCGCCCTCGACGCGCCGGAACGTCCAGTCCTCGTCCCCGCCCCGGCCGACCCACGCGTCGATGCGGTCCAGCGTCTGCTCGGCCGAGTCGTACTCGGCGTTGGCCATCTGCGCGCTCGACACGTTGACGAGCAGGCGCGCGTGGTGGCTCGTGAGCTGGTGGCCGGGCACGTCCTGGAGCGTGTCGAGCGCCAGCTGCACGATGCGGTTGACCTCGCCGGCGTTGACCGAAGGCCGCAGCCGCAGCACGAGGAGGTACTCGCGCATGGCGCGGATGACGTTGTCGTCTTGCAGGCCGTCGGCGTGGAAGGCCAGCAGGTGGTCGAGCCGCACGCGCGTGGCCGTCTCGAGCACCAGCAGGTACTCGGCGATGGGCAGCGTCTTGATGCGCGACCAGATGCGCGTCATGGGGTGGTGGCGGCCCAGGACCACGGCAAACATGGAGGCGACGAAGCTGCTGACCTGGGCGCCGACGAGAGGCCGCCGCGACGACAGGTAGAAGCAGGCGCGGACCAGGCAAGGGAACATGGTGCTGTCCTCGTCCTTGATGATCTGCTGCACCTCCTCCATGTGGGAGTTGATGAGGCGGACGGAGTCGGCCTCGGAACCCGTCCAGTCCGTCACTGTGCGGAAGCTCGAGGCCCAGTTGTTGAGCCGCGAGTGGGCCCTGGCGCCGCCGGGGCCGAAGAAGCGCTTGTGGGCGGGCCAGAGCTTCCAGGTGCCCTGGTCGTAGGACCCGGCCGTGTAGGTGGCGAAGAGCTGCAGGATCTCCTCGTGCACGCGCACGTCGCGGGCGCCGTCGAGGTTGCCCGGCACGGCGAGGGCGCGCACGGGGTCGGGCGAGGGCGTGCGGCAGACGATACCGTAGTCAGCGTTGCCGACCTCGAGCTCGCCGTCCTGGAACTTGGTGTGCAGGCCCGGGTTGCGGGCAAGGTAGCGCTCGACATCGTCCCAGTCGACGCGGCGGCCACGGATGGTGAACCGCGAGTCCTTATTTACGGCGTCACGCTTCTTCTTGATCCGCACCATCTCCACCACCTCGGCCATCTTGTTGTTCTTATCGAGTTCCCACTTCTTGATGCGGGTGCGGTACATCTTCATGCTGAGCAGGGGGCGCTTGAAGTTAGCAGGCGTGTCTGTCTGTCTGGCTCTGGGTAAGGCCCGAGAAAGGGGGCGGGGGGGAAGAGGGGGAAGAGACGCACGTTGCGAAGAAGCGGTGTCTTTGGGCCATGTAGTCCATGACCCCGCGCAGGGTGCGGTCTTCGTGGAGGTAGAGGCGCGTGATAGTAGCGCGGTGCATGTCCCAGTCGGCCTGGCTGGCGTACATTTCCTGCATGCTGCGCTTGCCGCCTCCCGCCGCTTTGGTGCGGATCGGTTGCGACTGCGACTTGGACTGCGACTCGACGAGCTCCATGATCGCGACAGAGCTGCGGGGCGTGCTGAAGACGTGGTGGGCTGTTGCAGTGTGTAGGTCTACGAAGGGGGTGGGCTGCTGCAGTGTGTAGGTCTACGTAGGGGGGGAGAACAGTGGTCGTTTTCAGCCACTTCTATTTTCGAGTCTAGTCGGAGCCTGGGACTCGAATCCTGTTCTGCATATTCTGTTCCCTGCGAACAGTCGAGTGCTGGAGCGGGAACTTGAGGTGGAGGTCAAGATGCGAGCGAGCAAACAATTGTCAGCAAACCAAGGGGTCGGTTCCATTTGATGTGCTTCGAGGCCAAGATGGATGGATTTCGGTCGCGTGTGACAGAACACCCAGGCAGGCCAATTGGGGCGGGACGCTCTGTCATCAAATACTCCGATCGTCCATTCCTCGTCCGTGGGAATCGTCCAGGGCCAGGGCCAGGGCCAGGGGGCTGCTTCCCGTTTCTTGGTGCTTGCTTGGCTGGGCTGATGGTCCGTCCGCCCGCCCCAGTGCTAGCATTAGCTCAGTGAGGTGTGGTGTGGTCGTATTTTCAACACTAGCCTGGGCTGGCTGGCTAGCATCCGGAGCCACGTCCGTTGGCTGCCCTGACCGCTGAATCGCTGCACTGGAAAGACCAGTAGGCTAAGAGTTTCTTCCATCGTCCTAAGGGGAGACTGCCCTGCCAGACTGGTCACGGACTCACGACGGCGCAGCACGACAGAGATAGCAGCGTCCAGTCAGAGCACGGCCGACGACGGCATTTCGGAATTTGCCGTCTGCAGCATGCCCGTTTAGACAGCACCGGACCTGTGATTGGCGGCTGGAGTCTCATCCCACCCGCAGCGGATTCAGCACCCGCGTCCAAGGATCGGGCTAGGCGGGCCCAGTGAACGCCCGCCTAAGGAGCCCTGTGCCTCTGGGCGCGCGGCCCTCGGCACCACTTGCATCACCTGTTCAGCCCTGTCGACGACCCCTTCGCTTCGCTCCCTTCCCACCCAGTCGTCTCGCTCCCTTCCCACCCAGTCGTCTCACTCCCTCCCCAGTCGTCTCACTCCCTCCCCAGTCGTCTCACTCCCTCCCCGCTCTCCTCTGCGGCACTTCCTGGCTGTGCTCTGATGTCCGCGGGTCGCGGGTCGCGGGTCGCGGGTTGCGGGTTGCGGGTTGCGGTTTGCGTCTACCATCGTAAAAATTAAACCTAATTTTGCCGCGTCTGGTTCACGACCGCAGCAGCGTTGCATTGACCATTTCTGAGAGGTTTAACGTGTCATCACAGGTCCGGTTGGCTCGGTTGGTGGTGGGCTCCGCTCCCATTGGCCGTGCATCCGCAGCGACAGCCGCTAGCTGCCTCGGAAGTAGGGCAGGTCGGACTTGATTCGAGTGTGACGGGCCGCGGCGTGCATTGCGTCAGTTAAAATGAGGGAGGCGGAGCATTGAGCTAACGACCAAGACAGCGAGGAGTGACTAGACCCCCTGCTCCTTCACTTTCATTGCTGCTACCGGTACCTAAAACAGGCCTGGCCTTACCCAGGGGCCCAACAAGCCGTTCCACTGATCCCACCCCTCACTCTCAACAGCCATATGTTCCAACTGATAGGCAAATTGCTCATCCAGCGGCCCTTGGCCGTCTCGCATCATTCCGGCGGGATCCAGTTCGATTCTCCGTCCGTCTCCGTCCGGCATGGCCTCTCAGACAACTCGGCAGAGCGCCAAGCCAGCAAAGACCCTACATTCCGAAAAACTGTCGAGGTGAGTATCGGACCTACCGGATCAAATTACTGTGTAACTACTTGTCCGTAAACTGAGGCCGCGGGCTTGGGTCTGCAGTTTTCAAAGTCTCCCAGAAAGCACATCATAAGGGGCCCGTGCAAATGTGAGAATTTAGGATCCCATATCTGATGTGTTTTTTGCCACTGCAATCCCCTCTTTGGGCCGCCTTGCGATTAGTCACAGTCAGATAAGCGAATAGCCAAGGTGGACATTCTGATGCATGTGTTTTGATAGGACTGCAGTTACTCGGTGAGTTCCGTAAACCTTGGTTGAATAGAATCATCGTCCCTGTCAACACAATGATATCATGGAATTCGTACAATGAATGTGTGCATCTGGAATTTGTGTTTTGAATTTTGCTCCTGTGGCTAGCTTGTGCAAAAAGTCGTACATACCAATGACTAAGGCGCTTAAGCTGCAAATGACTGAAGCGCCTAAACTGCAAAGTTCCGTCCGATGCAAAGTTCCGCCCGAGTGCCGTCCCTAAAAGGAAAAAAATGCTCGTGGAGGTGATGATAACCGTAATTACATGAACGATGCGCAACGCAAGATGCTCCAGCTTTCTCTGGCAACCTCTACCGTGGCCACTTGAAAACATTCTCCAATGTGGATTGGCCAGTTCGGGGTTCTGAGGGTTGTTACACATCGTCATTACCTGTAATTACAACCCCAGGCTGGCGCGTCAAGGGCCTCTCATCCCAGGCTCCTACGGCAGATACGATGAGCATATAACGCGCATGTTTGGTATAGCTACGGTGATATCAAATAATTAGTCGCTTGCCTATTTAACCCCATCTTTAGATAACTTGAGTAGATATTTAAATAGCTCAAGCAGGCCTCTGGAAAGCTCACATGCACATATATGTATCTTATGTAAGCATATAACGTTACGTGGCTTAAGGATATTCACCGCTTAGATAGGTATAAGAAGTATCAATAGGTATAAGTATCAATAGGTATAAGAATCAATAGGTACAAGTATCAATATGTATAAGAAGTATCAATAGATATAAAAAGTTATCAATAGAAAAGCACTAGATGGAAAAAGGAGGTAATCACCTGTTGCCTGGCACTCTGGGCAATAGCAGCTATGTATAGTCGCGAACCTCACCACAATAAGTTTCTCCTCCGTCGCACACAGCACTCACCCAGGCCACCCAGCTCGCTTGTGCACTAAACCTGAGCCACCCAACTCACCTAGGGCACTAAACCCACGCCATCCAACCACCTCAACTTCCTCCTACCATCCACACCACCAAAATTTAGCGGGGTATCTGGAACTCCCGAGCACAGGCCAACAGGCTCCTTTAGTTCAGTCACGTCGGGCACTGCCTTTTCCTTCTTCTTTCTCTTCCACATCGTCACACAGGCCAGACTAGCCAGTCCACATCGTCACACAGCCCAGACTAGCCAGTCAACACCTCTCATAAAAATGGCTTATCGTCAGCACGCGGTTTTTCTAGCAAACCGTCGCGCAACTGGAGCCAATGCAATTCTCATCGTCGAACGAGTTCGACGTGCGTTGCCCGCCGCCACGGGCACCAATCCTGCCCTTTCTAGCAACAATGCGGAAGCCGCCCCATCCGCGGCGCTGATCAAGACGGGGGGCTCGTATCGCTGCCCCTCCCTGCCCAACGAAGTCCTGGTCGGGATCTTCAAATTCGCCCAGGATGATACCTCGGCCGGCCAGCAGCCCAACAAAACGATCCAGAGCCTCCGCCTGGTCTCCCGGCGCTTCTGCCATCTCAGCACCCACCTTCTCCTCCCGGTCGTCGACGTCGCCATCGAGCTCGACTCCTTCGAGCGCCTCAACAAGATCTCGTGGCACCCGGCCATCAGCCGCGGCGTACACACTGTGCGGCTGTGCGTCGACTACCATAGTGTTAACATAGCCCATTCGCTCGGTTGGTTTCACGACCTTTGCAGCCAAGCCTTCATGCTTGAACATGGCGAGGAAGGGATTTCTAAGCGCCTCAGTGGGCTCATAAGGCTTCCGCCGGGCTTTGCAACCGAAGAGACGTACCTCGCTGCCTGGCACGACTATCAGCGCAAGTACAAGGGCCAGCAGAAATTTCTTCTGGAGAGACCTTTATTCGCGAAGGATGTTGCCATGGCGTTGGCTCACATGCCCGGAGCAAGGTCCCTGTGCATGCAACACTCGGCCGCTTATTCTAAATTCTTCTCGGAAGATTGGAAACTTTACGACATTTGGTTTGATAAATTCTAGTCGAATGTCTCCGCGAAGCGGACTCTGGGGGAATTGTAGGCCGCTCTGCCGATCGAGATCAAGAAGGCTGGAGGGTCTTTGACTAGCCTCTCCATCGACTATAGCTTTCATAGCTATACCATCGACTCGGACCCTCGGTGGTCTCGGCTCATGACGCCTGCTGTCAACCAGCTCAAATCGCTGCACGTCACCTCCCAACTGCGCGCAGGAGCTGACCATGAAAGGCGTGGCATCCACGGCCTTGTTGCTTCCCTCTTGGCCCCCCTTTTGGACACGGACAGTCTCGAGTCTGAGACCCTTGGCACCGCCTGCTTTACATACGACAAGCGGCTCAGAATCTATATGCAACTGGATCCCCTCTGCTCGGCCCGATGCTGGGCAAACGTGAAGGAGCTGCATCTGCGCTCGATGAATTTCACGGCCGGCGACATGAAGCGTCTGGTTGCGAACCTCCAAACACCGCTAAATTCTTTCTCGATGACCCGGATGTCTCTTGACTTTGATCCCGGCAGTAATGAATACTGCGACCAATCGACCGACGCGTGGGCCGGCATCTTGGAGATTTTGCGAGGCGTCGCCGATGAGGTCTCGATCCGCGACATGCGCGTGAACGGGGGCGTTGACGTATGCTTGGAAATCGAGCGGGTCAGGCGCCCGTTCTGCGCCAAGGTGCCCACGCACGACATCAGCCGCTACTGCCGGGAGGAAATCAGCTACAACCCCCTCTTGCGCGACGATAATCGATGGGCGTCATATGGCCGATGCGAGGATGAAGCGTGTGTATACAACAAATAATGACATGCATCCCGAAGACTTTGACCGGAATCTTGGCGATGCGGAGGAAATACCACCGATGAGGAGACCATGTTGCTAGCAAGACGTGGAGGCTGGGGCTGCCGTGGGGAATCAGTGATTTGCTATGGTGGCAATTTTATAGGTACTATTGTATGTATGCAGGAACAGCCAGGGCAAATTAGCCAAGCAGCGTCTTGAAGAAGCAACGTCACAACAGTAGCCGACCTTCCTCTGTCAACTTCGCCAAGAAAAGGCAGCGGAAAGCTGGTAAAATGTGTTTGACTTGGAAGAAAGAAGTGCAGAGAGCATTCCGCGTCATGAAACGGGTTGGGCAGACATGCAGCTTGGAACATGCAAGAATTCCATCCATCTCACAATTCCTTCCCAACTCCGATCAGGTGCCCGCGTATTTTTCCCTCCCAAGCATCCCAGTCAAATCGAGATGAATCCATTCGAGTAGAAGCCGCCTGGAGCGCAACCACGACCCGGGTCCTTGTCCTAGGCCCGTCTGGCGACAAGGACCGCGGCACACTCCCCAGCTGCCGGATCGCGCATATAGACCGGGCCTCTCACTGGAAGATTCCCGGAGACGACCCGAGGGCCTCGACGGGGTTCTATGAGGCCGTGTCATACACGTGGGATGATCCAGACTTTTCAGAAGTGCTGCTCGCCAATCGAGGCATTGTCGAGAGCCCGAGCTCGCTCACGGCCGTCGAGGCCAATTCCTGTCGACCGTCACGATCCGCAAGCGCAATTTCGACATTTTGACGCTGCTTTGGGAGTTCGACAAGTCGGCCTGCTTCAACCCCCCTAATGTCATCTTTGCGCTGATGGGCCTGGCGCGGAACGTTTCCGACTCTCGGGTGACGGGCGCGACCGACCAAGGCGACGGCGTCACCGTCCTCGTCACGTACGACGTGTCGTGGGCATAGTGGCTTTTGCACTACTGCGAACAAACAAAAATCCCCCTCGGACATCTTCCTGTCCTACTCAAACTATCCATACTCCGAAGTCATAGACGCGTTCAAGAAGTACGAGTCAACATGGCCGTACCTCTTTCTCGACCTCGGGGACGACTTCACGGCTCTGGCGCGGAACACGGTCCGGCCTGAGGACTTGGTAATATTTCGACACGGAAGAATCAAGACTTCTGAGCTGCTCAAACAATCGGGAATAGATATTGACTTATATCTGGTGTGGTGATTCGGTTGGTTGAGGAAACGGAAAGTCAAGAGGTATGCCGCTTCACCTCATTGTTTTGTCATGAGTTCCGTTAATTGTGTTACTGAGCTAAGCTAAGACAGGAGGCCGAGAATCTGGGGAACGAACTTCATGGTTGTATAGTGGAAAGCCCTGTAGTCCTGGAGTTAATAGAGGTCCTTAGCCGCGACTCGGCCATCAGTTGTGGAATGGAAAGCTAACCTAAGTCATCAAATGGGCAAACATCATTAGCGGTCAACAATTACTGGTAGCACGATGCAAGTGGAAATATATAATTATGGTTTATAGACTTCCAAGACGGGCTCTCCTATAGCTTCAGTGGAGGAAAGCGCTACAGGGTGATAGTATGGCGAAAGTCAAAACACCGATTAAACTTCAGCAACTTATCGTCACAACCGTTAGACTCTAGCAAGTGGTAAATAATATGGCTGGGGGGTCCTAGAACAGTGCCCCTGTCTCAGCCTGGCTCAGTCTAACGCAGCGCCGTGCAGCGCTGTCTGACGGCGACTTCCCGCAGCAGCAGCTCGACCTGCGCAACGAAGACTTTTGCCCTCTTTCTCTATTTCTGTCTCTCTCTCTCCCTCTCTTCTCACGCCTTGGAGTCTGGTGGGATCGCATTCTCCCTCATGGAAAACGTTGTGTGCCCGAACCAGATGCACATCACATCCCACGATCAATATACGTCCACCACAATATCCCTCCCCAGCAAGCAGACACAGACACACAAGAGAAACCCAGCAGGAAACCTGCCTACCTCGCTGCCTGTGCCCGCTCCTGTGCCTGTCCTGCGTGTTCTCCACCCGCCGCACGGCCTCCTCTCTGCATCAAATACAACAAGGGCCCTGGTCTAGTGGTATGATTCTCGCTTAGGGTTGTAATCCTGAGCATCACAACTCAAGCTTGCGAGAGGTCCCGGGTTCAATCCCCGGGTGGCCCCTTCTTTTTGCCTCCGGCAGTCCTCGGTTCAGGCGATATGGGGGCGTGGTGCTGTTGTTCGCAGGGTTGACCTTGCGGCGTGGGTAGATGTTGTGCTCACTTGGCCTGGGGTCATCCCTGAGTTTTGTTTCGGGGATGGGAGTCCGCCTTCGTTTTCGTTACGTGGTAGGTTGGTTGTGGGGCGGACGATGAAGACGTCGTGGAGACGTCGGTTCTTGTCGGTTGTGCCAAGAATAGAACCAGGCAAGGACACGTGGGTTGGCGGCCACTGGACGGGCGGCTGTTACGGTTTGAATTAGCCCAAGGCAAAACGATTAGAGTCGGTCTTCTTTGTTCGGACCAATTACCCAAAGAGATAGAGAAGAAACGGCGGGTGTTTCACGGGCATTGATTGTTCCGACCCAATCTCTAACAAAGCCGCAGCCCGCGTCAGCGAAGAACTCTTTGTGAGATCACAACGTTGATTCTGTTAGGAACCGAGAATGGTACAATGTCGAGGAGACCGAGGAGGGACTTGACCTCTAGCAGCCAAAAGGTAAAGGATAGAACGGTGTACCGTCTCATTGAAGGACTCGGGTGCCGGGATGACTCGGGAATAGACGTGGTGTTGTTTCCGCGATGAAGAAACCGGCCACATGGCTTCTTCTTGTTCGTATTCTCGATGGACTCGAAATAATATCTTCGTCTTGATAGGTAGAAGAAAGATTTGGGAAATCGCAGACGGGAAAGTATTGGAAACGCCTTGGCAGACCAGATCCTGTTTCTGTTGTCTTTTTATCCATGAACTCGAAGTAGGATCCGTGTTTCGACGTGAGCTTCGGATTATCACGTCGTGCAACGAGGCCTTCCAGCATGGGCATGCCGCAAGTAGAGTCCCTGTATGAGATGGTTTGATTGTTAGCCATGGTCTGTCCAGAAGCATCAACATAATTTGAATATTTATTGCTTGTAAGCCGCAAACATGTAGGGCAACAAAGTTGTGATTGTGTTTCCAGGCAGAGAACCCGTCCAGGCCACAGCGGAAAATAACTATATGGGAAGGTGATGGTCTGGACTAGGCGACGCAACGCGGATCCGCCTGCCTCAACGTGGATACGCCTGCCTCAATGTGAATCCGCCTACCTCAACTCAGTATCATATTTTGGCATGTGCATAACGTACCTCTATGCTCTCAGCTTTCTCACGGTCGCGGTGAACGAGATCACCGTGGGAAAAAGTACAGGACGCTTAGTGTACGGGCGTTAACCGGCGCACTCAGCAACCGCTTGCACGAGGGTGGGTGTCTCGATGCTCGACGTCTCGGGCACCGAAGAGGCCAAGTTCGGCCTCTCGCAGCTTGAGGTGTCTGGCGGAGGAGGCGGCGCCTCTCCAACCACGAGCTGAAGTCGCATCGTTATACCAACAGCAAAACTGTAGCGTGGTTTGCGCGGCGGTACTCAATGACAAGCCAGAGATTGGCCTGCTGATCGGCAGGTGATCAGAGATTGCCGATTTGGGAAGGGTCTCTAGTGCTAGTCGGGTTGGATATAGGGCACAGGCTTGCTGTAGACGAGAGGCAGTACTTGTACTTGTACTTGTTAACGGATCCAAGTCAGAGGGGTCAAGTCAAAGAAGAGCGTGGCTGCTGACACCCACACTCCGAGATCGAGACAGGGCTGGGAGGGGCGATAGAGGGCAACGGAATAGCAGATGTCGACGGTCGGGAGCACGCAGGCACCGAGAAATGTAGGAAGGGAGTGCCAGAACGAAAAGAATCAAACGTTGGAGCCGCTCTACAGGCGGGGCCAAGAAGGCCGCTCGGTAGCGCTAGCAACGGCAGTGCATCTGGAGGGGTAATGAGAAAATGAGAGGGCAAGATTCTAGGCCTGCAGTCTTGCCGCGTTTGGCTAATCTAGTTTGGGCCGCTGGAGGAGAACTTTGTCTTCCCACACTTCCAAACCGGGTTAATTTACCCCCTCCATCTCTCCAACACAAACCGTTCGCTAGACAGACACAACTCCCAGACAAACACCACCTTCGATATATAACCACCATCCACTAAACATATATCGTGTTTGCGCCAGAGTACAGGTAGCCACGCCTATAAAATCTCGCCCAAGACCCCCACTACCGTTTCAACCTTCTTCTCCCCACCCTTGAAGCACCAATACTGTACCGTCTGCGATTTCCCAAATCTTTCTCCTAGCAAAAACTTGGTCGGAGACGCCAAGTCCAAGTGCGCATCATCAACAGACACAGCACCCATAACCGTCAATCCCGCCTGTCGGAGCCAGCAATCCCCTCCAATTCCAGTTCATTCCTCAGCTTTCGGGCATCTGCTTTCGAGTTCACACCCCTCACAACCTCAGCCATGGCGCCGATCGACTTCCTTGCCGACAAGAAGGCCACCAAGCGGCAAGAGGAGTTCGAGGAGAAACTCTGCAACGTTATAGAGGACGTCGTCGACTTCGTAGTCGAGCAGCTGTCGTGGGCCGAAGCAGGCCAATACAATGCCTGCTACACAGGCAGATACAACATCAGCCTTGACATCAGCCGGCTCGATGGCGAAGCCCGCGTCATCATCCGCTTCCCTATCCCTGGCCGCGTCTACGGCCCCTGGCGCGACGAGAAGGTCAGGAATGAGGCAATGACTTTGCTGTACCTGGCCGAGCACACCACGATTCCTGTCCCGCATCTGCTCTCGTGGGGCCTCAGCGACCAGAGTCTTCACGACCTGGGCCCGTTCCTCATCACGGAGTACATGTATGGAGAAGACCTGGAGACGATCCTCAAGAAGGACGAGTTCTCGGATATCGTCGACTCCGCAGCCGGCAATGCAAAGCTCAACACGATCTACGAGCAAGTTGCGGGATACATGGTCCAGCTCTCGCGCCTGGAGTTTCGGAAAATCGGCGCCGTCTCCCGCGACCAAACGGACCCAAATGCCAAGTGGGATGTTACGGGGCGCCCGTTCACACTAGACATGAACGCCGCGAACACCATCGGCAGCCACCCACCGCAGCAGTTCGCGCGCAAACCATTCAGAGACGCAGCCGAGTACCTCGCCGACCGCGCCAGATGCTACCAGATCCACGTCAAAGCGCAGCGCAACACGGCGCAGGACAGTCTCGGCAGCGACCCCGGCACGGCGGCATGGAGCCACCTCGAGGCGCGCTGGCGGTTCGGGCGCGCCATCGAGGCGTACGGCATCGAGGCGTGCGGGCCGTTCCGCCTGTTCTGCGACGACCTGCACCCGCGCAACATGCTCGTCGACCCCAAGACGCTGCGCATCACGGCGGTGCTCGACTGGGAGTTTACGAATGCCATGCCCGCGCAGTACGCCTACGACCCGCCGAGCTGGCTGCTGCTGCGCGAGCCCGCGGCCTGGGCCGTGGATGGGGATGTTGACGAATTCAGGCGGCTGTACGTCCCGCGGCTGAACCAGTTCGTCCGCGCTGTCGAGCGTGCTGAGCAGGCGGACCCGCCGACGGGAGACCAGCCGTGCCTCTCTGCACGGATGCGCGAGGCTTGGGGCTCGCGCCGTTTCTTTTTCAACCTGGCCTCGCGGGATAGCTTTGGTGTTGATGAGATATACTGGGAGGTGCTCCATGATCACGCGAGTGTCTTGGTCGATATGGGTCCTAAGATGGTCGGGGGAAGGATGCTTATATCCGAAAGAAGATTGAGCAGCTGAAGGAGTACGAGGCTGACGAGCGCGAGGAGCGGGAACGGGAGCGGGAGCGGGAGCGGGAGCGGCAGAAGGGGTTTTGATTGGGATGTGTTCAGCAGGATTAAGGGCCAGGTGTTTTGTATGTATGTATAATTATTAATTAATGTGGAAGAGTTTTCATTACCGTTGTGGTCGTTAGGTCTTGAGGGAAAGACGAGCCGGTTTTTTACCCCAAAGTTGCCGTTACCTACTCCCAGTCATCTACAAGACGCGTCGCCGCCTTGCTCATCCACTGCTCGGGCACTACTCGGGGCATGGTTACGGAAGTCGCAAAGCGTAGTTTAATTAGAGTAGTAGGTAGTGCTCTACAACTCAGCGGAGTTCTAGGACTACTTCTGTCGTGAAACTTTCCAAGCCCATTGATAAACAACCAGTCCAATCTCACAGCTCAACCACCCTCTGAGTTAATTATTCAAGTTGCTTCAAAGTATGGCGCACCTCAGGCCGGTCTGCCGCAATTCCTCTCACGCCAACTTAAACGGAGACATATCGACGGAAGGATCGTGTTCGAGAACAAGTTCAGACACAACTTTCCCCGACCCTAGCCCCAGGGTGAACCCGTCAAGGTCGTGACTAAAGCCCAAAAAACGCCGACACTATACCCTCCCTTCGCTAAAGCATCCCGTGGTACCCTGTCCATAATAGGCCGTCCCTGCGGCACCGCAGGCATAAAGGCCCTGCCGGAGCTCAAGATCCGGCGCTTGTCGATGTGCAAATGTCGAGAAACGCATTCCTTGAGCTGCGCAACGTCCTCGGGGCTTGGTTGAACATCTTTGGGAAGTGGCGGTGTCTCGCCAACGACCCACTCGAGCGCGCCGGCTGCATGTAGCTCTCCATTCGTGAACCAAGAGACATGGACATCGTCGCCTTCATCAAGCGGGCTCGACCAGACCTGGTGACAAGCCCCCGTATCCATTCTGCGCTGTTCAGAGTCTGTCGCATCCTCAGCGCTGAAGCGTAGCCACGCCTGCACGTGCTGCTCCGGGGCAAGTCTGAGTCTGATGCCGGCCGAAGGAAGCAGACGTGAGAAGAGGGCTGGCGACCAGCTTCCGGCCGATATGATCAGGTTCCGGCAGGCGATCTGGCGAAGTTCGCCTCCTGCCACTTGAAATTCTACTGTGCTGTCTTCTTCTCCAGCATGCTGGCCGATCCGCACCGCCTCTGCGCGTGTAGGGAATTCGACGCCGAGATGCTCGCAGTCGCTTTGTAGAAAGCTGCAAAATGCCGGGGGGTCGCTTTGAGAGATTCAGTTTCACCGTCGGGGCGCCCGAAGATACCAGAAGGTGAATAAGGAGACGGGCAACATACGCTCTCGCGGCCGTCGAGCCATCGTTGATCAATCCTGCTTTCCACGTGTCTCGCACTCGTAACCACGAGGGAAGTTTTGACAGCTCCTCGGCGCCTGGAAGGAGAGCATAAGCACGCGTCTAACAGTTGTACATCACAACGGATGTGAAGTTGCAACGTGGAGGAAAGGGCTTACGTGTAACGGGAAACGGAAGCCGAGGGTTGGAGGGATCATACTCGTGGAAAAACACGGCATGGACGACGAGGGGCGAGTATCCAATGCTCCGAAGTGCATGACCAGATACGGCAGCCCGGGCGGCTAGTTCGGGAATACAGCTTGTATGAAAGCTTCCCAACGGCTGGACCTGCGGATCGAACCCAAACTCGCCCAGGGCCCTCCCCATCGCTGTTCTTACCCTTGCCCATCCCTTCGCATTGTCTAGACGCTCCTAAGCAGACCCCGGAGGACGGATCAGCAACCAAAACCGGCAAGTTGTGGCCTCGGAGGGCGAGCGCGAGGTGGTAGGCAGTTGAGAGTCTGATTATGCCGGCTCCGAGAATGACGGTGGGGCCCTGAGGATTAGCTGCGGCGGCAACCTGTTGGAGGCGCTGGGCCATTGTTATGCTTAGATAAGTATAGAAGGTGGCCCGACTCCCACTAGACGCACAGGTGGCCCGTACGTAGGCCTCATAGTTTACACACTAAGTCTACAACCCAGCATTCGTAGGAATCCATCCTTCTTCACATCTTGTTTCCAGGCATATATAGTGTATTAAAATAGTAGCTACGATCTTTTCCGATCGCAGCTGCCACTGATATAATATAATCGAGATCAATTTGGCGCCGGGCGTCAATCCCCGTAGGCCAGATTGACTCTTTTTTCGAAAGACTTCCGTAGCGCACGCAATCTATTCCCGGTACCGACGCGGCCTACTGCTCCGGTACACGCTATCGTGGCGGATTTAATACCGTATTTTCTTCTCCGTAATTTATTATATCACCCGTACTGTCAATCCGTTAACTGGACTAATCCGTTAACTGGACGGCCGATTGATACTAATCGAACTGATCTTTATTATCATTACCTGCGTGTTATACGCGTCAATTGGAATCGTCTTTTCTGCCCTTTGCGCCTTTTTGCACTAGTCGCGTGCGAATACCACCCTGGAACCCCAATTTCGCCCACGCTCCTGGAACATTCCTGGGACCCCGCGCGAGACCCCGCAAACGCACGAACCACCAGTTCCTGCACCACAGACCACTGTCTAAAACCCTGTCCTAGTACTACCAATTAAGGTCGTTTTCTTGGCCTGTCAGTCCACCTTTCTGTTAATAGATTGACAGCTACGCGAACACTTTGTTGCAGCTCAGATCTTGAGCTATATTGTGGCATACCCAAACACCCTCGATATTACATCAATTGAAGTCGTCGAGGAGTATTTCGAACACTTACCGCAGAATGTTATCAAGGCTATCGAACACCAAAACGAGCAGCAGCTCGGCACCAGACGGCGGAACCAGGGTCGGACCATCACCTTCAGAAAAGGTAGACGAAGGTATCGAGGGATAAATTAGATTCAGATACAGGCCGGAGGTGGCGGCCATCCAAACGGGGGAGCAAGTCGCTTTTTATCGAGAGGAGAGAGGGTAGAGGGCCGAGAGAGGTAGAGAGCCGGGAGAGGTAGAGGGCCGAGGGATTAGCAAGTTCAGACAGACCTCCGCATCGATAAAAGGCGGTGTCGTATTTAACCACCACCTTGTGCAACCACCGACGAGCTGCGCAACGCTCGCAGATGCCCAGCACTACATTCTTTGATTTGGGGAAAGTAAGGTAGCTTCCGCCAGCAGGGCCGAATTAAACGATGCAATACTTTTAGGCACGGCGAGGCTGCTGCTGCTTGGCTCGGGGATAGAAAGGAAGAGTAAATATGCACTTATTTATTTATTCATTTCTCTGACCTTCTTGCAAAGCTTTGAAATCCCCAAGCTACGCCCTGTCAAGTCTACCTCTGCTCTGCCTGCCAACACAACTGCCGCCTCGAAGGTCGAAACTCTTCCGTTTTGGCTCCAAGACCGTCTCGGTTCTCGGTTTGGGTTTGACGCGTAGCACAGTTCGACTCACCGTGTCCCAAAGCGGACCAGAACATGCCGCAGTTTTTCGCTGAGCAGCTTGGTCTCGAATGGGTGTCCTGTTCGGTAGCAAGTTTGACATTTCTGCTTTGACGGGGGTTTCTTTGTCGGGCATTTTTATGTCGAGTGGCTGCCCTACAGATGGAGTATTGCTTGGATCTTGTGTGATACTACCATGTGGCGCTCTTTGATGATAATTAGTTTGTGAAACCCAAGGCCAACTGCGTGTCCCGTCTGCGCGTGTTCTCCCGTTTTATTTGTTGTCCCCATTTTCTTCCTCGCTTTCAGAACACTGAAACCGATTTGTAAGCCGGGGCAATAGACAATTGGCTGCCGAGATACTCTCAGTCGACATGTTATTCTTCACGATATTTTGTAACCGCCACTAGACACAGCTGTAATATTCGAGGGAGGTGATATATCCTGTTGTTTTATCGGTTAGTCTCTTTTATTTCAACGCTGGAAGAACTCCAGAGGGGCCGGGAAGCTTACCGGGGCCAGAACAGGGGGAGAAAGACGTGATGAACGTGGTGGCTAGCGAAGTACTCGAGCCCAACGGAGGCAATGCAGGTTCGGGGTAAGACTAAATGGGCATAGCACACAGCCGCCGGCGCTTCCTCTGTGTGTTGATAGGGGGTTTGTCTTGCGCATGGACTGGAATCATCAGCTTGACTGAACAGAGAGCATCAGCTTGACTGAGCAGAGAGGCGAACATGGCTGCGGCTCGCCGGAGCCAAGATATTCGTCACGGCCAGCACGCTCGAGCACGGGGTGGTGCTGGGTGTTGTGAAGGCAGGCATATACGAGAGTCAATGCTGCAAGTAAAGAATGGCTGTATTCGTAAATAACTAAGCTAAGGAAAGGAAAAGGAAAAGAAGAAGCCTGCGGTTCCTGCAGGCTGTGGGTTTGTGGTTCAGTGGTGGGGCAATTGGGCCAGTCCTAATTGGGAAGAGAGGGGCTGCGGGGTGGAGCCTGCAGGCGACGCCACTCGAGGTTGGCTTAGTCGACTTGCTGTCGTCAACTGGCTGAGTTGGGTAGATCACTGGGTGTGATGTTGGTCGACTGTTTGGGCTCAACTGGCCGAAGGGCAGGCTAGGCTAGGCTTTGGAGGCTGGGGTTTGCTAGGTATATGCGAGCGAGAGGTGCCTTGGATGTGGCGAAACCCCAGGGCTCGGCAACCGGCGGCAGGTTACTAATTCTAGGTGAAAGATTTCTCTCCGATACAACGATTAGATATATGCAAAGTTAGGGCCTCTACGGAGTCAGTCGTCGTTTTGGGCAGCGCTGGCATCAATTCAATCAGGCCAAGTATGAAGCCTTATTTGACTGTATTTGAGGCCTAAAATGGTGTATTTATCTGTGTAAGAGGCTCTCTCTGATTGGGTGGGTTTATTTGACCAAAAAACAAGGAAATCGAGTCCCGAATGGCACCCTGAAACCGGAAAAAAGCCCTCGACCTTCAGGATCCCCATTTACTCGCCCAATTCTTCGTGCATATGAGGTAATTCAGGGTTTCGTCGACCATACTATGCCAGGGTCATTATGGTAGTCGTGAGTAATAAGATGACTCCCTCGACCTTCGTGAGGCGTACGAACCGGCACCGGGCGAGGGATGACGGCGTACTCGGCCTGGTAGAGATCCCAGAATGCCCTCATCGCCTCTTCGGCCCGCCCACCGCCCAGGAACTGGGTTACCCACTTCTCCTTATGCCCTAGGTGTAGTATCATAGCCGACCAGTATGCTGGGCTCTCCTCCATCAACGGTGGAGGCAGGCATATTATCGAAGACCCGGGAGCCAAAGAAGCAGAGAAATCGCTATAGGAAGGTAGGATTCGGCAGTTTGTTTACAGCGGCTAGCGATAGTTGCATTGCAGCGGCACAGCGGCACTCGAATTCAGGGCATTCGAATTCGAGGCATTCGAGGATTTTCCCGGGACCAGAAAATGCATGGTTGGCCTTGGTCAGGGACTGCCGTGGTTCCAGGAAAACTCGGAAAATTGGGCCCAAAAATGGCTCAACCAATGGGAAATATTTACAAATGCCAATTAACCTAGCCCTCAATTTGGCCTGAATTTGACCCCCAAAATGGCTTATTTGCCTGCAAACACGGTTTTTTGGAGGTCAAATTGATTTGGCATTTATTTGGATTGGTGCCAGCGCTGGTTTTGGGGAAACCCCGCTCGGTACCACTCTTGCGGTACCACTCTTTCCCGGGTCCCAAATCTGATACTCGTCTAATTAGGCCTGCCCAAAACCGCCTGTGTCGACTAATTAGCTCTTTGAAAACCTCTTTGAAACCAAGGAGGAACTTTTGTCAATTCAGTTGTTGTTCCGCCTGTGAACCTGGGCTGCTGGGCTAGGTACCGGCCAGCTGCCGTCACACCCCGCCTGTTCACGTGCCTTTTAATTCTCTTGCCTCTTGCCGCTTGTCCCACCCCGCCCACAATATCTTGAAGCTTCGCACTGCAACATCGGCCCCCACAATAAGATCAATAAGATACAAAGAAAACACTCACCCACCGACATAGCATCCAACATAGCATCCAACATGGCGTCCAACATAGCATCCAACATGGCATCAGACGCGCCGCTCGTACTGCGTCCAGCCGAGACGCTGACAGCCCAGTGCTACTGCAAGTCGGTGCACTTCACCGTCACGGTCCCCACGTCTGCGCTGCCGCTGCCGGTGCACCTCTGCCACTGCCACATCTGCCGCCACACGCACGGCACGCTCTGCACCTTCCACGCGCCTCTGCCCGCGGGCATCTCGCCCGTCTTCATCGCGCCGTCGTTCCTCGAGACTTCTCTCACAGGCTACACCCACTCGGACCAAGCGGCGTCGACGCGCTTCTTCTGCAAGACGTGCGGCTGCCACATCGGCGACCGCGACCGCGAGGCCCCCGCCGACGGCACCGCGCCCGCGTGGCGCGTGGCGACGTCCATCTTCGACACGCACGCCGCCTCCGTCTTCGACATCCGCACCCACGTGTTCACGCCCCGCGACGGCGACGGCAGCGGCAGCGGCAGCGGCCTACACTGGTGGCTGCCATCCATCAACGGCCGCGCGGTGCGCACCTGGAACCCCGAGCCGGGTGACCCGACGTTCCCCATCCCGGCCCCGGCACCGCCCGCGCGCGAGGTCGATGCCCAAGGCCGCGAGCGCCTACGCGCCGAGTGCCACTGCGGCGGCGTTAGCTTCTCGCTGCCGCGGCCCGACGACGTGCATGCCGACATCGCCGCCATGTCCACCGACAACAGAGAAAAGGGAGTCGCGGCCGCAGCATTGGAATCGGCCACGCTCCGCTGCGCCGGCCCGCTTGCCGCGCGCAGCAAGCTGGACCGCGCCATCGGCCTGCGCCCGCGCCCGCCGCAGCTCAGCGCTTGGAACGCGGTCGTCGACGTGAGCGACGCCAGCCGGCTCGTGAGCGGCGCGCACGCCGTGGCCTGGGCGTCTGTGCCGCGCGCGGCGCTGGACCCGGCCGTGCCCGCGGATCTAAGATTTGGGTCGCTCGTTCCCTACGAGTCGCCGTACGAGGGCAGCCGCCGGGCGTTCTGTGGCGTGTGTGGCGCAATAGTGTTTTACTATTCTGGCGGCGGTGATGGTGGTGGTGGTGATGGTGGTGGTGGTGGTGGTGGTGGTGGCGATGTGGACACCGTGCGTGTTGCCGTCGGCATCCTCCGCGCGCCCGACGGGGTTCTGGCGCTTGACTGGCTGATGTTCCGCACGGCGAATGTCGAGACCGGGCTTGCTGGGGGGGGGGGACAACGCGTGCGCGCGTTTGACGGCGTGTTTACCGAGGCGCTGACCCAGGGGCTGCGGGATTGGGGTTGGGAGACGCACGGGCTGTATTCCAACTTTGAGACGCCTTGATTGCTCGGTCAGTGTCTGGCCGTTGATTATAGGGTTGATTGGTTATGGGTTGCGTGGCTGAGACGGAGAGGGTGCGGGTGCTAGTCCAAGCTCTATGCTGGCGGCGACCGCAGTACCATGTCAAGGCATGGGGACGACTTGTCACATTCTTCTTTCTTCCTTCCTTCCTTCCTTCCTTCCTTCCTTCCTCGCCTTACAGGGACGGGGACAAGCTGATATAGGACGTTGATATGTGCGAAATGCGAAATGCAAAATGCGAAATGCGAAATGAAAAGATGTGCAGACAAGAAACTCAAACTCCCGACACCGGCCCTCGCATGATGATGCGCCGCCGCCTTATGCTGTTGCTAACCGAAAGAACAAACCAGCCAACATCCTCGCTCACAAGTCGGTCGACGCAACTCTCGGCCCCTTCGTCCCCTCACCCGGGCCGCCGTCACTCAGCATCGTCGGACGCAGTGCGTCAAAATCGTCGGGCCTGCTGCCGACTCTCAGGCTGTCACGGAGTTGTGTGGCAGTTCTGGACCCGGAGAAGCGCGGCGGCGAGTAGGGCGGCGGCGCATCACGGGGCCCACGGGCGGTGGCCGGTCTCCGCGGGCCCTCCATCTCGATGAATGGGCGGTGCCGTCTGTCCTGGTCTCTCTTCCACTTGCGGGCGAAGACGAACAACCCCGTGGCAATGGCGAAGAAGCCGACAATCGACACGACGACGCTAATGATGACGGCCGTCGGGACCGCTTCGCCCCGCGGGCCGCTGCCGCTGTCTTCGGAGGGAGATGAATAAGGGGTGTCGAACGTCTGCCGTGGCCTCAGGAACTGTGCGGCGATTGATCGCGCCACTGCCCACGGCCCTGTGGCTGGCGCCCCCGAGAGTGCCGGCATTCTTGTGGTTGCTCTTCGCTCTGTCGAGTATGTCAGGGCTCAGGTCTGACACCTCGAGAGCCGAGGGAGGGAGACAGGAGGGCACCGACTTTTTGAACAAAAGAAGCAAAGAAACAAAGAAACAAAGAAACAACTGAGAGACAAAGTCTCGTTTCGAAACGTGCTCGACGCGAGGGCGCACAAGGGCAGTTTAATAGGCAGCACAAAGGGCCACAGGAGGGTGAAACACACGCTGGGCCACCGCTCCCGAGTGCTTGCCGCCCAGACCCTGCGGCAGATCCTTCGACGCAGCGCCACCCAAGGGGGAATTGGGATGGGCACGGCAAGCCAACGGCGCAGCGGCGCCCTCGTTTCAGCCCCCTGGCGGACGACACGAGTGGGCGGAAGACCAGCACCCACTTCGGGAAAGATGCGCACGCGACTCATTCGGCTGTGCCGCCCGGACGCTGGACCGCCGAGAGATCGGCAGGCAGCCAGGCGCCTGAGACCCTGGGAGGTGCGGCTCGGAATGACGAGCGGCGTCGCGGCATCGCCAAGACGGCACGGGCCCAGAGACCGAGCCGACCATCGGGCAGCCTGCCATCGCCCTGTCTGCAGCAAGGAAAATCCGACGGGCGCGGCTTTCAAACCCGCTGGATTCGCGACCGGCAGGATCGCGATCGGTAGGATGAAAAAGATGTGCATGCAGGCTTCGACGGGCGCATTGGAGCTTGGCATGGCATGGCATGGTATGGCATGGCATGCATGATATGCGTAATTGAGGCCATGCTGCGCTGCGCCGTTCCCGCCCGGCGGATCGAGTTGCCTGATTGTTGACTTTCCTGGCGTGACCCTGGCACCGGGTCTGGCGAACCGCTGACGAGCCCGGTCAGGATCCGAGAAACGAACTATATCTGAGTCTGGAGTTCCTGCATGGTGCCGATTCGAGTCTAGCCTGTATCCAGAGTCAATGGCTCTCTCTAAGGAGCACGCTTGGAGACTTGGCGGATCCTGCAGCGTCTTGGCCGGGGTTGATGACGAAAGAGACACGACGACACCAGAGAGTTGCAGAGCAAAGGGAGTCCGAGTGACGGAAAATGTTGGAATAGAGACATTGATCCGGATGACAGCATGAGCTTCGACACCGAGTGTCATGATCAGTTCCACGCAATATATGCAACCCCTGATCAACAAACCTACGCCCTTGTCGGCTACTGAAACGCGCAATCAATGAAGTTGTACCGCATTGGCGGTCTGGTGTAAATGTCTTCATGTTAACAGCCTGTAGAACTATATGCAAATGAAAATCCCAATCTCCATACCAACATGTAGCCACCTGAAGGACTCACCGTCTCCAGAAAAAAGCAGGCAGCGGTGCCATTTCCTGCCCGTGACCGCCTATGCACATATGACGCCCGTATGTATGTAGGTGCCCCTAAGCACCCTGCTCCATGCTGTCTGCCGCTGCGCTACCCTGGGGCACCTAGAAAAAGAATAGACCCAAACCAAACCCAACCAAATCCGCGAGTAAATGGCACAAAATATGAGAACGCCCGTCGACGTAAATCCGCCGCTCCCGTGGACGAAACCCGGAGTCCCAAGAAAACACACAAAACCCAGCCCAGTAGAAAGATGGATAGATGGATGGATGGATGGATAGATAGATAGATAGACGGATAGATAGATGGATAGATGGATGGATGGATGGATGGATGGATGATGGATGGATGGATGATATGCCAACCAACCGGCCGCCACCCACCCACAACCTCGCCACGCCACATGACACACGTCACGCGACGCCCTGCGGCAGCGACCGGCGCTCATGCTCGAGCTTGCGCGCGGCGCCGACATCCGCCATGGCGATGCCCGTGGCCGCGCCCGGCGGCGGCGCGAGCATCGACGCCCTCGTCATGACGGAGCTCCTGGCACTCGCGGCCGCCTCCGCAGCACGCTGGTCCTGCTCCCAGCGGTTCGGGCCCTCGTTCGCGGCAGAGCTCATCCACAGCAGCGCTGCCACCATCGACACCAAGACGAGCGCCGTCAGGATCCCGGCGCCCGCGCGGTCCTTCTCCGTGATAGGCAGCACGACAGGGTCCACAGACGGGTTGCCGCCCGCCGCGGGGTTGCCGACGCTCGTCCCGCCGGTGGCGTTGGTCAGCGGGGCCTTGTCTGCGCCAGTGGCGCTCGTCTCCTCGAGCACCAGCAGCTGGCCGACCAGCGCGCCGAGCGCGTTCATCTGCTGGCCGGCGCCGACGAGGCCGTCCGGCTTGTCCGTGTTCCAGCGGAAGCCGCACACGCCGGACGCCGCGTCGCACGCGCTCGCCATGCCCTGCGCCGACGAGCGGAGCACGGGGAGGATCGTGGCGCGCGTGAACGGGGCCATTTGGGTCGTTTGCGCGAGGAAGCGGTGCAGGTAGCCTTTGAAGGATAGCATGTCGGTCGTGCACTGCACGAGGTTGGGCAGTTCGCACGCTGCTTCCACGGCGATCCCAGATGGGAAGAAGTAGTTGAGCGTGTGGTTCGTAAGGCCGCGCAGCCGGTTGCCCCACAGGTCGTCGCCGTGTGTCTATGCGTGCGGTTAGGTTAGCGAGTGTTTTCTGTCAGGCGGTGGGGTCTGTGTGTGTGTGTGTGTGAGAGAGAGAGAGAGAGGGAGAGAGAGAGAGAGAGAGAGAGAGAGAGAGAGAGAGAGAGAAAGAGAGAGAGAGAGAGAGCAGAGAACAGAGAACAGAGAACAGAGAGACAGAGAGAGAGAGAGAGACAGAGAACAGAGAGACAGAGAGACAGAGAGACAGAGACAGACAGAGAGAGAGACAGAGAGAGACAGCGAGGCACCCACGTAGTTGTACATGAAGCCCAGGCCCTGCACAAAGATGGCGGCAATGTACGAGAACTGGGCCGGGTTGATGTCGGTGCAGTTGTTCTCGACGTGGCCGCCATCAAAGATGTTGTAGTCGGCGTCGATGTACCCCACCGCCTCGACCCAGTCCCAGGTGCGCACGGCCCAGTCGGCGTAGGTGGCGTTGGCCGTGTAGCGGGCGAGGCGGGCGGCAATGTTGAAGAAGATGCCGGCCGTGATGGTGTTCTTGTAGTCGTAGCCGTTGTTGGACAGGGGGATCTGCCAGCGCAGGCCGCCGCCGCAGCTCGCCGTGTCCCAGCGCTCGGCCTGGGTGTTGAACACGGCCTGCGCCAGGGCGAGCCACTGGGGCTGGCCGGCGGGCGGGTTCTGGAAGTTTGTCTCGGCGGCCAGCATGGCCGACATGCCCCAGAACCCCTGATCGTCGTTGCCCAGCGACGCCGTCCAGTTGGGCGGCATGTAGTTGTTGTCGGGCTGGTTGGCCTGGAAGATGAGCGCGGCCTCGGTGTCGTTGTTGTACGTCGCGTCGGCCGTGAAGTGCCAGTAGTCGACCAGCGTCCCCCACATGGCACCACCCTCCCACCAGTAGTACGGCCCGCCGGGCGGCGGTCCCGGCAGGATCCCCGGCGTCCCGCCTGGCTGATTCCCCACGTAGTAGGTCCACAGGTTGGCGGCGATGGCCCCGGCGGCCGTCTTGATTGAGTCTGCGGGGGTCAGCGCACGTCCACGAGCCATGGCAGCACAGGCCTAGGCCACTGCAGCAAACGACGAGTGCCGTTGCCGCTGCCGTTGCCGTTGCCGTTGCGTGGTCGGGCTCGCTCACCTGAAGAGTCTAGGTCGACGTTGAGGGCTGCATGGCTGGCGGCGACGGCGACGGCCAGGAAAACGCTCACTATCCTCCCTCTGGCCATGGCTGGGCGAGTGCAACTGCAGCGCTGGCCCTGCCGCAGCAATTCGGACGATGTCTGTTCCGTACGTGGTCGTGCAAGTGTCTTGGCAGTGGATCGCGATTTTCATCTATATCGCATCGGTATCGGTTCCATGCGCGAATGCGAGCCAAACTATCGGTGGTTGATGAGGTGCGTGCAATCAGGCTTTTGCCAAGGAACAGCGCCGCGAGAGAAGTCGGGGACCGGAAGAGGCGGGAGCAGATCGATCTGCTGCGGCCTGGCAGGGATTTACGGGCGACAAACTGCGATGATGACGCGGCGGGACAGCTGCGTACTCCCCGCCGTCAGCCGCCAGCATATCCTGGTAAGCGATGACCTCTGTAGGTGCTGTTGGGCTGCGGGCCACAGCGGTCCAGGTCCACTCGCTGTCCTGCACGCTGCGCTACTACGTAAGTAACTACTTACTACGTAAGTAACTACTAGACTACTATGTAAGTAACTACTAGACTACTACGTAAGTAACTACTAGACTACTGCGTAAGTAACTACTAGACTAATACATTAAACGGACTCAGTTAGGGAGACGGGAATAGGCCGGGGCCAGGCCAACAAAGAACGGCGGCCCGCTGGAACTTGGTGGGGGCAGCTCGCGTCGAATACGCACCTGCAATTTAAATCTTGTTTGTGCATCTGAACTGAAGGTAATGACTTAAAGTTGGCGCCGTCGAAGCACTACACTACGGGCTTGTCTTAGCGTCTTACGTCTCGCCGTGCTAACCCCACCGTGCTAACCCAAAGAGGGAGGGGGTGGGTGGGGCTCTGGGACGCAAGTTCCATTTGGCGACTGGCTGGCACGGATCTGCGCCTCTTGAGTTCAGAAATTCCCGGGGCGAGGCTGATCAGCGGCATGCCCACTGTATTTCCGCGTCTCGGGCTGCCAACCGTTTCGATTTTCGAAACGTCTAAAATAGCGCTCTTGCCGGCCAACACACCCGCTGGACACTCGCTGATATTTATTTCCGGGCCGGCCACACCTTATAACCTGTTTGTGCCGCACCCGATGTTGTCCGCCCTGCAGCGTGCCTTGCATTCCCGTCCTTTATCCGAAGCAGGCGCAAAACCAGGAATAACCGCCGAGTAATTACTTTCGACGCCGCGTTCTTAATATGGCGCCCTGGTTCGAATTTGCCAACGAAGCAGTGGACGGCTCAGAAACACAGAGGTTTTAGTTACTGGCCCGTGGGAGTCCTTCATTACATGAGGCCGTAAGCAGCGGGCTTGGAAACAGAAGGTAGGTACGGCAATGCTTTCGCCGGCGTTGTCCCATCTATCCTCGTCGTGATTGGAGAGCTAGCATAAACCCGCACAGGTCCCAAAGTGCTAGAGGCGGCTTCGACGGACAGCCCTCTTGGATTTCGAATGCCTCCTTCTCGCTAGCTGATGGTTCGAACTTGACGGTTGAGGTGTACGTATTCACTTCGTGCGGGTCCTTGTTTGCCTGCTTGGAGCTTTCCGTTTTCACGACCGGCTTTGAGTAGCTGACCAGATTTCTAGGCAAGCCTCGAAGGGAAATTGTAATCTTCCGTGCCATTCTCAGTGTATTCTAGAAACAGAGAAGACTCGAACCGCGGCGAAGCGGGAAACGAGTGACACGTATTATCCGGACCATAAACACTCCTGCTAAGCATAAATTCGACCAAACCCTGCGAAATCCAAGGCCTGTGTACACAGACTTTTTGTATGGGGGTGTAGGCATCGAGGACGATCTCGAATAATCTTTGGACATATGAAACGGGCATTATAAATGGCAAAGAGCATATAATGCTTCAGAGCAAACAACATAGAATGGTGTCACGCGCATTCACAGGGCAGGGTATCTGGTACTGGGAGGTTCAAAGGGTCTAAAATTGTCTTGTCCTCTACCTCTTTTAGTAGGGTCAAAGGCCTCTCTTTTATAGTTGTGAATGGTGGCAAGATTGAGTGGCAAAGTAGGTGGCGGGAGCTGACCAATCAGGTTGTGGTAGATTCCAGGTTCTTCCTTTGTTATTAATCCATATTTTGTGATAAATGGTTATCACAAGGGAAAGATACGGCGAAAACAAGTTCATTACGCCCGCGGCCCAGCTCCCCCCCTCAGTAAATGACGCTCCCGTAAAAGACGCCCCGTAAAAGACGCCCCGTAAAAGACGCCCCCGTAAAAGACGCCGTCTCTTCTGAAAAAAAAGCCCACCCTCGAAAGACGCGTCCCTTCTGAAAAAAAAGCCTCGTCCAAAAAACCGCTCTCCCTCTCCTACGCGCTTACCCCAGCTGCTAGCCGCAAAACACGTTACCACAAGCCACAATTAGCTACCAAGTCAGCCATCACAAGTCTCTCAGGCGCTCGTCACTCTCCACCAAACACGCGCCGCTCAGGAAAAAAACATGGCGCTGACGGGGGCGGCGGCCCAGTAGCCGACCATAAAGATAGGGCGGCGGTAGCGCAAGGCGAAGAGAGCCGACTCGACGTCGGCAAAGGTGATTTCGACGCCGTGGGCGCGGATAATGAAGACGCGCAGGGGCAGGAGTAGAGCCGGGAGGTTACGGCAGAATAGGGCGACGCGCGCCGGGCCGTCGAGGTCGGCCAGCGGCAGCACCGCCATGCGGTGGCCGCCCGCCGCCGGCTGCGCCTGGAAAGTGCGCTGCATGTGCTCGACGCCCTGCACGTCAGTCACGGCGACGAAGACGCCGAACTGCGCTAGGTCGCGATTCAGCTGTAGAACCGGGTGGATGTGTGGATACATGTAGGACGTGACGTCCATTCTTGCTATTTGTGTAGGCGCTGTTTGGTGTTATATTGTGAGATGGTGTTTCTTGGTGGATGATATATACCCGCGGGATGGGATTACTTACTATGTTGACGCGTGACGCGTGAATATATCGTAGAGAATAGTGTTCGAGATGAGACTGTGGTTTTTGGGTGGAGCCTTAGACTGATTGACTGGCTGGCTGAAGAAGAAAGAGGGAAAGAAAGAAGGAAGACAGACACGGAAGGGTAATTTATCCTAGGCCATAAACCACGGGGCCCAGGGGAAAAAGTATTCCTATTATTCTCTGAAAACTGCCTTCTACTCCTGGACCCACTACCGTAACGCTTTCCAAACTGCGAGTCGGCTAGGGACTTCATAATAGGACGGGTGGAGTCTTATCGCCAGCATGTATTCCTATTGTTCCCGAGGAGGATTGCATTTCACATGAATAGATGAAAGTGGCTGTCTCCCTTCAAGACCCACAGGCGCTGAGCTGCAGTGAATTCCATGGTACAGCCTCTCGGGCATAATAGCTCCCTCGTCCTATCGCCTTCATAGCTGGCCGAGTAACTGCGGCAAATTTGCTACGCTGGGCGAATTCCTGTGACGCCCGGTATGCCAGGCACATGAAGATGATAGAAACTCGGCCGAGAAAGCTACGTCGTAGAAGCTCGACACAGCTGCGCTACAAAGCCGTACTGGTTAGTAGATAGAAAGTCCGCCATTAATTATTTAGGCGGAAAGTCACAGTGTAATCTTGTGCTGGGGGCTGCGACCATATACCTAGCCGCTGCTGCTCAGTGTGCCAGGCAACAGGTATCCGTTGTCTTGTCTGCTGCCGTAACGGCACACTGTTACAAATCCTGCGGCCAGCGGTAGACCGAGGCACTTGGCTGCATCTTCTAATCCCATACGACCTCGAGCTCCTCAAAGTCTGCTAAATGCTGTGGTGAGCACGGGCACGAGTGGCGGCTTGGGCAAGAAGGCAAGCATCTTTCAAGTCAGAGCTAAGAATAAGATTGTAGAAGCACATTCAAACCGGGAGGGGACAAAGAGCATTTATTATTCATACATTGGCTGGAACATGCTAGAAGCAGAAGACGAGCTCAGGAAGGTACCCAGGGCTTCAAGCCCTACCTCCGATACTGCCTAGTACTTGGATCTCCGATCTAAACGGCTTGGGGTACGTCCCTCTTCCATTTTACCCCACCTGTAGAGCTTTTGGTGCCTGGAATGTACACGGATACCTACCTCAGGTACCCAACCACAAACCGTCCGCACGTTCATTGGCTGCGCTACTACTCTCGACCGCCACTTTTAGCTTCATTCCTTTGCTGTGGGGTAGGGCCAGTCGTGCACACACAGTCGTGCACACACAAACCACAGGCCACACACACCTAGCCTCTTATTTATCAAGTCCAGCCAGCCCTCGGGTCCTCTTCTTCTCCCTTCGTCTTTCCTCACCCACAAACCTGAGCCGAGCACGGCGCGATCTCCGCCTCGCGGCACAGGTAAGAACTGCACCACGAACTTATTTTCACTACCAGCTCTCTCTTGCCCTTTTGATTTCGGCGACGAGCACCTTCCCCAGGATTTATTCCCTATCCGCCGCCGAGCGTTGAAATTTCACCTGCGTGTTTCCTACCCCCTCGTCTCTCGACGAGTCCAACATGCCCCAACGTGCCCCAACATGCCCTAGCCTCATTCAGCTCGCAACTTTGCCCCTCTTACGCCTAAGATCTAGACGATCACTCATTTGGCCAGATCTCCGCACCTGCGAGTAGCAGCAGCCCCCTCTCCCACTTCCGTTTTCGTCCGTGAGGACCCCTCTTCCTCTCTGGCGTCTCCCAAGCCCTCCATCGGAGGTGGGGCCTAACTGAATCTATGTATATCTTTCGCAGACTCTCTGGGCTACTGTCTGCTGTCTACTGCTTGGACAACGGAGGAATAGGTGGCGAAAGAACATGGAGACAGCAAGAAACTAGTTTGGTCGCAACCTCTGCTCTCTCGCCACCAGTACCTAATCAATTGTTTGCCCCTTCCGACTAACGCAACATTGCTTGGCAGAACAAGCCAGCTGCAAAGCCCGCGGTATATCCGCCCGTACAGAATCACAATCGCACCTCCGGCGAGAGCGGGAAGAAAAATCAACAGCAAGCCATCATTCGCCGAGCCCAGAAGCCGTTTAGCATGGCGGCCGACAAGAAACCCCCTTCTAAGAAGGTAAAGAAGAAAGAGTCAATGCCCAAGTATCCCCGACCGTCTCTACATAGTTACATCAGTTCCTGACATTCTCTCCCCACAGACGGCCCGGGAGCGACATAACCCTGGGGAACCTGAACCACGTACAAAAAACACACAAAATAACCGAATCCGGTCAAGAAAGGAGGAGCCTCATGGTGGGCAGCTTCGTCATGCTGCTCACCATCTGGCTCTTGCTCCTGCTACTGGAGCAGCTGCTGCTACTACCACACGAGAACAAGGATTGGCAGAGACACGAGAGGCTAACATTATGTTGGCCCCCTCTGGGCCTTTCGCAGCTGCGGAGACACGAGAGGCTAATATTATGTTGGCTGTCTCTGGGCTTTTGAGGAGGAGGAGGAGGGAGAGGGGGGAGAGAGGAGAGAGGGAGTAGAGTATAACTTATTCTCGTTCTTAGCGTGGCACCGCTCAGTCCGTGCATCACAGCTCTCCTCAGACTTCAAGGACGGATATTAGCATCTCTATCGCGAGGCGCTAATAGCCATCTTCGGAGACTAAGGAGAGCTGTAGTGCATGGGGCGAGTGGCCAAATCAATGACTCTCCACAAACGTATGCTCTCGTGCCAAGCTCGTAGCCGTTTGGTCTCTGCTGTGTTGGTCGTCCCGTTGCCAATTTGCGGGCTGGGCCGCTGGTTATCGGGTGCTGACTGAGGACAAGTACTCGTAAATCAGGGCGGAAAGTCAACCTGGCGTACTGGTTATTCTGTCAAGACCCCCTTTAGTATAGCGTTGTATTACAAACCACTCGACTGTTAGGGTCGTCTGTCTGTAAGGGAGCACGGGCTCCACAGGATGCTGGGGTTGGTAATTATGAAGATAGAACAAAGGGCAAGTGTGACGGCGTTTAGCAACACCCACTACCGCTGCACCACACCTTCCAAAAGGATGCCAGAATTACAAGCCGTCAGGCTGCAATTCTATAGTGGGTTATAGTATGGTCACGCACCCGTAGGGCCTCAGCGCCTACCGCCGTGCCGTGACAGCAAGCTCCTATCGCGCGGGTAATACAGTCAAATCGGAATGCCACTCAAAAGTATATGAGTGCAGTGAATGTGTATTGCTTGCTTGAAGAATCAAGCAAGAACTATCTAAGACCGTGGCTACGGTCATCGTATGTCTAATTCATGTAACCAATCAGAGTTCTCTCTTTGCGCTCCGTGGGCCCCGGGTGCTCTGCTCACAGAGCACGGGAGCCCCACAGAGCGCCCGCTCCGCACAGAACACTACCTGATTGGCTGCACCGAGCCCCTGTGGGGTCCGGCCCGCCCACTTGTGCTGCCCAATTAGCAATTGGCTTCCGGCGCCTCCTGCAGACTTGAGCCAGGATCGTAACACGTTGTGCTTGTGCACACATGAGTTTTCACCCCATCCTCTCCCGTCCACAGAAAATGACGATAATGACCCAAAACACTACAACTGTGAATAACCGTAGCATGGTCAATTGTGAAGCTATTTACAAATAAAACATGGAAAAATGTAGCTGATTAGTCGCTCAATCCATATATTGTATAGGCACCCTGGTTGCACGCCCTGATCTAGTCATTCTTGCAGGTGGAATCTCGTCATCTGCAGCGTCATCCTTGTCGTCTTCTTCATCCACCTCTTCTTCTTGCGGCTCTGCTTGAGCTGCATTTTGAGCCTCGCCACCCAGTAGCATGGTAGCCAAAGTCATGAACCGTTTATTCGGGTTTGGAATTTTCCTCCTTTTCTTTGGCTTCAAGCGTTCCAATTCGGCCTCTAGGGTTTCGATTCGTGCCTGCTTCAAAACCAACTCGGCTTGAAGCCCTTCAACTGCTCGGGCGGCCTTTCTGAACTTCATTCTTGTGCCTGGACTAACCCCCTTGCTCATATCCATTATCTGGCGGCCTGACACGGGGGTATCAGGGACTTCAGGGAGGGCCGGTAGAAAGCAGAGATATATATTGTTGTGGAAGCAGGTAGTCATGAACTCGTCCTTTGTAATAATGTGAGACTGCAGGCTCAAAGAAAGCGTAGGCTTCATATCTTACCGTTATATAGCTATTGTGGCCATCAAGAATAAGGAGGCGAGTCTCGCTGTCGTAGCCTAGTAAGGCGTTGATTTGCGGAATGGTATAGACCAAACTCAAGCATGCTAGAGAAGAACGAACCCGAGGACCTCCAGTTTCCGGGAACCCATAGCCGAGCGCCGTGGACGATTGAACATGCTCGGGCCCTTTGCCGCGGCCTTGCTACCCGAGAGCAGCGCTGGCGTAGGATCTGGTGCGGATCCCGTGCCATGGGCTTGTGTAGGGTTGATAGCGAGCCGGGTGTTGGCTTTGCGGTGGAGCTGCCAAGCCTATGGAACCAGGTAGCCTGATATCGCAGCCCTGGCCTACATGTGTATCCTAGAAGAAGGATGGCTGGCGTGGGTTAAAATAGGCCGCCGCCAACTGCGCGACGACGCCGTTTCTTCGCGTGAAGCCTCCCTAGTAGGAGGAGGCATTATGTTAGTGCATGGCGGCCGTTATAGGATCGCCGCCATGAAAGAGGTAGCATCGCCGCCACGGAAGAGTAGCATCGCCGCCATGGAAGAGGTGGCATCGCCGCGTTGCTGTTGGACTTGTATGCCGCGCCGTTCGCACGCCTCAAAGTGATGTTCAACGTCGTGTTCCGCTTCTTGTAACCAGACTTCCCCCAAAAGAAACAACCCACCAGCCACTCCAAACTCTGCTAGCCAGAGCCTCGCACACACAAATCCACCATGACAGACACCACTACGCACATGCGCATCGCCTTCGTGAGCGGCTGGCTGGCCGGGGCCTGCCGACGAACTCGTCCCGCCTCATGCTCGCATGTGTTTCTTCATCTCTATCTGAGAGCCATGTGTTCCAACCCGCTGACTGAGGTGTGTATATGCAGAGCTCCGGGCCAGCATCAGGCATGGCGATCCCAGACCTAGGCAGCGCAGCTTGCTGGTGCCGTTCGCCAAGGCCTCGGCGGCGCTGGGAAGCCAGGATTTCGACGTCGATAGGCAGTATGGGTGGGTCGGGTCGGCGACGGCGCGTTCGTCGTGCATGACGTCCCTGAGGACAGGTCGCTCGTGCAGTGTGTTGTCTCGGCTGTTGAACACGATCCGCCGCGGGACCGCAAAAGGCTGCTCACGCGCGAGTTCTTGATGCAAACTCTGAATGATAGGCTTGACGGCCCGATTGCTCGGGGTGTGGTTGATGTAGGCTGCTGTTTTCTTCTTTGTTGATTAGCCTGGGCTGCGCCTAGTGGCGTGGTGATGGCCCACCGTGAGCTGACATGTTTGATTACCTGTCTAGCTGGTCCTCGACTAGCCGAACCCGCAGGGTTATTGTTGTGGCTAATACCATCCTGGAATGAGAGAAGAAAAGAAGATGATTTCTTTAAGAAGCTAGGGTGCCTTACGAGGCCTAAATGATTATGGTAGGGCCGTGCACTAATCACGTAACAGTTATTCGCAGTGGGAGCAGAAGTCGACGCTGACGCACGCGAGGGGTCGCGTGTACATTGTCGGCGACGTGGCACACGCCACAACATGGTGGCAGGGCGCGGGCGCAGGGCAGGCGTTTGAGGGCGCGGCGATTCTGGGGGCGCTCTTTGGCCGCGTGGCGCGCCCTGGGGATATTGACGCGGCTTTCAAGGCGTTTGACGCGGCGAGGCGGCCGAGGTACCAGCGCGTCATTGACTCGAGCCGAGGGGCGGACAGGATATCTGTGGGCAGGAGAAGGACGTCGACTTGGACCCCGATAGGCTGAAGGCGGCGTTTGCCCCGCGCTGGGCCTTCATCTCCAGCCTCGACCTCGACGAGTACAAGCGGGAGGCTCTGGTTTGTGCATGTTGTTGGATGGAGATTCTCGTACAGTGCTAGGATACAAGTTCAGACTCGCAGGAGGCGGTAAGTTCACGTGACTCCCGCGGGCAGCTTGGGAAGAATGGATGTTGCATTTGTTTTCAAACTCGACTTGAATTCACTCTTGTTACCTAGTAGTGATGAGGGCACGGAGCTGGCATCGGGCATCTTTGTCTCTGCTACCGTTCCGACTTCCTCTCCCGCTCCTTCCTGCTGACCCGGCCGGTTTCGTTGAAGAAGGCAGGAGCAGCAGCACCCAAAGAAAAAGCGATGTTTGCACAAACAGCAGCCTCGAGGGTGACCCACATGCGGTGGATCCCCCAATTTTTGCAGTCGTGCACGGACCAACTTGGATGTACATAAAAGAAAATTTCCCGCCCGCCTTCTTCCTCTTCTTTTTCTTTTCTTCTTCATACTTACCTTGGCTGAGTGTAGGGAGCTCAAGAATCCTCTACACTGCAGTAGGAGACCTGCACTGCACTCCGCGGTTGTCTCTTACAGTCATTCGTCCTTCGGGGCAGTGCGGCCTCAATTTTTGATTCCCACCTCTTCTTCTGAAGACTCTTCTACTTCTTTTTCACTGTGATCGCCGCTTCAGTGGCGACATGGGGAAGAATCATCTTTCTCTTGCCTTCTGTCCTCTTACTCTGCTGCCTTGAATCTCCGTAGCTGCCTGCGTACGCCACGGGTTATGGCTGTCGCTGCCCTCGCACAGAACATGACTGTGACGGGTTTTCTGTTGGAATCACCAGGTACCGGTACTGAAAACAACAGGGCGTGCTGCACGCCGAAAGCTGGTGGTTCAAGTGATGGTCATTGTTGTCTATGTCTATCTAGAAGAAAGAGGTGGCCGTAGGCTACTTATATGGAATCTAGGACCCCTACGCCTCCACCGCCGCCTGTGTGGCTGATGAATGCGTTGCTACAGCCACCTCTATGTGGCTGGAATGCGCGTTGTTCCAACATTTTCATTCGGCCCAGCTCCACGCAGCGTGATCCGATACGCGGCTTCTGTATTGTAGTTATCGATTTCCTCATCGAGTGTGAACCTCTAGCAGCATCTCTCGCACTCCGTGGTCCAGCCGTCTGCTAGGCTATCCTTCCGTAATGTTGGTGTGCCTCTAGTGTGCGAAATCACTGCGCGTTGGCCGATTAAATCCTAATCCGGCCATTTTGTGCGCGGCTGCAGCGCAAATTGGGCTGCCAGAGAACGAGGGCACGGGCTGGTGGTGTCGGCCCAAAACCGCCCAGTAGAATCTAAGGATTTAGTGGGAGCGGCAGCTCGAGAATCAGACATGCTATTATCTACGAAGCGAACGTCTCTGCTTTTGAAGAATCGCGTTGACTATGCGGTACACCAGAGTGCCTCGTCTTCTGGCGAGCCCCGGGATCACAGTTCGCCACGAGCGCGGCCTGCTGGCGGCTGGCTCGACATGTCAATCTCTTCACTCATTTTACCTCCCGTGTCTTCCTCCGTTCTTTCCATGCGTCGGGCTCACTGAACTGGCAGCGTACCTTATTGCCAAACTGGCACGACTGGGTCTCTGAGGCCTTGTTTCCCCACCCACCAGAATTCTCCTCCCGAGCCACCAAACCCGTCAGTGTCCAGCCTCTCTTCTTCGGTCGCCCAAATCTGCGTCTCTCGCCCAAATCTGCGTCTCTCGCCTAAATCTGCGTCTCTCGCCCAAATCTGCGTCTCCCAGTTGGCTGGCTCGTCTCACATCCGGCCCATCGGTGCCCTCTGCTACTGCTAATTGCCACAATCACAAATCACAGACCGTGTCTACTCGTTCCCTTCGTTCTGCCCAACACTGACTACCCGTATCTGCAGACAGAAATGGCAGAAGCAGGCCGAAGAAGGTATTTAGCTAACAGTCGAGTCCGCCTTTCGGAATGCCACACTCGCGAGCCAACCTTCCGCTTCGCGAAACCACAGCGCAGACATTTCCCACACCCTCGACTGCCTCTCTATCTCGAAATTACTGCATGGCTGCGCGACATGCCAGGTAGGTACACCTCTACAGACTCCCTACATGAGACCAATCAACGGCACTGGTTATGCTAACCAGAAAGCCCTGGTGTGATTACAGATTTTCACAGCTCGCTCCTCTGCCAACACTTGATCTCGCGACCGACATCCTCCGCGCCCACCTACCCAAGTCTACAGTCTACATGAACACCAAAAACATCCTCAGCTCCGCGGAGATGGGACCCTAAGCCCATGAAACCTGTCTACTCTACACCACAGTTCACCGCCGGCCTCGCCCGGGACCACATGCAATCGAACCAATCTAATGACCCTTCCTAGATCCCTAAACACGCAAACGGGCCTCCTTTCCAGCCGCGCAAGACCACCTGGTTTCCAGTCGTCGGCGGCTCACTGACAACCAAACACAAACAGCCAAACACAAACAGCCTGGACTCCGCCATTGCCATGATGGGCACGAAGACCCGCGGCTCCCTCTGTCGTCAGCTGAGACTTGACTACGGTACCGCTCGAGGATATTTTAGGCCGCTCTAACAACATGCAGAGGTGTTTTGACCTAGCTGCTGCTGTATCACAAGAGAAACCATTTGGGAGGGGGGGTTGACACACCTCCCGGCCAGTGCTGCGTGTTCAAGTGTGTTGTTTTGCTGGTCTGGACGATGATCTGGCAGGCCAGAGCGAGAGTGCACGGCGGCAGAGACTCATCTCGTGTTCAACAGTTGACAGTAATAACTTGAGGGAGATCTGGCCTTGAGCTAATTACTCGGCCGAGATTGCACAGACTAACAGACGCACGGCATTCAGTTGCGACATGTGCCAGGCCAAATAAAGCTATGTTTCCATTGGATGAGACCAAAATACATCCTTCTATAATGGCTTCGCTCTCAGCCGTCGCAGAAGTACTCGCTATTGCCCAATTCAGGATCCCGCTTCTCCCGCAGCCTAATTCAAGAATCACAGCTCGGCCTCGTCCATGTTCCGCAAAAACAGCATGAGCCACTTGACAGTATTGACGTGGCTCGCGACGCTGATCTTTTCGTTGACGGTGTGGATGTTCTCGAGGCCGGTGCCCTCGTCCGCATCGTAGCCAGGCCCGAAGCGGAAGATGTGCCTCGTCAGGGCCCAGTAGTACCTCGTATCTGTGTTGCCGGTCATGATGCCTGGGGCGACAACGACGCCGTCACCCCCATACAGGGCGCGCACGGTGCCGGCGAGCACGGCATACGGCCGGCCGTCGGCGGGCGTGACGGGCGACGGGGGGACCTCGATACGCGAGGCCTCGAGCGTGATCGACGCCGGGCCCTCGCCGCCGTCGAAGGCGTGCAGCGTCAGGTTGTGCCTGTGCGCGATGCCGGTCGCGATCCCGGCTAGCCGGTTGTACACCAGGTCGCGCGTGTCGCCGATGTTGATGCGGTGGTTGACAGTGGCGCTGGCGCGCTCGGGCAGCGCATTGATCTTGACGCCGCCGCCGACCACGTCGACGGCCTGCGACGTCTGCATCAGGTACCGGATCTCGGGGCCCTGCTTGGCGGCTTCCAGGGCGAGGTAGTCAGGCTTGGCTTTGCAGGTGCTGCGCGAGGGCGACGACAGGCGCTTCGAGAGCAGCTTCTTGAGCTTGCTGGGGAAGTCGGGCGAGTGGGCGGCGCCGCACTGCAGCTGGGTGTAGTAGGGGTTCTCGTCCTCGAGGTGGGTGCGGTACTGCCCGTCTTCGAGGCGCACGATCAGCTCGCTGAGCACACCGATGCTCGTGTGCTGGGGCGGGATGGACGAGTGCCCGCCGGGCATGCGCACGGTTATCTTGACGTCTGTGTAGCCCTTTTCTGCCGTGCCGGGCTTGGCGAAGAGCACGCCCCATGCCCGCTCAAAGGTGGCGCCCTCGTCGACGATGACGGCGACGCTGTCATCCCCGTACCGCTTCTGGATGGCGGACGACAGCGAGGACGCGCCCTGCTGGCCGCCGCACTCCTCGTCAAAGCCAAAAGAAAGAAGAAGGGTGCGCTTGGGCTCGAAGCCGGCCTGCAGCAGCAGCTCGACGGCCTCCATGGTGGCGATCAGCTGGTTCTTGCAATCGCTGGACCCGCGGCCCCAGATATACCTGCCGTCGTAGGCGCCGGAAAAGGGCGGATGGGTCCACGAGCCAACCGTCTCGGCCGGCACGGGCACCGTGTCCTGGTGCGCCATCAGCAGGGTGGGCTTGAGGGAGCCGTCGCTGCCCTTCCACGTGTAGAGAAGGCCGTGCGTGTTGATCTTGTCGACGGCGAGCTTGGCGTGGATGAGGGGGAACGTGTCCTTGAGGTAGGCGTGGAAGTCGTAGAAGACTTCCCACCTTGCATCCTCGCCGACGGGGCCCAGGTCGTCGAACGACTCGGTTTTGACCTTGACGGCGCCCGACAGCCGCTCAATCGTTTCGTTCCTGAAGCCGTCCGACGAGAGGTACTCGTAGATGCGGTCCAACTCGGTGTTTTTGGTAGGGAATATGGCGTCGGGCTGTTTGCAGCCATCTTCGACGCGATATCTTGGCCTGCCAAGCGGCAGCCTCTGGAGTCCAATCGGGGCGCTATCTGGGAACAGCAGAGAAAGGGCGAAAGACAGAGCGAATATGCCGCCAACGTACTTGGCAGTCTTGGGCCAACCCCGCTGTCCTTGCGGGGGCGGGGTTGCAACTGGGAGGGCCTTTTCCATGATGCGCAGTAGCATCAGCCGTTGTTCTTCTTTTCTTTCTGTTCAAGAAAAAGGTTCAATGTCGGAAAACGGTGTGGTTTTCGGGAGAAGTCTTGACTCCCCTCTTTTTATCGGTTATCCCAACCCCCGACCAATCACCAACCCCAATCACCAACGGGCCGCGAGCGTGCCGACGCTGCAGATCCCCGCCACGCCTCCTGCCACTTTGGGCGAGCGTGTGGCACGTTAACGTCCTTTCCGCTTGCCACGCCCCCACTGTTTCGGATTAATCTCGCACTCAAGCTCAGCCCATCTGTCGTCATTGCGCCTAGCGATAACGACTGGCGGCTAGAGAGTTAAGACAGAGAATGAGATGCTACATCACGTCGTTTTTTTTTTTTTTTTTTTTTTTTTTTGCAAGATACCTATTCACTAGATTTCCAGATTGACATGGACTTACACGCCGGTAATAACTGAACTGTACGTTCTGCAACAAAATTGAATGCCGAAAAAATAATTGTTCAACAACTCCATCTTCTTGGCCAGCCTCACCACGTGACCGCTCAGCCAACGTGATTTCTTCCGAGTTGCAGTAGAATTTTGTCAACGTCATAGCAGAATTGCTTTGTAAATCGACACCATACCTATGAGAAAACCTCCAAGTCAAATATTCCCAAACCGCTTCAACCAAACATGCCTCGTATCCTCCAAGTATAAACGTTGAATCCAACCAAATTGCGCCTCATATGCTCGATGCCACCCCTTACCAGCAAAATCGGTTTAGGAGTGGTAGCGGCACTCTTCATGTCCGCACAAGCCGGGGATGGCTGTCTTCCATCTCTGTCTTCCAACTCTAATTTGTGCACACTTTGCTTGCTTTACATCACGTGATCATCATTCCACAGCATGTAAATCGCCTCCTAATTACGTAGCAAGTATGACTGACATCCTGTGCTATATCGCAGTCAGACCTGTGTTCGCTTTCAATATGTGCGTGGCGATGTATATAAGCCATTTCAAGTTTGTGATAAATCCAACAGTGAAAGTCCCTCCTTGAGCGGAGCCTCGTTGAGCAGACAAAACAAATATGTTCTGTTTAATGCGCCCCCCCTGGCCTCTCTTCTGTCCGCCTGCGCCTGCGCCTCCGCCGTTTTTGCCGCGGAGCAGAGCCCACATGATGAGCAGCTCGGCGCCGGCCCCAACCCATGGGGGAGGAGCATTGTAAGGAAAGAGCCCCGACCCACACACAAAACCAGATTGCACACACAACCGGCTGGCCAAGACCTCACTCCTTTGTCATGACCTCTCACCCGCCGGCCCAAGCACTCCGCCATATATATAAGCAGTGACCCTCGTCCCCTTCCTTTGCGAGGGCCAGGTTGAAGTCTCACACCAATACCAGTCATTGCTCGCACCACTCATTGCCCACATCGTGACCACCTTAATCAAGCGTACCTGCCCTCACTTACAAGCATGATGCCGAGCCACCCAAACAGGATGAAAAGCTCGGCACCGGCCCCAGCCCATGGGACAGAAGCATAGTGCCGAGCCCGCCATACATGATGAGCAGCTCATGCCGGGGAGGAGGCTGCTCTGCCTGCTCGCGTCGCAACCCGGAACCGATGGCTGGGTAAGTCGAAGCCTAAGCGCCAAGCCATCCTTTACTTGGCCTGACAGGGGACCGAGGAGAGTCAAAGCCGAATCCCTGCCGGCGCCCTTGCTCTCCGATTGGAAGCTAACCCTGGACCGTTTTTTCCCTTTTCTTTTTTCTTCTTTTTTTTATTTAATTTTTTTTTTACGTATTTTGTGCGATGGTCGAGGCCAACAAGGCATAATCCTCCACAGTAGCCCGAATTTAAAGTCGCATGGTACCGGTTCGTTTGCCAGGTGTCGTCCCAATTACACCTTACGGATCCGTTCGAGCTTCGTTCGAGCTTGTCAGACCCCCTGTAATGATAGCCCTGAAAACTGGCGGCGCTCAAACGTCCCACCCATTTCCCGCCCTCAGAGTAGAAAGATGCGCTGAGGGGTAGGCAGCCGAGGTCCGTGACGAAGTCTGGGGCGTGGGCTCGATTGAACAGCCTCTGGTGCAGATTATGGTGGTAGTGGCAAGTGTTTAAATGAGAAGTTGAAGGAGCGAAGTGGGGAAAGGTTCCATATGAACAGCAGTTAGATGTGGCTTGTCGATCCAATGCCATAGGCAAGTTCCGTTTCCAAGAGGCCCTGACAGCCGTTATGTGAAAGATTGGCTTGTTGGTTAGGCAGCTGGCGACTTTAATCTGACACCTTTTAAGACGTGGCGTTCCGGTTTTGGCACTGGGGATAGTGGCCGTGTTTCCCGGTCTTCTGTGACGCGAGGCTGTGAGTGAACGGCGCGCCAAGCATGAAGTAGTGAGACACTTACTCTCGGCCTCGGCCTCGGCATCCTCTTTCTTGATCTTCTTGGAAGGAGTCTTCTTCTTGGATATTGTCGCCGTCATCCGACAACTTTTTGAACTTGTAAAAGGAGAATGTGTCGGCTTCATCCGTCGTTGAACTCTTCCGTTTCGTCTTGCGATCGCCGGTAGGCTGCCATTTTTGAGCGGTCGATGGTCATGTGAATTATGATCGCCCTCTGGTCGTGCTTTTCATTTTTCTTTCCTGCTTGTTTGGTGTGTGCGTGGGTGTGGGCGGTCGTGTGTGGTGAGGTAACAACGCTTCACACATCCTGCGGTTAAACTCTTCGCCAAGAATATGAAGCTGAAGTTGCGTAGTGTCTGCCAGCACAGTGGTTGGACAGGGTGACGACGCGCATCATCCTCACGCGTGGAGGGGACGTGGCCTTTTGAGTGCACGCAATCGTAAGATGATAGTGCTCTTATGCTAGCAATAAATTAGATGCCCAACTAGCACTTGTTTAACAGGAAGAAAGGAATGAGGGTGAAAACAGATGGCCAAAATGTAAGTAAAAATTGTGCAGCTGTGTGTGACTGCGTGTGACTGTGTGTGACTGTGTGTGACTGTGTGTGACTGTGACTGTGTGTGACTGTGTGTGACGGAACAGCACAAGGTGCTTATGGTTTTGCTTTTTATTAGGGTTAAGTCTGCTACAGGCGACATCAGGCTTAGCAGGCAAACACAATAAGACGGCGGATTCGGAGCCTCTAAGCTCGGACTATGGTACCTGGCCCGATGTGCCTCGTCCTTGTTATTGTCTGGCTACACTGTCCTAGATCTGGAGCGTGACATCTCCCTAGTTCCTAAACATTAATATGATCGAATCCTGGGTCATTTACGATCCATAACTCGGTCCCTTATAGTTTCTGCTTGTATCATAAGTTCTTCAAGCTTGTAACACCCCGGCGCCACCCAGGACCCCAGCATTGTCCAAGTTATACGATGAGAATGAGCCCCACAAGTGTTCCTAAGGCACCTAATTAATAAAACCATGATGAAAACCTAAAAGACGGATCAGAAAAGATTAGCAAGACAATAGTATCAAATTGACGTAAAAGGCACAAAGGATGAAGACCTGGTAGGACGACACTCACCAATGGGCTGCGCATGACCGACATAGGGCCACCTTGAACCAAGATATTTGAGACTCGTATCATCCGCCACAGCCTGACGGTCGAAGATGCTTTCCACGTGGGGGCACCATTAATAACTACCACTGTCTCGGCTTGGAATTTCGTCGTATTTTGGGGTGCCTGAACCGCCTTGTGCACATTAATCCGGCAGTCCCTATGTATCCAGTCGGCTGGTCAGTACCTTTTTCTTTTTCCTTCTCCGACCGCCACGGTAGTTCCCATTCCTTTCTACATGCATTGTAATTCATCATAGTGTGCGCAATGTAATTAGCAGACGCATGACTGGCCCCATTCACTCTCACAAATGAGAAGACGAGGAGGGTAATAACTGCGACAGCAGCACTTTCAACGCCTTTCTTTTTGCGGCGGTGTTGGTCCCTGAAGACGGCGAATTACCCAGCGGTGTCCCTGAATCATCGCAGCGCTCACACGAAACCTACCCCATTGTGGTGCGCGCAGGAAATCACGTCAACACTCGGACGGCTGACGCACCGACTGGAACAACGGTGCTGGAACAATATTGGGTGGCGATAGTGGCGATAGTGGCGAAAGGTGGGCCAAAAAACCAATCGAGGGCAAAAAGAAATCCCCAGAGAAAGACAGACGTATTGTTTCGGACTCGCCAAACCTGGATTTGACCAGAATCTACTTTTCCTTAAAATCCCCTGCTCAGAGAATTCATCCATGGCTAGATCCTTCTCATGAGCGTCTATCGGGTCCTATTATTTCCCGACCGAAGCGGGAATCGACCTGGGCAAGATACTTCGTCGTGATGTACAATTTTTTGCAGCTGCGTCTAGTACCATTACACCATTTAGGCCCCCAGGAAACCGTCTGTCCTTCTCCGGGCAACCGGAGTTGTTGGAAAACGTGCCCGGAAAAGCTCCTAATAGGCCCTTTGCAACCGCATTTTCTGAGCACTGACCAAGACACGCGGTCACGCGGCGCCCTACCCCCCTTTCTATCCGAACAGACCCAGGCCCAGGACTTGGCTCTGGCGGCCGGAAAATCTTGGGCTCCAGGCCATGCCACGTAAGCAGTACTTGTCAACAAGCAGTAGCGCGATGACCAGCCTGCTTACGAGGAGATAAAGCCAGTAGCCTTGTCAAGGCGGTCAAGCGCGCTGGCTGCCTGGATAAGGCGATTGGTGTCGACGCGGAGAAGATGGCACTTGTCAACTGCCTTGCGGCTCGCATCGCGCGACACAGTCCCTATGGTTTGTCAAAAACGCGCCAGCAAATGGAAGGGTGATATTTCAAGATATAAAGATGGATATGTGCAGAAAGGGGAGAGTGTAGAGAGGGAGACAGAAAGAGGGAGTGATGGGGAAAGGTAGGGAGGTTGAGTAGCAAAGAGGTAGAGAGTCAGGTAGGGTGTGTGGAAGAGGAAAATAAATGGAGAGGAGGGGAGGTGGGGAATCGGTCGAGCTTTTGATGCGAGAAGAAAACAGGAGGACGAGTTTCACAAGTGCCCCGCTAGAAAGGTGCCGAAGGCATCTTCGGGCCCGCTCTTAATATTGCGTGTGGACTATGCTTGAACACGGTGACTTGTTCTCTTCAGCAAACAACACGTGCGTTCCGTCTGCCTTGAAGATTGTGGGCCCAGAAAAAGACCATGGCCTAGAAACCCTGTGCAGTTACAATGCTTCCCATTAGGAAGGTCATATTTCAGGCATCTATACTAACGAGGGAATCATCCGCCTCTGTTTTTGCCATCTCGCTTTGACACTTGGACGGGGCCTCTACAGCCACGTGGGGCCTTGGCAAAGCCCATTGTTTCGTAGGAACAATAACAATAGGAGCAGTGGCTCCACTACTACGGATGATAAGAACTAAAGCATGCATATAACATACAACACAAGCATCATTTGTCATCTCATGAGTTCCGTTTTATGTCCATACTTGACAGATGTCAAAAAGGGGGGTGTGTGTGTGTGTGTGTTATGGTTGTTGGTAGTCCTTGGGGGGAGAAGTCACGTGAGGAGCACGTGACAGTAATGAAGGCCTGCCTGTAGGATAGAAAGATCCATCTTGGGCTCAGGGGCGCACAGGCTCGCGGCCTTCCATGACTTTCAAGTCAGCTGCTAACGGCGACCTCTGCGAGATTCTACCGTGGAGTTGTTCATGGTCGACCGTTCTGTCGATCCCGAACTAGACTGCAAGGCGAGATACGTAAATGCAAAGAAAGGTTAAATTTTAGGCAGGATCCGACCCAGGGTTTCATTTTCCAGGCAAGAATGCGAACCCGCTGGCCGAAGGAGGCGTTTCCGGGAGAGGGGTGACGTTGGCCGAGATCCCACTTTTCCAGGGGCAAACCATCCCACCCAACGCAGCGGCGTCGGACTCGAAGGCTTGCTTGCTTGTGATCTACCCTCGACTTAAACGAAGCTCTTTGGAAGCCACCAATGCAATTTCTCAGCCCGCATCCAGCGCATCGGCTTGGGTGCCATAAAACTCGGGAGAAATCACGGAAAAACACGCCGCCCGTGCGTGACGAAGTAATACCCGAAGATTTGCAGGGTTACACAGGCTTACCTGCAAAGGCATTGTGCGCTGTGGTTGGCTCTCGTTCTCACCTGTGTTTTGCCAAAGTACCTCACCCCCTCTGCGCCGTTGCCAATGGGTTTCAGGGGCAAGTGACATGGGCCACGACCGACCGACCGTGTGGTTTGGCCAAGACAGGTTGATGACGACACCATGCTAGGATATATTTCCCTTCTACACATTGGATGGGTCGGCCGCTAAGAACTTTCAATCACAGGACACTCCGCGTTTAACCGGGGTGGAGGCGAGATTGAGATAGAAATAGAAAATCACTGGTCGGCCGACTTCTGGAGGCGTGGTTTCGGGTCAACTTGGAAGAAACCCATCCCTGCAAAAGCACAATTCAAGCCCACACCTCGTGGCACATAATAAGCAGACACCACCGTTAGTTCGGCAGGTACCTAGATAATTACCCAAATAAGCACTCCGAAGTTCAAGGTTAATTATGTGTGGGTGAACGCTGGTTGGGTATCATTGGATTGTGTGTGTGGCTGACGTGAGAGCCTCACCACTCAGCTCCACCATCTCTCATCAGGGTGTGCACCTGTTGGTAAGAACAGCACGGCCCAGTTTGGATGAAGATGGATTTGAGTTTCGAGAAGGATTTGAGAAGGCTTGGCCATAAAGTCGGCAGAAGAACTGTCCAATTTCCCATTTCGAGCATCTTCTCAGCCGAATAAGAGGCACGGCTGGTCTGCTAAGAGACAGTCGAGATGGCTGCCGTGGTCACCCGACTGAAATTTATCAGCTCGTCTCAAGCCCGCGTGGATCAAATCTCAAGAAGGTTTTGGGGTGACTCGTTGGTCGCTGATCTTTCTTGGTGGAACTGCAAGCTCTATCTTGAATGAAAAGAAAGAACAATGGCCGAACATATACCAACGTAGGGGTTGCTGCCGAGAACAACGGAAGGTGGCCCGTGGAAGGGTCCCCATTGGCAGACACAACAATCGTTGTTGCTGGACTGGGCGGTTCATAAACTGGCTCTTCTCAGGGGCTGGGTTCAATCCGCAGAAACAGGACAGGTCTCGGATCCTGCGGTTGGTAGACAGTCACAGGAGCCAGAGCCAGTCCAAGCTTGACAGGCAACATGCCAACTCACACAATGACGAGTTGAATAAATGAAAGGTATTGGTGCTGCGTCTTCGAATATTGTTTTTTTTCAGACGGGCTGAGCAACCTAGCGTTAAGATCGCGTAACTAGGTTACTAAGGTAGTTAGGCGAAGAAGAGGCTCAGGTGATAGCTTGAATCCTGCCATTCTGTGATCACCCAAAATCCGCATCTCGAGTCCTTCGCCCATTCTGTTTTAACCCTCCAAGTCCAAACGTTGATGGAGTGCATCGAGACTAGAGGTCGAGCCCAAATCGACTGGCTAGTAATATGGCGCAACTGTCAAACGCTGTGACACCAGGATTCAAACCCGCTCGAAAATAATACTAAGGCCTCTGAGATAGTCTACACAGCATTCGAGCAGTGTGACTCTAAGGCTGGGCTGAGGCTCGAAGGGGACAGGCTCGTGGCAAGCAGCGAGGCCGTCAGGAGAGAACCTTGCAAGTCCTGCGGCAATTGCACCAATCAGTCAGCCCATCGTCGTGGAGGATCGTGCCGCACCACTGCAGCCCTGCCAGAAAGAAAAGGCTTCTGAAACGGTGCAGCAAGTCGGCACATGGCCCCCCACCGCCAATCCACCCCTGGCAAGCGTTCGAGTGCGCGACTAGTTTTGTGGTCACTGCCCGCAGCGATCGCAGGCACCTGGGAATTGAGAGGGGCACCGCCCACTTCACCCCTGACCTCACCCACAACACCTTGTTAGACGTTGTGGGTGGGACGGAAATGGGATGACCGTGAACTTTAATTATCGACTCCAGCATTCGAGTAATCGCTCTGTGGTGGTGTTGTTGCATTGGACTTGAGAACGCAATATCGGCTGATTTATCGTGGTCGGGTTTTCCACCCGCCAAGTCGAGAAGAGATGCGTACTTCAATTGTTAGTGAACAGCGTCCACGAGATGCTGCATCCATGGGCATTCCTCGAGCTTCTAGAAGAACCGGCCTGGGAATCACACGATACTACGGCTCATCCAGGAGGGGCACTTGGTGTGTTGACCGTTGAACTTGTTCCCTGGGCGAGGTGCTAATAATATCGATGGATCGGCCGGCTCTGGTGAGCAAGGCAGGCAAACCGCTACGTGGGTTCGTTTGTAGGGGGGTGTGCGGTTGCTTCCAGCGCCTGCACTGCGCCCGCGTTCCCGTCACTGCTGTTGTGTGACGGTTAGATTCTGAAACAGGTCAATCCACCGAATAACTGATGACGGAAGACCCCAAATGGCCACAGCGAAGCCAGCAGTGTGTTGTGCCCTTCTAAGCAGCGTATTACACTACCTAACATGGAATCCGATTGTCGCATCTGGATTGCCTGGGGTGGCTCCGCCTGGCATGCCACCCACTGATGACGGAAATCCGAGGCATTGGGTTAGCTTGCTGGCCGAACCAAACGCGTTGGAGATTCCTCGGGCAGGCAAGTCAATGCCAATTGCTAGGCAATGTCTTAATCCTGTTGAAACCGGACTCGCCTAACAATTTTATGGAAATGAAAAGCGCAAGCGTGGGATGAGGACGAGTGGGCAGAATCACATTTGAGCGAGCGACCTCCTTCGGCAACAGCACGAGCTCTTAGATCGCTGTCGTTGGGCAATTGGACCCTGAGAGCCGTGGCGGCCTGGGTTCGGAAAGATATCCCCGCATCGGGAAAGAGGTCGGGCCATGCCCTGCCCCTCGCGCACCCTGCTGTGGTCAAGTGGATCTGAGGTAATCCCTGTCAGTAATGCCTGTCGTATCCATTCTTGTTGGTAGGTCGGCAGGCGGGTTCAGCGGATCCCAAAGGGGTTAGACCGAACCTTGTGGGCAGTCACTGACTGGGCCCTGTAGGTACCTACGTACATGTACCATCACGCTGGCTTGCACATTCCTGACCACGACAAAGAAATTTGGTTCAAAAGATGCAGCCATCCCCTCGACGCGACGAAAGAGATTCCTCAAATCTCGACGTCTCATCTTCCAAGACTATTATTTGGAATCACCGCGTACTGCCCAAACCTCGGCATTGCCTCGTGCCTGCAACAACACCACCTGTATTAAGAGCTACATTGGCCTCGGCACACTCTCCGTGCCTGCCCACCCATTCACTCCTCGTTGTCCACCACCTCTCAGTTCAGAACCACATTGCCCACCATGGGTTGCCTTTCGGCATTAAAGTTGTGGAGGAAGAGCCCAACAGCAGCAGATGTCAACCAGAGAGACGCTTCCCAGGCCCCCTCCTACCAGAACAGCATCGTCTCGGATAACAGCCGTGCCTCCGACTTCGAGAAGCCGCTCTTACCAGCCGTCGGGCGCGGTGCTGGCGCACCACCGACACGAGAGGCCATATTAAGCATCCGGCCGACAGCCCATCACAGCTACTCGGCATACTCGGGGCCAGCCAACCCCTCCAGACAGCAGCCCAACTGGTCACCATACCGAAGCGACAGGCCCGCCGCCTCCCCGAAATGGACCGAGTCGCTTGCGTCAACAAAGGCGTCCGAACCCACATGGGCCGAGCCTAAGACTGACGGCATTGACGAGTCGGACGAAAAGGCCCAACAACGGAGGGCAGACGAGGCACGGCGGAAAGCCGAGAGGGAGGAGCAAGAGCGACTGGACTTTTTCCAGATGATGTAACGACACACCATCGCGCAAACAAACCACAACGCACAACAATACGGACGAGAGCAAACTCGCACCACCACCGCCGCCACGGCATCACCACTTGTACATACACCGACCATTTGCGGACTTTTACACTAGGAAAGCGGGGAAAACTAGGGACACCAAGGGCGTTTTTTTATTTACTACTCATCTGTTTCAGGGTCGGGGCACACTGTAGGTTCGCAGTGCACACATTTACGGGGAGGGGGTTCCGGCGTTCAACTAACACGGCTATTTGGCCTGCTGCTGCTGCTGCTGCCCACGGGCAACACACAACATCACGGCCACGGCCAACAGCCAATGGGCGACTGCATTTGTTCTGTATTTTCTTAATGTCTGTACCTGTACATACATTCCTGACCTCTCTTTTCCTCTGTCAAACTCCAGCCCCCGTTTCTATTTTTGAAGCGGTGGCCAGGCAGATCGCAAAGCAGCGATCCAACAATTCACCATGCGGGAAGCAATAGCTTCCCGAAAATGCTCATGTTGATCCGTGCACTTGCTTGCATCATGACCTAGTGCCTTTCCTGCTGTGCTTTGCGGCCTTTTTTTTGGCTTTCGCGTAAGTAAATGTGCACACATGCACGCCGCTGCAGTACTTCGGGGGCTGGCTTGCCATCACCGACGCCACCACTCATCGTCATAGGTCGGCCAGCACGACCGCATCCCGTATCGACGAACGCCTCTTTTTATTTCGCTGATACGAGAAACTGTTCGATAGTATTGGCATTTTTGGGGGGTTTCTTTTACGTCCGTCTTCTAGCTGGAGAGATTCAGCTGCTGTGGAATTACGTAACGTTGGGAAACACGGGATTCTTCGCGCAAACTGCATCGATAACAATGGGACAGCACACACACGGCAGCCGTCGTCAGTCAGTCGAGTTCATGCACTGACCCGTCCCCGTTCGGCCAAAAACAACGCCCGCCGCGTGTGGTCCAGTGCCCTGGCCTCTGGGGCAGCGCTGCCGATCACGGGGCGGGCTCTCGCTCCGGGTATTTTTGCGCCTGTGCAACCTGCAACCCACTGGGCCGGTCGGTCGGCTAGCGCGCGGCCGCCCTCTCACGCAAACTCAACCGGGAAATCTTGGACACTGGAAGCCCGGGCAGCCCACCAGCATTTATTTGCCTTTACGCTTCCAGTGTTCACTACAGCAGCTCTACAGATAGGTAGTGCAGGAAGTCGGTGCAGAGAGCATCGACTACGATATACGCCTACGGATTTTCCACATCAGCTCGTTGGACGCTGTTTCATAGGCGGGGGGACGGCCGAGGCGCGAAACAGGTGCTATCCGCGGGTTGTGACTTCCCCAGCTTTCACTCCTTCAGGGGGGTTCTTTAGGGGTTCCACTATTCGCAAAAAGCCCTGGGCCTCAAACCTTGGTCCTTTTTTTCCCACTTCCCAGGCCGTCAAATGGGGCAGGGCAGCTGGGCTGTCGTTCAGTTCCAGGCAGCGGGGAAAAGATGTTTCCCCAGAATCCAGATCGACCCGCGGGACAAGTTGGACGCTTGCAATTTCGCTAGGGCTAGGTCCGGGCACCCCACATTCCAAACGGACCCCGGAGGTCGGAAATCACCAATACACGTCTGGGCCAATGGACGCGCGTCCTGCGTGTCATCCATTCCCCGCAAAGTGGAATTTCCATTTTCTGCCCGTCCACGAGGTCGCGTCATCTGATTCCGGTAAGATGACGGGGCGGTCTGTCTTCAGCTGTCGAGCCCGCGAGTCCCGACAAAAAGCCGGGTCTTCTGATCGGGGCCTTGCCCTAGTTCTCATCCGCGGCAAACCGAGCCTGGCGGCACAAAAAGAGCACTGCGCAAACTCAAGCCTCGATTTTAACACGTGCGCCGGCAGGCAGCGATGGGAAAACAACGCTGGCTGCGCTTCGGGCCTTGGGGGCGCTGTGGCTGACGTCAAAATCCTGGCGGCTGGCATCAGACTGTGTGCGCTTATCGATCGCCGGACTGTCGCATGCAGTTGGTGCGAGGGAAAGTGACGTTGACAACAACGAAGTCCAGTGCCTTATAATTGATAGAACTTGGATTTTCTACAAGAAGCTCGATTTTCCTATCTAAGCCCCTCTTCGTTTTTTTTTTCGCGCGCTAGGTTAACCTAGTTTTTTTAGTAGTTTTTTTTTAACGACTTGTGATGCTCATTTCGGGAGAACGGACGGCATATAGAACCGTTTTGGCCATCGGCTGTTCTCGCTAGGAGTACGGTTGCACTCGCTAGTCCGCAAGGTAGGACCGTCTTCGGCTGCGGGTTGTAAATTAATTAACAACTCCCGGAAATGGCCCGAACAATCTTGGGACGTGCCTTGACGCCAAGCTGGCACGTTGCAAGTTTTTTGGGCAAGTTCCTGAACTGGTTTATTACGGTTCAGACCGCCGTCTTAGGGCTCTTCGATTCCCTGTCCTTTTGCTACCTACCCTCTATGGAAGAGCAGCAACGACGGGGGCAGTGCATTCAAGTAAACAATAGTCTCTTCACTAGTTGAGTGTTGGAAGAGAAAAACATTATGGTTATTTAAGATAGAGAACTTGGATGAGAGTTGTCCTCAACACTCCATCACTCTTGCCCTCGTCACCGCATCTCCTTCATTGCCCCTTCTCGTTCTCTGACAAGAACCCCGGGTCTTTCTGCTTGATCGCGAGATCGAAGAAGACCGTTACTGCTGTACCGGAGCCCGCTGTTTCCCCATTCTCATTCTTGGTCTCGTGCGCCTGGTACACATCAGGAACCGTTTGACTTCTTTCTGGCCCAGGCCAAGGATGTCATGAGACTTCCACTCCGTGCCATCGGGAGTATCACCAACCCCAAGATACTTCCACGATTCCTGTACACAAGCCTGTGTCTCGTCGTACCCAGCAGTGCCTGGTACTTCCAAGCTGGCGAGTGGAAGAGAATACCTAGTCGGCTCAGCACGAAGTGCGTGCCATGGCGCGTTCAGTGGTATCCTTAGGCTATTAGCAACGGTGGTGGCCGCCCCGGATATACGTGCGTTAGTATCTCGGGTCCGTAATCACTCTTGACGTTGAATAAGTGGCATCTGGCAGAGACAAAGTTGAGATGTAAATGCCGGGGGGGGGGGGGGGTAGCCTCTGTTGTTGCTGTCTTTATGATGTCCCGATCTGGCGCCTCTGATGGTCAACTTACGCATGCTCGCCAGCTGAGCTGTCGTCCCTCCCATAGGTACCTGGTTGACGATTTGAAACGGGTGGTAGAATTGGCGACACCATGGACACGGGAGTTCTGGAAGATATATTCCGTTCCTCTCGAGGAACTGAGCAGCCTATAGTTATCGCGTTCTGACCCTCTACATTGCAGAATGCAGTATGATGGCATGGAATGTTAACCACGTTTGGGACAAACTAAAGTAGTCAAGATTTTGTAAATAATTATTAGAGAGATTCTGCTGTTCTGCCAAATTTGTGTTGGCTGTGGTGCACGTTTTGCATCTAGCTCCCGCTCTAAGAGGAAGCGAACCTGGCATAATTCACTAGAAGATGTGTGTCACTGTGCGTTCAAACAAGTTTATGATACTGTAGCAGTTGCGGCTACGACCATGTGCCAGCATCTGCGTGAGGGCGTGTGGCAAATTTGTAACAAAGTATTGGCCAATAGATATTAGACTCAACTTTGACAAAGAAATATAAATAAAGAGACCGTCGATAAAGATCTAAGTGACGTCGGCCGCAATCGAGTTATTGACGGATGTTTTGAATGGTGGAATTGCGCATTTCGAAGAGGCCAGTCTGTTCAAATCGATGCCTTGACACCTGTCTGGGTGGGATTTACAACACATTTATTTCACTTTGCTGCACATCGTGTACAGTCCGACAGGCAAACTGGGTGGGACATCTAGTCAACAACTGACGCGAGCAGGGTGCGGAAGTTGACTGTGTTGACGCTTGTTCCCTGGCACCACTGGCTTGCTGATGCGCAGGTGAGAAAACGAGGCGGTCAACAAGCGGCAAGACGTGTTCAGTCGGTGGGAGGCGTACAAAAACCGCCCAATGAAATACAAGGTCTGGGGCAGTGGCCAATTTCTGTCCCAGGAACCGAAGTGAGAAGCCGATCTCCGATAAGGAGCGCAATGTTTTGCAGCTCGAGAGTGCGGCGGTTTCTACGTGGTGGAGATATGAATGGAGTCTCGGCCAGAAACGCAGCGACTCCATCCCAACAATCGAGACCGGGGACCGACGTGGCAGGCGAATTGGGAAATCAGTTTACGAGAGCAAATGCCAATCAGTGCAGCGCTCAATCGAGGGGGAAACTCGGGCTCCGACGAAGCATGGCTGCCCTTATCAATTGACGAAGGCGAGAGTGCCAGTTGGCCAAGGCGGGGCTCCTACTGCGTAATTAGACAATTATTGGGCACTGCGCTCTGGTGACCAAATTCTTGGCTCGAGGCACGGCCCGGGACATGGTTGGGCGACGAGGCGGCTAAAGACGGTAAGACCCAGCTTCCCGGGGCTGTTTGCAAGCACCTTGCACGCATCGAGCGCGCTGTGAAGAATCAGTTGTTGACGGAGACTGCCAGGGCATCTCCAATGCACGCCAAGCCACGAATTCCTCGGGCCACCTTCCGGTGCGGCGCTCCCGCTGCTTGGTGTGTCGGCAAAGGCAAAGGTGTGACGGAGCAGAAAGTAGGGCTTTGGGTTTGAGCGACAGTCTTTGGGCAGCCAATGGTGGTTCCATGCAAAATGGAAGCCTTTTCCAGGCGGGGCCCAGGCGGGTCCCGCGTCTTAGTGGCCTGGAAATGCGGGGCAGGTGGACGAAAAGGGCGGAAGCGGGGCCAATCAACAGCAGGCGCGACCCTGCCGCAAGGGCGTTGGCGATCGATGCTGCCACGTCAAAAGGGTCACGACCACCTGATTTTTGAGGGAGCCCCAGCAACCACAGCCAGCGCGCCCAACCCGCCAGCTCCCCATTCACGCCAGCGCAGCTAGGATTGGCGAGACAGGGCGGAGTGCTGAGCTCCAGTGACGACGACAGCAACACGATGGAGCTCGAGCCCTTCAGGCCGTCGGGTGTCCAGACACCGTCGGTCTCGGTGCAGCGTTGCGGCAGTCGTGGTTGGCCTTGCTCTTCTGGCTGCTGCACAATTGCTCCTTGTCCTTTTCCCGATTCGCGAGTCTCGCCCTATCATGGCCCAGCAGACCCGCAGGGCCCTTGACGAACCCCCCTTCCCGCGCAGCCCAGCCTGGACACTTTGCTCTTTCGCCGGTTGGAGAATTCCCGTCCAGACTGCTCTTCGAGCCCAATCCACCCCAATCATTAGACAGACCATGGAGAGCCCGCTTGGTTGGCACCACGCAGTCTGGCTATGGCTTGCATCATGACTCAACGCCAACCGCCAACCACCTCGCGCCCCCGCCAGCCCTCGAATCGTCATCGGTTGCCTGCATTCTCCGGCAGCGACAGAGCCCGCTCTGTTCTCAGTATATAGCTGGAGAAGGACAGAACGCTCCTCGGCCACATCGTACCCACTGCCCTTGAAGCACCGAGATTGGACGCCAGTTCATCGTGCCCCAAAATCAACGCCATCAAACGCCAGTGGCCAGCGCCATCCCCCATTCTCACTCCTTCCTTCTGTCAAGTTGCTCCTCGACAGCTCGCCCAACCTGGCGACCCTCGAAGTAGAGACGCCTCAGGCCTACATCAACAAGCCGTCTACGGCTCCTCCCAACACGAATCCATCCATCGACCCAAGCACGCCAAGCATGGGGTCAATCGGGAGTGTGGACCCGTCGCAAGCGGTCGACGGCTTGGTCCGTGCCATGCGGGATCTCACTGCTGACACCAACTACAAGATCGTTGCCGACGTCTTCAGCGAGTTCCTGTTCCTGAAAGAGCACAACAACCGCCTTTCCAACTCCCACGTCGTCGTGCTCGAGGAGTACCGCAAGTTCAGGAATGAGCTTGAGTCCCACGAGGCCCTGCTGATCAAGGAGAAGGGGGAGCTCGAGCAAACGATTAAAGAGAAGGTCCAAGAGTCACACCAACTCAGCGCCATCAAGATAAAGTTGGAGGGCGATCTTGAGGACACGATAAAAAGCCTCGAGCTGGAGAAGAGCAATGCTGCCGACGCCGCCAAAGCTGCTGCAAAGGAGCTGGCCGACCTCCAAGCAGCAAAGGTTGTTGTGGAGGATGCGAAAAAGGACGCAGAGGATGCCGCCGCCGCCGCCGCCGCCGCTGCGGCGCAGGAGATCGCAGCTCTGACAGAAGCCAAGACCGGCCTGGAAGAGGTGAAGGCGAGCAACGAGGCCGAGATTGCATCGCTGCAGGGGAATGTTGCCGGGCTCGAGGGCGCCAAAGCCGCGCTGGAAGAGGTCAAGGTTAATAAAGAGGCCGAGATTGAGAAGCTGAAGGAGAACATCGCCACCTTGGAGGAGGAGAAGAAGAAGGTGGAGGAAGCACTCGAGGCAGCCAATCAAAAGATTGCCTCCTTGAACGACACGGTCGCCCACAAGGACACGGAAATAGAGAGTCTGCACGAGTCACTACGGGCCGTGGAGGAGCAGATCGGCTCCCTGCAGCAGACCGTTGACGACAAGAACGGCGAGATCGATGATCTTCATGGTCGACTCAAGGCCGAGACTGAGCGGGCCGAAAATGCCATTGCCCACGGCAACGATCTCCAGACAAAGCTGGAAGAGACGGACCACGATCTGCAGGCCATGACTGGGAGGTTTGAGGATCTCGAACAGTACCGGATCGAACTCGAGCAGGACAGCGAAGACAGCTAGTAAGTCGCTTGGTGAACCACCCAGCAGTCGAGGATTCCAACCCGTGTCCCAGAGACCCTGTCCTTTCGGATTACTAACCGCCCATGCGCGATCAGTGTTACGGTTCTTGACAAGATCTGGACTACGCTTGTGCACCTGGTTGAAAACACGTTCCGGCCAGACATCGACGAGTCAATCTTGGCGGACCAGTCCTGCTGGACAAACCTGCGCAACTCGCAATACCTCAAGCATGCAACACAGCTGCAGGTACCATTGCCGCCATCCAACTCGCCGGCCGCCAAGGGCATGCGCATCAGCGCGGTTCTAGCTGTGCTCTCGCGGGCGCTGCACAAACACGTGTTCCGGCCAGTCTACATCCTCGAAGACGACGACGAAGGTTTAGTCAAGTTCCTCCGCACCCTCGAGGACGAAGATCCATCACGCGAGGCCCACATGCGAGCAACGCTACTGTCTATGATGCCCGAGAGGCAGCTCGACCAAGGGGCGCGCCGCGTCAAGACAGTTGTACGGGAGGTGTCGTGGCTCGTACAGCACTTGCTCAGTGCCCTGCAGTTCGAGGCATTCTGCTCCGGACTCGAATCTGCCTGCCGGGTGGCCTGTGAGCAATGGCGTCGCATCCAGATAGCCAACATCAAGATCGAGCCATACTTTGGGCCTCCGTATGACGACTTCGACTGGCAGGTGCTCGAGCTGCCAGAGTTTGCCGAGGCGGCTGAGGGCGAAGATGCGATGACGGTGACCATAGATGACCATGACGACGGCGCTACCGTGACCGATGGCCCGCTGGAGACGGTAGAGGCTAGTGAGGTGCAGTCGGACGGTGCTGCAGGCGATGCCAACGCCATGTTCGACGTCTCGTCCCAGCAGAATCTCGACGCCTCGTCCCAGCAGAATCTCGACGCCTCGTCCCAGCAGAATCTCGAGCACGGCGTCGAAGACATGGAAGAGGAGGATGGCGACTGCGACATCGATCCGGATGAGATCCTCCTCGTTGTCTGGCCAAGCATGTGCTTGGTCGAGAACGGCGAGCTCATGTCCATCACGCAAGGCCTGGTTATCTCCAAAGAGCAGGCCCGCCCGGCTCTCGAAGAGGTGCGGTCCCGCTCACGCCAACCACCACGCCCCGGGTCTCGCCGCGCCCGCACTATGTCGATGCCGGGCCAGAGCCGCGGCAACAGCCCGCGTGGCAAGTCGGCGCATTTTTTAGCAATAGCCCAGACAGCATCCGAACCGGCGGGAGGGATTGCCGTGGATGGTGGAGCCGACGATGGGTGAAGATGCGAAGCTGCTTTGAGCTCCATGGCCATCACAGCGACGGCTCCAGCACTAAACCCGGAGGCAGTGAACGTGGAGTCAACTCTCGGGAGGTGAAGCTGAGCAGATGGACCTTGTAATAACGAATGGTTCTTTTTCTCCTTTTGCTTGGGTCTTGGCTATGAATGACGACATGACTTTCCTTTTCCTTTTCTATAATACTCCCTTCATCCGCTCTCTTTTTTTTCTAACTCATTACCAACAACCATGGGCGGGGTCGGTTTTATTTTATGGTTGCAGCATGACGCAAGGATGTACGTGAATGGATCTGTGGCGCATTGATCAAAAAGAAACCGCAACGCAAAATCAACAGTTTGTACAGGTTGTGTTCCGACTAGACCTCTATAGACCTGTCTTTTCATTTCCTTTGATTTCGCTTCTCGCTATGTCTCTTTTGCTGTTATAGCAGTCGAGGAAGAGGAAAGAACGACATGTACCAATGAAGCACGGGGTCAACGTTGGAATATCACAGCCCGGGCGGGGTTTGGGAAGGAGGTGATGGAGTGAGCAATTAATAGCAATAATGAATGAATCGTGGCACTGTCCTTCCATTTCCATGCACCCTCATTTGGGAGCTATTGCACGTAGATACGTGCGAACGAAATGCTGAGTTGGGCTTGGCATCTGCTTCTTTCCCGGCTACTGGAAACTTACGGAAACAGAGCCAGTCGGGGGACACCATCAAGATGTTTCAATGCCCCAAAACCGACAAACTCCGTCCGCTTCCAAACCGTCCAGCCCCCCTATTTTGACCACGTGATCCCTCGCCGCTTTTGCTCAGCCCTGATCAGCCCTGGCTCAGCTTCGGCTGATAGCTGCTCAACTAGCCCGGCGCAGTTTCCCAAACACGCAACGTCTTACCGGAGCCCCCAAAAACGGCCCTCGTATAATTAAGAGCAGGGGTCCAGAACTGGGACAGTGGGATGCAGGCAGCAGATCTGGTTGTGGGGTCGCCGCGTCTAATAATAGCCGAGGCACTGAGGAAAAAGTGGCGCGTAATTAATTAAATAAGCGCGGCGTGACGGACGGGCTCAGTCGCAACAGCAAGTCCCAGAAGTGTCACGTAGAATGGGGTGGTGCTCAGGGCATCGCTTGAGAGAGCTCCCTGCGGCTATGAAGCTGAGGTTTAGCCAAACTGCCGGTTACACTGCCTGGGCACCCAGAGGCTCATCAATGCAATTGATCACTTTTTGACGCTGCACTGTACTACTGGACCGACTTCGCTGTATTGATACATGCGACCTTCTGCAGGTGCCACATTCGATGATAGTGACCCCGGTAGTCGCATCAGAGCATGTAACGTAAGACCCAATGACTTTTCCAGCCAGAGATTCGATCTCTGGCATTCCGTGTTTAGGGCCTGATCTTCTCGCGAAAAATGAACCAGTTTTCGCCGTTTTTCGCGAAAAGGGGTGACTTTGCAACCCCTGTTGCAAGCGCTTACGCCAAGATGTACTGCATGGGGCCCTGGTTAGTCCAACTAGCCGTAAATAGAGTAGATTGCCAAGCCCAAGGAGACTCACCGCCTTCGTTGTTCAACGCTGGATGGTGTGTTCGTTGTCGTGGCCATTCTCTCCAGTCTGGCCAGTCCAGCTACTAGAATGAATAAAGTCGCCATGGGAGGCTTGTTGGTTAGAAGGTCATTCTATTTGGGAGCTAATCTCTACACAAAACAGATCACCAGCCAGCTTCACGACGTCCTCGCGCGCTCACTCGCATTCTTGTTACTTTTTACAGGCGTGGAACAGGGCCCTGTCGCCAATTTTGGCCATTTTTCGCGAAAAGAGGCCCCCGAAAAGCGAGATTTGAGTATTCGCCAAAACTCAAAAAAACGGCAGTATTCGGTCATCACGGCCCAGTTTTCTGGCTTATTGCAGTTAGCCACGGCTTGCATTAGCTCGGTACATTGGCTTCATGGGGGGTTCAGGGGTGGCGGGCGGCTTCCCATTTTTCAGGCGAAAAGTGCTGCCAAAAACGGGAAAGCGTCCCGGAAAGTACTGTCTTGGCATGGCTGGGGTGCTCGCTTTTGGCGAAAAGCCATGAAAAATGGCCATTTTTCGCGAGAAGATCAGGGCCTTATCCATGTTGGCGATGTTCGCCGGGATGATGCTCTTTTAAGGGCCGTAGAACTCTTCGTATGCCTCTCTCGTTGATCCGCGCGTTCGGGAACTCGCCAACAAGGTAGTCTTCTTGCTCGGGGGAGAGCCGTTGCCTCGGTATTTTGCTGTATTTGTGGGTTGTTGTGCCGCGAAGTCCATCCGACAGTGTGGATCGAGGAATAACCCTACCGAGCCGCCGCATCTTTCTAGGGGGCACACCTCAATGAGCTTCATCAATTGCAGACTGAATATTCTGCTCCCTAGCAGTCTCCATTTCAAATTGAGACAGTCTATTCGTACGGTAGGGTACAACAAGTGGCATGCGCGATGGGGCCCCGCCTACCCAAAATCCACTTTTCGCACTAGAAATTCCTGGGACGGTGCCAACGCAACCAACTTCAGATCAATTAGCTATAACTGACATGCTCAAGAATGCAATAAAAACCTGCCCTACCTAGGCATCCTCAAGATCGCTGCCTTATTGCACTTCAAAGGCTGCAGCCAAAGCCCCCGTAGTACGGCGGGTTATTGCACCGCGCGTGGAAGCCTTTGTAATGCCTCCTCGCGCCCTGCGCGTCGTGGGCGTCGAAGCCTGCGCACTAGCTGAAGCCTGAGTGCGTGATGCCCCTGAAGATGCCCGTGGTGTTGATGTCTTTGCAACACGACCGCCCCGGCTGCTAGGGCCTCCCTTTGTTGCCCGGGCTCCCTGCACCTTACCGCCGCGGCCGCCGCGAGCGGGCGGGGGGACTATGAGGCCATTCACAGTTCTTTGTACCGCGCAGGTGATAGAATCGTGGTGTTGCTGTGCTGTGCGATTGATAGTATTGTGGTGGTTGTAGTTAGACGGCTTTGGTGGATTTGGTGGATTTGGCGATGGCCTCTATTGCAGGTAAAAATTGGCCCGCGCGCAGGGTCCGGGCGTAGGGTGCCGAGCAGGCCATCTGAAGAAGCGTTCAATCTATTGAACTAGCTTTTTTACGAGTAAAAATCCGATTCTGGCTGGGCTGGTGGCTTGGCGCCTTGGCGAGCATGTTAGTTTTTATATCCTACCGTACAAGTAGACGCTTCCTGCCGTACGAATAGGCTGTCTCTTTGAAGTTAAGTTTATTCGGACCGAATATCACGAAGCTGTGGCAAGTAGAAATTGGTGGTGCGGTGTGGGACGCCGATCCGGTTGTGGGGTCCAAGCTTCTAGACTACCACTTCGCACCTCCGCCAATCATGCAAGTGCTGGGACAGGAGGGAAGCAGGTCGAGGAAGCAGCTTTATTGATCGTGCGATCCCCGATACAGACAAATATATCGTGCGGCGCACGCTTCGAAATCAGCATCGTGTACATAGTTAGGAGTACCGCATGAAGATTTTGGGTTTCTCATCTTGCTTTTTTTCGAGGACAAGGCGGAAGGCAAGCTGACTGGTGGCTTGCAATACTAAAGTGGCCCGCGTCGGGAACTCTGAACGTGTAATGATCTGCACGTTGCTTTGTAAGGGTGAGATTGTGCGATGAGTAACAAGCGACTGCACATGAATTTGACCCGATATCAATCTAAATTGCCTCTGTAACCCTCTCTGCAACCTACTGTGCCACACTCACGGACTGCAGGTCAGACATGAAATCTCGAATTCATCAGGTACATCGATCTCACTGCATACAACTCGCGCTTGTCTCCATCCTAGTGACCTGACTCAGGATCCAGGGCAGCGCCAGCCGCATAATTTCAGGTAGACCGGCCTCGTATTCGAAAGCAGTAGAAACTTGCGAGCAGCCGTGTGCAGGGATACTTTATTAAAACTGGTACGTGTGAATGATAAAGAGCATTGGACAACCGGCAACTTGTCCTGCAATTGAAAACTATTTAAACGGTCCCAGAGCTTTGCTAGAACGGAAAGTTTCAAGCTTCCGAACATAGACCTCGAGCTAAGCGTCATCCTACATCTCGTTCCGCTGCATCTACTTCGCGTCGCCGCATAATACTTCCCGCCTCCTAGTTCAACCCGGGAACTCGTTCAAAATGCGTTTTTCAGCTGCCATCATCGCCATGAGCACATTCTTGCCTGGCATTCTGGCCTTCAAGTGCGCATCGGGCTGGTATGGGGAATGCTACTACGACCACACCAATAGCGATGGTACCGCCACTCGTTGCGCCCTCAAGTGCACTTCTGGTCCCGTCAATGTTGAGTGTCACTGCCCCGACACATATCCTGGTCAGCCCTGGCCCTACACCGGGAAGCACGAGTGCATCACCATCGGTAAATACAACGGTCGCCACCATTGTTATGCTTGAAGTGTGGGGTTGTGTCGAAGGTTAGTGCATACCGAGATCCTCCCATGAAGAGATCTTCTGGACTGGATAAGCACGTCACTAATTTATATGCAGCAATTGTATCCGTACATATAGCTTAGTGTCGCAAGGACCGCTGTTTTCCCTCCCTTCTTTCGGAGAACCACAGATCTATTCAGCCATCCCTTACTTCGGCCACAACAATGCCGGCCTCCCTTACATTCGTTGGAATAGTTTCATTTTCTCCCTGGATTCGGACCTCCGTTGAGGCTGCCTTGGCCGAAATTCCAAGGCCAGATTCTCAGGTATAATAGAAGTAACAGACCCTCCGCCTTGGGTCCTGTTCTCCTCGGGCAATTCAGACAATTCAAACCCTCCTGTATCAATACCCTACTTCTTCTGTTGCCTTGTGAATGCACGTGACGCTTAGGTATAGGAAGGCGGGCGAACCATAACATAGTAGAGCTAGACAGACACACTGAGCAAATAATTTATTATTCTTGGTAATCACGAACATTGCTTGGCTCCTGAAGATTTCTTAATGCAATGCTCGCACCGGACCCACGGCGGTATGCCCCCAGTGCCCTCCTTAAGCCCCCCAAGAAACCACAACGGCCTCGCCAATTGCCCCACCCCCCTCATCCTCGATGCATCACCTTGTCCCGCCTCCCGTCTATAGCTAGTAGTTCTAGATTGATCAGCTATGTAAGGAGCACGGTAATTAACCGCAGGATTCGATCAACTCGGAACAGATTGTCAAGTGGTGGTCATCAATTACATCACCGTAAGTCATAGCTCTGTAGCAGAGCAAGGAGAGCAACAATGTGATTAGTCGTTGCTGACGTGCATTCAGTGCTCTGTGAGAGAGCCCACAGAGCACCTTCCTGATTGACCCGGGTTGTCTGGCCCTGTGATTGGCCCTGTGATTGGCGGGTGACCCGCTTCAGTGCAGAATGAAATCGTGACATATATTAATATTTAAAGAGGCAGTCTATTCGTACGGTAGTAAGCGTCTCTTGAACGGTAGGAAGCGTCTTTTGAACTGTAGGATGCAAAAATTGACATGCGCGCCAAGGCGCCAGGCCACCAGCCCAGCTAAACTCGATTTTTACGCGCAAAAAAGCCTAGTCCAATAGGCTGAACGCTTCTTTAGATGGCCTGCCCGGCACCCTGCGTCCGGGCCCTACGCCTGGGCTAAATTTTTACCTGCAATTGAGGCTATCGCCAAATCCACCAAATCCACCAAAGCCGTCTAACTACAACCACCACAATACTATCAATCGCACAACACAACAACAACACGATTTTATCGTCGCGTTCCCAGGGGCCCGTCAGTCAGACATACGGGACCCCGGGACAAGGACAAGCTACCGCGGGCCCGGGGTCGGGACACCGGGACCAAGGGACAACGTTCATTGGCCCACCTACATAGATATATACAATGACCGTAGCCACGGTCTTAGCTAGAGCTTGCTTGGTTCCCTAAGCAAGCAATACACATTCCTTGTACTCGTATACTTCGAGTAGCAATCCAGTTTGACTGTATTACCCGTGCGATAGGAGCTTGCCCTCTGTTCAGTCTTCATTACACCAATCCCAGCAATCCTTTCTGTGGTGCCCTTGCACTCTTACCGAAAGACGACCCAAACAGTCGAGTGGTTTGTAGTAATAAGATAGCTACCTCAGGAGGTAGCCATAGCTCCCAAGATTCTACTTTGCCCATCGCGTCCAAGCACCTGTGCCCAGGCAGCCATAGCTCCGAGACTTCTTTTTGCACATGCCATTCAGGTATCTGCCTAGGCAGCCTTTGTACGCCCCATTAGATCCGCAGCCAATTATCATGCCCCCGGAAAGACAGCTGCTTTGGCACCTGTTCTGATCTCCAAGGAAGGATTCATGCTCGTATTTACGAGTTTGTAACGGTGGACGAGCGATAGTCAGTATATAGTTACAGCAGGCTTCTATAACCGTACCATCCTTTCCCTGACCCTTTTCTATTGCGGACTTCCAAGTTACAGCTGCTGAAGCCAGGTTAGCCCAAGCGGCCGGCTGCGCCTTACCGTCGTTATACTCAACAGTTTATCTATTAGTAGCTAAGCTAAGTGATCGTTTGCTCCGGTGGGAGGGAAACGAAATGGAGTGGCTGGATGGCGGGGCACCAGTGTCCCGAAATTGGGCTTAGAAGAGCATCCTCACAACTCCACTGCCCTTTTCAGACCACGGCAAGTATACCCGGGGTAACCCAAAAAAATAGCCTCTCGCTCATCAGCCTAGCTCAGCTTAAAGCAGCAACTGCTCAGCTCTATAGGAGGAAATAGAAATCCTCTTTGTCAGTTTCAGGGTCATGCAACGGCTGTTCCATCGTGCTCACGAGCCACGGCCCACGGGTCCCTGCAATACATGGTTGATGGCAGCTGCTGGTTTCGGAAGTGGTACGACTTGTCAGCTCCCACTCCCGCTCTCAATCTAGTCCGCCGCACCACCAGCTTCTGGAGGATATGGTAAGACCACGGTGACCCCCTTGGTCACCTCGTCGAGACAGGCATGTACCGCCAGCCCCTATATGATGGGCATCAGGCCGCTCTTGCACAACTGAACACCCCCCCCCCTTGCCATGCCGCAGAGTTGTGTAGCAAAGGCCAGGTGGGGTAACAGGGAAGCATGTGGCAGACCTGGAACTTCTGGTGTCAAGGCGGAGAAGGGGACAGCGTTAGAGAAACGGCAGAACACCAAACAGACCCCGCCCCTCCTCGAGAGTAGGGGCGACAAGCAGGGCCACCGCGGGCCAGATCGCGGTGCCCGGAAAGGGGGAGTGGGGAAGCGGCAGCGCCAACTATACGAAACGTCTCGGTCCCAGTGGCAGCGGCAGTGATAGCCAAGATCCCAGCCAGGGCATGGGGCCAAAGTTAGGATTCAGACATGCTAAATTGGGATTAAGATGAATCTAGTTTGGATTTAGACGTGTCTAGCTGGGTTTATTCCAGACGTGCCCAGTTGGAGTTGGGTTTAGATGTGCCAAGTTGGGATCGAGTAAAGATGCAGCGACCTTATCCAATACACGGCATCGAATTTCTCAGATCGCGGTTTCATTTCCAGCAGCTGAGCTGGCCAGCCGCGCATTCTTCTCGTGCGCAGTATCGGCCAGCTCCCCATCCGCTCGTCACAGACGCCGTCCATGTGATGGCTGGAGCCACTTGACGCTTCGTTTCATAGCTCAGCCTCGCGGCCATGTCGGAGCTACGAGGCCATGGCCCTGGGGCATAAATATCTGGCATCTCCCTCTCTCTTTTGGCGTGCTCCAATTCTCTCAGCCGCAAAGACTTCTCGACAAGTCGGCAGCTACCGCACTTGGCCGACCAAGTACCGTAACTCACCACTCCGCTTCGCGCTTCGCGCAACCAACAGCACCAACCAGCACAACCTGCCGGTTTTTACCGGTAAAGACGCGATAATGTGCAGAAAAATCCACGAAATGAATAAGGATTGCGGCGAGGAAGTGAAAGTAACAGTCGAGAACTGCGAGCGGAACTGCTCTGAAAAGGAAGATGTATTCAACCTCATGGACACTCTGTGTCTAAAGAGGGATAGATGTCGATGGACTCGAATACAGGGCAAGCAATGGCAGTGTTGCCGCTGCGGCCATCTAAACTCGGAAGCACTTTCAGAGTCAATTGCGGATCGATTTGTGTGCTCGAACACAAACTGCAATTATGAATTTTACCCTAATGGCAAAAGTTTTAACCCTGATTCAAAGAAAGAGCAAAAGGGACGCATGAAGGTATACATGATAATATTCGGCCTCACCACTTCCCCTGCGAAGCGACATATTATGTGCGGCAGACTTTGCGTTGTTATTTCGGGTAAGTCCGAAGCTATCCATCTATTGATTATTGATGTGTGGGAATCTGACCAAGATAAAGATGATCCCAAAGACATCCGCCGAGCGAGATTTCGCGGTTATGGCGAGGTGTTTAGGGAGAAAAGGAAAGCCAAAAAGGCGGCATTGGCGGCGGGAATCCCGCTAGAGATTCCGGATGAGTTCGGGTTCGATAAACAAAGACAAGCTGATTCCGCTCAAGGGGGATACGGGCAAGGCCAACCAGGTCCGCCAGCGTATTCGCCAAATCTCGACAAACAACGATGGGATGCAGGCATGCCTCCTTATCCTGTTCATGCTCGGCCAGCTTCGTCGGCGCAGCCGGGTTATCCGGCCTCGCAATATAGAACCCAAGGCGACACCCTACAGGGGGGACAGCGTCGTCTTGCCCCTGCCCCTGCTCCTGCTCCTGCTCCTGCTCAGGGGAGTTACTCGGGATATGGATCAGCTGTATCGGCGCAAGATAATTACACCGTCCCGCAATACGGAACTCGAGGTGATGCCCCACGGTGGGGCCCTCTTGCTCCTGCTCCTGCTCCTGCTCAATGGGGTTACTCGCGAGGTCAACCAGGTCTACCGGCGGGTCAGCAATTTTCCGGCCCGGGACGAGGGGGGTGGGCAGGTGTGCCTCCACCTACTCATGCTCAAGCAGCTCAATCGGCGCAATATGGTCATCCCGCCCAGCAAGAAGGAACTCAAGGCAACACCCAACTGAGGGAACGGCGTCGTCGTGATCCTGCCCCTAGTACTGCTCCTGCACCTCGTACTGCTCCTGCACCTCGTACTGCTCCTGCCCCTCGTACTGCTCCTGCCCCTCGTACTGCTCCTGCTCAAACGCATTACCCGGAACATCAATTAGTTCCGCCGGCGCAGGAGTATGACGATTCGCAACAACCGGCCAGCGAGGCTGCAGGGGTTATTTCGGGGGCACCCTCGGATCAACGAAGCCAGCAGTCGTAAAAAAGAGAATCGTACGTCCAGAGAAGAGGATACTTGATATCATTGCTGCCAAACGTGCCGCTGCCAGCGGCAGTGGAGCGACGCAGCCCGAACCCGGCGCCTCTAGTGATAAGGGCGCCTCTGGTGATAAGGGCGCCTCTAGTGATAGGGGCGCCTCCGGTGACCCGTTACGAAAACACGCCAAAAGTAGCAGCCCCAGCGACCCCAGCGACCCCAGCAACCCCAGCAACCCCAGCGGCCCTGGATGCCAAGAGGGCAACCCGAGCAGCCGTCGCCCTCCCGACGCCAGTGGAAGTGGCAGCAGCGGAGCCGCCAACAACCCCCCTGAAGGAGGTGGCGGCAGTCGAGCCGCCAATAAGTCTCACAAAGGAAGCAACAAAAAGTCGAGAACATGAGCATAAGATTGCTTGTAACGCCGGCGGTTCTATTCACAGCCAAATTCCTTACCTCGTTAGAAGCCGGCCATCAAGGCATCGGCAACCTACGAGGTATACCACTCTTCCCTTATTCTAGCACACAGCGTTGCCCTTTTTCTTTTCTTTTTCGTTTTTCATTTTGGTCCCAATGGCAACGGATGCCTCAGACGGGAACCCTATCATTCTTCTTTCTCGCAGCACAGCACAGACGGTCTTTTTTTTTTTTTGAACACTCGAGACATCAACAGCCAGCGAGGTACTAGTTACACCGTTTCCCCCATCTCATAGCACACACAGCAATCACGGCTTTTTCCCCTTGATGACCTTCCCTACTCACATGACCTGGTTATGGAGTTATACGGTTATGGAGTTATACGGTGCCTGGTTGAAGTCGGATTTAGCCGTCAGATAGAGCCGACCGGGGCCACTAATTTGGTGTTGTGTATCTGACTGAGAGTGGGCTGCTACACTAATAACTACTCAGGAAACTGATCTTCTAACTATTCCCTCCTCCAAGCGGACAAAGTGAAACTTCCAGCCGTGTTGCTGAAGCGAAAGCCGAACAGTTGGGGGTTACCTTTTGTCCTGCCTTGCTCTCGCGTGGCGGTGTGATCCTTAGCAACGTAGACAGATGTTGTGAGTCGACATTACTGAGAGAACAGCGTTGTAAGTGAGGTGGAGAAAGACAGCCTATCTCCCCTACCTACGCCACCTTCCGGTCGGTAAAGCTTGCCGACGGTGGCTCCGTTCAACTCCCTGTAAGGTGAGTAATTACCTTAAACTTGTAATTTTGGCGCTAGAAACAAGGGACAGCACAAACTCAGTCAGGCAATCCGGAGAAGCAAAAGCCAGGAGAAAACCATGACTCGCGCTGGTTGTCTAAAATCAGGCCTATGCGGCGTCGGGGCCCTGTGGACACCGCCCCAAATAATAGGACACCTTCCAAAGGCATCGAGGCCTCACCAGCCGCCGTATTTTAGCCCTCGGATCTCCTCGCCATCGATTGCCCCACGCACGGATTTTGACGTACGGGTACACACCAAGATAGCAAACTACACGGCGGGCACCCAGAGCAAGCACACTATATACTCCCATGCTAAGGACTTCTTGTTTGCTATCTTTAGAGTCGCCGTTCCTCACTGCTGCTGTCCCGTCAGCTTCGTGGGAGAAAGACCTTCATTTTCGTCGACGCCTTGGAGTGCGGCTCATATAAACTGGTACGGGCCGAGGCCTTTTTCTGGCGTTCTCTCACGAACAAGGCGTATCACACCGGAATCGAGCTGAATGTCGTTTTATCCAGCCGGGATGTCCCCGTTGTCACGTTAGGCCAATGCCCCTATCTTTCTGTTGACCGAGCAAACACCGCCGACATCAAGAGGTATATAGATGCAAGGTTTCACCTGAGCATCACCAACGTGGAGCCACAGTGGCACGAGCTGCGAAGTGCCATATTTGTTAAGGCGAGTAGCGTGTTTCTCTGGGTAGTTCTGGTAGTTGATGAGTTGCTAGAAAAGCGGGATAAGGGAATACATGCGCCAGATCTCCGGCGGTTAGTCAACAGGCTGCCAAACGAACTCGGCGATCTCTTTCGACGGTTGCTGGGAACCGTGTCCTCGGTTAAGAGGAATCGAACGCTAAAGATTTTCCAATAGGCCATTCTGTCCCCCCGACCCGTTTGCCTGCACGAATGGCATCACATCTTAGCCTTAATCGAACAACCCGGGGCCGAACAATTGACGCCCCCATCCATTGGGCGCACCGAACAGGATGACGAGAGGCTTGTGAGATACATCAGAAACATGTAGAAGGGTCTGTTGGAGGTGACGACCAGCACCATTGAACACCGAACCAATTCGAGCGAGTCGTCAATATCTATGTGTGCTGGCGCCGGTTCCCTGAGCCTCGAACACGGTGAAACCCGGGCAGTCCAGGTCATCCACGAATAGGTCCGCCAGTTCTTTTTAATGGGTGTAGGATTCGGCCTCTTCAACCAAACACCCTATTTCCAAACCATCGGCCACCATCACATCTCGATAATGGACAATGGTCCCGGCGCGTTGCCAGACTCGTTATCAACCTCGGCCTCGATAATAAAGCCCCAATTGCTAGAGACTCATCTAGCGCTTCTCTCGTACTTACTTGACGAGTTCAGCAATCATGCTCGGTCGGCCAGAGAGGCGGGCGCTGATCTGAAGCCCGTCTTCACGCGGCTGGGAGAAGGAGAAACCGAGGAGCGTTGGGCCTTGCTCAGAGACGAAGTTCCCGTGAAAACAACTCTCGACTCGTGTCTTTCCCACGAAGGATTCCCCGAATATATCGATGACCAGTTATCTGACACCAAGACAATGTAATTACGACCTTTATTAGCAGCGACACTGGCCGGGAGAACTATAGCTCATTTGACAGCCACAAGAGCAGCCCTAAATTGAGTCGAAATCCCAGCACGAGCAGCGCGCAGAGTGCGAAGACCGTCGTTAGCATTAGAAGCAAGACAAGAGTCCGGAGCATCTGTTCCGCTGGCAACTACTCCCATGGGAGCGGACGCATCTCACCGTCTCTATCGCTTGACCGTTCTACTAGGAGGAAAAAGGAGGGCAAAGCTTTCGAGATCAAAATCCCGGCCATGGGGCTTAAGCAGTCGAACTTGGAGAGGTATCTCGAGATGGAGGCGCCGGGTTACTTCATTGAACTTGAGAAGTTAGTCATTGCCTACACGCAAGCGACTGCAGGACGCAAGCGACTGCAATCCACACATGTGTTAGGAGACCGGACCCCTGGTCAGGGCTGCACTAGCTGACTGGGCATCTGCTGATATCGTCTTCTTGACTATAGTTAAGACCCACATGACCAATTTTATCTCTATCGGGGCACGAAGAAACTTACCCCTTCTCCAATTCTGGGAGAGGATTGTCGAATGGCGCGATCAATGTGAATGGACACGCGGCTTCAGCACAGCCAGAGAATTTAAGGGTCAGCAATTTCCAGTCATCACCTTAATCGCAAATTACAACTACCAGACACCGAGGCCCAGCTCAATATCTCTTGAAAGCTAGCCACTTGTTACAACACCATTCTTCCAGTGTTTGGCGGTCTGGGGATGAAGAAGGCCTTGCGGGACCAAACAAGCGTCCAGCGCTTGTGCAGTGGATCGCACGACCTTCCCGATTTGTGCCCTGTCTCTCCCGGGTAAATGCCATATCGGCACTATTATAGCCCATCCGGTGAGCGCCGGCTTGGCGGACGTTGCGAGAGTCAACAATCTTACCACGGAGGACAATGATCCTAGATACTTGGCATGTCGCCGGCGCGGCGTCGAAAGCGATATAAAGTTTTCCGCGTCGATCTCGCACATCCAGCGCCCGGCCCAGGTATCTGGTACGAGGCAGCCGGCACAATCGATCCTGCAGGAGTCGCACCTGAGGCAGGCAGTGGTGCAGTGGCCTTAGTAAGACAATGTAACGGTGCCCGTGAGTCAATCTAGCTCGCTCCGCCTTTTGCTATTCGAATATCCCTGGAATCGGGGTGTCGAACCCCGCGACCACGAACTACCACAACCGCGCATCGAACTCGGCAGTCGAGGCTGGAAGCTCAAATTGCCAACCCAGCCCAGCCCAGCCCAGCCCAGCCCAGCCCAGCTCAAGAGCTTCTCTGCTTCTCTCGAGTCCTCGCCCCAGCACCCAACCCATCGAACAACCCTCGCAGCCCCAAGCACTGTCCTAATCCTTCCAAAATGCCCACCATGATCACCGACGGGCTCGCCACGGCGTTCCAGTCCAAGCGCCTCACCTTCCGCGCGCTGGAAGACAACGAGGCCGACAGAGACTTCCTCTTCACGCAGATCGAGAACGACCCCGTCAGCACGGCCCTTGCGAACCCGGCCATGGTCGTGCCGCGGTCGTCCAAGAGCGCCCAGGCGCTCGTGTCCGAGCTGGCCAAGTCGACCCTCGCAGTCATCGTGTGCCTGACGCCCGAAGCCGCTGCGCCTGTTCCTGCCGCTGTACCTGCCACTTCCCCTGCCCCTGCCGCTGTACCTGCCACCCCCCCTCCCCCTGTCGACACGGGCGAGCAGCAGCACGCACCAGAGCAGCGCGACGTCCCGCCGCAAGGCACGGCACTACCCTCCATGCCGGCGCCGCCCACGCCCCCTCCATCGACACCGACACCGACCTCGGCGCTGACGCCCATCGGGTTCATGTTCCTAGGGTGGGGCGGCACGCCGCCGGACCGCGCACAGCACCGGTGCACGGAGCTGGGGCTGCAGCTGGTGGCGGCGTTCCAGGGTCAGGGGTACGGGGCGGAGGCGGTGGACTGGGGCGTCGACTGGGCGTTTAGGTTTGGCGGACTGCACCGCGTCACCATCAAGACGGTCGGGTACAACGCGCGCGCGCAGCACCTGTACGCGCGGCTGGGCTTTGTCGAGGAGGGCCGCAGCCGCGAGGCGCATTGGCATGATCGGAAGTGGTATGATGTTGTGAGCTATGGGATGCTAGAGGGGGAGTGGGCGAAGCTCAGGGGCTTGGAGGAGTGAGGGTTGATGCTGTTTTCCTTGTTTTGCTGTTTGTGTTATTGTTTGTGTTATTGTTTGTGTTGTTTCTTGGCTTTGTTGTTGGCTTTGTTGTTGGCTTTGTTGTTGGCTTTGTTGTTGGCTTTGTTGTTGGCTTTGTTGTTGGCTTCACTTGTTCGCCCTCCCTCCGTCTGTTCATGGTGCTCTGCGTGGACTCGTGGAGCTCTGTGTCTCGTCCTTCAGGCCACACACGGTGGCCGGCGAGTAACCAGTGTTTACCAGTGCTTGGTTCCACTGTTCTATTGTCTAGCAGCGTGGAGCGCACAAAACACGACGCCGAGTCATGTCATCGTAGTATCGTACAGTGTATATCCTTGTCCAAGAGGCTCTACCTCTCAGCCTCAGCTGTTGAACTTTTGATGCCCACACCTAGAAGCAAGAAGGCTCCCTACTCCCTACACTGGACGTCACACCCCCTTGCTCTCCTCTGTCCGTCCATCGCAAGTCATTTTACAGTGACACCCTACACCAAGACTATGCACACCTTCAACCGACTGCCGCCAGCGCACCGAGTTGCCACTCCACCACTAGAAGGGAAGGCCGGGCTCGGGGGCGGGAGCAAGGCGACGGACCAAGTCCTTGCGCAACTCGGGGAAGATGACGCCGGTGGTGACCGAGGCCATGAAGATGCCGATCTCATCCATGAGCGAGGCGACAAGGAAGGCGAGGACAAAGCAGACAATAAGGATCACAACAAAGACCTCGAGCTTGTGGCTGCACGGAGAACATGCATCAGATCGCGGGGCCAAGACGAAGGTGCCAAGACGAAGGTGCCAAGGACGATGAGAAAAGGAAAGTAAAAGGGGCAGGAAGAGAGAAGAGTAGAGGAGAGAAAGGGGAAAGGGGAAAGGGGAGGGGAAAGGGGAGGGGAAAGGGGAAAGGGGAAAGGGGAAAGGGGAAAGGACAGGAGCAAATTAAAAATTTGCCTACCGAGCAATGTAGAGGTGGTCGACGTACAACAGACCAACGCCGTCAAAGAGCCAGGCGAATACGAGACTTGGCTCCGTGTCAGGGGCAGACAGAGTCTAGTCTTGCTAAGGAAGGCTTGGCATAATTACCAGACACGGGCAACGCCAGCCCAGCGAAAGTCGCCCTTGTGCTCGATGGACGTGATGCAGATGTAGGCAGCCACGCAGCCGACGAAGAAGGCGACAGTAGACACCTTGGCGGCGTTGGGCACCTGGGCGGCCGCGACGGAGGCCGCATTTAGGTTGCGAGCATTGGCTGCATTACGAGCATTGGCTGCATTCCGAGCATTGGGATCACCGTTCGGCGCCATGGACGTGGCGTATTGTGGCGGCCAGCCACTGTTTTGGGTGGTGGGTGGTGGGTGGTGGCGGAGTGGCGACCAGGTTTGTGGAAGTGGAAGTGGAACTTTTGCGCAAAAGCGGGAAAAGAGGGTGAGAAGGAGTGGAAGAGTTGGGGCGGGTTTCCACAGGATTTATGCTTTTTCCAAGGACACGCGTCGAGGCGGCTCCTAAGATGGAAGTGAAATTTGCTGACATGCACCCGCTTTAAGCGAGCGCCAAGCTGGGCCCAATTGGATGCCGGCAATTTTTCTGGAGCTGGAATTTGTGGTTGCTGCTCGACCAGCTCTCAAATGCCAGTTCCTAGAATGGGACTAGCGTCGTGTCACAATGCGAAGCGGAATTTTTCCGCGGATTTGGCCAAGATTGTGGACACTGCACGTGATTGCGGCAGGGATTTTCCTCTGGATTTGCCACTTTCGTCAGGCTATAATGAGTCAGCCGGAAAGACCGATGGAACTGTCCAGGTATCCATTTTCCCCGCTTGGGGAATTGCATGTAATTTCCACTTGCGTTCGGCCTAATGCTTCCCCCAAAAGCCCGCCCACGTAGGCAAGCAACGCGCATAACTTTTTGGGGCTGTGAAGAAGAGAGCCTCGTGTCCCGTGGGTAGCTGTCGCTTGTTTTCCTCAACTGCGAACTACACACTGACGACGCGCAAACGTGTTGTGACATTTGAGCCGGCCATGGCCGAAAGCGGCGCAGCTGAAGGCAGTCCGCCATCAGCACACAATGTCCATCCCGCCGAAACGGCAGTATCGGCCACGGCCACGGCCACGGCGACTGGTCTGCCCGAGAATCACCAGGACGCCGCCGACACGCCGTCAGACCCACCGAGCGAGGAAAATGGCGCCGTGGCATCTGAGGCCGCCGCAGAGTTCAACGACGATCAGGGCGACCAGGGCGAAGTCGAACCGGGTGAAGTTGAACCGGGCGAAGACGGCGATGGCGATGGCGACGGCGATGGCGACAGCGACGGCGACGGCGCTCGTGACACTTCCCGCTTTATCGCCCACGGAGACTCCAAGTCCGTCGCTCCCCGCATCAAGGATTCCCACTGGGAAGCGCACAAGGATAAGATCCTAAAACACTACGTCGCCGAGAACAATACTCTGGACGCTCTTATGGAGATTATGGACAGAGAATACAGCTTCAAACCCTCGTAAGTCCTCTGCCCCAAGCTGCCACCTGCGTACCCCACGTTCTTAGCAAGAACCAGAAAACGACAGTACGTGCATCGCATAGGGACCATCTGGGGAGTAAAGAAATATAAACAGCAAACATTTGACAAAAGCCCCAAGAAGAGAGGGCCCGGGACGACGGGAGACGCAAAGTCTCCCGACCTAGGCGCTGATCAACCTCGCCAGATCATCGCAAGTCATTCAAAGTGGCAGACTAGACCTCGGCCCGTAGATTCGGCTGATTGCGATGCTGCAGAGAGGGACCGGGAGGGAAGGCAGTCGTCGCACCAGGCAATATTGCCAGGACTGGCTCGTCTCAATCCTGTAAAGGTTCCTGATCCTACCCCGCGAGTTGAGTCCTACCTCAGCAATTTATGGCGGCCAGGAGAAAGACAACCCTTAGCCCAAGCCAAGTATGCTATAGAGGCCAAGTTGGCCGACAGCGGAATCTACACTCTGACGACCTTGCCCCGGCCACCCAAGAGATCAAGTGTCGAGTCACCGCCGTCATATCCTTCTACCCTCGACGCGGAAGATCTAATGGTAGACACGCCTCAGATTAACCCTAAGCGAGCTAAAAGGAGCGAGAAGAGCGAGAAGACGGACGAGACGATCGACTGGCCATGTCCATATCGGAAGCGGAACCCGCTTCGCTTCAACCTGAACGACCACCCGTCGTGTGCTCTGCATCCCTTTCAGGATATCAAGTACGTCTTTTCTTTTGTATCCAGACATCCTTGGAGAATATTTGCTAATATGCCAACTTGGAAGAACACATATCCGGGATTTCCACCAGCTTGGAGATAGACACCGCTGTCCACGGTGCAAAAAGGTCCTCCTGGACTCCCGGCAGTACGACGCGCACTTGCAGCTCCCAATCGAGCAGATGTGTGCCCTCTCATCCGAGACTCCGCCACGCGACTTTGAAGACGGCATCACCGTTGACCTGGATACCCTGCTAGCCCGGGTTTCGAGCTACGAACCCTGGGCCACGCAGCTCCGGGGCGGTCGTTCTGCGGGCGTGGTTCATCAGTGGGCATTACTTTGGGCTGCGCTCTTTCCAGAGGACATTCGCGTCCCGTCACTGCGTAGGTTCCTCTTCTTCAAGTCCACCAAAGCAAAAAAGCGTGCTCTTTCATCTACTCTAGGAGCGACTTCCGACTTCCACAGTTAGATCTACCACCAAAGCCAAACGGCAAAGCAAACCGTGGAAACCAAAACTAACTTATCGCATCACAGAATTCGAGCCCGTGGTCGAGCACTTCGCCCTCGAGCAGTTCGTCACCGACCGCATCCCCGAGTTTGCCGACTGGCTCAAGACACGCGTGAGCGCCAGCGGCCTCGACGAGCGCGAGCTGCGCATGCACATCCGCAACTACTTCTACAGCCTCTTTGACGAGTTCAAGCTCAAGTGCTTCGGCTCCGTGCGCAAAGACACCACCGCCGCCATGGCGTCTGTTGCCGCCGCCATCGCCCCGGAGCAGCGCGCCTTGCGGGGGGGCACGTACCCCGGATCCAGAGCGTCGCCGAGCCCCGGGCCCGCCCCTCAGTTCGGCCCAGTACCACAATACGCGAGCTTCGTCACGCTCACGCCGCAGCACTGGGAGCAGCAGCGCGAACAACGCCCCGGCCACGGAACGCCCCGGCCGCCAGACGCTGCTAAGATCGCATCGAGACAAAAGGATGGCGATTTCATTCACTACGAACAAGAGCGCGGAGACGGCCGCCTGCTGGCTGGGACGCCGGGCCCTGTGGGTGCGCCCGGTGCCGTCTCTGGGCGGGTTAATTGAGGGCCAAAGAGTCTAGTGATGCCGGGGTTTTCTAGAAGCACACGAGTTACGACGACACATTCTTCTCGCTTCGTTTTTTATGTATACTTTCGGTGACGCAGACCTTGAAGTTGGATTTTCAAGCGCAACTTTATTGCTGTGTTTCTGCTTTTTTGTATATTCTATTGGTATGAATGCAGCTGGGGATAGGGGTGGTATAAATTGATACATTGCGTACTGAATTAATTATGGGCGGATCTTGCTACTGACGCCCTTAATTATGCGCCCAACCCAGCTTGGTGAGCGTGCCATGGGGAAGATCCTTGTTTAATCCTGGAGCGCCACTTTATCTACACTACCTACCTCATTACTGCTTAATCTCCTGAGGATATAACCCTCACACACGACACCAATGCTCTTGTGTTTCCGCCTCAAGCCTTACAGGGTAGGTAGTCTTAACGTATGTCGTATGTAGATGATGCTTTAGGGCCCCAAAACCAGCCCTAGTACATCCTATTAGGTTCTACGTGCCTAGAACCCAGTCACGCCGCATACTGAAGAGCAACGTCATCTAAAATTCACGCCGTTGTGACAGGTCTCAAAAACGGTAAAACACGGCCGAGCGATCTGGTGGGCCGATAAGGCCTGGTGTGTTACACTGGACATGGGCAACAGCACTATGCGCCTCCCGAATGTTGCCCTCAGTAATTACCATAGGCAGGCATAGCCCTGAGCTGCCGCTGCTTTACCCTAAGTTGTGGTGAGCCAGGTGTGTGTACTGCACAGCCCCCGTGCCGCGTTTCTGGCCACCCCGGCTAAAGTTGCCATTTACCAAAATAAAAAAAAACTTCCTGTTTCCTGTGGACCTAGATCTGGGTGCACGCCACCGGACCACCATTACAGAGACTGTTCGTTGAAAATCCATTTACCTAACAAGTACAACGAGTTTCAAAAGGCTCTAGTATCGGTATAGTGAATGTTTATAAAAAGGCATTACTATTGTTTATAGGGTTATATTCGTATTTTAAGGTTGGCGAAATAACTGGTTTAAATAGGCTAATAGAGTTCCAATGAAGATCTATGCCGTCGTATGGTAGTTGAATCTAGAACACAGCCTCTTTACCGACACTTCCAGAGCAAATGACAATTTTGTCACGGCCGGCTTGGAATGAGGGCGGAACTCCTCTATTGGGCGCTATAGACGAAGATTCTAAACTAAAGGGAAAAGGGAAAAGAAGCTCAAAAGCCTCCCGTCGCGAGATTCTTCTAGGGCGTCTCAAGGTGGGGCTCTGGCTGGTCGGGTGGATCCACCCAACTGGCGTCTGATTAGCCAGAGCGTCTGGGAGGCCTGGAGGACCAGGCCCTCACACTACCCCCCTCCAAGCCGCGACTGCCGTGACGGTGGTCGTGGCTTTGAAGAGCGGATTTAAGCGTGCCTTCTAGTATACTTCTTCTTTTGCCTTGCCTTGTACCCTTTGTGCTCTGCCTTGTTATCCTCTTCGTGGTCCTCCGGATATTCGTCTTCTGCTGCTGCCTTTATCCAATCACGCAGCCTCACTGGAGGTCCTGCGGCTTCGGGGTATTCTCGATGAAAACTATCCAGCGCCATAGCTGCATTCTTGAGATTCTCTGCCTTATACCAAGTATCGTCGGGGTCGTGCCCCTTCCAGGCAACTTGGTATTGTAGGGTCTCTCGTTGGCCAAACAGTCGAGAGGCATTAATCCTCTCAACTTCCCACTCTGGCTCCCCGTTGATCTCCTCAGGTGGTTCCGGTAAGCTGGTCTGTTGGGGTAGGGGACTGTCATCAGCCTTACGTAGCCGATCTGCATGGAAGAGGTTCGTGCCTTTGACATAGGGCGGAGTATCCAGCACAAAGCTATGTCCTCGTTCCTCCACGATCTTCCATGGTCCTGCCCACTGTGAATCCAACTTGGTACTCGGGGCCTCTGTCCTCATACCCTTCTTGCTCACGTATACCAAGTCTCCAATGGTGAAGTCGACGGGACGTCGCTTCTTGTTCGCTTGGACGGCTTGGGCCGCTTGAGCTTCTAAGGCATTCTTCCTTGCCAGGTCTTGTACCTCTTTGGTCTGGGTGACGAGCTGTAATGCTTTCTTTTGCGGGTCGGTCGAGGTATTGAGGTCTAGGATATCAATAGAGAGGGGGTTCCGTGGGGTGGCTCCCAACGCGACTTTTAACGGGGCCATGCCGATGCTCGAATGCCAGGACACATTATGGGCGAAGTCGAGTGCCGGTAGGTACTCGCTCCAGGTGTCTTGGTACTTGGTGAGGTAAGGCCTCATTCGTTGGTCTAGATCCGCGTTGGTGATCTCCACGGCGCCTTGCGTCTGTGGGTGGCGAGAGCTGCCGTGACGGTGTTTGGTCCCGGTCAGCTTATTAATTGTTTCCAGAAATTCCGAGATAAACGGTCCTGCATTATCGCTAATCCAGACAGCCGGGATACCAAAGAAACGGTATACCTTGTGGAAGTAGCGCTCTGCCAGATCCGGTGCGGTATCGTTCTTGTGTCCAGGGAGCGTAGCCATTATCTTGCTGAACTTGCAAATAAAGGCCCAAACGTAGTCGTAGCCGTGACGATCCTTCGGCATATCTTTTCCGTCGACGACTACCTGGCTCCAGACTTCATTCGGCACCTCCAGAGGGTGTAAGAGGCCCGGGGTCTTGTCATGACGGGTCTTGTTCCTCTGGCAGCTTCGGCAGTTCTTGATGTACCTCTTGACATCCTGTCGGAGGGTACTCCACCAAAAGTCTTTCTTGAGGAACGCGATAGTCTTGTTTTGGCCTGGGTGTGCGAAGATAGGCGGCTCGTGGGCTTCTCGGATTAGGGCCGTCCGTAGATATACCGCTCCGTCGGACGTGACTTCCGGTACCACGAGACGACCGTTATCTACGCCCAGACTCTGCTTCTCGTTTTCCTCTTGGATCAGGTCTACCAGGTCAGCGCCGCGAGGCATATCCGGATTCACTACCGCTCGGGAGATAGGCGCTAGGACTGGTTGGATACGTTCCACTGGTATCAAAGGGAACGTACGATCTTCCTCCTCTCGTGCCTTAACCGTAGGTGAGTCGACGGTCTTACGTGATAGAGCGTCGGCAACCACGTTTTCTTGTCCCGGGCGGTACTGGAAGGTGATATCAAACTGGCCTAGGAAATCGGACCATCGGACCTGACGGGTTGACAGCAACCGCTTAGTAGACCAGTAGATCAAGGCTTTATGATCCGTGACCACGAAGAACTCCTGGCCGAGAAGAGAAGGTTCGTTATCCTTGAGACAGTTGACCACGGCGAGCAACTCTTGATCCTGGATCGGATACGCACGTTCGGCCGGAGTCATGTTCTTCGACGAGTAGCCCACGGGTCTCCAGACTCCGTCGGGCTGTTGTTGCATGATCACGCCTCCAGTGGCGTTGCGTGAAGAATCCGTTTCCACTCGCGTCGGGCGGCCGGGGACGAAGAAGGCGAGGACTGGGGCCTCGGTGGCCAGCTTCTTCAGTTTCTCAAAGGCCGCTTGTTGCTCGGGTCCCATTACAAATTCACTACCTTTCCTCAATAGCTTGGACAGGGGCTCGGCGGCATCGCTAGAGTGGTGGCAGAAGACTCGGACATAGTTGCACAAGCCCAAAAAGGACTTGACGGCGCGTATCGAACGTAGGTCCTCAAACTTCCAACTCTGGATGGCCTTGATCTTCTCTGGGTCGATACGTACGCCTTTCCCAGCTTCGAGAACTAACCCTAGGTAGTCAATGACTTCCACGTCAAAGCTAGACTTCTTGATGTCTCCCTGTAGACCAGCCTTATACAAACGATAGATGGCCTCCTCCACGTGTGCGAAGTGTGGCTCGTTCTCCTGAGTATAGATGAGAACGTCGTCGGCGTAGGCGCTGGCAAAGTTGTCTAGGAGCTCGTTCAGCTGAGCGTTGATGAAGGCTTGCCACCAAGCAGGGCCGACCTTGAGTCCAAAGGGTAGGACTTTCCACTGGAAGGTTCCTTGACGGGTCTTGAAGGCCGTCAAGAATCTTGAGTCGGGGTGGACTAGTAGACGATTAAAAGCTCGGATAATATCGATCTTGGTCAGGCGGCGGGCGTTACGGCAGTTGGAAAGCGTTCCTTGGATATCGGGTGCGAGGAACTGGCGTCCTTTCAGGAACTGGTTGACCCATCGGTAATCCACACAGAAACGTTTCTCCTCGGTACCCTTCTTTGGTACAAATAGCGTCGAAGCGGCTGTCTCCTCCATACAGGGTTCCACGAATCCAATCCGTAGAAGCTCGTCTACCGTCTCTTTTTCCAGAGGGAGAAGGTGACCGGGTGTATAGAACCTCTTGGGCTTCCCTTCCAAAGGTCGCTCCAAGTCTAGGGTCACGTCGAACCCTTCACGGCTCGGCGGCAGCTCGGTCGAAGCTTTCTTGGAGAAGAAGCCTTCGAGATGGGCGAGCTCCTTTGGGAGTTTATCGCGAACTCTCTTGACGTGTTCGGGATCTTCGCCGGCAGGGAAAGGAATTGGCTGTCCGTCGTGGGTCTGCCAGTTTAGACGAGACGCAACGACGTTCAAAGAAATAGGTGTATCCGGCATGTTCTGTCGAGCCCATCTAGGTTGCCGGGGGTCATTTTCCACATGCCTACAGAGAGCTGCAATATTGACCACGAGGGGCTTGTCCTGGTCTCTGGGGCTAGAAAGGGCGATGGGCGCTAAAACTGGGTTTATCGTTCTCAAAGGGCGCTGGATAATCTTGGTGACCCTCGCTTGCCTTTCGTCCTCAGCTATCAGGCGGTCGCGACGCACCGCGTCTGCCTGAGCCTGTATGTCGAGCAAACCAGTCTGGCATGGAATAGTAATGGTGGGCGAATACTTGGCGAGCGCTGGTAGATCTTGAGGCCAGATCATGGTTCGCGTGGCGGGGAAAAGGCCAACGCGATACTTAATGAACCATTCTTGTCCGATAATAACATCGTCGGCAGTGGGGATAATGAGGAACTTCTGTCGTGGAAATCTCCGTCCGTCGAGTTCCAGGGAGAGGCGGATCTGGTGGGTGGCTTTGGCGGCGAGCACCCCATTAAAGTCATTAAGGCAGATAGGCTTAGATAGTTGTTCTCGAATGGCGCCTAGTAGCTTCACGGCCTTATTGGCCATCTTCGGGGTCATTGACAAATAGATATCTGCTCCGGTATCACAAAGAGCTTTGGTTTTGAGGCTAATTCCTTCCAATTGGAGTTGAATAGGGAATAGGAAGGTTTTTGATCCAGACGATCTGCTCACTTTAGCTAGTCGTGGTATACGGACTGTCGTGGAGACTTCCGACAGTCCTAGCAGTTTTCCGATTCGTTAGACGACGAGGATGACTGCTCCGGGGAGGTAGGAGGATCCTGGTCGAGGTCTAGCATCATCTTGGCCATAGCCTTCCGCTCGGGGCAGTCACGGGCGAAGTGACCTTCCTTACGGCAGATGAAACAAGTATCGTCTTTCCCTCCATCCTTCTTAGCCTCGGGAACTTTGGTTGCAGCTGGCTGGGAAGTTGGCTTCTCAAACCGAGACTCCCTAACATGGGTCCGTTCGCTGTGAGTGGTTGGCGAACGTGTCCGGCGATCCCTCTTCTCTTGTTTGCGCTCTCTGTTCTCCTCCCAAGCGCGCTGGTGGGCTAGAGCAGCATCCGCGACGCTGCCAGCAAAAGCTTCGTAGGAGATTGTCGGGTTCTTTGAGTCTCCCAAGAGTCGGGTGTCAAGCCGGGCGGGAATATGCTCATAGAGTAGGGTCTTGCGCTCCGACTTGGCAATATTAGCCTTATCAGCCAAGCTATTGACTAATCCAATGTATGAATGGATAGTCACGTCCTTATTCGCCGGATCATACTTGAGCTTGGCTAGCTCGGCCCTGGCTTTCGTGGCCTGGTTGTCATCATGGTAGACAGTCGACAACGTAGCCACCATCTCGGCGACGTTGCGGAAGGGCATCTCCTGAGAGCTGTACCGACTCTCCAGCAGGTTGTTCGGGGATCCCTCCGTAAGAGAGTTCAGAACCGCCATGCGGCTACGTTCTGTCTTGAAAGTGGCATCGTCTTCTACAAACTTGTCGGCCACCTTGATGATCCACTTATCGAAGGTTCCGTCAACACCCTTGAAAACTCCAGGGTCGACACCGGCCTTGCGAGCCTTCCGGTCGAAGGTTTGGTTGGCGGCGTGCTGGTCCTGACCGTAGGGCTTGAAAGCGGGAAGGGCGGCGAAGCCAATGGGTGTGAAGCTGTCCCCACTGAAAGCGCTCTCAGCGGGGGTGACAGTTCGGGCCCGGCGATTGACGCCGTCGGCGGTGCGGGCGGCTGCCTCCGCCCTGAGTTCTGCCACTTGGGCAAGTAGAACTCGGTAATCCTCGGCGCTCGGGGCGCCATCGTCACCCGGTACGCTACGGGTTTCGTTTCCCGGCATGTTGTCTATCGGGGCGTCGACTTCTATACTGGTGACTGGCTCGATTGGCTCTGTGTCGCGTTGCTGTGGAGCGGGCTTAGCAAGCTCTGTGCTCGAGGGGGTTGCTATGACTTCTTCGTCGGACTCTTCGGTCTTCAAGTTCGCTTCCTCCTGGGTCCGTTCGCTTAGCTCTTTTGGCTAGGAGAGGCGTTCGGATTGGCGCATCGGTGGTCCGTAATCTTTCTTCTTGGGCATCGACGCTGTGGTGTTTGGGGGTTTCTGTGGCCTGGTTTATCGTCGTGCACAGCCGACGTAGTGGGTTGTTTGTGGGGTTTGACGTATTTATTGATCGCTAGCCAGCGATGAGAATTGAGAGTTTAGAATTGTGTCACGGCCGGCTTGGAATGAGGGCGGAACTCCTCTATTGGGCGCTATAGACGAAGATTCTAAACTAAAGGGAAAAGGGAAAAGAAGCTCAAAAGCCTCCCGTCGCGAGATTCTTCCAGGGCGTCTCAAGGTGGGGCTCTGGCTGGTCGGGTGGATCCACCCAACTGGCGTCTGATTAGCCAGAGCGTCTGGGAGGCCTGGAGGACCAGGCCCTCACAACCACGTCGACATATCCGTTTCTTAAGGCCGAAGAAAGCGGTATTATTCCGTACTTATTTGGAATCGTAATATCGGCTCCCTTCTCGAGAAGAAGCTTGACTACGTCGATATATCCTTCGCTCGAGGCCAAAATAAGTGGCGTCCATCCGTCATTATCTGGAACTATAATATCGGGTCCCTTCTCGAGAAGAAGCCTAACTACGTCGATATATCCTTTGTTCGAGGCCCAAATAAGTGGCGTTAATCCGGTATTGTCTGGAACTGTAATATCGGCTCCCTTCTCGAGAAGAAGCCTGACTATATCGATATGTCCGTTTCTTGAGGCCGAAGTAAGCGGTATTACTCCGTACTTATTTGGAATCGTAATATCGGCTCCCTTCTCGAGAAGAAGCTTGACTACGTCGATATGTCCTTCGCTCGAGGCCAAATTGAGTGGCGTCCATCCGTTATTGTCTGGAACTGTAATATCGGCTCCCTTCTCGAGAAGAAGCTTGACTACGTCGATATATCCGCCGCTCGAGGCCGAATTGAATGGCGTCCATCCGTTATTATTTGGAACTGTAATATTGGCTCCCTTCTAGAGAAGAAGCTTAACTACGTCGATATGTCCGCCGCTCGAGGCCGAATTGAGTGGCGTCCATCCGATATTGTCTGGAACTGTAATATCGGCTCCCTTCTCGAGAAGAAGCTTGACCACGTTAATATATCTGTAAGGAAACCACCCTCGTAACCACCATGGCCACCGCCACCAGGGCCACCCTCGCCACCATCGCCACTATCGCCACCGCTAACAGGGCCACGCACTATCGCCACTACCACCCTGGCCACGCAAGGATGACTCGTAACCCCTTTCACGTGTATATAGACCATGGCCTTCGCACACCTCTTTAGCTCAGGCCAGGTTGAAGTCTTACGCCAATACCAGTCATTGCTCGCCCTGCTTGTTGCTCCTATTGTGACCACCTTGATCATCTCTGAAGTTGATTAGAAGAAGCCGCGATGGAAATAGACGAAGGAAATGAAGCCTACCGATGCATCGATTGATTGAAGTTGTTGGCGATGATTTTGGTGGTGGTTTGGTTGAAAAGGAAAGGAAGGTTGTAGTGGAATACGAAGGTTGCAGCGTAATTAGGGTGGGTTGTGGTAAAAAGTGGTAAAATTACGCTGCGGCAGAATTTTGGATGTACCGATTTTTAGGGTTAGGGTCATGTGTGGAGGAATACAGTGGATTGGCACGATTTGACAGTAGCCGGAGACGCCCCCATTATTTATCATGTTAAGTGCTTTCTGAGTTGAGAGTGAAAAAGCCAGCGATCATCTTGTACCTGGTATTACGTTGCGTCTACCACGTCTACAGGTTTCGAGTCTTATTAACAAGATATCAGGTTTACAGCGTATTGCAGAAGCCAACCGAAACATGCCTGCCTATTTCCCCTCATGGGAGCGAGTGACTTTGATTTCGGCGGCAACGGCCCTTGGACGTTCCCAAGCAGCAGCAGCAGCAGCGGCAGTAGCAGCAGCAGCAAGTGGAGCCCTATCTGATAGCGCCGCAGCGCAATCTGGTCCGCCACAGGGGAACATGTCTGTCGCCATATTATATGACCAAAAAGGGTGGAGTCGTTGCCTTCTAATGCCAAGTCTCCAGACGCGTAGCTAGCATGTCCTCGGCCCTCCTCCCTTCCCACAATGGAAAGCCTGGCACTGTACCAGAACCTGCCAGCCCGGCTTTAGGGCAAAGAAGCCCTATGGCCGACGCCGATGTCTTTTCCTCGGGAATAAAAATCAAACCACCCCACCTCTGTGCATTCTCATCCTTCTCCCGAACCACATTTTCTCCAGCCTTAGGGCCCTCAGCTAGATGCTCATCGCTTCCTTCGCCCTCCTCTGCACACGGCACACTGCATACTGCATACTGCCTCATGAGTCACGCCTATCTCCTCCTTGATGCGGCCTCTGCCTATATCGCAAAATAATGGAAGCACATCAACGGCTAGTCGGCGACCGGTGGTGGTCTGCCGGTTTGCAATCTTCCTTCCTCTTCACGAGCCTTGCCTCAACACCGCCACCGCAGATTCTGCAGCTGGTAGTTCCCCTCGGCTTCTTCATTCTTCTTCGCTCGTTGCTTTTCAGAGCTATCGCCGCTACCCTCTCATCCCTAGCTGCTCGCAGCCCTCGGGCCTCGGCTCTATTCATCATCACCCAGACTTTCGCCTTCAACGCACCTTCAACCCTCGAGATTTAGGCTGTTCAATTTCGCTCCTGCTCTCGGACAACCTTCCGAGGCACTTGGCTTGATTGAGACCGCCTATAGCGGTTCACAATCTTCTGCTCTCTTTCCTGCCCGTGCTGAAGACCACACATCTGGGGTCCTCCGCCGGTCTGGCCCAAGCCCTAGGACTCTTCACTCGTTCTTTTCTTTCCTGGCCCATATACCGCACATAACGGAACAACATTCAAGAAACCAAATATTCAAGAGGGCAGATTCCACCCGCCACCAACCACCGCAGGGCATCATTTGAGCACACCAGTCTACAGGATCTTTCGCTTATTATCGCCAGACATGAACTCGTTCTCCTTCTTTCTTGTAATCCGCCCCACTCGCGCCTATCTCTTGTCGCGGACTCTCGGAAATCAATCCATCACCGGTCGGCACACTAAAGAAGAAGTACCCTCTGAGTCCAAGCAGCATCTTCTACTGCGCTGCCTCATCCTCCTAAGATTGACGACAACCAGCAGGTAGGTCTTTTAATCCTCTTTAACGACTCTCATCAACACTACCCCTTAGTCAAACACGGACCTCGGCCTCGTCGCCGCCTTAGCCTTGTCCCTTAGCCTTGTCTCTTAGCCTTGCCCAGACACTCAATGATCCGTTGCCTAGTTTAACACCTTAACTAACTGCTTTGCCTTTAGGCTTTGGAACGAACTCTGGAGCAGCCGCCGTCTTGCCAATTACGCGGGCCATGGGTTACTAGGTGAAGATGAACATTCGGATATGATCACCACGTCGAAAACCACAAGCAAGGTTTGTGCACCCCATCCCTTGACCACTCCCAATGACAGAAACGTTTGAAAGCAATCATTAAGCATGTAATAGTCAGCAGAGACTAGCAAGGCGCGTTCAGAGCGGCGACACTTAGCAACGCCAAAACAAGATCATGGCTACTCTATTGATTGGAAAGGCTAGGCGTTAACTGCAGCAACAAACAACTTCAAACATGGACGATGCGTATCCATTCAGCATTCGTCAGCCGGAACAAACCATGTGCTCCAAGCCAAGAAAAAAGCAAGAGCGGGCGAGGAACGCAACATCTCCTTCAACATTTGCATTCTCATGAACAAAGCAAAGAGGAGGGCACAAGAAACCAGAATTCACGGAGTCTCTAACTTCACCAGCCAAGATCGCATCTCGCTACAAATGCTCGCTACAAATGAACAGCAATGTCGAGACTTGCTCTTAGTACTGAGATACCACCATCCGCGGAACATCAGGAGGAGACGACGTCCCACCAATGCCATCAATAAACGCCGGACACACATCCGGTCTGGAATCTTGCTAATAGAGCCAGTGCGACTCTATCAAAACACCAGCAGGGAGACTCTGAGCCTGATATTGATTGGGACGAGTCCGCTGCGGCAGACCAGGAGGCTGCTGTCGAGGCCGAAAGCCAGCGCCGATGGGTGGGGGCGACCCTTTCGCGTTTTATGATCGAGGACCGGGCGCTCAGTCCTGGCTGCGGAGGCCTGGTCCCCGATGATCCCAAGTTTGGGCAGGGGCCTGGTGGAGTGGTCGGGATTGGTAACCCCGGTCCTTGATCATAAAGCGGGGAATGGGTCGGCCCTATCCTCCGGCGCCGGATTTCGGCCTTGACAGCAGCCTCCTGGTCTATCATAGTAGACTCGTCCCAATCAATATCAGGCTCGGAGTCTTCCTGTGGGTATTGTGACGGCGGCGACAGCGGTGACGATATGGAGAAGAAAAGGGGAGGGGCCCGGTGCCGGGGCCGTGGGGGGAGCATGCGATGGGATTGGGGAAGAAAGAAAGAAGGAAAGAAAAAGAAAACCTAAAAAGAAAAAAAAAGAGGAGAAAGAGGAAGGAAAAGAAAAGGAGTGGGGGAGCTACGGCGCGGTTGATGCGGGGGCACTATCCGGGCTGGCCTCTCCCTCCCACGCCCAATATCCCGGCGGTCTGATCCCCGATGATCCCAACTCTGGGTAGGGGCCCGGTGCCGGGGCCTTGGCAGCAGGCGGGGAGAGGCCAGCCCAAGTGGGGGCTATGGCGTGGACGGCCGGAGAGGACCTGCAAGATGGGCGTTTGCGTTTCCGCCCCAGCTCAAAGGTGAAGCTCCGGGCACTGCCGGCCCCCTAATTGTCCCGGGCACGCAAGCGCCCGGCAGTTGGGCGAGCGGCTGGCGGCGCGGGGCGAGAACCGCTGGAGACCGTGGCGCCAGATAAGAGCGCGGCCGACGCAGCGGTTGACGCGCACCGCGGCTGCCCGGAGGAGGGCTGAGGACCATTCCCGCCTGCTGGTGCTCTCTCTCGACGGCGGGGCGGGTCGTCGGCGAGAAGAGTTTCTCGAGCCCGGGGCTGTCGGCGCTACTGGAGAGAGAGAACCGGCGGGCGGTGATGGTCTTCAGCCTCCTCGAGGCTGCTGTGAGCGTCGACCGCTTTGTTGACTACGCTCTTTTCAGGCGTAACTATTTTCGGCGGTTCTTGTTCCGCGCTGTCCCGCTTGCTTAGCTTGTTGGGTGTGGCGGCCTAGGACGGCGGGGGCGACAGTGTCTGGGCTTCGCTTTGGTGGTGGCCTGGGGGAAGGTGGTGGTCAGGTAGCAAATTCAAGATTTGTGCCTGATTTAGTCTTGTGTGTGTGTGCGCGTGCTTGTTTTGATATGTCTCCGGTGAGTGCCTAATTTATCTTTACGAGGCACTTACCTTGCGGGCCTAATGATATCGAAGACCGATGGAATTTGTGTGCCAAAGGCTTTGTGCTTTCATGGTGTTATACGACAGGCATGATCTACGTACATAGTATGGCGTTCTTCTTGCTTGCCTTGTGTTTAGCAACATAGGACACCAAAGACTGTTTTTGGATAGAGCAAATTCTCTTTGACACCCAACACCGGAGATTTGTTTCTCAAAAGGTAGAAGAGAATACGGTCATGAAAATAAGCTTGTCAGAACTTGATATAAGTCAGGTGGTCTGCTTATGGAACACCCCTGGATTTGGAACAAGGTTTGTCATCAAGGACTTGCCGCTCGCCACCCAACTCACCTATTTCAATCGCTTGCAACTCGACCAATTCTGCTTCAATACTTATCTTCTTTTCTCCATTCAATTGAGAAATGAAAGATGAAGCGATATACTCAGTTGGATTTGCAGAATGCGCTGGCAGAGTATGCAGAAACCGGCTTACTCCGTAGCTATGCTGAAAATCACGGCATCCCCCCTACTACTCTCTTTAATCGGGTTCGTGGTTCCGAGCCAGCCTCCAAGGCCCAAATTCTTAATCAAAAGCTTTCTCCGGCTATGGAAGAACGCTTAACCGAATGGACTCTATTCCAAGGGTCGCTCGGTCACCCTCCAACCCACGCCCAAATTCGGAAACTAGCTAGAAGAATGCTCGAAGATAACGAGACCCTCGGAAAACGCTGGACTAGCCGGTTTTTGGCTAGAAATCCATCTATTTCTACAATTAGGCCTCGGAGAATCCATGCAAACCGTGCTGATCGAGCCTGTGAGGCCGTTATCCGGCCTTGGTTTGACTATTTGAAGCCTCCAGGCGTGGAGGCTATTCCAGCCAAGCATAGGTATAATATGGATGAAACTGGCATTGCTTCTGGCATTGGAGATAGCGGCCTGGTTGTTGGATCTAAGAAAAGAAAGAAATTCCAGAAAAAGAAGAAAGGAGACCGAATTTGGACCTCGATTATCGAATGTATTTCCGCTGACGGCCGGTATTTGAACCCAGTCGTCATTTTCAAAGGTGGAAGCCTTCAACAACAATGGTATCCACGCGATTTACAGCCATTTAAGGGCTGGAAGTGGAAACCCACTGAAAACGGCTGGTCTGACGATGATACTGCCGTCGCATGGCTCCGCAATATCTTTCTTCCAGAGACTCGGCTAGCTACCCCCTCGGAGAAGCGCCTCCTTATTTTAGATGGCCACGGTAGTCATACCACCGAAGAATTCATGTGGCTAGCCTTTTCTAATAACGTAAAATTGTTATTTCTACCAGCCCACACCTCCCACGTTCTCCAGCCTCTGAATTTATTGGTTTTCGGCCCTCTAAAAGCCCGGTACAGAGCCAAGCATAACGAGGTTGTTTCCGGCTTCGACGAAGGCACTGTTGCTGAAAAGAGGGCCTTCCTAGAATGCTACCGGCAAGCCAGGGTCTATGGAATGACTGAATCTAATATCAAAGCCGGCTGGAAAGCTACAGGCCTCTGGCCGGTCAGCCTCAGGAAGCCCCTAAGCAACGGCCTTGTTATTAAGAATTCTAACGGCGACGTTGGTCAACTGACCTCTACGGTTTCTATAGATTTTCAAGAGGTCCATAACCCCATTCTAAATAAGAATTCGGAGGGCCGGCCTATATGGTTTACCCCTAAAAAGCCGAAGGATTTCCGTATTCAGGGGCAGGTTTTTCTAGCCGGCCAGAAACGGACTGCCAACGACCGACTTTTCATACGCAAGGCCGCAAAAGCCTTCGATTACGTGGTTTTCCAACTAGCCAATACGGCGCATTAATTGGAGGCTGCAGAAAAAAGCCTAGAACGCACAAGAGGCCGAAAGAGAAGGAAGGTCCAAGTCGACCCTAATACGCAGTTCGCTGGAATTGAGGAGGTTCGTGCCTCACAGAGAGAGGCCGGCAGAGAGGACCTTAATTATTCTGAAAGAGAAGAATCAGGAGAATCCGATACTGAAGACTTCATCATTGTAGCTAATTAATTGACAAAGTTGTTGGCAATTGAAGTTTGTGGTGTTGTGCGGGGTCCGATTCAGGGGCTGTTCCATAGGCAGGGGTGTTCCAAAAGTCCCCCACCTGACTTACTTATCACATATCAGTACTTAGAAGACTCATCACTCTAGGAGGACTAAACCTTCACCTGCTCCTGGATTCGGCGCCGTAGATTGGCTGGTAGATCACTTATGCAGACCACAAGGCCGAACCTTATACACCTCCACATTAACTTGAGAGCTTCTTGCGGTGCAAGAAAGCCGCTACGTTACTTCTTGTTACGTCCAACGAGGAAAAAATAGGCGTAGACTATGATGTATTGTGTTGGGGTGGACAATGAGTGCATTAGGAAGCTAAAACTAGAAGGAGGAAAAACTCCCTACAAAATGTGTGGGCGAGAACTCTTCGGCAGGGCCAGGGCCCACATGACTAAGGCATGTGTAAGGCACACCCGCCACAACAGGAGTTGCCCGTCAAAGGCGGCTACATGAACTTCGTTGCGTCGACATACCTGGATGTAGCCCTCAACACGTCGCTCGACACGCCGTTGGGAGTCACCATTGACCCGCTGGGGTTGAGCCTGTAATTACGAAACAACAACTAGCACGGACACGGAGTCGGCGTTCCTGACGCTACAGCTCCCAGAGCAACACATCAACCACCAAACAGACGTTCCAATTCCGGCCCAGCGAGCCAACGTGTCCAACAAAACGCAGATCACAGCTTGGTTCAACGAATAATTTGACCAGGAAACCACACAGCTGCGTCTCAAGGCCAACAACCTCCACATGCACCTAGGCAAGCTCGAGTACGACACCTCTCCGATGAGCGATGAATACTCGTTGACCCAGGACGGCAGGGTACCAGTGCAGGTACCAGACGTGAGCAGTGCCGTTCTCGCGAGCTCATCCTTTTCTCCACGAATTTCACCGCTGAGGCCATAGTATTACCTCTTTTACATTCCGCACGCGAGCTGCCTCTCAAGATACGCGCACAGGGGCACCACCCCTGGCCGCCGCTAACGCTATCCCAGATTCCTGTCACCAGAAGCGCAACCCCGCTGTCGATCGCGAGGAGACGAGGCTTGACAACGGCTCGCGTGTGGGACCTGCATCTCTGCGATTTGACGGCAACGGCATTATTCTCCTCGTCCGGTTAGCCTGGCGATTACTTGTGGGCAGTTGAGTTCACGAGATCAGAGGGTGTATGCAAATCAAAGGAACAGTTGCTGTGAATTTTCCGCCGGGAGAAAATCAAACCGTCAAAGAATGGGCAGGATGCGGGTCGTCGGATTTGGTTTCAATGGATACCTACCTGATTAATGCAAAGGGGCCTGAGAGCAAGTTCCACCAAAGAATCACAGATGTACTGCAATCAAAAGCCACAGCTTAAAATTAAAGACCATACACCAAAGCCTATGGGGCCGCCTTGTAGTCCACCTCGCCGGCGGGCCCGATAACTCCAACGCGGTGGTAATACGTCCTGGCACGAACATACGGGCCAAGCTTCCAGAAGCTTTCCCTCAGCTGACCAGCGAGCTCGTTGCGGCGTTCGGCAGCCACCTTGCGCCGAGCCGCTTCAACGTCGACATCAGCAGCGGCACGGGCGTTGACATCAGCCTCCGGCGGCACAACACAATCCTCGTGCGTGGCACTGGCACCGCCGGCCCACTCGGCCGACAGCTGCTCGAAGCGGCGGACGAGGGCGTCGCGCTCGGCGCGCACGGCGTGCTTCTTCTCGGAGCGCATGCGGTCGTTCTCGCTGGCGTCTGCCGCCGCCACATACGTAAACTCCCACGCGTCCTGCCCGCCGTAGCACAGCTGCAGGTTGTCGGGCGCGATGAAGCGGGCCAGCTCGCGGGGGCCGCTCGTGAAGTGGACCTTGGACGCGATCACCGGGTCCAGCCACGGCCGGATGATCTTCCAGATGCCTGTCGCCGCAGCGGGTTACCTAACGGTTAGACGTGTGTGTGTGCTGTGAGAAGGAATGGAATGGAGGGAGGGAGGGAGGGACGAACCCTAGAAGACGAACGGCGCGTTGTGCACGAGCACGACGCCGAGGTACTCGGGGTACCTAGCCTCAAACACCTAGACGAGGAACTTGACGACGTAGAAGTCCATGTTGCGCAGGGCGAAGCCGGTCAGGTCGAAGACGAGACACGCCTTCTCGCGGGGGTAGCGCAGCATGGCGCGCATGGTCTCGATGCTGTGCAGCACGAAGCGCTCCATGACCGCGGCCGGCTGCAGCTTCGGGTCGTGCAGGCGAACGCGGATCACGAAGACGGGGCGGCGCGCGCGGTCGGCCCCGCGCACGTACGCCTTGCCGGCCCGGTACTGCGCGACGAGGGCGGCCTTGTCGTCGGGCGCCAGCGCCGCGCTCTCGCCGCACCCCACGACCACCTCGTCGATCTGCTGCGCGTGCCGCCAGCTGAGCGCGGACGCGAGCATCGCCACCGCCCTCGCCACCTCCCACCTGCGCGCCCGCAGGAACCGCAGCACCAGCACGTCCGGGTGGTCCGCCAGCACGAAGTCCCACAGCCGCTGCCGGAACTCGGCCGGCGACAGGCTGCCCACGTGCTGCTGGAGCTCGTGGCTCCGGTCGGCTCGAGGCCCTCCTCGACGCCGCTGAGCCGGAGCAGGTGCACCCATGCCTCCTGCAGCTTGCGTTCTTCGTCGGCGGTCAAGTTGCCGAGGTGGCCAGGCTCGACCGGGATGAAGTCTGGAGACATGTCGATGTCGGGCATGGCCGGTTCCACGGTGAAGTGTTGATTCCAGATGCCCGGGGCCCAACAGCACCCGCCGTTTAAGACCTCGGTGAGGTCTGAGATATTATTCGCCTGATTAATTATCACGATAAGGTGCGTGCGCGGGTGAGGCACGGCTGGTGGTCTCCTGGGTGTATTGCGCTCTGGGCGTTATTATTACTGATCCTTGTTGTTCCCAAACTGGCGAGTTGGTCGTTTGGAAGCGGTTGAATCTCCCCAGATCTGTGGGGGGGGGGCTGACCACCTACTTCCAGGTTTGGCTAGTGCAGTCAGCCGACAGCGGCCAGCAGGAGCCGCTTTCACCGACTTTTGCGGTTGGGAATAGACGCCGAGCAAAGTATACGACGCAGCCTATAAACGGGGTCTGGTGGTGTTGAGGTCGGACGTGACATCAGCGCTTGATGTGCGGGAGAGTCCGATGTCGAGACCGACAGTCAGCTGGGTCTCAGCTGGTCTTCCCGAGTCGGAAGCCTCGGAAAGCAGCCCCAAATTCGGACAGTGGCGCTCCCCGGATCAACACGCGGGCGGGCCAGCTCCGGACCCCGCAGGCTTGGCGATGATCCACGCCGCCAAATCAGGTGGTGGCGGTGCTTGGGAGCAGGGTGGGTGTGTTCAGGGGTGTTCCCGAGTGACACGCTGTGAAGCATGACGACTTGCACCATTTGTTTTCATATCACTGCAACAACACTACGTTCGTGATATACGTGTCATTGAAAGGAGAACACCGTATTTCGATCATGTCTCAAATTCACAGTGATCCAGTTCAATTCAGATAGGTCATATCACGCCATCTCGTCAGGGGTCTGTATCTATAAACAGCAATTAAACACGCGCGACGCAATCTCGTCACATAAACTCCAAGTCCTTCGACACGCTCCCCCACCTCGCCGCCGCCATATCCCTAAAGCAATTCGCCTTCGGTCTCCAGACGCCGCTGCCGCCCTTGGGCAGCACCCGCGTGCCATCCCTGAGATACGTCGACGAGAGGCTCATCATGGGCCGACCAACCATGAAGTGCGGCGGCCGCAGGGACGCGCGGCACGACAACGGCAGCGCGGCGGCGGCGCATCTCGGCGAGCTCGATGGTCGTTGCGGTGATGAGTCTGATCGTGTCCGTTACCACGGCGGCCTTGCCGCGCCGCAGCGCCGCGAAGAAGTCGCCGTCGGCGCACGCGCACACGCGCTGGTCCCACAGGTTGTAGCGTGGCTTGAAGTGCGGGTCCTACGGGATGTCCGGCGGCAGCTGCGGGATGGTGTGCCGCTTGATGGCCAGCTTGGCGAGCACCGGCCAGGTCCGGCAGAGCTGCGTGGTCAGGTAGCTGCGGAGGAGCCACAGGAGCCGGTTGAGGTAGTGCGCCACGGCTGCGGGAAAGACGGCAAACAGCAGACTCGGGATGAGGCTGTTGGTCGGCATCGAGAACAGGTAGCTCGGGCTTCGCTGCAGTATTGTCACGCGCTTGGATCTCTCGGCTATGGCTGGAACGATGGTGACGGCGGTGGCGCCGCTGCCGATGACGACGATATGCCTGTTGGTGTAGTCGTAGTCCTGGGCCAGAACTCGGGGTGGATGATCTTGCCGGCGAAGTTCTCGATGCCCGGGATTGTCGTCTCGAGAGGCTTCTCGTAGTCGTAGTAGCCCGTGCTAAGCAGCACAAACTGCGAGCGGAAGACGGCGGTCTGGTCTTGTCAGGGCGGGGCAACCCGAAGCTCCCAGTTTCTTCTATGGGAATTCGAATTCGCAGAGAGGGCCCTGTGGCGGTGAAGGATGTGGTGATCGATACCGAGATTGGGCTGCCTCGTTCATGTAGCTCCTGGACTGGTCACCGGATACGAGAGATGTCCCGTGAATCTACGGACTCCAGGGAAAGCCAAAGGTCAAGATGTTCGAGTCAGACCAGATGCCGGGATATCGGACCAAGTCCTATGTACCCCCGAACGAGTCCCAGCCTTCGAGAATGGCGTAGCTCATGTCGGCAGGGCCTTCGGTCTGGATGCCCTAGCCGGCGTTAATTCCCGAGATGCCGGCACCAATGATGATGGCGTGGAAATACGTGAGGTCGACATTCTCCCCAGTTGGGAGACTTGTACCGTTTGCGGCGGTAGCCATGACAATGTGCGGAACGGCTCACAGAGTCGACGTTGTGAACTTTACCGGGTACGAGGATGTTTTGTCCAACTGAGACATCTAAGACTCGAAATCCCTGGCAGTATCAGTTGAGGCTGGAGATGACTATTATCGAAACCCGACAAGGAATGCCCGTAAACAAGCCCGAGAAAGGTCTCGGCAGTGGGACCCATCCTGGCTGTTTCCCTGTTAGATGCCGCTTGGAAGCTGGCCCTGCAATAGGTGATCGGCAGACGGTGATGATCGGAAGCCAAAGTCAAGGTTGCCTCAGACATAGGCACATACATACCTCCCCAGCGTCGCAAGCCCGGCACGTTTTGGGTGATAATTAATGAGTTGGCTAACATGGAGTCAACTGCCGCGTTTGTCAAGGCTTGCGAGGCAACGTCCCTTCCCGAGCTAAAGTCAATCGGTCACAAGCTTCTGACTACACGTTGCGAGGTGCATTGCAAAGTAGCCTTGGGACTAGCTGGTGCCAAATAAGGAGGTCAGTTGGCAGCTGACAGGTTGACACTGCACTATGTTGCAGACAGCATCGCGTCATGGAATCGCTCTTTGGGCTAAGAATATGCGGGAGTTCCATTTCGAGATCACGAACGACGGGATCGCGCGAGGTGCATCAGCACGCAACCACCACGCCGTTGCTTGTACCGACGAGTACCATCCAGTTCGTCGTGGACAGCACACTGTGCGTTCCTTGCGAGGTGCTTCTCTGCACTCCGCACGACCCCCACCTCGGCAGCGATGCTTGCACACAGTACGAGACAGTGTCTGCCGCGACGGGATGCAATTCATCTGTCAAACAGGATTTGCGATGTGATTGCACTTGCGCGTCAATAGCGTACCTGCGCAAGACCAAAAGCGGCATATGCTATGATGAGGGGCATCCAGCAACCCAGACCAACGAAGCTATCCGAATGCCGTGTCGCGTGCTGTATGTTGGACGGCTGGGTGCCTCGGCAAGACGCAGCTTGGCACAGTGCACGCACGCAGTTGGCATGTGACGCCAACGCGGAATGTTTGTTTACTTTCGCCATCGACAAACAGCCTTCGAGACCACGAGTTAATTATGCAAAAAAAGAAAAAAGTAAAGAAGAGTAGATACAGATTAACACACAGCTGCACTTCAAGTGACCCGTAGCTTCAAGTCCGTCGCAGCCGCGAAAAACGTCCTAGCATCGCGGGCCGCAGCCTCGGCGGCACGCGCGAACCCGATCCGGGGGCCCAGCAGAATGACATCATGCGGACAGCCCTTGGAGACGAGCAGGCGCACATTCCACCCGGCATCCCGGTAGCGCTCCGAAAAGAGCTTCATGTCGTGGTACAGCACCTCGCGCTCGCCGGCGTGCACAAACACGGGCACGTCGCCCGCGGGCGCGAACGGGTGCAGCAGCGGCGCGAGCCACGGGCCGCTAGCATCCACAGCCCCGTGCCCCGAGACAGCCGCCGCGCCCCAGCGCCCAAACTCGCGGTGCAGGTAGTCGGTCGCGTAGTTGGGCGACGCGCGCATGTCGAGCCGCAGCGCGCCGCCCACGTCGACCCACGGCGACCACAGCGCGACGGCCCCCGGCGCGCCCAGCCCCTCGCCGTGCTCGCGCAGGTACCGCAGCAGCGCCAGCGCGAGATTCGCGCCCGCCGAGTCCCCCGACAGGATGATCCGGCGCGGCGGGACGCCCTTATCACGCACCAAACACAAGTACGCCGTCAGGGCGTCCTACAGCGCCGCCGGGAACCGGCCGAGCCGCCCGCCGCTGGCCAGGCGGTACTGCGGCGTGCACACGTGCGAGCAGCCGAGGTAGCGCAGCAGCGTCCTGGCCAGGAACCCCGTGTCATCATCACGACCGGTGCCGGTGGCACACGCGCCGCCGTGGAAATGCAGCGCAACAACAACAACATCGGGCGCGACGAGCTGCAGCGGCGCGGGCGTCCAGGTCGCGCCCACGTCGGCGGGCTGCACCGCGCCGTCGCTGCACAGCACGCCCGTGTACTCGCCGCGCGGGCGGGCGCGCAGGACCTCGAAGCGGGCGCCCTCGCGGCCTGGCCGCAGCGTCAGCCGGTCGCCGGACCGCGTCAGCGACCAGCACAGCAGCAGCAGGCGCACCAGCCGGTTGCGCGCGGCCTGGTTGAACGTCCACTCGCGCGCCGGCCGCGTCCACGGCGGCACGCACAGCAGGATGTCGAAGGCGAAGTGCGCGAGCAGGAGCGGGCTGATCAGCAGCGCGTAGAAGTATGTCGAGAGCACGCCGAAGCGGGCCGCGAGGCTTGTTGTTGCGCGCCGCGTCTTTGGGGCGGGGGGGTTGGCCATGGTGGTGGTGTCTTGCGGTTGCGGTGAACGCCCGACCCGAGCGTGGTGGCCTTTGGGTGGATATATGTATCTGTTGGGCGGGTGTGGTGTGTTGACGGGGCGGGGTGACTGGTGTAATTAGTTTGTGTGAACGGCCCAACGGGTCCATGTACGGCCAAGAATCCTTCTAATACTTTGGGTCTAGCTCGGCCGTAGTGTTAGTGTAGTTGGTGGGGTTCAAGGCCGGGATCTCGGACTTTGGGTGCCGGGTGGACGCAGGATCGCGGACGGGCCAACAGCAACTGCTGGCAGTTTGACGTGCAGGGGTGATGCGTCACGCAGAGTTGAGAGTTGGCAGTTCCATGGGACGTGTTGGTAATATCCGGGCTGTTGGTCATGTTTAAGAGACGATCCTGCATTTACACTCGACATTTGCAAAAAAGTAAACTGTCCTGCTCCTGGGCGATAATGCGCAGTCGAAGAGGCTCGCACTAGCTCCAAGTTTTTTACTCCTTTCGCGAAACTCGGTATCTACGGAGTACCCAATATATTACACGCGTGGAACTACGCACCTAGGTAGTTTCTGGAGCACCGCGTCCGCGGATCCTGCCAGATGGAAAGTTTCCTTCTCCGCGTACTCCGAGGGAGGCGGTGCAAGCTTAATCCGACAACATGCGACATCCCGATGCCTCAACCCCAAAAAACTTCAAACACTTTTTGCCATCTTGACCCAACGAAGGCATGTCAACTACCTACCCAGAATAACGTTCCCAGCACACCCCCGCACCCGTGACGCACGAGTGGCTAGTCACGGCTGCACCTAACGGCGACGGGCCGTCCCCTTGCCCACAATGTCGCGCACAAACTCCTGCAGCCACGACGGCCAGGCCCGGAACCCAGCCAGGATCGACGCAGCGCTCTGGATGACGACCTGAGCGCCCCTGCGGCTCTTGACCTGGCTGATGATGACCTCGGCCACCTCGTCGCTGGTGAGCAGACGGACGCTGCCCCTCTCCAGGCGGGCGGTCAGGGCCTGGATGAGCGGCGTCCTGACGAAGTTGGGGTGGACGACGGTCGTTAGCACGTTGGGCGCCTTGTAGTGGTGCTTGAGCTCACAGGCGAGCGTCTCGTGGAAGGCGAGGGCGCCGGCCTTGGTCGCCGAGTAGTCGGCGGCCGTGGCCAGGGCGACGAAGGAGGCGATGCTGGCGACGGTCACTACGTAGCCCTTGTTCTGCTCGATCATGGCCGGCAGGAACTACTACGTGGTGAACCACATGGACATGAGGTTAACGCTGAAGATGGTGTGCAGGAACTTGGGGTCCGTCTTAAGGATAGGCCGAGGCTGGGCCACGCCGGCGTTGTTGATGAGGATAGACGGGTGGCCGAGGTCGCTGCGGATGGCGTCGGCCACGGCGGCCACGGCGGCCACGGCGGCCACGGCGTCCGCGGACGTCACGTCGCAGCGGTAGAAGCGGATGTTGGCGTTGCCCTGCATGTCCTTGGGCAGGTCCTGGATGTCTAGCACGGCGACGCGCACGCTAAGGGCCACGAGCTTCAGCGTGGTGTCCTTGCCGATGCCGCTGGCGCCGCCCGTGACCACGGCGATCTCCTTGGGCCAGTCCCAGCCCTTTGCCGGACCCAGGCGCCACGAGTTGTGGGCCATGGTGCTCAGCGTGCTGTTCGCCTTGCTGATGGCGCCCAGGGCCACGACGACCTTCAGCACGGTCATGGCTGTCGAGGAGTCATCGGGCGCCGCGCGCAACAGCAAAGCGCTGAGCTGCTCCGGGAGCTTCTTGAGGACCGAGGCCGTGGCATTGCGCAGAGTATCGGGGGCATACGTGGCGCCGACCAGGAGAGCTCCAGGCACAAAGGGCGAGAAGGCGATGCTGCCCAGGGCTCTGAGCGGGACCAACAAGTCGTAGATGACTGCGGTCGCCATGGTCAAGCGGTTTGGGTGCGAAGTGGAGTCGGAAAAGCCGGGGCGGCAAGTTCGTTTCTGGGTTGGAGAAGCAGGGAGGCAATTGGGGTCGCCGAGATGAAGGCGCCTACAAGAGTGGCAATTTGTGTGCCGACAGGCCCCTTAGACCGCGAGTTTTGTCGGATTCCGGCCTTCTTGTGAGTTGCCGCAGAGATGGAGTTGCCGTCAGCTTTGTTGTTGAGGTTTCGACCGCTACTTCGCCCTGCGAAAACAATCCGAGTTTTTTTCCGACAGCCTGAGGCTTGAGTCGGAGGATGCGCAAGCTAGACAGATTTTGGCCTGTCAGCAATCCCCAAATTAGCACGCATGGGTCATCCTTGGGGTGTCCGACGTCACAAGCTAGCCCCCAAGCTGCTCAGCCCAGCCGACAGCGGTTCCGAACCCCGCTTGAAGCAGCCCACCCAGGGCAGTGGAGACACAGCAGAATGGCCAGTTCTGCCCCGGATTCTCAACGGCGCTGGGCTCTGCTCGCTCTCCGCTTTTTACGCAGTGTCCTTGCAGCCCGCCTCGTAGCTCATGGCTGGCCCGGATCCGCCGCGACAGTGATCGAATTCGGAAAAGATGGTCTTTCCCGGTCGCTTCAGCACCGGCTGCCTGCGCTGCCGTCAGCGCAAAGTTAAGGTGAGACAGCACCGCCAACCCCCCCGAACAGACCTTGTATCGGAAGCCAATAAACAGTGTGGAGCAATGGCAACAACAAACCCCCCGGGACCCGGCCTGGCCTAGATGGCTGCTTACAACAAATTTGGCGGCGAAAAATTCCGCTTACAGTCGTACAAGAACTGCGGCCGAGCCATCCGCATGCTGCAGGATATTGTGGGGACTGAAGAGCAAGCTACCGACGACAAGGTCCTCGCCTCCATCTTGCTTCTGTGTACGCTCAAGGTACGTATCACCGCCGCCGCCGCCACCACCACCACCACCGCTGTGACATGATCTCGCCGCCGCCCGCACAGTCATTGACCATGCGCAAGTACCTTCGTGTACTGAGTCTCCCAGAAATACCGCCCCGCCCCTGGCTGACGGAATCGTATGATACCACCCTGACAAGCGTTGCGGGAGCGGTTGTGAATTGGCCTGCATCTCGGTGGACTCGCAGGCCAAGCCGAATAGGGACGCACCTTGCGACCTGCTTCCGGCGGTGGCGTTGTCGAGGTTGTCCGAATATGGAAGCTCGATTGCCGACCATACTCACCTGTACCATACTATTCCTGGCATACTATGTATGATATGCATGATTATGGCAACACAGACGCGCGGCCGATGAGTGGCTTGAGCTGCCGATGCTTAGAGAGGCTCGAAGGCAACCTCATCCTCCAATACAGGCCTCTCATGTTGAAAGCATCTTGAAGCCAAATACCGTGCGGAGCCGCTCATGTTTGACCACAAAGTACACATTGCAATCTTGCCCCAGTCACCGCATCACCAGTTGCCCTGCCCCACGCTTTGCTCACCATGACGATAGCGGCCCAGCTCTTCAACTTCCCAAGCCTCACCGTAGTAGAGGCTGTAGAGGCGCTGCTGGCTATCAAGCAGTTCCCCAACTACTAGTCTACAGCTCCGGGAGCCATCTGACCGCCGTGGTCGGCATAGTCCTCGCGAACTATGCGTTTGGCGTCGTTTTCTGGGCGTTTCTGTATTCGAGGTTTCTCAGTCCCCTCTGCTACATCCTTGGGCCAAAGGTAATCAAGTGAAAGACCTACTCTACGGCTCGCGGACGACTGCTTACCAAAGCTAACAGGCTTTCATTAGCGCTGCGTACCGAGCCATTGTCGTCAAGGAGGGGCCATCGGGAGACATCTTCCTCAAGCTGGCCAAGCAGTATTTTGACTAGGACCTGATTGCGCTTGACGTCTTTGGCCGTCAGATCTTCGTCGCGAAACCGGGCCTGCTGGCCGACCTGCTCGTCCACAACTGCTACGACTTCGCCAAGCCCAGGCGGATCAGCGCGTTCCTGCGGCGGATTCTCGGCGATGGCCTCATCATTGTCGAGGAAGACCAGCACAAGTTCCTCCGCAAGAACACCATGCCCGCGTTCCACGTCCGGCACATCAAGGACCTGTACCCCATGATCTGGAACAAGGCTGGCATCCTGGCCCGGGCGTTGGCGCGCGGGAAGACAACCACGCCCGCCTGGAGTGCGACATCTCTATCCACGAGCTGCACGCACCAGCGACGTCGCCATACACGGCCCTGGTGGTGGGGGCAACGGTGATGGTGATGGTGGGCGCAGGACAGGGAGACAGCAGCTTGCGCCGATCGTGATAGGCGACCGGGCGACGCTCGACAGCCTCGAGTACGCGGTCGGCTTTGAGCGGCAGTACCCGGACTGGGCGTGGAGCGCCGCGGGGTGGGTGATGCCGGTGTACGACCGGCCGGTGGAGGACGTGTACGCCGAGTTCGCGGCCAAGTGCGCGCTGGACGACGGCGACCTCGACATCCTCGGCGAGGGCGAGGACGCGGCGGCCAGGAAGCTCGCCGGGCTCCCGTCGTGGGTGCCCCACTTCAGCGCGCCGCTGCTGCTGCGCACGCCCCTGACGCGCTGGAAGGCCGGTGCCAACGAGGGCTTCTACGCCGCCGCGGGGCGAGTCCACGGCCAGGCCCGCGTGGAGCGTGTAGGACCGGCGCGTTCTGGGGGTGGAGGGGTTCCGCTGGGAGGGTGTAAGGCTTGTTTGAGGTTACGGCAGATGGGTACGGCAGCCAGTGCGGGCGTGGCACGGCTGGCCGGCCGCCTCGCCGTGCCCTTGGGTTTCCCCCCGGAGCGTCCGATGGCGCTGGGTGTTGGTCGGCGGGAGACTTCCGCGTGCTGCCGTGGGTGCCTTGTATGATGGCGGCACCGGTCAGGAGCGATTGATGAATCATGAGGCACGCCCGTATCGCCGACATTTCCATTGACATCGGCTGACTGCGCCCTTTGGGTTGTGGAGCCGCGGACCACACCCACAGTCCACTGTAACGTAATTATCTGCACGGCTTTACGTTATTAGAAGCATGGCTATGATGAACACCGGCTGAAGAAAATTCTAACAGCTGCTAATTTTGGTCACTTTCTCTCCGTGTCATTTCCGGTGGTTCTGATGCCCAGTGTCAGCCGGCGCAACAGGCGGCTCGAGCTGTGCCACTAGGTCTGACGAGACTCGGCATGCTCGGCTCCACAAGTTCGCTGCACCCCGTTTTTTCACGTCGGTGCCTTAGCTAGCGTCTTGATAAGACCCATCAGATACGAGCATCTCAGTTGACCAGCCGGTCTGTTGTCGGCTCTGCGGGTCACTTCTTTTGAGGACACGTCTTTGATAGTTGGACCCGGTGAATACCTCAGTCATGAAAGGATTGAACACACTGAAGCAGTCGTCAACCAAGCAACGGAAGGAAGGGCTTTGATGTTGAGAATGTTTGATGTGCTCTACTTACGGTAGTTTGATTCATGAAACTTTCGGCCTGGTAATCAAATCATGGCCTCACCAGGCTGATTCTTCCTAGAAAATCGGCGAGAAACAGGGAAATAACGGATCCATAGTGAGCTGAATGTATTGAAACAATAGGTTACCAGACCTATTTTATTCACCTCCTAATTATCCGATTTCGTCTATCATCCCCTTTCCCGTCGCTAACGGAGAAGCGAATGGACTGCCCCTTTTTTCTATCTACTGAGACCTGTCAGCACGACAACACCACTTCCGCCACCTGGCCACTCAAGGAATGCCATGTCAACACGGCGGTTGTTCCCCTACCCCCCCCCCCGGATGTGCAACCCATTGATCAACAAGACAGGCAGACATGGTGGACGGAATGTCTGACGCGGAGCTCTCAGCACCCCCCCTGCACTCCCTGGAACCAGTCTGGGGTGTCCGTGCATGGTACTGATAGCTGAAATTCCGCCAGGGATGTTTGCTGCGATCACACCCACGGGTTGTCCCACGGGTTGGCTTCGTAGTTGATGGCGAACTGGGACGGGACGGGCAGGGACGCACTGGGCGTCACCGGGGTGCCGGGCCTCGAGTGGATGCCGACAGTGGCAAACGCGCTCAGGTCGTACAAGTTCTTCTGCTGGACCGCGTTGATCTTCTGGACCTCGGCAGACGAGAGCTGGCTCGGTTGCAGGTTGTGGTTTTTCTCGTGCATGGCCTCCAGCCAGGACTGGAACTTGTCGTGGTGGCTCTGCACGGGGAGGCGGCCCATGGCGGCGACCAGCTCCGTGATGAACTGCTGGGCCGTCGGCTTGGTGGTGGTGGCGCCCTTGGCCGCCCAGTCCGTGGCCAGTATGCTGACGTGCATGCACAGGGCGAAGATGACCTGCTTGATGGCCTGCTCGTGAGAGCTCGCGCCGCCCTGTCTGCGCAGTTCGACGGTGCCGCAGCTTGCCTGGACGTTGCAGAAGTTGGTTGACATGTACTTGTTATAGTCGGACTTGGGCTTACCCTCTGGCTTGACGCGGTCCTTGTTACCGTACATCAGGTCGACGACGTGGAGCAGGGACCGCGACTTTGCCGAGAGGAACGGCCCGTAGACGTGGGACCAGGTCTTTGTAGAGCCCGCGGCATAGAACTCGTCGTAGCGAGCCTTGAGCTTGGGAATATGTTTCGTATTCGGCACGGCATAAGAGTTATCCTTGCGGTCCTTGGGCATGATGGTGAAGAGGGGGTGTTCCCAGTAGCACGTGCCACAGGCCACGCTGGCCAGCTGCTCCTTGGAGTAGAAAGGGTGCGTACCACTGGTGCCGGGCGTGACATGGACGTGCATGGAGCAGGAGTTGTTGACGAAGATGTTGAACCAGGACGCCAGCGTCTGGTAGACCAGCTCCATCTCATCCTCCCAGAACTCGTCGGCGCGTATGGGGCGAGACACGATTTCGACACGCCCTGTTGTTTCGGGAGATTAGCTCGGGGGTTGACGAAGGGCCGATCAATGTCTTTGTCACTCACAGAAAAACTTGGTCGGCGTCGCCTGCTGCTCATCCAGGGACTCATCATCCACGACAGACCAGCCACCTGTGCCATGTTAATAAGCTCCTTCCCGGTGGCCTCATTTTGATTTGGGACACGCACCATAAGCAGCTTGGCCATCATCCATCGGAACTCCGGCTTCTTCGAGGATGTGTCTGACAGCCCGGCGAAGGCGATTACGCTGGGTGACCTTGGCTTCCTTCTTGGTGGCATCGTCTGCGTCGCTTTTCAGAGTGAAATCCCAACCTTGAAACGGTGCGGGAAGCACATCATTGTGCGTGAAGGCCCATTCTCGTAGCTCTGTGGCGCGGTTCTCTTTGAGTTCAAGGAGAATCTCGTGCTCGCTGCCCCACACAGGAACAGGGTTTGCCATAGCTGATGCCTTGGGTTTTAAGGGGCGGGAAAAGGCGAAAGACGTCTGGAAAAGGCACGGCAGGTGGTTGTTGATACAGCAAGCAAAGATGTACGGAGATGTTCTGCCTGGTGCGGATTGCTTTGAAGACATGTTTTTGCTGCTGGTGGGCAGACACACTCCTATATACTCGCAACTCTTGACGAGTCGGTGGAAGCCTCTGCCATAGAGGCCACAACTGGCCGGGCTGTTGGTTGTCACACTCCATGACGGCCTGTGCCAGCGGGACGAGGCTTCCTGTCGACCGCAGATCGATGACGGTGGCTGCACTGACGGAAGCCGGTGAGATGAAACAGCCAGGCTGCAGAAGGTTGGCACGCCGCTGTTGGCACGCCGCTTCAGATACATCGGAGTTGGTCTCCATCCCAAGAAACGTGGTTGGGGCGGCCATATCGGGCGGCATCTCAGGTTGCGAACAAGCGAATCGATTTTCGAGTTGCCCTGGATGTGTGTCTCGCCTCGGATTTCCAATGGGCCGGGCGGCAGGCCACGAGTCAACATGGTTACACATTCGCGGCGAGGAGAGGCGGGATACGCTGAACGCTCGGCGACACGGGGCCGGCGAGGGTGTCAGCACATATGCGCCCAAAACGGCCGGCTTATTCCGTCGGGCGCCCATTGTTATTTTTGTCCGCTGACCTCCCCCAACACCTTTCCACGCCGCTGCAAAAGGCCGAAGAGTCAAATGATTCCAGGCTGCTATTTTCAGTCCAGCCCCCGACCCCGCCCTGGTGATCATTGCTCGCCGCCCTCGTGTTTCACGACCGCTTGTGCCCAAGCCACACTGACAAAACAAGCAACACCCCTTGACCAAGACAAATTGAATTGGGTGCAAAATTGACACCCGCTGCTTCCTTCTTTCCGTCGGAATTTCGGATTCGCCCTTCTCGTATCTGGCCACACTGCGGTGCCCGAATGCGCGTTCCAGGTCCGAAACAACGCCGCCTCCTTCTCGGTCCATATTCTGCTCCTCGCCGGCCGTCGTGTCAGACAGGGTGCCGATCGGCAACCGACATATGATGTCATAAGATGCTCTTGCCTTCGCTTGCCGTCGAGTAATATGGGTATATATACCTTCGCCGCCCTTCGTAGTAGCATCTCGCTGTCATCCGCAGGGATTCGCAACACGTCGCTCCCTGCACCACGCGCTTCCAATCGAGCCCTCGAGGACCCAAATTCACAGGAACCCGAATTCACAAGTTCTACTTACAACAACCCCCCCCAGTTACAGCAGACATCTCACCGCCATGTCTGCCGGAGAGTCATCAGCGCTTAGAAAGGCCGCCCTTACCAAGAGCAGCTCTGTCGACGACACCAACCGCCAAACCGGCCTAGCCCGGGGATGGGCGTTCGTCGCGAGCCAGAAGACGGCGCCGGCGCCCAAACGCTCCATCCCCGTCATCTACGACGCAAAGAAAGAGTCCCACACGAAGGCACTCGCTACGGTCCTACAGCGCAGCCTCGACAAGGCCAAGCACGCGAAACGCGTCGACACGTACGCGGAAAAGCCCGCAGACAACGCCGAGGATGTGACCGTGGAGTTTGTCACCATCTCGGAGCGGATGGCGCTGCAGAAGAAACTCGGAGGCGAGGTTAAGCGCGTCTTTGTCGACGGCGGCGTCAAGGCGGCCATTCAGCTGCCCTCCAACGTCCCGACCCCGGTCTCGTCGCGCCCGCAGACACCCGTGTCGGGGGACAAGCCCAAGGCCTGAGTCTGACTTTGTGCAAGACACACAGGGTGGCAGTGCAGCTGCGACACTCGGCACGGGACCACGGGTGGTAATTATGTTGAAACAATTCATTTCATTTTCACGTTTTCCTCGGGCATTATGGGAGCTCGGTCTTGTTTTGCCCACTGGCGAGAGAAAGCTCTGGTAGGGGGCCACCATCACAAGGCGCGTGCAGGGCACCAAGGGCGCATTGTGAAGGGGTTGTTACCGCAGTGTTGAGAAGCCCCTAAATTAATCGGCAGGACCGATGGCAATATGATTCCACTGCAGCCACTGTGGCACAATACAGTCCCATGTGATGCGTATTCTCTCCACAAGCTTCCAGGCATGAATGCACAGTCCTGCGTACCCAGTAGTCTTCGTTTCGCGTGAGCCTCCATATCAGATGGTCCAACTGTCATTGCGTCGTCTTGGTGCGTGAGGCAGCAAGACAACCACTTTTTCTCGTATTGAAAGCTTCCACCCGACGAGCCGTGGGGATTGGATTTGATGTAAGCAATGAAATACAGCCCTAATGCGCCCCAAAGGACCGGTGTTTGGGTTTACGAGGATATCGAAGCTCGCTGTCCCCTTGCGGCACATGGCACCGGCCCGACAGCCCGACGTTTTACCTTTATTGCTCCCCTGTCGTCCTCCTCTCCTAAAATACTCCATCTTCTCCCTTCCACAGTAGCTCGCCTGCGCGGCACTTACCAACTACCAAGAAAACTCCCAGACAACATCCTCCCAGCCCTTCCGCCGGCGCAGCACCACAGGCCCGCCAGCCATGCCCGGCACCGGCTTGGCCGTCTCGCCGCGCCTGGACTCGGCCATCTGCAGCCGCGCCGCGTCGAGGCCGTCAAGCTCAAACCCGAGCGCCAGGGCCGCCATAGTCGCCAGGTTCTCGACAAAGACAAAGTGCCGGCCGGGACACAGGTGCTTGCCGCCGCCAAAGGGCACGAACGCGGCCCGGCGCAGGCGCAGCACGTCGTCGGACGCGCCGCCGCCGTGCGCGCGCGCCAGGAACCGCCGCGCGTCGAACCGCTCGGCGTCGGCGCCCCACACCGCCCGGTCGCGGTGCACCTGCTTCGCCGGCAGGAACACGTCGGTGCCGGCCCTGAGCAGGTACGACGGCCCGCCGGCCCCGGCAGACACCACCGTGTCGCGCAGCACGCGCCGCGACGCCACGCTCTGGCTCGCCAGCCGGATCGCCTCGCGGTACGCGCTGGCCAGCAGCGGCACGCGCGCCTCGAGCCCGGCCGCTGGCACCGTGGCGCGCCGGCCCTCCCCCTGCACCGCAACAGCCCGCGCAACCTCGGCGCGCACGTCGCGCAGCAGGTCCGGCCGCGCAAACAGCTCCGCCAGGCACCAGAACAGCGTCGCCACGGCGTTGCTGGTCGCCACCAGCGTGATGGCGGTCTCGTTGCGCGCCAGCTCGCCGTCGTCGACGCCGTAGCTGCGCAGCAGCCGCGACCGCTCGCGCACGAACGCGCTCACCCCGGCGGCGCCGTCGTGGCGCGCGGAAAAGTACCGCTCGAGCGCGGCCGCGATGCGGGTGCGTGCCCGGTACGCCCTACGCGCGAGCACGCTGGGCAAGACGCCGAGCATCATGAGCGGGGTCACGTTGTCGTCGAATTCCCTGCAGGGTGGGTGGGCGTTAGTTTTTTTTTTAGTTTTTTTTTTTTTTCTTTGTCAGTGGGGAGGCGTAAAAGCAACGTACTACTACGCACTAATTAGACTCCTATCTTTGTACGGGTTGTGCTCGCCCCATAGGGCCTAGGAGGTGGTCTGGCTGACGAGAGTCTGCAGCCAGCGGTAGAGGTTGGGTACGGGGATGCCGCCGGCGTCGTTATCGACGCTATTCAGCGTGTCGGCGAGGGCGGCCAGGGCGGTGCACGCGAGGCGGTTCATGTTATCGCCCTACAGCGTGAGCTTGAAGACGTACTCCATGGGGGCCATGATACTGGGGTGCATGCCGTCGCGGCCGAGCAGCTTATCGACGGTAGTCTGGTGTACGCCGAAGATGAGCGCGATAGCGTCGACCATCAGGGTCTACGCGTCCATGTCCTTGGCCCGCAGCGCCGCCTGCTGCAGCGCGCCGTCGTAGGTAACGTACAGCTTCTAGTACGCCACCGTCACCGTAGCGATAGGCAGCTACGTGCGCTCGTACAGTCGCGTAAAGTAGGCCGCGTAGCCCCGGAACAGGCCCCAGAAGTGCCCGATCACCGGCATGCGCGGCTTGATCAGGGGGGGCTCGGCCGGGTCTTGGGCGGGCGAGATATTGAGGAGCAGCGAGACCAACAGCACCACGGTGCCGCCGACGAGGAACTGGATGGGCGTCGTCTTGCTCTACAGCCAGATCATGGGGATGAGCGCCTTGAGAGCGGCAATGCCTCGGTCGAGGAGCTATTCGGCAAACCCGAAGAAGTCTTCGGGAGGTTGGTTGTCTGCCATGTTGGCGACTTGGCTGCGCGTATCTCGGTGGCTACCTGAGGCAATTTCTGACTCGGGGATCTCTTGGCCGCAAATTGGGCACTTGAGAAGCTTGATCCTGTTGGTTTTCGGGGGAGCATTTCGAGAAACGGCTGAGGCAGGAAGCCGGACCACGGGGTGTGTTTCCGGGGAACAATGAAGCGGAATTTTCTCATGCTTAGTATTGTCGTCCTTGGTATTGTTCTCCATCTTGCCGAGCAACGCCAAAAGAAGATGCAGCGAGGAGTAGTCAGCCTAACAAAGACCTCGGCGAGGGACCAATAGGAGAGCAGATTACAAGACAGGGGTTGGTGCTAAACTACCAGGGTCCCTGCTTACTTGTTTTGATCTCCCACTTATTCGCGGAAGGATTCCGGGGATAGCGGCCCAGGCCGGTGCTCGCTGTTATGTCGGTTTTGGTATAGCACTCTTTACCCTCGAAGCTGAATAAAGGGTGCCCATTGGCTCCTGACACCGAGACCTCGGAGGTTGACGGGGATGACCGGGGTTTAGGGATGGGTGTGAGGCGACAAGACCACAACGCCGTGACAAATGTAGAATGGAATCACATTTAGATTTCCAGCCCTCTTGCCCTCTCATGTGTATTTAAAGCCAGCACGATCCGGCTCTTCCACCCCATCAACTCACAGCATCCTCTTACCCATCAATGATCAGTTCGCCACTTCCTAGACACCAACTACAACCACACCACCCACAGTACTCTATCAGACCAGCACATCTCAGCCATCTCAGCCACATCAGCCATCCTATAGGGGATTATATCGAAATATTCACCATGTCTTCTCCCAAGATTATCGTCTTCGGCGCCACAGGCACCATCAGCCCCTTCGCCGCCCGCACCGCCTAGTAATACGGCGCCAAAGTCTACCTCGCCCTGCGCGACACAGAAAAGCCCATCCCCGGGCTCAGCGCCGCCGACGAGCAAGCCGCCGGATTCGAGCGCGTGTACGCGGACCTCACGAAACCCGAGACGCTGCGGGCCGCCGTCGCGCAGACCGGCGCGACGCGCGCCTTCATATACATGACCTTCGGCACAGCCGACCACCAGCGGTCGGGGTTCGACGCGCTGCGGGCGGCGGGGATCGATTTCGTGGTCTACCTAAGCAACTTCGCCATCAGCGCGGCGGCGCAGGGCCCCGCGGCGCGCGACATCCCGGCGAGCCTGCCGCTGGCGTACGCGCACGCGCGCGTCGAGATGGCGCTCGAGGACGTGTTTGGGCCCGCCGGCTTCGTCGCGCTGCGCCCCACCTTCTTCGCGCGCAACGTGCTGCCGTGGTTCAAGAAGACCGCCGCCACCGACGCCGGCGGCGTGCATATCTACCTGCCCTACCCCGAGGCGGTCTGGGACTTCATCGCGCCCGAGGACATTGGCCGCGTCGGCGGGATTGTGCTGGCCAGCGGCCCCGCCGCGTACACCGGGCCGTCGGCCGTTACGCTGTCGGGGCCGCAGCTGCTCTCGCAGGAGGACGCCGTGGGGTTGTGGGTAGGGTGCTCGGCAGGGACATCACTATGACGGGGCTGCGCGGCGACGAGGCCCTCGCCAACCTTGTCGCCGCCGGCCGCCCGGCGTTCCTGGCCAAGGCGTACGTCGAGATGCTGAGCACGCTGTTTAACTATTCTGGACGTGAGGAGGCGGTTGCGAATGTGGAGAAGTACGGGGGCCGGGCTGCGACTACGTTTGAGCAGTGGGTTGGGCAGCACAGGGATGAGTTCGGTCTTTGAGGGAGAGAATATGTCAAGATAGAAATAAACTAGAGCGGGAGTGACTATACAGGAGATGAGGTATTATAAATAATTATAGATGAAACCCATTCGCGTGCCGTTGCCTACATTATGATTAAGTCGCCTGCTTTTTGATCCCTTTTGTATTGGAAATGACTGTGAGGCGTCTACACAACAAAGACGAAAATGCAAAGACGTAATAGCAGCCCCCCCCCCCAAAAAAAAAAAAGATGCTTTTGATTGGATAATACACAGGGTCGCACTGCAAAACGCAAGAAGAAGAGTATATGCGAAAAACGCCAAAGCCTAGGACAGCTCTGCCCGAGAAGGCAACAAAATCTAATTAATTATAGCTCGCTGAATCAAAAATTGCGACCCAGCACGCAACTGAAGTAGATGTAACACAAGGCAGAAAAGAACGGCAGTACCACGGCTATCGGCTGCAGCACACCAGCATGTACGTCACCGCCAGCGCCCAAGCCAGCTATTTGGCGGCGCGAATATGGAGAGTGGGCCTTGCCGTCCGGGTGGTGTGCGCAACGACGGGCCCGGGCCCGGTGGCGAGGCTGAATTCCGCCGTGCGCGTCACGGTCGAGAGCGTCGTCAGAACGGCAGGCGGGGTGGTAAGGCCCACCACCGCCCTGGAGGACACAGCGGGGGCGGCGGCGCCATCGAAGACCTTGGGGCCGGGGATGGCGTAGCTCGTGAAGGCGGCATAGATGTTGAAGGCGATGCCGGGGTCCGCGTACGTGTAGCCGGTATTGAAGTTGAAGTTCTCGCCCGGGACCACGCTGCCAGACCCGGCGACCTCGACCTGCACGCAGCTGGGGTAGAACTGGGCGCCGCGGGCCGGGTTGGCGGTGAAGATGGCGTCGGCCTCGTGTAGCGCGATGAGCTCCTGGCGGACTAGGTACTGGCCGGGCGCGATGCTGGCCGGGAGCACGAAGCTGACCTTGCCGCCGTTGGACCGCAGCTTGTCGATGGCCCACAGCTTGGTCGCGCCGTCGAAGCCGTCCTCGGCGATCTTGGTCCAGATGGGCGCGGCGCCGTTGCCGGTTATGAAGGGCGCGATGTAGGTGATGATGGGGCCCTTGTGGTTGGCGTCGATGATGTCGTCGCCCCGGGTGTTGTGGAACCACTCGAACGTCAGGGTCGCGCCCGCGGTCGCCTTGACGAAGGAACTGACGGCTGTGCCGCCGTTGACGTTGTACGCGAGGTCGGGGCTGGCAAGGTCTTTTACGGGGTTGTTGTTGGGGGGCGACCGGATGTAGACGTTCCTGCCGTCTCCTTGGTCTGCCCCGTCGACCTGGACGCTGAACATGGTGGTGTGGGCGGACACCTTGCTGCCGGCAAGCACCAGTGCTAGTGCCACAGCCGAGAGATGCATGGTGGTGCTTTTTGGTTTGGCTTGGGGGAGATGGTATAGGTAGGTATTTAATTGGAGTGAAAGTTCTGTTCAGGGTGGTCGTAACGAAGGGCAGTACGCGGAATAGGATCTGAGCAAGTAATGTAATTCACAGAGGAGAGAAAGTCAGGATAGCTATTACTGCCTCCAGCACAATCGAGGCTGAAGCTCAAGAGTGAGGAAAGGAGCGTGAAGCGAGGGATGGATGGTGCTGCCGCTGTCTTCGAGTTCATGGCAGCGACAACAAGCCAGAGCCGATTCTTATACAAGTGCAACACGCGCTGGATCCGACTCCAGGAGCTGGCTCCAATGCCCAACGCGCCTGCAATTTTGTTTGGTTATTAGATGCCGCCATTGATAATCAGACCAAAAACACGAACACGCTTGTCGCCAAGCCGAAGCACGCAGACGATGCCGTCTCGCCTGCCCCTTGGTACCTTCATGGGGCATGAATCAGACCAACGGGTGTAGGGCGCTTGGTGGCTTGCGAAATATAATCCGGGAATGCGGTCGGCTCTGTATGTGGAAGGTCTGGCACAACGTCGGCTCGAGATTTCACGAGGCGGGATCGGATTGCGAAGCCGATCGGCGGCGGGCCGCCCTGAGCGGTCTCCCGAACCCCTGACCGGCAGGCAGGCTTTGCTTTTCCCAGCAGCCAGCGACCTGATTCGCCAGGTGGGTCTCCGCCACAGGCCCGCCGTCCCACGCCGTTGGTGCACATGTGTAATAAAGGACAGCCGGTGAAACCGCCAAGCTTGTCCGTATCGCCAAACCGATGCCCCCCCAAAGCACCGTATCAATGCAAGGGGCGTACGTACAGGTATTCAGCGTTATGAGACGAAACTGGGGTTGGCCTGACCCACGCCCAAACCCAAGCGCTGCTTTGGCAGGTACTTCGTACTGTATGTACAATACCTAAAAGGTACAGGTACATACATAGGTACTGTACCTACCTACCTTTCTAGGTAAAGTGATACCGCCTACGATTGCACTAGACCGGGACAGCGCCGGCCAGATTTGTGGCCCATGAGAGCCCCGCGACTGATGTGCAGCCTGACATGCGTCGCAGGGAAGCCAAACATGAGGTAGTGTACATGTGGCGCCACTGTGTCCAACTTGGCATTCGACACCACCACGAGGCCCGGCACCCTCGGGCCATGCTCCACGATGGCGGTTCGGGTGGTGCAGGATTCGTTGGCTCGGCCAACAGCTGGTCTGTTGGTCCCCCACACGCTAACGGATTCGGCCTAGGCTCTTGATCTGGGCTAGTGGCAAAGCCGCCGATCCTTCAACCTCTTGCTTGGTACGGATATCCGTAACGGAAAAGCATTCCTCCATTTTCAATCTCGTCCTAGCCCTCGCGCTAGGTAGCTTGGGCTTGCCCAAGCGAACAGGGCAATGGGCATCTCTTTGAGCGTGGAATGGCCCGACCATTTCCAAGCTGCAACTGCCATTGCATCTGGTTTCTGCGCGCATCGTCAGTCGTTGCAATTGGAAAGAGGGTTCTTGTCATGCCTGCTGGAGCGAGAACGACATGCTTCCCCTGTCCGCGACTGTGCGCCAATGGAATCCCGGACCTGCCTCCAGGGGTTCGTCTTTCGGCAGGGCTTTGCTGACAACACCACCCACTTTGTGTGGCTTCCCCACCTTTTCGTCCCTTCAACCTCGCGCCGCCAGCCAAAACGCCGCCCAAGTCGCGGGCGAGACGTCGTCTTGCCGACCCGACGCGACGGGCATCGAGCGCTGGTCCAATTGGCGCCTCCCTGCACCACCCGCCTCGTCTTTTGACTCGGTCTAAGATGCGAAAAGCCTCGCCGCCCACGCCGCCGCTCCAGCAGCCAGCTCTGGGCCCTTCGCCGACCGACGTCTCCGAGCCCCAGCCGCCCCCATCCACCTCCGCCCCCACCAAATCTACGTCCAAGCCTCGACATCCACAACCAGCCCGCACCAAGAAGCCGACTACACCCGCGTCTTTGCCTTCTCCGACCCTCACTTCGTCGTCCTTGTCGTCGGTCCAGCCAGATCTGTCGCTGTCGGTCCAGCCAGATCTGTCGCTGTCGGTCCAGCGCACCGCCGTCAAGCAGGCCAGGAGACGGCCGCTCAACAAGTTCGCCTGCTTCGCCTACCAGAAGAAGAAAACAAGGGTTGCTATATCATATCAGTCCCTCACCCGACGCAGCACACGCCTGACAAGCCCGTTTGTACGCCCTAGTACGATGGCGTACGCCCCGTCTGCAGCGCCTGCGTCAAACGCAACGGCGACACCCAGTACGAGTATGCCGTGAGGGAGGGCGCCGTTTCGCGCTACGCCGACCTCAAGGTCACCTTCGAGCAGCTGGAGCGCGAAAACAGCGACTTCAAGGACCTACTCGCCTACCTCCGCTTCAGGCCCGAGAAGGAGGCTTTCGAGATCTACCGCCGCCTTCGCGCATCCGACAATCCGCTGGCGGTCCTGCAGTACTTCCGAGAGGCCGAGACCCTACTCATTGCGCCCTCGACTGCCGGCTCGGGCATGGCCGACCGCCATGCCGCCGACATAGATGCCGAAGCCCTGGCCCAGAGCGACCTCAAAGTCCCGGCACGCCCCTGGACCCCGGTTGCCGGCGATGGTCTCGTCTCGAGCCTCATTACGGCCTTCTTCAAGTAGGATGCTGGCTTCCCCTATTTCTTCGTCGACCAAACTTTGTTCATTAGCAATATGCGCCGCGGGGTTTTGGGCGCCCACTACTACACCCCGCTTCTGGTCAACGCCATTTGCGTACTTCGATCGGTTCGTCACCCGGGTGTGTGTCGCTGTAAGCCCGAATACTAATAACTCGACTGTTCAGTTACTCTCAGACAGGGCGAAGAACCTTAGTCGCGTGACGAATATAGACCTCGGGGCCCTCTTCTTTGCCGAGGCCAAAAAGCAAATGGGGTGGTCAAGCCAAATCTCGCCATAGCATACGGCCTATACCTCATTTATATCGTATCGTGCTGTCAGGGCACGAACCGGGTAGGGGCTATGTATCGATTCGCGGCGTTTAACGTAATACAGAGACTAAAGCTGGAGAAGCGGTTTGCCAGTCTAGACGCCCGAAAGCCCGAAAACTCGGAGCAACGCGTTACACTGTCAAAGACATGCTGGGGCCTGTTCTTCATTAAGAGGCGAGTCCCTGAGCCTGAGTGGTAGAGACCTTCCAAAGCGACCGATTGTTCTTACCTTCCTTCCTTAATAGTGAACTGGGCTGACTAAAATCCTTCCAGTAGTCTTATGTCTGGCGCGTATTTCAAGCCGCTGGCGCCTCCGCCCAACATACGGCATGTATTTGACCACATTGGCTCCGCGGGCGGCCCTGGAAAACAAGACGTCCTCGGGCTTCCCTTTGGGCCCACCTCGCCATAGCCGCCACTAGTTCCTACGGTTCTCGACGTCGCCTATAAGCTATCCACTCTCTAGCAGAAGATTATCACGTATAGTATAAAGTCAAAACATACTACTGGGGACGACGAAGATATGAAGGTAAGGAGGCGCTTCTTCGGAGAGCTCGCGGCGGTGGAACAATCAGTGCCGCCCCATCTACTCTACCAAAACAATCCTGCACCCTAGACGCTCTGTCTCAAGTAAGTTGCAGTCCAGGGGGACCTCTCCTATCCAAGTGTCGTGTCGTATCTAGCCGCTCACCGTCTCGCGAACGCCAGGGCGGTCTTCAACCTCACGGCGTACTATATCATCAGACCTCTACCCCTACACACCTAGATCCAGGATCGCTATACCGTCCGGCTGCTCATCCTATAGCTCTGCACCAACGACGTCGAGCTCGCCGAGTCGTACGCGCGCCGCTAGGGCTTCGCGGAGTACTCGCCTATGTTCTTCATCTGCATCTGGAACGTGGCGCCGACGCTGGTTCCCCTGCTGGGCGAGGCGTACGCGCAGAATCTGTTTACGCGCGGCTGTGCGCTGATGCACGTCGTCGAGCGCGACCTGCCCCTCGTCCGGCTGGCTATGTAGGGCGTGCTGGCCCTGGCTGCCGCGACTAACAGGCCCATCCCCCGCGACGCCCGGCCCTACCTCGAGGGGCTTACGCAGCACAAGCGCGACCCCAAGGACCTATCCGTCTCGTTCATCGTACCCACGCAGGACGAGCTGCTGGAGTCGTAGTCGGGCAGCGACGAGGATGGAGAGTCGCGGAAGCACGGCCGCGACCTGGGCGCGCTGTTGGAGAAGTGGGACAGCCTGTCTATGGATTCTGTGTGATGAGTGGCTGCCATGCGTGTAATTAGACGGCTGGATATGAAGTCATGATTGAAAGTTTAGATATCCTTTCATTGGGGGGGTTTATAAATGACTAGTACTTGTTGGATTGGCTACATCGTACCAGCTGAATGGAGCCTAAAAGGATGTGTAGGCATCAAGGCCTACATACGGGCCTATCATCATTGGTGGCCTAATGAGTGGCAAGTTTGATCGAAAGGGCATTATTATTTGCCATCTACTTCGCCACTATGTCCATCTATAATAATGGCTCTCTGGCGAAGCCAGAGAGCGGGGGGGGGACAATCAATTCAATCAATTCTCAATATAATCCATCTGTGTGTCGAAGCCAACAGTACTTTGGAAAATGGTAATACATATAGTCTAATGTCTGTTGCATAATATCAGTTGATGAAGGCATAGAATCGCCGAGTAGGTCTACAAATAAACATATGTGCTCAGTGAGAATTGATTTTGGCTTCTGGAGTAGGCATGATGGGTCGCCTTTCAGGCAAAGAATTACGAATCGGTCAAGGTTTCCTCAGAGCAGATGGGATGAGATTGTAAGGCATTTGACACGTTGCGTTCCTTGTCACCACGGACAAAAGATTTTGTCACAAGTGCTTATTCAAACTCATGTACCTAACCAATGCTGGCTGGCTATAATAGACACCCATGAAAGCCGCCAACCACCCACCCCTATGCCACAGCCACCGTCTGCTTGGCCACGTTCTTCCCCGCCAGCAACACCGCCGCGCCCGCCGCCGCGCCCCCAAGCGGCGTCGCCATCAGCGTCAGCTTCTCCCTCGGCCACAGCGTGACATAGCTGTCCGACTACGTCAGCGGCACGACGTCGCGGCCGGCCCTGTCGACGAGGTTGAGACTGACAAAGAACGCCGGTACGCTCGATAGGTTCTCGAGCGTCACCGCCACCGCGCCGCCGCCGCCGCCGCCGCCGTCCTTGGTCTGCGTGGCTGTGGCTGCCACGCTGGCGGCCGCCAGCTTGTTGAGCGCCGTGTAGTCGCTGTAGGTGGTCACCGGCGTTACGAACTAGTCCGAGTTGTCCTAGTCCAGCACGTCCGTCTTCCTCGCTAGCCAGTACACGTTGCGGCTGAGCACCGCCCCGCTCGCGCTGTCCGACAGCACCAGGCGTACGAACACCACGTCCTTGATGCCGCTGAGCGCGGACTTGAGCGAGGCGATGGTCTTGCTAGCGTTGGGCGTTGTCGATGCCGCTACGGTGCTATTTTAGGTGACCTTACCCGCCGTATCGATCACCTGGATATCGACGGTGCGCGGCCCCGCCTTGCCCAGCGACCGGTTGACTAGGTACACGGCCTGGCGCACGTAGTCGAACGTGACGTGCTCGGCGCGGCTGCCCGTCTTGGCGCCAAAGTACCCCCCGCCGGGTACATGTAGTAGTCCTAGATGTTCCAGTGCAGGCTGGGGTACGCGCCCGTTAGCATCCAGTAGATGACGCCCGTGGCGGGCCGCTTCGCGCTCCACAGCGACGCGTAGCCCTCGAACTACGCGCGGTTCGCCTCGTAGTCGTTGATCTACGCCTTCTACACGTAGTCCTCGAGCGAGGTTGGCGCGCCCCACCGCTTCCACAGGGCCGTGTTGTAGATGGCGCGGTTGTGGAACGAGGAGGTGGCGGTCGATATGTGGAACAGATTTTTATTGGGGTTCTTCCAGAGGTCGTCGAGGTCTGCGGCCGAGAGGAACTTCTTGAGGCTGGATAGGTCGGGGGTTCCGACGCTAGCGCTGAGCTCCGTGTTGAAGCCGTACGCCGCGCCTAGCCGCTTGCCGTACGGCTCCGTGTCGTACCAGTAGTTGGGCGGCACCTAGTCGTACGGGCCCTCCATCTTTATACCGGCCGGCCCGTACTTGGAGTCGTCGCCCCGGAACGACGCCGAGTTGATGACGGGCACCTGCCAGTCGCCGGCCCTAAACGCGTCGAGGTATATGGGCGCGGCCCGGTCGTCGGGGTAGTAGTCGCTGCCGATGAAGTACATGAGTAGGCTGGGGTGCGTCTACATTATGGCCACCTCGTGGACCATACTCGCGTTGGCGATGGCGTAGTCGGCGTCGTTCTATACGGACGTGGCGACGGCCAGGTCGTTGTTATAGCTCCACGCCTCCCACTTGTCGCAGCACTCCCACCCGGGCATGATCATGACGCCCATGCGGTCGGCCAGGTCGTACAGCTCCGGGTGCTCGTTCTTGCCCTCGAGCCGGATCGTGTTGAAGCCCAGGTCCAGCACGTACTTGAGCTCTGCCTCGAGCCGCGCGCTGTCCGACCGTAGGAAGATGTCCGGCGCGTACCCGCCGCCGATGACCTGGAAGGGCTGGCCGTTGACGATGAATATGGTGTGTTCTTGTACTGCGACGTGACGGTGCGGAACCCGAACTGGCTTCCTGCCGAGTCTGATACGTCGCCGTCGGCCGCGGAGACGGTCACTTTGGCCTGGTAGAGCGGCTGGTCGCCCCACTACTTGGGCCACCAGACGGCGGGCTTCTTGATGGTGGTGCTAAGGACAATGTCGACGGTCGATAGCGCCGGGATGGTCACCTTCTGGCTGAATGCGACCGAACCCCCCCCCGGACGCGGGCGTGATGGAGCCGGTGGCCGTGACGGTGACCGCCGTCTTTTCTAGGTTTTGCGCCTTGGACTTGAGAGTCACGTTTGCCGGCTAGGCGTCGAGCGACGCGTCGAGCTGGGTGACGATACGTAGCGGGCCGAGGGCCACGGACCCGGTCTGCTTGACCTCGACGTCGCGCCATACGCTAGTCCCGTTATCGTTGGGCCAGTAGTTCCAGTCGACCCAGCCAATGGCAAAGTCGTAGTAGTAGCTTGTCGGGTAGGCGCGGATGACGAGGACGTTCTTCTTATCGGCCAGGCTGGTGATGTCGTATGTGTGGCCCCCGTAGGCGCCGGCCTGGACGCTCTTGTCGGCGACCTGCTTCCCGTTGAGGAAGATGTCGGCGCGCGACGTGATGCCGTGGGTCTTGAGGAAGTAGTGCTTGCCGGGGGCGGCGCTGTCGAGGGCGAACTCGTTGCGGTAGAGCCACGGGACCAGGAACTGGTCGGCGTCGACCTTGCTGAGGTTGTCCGAGAAGAACAGCTGCGTGTCGTTGTACACCCCGCTCTGCACGAGGCAGCCCATCAGCGTGCACTTGGATGCGGCCACATGGTGCTACGAGGACGTGTCGACGCCCGGCTTGGACAGCGCGGCGAGGTCGCTGCCGGCCTTTGCGCTCGACTGCAGATCCCACGACGGGATCGCCGCGGTCTGGCCAGCGGCAGAGACAATGCGCTTGAGAGCTGCTGCTGTCTCAAAGCCCGCAGCGGCCAGGCAGAAGGCAAACGTCGTTTTCGGCTGCATGGCCGTGACTGTCAAGGGCCGGTTGTCTGTTCACGAGGGTTCCTCGGACTCAACTGCGTCCTGTGTCGTGGATCCAGCCCGGCATGTGAGTGTAGGGTGGGGAGACGGGCGCGCCATCGATGTCATTTTATTCTCCAGCGTCGAGCCTGGCCCTCCCACTTGCGTCGTGGCTGCGACTACCTTACTGGCCATGTCCATGTTTCTCGAGTCCAGCCTGTGCTGTTCCCCGCAACCGAGTTCAACGTTACATATTAACCCGACGGCTGCATACAGTGCGCCTCCACATATTCGGCCTGCGCTTCGCTGCGATTGACCATCTGCCACTGTATTCGGCCTCCGACCTTCCTAGACGGGTCTGCCAATTGCCATGCCACTATCTGACGCCACCAGACGCGACGCCCCAAAGCTTCGCGGATAAATAAAGCGTTCGTCTACATTCGCAGCCACTTCCTCACTGCGCTTGGCTCCCCGGCATTCGGGTAGCCTCAATAAAATCTTGCAGCACACAACATGCACTGGAGTGGCACCTGAGGTTCGATAATCTACCTGATAACTGCCAAGACAAGCAGCTGCCTTATTCAGAGGCCGTCTTGTTTATTCGTGTTCGTCTGTGTCCTAATGGTTGTCCTATCCTCACAGTTTCCTCCCTTGTTTCTCTGCCTCAGTCCCACACCTAGCAAATGCAATCCACGCCGCACATCACCTTTGCATGAGGAGCTAATGCAACTTGCCAGCGCCGTGCAGCACGGCGCTAGCCCTACATCATCGGTGCAGCGGCCAAAACGGGGCTGCGTAGGTGACAGAGCTTAATCTGAGGTCGCATTCGCCAAATTGGGACTGGCTGCCACCTCCCCAGCCAGGCAAGCGTGCGCAGATACGGCAATAAGATGCCATTTGGAAGCACGCCTTAACCAAAACAGCTGCCTTGTCGGCAGGGGCCCAGTGACATGCCACGGAATGATACCGACACCCTCACGTTTCCGTATTGGCAACGTCACAGTACGCGTATCAGTCTTGAAGGGTCCTGCAAGCGCCATGCGCTGGGCTGGGCCGTTTCCCGAGTCCTCCGTGTCATCTAGTCTCGCCCGTGGCACGGTCTTGGGTGCCGACAGTGTGGGCGGCCATGCTTGTGGTGTCTATGGGCTCTGGGGTGCTTGTCGTCTGATAACGTTGTTTTCTGCTTGCGGAATTATGGCCCCACGGGTGAGCAAGTTTGCGGTCAAGATCACCAGACGATGCCATCTTTGAAGTTTGTAGCAACTGTGCGACTGGAAACATGCGCAACTGCACCACCTTTGGACTGCAGCACGATTATATATAAGAAAAGTAAATATAAAAGTAGAACTACACCTAGCAATACTTTTTCCTAGGCACGTTGGGGTACTGGATGAGGTGATATTTATGGGATAGTAAAGACGGAGCACCTAACCGCCCAGCACCTACCTAAATAAAAGAGGCAATACTGGGGCTTCGCGTGCTCCTTTTGAGGCATTTTGCTGGCAATTTCACAGCGCTTCATCCTAGAAAATCTCGGGTTTACTTGGTGGATCCTACACGTACCTGCTTTGCAGGCCAAAAGGCCGTGGACGTCTCTTCACCGTCCGAACATTTCTTCACGGACCGATGTGCGCGGACTCTTCCATTCTCTTCTCCCATCTCTTCACGGAGGTAGGTTGACAGGTCAAGTCGGTATCGCCATTTTTCTACCCTTGAATGCTCGTCAAATTATTCCATCTGAACTAGGGCAAGAATTTGACTTGGCAAGCATGTGTTCACAGGATTCCCACCGATGCTCGATATCAGGCAAGTACTTAATCTCCCAATGCCAACCCATTCCCATCATGAAATTTCATGCTGGCCCATTAATTTATTCGCAGCATCAAAATGAACAGCCACTCTGGATCCTCCGTCCACTCTGAATCCTCCGTCCACCCTGGAGCTCCCGCTCAGCCCGGTAGGGAGCCCTCCCGCGGCCCCACGTCATTTTTCCCTCTGGACAATAGAGACATGCGCCGCCAATGCTGGAACCTCCCGTCCAAAGCCAGAATGACAGGGACAGAAAATGCCACAGACCGTGACTGAGTTTAAGCCAATGACACGTCGGGCGCAGCGTGCGCCATCATTGTGCTTCGGCACTTGCTTTCCATGCTGCACCCAGACGACCGCAGAGATCTCATGAAGGCCGAGTACCTGGCCCACAGCGGCCTCTTGTCAGGGGTGCTGCTGCTTTGTCCAGTGCGATCCGTCGCGGAGGTCGAGAGACGGTGCTCGCCGGGCTGCTCGTTTGAGCAGCTCATGGAAGGCAGGCAAATGCTGGAGACGATCTGGGCGGATACACGGCTCGCGCTGTCCTGGCCGCTTTTTCGGGAATCGGACACCAACCTCCCACGGCTGCTGGAGATATACTTGGCTGCCAGGGCCGACCGAGGTCTCCTGCGCTGGGACGGCTGGGAAGCGGGATCGCTCTCGCAGTGGATGGGCAGCCGCTTCGCCGAGAACTACTCGCCCGACTCGGCCACGCTCAGGACGGTACCTGGTCGTCCGTGGTTTGTGCGGCTGCGGCTTTCCAACACCAGACGGCTGCATTTCCATCAGAACCTGGCCCGCTTCAGGGTGCCAAGACACCAACTCGTCGATGAGGGCGGGGATGGGAACCCGCAGTATTTGGGGCGGGGCAGCGGCTGCTACGTGTGCGTCGCAGTCGTTAAACTTCGCGGCCGCGACACGTCGTATGATACATTACGACTGTACTCGGAACGGGGCACCCGCTTGACGTACAATTACGCCTTTCCCCGGTCCGACCAGTGGCTCGTCGAAGACGGCGGCGAATACATGCTTTACTATGTCCGTATCTGTGACGGCGCCAGCCTGCAGCACTCACTACCACTGCGCTAGAACCCCCAAAAGGATGCCAGAATTGCAAGTTAACAACTTGCAACCTGTAGTAAGCTATATAGTACTGCTACGGCCATTGCGCGCCGTGACATCCCCCGGGTTCGCTAGAGGTTCGTCCCGAGCCTCAACCTTTCGCCCCGCTCTCGGGAGGTTGAGCGAGCATACTCGCGAGCTCTAGATCCGGGTTCAATCGTACTATAGGGATCCCCAAAACTACCCACATTTAAACCCCCACTGTTTTCCCGATATTCCTTTCAAGGATCGGTCGTGCCGAGCATTTAAAGAGGTGGGACTCATTTTGCAACTGTAGGGCTCGAACCCACAGCCGTTTAACTTGCAATTGTGACGGCGCCAGCCTGCAGCACTCACTACCACTGCGCTAGAACCCCCAAAAGGATGCCAGAATTGCAAGTTAACAACTTGCAACCTGTAGTAAGCTATATAGTACTGCTACGGCCATTGCGCGCCGTGACAGTATCAGTAACTAAGGCCCAGGAAGGTGTTTGGACATGGAGGAATCGGTACCCGACGGATGCTGGGGGCTTGATAGTATGTGTATGGGCATATGTTACTCGGCAAAAGGGGTGGTCGCCTAGCCGGCTGGGGTGATAATAGGAGGCGAGGAGACGAGGAGACGGGTCCGTTTTAATCCAAATACACTATGCCACGGCTGCTGGATCCAGCTTGGAACCTGCTTTTTTGGCGTGGTAGCGGTGGGAGTTTGTTTCTCTGGCACGGGAGTGGCTTTGGCTCGCTTTGTGGCAATGTTGCATTCTACTCCAAATTTTCCTTCTTGGTCAACCGACCCTGTGTGCTAGTTGGCCCGCCCCTTTGGTCCTGGGGGCCGGGGCATTGTATCCTTTTCCTTTTTAGTCTTGTCACCAATTGCTGCTATGCCAGAGATTCGGGAGATCTGGCAGCAATGCACTGGTTGTTTTCTTGTGCATCTGCTCGGTAATGATTCAACACGGCAATCTGACTACGTCTCGAATACAGGACAAGTACGTCTAGGTCTACTGACACACACTCGGAGCGGAGTGTAGGGAATGCCGTATGGTTGGTCCAGGAGGTCTCCGTGGATGGGGTCGATTGTAATTTACGGCTAGGTCTCCTGAGAGTTGATGACTGTTTGAGGTGGCGTGAACAGATCCTGCGGGGGAATACCGCAGAATTACTTCTACCGGTTTTGATTCAAATGGCTGGTGAGCAGGTGGTGAGAATAGAGTCACCGGTGCCGCATAGAGTACTGAAGGGCAGGAAAATCTCTGATACGGAACGGCTTTGGCCCAAATTCAGCTCCCCCACTGCACTCATTTGCTTCTTTTGTGCGTTGCAGAGCCACTGTACTCAAATAGTGACTCATCTGAGGGAGCATTAGGCTGCGTGTTACGCAACAGTGGAAATTAGCTTGCATCGGCGTGAGCTACGCCCTGCACGTGGCCCAAGCGGAAGTCGTGAGCTGCAAGTGCTCGGTGTCCGCAAATGGTGCTGAAACGAGTCTTGGCTCGAGGCTTTTTCTGTGCTTCGTGCTTCCGCCGGGTACTGACTTTTTTTCGTGACCAACTTTAATCTATATATCGCATAGTACCTAGGAGAACGTCGACTAATCGGGCGCCAAGCTAGGCATCAACCTCATACCTTTGCTCTGAACGACCTCGAAATGTCATCGCCCAGACTGCTGGCTTGCTTTATCAATCGATGCCTTGCTTGAAGGATGCCTCGCATCAGACCTGGGTTGCGGGCGTTGGAGCTTGTACCGCCCTCGTCCTCGCAGCCACCAACACAGTCAGCCACCAACACAGTCAGCCACCAACACAGTCAACGCAATCATCGCATGACCCGCCAGGGCGTCTTTGTAACTCCATAGTTGTTATTCAGAACCAATAGAACAAAGAGCGGCTATCAGAATATGAATAGCTAGAATATGAATAGCTAGAATATAAATGCTAGAATATGAATGCTAGAATATGAATGCTGGAATATGAATGCTAGAATATGAATAGCTAGAATATAAATAGCTAGAATATGAGTAGCTTCAGTTTTGCTATCGGGGCCAGCATTTACACTGGCCCAGCGCTCAAGTCCAAGCCCAGTTCGCTCGTAGAACGCACTCGCTAGGGCGTTTCACGAGCGATTTGGCTCGGGTCGGATCATGGCATTTGATTAGCTGCATGTAGGGAAACATGGATTCTAGGACGCCATGCGATGTCGGAATTCGCTAGCCCCCCCGAACAAGCGCATATCGCGTGCGCTGGTCCCAAAGGCGAAGGCGGCTTTTCGGTAAGTGCTCTGTTTGACCCTCCAAAGCTTACCACATCGCTGAACCAAAAGCGGCCGTAGAGTTTCCTGTCACCGAAAACTCAATTCCGTGTCTTGACATACCAGTCCCTAGGCCATGATAGTCTAGAAGATGTAAAGCCTTCTCAGTTGGGGAATTGTCCCGAAGACGCATGCCCTGGCCGAATCAGGCTCCCGATTGGCGCCACAATTATGCAGCATCTCGTGACTGGGGCAAATTTTTCTGACGCTCTGGCCCGCTAGGGCCTGATTTCCTGGCATGTCGCGTACAGCCTTTCTCCTAGCCAATTCCACACGACTTCATCCATCATCTGCCCAATCATTGCCGTTCCAGTTTTGTGCGATAGCGGCCTTTCTCCATCACACCACGATATTTCCTTGGCAGAATGGAGCTTGCGGGACTTGCCATCGGCGCGGTTGCCTTGATTGGCGCCTTCAAGGATGCTCTCGACCTCTTTGACCTTTTCACGGCAGTGCGCGACTTCGGCCGCGAATATTCCATACTGCTCACCAAACTCGACATCGAAAAGTTCCTCTTGCTCCAGTGGGCTGAGCAGGTCAAGCTCCTGGACTTCGACCAGAAGCTCGGCTTCCTGGACTCACGGCTGAACGAGAGACATCTCCAGACCTCGGTAGCCCAGATTCTGTCGTGCATTTGCCTGCTCCTCCGCGACGCCTCCCAGTTGAAGGAGCGCTATGGCGTGGCGGATGCGTCGGCGGCCGATGTGGACAGCTTCTTCACCATAGACGATAGCCCGGCCATGAGCGGCCCCTGCATGAAGCGCTTTGAACAGCGCTTCCGCCAGCTTCAAGTGTCGGCTCGCGGCTTGAAGCATCAGCCGCCCTCGGCTTGGGCTAAGGCCCGCTGGGCCGTCCAGGACAAGCGCAAGTTTGGAGACCTAGTCTCGGAGCTGGCTCACTTCGTCACTAGGCTCAGGGAGGTGGTGCTGCCCATCGCAACCGACTCGTCACGCACGGCAGAGCTTGCCAACACCAAAGACCTGAAGCGCATCTACGAGCTTGACAAGCTGAAGATGGTGCTCGAGGCAGCGGCTGGCTATCGAGGAGCCGTTGCGGGGCCGGCTCAGGAGCTGATCGACCGTATTTGCTGCGAGCGGGTGCTCCGGCCTCTCTGGTTCAGAAAGATGGACGATCGGAGGGAGAGCATCAAATCTGCCCACAAGCGGACCTTCCAGTGGGCCCTCGAGGGACCGGACAAAGCACAGGAAGGGTTTAACAGCCTCAGAGAGTGGCTGCGACGTGGCTCTGGCATCTACTGGCTGTCGGGAAAGGCGGGTAGCGGCAAGTCGACGCTAATGAAGTTTGTCCACTCGGGCCCCCAGACTGCCCAGCTCCTGAACGAGTGGGCCAAAATGATTGGAGCGGCAGATTGCACTATTGCCGACTTCTTCTTCTACTACCTAGCCATGACGCCAGAACAAAACACCCAAGAGGGACTCTCCAAAGCTCTGCTGTTCAAGATCTTGACGCGTTACCCAGCCATCGTCCCCAAGGCGCTGCCAAACCTGTGGAGAGAAGCCAACGAAGGACGCGAAGACTTGACGGCCCCCTCCCAAGCCGAGATCAAGTACGCCTTCGAGGTCATTTCGAGCGACAGCAACCTGCCGGCCTTCTGCCTCTTCATCGACGGCTTTGACGAATACGTCGGCGACTATCGGAATGGCGTCACACTGATCAACCGTCTCGCCCTGAGCCCTCGCATCAAAGTCATTGTGTCGAGTCGGCCTGAGCCACATTGCGTCGCGGCTTTTGATGGACAGGCGCAGATGAAGTTGCAGGAGTTGACAGAGGGTGATATCGCCACCTATGTCCAAGACATAATTGGCAGAAACACACACATGGAGGCTCGTCTTAAAAAGCAACCAGGAGAGTCGGCAGAGATCATGCGAGAGATTGTTCTCAAGGCATCTGGCGTCTTTTTGTGGGTGGTTCTGGCGTGCCGCTCTCTCCAGGACGGGTTTCACGACTACGATACCATCGAGGAACTGCAACAGCGAATACGCGAGCTACCCGCCGAGCTCAAGGACATGTTTATCCACATGCTGGCCAGGGTCGACAAGCGCCACAGGGTGCAGGCTTCAATGCTCTTGAGACTCTGCTTCCTGCACAGGAAGGCCTGCGGCGAGGCCCGTGTGACCCACGAGCTGGACAGGCTGTACGCGCTCGAGTGTGCCTTCATTGCCGACTACTTTAGCTCAGGCCCGGGGACCCCTGTTTCATTTCTCCCCAAGTCGGAAAGATCAGAGGCGTGCAAGATACTTGATGGCCGGCTGAGAAGCCGGTGCGGTGGCCTCTTGGAGCTAACTCGGAGAGCTTCGGCTGAGACGAGGTCGCCATTCTGCTTTTGCGAGGCCGCGGATTGGGGGTCTGACCACTCCCGACACGACGAGTGGGCCGACGCGACCGTCACTTTCATGCACCGCTCTGTATTTGACTTTCTGGACGACCAAGACACTTGGGAGCTGGACTACCTAAAGACGGCGGCCATGGAGTTTGACCTCGCGACAGTCATGTCACTCGGCCGCCTGTACCTCGCGATGCAAAGCCAGAGCCTGCAATGCCCAGAGGAGGTTAAGCAAGCTCTGACATGCCTTTTGGCCGGCATCGCATGGGGCGCCGAGGGAGATAGGCTTCAGCCTTCCAGGAGAGAAAACATCTTTTGGAAAATGGGCCCGTGTCTCGACATGCTGTACGCGGCAAACGGTCCGGTCTTTGGCCTCTGGGACGGCCAGTTTGAAGGCCTTGCCGAGATCCACTCACACGAACCCAGCAATGCCTTCTCCCACGCTACCCTGCTCCTCGCCATCGAAGCTGGGGCAGTCAACTACGTCAAACACTACCCCTACCTCCGGGACATGACAGCCGCAAGCACTCCCCCGTGCGGCTGCCCTCCTCTCCTCTGCCAGGCCATCCAGCCCATGTCAATTATCGGAGGGCAATTTAAAGAAGACAGTTCGAAACGGCCGCCCGAGGCCATGCGGGCTTCAAACGGCATGGTAAAAATGCTACTGGCAGAAGGATGCGACCCGAATACATGCGTGCCATACTGTGCTGAGGAACCGGAAAGCGCCCCGCTAAGTGCCTGGACTGCTTGGCTGAATATCCAAGTTGCCTGGCTCGACCAAGCCCCGGATTGGGTACGAATGACGGACCCAGCCGCAATCCTAGACACTATGAGTGCATTCCTCCACGCCGGGGCCGATACCACCGCGGCACAGCCCAGGGTTAACACGATTCTGGACACTTTGTCGGCTACGATAGAGGTGAGGACAAGCTTCAGAAACCTCCTGATTTACGGTCCGAGACAGGAGGGAGGTGAAGCTCCCCACTTGTGCGAGGGGGGAGGTATAGGTATTAAGAGGCTTTATGAAGCGAGTGGTGATGTAAGGGTCACAAAGAGGCATAAAAAGCCGGATTAAAAGCTGGATTAAACTATTAATGTTTATTCCCTCGTATAACAAGATACGTGGCTTAAAAATCCTGTTCGTGACGACTAGATTTAGTACTTGGACAAGTCGCCAAATATCAAAGAAGCGTTTGTTTAAAGAAGCGTTTATTTTCTTTTCTTCCTGTAGAACTCGAGTCGCAACTTGGGTAATTATTCCTGGGCAAGTCGTAGCTTGACTACGCAAGCTGCTAAACACTTTTCTAAATATGCGCGGCAACTCCTCTCATCGCCGCCTTCGCTTACGGTCCCACGAAACACACCAAGCAACTTCTGCCAATCTTCATCTCTCAGTTCCGCCCGCTCTTTAGCCTTGCCTCTTGTATTTGCCTGCATTTACACTATAAACTTATCACCATCACCATCAACACACTAGAATAAATGAGCCTCGGTATTTTCGAAAGCCCTCCTAGTCTCCCACAAGCCCCAGGTCATTCCAGTGCGAGTTCCGCGTGAGCGAAGCTTCCAGCAGAACCGCTTTTACCACGGCTACAACCCCTTTTACCACGGCTACATACCCTACCCGCTCGATATTTTCTGTGTTCATAAGTTTTCTTTATTCATACGTGGGCTGTTTGTATTTGTAAGTGAGCCATCTATATACGTAATTGAACATCTCAGTATCTAGGTTGAGTTTTCACTTTATCAAGTATTTCCAGGGAGCCGTCGCCTTTTCGTCCCCGAGTCCACAACAGCTGCGTAGCCCTTATTCCTATTCCTACCGGCTCTCGAGCGGCCAAGCTCCCGGCATGGCCCGGGTGATCTGTTCCACTTCCCCGTCCCCCACACCACCGTTCCCACATTCACCCTCCTCCGGCCTCAAGCTCGCCAGTAGCTCCACCACAGCTTCTCGCTCCTCCTTCTCATCCCGCTGCCCAACAACGTTCAGCCCGCGCTGCTCGTCAAACAATTGCCAGTACCTCTCAACACTCTCCTCGTCCACCGGCAACCCGCGGATCTTAGCTTCCGCCAGGGCCCTAATCACCGGCACGCCCGCATACTTGACCGCGAGCACCACCACGGAGCACCCGCTCTGCTGCGACACGATGTCCAGCCGCGCACCGCGCTCAACCAGGAACCGCACGCACGGCAGGTTATCGCCCTGCACGGCCAGCATGACGGCCGTATACCCGTCGTCCACTCTATCCAGCTCCGCGCCGGCGCCCACGATCGCCCTGACGAAATCCAGCCCGCGCAGCCACGCGGCCCACACCAGCGGCGCGGCGCCGGGGTGGTTCGGGTCCGCGCCGGCGCGCAGCAGCGCCAGCGCCGCGTCGAGGTTGCCGTACATGATAGTGACAACAAGCGGCGACGGCGTTTCGGGCGTCGGCACGTCCCCGGGGATGGCGTTGACGTCGGCGCCGGCCGCGGCCAGCGCGTCGATGCACGGCACGAACGCGCTGCTGGGGCCGATGGTGTGCAGCGCGGCGCGGCCGCGGTGGCCGCGCGCGTTGGGGTCTGCGCCGTGCTGCAGGAGCAGAGACGTGCGCGCGACGTCGGTCGCGCGGAACGCCCAGTGCAGCGGGGTCTCGCCGCCAGAGTCGCGCGCGTTGACGAGTTCCGGGTGTAGCTGGAGTGCGAGCTCCAGGTCCACGGTGCTCAGTCCGGTGACGATCTTGTGCAGCAGGCTGAAGCCCATCGTGTTGAGGCTGTCCGAGTCTTCGAGGGCCTGCCGCAGGGGCGAGAAGTTGTCGCGGTCCGCGGGCGAGCCGAGGAGGAACGTCCAGACGACTTGGGCGGTGGTTCTGGGGCGCGTTAGGTTCTATGTGTGGTTGCTGGGGGGGATGTGGGAAGGTAGACACGATTACCGGCTCTCTTCGCTGTAGAACAAATCTGCCCCTCGCTTCAGGAGCATGACGCAGGTCGCGGGTTGTCTCGACCGCACAGCTCGCTAGCTCAGTCAGTAACCAAGCCTGCCGGCAACAGGGCAGGAGACTCGCCAGAAGCAGGGACAGCCTGGACCCGGGATCGATGGCGCGCGCCGAGATCCCGTTCGTGTCGAGATACCTGGCGACGCTCTGCGGGCTGGCGGCCTGGTGGATCATGTTGAAGACGGCCTGCATGGTGATGGGCACGTGGTCGGGGATGCGCAAGGTCCAGGAGCCGCCGAGACCGCCGAGATGGTTCCAGGTGCCGGTGACGCGCAGGATCAGCGGCAGGATGGAGGTGGGGAACAGGTACTCGAAGCGGAACGAGCCGCCGCGCGGCAGGCAGCGCGGCGAGTTGCACGGCCGCCGGTACAGCAGCGGCGTGCCCGTGAACTGGTAGAACAGCGCGCCGAACACGGCCTGCAGCCACCGCGGCGTCTGGCCCGCCAGCATGATGTGGCACTGGCACGCGCAGAACGGCTCGCACCGCCGGTTCGCGGGCGTCGCCTCGATCCGCACCGCCGTGGCGCTGCTGCTTTTGTATTCAGACTCGAATTCGAAGCCGGCCATCTTTTGCCGCCGCAGTATATCTTGGGAGTGGCTGGTGATCTTTTCAGTGGCCTGGCAGATGGCGCCTGACTCAAAATGGCCGAACTGTTGCTCGACGGGGCGTCCGTCTGCCGTCGAAGTCTCCTGTGCCTGTGGGCCGTCAACGAGTGTGATGGACTGGACAGCGAGATGGAACCGCGGCATGGAGTGCCGCAGCTGCAAGTAGTTGGCGGCGGTCAGAGCGGTTCCCAGATGTGTGCGAGCGTCGCGCAGAGACTCGCACATGCGCTGGATTCTCTGCTGCCGTAGGAAGCCTCGATGGCGGACATTGGGGATCCCATTGCTGGGTTCTGGCCTGGTCAACCTCGTCTCGATGAGGTCCTGCAGCTCGCGAACGACGCTGGCGCCGCGGTTGACGGCCGAGTTGATGACGGCTAGGTCAGCGCTCGGGCGTGCGTCGCGAAGGTCCTCGAGCGCGTCTCGGACAAAGGTGAGGATGGCACGGAAGTCGGTCACCTTGCAGAGCCAGAGTCAGTGGGGCCATCGTAGTTGGCCACAATCAAACAAAAGGCCCGTACCTCGTTTTGGAGTGCCTGGAGGTGGGTGGGGGCCTGTCGAAGCTCCCAGAGTCGGCCCAGTCCAGCCCCCGCAGACTCGGTGATGCCGATCAGGGCAGCCACGCTTGCGCAGATGGATAACGGATCCATGACGTGGCCAGTTCCAACATTGAAAATTCGAGACTCGCTGATTCGACGTCGGTCGAGGGCGCGCTAAGGTCAAGTAAAGGAGTGTCAAGTGTCATGGTGAGGTGTGGCCCAAGGAGACGGGAACCACGTTCCCGGACTCGGCGTCCCAAAGCCCCAGTTTGATCATGTCTGGCCCCTCTCCGGACTATCCTGTCCATATTGCCTAATTTATCCACTGGTTATTTGGTTGGTACCTTTGTGTCGCCCGCGGGCGGGAAAACAATGCATGTTACACGTATACAATTGTTTGGGGGCCAAGGACTGCCAGCTGTCAACAGTTGCAGACTGCCAAGGCCAGCCGTGTTGATTGTCACGGCAACTGCGGAGGAAAACGTGCAGAGTGAAACACGTGGAGGAAACCAAGTTTGTGCATGCTTGGTGCACTAGTGATTCACGGATTGCTCACTATCTAAACAATCATTTACGAGCATATAATGGCCATCGTGACTGCTCCTATTCTGTCTAATTTCAAGACAACATGTTCTCATCAGCTCGTGGACTGTATTTAGACAATCGACACAACTCCATTGTTCAAGGACAAAGATTTCATCGATTATAGACGGACAGACAATCCCTTTGCAGTTCTGTCCCAACTGTTACTTTCTTGGCGTCAAGAGATACGTGCAATTCAAAGAGCCAAGCGACAATGGCTGGCGCATGCGCTCCGTCATGAAGGCAATGTTGCGGGGATCTCGATACGCATTTAGAGAGTCTCCTACACCAGGGCCAGCCTGGGAGGGGCTGCGGAAGGTGACTCAGTTTGGGAAGTCTACTTTATCTTCTGCAGAGGCCGGCCAGGTGATCTTCTTCAGGCAGTCACCCTCGACATTCAGACGGCTCGGTTGTCTTACTATAATTACAGGTATGGGAGGGCTGCGTCACCTGCCAAAGCGCTTTCATTACGAAGTTCCCAGTTGGGGGAGCCATCGTCCAATGTTGACGCATCTTTCTAGCCTCTTCCTGACTAGTACGTGGCGGTCACATGAGTTCTAGGAGTGGGCTCACCTGCCCAGCAGGGACATGGACCGTGTTCAAATTCGAGGGGTTGCGGGGGGTGTGGGGGGGGGGGGGGGGGGGGGGGGGCGCGGTATTCAAATTTGACGAGTCCTCCTCCTCCCTCCCTTTCTTTCACTAACCTGCATTGTCTTTTCACAACTTGGATTTGCACACCACCTAGAAACTTCACCTTTTCCTGTTTCGGTTTGCTCAGTTGTCCATGACTGTTTGTTGCCGGTTCGTTATTGAGAAGCTCTCGACGTCTTCCCCAGAAGCACCAGACTGACCTGAAAAAGTTTGACGATTATATATTCCTGTTATATAAACCAGCAAAATTTTAATGAGATTCAGCTTCGGCGGAGGCGTATTCTGCTTCAATGAAGAATCTTCCGACGACTCGTCAGACGATGAATATGTCGTCCCCGGCGAGACCAACCCCGAGGACAGTGATGAGGAAACGATCTCAAACATCACCTCGCTTCTCCATGCCGAGGCTGATAACCGCTCGAAAAGAGCGGAACAGGTTCTTCACGCCGATCGCCCATCTCCCAGCACGAGCTCGAGACACCGACAGGGAGTCAGGCCGGCACCTCGCGGAGCTCAGTCTTACGAATCTGAAGATGAGGACTCTGATTCAGGCTCGGACGCGTCAACCGTCCGGTCCCCCAGCTCGCCGTCTCCTCGGGGTGGAGACAGAACCCCCGACGCTGGAAATGCTCGGAATATTCGGACGCGGATATTCCGCTTTCCCTCGAGCCGCAGCCGAAGGAGCGGTGCAGGCGGCGCTACCTGTGCTGCAGAAGGCTCCACCACGTCCTGGAAGACGACGAGGTTGAGATTGGATATGACTCGTCCCTTCCCCGACCCGAGCCCACCTTCAGAGACTGGACGCTGAACCGGTACCCTGACGGGCCATGCCTATACGTACAAACGTACGTGCCAGGCTCAGGTCCTCCCCTCACCCGGCCCACGCTGCTGTTGTTCAACGAGGTCAACAAGGCAGCCATCATTGACACCTTCGTCAGGATGCAGGGGCTGAGAAAGACGATATTTTACCAGCTCATGTACCCGGATGAGGGTGATGTCAAGGGTACGCGGGTCGAAGTTCCTTTTTCCGACCTCTTCAATCACGTCTCGCCGCGAGGATTCGAGTCATGGAACGAGGAAAAGAGAAGCGCAAGCGCCGACAGTCCAACTGATACGGGAATGGCCTCAATTGCGCGGGTCAATTGTTGACACGGCCCCGCACGTGCATTTGGCACGAGCACCACTGTATAATTACATAATCAGCACCATGGACTAGCGTAAGGCGGGCAAGGAAGCGGTGTGTATAGGTAGTACTATTCTGCCGCCTACGTGGGGCGTATCCCCGCGGCAGGGCACACAAGCTCCCTTTTCCACCTTCCAACCTTCTACACATACAAATTATACCATCTTTAGTCACCATTGCAGCTTTCGCTATCACCAACAACCCGGTGCTCAACAAATTTGACACCGTCTTCAACAAGCGGCGTCGCCTCGACCGAGTGCGCTAACGTGGCGGTCACCTTTTTCGTCATTCTCTTGTTTTATTCTTGTTTCAACGACGCGAAATACCACTAGTCGAGGACAAGAGCAGTCCCTAATAATCTACAGCAACACCCAGCCATTTGAAACCTAGAGCAACGGGAACTAATTAGTGGTTAGGGTTTGGCCGAGACTTAAAACTTTCTTGGTCGCCGGTATGGGCGTTTGAGATCTGAGCTTTTGATGGTGTTGTTCTTGGTGGTGGATGTTGGGGGTATTGTCTGAGATTACTGTACGGGTACGAGAGGAAGAGTCAAGGTTATCATTACTAGTTACCCCCAACCAATGATTTGGTTCCCAAGAAACCTACGACCACGGTACATCTGGTGATTCTTTGGATGGTGATGGAGCAGATCTCTCTTGGGTATCTCTAGTGCATTTCTGTGTGCTAAAATCGCGTTTGTAATTTTTTGAGTATTGGACTCAATATTCAGTGATTTGTCTGGACCGAGGGCGGTTCATATGACTTGGAATGCTCGGTACTCATCGTTTCATATTCTTGGATCGACGGGCGCTTGTCGTTTCGTTCTTTTGCAATCGCTCGAGTAATCGCTCAAACACAGTCGCCGGTATAATGGCGCGAAAACTATCGAGATACTAATAAGGACCGCGAAGGACTCTAACGTATACTTCCAAGGGACCTAGGTAAGTACCTAAATCAACGTAGAACTAATACAAGCCATAAGCGTAGAAGAGAAGAGCGTACGCCATGGCGACCGTCCCTACCCCGACAGGAAATGCAAATACGGCTTCACTACGTGGTCGAATGCCCTCCGCAATCGGATTTGGCATAGCTTCGTAGTTGAGTCTGTATTGAACGAGCAGATACGATAGTCTACTTTGCAATACAAACCCGCTATGGGGTGTGATAGTAGAGAAATATGTACTGAACAACTAATAACGAGTATAAAGATCAAAGGCGTGAACTGCTCTTTGTTGATTGCTCGACAATAATAGTGCACTCGGCCATTGTTGGCAGTGTGGAGGATCTCCACACTGCAATGCCTCATCTCGATCTTTGACCATCAAGAAGTCATACTGAATGCGTTGAGGGTCACCCCGTGAGCCCCTTGACTCCTTACGGAGGGTATGCTCGTCTGCTCGTCTGTTCGCCACGAGTTGGGAAGCTCGAGTAACTAGCGGCCCCAGGAACTAACCGGGTAATTGAGTTTCTCTAGCCTTCACAAGAGCCCACCTTCCCTACGAGCTTTGTTCACCAAAGTGACGCCTCGGATTGTGCTGTTTTCCAACCCCCGCCGTTACGAAAGACACCGATTTTCTCTCCCCCTCAAAAGGCATGCTTCCGAAAATGTAGCCGTTGACCCAGTCCCATCAATTTCGGCGCCTATTCGATACCCAGCTTTAGGCGCTGAGCCTCAACGCGACGGACCTGCGTTCGTGTCAGGATAATCCACTTGTGAGCCAAGAAACCGTCAATTTCCTTCAACGGCTCGGGCATTGGATCGCAATCATCGTGGCCCGGCAAGGCGGGGTTGGGCATCTTGATACTCTTAAGCTTCGCCATAAGCGTTGTGATGCTGGAAGAGTAAAGCTGGATGTCATCATCGAGGGTGAGCGAGGACAAGACCTGAAGCTCCGGCGCTCCTAATTTACCGATAACCGATGTAAGCACGAGGGCATGGCAGACCGGTTGAGGTCGGGTCCCATTCGTATCACTATTACTATAGGGATTGGCATGATGACAGTACCAGCTAGTGTTGCGGTAGTGTGGGACTAGGTCTCTAAGACCCTTGACAAGCCTTCGGAGATGCGTGAAGATCTCTCTCAGGGCGAGGCGTCGAGTGTCAGCTATTTTTTCTGGCAGAGGAAGATTTGTCAGCGGGCACCGAAGCTCACGGCAATTTCAACACAAATGCTTACTCAGGAGCATAGGTGGCATGAGAGGCATCTCTGGTGTCGGCTCAACAGGATATCCCGTCATGGGCATGGCCAGCCGGCCGGAGCAGTTCAAGTCGCAATGGAACTGCATGTGGGTTGCAATCGCGCGAAGCCCCTCCGGGGCGCCGAGCTCCCAGGCCACCCCGATGATGGCGCAAAACGGGTCTTTGACCGATCCGGTACTACTAATGGCCTTCGAAAGCACGGGAATCTACGCCGCTACCCACGGCCGAAGACTCTTTGTCATGTCGTATTTGTCAGAAAAGACGAGGATTTGGTGGAGGCGGTACAAATGTGGGAGGGCGGGGACGAGGTCGAGACGGGAATGGGCGACGGCCAGCAGCACCGTCGCAGCTTCGGCATCGTCGTCGGGCAAGTCCACTATCCAAGCCTTGGAAGGGTCGCTGGGGCGAGCCTCAGCCCAGCTGCCGTTCAGCATGCAACTGAAGACGGGGCTTGCGCGGGAGACGGCTCGGGAGCAAACAACGAATTCGCGCCCTAGAACGACCATGCGGAGATCGTCATTGCCGTCTAGGAGGAATTCCTCTCGTTTGGCCATCATGATTGTTTCCTTGCACGAGTTTCAATGCCGATGTAATCTGAGGTGATTTTAGTTTTTGGGGCCGCAACGATGTATGCATTGTCAAGTTGGATGCGAACTGAAGTGAGTGAGGGGCTACCTGACGTGTGGAATTTTCCCTAACAACCCGCCCTAGAAATGCAGTTACAAGTGAAGGGGCGAGCAGTAAAAGCCCCGCGATAATGTCTCAGCCCGAGTTAGGTCACCGGGCGAGCTGTGAATCAATTATCCTGGGTGCTAGGGCCTTCCAGGTTACCCGTCAGGGCTACAGAAACGCCCTGACCAGGGGGTGAACGAAGGAGCTGGCTCCGTTGTCAGGGTGATTTTGCAAACCCGACGAGTACCTAAGCAAGTTTCAAAATCGGATTTTGGCATACATAGCTGCTGCAAACTAAGAGAGTCCTGATGTATATCGCTAGGCTTCCTAGGCTTTGAAACCAGTCCTGATCCATACAATTGATTCTCCATGCCTAGAAGCTCGTTATGTGGCATACAGCTGGTGTCTACGGAATCGGAATACAGACACCAGGGATTCGTTGGCGGTGGCCGACTAGATAGCTGGTAGTCAGGACTCCTGAAGTCGCTGGAATGTCTATGGAGAACGGTCTATGGGAACGGTCTATGGGGAACGGAGGACGGGATCCTGTGCGGGGCATCTGGTTCCCTTAGTTCAGTCTTCTAGGGCACTGCCATTTCCTTCCCTTCCTTCCTCTTCCAGATCACCATGACTATATAGGCTAGACTAGACAGTGCAGCCGAGTAAAAACCTCTCATAGATCCCAAGTTCCATTTCTACGTGGCTGCGTGTGACGGTTGGAAGAGAAAATCCTTTTAGCCGCTCAACGTGAGGCGATCCCGTTGAGGCCTACTAGGTCGGTGCACGCGATGGCCCAACGTACTCTTTTGGTGCAAGTTAGCAGACGTTTTTCACCGTCCGAGTAGAGTCTCCCTGAAAGAAGGACCCTCCGTGGCATGAGCACTAATTGAAAGTTAAATACTCTGGTATTAGTTCTCAAGACTCAGACCAAACTAGCGAGAATGACTCAAAAAATGCGTATATTGGTCTAGAAACCCAAAACAAACTGACGATTTGGCACAAGCTGATGATTCGATGATGATGCCGGATTCAGAATTTCGGCTCGCTTCCCGTCTCCGCGTTCAAGTGCGTGACGCACGACAGGAGAATAATCTCAGAGCACTGATGCGTTGGCGTCATCTATGGCGAAACTCCCACTTCGTTTTCCAAATCTATCAAGATGCAAATGACTCGCCGTCGAACCTCCCACACGCTCTCAAGTCTGGCAAAGGCATCATCTGAGGCGGCGAAGGTGGAGGAGGCGGGGCGCCTTGGCCATCCCTGAAATCCCCTGGTGCTCCCGGAAAATCTTGGGCCATTTGCTCAGTCTACTCTCTGACTTCTGGCGCATCGTGCATCCTCATTCGTCCCTGGCCCAGAAGCCATGCCAAGACGCCAATTTGCCATCAGCCGGCCTTCGATGGCCCTTGAAGCCGGTCTGGTCTCTGACAGGAAGGAGCAAACCGTGGTTGGTCACGTGGTGTCAGGTGACGTGACGCCGAAGCTTGCCCCCTGAGCCCCGGCCCACAATAAGTGGACACCCCAAAATTTGCAGTCGTGCACGGACCAACTAGATTTCTATAAAACAAGCCGTCCTCCCGCCCTTCCTCCTCTTCCTTTCTCTTTTTCTTCTTCATACTTACCTTGGTTCGGGGCATGGAGCTCAAGATTCCCCTGCTCCATATGAGGGAGCCTGCATTGCACACCGCGGCGCAACCTCCTATTGATTGTCCTTCGGGGCCTTTGGGACCGTAATTTTTGATAACCCACCCAAGTCTTTTTTTCACTGTGATCGCCCTCCAGTGGTGCCATGGAGAAGAAATCCCCGCCATGTCTTGTTAGGCATTGCTTTGTGTTTTCAAGCAAGCCCGACCAGTGTTGGGGGCGCCTGCCTGTAAGAGTGAACGGCGTGTGACATTCTAATGAGGAAGGACGGACCCTCGGGCTGGCATTGAAGCAGTTACGGTAGCGACGCGTTCCCGCAGATCTCGTGCCGCTCAGTCAGTATGTGCCATGCAGCGTTCGCCACGAACCCTCGCAGTTTCTCGCGAGTCGCGTGTAGTGATGTCCTTGTCGTGATGTGCTATCGATCGACGCAGACATGGGCTTTTTCTTTCCTTGACGTCAACATGCTTTTTGGCAAAACGCCGACGGCCTCTGCCTCTGGAGGAAAGTGCGTCTTACGATTCATCCAGATTGCCGCCCACAATCTACGAACCGCCGAACGAAGGTGGAGAAGCTTGGAGACGAGATTGTTACCAAGATGTTCTCCGTTAAGTTGCGCCTCAAATCCAATACTCTTTGCCTTCGAGCCCGTCCCACAGATGTCATGGCTGAGTGACATTTATTCCCGGGACAGCGCAGCCCGCGAAGCTGCCGAGAATGGAAAGACGGTGAGCTTCCGTTTTCTTGCCCGACAAATTGACCTCATTGGCAGGCATTGCGCCTATAACTAACCGCGTCCCTCCAGGACCACCAGCTGTTCCAAAGCACACGATCATATGCGTGCGCCTGCAGCTCCAGCGCCGCAAACCCGAGAGCCAGGGAATTGCGCGGCCGTCATGTTCGTTTCAATTTACCTCGAATGCCGACCCGCCGCCTGCTTACGTCTGCCCCCACCATGGGTTTGTGGGGAATGTCAGAAAACCCAGGACCTCCGTCCAGCCAAAATCATATTTAAACCCACATTATACCCAATTGGACCACATTATACCCGACTGGACTTGTTTTGCTCAGGCCTGGTCGTTACAGAAGCCAGGAAAGCCGAGTCCCTCGATGAGTCGCTTGGAGCGGGAAAAAAGAAGGTTCACTCAATATGAAGTCGCGGCGGGTTTGCCACGGGCGACGAGAACGGGTAAGGACGCCATTGAAGAATTTTGCCCATCATCGCACTGACACATACATATGGCAGGGTCGCTTTCACGGCGGTGTCTCGCGAATAGTCCAGGACCTTGTCGTTCGAGTACGCATCCGAGCAGCCCACTTCCTAGCCTTCGCACCACGACACGATGAAGATCTCGGCCGCGATCTCGGCCGCGCTCGCCCTCGTGGCCAGCGGCGTCACTGCCCACCCCGCATTCGATGAGTTCATGCTGCCCGAGACCCCCTCGAAGCGCGCACAGGCCGCTCTCCAGCAGGTGTCCAACTTTGGCGCCAACACTTCCAAGACGAAGATGTACATCTACGTGCCAAGCAAGCTGGCTGCGAGCCCGCCCATCATTGTGGCCATCTACTACTGTCTCTAATTACCATCTATAGAGCCTCGCAAGTCCGAGTAATTGTAGTTGGCTTTGCTCCGTAACCATGCCTTTCGGGTCTTTGATGGTATCCGCACGCCAGCTTGTTGCAGGGACTGCACACAGATGTCCAAGACTTCCCACTCCTCACACCACTCTAGCATAGTATCCTCGGCGGAGTCGACATGGCTGCACAGTGCTTCCACCATAGCGCACACCTCCTTGACAACTGACCTGCGGACTAGTGATGACTCATCCCCGGCCAAGTGAAATGCTTTCATGGGACTGGCGCAAAGCAACGAAAGTTGTACGGCCTGTTTGGTGTACCCGACTACTTTTTTGGTGCACCCGACTACTTTTCTAGCCAGTTCGGGATAGTCTCTGCCGGTGGTTTCATCGGCGAGGGACTCTTTGATGTTGGATGAGAGATATCGAACAATCCTCAGCCGCCGGGGGAAGAATTTGTCGAAATCGTAAAAGATGCCGTCTTTAAGCGGAACCCATGATTCAAGACCTTCTGCATCCTCCTCATCTGTGCCTGATCAAATACGGCAATGCAAGGGCATTTGCGATGCCAGCTCCGTCGTCCGCGCCTGTAGTCCAATCCAGCCCTTTCTCTTCTGGTACAGTCGGGTCCTTGTCGCTGACAAAAATGCTGCCTATGGTGTGGCATATTTGCTGGATCTTCACCCCACGTCCGAGTCGAAATAGCCAGGGTGACGGAATCATGATGCACTCGGTGAGAATATGCGTAAGTTCATTTCCGAGGTAGATCTCACTGACCGAGACCATTGTCCGTCCAAACCAACTGTGCTGGTCACTCCGCCTGAGGAATCGCTGCCGTCGCTGTGCTGGTCGCCTGACGACTATGGAAGGATCGCTCTTAGTGTAACCATTCTCTCCGTGTCGTTCTTCCAGTCGAGAGTGCAGCCGACTTGACGACTCCTGTATTGACGGGGGATGCGATGTATCACAAATTGACCTGGGGCTCATCTGATCGCGGCTATGTCGTTGTGACATTTCTTCAAGAAGCCTGGACGTGACAAATGCGGCCTCACTCCGCAGGGAGCGCTCTATCGTTTAAAGAGCCGTTAACAGTTAGTTGGCATGGTCGTGGGAGAGAGCGTCGAATGCGACCCGTTTGGCTTCCTCCAACCTGCCACTTTCACTGTCGTGGCGGACATCATCGTGGAGAGGCGAGTGGCGGTAGCTTCCAGTCCGCTGAGGTGTTCCCTGGATTCCGCGCGTTGCATGTACCAGTCCCGTCTGTTCACTACAACATGTTAGCTCGAAAAGGTGCCTGGTAAGATGCTGGATCAACGGCGCGATAAGTTAGGTGGGGGAGTAAGCGAACGCCACTGATCCAGAACATTGTAGATAAGCGAGGAACACAACCAACCCTCTTATATAAAAAGCCCATAACTCAACCAATTCTTTTCCAATTCTCTTCATCTTCAATTCGTTTTATTCTTCTCTTGACAATGGTTTCATATACAGAAGAAGACCTCCGCAAGGCTTGCGAGGAAGCCGTCAGAACACATCGATTACGCAAAGTCGCGCGAAAATGGAACGTTCCACCCTCCACCCTTTATGGCCGTCTACATGGCTCCCTACCTCGAAATGTTGCTCATCAAGATGAGCAAAGGCTTACACAGACCCAAGAGGATCGTTTAGTCGAATGGATTCTTCTTCAACAAGATTTAGGATTGCCCCCTACACATGCACAGATCAGGGAGCTTGCACGCCGTATTCTAGCTGAAAGGGGGGACTCCTTACCACTTGGAAAGGGGTGGTGCCGTGCCTTTCTTAACCGCAATCGAATTTTGAAGACTCAGAGGGCCAAGAGAGTCGATTCGGTCCGCGTCAACTGCGCTACAGAGTCAACAATTCGACCTTGGTTCAACCATTTCCAAACACCAGCTATCAAGGCGATTAAGCCAGAGAATCGCTGGAACAAGGACGAATCTGGTATTATGGAAGGCAGAGGAACCAACGGCCTTGTCATTGGAAGCCGTGCCTTTAAGGCGCTTCAAAAAAAACAGCCTGGAACCCGCACTTGGACCACTTTTGTCGAATGCATCTCAGCAGCTGGCCGTTGCCTTCCTCCTTTGGTCATTTTTAAGGGGAAAAGCGTTCAACAACAATGGTTTCCTTTGGATATGAAGCCATTTCAGGATTTGTTCTTTACAGCAACTGAGAAAGGATGGACTACCGATGAGACAAGCCTCAAATGGTTAAAAAATGTGTTCATTCCTCTCACCAAGCCAGCAAACTCCTCTGAGAAACGACTCCTTATTATTGATGGCCATGGCAGCCACACAACTGCCGATTATATGTGGGAGGCATTCACAAACAATATTCACATTATTTATCTGCCTCCCCATACTTCCCATGTCCTCCAACCCCTAGATTTGGCCATATTTGGCCCCCTAAAACGACTTTATCGCAGACGGCTTGAGGACCTTCTTGCTAACGCCTTTGACGACTCTTCTGTAGCCGGAAAACGTGCGTTTCTGGAATGCTACCAGATTTCACGCACAGAGGCAATTACTAAGAGTAATGCTAAGTCAGGATGGAAGGCATCAGGCCTTTGGCCCTTGAATGTCAACAAACCGCTAAGAAGCCCACTCCTCCTCAAGAATTCTAATACTTCACGCCCCTTAAGAACTACTATAGTTACCCCAGAGGTTCGCACACTCCGTATGCCAATCCTGGAGGATTATGGAGACGATCGGGTGCAGTGGAGGACTCCTAGAAAGGCACGTGATTACGTTGAGCAGGCAAAGAAGTTCGCACGCATCATCAAAGCAATGCCAGCGGATAAGCTCTTCCTCAGAAAGATTGGTAAGGCTTTGGATGAACAGGCCTTTGAACTAGCTATTAGGAAGCGAAAGATTGAAGGTCTAGAACACACTCTCGAATCAATAAGAGCCAGAAAGAAGAAGAAGGTTGAAGAAGATCCAAATACCACCTTTGCGAATATTCAGACTATTCGTGAGGCCCAGAGAGCTGTAGGGCGTGCAGCAGAGGTTTTAGAAGATGCGGAAGAAGCGGATGATTCAGAGGATATCAAAGATTGTATTGAAGTTTTGTAAATAAAAAGATCACCCTTTCTTTTGTTGGAGGGTTAGTTGGGACTCCTGCTTATACAGAATGTTCTAAATCAGTAGTGTTCGCTTACCCCCCCACCTAACTTACAGGATACCCAGTCACAGAACCAGGTCGCCCCCAACACCTATGTATTCATAAGCAATCTTTCCCTTGGTCTCCCCGGATGGTGGATATGGGGGCGAGTTATCAGAAAGTGGCTGAGCTCAACTAGATTCTGTGAACAAAGAAACGAATCAAGACCAGATTCAAGCCCCAGAAAAACCAGGTATTTTCATGAAGACTAATTTTAGCCCTAAAAAAACCAGTAATATATATCAAGACCGGTCTTCAAGCCTTCGCGATCTTCATTAGTATCGTGAGAGATTGGCGAGGAAGTTATATGAACCGCCTCTGGGGCATCAGACGAAACGTTGGGTAGGTATTTGGTCTAATATTTCAATAGCACACAGAGGTGTACTACCCGACAGCTTTATCCACCAGAGAGGCCAAAGAGAATACTTGGCAACGACCAGCGGTACAGTGTTTGAGACACGCATCCGGTCATCGAGCCGCCACTGCCACCTGGCCTGCTCGATAATATCTCCGCCCTTGCCCAGCCGCGCCCGCCAGCCCTCGACCCATTGCCATGCGAGGCAGAAATCTCCTTTCACGCCGGCTTTCTGACCTCTCATGCCTTCAGCCAGGTCAATTTTGCCACGGCGAGCTGTATCCATATCATGAACTCTGATTCTGTTTCTAGATGTTGAGCTGGAATCCGAGTCAGAATCATAATCCACCGACAGGACACTAAGGGCCTGATCGGCTCGCCGTTGCGGTGTCGTTGCGGTTGGGAAAAGATACGAGCCATGTGCATAATTAAAGTGGAGACACAGCCAATGTACCCCGAAACCCCCTGTAACTAGGCTTTTCCTAATTAATCATAGTCCCGTATGACTTCCGCCCTGTCTTCCCGCAATTTTTTGACCAAAATACAGCCACGACAGCAACCCACCTATCGTCAAGATGCCCAGAAGACCCCGCATCAGGGCAACCGCAGTAGAGTCTCCTGCTCCTGAGGCCTCTATTGTTGTTCAAGCCGATGACCTACCCTCTGACGGCGGCCTGCAAGCCTCCGATGACGGCCCTACTTCCGAGCCGACACCTGACGCGCCTTCGTCGACCCCGCGTACGAGGCGGAGGAAAATCATCTACACAACCGAAATGCAGGCGAAGATTATCGAGTTATTCCGAGACGAGGCTATCGCTGGAGCGTTCCGTATCAACAAGTTGACCGAGACGCGGCCGGCATTCTAGAGGATCTCTGTTACAATGGAGGAATCCTTTCCAGACTTCCACTGGTCAGCAGAGAAGATCAGGGACAAGTACGATAATGAGAAGAAGCGATTCCGAACGATCAAGACCTTTCTTAACAAGTCAGGTGCGAAATATAACGAAGAAGAGAGGATGGTGGAAGGCTCTGTGGAAGTCTGGAATAACTTCCTTTTGCAATATAAGGATGCTGGATGGCTTCGGACTGCTCGGTTTACTCTGTCAGACTATGAGACGATATACGCCAACCAGTCTGGTCATGGCCGTAACATTATCCGCGCGAGTAATGCCTTTGGCCCCTCTACTACGACGCCTGACGACGAGGGCGAGGGCGATACCGAGGATGCCATGGTCCTGAGTACGAGCTCAGCTACTGATGCTAACTCTCGCCAACCCTCTGTGGCGCCGTCGTACCGGAGGGTTCGGAAAGCCGATACAAATCCAGAGGTATTAGCACTGGCCCAGAGCCTCGATAAGCAAGCTGAGGCCTCTATGAAGCAAGCAGAAGCTATGGTTAAGCAGGCTGAGGCCATGCTTCGCCTGAAAGGGCAGGATGAGATCCAGCTTGCGATCAAGGACTTTATGCACAACTTCTCTATCCAGTTAAGCCCCGCAGAGCGTGTAACGTGTATCATGCAGCTAAAAGAGCACTCAAATGCTGTTGTATGGAACACTGTAGACCGGGATATTAAAGAGGCTCTGATCGAGTCATGGAAGACTAGCTAGAAATCCCGCTCCCTCCATAGAACCTCTGCAATAGCATCCCGGATATCCTTACTATACCGACTCCTAATTATCTGCTCAGCATACCGACAAGCCTCTTGTGTAGCCTCAATTACTAGCTCCTCATCGCTGGTGTCAAGAAGGAAGTTATGGATACCAGTGACTGCGTACACGATCTGGACCTGGTTTCGTATCGAGTACTCTGGCGCAGTAGCTCGGATAATCTTCCACTTCCTCTTTAGAATACCGAATACCTTCTCAACGATAACCCGAAGGCGTGCGTGCCGGATGTTATATAGTTCTTTTGCTGTGGTCGGCGGGTTTTTGGCATTCCTCCAATCCTCGAGGTGATATCTGACACCATTATAAGGTGTAAGAATCCCTACATGCCCACCAAATGCAGCGTCTGCAAGGTAGAACCGGCCCGAGGGGACCGCAAAGTCATTCGCAGTAGCGATGCTAAGGAGCGTAGAATCGTGTGTTGAGCCCTCAGCACCAGCGAGTACGTACGAGAACGCACCATCAAATCGGACTGCGGCGAAGACGTTCTGTGCGATAAAGCCTTTCCGGGTTCGCCACTGGTGTTGCTGAGGCTCTGGAATGAAGGCGTGGATATATGTACCATCAATGGCCCCGATACAACCGTAGAATGCATCGTCGATAGACGGGTCGAGCTAGTCATCGTCTTTTGGCTTGACGAAGGCGCAGTGTAGCTGTACGAGCTTGTCCAGTAGATCCGTCATAACAGAGCTCACAGTAGACTGGCTGACTCGGAACCGGTGGGCAGCATTACGCTGGCTCTCGTCGTGGGCGAATATCCATAGCACGATCATAAGCTTTAGCTCGGCTGTCAGGTATCTGGACCCCTTGAGCCCGGTATGCTCTTGTAGCCATGTAACCAATCGATGGAAAGCGGCCTTTGGCATACGAAAAAGATCAACGAATTGGGTATCCGAGCCACTGAGAATCGACTCAGCAAGATGGCAGGCCCCCGAGGGCCCCTCTGGGTGGATAATATCGCAGTCGCGTGGCCCTAGTAGTCGACGGCGATCAACATACTGTAGGGCTACATCCACTACAGCTTTCGTGATGACGGCGTTGAGCAGAGGGTTATTAATGGAAGCCATTGGCAGCAGTACGTAGGATCTCGACGGTACGGCAACCCTTCTCGAAGAAGGGTTGCCGTACTGTTGGGAAAAAGCCAACCATACTAGATTTGGCTGTGCACTATACCATATGAAGGGCGTTGACCAGGGTGTCACGAAGAGCCCCGCGAAGATACATTGCATAAATCGAGACGGATCGTTCCGGGCGCTCGGCCTCAAATTTGGTCGATAAATGTGGGAAATTACCACTCGATTGGGGTTAGTGGCCTTGCAAGGCCCCATGCGATTTTTTTTGTGCAGGTTTTCCCAACCGCAACGACACCGCAACGGCGAGCCGATCAGGCCCTAAGCCGGTGTTCTTGACACTCGTCTTGCTCATCTCAGTCCACCTCAGCTCCAACACCGTCACTGTTACTATAAACCACCGTATCCCCGTCGACATCGTCATCGCCACTGGCAGCACCAGCCCCCGCTTCGCCCGAGCGTGGTCAATTTGCCGCCGGGCCCCTGCCGTCGCTCAGCAGTCCGCTGCGCTCATTCTCATCGTCACGATCTTCTTCCGCGTCGTAGCTATTGTTGCGAGCATAGCCGTCAGGCAGCAGCTTCCGTTTGGGACTGGAACTGGTCCAGGCGCTGTCGGCTCTGCTGCGGATGGCGGGTTCCTGGGCGTTACCGGGGAGTGCCGGGTGCACTATGGGCGACGGGGGCGAGGATGACAGTGTGCTCTGGCTCCGCATCGACTGCGGAGTTGACCCGGTTCTGGCGCACCACGGGATGTTTGCCACGTCCCTGGGTACGAAGGTCCCTAGATGAGGCGGGTGAGATGTAGGATCAGCTACCTGTTGCCGGACGGGAGTTTGAGGTCTCAGAGGATTGTGTCTGCTGGCGGCGAGGCCTTTGTTGTCTGACCAAGGGGCCTCCTGGCGTGGCGGCTCAGATGGGCTAAATTTTTCGGGGGTAACCGGCGTCTCTGTCGTTTGAGTCTCCGTGTTGCGGCCCATCTCCGGCTCGAGACTCCCATCCATGTCATTTCCAACCTCATCTGCCCAATAGTTCTGAACGAGGCTGTGGCTCGACAGCGTAGCTATTCCCTCGAGCGAGAGAACACTCGTTTCGGACGCGTTGCCCTCACGTGTCTTCTCATCGAGAGGTTGTGTCGGGGATTGTAAATCCAGAGGCTTGGCTTCGAGAGAGCTGTCGTGATCGCCACTAATCTCCTCCGAAGAGGAACCACTCTCGGTGCCAGCAAACTAGTCGCTCTAGTCGTCAGAGTCAAAAAGGTCGTCATAGCCGTGGACTGATGTTGTGGGTTCCTCCATGAACTGTTGTTGTGGGTTCCTCCTCGAGGTCATGTGGACTGGACGCGTCATCGCGATGTTCATCTGCTTCTCGAGGGCATCGCGAATAGTGGGGCTATTGAATTCACCATATGGAATCTTCTAGTGGATGATAAATACTAGATTATTCAGCTGATGTGAGCCAAAATTGCCACACAGCTCACCACCACTCATATGTATAAAACCTGCACCTCTGGCATAGCCAGAGGAGGGGAGAAATGGAAGGGAAGACAACACTTCATATTTTTTCGGTCTGAATGTAAAATCCAACAGGGGCGCCTGAGCCAGGTATTGAGTCCTTCCAACGTTTGGAGAGCCATCATTAGTCCACTTGTACAAGAAGGCATCGAGAGTGAATCTCCGGGGGTTATCTCTATGCCGGCGAGCGCATTGATAGTTGGAATTCCTGCACTGGGTCCAGAGATCTACCGTTTTCTGCATGATGTCGTCTGCAGACTTGATAGATTCGTCTGAAATAAGAAGCCGCCCTGGCCGGGGAAGTCGGTGGTTCGCGCAAGCGCAGGCGTTATCCCAGCGCCTGGCTGCTGCTTGGCTCAGAAGGTGTTACAGGAACTGGAAGTACTCGGGAGCTGGTCCGTCGTATTTATCCCTGATTCGCGCGAGCTCATGCGCCAAATATGTCGATATGTCCTGTTCCACGACTTGCTCTGGTGTCTGGTTCAGAGCTAGGCCTTAGTATTTTCCTTAGACGTCTTTAAAGCCGAGCCGAATGGATAACTCGGGCCGACTGGTGATGAAAATCCTCAGACATACGGAGCGTACCACGTTTGCTTGCGCGAGCAGGGCGATAATGGTCTTGAAGTCTTCGTCTCCATTGTATTCGTCAAGAGCGTCAATGACAATCACAATTGCTGTAATGCGGCAAATGTTGCTAAGTGGTCAGAGGATGAGCTTTTCGAACTGGTGTCTCAATGCCTTTTTGGGAACGTCTGGGTCGGCATCAATGGCCGTTCTGACGAAAGGCACCAGGGCAGGGATTTTGCGCACAACCTGACGAGCAATGGTGGGAAAAACCAAGCCAGCTTTGCCACGGTCGCCCTCTCCCCTTTTGAAGGAGAAGCTCGCGCCAAGCAGGCCGTCCTTTGCGAACGAGGTGGCCACGGTTCGTTCGAGAGGTGGTGGATTTCCCTGTCCCTATCTTGCCATTCAGCTAGAATATGCTCTCGGCTCGAGGATTGTTTGGCCACTCCCGGATCTGGCAAAGGAGTTCGGCTCGGGTGTTGGGGTGGGATCGTGCGTTGTGTTCTTCGGCGTGGGAGTCAAAGGCTGCGCCGCTTGCGCCTGGGAGCTTTGCTAGGTCGATCTTAGAGTGGATTTCGAGGATTTCGGTGCTGGAAATTGCTATTAGCCACGCATCGACCAAGGTATAAAGTCTGCGCATACGCTTGATCGATCTGAAGGGTTGCCGTAAAGGAGTCCTGATCTCGCGGGAGGTTTGCAATGATCTTGTCCACGTCCTTGCTCTCGAACGGCCACTTTAACTCGCAGTCCTAGGCGTCTTATTGGCCTCCTTTTGCGACCCTAAAGTTTCGCTTCCAGCTTTGTAGCGACATCACCAAGCTGCGAGCGGGTGTTGTTAAGGGCTTCGCGCAGCTTTTGCGACGTCTCGAGCCGAGCCCCATGTGGGCCCTAGAGAAGCTTTGCGCGCCATCTGTCTTCAGGTTGTCGATATATTTTCGTAGGCGTTCGATGTCGGACCTAGCGCTCTCGACGGCAGACAAGTATTCGAGACAGAGGGAAGCGATCTTAGCGGCCAGCTCAACGACGGGGATAGTGCTTGCGGTGGCCCGAGCCCCTCCATCGTGCTCGGAAACAACGGAACGATTGACGTATGGGACGAACTGAGGGGTTGGTTCGAGAGAGCGATGGAGAATCGTGATTATAGCAGTCTGTCCAAAGCTCGAATTGGGGAGGAAAGGCGTCGAGCTGCCCAACCGCCGCCCGGCACAACTGCCTGGACCCAATTGCGCGGGGTTGGCCGAGCGCGGGGTTCGCCATCGATGAGATGATAGTTCATCGACGATTGGGGGGTTAAAGCGGCCTCGGCGAGAGTGCGATCGTTCACATGGCAGCTTCGGCTTTCCCTCGCAGGGATGAGTCGCCGCATTCCGTCGAAGAATCGTGCTCGGCCCGTCAGATTGCTTGATCCAATGATCGTGTGGGGTCCGCAAAGTTACAGTTCGCACAAACTTCTAGGACCCCTCGCACGCTCCAAGCCCAAAGGGCCTAAATTTAGCAGCGACTGGCTCGTCACGTAGCTACAAGGATGCCGGCAACATCAAGTGCCCCGCCCATCCACTTGTCCGCTTCGTCGCAATCCGCGATCGACGCAATCCGCGATCGATCTGGCGTCCTTCCACCAATAATGTCCTGGTGCTGGCAGCAAGCAGCATCGCCCGTTAATGATACTGCAAGGTAAAACCAACTTCAGCCGTCATGTAAATTGCAAATAATAGTTTATATTGTGACGTAGAACGCTAGCTCCTGTGCACGTTCCTATATGTTGATGCTGGCCATGCTTGTCAACGCCCCTTGCGAGTCCCCATCACCTGCACCTCTAGCTTCGGCTGAATATGGGGCTTGCAAAGGGGTGTTCCGGATCCGGCACCACTGGTGCCCCGTTGTAGCTAGATCACTCCTGTGGGCTGTAGTCCTCCCACCCTTCCGCGTGGAAGCACGCACGGTCTGATACCAGCCGATTAGTCAGTCAATCACAACACTTCTGGATTTTCAGAACGGACATCGAATTTTCCTCTGCCCCTACGGCGACGCGCCCCGACGCGAGCCCCACCACGTCGAACGACATCTCCAGCGCCCCTACAGTACCTTTAAGACAGACGCTCCAGTCTCTCTTCAGAATAAAATCCGTTTTACTCCAAACTGTGAATTGCTAAGAAGAAAATATCGGAGGCTCGCCAGCGCCAATAAAGGGCACAGCAACACAGACTTCGTAGCAAAACCCCTGATCTAACCTCTGGCTTAATTAGATTGTCTTGGGCGACTACATCTTCTAGGACGGGCGCACTGCAGGGCCGCGGCCACACAACCCGCCGCCTCCTGCTTTTGCGCTCGGGGACTACAGGACGCGCCACAGGCAGTACCGCACCGATCCGGACCTGCAGCTGCCCGCGTAGAACTTTGCGTGGATCGCGACGTGGGACGACCACGGTAAGCATCGTGAAGCGCATGCATTATCCCCGTTCTGACCAAGGCAGTTCTTCAGAGGTCGCCGACAACACGTACCGCGATGGCTCCAGCACGCTCAACAACACGGAGGCGTAACGCTGTAGTGCTAGCTAAACTCGTAAATATGGAGCTACATACAAGCTCCCGACGATCCGCAAATGCGTGGCCATATCTGGCCAGCAGAGAATCAACCCAGCACGTGCCCAGTCAGGTGGGAAGGAGGCCATTCGAGGAGACCGTTTGGCCCCCAACGAGCCAACATCCGCCAAGAAACCAACTGGTCATTTTAGGCGGCGATGGCAGCCTGACTGTCCAAAAATAAGCCTCCCGAACGTCGAAAAACGCACGACAAAATGCGTCGTTCAGACCCCTGGACTTGCAGCAATCCGAGCATCCATGGCTTCTCGAAGGAACAGGCTGCAGGCGTCGAGGCGACCAACTCCAATCAAACCACAAGATCCCCGTAGACCTAACCGCTCGCGAAACAAACCGTCCTACACGTACCTGCCGCTGAACCCCGCACAGCACGAGATCCGCCTGCTCGAGATCGCGCCTGGACGGCCGGGAAGCCGTGTCTGCTGCCGCGTGTTCCACGCCTCGCTAAGCTCTGAACCACCGCCCGAGTACGACGCGCTCAGCTACATGTGGTCGGCGCCGCGGCCGTCATACACCATCACCGTGAACGACGGCTGCGCCTTTAGCGTCGGGCGCAACCTGCGCAAGGCGCTCGACGACGTGCGACTGCCCGACGTGGCGCGCGTCGTCTGGTGCGACGCGCTGTGCATCAACCAGGCCGACGACGACGAGAAGGGGACCCAGATCCAGCTGATGCGGCGCATCTACTCCGACGCGCGCGTCGTGCGCGCCTGGATCGACGTCAACCTGGGCCCGCTGGCGGGGCCGTTTGAGGATCTCGCGCAGCTGGGTGAGAGGGGCGGCTGCATGTCGCTCGCCGACGTCCATGACCACGAGTATTGGTTCCCCGTCGCGGATGTGTTCAGACACCCCTACTGGCGGCGGATCTGGATCCAGCAGGAGCTCATCCTAGCGCGCGAGGTCGCGGTGCACTGCCGCCGCCAGGTTCTCAGTGGCGAGGAGCTCTTCGAGTTTCAGCGACAGGCATTCGACTCGATAAACTCGTTCAAGGATCTGGAACACTCGAATGCGACGTCGGCGATCCTGAGATACATCAACACCGACACTGGGAACGCAGGCGTTGCACTGTACGGCGGCGGCATCAAACGGGCGCGACGGCTTAGACAGAAAGCTTCCCAGCGGCTGCGAGGAGCAGAAGGCGGGACCATGGACTCGGTCGCGGCAAAAAATGACTTGCCTGTCGGTGCTGTCGGTGCTGTCAACGGATGGCTGGTCCAGCTCTTCGTGCAGTCGCGATACCTCGGCGTGACCCACCCACACGACCGACTTTACGGACTATTCGGCCTGGCCGCCGACTATGAGGAGGGCGAGATTGAGGTTGACTACAGCCTGTCCACCATGCAAGTATACGCGAGTCTCTTCCAGCATTTTATCAGAAAGCACGATAGCCTGGTCTTCCTGTGCTCGGGGGAGAGGGACGGGGTCGAAAACAGCTTCGTCGGCGTGCGTGTTCCCAGTTGGCTGCCCACGAACGGCATAAAATGGACCTATGCAGCCCGCGGACTCAGTCAGGCATGCGGCACCTGCACCGCCGAAGGGGCACATATAAACCTCCAGACCGGAGCCCTCCATGCTCAGGGTATCTTGGTCGATCGAGTCTCTCTGGTGGAAGACGCAACAATCCTGCAAGGTCTTCCGATTCCGAGCGCACTGGCCTGGGTTGAGAAGTTCTGCCAGGAACTGTGGTCCAATATCGCTACCGGCCGGCCATTCTACGAGAGAGAGGAGGTCACCGATGCATTGTTCCCGTGGGCCACGAAGGAGTTCTATCGTCGTTTCTTACATTCAACAACCGGCAGACCAACCGCGGACCAGCGTCTCAAGATCACCAAGGCGCTTCAAAGAGCCGCCGAGCTCGCGGACGATCCCGGCGATTTCAACCTCCGCAGGATCATCTGCGGCGGTTACACACCGTCCACTATACTGTCGCAAGGGGAACGATCCCAGGCGCTGCAACTAAACATGGGCTTGGCAGGCAGGATGCTCGTCGGGACGGAGAAGGGGAGGATAGGGTCCATGCTTTTGCCCAGGCTGGCCGTACCAGGGGACGAGGTCTGGGTCTTGCTTGGCTGTCCCACGCCCGTCGTGCTGCGGAAGAGGGACGGCGTGCAGGGACGTTATGTCCACGTCGGCTTTGTCATCATTCCTCCTCTGATGAATGGTGAAGCCGTCGAGGAGCTTGGGATGCCTCATTCTGACCATGCAATCGTCGATGTGGCAATTGACTAGCGATCCAGAAGCATAAGTCACGGCAACCAAGGTACCTAAATAATTAAGAGAAAGTCTGCTCGGACTGTCAGTGGCAAAAAAGTACATTGGAATCTTCGCCAAGCTACTAGCCCAGCCAAATCCCTGTTTTACCCGCAAAAAAACAAAAGATTGATGGCCAACCCGCTCGTCTTCAGATGGCTGGTACAATGCAGCTTCAACCGCGCCCGGCGCCCGGACCCCCCTCTCCCCCACCGAACGTAGCCAAATTTCTACCCTGCAAGGCTGCAATCGAAGCCATCGCCAAATCCATCAAATCCACCAAATCCACCAAATCCACCAAATCCACCAAATCCACCAAATCCACCAAATCCACCAAATCCACCAAAAACATACCACAATACCGTCAATTGAGCCACAACAACAACAACGCGATTTTATCGCTGCGCAAGTAGGTGCATCGCTTCATATTCAATCGGCGATGCTAACTAGCAGAATAATGGCCGAGCGCGCCGATTTTCCCGACGACGACGACCCTTTTTACCTCACACCCGACTTGCCGGCTCGCGAGCCGCCCGCTCCGCCTGCAAGGCCCGTGACGGCGCTCCCGCCCGACCACAACCTCCTCAACCACAAATATGAATCTATCGACATATTGATGCTTGAGCTTCAAGCCTGGGCCAATGAACAGGGCTTTTCCGTCAAGAAAGAGCGTGCCTGCAACTACATCAAGGACTTTGAACCTTCGCGGGTCGATATTTCCTGCCTCTGGGATAAATTACGGCCCTCAGAGGCACATTCTCGCAAGATAGATACCATGAAGCGGGACTGCTGCTTCAAGGCAGTTGCAACGGCTTTGGCCGTCAACAACAGACTACCGCATTTGGAAGTATATTACGGCGGCGACGGCGGCGCGGTGCAATCGCGGGTGGATCAATTGGTAATTGATCTGGACTTGGGTGCGCTGGCTTCATCCCATGGATTAGCCTCTTTTTGGTGCGAAAAGTGGGGTTTTGGTGGCTTGGCGCCAGCGCGCTTTGTACCCTACTGTCCGAGTAGACGTGCCTGCAGTCCGAGTAGACTTTCTCATAATTAAATGATTTGTCGAATTTCAGCGGCGAATTTGTGGGTGGCTAATCTCGAAATTGTCTTCGTCAACACAAGACTCATAAGCGAGACAGCCGTACGTAATCTTATTTTCCAACTAATTATCCCGTGATCTAAATATCATCCCAGAAACAAAACCCGGTTCTCTGGTATTGGAGTGGCAGTGGTTGTAGTCCGCCGGGTTATGAAACGCTGGTGCGCTACATCGCTGCCGACGCGCTACATCGCTGCCGACGTGCTACATCACTGCCGACGTCCCCCCCGAGGATTGTGTTGATGGTCGGGCAGAGAATAATGCCGCCTCTTGGAATTGTCTTTGCCAATATATGGCTCACAAGCGAGACAGCCGTGATCCTATTTTCTAATTAATTCTTCCGCGAGTTTTAAAATTCTAGGTATAAACCCGGTTCTCCGGTTGCAGACCCAAACCTGCGATGCAATTCCACGAATCAGCTGTCCGGCGCACTGAGCGATGGCATAATGATCGGACGATGCGAGACTTGGCGCAGACCATGCCATGGAAGCCCTCGCGAGGCGTGGTGAAACCACCCGCTGGCGCCGGGCCCAAAAACGTGCGACTTGTTTCCGCTTGCCAGCGATCCCCCTCCGCTAGGCCCCTTGCGGCGGTTTCACGCCCCCGAACCACCCCCCGCTACCACCCTGCCAGGCGTCTTACCTCCCTTAGCCCAGTAAACTCCCCTGCTGGAAGCGGAGGGTCGCGCTAAGGTGAAGCAATGCTCCCCTGTGTCAGCCGGAAATAGCTGCCTTGGTCGACGTATAATATGGGCGGCGTGATCGCCCTCCAGACCACACTGGGCTTTGGATCTGCACTGATCTGGTTGTTTTTTTCCTGTCTTTTTCTTGGCGCCGGCGTCTTTCTCCCCTCGCATTTTCAGTTGTTGTTTGTTTTTGTTTCTGCACCATCTTCGATCGCCCTCTCTTCTGCTCCTTTCAGCTGTTAATATTGTATTTCCTGGTATTGATATCATAATGAAGCTATTCGCTCTTCTCGCGCTTGGCGCAAGCGTGGCTCTGTCCGGTAGGAATCCCATTAATGCAATGCCCAAGCACCCGGCTGACTCTCTAAGCACCCACCCTGACCGACCGGCAGTCGGCCGCCTGCTTCGTCATCGGTAAAGTCGCGCTGCCCGCCGAGGTGTCGGCCTCGGTGACGAGCATCCAAAATCGCATCACCTGCAACACAGCCGTCAAGACGCTCTCGGGCGTGCCGGACGTCACGTCGGGCGGGATCTCGTTCTCGTCGGTCAACTTCGCCACGTCCAAGCAGACGCCGCTGCAGTTCGCCCTCTCTAAGTTCGCGACTAAGACGCCGCTCGCGGCCAGCGACCTGGCCACGTTCGAGGCCGAGCTCGACGTGTACCTGGCCACTGAGGCCGGCATCCGCTCCGTTGCCGGCAACCTCGCCATCAAGGTCCCCAAGTTCTTCCTCGAGTTCCAGGTCTCGCGTATCCAGACCGCCCAGGGAACCCCTCCCACCGCCCCCGGCCTGCAGGTCGACCACCTGCGCGACAAGGTGCTCAAGAATGCGGCCGGCGAGAGCAAGGCCCTGCTGGCCCAGGTCACGGCGCTGGCCAATGTGCTGAAGTAGAGTAGTTATTTGTTTGAAATAGTAACTGAAAAGCTGTCATAATATCCTGCTTCTTTACCCTTGGTCAATTCGGGTTTTGTTGTGGCCGCTATGAATTTGGAAGCTGGGCAGACCAGGGGAAGTGTAATTCACCGTGAACTGTGCCTCAATGCAGACCCTAATAAATAAAAACATTGAACAATCTAGATAAGCATCGGGAGCAAGCGGCAGTTGTGGAGCTGTACACCTCCGTCGGGGTTTGAAATCTTAGTGCGGTACAGCCAAGCCGCTAGGCAGGGGAGGTAATCAGGGGGTCCTTCTACAGAAAACAAGGAGTTTGACAGCGTAGATTTCCTGTATATTGTAGCCAAAAAAAATTAGAGACAATGCCAAAAATAAACAAAGTTAGAACTTGATGGTTTTCACCCCTGAAGCAATGCACATTTCCAGGCGCCTAGGCATCGTGTGAGACAGCCGTAGTAGTAGATCCTCCGGGATTTCTTCCCAGCCTTCCTCGACCTTCAACCGAAGGTCCTGAAGACTCAGGGACTGTAAATACGTATTTTGTTCGAGCCAGTTCTTCATCCAAGGCCATAGATTCTCAATAGGGGAGAGGTCAGGGGAATATGGAGGCCATTTGAAGATGATAACACCCCTGTCTTATAAGGCTTTGGTTGTCTTTTTGGACCTATGCGAAGGAGCATTGTCCTGTAGGAAGATGACCCCCGGGTTCCTGCTTACGAAGTCATCGATCAGGGGCACGATGTGTTGAATATATTTTTCTGAGTTAATACCGCCGTAATCTTTCTCCCAGACAAAAGAAGGACCCTTTTTTCCGCCAGTGAACATCCCCCAAAACATCCAACCAATAGGCTTTCTTTTCCTCAAGGGGAAATCGCCTCTGGTTTCTTCTTCTTTGAAGATCAGGACGTTTTTCTTCCACATAGGGTCATTCGTAGCCCAGGTTTCGTCAGAAAAGGCGATATCCTCCCAGTCTTCCGGGCGAGGGCGAAGTTGTAGCTGGTGTTGACACCAGGATACTCTTTCTTCCTCATTCTCTTTGGTCCTGACTATGTCCCGGGGTCGGGTTACAGAGACGACGCCAAGCTCCCTCAGAGCCCTGTTTATAGCCGTATCACTGTAAAAAGAAAGAGGTGGTGGAAGGTAGGAACGTAGATCGCGAAGTGGTTTGAACCGGTTTTTGTCTGCTTTGATCCAGTCCCGTAATATCCTCCGTTCAGGGGTCCGAATAATGCCTTTTTTCCATCTTTTCTTTGGCGTGGTCGGCTGGGTGCAAGCGGTCTGGATTTGTTACCAGGAAAAGCCAGTCTTTTTCATGATCTCTTCATAAGACCAACCAGTATATCGACGCAGGGTTTGGATGATAATGCGTTGGTCACGCGTGAGGTGCTTCCTCGACGGCGTACGGGGCGTTGTTGAAGAAGAAGGTAAGGTTTGTTGGCTTGGTTGTGTTAAAAGGGGGTCTTCAGGTTCCAACAGGGACTCAGGGGACGCCTGCCAGGCCTGTAACTGGCTATCAGTCACCTGCCTGGCAGGGGATTCAGGTGCCTGCCAGGCCTGTAGCGGGCTATTAGACTGGCTGGCAGTTGAAGCAGTTGACGTAGTTGATTGACTGGCCATTGTGGTTTTTTGGGCGGATTTGGCGTTTTTGGGTGGATTTGGTGGATTCGGTGGATTCGGCTGCGTTGACTTTGCTTGTGGTTGACTTGGTGGATTGAAATGGTGGATTTGGTAGATTGAACGGGTGGAATATTTTGAGGTTTTTGAATTGAGGTACCAATGTGCTAGAAACTACTAGAAATGGTACTTCTACTTCGAAAGTTGCGTATGTGGCTGACAAGCTGAAATCCTCTGCCTAGGCCCCTGTCAAAGCCCCCTGTAAGTCAACTCACTAAGATTTCAAACCCCGACGGAGGTGTAGTTACAAGGACAGAATGGCAAGTAATTAATCCCCACTTATAACATGCACGCACAAGGAGGCAAAAAAACATACAACACCAGGGATTCGCTGGTCGTCACCGACCCAACTACTAGTCTGGCGGTCGCTAGTTTATCTAGGGGAGAGCGGACGGGATCCCGAGTTCTCTAGCACCTATGGTCGTATGTGGAAGTAGAAGGCACTACGGTGGACTTTGGCCTCGTGACCTGATGCCGACCTTACTCTAGCAATGTCCGTCAAGGCGTCGTAGTCGACGCACGAGTGTTTCCGGCCCTAGCCGGTGCTCAGCGTCTACGAGCCCGTCTTGCCCCCCGAGCGTCGTGTCACCTGAGCATAGAATGCTCTACCGCAGGTACTCGACGCAGTGCGACCGGTGCTCGACCTTCTTCTCGACCTTCTTCTCGCCCAGCGCCCGCCACTCCTCGCGCGACGTGCCCATGGGCGTGGCGAGGATCGACTGCGCGGGTTAATTAGCCCACGACTTTATGGAGAAGAGGGAACTGCTTACAAGGCAATGCAGCTGGAGGTACACAGCCAGGATGTAGTCCTCGTGGTGGTCGCCCGGCTCCTGCACGCTGTCCATCTTGAAAGGCGCGCGGATGTTCTGGAACTTGGTGTCGTTGGGCTTGACCTTGACGTAGCCTCTCCCTATACACACACGTCGGCGAGTATCCACACACAATGCTAGAGGCCACGCGAGAAACTCACTGGGGAACAGCTGCTGCCAGTTGCGGTGTATCTGCTTCATCCGCGTCTTGTTCCACAGCATCTCGTGGTCGTTTTACACAATGTCCGGGCCGAACCCGGCCGTGTTGCCCAGAATCACGGGCTTCCTCGGGACTGACGACCTGGTCAGGACTCGTACTGCACACCTCGCCTAGGCTTTCACGAAAGAGCTCACTAATCGGAGCAAACGCTAACGGCTTCGGCCGGTTCATCGGCAGATGCACTGACCCCGACGCGAACAGGGCCGAGTATACCGTGAGGCATGAGCAACTCATGACCCGCTCTTCTGGTCTCGCTATCCCGAGATAGGTGCTGAGTCGGCGTGATCGGAGACCCACGTCCAGACAAGCTTTGCACTGGGATAGCGACTAGATGTTGCATCCTATCCAGGCTGCTCCACGGACATGGATCTCGCTCCTTTATAGAGACCCTGCGAGAAAGCTTTTCGCGTTCTACATCTACCCCTATGCTCTTCCAGCACACCGTCAGGTTATGGCGAGTCCTGACGACTCATGTGACCGACATAGCACCGAGTGCGGATTTAGAAGCGGACATGCGAAAGAACGTGCCCGTGAAAATGTGCTGGAGGATGTCCCAAAGAGATCTGCGGCATTTCCTTTGCCGGGGACAGGTTGCAGCGGCTGCAAATCCCACGGATTAGACCTAGTCATCCGGCCCGTAGATATCACATTCCGCTATAGATCGACGTGAAACAGTCGTCGGGCCGGTGGTAACTACCATGACGTAAGATCTATCCGTAGATTTTTTATCAGTCTGACACAGGCCCAGATACTTTCCCTCGGCTTTACAGTGACATGGTGTCGGCTGTACAGTGACATGGTGTCAGTTTTAATCGGATCCGGAACCACCGTCACATGACTGGCCAGCACCTTCGGTATGCATCTTTAAGGAACGAACGGCAGTGGCGGTGCTCGTGCTAGAGCGGTGTTCGTGCTAGGGCGGTGTTCGTGCTAGGGCGGTGTTCGTGCTAGGGCGGCGTGGCGGGATTGGTGAGCCAGGCTGTATAAGCAGCGGACTGCGAATTTCAAGCTTGGCGGCACATAGCATGTACAGATGCTAAGGACCTTGTCGATGCTAGTGCGGTTGAAAGGCACAGAGTAGCATTAGCTAGGGCGGGTGCGAGTGCGGAATTAACAGCACACCTGGGGTACAGGCTCATGCACAGAAGCCAGCTGCCGCTTTGGGTAACACACGGCATCTTGCTCACAGATTGTCACAGGTAATCCCAGTCCCCCAAACTACGAGCTTCTCCGATCCCTCTGACCGCACTCCGTCTGTAACTAGCCACGGGCAACAGCAAGAAACCGGACTCGCTGCGGTTGATCAAAACATCCCCTATTCACACACGCTCCCTTCACACCCTCCCACCGCCGACGGCCAGCCGCCATGGTTCAATCGCTGTCGTCTCGCAACAGCGACAGCAGCCTGCCGACGCGCGGCGACCAAAGCGGCGAGGCAGACGATGACAGCGAGGCGGTCTGGTCCGACCTGCAACTAGCCTCCGCTGCGGGCGACGTTGACCTCGTGTCATCCCTCCTGTCGAGCGGCGCCGGCCCCAACGAGCCCCCCGTCGGCTACTACGGCCGGACGGCGCTGCAGGCGGCGTCGCTAGCCGGCCACCTCGCCGTGGTTGACGTGCTGCTCGGCCACGGCGCCAGCGTCGACACGCCCGGCGGCAACAACAGCGGCCGCACCGCCCTGGCCCTCGCGGCCGAAGGCGGCCACCTTCCCGTCGTCGACGTGCTACTCGCCCACGGCGCCGACATCAACCGCCCGGCGTCGCGCTACAACGGCCGCACCGCGCTGCAGGCCGCCGCCGAAGCCGGACACCTGGCCGTCGTGGAGCGGCTGCTCGCGCAGGGCGCCGAGGTCAACGCGCTGCCGTCATACAACCACGGCCGCACGCCGCTGCAGGCCGCTGCCGCGTCGGGCCACGTCGCCATCGCCGAGCTGCTGCTGTCGCGCGGCGCACACGTCAACACCAAGCTGCAGCGCTATAAGGGCCTGACGGCGCTGCAGGCCGCCGCGCTCGCCGACAGCGCGCCGCTGGTCGCGCGACTGCTGGCCCTCGGCGCCGACGTCAACGCCGCCGGCAGCTACTACAACGGCTACACGGCGCTCTGTGCGGCGGCCGAGGCCGGCAGCGAGCCCGTCGTCGATTTGCTCTTGGCTGCCGGCGCCGACGTGTCCATGACCGCCGGCAACAAGCACTGGACGCCCTGGCGGTTTGCGGTCGCATGGGGTCATGATCGGGTGGCTGAGATGCTCAAGGCCGCCGAGGGCAAAGACACTGTTGCAGAGTGAGCGGCGCTGCTGCCTGGTGGCTTGGAACGCCGACCCGACAACTACAATACGCCGCTGCACAGTGCCTGTGAGGTAGACGTCTTAATCGACTACCAAAAAGAACGAAACGCGACGATTATCGATTGGGCAGTAGGTTGCCCAAGGCAGGAGCTATGTCGTCTAAGCTCTCTACTTCGCGTCTACCTTCATGTCACGTCTGCGCGCAACGGGCCTGGGACGGGCTTCAAGAGGTAGAAGAACTATGGACTCGCTATATCAAAGTCAAGAGCGGCTCAGCGAGGCAGAATGACTTTGGTCGCCGGGCGCTAATACCTAAATGTTTGGTCTCGTGGCGTGATGGAAACGCTTGGTTTCGGTCAGGCGCACTACTCTTTCTGACTTGCTAACTGCATGGCGTTGTTTGGTGGTTAATAATGGTCAATTCTATAGCGCTTTGAGCAAGGATTCACAGTATATCATTCAATACATTTTCACCTTATTACCCTCTCGTCGCAAAAGGCACAATTTCAGTTTCTGGTCCGGATTTGAACGTGGGGTTCAAATTCTCATCGAATCTAGCGTCGACTTTGGTGCCGTGGATATTTCTGGAAGGACGACGTTGGACGTGGCTCTTTCCAAAAAAAAAGATCCGCGTTCCCATGCGATCGCCGTGTTGCTTCTCGAAAACGACTTTCCTCTCGTCGCCCTTGACGAGATAGAAATAGCCGAGAATCTACTTCTAGCAGCAGCCAAAGGCGACATTACAAGCCTCGAGAAGTTGCTCAACGAGGGCACAGATGTCAACTGTCAAGACCATCTGGGGTACACGGCTCTGCACGAGGCAGCCTATTTCGGCCGCCGCGGGGCTTCGGAATTTCTAATAAGGCATGGGGCCGACGTTGATGCCGTCATTGGACTTGGTGGAATCACCATACTACACGCCGTGGTGGACCAGAAATGTGCCGAATTTCACCGCAAGTTCTACCAGCTACGGTCACCAGAACGGGCAACAGTCACCGCGTTCTCAACAATGCGAATAAAACGATGCAAACCAAATACAACCAAATATAGCCAAATCAAATAGGGCCAAAATGCCGCTCAAATAAAGCAAATAAAAAGAGAGAGCCACTCGGACCGTAAGAACCATCTTTTCGGACCGTACGTACATCGCGGCCTGGCGCCAAGCTACTAAAAACCCGCTTTTTGCACCAAAATAAAGGCTAATCTATAGGATGAAGCTAACGCACTGTGACGGCCCGCATAGGAAGTCAAAGATCGAATGCAGTAACGAATGTGGATTTAAAGCTAAGGAAGGAAAAGAAGGAATCTATCGCAGGGACCGCGCAGGGCGCGGGGAAGTAGGTGGTGGTGCTGAGCACGTAGGTGGCGACGCGCCCGGACCACACTCTAAATACAACGCGGCATAGAATCTATCTTGTCATGTGCCCAGTGGCGACCGTGACATCATCCCCCCTCGAAAAAACCCTCGCCCCGAGGCGTTCAAATCCATCCTCGGAAAACCGCCAGGTCAAGCCGTTAGGAATTGTCAGTCGGGCTGTCGACAGTCGTTCGCAGCTGCAGGGCAGATGCAATAAGTAGTGTACAGGTGTTTAGGGGATTATTGTTATACACAAGTGGCCGTTGTTTGACCCCTCAGTCAGACAGGTCATCGTAATCCATTAGAGCCTTCTCGGGATGTAGTGCCGCGAGCTTGCTGACATACTCACGGTCGCGATGAGGCCCTTCGTCTTCTGAGCTCGTAATGTATTCTGCTTGGCTGATAGCATTGATGTCCATCCTGTCTGTACGGTCCTTTGTATGACCATGCGATGTGCTCAGCTGATAACTGCCAGGGCTGGTCAACTTCTATAAAAGCTTGACAAAGTCGTTATAGACCTTCAAGACTTTGAGTTATACCTTAAGGCGATCGCGAGTGGTCTTTTTGAGTCCTCGGCGTAACAGGGAGATCTTGACATCATCTAGCTGGTGATTGGCTTAGGCCTTATATATCAACCGCTCGAAGCGCATAAGGAAGCTGGCGATGCCCTCATCATCACGTTGCTTGTAGCTGTGGAACTTGTCTTCTGCGTTCTCAACCTTGTTGGGGTCGTCGTAAAGACGTTATAGTTGATCTAGTAAGGTTTGAGGGTCGTAAATATCATTATCTTCAGCTTCAGTAAGCTGAGGCATCACTAGGGCCTGGATCTTCGGGTCAAGGCGGCCATAGACGTAAAAGAACTGGGCTTCGTCATTTCCAATCGCTGAGCCATCTAGACGTAGTTTAGCCTTGATCAAAGGAAACCAAGTATCCCAAGAGAACTCAGTGCCAGTGAATTTCTCTGGGTCAGGAAGGCTGGCCTTCGGGCGAGAGTTCCGCCTAGTCAACAGCTCTGTAATCAACGACATGTTGGTCTCTGAGGCTGTAAGACTGGCTGTCAGATTATCGTTATCCTGACGGAAAGACTGAATGGTGCTTTATACTATTGGACAACATGTTGTAGTTGAGTGATCGAGTCGGCAGGGTTCATTGTGACGGTCGATTAGGGATGTCGGCTGGCTTCGTAGATAAAGGCTTGATCGAAGGAAGGCAGTTCGGTCAACCTATAACGAAGGTCCTAAGGATTGCAGGTTCAGGTCGGGGTTCAAGTCAAGTCAATGTCCGGCGGTCTGCTACCTCGCCTCAGGGTTCTACTCTCTCGCGCACTACTTTCAATATACGTAGCACATAGGCTCGCCGTCGGTGTGGTAGGGAAGATTTCGGTGATTAAAAACCTGGGCTTTCAGGTCGTTAGGTCGGAAGCGATTGAGGGCGACGAAACAAAGGCTTTCAGGGGCCTAGACAACCGGGGTTTTCAGGGCTCTGCGAAGCATGCAGGTGCTGTCTTTCGCGTTCAATTGAGCCGCGCCTGGGAAATTTTGAATGAAAAAAGATTATGCGCGTAATACGCTAGAAAAGAAGAATAAGATATATGCCTTTCTCAGGCAGCAGAAATGAGCTTTAAATGATATGACGGCCCGGATAGGAAGTCAAAGATCGAATATAGTAACGAATGTGGATTCAAAGCTAAGGAAGGAAAAGAAAGAATCTATCGCAGAGACCGCGCAGAGCGCGGGGAAGTGGGTGGTGGTGCTGAGCATGTGGGTGGCGACGCGCCCGGACCACATTCTAAATACAATGCGGCCAATAGAATCTATCTTGTTAAGTGCCTAGTGGCGACCGTGACACGGATTATATTACCAGCCTGGCTAAGTAGTACCTCGTAACGATAGCCGCGGAGAAACGTAGACGGTGTCGACGACGAGTACCGACGAAGCTACGCAGAGGGAGGAGAGCGTTAGGAGAAGTTACCAAGCGCGCCAGGTCCCTATATTAGGCTACGAACTCCGGAAGAATAAGTACGGTATTAGTATAAGCCTACTCGAGCGCCTCCGCAAGCGCGAGGGCGCCGACGACGACGCCGCCCTCGCGCGTTACCTCGTCTAGGAGACGAGCGGCCCGGACTGCCTAAGGCTCGACAAGGCCCTCCGCATAACGCTGCGTAGCTCGCCCGCGTAGCACGATAACTACGCTAGGATAATACTAACCCGCCTATACCACAGTCCCGCCCAGGCTGAGACTAACTAGCGCTAGTCGCTTATTAATATTATCGACAGCGGGATTTATACCGTATACTACGACCAGGTCGAGGCTGGCCTCTCTATTATAGTAATATTCCTTATTATAATACCCTGATGGAGTGTTCTGGAGGCGGTTCATCTTGCTAACGCCGTAATCGCTTTAGAAAGCGTTGGGTAAGGTAACAAAAGAGTCACTTTGTCTCGCTCGGCTAGGTGCAGGTTCACTGATCTATCCACCCGCCAGGATACATTGCGGGCCTTGACCTCGGAAGCCAACGTTGAGCTCGGCGGCGGCATAGCAGAGTTGGAGATGTTCATGGACGGTTCGTACCGTCAGAGGGGTCTGCTCCTTATGCACGGCTTCGTAGGCCCTTGTTCACTCGTTCTTTTGGGCTGGCACCGGAGTGCTTCTCGCTCGTGGTAGTCAAAAGCTTTGCCTCGTCGACCGGGAGCAATTCGGTCAAATTGCTTTCCTTGCACACTGGATCAGTCGTATTATCTCTCGCTCTCTGACTCGAGTGAACGAGATAGGACTCAAGTGGTGGTCAAGTACAGTGAGAAAAAGGAGGCGAGCAAAATAGCCGGACACGAAATGAGGCTGATGCGTCGAGGTTGAAGGCAACAAGCGTTGCTAGTGCAGAAACGCCGCCACCCACCAAACTCCCCAAAAGAATCTTGATGGTCATCAGCTATGGGTCGGGAAGATCGACTCAAAGACTTTTATGACTGCTTGCCCGGACCGGTGTTGCAAAACATCAGAGCCAGGACTGCACAGTATGCAATCCATGTTGAACCTAGTCATTTCTGACCGAGTATTGCTAGGCGCACGGGGAGATGGATTGCTACAGCAACTTCTACCGAGCGCGAGAGGCGCTGCGGAAACGATACACCAACGCCGCTGGAGACACGGCCCGGATTCTGAACCAGCAGAGGATGAGAGACGAGGAAGAAATGCGCGACATCATGGGCAAGGTCCGGAGCCATGATTTTTAAAGAGTGCGTCTCTAGAAACTGTTAAATGGTCCCCAAATACTGTAGGTACATAGGCGCCAAGGCTTTACAGTTCACCGCCCAGGAAAATACCACTTTTTACAGCCAAAATTACCGCATTTGCTGGCTGCCCCGCTCCAAGCGCTGGCAACGCAGTTGTACTGCAATTGCACCTCGCTGCCGTCTCCAACGTCAACACACTTCCGAATACGGTAATTCGAGCTCAGGGCCGTAGATGAGCTCAAATCGTTCAAATCTACAATAAAAAGCGAAGCTGACTTCGTTATATTTGCTTACATAACAGGGCCAAAAATGCAATAAAAAACTGCAGGCCTGCTCACAACTGCATGCAACTGACAGCCTTACTGATCTATGCCTTCCAATGCCCGGGCAGTTAAGTGCGGGACCCTTCCACTTCGTGTAGGCCGTAAAATACGACCTTCGGCTACTGCAGAGGCTGCAGGGCCACGTGAAGCTCGTGATGTTGTGCCGCCCCGGCTAACACGCTGTGTGCCTCGGTGTTGAACTCTGTCAAAATCCCGGTACTGCAGGTACTCGTCTTCATCAAGTAATGACCTTTCCAGGTACTAATATGGATGAAAATCAACCTTCTGAAGCTTCAGAGTACCTGCATTATGACGTTGAAGAAGCTCGTGAGAGCAAGGTATGCCATACTGCGCCCGAAAGCTACTGGTGCAAGGCTCGAGGGGTCTCGGGCGGTCTTCCAGTGCCGGCTGTATCTTTTTGTGTTGTTGAACAATATGATCTAGGGCTTTATAACACACGTTGTAGGGAGCCTCTCCTAGCCACTCCTTTCCTAGGTAATCGTAACGAATGCGGTTCTGTTGCTTGCGAGTCTCCACATCGTAGGCTTCCGTCATGCCCTCAACCATATTTAAGCTCTTCTGTACGGTCTGATCAACTGAACTAGAGCCGGTAATAACGTATGACTTGAAGAGCTTATTGACTGACTTAACTGGTGATGTGGTTCGTTGGGCGAAGTTTTGTACCTTATTGGTGTAGCAAGTTGCCCACTGACTTCGAAGTGGCATGTATGTTTCTTCAAGATACTTTAGTATGGCTATTTGGGCGGAAAATACGGCTTTCATCATCTCCCAAGCTAGGTTGAAGCCATCGAGGGTGGCCGAGTACATAATATGCTCCCAAAGAACATACATTCCTGCCTTTGTGTAGGGGACCTCGGTTGGTAGGGGGCCTAGGCGCGGCTGCTGGCCATCATGCACTCTTCTTGTACGGTAAACAACCTGGTTTTCTTCCTCATCTTCATCGTTGTCATCCTCGTTGTCTTCCTCTCCCTGTTGCCCGCCTTGTTCCTGTGCCTGTGCCTGCGTTCGGGCAACCTCCTTTGTAGCGGTTGTATTCCATTTCTTCTTGAATTGAAGGACTACATTCTTGTTGATGTGGAAGATGCAGAGTTGAGGCTTAGCTTCAGGGTAAACCCGGGCAACTACAGTCCTCATCGCGGCCTCAAAGTCGGTAATTATGACCTTCGGGGGTTGCGCGCCAATTGTTTGGCGATGCTCATTGACCCGGTCCATCACCCAATTAAAGCCGTCTTCAAGTTTGTTGTCGATCAAACCGAAGGCACAACTGACTGACTTGCCCAGGTTGTTCTTAACAACTACCTGGAAGAGAGCTAGGCCCTTATTATTCGTTTTGTACGTATTATCGTACAACTGGACCCAAGGGAAGCGTTTCCACTGCTCCTCACACTACTTGGGGACCCAAAAAAGCCCGCGTGGTTTATTAGGGTCGTTGGTAGACCAGCGAACTTTGTAGTGTATGCCGGCATCCTCAAGCAACTTCATCGTGGTTTGGAATGGCGTGTATCCTTTGTTGGCAAGCTTTCGAAGACGAAAACGGCATTTTCTTAGCTGATTGCTTGTAAAAATCATGTCAGGGAAGACCCTGCGCAAGTCTTTGGCAATCTCTCTGTTGAGGACAGCTAGGCGGTCAATGTATGCGGCGATGAATGCTTTATGCTCGGGACCGAAGACGACTTTGGTGTAAGGAAAAGGACACCCCAAACACCAACTGCGCGCACAGGGTGCGCGCCCACCACTTGTCACCAACTGGCTAGAACACTGCCAGCTGGCATACGCTACGCCGTGGCGCCACGACCGCAGACTGATGCCCGGGCCGAACCCCTGAGCAGGTATATAAACAATGGCCCTCGCCCATCTTCCTTTGCGAGGGCCAGGTTGAAGTCTTACACCAATACAAGTCATTGCTCCCCTACCTTCTTGCCTGCATTGTGACCACCTTGATCAGGCGTACCTACCTTCTCTTACATTTGGGCCTCAAAATGTCGAAGTCCATGTTGCCCGGGGGATGACCTGTATGCTCTGTATGCTCGGGATGAAGCTCAAAGGTCCATTCTCTCGTTGGAAACGAGGGCTTTGGCTACGCCCTGCCAACCGCAGCCTCTATGATCAGTGGTAGTTTTGTTCGTAGTTGCCTTGGAATGCTGGATTCTTCCACGTTGGCAACCAAAATCCACCCTAGTCGCGCCGAAGCCTTTAACGTAATTCGAGGGTCGGGTTTTCACTACATTGAAGCGCATAGAAGCGGACCATTCATTCAAATCGTCGACAAGGTCATCGAGATCATATTTGGTGTTAAGAAGCTTGTGGCCTGCAGGCGGGTTCAAGAGTGGTGGCAGTGCCGGGGGCGCATCTTCATCGGGCGCATCGCTGAAATTGCCAAAGTCGCTCAGGTCGCTTAAATCCTCAATAGAGGCCATTTCCATCGCTAGTTGGTACTGCGCGACGATATAGATGACGAAGAAATGAAGCTATGCCGGTGCATCGATGGAATGTGGCGCCGACGATGTTTCTTGGTGGTTGTAGAAGGTCGGTTACAGTGGAAAGGTAAGGGCCGGTTACGTTGTGGTAAAAAGTGGTAAATTACTGCGCGGCAGAATATTGGATGTACTGGTGGGGGGGATTTGGCCAGGGTTAGGGGTATGTATGAGGAATTACAGTATTTGGGGACGATTTAACAGTTTCTAGAGACGCACTCTTTTGAAAAAGGATTTGGTATTGTCTTACTTCTCTCTCTCGCGTCATAGCCACTATCTCAAGGCTAGATTTGATCTCATAGAACGACTCGGTGCTAGAGAGCCATGTTCATTTCTCTGAGGGGCAATCTAATTGTGATACTGCACCAAGGTCTTAGACTAAAATAAGCTACCTGACCAGCCAGGAAGGGGTCAGCGGAACAGATGCCTCCGGCGGCGCCTGCCGCGGGCTGTCCTCGCTTCGCTCGAGGGAATGGGTGGCTGGGCCATTTTACCGAGAAATTAGTAAGGAGAACCCCGCTTTGTGCCATAACTCGTAGCCAAAGGTTGACTCAACTATGCCAACTGTGTCAACTGTGTTAAAAATAAAAAACAGGAGAGTCATCACAACGTAAACAGCATGGTGTTGAGGCAGAAAAAGCCATTCTGTTATCTAGGCTACACCCGGAACCAACACCTCGCCGGCGTCAATACGACGCTAGTAATCCGCCGCACGCAAGGCACTTATAACGGGGAACTGACGGCGAGAGCAGGCCGCATTACCGCTCTAGAAGTCCCGCAAGGACTGGAAGATGGGCACCACATTTCTCGGAATAGCCTCATCGTCAGGGAAGCAAGCCGGGCCGCCATACTTGTCCATCTTGACAAGCAGAGCTGTTGGAACAACGCGCTAGTCAGCCACAGATATGGCGGTGGAGGCGCAAACAGCCACATGTGGCTGTGGAGGCACAGGGGCGCAGGGCCACTGAACCTAAATAAGTGGCCGTAGGCCACTTCCACCTTCCTTCTTAGATCTACATAGACATCAACGAAATCCAACACTTGAACCACTAGTATACGGCGCGCAGCGCGCCCTGTTGATTCCAGTACCGGTACCTGGTGATTCCAACAAGAACAATGGGAGCCTCGCGGCGATAGCCCCTCAGCACCAAAACAAATTCTCGTGATAATTTAATGTTTCGATGTTCATGGTCTAATTATTGGATTTCTAGGGGGCAAGCCCCCTAGGGCCCCTAGTGCCGCGACGCTCTTGGCCTGCGGCGCGTGGAGCCTGCGGCACTTTCCTTCATATAGCTTACATCTCCTAATTGGGAAATCGCTCCTTCCTGACACAACCACAACACATCAAAGCGGCATCTCACAGCTTAACCTGTCCGAGGTTCATCCGATCGACCAGTCCCTCGAGTCCATTTCGACACGGGCAAAAACTCGCCAATCGCTGTGCGAGAAACTTTCGGCACCCTCACGGAAATATAGAATACAGCCTCTCTACGCCACCTCCGGCTCGCAAGCTCGCCTACGGTGGCTCCGTTCAGCTGAATTAGAAGTTTTCACCTCGTGATCAGGCCCCGCGTTGCTCTGGCAAAATGTCAGACTGAAACCGTCTATCAAAAGGGGGCTGATAAGTGAGAAATGCCCGCCGAGCTGGACAGTCTTGAGAATTGCGCGCCACGATTCTAGACCTGTTACAATCAGGTTGCATCGCGTAAACATTGAGATGCTCGTCAACGACCCTACGAACAATGATGGGGGAAAATTTGCCACTGCATCATGGAGGTAGGCAGGCAGCCAGGGGCATGTATATCGTGGCCTGGAATTGACCCACTTTTCATTCAATTGAGCACATTTTCTAGGCCCTGGTTAGCATACCTCTGTACTTCCTTCATTCTTGGCCTGGAAGGCGCTCATTTCATTCGGAATGCCCTCATTTCGGGCTGATTACAACACTTCCCCTGCCTTCCCTCAACGAGTATAAGGAAGCGTTCTTTTCTGTACCTTTAGATCAATTTGGCCAGACAATTAATGCGCTGTCAACTTCGATCGCGTACAGGATATATCTGTCGTTGCATGTGCAGGAGCAGGGGTTTCTTCTTTGCTGCAATCAATACCGGCTTGCAACCTGTCTGTCGTCTCCACACGAGTGACGGGACTATCAACATGGCAAGACCCCCCCCTCGTTATTACAAAGACGTGGAGATAGTGCTTATTGGTGTTGTCAGCGTTGCAACAAACAAACGCCCCATGGAGTGCTGACGGCAGGATTCTAGGCCTGGTACGGAAAGGTGGAATTCTGCAGGGCTGGACCCCAGTCTAGACTACGTGACCAGACCAGGCTGACGTCGTAGGGTCCTAACTCCAACCGAACCTCGATTTCTTCTCCCCGACCACGCGCAGCACCGGCGGTGACATACGTGCATTATCTGTACTTTTCTGAGTACGGCTGCAAACGTTGCAGAACCTCACCGATAACTCCTATTCTCGTAACCAGCGCGCCATGAACCTCCTGCACCTTGTGCCCGCGCTGGGCGTGCTCTGGTGGCTGGGTTCGAGCATTTCGACGTTCGCGCGCAACTACCGATCCGCGCGTGCGTCGGGCCTGCCCATCATCGTCTGCGCCTTCAACCCCGACAACATGCTGTACTTGATCCTGAGCGTGCCGCTGCTGCCGCTGCTGGAGCGCATCGTGCCAAAGGCGCTCTTCGACCCCATCGAAGTCACCATCTACGGGTGGGAGTTCCGCGACCGGCGGTCGGTCCACGAGCGGCGCGGCACAGCCTTCATGCTGGCGACGACGTCGGTCAACCGCCTGTACGTGGCCGACGCGGCCATGGCGCTGGGCATCCTGGCGCGGCGCAACGACTTCCCGCAGCACCACATGGCCCGGGACACCATGTCCATCGCGGGGGCCAACGTGTTCTCGTCCGACGGCGACTCGTGGTCGCGCCAGCGCCGCATCGTCGCGCCCAGCCTCAACGAGCGCACCAGCGACAGAGTATGGCACGAGAGCGTGGGGCAGGCGGCCGACATGGCCGGCTTCATGCTCGCGCAGCCGCTCGGCCAGTCGCGCGACGTGGTCAACGCGCTCAAGTGCATCGCCATCAACGTGCTCGCGAGCGTGGCGTACGGCCAGTCCAAGCCGTGGCGCGTCTACGAGCGGCCCACGGACCCCGCCGCCGCCATCTCGTACACCGACGCTGTCGGCATGACGGCCGACCTCATGATCCTCAGCGCCTTCATCTCGACCAAGCTGCTGCGCCTGCCCTTCATGCCCAAGCTGCTGCAGACGCTCGGCGTGGCCGTCGACGAGCTGCCGCGCCTCACGCGCGATATGCTCGACCAAGAGCGGCGGCGGGCTGCTTCGGCCTCGGATGCCCAAGACGGCCCCGACACCGTCATGGCCACGCTGGTGCGGCTCTCGGATGAGGAGAAGGACGGGGCGAGCCGGCAGAAGGCGGGCGCGGGCGCGGGCGCGGGCGCGGGGTCCGGGTCCAGGTCCGGGTCCGGGACGAAGCCGTTCCTGACCGACGACGAAATCTCGGGTAATCTGTTTCTGTTCACCGCCGCCGGCTTCGACACGACGTCGTACTCGCTGTCGTACGCCCTCACCCTGCTGGCCGCCTACCCTGAGTGGCAGGTGTGGGTGCAGGCCGAGATCGACGAGGTGTTTGCGTCGCTCGACCACGACACCCAGCGCGAGTACTCGGTCGTCTTTCCCAAGCTGTCGCGCTGCCTGGCCGTCATGGTAATTATCCCACGTCCCTGCCCCCTGATGATCACCGTCTGACACCCCCCCAGCTCGAAACCACGCGCCTCTACCCCCCGGCCATGCACATCATCCGCGACCAGCCGCTCACAAAACCCGTGGTGCTCGCCGCCCACGGTACCACATACCCGATCGTGGGGCCGTGCACGGTGCAGATCACGTCGATCACGCTGCACGCGGACGCAGCGCACTGGGGCGGCGACGCGCTGGAGTTCCGGCCGGCGCGGTGGCTCAACGCGGACGCGGCCACGCGCGGCAAGGCGCCGCTCGTCACGCCGGCGCCAGGCTCGTTCCTCGGCTGGTCCGCCGGCCCGCGCGTGTGTCCCGGCCAGAAGATGTCGCAGGTCGAGTTTGTGGGTGTCGTGTCGACGCTGCTGCGCAAGTGCTCTGTCGCGCCGGTTGTCGGAGCCGGCGAGACGCCGCAGCAGGCGCGCGACAGGCTGCTCGAGGTTTTGCGTGATAGCCAGCCGGAGCTGACGCTGCGCATGAACCGCCCGACGGATATTCATCTGCAGTGGAACAGACGGCGAGGTTGAGGGGAACCGCCCGACGGATATTCATTTGCAGTGGACCAGGCGGTCAGGTTGAGGGGAAATTCGTCCCTGATGGCTCTTCGCTGTTGAAAGTGCATCGGTTCCCGTGGCCTGTCCGTGGCCGTGCCTTGCTGAAGACTGGTTTCGAGTTGAACCGAGTTGCTAGATTCAGATACCTATTAAAATGGCATCAAATGTGCTCACGCAGTTAGAGGTAGATATAGCAATACAAGCGCAGGCGAACAATGCCTAACGTATTTGATAAGCGAGTTAGCCATGATAAGCAAGTTGGCCGCCTTAACGAGACCGGGTAGCGTGCGCAGCCAAATGCGATAAGAAATTGATAAGATCACTAACAATTTACTAACATCTTTTTGCTTGTGCCCCACCAAATCTCGTTAAGGTGGCCAACTCGCTTAGCATGGCTAACTCGCATATCATGAACGTTAGGTGCGTACTCATTAATAATCCAACTATCACGGCTCAGTCAACGTAAGGAGACGGGCTGCAGTAATCATTGCTGAATTCGTAGAATCTAAAGATGAAGGAAGCTATGGCAGAGACCGCGCAGGACGCGGGGAAATAGGTGGTTGTGAGCCACGTGCACGTCATGCACGGGCCATGCCGTGACACTAACCTCTGGATCACAGCTTCTGTATCGCACGCGATAGTACCGAGCCCGCTGCAACAACAATCCATATATAAGTGAGATAACATGAATAAAATCACACACCACATGACTATAGTTGGACATAGATGGAAATAGACGCGGCAACAACTTGCGCGAACGCAAGTGCAGTTCCCCAGTCCCCCCCTACGCCCCTCCAGAGAACAAGGCAAAGCCAAATGACGGCAATTCCAGCCCAAGCACATGAGATTCTGAATGGCAGATCCATCCTAATTCGGTCTTTCTGCAATCCCAGAACGAAGTGTAGGCCTCTCATCTGAACTGTTTCCTGGAATCGTTGATTCGGAAGCGGCAGCGCAACTCGGTTGGGCCCCCTAACTGGGTCAAAATATGAACCTGTCGGTAGAAAATATACGAGGGGAGGTTTGGGGGAAGTTGATGGAAGGAGGAGACGATGTGCGGGAGAAATAGGTGCTTACTTTGTTTCGTAGATGCAAGTGTCCTGTGCCAAACCCTCCAATGTATGCAACCCATTGGCTCTGGCCGGGTCCCGGGCACAGTCCTTGAGGTGCGACAAGAACAGAAGCTGCTTGCGGCGCTGTTCTGCTTTCTCCACCTCCACCAGGATGCATGGTTGAGACCACTCCTCGATACCAATGAAGCAATCGCTGCTATGAAAATCGCCGTCGCAGGAACCGTGATGCTCAACGTATCACCGGTTGGATTCCTGGCTATGATCTTCTCGCACTCCTTCAAGACGTGATCGGGCTTCACTGGATCCATCCAGATGGGATAGCTCCCATTCGATTCCGCAATACCGGAAAAGTGAAACTGCGTTTTCAACGACGTCAGGTTTGTCCGATAAGTAATTAGCATGGGGTGTAGGCTTACATTGACCTCTACCACAGCGGTGATTCCGTAGTAGGGAAGCCATCTCTTCCACCGGCCCAGATACTGGTAGCATGTGTCCACCAGTCTCCGATAGATGGCGCTATCTGACTCGATAGCACATTCCCATGGCATCACCTTATCGTATATTATTTCTTCCCATACTCTTTTCGGATCATTGTCGAGCAACCTATGGATTCGAGGCGGTAGCATTCGGCGGGCCTTCGTTGGTCGAAGACACGGCACCAGGACAGCAAACTATTCCTGTCTTGGACTCTCGAGACATAGGAAGCAGCCCTGCCTCGCCCGAGTTCCATTGTCTGGCATGTTTCGTGCGACGAGTGGAACGGCCCGGACACCGACGCCGGCATCGCGTTCAATGTCATCCACATGGCTAGTAGAAGACATCTGTACGGAACCACAGGTAGGAAAAGGTTCGGAGAGTGTAGTGTAGAGAGATGGAGGAGCGGAGATGGTGGGAGCCTGGGAGTGTTGGGAGAGTGTAGGGCGGAGAGATGGAGGGGCGGGGATGGTGGGAGCCTGGGAGTGTTGGGCAGAACTCAGGATCTTATGCAGCCTGCCTGGTTGCTGTGGCGTATGAGTACATAAGTAAACTGTGCTGCCGCTCAAAGGGGATCGAGGTGGGGCGATGCAGGCGCCTTGCAGTCACTTGGTGCCCGACTTTACCATAGATAGACGCGGAGGGAGGAATCTTCTCTATTCCATTCTCAAGGCTGAGAAGTGAGAGCCCCGCACAATACTGGGAGATGACCCCTTAGGCTTGGAAAAAGCAAACCACTCCTCCAGAGTTCTTTTCAAGGCACACTGGCAGAGGTGGAACTTTGAACCACAAAATACAACGGCTTAGTTTAGATATGGGGCAGTAGTACACAACGGACAGTAGTACGCAACGGACAGTGGTATACAACGGACAGTGGTACACACCGGACAGTGGTACACAACGGACAGTCGATGATTACAAAAATTCAATCTGAGGTAACTAATTAGTCTAGATATTCTTATAACTTGAGCTCCGAATACACCAGGCACCCCTCAACCCCCGCTTATTAACCTACCATAATTAGATCGCGAGGATCGGCTCCGTTGACGACCGGCTTTGTCCAGCTGCTACTATTTAATCCTGGTGCTAGAACCATCTCGGACTCACAGCGCTGTAATAATTGCTGTGAATGCAGGGGTCCCGGCCGGTCTTCTGCCATGTGCTAAGGTTGGGAGAGTTCGCGAATCACGGCCAGAGGGAGCGAAGACCTACTCTGTTTTGCTGCCAACTCAGCGAATAGTGCACACGCGGGTGCGATTCCCGGCGGGTGAAGCAGCAAGTTTGCATTTATTTAAAGTATTTCCGTCTGGGCCAACTAGCGAACGACAGGTGGAATTGCATTGTCTCAATTGCGCCTAGGCTTTCCTCCAGAAAGAGACCCAAGGTAGGTAGATATATGTACGTGATTACATCGCCGCCTGACTCCCCCTTCCTAAAGCCTAAGCCGTGGCGTTGGCGAGCGGCCAGTTAATGCCCTTATCGCCGGCGCCCGTGTTGCCTAGGCCCGCGCAGCTGTACAGCCCGACGGGGTTGTTGGCGGTCGCCCGCATGTACTGCAGGTCGATGCACTCCTCTGCGGCGGGCGTCAGCACGGCTGCAGTTCTCACCAAGTCAGTCCGGGGTCGACTTACGGGGGCTCGATGCATCGAGGGCGATCCGGCCGTCCTTCATGGCCGTCCACTTCTGGCCCGCCTCCGTGTCGGAGCACGTCTGCAGGTAGATGTTGCCCATGTCTTTCCAGTTGCCTGCATCGCGTCAGATCTCTTTCTTGTCTCGCCCCAGTTTGCAGTCCTCACTCTTGGCGCCCGCGTCTAGGCACAGCGTCGTGTCGGCCAGCTGAATCTTGGTGCTGTTGTCCTTGATGAACCAGTGCTGCTCGGGCTTATCGGTGCGCGTTTGGCTGATTATTGTGCAGGGCGTCAGCAGCGGGTTACGTTACCACGAGACGGAGGGAAAAAACGCACACGACAATGGTGGTGCCGGCCTTGACAGGCGTCTTGGGCACCACGACAAACTTAGTGTTCACCATGGACGTGATGTACACGCGGCGGTAGCCTTCGGGGATCGTCTGGCTGAGGCCGGCGGCGGCCATGGCCAAGACCAGGAGAGGGGTTGCCAACATGTTGAGTGTGGTGGAATATCAACAACTAACAGCGGCTGGTTTCGAGGTCTGCGAGAGAGAGCAAGCGCGACACGGCCAGCCAGCCAGGTAGCCCAGGGACGGGCGGGCAAAGCGTTTATATGTCGGTAAAGTTGCCGCGGCGTCGCCAGGTCCCCATTTGTCGGCCAATTTGCGCGACATATGCTTGATAGATTGGCCGCGGACTCTGGGGGCCTGTCCGTGGACTCTGGGGGCCTATCCGTCTCCTCACAGCTCGGCAGCAGCCCGAGCCAGACGGGGCTATCGTCTTGAGCGGAGCGAGGCGCGCCACTGTCTAATTCGCTGCCAAATTTCCAGATTGGCCGAGCCAGGCGGCGTCGGCTGCGTCGCGGCCGGCAGATGTTTCCAGAACAACGGGCACCAATCCAGTCCGGCGGATATTTTTGGCGCCCTAGTAGTGATAATTACAATCGATATTGTCGCGGGGTAATTGAAAGTGATCAGCCTGCACGGGATAAATCCCCAGCGGCTTTTCCACGCGCCGAGCTGTCAAAGTCCTCGGGCCTGGATAAATTCCGAGCGCCACCCGTCGTCACCCTCCTGCGCTTCGGTAACTTGGCAGCGATTCAAATGCCACGGGGACTCTCGATAGCTTCAATTGTTGTTAGGTGGTTCAAATGACCGTCCTTCGCCGTGTTGCTCACCGTATACGAACTCAATATGGCTTTCCCACATCGCGGCTTGATATTGTTCTCGTCAATTGAGCAAAATAATTGCACGCCTGTCTGCCGCCCCTTCTCTCCGAACGATACATCTATTTACAGGTCTGATTTGAAACTTCTGGGCAAGTTGAAAACTTTTGGAAAGCAAATTGTCAATTTCAGACTCAAATGCATTCGAGACCAGGAGCTTTGAGTTGTTCAAGCAACATGTGTTGTTTTGTTGGCGCTTAGATAGACATTGTGCTTGTCCAAGCAACATGTATTGTTTTTTTTTGGCGTTTAGATAGACAATGTGCTTGGATATAGAGTCTATAGGAGAGCGAGAGCTGATTGAAGAACCTCACAGTATCAGCCTAGTTATCACTAGTTATCATCAGACGGACTCTTTGCATGCCAGACGATTAGTTCCCATGACTCTTCGACTGTGACGTTTTAAGATTATTTGTGGGACTAATAGCGCTGCCAAGAGAGGCGAGAACAATGCCCTAGGTTTCGGTGACTCTCATGATCCCGCTTATTCTCAGTCCCGAGAACATTCGACTTGGCAGTTAGGCTTCTCCGACCAAATTCTCGTAACGCAGCAGCAATGCTCTTGTGTGCAACTACTAGCCTCGGCGGCGGGCCCGATGAGGAAGCTGTTATGGCTACATAGGCTGCGCCACAGGCCGAGATGGCACATGGCTTGCCGTTGGCTCGCAATTGGCACGTTTTTGTCGGTAGGACGGCTAGCATTGAGTCACTTCACTTCATCTATTTCGCGACCCGCCACACGATTACACAGCTGCACTAGCAGGCTAATTTGCACGCGCCGCCACCGAAGCATCCAACCGTCAGTTGAAGCCTGGGCTGAATCCTTCAAATTTCTCGCGATGGAATACAAATACGAGACGACGAGACGCTCGCCTTGAGCTTAGGTAGCCAGAGTCAACCCATTGTCACAGTCCCAAACGACAGCCAGTCAGTCCCAAACGGCGCAGCCAGTCATTCTTAAACGACGCAGCCAGTCAGTCCCAAACGACGCAGACAGTCAGTCAGTCCCACACGACGCGGCTTATTTCAAGGGGTCTGATCAATTCCAGCTCCGACAATGAAGACTCGCCAAGCCATTTCCGTCTTCTGCCTCGCGGCCGCCCAGGTATCGGGCGTGCTCGCGGTGCCCGAGGTGACAGTCGTGCCTCTCGGCAGCAAGACGTGCGTCAGCTGGCCCAGCTGGATCTCGCAGCGCGGCGCCGACGTCACGGGCAGTTTCGCGTTCCAGGTCGACCAGGCTGACGACGCCGGGGTCAACGGGCTGCTGACGAGCAGCGTCGAGTTCAACTGGACGGACATCAGCGGCACGCACATCACAGTCGACCTGCGCAAGTCGACGAGCTTCGCCAAGCCCTACTACCGCTGCATCGACGGCAGCGTGCACTACCTGAGCCGCGACACCATCATCAGCGTGGCCAAGGACCGCCGCAACGCCTTCCTGACCTTCAGCGCCGGCTACAAGCTCGAGCCGTACGCGCACGAAGTCGCCGGCGTGCGCCAGGATGGCGTCTTCCTCGGCGCCCTCAACCAGACCACCTGGGGCTTCCACTACGTCTACTCCTCTAAGTGCGGCCAGATCGACTACTACGAGGTCAAGCTGCAGGGCCTGCCCGACGACCCCGACACGGAGCCGCGTGCTGGCTACGATCCCCAGTTCCTGGGCTTTATGAAGGCTGTGTCGTCGTGATGGGTGGGCACGGCTGAACGGGCTGGTAGGCTGGTAGGGTGTGTTGGGGGGGGTGTGGGGGTGGTTTGTCTTGGGGGGGGTTTGTCTCGGGGGGGGGGGCTTGTCTCGGGGTTCCGTTTAAAGTGGTTCGCATGTTGCAGTTGCCAGGGAGACTCGAGATAGGTGTCGCTAGGTATTAGGTTGTTGTGATGGTGGTAATTAATGACAGGTAATTCAATAATGAAACTCCTTTCGGCTGCTCGTGGGCCATTGATGTCAGCCTTTCCAAACAAGGGGGAAATGGAGAGGAATAAAACAAATGCGTGAGTGTTTCTTGTGGTTTCAGGGGAACACGTCTCTGATAACTGTCCAGGGACCCCCAGGCCTAGTCTGACATTCACAAACAGAAATGTTTCATGGGAAAGTCCCAGCCATCCCAAGCTCTCGGCGTCGTCCGACGACCAGAAACAAACATGGTGCAAGAGGGTAGGAACACCAGCTCACAGAGACAGGATAAAGACAAACTTCGGTCCGAGACCCGGCCGGCCGCAAACATCTGAAGGATGACGAGTTCCGAAAAGGGAAGCGGACATGTCAGACTACCATCCAGTCTCGGCCAGAGGACATAGTCGGGCCAAAACTCAAAGACCAGACTGTGTTGGATCTCGACCTTTCAACACATTATCCATGCGTGCCAACCCTGCTCTTGAGCCGGTATGTTGCAGTGTCGGGCTTCGCTTGTCCGGCTTCATTGTGGAGGTGTTCTTTGGGGCTCTCAGCCCTGCGTCCCTGATCTCTCTGCAGGCGCGGGAGCTCCCGCCCATTTTCTTGTTTATATCAGTCCAGCTTCTGCTCAAGGACACCACTCTTTGCCTCGCCAAGCATTATCAACGCAGCCGTTGACCCGCTCAGAGACCCAGGTGTTCTCGCCAACCCACATCGCCGCGGCATCTGACAGCTTCTCCAACCCACCAGCCAGGGACCATCAGCCCAGAGTTGTTTCGCGCCCCATATCGTCCCACGCCCGGCCACGTGCAACCCACGCCCGGCCACGCCCGGCCACGCCCGGCCACGCGCAACCCACGCCCGGCCACGCGCAACCCACGCCCGCCACGCGCAACCATGTTCGGCAAGGCAGACTAGGCGAATTCCGAGCAAAAAGCGCTGACCAGGTGCTGACCACATGCCAAGACCAAACTCACGATCCTCTCGGGCAACTCGCGCTGACGGCTGGCCCAGAAGCGAGCCTGCCAAGAGCTGCTACAGGCAGGTGCCCCTACATTTCCAACGCGCTCTAGCCGTTTCCGGAGACTCGTACGCCAAGACTGCGACGCCAAAATAGCTTCATCTGACTGCCAAGCCTTAGCAATGCCCTGTGCCTCTTTGTAAGGCGAGGAAAGCGGCAAAAGTTGCCTGATGGAGCGACTCGGCTGAGCTGACCAGCACCAGGCAGGCGGGAAAGTCCGATGGCACTTCACGATGCGCGGGCATGAGTGCGGCAGCACCAGATCCAAGGCTGCGCGGAATGCAGTTTGCTTTTCTTCAATGTCGTGCGCGTCGTTTGCTCATGCCAGGATTTTTAAGTCTCCCTCGTCGAGCCAATGTCTGTTGACTTGCAGCCCTTTTTGTGCCCGAAAGCGGTGAAATCCGCGGCAGAAGCGACCAGCGAGTGAACCAACCGGCTACAGCACCCGGCTCTCAAAGCCAGAGTGGGATGAACTGCTTGCACCCCTCACTTGAGTGAGCCTCAGCCAGAGCGGGATGAACTGCTTGCACCCCTCACTTGAGTGAGCCTCAGCCCGAGTGTGAGCTGAGTCAAGTCTGACTCACGGTGAGCCCGTGCCGCGAAGCAGAGCAGGGCCCTGTTTCAGAACGATGAACCGGTCGGCTGGTCTGTGTCCTTTCCTCTCCTAGGGAGCGGCTGCTTGGGACGGACCGGCCCGATGATGTCCCTGCTCCGAGGCAGCGCGTGCAGCCCCGGCAGCCACGAGACCAGCACGTGAGGGCAGCTTGTCGAGCCCGCGTGTTTGGCATCGTTCGATTTTGATGACTTTGGCCTAGCACAGGCCAGACGAGTGAGAAGTGGAGGGGCCGAGGATGGTGAGAGAAAAGTGCGGCTTGTCGATGAAGCCGGCGTCCAGCCTCGCAGCCGGCTGGCTTCCTCTGTCGGGTCAACATTGGTTGTGTGTTTCGGGCCGGCGAAGGGTGATTCAACCATGAGACTCGTTTGGGAACAGCCTGAGATAACCATGAAGAGAAGAGGGATCGCAAAGTGATTTTATGAATATAAATCTCGGCTCATATCCAGACTGGGCAGAAGAAACATCACTCTCAGCACCAACGTCCACAACTCCACTCAACTCGAGCCCAGCAAACCAGCAAACAATTCAAGTCACAACTCACTCACAAACCACCACCTTCAACCACCCACCCCAACTAGGCACACTGTTTATCCACAGTTCGCTTGTCTGTTTATCCACAGTTCGCTTGTCTGTTTATCCACAGTTCACTTGCCTGTTTATCCACAGTTCACTGGCTCTCTTCACTTCAACTCATAAGTACCTCTTATAATAGACCCTTTAAAATCCCCACAATGCGCGTTGCTCTCGTCTTTGGATTCCTGGCTGCGGCTACTAGCTCTGTGTTGGCCGCCCCCGACGCCGCCAGCAGATGCACGCAGTTCCAGTCGCCCGCCAACTTCGTGGTGCAGGCTCTGTGCGAGACCAAGGCCGGTAATACGCTGGTCACGACTACGCTGAACATGAACAAGTGCCTCGAGAACAAGGACGGCAAGCTCAAGAAGAAGAAGAAGTTGGCACCCTTCCCCCCTATCCACCCCCCCCTCTCCAAACCCAACTCCTCTCCAAACCCAAACCCCCCCCTCTCTCTAACCCCCCCCCTCCAAACCCAACCCCCCCCCCCCCAAAACAGCCCCTCAACGTATTTTTCTGACTGAATATGTGACCTCGCTTAGCGGCAACCTGGGCGGCGAATGCGGTGCCTGCACCGTGTCCGATTCTCCCGGCAGGATGGAGTGCGCGTGCCCCAACAAGATCGGCAAGAACCAGGTGTCGTCGATCCTGCTCAGTGCGTCCCTCCCCGCCCTCATTGTTGTATCGTATCGCTAGTTAATTAGCTGATCGCCGCCGTAGATACCTTCCTCGACGTCGACAACCAGGGCCGTCTTAAGTGCTCAGGCGGCACGGGCGACATCGTAAACGAGAGGCCGAGAGAGTAGACGACCAAATCCACCTCTTTCTCGCGATTGTGCTGGGCAAGGTGCTCGCCGTCAGCCGATGGGGTCCCTTGGTGCCGGCTTTTCTGATTTGATGTCTTTCCTCTTCGCTACTTTCCTGTCGCCGCACTCGCTGTGCGCCGCTCGTTCTTTCGTTGCTCGATGCTGGATAACTAGGGTGGTGGGGAGTTAGTTGCTGGAAACCCTCGTTTCAACTCAAGCCGCTGCCGACCCGGGTAGCGCGCTTCAGTAAAAATGGGATATTCTAGGCTAGGTAGTCACTCTTTTTGAAATTTCATTGCTATTTCTTCTCTTACAATTGTGCAACTCTGGCAGACTCTGCGGGCCTGGGCTTTGCATGGGGCTGTTCATTTCATTTCCGGCACATGCCACGACAAAGACTGAAAGAAGTCTTCTCACACCGAAAACCACCGGCAGGTCATCGTATTGGCGTCTCTTTCAACCAACCCCTGCATACCAGTGGCAGGTGAATAACTCTAGACAAGATTCATTCTTGACTAAAAGCCTCACACAACAAAGCCTGATGATTATTTATTTCAAGGTTTACTAAATGCTGTCATGCACGGCCAAAAGCCCCCAGAGTTCAAGCAATAGTCGCGTTTATCGTATGGTCCTGGAACGTCATATTGAACCAGCATAGCCTATGGCCAAAACCGATAAGTAATCCCGAGTCTTCGGCTCTTCCGGAACCACCGCGCAACAGCCGTCCATACGGCCCATCACAACAGCCGTCACATCCGGCCCATCACAATACAACTACCACGAGTCTGACCACCAAGGCCGGATTTGTGCTTCGCTCCAACATCACAACCACCCGCGCTCGGGTAGCCGACTGTAGAGCACCGCATTGGTGCGGTAAAAGCGCCCCAATGCGACCCTGTCAGCAGGTTATGGCTTCTGGGCCCTCCAATGCGACCATGACGCCGAAATGTAAACCCAGAAAAAATAATCACGCCTGCTTCGTGGTGATCACTAGGAACAATGGTGGTGACGCGATCCACAAATGGATATCTTAGGGATCTTGGTTCACTAAGGTCAGCCAGATCAGATCATGGCCACCTATATAACGGCAGGCAGTGACTCGTCTTCCAGGGGAAACACCCACCCACCAGTTCACCAGTTCGTCTCCTGCGTTGTTGATCGGTTCTCAAATTCCATTGACCCGAATTGTTCCAATCCGACATCTTCAACCGTCAACTCGCTGCCATGGCCATCTCACGCCCTGGACGCGGAGCAGCTCACTGAGCACCCTCGTCCACTTTGCTCTCTTGACTGTGGCTGCCTCCGCCGGACCCGACCTCTTTCTCATTAGCCCCAGGGATGTGGTGATTCTCGGGGGAGGAGCCAGGGGCACATACGCAGCAGTCCGCCTCCGCGAGGACTACGGGAAAAGCGTCCTTCTTGTAGAACAGGGGGCCGTCCTACATCGAGTACATGGGCGCCAAAGCCTTCTTCGAGCGCTTCCACATCCCGCTGTAGGGCGACGTGCTCTTCGCGTCCAACACGCTGCTCGTCGACCCTAGCACGGGCGCGATGGACACCAACTCCCCTGCGCCACCACCGCTGAATGAGTCCCTCGCCGCGCTCTAAAAATACCACGACATCATCAATCCCTTCGACGCGATCCAGCTGCCGGGGTACTGGGACTTCCCGAGCGGCGACGACATCCCCGCGGACCTGCTGCTGCCGTTCAACGACTTCATCGCCAAGTACGACCTGCAGGCCATAGCACCCATCCTCACCGGAGTGTCGGGCCAGAGCATCACTATGCCGGACCCGACGCTGTTCGTGATCGAGAACTTCGGCACGCCCGTCGTCGAGGGCTCCTCGAGCAGACGCTATTCGACCCGGTGCCGTTCAACAATAGCCTGCTGTACGCAGCTGCCGGCGATCTGCTTGGCGCCGACGACTTACGAATAGCTTCATAATTGACTACGTTATTATTGTTCATGGGGGTTTCGGTGTAAAAGGGTGATCCACTACTAGGGTGATCCGTTGGGGGTGGGGTATGGTATTTGCTTCCATTTCAAAGATTATCAAACAGTACACATGTGAATATGGCGATACGGGAAAAGACAAACTAGTCATGTTAATTATATTTCTTCGGCGACTAGATAAAGTAATAGGTGAAGCACCTGATAACGATGTGTGATACAGAAAGGTGGGCTAGGAGAGTTGACAGCATCAAACTCCTTCACAGTTCATCATTACCTTCGGCGACCGAGACCATTGCCGGAACTATCGCAACTGGTCCCCGGGCCGAAGGAAATGTGGGAGACCGTAGTTCGGAGGGCGCCACCCCCTGGCCGGATTCTGACCTGGGTTCTCGAAAGGGTTTCGACGGGCTCCGTTAACACCTATAGGGTACTGGTAGCCTTGGCGAATGCCGCCGTTGCCTCCGTAGCCGCCGTTGCCTCCGCCGCCTCCAGCGTACGGCCCAGTGTTGCCAGGATTGCCCCTGAGGTTACCGCCATAGCCGCCACCACCGCCGCCGCCACCACCACCACCGCCGCCGCCGCCGCCGCCGCCACCGCCGCCGCCATAGCCGCCGTTGTCGTTATCGTTGCCGGCAGGTTCGCGAAACCGCTCACGCCGTGGCAGCATAGTGGTGCCTAGGACGATGGGGTAGCGCGCAGCGGGTTCGCTGGGGGTGGACCAATTTTTGCCGCAGTACTCGTTGCACTTGTGTTTGTGGAAGAAGGTACGCATGCCCCCGGGGCCGAGGTCGGTGACGCCGTAGCCGTGACTTTTGGAGATGATGACCGGGTCGGTCAACACGATGCGGTCGCCGTGGTCGCCCCCCTGCACATCACACAGGAGATAGCGGCCGCCGCTGTCGTGGTACGAGAAGTGGCTCAGTGCCTGCATCTTACGGGCCGTCCTGGTCTTGGAGTCGTTCCACCCGCTGTTGCTGTTCCACTTCTGGTACTTGTCAATGAATGGCTCCACCTGAAACTTGGTGCCGGGCCGACCGGAACCCTCGCCAAATTGGGCCATCTCAGGGACGTTGACCTTGATCTTCTGGCTGATGATGTTCTCGTCGTTGAACTTGCGGATAATGTCGAGGGTTCTGGTGACCACCTTCTTGTCGTCTGCAAAGAACTCGTCGGCCAGCTCGCCTTTGTTCTTGAAAAACTTGGCGACGCAGGCCTCACCCTTGCGGGGACCACTGGTATATCGGCCTTTGGACACGTAGCGGAAGCTTCCCTCGCCGAAGGGGTGCTCGAGGTCATGTTCCGCAAACTCGGCGTTGCCCGAGCCGTTGTATCGGCCAGAGGTGGTTTTCTGTCCTCCGCCGCCGCCGCCACCACCACCACCACCACCACCGCCTAACGGCTGTCTGGGTCCGTCATCGCGGGGTGGCCTGTCGCGGGGTGGCCTGTCGCGGTGCTCCGGTTTACGAGTAGGATGCCTGCCTCTGCACTTATCACATCGTGCCGCACCTGTGCCCTTAGCGATCTCCTTTGAAGAAAACTCGTAGTTATGGCGTCTCTTGCCACAGCCGCAGCAAAGGATACTCATGGCGAAGAAGGGAGGGGTTGGGAGTGAAGTACGCTCCAATTACAGCTACGGTATTGAGTGCTGTAAAACTAACGAAAAATATCGGAGTGATAGGTCAGTTGCCAGTTTAGACCTGACTGAGGTTGCCTAAACGTATTTATAATAACTGATGCTGGCGTGGCATGGTTGTGACCTCATGGTTTGGAGAGAAAACATAGGTTTTGATGTTGAGTACTGTCTTTATTTGTCCTACTGGTCTTTGTCTATTGTTCTCCCCCTGGCTTACTGGCTTAGGAAACCCTAGTGGGCACCATTCTTGTTTAGATAACTTGTATCGACGTAAGGAGGAATTCCGGTGAATACAGAGAACAACCATGTCGTGAAGGGCAGAGACACGGGAACAGTCGAACTGGATGGGGCACAATTAGGTGAATAATTAAATGCAACCCGGCCGTCGTGGGCGGTTAGGGGGAATCTATTGTCCTCGCTCGTCAAGCTTGTACAGCGGCCACCCAAGTCAGTCGCCAGCTGGACAAAATGCGAGACTTGCGTAAGATTGGGTCAGGTGGGTCACATCTTTCAACAAAGCAGCTTGCTTCCTTCGACCGATGGTGTTCCAAAGAATCGCATTTCTAAAGCTAGGCGTCGGGAGTGAACACGGACAAACACAATTAACCCAATTGCTGTAACAAAATAATTATTGCAATTCCATCTCCGAGCATGTGCATCTTCCACCACCTTCCAGAATTGATCACAGTGGCCAAATAGATGCCACCACCTGATGGAATTGTGTCTTTCTGATTAGCGCACATTTAATTTTTGGCGAAGATGAAGTGTTGGAGGCGAAGACCCAAAACAGAAAGGCGAAGACCGAAAACGAAAATGGAGTGGCGGTAATGCAAAGCCTGAGCGGAAAACCCTGCAGCGGTTCGGCAGGTCTTCGGCCGCTCTTGCTAAACGAAAACTCGAACCCTGGTGGCTCTTACCCTTTCTTCATCCTTGTCCGATCACGGGCCCATCAGCGACGAGTGCGCTGCGCACAATTGACTTTTTAGGCCCCGAGGCGGCGAGGCCACCAAGCTTTACCCCGCCATGAACTGACAGAGCCATGGACTGTTCCCTCGCCTGAAGGGACGCTTCGATCGCTTCCACCACCACCGCTCTCCGTCGACCGACACACAGCAACAATCAGCAGGCCCAAGTGAGGTCGTCACGGCTGTCGATGACAGACCAGAACGGAATGCTTTCTTTCATCGCTGCGATGCGCAAATGGGACGTGGGAAATCTTCACGTGGCCGTTGCCAGCAGGCCCGAGCCTGACATCAACTATATAACAGGGCGCTCCGCCAATTACCCCAAGCTGACCGTCATTACCCCAAGCTGACCGTCCTCGAGCAATCTGCACTCTGCGACGGATTGCATTCTCGCGCATTCCTCTTCCCCGGTCCAAGCGTGTCGAGGCAATCCTCGCCGATATGCACAGCAATTCGTTGCTACATGAGGGACTGCAACATACCGAGATTGAATACTCACAGCCGCCCTTTGATGAAGGGGACAGGTTCATCTTTCGCACGTCAAGACCTCCTTCCCGGCTTACTAGAGACCAAGACTGGGAGCTTGATGATTGGGGATCGGTTGTTTTGCTCCCCTCGGGCACGAGTCCGAATGCAAATGAGCCTGTCGTGGTCTTAACTAACTCACTTTTCCCTACTTCAGTCTTTAACTTCATCTCGAATCGGAGCAAGGACCAACGATATCCGCGACTTTGCACTGGGCACACCACCAGCCAACATGCAACGAGCACAATCGTGTTTACGCTACGTCAGTTTCGTAGGCGAGCTTGATCGTATTCCCGGTTTCCCTTTCACTCCCGGTTTCCCTTTCCTCTCGGTTTCCCCTACTCTCGTCGCAGCAACAAGTGGGCTCTGGCACGCAGAGTCGGTGGGCCGCGAGAAGTGGTCAGGGCACTTGCGTCGACTAATTCGCCACGTCCTTCCACCATTGCCGCCAGGAACCACCAATACGCTAGCAATCCTGGTGAACCTTGCACCACCGCGCAGCCTGCCAGCAGCCGAGTCGCCAATTCTTCTTGCTATATCGCGTGGCTCTGGAAGATTGAATGCTTCCTCGTCGAGAACAGGGTTAGCATTGCAGAGCTGGAGTCCCCGGATCTCAGGTACCGTCGTACTCCTCTCTCGTGGGCTGTGGGCTATGGCAGACCAGATCTAGTTGAGCTATTGCTGCAAAACGGGGCCAACGCGAATTCCAGGGCCGCATCAGGACGTACCCCGCTCTCATACGCTGTCGAGCAGGGCGATGAATCAGTTTTCCGCTTCCTCCTTCACCAGAAAGACGTGGACCCCGACTCAAAGAGCCACTTCTCGCAGACACCACTCTTCCGCGCAGCCATTGCCGGCCACAGCGCCATTATCAACCTTTTGCTAGAACATGGAGCAGACCCGGATGCAGGGCGGGCGACAATATATTGTTTGCTGACGAATCAATTATCGCATATTCGTCAATATTTGCTGACAAATCTACGATATTCGGGCTCCCAATAGGTGTACGGGATCCCGTGCAATTACGTAAGCCTTCCTTTTTGGGATGCCCGCGCCGTTGATCTATTCTAATTATTTGACAACGATACAATCTTCTGACCCTTGACCTGAAAATAAAGCCTCCTGTTCTTCAATATCCCTTTCTACCCTTCTCCAAATTTCATCCACCCCTCGTCTTCCAGTATCAAATGGTTGGTCTTCCATTTCCTGCGCGACTAAAGCATCAAACCTTTCATCCTCTGATTTACTCCAATCCAGGTAAGCCATCATCTCCTCCTTCGTCCAATCCCTTACACCTGTTGAAGTATAACAATGCTTTGTCATCTGCTTGTAATCTAGGCACCACTGGTAACTTGCCTTATTATATCGTGAGGGTAAGCCCATTGCCTTACGGTATTGCTGGTTGGTCTTAATGCTGCTGCGGGGCTGGTTATTATACCAGTTTTCTCTTGCTTTGGTATATCGCTGGTAGATAGCCCGTGGGTCATCAACCCTTAAAGCAGGGGGAGCAGCAGGGCTGGCAGCAGGGCCGGCAGCAAGGCCAGCAGCAGGGCCGGCAGCAGGGCCAGCAGCAGGGCCAGCAGCAGGGCCAGCAGCAGGGCCGGCAGCAGGGCCGGCAGCAAGGCCAGCAGCAAGGCCAGCAGCAGGGCTGGCAGCAGGGCCAGCAGCAAGGCCGGTAGCAAGGCTAGCAGTAGGGCTGGTAGTAGGGCCGGTAGCAAGGCTAGTAGTAGGGCTGGTAGTAAAGCCAGTAGCAGGGCCGGCAGCAAGGCCGGTAGTAGGGCCGGTAGCAGGGCTAGCTAGCCCTGCATATCGTAAGGGGCATGCCTTTGAGCTTATGCGATGCCCCACTGCGTGGCATGCACTATACGTAGGTAATGCCTTAGATTGTGTAGCTGCTTCAACTATCTCAAATCCACTTGGCTCTCGTTGAGTACTAGATCGTGGTATTGTTGAATTCGTAGTAATTGGGTCGATCCGTTGACGAGGCTCTAGGAGTAGCTGGGGGGTGCCATTACGGTGTAAGTGCCAATGGAGGTGAAAGTGATCTAATTGAAGAGCATGATCCTGATCAAGTAGAGTCTTAAGCGTGTGTACACAAGGCAATCCGTAAGACCGAGAAAAAGAGCCCGTACAGGTTGGTAGTGGTATTTTGATGAGCAGCTTACGTTGCTCTTCAACTTTCCGAAGTGCTTCGTGTGATATCCAACCATGTACTGAGCTATAGAGTGACCCAGAGAGCTCAATTGGTATCCGGATCTGCTGTTTAGCTTGGTTGGATCGTAATTCTGCAAGCTGGTTGACTAAGGCATGCTTAATTGCTCGCCATGCCTCAAAGAGATCAAGGGTAGACTTTTTGAGATACCCCTTCAATAGCGCATGGATGCCTTCTACCCGTGAGGTAACTACATTTCCAAAATGTAGGTGCTGATCAACCCAAGCCTTGGCTAGCTTTTCCTTGTATAAATCGAGCCAAGTGGTTTTAATATATCCAACTTCTTCAATATGATTGGAAGATACTGTTTTTCAAGCTCCTGTACTTGCTGATGAAATATTGCTTCATCTAGTGAGCTCACAATTGAGTGCCAGAATGCAAAGAACTGATTCCAAGCTTCAAGCCCGGGCTGCTGGCCTGGCTGACGGGTTGTGAAGGCTGGCTGACAGCGTCGGAGAACTGCTTTATTTGCGTGCCATAAACAGAGAAGTGAGGCAGCAGCTGGAAAACAGGTTGCTACAGCATTCATACATGCAATACAGCGATCTGTGAGAATGACCGAGGGAAGCCGTATATTATGCGTCTCGTAAAGGGATTGTAATTGGTTAAGGGCCCAGAGGTAATCCTGTTCTGATTCGCCGTTGAGGAATGCAAAAGCAATACAAAAAGATCGCTGGCAGGCATCAACTCCAATGATATCAAGAAGTGGCATGCCGTACTTGTTGGTCTTATAGGTGCAATCCAGAAGTAAGATATCTGGGTAAGTTTGAAGGTATATGATTGAGTCTGGATGGGCAAAAAGAACAGCTATAACATGGCCATCTGGTGCAAATTGTATCCGGCTCCAAAAGCCGTCTTCGTCAAGTTGGTTGGCTAGTGCATGGATAGAACTTTGGCCTTGACGAGCCTCTCGCTTAGCTATTGCAATCCGGTTGTAAATATCTTGTTGAGTAGCTGAGGTGGTGTGATACTGATGTAGGTATGTTCTGATATCTTTTGGTGTAACCCCCGCATTCGTTAGATTGTCGATTACTGATTGGTCTTCTTTAGAAAGCTTCCGGTGAGCTGGATGTGCAGATGGGTGTTGACTTGGCTCGTGGTTGTGGAAGGAATGCTGCTGATCAGGTCGATGCTTCAAGGTCCAAGTGCTCTGATCCAAGGATTGCTTTGCTGTAACTGAGAATTTACAGTCGGGTCGCCGGGTAGTTGTTTTCCGTTGCCGTTCTTTCGATGTAGTTGGGGGTCGGCAAGCTCGATCACACATGTAGGTAATCGTCAATTTGCCTGATTTCTCCTTAGTGGATCGCCCCACAATAAAGGCATATCCCCGTGTTGCTGCCCAATTATTAATAGACTGGAATAGGGCCTCTCGTGACTCGTAATCACCCTCAGGTGGGAGACAGTCATCGGGAAACGAAGAGAGACTAGCCATTACAACTATACAGGATAAGAACTGAGTGCATCGCGAGAGTGCATCGCGACGCGGACGCGTTCGCGTTCACGAGAATAGATAACGGCGCGGGCATCCCAAAAAGGAAGGCTTACGTAATTGCACGGGATCCCGTACAAAATTAAATGCACGGGATCCCGTACACCTATTGGGAGCCCCATCTCCCCTCCTTCAATATTTACAAGCCCTGACCTTATCCAATGCCTCAAACACTCAAGATATTCAACCGTATCTTCACCTAACTGCATTTTTTCCCAAGATATTGTGCGGCGAGCCCCTGAAAATACTCTCTCCGGATCAGCACTCATTGCTGGAATAGACAAAATGTTGATTGCCAGTTGAGATAGTCTTGGCCAGCGTTGTTGTTGTTGTGCATTCAGCCACCACGATAATGCTGAAGATTGGATTGGAATTGCAGCTTCTGAGATATACTCCTCGAATTCGTCTTTCGCTTGCATCATTGGAAGGATATCAAGATTTTGAGCAATGAGATCAAATTGGTCGAGATTTTCATCAATTTGCATCGATGATATCGTCGGAGGTGTAATTACTGACTGGTCTTTGTACTCCTCCCAGAGTTTTTTGACTGGGCTGATTGCTGGCCGTATCGATTTCTTATCCCAATTGCGTTTGAGATATAAGGTTCGTCGTGATGGATAAAAAACTACCGCTGCTGCATGAAACGGAGACTCCTGCCTTTAGGTAATATTTGTCGAAAACAGCCCAGCTTTCCTGGATCCGAGAGGATAGGAAAAAGTTGGATTCGTGTAACAAAAAGCTATTTTTAAAGTGCTGAGCAAGAACATCCATAGTGTTGGAATAGCGATACTGGTGACCGCACACTAGCAGGGAGGAAGCAGAGATCGCGCGAGTACGCACGTGCAAGTAGGCACGTGCGGCGCGCGGACCTCTCACACACACACAAAAACCCCGGTCGCAAGCAGAACCTACCTTAGTTCCAGAGAGAGAGAAGATGAATCAGAACAACTTTACACCCCCCCCCCCCCGGTAGTACTACCACTTTTTGACCCGTTGGAACACCTACGTGGTTGGAATACCACGAACACATAGTAAATAAAACCCGGTCAATTGTTGCTTGATCTCCTTCGGTCATTTTTGTTGCTGGATAGAATGGTTTTAGAAAGGCCAATATTAATCGCAGATGTTCCCAATCGTCTGGAGAAAGATAATCCTTTTGGAGAGGTTCATACCACGATTTAATATATGAATCAATTGCACCTCCTTTTTCAAGTGCAACTTGGATCATCAATACCAACTGTTCCATCGTGTAGAATTATCCAAAGGTATCATTCGGCCAGCAAGTTGAATGACTGATTTATTCGAGTCGGGGATCCTCGGATATGGGTGATGATGTTGTGGAGTTTGATAAGAGGACTAAGATCAAGAGAGATCTCAGCTCCCCTGCTTCGGTATTTTCATCCTGATTATCCATCTTCTTGAATAGAAATGCCTGGACAGCAAGACTGGTGATATGCCCATTACATCATATTCGATTGTCCGATGATGACCAAGAAATTTCCTTCTCACTGAGATCTGCTTCGAAGATCCTGCAAAGATTGCCGTTTGTTGAAGCATTGTCGCTAATGATTGTCCCAATATTCGATAGAATATAATCTTGAAGGACGAATAAAAGCGCTTCGTATTGAGTTACTGCATAATGTGATGTGATAGATGGAAGTCCGATAAGTGCCTTTTGGAGGGTTTCCGATCCGAAATCCACAAAATGAGCAGCAACTGCTAGGAATAGTTTCTGATCCGGAGAAGTCCAGACATCGATGGAAAGGTGAATCTTTGAGCGAGATGATTGAAGTTTTTTCCGAACGATATCTTTGTGAAAAAGCCAAGATTTTTTGATGTGTTCTTTGATTGTGGAATGTGCTGAAACGACTTCGTTTGATACTGATGGATTGAGAGCTTTGCAGAGCGTATGGAATCGAGGGCTTTCGACTATCCGGAAAGGAAGATTGTCGACCACAATAAGCGAAACAATCGCCTGTGTAATAACTTCTTTATTTAGCGCTCGTTTGAAGATTTGAGCATCAAGTTCAAAGTCTGGTTGATCGTCATTGCTTTCTCATATAGAGATTGCAATGTAGTGTTGCTGAGCTCGTCAACCTTTCTCGGTTGGTTAGGAGCTATGATTCCGTTCTTTGATTGAAGGTGTTGTCGGAAGTTCGTTGTGTTTTGAGCACTCCATGCTAAGCAATATTTGCAATAATATATACGGCTTTTGCTCTTTCGTGCTGGTGTTACAATCTGGACAACAGGTCCACGGAGCTAGGCCCGGCCTAGGATTGTGGGGGTCTAGACGGCAGGTAGGAGATGACAGGAGACAAGGAGTATCGTGCACAGATTGCGAAAGACAGGCTTTCAACACACAACCAATGTATGCTTAACCAGATGCATTGATAGCTGCAGAACCGTTCTCCAGAGAGAGCGTGCTGCCAGCTCCTATATAGAACTATGAGCAACCAATCAGAGTTCCTGCCTTACATGCTCAGTCGTGCTCAGTCCTAGACGCACTGATCCCCACTGAGCTCCCTGCTCAGTGCGCTCAGTGGGTCTCGGCACTGATCCTACTGAGCTCAGCCATGCTCAGTGCACCTTGGCAATGGCCCCACTGAGCACTCCCTAATTGGATGCACCTTCTCTTAGCGAGAGTCCCACCCTAAGTGCCGTTCCAGCCAATCCGCAGCGGGCGGGCAACGCCCTCTGCACCTTTGAACCAGGATCGTAACAGCTGGCTCTCTATCTTGAGGCGTTCGAGTATGTTCTAGAACTACGCTTGGAGCTCGGCCTGTATCTCTGGAGGTTGAAGAATCCTCAGAAACGAAAGACATCTTCCTTTGGTGAGAAAACAATGAGAATGAGAAGGATTTGGCAGATTTTTGGTGGTTAGGTTGCGTTGGGCATCGAAATATTCGTCGGTTGTGCCAATTGGCAATGCCAGCTGGCAAACTTGGGTATACAGCTGGCCAGTTATGACCCTACAGCTGTAAGCTTGACTGCCAGCTAGCTGACTAAGAAACGAATATCGTCAATATTTGCGATATTCCGAATACGGATACATCCGCTGACAAATACACAAATATTGTTATTCGTCGCCCACCCTGCCCGGATGTGCAAAGCAGATTCCGCCAAACACCACTGATATTGGCTGGTCGGGGGTACGAGCACATTGTTAAAATACTACTAGACACCGGACGCGTCGATGTTAATGTCTCTGTTGGAATGTGTCAAGCAGAAGGGCCTCGAAGGTTCTAGATAGAGACTTCGCCACCCACTTCGCCACCACAATAGTAGTATAAGAAGGGGCTTTCTGGCACTGCCAGAAAGCTAGAGAGAAGAACACACATCTACAATCCATTACTTGAACCACCAGCTTTCGGCGTACAGTTACGCCCTGTTGATTCCAGAACCGGTACCCTGGTGAACCCAACACTGATCAGTGGTTAACTCACCACTGTTGGGACAACAGTCCTCCGCCACAGATCAGCAAGGAGCAACAGAAGAGACAGCACCGTAGAGAACGGTCGACCCGAAGACCTGCCCTCTCTACGAACCTGTGCTAAGGAACGTATCCCCGCCTACGGAAGAGACGGTATAACGGAGCATTCGTGCCTCGAATCTCAACCGTAGCCTGAGGACCTTCAAATCTACGGAAGAAGTGGCCGTGACCGTCTCCCTGGCGTCACCTAGCCGTAGAGCGTCCACCACGCATAATCCTTTAACCTTTATTCTGAGCCAACCAACGGCTCACCCCAACCTTCTACAACCCCTTCAAATACCCCCTACCTACCCCTAAGATGGCCACAGGAGCTGGAGGCGACGTTATTACGTCCCCGACCCCTACGCCTAGCCAACCAGCGCGCTCAGAACCCCTCAGCAGCCCTACCCCCGGACCCTCGGTCCCTCCCGACCTTCAAGGAGAGGTAGACCCTCTAACCTGGGGCCGGCTAAGCGCGTTCGATCGACTCCCATCGCCAACAAATGAGCAGATCAATGGGCACATCCACTTCCTGCTACGCTCCTGGCAGGAAAGCCCCCTAAAAGGAAGATACGCATGGGTACAGTTTACTGAGGAATTCGAGCACTGGGATAAAGCCGCCTGGGCGAAGATCCCGGGTCGAACACAGACTACCCTACGTAACTGGCTCCGGGGTAACGGAGTCTTCGTTACTATGGATGGTGACAGGATCCACAATAACCTCCAACGAGCAGCAACAGCGAAGGAGTTCCACAGATGGTCTGACGCGGACGTCAAGTACGAGAAAGGACGGAACAGGGCCTTCAAACTAAATACCCTAGACCCTGACTTCATCCGGGAGATCCAAGAGCCCGACGACGATATAGAGGAGCCCGAAAAACCCCCTACGGCATTTTCACCTCAGGAACCACCTCAAGGACCCCAGTACCCCCAGAAACGCAGTCATACAAACGGCCCTCACCAAGGACCCCAGCACCCTCACCAACGCAGTCCTACAGATAGCCCTCACCAGGACCTCCAGTACCCTCGATCCAGACCCCAGTTCGAGTACCCACCCGTACCACAAGGGCCCCCGAACGCGAAGCAGCTTAAAGGCCTGGCTAAGCTCTACAACGAGGAGATGAAATACGGCGGCGATATATACGATGTATTCGCTTCTAAGCTAGTAATCTTCCAGGACTGCTGCCAACGACTAGGTATTACCCAGGGTCAGTACGACGTAGCCTTCCCCGCTATGCTCAAGAGCCGCGCCCTGACCTACTACTACGACCGGCTCTGTGGGCGTAAATACGACTTCGCTGCGTTAATCGCCCAGACTAAGGCTCAATTCGAAAGCGAAGAAAGCAACCAGCTACGCCAACTAGAGTGGGGCAACACAACGCTACGTAAGGTCATCGACGAGAACCCAGGGAAACTAAGGACCGAATGCCTCGAAATTTTACTCAATAAGCTTACCAAGCTTCAACGTACCCTCCCAACCATCAATCAGTCGGAAGAACTACTCCGCATACAAGTCCTCAACGCCTGCCGTGGGATCCCTGAATGTACACTCTATCTGTACAACCCGGCTGCAACCTACGAAGGCGTACGCAGCCAGCTCCGGTCAGCAGTCAGTATTGCAGCTGAAGCCCATAGCCAACAGTTCAACACCTACGCCCCTGAGGAAGCCCGGCAGCACTGGACTGACCGGACATTCAAAGGCAACGGCCGAGAGGCTCGCTTCGGGCGTAAGGACCAGGGGAAACCACGACGTACCTTCCCGGCCCGAGGACCCTCGCCCGGTAAAAAGTGCTACGTATGCGGCAAGCCCGGCTGCTGGTCGACAACCCACACGACGGAAGAAAGGCGTCAGGCCTACGACCGCTTCAAGAACAACAAGCATATACAGAGTAGCCAACCGTCGGCTACATACGCCCAATTCCTAGCCTGGTACGAAGGAATCCAAAGCTTTGACGATAACAACGAAGATGACAACATCTCGCAGCTCCTACAGGCCCACGAAGACAACCAGTCCGAAGGTAGTGAGGAAGAGGGATTCCAAAGTACCTTCTTTAACGATTCCATGCCAACCGACGGCAACGCCATCGTTACCTTACTTGCCGATAGGTCAGTCCGCCACGGCCTAACCAAAGAAGATCCATTCCTACAGGCCGAGGATCAGGACCACCAACCCGCTTCGATCTTCACCCTCAAAGGCCGTTACTCAGCTACGGAGTTCCACGGCATCATGCCCGACACAGAGGCGTCCGGTTTTTCAGCGGCCGGGCACCCACAGTTCCGTGCCCTATAAAGGGAGCTACCGTCACTACGGCTCGGACCGCCAACTACGGAGGCCGCGATCAAATTCGGCCAGGGCAGCACCCTCACCCCCTTGGGCACTACCACCGTACCTACCCCCTTCGGCTCGGTTGACTTCCACGTAGTCCCCGCAAACACACCGCTCCTGCTATACCTTCAGGATATGGATCGCTTGGACCTCTCGACTGGCTAGTTACCGATGCCGGCACTTCGTTCCGATCTACCGAGTTCCGGCAGTCGGCTAAGGAGATGGGGATCTCAATCAAAGAAATACCCGTTGAAGCCCACAACAGTATTGGCAAGATTGAACGATACCACACACCACTACGCCGGGCATATACCATCTTCAGGACCGAGGACCCCGAAGCAAGCCCGGAAGCTTCGTTACAAATGGCCGTCAAAGCAGTCAACGATACGGCCGGCCCGGACGGCCTTATACCCACGCTCCTAGTCTTCGGCGCCTACCCCCGGCTGACCGAAGATTCGGCACCCTCGCCTACGATAAAACAACGTGCCTTAGCAATCAAGAAAGCCACCGACGCAGTCAAACGGCTACAGGCCGTACGACAAGTCAACGGCGCACTCGCAACGCGCAACGGCCCAAACACCGCACAAACCACTCAACTACCGGTTAACTCCCTAGTCCGTGTATGGCACGAAAAAGCCGATTGGCAAGGACCCTTCAAACTGATTGCAGTTGACGGAGAAACATGTACCCTGGAAATGAATAACGGCCCGCGCATCTTCCGATCAACCGTAGTTAAGCCCTACTACGAAGACCCGGCGGCCGTACCAACTTCACCAGCTACACCGACCGCACCAGCTTCGCAGGCTATACCGGCTATACCAACCACAACGGCATCGGAAGCTGACTTAGCCCCGGAAAGCGAAGCAGAGGACGTGATCATCGTCAGACCACGACGCCGCGGTCGACCCCGTAAAGCCTTGCCGCAAGGCACCTTCCTTCAGGAAACCGGAACGTCTGGAGCTTTATAACAAACAAGGAACAGGCCGACGCCGTACTAGCGGTACGACTACGTACCGAGGGCAAGATCACCACGCCAGGCGCACCATTCGAAGAGTCTACCCAATACGAGATCGACAGTCTAATCGCTCAGGGAGTATTCGAATTCGTCAAGCAAGGCCACAACCAAGGCCTACGCATCTTCAAGTCCCGCATCTTTAACGAAGTCAAGGGCAAGAATACCACAACGCCCTACGAAAAATCCCGCCTCGTTATCCAAGGCTACGCAGACGACGCATTCAACGGAGGGATCGCTACGCTTACCAACGATACGATCACCCTACGGCAGAAAGGCCAGGCCGGTAGGCTACGACCTATTAACTACAATGCAGTTGACGCCAAGCAACAATACGTCGAGCAGCGAGCCCGCGGCGCGTATATTGCTTCCATCTGTCAACCTGAAGCCTGCTTCGACCTATCAACCGCAGCGCAACACCAAGAGCCTACGCTAGATGACTTGAAAGCCCTCAACCAACGTATTAAGTGGCAGGTTGATAACCAGGACCGAGGTCTAGCATTTATCCCCCTAGACCTACCTAACGCAAAGCTCTTCGTCTTCGTCGACGGATCCTTCGCTAATAACCGTGACCTCACATCACAACTCGGCTTCGTAATCATTCTAGCAAACGAGACCACAATCGATACTCAATTCACCATTCGTGGTAATATCATCCACTTCTCCAGTACTAAGAGCAAGCGAGTCACACGTAGTATACTCGCTTCCGAAGTCTACGGCATGGTGGCAGGCGTGGATATGGCCTACGCACTAGCTTCTACGATTCAAGTCGTCACTACGCACCTCAATCTACCAACAGTCCCTACGGTCGTCTGTACAGACTCATACTCGCTATACGAATGCCTTGTCAAGCTAGGGACAACGAAAGAGAAGAGGCTAATGATCGACATTATGGCCCTACGGCAGTCGTACGAGCGCCGTGAGCTACACGAGGTCAGGTGGATCCACGGCGACGATAACCCCGCCGACGCCCTGACCAAGGCCGTACCGAACCGGGCCCTAGAACGGTTCATCGACGGTAATAGCCTTACGGTCCGTATGGAAGGGTGGGTCTCCCGGTAAGGAAGACCCGGGTGGAAGCAGTGATCCCGGGGGTGTAGATAGTGGCAGTTATATAAGGGCGGCTTTCCAGCCTCAAAAGAGAAAACTGCCAGTGTTGGAATTTGTCAAGCAGAAGGGCCTCGAAGGTTCTAGATAGAGACTTCGCCACCCACTTCGCCACCACAATAGTAGTATAAGAACGGGCTTTCTGGCATTGCCAGAAAGCTAGAGAGAGAAGAACAGACATCTACAATCCATCACTTGAACCACCAGTTTTCGGCGTGCAGCCACGCCCTGTTGAGTCCAGTACCGGTACCCTGGTGAATCCAACAGTGGCCGAAGCAGCGCACACGACGCTTTGTGCCTAAGGAATCCCGGGAAAACCGGTCAAGGCCAGGAATTAGCGACTCCAAGGTAAATTTTACTGCCCAGTTGTTCGAATCCACGTTGTCACACTGAAAATAACCGACGCTCTTAGCGAAGCCGTAGTCGTTAACTAGCCGAGAGATGTAGAGAGCCTGGTTCTCGCCGCTGTGAGAGCCTCGAAGGTGGGGCATTCCAAGCAGGTCTTGTTGTATGGCGCCGTCAACATCAGTGTAATGTACGAAGACCGCTAGGTAGGAAACTGTCGCGTTGGAAGTCCAAATATCGAACGAGAGATGCTTCTTGTATGGCGATGCGGCTAACCTCTCACGTAGGGCCTGTTGTTCAGCCTCAAACCTCTTTCGAATATGCTCTCGAATGGTATTGTGCGAGGAAGGAATCAGGGTAGCTGTCTTCTCGGCATTCAGGTCCATACAAAAATCCCGAAATCCCTTATGCTCAACGATGCTGAAAGGCAGGTTCGAGCCGACGACTAGATCGACGAGCTTTTCTTCCAAAGAGAGCTTGTGAGGCAGTAAAACAACCCTCGCGCGCTTTGTATTGACAACTTGAAGCGTGCCTTGCCTTTTTCCGGGCCTATTCATACCAGTAGACGATGACTTGGGTGCGAATGTTGCGTGCTCTTTTTCCAGATGTATAATCGCCGAGCTTGTTGAATCCGCCTTGAACAGGCTCTCGCAATAGTGGCATGCCCAGAAATATTCTCCCTCGATGATAGCGTTGTTGATGATCTGGGCGACCCAGTAGCCGTGATCACGAATCCACGATGTCCTTTTTGGTGTTTTTCCCGCCCACTTTTCCGGTATAAAGGACCCTCTTGGTATTTTTATCTTCGGCCAATCCTTGACTGGAACCCCGGAAAGATCTTTGACATCTACTCCTTCTTCATGGAGCGCATCGTGCTGTCTCGATAGTCGTGATAGCTTCGGAGGAAGGGAGGGAGGAAGATTTCCGGCGGTAGGGAGGCTTGTCGAGAGGGTCGCGACATCAACGGTGGAGGCAGGCATTTTGTCGAGGACTCGGGAGCCAAGGAAGTAGGGAAATCGCTGCAAGAAGGTAGGATTCGGTAGGATTCGGCAGTTTGTTTACAACGGTTGGCGATAGTTGCATTGTAGCGGCACGGCGGCACTCGAATTCAGGGCATTCGAGGATTTTCCCGGGGCCAGAAAATGCAGGGTTGGCCTTGGTCAGGGACTGCCCTGGCGCCAGGAAAACCCGGAAAATTGGGCCTAAAAATGGCCTAACCAATGGAAATATTTGCAAATACGCCAAATAACCGGGCCCTCAATTTGGCCTGTATTTGACCTCAAAAATGGCTTATTTATTTGCAAATACGGATTTCCTTATTTAATTGAATTGAATATATTTGGATTGGTGCCAGCGCTGGATTCAAGTCGTCACTACGCACCTCAATCTACCAACCGTCCCTACGGTCGTCTGTACAGACTCATACTCGCTATACGAATGCCTTGTCAAGCTAGGGACAACGAAAGAGAAGAGGCTAATAATCGATATTATGGCCCTACGGCAGTCGTACGAGCGCCGTGAACTACACGAGGTCAGGTGGATCCACGGCGACGATAACCCCGCCGACGCCCTGACGAAGGCCGTACCGAACCGGGCCCTGGAACGGTTCATCGACGGTAATAGCCTTACGGTCCGTATAAAAGGGTGTGTCTCCCGGTAAGGAAGACCCGGGTGGAAGCAGTGATCCCGGAGGTGTAGATAGTGGCAGTTATATAAGGGCAGCTTTCTAGCCTCAAAAGAGAAAACTGCTAGTGTTAGAATGTGTCAAGTAGAAGGGCCTCGAAGGTTCTAGATAGAGACTTCGCCACCCACTTCGCCACCACAATAGTAGTATAAGAAGGGGCTTTCTGGCACTGCCAGAAAGCTAGAGAGAAGAACACATATCTACAATCCATCACTTGAACCACCAGCTTTCGGCGTACAGTTACGCCCTGTTGATTCCAGTACCGGTACCCTGGTGAATCCAACAGTCTCCGACGAGGAACGGCAAACCTCAATGGCATGGTTCTGCTCTTCCGATGGTTTGGGGAGCCCAAGAAAAATCTCAGTATGACGACCTCAAATGGTGATTCTGTCCCGCTTTCTTCGAACTAAAAGGTCACGGTTTGCACGAATATCATTTCCATGATCGCACAATTCTGCCCTTTGTGTTGCGCAGAGTCATTAGCGGCAGCTGGTGGCGCCTTAACCTGGCGGCGCCTTATGAAGATTGAGATTGATCCATCCAGTCATGGGTTCCATGATCTTCTCACCAAGGCTAGTAAACTACATGCAATGTGATCAATTCAGGAAGCTGACTAAATGCAAATGGGAATTAGTGAAAATTTCTTGGCAATGAAGATTGCGCGCGATTGGGAGCACGTAGAGGGACTCGGGTCGAGCATCAGCTTTGTTCACGATCATATCCTCCTATGCTCGCAGTGTTTCATTATCAGCGAGATATTTACACATTGTGTCCGAAGGCTGACGGCAATATCTTGGAATTCTGGCAGCAGAAGCATAGCTCAGGTTATGGGGGCCCCGAGGCACTACAGTGGGTGTCTCGCCGGTTCGTCGGCATTTTCGGCGCACTCCACGAAATGCGCGCGGCCTGATTTGGCAACTTATCAACATCCCACCCGGGAAGGCTCGAGACTACCAGACGCCCCAGGACCCAGGACACAGGCCACGAGGTTGGCATGTCCAAGACCCAATACCGGCACGATCCCGGCCCGGGTTAGTTCACGTGTGTCGTGTTGAACAGGCGGTTTCCAGTATCGGTGCCGCCCACACCACTGAATTTGTTCTCTGACAGACGCAACGCCACGACCGTGAGGCCCGTATCGCTTTCAAGAGCCCGGCCGAGGGTGCCCTCTTGGCCAACCGACTGTGACTGGACGACGCCGGCGACCACGACGATGGGAACGTTTGTGCGGAGGGTAATACGGATGTGCCTCACAAACTCGAGCACCGACTTTCCCGTGTTCACCACCGAATCTACCAGCACGACGGTTCCGCCTTCTAGGACGTGATGGCGTTTGACGTCTGCGGGGTTGGTAGCGTGGATGAACATGGCCGTGGGAAACGCATCGTTGACTCCCAAGGCCATGGGCTCGCCGCCGCGCATTAGCGCCACGATGGACGTCGCGCTCTCGCCACGCAGCCGGTGGCCTTGGGTCTGGTGGCCCTGCACGTGCGGGATCGAGTGCTCTTCCAGCCCGACCACGTCGCTGACGAATTCCGTCGCGAGATAGCACCCAGCGCGCCGGTGGGCGTCTCGCAGTGCCGGGCCGGCAACCCTGGCGTCGCGCGTCGGCGACATGAGCAGCCGAGCGGAACTTCTCTCTGTTGCGTGCACAAGTCTGGACCGAATGACGGCAGCGCGCCGGTCCGGACCGCGATCCAAGACATGGCCGATGAACTGCTCGCTCGTAATGTCGACCACCGGCAGCCTGTCCGTGTCCAGCCGCGGTGATGCAGCAGCGGGCAGCAGTGCTTGACGGGCGCGAAGGCCGCCAGAGTCGATGGCACTCGACAGAGCGGCGTCCATGCTCTTGCTCCTGGTGTGCTCTTGGCCCACCACAACGACGGCCTGGTGCGCGGCATTCAACATGGGCAGGTCCAGTACGCTATCGCCAAACGTCCACACGTACGTGTGGTGGTAGTTGCGCAAGCGTGTCACTACGGCAGCCTTGACTTCGGGCGTGACGACGAAGCCGTCGGATACCCGGCCCCCGCCGACGACCTGCACTCGCTCCAACAGCCCCTCGCGCGCCAGCACCATGTCCCAGACCCGGCGCAGCCCACACGTCACAACCAGCGTCACAACGTGATCCTGGCCTGCCGCACGCCGCACCAACGCTGCCATCTCGGGATGCACCGTCACCCGTGCTGCCACGGCGCGGCAGACGGCATCGAACTCGCCGTCGTCGGCCGCCTCCTCGTTCAGCAGCATCGCCTGCCGGAAGGCCACGTAGGAGTATCCCTGCGGGCCGCTGAACAGCGTCTTCAAGGGCGACTTGTCCTCTGTCAGCTGCAAGGAGCGCCTCGTCGCCATCACGTCCCAAAACACCTCGCCCGCGTCCTCGGCCGCCAGCGTCTTGTCTGCATCCAGAACAACGGCCGTCGCAGGGTTGCAAGCGATCGACGACGCAGCGACAATCTCATCCACCCTCTTCTCGGCAAGCGCCAGGTTCGCCTGGCTGGTGTGCAGCTGGAAGTCGGCCAGCAGCGCACACGCCCTGTCGAGCAGCAGCGGCGTCAACTCGTCGGTTACCGACAGTGTCACGAACAAGATGCCGTGGCTGCGGCACAAGGCCCGGAGCGCGCGTATCTCTGCCCTCTGCCACTTCTGTAGGTGGCTAACAGACATGGCGGGCCGGGTGCGCTGCGTATCGCCATGGCGGCGGCGTGCGACGGCGTCGGCATCGACGTCTAGGTACACGAGATGCGTGAAGGTGGCGAGGTCAGCGCACGTACACACGACGTTCGGCTCGGCGGCATCTTCAGGCCAGAAGCTAAAATGGCCTGCGACGACGCCGGCGCGCTGCGTGGTGGCGCACTCCTTGGCAATGGCGTAGACGGCAAGGGCGCGCCAGCGCTGCTGTTCGTCGGGCCCGCACTCTTGGAAGACCTCGAGGCCGCCTGGGGCCAGGTTGCCAATCACGCTCGAGCCCTCGAAGAAGGCGAAGCGTGTCTCGCCGAGGCGTGGCTCGAGCTGGGTCATCAGGTGCGTTTTGCCGCAGCCGGGGATGCCGTAGATACCGACGACGGTGGGCTTGGGTGCGGCAGCCATGGCGGGTGTCTGTCTTGTTCCCCGTGGTGGTGGGAATGGACAAGGGATGAGGTGTTTGGACGGTGGTTAGCAATGAAGTCCAAGAAGGGGCTGTTGGCAGCAGGCTGGTGACGGCGAACCAGTTCAAGAATAGAGTTAAGGGGCGACTGCTTGAATGTGACTGGGAAGAAAACGCAGCAGATGCCCAGTCTGAGAAATGAGGGCCGAGAGGAACAACTCATATAAGCTGACGAAGGATCAACATGTGGAGGACAAGACAAGCTGACGAGGGATCGACATGTCGAAGACAGAGTCGGCACATGACAAACAGAAAATACCGACATTATTTCATTTCCGCTGCTGTCCCTCGCGGCCCCCCGCAGGTGCGATTAGATTGAGAAGGCCTCACTGCGTCCGCGTCTTTGTTCGGAAATGAGCAGCGACGGCGGCCTCATCGCCTTGTGCAACGCGCCCCATGCGACAAAGCTAGCTTCTCTCTGACATGATTTGACGAGCACGGAAGTGCGCCAGCCACCGGCCTCACCGGATCGACCGGCAGCCGTTCCACTGGCAGAGATGAGTGACAGCAGCTTCCAGGAGCGTAATATCTTGTTCATCGTGTCGGTAGGCAGCAAACAAGTGATTCTCGTTTAGCTGAAAAGCGCCGAAAGCAAACAGTATTTCTTTCTCTATTGCGACATCGTCATCGCTTGACCGCTGCTTTGGAAGGGGTATCAGATGTTGGAACGGAGATTATACAACGCGAAAGTCTACTTGTTCACCGCCGAACCATATGAGAGAGAACAAAGTACATGTACAAAGATAACCGGGTCCTGGCCAATGGCCTTGTACATAGGTAGAGACAGGCCCAAGCATACCGCAACCAGTCACCGACCGGCCGCCAGCCGACACCCATACCAGCCGACACCCATACCAGTCGACACCCATACCAGCCGACACCCATACCAGCCGACACCCATACCAGTCGACACCCATACCAGCCGACACCCATACCAGCCGACACCCATACCAGCCGCCCAGAATGCTGTTGCCAGATAGATGTGCGTGCGAGTAGGAGCAGATAACCGGATCACGTCCTACGCAAGAGCCATGAAACCCAACAGAGCCGCCACGCCAGCCATGGCCAGCGGGATGCCCATACCCGCGGCCGAGCTGCCGGCCGCCGGCACGTTGCTCGTGCCCTGGCCGTTGTTGGCGCCCGTGTCGACAGTGAAGAAGGTGGCGCCAATGGCAGGGCCGAGGCCGAGCTGCGTGCGCCACCTGGACAACTAACAGCGACAAGAGTCAGCACCGTCCGTCCATATGCACCCGTCCATATGCACCGTGTTAGGGTAAGCACTCACATTCCAGTTCTCGATGGCCTCTTCCATGCCGACCGACTCGAAGCCGGCGCTGCTGAACCGCACCGGCTGCGTGTACAGGGCGTAGATGAAGCGGTGCACGCCCGAGTTGGCCGTCGGCGTCGGCTGGATGAAGGACGTGAACGGCCGCGCCTGCCCGGCCGGGATCACCAGCCGCTGCGCCGTGCTGAGCACTGTCGAGTTGGCGGTCGCCGCGCTGTAGTTGCCTGCCAGGAAGTAGCGCAGGTTGCGCGCCGTCGGGTTGCTGCGCGCCGGCGCGTCCGCGTCGAGCTGTGCGGCTCGTTAGCCTGGTGTCAGATTGCCTGGTGTCAAACTCCGGTTGACGATCAGATGGGGTGCGTACTAGGTAGATGAGATACCGTGTCTGCGCCGTGATGTTGGTTGCGTTCTGCAGGTTCTCGACGGAGAATTCGAGGGGCTGCGCGGTTTCTATGCGTACGTGGCATCGTTAGTCGTGGCATCGTTAGTGGCGGCATCGTTAGTCGCGGCCAACGTCTTGCTGCCGCTTGCTCCGGTCACACACCTCCCACGGTCAGGCTCGACCCCGGCACCAGCAGCTCGCTGTGGCCGTCGGCGGCCTTGTACGTGACGTAGAACGACACGGCCGGGTCCAGGGCGGCAATCACCTCGGGCACGATGCCCGACTCGCGGAACTTGTTCTTGAACTCTAGCGTGCTGACGCTGCGCGCGTTGTCGTCGGCGAGGCTAGGCGCCGCTGCCGCCAGTATCAAGGCTAGCAGGCTTGCTGTGGAGCAGGAAAACATGGCTATACTGTCTGTCTGACTGTGTAATTATTATTGGTGAGAAGCAGAAGTGTCCAGCACTGTTAAGAGGGGAAATGGTTCGGAAGAACGGACAAAGAGACGAGACCGGCGTTGGGGAAGAAAAATGGAAGAAAGGAACGTCCCGCACCACCACAGGCACAGCGTGGTTATATGTCCCGGCACAGCGTGGTTACATGTCCCAGCATCCCAAGTCTGCGTTATGATCGCCGCAGTCTTGGCCGGGGCAGCCAAGGCGACGCGCGCAGGCCAGGAGCCGTTGCTAAAACGCCAACACGGGAATCAGGACCCCGGCGACGACGCCGAGCACGTCGTTTTTGCGGGCAGAACCACCCCGGCAGCATTGGCAGACATTGGCAGCAGCCAGAACGGGACGGCAGGGGCAGGGCAAAGCTGCTCGGCGCCCGTTTCAGGCCAATGGCGGCGCCAGGAGCAGAGGAGTGCCGGCTGCCAAGCAGGGCATCAGACCCGGGGGCGCTTGGCGGCTCTCGTCCCGTTTCAGGCCGCTGCGCCCAATCCGCCGCTGCCGTGTTTCGTTGCCATTAAACATTCATCCCGTGCCAAGCCAAGCAGCGGGTCTGTGTTTCGGAGATTTCTGTGAAAACATTCTCGCCTTTAGTGCCCAGTCAAGGGTTTGTCATGTGCTATTTGGCATCTTTGTTGTTAGATTGTCACCGTCTCCTTATAATACTACGCGTCTCCTTATAATGCTAGGGTCTCCTTATAATACTAGGTAGGTAGGGTAATTTTGACGTCTAGTTCTAGGTACCAACATATCTAGAACTAAGCCAGCTCGACAGAGAGCCGGTCCCTTGTTCCAGTTCTCGCATCTTAATATCAGCGTTCTCACCAGACCTTGAAATATAATTGCGACTCCCCCCAGGGTCTCAGCCACCCATTAGTGACGATCCTGTCGATTGTCCAAGTGCCGTTACGTACGCAGCTCGGAAACCGGCCTGGCTTCACTGGCAGAGCCGCCCGAGTCTCCCACGGGTTCCAGTTGTAGCTGTTCTGCCAGTCCCAGGGCCTGATGGACGTGTCAAGAATTCCGATCAGCTTCCCGGCATTGGAAGGGACCAGCTCGCGCACGCAGTCTTGCAGCGTCATGGCGTAATAATACGGGACCGGCCAAAACTCGGCCGAGTTCATGGGAGTCATCTGTCTCAGGGCCGCGTGTCCCGGCGTGACCACAATGAAGATGTCGTCCTGTGGCTCCACGGCCAGGACCTGGGCAAGTATCTCGAAGGCGCTGTCGATGGTCCTAGCCGCGTCGCTGCCCGCGCCATACACAATCCGCCACATCAATACACCGACCAGCAGCGGCCAAAACGGCATCGCAGGCTCTGGCTCGGCATCGTAAATGTCCTTGTATGATAATCCTCCCGGACCGGCTATGGTCTTCAGACGAAGCCGCGTTGACAGTCCGTGCGACAGGAGCAGCGAGATCACGGCGGGGTCCAGCGCGATGCAGCATGCAGACAGCAGCAGGCTGGTCTCCTGCTCTGGCCCGCCATCCCGATCTCCATGGCCTGTCTCGACTGGCCGGCCTCCCATGTCCTCGTGTTCCCCGCCTCCCATGTCCTCACGTTCCCCGCCCCGCGGGCTCCTCATCGCCTCGGCCGCCCGGCATCTCCGCCACTCGGGACCGCCCGCTCGCAGCTCCTGGGCGAGGTACTCTACCTGGCCGTGTGCGGCGGCGAGGTGCAGGAAGGAGGCGGGCGTCTCAAGACTGGACATTTTGCGCTGCGCAGCGCTCGGCCACAGCGCGGACTGCGACCGGAAATGCCGCGCACAGAGCTCCCAATACCGCACCATGAGCCCGTGTGGGTGCTGTTGATTATGCCGAGGGACGCTGGATCCGCCACGGTCGATCATGCGCACCGGCGCCGGCGCGGCCATGGCCAAGAAGTCGAGCCCGTACTCCCAGCGCGCCAGGTCGGCAAGCGACAGCGACGGCCGCTGGCACGCGAGCGCCACCTCGGCCATGCGCAGCGACCCGTGCGCGCGGCCAGCGTCAAAGTCGGGGAACTGCTCGCCGAACTGCCTCCGGCGCGCCGGGGTGGTCAGGTAGTCGCGTGCCGTCTGGTGCATGAACTGGATGCGGCCGGCAAAATACAAGCCGGGCTGGCCTGGTTCGAGCGCCTCCGCCGTGGCCACGGTCAGCAGGCCCTTGGTCACAGCTTCGATCTCTCGTTTCGCGCCCTTCAGGCACCGGAGCACGTCGGCCTCGTCACGGATGTGGCCGAAGTGCCGCGCGGCCGGGAAGCCCGGGCTGTCGACGTCGTCGATCCAGTGGTAGCACAGGGCGTTGAGCGGATCCGGGAACGGGTTCGTCAGCGCCAGGAGGAGGAGCATGTCGGCGCGAGCGCGGTCGGCGCGGCCGAGGGCGCCCAGCATCTTGTCGTAGACGGCGTCCATCTCTCGCGGTGTGTCGTGGATGATCCGGCCCAGCCGCTCAGGGGACGCAAACGCCAGCTCCGCCACGACCGACTTGCACACGATGCGCGCCCATAAGAACACGCCCTCGGCCATCTCGACCATGTCCCGGACCAGCTCCAGGTACAGATCCCGCACGCGTGGGAAGCTGTCGTCGCTCTCGAACAGGTCACAGCTGAAGCGGTGCATGTCGTAGGCCGTTAGCTCGTGCAGTCTGATGCGCTGGGCGGGCGGAAAGGTGTCGGTGAACTCGGCGTGCGGGCGCGAGCTGACGCAGAGCTTGATGTAGCTGGCCTTGGCCCAGTTGCGCAGCTGGACCGCGAGTCGCTTGTGGTCGAAGGCGTGTGCTTCGTACTCGTCGAGCCCGTCGATGAAGAAGCAAAAGGCCGGCGAGCCCGACTGGACGGGCAGCTCCATGAGCACGTCGAACGCCGCTTTGACGTGCTGGGGCCGGAACAGGACGGCTTCGAGGCTCTGGCTCTGCGACGTGGCCGACGGTTCCGACAGGTTCTCCCACTGGTCGTGGAAGACTTGGGGTATCAGGTCGGGGCACTGGCGGAGGACAAGGAAGAGGATGGCGCGGTAGAGGCCGCGCAGGGACGTCTGTAACTCGCTGCCAGAGTTCCAGAAGTAGAAGGATGCCGTGACCAACGCTCTGCCGCCGCTCCACTGTTGCAACATGTTGGCTGTGCGTTGGTCGTTGGAGACGAGTTTCATCAGCGTCGACTTTCCCGATCCTGCTTTGCCGCTGATGTGGAAGACGCCGTGTCCCTCCCGTAGCCAGGTCTGCAGAAGCCGCCGAGAGGCGTCCATTGCGTCTGACATGAAGTCTGGCGGCCGTGCCCGAGCGGGTGAGGTGTTGTCTTCCCAAAGCCCTTCGCCCTCTACTCCTCTATCGCCCTCCAGCATCCAGCCAAAGGTTCCCCCAGCCGCGTCCTCGATGGCATCCTCGCGGGCGAACATGTCGTCGAAGTACACGTGTTGCAGAATCCTAGCTTGGCGCTGCGTAGAGCAGACGACTTGGCCAAGGGATTCTAGCCGCTGCTTGATGTCGTCCAGCGCCTCGAAGAGCGCAGACTGCCTCCCTCTCTTGTCATTTAAACTATCTGGGTCGTCGTGCAGAGTGCTCTGGTCTTGCCCGTCTGAAGAATCAGACGATGCATTGTCTGCGTCGTCGTCGTCGTCGTCGTCGTCGTCGTCGTCGAGCTTCAGCTTGGTCAGGTGCTTGACCAAGTCTTCGCGGACAAGCTTTAAGCCGTTGGCCGACACGGTAGAAACCTTGGCCACGTCGCCCTGGATATCGTCCAGCTAGCCTTTGATAGATGAGTTCTTTTCGCTGATCCCATCATCAGCAAGCCAGCTATAGCATTCGAGGCTATGTGCTCCGAGGGGCATTCGAGACTATGTGCTCCGAGGGGTCACGAACCTGAGCATAGCCAACAATCTAGTGTTCATCTGGGCACGGTACTGGCCGAGGCGGGCCTCTATGGACGCGATTTCGCTCTTCTTGCGCATGCTGGCCCACGTGGTCCTGAGCGACTGCCATTTCGAGTTCTTGACCCCCCGGAGCCGGCCCAGGATGTCCTCCAGCTCGGCCGACAGTGCGGCACAGCTCTGTGCCAGATCGCGCAGGGCTTTCTCGTGCTTCGACGGGAGGCGGTTCCTGGTTTGGCTCTCGCCCGTCACGGAGAGCTCGAGAGAGTAGTCTTGCAGATCGCCGACGATGGAGCCGATGCGGGCGTTCTCCCTAGTAGTCCCGCGTCCCGACCTGTGCAGCTCTTTGGCGCTGGTCACCAGGCTCCACGAGAAGTCAAGAAAGTTGAGAATGGCCGATGCTAGGCCGACGGCCGACAGCGGATCCATGGCCTGAGTTTGCTGGTGTTGATTAGGGGTGCTTCTGCCCGAGGCAGCCGTGGACGTGGCAGCCGTGGACGTGGCAGCCGTGGACGTAGCAGCCGTGGCAGCCGTGGACGTGGCAGCCGTGGACGTGGGCAGCTCGGCACCCGAGAGAGCCGCCCGAACATGTGCATCCACGGACCGTACACGAGGCAGGCAGGTCGGAGCCTGGTGGTTGACCTGCAGAAAAGCGGGGTAGCGAGACAGCGTATGGAGGATCGGGGGCGAAGCCGGGACTGGTTCTGCCGGGACTGGTTCTGCCGGGACTGGTTCTGCCTTGGGGGCACAACAGGTAATAAGGCCCAAGCCCTAGACAGCTTATCGTCTCCGTTTCCCTCAGGCCTCATGTACTTTATATACTTAACAAGAGTTTATGAATTAGAATGGGGGCGTCTCTAGCTAGGGGGGCGTCTCCGGCTACTATGAAATCGTCCCCATCCACTGTAGGTATACAGGCCCCTAAGTATTACAACTCACCGCCCAGGAAAATACCACATTTTACAGCCAAAATTACCACATTCGCTGGCTGCCCGCCCTAAGCGCTGGCATCGCATTTGTACCGCCATTGCACCTCGCCGCCGTCCCCAACGTCAACATGCTTCCAATACGGTAATTGAACCTCCCGACCGTAGATTCGCTCAAATCGTCCAAATCTGCAATAACAAGCGAAGCTGACTTGGCTGAATTTGCTTACATAACGGGCCAAAATTGCAATAAAAAAGAGTGCGTCTCCTACTGCCGTCAAATCGTCCCCGCATACTATAGGTGCTCATATACCTACAGTATGCGGGGACGATTTGGCTCACCGCCCAGGAAATCACCAAATTTTACACCCAAAATTACCGCACTTTAGCTACGTCCTGCCAGGGGTAGTCCTTGTGATCGGTGGTGGTGATGTTCTCCGTTGCCTTGGACTTTACGATTTTCCCTCGGTAAGAGCCAAAATCCACCCTTGTTGCGCTGAAGTCTTTGGCATAGTTGGCGCCTCGCAGCTTGCATAACAAACCGTGCAGAAGCAGCCCATTCGTCCAAATCAACAATTAGATGGTCGAGGGTGTCGTATTTGAAGGTGAAAAGCCTATGGTCAGCGGGCGGATTGGAAAGTGGCGATGGTGGCGGCGCGGGCGGCCCGGCGATGATTTTAGTGGCAGTTTGGTTGAAAAAGAAGGTTGTAGTGGAAAAGGAAGGTGATAGTTGAAAGGAAGGGTTGCAGCGTAATCAGGTTGGGTTGTGGTAAAAAGTGGTAAATTATGTGGCAGCAGAGTTTTGGATCCAGTACGTTCTAGTTTAACTTAAGATGCATAGGTTCTATTCTGAAACCACTAAATTCGTACATTTTCTAGACACTTATAGTAGGGCTCATTGCCGTGCTTCGAAGGTGGCTAACCACAACATGAGACAATAAATCCACTATCACCTCGATATCGAAACTCATAAAAGGATGTAAGGCAACTCGTTGCGGCCTGAACTCTTGTATATTATTATTGTATTTTCTCCCCTCATTCTTCTCAATTATAAATTATTTAGCGGTAAGTGATTAATGTCTCCGGAATGGCCGAGGTTTATGTTGCTGAATACCCGTGAGACAGGAAAGCCATTAGTTATGATTATAGAATAGGGAAACCTTTGTCTTTTGCTAGTAAACACACTCTTCCACCACTGGAGTAGCCGGACGAATAGGCCGAAAAGGAACGGCTAAGGAACAGCTAAGGAATAGCTAGGAACAGCTAAGGAACAGCCAAGGAACAGCTAAGGAATAGCTAAGGAACAGCTGAGCAACTCCACTACAATCCACCCACACCTCGGCGGCAGTCCACAAGAGAGCCACAGGCAGCCTGAACTGAACCTGTTTCCTCTCGCCCAGCACAGGCATGCACACAGCCACCGCCACCCCACCACCACGCTGCTGTCAGACGAGAATTACCCCGCAGTGGTGATGCATCGCCTCCCTACGTCAGCTGTCCCACGTCGCTGAACGCTCAATCACTTGGGTCCCGACAAGAGATTCGCGCAGACGCTAAAGTGAGACATTTGAGCAGCCGAAAATTGTAACCTTACACAGTATCTCCCCGGAACGCCAACCCGAGTGGGTTACGCAGTGGATCTTGCAGCCAAATAGACTTTTAGCCACAGAACATCACAGACACCACGACCCCTGCCGGCCCGACAGCAGTCGCACCACCACCAGCAGTCGCACCACCACCACCATGTCGGACGCGCACATCTCGGCCCACCTGGCCCGGCTCAGCCTCAAGAACGTCTTTTCGCGCCAGCGCGGCGACGACGACGACGAGACCGATAATGCAGGCGGCGAGGTCGACGCGGGCACCGTCGCCGGCGGCGGCCACAGCACGCGGCCGACCGACATCACAGCGCACAAGCTACGCGTGAGCGAGGCGCTGCGCGTGTTCCTGGCCGAGCACGGCGCCGTGGCCGACGGCGACGAAGCCGCGCTGCACGCGCTGGTCGAGAAGCTGCACGTGGCGGTGCCGGCGCACGTCACGGACCGCTCGCACCCGCTGCCCGAGTACTTCATCAGCTCGTCACACAACACGTACCTGCTGGCGCACCAGCTGTTCGGCGCGTCGTCGGCCGGCGCCTACGAGGCGACGCTGGCGGCCGGCGCGCGCTGCGTCGAGATCGACGCCTGGGACAACCCCGACGACCCGGCCGAGCCCAAGGTCACACACGGCTGGACACTCGTGTCGCACATCAGCTTCCGCGCCGTGTGCGAGACCATCCGCGACGTCGTCGACCGCGAGAGCGCCGCCCCAACCTGCGGCCAGGGCTACGCCGCTGCCCCGATTCTGCTGTCGCTCGAGAACCACTGCGCCCTCGACGGCCAGCGCCGCTTGGCCACCATCATGCGCGAGGTGTGGGGCGATCGCCTGCTCAGCGACGCCGTGGCCGTCGACGGCGAAAGCGAGGCCGACGCCGCGGCGCACGTGCGGCTGCAGGATCTCGGCTCCAAGATCGTCGTCATCGTCGAGTACCACCTGCCCAACGAGGCGCGCGACAGCGACGACAGCAGCTCATCCAGCTCCAGCTCCGAGAACGAAGACGGCGACGGCGACGGCGACAACCTCGAGCAGATCCCGTCTGCGGCGTCCGGCAGCCCCGAGGAAGAAGAACAGGCGCGGCAGACGTACAAGGCGCAGAAGAAGGCCGTTCCCGCCGCCACCATCATCCCCGAGCTGGCCGAACTCGGCGTCTACGCGCAGTCGGTCAAGCCCAGCGACGACTCGTGGTATGCCGGCGCGCAGCAGCTGCGCAACGGGCCGCACCACCACCTGATCAACGTGTCAGAGGCCGGACTCGCGACGCACGTGGCGCGCGGCAGCACCAGCGCGGCGGCCATCGCGCGCCACAACGCCGGCCACCTGATGCGCGTGTTCCCCAAGGGCACGCGCATCTCGTCGCGCAACCTGCGGCCGCTGGCGTTCTGGGCGCTGGGCGCGCAGGTGGCCGCGCTCAACTGGCAGACGTTTGGCGCGAGCATGCAGCTCAACGAGGCGCTGTTCGCGGGCACGGCGGGCTACGTGCTCAAGCCGGCGGCGCTGCGGGCGGGCGGGTCGGGCGTGGTGGGGTCGGGGCGGCGGAATAAGCGGCTGCGGCTGCACGTGGCCGGGGCGACGGACGTGCCGGTGCGCGAGGCGGGCGACGAGGACAGCGCGGTGCGGCCGTACGTGACGTGTTCGCTGCTGTGGCCGAGCGGGAGCGAAGGCGCGGCCGGGGTGGTGGTGGAGAAGCGCAAGACGGGCGCGTACCGCCAACACAAGACGCTGACGTTCCTGCCGGGGCGTGGCGGGGAGGCCAAGAACCCGCCGCCGAGCTGTCCGCTGTGGGACGAGACGCTCGAGTGGGAGTATGATGAGAGCGAGCTGGTGTTTGTGCGCATCCTGATTAAGAGCGACGACCGGTTCGCTGCTAACCCCGTGCTGGCCGTCGCTGCCGTGCGCCTACTGTATGTGGTGCCGGGGTGGAATTTCATCCGCATGCTCGATCTCAAGGGGCGCGAGACGCGATGCTCGCTGCTGCTCAAGTTCGACATTGGGGATGTGTAGGGTGATTACCCGTCTTTGATAGCTCTTCTCTTGCTCATTCTCTTTCCTGTAGGGTGATTACCCGTCTTTGATAATCTCTTCTCTTGCTCATTCTCTTTCCTGTGGGTGATTACCCGTTTTTCATAATCTCTTCTCTTGCTCATTCTCTTTCCTGGTTGGTTACAGCGCTGGCAACAAATCAAACGATTCAAATACGAGGCTATATTTGTTTGCATTTGACCTCAAAAACCGGATATTTGACTGGCTCCAGGCTCGATTTGATTGAGTGCGTCTCATTTGACGATATTTAGAGGCATCGTCCGCTCCACCAAAAATAGGTAAAAAGTCATCAAATGGTCCCCTGAGATGGAAAAGAAAGCCCTGAAGCCCGGGAAAGCTCATCTTCGCATCCAATTCTTCAAACACATGGTGTTGAAGGTCACATGGTCTTGTTGAAGGTAACATGGTCTTGTTGGAGGTATCATCAACCATGCTATATCTCTGCGTGCCCCGCTAACCTCGTCGTTTACCTTGTTGACTACCTGGGTAAGCCAACGGCAACAGCCGTGTTCGGTGATCCACGACGACCTAGAAGGTTTTTTTCCACTCCAAGCCTCCGGTACGTATATGCCCTGTGTTATTTTATCGTGGGCTAGTCCTTGACCTGCATGCTCCTCAGGTCTTTCAAGTCATGCACCACCACTTCGCTGCACTGCGCGGCGAGCCGCGATGGCCTCTTCATGGCGTCAAGCGCTCGCTTTGGCCTATGGAGAGGGTCGTAGGTTCAACGGTCGAGGTAGGCATGTTGTCGGTAATTCGGGCGTAAGGAAGCAGGGAAATCGCTGAAGAATGGAAGGATTCGGCGGAAAGGTACAATTCGGCAGTTTGTTTACGTCGGAATAATTGCATTGCAGCTTCAACGGCATGCAGAGATTTTCCCGGGCCAGGAAAATGCCGGCGGGCAAGGAAAATGCAGGGTAGGCCGTGGGCAGGGAGCCCTGAACCCAGGAAAATCAGAAAAATCCGCCCAAAAAAAGCCTAACCAATAGGAAATATTTGACCACTGCCCAAATATTTTGGGCTTCATATTTGAGCTGATTTGACCTCAAAAATCGCATATTTGACACAATACGGCCTAGATTTGATCGTTTGATTTGAACACATTTGAGTCGTTGCCGGCGCTGGTTAGTTAGGTCTCAGCCATTGTCTGCTGCACGCTTGTGTCTTGGGCAGTGAGTGAACTTGTTTGTTTACATAATAACTTCGTGTCGTCTCCCTTCGTCCAAGACAAAGACCGCCAGTTCATGAATGTCTTCACAACTCTTAAGCCTTGGCACGGTAACCAAACAATCATCTCGTCTCGCTCCATCACATGTTGTCGTGTCGACCTACCTAATCCGCCGTCAGCGGCCTCGGCCAACCCCGCGCTGTCAGCAACCAACCCCTGGAGAGCAGCTTGGCGGCGGACCCACCCACCCACACGCAACGCAACGAGACGAGCAGCGCGCGCAGCCTGCAGGATTTGGTGCTCCATCGAATCTCTCCCAAACACCTCACCGCCGACAGCCCCCTCCAGCCCAACACCATGACCACCGCCGCCGCCCTGTCGGCGCCCGACAACGCCGCGCTCGCCGTCTCGGCCGGCGCGGCCATGTTCTACTGGACCAAGATCCGCTCGCCGCCCAGCGTGGGGCGCATGGCCGTCAAGACGGCGGCCACGGCACTCCTCGCGGCCGCGGCGTCGCTGCGCGGTGGCAGCCAGCACCTCGTCGGGGCGCTGGCGCTCGGCGCGGCGGGCGACGCGTTTCTATCCTGGGACGGCGACGCGGCGTTCCTGGGCGGGCTGACGAGCTTCCTGGTCGGCCACACGCTGTACATGTTCGAGTTCGCGCACGCGCACGCGGCCGGGTTCAACGGCATCCGCCTGCTCGACGGCGGGCGCGAAATTGCCGCGCTCGTGCTGGCGGGGCTCGTCGCCATTATGATGCTGGTGCTGCCGCCGCGCGTCGCCACCGGCCTCGGCGTGCCCGTCTTCATCTACGCCGTCGCCATCTTCTTCATGGACCTCACCGCGCTCGCCACCAACAACAACCAGGTCATGGCCGGCGCTCTCATGTTCACTGGATCCGACGCACTCCTCGCTGTCGACAGGTTTTTGGTCGCGCCTGCGTCGCCCCACCGCCCGTGGATGCAGAAGGCCGTGTGGGTCCTGTACTACACCGGCCAGCTGCTGATGGCCGTTGGCGCGCTTTCCATCGCCCCGGACGTTTCGCGCCAATAAAAGACATGCCTGACATAGGTGGTACAGTCTGGGGATATAGAAGACGGAGTTGTGGTCGGCTAGAGTGCAGCCGTGGGTCAGTCAGCTCGTTATCTGATCTCTCATGAGAATTGCAAAATGCCCAACAGGTAGATTTAGAGAAGGACCATAAAACAAGCCTAGTTGGTCGTGGAACGCTTTCAACCTGCTTTTTCCCAGGCAGTATTTCACCCGTCACTGACAGCAAGATATCATGGCGTCATCCAGGAACTCTGCATGTCCACGTTCCCGCTCTGCCCCGTGTGGCAAGGTGTGAGTGGACAAGGTAGTGGAGACATCTCCCAGCGGCACACCGTGGTTTCTTCAAACAATGGCATGGCATGGCTGCCCCGCTGGAGTGGGTGAAGCAGCTAGCGGCCCCGCCGGGATGCCGAAAGAAATTGAACAAAAGCCAAAAAGAACCGACCCACCCAGGTCTCGAACCTGGAACCTCCTGATTCGTAGTCAGACGCTCTACCATTGAGCCAGCAGGCCTATTTGCTGTTGTTGAGATTGCGTCCCATCCCAAAGAGTATAACCCCGGAGACAATGGCGGCGATGCTGGATCAGCTATGGATTTGCGGCACAAGTTGCGGCACAGGTAGCGACGCCCTTGCTTCTAATATGCAGGAGGTCGTCCATCGCAGTCAGCATAAGCTGCGCGGCAATTAGAGGGACCTGGGCGGCAGAAATGGCAACGCACAAGAGGTCACGGTGGAATAATTACGAACAATGGGCTCGATTGTCGGCAAGTCGCACGAATAGAGTTGTACGAGAAATACGGAGTAGTGACATTTTATTTATTTCTCGCTCGGAGCTTTTACCTCCATTTCTACAGCGACAATTGTAACTCGTGGATGCATCCGAATCCGGCGCCTTTCTTGCTGCGTCGGACATCTAGCTGCGTCGGACACACACGACAGCGCCGATCTGCAGCGGGTCGCAGTTCAGACCCGGGTTGTAGCTCTTGAGCTGGTCCAGCGTGATCCCGTTGTTTGTCGCGATGAGATAGCAATAGTCCCCCGACTTGACCGTGTAAGACTTCGCGCAGCTGGACGTCGGGGACGGGCTTTTTGCTGTCGTGGGTGACGGGGACTTCGCTGTCGTGGGTGACGGGGACTTCGCTGTCGTTGGAGACGGGGACTTCGCTGTCGTTGGAGACGGTGCTTTTGCTGTTGTCGGCGACGGGGCTTTTGCCGTCGTCGCGGTGGGAGCTGGAACCCTAGATCCGCCACAGCCCCCGGCGACCGTCGCCGTGGCCTTGGATGCCCAGCTGGTGTACGCGCGATTGGCAACGGCGCTGTTGAACCTCGCGGGGAAGATGCCCTGGTTCCCGTGCTGCCGCACCGAGAGGGAGTTGGGACATGCTCCGTTGGTAGGACTAGTCGTCGCGTGGCACCATCCCAGAACGAGATAGCCCTCGCTGGTGGGTGCGTCGCCGCTTTCCTGGCCCTGCTTCCACTTGAGGCAGTTCTGGCACCGGAAGATGAGAGAGTAGTGCGTCGAGTTGATGGTCGACGATATCTGCGTCAGCTTCGCGTCGCCGGTGTAGACCGTGGGCGGCTTGTAGTCGGTCGCCCACCGGAAAGACGTCAAGATCTGGCCCTGCTGTGGATATGCCAGAAGCAGCAGGTTGCTGTTCATGCCGCCCCCCATGGAGATGCCGCACCAACCTGTCCCTTGTGTGGGAGACGAGCATGTCTAATCATGATGAGCGAGTTGGAGCGTTGCTCTCTTTGATGTCAAAGGAGAAATTCAATCTGCACTCACAATAATGCCGGTGAACTCGGTGGCATCAGCAGTCAGAGCATTGGACGGCAGCGCCATGCCAAACGTCATGTACGTGTTTGGCCATGTATTGAAGACGATGCCGGAAGCTTTGTCGGTGTAGGTGACGGTGTCGTCCTGCGCAAGGCCGTGTTGAAGCCCTTGGTCTTGTGAGCAGGAAGAATTAGATATGAGATGTGGATTGACTTACATGGCAGCAGTGTCAATAACTGCCACCCAGTTGCCCTCATCTTGTCCGATTCGTGTGTTGAATGGAATTGAACTTGATTGTGGCACCTAGATAACCCGGCAACCTGTCGGCTTCACAAGTTCACTGAGACCGGGGTCAGGCGGGCGGCCTTTGTCACAATTCTGCTGCCAGTGAGCAGAGAAGGCACTAAGCCTCTGATGAGGAAACCGAGGCATTTTGAGCTGCAACTGAACATCAATTCATTAAAGCTAAAGTTTGCTCCTCCTTACGGCTGCAGCACATTGGCAAGACAATACCGGCGAGACGCGGCTCCATATTGGTGCCGTCTGTGAAAAACAGACGCAGCTCGCTTGGCAGCGGTTGGTAATTAGAGCGGGAAGATGGCTGCACGGTGTTGGTGGCTGCACGGCTGCACGGTGTTGATGGCGCGTATTGTCGCGTCATTCCGAAATGGCAGCAGCTCGATTAACCAGGCAGCTTCTCTCCGTGGCTGGTTGCTTTGGTTGACTTCGGCTTTTGACATAGCTGGCATCACCGGGCGGAGTCGGCGGACGGAGACCTGGCCGCAATCTCGGACCATGTCTGCGGCGTTGTGGGCACGATTGGCTGACACTTGCCGAGGAACCTGGAACCGTTGGCTGTGCAAGGCTGGGCAGCGATGCAACATGGGGTGCCATCCTCCCATTGGAACACCCGCGGAGAATCCGTGCATTCGTTGACCAATCAGGCAATTGGTTGTGGCCTGTTGCACGACTGCGCTTTCCACAGAACAGGCCGCCCAGCGTGCCTCCTTCAGGTTCAGGAGGAAGAATGGAGGCCCGTGCACGGCTGCCTTGGGTTGGCCAAGTATCTCCACAGGAGCCAGGACTTACGCTCTTGCCGTGGCCTTATGCTCTTGTCGTGGCCTTTCCCCCCATCTCAATTCGAAACTCTACATTCCTGCAATCGACCAAAAATTTTGTTTGTCTTGCTATCACTTCATTTCTGCAAAGTTCAGGTCGCCTTGTCTTCGCATTGTTGCCATATAGCCACGCCAACATGTCGCTAGTGGCCCACCTGGTGCGCCGCGGGGTGGGGCTTGCATGGAGCGCCCACGCCGAGTCACAGCGCCTGAAGCGAGACGCTGCGGCAGCTGATGCGCACACCGGCAAGCACGCCTCTATGAGCACCGGCCAGCTCGTCGCCACTGCTCTGCTGATAATTACCGTCGTCGCGTCCATCTTCACCTACTTTTGGATCGAATACACGCTGCACTTTGTCTTGGGCAATCTTGTCGCGGTTGAGGACAGCACAGCGACAGCGGGGTCCCCCAGCGGCATCGCTGGAGCCAGGGAAAGCGAATCCAAAGACGGCGAGTTCAAAGACGGCGTGTCCAAAGACGGCGTGTCCAAAGACGGCGAGCCTGTCGAAGTCGAAGGCACCGACGACCAAGCCGAGAAGGAGTCGCTCATTCCCTCCACATCCGACGAGCGTGTCGTTCCTCGCGGGAATGCGGGCACGACACCCATCACCGCCAGCATCCGATCCACCCTGAAGCACATCCGCGCACTGGACGGGTTCAAGGGCTACTTCCGTGGCCTCGGCGCGTTCTTCCTCTATGCCATCACTTCCGGTATCCTCTATGCGCTTCTCGTCCTCTTGGCCGAGTTCGTAAATCCCGGCGTCACGAATTCGCTCGGGACCTTGAGCCTGCCCGAGCTCGTTGCCGACTTCACCGTTACCATGTCCACCTGCCGCTTGCACTGCAACTGGACCCACGCCACCGTCCGCGACAACACAGACATTCCCGCCCGCGGCGTCTACCGCCGTTCGCGATATGTCTCTCGCAAGGACTACCGGTTCCTCTCGCTGCCCGCCATGCGCATCTGGCTCGCCAGGGCCGCCGCGACGGCGCTACCGCTTGCCGTCTTCCGCACCGCCCAGCCCATGATCCGCCCGACCCCTGTCGCGGCCACGCTGGTGACCGTGTTGTTTGTCGTCGTTTGCGTGCTGGTCTCGGTCTCGGTGGTGCTGCCCGCCAGGATCGCCCGCACGCGCATCGAGACATCGCTGCTCCTCGAGACCGTGTCCACCATTGTGCCCGTCGACCGGACCTTTGGCGGCCGCGTCGACCGCACGCAGTCGCTGGCCTGGTGGCGCTTTGTGGCGCTGCATCTCGGCCTCGTCGGCGCGTACAAGACCTTTGACCGCGCCACCTTCTGCCGCGCCCTCAAGGTCTGGGCCGTGTATTTCTTTGTCGCCCTCACCTTCATGTTTGGTGTGACCGCCCTGCTCTGTGTTGAGCTCCTGTTCGTCATGGGCGGTCCTGAGGCGGCCACCGCGGTTGTCAAGCAGATGATCGCGGACAACGGGTCCCCCTGAATGCGAGGCCCTCACTGGCTCATGATGAATGCCAATCTTCTAGAACTCGTTTGGAATCTGTCATTGGGATAAAGCACGGGAGGCTGGCACTGGATATCCGACGGAGTTGCGCATTTGCTCGATACGGAACAGGTTCACAGCACTATGTACAATACACCGATTTCCTCATCTTCACCCATACCTCATCGTCAAGACTATTTAGCATCTTCAATCCTACACCCAGCACCCTCTCTCTGCTCCGAAACAGCTAGTTCCCGTCCCAGACGGCCGGCCCAGGCATCACGTACGGCGCTGGGCGGCTCGTCCACTTGTCGTAGCGGATGCCGGGGTCGTCCTGCTTGTAGATGCCGGGGATCTTGACGAGGGGCCCGGGCGTGCCGCCGCCGGGGCCGTCGATCTTGAGCTGCGCGCACGTAATGTAGAACTGGGCGCGGTTCTTGTGGCCCTCGTGCAGGCCAATGTGCTCGACGCGCACCAGGTACTCGCCCGGCGGCGTCTTGGCTGGCACGGTGAACTCGAGCTTGTCCTTGTTGTACGAGCACCAATTGCGGTCGGTGCCCGGGTTCGTCCCGCACAGCCCCGTCTCGTTCACCTTGAACCAGTCGCCCGACCCGTCGTACGTCGCCACGCCGCCCTCGGGCGCCCGCGAGAAGTAGATGAAGCCCGGCCCCGGGTGCTCGATGAGCTCGTTGTTGAACACCTTGAAGCCGACTCGGTCGCCCGCCTGCACGCTGTACGTCTGCACGCTGCCGCCCGGCTTCGCCCCGACGTTGCACCGCAGGTCCGCCTTCTCCACGATGTCCGGGAACGCCGGGTTGTACGAGTTGCTGTTGCGCCGCACGTACGTGTACTCGCCGCCAATCTTCTTGCCGTTGACCATGAGGATGTTGAAGATGTAGTGCGCGTCGGCCGACACGGCCAGCGCGGCCAGGAGCAGGAGCGACTTCATCGTGCCGGGTCGAGATGGGAGTGAAGCCAGTGTGCCTTGAAACCCGTCGATGGCTTGTTCCCGAGAAGACGTGAGCAGCTGGACTTCCCTAGGATTTATATATCCTGTTTTGGGTGATTACAATTTCCCTTCCAGGGCCTATTCACCAGACCTGCCAACAGCCGCTCACAAGGCGACGGAGAAATCTGCTTGGCAGCTGATATTACCCTGGACACCCATAGGGGTCGTGATAGCGCCAAGCTCGCCAAGCTCGTCACGGGAGTGGCTTTCCCATCTACCGAGCGCGGGGTGCAGGGCGCCTAATTTATCTGGTCTGCATTTACAAACACGTCGCCGTGCTATATGCCTAGCTGGTCGCCGTGCTATATGCCTAGCTGGTCACCGTGCTGGTCCTCCTTCAGCCTCCTTGGCACTTTGGTGAATTCCCCGATTGGCGCGAATCCGTCATCGCGATCCCTACTGCCCCGTGTGTTCAACTACCGAGGTCATGTTGCCGTCTGGTGTCTTAATGGGGTGAATGCTTGGCTGGGGATGTTGCCCAAGGTGTTGACTTGTTTTGGTCAGCCTCGAGCTTTATTGGTTTTAACGGCCGAACGCAATTATCCACCAATGGCCACTTGTCATGCAGAAAAGACCAACTACCGAGCTTTGTGAAATCATTAGGATGGTAGGCGTGCAAAGCGACGGCTTTCACATGTAGCCTTGGTCGAGACAGTTGCGAGGCACTATCAAGGCTGGCCTGGAGATGGACCAACGAGCGCGAACAAACACTTGCAACTTGCCAGTTTCAAAACCTGAGCTCTACGTGAGAGGACGTACAAGAAGCCGACCGTACACCCCTGGCCAGGAATTATTGTTGGTTCGCCACCTACGGTGGTTCCAAGAGATATTTCTCTCTCGGCTGGTAGTACAGAGTTTACGAGAACATGCTAAGGACAAATAACCCATTCCCCTGTTTGCCGAGGAAAGACAACTTACTACGAAGGCTCAGGCCAAAAAAAGGGTCACCTTGCCAGTGCGCACCAAGCCAACCGCCGCCGTGCACTGCCACTCAATATAGCCACAATAATGACCAAACGAAAAAAGAGGTAATATTCCAAACAACCACAACTACTTCAAAATAAGTCCAATCTAGCTACAAAAATGACCAATCTACTCGTCGTCTTCCGCTTCATCCTCATCGCCTAATTCTTCCTCTGTTAGAGGCTCTAGGACGTCTACATCCTCGAGCACATCGAGGTCCCAGTTTACCTTCGCATCTCAGTTTTCAGGGGCTGGCCGACCCTCCTTATAATTGTTGCCTCCCCTCAAAAACACCACCCACTTATGTTTTCCCCCACCCTCTTATAATACCGCCTTATTAGCCGTTGCTCTACCTCATCCCAGGTTATAAGCCACTTATTCTTGGCCTTTCCTTTCGTTAGGGCGCCCTCACGCGTTGTCTTCATCTTTTGGGTCTCCCAAAGAGGCTCTATTGTAGAGATCTGCTGAGTTTGGCGGCCACTTTTCCTCCTCGATGCCGTGCTCAGCGAAGAAGCCTTTATTCCACTTAGAAGCGTGAGGGCCTGCGTTGTCCTGTTGTGCCTTGTAACCAGGGAGGCTCCACATGTAAAGAAACAAGACTGGCTCAAGGACTTCTTACCTATAACGAATCCAGTCTATACCCCATATTCCTTTCCTGGTCATTGCACCGTTTACCTCGGTATGCTTCCACTTTGGCTTCGGCCCGCTAGGGGTCCTCGGTATAACATCCCTCCTTTCCTCGGTCTTTTTTACCACAGCTCCTTATATTCGTCTTCATAGGCTTTATTCCAGTCATCTATTTCCTAATTATAAGCTTTCTTCTAAGCCGTAGTCTCTGGCTTCCAGAAGAAAAGAGGGCTCAAAGAAACCCAGGAAATGGTGCCCCAGATCATGAATTCCATCCTTCCTTTCTAACGAAGCCGGGTAACGTGGCGATGAAAGTCTTCTTTCGAGAGCCTCCAGGCACGCCGTTTACCACGAATCATACCTAGGCATACGGCAGTCTCGTCACTAAAGATCTTCTTCTTGAAGTCTTTCTATCCTACAGCCAAAGTCCTAATATAATGAATATGCCGGGCTCTTTATTTGCCTCTGTGAGGCCCGGCTTGGTAGAAAGCTTGAGATTTTTATACCCTATGTCACGGCCGGCTTGGAATGAGGGCGGAACTCCTCTATTGGGCGCTATAGACGAAGATTCTAAACTACAGAGAAAAGGGAAAAGAAGCAAAAGCCTCCCCTCGCGAGATTCTTCCAGAGCGCGTCTCAAGGTGGGGCTCTGGCCGAGCTTCCATTGGTCAGTCGGGTGGATCCACCCGACTGGCGTCTGATTAGTCAGAGCGTCTGGGAGGTCTGGAGGACCAGGTCCTCACACTACCCCCCTCCAAGCCGCGACTGCCGTGACGGTGGTTGTGGCTTTACAGAGCGGATTTAAGCGTGCCTTCTGGTGTACTTCCTCTTTTGCCTTGCCTTATACCCTTTGTGCTCTGCCTTGTTGTCCTCTTCGTGGTCTTCCGGATATTCGTCTTCTGCTGCTGCCTTTATCCAGTCACGCAGCCTCACCGGAGGTCCTGCGGCGTCGGGGTATTCTCGATGAAAACTATCCAACGCCATAGCTGCATTCTTGAGATTCTCTGCCTTATACCACGTATCGTCGGGGTCGTGCCCCTTCCAGGCAACTTGGTATTGTAGGGTCTCTCGTTGGCCAAACAGTCGAGAGGCATTAATCCTGTCAACTTCCCACTCTGGCTCCCCGTTGATCTCCTCAGGTGGTTCCGGTAAGCTGGCCTGTTGGGGCAGGGGATTGTCATCGGCCTTACGCAGCCGATCTGCATGGAAGAGGTTTGTGCCTTTGACATAGGGCGGAATATCCAGCACAAAGCTATATCCTCGTTCCTCCACGATCGTCCACGGTCCTGCCCACTGTGAATCCAACTTCGTACTCGGGGCCTCTGTCCTCATGCCCTTCTTGCTCACGTATACCAAGTCTCCGATAGTGAAGTCAACGGGACGTCGCTTCTTATTCGCTTGGATGGCTTGGGCTGCTTGAGCTTCTAAGGCATTCTTCCTTGCTAGGTCTTGCACCGCTTTGGTCTGGGTGACGAGCTGCAATGCTTTCTTTTGCGGGTCGGTCGAGGTATCGAGGTCTAGGATATCAATAGAGAGGGGGTTCCGTGGGGTGGCTCCCAACGCGACCTTTAACGGGGCCATGCCGATGCTCGAATGCCAGGACACATTATGGGCGAAGTCGAGTGCCGGTAGGTACTCGCTCCATGTGTCTTGGTACTTGGTGAGGTACGGCCTCAGTCGTTGGTCTAGATCCGCGTTGGTGATCTCCACGGCGCCTTGCGTCTGTGGGTGGCGAGAGCTGCCGTGCCGGTGTTTGGTCCCGGTCAGCTTATTAATCGTTTCCAGAAACTCCGAGACAAACGGTCCTGCATTATCGCTAATCCAGACCGCCGGGATACCAAAGAAACGGTATACCTTATGGAAGTAGCGCTTCGCCAGATCCGGTGCGGTATCGTTCTTGTGTCCAGGGAGCGTAGCCATTATCTTACTGAACTTGCAAATAAAGGCCCAAACGTAGTCGTAGCCGTGACGATCCTTCGGCATATCTTTCCCGTCAACGACTACCTGGCTCCAGACTTCACTCGGCACATCCAGAGGGTGCAGGAGGCCCGGGGTCTTATCATGACGGGTCTTGTTCCTCTGGCAGCTTCGGCAGTTCTTAATATACCTCTTGACATCCTGTCGGAGGGTGCTCCACCAAAAGTCTTTCTTGAGGAACGCGATAGTCTTGTTTTGGCCTGGGTGTGCAAAGATAGGTGGCTCGTGGGCTTCTCGGATTAGGGCCGTTCGTAGATAGACCGCTCCGTCGGACGTGACTTCCGGTACCACGAGACGACCGTTATCCACGCCCAGACTCTGCTTCTCGTTTTCCTCTTGGATCAGGTCCACCAAGTCAGCACCGCGAGGCATATCCGGACTCACTAACGCTCTGGAGATAGGCGCTAGGACTGGTTGGATACGTTCTGCTGGGATCAGAGGGAACGTTCGATCTTCCTCCTCTCGTGCCTTAACCGTAGGCGAGTCAACGGTCTTACGTGATAGAGCGTCGGCAACCACGTTTTCTCGTCCAGGGCGGTACTGGAAGGTGATGTCAAACTGGCCTAGGAAGTCGGACCATCGGACCTGACGGGTGGACAGCAACCGCTTGGTAGACCAGTAGATCAAGGCTTTATGATCCGTGACTACGAAGAACTCCTGGCCGAGAAGAGAAGGTTCGTTATCCTTGAGACAGTTGACCACGGCGAGCAACTCTTGATCCTGGATCGGATACGCACGTTCGGCCGGAGTCATGTTCTTCGACGAGTAGCCCACGGGTCTCCAGACTCCGTCGGGCTGTTGTTGCATGATCACGCCTCCAGTGGCGTTGCGTGAAGAATCCGTTTCCACTCGCGTCGGGCGGCCGGGGACGAAGAAGGCGAGGACTGGGGCCTCGGTGGCCAGCTTCTTCAGTTTCTCAAAGGCCGCTTGTTGCTCGGGTCCCATTACAAATTCACTACCTTTCCTCAATAGCTTGGACAGGGGCTCGGCGGCATCGCTAGAGTGGTGGCAGAAGACTCGGACATAGTTGCACAAGCCCAAAAAGGACTTGACGGCGCGTATCGAACGTAGGTCCTCAAACTTCCAGCTCTGGATGGCCTTGATCTTCTCTGGGTCGATACGTACGCCTTTCCCAGCTTCGAGAACTAACCCTAGGTAGTCAATGACTTCCACGTCAAAGCTAGACTTCTTGATGTCTCCCTGTAGACCAGCCTTATACAAACGATAGATGGCCTCCTCTACGTGTGCGAAGTGTGGCTCGTTCTCCTGAGTATAGATGAGAACGTCGTCGGCGTAGGCGCTGGCAAAGTTGTCTAGGAGCTCGTTCAGCTGAGCGTTGATGAAGGCTTGCCACCAAGCAGGGCCGACCTTGAGTCCAAAGGGTAGGACTTTCCACTGGAAGGTTCCTTGACGGGTCTTGAAGGCCGTCAAGAATCTTGAGTCGGGGTGGACTAGTAGACGATTAAAAGCTCGGATAATATCGATCTTGGTCAGGCGGCGGGCGTTACGGCAGTTGGAAAGCGTTCCTTGGATATCGGGTGCGAGGAACTGGCGTCCTTTCAGGAACTGGTTGACCCATCGGTAATCCACACAGAAACGTTTCTCCTCGGTACCCTTCTTTGGTACAAATAGCGTCGAAGCGGCTGTCTCCTCCATACAGGGTTCCACGAATCCAATCCGTAGAAGCTCGTCTACCGTCTCTTTTTCCAGAGGGAGAAGGTGACCGGGTGTATAGAACCTCTTGGGCTTCCCTTCCAAAGGTCGCTCCAAGTCTAGGGTCACGTCGAACCCTTCACGGCTCGGCGGTAGCTCGGTCGAAGCTTTCTTGGAGAAGAAGCCTTCAAGATGGGCGAGCTCGTTTGGGAGTTTCTCGCGAACTCTCTTGACGTGTTCGGGATCTTCGCCGGCAGGGAAAGGAATTGGCTGTCCGTCGTGGGTCTGCCAGTTTGGACGAGGCGCAACGACGTTCAAAGAAATAGGTGTATCCGGCATATTCTGTCGAGACCATCTGGGCTGCCGGGGGTCATTTTCCACTTGCCTATAGAGAGCTGCCACGTTGACTACGGGGGACTTGTCCTGGTCTCTGGGGCTAGAAAGGGTGATGGGCGCCACAACTGGCTTTATCGTTCTCCAAGGGCGCTGGATAATCTTGGTGACCCTCGCTTGCCTTTCGTCCTCAGCTATTAAGCGGTCGCGACGTACCGCATCTGCCTGAGCCTGTACGTCGAGCGAACCAGTCTGGCATGGAATAGCAATGGTGGGCGAATACTTGGCGAGCGCTGGTAGATCTTGAGGCCAGATTATGGTTCGCGTGGCGGGAAAAAGGCCAACGCGATATTTGATGAACCATTCTTGTCCGATGATTACATCGTCGGCAGTGGGGATGATGAGGAACTTCTGTCGTGGGAATCTCCGTCCGTCGAGTTCTAGGGAGAGACGGATCTGGTGGGTGGCTTTGGCGGCGAGTACCCCATTAAAGTCATTGAGGCGGATGGGCTTGGAGAGTTGTTCTTGAACGGCGCCTAGTAGCTTTACGGCCTTACTGGCCATCTTCGGGGTCATTGACAAATAGATATCTGCTCCGGTATCACAAAGAGCTTTGGTTTTGAGGCTAATTCCTTCCAATTGGAGTTGAATAGGGAATAGGAAGGTTTTTGATCCAGACGATCTGCTCACTTTAGCTAGTCGTGGTATACGGACTGTCGAGGAGACTTCCGACAGTCCTAGTAGTTTTCCGATTCGTCAGAGGACGAGGATGACTGCTCCGGGGAGGTAGGAGGATCCTGGTCAAGGTCTAGCATCATCTTGGCCATAGTCTTCCTCTCGGGGCAGTCACGGGCGAAGTGACCTTCCTTACGGCAGATGAAACAAGTATCGTCTTTCCCTCGAGACTCCCTAACATAGGCCCGTTCGCTTTGAGTGGTTGGCAAACGTGTCCGGCGATCCCTCTTCTCTTGTTTGCGCTCTTGGTTCTCCTCCCAAGCGCGCTGGTGGGCTAGAGCAGCATCCGCGACGCTACCAGCAAAAGCCTCATAGGAGATTGTCGGGTTCTTTGAGTCTCCCAAGAGTCGGGGGTCAAGCCGAGCGGGAATACGCTCACAGAGTAGGGTCTTGCGCTCCGACTTAGCAACATTAGCCTTATCCGCCAAGCTATTGACTAATCCAATGTATGAATGGATAGTCACGTCCTTATTCGCCGGATCATACTTGAGCTTGGCTAGCTCGGCCCTGGCTTTCGTGGCTTGGTTGTCATCATGGTAGACAGTCGACAACGTAGCTACCATCTCGGCGACGTTGCGGAAGGGCATCTCCTGAGAGCTGTACCGACTCTCCAGCAGGTCGTTCGGGGGTCCCTCCGTAAGAGAGTTCAGAACCGCCATGCGGCTACGTTCTGTCTTGAAAGTGGCATCGTCTTCTACCAACTTGTCGGCCACCTTGATGATCCACTTATCGAAGGTTCCGTCAACCCCCTTGAAAATTCCAGGGTCGATACCGGCCTTGCGAGCCTTCCGGTCGAAGGTTTGGTTGACGGCGTGTTGGTCCTGACCGTAGGGCTTGAAAGCGGGAAGGGCGGCGAAGCCAATGGGTGTGAAGCTGTCCCCACTGAAAGCGCTCTCGGCAGGGGTGACAGTTCGGGCCCGGCGGTTGACGCCGTCGGCGGTGCGGGCGGCTGCCTCCGCCCTGAGTTCTGCCACTTGGGCAAGCAGAACTCGGTAATCCTCGGCGCTCGGGGCGCCATCGTCACCCGATACTCTACGGGTTTCGTTTCCCGTCATATTGTCTATCGGGGTGTCGACTTCTATACTGGTGACTGGCTCGTTTGGCTCTGTGTCGCGTTGCTGTGGAGCGGGCTTAGCAAGCTCTATGCTCGAGGGGGTTGCTATGACTTCTTCGTCAGACTCTTCGGTCTTCAAGTTCGCTTCCTCCTGGGTCCGTTCGCTTAGCTCTTTCGGCTGGGGGAGGCGTTCGGATTGGCGTATCGGTGGTCCGTAATCTTTCTTCTTGGGCATCGACGCTGTGGTGTTTGGGGGTTTCTGTGACCTGGTTTATCGTCGTGCACAGCCGACGTAGTGGGTTGCTTGTGGGGTTTTGACGTATTTATTGATCGCTGGCCAGCGATGAGAATTGGGAGTTTAGAATTGTGTCACGGCCGGCTTGGAATGAGGGCGGAACTCCTCTATTGGGCGCTATAGACGAAGATTCTAAACTACAGAGAAAAGGGAAAAGAAGCAAAAGCCTCCCCTCGCGAGATTCTTCCAGAGCGCGTCTCAAGGTGGGGCTCTGGCCGAGCTTCCATTGGTCAGTCGGGTGGATCCACCCGACTGGCGTCTGATTAGTCAGAGCGTCTGGGAGGTCTGGAGGACCAGGTCCTCACACCCTATAGAAGCAAGCGCCCTGAGCACAGTCCGCCGGGACACATAGATGCCCCCTTTCCGAAGCCCTGGGGCGATTTTCCACGCAGGAAAGGTCCGTGTTATTAAGTTCTTATAGATTAATACCTTAAGGGCTTTTTGGTACGTACGGTGATCTTTGACGGCCGGCCAGGGCGCTTTCCATCTACCAAGTACTCCTGCAATATAGGTGCCCCCTTTTTCCATCCTCTTGATAGGGCTTTCTCGTATAGCTTCCTCTGCGCCGTGATAGTGATCCCTAGCCTCTCGAAGACCTTAGGGCGTGATAGACCGTTGTCGTAGAGGGTTAGTGTTGGAATAGCGATACTGGTGACCGCACACTAACAGGGAGGAAGCAGAGATCGCGCGAGTACGCACGTGCAAGTAGGCATGTGCGGCGCGCGGACCTCACACACACATACACAAAAACCCCGGTCGCACGCAGAACCTACCTTAGTTCCGCAGAGAGGGAGGGAGAATAGACACAACATTACCCCCGGTAGATCTACCAACCCTTCGACCTGTAGGATCCCTACGTAGTTTGAGTACTACGAACAGTTAGGGCTTGAATTCGTATACTAAGATCGTAGTTTTACCCCGAGTGGGTGTAGGGTTCGGCTATTAGATTGGGCGGTTAGTATGGTATACCCATCTGCAGGCAGTGGATATCACGGTATTGCGGGTTGCCCCGTAATCCTATAATTGAGCTTGGCCTTGTCATTGGCCTTACTCTTCTTCGAAGCGCCCTGCGACGATGTTTTCGTGCGTGCAGTTATCGTGATACATACGAGAATGAAGCTGGTAATGCAACGAGCTTAGCGCAGTTGTTAGAATTAAAAAATCTTCCATTTTGAAGAAGCTGTGTTATTTTGTTTCTTTTTCCTCGGTTGGCTTGACCAGGGGGATGGTGTTGCTATGCCTCTTTTGGTTCGGCTTGATTTTGTTGCGCACTAGCCAAGGCGACCCTTTTTTTTTTGGCGAGCCTTCGTACACGAGTGTAGGTTAGAGGGAAATCGGCCGCCGAATTAGCGGGCGCTGCCGCCACTTTAAGCGGCAGTTTTCCCTGCACGCTAAGAACACACCTGTCAGTTAACCGTAGTGGCTAGAGAAGCACTAAGCCACAGCGTTAGCCCCATAAAAAGAGGACCACAGGACCTACCTGCAAACAGAAATGATCAAAGACACAACACAATTTTCAGTGCCCATAAGAGTGTTTTATCCCATAAGAGTGTTTTATCCCATAAGAGTGTTTTTTGTGACACCAGTTGGTGTCAAGTCTCGGGGATTAAAGTTGATACCAGTTGGTGTCGAGCTCTCCAGCAATAGCGACGATGGTTCTAGTGGTTGTCTGGGCGGGCATTCTTCCTCCACGCTTAAGCAAGTAGCCTGCATTACAATGGCGACGGAGACTTGGTCTCCTCTGATCACTCCATTTCGAGTCCCCCCGCAGCGCCGTTGAGTTGGCGTGCCCCTTCTAGCCACGTCTCCCATTCTTGGGGCTCCGTCTCTTCTGCAGCGCTGTGTATTGCGCTCATCGATCTCTTGTATGCTGACTCTCTGACACGGTGGTTATGCTTTTAGAGCGCCTAGTGATTGCCCTAATGGCTTGGCCTCATATTGCTTTTATACAAGCACAAGTATTGATAGTTTTAGTCAGTGATTGCGTGTGCTGAGCTAGCGCTCCTCCCAATGCCCTGTGTGGGCCCAAGCGGGCTGCAAACTTTTAGGCTCAAAATTTCCCTTCTCTGCCATTTCCACAGACTGCAAACTCTCATCGTCTCGCATTTCCACAGGTCGTACCCAATTCTTGTCTCCTGATCAAGATGGATTTCGAGGATCCACTTCGCAAATTCCCGGCCATCACACCGCACCCCGCACCAGACTCTGTGGCAAGCTCGGAGCTGTCTTCGCTCCTCGAAGAAAGTGACCGCTGGTACGACACCCGCACCACGGTGTTGAAGATACTGGAGAACCGCTACATACCAAATGGTCCTGATGATGGTACTCCCAAGGTTCTGCGCGCATTTGTGATGAAACTGCTCAAGGGCGGTCAACTTGCTCTAGTGTCGGAGACTCGTCTTCTCCAAGATGATTCGGCCAAGTTACGACAACTACGTAACTTCTTGGTGGATGCAATACTCAAGCCTAGTATTTCAACCTGTCCTTTTCTGCGTGTTGCATTCAGCTAACCAGTTCTGCTTTAGTGATGGGAACCGGTGGCAAGAATCCCAAAACGCCAATCACACCAAGTCCGCGCCCTAATGCAAACAACGACATCCTATCTAGCATAGCTACGATTGAGCCTTCTTCTCGAAACGATCAACGAGTATTAAAAGCCGACTGCTTGCGAAGAGACGGTCATCGTTGTGCTCTCACCGGGCGGGTCGATGGGAAGTCAAGGGGAAAAGTACCAGGAGCTGCAGGATGGATGGTCAAAACTCAATGTGCCCATATACTGCCGTTCGCACTTAGGAACTTCGACACGCAAAGTGCACAAGAGATAAAACGTTACGCTCCTGTTCTGCCGCCCTAGGCACTAAATAAATCCTAACCATACTAGACTCAAAATAAAGCTACGATCTGGTGGGCCCTCTATAGATATTTTCCAGGTCTGAAGGATTTGATCGGCCCCGGGACTATCAACCAGCACCAAAACGCACTAACTATGTGGGATACCCTTCATGCGGAGTTTGGAACCTTCAATCTGGCCTTCGAACCTTTAGACGACGTAAGTGTATCCAAGATATATTCGACTCCGGAAGTAACACAGCTGATATACGAGGGCTAATAGAATCGATATCGAACCCGCTGGGTAACATATCCAGGATATGAGGCTCCTGATGTTGTTACCTTAGCATCGAACGACCCTCCCGTACCGCTACCAAACTCCAAGTACTTTTGGGTCCATTTTCGGATAGCGGAGATCCTCGAAGTAAGTGGCATTAAAGAAAAGATTGAGGATGCCTGGGAAAAGGAGGGTTCGGATCCTGAAAGCATAGAACCTAGCGGCTCTACCGATATAGGATCTATGCTAAGTCGTAAGATGCTAATGGGTGTCTAGTGGTTCGATACCGGTGAAGCCACCTTGAAGTCGATAGAAATTGGGACGACATCTCCAGTGTTGAATCCGGTTTCGCCGGACGTTCTTCGTGGAGTCGGAGGAGCGGTGAACTAGGCTTGATCGTCGCGATGACTTCAACATCTTGATCGAGACCTGATCGTCCAAGTACACTATCGCCAAGGAGGCACAGGGTGCTGGGGTAGCGCAGATAATTTGCAGTGGGGTTTATGAAGAAGGTAGCAGAGCAGTTACAGGATAGTACTAAAGACGTAAGCTTTCCTGTCTTGGACCGCCCCGCCCATCATATCCCGTTCCCACTAAATTTGCAAATGAAGCTTGGCATCATGTAATCTTATCTGGTCATGTACCGGCTTCACGGACGCCGCGATACTTGCATAGCCCGCATCCGGGGATACAACCCGTCCGCATCCGGCGATGCAACCCGTTCGCATCCGACGATGCAACCCGTCCGCATCTTCCGTAGGATCCCTGGCCTAAATGTTAGCTCCGGGATGCGGCGGGAGGCGTAAGCGAGGCGCCAGCCGAAAGCAAAAGTGCCGCTAAACCGGTGGCGGATTTTCCTCCAACAACTTTACACACACACACACACAAAAGAGAAAATCTTGCATTCATCAATCACAGTGCGTGTGTGGCCTGTGTCTTTTTATCAACCGTTGGAAAGCTGTGTCACAGACTCACGTTCTGCCGACGTGCATTGTAGCTGTTTGGGATTTTTATGATTTGGGTACGATCTTATGTCTTGGACAATCTCAAATATCGAGTCAGACACCAAGCGGGAAAGGTGAGGTGCCCAGTCCGCGAGAGAAGTCTCCTTGTCACGTGCACGGCTTCTTCATGTCTGAGAGATCCCTGTCATGTGTACGGCTTCTTCATGTCTGAGAGATCCCCTGTCACGTGTACGGCTTCTTCATGTCCGAGAGGATCCCCTGTCACGTGTGCCGGGTTTTCTTTCTGGCTCCGACGAACTCACGCGGGGCAGGCGCCAGAAGCGTGATGGGTGGGTGCTCGTTGCCGATGCTCGGAGCAAAGAGACGGATCCTGCATTAGTGCAACGGGACAGCGGATCTGATAACTCTAAAGGGATGGGGCTCCACCGCACTACCCGCCAAGTTGCCCCCGCTGCCAGGGCCGCAAGCTTCGCACGATGTGCTGGAGGCCAGTTTGCTTTCGGTCGTCTTCTCGAGCGGGGCCTGGTCAAGCTGGTAGTTGGTTAACAGCCGAGCTCTTTCCTCGTGGGACTCCGAGCCGGCCGGCCCCGGGCCGACAACGATCAACAAATCACTGAGTGCTCCAGAATCCAGCGCACATGGCGGGATTTGAGTGGGCTGGAAGGACGGGTGGGCTGGAAGGACGGGTGGGCCAAGTCTGTGTGCGAGGCCAAGAATGCTACCAAGCTAGTCCCGGGTTCTAGTTAGCGCCTGCATGCTACCACCACCCACACCCGCACCCACACCCGCACCCACAGCCAGAGAACCGTGACGGCTCTGGGCTGCAGATTCGTTGGAGTTATGCGTGAAATTCAGACCTCGTAACTTGGTGCTGGGAAGGTACAGAAAGTACCTTGGGGACCCTAGTCGCCTCGGTCGTCCCGGGCTGCTGGGTCAAGTGTTATATCATCCCACCTCCCAAGTCCCAACTTTGAACCGCGCATCAACCTGCCTCGACTTTTGTTGTCCCGCTTCCACACACTCCCCTCCATCCCCCCCCATCCCCCAACGCAGATCTTGCCTCGTTCAGTGCCTGCTCCTCATCATCCCACCGACAGACCCAGTCCGACAGACCCAGTCCGACAAGATGGTCCACGCCGTGCTCCCCGCGCTGATCCCTGACATCCGCAAGGTGTACGACATTTACTTTGCGGCGTTCAAGGGCGAGCGCATGGGCGAGCTGATGCTTTCCGTGCTGTTCCCCGACGGGTCGGTCGACTCGGAAGAGTTCCGCACCGCGCACGCCGCCGGCACGCTCAGCTACTGGCACACCAGCGACACGCAGTACACGTTCAAGTGCGTTGACATGGACTCGGGCGACGTCGTCGGCATGGCCCTCGGCGACATCTTCATCCGCCCCCGCGCCGCCGAGGAGCGCAAGAACCACGGCGTGCCCTGGCTGACCGGCGAGCACCGCGCCCGCGCCGAAAAGGTCCTCAACCCGCTGTGGGAGATGCGCGAGGGCCTGTTTGGCGGCCAGCCGTACATCTGTAAGCATCCCTTCCCAATGATCCAGGGGCGGCAAACGCTGACGCGACACGCCGGCAGACACGCACGTCATTGGCGTCAATCCCGAGGCGCAGGGCAAGGGCGCTGGCGCGGCGCTGGTGCACTGGGGCATCGACATTTGCGATCGGCTGGCACTGCCGCTGTACTTCGAGTCGTCGCCGTCGACGGTCGGCCTGTACATGAAGATGGGCTACGAGCGCCTCAACGAGACCATCGTGCACAAAGCCGACGTGCTGGGGGCCGACGAGGATATCGTCGTACCGCTGATGGTGCGCATGCCCTCCGCGGCCAAGGGCACCACATTTTACGAGTGGAAGGCGCTGGGATACCCCAGCTGGAAGGAGCTGGCGGCGACGAAAGCCGCGAAGGCTACTGCTACCGCCTGAGCACGGTCTCGGGGGTGAGGCAGGGGATCTGGCAGGAGGCATGAGGACTGGCCTTGTGCGGGACAGCATAATTACATAATTATCATGAGGAGTTGGGCGTCGGTATTTTCTGCTTTTGAGACAAGGGCTGGCATTGACTGGTAGGCTGGCATTGACTGGTAGTCACGCTGCTACGTAGCCACAACCAAAATGATTCTTTTTGTCCAAAGCAAATCCCTCGCGTAAAGCTGGCCGTGAAAGTCCCTCAACAATGCCATCTCAACAATGTCATCAGCTGCATGTCACTCCCGAATGTCAGACGCAGGGAAGAGGGGAAGAGGGGGGGTTAAGGGGTTAGTCGGTGATGCCTCTCACGAAGTTACCCAAAGACCCATGACAAATGCACGCAACCAAGCATCCAAAATAATTAATTTAACGCGTAGAAATATCCACAAAGAATCTGCAGGGCCAAACCCCTCCTGCCTCGCCCTTCTGCCTCCCCCCCTGCCTCGCCCCCCTGCCTCGCCCCCCTGCCCCGGTCACAGTCGCCGGCACCGGCCGCCAAGCGGGTTATCAGATCATCTGATAATCAAAGTGCATTAGCGCGGGCCCGCATCCCCTCCGCGCAATCCTTGGCACAACCCACACCGGGTGCCGCTATTTTTTGGTCGGCCCCTGTGTTTCTCTGTTTGCGAACCGAACCTCGCGTGCCTCTTCGCATTCCCCTTTTAGAAGTGCGCGCTGTCTTCCCGTTCCCGTTCTTGCTTCCGCCTGTTCCGAGCTGCGAATTCTGTTCCGGCATCTAATCTATCGATATTACTGTCTGCTCTCAATTTGTATTTACTAGCAGTGTTGACCAGCTTGTCGAGGATTCTGTGATAATTGCTCTGGGAATTTTTCACTCTCTCGCTGGTGTTTGTTCTTTTCCACTTGTCCACCGCTGGAAACTTGTCCACTGTTGGAAACTTTCCACTCCTGGAATCTTTCCACTGCTGGAAACTTCTCTTCACACCATTGACAGCATCTTGGTCCACCCGCCCACAGCCGAGAGCCACTCCTCGTACCGAACAAGAACTTGGGGTGAGTGAGCCACACAAGAGATCGCCAGAGTTTTCCTTTCTGGCAGCCCCTAACTTAGCACCGCCGCAATGCTGCCCGAACGGATCCGGAAGGCGCTGCTCTTCTCGCGGCTGGTGGTCTACGCCGGCCGCGTCTTCTTCTCGGTCCTCTGGCGCAGCGCGTCAGCCCAGATCGCGTCGCTGACCGAGGGCACGCCCAACCCGCCGGCCGACCCGTCGGGCGTCAAGAACGTCGTGGTCGTGGGCGCGGCGTTCGCGGGCTACTTCGCGGCGCGCATCCTGGCGCTGTCGCTGCCGCGCGACGGCCGCTACCGCGTCGTCGTCGTCGAGCCCAACACGCACTTCAACTTCACCTGGGTACTGCCGCGCTTCTGCGTCGTCGAGGGCCACGAGCACAAGGCCTTCATCCCCTACTCGCCCGCCTTCTTCGGCAAGAAAGTCCCCGCGGGCATGGTGCGCTGGGTCACGGACCGCGTCGTCTCTGTCGGGAGGGAGAGCGTCGAGCTGAGCGGCGGCGAGCGCATCCCCTACGAGTTCCTGCTGATCGCGACGGGGTCCGCTGTGACGGACGGCCTGCCGTCGCGCGTCGGCAACGAGCGCAAGGCGGCGGGCGTCGAGCTGCTCCGGGCCATGCAGGCGCGCATCAAGGCGGCGGGCCACATTGTCGTGGCCGGCGGCGGCGCGGCCGGCGTCGAGGTTGCTACCGACGCCAAGCACCAGTACCCAGACAAGACGGTCACGCTGGTGCACTCGCGCCAGGCTGTCATGCACCGCTTCGGCCCGGGGCTGCAGACGGGCGCCATGGAGGCGCTCGAGCGGCTGGGCGTGCGTGTCGTTCTGGGCGAAAAGGTCGTCGCCGACAGCGTGGACGGCAAGTACATCACGCTGGTTTCGGGGACGAAGATCGAGTGCGACTGCTTTGTAAGTGCTAGGCCCCCTTTCACCCCCTTCTCCTCCCCCCCCCCCCCCCCCCCCCCTTTCCCCTTCCTCTTCCCCTTCCCCTTCCCCTCCCCCCCCTTCTTTTCAGCCAGAAATCCAGCCCGCTGACTTGACTATAGATAAACTGCACGGGGCAGAAGCCGGCATCGGGGCTGATTGCGGACCTGGCACCGAGCAGCATCGCAGCGTCGGGCCACATCAAGGTTAGGCCGACGCTGCAGATCGCCGACGAGTCGCTGCCCAACGTGTACGTGTGCGGCGACGTGGCCGACACGCACGACATGAACCCCAACTCGCGCATCGCCGCGCGCCAGGCCGAGATCGCCGCCGACAACATCGTGCGCGCCGCCCGCGGCAAGGCCCCGACCCTCGAGTACAAGCCCCGCTGGGGCGACGGCGTGATCAAGCTAACGCTGGGCCTGGTGCGTGACCCGTGGCTATTCCGTGCCTGACCGTGTGCTGACTGTACCCGCAGGACCGCTCCATGACGCACTTCTGGGACGGCTCGTCCGAGCTGCTGTTCCGCGGCAAGGAGACGGACCCGGCGCTCATGTGCGGCGGCGCCTGGTCGGCCCTAGGGGTTAAGCCGTTTGACGACACGGGCGTCTACTCGGCGTCGGCCTGATTAACTACCAGCCTGCCAGCCAGCCAGCCAGCCAGCCAGCCTGCCTACCTGCCTACCTGCCTACCTGCCAGCCTGCCAGCCTGCTTGCCTGCCTGCCAGGAACTAATCAGCTGGCCATTCTAGTAGAAAAGGCCGCGGCCAGTACTTTACGCAGCTGGTTGACACACTGGCGTATATTGCCTAGTCTGCGCTGTCCGCGTTTGGCATTCGGCGGTGTCACTGTCGGTTCTACTGGCAGTCAGGGACTGCGCCGTCTCACTTACTCCAGCTTTTCAGGGTCCTCCTTCTCCCCATATTCCGCCATGAGACGACAGCATTGCATCTTGCGCCCTTGCGGCCGCGCGGGGCTGTGCCGAGGCGCGCGCTGTTCGCGGGGAAAGGGAAACGGGGAACTAGGAAAAGGGGAACGGGGAACTGGGAAAAGGGAAACGGGGAATTGGGAGAAGGAGGTTTGTGTGGAGGAGGCGCGTCGTCAACCGCTGGCACCAAGGCGGGGAACTGGAAAAGGGAAACGGGGAACTGTGAAAAGGAGGTTTGTGTGGAGGAGGCGCGTCGTCAACCGCTGGCACCAAGGCGTGACGCAGATGCCGCCTCTGGTTGGCTGTCGTTTTGGCTGCTGCTGCTGCTGGTATGAGCTGTTGTGCTGCGATTTTGCGGCTGGACTGGTGGCGAGAATGGCATCGCCGACGCGCCGCATGCGTGCCTTGAGCCTTGTTGGCCGCGTGCTCGTGTTGCGACGGGGCAGTGTAATGGGCCCATTCCCGGGCGGTGAACGGCCACTTAGAGGCCTTATACACATAGTAATTCTATCGACGCGTCTCGCGACCGCCTGAGCAATGCCGACCGTGATGCGGGGTGCAAAAAGCGATCCCCTTGCATGTACGTGAGACATACGCCTTGGTTTGCTTGCTCACCTGACCGAGCGAAAGAGCCTTGGCCGGAATGCTTACCATCATGCCAGACGCGCGAAAAACGTAACACAAGACACTGTCTCGGATACAAACGGGGAAATTGGTTCTGTCGGTAGAGCTTTGGTCGGGCTCACGCTTCCTTCCAACGGCAACGGGCAGCCGCCTCTGATTGTTGCTGAATTGATGAATATCTCGACTTAATGGCGTCAGTTTCGTACTACACTGTGTCGCTAAGACGACATGATCGGGCTGAGAGTCGTGCCCAATGTCTAGCGTTGGGGCAGTGCCTGACATATTATTTCTAAAATTGAACATAGACTCGCTTGACCCGGCATTGGACACGGGTTGACGCCAGGTCTGTCGGATTACTTCCAGATCCCAATATTCAGAGGCGAAAAGGAAAGCTCCCAATATTTTACCTAATGCCAACCTACAGCGTCGTTGAGTCAGCCTGGTCTGGTTGGCAGCCGCCGTCAGCTTGATGCCGGGTGTCGGGGCTGAGAAGCTTCACCTCTCGGGAACCAGGCGCAGCGCACCCATTGGGCGAGGCGAGGTTAATCGTTTTCCCTAGACCGGCTCTTGATTTGTTTCATGTTCCTGAGCTGATTTCCGTTTGTAATTGAAACCTACCCGTCACTTGCTCCACCACGGCGCGATTGGAACACTGCCAAATGATTCCGAGCTGCATCTCCGGTCGGCAACGTGCCTCGAGGCAATTGGCCTCGCCGGTTTGGCAAACACCAGAGGCTAGCATTTTGATTTAGGTTCCGCCCAGCACTGTCGTACGAGCCCATGCCGACGTCCGGGGCTGGAATTGCGTCTTGTACAGCCTCTACTTGGCTCCTGGGGCGGAGCAACGACGTGATTGCTCGGTCTTGTCTCAAACGCTCCACCGAGGGAAGGGTCTGGTGATTTCGAGACACGTCAAGATGGGTATATAAGACGCGAGCCTGCATCAGTCCTGTCGGTGCTTCTCATCATCCGACCGTCGTCGCTTCTCAGCATCATCCGACTGTCGGGGCTTCTCAGCATCATCCGACCGTCGTCAGGGCAGAGTCCACATCTTGCACACCCGACCGTCGTCAGGGCAGATCCCGCATCTTGCACACCCAAAAACTTCCTCTGCCTCTCAGGCAAGTTCTCGAATACCGCACGGTACCCACCCGACAGCACCTCCAGCATGGTCCGCTTCCCGCACCTCCTCGGCCACCTGGTCCACGGCCTGAGCCTCGTCGCCGCCCTCCCGTCTCCGGAGCAGAGCGACAAGGCCGCCGTCCTCGAGACGCGCGCCACGGTTCCCGGCCGCTGGGAGTCGCTCGGAGGCGTGCTCGTGTCGCCGCCGTCGGTGGTGTCGTGGGCGGCGAACCGGCTCGACGTGTTCGGCATCGGCACCGACTCGGCGCTGTGGCATCGCTGGTGGGACGGCTCGCGCTGGGGCGGCTGGGAGTCGCTCGGCGGCGTGCTGCACAGCACGCCCGTCCCCGTGTCGTGGGGCCCCGGCCGCCTCGACATCTTCGCCGTCGGCACCGACAGCGCCGTGTGGCACAAGTGGTTCGGCTCGTCGCGCTGGGGCGGCTGGGAGTCGCTCGGCGGCATCATCCAGGGCACCCCGTCGGCCGTCTCGTGGGCCTCCAACCGCATCGACCTCTTCGGCATTGGCAGCGACTCGGCGCTCTGGCACAAGTGGTGGGACGGCTCGCGCTGGGGCGGCTGGGAGTCCCTCGGCGGGATCCTGACGTCGAATCCCTCGGCCGTCTCGTGGGGACCGAGGAGGCTCGACATCTTTGGGCTCGGCACCGACCACGCCCTGTACCACAAGTGGTATGACGGCTCGCGCTGGGGCGGCTGGGAGTCGCTCGGCGGGGTTCTCCATTCCGACCCGGCTGCCGTCTCGTGGGGACCCAACCGCATCGACGTCTTCGCCGTGGGCTCCGACCACGCGCTCTGGCACAAGTGGTGGGACGGCTCCCGATGGGGCGGCTGGGAGAGCCTCGGCGGCACGCTCGAGTCCCTCCCGGTGGTCGTGTCTGATGCGCCCGGGAAGCTCGACATCTACGGCGTCGGCACCGATAGCGCCGTCTGGCATCGCGCCTACTCTAACGGCTGGAAGGCCTGGGAGTCTGTCAAGGGGACTGTCGAGTCGCCGCCCGCCGTGGCATCGTGGGGACCCAACCGGATCGACGTCTTTGCCCTCGGCACAGACCACGCGCTGTGGCACAACTATTGATTGCTGCCTGTGAAACCTACCTTGTGGCAACTTGGGAGAATTCGGACTTGGGAGAATTCGGGCTTGGAAAGGGCCTGTCAGCGTAGGGGGAGAGAATTTGGATGTGTTCCGATATGTTCTGATGTGTTCCGATGTGTTCCGATGTGGGAAATTCTCGGTCTCTGTGATTTAACGGGATAATTAACGGAATAATTAACGGAATGATTAGTTAACAGAATTGGTGTTCGATTCTCTGCTAGGCATCTTAATTCTATTCCCTTATTTAGTGGTCCTGTGTGAGAGCCTTATTGGAAATGCAGCTTGAAGTCTGATTGGGAGTGAACGTTTTGTGCAAAATCATAAACTTGTTCCGCAGATCATCCACTCTGGTTCCTCAGCCTCTCTGTCACTACCGAATCTAATGTCCTCGAGAATCATGTGCGCCGCCTTCTCGGCAATGGCGTACACGGTGGCCTGTAAGTGCGCACTGATCTGCAGCGGCATGACGCTGGCGTCGACGACTCGCAGCCCCTCGACACCGTAAACGCGCAGCCTCTCGTCCACGACACCAGTGCGAGCGCCCCCCCTCCCCCCCATGGCGCACGTTCCCACCGGATGCCAGTCCGTCACCATGTTGCGCTTGAGCCACGCCCGCAGGTCGCCATCGCTGCGGCTCTCAAACGGCAGGGGACACACTTGCCCGCGGAGGATGCTGGCGAGGGGCTGGGCCGCGCAGATCGTCTCGGCAAAACGGTGGCAATGCATTGCGATCTCGAGGTCGACGTGACCCTGGTGTCCGGCGTAGTACTGGGGGTCGATTGCGATACCTTTCTCGTCCGTCTCGTGTGGCCCCAGTTTATGCGCAGGCTTGACGTGGACGCTGCCTCTCGAAAAGGGGTACTGGAGGATCTGTAGCATGCTCGCATACTTTTTCCCGCTTGAAGCGTCTGGGACGAAATCGGCACCCCAGTTGCCTAGGTCGAAAATATACTCGACATGGCCCAGAGTCTGGGCCTGGGGAGAGAAACGGCGGCGGAGGATGGAGTCTCGTTCTGCAAAGACGTTGCTGTTGGGTGGTTGCGTCGCTGGGGCGGTCGAGAGTATGGCGTCAATCGTCTCCTGTGGCACGAAGTGCGAGACAGGAACGTATGCCATCGAGACTGGCAGGACGGTCAGCGGGCCGGTACGGTAACGGGCGTATTCTTCGTGGGCCTCCGCGAGATGTTCGTCGAGTTTGAGGTCGTCCGGGTTTCTCAGCGAGCTGTCTACCTCGAAAACGAGCGTCGTTGCTTTATGCAAACCCGATTAGCGTAAAGGATTACAGTCAGCGGCAATTGTCGTCAACGCGCACGCGCTCAGGGGCTGCGTACTCAGGGGCTGCATACTTAGGTGGTCCTGGAGGTTTTCGCCGACGTTGGCATTGTCCACCTTTACGGAAATTCCGGCGGCGGAAAGGACTGCCGCTCCGCCCACTCCGGACAACTCCAGGAGGTGAGGTGACTTGATGGACCCCGCCGAGACGACGACCTCACGCGAGGCAAAGGCTGAGAACTCATTTCCGCCGTGGGCGAAGCGAACCCCTCGAGCTTTCCAGCCTGCTCCTTCGACTTGATCGAGGAGGATTTCCGACACCTCGGCACCGGCGAGAACCACCAGATTGGGTCGAGAGGTGTTGGGGCGGTAGTAGGAAGTAGCCGAGTACGATCTCGTCGCATTTAAGGGGTCAACAGAGCATAGGCTCGTCCAACAGCCGACGTTGGTGCCACCAAGCTGAGAGTCGCCGGCAGCGATCCCAACCGAATCGAGAGTCCGGTGCCAATGTGCGTGCGAGGAAGTGTATTCCATGGGGTACGAGATCTGAATAGGCCCGGTCAGCCCGACGAGCCCGGGATGGGAAGACGCTGCTCGAGCGGCTGCCTGTGAGTCCGAAGTCGGCGCATGAAATGTCTCGCTCTTCTTGAAGAAGGGTCTCGAAAATAGTTAGCCTCTATTCTATTTCCCTCCCCGAACCACAATCCGGGGGAATCGGAGACACAGCTTACAGGAGATGGTCCCAACCCCAACCAGCATTCCCGAGCTCCGCCCAGGCGTCGTAGTCTCCTCGGCTGCCCCTGTTCCAGGTCATAAAGTTCAGGGCGCTGGAGCCACCCAGGACTTTTCCTCGAGCCCACGGGACGGCTCGCCCGCCCAGTCCGGGTTGTGGAACAGTTTCAAAATTCCAGTCGAGGTCGGTTCCGAGCGCTCGGCCTGCGAGACCGGGTAGTTCAACGGCCTCATCGCCAAAAGCAGACGATCCGGCTTCGAGCACGCCAACGACCAAGCGGGGATCCTCAGACAGTCTGGCCGCAACAGCTAGCCCAGCGGTGCCGCCGCCGACGACCAGGAAGTCGAACTGCCTCGCTGCAAAGGCTTCCGCCGTGACGTGTTGACTGTCCATATCGCCTCGAGAGTCCTCCGAATATTCAGATTCTTGTTCAGGCGGTGTTTGACCGTTGGGGATCCCAGCGAGTCTAGAGTTCGCTAATGTGTAAATACTCTTTGTAAAGGTCAAGCCTAGCCGACCTTGGCATTTTGCTGGTGTGGGCGGGAATGAAGTGAGATTCCTCAATAAGAACAGTGCATGCGGTGCGACCCTGAGGGACTACTGCGGGGGCCGGGTCGAGCCACAAGGCCCATGCTCGATAGCTTGAACTATTGACCGAAACGACGGGAACGGGGGCCGGGTCGAGCCACAAGGCCCATGCTCGATAGCTTGAATTATTGATCGAAACGACGGGAACGAGTGACCTAGACTTCTAGACGTTGAGTACCTACGCTGTCTTCTGAACTGCACCACAGCAGCCATATAACTACATAGCCGCTGTGGATAAAGAGCGGCGGCTTCGTGTTGCTGATCGTGTCTCGCTGATGTGTCCAAGCCTTTTCGACAAGTACAAGTCGCAATTCATGACCACGTCTGTCCCCTGACCACACCACGCTCGCCGAATCACGGCTGATGCACCACGCCCGCCGAATCACGGCTGATGCTGACTAGCGACCATTGCACGTCGAGATGTGCCGGCTGTTACACCAACCCCGCTTTCTAACCCCTCGAGAACTAGGAGTGCCAGAAGACCCTGGCACATATTTCCCTCCACTTCTTTTGTGCTGCCCGCCTGGGGCGAGGGCCGCCGCTCTCACACCAGCAATGCCCACCTTTTCATTAGTAAGGCCATATCCTTTACGAGTTGTGATAGTAAGGCCATATCCTTTACGTAGTCGTGATAGTAAGGCCATATCCTTTGCGTAGTCGTGATACAAATGCCATATCCTTACGTAGTCGTGATACAAATGCAATATCCTTTGCGCAGTCATGATACAAACGCCTCCCTTCTGTCTTGGACGCGCGCCGTGTGTTACATTGGACGTGTGAGAATCACGAGATTTGGAGAAGTTGGGTTCCCTCGCCGTCTTTCGTTCCGCATTGGTCTTCTCCAATCTTTGCGCTGTCGTGTAGTCGTAGTCACTACTAGATATGTCGACAACAACCGCCGACATGCAACCTGCCGCGGATGACGCCGAGAAGGGCTCGGCCCAGCCAGTCCAGGCCGCGGATTCTGTCTCGTCCGACGAGACTGGCGCCCGGGCAGCACCGCCAGCTGGAAGCGGGTCTGTCACCTCCCTCCTCCGCCGGCTAAACGACCGCATCGAAGGCCTCGCGGGATTCGAGGCCCGCGGCATCGCGCGCGTTGAGCCCGAGGAGAGGCAAGCGCCATCACTGGCGGCGGATCTGCAGATTGCCATCCTGTGGTTCAGCGCCAACATCTCGGCCAACAACCTCACGACTGGCCTGTTCGGCCCGCTGGTGTTCCAGCTCGGCTTCGCCGACAGCGCCGTGTGCGCCGTGGTCGGCGGGCTGCTCGGCAGCGCCTCGACCGGCTACATGGCCGTCTGGGGCCCCCAGAGCGGCCACCGCACCATGGTCGTGCTGCGCTACCTCATGGGGTACTGGCCTTCCAAGCTGCCGTGTCTACTCAACATCGTCCTCATGGTCGGCTACACCACGCTCAACCTCATCATCTCGGGTCAGATCCTGTCGGCCGTCAGCGACGGCGCCATGTCCATTGTCGTTGGCATTGTTGTCGTGGCCATTGTCAACTGGGTTGTGGCCGTGTTTGGCATGTACCTCTTTCACTACTACGAGAGGTGCGTGCTGTGTTTCGTGACTCCAACCCTGCACGTTCCGAGAAATGTTCCGAGAACACGCTTTGTTGACGAAATACTAACTCCCTGTCGGGTGCGTTTCGTCGAACCAGATACGCCTGGCTTCCACAGCTGCTCGTTCTGTCCGTGCTTATCGGATGCGCCGGTTCGCACTTCGATGCATCGCTGGAGTCGACGGGCGACGGTGCGACATTGGCCGCCAACCGCCTCTCGTTTCTGTCCCTGTGCCTCTACGTGCCCAACTCTTGGTAATTTTCTCGACGAGTCTTTCGCTTGCTAATCGTACCCGAGTCCAACCAGTGGCCAGAACTGGTTTCGTTGCTCAGGCTAATGGAGAATAGGGGCGCGGCTGCTTCCGACTACTACGTCTACTACCCCGAAAAGACATCCAAGCTCAAGATCTTTCTCTTGACCTTGGCAGGTCTCTGGGTCTCGTTCACTCTAGTCTACATGATCGGCATCGGGCTCGCCTCTGGAATCCCCACGAACCAGGCCTGGGCCGACGCCTACGCCGTCTCGGTCGGCGCACTCATTGTCGAAGGCTTCCGAGGACTGTCCGGGTTTGGTGGCTTCTGCGGCGTGGTCGTGGCGCTGGGCGTCATCGCCAACAGCATTCCCGGGACGTACTCGGCGGCGCTGGGCTTCCAGGTCCTGGGACGCTACGGCAAGGCGGCGCCGCGGTGGCTCTGGTGCTGCGTCATCGTCGTCGTCATGCTCGTCTGCGCCCTTGCCGGCCGCGACCATTTGATGGTCGTGTTCCAAAACTTTCTCGCTCTCATGGGGTACTGGGTCGAGTTTATGGTGCTGATTGTTCTTCTCGAGTCGCTGCTTTTCCGCCGCGGTGCAAAGACCTTTGACTGGACACGGTGCGAGGACAAGACCTATTTGCCGATCGGCCTGGCTGCCCTGGCCGCGTTTCTGCTCGGATGGGTTGGGGCAATTTTGGGCATGTACCAAGTGTGGTTCACTGGCCCTCTTGCTCAGCTGGCTGGCTACAGCGACATTGGCATCTGGGTGGGCTGCGCCTTTACCCTTGTCTCATACCCACCACTGCGTTGGCTGGAGTTGAAGATGATTGGAAGATGATTGGAAGATAGCCGCATCTCGACGGGATACGACATGCTGCAACATGGAATCAGGGAGAACATGGAATCATGGAGAAAAGTAAATGGTACTGATTCAACTTCTGGACTTGCTTGATCGACGTGAACCGCACACTGGCAGACCCCTCACGCCTTGGAAACAATCTCCCACATCTCGTCTATGGCTGCCACGACAAAATCGGGAAGAGGGCCCTTGGAGACGGATTCCAGGTTCTGCTCAAGCTGCGACGTCTTGCTGGCGCCGAGAATGACAGCATCGCCAGCTCCCAGGGCAGAGTGGTGATAAATCCAGCGCAGACTTGCCTCGACCTTAGAAATTCTCAGCGGCTCGATGGTTTCGTCGAGGCAGTCGATGGCGTCGTGCATCTCCGGTTTATCGTAGCGGCCGCGGAGTATCTCGCCGACGGCGCTGTTCTTGTCAAAGCGGGTGCCCGCCGTGTCGCCAGCTGTCAGCCGTCCAGAAAGAAACCCTGCAGCCAAGGGGCTGGAGAGTCGTACGATGTGAGCCAACTGGTGAGTAAAAACATGGACAGGAACAGAGCTGCCATCCTACCTGAAAGCGTGAAAAGTCATGCCGTGCTCGCGCAGGAGCGGGAAGAGAGTTGTCTCAACCCTACGTGACACTAAGTTGTACTGGCCCTGATATACGGTCGGCTTCACGTAGCCCTTTTCTCGGCATATTTTCAGCAGCTCCGACAACGATTCCGGGGGAAAGTTGGAGAGGCCAAACTATGGTGAACAGGTGGTGAGAAGCTGAAGATGATGCATGGTGACACTACATGGCACGGCCATGGGTGGCACTACATGGCACGGCTTGCTCACCTCCTTGAACAGCCCCTTCTTGTACTGGGCGTCGAATCCGGCGGCTTGGGCCTCGAGCGGCGTCCTTGGGTCTGGGGCATGAGCAAACAGTACGTTGATGGGCGCGTCGTGCAACTGCAGACGCTCGCGGCTGTCTCTCAGCGACATCTCAATGGCAGCCGGCTCAAGACTGCCCGCAAAGTCATTGGCGACATATATCTTGGTGTCGATTGCGAAGTTGTGTTTGGCGGCTCCGGCTTCGCCGAGGAGGCGCTCGGAAGCGCCCGAGTTGCCCTGCGGATAGCGCGCTGCCGTGTCAATGCGGTTGATTCCTAGCGACTGGAGCGTCTTGAGCAGGTCAGAAACCTCCTCGGCTGTCGAGAACGATCCTTCGATCAGCGAGCCGTCAGCTCGCAGGGCCCCAATTCCCGAGCCACCAAAGATGAGCGCGGGGTTGCCTCTCGGAGCCATCGGTCTGATCTCAACGAGCGTGCAGGCCGTGCAGGCCGAGTCGTCAGCAACAGATGCGAGAAATCGATCGGGGACTGGAAGTTGTGAAGGGCGATGGTCGATCGGAGTGACAACCCTTGGCTGGAGTAATAATCCAAGATTCCAAACCAACTCTCCTTTGTCGCCAAACGGTAATTTAAGTGTTTCCGGTTATCGCCCGCGGACGAAAGTCTCAGGGCGTTTGTCTACCACCCCTCATCTCCAGCGCCGCGGCGGAATCAGTTGGCGAATGGCAGCTCGGGATCAAGAAGAGGTGGGACGCTAAATTCGCCCGCGGACGAAAGTCTCGGGACAACCTCGACCAATTAGCAGATAGGATTCCACCAAACTCGCAGGCCTTGTACAAATGGGTGGCGTAACCGCCTCTTTCTCTTTCTCGTCGATTGCTGAGCTGCCAACACCTATTACTACGGGTCTCGACATTATCACCGGCACAGAATGGCCCTCTTCAACTACCTGGTAACTGGCCATCTGGTAACTGGCCATCTGGTAACTGGCCATCTGGATCCATACCAATCCGAGGGGGCGCTGAGAGTGCGAGCTTCTGACACTTACTCAACATTCAGACAGGACTCGACATCCAGACAGGACTCGACATCCAGACAGACACTGGGATTTCCCGAGAACAGGGTGGGCGGCGAGTGAAAATATTCGTGTATTTTTCAGCAATAATTCCGTAACGTAATTGCATAGCGAGTGGCCATGTATAGCGAGTGGCCACTCTCCCCACCCCAATTGAGCTTTCGCACGACACACTAATACCACAAAAAAATGATCAATTAAAACTACTTAGAATCCAATCCCTTATCCATTTTCGCATCCCCCTGGCACGTACGAGATTTGTGTCCTGTTTTGCCGCAATTGTTACAGGGCCGTGAACCTGCTGTATTGCTCCTTGTACGGCCACCTCCCGACCACTTTTCCTCCTCTAGTAGGGCGTATGCATCCCTTTCAGCCAGAATATCGCTTGCATCCTGTACAGTCAATGGTCTTCCTGCTTGGATACGATTTTTTTAGCCCTCCGGCGTTTACTTAGGGCTGTATTTGTCTCCTCAAGCTCTCGTATACGAGCCTTCATTAATACTACCTCGTGCATAACCTTCGTTATACCCTTTACAATTTGGTCAAGGGCCTCAAGAATTGGGGTTGGTGAGCTGCTCTGATGCCTGGTAATACGATCCTTAATGTGTGTTGATTATAGAGAGGTCTCAGTAGCATTCTATGGTGTCTTAGAGACCCAATTGTCGTACGAGTCCTCGGGGGGGGGGGGGGGGGGCAAGTGGGTGTTGGTGTACGAAGCTTGATATCTAGCTAGGATATCACCTTTTCTGGGTCATATGGGACAAGGCCTGCCCCTCGGAAACCTCCTTGTACGTTTTCAGGTTTGAATATTGCTTGAAATACGTTGTAGAAGACGAGAAAGAAGTCGGGCTTGGTAATATGGTGAATATGGTTGCGTATTAGCTTCTCGATTTCTGTAAGAGAAGGCAGGTACGCCTGATCAAGGTGGTCACAATAGGAGCAACAAGCAGGGCGAGCAATGACTGGTATTGGCGTAAGACTTCAACCTGGCCTGAGCTAAAGAGGTGTGCGAAGGCCATGGTCTATATACACGTGAAAGGGGTTACGAGTCATCCTTGCGTGGCCAGGGTGGTAGTGGCGATAGTGCGTGGCCCTGTTAGCGGTGGCGATAGTGGCGATGGTGGCGAGGGTGGCCCTGGTGGCGGTGGCCATGGTGGCTACGAGGGTGGTTTACTTACAATAGACTATGGCCTTCGCACACCTCTTTAGCTCAGGCCAGGTTGAAGTCTTACGCCAATACCAGTCATTGCTCGCCCTGCTTGTTACTCCTATTGTGACCACCTTGATCAGGCGTACCTGCCTTCTCTTACATATCATTAGATAATCGAATCCGACGTAATGGGCATATCATCAATCTCGCTGTCCAGGCATTTTTATTCCAGGATATAGACTAAGATGAAGATCTAGAGTTAAAAGAAGCTCAGATTGCTCGTGACCTCAACCCTCTAATCAAACTGTATAACATTATCAGCCATATTAGAGGGTCCCCTGGTCGAATGAATCAATTTATCTAACTTGCTGACCGAAAAATTCTTTTGGATAATTCTACACGATAGAATAGTTAGTATTTGATGATCTAAACTGTACTTAAGAAAGAAGGTGCGATTGATTTATATATCAAATCGTGGTATGAACCTCTCCAAAAGGGTTATCTTTCTCTAGATGATTGGGAATATCTTCGGTTAATATCGGCCTTTTTACATCCATTCTATCGAGCAACAAAAGCAACCGAAGGAGATCAGGCAATAATCGATCGGGTTCTATTTATTATGGATATTCTTATTCAGCACTTCAAAAAAGCTTTTTAACGTATAAATCAAATCCTTTCCTACTTCGTCAAATCTAGAAAAGCTGGGCTATATTCGATAAATATTATGCAAAGACTGAGGAGTCTCCATTCTATATACCACCGTGATCTTTCATCCATCTCGACGACTCTTATATCTCAAACACAACTGGGAAAAAAATGGTTACGGCCAGCAATCAACTCTATCAAAAAGCCTTGGGAAGAGCATAGAGATCAGACAGCAGATTTGTCTCCAACAATAACTACCATCAATACAAATTAATAACAATCTCGATGAGTTCGATATCCTTGCTCAAAATCTCGATATTCTTCCAATATAACAAACCAAAGATGACTTCGAAGAGTATATCTTAGAGGCTGCAATTCCAATCCAAACTTCAGCATTAGCCTGGTAGCTAAATCCACAACAACAACAACGCTAGCCAAGACTATCTCAACTAGCAATCAACGTACTATCAATCCCAGCAATAAGTGCTGAACCAGAAAGAGTGTTTTCAGGGGCTTGTCGTATAATATCTTGGGAAAGAATGTAACTGGGTGAAGATACTATTGAATACCTTGAGTGTTTGAAGCATTGGATAAGGTCAGGGCTTGTAAATATTGAGTTAGGGGGGATGGAAGTAGATTACTACGCAGATTAGCCAGGTGTTGGAATCACTAGGTACCGGTACTGGAAGCAACAGGGCGTAGCTGTACGCCAAAAAACTGGTGGTTTAAGTGTTGGTTGTTGTTGATGTCTATCTAGATCTTAGAAGGGGGGTGGAAGTGGCCGTAGGCCACTTATTTACGTTCGGTGGCCCGGCGCCCCTGCGCCCCTGCGCCTCCACCGCCACATGTGGCTGCTTGCGCCTCCACCGCCACATCTGTGGCTGACTAGCGCGTGATTCCGGGTTTTGGAATATTAGAATTGATTACTCAGCAATTTGACGAATATCGTTCATTTGTCAGCGAATATTTCACGAATATTCTGTTGGAATAGCGATACTGGTAACCGCACACTAGCAGGGAGGAAGCAGAGATCGCGCGAGTACGCACGTGCAAGTAGGCACGTGCGGCGCGCGGACCTCTCACACACACAAAAACCCCGGTCGCAAGCAGAACCTACCTTAGTTCCAGAGGAAAAAGAATAAATCAGAACAACTTCACACCCCCCCCCCCACCCCCCCCGGTAGTACTACCACACTTTTGACCCGTTGGAACACCTACGTGGTTGGAATACCACGAACATATTCAATATTTGATTCGTCAGCAGACGAATATATCGTCGCCCACCCTGCCCGAGAATGAATAGGGTATCCGGATGCCATCAATAGACAAACCAACATCATGTCTGTCTTCGGACCCGCGTAGGTCAACAATTTCCTACTCGCCTACATGTTCGTGAAGCGGGCCGATATCGCGTCATCAACGGTTAACCAGGCAGAAGTCGCTACCGCAGAATGTGCACGCGAGGTTAGGCGGCTCCTCCAGTTAGGGCGGCTATGACAGTCAGTGGACGCTTTATACCAGCCGGTCATTGTGGTACGTGGCAGAATGCCTTGTATTCTCCATGGCCACAGCGTGGTGCCCTGGTACTACGCTAACCCGACCGACCCCCGTGACCGGTAGATGGTATATTGGGACATGCACTCCATTTGCCTGAGTTCAATAACAGATTTCGCCCTAACCCGCATGGATATTTGCTTGCAGCATGGCGGGAGGCTAACCGGGTAGGCCAAGAGCGTGCAGCTACCAATGCACGAGGTAATGATATGTGGCCAATACCAGCAGATATCATGTGAAACAGCTTTAGGGCCACTGTTCATCCTCCCGACAACACGGCTCCCGACAACACGGCTCAAATATAGCACACAACTGCAACGTCCAAGGGAGGATAGATTCACAGCTTAACAGCCAACGGGTAAATGGGTGTTGGTGAGACTCGATATTGATTATGAGGCTAGAGGCGCTCACTCGCGAGCTCCATTTTTGCGCACCTCTTGTCCCCTAAACGGAGTTTAGATTGAAATGGGGCAACTGGACATTATCCGCGATTGAAGATTTCCGCGAATGTAGATTGCGGTGGTGCCAAACCTGGTTTTCGGCGTTCCCAAATAATGATAACGTTATCTAAATATTTGCAAGATTCATCTCAGTCAAATCGAACCTCAGGCCGAACGGGAGTCGACGTTCCTATGACTCTCAGACACCCATGCCCAGGCACGGGTTTCCTACTCTTGAAGTGCTCGATTATAGCCAAAATAAGCCATTTACATCCCGGAAATGTCGTCAGGCTCCGGTGGCCCTTCGTGGTTCACCCATTACGCGTTCCGCCAAGCAGCCAAGACGAGACAAGCTCGCCAAGACAGCTCGACGTGGCTTCTACCCCACAATCCGCGGCAATCCCGCCCAGATCCTCGCCAGCGTCCCACACTCTTGTATAGAGAACACTATGTCCACTGCCATGCCAAGGAGGGAGCCCACTCTGTATAGTGCAAAAGCCTCAGTTCCAAACAAGATCAATTTTCCGCCGCCGGGCACAGCGGGTAAAACTCCCCGCGATAGGGCCAAGCATGGGGTCGGATACCGGCTCGGGATGGGCTCACGATTGAACTACCAGAATTTTTTCTTGTATTTATCCTAGAATGTGGACCAGAAGTGGGTATTTAGACGACATGGCGCACCAGTGCTGCGGTCGCGAATCGCAGAGACAATCCTCATCGCACCTTTCCGCACACCGTGACCATGGTTTCATTCACCGCCCTCGTGGCAGCTGCCGCAGCTGGCGCTACCGTCGTAGCCAGCCCGCTCCAGGCCGTCCAGGCCGTCCAGGCCGGTATCCAGCCCGGGACCGGCAAGCATGACGGCTTCTTCTACTCGTTCTGGACCGACGGCAAGGGGTCCATCGACTACACCAACGGGCCGGGCGGCAACTACAAGTCCAAGTGGAACAACGTCAACAACTGGGTCGGCGGCAAGGGCTGGAACCCCGGCCCGCCCAAGAAGATCAGCTACAACGGCACGTGGGACAACTACAAGGTCAACAGCTACCTGTCGCTGTACGGCTGGACGACCAACCCGCTGGTCGAGTACTACATCGTCGAGGCGTACGGCACGTACAACCCCAGCTCGGGCACCAGCAAGAAGGGCACCGTCGAGAGCGACGGCGGCACCTACGATATCTACCAGACTACGCGCGTCAACCAGCCGTCCATCTTGGGCACGTCCACCTTTGCCCAGTTCTGGTCCGTGCGCACCCAGAAGCGCGTCGGCGGCAACATTACCACGCAGAACCACTTTGACGCCTGGAAGAAGTACGGCCTCAAGCTCGGCACCTGGGACTACATGATCCTGGCTACCGAGGGGTACCAGAGCAGCGGGTCGTCCGACATCACCATCAACGAGATCAAGTAATACATCTGAGCAGATCTGATCTGACGTGCTGTAGCACGGAGGTAGACGTGTTGTAGCACGGAGGCTGACGTGTTGTAGCACGGAGGTAGACGTGTTGTAGCACGGAGGCTGACGTGTTGTAGCACGGAGGTAGACGTGTTGTAGCACGGAGGCTGACGTGTTGTAGCACGGAGGTAGACGTGTTGTAGCACGGAGGTACACGTGTTGTAGCACGGAGGTAGACGTGTTTGGAGCACGCTGTATGTAGCCACACGGTAGCAGAAGGGTTGAATTGAACTTCAATGTTATGCTTTGGCATTAGCCGCCATAACAGAAACGACGTTGCCTCTGCTCTGCCTTGATGCCTATCCTGTGCAATGCCGTGGAAGTTTCCTCACTAGAGAAGATAAAGAGGGCAACGAAAAGATAAAGAGCGCAACGAAAAGATAACTAGGGCAAAGAAAAGATAAAGAGGGCAAAGAAAAGATAAAGAGGGATAAAGAGGCAAAGAAAAGATGAAGAGGGCAAGAAAAGAAGATGAAAGGGAAAGCATTCCCACTGATATCACGGTCCGAGCACGTAGCCTTCCGTGCCCTCGTCGCTCTTCTCCACCTTGACAGACTCCAAGTCCAGATTCTCGATCGTCCGGACATTCAAGGGCTGCAACGCGAGATTCTTCCTGTAGGCCGCCATGACGCGCTCCTTCCTCTCTGGCGGCACGCTGTCAAAGACGCTGAGCGGCGGGCCGTAGACGGTGTTGTAGACGTTGACCCCGCAGGCCTTGCAGTGGACCAGTCCGATGTACTTCCGGCCATACTGGTACTCGGAGGTGTGCTCTTTGCCGTGGAGCCTGACCTGGTCCTTGTTGGGGTACACGCCGACGAATGCGTTCTGCATGTGGTTGCTCAGGTCGCGTTAGCAGCTTGCTCGTGGGCCAGAGAGCCTGGTGAGGGGATGCGTCCAGAGAAGGCCGTACCCTCACGCACGAGCTGCAGTTGTCTTCCTTTGCTTGCAGGCTGGAAAGCGGGGCTAGCAGCTCTGCCTTGACGTTTCCGCAATGGCACGAGAGCAGGTGCTGGGCCGGGGGGTCAGACGGGGCCGTTAGCGGTTCGAAGAGTCTGGTGTCTTGGCCAGCGACGGCCTCGATGGCATCTGACGCCCTGCTAGCCGTGTTAGCGAATCAGATTCACACCATCCTATCCCTGTGCGGCGGCATCGCATTTACTCCAGCGAGAAGGGGTTGACCCCCTGTAGAGCCCGAATGTTGACGAGCAAGTGGCCGCGCAGTGGCCCGTCCAGATGCTCACCGACTACTCCTGTGCCGCAGTGTCCGCAGAACTTCATCGGATGAACCCATCAGTGTCTCTCAGTGGCCAAGGGGTTATGTCGGGAACGTGATACCTTGTCTCTTGCTGCTGCGGACTGATACTCGGTTAAGCAGCCGTCGTCTCTCGTCACCTTGAGCGCTCCTTCGGGGATGGCGAGCCATAGGTAGCCCTTCTTGGCGCATAGCGTGCAGCTGCACGCGAAGCTGCTAGAGATTCTGGCAGAGAGAGAGACTTCGAACCGGTACCGTCCGCAGTGACAGTTGCCGTCGTAGGATGATGTCGGTTCTGGCTCCATGGCGGCCTTTGGCTCTATGGCGTGGGTTCGAGCTCGATCGCGAATCTGCTTGCCGGTGAGAAGGATAGCAGGGCGGACACGGGAAATGGCGTGGGGTGGAGCCTGGCCAAGATGAGAGATCCCCGACTGGTCCAGCTTTTCAACCAACTTCAACAGCTCCGACTCCGGCCTAGGCGCTGCAAGGTGATAAAGGCAAGGCGCTGCAAGGTGATAAAGGCAAGGCGCTGCGAGGTGATAAAGGCAAGGCGTTGTGAATGTGTTGGCGACATGACCCCGCGCGGGGTTATCTCTATCATGCAGGACCTCTAGGCGGGAAAAATACCCAAGGTGCGGCTTGTGGGATGCGCGCTGACAGGCTGGGCTGGGCGCCTTGGGCCGCTTGGGTTGGGAGAGACGGGCCGATGTCACTGTAATACCGTTAAAAGTTGGGATCACACACCTACCTAGGCACCTAAGTTGCCTATATGATTTTGTTAGAGTCAGGTTCAGACCCAGCTTGTCTGCATGTTTGCCAAAAGGGAAGGTGACGAATCAAGGAATCTTATTGCCCTTTACGGATAACTGAGATATGCAAAAATTCCCCGTCTTGCTGGCTCTATCGGGGGCCAAGATTCGAGCGTCTCCAACCCTACAAGCATCGTGCCAGCTCCGCTGTCCGGCATATGGACCGTTGGCCGTGCATGACGCTACATCCTCAAGCGGCTTGGCAGGGGCAGGGGCAGCGACAACAAGGTTAGTAACTTTTCCGTTGCGTGCACCGTTTTCTCGACCAGGGTTGTGGCGAAACGGAGATCATTATTCTCCCCGGCCTTCGTGACGATGACTTCGTTGAGGTAGCAATGTGACGTGCCAGCCCGCTTAGCGAAGGCCGCCGCTTCCCTTCCATCGCTTCTTGACCCCCCGCGGGGAACTGATCCACATCTGGGCCCGCCAATCCCGGGACGACGAGATTGCGTCGCTCGACCAGTTTACTAGTTGCAAGGTGTAATACTTTGACTCGATTAGCTCTACTTGCCGGGAGTCATCACACTCGGCTTTCCAAAACTGATTTATGCCCATCGGTGTTAGTAGTCAGCTCCCGGCTTGCCCATTTAACAAGAAAGGCCATATCACCTTGGCAAGGTTCACTTCATCTCTAGCTTTTGTCTTCCAGTCTTACTCTTCTGGACCTTGAGCCAACTATCCACCATCATCAAATCCCGCCAGTTCCCGCTCAGTCACGATGAAGTTCGTTTCCCTGGCTCTCTTGTTCGCTGGCGCCGCTTTGGCTGCCCCTGTCGCCAACGACTTCATCCGCGAGACCAACAAGCGCTCCGAGGACTCTTCCGAGGGAGTCGTTACCTGGGCTGACGTCGGCAAGCGCTCAGAGGATTCGTCTGAGGGTGTTGTGACCTGGGCCGATGTCGGCAAGCGATCCGAGGATTCGTCTGAGGGAGTCGTGACCTGGGCCGATGTTGGCAAGCGCGCTGAAGACTCGTCCGAGGGCGTCGTGACCTGGGCCGATGTTGGCAAGCGCGCTGAAGACTCGTCCGAGGGTGTCGTCACCTGGGCCGACGTTGGAAAGCGCTCAGAGGACTCCTCTGAGGGCGTCGTCACCTGGGCCGACGTTGGAAAGCGCTCAGAGGACTCCTCTGAGGGAGTCGTCACCTGGGCCGACGTTGGAAAGCGCTCAGAGGACTCCTCTGAGGGAGTCGTTACCTGGGCTGATGTCGGCAAACGCTCCGAAGATTCCTCCGAGGGTGTGGTGACTTGGGCCGATGTTGGCAAGCGCTCCGAGGACTCGTCCGAGGGTGTCGTCACCTGGGCCGACGTTGGAAAGCGGGCTTAGATTGCTAGAATCCACAGCCGCGGCATTGTTCAGGTATTTGTGCCCTGTCTTGTCACACCTACCTTAATTGAGACAGCCGACTGATAATTCTCACCGAAGTTTTAGATCAAGGCTGTGAATCTGCTTCAGGGACTAGCAGAAATGTCGTGGGGGGGAGAGGGGGGTTAGCGCGTCCGGTCCTCGCCTACCGTACCTGATGACCTTTCGTGTGGATAGTAGCCAATAAATCACAAACTGGTCGCTGAGAAAGTTTTTCTGGTCGGGCTTTCTGTGACCTTACATTCCTGCCGCGTAGTATGCAACCTCAGTCTCGCTATCCGTTTTCCATACTCTACTCAATTAACCCATCCCATTCAATAAAACAGGTTTTCCATTTATATTATTAGAAGTATCAACCTATTGATATTCAAGTGTCACCCTATTGATATTTACTCTTTTCCCGAAATGTGGTGGGGGAGGCCAAAAACACTCCGAAAGACTATCGCTGATAATGCCTACTTGACCTTAGAAATTCACAGGTCCTGGGTAAGGATGCATTGTCCAAATCCCCGTTGCTTTGATTTGATATTCTCGTTGCGATACTTGATCTGGAATACGTGCAGGCTTCTTCTCAATTGTTGCCGTCGTCTCTATGTATCTTTCTTCGATTGATCACCCGATACCAGCCAAACCGACCGTTGTCATACCTCACGCGCGGACAGTCAGCGTATTTCATATATACACTCCTCTCCTTCAACGGGTCACTCATCAGCAGCATCTCGCAGTGGTTCGTGTGGTGCGAGTCGCCAATGTAGCCGTCTAGCACGTCGCCCTTCATCGCCGCCTGCCATGCCTTCCTCCACGTGTATGTGCAGTGGAAGAGATTGAAGTCGATGGTGATGTAAATCTTGTCCCACTCGCCGGCCAGGACGTAGCTGAGCGGCAACGCACGGCTGGTCGAGTTCCAGTCTGGGTCGCCGTAAAATTGCCAGTCCTTGCGAGCGAGGAACTCGCTGTTCAGCTTGGCGTCATGACATCGCCACGGCACCCAGGCCATCAGAACCGCGTCAAAGACACATCCAAGCTCCCGGGCTTCGGCTGGAGAAAGGCCGCACCCGTCACTCCCGAGTGTGGAGGGAGGTGAAGGACTGCCGTTCCAATCTTGAGACGTGAAAATGCCAAGGGCGACTCCCGCACATGCGGCGGTAGTCAAGGCAGCCAGAAGGATCTTGTGAGTCGTTGCTAGTCTGATGCACGATAGCCATGACGTCCATGACGATGTAGGACAGTAGCATGCGGCTTTTTCGTCTGGTTCTGAGACTCCGCTGGCTGACTCGACAGGAAGCGGTTGATATGATGCTGAAAACGACATGGTGATAGTGTGGTAATAGTGTGGTGCTTCAACCCCGCGCGAGATCTTGATCGAGGGGAGTCTTGAGAACCCCGTGCTGGGCTACGCGGCAGCTCGAAATTACGAGAAAAGAGAAAAGATTGCGCGAGAAGACCCTGTCATAGCCGCTCCTATCCGACCTGTGACAAATTCTTTCGCCGATACTGGCAGAACAGGGTGTAGAACTACTCATCCCTTCAGATCCTTGACCAGGCTGAGTACCAGCTGCCGAGATCCTGCCAAGGATTTGTGCAAAAGCTTGCCTTGGCAAATGCTTGCCTTGGCACCCCGGCGTAGAGAAATAGTCGGGCGCCTATTGTAAGGACCGGAATAGGCAGGGAGGTTAGGTATTCAACCATCATGCGCCAACAGAGGGGGAAAAACGCTCAAATGTAACCTGGAATATTCCTTCCAAGGTGCTAACAATTGCGAGTGGGTAGGTTGCCTGTCTGTGACTTCGGAAATATGAGGTGCTTGCTCTTGGCTGCTTCTGCATCTGCGCCCAAAATGCAGAGAATTTGACCCTCGCAAACTCGGAGACAACAAGAGCCTGGGCATGCAAGTGACAGTCCATAGGAGGCAGGTGTCTCCAACGCCAAGCACTGCTATGCGTGGTTCGGCGAGTCTTTTCTTGTCGATTTGGGCATGGGTGAAGCATTCTTTGCAAAGAACTTAGGTCTAGACAGGTCTGTAGATACCGCCGAGACGATTAGTAGCATCTAGGAGTCGGGATTGGCGGCAACGTCGGACGCATGACAAGCGGCAGCCGGCGGTACGACTGTAAGCCCCCGCTTGCATCCCTCCGTTTTTTGTTTTTTTTTAACATTTCGGAAACAGCACCGTTTTCTCGAGCAACCCCGCAACAACAATCCTTGCCCATGCATGCCGGATGCGGGGGCCGACTGCGACGGCTCGCCAGTTGCGGTGTTGCCGATGTGTGTTGTTCCAGTGTTGAACTCAAATTCCGCCTCGCCTCGTTTCTCGTGGATTTCCGTTTCTCGTGGATTTCCAATCACCTCCAGGTGGTCTTCTCACGTCTTCTTCCATGTCTGCGTCATTCCCAACTGCCACGAAGCTTGATTTTCTGTCGTGCTTTTACTTCTAGCTTCAGGGATCTCACCTCCATCTCAGAGTGCCGGCAGGTGTGACAGCTACCATGTTTCCCTTGTTGCGATCAAACATGCCATCGCGGCCCTCCCCCGCTGCATATGAAAGTCTCAGAGAGGGAGGGCAGGACGAAAAGGGCGACTCTGCCGCCCTAGGCGCAACTGAAGTTGGCCCGGTCATCAGCCAAGATGTCAGGTCCACTCTGTACAGACTCAGACTGGCAACGACGGTTCTGGCGGCCCTAGTTGTGTTTATGGCCATGTCTTGGATCACGCGGGAGATCTCAACACAGAGGGTCTCGGTTACGACTGAGGTTTATGGTAAGTTATCCTTGGCAGCATTGACTACACAAAGTCTCGTCGCTGATTCGATTGAATAGTAAATGGCGCAGGAGCCAACGCCGACTCCCTCCTCACCACTACACCCGAGCTCTTTTCGCCGGCTATGGCGGCCACGAAATGGAAGAAGGTCGTTTTTCACAACAATTTCCACGGAGATCGCACCCCATGGCAAGGGCCTCCAACCGACGAGGTCGACAAAGCCTGGGAAAACAGCTACATCGGTAAGTACAACAACTCATACCAATTCTTGGCCCCGTCCTGACCTCATAGATGTTGGCGTGATTAAAATCCCAAAGGCGGATGCCGATCGTCTTCCGAACCAGACATTGCCAATCCCCGGGGAAGAAGATGGCTACATTGTCGGGGTGGAAGTCTACCACCAGCTCCATTGCCTGGTATGAGTCTCGCTCTAGAAGAGACCAGGTGCTTAATTTTGGTCCCCGCTGCTAATGGTGGTCTGTGGCTTCGCAGGACTTGATTCGGCGGCATCTTTACCCCGACCGATACGGAGCGGACACCAAAATGAGTCCCAAGGGGCGCATCGAGTACTGGATCCATCTCGGTACGCCTAATTTTCCAAGAACCCGTTGCTTGACAATGTAGCACCCCGTTGCTTGACAATGTAGCAGTCCATTAACCAAGTCTTGTAGAACACTGCATCGACAACCTTCGCCAGACCATCATGTGCTATTCCGACATCACCACGATTCCGTGGAAAGTTAACGAGAGGCTGCAAGCCGAGTTCCCGGATGCACATACGACGCACATGTGCCGTGACTTTGACGCGCTGACGGAATGGATGCTGCATCCAGACAGGCACTTTCCGCAGGAAAAGTACCAGCTCAGAGTGGATGCTCTACGTGCCGGTGCTAGCCAGTGACGGACCAAGGCCAAGGGCAGCTGCTGTGAATTCTACGATTGGCGGCACTTGACTTTTGAACTTCCCATGTAATTTTGATGTGCACCACTGCACATCAGGCCCATGCAAAGCAACCTGAGAGTACCATAATCAATTACCCCATTACTCTACAGTGAAAAGGGGTTTGCTTGGATTCATTGTGAATGTGCACTCGAGAGGCTGTCTCTGATATCCCGCGGCTAGTAATACGTAAACGATAATATGGTCGTAAAACGTGCATTATGAGGTAAAAAGTTCAATTGCTAGTCTTTAACATCTAGTTGCCTAACTACCTTAGTTATTTTGGGGACGCGGGGGGGCGGGGGTTACATGTAAAAGATCAATCCATTTTTTATTTTTCTTCTTTCTGGTCACTCCCTTTCTTCATCCCTCCAAGTCTTTGCAACAGAAAAGAGAGCAACAAACAAGAGACAGACAAAAGCGCAAAAGACACAAACCTAATAATAATCCAAAACCAAACCTAATAACAATCCAAAGCCAAACCTAATAATAATCCAAAACCAAATACCTTTTTAGCAGGAGCCGGAACCTAGACAAGCAGCATACACTCCCACGCCGAAGCTCGAACGCGCTCTACACTTGGCCTGAATCACCGAACCAGCCGGGTTTTCAGCGCTGTGCTCCGCCTGCCTAGGCCACTGACGAGGCTGACGACGCGTATGACGAGGACTGTCCAGAAGTTGCCGAGGACGCCGCGGCGCTAGACTTCTTGGAGGTCGTTGGCAGTGAAACGAATGTGGCCGAGTCGTCAGCATGAAGAATTTCACTGCATATCGTTATATCTTCTCGCCAGCTGGGGATTTTGCGCAGCACAAAGGCGCAAATTCCGGGGACGAGGTCGGGGAGTTTCACTTTCACACTTTTGGTCCCGTACTGCCCGAGCAGGACTATCCAATGAATCCAATGACCCAGTGCCCTGTGGATCTCCATGGCGTACTCAGGCGACCCCTCGATGACCCCGAGTCTCTCTCCGTTGACGAATTCATATGGGATTGCCGAGTAATCGTGGTGCCCAAAATGGGCGAGAAGGTGCTTGATCTTGGTTTCCCAGTCCTTGTCCGACAGGCTAGTCTCCTTGGGACAGATGTAGCCCAAAACCTCGAGCACGAGTATACCGATCGACCACATGTCGGAGTGTAAAAAGGCCTTTCCTTCATTTTTCCCGCTTCTCTTCGCCATGATTTCTGGTGGGAGGTAGTAGGCGAGCTCGACGTGCTGGTCCACGACGGCCAAGTCCGGCTTTCCGGGGTCAAGCCCAAGTTTTGTGGCCTTTCCAAAGCCCGATATAACAAAGGAGCGCCTCATTACCAACCGTGTCTTGCTTTCGTCTAGGCAATATCGGTACTCCCATAGTACGTGCGATGCCTTCAAGCTCAAGTGCGCGATATCTTGCGACTGCAAGTACTTAACACCGTCAAATACGTCACGTAAGAGCCCTAACATAAAGTCGGGCTCTTTGATTACCGGGTGTGTGCACCTGTTTTCGTCTCCTCCTTTGCTATGCAACACGGCGTCGGGTATTAATGACAACAGGTCTCCGCCGTATTCCCTAGTCAACATCTGGCACACTCCGTCGGCCGAGTTGTCGATTTCGATCCTCCTGAAGTTGATTATATTTTCCTATAGGCGTCAGTATCTCATCCATTAGTCGTTGACGACTGACGCCGGAACAGAGGGTGTTTGGTATCTGGTTTGGTATCGAGGTTCTTAATATCGTAATAATTACTCACATGTCCTAAAATGAGACCGCAGCTGACTTGGACGCCAAAGCTAGGCATCTTGCGCCAGTTGGCCGGGTTCTTGCCGAGCGATAGGATATCCCCAGCGCCCAGCTGCTTGAGTGTCGTGCGTTTTACAGCGTATGCTTTTCCGGTTCTCTTGTCGTGACAGGACAGCAACTTTGTCCCGGCCGAGGCGCAGACCCCTAATACCTTCCCGTCGACAAGGGCAGTGCAGTTCTTGTCCTTGTCCCTGAAGCCGCGAGCCCACTCTCTCCGATACCCGTAACCGACCTCCTCGGCTTCCAGGTTTTGGGCCGTTACGATCCGAAGAGACTTAGCCAGTGTCGCATGTTCTGGTGTATTTTTGGGGGGCGCGCCCGCGTGTATTTCGCCCCACCAAAAATGAAACTCGTAGTCGCCAATTCTGAGCATTATATCCTTGACAGCCCCACCCCGTTTTAAAACGTGTAGAAAGGGAATTTGACTTGGTAGCGCCGCAACCGTCTCGTATGCGGTGGTGGCGACCCACACCTTCCCGTCGGGGGATGGGTAGGCTACTTCTTCGTCTCTGGATAAGTTGGCGAATATGAGCTCCCCATCCTCGGGGTCAATGTAAAGAAAGCATAGGGTATCCTTGTGATTGGCTTTCGCGGCGGCCGTGCCTTCGCGTGGTTCTACAAAGATATCATCTAATGTGCTGGTGCCAAACGACAACAGCCTGCCTCCGTGGAAGGGATGCCGACCGGTGGTGACGCGGATAAAGTGTTTGAAGGGGCCGTCTCCGGCTTTCATTTGAATTAGTCTCGACCTCTCGGTCTCCTTATTGGCTTTAGCCTCTTCGGCGCGAATTTCCTTCCTCTCACGGACCATAAGAGCCTCGGTCGCGTCATTGTAAGGTTCGAGTTCGAATATAGTGTAATTTTCTCTGTCTGCATGGATCCCAGGTGGCTTACTGCCCGTGTCTTGCGATTGGGCTGACGATGAGCTTTGGGATGATAACCGCGTCCTTGACGGTGCGCGCGAAGACGCCACCGACGAAAGACTTCTGCGGGCTGTCGGGGGGCTCAATTGGTTCAGCTGTAGAGCGTTCAACGCCGTAGACAAGGCATCCGGCGTCAGCAAAGCGTGGGATCGCTCCGTCGATGTCTCTCTACCTCTGGATGTCCCGCCACTGGGATGAAGACTCATGATGGTTCGCGGTTACGAGAAGCGGCTCACAGGGTGGTCTTGGAGTCGGGAGATGGAGATTGGGATCTAGTTCTGCTTGGGTGCAGCCGGGAATTGTCTATCGTACATTATATACTTAGTCAACCTCCAGCAAAGTGCCACCGACTGCGCGACCTGGCTCTCTAAGCCGGCCAAGTATCGAAGAGAGCCACAATGATCAAAGGGCGCCAGATTCCGGCCGCCAACATCTTCAAAACAATCCTTTAGACTTCCAACACTGGCCCCTCAATCCCTGGATCATCCGAGCTCCCGAGGCACAGCGGCCTCGGACTCGAATAGTGGATACCAACCTGCTAGGGTGATTACCTTCGGTGGCCGGCACGGTAGGTTTTTTTTGCAAACACGGAATGCGAGCAGCAGTGGAACAGCCTAACTACTATGGTCTAAGACTAATTTTTACTTCCCTGTCTAGTACCAGCAACCATGTCTTGGCCAGTGCCGTCCCTGCTAGCGCCGTATTGCGAACCGAACGGGCGCTGTAATTTTGAAATCGTGGCGCGCCGGGGGCCTGGTCTGTACCCGGGCAGAGGGTAAAAGTTTTGCTCGTCACCTCAGTAGTCCTGGGTTGGTTCAGACCATTTTTCGCCAACAATATTTACGTGCCATGTTAGCCAAGAAGAGGTGGCCCTGGTTTAGTGGCGTTCGGTACTTTTCGGCTCGCAGGGGACCCCCCTGACCCTGGCTCATTTAGGTTTATACGAAGCCACCCCAACAACTGGCTGGCCGGAACCAAACTGGGCCAGTGGGCACAAACCTAGCTCCTGATGTTAGCGTGAAACCGCATTGAGACCGGTGCCAAGTGCCCCTGAGGCATTAGTTCACCTTCGCCCGACAGGGACGGAGCCCCCCTTACTCGAACTAGCAACCCCATACCGCGATGTTACTACGACGGCGGGATAGGACACCTCAAATGGCCTGAGGCACAGCAGGCAGCCATCAAACTTCCCGGAAACAATCCTAGGATCCCGTCGGTGGGACTCCGCGACGCCGTCGACGAAGTGCGAAACACCTGCTCGTGGATGATAGCGGGCCTTGCTAGTTAGCTGCGCCGCCGATGTTCGCATTCCATGTTTCTTGTTTCCGGGCCTTGGGCTGTTGGTTTGCATCCTTGAACACCAGGAAACCTCCTGACCTCTTCACGTGCAGGTGCTGGGCGCTGGGCCATAAAACCTTACCCCAGTGCCCTCTTCCTTTTCTGTCTATTTCTAACATCACCCTTCCGCCCTTTTCCGACCGCTCGATCGAATGCCCTCCTCTTGACCGTCTTTTGTTGCGGGGGTAATTACTGTTGCTTTGTGTCGTTGTGGGGCTAACGTTAACCACGGAGAAGACGGCGACCTTTGTCATGTTTTCCGTGGTGTTGACGATGTTCTAATCAAATTGAGCCTAATTAGCCTTAACCAACCTTTTCCGACAATCCATCCGAAAAGCAACCACTTCATAGTCTCCTCTCGACAAGAGGCATCCCCAAAGTCCCGCCACTTCTTTCCAAAAATGATTTTCGGTTAGCCGCATGCACATGCAAGTAGGACTTCTGCACCTCGAGAAAAATAACCATTTCATAGCTACCCTAGATGCTGAGAGCCTTCAGCTTACTGGTGCCGCAACTAGGTCCCGTCAAGGATGAATAACACCTCGCGATGCAGTTGCCCTGTAGCGTGTAGTTCATGAGCTAGCATAGCAAGGATGGCTCGCCTGCGTGTTTGGTGCCCCTGTTTCGGACCTTGCGTCGAACGAGTCTATATAACCTCGCGGGGCTCGAATACGGCGCTGCTTAGCTCCCTTGATATGGGTAGTGCGCCAGGCCCATTTCTTTTTCTTACGATCACGAGCCATGGATCCTTGTTGTTATTATTTGATGGTTGTTGTGGAGCATAGCCGGCTTTATTCCTTGACGACCTAGCTCTTCATTTTCTTGAATGCGCACCCGATTCCCAGGGTCCTGAATCCCAATCTTCCAGTTGAGGGACCCGCCCTGTCCCAGGCGACCCCCCAGCTCATGAGTCACTCTGTTTGTTTTCCCCTGCTGGCCATGATCTCCCTTCTGGCCACGATTCAATTTCTTGCTACTATTTTATTTTAATCCTGTTAGTCGCGGCAATCACCTTGTACTCCGACAGCCGGAAACTACTGAGCGTGCCAACTCCCGGCTTTGTGGGAGACCGGGGTCCTCAACCTACTCGGCGCCGCTCTAAGGGATCCGCCCGGCTGACTGCCCTGCTCCCGACCTTTCTTTCCTAAACGCTTCCACCACTCGGCTCCCGGCCTAGGGACCCGGAGGTTAATATCTAAGCTCGGATACCGCTTGAGACCGGCGCTTCCCACCAATACTCGTCCCACAAATGAAAACCTCATGAGGGGGGCGAGTAATTCCACTAAATTTGAGCTACTAGTCCACGTACCTCAGGTCGTAGGTGGACTGGACATTAGCACTACGGAGTACTGGTCTCTGAAATATGCGCCGAAAACATGCACTATGCGTCGGTGGCAGAGACGGTCCAGTCAAGCTACTCATGCCTGGCCGTCTGTGATTGGCAACCTTGTGCGGATATTTACCGACGGAGTAATGTTCTAGAAGTTGAATTGCCTGCACTTCAACATCCAGGAGAATACGGTAGGTTGCTAGGTGCTCTATTTTAAATGCAAAAGATCAATATCATCCCTTTACTTCCCTTTACCGTATCGTTCTTTTTCTTCTCGCCTTTCTCGCTTATTGTAGCACGAAGTCTTTTACGTGCAAGTAATAAAACAGACGAATACTGATCGAATCTGCCTCCAAGCCCTTGCCTAATATCTCGGCATTTCCAAAACCAGAGAGGACAAAGAACCGTCGTTTAACCCACGAGTCACCATCCCGCGCGAATGTCCACTCCCAAAGTATATACAATGGACTAAGATCCAGGCTCACAATGTCCTTTGTTGTAAGAATTCGAAAGCGTCGACGTAACCACATATGAAATGCTCCATAAAGTCGGGCTACGATATAACTGGACGCTTACACCTGCTCGGATCTTTGCTATGCGAAATATGATCGGGGATTAACCAGGCTTCCCGCATATATGGCAAAGTGCCGCCGGCAGGACCAAGGCAAGGAAGGATAGATGGGAACCACAGGCAGGAATCTAACCGCCCCAGACACCGGCAGTGGGGCTCTTTGTACGATCACTTGCGCTTCCCTCGAGCCAGTCGACCCGCGGGGCCTCAAGGCACATTGCAGCCGCCTCCCCTCCGGCCAGTTGACCCAGTAGGTTTCCGAGGCACAACGGGCTCGGACTTGACACCCTGTCAGCGGCCGCCTTCCGGCACTGTTGTTATTTTTGCAACACTGAATGCAATGATTCACGGTACAATTAACGCCGAGCCTACACCGGTGTCGGGCCCTTCGATGCATTCGTTGCCCGGGTTCTTCGCCGTCATCAGTAGGGCGCCCGCTGACTCCCTGCCGTGACGTCGCCGACAAGGGTGGCTGGCAGGCAGCCAGTTGCCTTTGGTAGCGCGAGGCACAGCAACGAAGCAGGAATCACGATTCGGAAGCCAAGTATTCAAGCTCATTTGGTCGGAGTTAGTGACACAATTGATGAATGCCTAAACACCAGGCACTGCTGGCAGAGACCTAACCAGGCCTCTCACCCACTTTCAGGACCCACCCACAGGCGTTGCAATTATTTAAATAGATCCGGCCGGCCGTCTGCGCCGTTCATACTCGCATTACATAGTTCTTATTTGCGGATCTAAGGCTGTTAGTTCGCACGCCGCCCTCTTAAGTTCCGGGTTTCTTCGGAGACTGCCCGCAAACACCAAGTCTCGTCGGCGGCCCATCACCGCGTCTGGGACTTCTCACTTTCTTCAATTCCTGCTTCTGGCCCTTGGCTGGTCCCGCCGAGTTTGCGACAGGCTGCTGTCCAAGGCTGAAGTCCGTTAGCTCCTTTCCGTTCATTTTGTGAGACACAGCTGTCACGGTTGTGGTCACTGAGATGGAACTGACAAGGACCAAAAAACAGTATGTGGAAAACTAGCCGACCGAGATTGACTAAAACACAGGTTTCACCGCACTCGGCCCTTCGTATCTGTCCACCATCCACCGCCGAAGCGGCTCAACGTCCCGACAAGTGTGCGGTACATCGGACTCGACATAGTTCCGCCCCAGAGACGGATAGAACTTGGTCGGGATCGGCGTCATGTCCCCAGAGCACATGATGTACTGCCGGATCTGCTCGATGCAGTGGTCCTGGTGCATCGCAGTGCTGGCCGGCGAGCTCCTCGTCTTGTGCCCATGCCCGCTAGACCCATAATGCCCCGGGTTCAGCGCCTTGCGCAGGTTGTTCTGTTCTCGGCGTGGCAATGTTCAGTTTCACGTTGGGAGATGGCAGGACTGACCAGAGGGGCGGAACTCACCAAGCAGTGCAGCGTGTGGAAGAGGTCAAACCTGCATAGGCCGTGTCAGCCAACAGACAGAACCCCAGGACATGAAAGGTGTTTACCCAGCGACATAGCCGCCTCTCTGCTCGTCCCAGTAGCTGTCGATATCTTCCCCCCAGGACGACACTGCCTCCTCTCGTGTGATGAGCACATAGCGACCTGGCGCACGTTTGTCAGTTTCCGAGCTCGACAAATCGGCACTAGAGGGGCCGAACACATACCCCACGTCAGATTATCCCAGTTATAGTCAACCTCTGGGTGTGTCGCCGGATCGCCAACATACAAGACCGGGCTCGGATGCGGAATGTACATGTCGCCCTTTTCGTCAAAGGCCGGGCCGCCGGTGAAGCGAGTCTGGGCGACATGGATGTGCTTCCTCGCCGTCGCTGCAGAAACCCTGTCAGAAAACAAGCTTCTCCAAAAGATCGAAGCTGCCATACCAAAGTCTGTCGCATATCCGGCAGAGAATGTCCCCAGCTTTCCGCTTGGAACAGGTGAGTCTCGGTCGATGACCATGGCGAGCATCAACGACAGGGAGGCAAAAATGGCCGTCAATGTCCACGCAACGGCCGGGCGAAGAATAAAACGCAGATACCCAGGGGGCCGAGATTCTGCTTGTCGACTATTATTGGGCTCATCGTCGACGAAGGGCACAGGAGAGTACTCTGGTTTCATTTTCAGTCCGATCCCTCAAAGTCCTCGCCGTAACAAGGCCAATCCCTCAAAGTCCTCGTCGTAGCAAGGACACCAAATAGCGCGAGGTAGCAAGAAATGACAGTTGCAATAGGTGAGGATCCAAGGGATGATGGTGGACAGAGCTAAAGATGGGGTGAGCAATTCGAACACCTCGTAGCCGGGGCAGAGAGAAAGACCGGGACATGGGCAGAGAGAAAGACCGGGACATGGGCAGAGAGAAAGACCGGGACACGGGCAGAGAGAAAGACCGGGACACGAGAAGCAGCAGTTCCAAGCCCAAGAGGGCAGTTCCAAGTCCGAGAGGGTTTTCCGAGAGAGGTTGCCTTCAATTGTGATTGTGGCGATTGACCATGACCAACTGAATACGACCAAGATGATGTGAATCTCGTGCAGATGACTGAAGTCCCAAGAGTGGGTCTTGGTCTTGGGGGTAGTAGAAACGGAGCCAGAAACGGAGGGGCGACGGATAGTGGAATCTGCCCCCAAGCTCCTGTGGGGAAGGTAGCCGTCTGACAAGGCCCCTGTATTTCCCCGAGCATACGCGCCCTGCATCCGATGCGGAGACACGTACCCGCCTTGGCATTATTGCTTCAAGCAGTAGTGCCCGAGCTCCACCGGTCTGCGGCAGGCTTGACCGGAACGTTCAAATAGCTACCCTGCCAAGACCATGCAAGTTCAAGCGCCTATACCCTGTGAGTAGTGTAGGCGTCTATACCCTGTGAGTAGTGTAGTAGCTGACCATTGCATTATTAGTCACCGCGTCCAATGTGCAAGTGATACGATCATGTGCTGTGATTGTGATACTCGGTGCTTGAGGCCATGGTCCCGCTATTCCTAGAACTTCACGACGGCTAACGGTGCAACCCCGCCTGCCGGAACTTCACGACAGCTAACGCTGTAACCCCGCCTACCACGGGTGCAGGCCTCGGCCCATTCTTCTACTCCTGTGCCAGGGTAGATATTGTTATTTCAAGTGACTTCCAGGGGAGTATGGGCAGGGGGTTAGCCACGATTCGCCGCCAAGTCAGCCCACTTCCCATCATTCGATTCTAAAGTCACCTTTCTACTAGATTCTATAGTAAAAGTACTTCAATTTAAGAGCCGTACATCCATTTCAATAGATGCACATACCACTTCAACGTACCGCGCCATAGCTTCCCGAGGTCTTGCAGTCGCTCAGTTGCTCAACCCTTCAACACCACCTACCAAGAGATTCAAAGCTCCCGACCTTACACGTGTTCAAAGGCTTCAATGCAAGGCCCTGAATACAATAGGGGACCCGACTTAGCTGATGCGGAGGGCTGTACAATAAATTACTAAGTTTTGGCGTAAAAGACCCTTGTTTATTGTAGCGGCCTTGGCGCTTAATAGTGGCAAATATGGTCTTGGCAGGTAGCGAAATAACAATATCTACCCCGGCACAGGAGTACGGGATGTCGTATGAATAGCGCCTTCTCGGAGAGAAGCTGCATGTTCTAGTTTCGTTGCCGGCCGCAAAAATCAAGGTGCCGCAGACAGGACCAGACCGAGTGCTGGGTGCTGCAACTCTTGTAGTCTAGGTGTTGCCACGACCCCCCACTCGATTACTCGCAAGACCACTCCTCTCTACCACACCATTGAGCTACTCCTCTCTACCACACCGTTCAGCTCTTCCCCCAGCAGTGTGTTACCCGGAGTTTGCCTGAACCTCGTGCCCAATCCCCTCTGGCTTTTGCAGTTCTCTGGCTTTTGCAGTTTTCTTTTCACCTCCCTCTCCTCTCCCCGCCTCCTTGCTCCGGTCACTTCCTTCTCATCTTCATTTTGTCGTCTTCGGTTCGCACACAAAGCCACCTCACACTTACCATGGAATCCAAGTCGCACTTTGAGGACTCGCCGAGGGGAAGCGACGACGAGTCAGGCATGACACTGCTTGGCGAACAGCTCAAGGCGGCGCCAGTGAGGAGGTCAATCTTCCAGCGCGCCCTGAAAGGCGCTGTCGTTGCCGCGGCTCTCGTCTGCGCCGTCTCCGTCCTCTACACGGCTGTTGCGATCCGCCGGCTGTCATCGCTATCGGCCGTTGACTTTGGCGACTGCGGCGAAAGCCGGACCGTCGAGGAGGCTCGCGCCATGGGCTGCAAGTTCGACCCCATGAGCTGGATCTGGGTGCGCCCCGAGTGCTACGACGCGGAGTTGATTGCCGACTTTATGAACAAGACCGACTTTTCGTGGCACACCGAGCCCAAGTTGACGCCCGAGTCCAAGGTCCCCATGGATATCATCTTCCGCGGCGACCACCCCAAGCTCTTCACGCAAAAGAACTACCATTCCGTCCACTGCACAGTGAGTGTAGTCAATGCCACCCTTTGCCACCCTTTGCCACCCTTTGCCCCCTTTGCCCCCTTCTCCACCCTTTGCTTGCGTACCTAGACTACTTCTTGCTAACGTGGAACAGTACATGATGAAGAAGATGCACAAGGCCATCCTTGAACACAGGCCCATTGACACGTATCTGATGGACTGGGTGCACACGAACCACTGCGAGATGGTGCTGCTAAACGACTGGATGCACGAAGACACCCCCTGCACGCCTGAAATGGTGTGCCCGACTTGGGTGAGGGCGACGTGGACGGCCTGCAAGAGGTACTAAGCCTGAGGCATGTCTCCATGCATCCGAGATCACAACGCATCAGGGTGTCGCGTTTCCAGGTCTAGTCTGTTGGATCAAATTATGGCAAGTCGATCCATGTATTGCTTACCGAACCTAGACAATACAAGAACCGTTCCACGAGATCATATCCCACGTATCATATGTGGAAATGGCAACTGGGGAGGAGCTAAGCAGGTACCTACATACCTTAATTGCCTTACCTTAATTGCCTTACCTTGATTGCCCGAGTTATTGACGTCGAAAAATTTCCACGCTACATGGCCGATGGGACATGGCTGATGGGGAAGATGGGATTGCTGAGGCACTTCTCCACATCGCGTAGTTAGCTCTCCAGCAGGTGGTGTCTCGGCCGGGGTTGCCGACGACCAGCCTGCTTCCCCGCTCTTCCTAGCGCAAACGCAAATCCACAAGCAAACCGTCCCAGTGGGATGGTAGCGCCATCTCTCTCCGGTTCCACTCGTATTTCGGGTTCCACTCGTATTTCGGGAATCCGATTTGGATCACTCGGGACGGCTCCTCACGGAATGCTCGTCGATGGACGTCATTTCGCCAACAATTCGCTCCAGGCGCAGATCATCGATGCGCGGAAGAACCCCGGGACGCGGCCAGCGATAATGAATATCTCGACTCGGGAGATTAATGAATATCTCGACCCGGGAGATCGGTCTTGGCTGCCGGAGAGGAGTGGGAGGACTAGAGTCACTGGACTCCAAATAGATGAGTGATGGTGAGAGGCTAATCGGATGAGGCTACCGCGGTGATGCACGATCCTACTCATTTTGGCTGTTTCCGGCTAGATCGCCAGGTTGTGCTGGGTGAGCTGCGTCGAAAGGGTGTGGAGCTGCTAACTTTTTGGGCGCTTCAAGCTGAAAGATGTGCGAAACATTGAACCTGGGTAGCATTTTCGCGGCGTCTTGCTGCATCGGCACCCTGAGGGACAGGAGCTTGGAGGCATCTCTTTGGCTACTGCGGCAAGACATGCATGGCGTGCATCTGATGCTGGAGTGGGTGTGTAGCACAGCCCCAACTCGCCAATGAAGAGCCTTATCATCCGGCCCTTCTTGAGGCAGCAGATAGGTACCTAGGCAAGATAGGATACAGTTGTCTCTATAAATCCCTCAAATGGGCCCCTGGGTGCCTTTGTCTGTCTCTGAAGCCTTTTGCTCTGTTCCATCTTTCATTCCATCTTTCATTCCATCTTTCATTCCATCTTTCGTTTCAGATTGCCTCAATTAACGCCAACGACGAAAAATTTCAGGTCAAAGATTTCAGTTCAAAAATTTCAGTTCAAAATTTCAGGTCAACGCATTAATCAATAACTTGGTTCTAAATATGGGCGAGAAAGTTGTCATTATTACCGGGGCAGCCGTCCGTCAACCCCTCTTTTGTCTCTCTGACTCTTTATCCCCTGACTGGATCCGCTGACATATGGATGAATAGTCGGGCATTGGGAAGGCCCTTTCCACCAAGCTGGCGTCAAGGGGTTGGCGCGTCGGGTTGGTTGACATCAATGCTGAGGCGGGGAAGCAATTAGGTCAGTCCTCCCAGCAGCTCCGACAGGGATTACGCCCGGGGGCACTAACCCCAGAACTTGCAGAAACCGAATTGGGGCCCAATGCGTTCTTTGCTAAAGCCGACGTGGCAAGCTACGAGGCGCAGGTAGCCGCGTTCAGCGCCATCTTCACACACTGGGGCCGGCTCGACGCCGTGTGCGCCAATGCGGGCATCACGGACCGCTCGTCGCTGTACATGGTGCCGGCCGTGGGCCTGGATCTGGCCGCCGTCGACAGCATCCCGCCGCCGCCGGACCTCACCGCCACCGACGTCGACTACAAGGGCGTTCTCTACAGCACGCAGCTGGCCATCCACTTCATGCGCCACAGCCCCGGCAGACCCGGCGGCAAGATCCTGGCCGCGTCCAGCATCGCCGGCGTCTTCCCCCACCCCACCCTGCCCGAGTACAGCGGCGCCAAGGGGGCCGTCATTAACTTTGTGCGCGCCGCCGGGCCCGTCCTGCGCATCAAGGAGAAGATTGCCCTGAGCGCCGTGTGCCCGGGGCTGATCCGGACGCCAATCTTCCGCGACGAGGTGTGGGCGGCGCTAGATCCGCGAGTGCTGACGCCCGTAGAGACGGCAGTGCGCGGCTACGAGCAGCTGCTGGATGAGGAAGGCGACGCCAAGGCCGGCGAAGTCATCCTGTGCGTGGGCAGCGATATCGTGCCCGTCCCGGCCCCAGACATGGGAGCCGGCAGCGATGTAGACGAGGACTCGGGCGCCAAGATGATGGAGGCGGCCATGGAGCCGCTCTTCAGGGCGCTGCATGGAACGAGTTTGATGACATGACGCGATTTAGATTTGTGGTTGCATGGCAGAACGCAACCAAGCCACGCCAAATACAGGTCAATATTCCTGGCATCTGGCCATCCAATAAGCCCAATTTCCGGGTGCACCTTGTTCACAGCTATTACTTACCTGGGTCTATTCTAGATAACGAGTTTAATTCCAAATAAATATTCCGTGTTATTCTGAGACGAGTCAGGCACACCAAAATTCCATTTTGTCCTCGCCCACGTAATATTACTCACCCTGGCTTAAGCCCGCCCGGGCTCGATGTGCTCAAGCTTCATTAGGAACCTACCTTTGCTCACTCTAGTTACCGTTTTCGGCAGGCTGCGTGCCGGTAACAAAAATTGTTTCCAAACCACATGTTTAACCAGCGCCGGCACCAACTCAATTTTACCCAATTCAATCGATCAAATAAGTTAGGTGGGGGGGTAAGCGAACACTACTGATTTAGAACATTCTGTATAAGCAGGAGTCCCAACTAACCCTCCAACAAAAGAAAGGGTGATCTTTTTATTTACAAAACTTCAATACAATCTTTGATATCCTCTGAATCATCCGCTTCTTCCGCATCTTCTAAAACCTCTGCTGCACGCCCTACAGCTCTCTGGGCCTCACGAATAGTCTGAATATTCGCAAAGGTGGTATTTGGATCTTCTTCAACCTTCTTCTTCTTTCTGGCTCTTATTGATTCGAGAGTGTGTTCTAGACCTTCAATCTTTCGCTTCCTAATAGCTAGTTCAAAGGCCTGTTCATCCAAAGCCTTACCAATCTTTCTGAGGAAGAGCTTATCCGCTGGCATTGCTTTGATGATGCGTGCGAACTTCTTTGCCTGCTCAACGTAATCACGTGCCTTTCTAGGAGTCCTCCACTGCACCCGATCGTCTCCATAATCCTCCAGGATTGGCATACGGAGTGTGCGAACCTCTGGGGTAACTATAGTAGTTCTTAAGGGGCGTGAAGTATTAGAATTCTTGAGGAGGAGTGGGCTTCTTAGCGGTTTGTTGACATTCAAGGGCCAAAGGCCTGATGCCTTCCATCCTGACTTAGCATTACTCTTAGTAATTGCCTCTGTGCGTGAAATCTGGTAGCATTCCAGAAACGCACGTTTTCCGGCTACAGAAGAGTCGTCAAAGGCGTTAGCAAGAAGGTCCTCAAGCCGTCTGCGATAAAGTCGTTTTAGGGGGCCAAATATGGCCAAATCTAGGGGTTGGAGGACATGGGAAGTATGGGGAGGCAGATAAATAATGTGAATATTGTTTGTGAATGCCTCCCACATATAATCGGCAGTTGTGTGGCTGCCATGGCCATCAATAATAAGGAGTCGTTTCTCAGAGGAGTTTGCTGGCTTGGTGAGAGGAATGAACACATTTTTTAACCATTTGAGGCTTGTCTCATCGGTAGTCCATCCTTTCTCAGTTGCTGTAAAGAACCAATCCTGAAATGGCTTCATATCCAAAGGAAACCATTGTTGTTGAACGCTTTTCCCCTTAAAAATGACCAAAGGAGGAAGGCAACGGCCAGCTGCTGAGATGCATTCGACAAAAGTGGTCCAAGTGCGGGTTCCAGGCTGTTTTTTTTGAAGCGCCTTAAAGGCACGGCTTCCAATGACAAGGCCGTTAGTTCCTCTGCCTTCCATAATACCAGATTCGTCCTTGTTCCAGCGATTCTCTGGCTTAATCGCCTTGATAGCTAGTGTTTAGAAATGGTTGAACCAAGGTCGAATTGTTGACTCTGTAGCGCAGTTGACGCAGACCGAATCGACTCTCTTGGCCCTCTGAGTCTTCAAAACTTGATTGCGGTTAAGAAAGGCACGGCACCACCCCTTTCCAAGTGGTAAGGAGTCCCCCCTTTCAGCTAGAATACGGCGTGCAAGCTCCCTGATCTGTGCATGTGTAGGGGGCAATCCTAAATCTTGTTGAAGAAGAATCCATTCGACTAAACGATCCTCTTAGGTCTGTGTAAGCCTTTGCTCATCTTGATGAGCAACATTTCGAGGTAGGGAGCCATGTAGACGGCCATAAAGGGTGGAGGGTGGAACGTTCCATTTTCGCGCGACTTTGCGTAATCGATGTGTTCTGACGGCTTCCTCGCAAGCCTTGCGGAGGTCTTCTTCTGTATATGAAACCATTGTCAAGAGAAGAATAAAACGAATTGAAGATGAAGAGAATTGGAAAAGAATTGGTTGAGTTATGGGCTTTTTATATAAGAGGGTTGGTTGTGTTCCTCGCTTATCTAGAATGTTCTGGATCAGTGGCGTTCGCTTACTCCCCCACCTAACTTATAGCCATTTGGATCAATTCTACGATTTTGAGGTCAAATTTAACTAATTCGTAGGGCCAAAATAATTAGCGGATTTTCAATTATTTCCCATTGGCCAGGCCATTCATTTTAGGGCGGACTTTCGGATTTTCCTGGGTCCAGGGCGCTCCCTGACCAAGGCCAACCCTGTATTTTCCTGGGCCCGGGAAAATCTCTGACTGCCGAGCAGGCCGTAGGTCGCTGCAATGCACCGTTGAAGCTGCTATACAACAATCACGACGTAAATAAACAGCCGAATCCGATCTTTCCACCGAATCCTTCCATTCCACCGAGTCCTTCCATTCCTACAGCGATTTCCTTACGCCTGAACTACCGACAATATGCCTACCTCGACCGTTAATGCCGTAACCCTCTCCACAGGCCAAAAGCAAGCATTTGATGCCCTAAGGAAGCCATCACGAATCTCTACACAATACGAGGAGTTGGTCAAATTTGACATCAAAGAGCTGGGGAATATGGAGGTGAAGGACTGGCCCAAAATAACAACAACACGGGCGCTATACATAGCGGAATACTGGGCGGGCAAGAATACGAGGTCATGGTGGATTACTTCGCACGGCTGCTAGCTTGCCCAGGTCGTCAACAACGTCGTAAAAGAGGGAGCATACTTCTAGGCGTGCCACTATTGCGAGAAGGTCTTCAAGGCCGTGACGGCGTTAAGGCGCCGAGAAAGAAGCAAAAGACCTTGAAGATGACTTCGAACACTAAGGAAAGGTCGTTGTTATTACTTCACAAGCTCACATCGAAGGAAAAGCTTATTAATATCATCATTCGCTTGAATCTTCCATATAGCATCGTCGAATATAAGGCTTTTCGCAATTTCTACATGGACCTAAATGCCGATAAGACAGCTACCCTAATTCCGTCCTCGCACAATACGGTTCGAGAGTATATTAAGGATCGCTTTGATACGCACCAGTAGGGCCTGCGCGCGCGCTTGAGGGCATCGCCATTCATAAAGCGTCTTTCCTTCGATATATGGACTTCCGTATCGACCGTTTCCTTCCTCGCGATCTTCGTACATACGCCGGTACTAACGGCGACGTACATCGCGAGTTATTAGGTATACCACACATCGAGGGCTCTCATAACGGCGATAACAAGGCCACATGCATCAATAAAGAAGTCAAAGAACACGACTTTGAGGACCAAATCGGGTATTTCCAATATAAAACGTTAATTCGAACACCTGGGCCGTGAGGCATTCGTTATAGTCCTTGGTACCTGATATGTGCGATCTCGACCGCGATGCGTTAGCTGAAAAACGTCGAATTCGTTGCTTTGGCCACATACTCAACCTGGCGGCGCGCGCCTTCATTCTAGGTCACTCAATAGAGCTAGAAAGACCCTTTGACGATAACTTCATCGGCCAGTTACCTGACGTACAAGAAGAAGCCTTATTGAAGGAGTGGCGAAAGCGAGGCCCGGTCGGGAAGCTACACAACATCGTACACTTTATTCGGAGGTCGCCACAACGCCGGGATTCCTTTCTTCAAATCGAGCGCAACCGACGCAACGAAGACGGCGCCGTAGTCCTCGATAGGACCCTCGAGGGCCTACACCAATATGGCGATAATTCAACGAGGTAGAATTCTGTTTACGTCATGATCCAACGCGCAGTGCGTTTACAGACCCAGGTGGATTTTTGGTGGCACCCAAATCAGGCCGAGGAACCTAACAGGCGTATACCCGCCGCCGACTTATTACAACCAAGCGACTGGCACGTACTTTCCGTTGTTTTGTCTATTCTTAAACCTTTCAAGAAGATCACCAAATGGTTCGAGGGCAAGGCAGTTACCTTCCCTCAAGTCATCGCAACGCATAAATGGCTCATCGACTTCCTTGAGGACCGCCTCCGCACCTTACATCCTAACCTTGAAGCGTCACGAAATTCACCGGTGGCCCGGTACACACCCATCCAGAGATCTCGGTCGCTAAACAAATTAAAGATGACGACGACGACGACGACGACGACGATGACGATATCAATAACGTTGAGTCTTCCTTAACGAGTCAAGTCCCTTCGAAACGGCCACGGCGTGATATGCGTTTACCTGCCTACCTAGCCGACTCGGTAATCAACCTACCACGGGACCTCCCGACCGGGCAGGTTAGACCCCCCTCACTAGACCTCGCCGCCGACTTACCCGACAACTCCCCATCCTCGAATACTAATCTACAGCAAGATCATATATCCTTCCTTCGAACAAGCATTAGCCTAGCCATTCAGAAGCTGAGAAAATATACTACATTATGGAGGAGAGCCCAGCTTACTGGGCAGCCATGATACTACACCCTGGGCACAAGAAGAAGTGGGTTGATAACTTCTTGGGAGAGGAGCGGGCCAGGGAGGCATATAGGGTATGCCGCGATCTTTACCAAACCGAGTATTCCGGCCTCGCTATCCCGGCGCCGGTACAACCGGCTCAGTCGCCGTCTACAGGTCCAGGGACTATTCTTATTAGTCATGACTATTAGAACCCGCCTGAAGACCCTAGCCGGAAGGATGAACTCGCTGAATACCTTGTAGAGGGAGTCAGGCCTGTAAATGACATATAATCTTGGTGGTTTAGTCGTCAGGAACGTTGGCCCCGGCTGTCAAAAATGGCCCTGGATTTAATATCTATTCCTTCTATATTAGCGGACCCGGAGAGGGCATTCAGTAACGGTAAGCTAGTCTTCGGCACACAGAGACATAGAATGGGCGACGATAGCTTCAACAACATCATGTGTTTGAAAGATTGGGTACGTTGACGAGCTTTTCCGGGCTTCAGGGCTTTTTTTTGAACGAGTCTCCTGCAACTGTTACAACGTCCCCAGCCACTGTAATCCACCACACATAACTCTAACCCTGCCCACCATCCAAGATTCTGCCGCGCAGTAATTTACCACTGTTTACCACAACGCAGCCGAACCTTACACCTTCTACTGCAACCCAACTTCAACAACCACCAAAACATCGTCATCACCGCATTCAATCGATGCATCGGTATGGCTTCATTTCTTCATTGTTTATTTCGTCGCGCAGTACTAACTAGCGATAGAAATGGCCGCCCTTAAAAATCTGAGCGATCTTAGCGACTTTGGCGATCTCAGCGATGCGCCCGATGAAAATACGCCCCGCTACCACCACTCACGAACCCCCCCCCCCAGCCATCGACTTTTCAGTACGAAATATAACTCCCTCGATAATCTTGTCGATGATTTGAGCAAATTCGCCGCTTCTACGCTCTTCAACATAGCCAAACTACGAAGCTCCAACTATATCAAGGACTTCGGCGCAACGAGGGTGGATTTTGGCTGCCGACGTGGAAGAGTCGTGAAGTCCAGGCAACAGTGAACAACACCACCACCAAAGAGGCTGCAGTTGCCAGGCCGTGGTGTGAGGAGCAGTGGAACGCTTCCCTTGGGTGCAGTCAGCTGTGCCTTTGGCTTGATCGATAACGAACGTGACGACGGCTTCAACTAGGTTATGAACCGGTCGACGAGCAACTAGGTCATGAACCGGGTCGACGAGCATCGTGAAAGAATCGGCGCACCACCTCCGAAGGTCACAATTACCGACTTCGAGGCCCGGGCGGCACAACAACATGGCGAGCTTCACGTAGACCTGCAGCCTCTGCAGTGGCCCAAGGCCGTATTGTACGGCCTACACGAAGCGAAAGGGTCCCGCAGCCGACTGCCCGGGCCTTGGAAGGCATGGATCAGTAAGGCTGTCATACAGTTGTGAGTAGTTTGATAAGACGCAGTTTTTTATTGCATTTTTGGCCCTGTTACGTAAGCGAATTCAACGAAGTCAGCTTCGCTTTTTACTGAAGATTTGAACGATTTGAGCGAATCTACGGTCCTGAGCTGGAATTACCGCATTTAGAAGTGTGCTGACGTTAGCGACGGCGGCGAGGTGCAATTGCGGTGCAACTGCGTTGCCAGCGCTTGGAGCGGGGCAGCCCGCGAATGTGGTAATTTTGGCTGTAAAATGTGGTATTTTCATGGGCGGTGAGCTGTAACGCTTGGCGGCCTACGTACTCACAGTGACTGGGGACGTTTTAACAGTTGCAGGAGACTCGCTCTTTTTTTTTTATCATTTTGGGCCTCTTTAATAACTTTTTACATCCTTTTTGGTAGAGCGAAAGATGCCGTCAAATATCATCAATTATTAACATATCAATCAATTCTAGCCTCAACCTAGTCAAATACCCATTTTGGCCGCTCAATTCAACCAAATATAGCCCCAAGATTGAGTTGTTTGAGCCATTGCCAACGCTGTGTTTAACCACAACACAGCGAGTCCTTGCGATACTTACAACGCACTATCTAGCATTGAAACCCAGAATAGCTTCGTTTGCCTCTCCGATTTTCAGCGGCGCCCATGTAGGCGCCATTGCGTTATTTACATTTGAATAGTTATGTTAGCGAAGTTGCTTCATTAAATAGCGCAATACAGCAATCGCTCAATGCCTCCCAAAAAGTTGGTATTCCTCTCTCGTTTTCCGGTAGCAGCGATAATTCTCAGCCACAGTGAAATCTTCTCCAGGCAACAGCCATCTCCCAATTTCCAGGTAAACTTTCACTGCACTTTCACTCAACTTGATACCGCATTCACCGCCAACCATGTCGGGCTTTGAAATCGCTGGCATTCCGCTTGGAGCTGGGGCCCTTTTGCTCTCCATCAAGGGCGCCGTTGACGGCTGCCGCCTCCTCGCCGACGTGTGCGCCAAGGACAGTGGCCTCAGCTTCGCTGCGACGCATTACTACCTCCAAAATACACGCTTGCAGCTCCGGAAGGACCGCCTCAATGTCGTCGACGAAGCCAACGGCCTGCTCTTGAAGCAGCCTCGCATCACACGCGATGCCGTGTGGCGGATCGTGGCCGAGATCAACGCCACGCATGAACTCGCCGTCAATTTCATCACAAAGTACGACACTAAGAACGCCGCAGTACCTACCTCCGCAGTGACAGCGCCGGGGATCGAGACTGCGGGGGCCGAGACTTTCACGAGGAGAGTAAGCGGGTGCCCGTGTTCACCCAAGCCCGCGCTCGCATCCCGAAGAAAAAACGGCTGGCAGGCGCTGGACTCCAGCTCGCCAGTTTCGTGGTCGAAGACAGTGCACGAAACGGCCACCCCAAGATTGAAGTTGCTTCGTAAGGAAATGGTGTCGCCATGATTGGCGATTCCTTGCAAAAGAGGCAAGTCGCAGGATAGAATGTCGAAAGAGGTCACTGAGAAAAGGTTGAGAAGACGGCGGGGCTCCCGCGGAATCTGGCTTCGGCGTTGCGCTCTTGGCTGCCTGACATTCGAAATTGGGGGAAGGTAACATCGTCATCCCTTGTCGCATCGGTTGGATCGGCAACGTTAGCGCCGTCGCCCAAGTCGGCTGCCGCTACCGGAACTCTCTCGCGCACAAGGGAGGACACAACGGGCGTCGTGAACGCGAATTTGGTCGGATGGGTCAGTCGAAAAGTCTGCGTTCTAGTTTATCGAGGTTAGGGAGGGCTGGGAACTATTGTGGGAATTTGGAGAGCGACTGATGGTGCGGCTGACTCCTAAGATGCATCGGCGTGGCACGCCCCCGGTAGTCACGTATTAAAGATTGCGCATTCTCACACACCCAGTATATACTCACCCAGTATATACTCACACACCCAGTATATACGTACATCGTAATTATAGTCATTACCTGGGGGCTGTCCCTATGAATTACGCGTCTCCTGCTTTCCATCGAAAGGAACCTTTGGCCGGAAGGACTAGAAACGGGCCTCTGAGCCTATATAGCGGCGGAAAGTAGGATCACAGTATTAACTCAGAGAAGAATTAGGAAAAGCCCAGGGGTAATCAGCTAGCTGCAGCTCACCCCGGCTCACCCCGGCTCACCCCAGCTCAGAACTACATGGTAAGAAAAATAATCAAATTCCTAGATTCGTCTAATACAACGAGCTGTCGACACGTCATGGATAAACCCGAGCTTCATCAGCATCTCAACAAGCGCGACTGCTAAGCACTCTCCTCCTAGCCAGCAGTGCTAGTCTTGGTAAACGTGTAAGTTTGGTGGTCGGGGTCTGGCGGTGTTGTGTCCGTGACGGGGCTGATGTCGGCGACACGCTCCTCGTGCTTGAGGCAGGCCGCCGACCTCCCGCCATGGTTGTTGCTGGGGTGGTAGCTGGCATCGTTGCGCAGCCGCCAGATCAGCGACTCGTGCAACACAGCGTCGGCGGGGATGTCGCGCGCGGCGCCTTTGTTGAGCGGGAAGCGCACGTTGACCCAGTCGTCGTCCTCAAGTTCCCACCGCGTAATCAACGGGAGCCATTCTGCTGCAGTTAGCCCAGTTAATCTCCCCGGGGCCATGATACGACATGGCTTACCGAGAAACTTCCACAGCAGCACCTTGAAGAAGCCCGTGCCGTAGCCAAAGCGTAGCGAGTCGTGAATGAAGCCACCGAGTGCCTGCGACTTCTTCTTCTGGAAACGGCGCTTGAAGCGGTCGACGAGATCGCCGCGCCATTTGACGGCGGCCGACGGGTCCTGCTGGCCCACGAGCTCGACCTCGCGCATCATCCAGGCCAGCGGGATGTCGCTCATCTGGAAGGGGCCCGAGTCCATGTACTTGCTGGCCTTGTGCGCCTTGCGCGTCGTCGACAGGTTCTTGAGCCGCTGCCAAATCGTCATGCGGTGCTGGGTGTCGAGAGGGTTGTCTGCAGCCGCCGGCCAGCCCCCGCCCACGTCGCCGTGGCACCCGGGGAACCATACCTCCTTGATGTCCTCCGAGTCGTCCTCGCTGATCGAGGCGCGAATGTCCTGGGCCAAGAGCGCGGCTTTGAACTTGACACGCCGCTCGTCGACGGCGACGGCGTGGCGGACGTACTGTGCTGTGCCGCTTACCTTGACCGGCTTGGGCGTCTTGCGCTCCAGGACGGCCACCGAGTTCACGCAGTCCCACATGCCGAGGAAGTAGACCTTGATGTTCTGCTCGTCAACGTGGCCGTGGTGGTGGACCTGCGCCTTGCGGCAGAACGTGTTGCTGAAGGCTGCAATCTCGTCGCGCCTAGGGTGTTCTACTCCGGACTCATCCTGGCCGCCATTGGTCAGTGCCACTTCCATCTGCTGTCCGTCGGCGCCCGCATTCCTGGCCCCTCTCTTGCGGCCTTTCTTGCCGCCGTGCCCCTTTCCGAACTCCTGAATCTCGCCAGCCAGGTAGCGCTGGTAGAGACGGTACGCGAAGGGGACAAGCTCTTCGTTGCCTTTGCACAGCAGGCCGACCGTGTTGATCATGCGCGCCAGGAACTTGGCTGTGAAGGCGCCGCGGCTAAAGCCAAACATGTAAATCCTGTCGCCCTGTGCCGGTGCAGACTTGTAAGCACCTTAGAATTGCGAGCACGAGATGACCGCGACAAGACTCACCGAGCCGTAGTACCGCATCAGGAAGCGGTATCCGGCCAGCACGTGCGAGTCAAAGCCGGTGCCAAACCCCTGGTCCAGGGTCTGCTCTACCGTGCTCCGAATGCTCTGCAGCCACGTCTGATCTACCGAAGTTCCGTCCGTGTCGTAGGTACCGATGCCAGCTGCAAACCGACGAGCTGTTAGCTGATATGCCGAGGACGGTGGGCGGGTAGGTCGACATCAGACGCAGCTCGCCGGGGAGCGCAAATACTGACTCTGATAGTAATGAAACTGTTGAGGATCATTTCGGTCCAGCTTGTTCAGGATCTTGACGACGTTGGTGTCGGCATTGGATCCGCTAAAAGTGTTGCCTGTGCCATCGAAGCAAAGTATCAGCTTCTTTGGCGCGCTTGGCTGGACAGTCTTGTCGGGGCCCGGAACAGGAGTATGGTCGGGCTCTTGTGAGCGAGTCTGGTCGGGCTCTTGTGAGTGAGTCTGGTCGGGCTCTTGTGAGTGAGTCTGGTCAGGCTCTTGTGAGTGAGTCTGGTCACTGCGCTCTTGTGACATGTTATTTGTCTTGGGGGGAGGTTGGTGCTGAAGAACAAGGACGTCGTTGGGGTTCGAGCAATCTTGGCTCAGAATGCGGAAAGGGTGGTGAGCAGACGAGGTGGTTACAGGAGTCGGCGGTAGCTCCTATTATTGTACTGCCGGTAACAGCCGACTCGTCACCATTGTCGCCGAGGTTGCCGGCCTCGACAACACAGATTCTGCCTTCCATGCGCCAAGCCATCCGGGGCGGGGTATCTGTGCTACTTGGCTGGATCCTCGGCCACCATCTCAGTCTCGCAGGACCGCTGTACTTTGCGGAGACTGTGGTTCGTACTACGGGATTGGGCCTTGGCCTGCTGATGTCCTTACCCGTCCATTACCCGGCGAGACTGACATTGGCAGGTGGGCGCCAATTATTTGGATTAATCGGTGGAAAAGCCCTTGCACAGTGTGCCTCGTATCCTGGTGTGTGTATCTGCCTGCCTACGTTAGTTGGCTGTCGGGAACGAGCTGCAACCATCATAACACCCCGCTTGTATCTCGCCATAGTTCAGGTCGCCCTCTTTCTTCGCCATGATTCCATCCGTAGTCACTAGTAAGTAGATTTGTTTTCAGCTCGCTCGTTTTCCTGAGATCCTGACCTCTCTACTTCTAGAATGCCGGCCTAGAATGCCGGGCCAGAATCCCTGAGCGCTTTTCTTTACCGACGCCGTGATGTGGTCCCGGATTTATGCTGCCATTCATTCCAGTGCGCACCCAGTAGCCATGCACGTGAGCGCTAGAAAACCTGCACGAAAAGCCCGTCAGCCACTCGACTTCACTGTTGATCGGGACCGAGGTTAGCCGAGGCATGCACGAGAATGAAACAATTTAGTTAGCATCCGAAGGGTTACACCGTTACACCGTTAGGCAATGGCCCCATGTCCGACCTCCTCGGCGCAACCCGTCTGTGCGAACGCCGGGTGATGGTGGCGGACTAACTTGAAGGCACCGGGACGCTGCCGGTCCTACGGTTTGCAAACCGATGAACTGTTTTCTTCCACTTTTCGTTCCAGGGATGCCAGTATTCGGGGTCATATCGACATCCCGCAACGTCAGTGATACACGGCTGGCTGGCTCTAGTTTCCCGTCGATATGCAATGTTGTGAGACGAGTTGCTGTTCTTGGGTGCAGTACTAGTGGAGCGGTCGGGGCGCGACAGCCAAAGAAAAGCGGTCGAAATGTAAGCAGCGAAAAGTGCCAGCATCCTATAAAGAATCGAATGAGTTGTATACCAGAGATGGCCGAACGAGGGAGCGTAGAAAGATCAAGATTGTAGTTGTACATCTTCCTTCCTATCTTGCATCCAACTGATAAGTACTACACCCCGACTACACTCCCAAGCGTGAACATGTCCAACGACAAGTACCAAGCTGGAGAGACTTACAAAGATGCCACTAAGGCGCCTGCCTACTCTCTCGACGATCCCTTGCCCATTGCCCAGGACCTCGTCAAGGAGCTGGCTGGTGTGTTGGGCCAGGTGTCTGTGAAAGATGTGCTTGGCATCCTGGAGTCATTGACACAGAAGCCTCTTAACGACAAAACAGGGTATGAACCCCCCGAGTGGAAGTGCATCTTCCGAGATGACGGTACGGGTCGCCATTCTGACAAGCATCAGATCAACCGAGGCTCTGATTGGTGTTCTCACTGCTCTCTCCTCAAAGTCCTACCTGCGAACCTTCCTCACGAACAAGCTCATCGACACCCTCTGGAACAACCTCCAGCACCCGCCACTGAGCTACGTCGGCGGCGATGTCAAGTATGAGGTCTTGAAAGAGTCAGACACAGGCTTCGGCAACGCCGACGTCGTCGACGCGGTCCAGTTTCGGGCCCCTGATAGCGATGTCATATTGCGCGAGCAGATTCCAACTGCTCCTGACGGCCTGTACCAGTACCGGATGCCCGACGGCAGCTACAACAACATCCTGACCCCGAATCTGGGGAGGGCGGGCACGCCCTACGCCAAGACGGTCCGCAACCTCAAGAGCCTGCAAGGGGTGAAGCCCGACCCCGGCTTGCTCTTTGACCTCTTGATGGCCCGCGACGACAAGCACTTCAAGGAGAACCCCGGCGGCATCTCGTCCATGTTCTTCTACCACGCCGCCATCATCATCCACGACGTGTTCCGCACGAGCCGCACGGACCAGAACAAATCCGACACGTCGTCGTATCTCGACCTCGCTCCTCTCTATGGCTCCTCGCTCAGCGACCAGCTGGAGATTCGCACCATGAAAGGGGGCCTGCTGAAACCCGACACATTCCACGAGAAACGCCTGCTCGGCCAACCAGACGGTGTAAGCGTCATGCTGGTCCTATACAGCCGCTTCCACAACTACGTGGCCGACATTCTGCTCAAGATCAACGAAAATGGACGGTTCACACTGTCGTGCGCGCCCGACGCCGGCCCAGAGGAGCTGGCGAGGGCCGTGGCCAAGCAGGACTACGACCTCTTCAACACGGCGCGCCTGGTCGTGGGCGGGCTGTACATCAACATCTGCCTGCACGACTACCTCCGCGCCATCACCAACACGCACCACTCTGCGAGCGACTGGACCCTAGATCCTCGCGTCGAGATGGAGCAGAAGACCGTCTTCGACGGCGAGGGCACGCCGCGCGGCGTTGGCAATCAGGTCAGCGTCGAGTTCAACCTACTCTACAGGTTCCACTCGTGCATCTCCAAGAAGGACGAGCGTTGGATCAACAACTTCTTCCTGCAGCTGTTCCCGGGCCGCAACGTCGATGAGCTGCAGGATGTCAGCTGGGTCGAGCTGGGCCAGGCTCTACTCGAGTTTGAACAGAGAACGCCCAAGGACCCGAGCGTCCGGACCTTTGGCGGCTTGACGCGGGGTGCCGACGGCAAGTTCAAGGATGACGACCTTGTGCGCATCCTCAAGGAGGCCATGGACGACCCGGCCGGAATCTTTGGTGCCCGCACAATCCCGAAGGCGCTCAAGATTGTCGAGGTGCTCGGCATCAAGCAGGCCCGCGGCTGGCAGGTGGGCTCGCTGAATGAGTTCCGCGAGTTCTTTGGGCTCAAGCGCCACCAAACCTTCAAGGACATCAACTCGGACCCCGAGATTGCCAATCTGCTCGAGAAGCTGTACACGGACCCCGACATGGTGGAGCTCTACCCTGGCCTCATGATTGAAGACTTCAAGCCTGTCCGCAATACGGGCTGCGGCATCAGCCCACCCTACTCGCTTGGCCGTGCCGTGCTTTCCGATGCCGTCACCCTTGTGCGCTCGGACCGGTTCAACACGATTGACTATACCGTCTCCAACCTGACGGCCTGGGGGTACAACGAGGTGCAGCACGACAGCAAGACCCTGGGCGGTTCGATGCTGTACAAGCTCATCCAGCGCGGCGTGCCCGGCTGGTTCCCCTTCAACTCGGTCGCCGTCATGCAGCCCATGTACACCAAGACGGGCAACGAGAAGATTGCGCGCGAGATTGGCACCATGGGCCAGTACACGCTGGACGGCCCCAGGCCACCCCCAGTGCCAGTCCCCATCTTCACCAGCGCAGCCATCAAGGAGGTGCTCGGCAACCCGAAGCAGTACGCCGTGCCCTGGCTGCCGGCCGTCAACAGCCTGTTCCCGGGGGAAAAGGACCTAGGGTGGTTCATGCTCGCAGGTGACAACGCGGCCAACTACGCGCACCGGGCCAGCATGGAGAAGGCCATGAGCAAGATTCCCGACCTGGCCGGCGCGCTGCGCGACTTCATGGACCAGGCGGGCTCGCGGTTGATCGACAGGGAGACGTTTGCGCTCAGCGCGGGGCTGAACCAGCTCGACCTGATCCGCGACATCGCCGTCCCGCTCAACGCGCAGCTGCTCGCCGACCTGTTCTACTTCGACATGCGCACCGACGAGAACCCGGGCGGGTCGCTGAGCGCGACGGAGCTGTACACGCACCTGCTCGACATCCGCGTGTGGGGCGTCAACAACAACGACCCGGCGCAGGCGTGGAACCGCCGCCGCCGCGCCCAGGAGGGCGCCCAGATCATCATCGACTCGACGCGCAAACTGGTCGACCGAGTCGTGCTCAACCAGGCCACGCTCGGGCTAGGCGGGATCCTTACGTCGGCCGTGTCAGGGAGCAATAACAAGAAGGGCTCGCTGCGCTCATGCGGCGAGAAGCTGGTCAAGGAGCTGCTGGCCCAGGGGAACTCGCCCGAGCGCGTGGTCGACGCCCTGTGGCTAACGGCTTTTGGCGGAATCGGCGTGCCCGTCACGGCGGTGAGTTGCGCATCACTTGGTCGTGCTTGGCTTTGCATTACTTGTACTCGTTGCCCAGCCTGTTGATGGATCTGTGCTGACCAAATTCTTGTCCCAGTTCTACGAGGTGATGGAATTCTTCCTCCGTCCCGAAAATGGAGCCATCTGGGCGGAGGTCCAGGACATGGCCAAGAAGAACGACAGTGCTTCTCTTCATGCTTATGTCGCCGAGGCGCAGCGCCTCACGAGCTCGCAGCGGAACATGCGCATCGCCACGCAGCCAGCCACCCTGGAGGGCAAGTCGATCCAGCCCGGCAACCTGGTTGTCCTGATGATCGTAAGTTATTGCCCCTTTTACCTTTCTCTCTCGCTCGGAGACAAAATCTCACAGTTTCCCAGGCCGCGGCGGCACGCAACCCGTCCGAAGTCGCCGACGCGACCAAATTTGATCCCAAGCGCGTGTCAGATTCCGTGACTGCATTCAGCTACGGCAAACACCAGTGCTTCGGGAGGAACCCGGCCACGGCATTCCTGGACGGGCTCGTCAAGTTGGCTGCCGGCCTCAAGAACCTGCGTCCTGCCCCAGGCGAGATGGGACGGGTCAAGACCATCCAGCTCGGCTCCGAGAAGGCCTATCTCAACGACAGCTGGTCGTACCTGGGCTTCGACGCCAGCTGTAAGTTCCTTATTTTTCTCCATGTCGCTCCGCGCGGCCGAGTACGATTTCGTGCTGACGGTTGTCAAACAGCTTGGAAGGTCCACTTTGATGGCCACGGGCAGGGCACCTTTACCGGCGACAGGGAGCCGACGGCGCTTCTGGACCTGCAGCAGTATTATGGCCGGATTCAGAAGCGCGCTGCTGAGATTCTCAAGGGAGGGGAGAAGTAGAGAATGCGGCGCTTGTGTTGCGAAGCAAGGATGAGCCAGGTACTCGATTTGCCAGGTTGGAGTCAAATGAAATTGAACCTGTGCTGCCCTTTGACCGTGTTCCTATTCGCCGAATAATTGCTCGGCAATTACCCAAGCCCAGAGAAATAGTGTCCAGCTGCAATGCAGTAACAGATGCCCGTGTTCGCTTGGCGATGCGCATGCTGCTGCGGACCTGTGAGGCGAGGCTTGGCGGTTGTCGCTGGCTAGGTAATGATTAATGATGCATGGAGGGGATAATTCGGGATAGCATTACGGAGGGGTATTCCATACTGTGTAACAGTACAGCCTCAGGACCACAGCTTCGGCGCAATGGCAAGCTCAGCCTCGTCGCGCTTGAATTGGAACATTGGAACAATTAGGCGCCTCTGTCTTGATGCATGGATGCGCAGGATCTCGGGGCAAACTCGGCGCCGCCAAGCGTGTCCCTCTGTCGGTTCAGTGCTTAAAGTCGTGTCACTCTTGTCGGTTCAGTGCTTAAAGTCGTGTCACCGTCCTTGGTCGGAGCTCCATTTCGCGGGGCCCGTCGGGCAGCTTGCCCAGCTGAGATAAAGCCCTTATCAGCCGAATGCTTATCGTAAAAATCGTCCCAGCAGCCAATCAGACATGGCCAAATCGCCCCGGCAGCCAATCAGACATGGCTAAAGATGCAACACTAGTCCTGATCTGGACGTTCTAGACTTTGCTCGCGTCGGCTAGCATCTGGCTGAACGCTAGTGCCCAGCTGCGGCTCCACAGAGCTGGCCACGTCCAATCCAGCCCAGCATTTGCGATGCCAAGAGCTGCAATATTGGCTTGGCTTAATCAGCTGGCGGTGCGAGACGGCGCCGCGAGCCCATCGCGAGTCCAGACCCACGGACTAAAAAAGAAGCTTTTGCCAAGCGCAACGATGAATCCGTCCCCACGTTCTCCTCCATTCCCCCTTCTTGGCACCTTTCTGGCAGAAGCTTGCCGTCGTCTGCTCGCGTCCCGACTGTTTGGTAGTTCTTGGCTGCTTTATTCTTGGTTTTTAGTTCAACGTCCCCAGTTGTTTGTTGTCTTGCAGCGTCTCTCGCAGATCGCCAAGCCAGGTCCCCTCGGAGCTAGGTTCGGACTCTGGTCCGTCTGGTCGCAATGTCGTCCGACACTCCCCCGTTGCTTGGGCATAGGAAGCGCTCGGGTTTGTACGTCCGCGCCCAATCTACGGTCCCCGTTCAGCCAGCACACAGCGAACTCAATTCTGACTGGGATGCATGCAGAAAGGACGAGAAGGACAAGCGGAGAATTCACAAAGTCGCGCCGTGGATAAAAAATCCCCTCCAGGGCGTCGACAAGAAGAGCCTCGTCTTTGCTCCGCGCCACGAAGCAAGCACGCTCGAGCTGTTCTTCGATCTATTTTTGTGAGACTCCACGTTGGTCTCGGTTCAGGATGTTTCCGTCTGACAGCGAGCCCCCAGCGTCGCCAACTTGGCCACCTTTACGGCGTACCACTCCATCGTCGACCACTCGTCTCTCTTCGCCTACGTCGGCTTCTTCGCCATAATATGGCTGACCTGGTTCCACATCACCCTGCACGACGTCCGCTTCGCCCATGACACCGTCTACGAGCGGGCCTGTAAGACGCTGCAGATGATCGTCTTTGTCGGCTTTGCCCTCGTCGGCTCCGCCTTCGCCCCCGGCACTGACGACGGCAACAACACCAACTTCCGCATTCTCTGTTACACCCTGGTGATCAGCCGGGCCCTCTTCGTGGTGCAGTACAGCATCGTCGCCGTCTTCGTCGTCATGGCCCGCCGCACCGACATCTTGCTGCCCCTGGCCCTCAACATCCTCACCTATGTCGTCGCGGGAGCCGCCTTCGGCGCCATGATCCCTTCGTTTGCCGCGGATAAACCCGTCGACCCCAACAACGGCATCTACTCCGTGTGGTGGGTCGTCATGGCCGTCGAGACTATCGCCACCATCGGCATCTCGTCCATCTGGCGCATGGTCAGCTTCAAGAAGACGCATCTGGTCGAGCGCATGGGCCTGCTCACGCTCATCGTCATTGGCGAGGGCGCCATCGGCGTTACCAAGACCATCAGCCGCATGATGGGCAAGAACGGCCTCGACCCCGAGGGTTGTGGCATGATTCTGTGCATCATCTTACTACTGGTAAGCAGCAGATCGACATTGGCTTCATCCCTCAGTAACTTCCTGCGGCCCGGCTCCTAACACTTGACCTCTAGATTGGCTTGTGGATGATTTACTTTGACAACCACCCCCACGGCCACTACGGAACCATCCGGCAGCAGATCTGGTCCACTTTGCACTTTCCCATCCATCTCATGATTGTTGGTCTCGTCGAGGGCGCGCAGCAGATCGCCCTGGCCCGCTACACGTCCCGGGGCATCACAAAGCTCGAGAAGAGCTTTGCGCAGGCGTGCTTCAAGGACCACCTCGACGGCGAAAAGCTTTCCGAGAAGTTGTTCGACGCCGTCGAGTATTTCCACCTCGATAAGAAACTACAGGGCCTTATCTACATGGACGAAATTGAAGTCGGCATCTGGACCGTCGGCAACGAGACGGGCATCTGCGGCAAGACCGTCACGGGTTCCGGATTCTCCGACTTCCCTGATGACTTGGCAAACGTCTTTTACTACACCGTGTCGGCGATCTACAGCGCGCTGGGTCTGATATTGCCGCTGGATAGGGACCCAATCGAGGTTATGTTCGAATCCTGGAAACTCGTCTACCGCTATTTCTGGGCAGCCTTCCTCGTTCTCACAGTCTGCTTCCTTATTTGCATGATCTTGATCCGGCGCAATAAGATGGACGTATTTGACTGGACGACGCTGTTCAGCAGGGGCACTGCCATCGTCATCGCCGGAGTCCTTTTGGCCCTCTCGTCGAACCACGACCTCATGTACGGAATCCTCGAGAAGGATATCATTCTGCCGACGGCGGTTGTGCTGTTGTATCTGATCATCGTACTGGACCGTTTTAGCGCCAAGATTGCCAATTGGAGGAATAGGAGATCAGGCGAGCCTCTGACTGGCGTCGGTGGCCACGGCCACGGTGGTGACGAAGGACATGAAGACCATGACGATCATGGAGGACACGGGGACGACCACGAAAAGGGCGACGGCATCAGCCTCTCTGTCATGCCCGTTACAGCACACCGCATGTCATATAATCCCCTCGGCGGCGCTGTCATGCCGGCATACCACGACACGGACGCGCCATTGTATGGCGGCCCAACAGTCACGTACTCGCAGCCGCCGCCCGGCCCGGGAGCCATGTATTCTCAGCAACAGCCCCCGCCAGCAATGCCTGTCTTCTCCGAGAGCACGGCATACAACCCAGGCGGCTACATGCCAGTCTCGGTGGCCAGCACCGCCCAGGACCCTGGCGCTTATAAGCCGGTTTCGGCTGTCGGCACGGTATATGACCCTGGCGTGTACATGCCCGGGTCCGTGGCCGGCATGACATATAACCCCGGCGGGTACGCGCCAGTGCACAGCGCCCAGCACGAAGGCCACCCCGGATACTGAGTGATTATGGTCCTTACGAGTTGCGTTTCATTTTGTTTGCGGGGCACTGCTTTGTATATTGTCGTCTTGCATATATAATTTCGGTTGTAAATAACGGCCTATGTCATTATTCTGATCTGGCGGGAGCGTTGGAAATACAATGAGAGGAAAGCGGTAATGAATGAAAACCTAGATAGATTGCTTTATATTAGATACTAAAAATATTTGGCTATTGAACAAAAAGAGGCAGTCTATTCGGATAGTAACAACCGTCTTTCCGGACAGTAGTGTACAAAATGGTAGACACGCGCTGGGGTCTGCCTATGACAAATCACTTTTCGTAAGAAGAGGGTTAATTCCTGGGACGAAGCTAGCGTAACCACTTTAGATCAATTGGCCATATACCGTATACGCACCATATTTAACATCATTCGTATGTAGGGTAGGCCGCGTAGGAAAATCCGATTTTGGCTGGGCTTGTGGCCTGGCCCCTTAGCTGCAAAGTCACTTTTTGTACACTACTGTCACGTTGCTGGCATTTTGACGAGGGAGTTTGGCAAAATTACATCAGCCAAGGCAATTATTAAACAAGCGTGGTTTTACAATACACATTATTAATCTACGCGTATTTATTCTCGGACATAGGCAGTGGACGTTTCGGATTCCGCCGTGAACCGGATCTGGCGGAGTTGGTTAGCAGGTGGCGTTCCTCTAACAGCGGTTCTTATCTTATCGGCTCGGCCTGTTGGGGAGGGTTCGTTAATGACGCATGACCAAAGTGACGTCACCGCCATCCGACCAAGGAAGCTTTCCGCGGCATTGGGTCACAGCGAACTGGATGGTTGCTTAGAGGGTGCCGTCGGAACCCTACTCGGTGTTACGGTGCCTGGTGATCTTCTGATCTACTTTAATTATTTCTCAACGCCTTTTGTGTCATTTTGGGTCTCTTTGTTTTTTTCTTTTCCGATTTTATTACGTTGCATGATCCCCCAGCGGGCTTGCTTTATTGCTGCGACGCTGTCAGGGACTGTCAGGGACCGTCAGTAGCAGCGGTAGTGGAGCCCCATGGAAGGCAACGCCTATTTCGCGGGTGCCATCCCATCCTCGTCGCCAAGTCCCCAAAACACAAACACGGTAGCCGCTGTAGACGATTCTGATCACGAAGGCGACGATGGCAACAGCATCGCGCTGCACCGCATCCCGGCGACCCCCATAAGCGAGAACCCGCCGACGCTTCCCATACCAGTGCACGTAGTTCCGCCCGCCAGCGCCGCGCAAAAGGTGCAGTTCCGACCATTGGACTCCAGTCGCCAGCCATCTGTCATCCGACTCCGCCGACTCCGAGGCGATCCGCCGTCACGACCGTCATCCCGGCCGCCATCCCAATTCGAAGGCTCCCCAGGCCAGCAGACAATACCCGAATATGGTCTTGTTCGGGCCCAAGTCCAAGGCGAATCCCACAATGACGACGGGGCACACATCGGCCGCAGACGCGCGTCGTCGGAGCCCCAGCGGCCTGCTGCCGTCCTTGCCCCGCTCGACATGACAAGAACTGTCGATACCCTCCCTCCAATTCCCGGAACGCCCACTGCCAGCGATGCGTCGAGCATGCGCCAAAATGCATTTGGCAGTCGTGCAGGGCGAATCCGAGGTCGGCGCTTCTGGCGTCCGCGCCGCGACACGAGCGCGACGCGCACACAAGAGCAGGTCGCCAATGAGGATTGTTACGATTCCAGAATAGTCGACTTTCTCGACGTCATCGGTCAGTGCCACCGGTTAAAAAACACCATGATGCAGGCTTCTGTGCTGACTTCGACCTAGACCCCGAAGTGGCCACCCTGTCGTCAATTACCAACATCCAAAACTCGCTCTTCGTCCCATCTCTGGGCAGGTGGGTAAACCGCCGACCAACATATGATCTCTCACGTCTGCCGCGGATGCCCGGAGCATTCCCAACATCCCAAGAAAATGTTGGGCTGGACCAGAGCGCTGGTGATGCAAGACAGGATCGTCCAGAAGACGAACGTCCCGGCGTGACCCGGGCCCACAGTTTCTCGTCCGTCCTGACCGCGCCTCAATATGCCGTCCTCCCCAAAAACGCTTCGCTGGAGGGGTGGCGGGAAGAAGACATCAAGCTTCTCAACGATTACGTTCGCCACATGCTGCACTCGAGGCGGTCCAAGATCAAGCAACGCTTCAAGGGCTTCATCAAGTACTGCAGCAGGCCGTTGGGCTTCTTCATCACCCTGTACGCCACACTTATCACGCTTTTTGGTCTCGCCTGGGTCTTGTTTTTGATCGGCTGGATTTATGTCGGCGAGCGCCAGGTATATGCCATCAATGTAATCGACAATGTGCTCGTCGCCCTCTTCGCCATCATGGGCGACGGGCTTGCCCCCTTCCGCGCCATCGACACATATCACATGATATTTGTCGCGCATTACCGTGAGTTGCCCTCGTCGTCGCGCTGGTTGACTCCAAAACTGACTCGGTGCATTCTACAGATCGCAAAACATGGAAGATGCGCCAGAAGCTGTTGCTCCCCAGCCTGAAAGATCACAATGACCTTCCTCTCGATGTCCACAAGGTCTCGGACCCCTCAGATCTCGAGGCCGGGCCGCAATGCCCGCAGAAGGACGAATTCATCCCCGTTCTCTCCGACGCTGAGCAGGCGAAGCTTGTGCACCACCAGTCCAAACTTGCAAAGTCCCACACGTTTTACAAGCCACACGAGACGGAGACGCACAACGCCTTTCCCCTCCGGCTGCTCGTGGCTATTGTCGTCTTGTTGGACCTGCACAGCTGCCTGCAGATAACTCTTGGGTCGTACACGTGGAGCAAGGACTACGACCACCGCCTAGCCGCCGTCACCACAACTGTTCTCTGCCTCTCCATCACGGCAAACTCGACTGCCGGACTTCTCATCACCATTGGCGACCGAAGAACCCGCAAAAAGGATGTCCTCGAACGCCTCATGAAAGAAGAGCTAACAGAGGAAGCCATGCACAAGGTCCAGAAGCAAAAGCAGAAGGAGGCTGAGAAAGAAGAGGATAAGCAGCACATTAAAAGTCCCAGACCTTCCCACAGTCTGAGCCTCCCCTGGACCGAGAGAGCAAAGTCGGACAGCGGGGGTGAGTCTGCACACAAGAAAGAAATAGGCCAAGTCGGCAAGTTCAACGTGGACACGACCGACCACGCGTACCCGACGACCGATAGAGAAAGGGACGAATACCGTATCCCAGGACAGTTTGACGAAGAATGACAGGATAGTGTAGCAAATTAGATATATACCATTTAGAGTACGATAAAGATTTAATGTCAGATTAGGCGAAACTTATTTTTCGCCTGGTAGCCTAAGGAGCCCGGCTTTTGACGCGAGGGGCTGTAGTCGAGCAAAGCTAATAAGCTTGTGGCGACTCACGCGCCATTGTACCTGACACGAGTCTGTCGAGCGTTGTGGGGCCGCTGGGTCTCTCCGATGTTTACTTGAGCGTGTTCATGTTGTCGAAGATAAGCTGGCAAACAGTCGATTCTCACGCCGTTGGGAGCTATTGATGCACGCTTATGGCATTAATATAGAAACAGAGCCGTCATCATCGTTATGCCCAACCAGACTCCAGGCACGATGGCTACCAGAGCGCCACTCTCTCAACTTTGTCCTCTCGCTCTCCATCCTATCTAGACCGTTATTTCCACCGTCTCCCGCTGCAAGCCTGAAAGCCACATCGACTGGGGCCACCTTTGCCCCCCTTATCCTGTTATTCTCGATAGGCTAAAGCAGCCTGGGGCGATTGACATTTTCAACGACTCCCGTCCCAACAACCCCTGCCAGATGATGCTGGCAGTATGACTTGTAAAACTTAAGATAGGGCAGCGACATCCTCCCTAACAATGGCATCCTGCGGGGTGAACGACACAGCAATCTCGGGAGCCGAGCTGGGCTATCTAGAGATGCTCACCAGCAACGCAGCAACACAGGACCTGCAGCAAGATCTTCGGGCATATGTTGTCAACATCAGTATTTCCTTCACCGCGATAGCTGGTCTTTCGCATGGCCCGGCCATTACTACGCCTTTCCGCGATCAACCTGTCCAGTCCTTGTCAGAATTGGCGACAACTCAGGACTCTGGCATGAGTGTGCCCACAAGTCCCAACGATCGTGGTTCAGGGCAGCTGCAACGTGCTTGTCTCACACTTCCGACAAGCCCAGCCATGCTGACGGCAACGACCTCGAGCTGGTTCCGAGACATATGGTCGGGAACATCGAATTGACGATTCATGCCAGCCCATTAGCCGTGGTCACGGGCGGAAAAGTCAGCCTGCTGATATCCATATTGGAGATGTCAAGGACTCGTTACCGCCGATGGCTATCCGGCGGTGTACCGAGGTGGAATGGAAGGTGGAAAAAGGTACCAACGTCTCTAACGCCGAGATACACGAATCCTTTTAGCTGTGGCACGGTATTTTCCCGCTATCTCATCATTACCGGGCTAGCTAGACGGTGTACAATCCAATCTCTAAACGTCTGGTTTGGTACTTGCGTGATGTGTGCCTAGTCGTTTAACCATGCCAAGAGCCAAGCCAAGTTGGAGGAACGCGGTCTATTGAACGGCGTTTGGGGAATTGGGGATCGGCGTTAGGTCTTAGACCGGCAAACTAACAAACTTTGGTTCTGCCAAGGCGGGGATGACGTTTGTGATTGCAGATCAGTTGACAATTATTCTTGTTCTTTTAGAACCGAGGGCTTGTTTCCGCGTCCAAATATGTCTCGGATCTACAAAAACATGCTAACCGGTTTAATACGCAAAGAGAGTTACAGTGAATTTTGCCACAATTACAGAGATAAAAGTGAATTAATAGCCAGGATTCGATCGGGAAAGTAGCAAGCTACCCCAACACTTCATCCCAAAAGCAAGCAACCCTCCAAAACCCTATCCAACCTTTACCAGCATTACCAAATCACACCAGCAAGATAGCCATGGCTCTTACCGAGAAACCGCGCGTGTGGCTCATCACGGGCGCATCCTCTGGGCTTGGCCTCGAGTTGGCAAAGGTCGCGGTAAGCCACGGCGACCTTGTTATTGCTGCCTCGCGCAATCCCGACAAGGTGAAGGAGCTGGCGGGCAAGAAAGGGGTGCAAGTGGCACGCCTTGATCACAACGAGCCACTGGATCAAATCCAGAGCGCCGTGCGCAACATCATCGCAATCCACGGCACGATTGATGTCGTCGTCAACAATGCCGCCTATGTGCAAACGGGCACCGTGGAGGAGACGTCGCCCGAAGAGACTCTACGGCAGTTTCAGGCCAATCTCTTTGGGCCAGCCAATCTCTACCGTGCAGTCCTGCCGTACCTGCGAGCAAAGGGCCATGGCACTCTTGTCACCGTTGGCTCCATGGCCGCCTGGTACCCCATGGAGTCGTGCAACATGTACAACGCTTCCAAAGCCGCCGTACGCAGTATGATGTTGGGTCTTGCTGATGAGGTCGCGGCGTTCGGGATCAAGCACTGTCTGGTTGAGCCAGGTTTCTTTCGCACTGGTCTCTTGAAGCCAGGCGGAAATTTCGCAGGGACGGCTCCGGCACACCGACTCGACGAGTACGCTGAACTTAATGCTTCCGCTGAGAAGGCATTTGAAGGATTTCACGGAAACCAGCTGGGAAACCCTATTAAGGGCGCCGAAGTCATCTACGACGTCGTCACCTCGTCTGGGTGTGCAGCGGGACGCTCACTTCCAACTTTCCTACCCGTTGGCAGCGACGCATCCACTGAGATCATTAAAGCGGCCTACGAGCTAATTAACGGTGTTGAAGAGTGGCGAAGTATTAGTGTTTTGAGTGACTTTGTGAAAAATGAATAAGGTCTACTATCTCTATATAGCTTACATAAAAATAAATTAACGTTCATGATATGCGAGTTAGCCATGATAAGCGAGTTGGCCACCTTAACGAGATTTGGTGAGGCACAAGCAAAAAGATGTTAGTAAATTGTTAGTGATCTTATCAATTTCTTATCGCATTTAGCTGCGCACGCTACCCGGTCTCGTTAAGGTGGCTAACTTGCTTATCATGGCTAACTCGCTTATCATGGCTAACTCGCTTATCAAATACGTTATCGTCGCTTCGATTTATTACGTTATTTTACGTAAGCTTTCAAAGTCTACCTCTTCGCTTTCGCTCTCAGTCTTAGTCCTAGTATAGTGTTACGGTCGCCACTAGGCACATGACGAGATAGATTCTATTGGCCGCATTGTATTTAGAGCGTGGTCTGTGCCCGTCGCCACCCACGTGCTCAGCACACACCTACTTCCCGGCGCCCTGCGCGGTCCCCGCGATAGATTCTTTCTTTTCCTTCCTTAGCTTTATTAAATCCACATTCGTTACCGCATTCGATCTTTGACTTCCTATGCGGGCCGTCACAAGTAGGGTAGGAGTGTAATAGGCCGGGCCGCGTTAGTAGCGAAGGAGAAGATCTAGCGTAAGGACGTCTATAGTCATTGACGCGTTTGTTGGCGAGTAGCACTCGTTCATGCGCAACCTCGAGTCATAGGTGTTATTCTGGATGCGCAAGTAGCTCGTACTAGGCTGCGGTAGCGGTAGGTCTAGGGGTAACTAAAAACTGCCTGAAATTTAGGCTGTTGGAATGTTGCACAGTCGTCTCTTCCTAATATGGGCCTCCAGCAATACGGGTGTGGGGAGCTCTAAAGATTGGACTAGACCTAGTGTTGATGGCGCCTAGAAGCGGATTGCAGCGCCCGCAGCACCAGCGATTCATATGCCCATATCGTGCCATTACGGCGTCCTCGTCGAATTGAACGTATCGCCTGTGCTGGACGTTTAGTACTAGATGCATCCAAACAGGGCCCGAGAGAGGATCGGGGATGGCGGAGAAACTTTGCACTCTGCATTGCGAGCTAAAGGTGGAAAGCCTGGGCTGAACTGGGTCGTTATTTGTGGCTGCCGTATTTTTATTTGATTTGCAGAGTGAGGCCATATTTGAGCTTTTCCAACATGTATTTGAGTTAACTGTTCTATTTAAAAATATTTGACCGGCGCTGAAAAACAATATTCCGGCCCGGGTAAACCCCGGCATAGAAAAAACCTGCCAGCCGAGACGCCGAAAGCCAGCCAAAGCCATGCCGAAGCTTCAAAACAGGCCACATCGCCGCCAATTTAACAGGCACAATAGCTTGATGGTATCGCTGCTGAGCCCGTGTTCCTGTAGTCCAACGATCAATTTGGCCATACTGAATAACCTCTCGTAGTCTGAAGACATGGCCGGGATCGAATGAAGGTCAAAGGCCATTCGTGATAACCGTGGAAAGCCATCTTTATTGTTGGTCCACTAAGCTAGAATGTCATCAACAGGCTTGACAGGCTCTTGAAGGTATTGTTGAAGCTCAGAGACGTAGGCGGGGGTGTCGTAGTAGTCATGGCTGGTAAGGTACGTATTTGGGAAGCCTTGGACCTCTGCAGGGACTTCGGGGACCTCGATATGGGGGCAATGCTAGTCGAAGAACGCAGTCACTAGGGCTATAATATCGAGGGCCTGTTCATTAGGTAGGTACTTCACAATCCACTTGTCCTTATGCCCAGGGTGCAGAATTATCGGGACCCAGTAAACCGGCTAATTTCCAACCTTTTGATGTATTTCTTGAGCTTCGCAATTGGGCGATCAGGGCTTTGAGCCAGGAAGACCTCACTTTCGCCGGCCAAAGGAAGCTTGGGCGTGGCGGCAGGCTCGGGGTGTGGCAGGCGAATGTTAACGGCGATCGCGACTTCGGGGGGCATCATTGAGCCGGCCCTGGATCGGCGAGGAAGACTGGCTTCGTGATCCCGTAGGCGGGCAGTCGGCCGGTTCGCTCGTTGCGTTCGTCTTGGTGTTGCGGGCGGCTCTGCAACGACGATTTCTCCCTGTGCCGAGGCAGGACCCGGGCGAGCCGGTGCATAGGCAACCCGTCGATTAGAAAGCTCTTCAACCAAGTAATACATCGTAGGGATAACCTCACAGAAGAGTGGCTTCCTATATTCGAAGCGCTTAGTGATGACTTCGAAGGGTTCCAACTGGGCTTTGACTTCCTTCAAAATATGCCAGTCTTCGGGGCTCAACACATCGGCAACAGGGACTCTTTTTGACGGGTCAGGGTTTTGCAACGACGGGAAGGTCCAGTAATCTAGGACATCGCGAAGCCGAATTGCCCTCTCAATCCTAGAATAAATAGAGTCCCATCGAGTACTGTTATTTTTTGTGCTTACTTGCCGTTATTCTTTCACGAATTTGATCCGCCTGGCCAGCGAATCTTTCCTCTACCCAGGCCTTGATCGTGTTGGCTGACTTCGGCAACAGGGTTTCTGTTAATCCGGGCGAAACCAGGGCAAGCATATGGCGGAAGGCAGGGCCCTCGATCATGTGGAAAGGAATAGAGTCTTCAATGACCCAGTCGATAACTGCGTCCTTGAAAGTTTCTGCCAAATTCACCGGAATAGGCACAACACTAGGTGATCTTGTTGATGCCCCGGAGCGTTGCATATCTAGTACGCTGACGAGCTTCCGCTTCTTGGCTGACGGCTCACACTGGTTTGCAAGATCATACTTGTTATGTACGGAGCCGAGATGTGAAGCCGCCGACGACGTAGCTGTTGAACAGAAAAGGGTAACATCGTAACAAAGGGCACAAATCCAACTGCAGCCGTTAAGTCGCTCCCCGGCCGGGCTCAAGCCCACAGTAAAGACACCCCACTCGCGAATCCACGATGTTCTTTTTTTCTTTCTGTATATCCACACCTCCAATACGTGCCGGGTTCCCTCTGCCATTATAAAGGGCTATGTGTTCATATTGTTAGAGAGCCCGCGGCTCTCTAACGCGCGCAGGGCTTCGATGCGGCTTGCGATGGAGGCAGTGCCAGGGAGGAAGCTTTCGATGGATTGGGTCGGAAAGGAGCCTTGGGCCGAATTCGAGCCGGGGGAGTTCGGAGGACTGTCAGAAATGGAAAAGGGACTTCCGGGAGGGCTCGTCATCGTGTTGACAGGTTGGACTGGCTTCAATTGCGGTAGAAATGCGGGTTTTCGTAAGTATGGTGGTGTTTAGAAAGTTGTTTAGAGGCTGCTAGGCAAATGTAGGATTTTCGCCTGGAAAATCCTTTATTCCTGCGCCGGGAACCCCTGTTGACACCCCGAACCCGGGAAAATGGGCCACAAAAATGGCCCCACATATGCCAAATATGCTAATATAATCCGTATTTACGAATCTACGGCTTCATATTTGTATTTGATTTTGTATTTTTGGCCTATTTGATTTGCCTATATTTGTATTTGCTTTGTTTGCATTACTATATTTGCATAGTTGCGAGCGCTGCCCGCTGTCCCACATCTGCTGCCGCTCAGACGACGGCTTGTGTGACCGCTTGTGCACGACATGGCTGGTCCGGAAGCCTTTCGGCCTCGTGTGGAGGGGTCCCGAAAACCCGGGCCGGTCAATTGTTGCCGAACTGGCTTACGGCAGCAGGTTGCACGTCAAGTTGCACGCCCTCACACGACGGGATTCTCGCTCGCTTTTCGACCCGACAGCAAACCGCGCCAAGCAACCCACACCCGACCCACCATGACTACGTCTAATTAGGGACCCGTTTTGAGAGGATTATATCCAGCGGTAAAAACCGATTAGAAATTTTCACCAGTTCCGACTAGGTAGGTAATTATCTAGAAGGGCTGATGAGAGGGAACGGAGGTGAGTCCATTCGCTCACTATGTGGCAGCCAGTGCGTTTTGACCCGTTTAGAGTGACCAGCCTCAAGAGTAAGAGAATAAAAAAATAAAATCGAGCATCCCTAACGCCCAGCGTTATTAGTGCACACCCTGAGTCCTGGAAATTCCAGTAGGACCTTTGGGCTCAGCCCTCTAGTCCCGTCCCCCAAACTTCCCATCTTTTCCTCCTCGGCGCCCTGGCCACCTATTTACCTGACGTGATTCGCAATGATTTTGCAGTAGCTATGGCCGTGCATTTCTGCGCAGTCTAGCCCGCCATTCCAGTTGCCCCAAACCTTTTGCTTTAGCTTCTTTAGCTCGTCTTCGTGTACAGCTGGGATCATGTCCCATTGGGACAGAAAGCAGCAGCGCGGGCAGCGGCCTATGGGCCTGAACGAATAACCCGAAAGCGAGGCGGCCTTCTCTTTTCTGTGGTTGAAAAAACGAGGGTCTGTCGGCGTTGCACCAGTCAGGTATTTTTCGATCTCTTCTTGTCTATATTGAGTCGCTAGACGATCTCTGATTGTCCTTCCCCCCTCTTTCTGCTTGCCCCATGCCACCCAGCTGGTTTTGCAGTGTTGCTCAATTTCTTTGAAAACATGCACGGCTTGATCCGACAGCTTGGCTGCCGTGCTAGATTTCAGAGGTTCCTGTGATGGGCGGATTACGGAGCGGAATGCAAAGATTTTATCATTCGCCCCGTCTATCCACCTGTTGTTTTCCGCCGAGGTTGTTATCACGAACCGGTCATTTTTGTTGTCGCCCTTGCAGACGAACAAGCAAGCCGGATATAAATACGGTGGCGGGAGGTTCTGGGGTTGATCCACCTTGATGGCCAACTGGTCAAGCTTGCTCATGAGGTCCTCTAGGTATTGCTTGCGTGGTCAGCAGTAGTATCGATCAACGTTTGGCAGTCAAGAAATTATGGACTTGGAGTAAACGTACCCAGGGAGTGGCACGACTGTGCCACGATCCGTGCAGTTAGCTCGAGCACCCCCAAGGTGGACAACTTGACGGGCCTCCCCAGATTCGGATCCTGTGGAAGATGGGAAGTAGCCCTCTCCACTTCTAAATCCTTGGCGGTGGCCTGATTCAGTTTGCCCACATGTTCATTGCAGATATCAGAGAGGTCCTTTCTCATTTTAATCCAGCCATTTGAGTTGAAGGCTAGGAGGACCTGTTCGAGATCAAGGCGATTTGATTTGTCTGACTCGAACGCAGCCTCCCACTTATAAAATACGTCGTCAAAATAAGTCCGTAAACTGGTCAACGGCTGGACAAACGTGTCGGGTGATTTCGGACCTTTGTCTTTGTTTTCCGCATGTATCTTCCTCGCGTCACGCAACACTCTCCTGTATTCGTCCTTAATCCCGCCTTCAACTTTATCCAAGCCAGGAATGGGATCGGCCAGTGCGTCACACGCCCTATCTGCCTTATCCAGTGACTCACCAAGTCTTTTGAAGGCGTCGTGGAGTTTTGCAGGCTCATTTGCATTCGATACCGCCGTAAAAGCCTCGTTCATGGCTTTTGCAGTCGCTACAACCTCCTTCAATTTTGGTAGCCTTTCGCTGTATTTTTTGTGCTCGATATCTGCCCTGTCTTTCACTGGTTGGAGTATGACATTGCTATGATGGCATACATTCAGGACGAAGTCGTTCGCGTCCAGTAGGGTAGCTTGGTACCTGTCATTGTCGGTATGGGGACGGCTCAGCTCGCTAAGCACCAGAGGTGGAAATTTGGCCAGATTGATTGCTGCCCTTTCGGCATTTATGTAGTCGGCCATGGAGAAATGGCGAACGGTTTGGACAACTTCGGCTTTGTCCACGCCCTCGGCGTAGCCACGCAGAGCTTCCTGGGCGACATTGCCAGTGGGGGGTGACCTGAGGAATTGAGCCACAAGTCGTTAGCATTCGCAGAGCATCATCAGTCAAAGTGGCCTTGTCTTGTTACACGCGTTCATACATTCGCGCTGGAGAGGAATATGAAAAGAAAGATGGCAAGACCTACATGATGACGAGATGCGAGTGGTTTATAGCCAACTAATACCACCTTATCGGAATAGCGCGTTGTCTGTCCAAGGCAGCTGTTCTCTGATCCGTTTTGGGGTTTGGGATGCGAAAAACAGGGTATCCAGGAATGAGGAAGATGGGAGGGAGGGGGGGGAGGGGGGAAGATGTCAAGATGCGTGTGCGTGGTCGTGGATAACCAACTGACGGCGAAGATCTTGGTGCGACTGCGACAACGGCTGCCAGTATGTGTGTGACTGTGTGAGGCTTGAAGACGTCGGGACCAGGTCACCAGACAGCAGTGGCTGCTTGGCTGGTTTTATCAATACTGTGACTTTGGACATGGCAAGCCGAGCCCCGCTCTTGCCGTCCTAGTCTTGTTTCTATCTGTGACTTTGGACATGGCAAGCCAAGCCCCGCTCTTGCTGTCCCAATCTTGTTTCTATTCTTAGCTCTCCGGGGGCTGGCTGTCATCCGAGGGTCTGGCATGGTATCAGATGGGTGGGGTCAAGGTCAGGGTCGGGGCCGTCGTGGTGTTTGTGGTGATGGTGGTGATCGCGACGTATGTTGGTGTGTGGCGGTGCCTTGGCCTAGTTGACGTATTGGTTGACGTGGTGTTGGTTGGCGTGGTGTTGGTTGGCGTGGTGTTGGTTGGCGTGGTGTTGGTTGGTGTGGAGTTGGTTGGCGTGGTGTTGGTTGGCGTGGTGTTGGTTAGTGTGGTGTTGGTTGTTGGTTGGTGTGTGTGTGGCGGTGCCTTGGCCGAGTTGGCGTATTGGTTGGCGTGTTAGTTAGCGTAGTGTTGGTTAGTGTGATATTGGTTGGGCAGGACGGCGTAATCAATTGCTGCATCTCACGTTTTTCTCTTTTTCAACCCAGGCCAAGGTGTTGAGCCCTAAATCCTGTGAGAACTCGGAAACGTATCAGATAACCCGATCAGATAACCCGAGCTGGCTTGCTGTACTGTCTCTTGACGGCGCTTCACGACGGCGGCGGTCATCCATTGGGGCTACCAGGGGCACCTCAGCCGCAGGAATATCATGGAAGGGTTTCCGAAGCGTCCTCCCTCTGGCACAGCAGTTGCAGTTGGTTCCTCAAGTTATGGGTTGGGCCGCGAGAACGCGATCACGATGGATGAGATGGCTGGTTGCTGGGGGCGCCTGTCCGCTGTGGCGCAGCGGGGGCTTGGTCAGAGGTTTCAACGAAAGGCACGGACTCGCCCCACTTATCCGGACGGAAATAACGCGCACTGATCGATACGGTACAATACAGCAAGGTACTTTACCTCTTATTACGGAATACCTGCAGCGCAGCCACGAATCCACAAAAGTGCGGATCGCGCGCCGCTGGTACCTTGCGCGAAACAGAAAAATCTCGGGGGGGTTGAAGTAGGTTCACCTTGGGGACCTACCTGGGTCTTGTTAGATCGACCGTCTTCTTCCACTTTTGGCTGCACACCTAGAACACGGTTCGAAGAGGTATATAACCCGACGACGTCTCGTCCAACATTGACGCTTGGGACCGCACAACAATTACAACCCCAATCCCAGCCACCCTCGGACTGCCGCAGCGAAACATACAGTATCGCTCTCTTCACTCTTACACAAGCTCGTTCACACTACTGCTACACCTAGACCAAATCCGCGCCAACCCATCTGTCTCCTTATTACCCAGTACCCACAGGCACAATGGCAGGAGCTGGGTCCGGGATGTCTCTTCATGACGGTCTCAAGGCTTTGACCGACGCTGACTTCAAGGTCGCCACGGTAGCGGCGTTTTGGAGAAACAACAAATGGAATTCACATGTCCTTGTTGCCGACGGTGGAGAACCCGTTATGAATGTTGTTTTTCAGGCGGGCGAGTTCCCGGCCTCACTCAAGGCCAAGGTCGAGGAACACGCTAGTGGTGAACACGACACGGACAAAAACTGGTACAAGGTACTTCATGGAACCGGCACAAGCACTCCCGACTCCTCCAAGACGAGCACCGGCAGCTCAGACCCAGCCACGCCGCCCAAGATATCCAAGGCACCGACGCAGTCGAACAACCAAGGTCCCGCCAGCTCAGCTCCTCCTGCCAGCTCAGCTCCTCCTGTGGCTAGCATCCGTCGTAGCGACACCACAGCCAGCAATATCACCACGGCCACCACGGCCACTGCCACCACTGTGCAAACTCTACCAACTACACTAACATCAGTAACCTCGGGTCTTGAAGCGTTGGCAATGGACCACCCGCATGGTAGTACAGTTGGCGAACTTTATTTCCCCTTTGCCACGGCCCGGGATAATGAGGGACAGTATCTCGGCTGGATATTCGCGCTTGACGAGACCTACCAGCACTGGATGCTCAAGGATACCGACAAGGGTGTTATTAAAAAGGTAAAGGAAGGCTCGTATGGGGACGAAATGGCAGAAATGTTTGAGGACGGTATTAGGGGCTTTGCCCTTCCTGTCGACTGCCTCGATAACAACAGATGTTTCACGATGGAAGAAATGAAACATTTTTCTAGCCAAGGAACCAAGAAGCCACTGAAAATGTCACTAGCGCCTCTGGGCGAGACTGCCTCGCACCTGAAAACGGCGAACCAGATGTTGAAGCAAAGACGAGACAAATTGTTGCAAAAGAAGCACTAAACTTTAAGCCGCCCAACGTCCAGTCTGGCACCCTCGACCACACCACCCCTGCCACCACACACTCATTCCATTGACCGAAGGCATGGCTGGCGAGACGTGTTATAAAACCCCCCCTCCCCGCTGGGACGGGAAGCAAGCCTACGCCGTGGGGGGCTGTCCTCCCAACTTTCAGACATGGCAGGCCGTGTCGTCAAGCATGGATGGGCTGGAATAATATTTGGGAACAGAGGTGGAACGCGGGTTTTTCGTTCCTTACTTTTTTTTCTCCATTATATGTGCGTGTGTGTGCGGGTGGTTGGTAGTTGCCTTGGTGTTGCAGGTCCGACAGATACTCGGCTTTGCGAGCGTGCCTAGAATTAGAAATCAATGGCAGTGCCCTGTTTTCTCCCAATTAATAATCAGCATTTTGGAGTATCTTGGTCTCCCTATTCCTTTGCCAGAAGCCAACTCAATTAAGTCGCCAATACGGTTGCTGTTTATCTGTCAACATTCGCGTCTCTCAAGATTCCAACTTTTGGGAAACTCGTTATTGCAAGGAGCACCGAAAACAGGAAAAAAAAGAAAGAAAACCCGGTTGACAAGTTAGTTATCTTACAAACCTAGCTAGCAACTTAATTTAATCTTGATTGTTCCTCGCAGGATGCCCTTTTCATTCGACTTTGCCATCACCCCCTCACCCTTTAATGAGGAGCAAACTCTTTCAACTGACACTCTTCTCCCGAACAGAAAATCGGTCATCTGCCTCTGTATATTATAATGTGCGGATTCTGGCCGCATATTAATCTGACAGTAAGCATCAAATTCCATCACTAATCTCATTCAATATTTGTGTCAAGCTCAGCCCGACCAGCGACAACTGGTGCTCCCAGACCCCCGAGTCCGCGTGAGGCCCGGCCCGCCAAGAACACATTCCGAAGACCTTTTGACCAAAGCGGCCCAACGCAAAGCACGTCCGGCCCAGTGGGCGGAGGGCGCGTGTGGATTTGATCATGGCGGGAGCACCTGTCACTTGTATTGCCTGTGATTACTAGCCATAACGGTACGGTACTAGCCTTTTTTTCGAGTCCGAAGACCTAACGCACGACTTCCACTGAAACATCTGTACCTATTTTCGTGACCAGCACCAGTGGCGGCGTCATGCAACACGGATCTCGCGCCACCAAACCTGACCGGAAAAGGGTATTTGGGTAGCGGAAGGATGGACGCAAACGGATTCGGGTAGCAGAAGGATGGACGCAAATGGATTTGGGTAGCAGAAGGATGGACGCAAATCGATTCGCGGGCTCCTTGCGAACCATCCCGAGCAGCAGTTGTCGGCGGCGCAGAGCCTCAGTCACCGATCCAAAGGCAGCGGGGCCGAATGATTGGCTGAGACAGCCAGGCTTATGTCGCTTCCGAGCGATCGCTTCCGAGTCCGAGCGATCGCTTCCGAGCGATCGCTTCCGAGTCCGAGCCAAAATCCTTCATACGGCGCGGCGCCGGCCCCGGTATTTTACCGTTGGCCGCGCCGCCTTGAAGGAAAAAAGAATCCCGAAGGCTGTTTTGCTACAAGTAAGGGTCTGAGAAAGTTCCGACATGCGGCGGGGCCGCTTTTGTCGTTTCCGAGTCCGAGCCAACATAATCCATACGGCGCGGCGCCAGCCCAGGTATTTGCCGATGGCCGCGCTAGTGGGAATCGCGTTAGCGGCCAGGTTCCCGCTCATGTCGTTTCCGAGCCCGAGCTAACAAGTAATTATTTACCGATGGCCGCGCTGTTGGCCGCTTCGCCTCGATTAAAAAAAGAAGGCCCAAAAACCTTGAGATAAGCGAGGATCCGAGCCATTTTAGCGCACGGGGGGAGTAGGGAGAAAGGCTTGACTCGACTCCTAGTATGAGCGACCACCCCTTCAAGTCGCTCGATCCTCTCCCTGGCTCCCATTACCAGGGCATCGCTCTCGAATCGTGGAATTCAAGCGTTTGGTTCTTTAGCCGTTGGGCAACGCGGGGACGGACGTCGTCTACCTTCAAGGCGTACAAGGGCGCATCCGTCTCCCGGTCAAATCTTCTTGGGCAACTGATGCCCTGTTTGGGCCCCAGGCCCATTCGCCTCTCAAGGGCGGTGCAGACCCACCGCGGGACTTGGTTCATCCCGTGGTGGGGCGGTGAGGAGAAGGGAAGCCGCTCATCTTCAAACGTGTCAGGAGCGAGCCTCCGCCCCGGCCTGGCAGCCCGCATGGCTCCGCCGGATTTCTCGCTCAGGTTGCGCGTCCCAAACGCAATACCGGCCAAGCGCAGCCGTGCAAAAGGAACAGAAGCGCCCTAGTGGCCAGTGATTTCGGGCTTATGCTTGCCGCCGATCAACTGCCGCTGGTAGATTATGTCGCCGTTGCGCGATAGCAGAGGTACACGCCGAGATTCCAAGTTTGGCAAACACCCAACGGCTAGATAGCGGGTTCTCACAGTCATCCTCTCCTCGTGAACGAGGCCTGCTGTCTACTGGCAGCTCTGGGTTGCAAGTAGCCGGAAACTGCAGAAGCAAACGGACGTGACAAACCGATGCCACAAGCCACAATGAGGGCTCTATATTGATGTATCACACCTGTGCATCGAAATGACAGGTCTGGCCAACAGACTCGTCCTCACACTCCACGCTGCCAACAGTTTCCTACACTTGACAAAATTTCCGCGTGAGTCGCATTAATCCACTGGAATAGCATGTATTTTACTGAAGTCTACCTCTTGGGGCCAGTCAAGGAGCAATTTCTACTTCTGGGGACAGTGCCGAACTTCTGTAGATTGTGACAACACTGATCTGTTCTCAAGATGGTAACTAAACTCCTGTTCTTATTAAAGACAACGCTCACTCGGAATTAGGCGACCTTTTCTAGAGTTGATCCCACCCCGTTTCCCGAGCAACCACCAACTTGCCACAATTGCCAAGGGCCCAGCGAGCGGTTTATAACGCAACAGTCGAATCGCAATGGGAACGCAGGCCGTCCTTATTACAAATGCCTACGTTGCCGCCGGTTTCTTGTCTTTCTAGACGACCGAGGCAACGATCCGAACAACCCGCTGTGTCACTGCGGCGCTTCGAGCAAGAAGCAGGTAGCGGGTCGGGAGAAGAAGGTTCCCCGGGGGGTACACTACGTGTGTAGGCTAGGGACATGCGACTTCTACCAGCCGTGCAACGGCATCGATGGAAAGCAGGTTTCGGTGGAAGATGATCTTGTGGCACATTTGGCTGCCCTTGGTATCCTGTAGGCTCTCGATCATAGGTATTGGCTGCGGCGGCCACGCCCGTGACAGAGCACCAGACACTGGAAACCCATCAGGGTGGAGACAGGTTGTCGCCAATACACTACTGATTTGAGGCTTGCATCGCGTGAAATCTCGTTCTACCCGTCCTGCCCGTTCTACACTGCCCATCTTGGTCACGATGCACGAGGTAAACAGTTTATACTTGGCTAAATTTTCAAGGCGAAGTGAGGGAGCACTCTAAGTGAGATGCAGTTGCAGCGCAACCCGCGTAGCGTTGCACTCAATAACAGGATATAGACATCTTAGCGAACGAAAAGGAAGAGCGGGGGGTTTCTCGTCGATGCAGGAAATACATAAAGCGGAACGAGTTGTTGAATCATCCTAGCAATACCCAATCCTTCCCCTTGGCACTTCTTCTGAATACCTGAATATAGACGGAATGGAGAGGGTGCGCGGATATCCCCTCAACGACCTCCTTCCGGATCGAAGCTGAAACCCGGAAGCGGTCCGACCCGAAGCAGTATTCTACGTAGTCGCGCGAGCCGGCAGAAAGTGCCTGGGAGAGGACCTGTGGCAACGCGACTTCCGAAGCTGTCTCAAAAACAGGGGCCATCTGCTGCTGAACCCGGCCCTCCCACTTGAAAATGCGGCACTCCGGACCCATGTCATAAACAACGACGCCAAGTTTGACTGGTTCTGTGAGTCTGCCAATGCCCGAGACCGCGTCGAGACAGGCGATTCCAATGAAACCGGAAAACCCGGGCATGTCTACGTAAAAGATGCGGTCCAAGACATTCCAGCTGTCTCGAGGGGCAACGCTGCTGATGGCGAGCGTAGGATTGGCGGGAAAGTGAAAGGGGGGGTATTGCGTGATGCCCTTGGTGGCCGTCTCGACAGAATCCAGAGTGGCGGCAAGGTATATAGTCTGAAGCTGCGTCCAATCACTCAAATCGACCTTTTGTGGGCTCAGGTAATCCACCATTACGGATTTGTCGGAGATGCGGACGAATTGATTTCGCCCAACCATTTTGAGATGTATTCCGACGACCGGGAATCTGCGGCTGTCGGATAGGCAGAGAAGGTACCCAGTGTGGCCCACAAGATTTGCCCACGGGTCCGGGGGCACCCAAGGCACCCCGAGCTTGGTGGTGATGCGCAAGCCGCTGTTCGTAATGGAAAACTCGGTCATGAATGACTAGGAGGTGGTGGCGAAGTTGCGAGAAGCATGAGCGAAGTCGGCAGGCGACGCGGCCAATATGCCACAGTACGGCCCGATGCGGCATCTTTCTCTGGAGTCCCAGGCCAGAATGCTCAGGTCGTTGATGCGCTTAATGATCTCTTCTTGCAAGCGTATGAAAGCGTTAGCTCCCTCGCCGTATATCAAGGCCATGTCCTCTGGGAGGGTTGTCGTCCTACGCGAAGCCCAAGACATCCTCACAGCCACGGGGATGCTGCCGAGCCGGCTCAGGTCCTCACCGAGCAGAACCCCCAGCCGGACGCCCGTGATCCGCGATACTGCGCCCCGGAGGGCCGCCTTGGTACCTCTATCATTCCAACCCCGATCATAGAATCGCACCGCGGTCGGGACAATCAGCTCCTGGAGCGTCCATCCTCTCGTAAACCATCGGCATCTCTCCAGCTCCAGTTTGGTAGCCGCGCCCTGGCCGATAGGGAGGTCTTCTAGGTACGCGAAACACACTGCGGAATCCCTGTACCATCGGAACATGGAGTTTATGGCTTCCGAGAGCTCAGGACTGCTGCTCTTGTCGATGCAACAAGTGTCGATCTAAACGTATTCGAGGTTGTGTCTGACAGCCTCGCGACCTGAGTCGCGAATTTTGTCGTATTCGGGTCTGCTCTGGACGTCTGCGTAAGTCGTCCTGTCTTGAAAGGAAATCTCGCTGTCGCGCCAGGTATGGGAAAGTATGGCGTACGGTGGCGCGACCATGTGCTTCTCGAGCTTCCCAGTATGAACATTGATGAGCCACATGGCGACGGAGAGGGAGCCTAAGTGACGCCGATTTTGCCGTAGTGAGTGGTGCACGTTTGTCGCGGAGGTACGATCCGATCACAACGGCAGCGGAGATGAGAAGAGGACAGGTGCGGGGTTGGGCTGAAAAGCGGCGGCCAGGCTTCCTCTGTTGGTTGTTCGAGTGAAGGTTGTGGCAGTGCTATTAGACGAATGGCAGCAAGCTTCCCTCTTTTGTGCAAGACCACTGGTGCAAAGTTATCTTGACAAGGCCGAAGCTGCTCCATTAGCACCATACACGGAAGTGCCTACTACCTTCACCGAGCACAACTAGTTGCCCAGAACTATAGTGCAATATACATATATCTGCCAGTTCCCTTGCGGCATTCAGACCCCAACCCAGGCACCACCTCGGCCGCATACAAAACCTCGCAATAAAAAATGACTCGACGTCTTGTCCACCGAGACTATGAATCCCCGAGTTCACAAATGTGGGTCTCGTCGCTGTCACCACAGCCACGAAAGCGCGGCAACTCCTTTGCTCGCCTGCTCGCCTGAACCTCACGTATCAGCCAACCCCCAACTGTTTTCGCAGGAAGGCGAATCTTCCCTAGCACATACAGCATGGTGACCCCCAACGCCCGCTGTTCCGTGCCACTGTTTCATCGCGGCGCTCCGTCGGACATCTGAGCCTTATGCAGCCACACTCAGTGTGCGTAAATATTCCAGGTTATTAACCCTGCTCTCCCCACGCTCAAATACCGCCCTCCCCCGGATCTTTCAACTTCAACACAAATGCCAGTAATATCCGTTGTTCACAATGTCTCAGCTCTGTTCTGTCTGCAGACTGGTTCCATACCAGACTCTCTCATGCCCGACAGCATCCGACGTCCGCAGAGTACATGGGATGCGAAAGAAGCGGATAAACCCCGATATCACGTTGGTTCCCTTTGGCGACTACTCTGATGTGGATCTTGGCTCTCTCCGGAAGCTCAAAGCCGGCGCTCAAGCATGCCAGCTGTGTTCCCTATTCTACAACACTATCAAGAGAAGGGGTTCTTGGTATGGGAACAATTTGCCGATTCCCGAGGACGACGACAACATCATCATCAGAACGGTGTGCGATCGGTTCCATTCCTCCATAACGGAATCCATGGGGGCTTCCGGCGACCTGGCCCTCCTCTCGGTCCGCAGACTTGCGTTGATGGTTTGTGTAGCCGCGGACACGGAGATTGATGGGGTAATTTGGAGACCCCACGACACCCTGGCTTGCTATACGAATATCGTGCAGCCCTGCCACTTTGACGACTTCGTCCAAGCACCAGGACCGGGTTCTACAACAGGCCCTGAGGAGCAACGTCAGCCGCGCCTGCTATTCAGCGCAAGGAAGCGCCCCGAAACGGTCAACATACAGCTGCTCCTTGAGTGGATGAATATCTGTCAAAGAGATTATGACTTGAGCTGCTCCGTCGAGGAAGACGAAGACGAAGCCGAGCCCCAGCCACGGTCTCGCACCGAGTGCGTTCTCATTCTGCCGCCAAACTCGCTCCACAGAATCGGTATTGCTAACCCGACATTCTCGCCCATGCCCTAGGTTGATCCGATTCATTGATGTTGACCGAAATTGTGTCTGCGTCTTGCGAGACATCGACCTCGCCGGAACCCGGTACTTGGGCCTGAGCTACTGCTGGGGCTGAGATCAGGAAGTGAAGCTCAACGCCGAGAACGAGAAACTGCTGCAGCTGGAGAGCGCCTTGCCACTGGACGGTCTTCCTCAGACCATACAGGATTCCATCCACCTTGCTCGCCTGTTGGGTTTCGAACACTTGTGGGTCGACGTGCTCTGTATCTTTCAGGGCTCGACCGAAGCCGACAGCCAGGACCGGGCGGTTCAGCTCGGCAATATGAGGACGATTTACCGAGAGTCAAGCGCGACGATTGTTGCAGCCTGTGGAGAAACGGCTGACGCTGGCCTCGGTGGCCTTCGCCCTGGTTCCCGCACGTTCAAGCAGCAAGTCGTGCAGATAATTTCTCCCGAAGAGGACCCTGTATTCGGCGGCATGGCACTCGTCTCCACCTGCATTTCCAACCCTACCTGGACTCCCTCCTGCCACGGTCGTTCAACCTACGAGGAGGACTTGGAATGGAGTGCATGGAGCAACCGAGCATGGACGTTTCAGGAGTACGCGCTATCGCGCCGCCGCCTCATATTCACCCCGGAGCAAGTCCAATGGTGTTGCGACGGCGCAATGTTCTGCGAAGAATCGCATCTCGAGGCTCCGGTACTGTACGGACGCGGGTTGTTTGACATGCCTCTTCACGCTCAGCCCCTCCAATCGGGAAATCTGCTGTCCATGAAGGTGATCGACGGACCCCTCGCTCGGCTTACGACTAATCGACAAAACCTTTGAACCAAGTTCAACCTCTCTGTCCAAGCCTACACCGGACGACAGATGACGTGGGAGGGAGACGTTTAAGATGCCTTCGAGGGCGTTCTTGAGGCCTTCACAAACATATCCGGCGAGTCCTTTCACTGGGGTCATCCACGATCCCGTTTCCCCCTCTCGCTGGCGTGGAGCTCTCCTTCGCCCGATTTCCAGCTACGGCGTCGGACGGCCGAGACGACCTTACCAATGACATCACTGAAGCAAAGAGTTCGGCTACCCAGTTGGTCTTAGATGGGATGGGTAGGGTCGATTCGTTCTGCTCTTGGGCCAGACAGAACGTCATTCCAACAGCCACCGTAATGATTAGCCATTATAATGATTAATCACTACAATGTTTCGCCATCATAACGGTTTTGAGTATGTTATTAAATAATTTAGAAGGTGCTAGTGTAAGAACAAGAGCATTGTAGTACATTCCGGCACATTCCAGAACGTTCTCAGGGGCAAGGGGTAAACATCCTAGTGGGTCACCAATAGGGGTGACCGTGACCAAGATGTTCATGTATAAGACACCCTCTTCCTGTCCAACGGAGTTCGGAAGAGGGATATATCAATCAAGAAGTAACCACCAACCGAACCACCTTCTATGTGGCTAAACCAGAACCCAATCGTGATTGTCACTACCAGAATGACATTGCAAATGACCTTGTCATTGTCACGAAGGAGAGGATTCGACTAGCATAACACGCAGTATAACCATGACCTGTATTGTGGAATCTAAATCCAAGGAAGGAAAAGGAAGGTGTTGCGGGGAGCGGGCAAGGCGCGGGGTTCTGGGTATGGTGCGGACCACGTGATAGGTACGCACAGACCACACTCCAGCGCTACGTCATTAACACCACCACGGCACCCGCCGTGACAGTGTCTCTCTGACGCAGAGTGGAGATATGGCCCTTCCGAGCTGGAAGTCGCCTGCCTCGTATGGTCCGTGAAGAAGCTAGACCTCTCTCAGTTCCTCATCTACGGATCGTTCCAACCTTTGGCTCGTTAATGCCTTTGTTTACCTGTCTTAGTATTAGTTGATCCTAGTTCACCTCGAAGGAAAAAGAACCTCGTACCGGACGCTCTAAGTCGGCTGCGAACGGCCGACGACATGCCTCCTGACGAGCCCGTAGTCTTGGACGACGTGTGGTTCACGTACGCTGAGGCTTGTATGGAGGACAGCTTGCGGGACAGCTTCCGCCAGGGATATGCTGATGACGTCAAACACGCCCCTATCATTGAAGAAATCACCAAGGAGGGCGGCAAGGCTAGGCCTGGCTACCCCTTCGTTTTGGACGATCAGGGCCTGCTATTCAACGTGCACCCTGATGGTACGAGAAGTCTCTGCGTGCCCAAAAACATAGTCAATACGGTTCTGGAGGGAGCGCATGACAGTAAGCACCATTTCGGCAGAAATCGGATGCTCTACGACTTGAAGGGACAGGCTGCAAAGGAGGCCTGGTGGTTAATTGACTAGGAGGTTCTATATAGATTATCGGTTAGGGTGTGATTCTGTTGGATTGGCTATTGTCAGATGGACAAGGGTTGCATGTGGAATAGAGCTCATCCCAGCTGAGCTCTGGTGTGGTCATCCGAGGTGAAAAGAGGCTCAGGGGAGCTGAAATGAAGTGGCCAGTTCAGCTGGTGTGGCTACTTTTGCCACCACCATTGCCACCATTTACAACTATAATAGAGGCCCTCTGGCAGGACCAAAAAGAACAAGGAGGGAGATCAATGAAAAAGACAGTTGAAGGGCTGAATCCAACAGATTCCTTGGCCATCTCAGTGCGGCCTCAGTGCGCACTGAGGTACAAAAAAGCGGGGCTAAAATGCTTTGTACCCGTACTAGTCCCTTTTAGGCAAGCGGTGTAAAAAATATCCCTGCATCTTTTCTTCTACTCTGTACCCTTCTTTTTCTTCTACTCTACACCTTCTTTTCCAGCTAGCCAACCAAGCCATGCAGAACAAAGCCAACTGGAAAGACCTCGAGGGTCTTCTCGACCCTGAGATCCAGCCTATTCTCGATGAAGCTCAAGCTACTTTCAGCATGGAGTCCCAAAGCCAGCCGATTGAATCCCAAAGCCAGCCGACTTCCCAGTCCTCCCAGCCCTCCCAGATACGCCGAATCACACAGGGAAACTTTGCCTATACATCTGAGATGTACGAAGCTATCATGGAACTTTTCCGGGAGCGTACAGTGGCTGGTGACTTCAACGTCCCTCGCGCAGGTGCCCAAGCAGTCGGGCTCGATATTGTTGCTACCAAGATGAAGGAGTTGTTTCCAGCCTTTCCTTGGGAGAGCAAGAAGATTAAGACCAAGTACGATTCCGAGAAGAAGAAGTACAGGTACTACCTGGAGTGGAAGAGCATTAGCGGTACTTCTTTTGACGAGGAGGGTAGAGCTATTGGCTCTGACCTTCAGAAGGAGACCTTCCTTGCCCGGTATGGTAAGAATGCAAAGTTCCTTTTCAACGTCGGCCTTCAGAACGTGGATCGATATGCCGACATCTTTCCTAACGAACGAGCAACCTGCGAATTTGCCTACGATGCGATCGATCTAGCAGACTTGAGCTCCGATAATGAAGAGTCTAGACCTGAAGCGGCTGATAGCGATATCCTTGCAAGACTTGTAACACCACAGCCTGGCTCATCTGCTTCAAGCCGTATACATGGACAGAAGCGGTCTATACGGGAGGTTGAAGAAGCATCTCTAGGCAAGAGCTTGGAGAGGGCAGCAGCTCGGCTAGCAGTAAATGCCTTGGAAGAGAAAGAAGCAATTGTCCAGGCCCTTTACAACATCCAGGATTTTTTCCAAACCGAGCCGTCGTTGAAGGACTTAACACCTATTCAAAAGGCTCGGTTGATTAGCAAGATCAACGTTAGCCGTGAAGCAGTCACTTGGAATACTCTACAATCAAACGAGTTAAAGGCAGCCTATATTCAACTTTGGCTTGAAGAGTTAGCTTAAAGAGATGTAACTAGTTCTATTGAAACTTTGCCCACATCTTTCTTGCTGCAGTTGCTCGAATGGCTTCACTCGGGGTGTTTGCCACTAGATAAATTGCTCTCTCTCGGCAGACTTGTAATATCTGCTGTTCTTCCTGACGCCTTACTACTTCAGCCTCGCCATACTGTGCTTCTGCCTCTCTCTGGCGTGCTCGTTGTTCGCTAAGTAGAATGAAATTGACCAACCCAGTAACAGCATATATAATACGCGTCTGGTTCTTCAACGAATATTCTGGACCGCCACCCTTGTTGAGGATCCGGAACTTCCTCATGGCTAACCCAAATGCTTGCTCAACCCGAATCCTCCATCTTGAATGGCGGAGGTTGTAGAGCTCTTCAGCATTTTCAGGTCGCCTCTTTGCAGCTCGCCACTCCTGGAGATGATAGCGAGTACGAGGAAACCCAATGACAATCCCTTCCCGCATATTGAAGCCACTATCGGCTAGGTAGTATCGGTTCTTTGGGGGCTGGAAACTCTTGCTTGCAAATACCCAGTTAAGTAGGGTAACATCATTAATAGAGCCTTCAGCACCAGCAAGGACGTATGTAAATTGTCACGAGCCTTGGCAGGGCAAACCATAATGGCCCGTGCGCTCTCGGCACCCCACTATACCCCCGCACCCTCGATCGTACCTTTGTAGACTTTCTTTCTTTCTTTCTTTACTTTTAGAATCCTAAGACAATGGTATAGCCATACTAGCGACTCTTCTTCCTAGATGCTGTTGACCGCCGTCACAGCAGGGAGCTCAGTGGGGATCAGTGCGTCTAGGACTGAGCACGACTGAGCATTTAAGGCAGGAACTCTGATTGGTTGCTCATAGTTCTATATAGGAGCTGGCAGCACGCTCTCTCTGGAGAACGGTTCTGCAGCTATCAATGCATCTGGTTAAGCATACATTGGTTGTGTGTTGAAAGCCTGTCTTTCGCAATCTGTGCACGATACTCCTTGTCTCCTGTCATCTCCTACCTGCCGTCCAGACCCCCACAATCCTAGGCCGGGCCTAGCTCCGTGGACCTGTTGTCCAGATTGTAACACGTTGATAGCTCTCACCGGCGAAGGAAGGAGTGGCTCGGCTCTGTGAGAGTCGACCCAGAAGGCAAGTACGGCTTCCGATACTGACTCAGCGACATCCGTGGAAAGCACGACTGTCTCAGTACCCACACCCCAATTACCCCAAAGCCCCTCGTCGACAACTGCACAGGACCTGTTGGTCGCACGGCTCGCAAACCTTTCAATCCGGAGCAACGGGATGTCGACTCGCGGAGAAGGATCAGTTACGGGGGAGACGCTTCCCTCGCAAGTGACGATGGCCGACTACCAGGCCCTGAAGGCCGACAACGAGCGACTCAAGACCGAGGTCAGTGGCTTGCAGAAAAGGACTAAGAAGCAGGAGAAAGAGCTTGCGACCAAGAAACCCAAGCTCAAACAGCCACCGACCTACGAGGGTGATCAAGCTTCCCTGGAGGGATGGTTGACTACCCTACGCTCCTACTTCAAGTATCACGACGCCATGTTCCCTGAGGCAGAAGATAAGATGATTTTCGCCTCATCCTGCATGGGGGGAAGAGCCAAGAGGTGGTTCAGCAAGTTCGAGGCTGAGTACAACACCTTCACCAACCGGAACGCCTGGGACGATATCACGACAGACTGCTACCAGAGCTTCGACAAGTTCTCGGAGCATATTTCGGCCCTGTTCGGTGAAGTGGATGCGAAGCGACGCAGCCAGGCTCGACTCAATACCTTGAGGTAGAAGGGAGCCTTGAGCTCCTTTGTGCCACTATTCCTGGAAGAAGCCACTAAGACGGAGTGGGACGACGAGAGCCTGATCTCGTACTTCTGGAGAGCCATTAGTGACGACGTTAAGGATCGATTGGCCTTGGACGACATGCTAGAAACGCTGTTGGAGCTAATCGAGAAAGCCGTTAAAATGGATGATCGCATCTACTAGCGGAAGGCGGAGAAGCGTGTCAACGAGCGCCAACCCGCATCCGCTCACAAGGCCAACGACAAGAAGAAGTACAGGGGACCCTCGACTTCGTATGGTACACACGCGGGACCTATGGACATTGGTACGGTTAGCACCAGACGTCCCGCGCCTCGCAGCAGCAAGGAAGGGTCATGGACCCGGAAGCCGGTAACCTGCTACCGGTGCGGTAAGGAAGGACACTTCGCTCGAGACTGTCAGGGCACCCCGCTTCCCTCTTGGAAGCCGGTTCCGGACCCACGAACAGTCTCTTTAGTGGCGAAGAATGGTCCCTCTCCACGCCAGCAGCAGATGGACCTGCAGGAATCTGACCAGTGGCGACGCCCCGTTCGGATTACGGGCTCCCGTTCGCACTCGGCCAGCCCTACCTGCAGGACCCCAGAGAGCTCGGACGACGCGGACTCCTGGTAAGAAGTGCCTGGACCCGCGCGCGTTCCTCGGAGCTCAGGAGTCTCGATCTCGATGGTACAGCCTTATGTGAGGCCCTCCGTCGAAATCAAGAATGAAGTCGATTCCAGATCGGAAGAAGAGACGAACCCCCTCGGTCAGGGACCGGTGGAACGACTGGAGGAAGTTTTGAGGCAGGTCACGGAGGCCTCGCAACTCTCCCTCACGCTTTCCCCGGAGGCGTTCGCCTTCTTGGCAGGAGCCGGAACCGATATGGAAGATGACCTTGAGAACGACCTCGACGTACAGGCTGCCCAGCGGATCGTTAAGAGCCTAGAGGAAAGCATCGAGGAAGCCAGGGACTTGGCAGGAGAAGGAAGACGCCCTCCCGCCTTATCCACCATTCCAGACGAAGAAGCCGGAGACGCGGCGCGAGGAACGTTAGAGGACCGACTCCGGGCAGAGTGGGAGTCTCTCGTGGACTTTGGTCCACCCCGTCCCGACTCGCCTAGCCAGTGGCTTCACGGAGGAGACCCGAATAACTACCCGCAAGAGTTCACGGTTGAAGGAGTTGGCATGGAAGCTAGCAGTCTCACAATCGTCGGGGCTAAGTACTGCTTCCATGAGGAAGATGCCTCAGCAGTACACCCCGGTCACCACAGACACTGGAATCTGGCTTGGCAATTCTGCGTACATGACGCCTGCGAATTGCACCTTGCAGAGAAGCTAGAAAACAACCTGTTCCCACAGAGGCAGCAAGGGGAAGTACCCGAGCCGGTTGCCCAGGGCCTTCCTTGCCACATGCAGAGGCATTACCGACAACGCTCCGCGAGAACAGACAAAGAGGAGGAGACCGAGAACAACCGCAAGTTGGTTCGGTTCGAATTGGTCACCCCGCTGGCCTGTTTCCAGGCCGGAAGAGGATCTGTATACCAGTGCCCGTCGGAGCGTTGTGAGATACACAAGGAAGCAAATCTACGCCTATTCCACCGATGGGCAGGAGCAATTCAGGAGGAAGAAAGGAAGTCTCATCTCACCCGGACAACGGACGCGTTTTCCCGCAGACAACCCAACCAGCTCCGATATTCTCCCGCCCGGACGTCGGGAAAAGACTAGGGGCCCCCGAAGAGGGACAACGGGCGGCCCGACAGCCGGTAAAAGACATCCGGACAGTCCAACCCTGTGTGAGGAACATTCGCCGTTTCTCATGGTACTTGTGGAGACCCAGTACGGCTCGCACAAGGCCATTATCGATTCAGGGGCCGAAGGCAACTACATCGACCCTGATATCGTTAACCAGTACCGCGTCAAATGGAAGGAGAAGGACTCTCCTTACCCGGTACGAACTTTTGATGGTCAACCGTCGGCGTACGATGATGGTTTGATAAACGGAGAGGTAGAAGCCCTCTGGATCACGGTCGAAGGAAGGAGGATGAAAGCCTCCTTCGACATCGCTAGATTGGCTAGCGCGGATATCCTGCTGGGAAGCGCTTGGCTTCGCCGAGAGGATCCACACATCAACTGGAGAGACTTCAAGCTTGAGTGGTCTCGGACGGTTGCGGGGATAGAAGCTGAGAAGTCACCCCTTGGAGACAGGGCCTTAGCTCATCCTAACCCGACTAAGGAAGAGTCAGAAGATAGGAACGATTGGGATATCGACCCCAATGCAGCCCTATGCATGTTCATACAGGTTTCCGCTGATCACGAGAAGCCTGGGTTGGAAAACGTGCCAGAGGAATTCAGGAGGTACGACATCTTCAAGAAGCTCTCGGAAAGTGGTCTACCACCGCACGGGGACTTCGACCATGAGATACCACTGGAAGAAGGGGCTAGGTGAAGGGTGATCGTCACCTAGATCACGGAATGCGGTAGGCTATTCGTGAAAAGGTAGGTAAATTGATGATCGAGGGAGGAAGCTCGGGAGCACTGCCCTGCCGAGGACCTTAATGTGGTCCTTTGGTGGGGCAGACGCGGTCTAACCGCGTCAGGGTAAGCCCCGCTTCCCTATGTACCTATGTACTTAAATTACACGTGCCGGTCATATGACCTTGTCTTGGCGCTCCCTCGCTCAATCAGGCATCACTAGGCCTCGGGCCTTCCCCACCTACAACATGAACCCAGCACAACGACAAGCTCTTGAGGAGTTCATCAAAGAAAGAACGCAAGCGGGACACATATGGCCCTCCGCCTCACCATGGGGATCGCCGGTGCTAGTCATCCCGAAGGGAAAAGAAGGAAAGTACCGAGTAGTTATTGACTATCGTTACCTCAATAACTCCACGATTAAGGATCGGTACCCCCTTCCCCTTATCCAAGGAATGAAGGATCAGCTCCACGCGGCTCAGATTTTCACGCGCCTGGACCTGACCTCTGCCTTCTCGCTCACGAGAATGAAGGCAGGAGAGGAGTTCAAAACTGCGTTTAGGGTGCAGGGCAACCTATACGAGTTCCTGATCATGCCTCCAGGGCTAACGAACGCCCCGGCCTCGTGGCAAAGGCGTATCGACCATGTCTTGCGCAATTTCGCCAATGTGTTCCTGGTGGTCTATATCGACGATGTGTTGATATATTCCCGGTCTAGAGAGAAGCATCGCGAACATGTGCACAAGGTTTTGAAGGCCTTGGCTGACGAAGGCCTTGACTGCCATCTGCTGCTACATCCGGATGCGAGTGCGCCGTCCTGACAGTGTCGCAATGTCCGGTATGGCCTGTTAAATGGTCCTACACACAAGGCGAGCGACGTTATCCCTTTCCTCTTAGTTAAGCAGTTGTGAGAGTGCGGACATTTCGGACGTGGAGTATTCAGCCTCTGTTGAATGCGCTTGGTCATGGCTGTCTAACGTATCTGGAACTGTGATATCGGCTACCTTCTCGAGAAGAAGCTTGACTACGTCGATATATTCGTTGCTGGAGGACGAACTGAGCGGTGTTATTCCGTACTTGTTTGGAACTGTGATATCGGCTCCTTTCTCGAGAAGAAGCTTGACTACGTCGATATATCCGTTGTTCGAGGCCGAATTGAGTGGCGTCCATCCATGATTGTTTGGAACTGTGATATCGGCTCCCTTCTCGAGAAGAAGCTTGACCACGTCGATATGTCCTTTGCTCAAAGCCGAATTGAGTGGCGTCTATCCATTACTGTTTGGAACTGTGATATCGGCTCCCTTCTCTAGAAGAAGCTTGACCACGTCGATATGTCCGCTGTCAGAGGCCGAATTGAGTGGCGTCCATCCGTTATTGTTTGGAACTGTGATATCGGCTCCCTTCTCGAGAAGAAGCTTGACCACGTCGATATGTCCGCTGTCAGAGGCCGAATTGAGTGGCGTCCATCCGTCATTGTCTGGAACTGTGATATCAGCTCCCTTCTCGAGAAGAAGCTTGACCACGTCGATATGTCCGCTGTCAGAGGCCGAATTGAGTGGCGTCCATCCGTCATTGTCTGGAACTGTGATATCAGCTCCCTTCTCGAGAAGAAGCTTGACCACGTCGATATGTCCGCTGTCAGAGGCCGAATTGAGTGGCGTCCCTCCGTCATTGTCTGGAACTGTGATATCAGCTCCCTTCTCGAGAAGAAGCTTGACCACGTCGATATGTCCTTTGCTCGAGGCCGAATTGAGTGGCGTCCATCCTTCATTGTCTGGAACGGTCATATCGGCTCCCTTTTCGAGAAGAAGCCTAGCCACGTCGACATGTCTTTTGCCCGAGGCCGAATTCAGTGGCGTCCATCCGTCATTGCTTGGAACTGTAATATCGGCCCCCTTCTCGAGAAGAAGCTTGACCACGTCGACATGCCCGTTGGTCGAGGCCAAATTGAGTGGCGTCCATCCATGATTGTTTGGAACTGTGATATCAGCTCCCTTCTCGAGAAGAAGCTTGACCACGTCGATATGTCCTTTGCTCGAGGCCGAATTGAGTGGCGTCCATCCTTCATTGTCTGGAACGGTCATATCGGCTCCCTTTTCGAGAAGAAGCCTAGCCACGTCGACATGTCTTTTGCCCGAGGCCGAATTCAGTGGCGTCCATCCGTCATTGCTTGGAACTGTAATATCGGCCCCCTTCTCGAGAAGAAGCTTGACCACGTCGACATGCCCGTTGGTCGAGGCCAAATTGAGTGGCGTCCATCCATGATTGTTTGGAACTGTGATATCAGCTCCCTTCTCGAGAAGAAGCTTGACCACGTCGATATGTCCTTTGCTCGAGGCCGAATTGAGTGGCGTCCATCCTTCATTGTCTGGAACGGTCATATCGGCTCCCTTTTCGAGAAGAAGCCTAGCCACGTCGACATGTCTTTTGCCCGAGGCCGAATTCAGTGGCGTCCATCCGTCATTGCTTGGAACTGTAATATCGGCCCCCTTCTCGAGAAGAAGCTTGACCACGTCGACATGCCCGTTGATCGAGGCCGAATTGAGTGGCGTCCATCCTTTATTGTTTGGAACTGTAATATCGGCTCCCTTCTCGTGAAGAAGCTTGACCACGTCGACATGCCCGTTGATCGAGGCCGAATTGAGTGGCGTCCATCCTTTATTGTTTGGAACTGTGATATCAGCTCCCTTCTCGAGAAGAAGCTTGACCACGTCGATATGTCCGCTGTCAGAGGCCGAATTGAGTGGCGTCCATCCGTCAATGTCTAGAACTGTGATATCAGCTCCCTTCTCGAGAAGAAGCTTGACCACGTCGACATGCCCGTTGATCGAGGCTGAATTGAGTGGCGTCCATCCGTCAATGTCTAGAACTGTGATATCAGCTCCCTTCTCAAGAAGAAGCTTGACCACGTCGACATGCCCGTTTCTCGAGGCCGAATTGAGTGGCGTCCATCCTTTATTGTTTGGAACTGTAATATCGGCTCCCTTCTCGTGAAGAAGCTTGACCACGTCGACATGCCCGTTGATCGAGGCCGAATTGAGTGGCGTCCATCCTTTATTGTTTGGAACTGTGATATCGGCTCCCTTTTCGAGAAGAAGCTTGACCACGTCGACATGCCCGTTGATTGAGGCCGAATTGAGTGGCGTCCATCCGTCAATGTCTAGAACTGTGATATCAGCTCCCTTCTCGAGAAGAAGCTTGACTACGTCGACATGCCCGTTTCTCGAGGCCGAATTGAGTGGCGTCCATCCTTTATTGTTTGGAACTGTAATATCGGCCCCCTTCTCGTGAAGAAGCTTGACCACGTCGACATGCCCGTTTCTCGAGGCCGAATTGAGTGGCGTCCATCCGTCATTGTTTGGAACTGTAATATCGGCTCCCTTTTCGAGAAGAAGCCTAGCCACGTCGACATGTCTTTTGCCCGAGGCCGAATTCAGTGGCGTCCATCCGTCATTGCTTGGAACTGTAATATCGGCCCCCTTCTCGAGAAGAAGCTTGACCACGTCGACATGCCCGTTGATCGAGGCCGAATTGAGTGGCGTCCATCCTTTATTGTTTGGAACTGTAATATCGGCTCCCTTCTCGTGAAGAAGCTTGACCACGTCGACATGCCCGTTGATCGAGGCCGAATTGAGTGGCGTCCATCCTTTATTGTTTGGAACTGTGATATCAGCTCCCTTCTCGAGAAGAAGCTTGACCACGTCGATATGTCCGCTGTCAGAGGCCGAATTGAGTGGCGTCCATCCGTCAATGTCTAGAACTGTGATATCAGCTCCCTTCTCGAGAAGAAGCTTGACCACGTCGACATGCCCGTTGATCGAGGCTGAATTGAGTGGCGTCCATCCGTCAATGTCTAGAACTGTGATATCAGCTCCCTTCTCAAGAAGAAGCTTGACCACGTCGACATGCCCGTTTCTCGAGGCCGAATTGAGTGGCGTCCATCCTTTATTGTTTGGAACTGTAATATCGGCTCCCTTCTCGTGAAGAAGCTTGACCACGTCGACATGCCCGTTGATCGAGGCCGAATTGAGTGGCGTCCATCCTTTATTGTTTGGAACTGTGATATCGGCTCCCTTTTCGAGAAGAAGCTTGACCACGTCGACATGCCCGTTGATTGAGGCCGAATTGAGTGGCGTCCATCCGTCAATGTCTAGAACTGTGATATCAGCTCCCTTCTCGAGAAGAAGCTTGACTACGTCGACATGCCCGTTTCTCGAGGCCGAATTGAGTGGCGTCCATCCTTTATTGTTTGGAACTGTAATATCGGCCCCCTTCTCGTGAAGAAGCTTGACCACGTCGACATGCCCGTTTCTCGAGGCCGAATTGAGTGGCGTCCATCCGTCATTGTTTGGAACTGTAATATCGGCTCCCTTCTCAAGAAGAAGCTTGACCACGTCAACATTCCCGTTGCTCGAGGCCGAATTGAGTGGCGTCCATCCGTGATTGTTTGGAACTGTAATATCGGCCCCCTTCTGGAGAAGAAGCTTGACCACGTCGACATGCCCGTTTCTCGAGGCCGAATTGAGTGGCGTCCATCCGTCAATGTCTGGAACTGTGATATCGGCCCCCTTCTCGAGAAGAAGCCTGACTACGTCGACATGTCCTTCGCTCGAGGCCGAATTGAGTGGCGTCCATCCTTTATTGTTTGGAACTTTGATATCAGCTCCCTTCTCGAGAAGAAGCTTGACAACGTCGATATGTCCTTCGCTCGAGGCCGAATTGAGTGGCGTCCATCCGTTATTGTTTGGAACTGTGATATCGGCTCCCTTCTCGAGAAGAAGCTTGACCACGTCGGTATATCCGTTGTTCGAGGCCAAATTGAGTGGCGTCCATCCTTTATTGTTTGGAACTGTAATATCGGCTCCCTTCTCGTGAAGAAGCTTGACCACGTCGACATGCCCGTTGATCGAGGCCGAATTGAGTGGCGTCCATCCGTCAATGCCTGGAACTGTGATATCAGCTCCCTTCTCAAGAAGAAGCTTGACCACGTCAAAATTCCCGTTGCTCGAGGCCGAATTGAGTGGCGTCCATCCGTCATTGTTTGGAACTGTAATATCGGCTCCCTTCTCGTGAAGAAGCTTGACCACGTCGACATGCCCGTTGATCGAGGCCGAATTGAGTGGCGTCCATCCGTCAATGCCTGGAACTGTGATATCAGCTCCCTTCTCAAGAAGAAGCTTGACCACGTCAACATTCCCGTTGCTCGAGGCCGAATTGAGTGGCGTCCATCCGTGATTGTTTGGAACTGTAATATCGGCCCCCTTCTGGAGAAGAAGCTTGACCACGTCGACATGCCCGTTTCTCGAGGCCGAATTGAGTGGCGTCCATCCGTCAATGTCTGGAACTGTGATATCGGCCCCTTTCTCGAGAAGAAGCCTGACTACGTCGACATGTCCTTCGCCCGAAGCCGAATTGAGCGATGTTACTCCGTACTTGTTTGGAATTGCGACGTCGGCTCCCTTCTGGAGAAGAAGCTTCAACAAACTATCGTGTCCCTTCCAAGAAGCCAAATATAGCGGGGTTCTCTCGATATTATCCGTTTGCGCAATGCTGGCTCCTGCTTGTAGTAGTATATGCACCATCCCCATGTGGCCTTTGCTACAGGCAGCCCCTAAAGCTGTTCTGCCTGAAATTGCATTTTCTTTCACAATATAATTTGGTTCCCGTGCGAGTTTTCTGACTGTTTCAACCAGGCCAAGTCGCGATGCATAGTATAGAGGGCTGGCTATTGTAACAGCAATATTTCCTTCGACTGTATCTGATTCTGCATCGTTTTGGTCAAACCACGCCCTCCAGGCATCCCAGTTCGAATTGCTCGAATCAAAGAAAGTGTTTATAAGGCAGACTGTATCTGCGTCGATTGGCTCGCATACAGTTGCATGCCGATACCAGAAGCCTGCTGCGTAGTCTCGGAACGACCCCTTGACTTGACTAGCCTCGGCCTGGAGAGGCTCTTGCCATACGCCCCGGAAGCTAAGGTAACGGAGACACAGCCTGCCGAGTATGCCGCTCTGAATAGCTTCGTTCGAGGACCTTAGTCGTTCATTCGTAACCAAGACGCTAGCAGGCGCTGACATCTTAGAAACAAAGTACTGCCTGACAGAGAAATGGGCTAAGTGTACTGTTCTGCATCCTACATGCGGTTCTGATGAGTTGCCTCTAACCTCAAGCAATGAACCACAGAGGCCGATTATCGCACAATCGACATAGTCTTCATCAACGGTGTCCGGTATTTCGTCAACTGGGAGATTATCGCATTCGTCGTTAACAAGAAGAACTTCGATCATCTCGCAAACCGTCAAGGGTCGTAGAGCAAAGGCTGCCCAACGTAGTAGGTCGAAGGCGCGACTCCTTTTCAAGCGTGGGAATCTCAATATGTCGTCCCAGTTTCGATCGTATAGATGCTCAAGCCCGGCCGGAGTTTCGTCAATCACTTCCGTAAGCGCTTTCTTGCTCATCCAGCTGTCCAAGGAACCGTCTTGCATCTTCAGCCATAGAAATTGGCCATTACAACGGCCAGCCATCCTCAGAGCGAGATCATTCTTCGTCGCTTCCGATTTCTTAGACAGCTTTCGGTCGACAATACTCCTGGCATACGATTCCGTATCGGGTCGAACGTCTTCCGAGGATATCTTATACTCGCTCACATAGCTGGGCAAGCCTCGTCGAATTCTAGGCTCATCACGGCTGACAACCATGATCCGAGTCTTGGTATCCACAACGGCCCGTGTGATGGTGTTGAGAAATGCACCCATGGGGTCCTTGTCGTGCAACCATCGGTCCTGACCCGTCCAGCTGCATTCGTCCAGCCCGTCCAAAACGAAAGTGCACTCGGGTATGGCATGGGCGACGTCGTGGAACATGGTAACAACATGCGCCTGTGTTGCTGCCCGCCCATACTGGGCTTCCCACTCCTCGTAGACCACATCAAACGCTTTTGGATGTAAGATTACTTGGAATATCCACGACCTTATGGCGATATAGGGATCTCTGCGGCTTTCAAAATCGGAGGAGAAAAAGAAGTGCGCAATGGGTGCTCCAATCTCGGACGGTAGGCGTTCGACAACTCTAGAGCAGAGAATGGTCTTTCCGAACCCGGCTGGCCCATGGATCCAGAGAAGCTTGGCGGATCCTGCTGGGAAATCCGGCGACACCCAGCTCCGAAACTCGGGTCGGTCTAAGATCCAGTCACATGTGCCGGCTACTCTCTTCTGAGCAGAGTCCTCGTAGAGCCCATTCGGAGTGTAGCCACCCAGCAGCCAGGCGCTCACGGTTCTTCGCGTCTCGGCTTCACCAATTAGCAATCGCTAGGACGTACATTGCAGGGTGACCAACCTTCCATTTCTCTCTCAATTCTGACTAGGATCTGTTGGAACTCGGTAGCCCAAGCCCTATCGTCCGTGGGATCGTCTGAAATCCGAGTTAGGTTATCTCTACGACAACTGCAACGGGGCTTGCGTACCGGCAGCATCGTGAGAAGCCATAGGACCTCGCCTTTCGAGGCGTGGATTCTTGGACCCATTAAGAGGCACCAAATCCTGCAATCTCCGCACTAGCTTCCCGAGGAGTTCGACTTGGGCTGTGTATTTGACTTTATCTCTGAACCGGCTCTTTTTGGACTGGGGTAGTGCGCTCTGATGAGACCCAGTCTGGCTTCTTGGCAGTCCATGAGCCCCTAGCTTGGGCTCCTGGAACGCATCGTCTGCCTTGCTGCAAATCTCTTTGATGCTCGATAACAGTTGCTCGACCCCCGAAAGTGCCTGTGGATCTTCGAGGGCGCTGTCGTTACCATTGAAGAACTTCCCCTGCTGGAAACCGACAGCCATGCCCCATTGCTCGAAGCGGAATTTCTCAGCGACGAATCGAGTTTCTAGGTGATGCGCGTCGGCTCCGAACTCTCTATACACCATAAACTGGTCGAGAGCCTGCAGGCATGCACTGAAGAGGTGAACAAGTCTAATGGCTGCGCCTGCTCGTCTTTCTATTCCTGGTTTGGTAGTATCCGCTTGCACTGCTATGAAGTGACGGCTTCCACTCAATGGAACAGTGGGAAAGGGCTCGTGCTGTGCCATTTTGTGATCTACGAATCAATCAGCAGTGGAAGCGTCTGGACTTTTTAGTTGCGGATTACCTTGTGCAGGCCACTCGGAAGAAAGCATCCCACCGACATTGCGTTGAATTTCCGTTCGAAGCCGCTTGTCTGCATGGTGTCTTCCCTCGCCATACAAGGGTGGCATGAAGATGTTTAGTATACCCTGCAGACAGTAGGCCTGGTCCTCTTCACGTGTGGTCTGGCGGTTTTTAGCCCATGACATTCGCTCGTCGGCGCTAAACTCAGTCAGAATGGCGCCCCGGAGGGCCCGGACTGGGATACCAGTTATCTCGTGAAGTTGTCGCTCTAACGTCTTCTTGTCGCCGAGTTGATGGCATTCTGAGGAGAAAAACTCAACCGATGGCGGAGCTATAAGCTCTTGAAGCGTCCAGCCACGAGTGAACCATCTGCTTCTCCGGAACGCTGACTCCCAGGCGCCGGAGGAGGCTTGGTTCTTTGTTGAAACATCGGACAGATAGACGTAGCACGTGTGCGCCTTTTGGTACCAGCGGTACATACTGTTGATAGCTTCTGCAAGCTCTGCGCTGTTCTGCTTGTCGATGCAGCAAGTATCAACCCAGAAATGTTGAAGGCCATCGCGATCAGCCTGCTCTCCGCAGAACCGAATTTTTCTAAATCCAGTCTTGTCCAGTCCTGTACGTTCCACCACATCTTTGAAGGTAACCTCTTCTTCGTCCTTTCCCCAGGTATGTGAGAGGATAGCGTAAGGGGGGATGTCCCTATGAAGATCTTTGGTCAGGCTGAATTCGCCATCTTTGAGTGTTAGGAGACGCATGATCTGGAACAAGCGCCGATCATCTCAAAGAAGTATCGTGAACAGAGAGACTTCAGCTGAAACGCCTAGAGGTGGTTTCGTGCAATGGCGCGGGAAGGATGGAAGGTGGACGCGAAAGTGAAGGGCACCAGGGCAGTGCGGGGAAGTTATGAGGCAGTGCAATCTTCTAGCTGTCCCGACAAATTCCGACTGATCTCGGAGTATATAGGAGGTCGCGCGGTGGGGCCTGGACGATAAGGAGGTGTCCAATAGATAAGGACTCGTTAAGAGCCAATCAGACTAAGGAGGGCTCGAGTGATCCAGGGGCAGGTGGATCACCGCGCACAGGTGATCCATATAGTATATATACAACGGCCGTAACCACAGCTCTAGAGAGTCCTGCTCTTACGGCAGTAAGCAATGCAAGTATAAATGCGCCTGTACCTGTGTTTACTGTGCATCTTTTGACTACACCAATCCTGTACCCTGCTCGAGTGCAGGGTGGGCGACGATAAGCTTATCGCCGATATATTGAATCAATAATTGTTATCGCCGATATTGACGATATCGACCGATATCGTCGATATCGGTTCCTTAGTAAGCAGATAATTTTTTACCCCTCCTCTCCCCTCAATATCATCATCTTCATCGGCTACGCCTTGTAATATAGCTACGAAAGTGGCTCAACTACAAAATGTCCACTCCCTCGACACAAGATACCGAGGAATCTCTGGTATCTCAAGAAACTATTCAGTCAAGTCTACATGATCAGCTTCGACAGCCACTATCGACTGAGCCTTCACACAAAGGCAAAAATCGTCTCTACTATTGCCAATACTGCCCTTGGTTTGGGCAAAGCACCACGAATGTACGACTTCACCTTCGCAAGCATGCTATCACCCTCGAAGCCCCATCTCGTACGGCATCTCAATCTCTTCATTTCTTATACAACAAGGCATCGGAAATCGATCAGACTTCTGAATTGGATACCCGAGTTATGAGGAAGATTCTCAACCAGAAAACCCTCAATGAAGCCCTTGTTGCTATGATTGTCACCCAAAATCTTCCCTTCCGGATTATCGAGAGCCCATTCTTTCGTGCCTTTTGTCAGGAGCTAAATCCTGAGGCTCAGAGTCTTATCTCATCACATTCGACGCTTAAACTACGGATTAAGTTAGGTGGGGGGGTAAGCGAACACTACTGATTTAGAACATTCTGTATAAGCAGGAGTCCCAACTAACCCTCCAACAAAAGAAAGGGTGATCTTGTTATTTACAAAACTTCAATACAATCTTTGATATCCTCTGAATCATCCGCTTCTTCCGCATCTTCTAAAACCTCTGCTGCACGCCCTACAGCTCTCTGGGCCTCACGAATAGTCTGAATATTCGCAAAGGTGGTATTTGGATCTTCTTCAACCTTCTTCTTCTTTCTGGCTCTTATTGATTCGAGAGTGTGTTCTAGACCTTCAATCTTTCGCTTCCTAATAGCCAGTTCAAAGGCCTGTTTATCCAAAGCCTTACCAATCTTTCTGAGGAAGAGCTTATCCGCTGGCATTGCTTTGATGATGCGTGCGAACTTCTTTGCCTGCTCAACGTAATCACGTGCCTTTCTAGGAGTCCTCCACTGCACCCGATCGTCTCCATAATCCTCCAGGATTGGCATACGGAGTGTGCGAACCTCTGGGGTAACTATAGTAGTTCTTAAGGGGCGTGAAGTATTAGAATTCTTGAGGAGGAGTGGGCTTCTTAGCGGTTTGTTGACATTCAAGGGCCAAAGGCCTGATGCCTTCCATCCTGACTTAGCATTACTCTTAGTAATTGCCTCTGTGCGTGAAATCTGGTAGCATTCCAGAAACGCACGTTTTCCGGCTACAGAAGAGTCGTCAAAGGCGTTAGCAAGAAGGTCCTCAAGCCGTCTGCGATAAAGTCGTTTTAGGGGGCCAAATATGGCCAAATCTAGGGGTTGGAGGACATGGGAAGTATGGGGAGGCAGATAAATAATGTGAATATTGTTTGTGAATGCCTCCCACATATAATCGGCAGTTGTGTGGCTGCCATGGCCATCAATAATAAGGAGTCGTTTCTCAGAGGAGTTTGCTGGCTTGGTGAGAGGAATGAACACATTTTTTAACCATTTGAGGCTTGTCTCATCGGTAGTCCATCCTTTCTCAGTTGCTGTAAAGAACCAATCCTGAAATGGCTTCATATCCAAAGGAAACCATTGTTGTTGAACGCTTTTCCCCTTAAAAATGACCAAAGGAGGAAGGCAACGGCCAGCTGCTGAGATGCATTCGACAAAAGTGGTCCAAGTGCGGGTTCCAGGCTGTTTTTTTTGAAGCGCCTTAAAGGCACGGCTTCCAATGACAAGGCCGTTGGTTCCTCTGCCTTCCATAATACCAGATTCGTCCTTGTTCCAGCGATTCTCTGGCTTAATCGCCTTGATAGCTGGTGTTTGGAAATGGTTGAACCAAGGTCGAATTGTTGACTCTGTAGCGCAGTTGACGCGGACCGAATTGACTCTCTTGGCCCTCTGAGTCTTCAAAATTCGATTGCGGTTAAGAAAGGCACGGCACCACCCCTTTCCAAGTGGTAAGGAGTCCCCCCTTTCAGCTAGAATACGGCGTGCAAGCTCCCTGATCTGTGCATGTGTAGGGGGCAATCCTAAATCTTGTTGAAGAAGAATCCATTCGACTAAACGATCCTCTTGGGTCTGTGTAAGCCTTTGCTCATCTTGATGAGCAAAATTTCGAGGTAGGGAGCCATGTAGACGGCCATAAAGGGTGGAGGGTGGAACGTTCCATTTTCGCGCGACTTTGCGTAATCGATGTGTTCTGACGGCTTCCTCGCAAGCCTTGCGGAGGTCTTCTTCTGTATATGAAACCATTGTCAAGAGAAGAATAAAACGAATTGAAGATGAAGAGAATTGGAAAAGAATTGGTTGAGTTATGGGCTTTTTATATAAGAGGGTTGGTTGTGTTCCTCGCTTATCTAGAATGTTCTGGATCAGTGGCGTTCGCTTACTCCCCCACCTAACTTAGCAGCTCGTTCAATCTTCATAAAGATATTCTACGGAAGAAGCTCCAATCAGCGCTTTCAACAATCCACCTTGCTCTGGATATTTGGACTTCTCCAAATCACAAGCTATTCCTAGGGATTTGTGCTCAATTTGTGGATTTCGAAACCGAGGAATTAGTCAAGGCCCTAATCGCTCTACCTTCTATTCCTTCACACCACTCTGAGGTCCAGCACGATATTCTCTTCCAAACTCTTCAGGATTTCGGAATCTATCACAAGATTGGGGCATTTATCGGCGATAATGCTACCTCTAATGACAAACTTTGTTTACTTCTCGATTCGAAGTTTGAAGAAGAAGGCCTCTATTGGAAGGCGTCAGAGAATCGAATCAGATGTACGGGGCATATTATCAACCTAGCAGTCCAAGCGTTTCTTTTCCAAAAGGATGAAGAAGAAGAAGATTTCGAATCGGGCTTCTTTCGCAATATCGGCCCCCTTGGAAAGCTTCATAATATCGTCATCCACATCCGTGGTTCAGTCTCTCGTACGAATCAGTTTAAAACTCTTGCCGGCCGGAATATTCCTCTCGATAATAGCACAAGGTGGAATAGCTGGTACGAGATGTTAAGAGTTGCACTGGAAAAGGAATCAGCCCTTGATACCTATTCGAAAGCTTGGTACGAAGAGCTGAAGTCTGACTTTCTTTCTCCGCAAGATTGGGAGATTCTTCGATTTATCCAATCCTTCCTTAAGCCGTTTTATTCAGCAACAAAAACTACTGAGGGAGATCATGCAACAATCGACCGAGTTCTTCTTGTTATGGATGCGTTGGTTCAGCATTATAGGAGGAGCCAGGAAACCTTCAAATCTAATCCCTTTATCTCTCAACGAATCCAAAAGAGCTGGCAGACTTTCGACAAATACTATGCCAAAACGGAAGATACTCCGTATTATGCTGCTGCGATTCTTTTCCATCCTTCGAGGAAGACTGAATATCTCAAGTATAATTGGGAGAAAAAATGGGTCAAGCCAGCAATCCAAGCGGTCAAAACGCTCTGGATCAACTTCAAAGGAGCAGAAAATAAACCACAGTCAGCTCTTCTGATTGAGAAGGAGAGGAGCCAAGATCAGAATCCGAATCCGAATGATGATTTGGATACCTTAATGCGAGGTCTTGAGAACTTTCCAAGGCCACCAAGCAAAGATGAACTTGAAGAGTACTTGTCAGAGCCACCTCGTCAAATCGAAGGATCATCTCTCTATTGGTGGCTCCGTATAGAGCAACGAAGACGCTGGCCGAAGCTATCTCAATTGGCAATCAACATCCTATCAATCCCGGCAATGAGTGCTGAGCCGGAAAGGGTCTTTTCTGGGGATCGTCGTACGATAACGTGGGAAAGAATGCGACTAGGAGAAAGTACAGTGGAAATGCTTGAATGCTTGAAGCATTGGATTAGGTCAGGGCTTACGGGGGAGCCAGGATGTATTCGAGAACGAGTTGTGGAGGTTGAGGCGGAGATAGATTGATAGCTGACTAAGCATTATCAATGTTATCGATATTTATCGACGATATCGCACGATTATCGGCGATAAGCGATATTTATCGTTGCCCCAGCGATAATATTTCGCCCACCCTGCTCGAGTGATCCCCTGTCACTGCGACCTGTTGTCACCTGCCACTTGTACGCTTGTACCCTTATACCTTCAGTTCATCCCTTACCGCAGAACAAGGGGGTTCTTCCATTTAATATCTTGGATGACCTACGGATCCATTCAGTACTGAACTTCGTCCTCAAAAAGTGCATCGGTAAGCTCCATAAGATTGAGGTTCGACTCTATAAGCCTTGTCTCGAGAGGTTTATTAAAGAGCACGTCACGTTATAGAGTGATCCCTGTATGAACAAGAGTTGCTAGTGCGTTACAACCGGGATGCGAAAGCCGTTGAGTGTTGGCAGGCGCTTTATCAGTGTTCTGCGCCACATCGGAAGCGATTGGGTTGGGGTCTTGTGTGGGACGCGAGTTTTGTAGAAGTGAGTGAAGACACTGGTGCCGGCTGTGGTGCTATTGAGCTAAGACTGGAAGGGCTGTTGGTGGTATTGCAAAGAGGGCTGGTTGTTTGGGAGGACAAGAGTTTATACGAGGGGATTTTGGAGAAGAAGAGAGATTGAGCGGGATTAAGCAGTCTTCGCGCCCTCTTCCATTTTGCCTTCAGTCCTCGTCCTGACCATGCTCCACATACGCAGGCCACCATACCTCTTGCTACGCGGTACGGAGATTGTCAAGGGGACAGAGATGACCCAGCTCGTCTCCCTAATGGGGTTTGTGACTCGGCTGGCAATGACGATGCAGCTACACCGGAAAACCCCGCAGTTTCCAGATATAACTCCGTTTGAAGCTGAAATGCGAAAGCGGACATGGATCACGATCCAACTACTCGGCCTCAATATTGCCATAAAGACTGGCCCGTCATACCTTTAGTTACCAAGAGCAAGAGAACTACTACGGAGAGCACTCCCCTACAGACAGATCCTGCATCGCCTGACCCCGGATCGAGAACGGGAAAGTTGTAAAGCCCACCAAGGAAGAAATCAAGGCCATTAGGGGCGCTGCCTAGCCTGCGAATCCACCTACCCCACCACCGCGGACGAAGAAAGGAAAGAGACAATAGCCGTCCACTCCTCCCTCGGAGGAGGGCCCCTACGAGCGCCTCCGGCTGGACGGAGAGAGAGAGCCTACCCCCACCTCACCCCCGGCGGAGCTAACATAAGGACTAAATCTAGTATCAATGCGCTGGTAGATCGAGTTGCATCGGCGTGTTATTCTTAGCGACTACTGGGAACCTATCTACAAGGCGAGCTCTTGGAGGAATCTATTCTCGCGCTGGCCAATTGTATTGAAGGATACAAGCTATTGCTACATAAAGCCAGGCTTCTTCACAGAGACATCTTTATTAACAATATCATAATTAATAAGGCTAATTGCGGATTCATGGATTTTGGCATTAAGGAGCAGCGTATTAGGGCCTCGGGGGTAAGGGGAAAGACTGGTACAAGGGATTTTATGGCTATTGGAATACTTCTCGGCGAGCAACACTCGTTCATGCACGACCTCGAGTCATTCTTTTGGGTGCTGTTCTGGATATGTGTTCGTTGCAACAGGCCAGAAGGGGGCAGAACTTTGACCAGTGGAATTACATTGGCACAGAATTGTTGACAATAGAGAAACAGGGACACGTTTCTCATGAAGCGGCCTTTATCAGAGCAGTAGAGAAGAACTTCACACTATATTACCAGTCGATGATTATACAGCTTACCAAGGTAGCAGTCAAAGGAGATATTTAAGAGCCGGCTCCAATCAATTCCCATCTGATACGTGTAAACCTGGAAAAGAACGCCCTGCCCACGACAAGATCTAAGGTCGAGTGCTAAAGACTAGTGGTGATTTTAACTGTGTGCTTTTATAGCTGAGCTATCTCCGGTCGTCTTAAATACGGGATGTGAATCAGATGCCGGCTATCATCTCCCTAGTCGTTGCTTATGAACTCCAATAGACTCCACAGCCACCTTCGTCCTATTTAGTGTAGTCCCTCCACAGATGACAGCTTCCCATCACTAGAGACGCGCTTGAATCTTCGCCTGATGATATCCACCCAGGGTATGTCCGATGGTTCCTGGGGCTTGGGATTCTTATACCTATCCGCTGTGGGCCACCAAATCCATCCAGACTCATACTGGTCTTGATTCGTAAGACCGATCGGCCAATCCTGCGCACGCCACTCTGCCCAAGTCAACGAGAAAGAGCCGGAAGCGCTCGGCATGCAGGTCGTATAGATACCTCCGTCATAAACGACCAAGTCCTTCTTGAACCACGGATCTTGCTCAAGCTTTGCAGGGAGCGTGGCTCTGTAACCCTCTATCCGTGTAGCTCGGGCTAGCTCAAAGCCTCCATTCACTCCCACCTCCAATACCGTCATATACCAAGACCAAGCGCTCACCCTTCTGCGCATATACCGCGATCCAAATGTCGCCGGTGCCTCGGTGGAAGATAACAGCCTTCTCCGCGGTGGAAGGGATAGGATGTGAGGCGAGATCCAGGGTTAGAGCTTCGAGGATGCCGAAGTACACTAGCTGGTCACGGAACTGGTGGTTCAGGATGGCAGCGCCCGCGGCCATCGACTCGGCGGTAAAAGGCTCGAGTTCTTCGCACTGCTTATAAGCAGTGCGCGCAAGGGAGCGCAGCTGAGATGCCGTAGCCTAGAGTGAGATTTTTAGTACCAGCGCCTCGAGCAAATGTTAGAACGGAGGGTAGACCCATACGTTGGGAAATGGAGCCGCCATTATTGAGACGCTCGAGCAGGTTAATAACTGCGCAATTGCTAAATGATTGCGAGATTAGTGCCAGGGGGCCGAAAGGACGGTAGGTAGAAGGGAACCAACATACGAAGACGGAGACAGAGATAGCCACAGGGCGAGCGTGCACTGGGTCAGGCTAGGTCAAGAGACCTGAAGGCAGTAGAAGAACCGTGGTCGCTGTGACAACTGGGGATGGCTGCTGTGTGATTGAAGAGTTTGAGAAAGAGGCAGGCAACGGAACAGGATGAGAAGCGCGAGTGTGCTGGGATGCTCAGGTTATGGGTCTAGATTGAGGGAAGGAGCTTGTGTGTGGCCGTGTTGGGGAGCTCTTTCCTTACAACTATGCCCCCCTCCGTGGCCAACGTCCTCGCCAAGCCTTCTTTTATTCGCTTTCCTTGTTCCTCTTCCATCTTAGGGTTGCTGGCGCAGTGGTAGCTCAATCGGCATGCGTGCGACATGTTGAATGCCCCGAGCCTGCAGCATTCAACGTGTGGCGTGTCCGGGAGGTGATAGGTTCGAATCCTGTGCAATCCATTATTTTTGTCACCTACCCTCAATTGTCGATTCAAAGGGTGAACATGACCCCCGCGGAGCACGGAGGGCGTTGACTGAATCCACATGTCCATCTGCTATTCTTGACAACAGACAGCAGGAAGCTACACAGTCGGGAGATGTTGGCGAAAAGGAGAGCCGGCAGAGCATGAATGCGTCAACTAACCACATAAATCAGCCGTCATAGCATGTTCTCCGAACTTACGAGCTCGGCATCAAAGGGCGGGCCTGGGTTGCAAGAGAGTCTTGCAATTCTATTACGGACGATGTCCACCTTGATGTCGTCAAATGCAGTTATACATACAGTCCCATCTGCCCTACCGACCCTTCTGCAATCCCCCCCCCCCCCCCCACTCCCCAGCCTTGCTTGTGGATGCCTTTTTAATATGTGGCATTGCAATAGCTAGGATAGTTGGAGCTTCTGGCCGTGCTACAGCATATACTAATAAGGAGGCAGCCCTCCGACTTGTTGCTAGAACACCCGGCCACTTCCTTAGATGTGATGGAGACACCCCTCGTAGATAAGGTCTGGAGACAACATCGTGACGATTCTTCCTTGCTCTATTCTCTAGTAGTCCTCGAGCTCTATCTACTATCCTTTTAAGAATAGTTATACCAGTGGCTATAAAAAAGATGAAAATCGTTATAACTTTAGACCTTTAGCTCCTTCTCTTTCCTCGTTTCACCTTCCTCCTAGGCTCGCGTTTCTTGACTAGCTTACAGCTTATGTGTTTCTCTAATACCTATTTATCCTCGCCCTTAAGGCGACTTATGAAATGTACCCGGTATTCCACCTTCCTAACTTTAGCCCAATGTATTACAAACCACTCGACTGTCAGGGTCGTCTGTCTGTAAGGGAGCACGGGCTCCACAGGATGCTGGAGTTGGTAATTATGAAGATAGAACAAAGGGCAAGCTCCTATCGCACGGGTAATACAGTCAAATCGGAATGCCACTCAAAGTGTATGAGTGCAGTGAATGTGTAAGCCTACGGCGTCTTGTATTTTGCTTCGCCGTTTGTCGCTTTCGTGGCTACGTCTTCCTCTCTTTTGTATACGGCCTTCCTCTTCCAACTGCGCCTCTACCTTGGACCAGCCTACCCACCTTACTTCAATCTCTCTACCTCTCTTCTGGACAGCAGCCTCACTTTCCGTAGCTTTCTACCTTGTTAGGCGCGTACGACTGGCGACGACGCGCGACCTGGTAAGCTAACTCCGTCTCGTATTGTGCTGCCCTTCCGTGGGTTTCTTGCCTCCTGCTTCCCCTCTCTTTCGTGATTCGGTTTTTCTTGTACGGCTTCCCTCTTCCAACCGTCGCCTGGCCCACTTTCGGGGTTCGCGCCCCCTGTGTCGTTCAGGCCAGCATCGTCATATTCCATGCCTTCCTGGCGCCGGAGCAACGGTGATGCTAGCGACGTGCGACAAGGTACCCTGGTGGTCTGCCTGTCTTTCGCCGCTTCTACTCCCTCCACGCAATTTTGTCCAGTACGCCTTGCGCCCTCCATCGTGGGCTAACCATCTACAAACACTCACCTTGGTCGTTGCATTACCCTGTTCATCTGCTGACGCACTCCCCCCTCCCTTCCAAACAGCACTTGTCTTTATATCTATCTGTCACGGCAAGTGCAGACAACTCTGGAATAGTGGGCCCGACCCGGACCCCACTAGACTAGATGGCCCGTGCACCCCACGTCCTATTTCCCTGCGCCCTGCCCAAGCTTTAGAAACTTCCTTTCTTCTTTCTTTCCTTAGCTTTAGATTCTACGAATACAGCGACCATATTGCAGCCTTGTCTCATGCAGTTGACTGTGCGGTGATACTATCGTCCAATTATTTTAGCCTACAGTCACTTCTCTACGTCCACATCGCCTCACTCTGTTTCGAACTGTATTCACTGGGGCTCCGCGCCACGAAGGCACGCGGATCCTATATATGGAGTCCTGTCCCGGTAGCTAGAATTCAAGCCTGCACCGTGTAGCTTATCAAGGCTTCCTCGGTCTTCTGCCCAGGGTGAGTGCTCCGGTGCCGGCTCGTAGCTACGTCCCACATCCGCGGTTTTTACTAACTTCAGGCAAGGTCGTACAGATCCAGTCAAGACGGGTTTCTCCCTTGTCACCACCCTCAACAACAGGCGAGCTGCCCGGTGCTATGAGTAAGATGCCGATGTCGGACGATAGTCTGGGAGTTTAGGGGTCTACGCAGACGGGTAAGGTTTCCTCGGAGCCGGCCAGCTTCTATCCCTTCCACGGGTGATTTGGAGGCCACTAGCCCGGCTTTGGGCCCAGCGACACCATTGAACTGGGATAACACGCTTATTAGAAGAGAGCTGAACAATTTAGCAACAGCAGTGCAAAGCTGCGCATCTCCCAGAAGGCCCCTAATTAACGAAGTGGAGGTCTTTGGTTGTGTCAGACGTTAGCAAAATACCTGCCGGTGGGCTGAAGTGGATAATGGTGTCGGCATTAACGCGGTGGCCCGGGTGTGCTTTGTCGAGAATGACGTTGAGCGCAGTGTAGCTGGCACCGTTGACTAGCTTCAGGCCCTGGTGGGTGTTCTGGTTCACAACGACAGGCATCCCGGGGACGAACATGAAGACGGCAGGCACAGGGATGGCACTGTCGTCCCCCTTTCAGCATCATCAAGGCCTCCTCTTCGGTCGGCTGGCCATCTTTCCACTTGTGGTCCGAGATAAATATCCGGAGGAAGCCTTGCCGTTGTCTCTTGGAGGACAGGGCCGCCTCAAAGATCTCGAGTCTTTTGGGTGTTTTTCAGGATAGACTTGCCCTCAACAGGCCAAGCGAGAGCAAGATTGTCGCTGAGCCCAGATATTGGAATTACCCTGATACAGAGGAGTTGGCACAGCTAAATAAAGAGCGGATGTTTCATCAAGGGGCTTTGCCCAGTACTTTATTGCCAGTGAATGGTAGCCGGGGTCAACATGAGCCCGCTCTGGAAGTCAGGGTTGCCAAATGCAAACTGAACCATCTCCACCAGAATCAAACAGCGTCCTCCGAAGCCACTGCCACTGATTGTGAAAGTCGATTGACAGCATTTTCTATGAACGACCACGAGGCTTCGATTTGCCCTTCTTCAAGGCTCAGTGTGGCAAGCAGTTTTGCTGCAAGGGCAAATCCTTGCGTAGGCACACTCCACCAAGGAACTCCCTGAAGGCAAGGCATTTGCGGTACCCTGCTGTGCAGCTCTAAAGCGAGGTGTTTGTTGAGAGCTTTGTCTTTCAGGTTGTAGTATGCGGCGTACATGAAGCCGTGGAGCACCGTGACGGTGCTTTCTACTATCACCCCAAACTCGGACTCGGAAGTGCCGAGGAGCGCTTGGTACCCCTGGATGAAGCTCGCGCTGTCCAAGCCATCTCCCTCCCAGTATTTCAAGTAGTTGGACCACATATTTAGAACGACGGAGTGATGCTGTCCCAATCGGGACTCCATGGCCCGGATTGTGATGAGATAGAACACTCTCAGAGTGTCGCGTAGCTCACCTCCAGGAGCCGTAGATATCGCGTCCAGCGCCAGGCAAAGCGGGTGGTTCCCATGATGGTGACCCATGAGTTCTCTGATGTATCTGAGAAACTCACGGAGGAGTCGAAAATCACCGTCGCCCATTTTGGAGCATGTCTTGTAGAGTCGGTAACACAGCCTCCACAACTTGACCATCATCGCCGGGCTGACAAATCGGACCACGTCACTCAGCTTCGCGCACATCTGCTGCAATGCGTTAAAGCCATCGGGCAACTCCTTCCGCAGCACCAGCTCTGTGGCACCCCAGCACTGGTCCACAATCTCTTGCCACTGTGCTGCGAAATCACACCTTCCGGCCTGGGATGTTATCGTGAAGTTATCCCAAGTGAAGTCGTTGAGCAGCCCCTGTGTATAGTTGCCCGCTGAGCGCAAGGCGAGCTCCACTGCTGGTGTGCGAGGCGATTTGGGCAAGAGTATGACCAGTCTGGCATCTCCGGAGGTTGCTACTGAGCGCTGATGTTCCAGCCTGATAGTAATTCTCCTGGGTCTCGTTCTTCTCGCGGAGCCTGAAGGAATGGGGACTTGCTCGTGGGCCCTTGTTCGTGTCTTGTTTTTGGGAAAAGGCGGACCCCATTGTTTGAATCGAGTTTTGTACTGCTGAATACCAAAGGATGTGGGTCAGCGCGGAGCGAGGATGACACGCAATGGTACAAGGAAAGCCCGCAAGAGCCCCAATACTCACGAGGCTTTGAAATCGTGTTCCTTCATCATTATCTCATGTACTTCCCATAATGGCCGGGCTTCTTCGATGTACAGTCTTCGGATGGTGTCCTTCTTCGATTCCCATGACTTGTGGGGCGACCCTTGACTGAAGAAACCGTGCTGTTCAAGGTCGACGGGCATTGTCAGGTCAGTGTGTACCATTTGTCTACTTTGGTTCTAAAGGGGCCGTTTTGATGAGGATGAATGCCATTGTCTATGTCAAGAGAACACTCAGCCTGCGGCAGCCCGTCAGGCTTCAAAGGTACTTAACAAGGGGGGCTTTGGCACCTTGGGCTGGTGCATGCCTTGATTTGCTGCTGTGTAACACTACCTAGCGACTCAAGTGAATCATAGGGTTGTCTACTCTCTCATTGGCTGGACTAAAGTTTTATGCAGATAGTTATGTGGGTGCTTTCTCATGTGCACCAATGGCAGCCCAGTTCGCAGTTTGGAAAGACTCCGAGTTGCGACAACGAGCTTCGGGTTGCCTTGGCTGGTCAATATGACTTGTAGATTGGAGTCAGGCAGGTGATGAGTTGGCACTTTGAAAACATATAAGGCGGCATATCAAGGACAGAACCAGATATCTCCGTCAACCGTCACCGTCTTTGCACCCTACGCAATATCGTTCCCTTGTCTCCCCCTCGCCATGGATCGTTTATACAACTTATACAACGTAAGTGTATGCTAATAGCACATACTCTTGTTCTCATTAGCGAGTAATAGGTGCTGACAAACTATTGAAGAGGGTTAATACCGCTGTGAATTTTGTCAGCTTTATCTTGGCCGCCGAACTCGTCAGCAGGTACATGGCTTACAGGCAACGCCTCGATTGGGACGAGACTGTTAGACTTGGCTGGGAACTGAGTCCTGTTGTCGGAAGGGGGCCACAACACGGCGCCGCACATGGACAGTCACGGCTTTGCTACGTGGATCACTGCCCAGGAAGGGTCGATCGGGTTCGGCTGGATGTCTTGTCCGACGGAGGAGGAGCGAAATTCGTGGACGGCTGACCCCCACCACTTTACAGGTGGCCGCTGGAGATATATTGTCCTCAAGCCCGGCCAGTCTGTCTTCTTCATGCCGGGGACGATTCACTGTGTGTTCCGGGTGCGCCAGCATCAAACGCTGGCGCTTGGTGGCCACGTCCTTCAGTGGTCAGACATCAGGCGCTGGATGCAAGTCGTGCTTGCTCAGATAAAGAACTCGGCCATTACCAACGAAGACATGAGGCGGAGCGCGCCGAAATACGTCCTCGCTGTGGCGAAGCTCGTCAAAGCTAGAGTGGAGGAAGGCGAGGTGGAGCAGCTCGGTGGTGAAGCTGCGGTTACGCAGTTCTTCGCATCTGTGAAGGTAAGGCTATCATCAAAATTTAAGATAAAAGGCTAATCGTCTCAGGAATTCGAAGAGAGACCAAGGCGCCGCCTGCCTGGTTGGTAGAAGTAACTGCGAATAGCTAGACTTGGAAGTCTGTGGACTGCATCACAGTACCTAAGTGCTACACTTGCTATGACATCGCGGGCAAGTCACTACTCCCATACCGCCAAGCCCTGGCCATTAATTAAGTGTGATTGTCACGTCTGCCATCTCTACAGCTACACAAGATGTTGTTCCGCATTCTAGTCAAGTCAACATCTTTTTCACTTGCCCTAACACCTCTTGTGCTCGTCCTGGGTCATATGCTGGGCCCGATCTGACAGCTAACTCCGCATCCTTCGCCACATAATCCGAGGCTACAATCAATGCAGTTGGACAGACCCGACAGATCTCTTCGGCGAGAGCTTTAAGGTTATGGTTTGTAATACGTCTTTGGTTACTTCGAGGGAATAAGCGTCATGGAGCGGTAGCAGATTGGAAGAGATAAGACGTACATTATTCTTTCAGCCACATCTGTGAAAGTGGTTAGCAAGAGTGGGTACCTCCCAGGAAGGGCAGCCCAGCGATTGCTCATGCGTATAAGTTCGCGGACTTCCTCCCTGTCCGTTCTTCCAGGCTTACATTAACCGGGCCTTGGCTGGCCTGGTAGATGTCTTCTGTATCGTCTACCTCGACGATATCCTCATCTACTCCGCTACTCGCGAAAAACACACCCACCACATCCTCCAAGATCGATTACCGTAAATAGGTTATCGAACCCGTCTCGGTCCTTCGGCATCTCCTTAAAGTCCACAACCAGAGACTTCCATACCCGTAGGGGAGGCGGTATTGGGTGTAATAGACCGGGGGTTTTATCGTGTGGTGTTTTCGCCGCTTTGCATTTACAGTTTGCCACGAATCTGTCGATATCTGCTCCCATTCCGGCCCACCAATAGTACTCTCTCACGAGCCTCCTGGTTTTATTCCGGCCGGGGTGGGCTGTAGCGAGCCTAGAGTGGACATCGTCTATAACCCTAGTCCGTAGGTTCTTCTCATCAGGGATCACCAGCTTTCCTTCTCTCAGGAGTAACCCCCCCTGGGTAATCGAGAGCTTGGTCTCTTCTTCCAGTAATGCTCTCTCCCGGTAGATTAATAAGGACTCGCTAATCTTGTTGGTTTCCAGTAATTGGTCGACTAGCTCGTGGCCGGAGATCTCCGGAGGTCCCTCCAGAGTTGAGAGTTCAATTTCCTGCTTCCAGCTTTCTCTCGACTCATCGCTCTCCACTGCCTTAATCATAGCTAGGACTTGTGCAATTTCTTGCAAAAAGGTCCCACAGTCTAGGGACATGATTAAGCTGCCGTCTGCTTGTTCTTGGAACATCTGTACGGTTCGATGGGCCATTTGGCGCTCTTTCTGGGTCTTGAGCTCATGCGTACGTCTTGTCAACGCGTCGGCCGCAGCGTTGAGGACGCCTGGCCGGTATTCGATACGGAAGTGAAAGTCGGCCAGTTCCTCGGCCCATCCTGCCTGCCTAATATTAAGCAGCTTCTTCGTAGTAAAGTATTTCAGCGCATCGTTATCGGAAAAGACGATAAACGGCTGCTCGGTTTGGAGTCCGATTAGTTCGCTACGCTAGTGCTGTAAGGCCCTCATAATAGCTAGCAGTTCCTTATGATGGATAAAGTAGTTGAGCTCTGCTCCCTTCATCATCTCAGAAAAGAAGGCTACCGGGTGCCATCCATCCTCGTACTTCTGGCTCAGTACGCCTGCCGCCACCCCTCCCGATGCGTCAGTTTCCACCCGGGTTTCTCTTCCGTACTCGAAGTATTTTAGCACGGGTGCTGACAACAGTCGTGCCTTAAGCTCGTCGAATGCGATCTGGCATTCGTCCGTCCATCTAAATCCCTCGCCTTTTTTGGCTAAGGCTGTTAGCGGCTTGGCTATGCTGCTATACCCCTTCACAAATCGCCGGTAGAAGTTGCAGGACCCGAGGAATGATTGCACTCCTTTCAATGTGTCTGGTTCCGGCCAATCCCTGACGATGTCCGTCTTTGCTGGGTCTACGGATACCCCATCTACTCCGATAATAAACCCGAGATATTTGGTTTCCCGTACGTGGAATTCGCACTTCTCGATATCTGCTTGGAGCCCAGCTTCCCTCAACCGTTGTAATACCAGTTGAACGTGCTTGGTATGTTCTTCCTCGGTCGCAGAGTAGATTAGGATATCGTCCAAGTATGCGCTGCAAAAGTCGTCTAGGTAGCCGAGTAAGCAGTCATTAATGAACCGTTGAAAGGTAGCTGGTCCGTTTTTCAATCCGAACGGCATAACTTTATAGCTATATGTGCCGTACCGGGTCCGGAAAGTCGTCAGTTGCTCGTCGTCTGGATGTATCCGTATGCAGTGGAATGCCTGTCGGATATCGATTTTCGTGAAGATCCTCGCCTTTCCGAGGCGGCTGAAGGTTTCATCAATTAGTGGAAGCGGCATGCGGTCCTTTACGGTCATTGCATTGAGCTTGCGGTAGTCAACGGAAAACCGCAACCCGCCGTTCTGCTTGCGGGTGAATAAGATAGGTGCCGCCCAGGGCGATCCGCTAGTCTGTATGAAGCCCTTCTTCAAAGCCCCTGTGATATACTCCTTACAAGCCTCAAGCTCCTCCAGTGACATTTTGTAGAGGGGACTATAATCGAGGTCTTCCGGTTCTTTCTCTGGTAACAATCGGATCCTATGGTCTACCAGACCTCGTCTTGGCGCCAGGATATCAGATTGGACTCTGCTGAATACATCAAGGAAGTCGTGGTATGGCGAAGGGAGCTCGCTCAACACTCGCTCCCGTAGCTTCTCATCGTCTTCATCCAGTCCGTCGGAGCCGTTCCTTAGTTCTTTCAATTCCGATATACGCTTGTCGAGTTCGTGTAGTGTCATTACGTCGACCTGCTCGCCCTTAGAGGCTAGTTTGAAGGCAGCTTCGTTTAGTACTGCCATCTCGATGGGCCTCTCCTTATACCAGCCTATGCCGTCACGTTGCATGCGGTACAAGCCCTGCGCATCATGTTCTGGGAATGGGTCCCTCTTCTTCACAGGTGGTGGTGCTTGCTTCAGAGGGTCGGGGGCATGGAGCTGTCGTTCCATAAGGTTCAGCTCCCGGTCTCTACGATCGCCAGTCAGCCGTCGAGCTGGCCGTTGTATTAGTGTTGGGTGGAATAATGGCATCGCCATAACTCCGGCGTACGTGGGTCCTCCACCGTGAATCCGGCGTACTCCTGCCGTTCCAACTCATCGATCCGTGCGCGTACAAGTCTTCCGTCACGCCGGCGTTTATCTTCCTTTTCTATGGCCAGTTCTCTTCTCTGGGCATCTTCCTGATAATCTGGATTAAGGGGCCCAGGCTCCGACTGGTCTAACGGAACGGTGGTCCACCAGCTTGGGTCAAGTTCCCATTCCTCGGGGAATAGTAGACGACGGCGTCGTGCGTCAGCTAGTACGTCGTGGTAGTCGAGCCACTTCCGGCCAATCATCAGGTCGTGAACGCAGTCCACGATAATCAAGTGTTCGTCCCTAATCGTCCTGTGCTGGACGACCAGGTTGACTTCTAGTAGCTCCTCGATGATCTGTTGAGACTTGTTATCGTACCCGCCTACCAGTCTCGGGGCGGGATCCGTAATGGATTTGATATGAAGTAACCGTTGTATCTTTCTTGCGAAGTCACGGCTCACGAAGATATATTCGTTTGCTCCCGTATCGACTAAAACATCATCCGTAGTCAAAGAAAGTCCATTGCTCGCTATCTCACAGCTAACAGTGAATGCAGGGCCACCCAGGTATCTGGCTAGTAACCCCACTCCAGTCTTCTCTTCTCCTATAGTCGTAATGTTACACGTCGACACTTCCCCTGGGAGAGAGTCCAATTGCCCCAGGGTATTTAGTTTTCCGATCCTTCGTTCGCAACCGAGGGAGCCGACGAGCCTCCGTCGGTAGCTTCTTCGGCCCGGTTCACATTACGGAACTCATTCTTCAGCCAGGTCAGGAGGGCTTCTGAGGTCTTAATCTGGTTTGGGTGGGCGTCCTCGAGGTACGGTTCCAACTGGTACGAGGCCTTGCCCGCTAATCTGAACTCGATATACGACTGTCGAGCGCGGTCGCTCTCATAGTAATCAGAGTTGACGTCCAGCTTGTTCTCAATCTGCCGGATCCAGGCGTTGAACGTGATCGTGTCCTTGTCCTTATCATTGTAGAACAGGGGGGGGGGTCGGAGATCTTGGCGCTACGACGAGTAGTGCTATCAGTGGTGGAGAAAGGGGTTGCACCACGTGGTGATCTGCTAGCAGCGTTGTCGGCGATGGTGCGACTCAAGAGGTCGATTTTATCTTGCATCTTCTGTATGATCTCATCCTTGTTGGCTATAACATCATTCAGGCTCGTGATAATCGCGTTATTGGCATCGTCGACGGGGTTTTCAATGCTAGGGCGGGGTGCCGGGGAGAACTCTGCGGCTTCTGCTGCTACAGTGGCAGAGCGAGTGGCCTGTGCCAGTCCCAATAAGGCCCATTGCTTGATATTGCTGATAATGGTTGACTGGTGTCGAGCGATACTGTATAGCTGAGACATCTGATCGTACCAAGAGTGTGCCAGCAAGGTGCGGAGCTTGAACTCCTGAAAATGCTCATCTGGGTGGTTGTTGGACTGGCTCTCGAAATCCTTGACGTCCATGGTTCCTTCAAAGGTGAATTGGTCAGGGCCTAGCCAGGGACCAAAGGGCAGGCCAGGACCCTCTTTGTTTCGGCGAACATGGAGGACAGCCAGGTCGGAAAGCTTCTCCTGAAGATCTTTATCGATGTCTTCGCTGGTCATTGTAAATTTGGCACTGTCAACTTCGCCAGTGATCCGTGTTGTGAAGTCGCGAATGTCCACTCGGTCATCAACAGGGGAGAGAGATCGGCCTGCAGTAAGCGTCGTGGTGTTTCCAAGCACTTTTGTAGATATAGCTGTCATCTCGATCTGCTTGGCCAATGCGGATAACGCAGTATCGGACTTCTCACGCTGGTGAGTTCTTGCAAAGGCTTCGCGGTCGAAGTTGGTCTCATTCACGGCATCCTGCAGGACTGCCTGCAGTTGCAAATCGTCGTTGGCGGGCATCTTGCCTGCCGTTCGCCCTACAGTGCCCCGCTTGGAGTGCTGTATTCGTTCTTCGGTCGGGCGGTCGCACACCTCGAGTAGCGATCCCGCGATTCGGTTCTGGTTTTTCTGGTGGGATATTCTTTTCAATTGCCTTCCTAGGCGATTAGCGAGATTGAGCTTTAGATTGTCACCGCACAGTCAACTGTAGAGAGGCAGGGCTGCAATGTGGTTGCTGTATTCGTAGAATCTAAAGCTAAAGAAGGAAAAAGGAAAGAAAGCTTCCAAGGCCTGGGCGGGAAGTGGGTTGTGATGTGGGTCACGTGGTTATGGTGTGCACGGACCGCTACCCAAATCTGGTCAGCTGTCTGCACCTGTCGTGACAAGGGGAGGATTTTGAGCTTCTTTTCCCTTTTCCCTTTAGTTTAGAATCTTCGTCTATAGCGCCCAATAGAGGAGTTCCGCCCTCATTTCAAGCCGGCCGTGACAACGGCTACATCTCAGTTCCTAGTATCATAACTAAGGGAGCGACACCAATTGACAGGTGGAAATGACCTACAATGGTTCTTGGGCATTGAAGTCCAAAGGGATAGAGACAAGCGCTTGATTTGGCTCTCCCAGACAGCCTACTTCGACAAAATCGCCACTCTGGCTACTACACAACCTACTACGAAGACCAAGGTACCAATGGCTACGACAGAATTACTGCCATACGGTGGCAAGGCCGAACCTCATTCTATCACGGCTTTCCAGCGGAAGACTGGATCAATTCTATACGCCGCAGTGATCACCAGGCCAGACATTGGCTTTGCAGCTTCCCGGCTAGTCAGATTCAACACCAAACCTGGGCCAGAGCATCACAAAGCAGCTGAACAAGTACTCCACTACCTACATAACACTCGAAAACTGGCCTTATAGTTAGGGGGTGAAGACGACTTTGTTATAGCTAGCGATGCCTCTTTTGCGGACAACTCCATTGATCGGAAAAGCTCACAAGCTTATACTATGAAGCTGTTTGGTGGGCTTGTGGGCTGGAGGGCTAATAAGCAAAACACTGTCACCACTTCTACTGCGGAAGCGGAGCTCTTAGCTCTGGCACAAGCCACGAAAGAAGGCCTCTTTATAAGCCGACTACTCGCGGAATTAACTATACAACTAGACAAGCACCACATCACTATCCAGTGTGACAACAAACAAACAATACGGTTAGTCACTGCAGAAGTGGCAACCTTGCAGACAAAACTCCGGCATGTGGACATTCACAACCATTGGCTTCGTCAGGAAGTTAGCCGCAGAGCAATCAAAGTCGTCTACACATTCCTTCAAGCAGTATGGTAGCTGACGGCCTGACTAAGGCCCTAAGCTTCCCACTCCATCTACGATTCCTCCAGCAAATAGGAGTCACAGAGCCAACACTGAAGGAAAGGTCTGAAACTACAAACTAATAAGGCCAGATCCAAGCACTGTTGAATCTGAGGAAGTGTGTCAGAAAGAAGGGGGTTCTGGCACTGCGTGCCAGAACACCAAGTGGTGTCGTCAACCAAGCTGAAAAAGTGCTTATGCGAGCTGAAAAAGAGCTCATGCAAACTGAACTTTACGTAGTCAGTTCAGCTAGCAACGACTACTGTTTGCCACCATTCATAACTATAATAGAGGTTCTCTGACTAAGCCAAAGAGCACGGGAGGAGGAGAGATCTGAATGAAAATCACTTTGAACTCCATCTTTTCCACCGAATCCAGTGTGCAGTGCAGTGTGCAGTGCTTCTGACAGGTATACCAAGTACTGAGGGGCTTTGATTGCCTGGTTAGGTTAGCGTGGTACTTCTTGGCAGATCAGAACTTTTCGCCGCCCACTGTACCAATCACGATGCTTTCGAGTGTGCACAGCCGGCGCCAGCCGTTCAGGCGCCACGCAATCAGACGCCTGACGTGCGGGGTTGTGATTTGGGCATCGAAACTCCTGGGACCTGAGTGACAACAGCAGCAGCGATCTTCGAGCTTCAACCCCCCAATCGAGATTTCGTGCTAAGTACTACGACAGTTTTCCACGGTAGGTAGTTCTTGTCTAGCATTAGGCAGCTTTCTCAGCCTCAGCTACTGATTGTTCTACCCACAGATCCAGCGAACCCTTGAGCCGTCCTACCGTCCGTCCGCTCCCCCTTTGTGCCGACGAACATCCATATCAATAGCTACTGAGAGCTCGGCAGTCTTTGGGCGATGCGCCTGCTGGAACGCGACGACACAGGCGGGATCCGCCTAACAGAGGATCTTATCGACAAAATTCCGCCGTACGCGATACTTTCGCACACATGGGGTAACGAAGAGGTCCTCTTCAGCGACTTGATGAACGGTACAGGGAAGAACAAGGCTGGCTATGCTAAGATTCAGTTTTGCGGAGATCAGGCTTCTCGAGATGGGTTGAAGTTCTTTTGGGTCGACACATGCTGCATCGACAAGTCAAGCAGTGCCGAGCTACAGGAGGCGATCAACTCTATGTTTCGGTGGTACCGTAATGCGGCTAAATGCTACGCCTATTTGGTGGACGTCTCGACCCCTGTTCTTGGCATTGACGATAACTCCGTCTGGGAAGCGACTTTTCGAGCGAGTAGGTGGTTCACCCGCGGGTGGACTCTCCAAGAGCTCATTGCTCCGGGATCAGTCGAATTCTTCTCCAAAGAGGAATTGCGTCTTGGAGACAAGAGGTCTCTGGAGCAAGTTATTCATAACATGACGGGGATTCCTTTCGAGGCCCTCCGATGCGGCCGTCTGTCTGATTTCAGTGTCCATAACCGAATGGCATGGATTGAGAAACGCAATACAACACGCGAAGAAGATAGGGCATACTCGCTTTTCGGCATCTTCGACGTCCAGCTGCCACTTCTGTACGGCGAAGGAGAAGATAAAGCATTTCGACGGCTGCGAGAGGAGATTATTAAAGTTTCAAGGAGTGAACCAACGTTGGATGAGGCCGACACCCGCTGTCTGGCCGACTTACGTGTCACCGACCCCCGCCACGACAAGGGGCGTATCGAAACCGCAAAGGGTGGACTCCTGAAAGACGCGTACCGCTGGGTTCTCAGCAACGTCGAATTCCAACAATGGCGCGACGGCGAAGAAAGCCGGCTCCTCTGGATAAAAGGTGACCCCGGTAAGGGCAAGACTATGTTGCTCTGCGGCATTATAGACGAACTAAAGATGTCTACCCCATCCTGCCTTCTGTCATTCTTCTTCTGCCAGGCTACCGACTTACGTATCAACAACGCCACCTCCGTCCTTCGCGGCTTAATCTACCTCCTTGTCAGCGAACAACCAGCCCTCATCTCACATGTACGGGAACAGTATAATGTCGCTGGAAAAAGAGCATTTGAGGACACGAACGCGTGGGTTGTCTTGCGAGAGATCTTCACCGCTATCCTGCAAGATCCGGGATTAAGGACGACTTATTTGATCATCGACGCGCTTGACGAGTGCGTCACTGACCTGCTGCGACTTCTCGACCTGGTCGCCCAAATGTCATGTGTATCTCCTCGTGTCAAGTGGATAGTCTCAAGTCGCAACTGGCCGCAGATTGAGGAACATTTGGCGATGGCGGCGCAGAATGCCAAGCTAAGCCTCGAGCTTAATGCCGAATCCGCCGCCAATGCCGTCAACACATACATCCGCCACAAAGTTCTCGATTTATCTCGCCGGAAACAGTACGATAGCACAATGAAGAAGGCTGTGCAGGCCTATCTCTCTTCTCATGCAAACGGCACATTTCTCTGGGTGGCCTTGGTCTGTCAGGCGCTCGAGGACCCGGATGTTCAGAATTGGAACACCCTCGAGATGCTGCACACATTCCCAACTGGACTGGATGATCTATATACACGGATGGTGAATAGAATTAAAGGATCCAGAAATGAATTTATCTGCAAGCATATTCTTGCCGCCGTCGCAATCGCTCACCGACCCATCAGCATCCAGGAGCTAACCACTCTCGTCAAGCTGCCGGATAGTATTTCAACACATCAAAATAATTTCGAAAAGATTATTAAAATCTGCGGTTCGTTCTTGATCTTACGAGAACAAACTATTTACTTCGTCCACCAATCTGCCAAGGACTTTCTACTTGGCGATGCTACGCACCAAGCTTCTAGAGATGCTTTCAACTGGGCCTTCCCTCTGGGGGTGGAAGATGTAAACCATATCATCTTCTCAAGATCGCTCAGCGCGATGTCTGCGGTTTTGCAGCGCGACATGTACGGTTTGAAGACACCGGGATTCATCGACGAGGTTCAAACGCCATCTTCGGACCCACTCGCCACAGTACGGTACTCATGCGTCTTCTGGGTTAACCATCTCCGCGACTCGATTTCCGGTAAAGACGTGCTACAATGCCACACACTGGATGCGATCCAAACCTTCCTTGAGCAGAAGTACCTTTACTGGCTCGAAGCTCTTAGCTTACTCCAAGCTATGTCAGAGGGTGTCATTGCCATAATACAGCTTAAGCTCCTACTCGTATGTATAACTTACTACCGCCAGAGAACTATACTAATAGAGATGCAGGAACATGCTGATCAGAGGCAGCTAACGGCTTTCGTTCGAGATGCACATCGGTTCGCTCTCTCCAACAGATGGATAATCGAGCAAGCTCCTCTCCAAGCGTACATATCAGCCCTCATATTTGCACCAGCTTCCAGTCTAGTGAAAAAGAAATTTAAGGCGGAAGAACCTAGCTGGATCAGTACGAAGCCAATAGTAGAAGCGGACTGGGATGCATGCCTGCAAACGCTAGAAGGCCACAGATCCTTAGTTGAGTCAGTTGCCTTCTCACCAGATGGCCAGCAGCTCGCATCGGGTTCAGCCGACAAAACCATCAAGATCTGGGATCCCATCAAGATCTGGGATCCCGCCTCAGGGCAATGCCTGCAAACGCTAGAAGGCCACAGATCCTTAGTTGAGTCAGTTGCCTTCTCACCAGATGGCCAGCAGCTCGCATCGGGTTCAGCCGACAATACCATCAAGATCTGGGATCCCATCAAGATCTGGGATCCCGCCTCAGGGCAATGCCTGCAAACGCTAGAAGGCCACAGCGACTGGGTTGTTTCAGTTGCCTTCTCACCAGATGGCCAGCAGCTCGCATCGGGTTCAGGCGACAATACCATCAAGATCTGGGATCCCGCCTCAGGGCAATGCCTGCAAACGCTAGAAGGCCACAGCGACTGGGTTGTTTCAGTTGCCTTCTCACCAGATGGCCAGCAGCTCGCATCGGGTTCACGCGACAAAACCATCAAGATCTGGGATCCCGCCTCAGGGCAATGCCTGCAAACGCTAGAAGGCCACAGCCACTGGGTTGTTTCAGTTGCCTTCTCACCAGATGGTCAGCAGCTCGCATCGGGTTCACGCGACAAAACCATCAAGATCTGGGATCCCGCCTTAGGGCAATGCCTGCAAACGCTAGAAGGCCACAGCGACTGGGTTGTTTCAGTTGCCTTCTCACCAGATGGCCAGCAGCTCGCATCGGGTTCCGCCGACAATACCATCAAGATCTGGGATCCCGCCTCAGGGCAATGCCTGCAAACGCTAGAAGGCCGCAGCGACTCAGTTCAGTCAGCTTCCCTCTGGCCGGATAATCTAGGGAGTAATGGATATAGTTGGGGGCACGACCAAACTTGGATTAGTTGTGACGGCCGGAATGTAGTATGGTTACCACTAGAATACCGCTCGTCCTGTTCTGCCGTCCACGGGCGGATGATGTCCATCGGCTGTTCATCTGGACGAGTCTTTACAATTGGCTTTTCGCAAGATGTTTAGTATAGTACCTTTAGCTATCTCTACTTCATCCTCTTTATTTCTTTTTCCTAGCTTGACACCAGAAGGGTCCGGGAGGATGGGTTGCTTTATAGAAACTATAGAAATTCTATCATTTTCCATTGATATCGAGATGACTCACGTAGTTTTCTTTAAGAAGGCAAGATCAACAGGTTCAATTCTCTTGACGTCACATATGATGTGACGGTGGCGAGTTTGTGTCAGATGGAATGGCCTAGAAGGTGCTGGAACCTACGATGCGTAATCTTCGCCACTGGAATTCGTCATGTAATTGCCACATAAGGAAGTATAAGAGAGAGTCTTTTGTGGAAAGACTGGAACGGGAGAATAGAAGCAATTCACTCTGCCTTCTCTTCTTCTCTGCAGGCTCTCTGGCTCTCTCTGATTGGTCGGTTGATTTGAGGTGCATGGACCAAGTCAAGCCCAACTGCTATTGTCAATCTCTCTCGCGCACGTCATTTGGGAAGAAGACGAATGCTGGGCAAAATTTCTTCTCTCTCTCTATCTTTTGGGGGTTCTCTGGCTATTATGCCACACCCAGTTCGAGTCGAACTGCTTGATGCGCGCCCGCTGATTGGTCGCCCCAAACCCGTGCACGGACGAATTTGAGTCGAACTGGTTCAAGATTTGCTGTCAACCAGTTCGACTTTTTCACCGGGAAAACGACGGGCAAAATCTGCTGAGCGTGCGTAGATTGACTAAACAAAGCATGCCGATTTCGAATCCGCCGTCTATTTTCCCCGTAGATGTACGGTTGGCCGTGCATTGACGATTTAGGTCAGAAGGGTGTGTTTTTTGGCGACGGTGACGCACGGGCCAAGCGGCCGACTCACGGGCCAAGCGGCCGACAAGAAGTCGATCCGAGTCGAACTTGGTGCCCCAAGCAGTTCGAGTCGAACTGCTTCATGGGCCGCCGCTGATTGGTCAAACTGGTGGAGGATTGAGCCCGTCAATCAGTTCGACTTTTTGAAAGGGAAAACGATAGGCAAAAGTGGCTGCGCCCACGTAGATTGACCAAATCGAGTGCGGCAATATCGAATCCACCGTCCATTTGCCCCGTAGACGTATGGTTGGTTGTGCATTGACGATTCAAGGTCAGAAGGTGTGTTTTTGGCGACGGTGACGCACGGGCTAAGCGGCCGACAAGGAGTCAATCCGAGTCGAACTCGGTGCCCCAACCAGTTCGAGTCGAACTGCTTGATGGGCCGCCGCTGATTGGTCGAACTGGTGGAGGATTGAGCCCGTCAATCAGTTCGACTTTTTGATAGGGAAAACGATAGGTAAAAGTGGCTGCGTGCATATAGATTGACTAAATCGAGTGCGGCAATATCGAATCCACCGTCCATTTGCTCCGTAGACGTACGGTTGGTTGTGCATCGACGATTCAAAGGTCAGGTGTGTTTTTGGTGATGGTGATGCACGGGCCAAGCGGCCGACAAGAAGCTGACCCGAGTCGGACTCGGTGCCCCAACCAGTTCGAGTCGAACTGCTTGATGGGCCACCGCTGATTGGTCGAATTGGGTGAGGATTGAGCGCGTCAATCAGTTCGACTTTTTGATAGGGAAAACGATAGGTAAAAGTGGCTACGCGCACGTAGATTGACTAAATCGAGTGCGGCAATATCGAATCCGCCGTCCATTTGCCCCGTAGACGTACGGTTGGTCGTACATCGACGATTCAAGGTCAGAAGGTGTGTTTTTGGCGACGGTGACGCACAGGCCAAGCGGCCGATAAGAAGTCGATCCGAGTCGAACTCGGTGCCCCAACCAGTTCGAGTCGAACTGCTTGATAGGCCACCGCTGATTGGTCGGTTGATTTGAGGTGCATGGACCAAGTCAAGCCCAACTGCTCGAGCATCCGGCTGTCAATTAGTTTGAGTTGTCAGGAAGGGAGATAATGGTTAAAACCCGCTGCGCGTAGGTAGACCGGTCGAACCCAAGGCCGCGATGTTAAACACATGGTTCATTGGCCCCGTAGACACATGGTTGGTTATGCACGAGTAGGTTCAGCGACAGTAATGCACGAGCCAAGTAGTTGACCATTTGAAAACATACAGGGAAGCGGTAAAAAAAGCAAAGAGAGGGGAAATGAAGGGAAAAAAACCCCCCAAAAAAACCAACCACCCCCCGGCGAAATAAAAGGTGAGATTTCAAGAAAGGAAGGTAAAAGGAAAATAGAAAATCAATTCAATACCAACCAACCGACCACGTACCCACCAATTCAGGTTATTCGGCATTTAAACGGAATTATGGAGTTGTTTAATAACTTGTTTATACATTCCCCCGATTACCGTTTGGCGATTTGCCGCGAACATCGTAGTGCGGTAACGGCAGGATCGATCGCGTATCACGTCCATTCGCAACACCGCCATATAGCCAAGAAAGTGCGCCAACGCATCGTCGAGGAGGCGGGCGAGTTAGAGAAGGGTGGCACGTTGGCGGCCGACGTCCATGGGATCCAGTTCCCGGCCGGAGTTGTGCCAGCGATCAGGCCGTTGCCCGTTTGGAGCGATGGCAAGAAGTGCACGCGGTGCAGACACATCCGGCGGACCAAGCAAGATATTCAGAAGCATTGCCGAGACGAGCATGGATGGGTCAACCCGCGGGGGCAGGGCGGGAAAGCCGGGGCGAGAGCAGCAGGCGGCATGGGCGAGGTGTGGGTAGACAGCGTGTATTGCCAGCGGTTCGGGCAAACAGGGGCATTGCAGCGGTTGTTTGAGGTTGTGCCGGCGGCCGATACGGAGGGCGGGGTCGGCAGGGGAAGCAGCCGAGTTGGCACCACGGAGTATAAGGTAATTATGACGCAGTTCGAAGAGTTGGCCAAGGCAATAGAGGAAGGGGACAAGAAAGCGGCGGCATTGACCCACGACCAGCCCAGGTTGTCAGCCAATATGTGGATCCGGCGGACGGGTTGGATCCGGCGGACGGGTTGGCCCCGGCATTTACGATGGTTTGATCGCGAGTGGTTAACGGGAACGACGCGGCGGCCAGACGCAGACGGTGGACAAAACGCAGGTGATGATAAAAGGGGGGGTGTAGAGGGGGGCGGGGACGAAGCAGGCGGCGAAGCAGGCGGGGACGAGGAAACCCAGGAAGAAGCAGGTAGGGACGAAGCAACCCGAGAAAAAGCGTTGGCCAGGGTATTATTGGCCATCGAGAGGGTAATTTGGCGGGCCCAAAAAGCATCGCGGGCCGAGATGGTCGGGTCGGCCACGGTGAATTACATCGAGAGGCGAGAAGCCGGAGAGCAGTCGAACGAGAAACCGTTCAATTCGGGCCAGAAAGGCCAAACGATGGAGGGGTATAGCGAGTCATGGAAATCGATAATGGCGTACGTGTGGCGGACGCAGCATTTAGCAGTGGCCGAGGAAAGAGAGGCCGAGGTAGAGGCCGAGGGAGAGAAGAAGAGGAGGGAGAGGAGGGCGAAGCGATAGACGCGCGGGGACAAAATGGTAATACAGGTTCCACAGACGCCAGCCAGGAAGGGGGGATCCGCAACAAACGACCGGCATACCATTTAACGCAACGCCAAGCAGACAAGTTCACGCAATTGCAAGAAGTCGCGTATATAGCGACAATAGCGCATATACAGTTAGAGGAAGATAGCAACGGCAACGGCGACAAAGAAGAAGACGAAGACGATACGCAACAGTTAGAGCGTTGCGTATTAGCATTTTTTTATTTCATTATTAGACCATGATGTGGGCAACAACGAGTATCAGAACGCATGATATAGCGGGTTGGCCGTGTTGGGGATCCACGTCGGGCACGGTTGGAAGAGCGCGTCGATATATACGCCCACGTTATCGGCAATCGTGACGGTGGCCCGTATGTTGGTATTATATACGGCCAAGCGGGGGCGTGAGGAGGAAATCCAGAACAGGATCCGGGCGAGCGGTGAGAGCGAGCAAGAGGCGAGACGTAAGGCGCGGAGCCATTTGACCGCGTCCAGGGGATGGTGCAGCGTTTCATGACCATCATAGCATATAATGGCCGGCCGTCGCCAATGGATTCGATATTGCGGTTGCGGACATACGGCAAAGCGATCCGGGCAAACACAAACGCAGACGGCGTGGTGGATTAGCACGGGGACGAGTTGTTGTACGGGCATGTGCAGATCAGCATGTCGTCGTTGCGGATGATGATACACGGGTTGTTGCACACGGCAAGGGGGCAGTTACGGCGGGAAATGTTGTTGTTGGAGACGGACGACGAGGGCGAGGTAGTAAAAGGGTCGACGGCGAGCGAGGCGATGAAGTCGTTTCGGGCACAATTGTTGGTATTAATGCACATGAGCGGCGGGCAGCCGGCGCGGGGGACCGAGTTAGTTACGGTCCAGTATAAGAACGGGGCGGACGGGGATACGCGTGGGTTATTTGTCGAGGACGGGTTGATGGTATTCGTGACAATGTACAACAAGACGATGGGGATGAGCGCAAAGGCAAAGGTGATCCACCGGTATTTACCGCGGGAGGTGGGCGAGTTGGTGGCGTATTACGTGTCGTTGGCGGTTCCGTTTTGGAGGGTAGTGGTCAGGGGCGCAAGCCGAGGTTCGGCGGATTGGGGCAGCCCGTATGTATGGGAGCCGCAGAAAGAAAGCGCATGGGCGTTCCCCACGGCGGTGAAGAGGAAGCCAACAGATGCAGGGCGACCGCAAGGTACGGTTGGGAAAAGGAGGAGAATACGGGAACGGTCACCCCGGGGTCGAGGGTACCGTACGAGCCGGGCAGGAGAGAGAAGAGAATGGCGACGGGAGGGGCAAGAAAGGAGCAGGGAAGAGACAACGGGCGAAGATAGGGA